TGCAATTCGAAACGGCACCAACGATAGGCCAGGAACCCGCTGAAAACTGATCCAAAGACGCTGCTTAGGTGGTCCCGTCCCCCGGTTGAACCACTTGTGAGACGCCATTCAGGCACAGCGCTGCTTAACTCGTCGTGCGGGCTCGCCCACCTCGCCTTGTCTATCCCTCCGGCGGATCATTGGAGCCTCCCACGCAGATTTCACATAATGAAGCCGGTTGCACGGAGTACCGCTCAACCACTATTGCCACCACTGCCAATCAAAGCTTTGAAGTTCTTGCTGTTGGCAAGCTATAGATAGGCTAAGCAACAACTCAGCTCAGAACCCAACGGCCTATGTCCCAGTTGGTGCAAAGCTCCCATTACCACCGCCGCATCTTCCCGTGATTACGCTTGACCAAGCATGAACATTACAATGGAGTCAGGCCTGCATAAGTCTAGGAAGGTCTTTACTGCGTTGCCTGAACTCGAGATGGCGTGGGACTCGCCCTAAGCCAGCCCTCAGGGATGTCTTATCCGCACGCTGTTGACTGCTTCCACTCACAATGGTCCTTCTCGAACAGAAGGATCTCGACGCCATTATGGGCAGACCAGGGACAGCCCAGCCGTTCGGAGACGGAAGAAACCCGTGGCCGTTCTGGTGCCTTGTTTGGTGATCCAGGCCACGTAAATGGTCGCCATGGTGTTGTCTCGCTACCCAGATATCGCACGAGCCTTACCGGAAACGACTGCTGCTAGCCAACTGCCTGTCACCGCCACACCTTTCTGTCGTGGCCGTTTTCTACCCATGTATCCACTTCCGCTTCTTCAGATGCGCGACAAGATCCATCCCTACTACGAGGTACACGGAGTACCCCTGCAAAGATGGTATTTTGCTAGCTTACTATGTACACAGTGTAGGGAGTACGGAGTATGGAGACTGATATCGGCTACAGACTTAGTCCAGAACGATCAACGATCCATCTCCCAGCCGACAGTCCTTGACATCTCTTGCGACAACGACTTGCCTCGTGTGTTATCATAACCCCGTTTTCAATGCTACCTGAGACGTGTTCCTCCGTACGCATTACTCCACTCAATCGGTGCGCAAAGAGGTATCGCGCTCTATAGAGCCGTCTGAGCCGATGAAGCGATGGGAGAGAGATCAAGAAGTCGCTGGCGGCGACGGCGATGATATTTCCCTTGAGGTCAACAAGATGCGAACACGCGTATACGAAGTGGGTCTCAGACGCCCTGGTCGCACAACCCGCCAGTCCGAGACTTGCATACATGGTGACTGTGATTCGTCTTCGAGCAGTTTATTTCCGGTCTGCAGCGTTTTTGTTTCATCTGTCTTCTCGACCTGCGTTGACGATCTCGACTGAGTGTAGAATACAGCCGCTGAATGCTAACGACGTTCGTTCGCCACATGCCGGCGACTACATGCACCACTCCCTTCGCTTGCACATGAGACACGAGGCATGTCCAGGAACAAGTCCCTCCGCCAGAATTTGCAAGCTAGCGGACATGACAACGCCATTGGGCCACTCGCGTCATGCCCTATGTGGATTCGATGATTGGCAAACCCCAAAAAAGGCCGACTGATATCATCATCTATGCGTAGCAGTGGAGCTCGCGTCCACTTTGATTGCGTGGTCAACGTCGTTTCGGGGCGTCCAAGATCCGACACGATATCGATTTGCGAACAAAGCTCGAGGCTGCATATGAGTTCGCGTATCGTGATGTGCAGTCCGTTGCAGCAGCGACGGGAAGCTCTCCCATGCGTTTCCCGTGACATATACCGTCAGCTTCACCTCCTATTCCACTGATTTCGAGAGTCGACGACCTTTTGCGCAAGCGAGCGAGTGTTTGGTGGTTCGATGATCATCTCGGCATTGGCATCCAGGGTGTCAACAAGCGAGATGGTCCTTATCCGGCTGCTCGGAGGTTGCTGTGGCTAGTGCGCCTAAAAAAGAACTGGGCGCCAAATGGGCAATTTGAGCTCTCAGGGAACATTCCTTGACGCACACGGGCTGCTAATCTTTAAACGCTCTGGTGGCTCGGTCCTCCACGAGGCTAGGATATCCCTCCTGCAGATCATTTTGTGCCCTGAGCACTTTATCCTTGGCGATGAAATTGAAGGCACGTTTCAGTGCCGAGTGCGCATAGTTAGCAGATGTCCATAACGATATTCGTTAGAAACGAACCGATGGCCCCGGAGCAGAACACCTTCCTCGGCTGAGCTGCTCTCGACTTGGAGCCCAGAGACGTACTTTCACGAGCGATGTGGGCGCCAGGGCAACTATCTCATATTTCCTCTCACCCTGTTTTCTGCCGAGCCTACTCACGAGGGGTCCAGGCATACATAGCATAAGGCGGCACGAGTTATGCGACTCCCTCGTGGCATCTCGGAGCAGTTGGCCTGCGATTCAGGGTGTACTCTTCGGGCTTTTCTTATGCCCACCGCTGTACTTGACGCATGGTGGTTGAAGGGCACTGCTACTCGTATCATCGGCGACTTCTCATGCGCTACCCGGGTACAGGCGTCTGCACGACGTCGGTCCTGTCCTGTCGAGGTGTTTGCTTGCATTTCACTCAACTCATATCAATTTCAGACGATCTGCAAATTTTATATCTCTTCAAGTCGACTCAAAATTTCAACGGCTGCGTGCCAAGCGCGCTCCCAACCCTTCTTCAACTTCGCTCAGTTAACACAAAGTCTCGTTGCTCAATATCCACCATACGACGTCCGAAATTGATTTGAACACCGGTCTCTAGGCGGTGCAGCACTCAACATTCGGAGCGCCCGACTTGCGAGGCTCGACTTGGGTGTTTGAGTGGACACCTGAGATCAAAACTGCATAACTTGGCATCGAGGCACGTTTCGCTGGACCGGATTGCGAAACAACTCTTCTATTCTAGAGTCGGACAAGAGAATTTCGGCTAACAGTACAGCTGAACAGATTCACAGTCACAACAATTGGGTGTTCCAAGACGTTCAGTAGGTTTTCGAGCTATGACCCTTCCGGCTTCAGTCTCACACTCACTGGCTTTTAACCATTGTTTACAGCGCACGCTCCAGGGAAACAGGTACGTGAAGCGGGCCGACCCATTCGACAAATTGAGCGCACGTTGAGACATGATTTGGCACTTGTTTTCCGCTCAAAACGAGACAGCAGGGCCGTCAATGATCGGGCCCCTTTGCCAGGTGTAAATGTGTAAATGCATTCGCTGTTCTAAGACGTGTTCGCGGGATGGCACTTCGAGGCACGAAAACGCCTAGTCTGGAATCATCCCGGCATCAGGAGGCAGGTCGAGAAATATTAAGATATCATGGACGAATTGAGTGGCCAAAGCAAGAGAAGAGCATGGTGCGAAGGTCAAATGTGCCCAACCCTACTTGCAAGTTGAGGCAGTGCTGTTCTTCGGAGAAGTTTGTCATGATGAGTGTGATCACGGACCTGGCGGTAATGATTACCACGGTCAGGAGCTCTTCATGCACCTTAAGGCGCGGCGACATGACTCAGCCGCATAGCTGACGACCTCAAGCAGTCGATGTTCTTGCAGATACTGTATCTGTTGCGAGACACTCAGTATTTCAGGGACAACAGAAGTGAGTGATGGTAGGTGATGTGCGGGAAGAGTCCTTGAAGTCTAAGTCCTTAGACTGAGCTCATCCTCAGCATGGACATCCGAACCGTAGGTCTTGCAAGAATAAAAACTTCATTGTGCGCTTTTCGTGATGATATCAGCTCCCCACAACACCGGCTTTTAGAGGGAGCGGCTGTCTTGACTTCGGCCGGCATGACAGTAATGCACTCGGGGCCGGACGAAGGACGAGATCCCTGCGTCGGCCTATCTGGGCGCGAGATATCGTGGAGTTTCTCAAAGGGCACGGGCTGCTTGGTCAGCTCGAGCTCCAGAGAGTGCTGAGAGTGGCTGGGTGGAGCGTTAGATGTCTAATCGTCCCACCGAGAATTGGCATTCGGGCTGAGCTCGTCGCCTTTGATTCGCTCCCGGTAGGCTCGGAAGAGCTGGACTGTACAAAGTACGAATACTCAGGCGTGCCTCGTACGGTAGACCAGGAAACGGCCTGAGATGGAGAGATTCGTGAACACCGAGCACACTCGAGCCTATCTTGAATGGCGCATTGACAGGACTGGAGTAAGCGGATTGCCCGCTGAGTTCATCGTCCAAGCCATGATTGATGTGAAAAGCCATCGTGGTTTGGAGGTTCTCTCGCTTGGTAGAATCCCCCCCTTTTCTCGTTCTTAGCATTCACGGACGCCTGCACGGTTCGTCTGTGCGGTGCAGCTCGGAGTTTAGAAGAAGCAGCATCGACTGCGCGGAGTCGCGGCGCCCATTTTGAAACGCAGCACGCGGTCCGCCCCTGCGCTCCCAAGGAGTCATTAGCATTGCATCTTGTTGTCCTTTTCGTTTATTCAGTCTCCAGCTTTTTCGGTCGTCCATCCTATCCACATACACCAGACGGTTGCTGTTTTGTCGACAACGGAGGAAGAGGGCCAGGTGGAAAAGTGCGCATCAGGATACGCAGACCTCTGGACCCCTGTCGTGCATTTTCCAGCATCAGCACCCTCCGAGCATACGGAGTCCAACCGCCCCCATCAGCAGCCCGTCCTCACCCACACGTATCCTCGCACTCGACCACTCTTTGACTCGATCACCACCGACGATATTCTTCATACCGATCTCGAGCGCGACATTGTCGTTGTCGCCCTCTTACATCCAGCTTTCAATGATGCGCGGTTTCTCCGACTGCTGACGTGAGCCGACCCTTCCGGGGCATCTGGCTGCCATCCCCAGCCCGAAAACGCGGGAATTCGCAACCATTGCCTCGACCTGTGTCGACGACTCTGGTCACCATCCAAGAACTAGCAGACCGGCGTCGGCGTCGCCGTCGCAAATTTTACCTCCTTGTCGGTCCCTCAATCCGAAACCTGTCTCTGCCATCCCTGGTGACGGATTGGGCCCTTAAGTGGGAACTGTATCTACACCTGCGCCATGGCGCGAATACACTTCACGAGCGGCGAGAGCGAGACCAATGTCTCCAAACCCGTCAAGAGAATGCGCTGGGCTACCACCCGGAAACCTGGCCAGAGCGGAGCAAAGAAAAGGTTATCGCTGATTCAAAGGGTACCCAAAGTGCATGTCTCGTCATACGAAGAGAAGCCCGCGGAGCCTAAGAATGATGGCGTGATAACCGACGAGAGCCCTATGGGTCAGCAGCAGCCGCAAGATGGCTCGCAAGGACGCAAGATATATGTCAATCAACCACTCCCATCGGAAGCTATATCTGAAGACGGCCACATCAAAGCTCAATATTCGAGGAATAAGATCAGGACCGCGAAGTACACCGCACTAAGTTTCGTGCCGAAGAACTTGTGGTTCCAATTCCATAATATTGCTAATATCTACTTTTTGTTCATTGTCATTCTGAGCGTAAGTTGACCCGCGATCCAGTGCTCGAGGGTCGATCTGACGCTGGCAGATTTTCTCGATTTTCGGCGCTTCTAATCCCGGCCTTGGGTCTGTACCCTTGATCTTTATCCTGACGGTCACTGCAATCAAAGATGCGGTCGAGGACTGGCGCCGTACGGTGCTGGACACCGAACTGAACAACTCGCCTGTTTATCGACTGGTGGACTGGGAAAATGTCAATTCCTCGGATGACGATATCTCTCTTTGGAGGCGATTCAAGAAGGCTTGTACGAGGTTGGTCATCTCAACATATCGTGCGATCAAAGGTCTCCGGAAGGGTCAATCCAAGCGTTCGGAAAAGGATGCGGTTGGCGACCACCCGAGCTTGCAAAGGGGCAATTCGATTGCTACACGCGGCACAATTCGGAGCTCGCACTATTCAGAACATGAATCCTTCCACTCATCTCAGAGCCAAACCGGCGATGACATCGCCATGACCCCCGTGCCGTCTCCAGGCTACCGATCCAGCCTGTCACCAGATGCCAACGGAGGCCCTCCGAGTAGTGCGCTGTCCTATCAGACTGCAGACGAGCCTCGCCCCGCTGGAGATAATGCACCCTCCATGCTCCGGACGCAAGACCCCGCCCAGCGAACGAGCGTGCCGCCCGCTAGAAAGGACTATGGCAGCATCATCAACCAACACAAGGATGTTCCGGACAAGGCTCGCTTCAAGAAAGACTACTGGAAGAACGTCAAGGTCGGCGACTTTGTCCGTATCTACAATGACGAGCCCGTGCCTGCCGACCTTGTGGTCTTGTCCACCTCTGATCCCGATGGCGCATGTTACGTAGAGACCAAGAACCTTGATGGCGAGACAAACTTGAAGGTCCGGCAAGCCATTCAAGCTGGGCGCAAAGTCAAACATGCCAAAGACTGTGAATACGCCGAGTTTGTCCTGGACAGTGAGGGGCCTAATCCGAACTTGTATTCCTACAACGGTGTCATTCGGTGGCAACAACAAGGCTCAAGCGACCTTGCAGGTCCTACCCGTGAGATGGCCGAGCCTGTCACCATCAACAACATGCTTCTGCGTGGTTGTAGCCTGAAGAATACGGAGTGGATTCTGGGTATAGTCGTCTTCACAGGAGGAGAGACCAAAATCATGCTCAACTCAGGGATCACACCCAGCAAACGGGCCCGCATGGCCAGGGATCTGAATTGGAACGTCATCTACAACTTCATCATCCTGTTCTTCATGTGTTTGGTTGCCGGTATTGTCGAAGGCGTCACCTGGGCTGACGGAGGCAATTCTCTGGACTTCTTCGAATTCGGCTCGATCGGCGGCAATCCTGCAACGAATGGGTTCATCACATTCTGGGCTGCCGTGATTCTTTTCCAGAACTTGGTACCCATCTCGCTCTACATCACGCTGGAAATCGTCCGGTCCATCCAGGCGTTTTTCATCTGGTCAGATGTGCACATGTACTATGAGAAGCTCGACTACCCTTGTACGCCGAAGAGTTGGAATATTTCCGACGACCTGGGACAAATCGAGTACATCTTCTCTGACAAGACCGGCACTTTGACTCAGAACGTGATGGAATTCAAGAAATGTACCATCAATGGGCTCCCTTACGGCGAAGCCTACACCGAGGCGGAAGCAGGGATGCGACGAAGGCAAGGAATAGACGTCGAGGCCGAAGCCGCCCGGATACATCAAGAGCTTGCCGAGGCCCGTGTCGAAACTTTGAGATTACTCCGGAAGACGTACAACAATCCCTATCTCCACGACGACGAGCTGACATTTATCGCGCCCAACTTTGTTGCAGATCTGAACGGTCAGTCTGGCGAAGCGCAGCAGGCTGCTGTCGAGCATTTTATGATTGCATTGGCTCTCTGCCACACTGTTATAACCGAAACAACCCCTGGTGATCCGCCCAAGATCGAATTCAAGGCCCAATCTCCCGACGAAGCTGCACTTGTCGCCACGGCGCGAGATATGGGTTTCACTGTGCTTGGCCGTTCCAACGAGGACCTTCACGTCAATGTGCTTGGTGAGGACAGAACCTACCGGATCCTTAATACGCTCGAGTTTAATTCTACCCGGAAGCGGATGAGTGCCATTGTGCGGATGCCTGATGGAAGGATCAAGTTGTTCTGCAAAGGGGCGGACAGCATGATCTATTCTCGTCTGGCTCGTGGCCAGCAGCAGGAACTCCGCAAGGCCACTGCCGAGAACCTGGAAATGTTTGCGCGCGAGGGTCTTCGAACGCTCTGCGTGGCAGAAAGAGACCTCGACGAAGATACTTATCGAGATTGGAACAAAGATCACGACTTTGCCGCCCAGGCATTGACTGACCGAGAAGACCGTCTTGAGGAGGTGGCTGACAGGATCGAGAGGGACCTCACACTTCTTGGAGGCACTGCTATCGAGGACCGTCTCCAAGATGGCGTGCCAGACACGATCGCTCTCCTTGGGCAGGCTGGTATCAAGCTCTGGGTCCTGACGGGCGACAAGGTCGAGACTGCCATCAACATCGGATTCTCCTGCAATCTACTCTCCAATGACATGGACCTGATTCTATTCGATATCCCTGAGGCCTCTCTACAAGAAGCTGGCAAGCTATTAGATCAACATCTCGCGACGTTCGGTCTGACCGGCTCCGACGAGGAGCTAGCAGCAGCGCGACTGGTGCACGAACCTCCGCCGCCCACGCATGCCTTGGTCATTGATGGTGAGTCGCTGAAGTTGGTCCTATCCGACACCCTGAGGCAGCGATTCTTGATTTTGTGTAAGCAGTGCAGGTCTGTACTCTGCTGCCGTGTCAGCCCAGCACAAAAAGCCGCGGTCGTACAACTGGTCAAGAATGGTCTCGATATTATGGCGTTGTCTATTGGCGACGGTGCCAATGACGTTGCCATGATTCAGGAGGCCGACGTTGGCGTTGGTATCGCTGGTGAAGAAGGACGACAAGCAGTGATGTCCTCTGATTACGCCATCGGACAATTCCGGTTTCTTCAGCGTCTGGTGCTCGTTCACGGTCGCTGGTCTTATCGCCGTCTCGCCGAGAGCATCGCCAACTTCTTCTACAAGGTAAGCCCAATGACCGTTGCTTGGTGGAGTTGTGCTGACCGCTGGTTTAGAATTTGGTCTGGACCTTTGCACTATTCTGGTCGCAGATATACACTAATTTTGATATCACCTATCTCTTCGACTACACCTACATCCTGCTGGTGAACTTGGCGTTCACATCTGTGCCTGTGGCTCTCATGGGTATTCTGGACCAAGATGTGAGTGATAAAGTGTCGCTCGCAGTGCCTCAACTATACCGCCGCGGCATGGAACGGAAAGAGTGGACGCCAACCAAATTCTGGTAAGCCAATCACATATGTACGGAAGATGTTTCTAATCGTGGTCTAGGTTATACATGTTTGACGGCCTTTACCAATCTGCCATTTGCTTCTTCATGGGCTATCTCTTGTTCGCGCCCGCAACTTTCGAGAGCGCGAATGGAAGGGGCATCGCTGACCGAGAGCGCATGGGCGTCTACGTCGCCTGTGTTGCTATCTGCGTAATCAACTCCTATATCCTGCTCAACACGTACAAGTGGGACTGGCTCATGGTGTTGATCACGGTGATCAGCTGCCTGCTGATCTTCGCGTGGACCGGCATCTACTCTTCATTCGAGGCGTCGTTCCAGTTCTACAAGGCTGGGGCAGAGGTGTATGGACAGCTGACGTTCTGGGCCTTGACACTTCTAACCTTCACCATCTGTCTGTTACCTCGCTTCTGCCTCAAATACCTCCAGAAGAACTACATGCCATACGACATCGACATTGTCCGCGAGCAGGTCAGACAGGGCAAGTTCAAGTACCTGGATGAATACGATGCCTATGTGCCGCCTAAGATCGTGGATGTTTCTGGCACATCCTCGGAACGACCCGAAGAGGCACCTGCCGCAGCCAACGGGCAGCAGAGCCATACACGGTACGGAAGCATGGCCGAATCCCAACGGCCGATCTACGCGCCCTCAGAAGCACCAACACGGGATCCGCGTCATCCCCATAGCCAGACAGGGAGCGACGGCACAGATAGGACCAAACCGTCGTTCGACATTATAGGACCTCATGGGGAGCCAGCCACTCCTGACAAGCTCAGGAGGAGACGGCCTTCTCTTGAGCGTGTCCGCTCCTCATTCGAGAGACAGCGGCAGTCATTTGACAAGCTCAGGCCGAGCTTCGAGGGGAGCAGAGACTTCACTAGTGCTGCCTTGCTGCAGAGGATGGAGTCCCAATACTCACAGCCGGGACTGTCTCAGGTCAACACGAGGGTGATCCCTGAAGAGCGCTCCTGAGGTTTCCCAAACGAAGGCAACAGTATCTCACGACTTGATGCCTTCTGATATAGTTATGATGATGGCGGGCGTTTGCGCGTTCCACGGATGCCAAAGATTGATCCCACCAGCGTGGGAACTGAAGTATTTAGCGAAGCTGTGTGCTGTATATAATTTCTAAATTAGAATACCATTCAAACGGAGGCCTGCATTAGATGCTGTGGCATGTCGACAATGATCCTCTGGTTGAGCGAAATGGGCGACTGGTCTCTCAACCTCAACCTCGACGGTGCTTGCACCACTTGACTATTTGCTCACTTCACCAAAGCATGAGCACTCTTTCATCAATCTGTTCTCGGTGATTATCTCTTCCACTCGCTCTGGACGGTCGTGTAAACGTGGAGCATCGTGAAGTGTTGGTGAGGCATTGAGGCGCCTGCTAAGGGCAAAGGCTGAGGCAGGCTCTATGACGAGTCTTTCAAGTCCGAGACGAGACACTTCACGCACGCGACTCTTGATTTGACGCGCCGTGGCCCGCTCCGCCTCTCAACTGAGGACCAAGTGCATCAGCGACTCAAATAACTGCCAACAATGACCTTTCCTTCTGAACAATCTGTCTCTCTGCAAGATTGACACATTGCCCATGTGGCCCGGCTGGTACCACTATGAAAAGTCCAACATCCCCTTCGCGTGTACCTTCAGAAATCAGCGACCGCTCAACTCCCCCATACCGCCCTGCCCGCTGCCATGGCGGAGTTTATAACAATCCTAGAGTCAGTTCAGCCCATACAGACATAGCCAAGGGGAAGCCATTCGCTGATATGAATTGTTCTTTAGCGAGCTCAAAAGTCTTCCGCCAGAACAGCACATCTTCTGTCCCCGAGATAATGATGACGATACCGATCGATACGAAGATGAGCGAGATTTGAATGGGGACGCCACGGCCAAGGTCGACCCCTCCCGTCTCGCAAAGATTGAGAAGGCCAAGAAACGGAGAAAGGGATTTGTGTCGGCATTGCAACTCCTGGCATACGATGGCAAAGAGAGCGAACAGTACCAGAGTTACATATGGGCACGCCTGGACGAGGCAATGGGGAAATGCGATGTCTGCATCCGCGAGTACTACATTGCAAAGATCGATCTTCTGGAGCAGTTAAGACAAGAGTACGAGGACGGTGACATTGCCAACTTCTTCTCCCTCATCAACAGAAGAGATATCGTACGCATTGTTCGGGGCCTCGACGCAGCAGATGAGACTCTACGGGATGCTCCGGAGCAGAAGAGAGGCACTCTCTTGCTTGAGAGGAAACATTTGCATGCCTTGTTCGAAGCGCTGGTGTGCCAGGCATTCCTAGAAGACGAGGACAAACTCAAAAATCACTTTGATGGGCCATTCAAGATGGTGCAGACCAGAAAGCCGCTTAAGATGCGGGAGATCCTACCTGCCGCCGCACAGTTCCTTTTCTCCTCTGAGACCATTCGTACCTATTGGGCCAGTCTCATCTGGAAGCGACTCGAGAAGCCTCCTACGGAGCTGGAATGGGACTGGGCAGTAAAAGACTATTTGCAGAAGAAGCTGCAGCATGTGTCCAACGACAACGATGTCATGAGACTATGGAGTGCTCTTGACCTCATCGTCAGCAAGCTCGATGCACACATGATAACCCACAAGCTGTTCGACCTGAATCCGAATCTTGCCACGACAGCATTGAACCACCTGGCCAAGAAAACTCCAGCCGTGCCCTACATCCTTTCCACACTCAAGCAAATCCTTGACAAGGCACCTGAGGCCTTTTGGGACAAAATGGGCTCCATCTCCTCGCAAACCATCATCGAGCAGATCTTCGCGAGCCCATCCTACAACAAGCTCCTTCAAGAGTCGACGACGGCATCGGCCGGGTCGGGGCAGGACGTATTATCCTGGGTTAGCTCGCTGCTGGATTCTCTGAAGCCGGCCAATCGACCTTTTGCCGCACAGACTCTTCTCCACCAGTTATTCGAAAGAATAGAAAACAGCTCCATTAGCCTTTCAGCTAGGGCAGCATGCTTTGAACAGGCGGTCAAAGTGCTGCGGAAGACTATCACCAGCTTCTCTGGCGATGAGGAAGACGCCCAACACGCCGTCGAGCGGCTGGTCTATATTGATACGCTGAACTTGGCTGGGGACCGCCTGGACACTATCCTGAAACCTCGGGACTCTGGCCTTGCTCAGGCATTGCAACAAGACACGAAAAACGACATTGTTGACGTTGTAAGAAACGCGGTCGGCTTGGAGTGTAAGTGCCTGAAGCTCGACTTTGAGAACCTCACCCGTAGTGAGCCTCGGCGGCAAGACTCTAGCGCCTATACGCCGCAGATCTGGAATGCAGTCATCAACCACCTGCGGGAAGACGACCAGAAGTTGTCCACAGCCGCGCTACTTGGAATCATGTCCCTGCCTGGACTCGAGCAATTCCGGATTAGACAAGGCGACAAAATGGCGAAAGAGAAGCAGTCCTACAATTCAATCTTCGAAAAAGTCAATGCAATGGTTGGTAGGATTCTCGAGCGCATCTCAGGATTTAATTCGCCTCATCTCGATGCACTTTTTAAACAACAGGAGACCGCTATGTCCTTAGTGGCTGCTCTGTTCTCTCCTGATCAAGGAATCTATGAGGCCGCCATTACCATGATCAAGAACATTAGCGGAGAGTTTGGTAGGAAAGAGGCACTTTCTCATCTGATCGCCTCGTTTACCGGAACAACCATTTACGGCATTTGCTGGCTATTCAGACGGGTCGCAAATTACAAGACATTCGCTTCCGTCCCAAGGATGCTAAAGACCGGCATGGAAATTCTCGATGTGCTTTGCAACCCTACAGATGGTCATCTGCGGCGGATGCCTCTGTCACCGCGAGACGTTCTGGCTGTACAGAGATACTGGTCCTACCAATGGGTCGCTCTAAAGACCATCTACGGTTATACGGAACGTTGGTCGATCGAAGTGCACAGCAAAGAGACCATGAAAGAGGTCTGTCGAGATGCCATGCAATACGCCGGAGAACTCTTCAATCAATATGATCTCTTTGCTAGCATCGTGATAAATTCGAAACCGGAGAAAGCCGAGGATGTGCGGAAAACACTCCTGGATTCAAGCGGCTCAAATGAGAAGAACATGGGCTCACCCTTGAGTACTCTCGACACCATGTGCAAATGGCTCAGGCTCAGGGACGACTATCTGGCTGATACGCTCGTGGCACTGATATGCAACATGCTCGGTCAGCTCAAGCGGCACCGCGCGGTCAACGATAACAGCGAGGGACTGACGTACGTCGAGGAAGTCGCCACGGGAACCTCCATCAGGACCATGCTTTCGGCTTCTCAGAAGGCTCGATTAGTGCGGGCGTTGGAGAATTACTTCGACCGTCAGATCGAGAAGCCCGTCAAGAAGCAGGCCACGCTGAATCTGGACAAATGGACTGGTTCAGCTGCCGCTTCAGGAACGACAACGCCAGAGTCAAGAGAACACAGTGTCGAGGACTTCGGAGACGACGGCATAGACGACGATGACTTGATTGAGATCACCAACAAGGCCCTGGGTACCTCAAAGGCAACCGTCACGACCCAGGACAAGAACAATATCAAGTCACTTCTAATGAAAAAGCCTCCGGTGAAGCCGAAGCCCACACCAATGTCCCTGATTGAGGTTCAGGCCAAGAAGGCACAAGAAGCCAAGTCTTTCATCGAGAACCGTAAGCGGGAAGAAGCTGCCCGGAAGCTGAGAGAGAAAGAAGCTGCCGCGAGGCTGAGAGGCAAAACAGGCATTGGCGCGCAGACCGCGGGCCAAGGTTCTGGTCTGGCAGGTCTTGGGGTCGTTGGCAAAGACCACTCTGCAGGTCCCAACAGTTTGATGGTCTCCAGCGAGTCTGAAGCTGATTCCGATTCAGAGGACGAGCTGTTTGGGATTAAGCACAAAGGGACTGCGATTCCTGGCCAGGCTGTACCAAGAAGACCACTCGCTGCCGGTCCTGTACGGAAAATCAAGCAACAGCGAACGCACAAGGATATCCGTGCTCGACTTGCACCAGATCTCAGTGAGTTACACCGAACCATGCTCGGGTGGGACTTTTTTGCAGACACCGACACCCCGCCGAATTCGACGACGGACGACTACACATTGGTGACGGATACCTTCCGGACTCCGCAGGATTATCAAAAGACCTTTGAACCTTTGCTGGTTCTGGAAGCTTGGCAGAGTTTCCGGTCCGCGCGTGAAGAACGAGAAGAAGGGAATTCCAGGGCATTTGAAGTCAAAGTGTCCAATTCTTTGATCGTCGACAGCTTTTTCGAAATCAACTCCCTGATGTCCTTTGCGGAAGGGAAAGACCTTGGCGTTGGAGTCTCCGACGTCGTGCTGCTGTCGAAGTCAAGTAAACCGATCCAGGAACCTGGGGAGCCGCATTGTCTGGCCCGGGTCAAAGAAATTACACGGAAACGGGGTGAAGTCCAGGTAGTCTATCGAGTCAATGCTGCCAATAATCCTCTTCGATCGTACCTAAATGACAAAGCTGTCGTCTATGGTGTGCAAATCCAGTCTCTGACACCCCTGGAGAGGGAATACGGCGCCTTGATGGCATTACAGTACTACGACCTCTGCGACGAGATCATCCGGGCGAAACCTTCGCCGATATTGGACTATGCGGATGAGGTGCTGCGGCCCATCAAGAAGACGTACGACGTGAACTTGGCGCAGGCCAAGGCTGTGAAGTCCGCTCTCGACAACGACGCCTTCACCCTGATCCAGGGTCCACCTGGGTCCGGCAAGACCAAGACTATTTGCGCGCTGGTCGGCGCCATGTTGACAGGGTTTACCAAAAAACAGAGTATTGGTCCTAAGCTGAACACGACTCAAGGTGCGCCACGACCGCCGCCAGCCAGCAAGAAATTGCTCGTTTGCGCCCCCAGCAATGCCGCCGTCGATGAATTGGTGATGCGATTCAAGAGCGGTGTCGCGATGCTGGATGGTTCGTCCGAGAAGGTGTCAGTTGTCCGCTTGGGTCGTAGCGAGGCCATCAACAACAACGTGAAAGACGTCACACTCGAGGAGTTGGTCAACGCTAAACTTGCTTCCGCTGCCCCCAAGGGCCCTGGCGAAGACATCCATGCATTGATGGTGGAGCATAAACAGGTCTCTGAGGAACTGAGGAACCTGCGGGATAACCTCAGTGAACGTCGAGGCAAAGGAGAAACGTCGTTGTTGAAGGAGGAACAGCTCATGGACGCTCTCATACGCAAGCAGAGAGGCCTGGGAGGCAAGATCGATGATATGAGAGAGAAGCAAAACACGGCATCTCGAGACATGGATCTAACACGGAAACGGGTACAGCAGGAGATTCTCGACGGAGCCCATGTTCTCTGCGCCACCTTGAGCGGAAGCGGTCACGAGCTATTTCAAGGCCTCAACGTCGAGTTCGAGACGGTCATCATCGACGAGGCTGCGCAATCCATTGAGCTGTCGGCCTTGATTCCCCTCAAATACGGCTGTTCGAAATGTATCCTTGTTGGTGACCCCAAGCAGTTGCCGCCAACGGTGTTGTCACGCAAGGCTGCCAAATTCCAGTACGAGCAAAGTTTATTTGCCCGTATGGAAAACAACCACAAGAAGGACGTGCATCTTTTGGACACGCAGTACCGTATGCATCCCGAAATCAGTCTATTCCCGAGCAAGACCTTCTACGACTCTCGGTTGAAGGACGGTGAAGGCATGGCGAAGCTTCGAAGACGACCGTGGCATCACAGTGACCTTTTTGCGCCCTACCGATTCTTTGACGTCCAGGGCATGAGCCAAGCAGCAACGAAGGGCCATTCGCTGGTCAACCCTGCGGAAATCCTGGTGGCGATGCAGATTTATAGAAGACTGACAACGGACGTTCGCAAGTACGACTTCGCTGGAAAGATTGGCATCATCACTCCGTACAAGGGGCAGCTGAGAGAACTGAAGCGGCGCTTCCAGAACGAATATGGAGAAGGCATCTTTTCCAAGATCGAGTTCAACACGACCGACGCCTTTCAGGGTCGGGAGAGCGAAATCATCATCTTCTCGTGCGTCAGAGCTTCCACACAGGGCATTGGGTTCTTGAACGATATTCGGCGCATGAACGTCGGTCTGACTCGTGCTAAGTGCTCGCTATGGGTGTTGGGCAATTCCCAGGCGTTGATGCAGGGAGAGTTCTGGCGTGCCTTGGTCACTGATGCCAAAGCCAGGAAGCTCTACACGGACGGGGATATTGCCAAGCTGCTCAATCGGCAATTGTTGACCGACGACATGATGAAGGATGATGTTGAGATGATGGACTCCAGTCAATCTTTGTCTGAGACCGTGAGAGGCTCGACTCATTCGGAAGGGTCGTCTACCGCCACTGCTGCGTCCAAGGATCCCTCTCCAACGTCTGTGAAGGGCGTCCGAGACGCCGCTCGATCAGCTGGAACACCAAGCCAAGCCACGCCTTTGGCTTCTAGACCGAGCAGCGCTCTGTCGAGGCAGTCCTCGACAGCGTCGAACGCAAAGCCTGAAGCCAGACGACAAAATTCAGGCCAGCCGATCACGAAAGGGGAGTCGGGGAAAGACGGATCAGGCCGTGCGCAGCATTCTCCTGCAAGCAGACCGCAACCCGAGCCTCAGACGCCATCTACCTATGCGGCGACTAATGCGAGTGATTACAACCCCTCTGGCGGCGCCAACGGGCTCAATGATCTTCGTAATTGCGGTATCTGTGGATCATACGAGCATTTCAGCGCTGCTTGCGACAACGAAGCAGCCTTGGCCGATCAGTACGGCAAGTGCCGTCGATGTCATGGCACCGGACACACTCTGACAAACTGTATTGATCCTCGCTGCCTGTCCTGCGGCGAAGTCGGCCACGCCACGGATCGGTGCACCGCTCCGCTTGGCCGACGACTGAGCAAGGCACAGCAGGAAAAGGTCCGACAAGAGGAAGTGCGGTATGGAAGCATGCGGGATAAAGCGCGCCAACGACGGGCAGAGAAGGAGCAGGAAGCGCACACCATCCCGACCATCAAAAGTACCGTGTCAAGTGCCCACCAAGCCGAGGGAGCGAAACGCAAACGAGACACGTCAAGTAGCTCTTCTGATAGAGCGAAGGTACCGAGACCCAACCAGGAGAGCAGGTCACCTGGATCTGGATTGCCCGGCAAGGAACGGCCATCTGCCCGCGTCCCGACGGGTCCTCGAGCCGGGTCTGGCCCTGGCCAACATCCTCCTGGACAGCCACGACCTCCAGGGCGCCCTGGTATGCCGAACGGTGGAGGGCCAATGGTGAGAAAGAAGAAGGTAAACGCCGAGGATATGTTTGTGAAACGAAAATAGAGCTACAGTCATGAGCATTGGGCACAGCACGAGCTGCGAGGTCTGTTATCCTTTCGGCTGGATATGAAAAGGAAAGGAAAAGCTCTGACGGACCGGGTAAGTGTCAACTTCATGCGATGGCGCACGGAACAGCCGGTGGGCCGCCGCTGTGGTGGATCGGATTCAATAGAGCGTAGCATTGCACGGCACGGCATGGCATAAGCATGGCATCAGCATAGCATAGCGACAGGCGTCCAGACACGAGATGGTGACCGAAACGTGGACTGAAAATGGTCAGATGATAGATATGATTCACTGTAAAACACGCGACGAGCCGAACAGATCGCGTGTAGATGCCTCCTCTCCTCGGTATTGGTATGTGGATCTAGATCTTACAACCCGACATGGGCGGCACCGACAGTGGCCTGATGTCTGTGGTTGGCTTGATCGGGCGGGAACAACCTCGTCGGTGCCCTACTCCATCTGCCATAAGAGGCTGCAATAGCGCACAACCTCAACAGCAGGTCGCCGATCGACGACTTTGGGCGTTCTGAGCGTTCCAGCATGTGAGCGAGAGTAGCCAGCTCCCAGCACAGCCATGTTGTAGTTCCGAGGCTCGTCCAGCCCCTTGACCACCTCCCATCACAGCACATTCATTTTTTCGTTCTGTAGGTCCCAGCCTCGTCGAGCACCTTCATCCCGCTCCTGGGTGCCTCCTATAACAAGAACAGCACGTTCACCTTATCCTGTAAATTCCCGGCCTTGTCTAGCACTTTTGCCACTTCCTATCCTAATTATAGCAGCACATTCACGTTATAGTTCCCAGCCTCGTCGAGCACGTGTTGCGCTTCCTACAGCAGCACGTTCATTTTATGTTTGCCGGCCTCATCCAACGCCTGGTTCGCCTCTTCCCACGCCTTTCGTACGATTTCGGCGCGTTTCTCGCTTCGCGCTTATATAGCGCATCTGTTGCGTGGTATAGATCAGCACGTGCTTCCCAACATGTTGTGGACTGATTGTCCAAGAAGATGGAGGCCCCGGAGGTTAGGCGAGGGCAGGCTAGGGGGCGAATGGGGACGGGGGCCAATGTCATTCTCATGCTCATGCTCATGCTCATTCTCATGCTCATTCTCATGCTCATGCTCATGCTCATACTCACCGAAACGGCACCGGCCGCGACGCAATACCCTGCGTAATTAGCATCCGGATCGACCTCCACATCTTGGACCAGCCTCATCCTTCGCCCTTGGCCACAAGGAACGCCAAGAGCACCCCTCGCCATCGTCAGCATCAACGTAGATTCAGCCACATGTACCCCAGGGCAGAGACCGCCTCCCCACGCCAAAGGACGAATGACCCCGATCGTGGATGTCCGCAGCCTGCGCAGCCTGCGACAGGCTCATTTCCACGTTTTTGTGGTGTGGCGCGAGGGCTCGAACACGCGCGGGTTCGGGAATAAGGTCTCGTCGGTGTTGGCGGACCGGATGGACAGGACGATTGTCGCGCCCTTGCGAATCAGTTAGCCCTCGATCGTGTCCGGTTCGCGGGCGGCGTGGGGGACGGCGCCGGTTGTGGCTGTTGGCATCCCTAGACATCTAGGGTCAGTATGGTATGTTATTTGAAGAAGGGTGGGATTGAGGAGGGGGCCTTGGTAGGTAAATGGTGTCGGTGAGGGGATCAATGTTTTGAAAGGTGTCAAATGAGCAGAGGAGATCAGTGTTTCAAACGGTGCCAGTGAACAGGCGGAGTGTGAGATAGCGGGTCAGTGAGTGAATTCTGTGGCGCCTTACGTCGCAACGTCTCTTTCATGACCTGCCGAAGATATCGCAGTTTGTCCAGGTCGGTGGCGTTGGGCATGCGGCCCGCACCCACGACTTCTTCCAGCTCGGTCTGCGCTTTCTTCTGACACTCTGGGTAGAGCAATATTGCCTGGAGGGGTCGGAAGCGGTCAGCGTGGTCAAAGATCAGGGTTGAATTTGACTGGCATGGGAGATAGAGATAGGTAGGTACCCTTTATGAAAGACGCCAGCTCGTTGCTCTACGTGTCGGTGGGCCCCTCCATGGCAATTTCAGCAATGTCGGCGGCAGCCCCGGTCGGTCAGGACGGCGCCCTCTGGCTTGCCCCTCCACGAATCTTGGGCACGCGCTATATCGGCGGCGAAGCCTGGGTACAAAATGAGCTTTGGCTACATCTCCATTGGGAGTGGATAAGGCGTACCCGGCAGGGCATTCTCATTGTGCATGTTCCTCCGCGCATCATCCAAGAGCTGGTGAAATGGGATCTTCTCCCGCCGAAACACCTCTCCCGCGTCCCTGTACATAGGGTACACCCACGAGGGCAGCCAGTTGAGGGGCGTCCTCAGCTGGGGATACCAGTCGAACAGCTGGCTCTTGCGCACCATGCTCAGAAATCCGTGCGCGTTCTTGAGCAGTTCCTACATCACGGGGTTCTGCGGGTCAGTCACGCGGAACCCGCAAGTCATGCTCGTGGCCGCGCTGAGTGTCATACGGGTGATCGGGGCCTCGAAGGCCTCCGGGCGGTCAAGCAGATCGAAGCACAGCTGTTTCGGCTCTAGATCCTGGTACGGTGCGTAGCGGGTGGCTTTGGTGCCGTTCATCAACCCGTGGTATAGTTTGCGCTCGACTTTCCAGAGGTCGTCGTAGCCGCGGAGGATGATCCGGGCTTGCTCGAAGACGCCCTGCATGAAGAGCGAAGGGCGATCTGCGTAGTTGCCGCTGCGTTTGTCGATGAGGCGTTTGATCATCGAGCCGCTCGCGAGGACGATGACCGTTTGGGAACCTAGTTTGAGGGAGAAGTTGGGGCCGCCTGCCGCATGTCAACGCTGGTTCTTGTGTTTCGGCGTGGCCGTCGAAAACTCACACTCGTTCGGCCATTTAAGATGCTGTATATGACCAGCGGTCGTGTAGGCGGGCCTAGGGATGTTTAGTCCGGAGTTCCGAAAGAGCAGAAAGGACAGACCTGGTGGCAGGTTTCGACCTCACAGTCCAATCGAAAAGAGTCGAACAAGGAGCGCGCACAATACTGTTGTCACGAGCACTAGCCCGGCGTTCATCATGGTGGCCGTCGAGGTGTGTACTTCCCACGTTCTGAGGGGATGTGATTGACAACGAGAGCGATTATCGAACTGCACATCTCCTCAAGATAACGTACTGTCGCTCTATTGCACATTTCTAAAACAGCGACACACATTGTTGAAACAGCGACACCGCCGGTAAGCACCTGTGCACGGACATGGCACCATGGCAGTACGAAGTATTCGTAAATGGGTTGCCTGATGCGGTGCGCATTAAAGGCTGAGGTAAGTAGGGCGGCCCCAAGAGAGTATCGCGAATAAGAAGCATGCTAATCGATATTCTAGTGGGAGTGAGGACTGAGCTCGAGTATGGGGTTCATAAGCTCCAACCCTTATCCAGGTTATGATTGTCGTCCACGTAGGAATACCCCGTTCGGGTGGACGTCAGGTTACCACTCGCATGTTCCCATGTGCCTATTCGCAACAAAGTCAGAGTAAAGGTTAGGTCGGGTGGGCCAAAGGTAAGATCTTAGCCATGTGAACCGGAGTGGCAACGTCCGATGGCAAGGCTTCGTGGCAAGGGAATAAATGCTGCGGAGTTGATCGTTCGTCCGGGACTGCGTCCTTCTGCCTCAGCCACAGCCGTGCGATTACAGTAGTAATGTGGTCCAGAATCCAGTATTATACTCCGTAACTTCGGATATATGTCTAAGTATGTAAATTGGAGTGCTGTCGTCCTATCCAACCATCATTAGCATGCTCTATATGTCGGTCACCTCTAGGCCTTTGCGTATATGTCGGTGTCGAATTGGAGATTGTCGATTTTATCCCTGCCGTCTGCGTCCCGGTTCACCCACACGCTGACACTTGTTCCAGAGCACATGAATTCTCCAAACCCGTCGTCGTCGATTTTGACCTCTTCGGTTTGCCATGCCAGGATGTCGGTCCACGTCTCTCCAGCGTGTTCCTTACCAACAGCCATCCTCCTTGTCTTGGGGTCGGCGTTGGACATGATACATGCCAGGCCGAACTTTCGGTCGTCAGTACCTCTGCGCACAAATGCGTAACAGTTGGGATCGTCGTCGATGTAGTCTTCCTGGTCTCCATAGGCGAAGAGCTTCCGTGCCAGGACGAGATGAGGTAGCTTTTCCCCACACGATGGTGGTTCCGGGTGCTTGCCCTTCATGCCGTACAAGTCGCCGTAGAAGACGCAGGGATACCCTTCTTGTCTCAGCAGGATCAGGGAGTAGGCGAGTGGTTTGAAGAAGCCTTCGATGGGCGTCTCGACCGTCTGGCCTGGCTGAGTGTCATGGTTCATCACTACCGTCACGGCACTGTCGGGTTTCGCCTGAACTAACGTGCCGTCAAAGACCTTGCGCAGGTCGCCCTTCTCCGACTTGGAGATCTCCGAGAATTTGTACACCATGGGCGAATCGTATAAGCTGAAGTGGTGATGCATGTTTTCCAGGTATTCGAGCATCTCTTTCCTGTCACCCGACCAGAACTCGCCGACGAGGAACAGCGCGTTCTTACCGAACTTTTTCTCCAGATTCGCCACGAAGCCGTTGGTGAATGTTTCGGAGAAATGCTGGCACGCGTCGAAACGAAAGCCTTTCAGCTTGAGCGTCTTGACGACCCACTCACCCCAGTTAATAACGTCCTGGCCAACCTCGTCGTGGGCGTAGTCTAAATCTGCGAACATGAGGAAATCGGCGTTGCCTCCTTCCTCCCCAACTGATCGAGACCAGTGTTTGTTGTCGCCAAGGATGCGGAAGATGCCCGTGCGTTCGGTTGCGGCGTCGTAGTCGGTCCCTGAAAAGTGATACCAGTGATACTTCTGCGACGAGTATTTGTCGCCGCGACCGGGGAAATCGAAACCCAGCCAAGCTTCGATCTCGAAGGGTTCCCCAATTTCCTTGGTGCGGTCTAGGAGCACAATTAGCGTATGGTCCGCAAATGCATTCATGGCCGACGAACCATTCTGGTCTACCTCGACAACCTTGCACTTTTCTGTTTTGTCCGCGCCGGCCTTGTGATTCAGAACAGCATCGAAGTAGAGCCCGATTCCGAGTTCTTGCGCTTTGTCGGACAATTGATCGAGATCCTCCCTCGGGCCCCACTTGGTCGATTTCGAGCCTTTCTGCTCAAATTCTCCAACGTCGTACAGGTCGTAGATGTCGTAGCCGTTCGCCTGAGCACCTCCCTGGCCCTTGCAGGCAGGTGGAAGCCAAACATTGTCCACCCCGATGTCCTTCAGGTCTTGGAGCACGTTCTTTAGCCGGATCCAATGTTTCTGATCGGCAGGGACGTTCCACTCGAAACCCTGCAGCATGCAATAGTTCTCCGGTGTGCCACCCATGTCGCCGAACGTGAATATAAAAATACTGGTAATATAGTCTATACTCTATAGCGAGAGTCAAAGACCGGATAAAAAGACGCACTATATAGATAGCATTGATCAAGAACGCAAGCCTGGCATGACATCAAAGCAGCGCCGAATCTTGCATCTGAGAAAATTGCCGCCGGCGTAGTTTTCCGGTTCCGTTTCCTTGAAAGTGATCGAAACTCTATTTGGCGCGCCTCCTGTGGCGGGTGTATGAGATCATAGCACTGGGGACAAAGAGACTCGACCAATGAGGCGCAGTCAAGCAGCGATTCGGACACGTGAAAGAAAATGTTGAGTTGTGCCATTGAAGTCTGTTTGCCATTTCCTGGAGGCAAAGATGCGCTGTCTGTACCGAGTAAGCGACGTCGGTGATCTGTTCCTGGAAGAGCATGCTGCGCTCTGCTGGTGCATCGGTGCTGAGGACCAGCCGGTCAGCGGACTAAGGCTGCACAATATTTCTCCTGCGTATGCCAGGCACGCAGCTATCGCTACAGGGACGCGGCACGGGGAAGATGAACGGCTCGACGTCGGATCAGTAGTAGAGCGGTACTCAAAGGGTGGACTTTTCCCGGAAGATGATACTGGCTTTGTTGTGCTCGCAGACAGAGAGCAAGTCACCGGTGGCTTTGTCTTTCATCGTCCCTCGTATCGTAGCTGCTCCAATAAGTACCTGCCGCTCGCGGAAGAATGGCGACACACACCGAATCTCTTGCCTACCTGCAGAACTTCGCATTCGACAACCACGCGCGTGCCGGTCTTGGTGGGTCGCAGATACGTAACGCTCAGCACCCTGGACACTCCGCCAAAGTGCCAGAAGTCCTCCCTCGCCAGAGGCGCCATGGCCATTGTCGTGCACATGTCGTGGATGAGCGAAATGGCGGCTCCTTGAGCATTGCCCATTCGACTTCCGTACTTGGGCGTCATTTCCATCTCGAAGACAGCCGTGACATGTGGTGGCCCGGTGGCGCCGACGACGGCAAGATCTTTGGTCATGAGAGACTCTTCAAAGCCCTAGACAAGGTTATCCCGTTTTCATGCTGGAGGATACCGGCCTGGGCGGAGGAAGCCTACCTGCGCGACTGACTCTCTCTTGTACTGCTCCATGAATTCCTGGATTCTCTCGACTGGGTCTTCAATGTCAATTGCAAAGGACATGCCAGGCCGTGACATATAGTCCTTAGTGTAGAACTTCTCGGGCTTATTCATTTCGAGATGTCAGTCGGTAAAGAAAGCGCGTCAGAACGCGTGCGCTTCACGAACTCGAAGAAGCACCAAATTGAACAGATCAAGGCAGCGATGTAGAGAACACCACATTCCTCTAATGAAGAAAAGAACTTCGCCTCGACCATGGCCAAGGAGGATGTGGAAGCCCTGCATCTTGAGTGCTGGCACAACAGAGCCGAGGGTTTCGGCATGGCTGCGGCGTCAACAACGAACCGAGAAGCTTAGGGAAACTGGAGGCGATAATCTGAGAGCCGGCAGTCAAGGTGGTAGGAACTACGCTTCCCATCGATACCATTCGCCGTATTTCCCAACGGCAGCGCAATGGCAACAGAACGGCGGTATTTGTCGCGCCTCATGGACCCTTCAGTGTCATATCACCACATTCCTTGTTCCTGATACAGACACCCAACATGTGATGCTCCTATACTGTGGCCGTGATGGCGTGCTTGAGTGCTGCAGAACCATCTCAGCCCGCTTATACCGCCTCCGACTTCCTCAAAGAAGGTTTGTCGCGTCCACTTCCACCACCGACCCGTGGAAACACGAGGCCGTCGAGCTGCCCATTGGAGTCAGCGGCCGCGTCAAGCTCGAGTAGGTGGCATGACATGTACTGACTACCAGGAGATGACCCGCTGATCCTAGCTGCAGTGTATTCTCTCCGCGCGAGCTGCGACTGACTTCAAACGGCCGGCGGAACGTGCTAGTCCACATCCCTCCAGGCCCGGGCTGTACAAATGCGACGACATCAAGTCTGCTGTTGCCGAGCACGCTCACACGGCTTCACAATGTCCTTCCGCCGTCCACCTCGCTGGTTAGGATCAATTACAGCCTGGGGGAATCAACGGACTCTCCAGCTTCTCCCGAAGAGCGCACCGTCTTCCCTACCCCGGTCCACGAAGTCGTAACGGCATTCGACTACCTCACTTCTTCCACCTCCGCATTCAACGTCCGCCATGACCAAGCTCCGATGATCTGCCTCATGGGAAGACATATCGGTGGCGCCCTAGCGACCATGCTCGCCCTGACTGAGCCAAACGCGATACACGCGCTCGTGGTCGCAGAACCAATGGTCGATTGGGTAGGGTTAGACGAGGTGCTGAAAAAAGCGCGAGAAGCGGCCACGGCCGAGTCTCTCACATCATCTTCTCCGAACGTGCAGGCGGAGAGACAAGCACAGAAGCGAGCGCGGGCGTCCAAGACTGCGAACCTGCACACCGCGATTGCTCCCTCCGTCGTGGCTGCGGTGGAGGAACTGGTCAAGCTGCGCTCGAAACTGTTCAGGACGCCGTCCGCGTATTTCGATCCATTCTCGAGTCCGCTCTTATTTCTACGTGCCCCGGGACGGGACACGCCTCTGGTCAATGCCACTCCTGGAGATCAGCTGCTCAGTGAGATGGATCAGGACGAGGACGATGTCGACGTTGATGTGGGAGGAGGTGAATACACAGACTACGGCGATCACGAGCACGATACACAGCAATCGAGTGCGTCAAAGGGGACGAGTACTCGAATCACCTCTCACGATGAGGTTGGTGCGCCCACCATACCTCCTCGTCGACGGAAAGTCCTGCGCCGCTGGCCCGCTGTTGGCACGCCCGAGTCCGTCACATTGCCACATGTCCGCATTTTCGTGCAGTCCGACGTTCAGCAGAAAATAGCCGACGGTGAGAGCAACGCCATAGACTCGGACAAAGGCCATGCAGCGCTGATGCGCGCCCAAGGCACCGAACTGGCCGAACTGATGCGCCGGGCCTGTTTCATTGGGCGGGAGAAGGGATTCGCGGAGGAAAGAGTGCAACTTCAGTTGTGCGACTTGTCTGCCCGAGGTTTTGATGCAGATGGTGGCATCATGCAGGAAGCCGCGATGAAGTGGCTAGGTGAGATGTTCGACGAGGACAAATTGTCAGCTTGAGTGAGCCTCTTGAGGGCAGGAGGGAGACTATAGGTACAAAGAAATACAGTGCCCTTTCTCGGCTCGAAGCTTTTGTTATATGATCTATGTTCTAGCTCTAGGTCTAGGTCCTATGATCAATGTCTATGGATGTTCTGACGTGTCGTCGCGACACCATAGCACGCCACAGCCACATTAGCCACCCGAGTTATTTGAAGACTCCAGTGCAATTAAGCGCAACACTCTGATATTTGTGCAGGGCTCGCGGCTTGAGCCCCTGTTGCAAGATTTGCTTCGTCTTCTTTCTGAGCTCTTCACTAGCTTCATCAGCACCAGATACCACAACCTGAAGCTTGGCTGCTTGCTCTGTCGCTCGACTTGCTACGAAATAGTCACGTCGATATATATCCATATATCCCATGGCGGCTTCATCGTCGCACGCACTTATCGAGGACGCTGTATACAGCAGACGCTGGCTCTGGCGTGTCCAGCCTCTTTTTCGGTTTTAGGCATCTTAGCAAGGGTGTCTCTGAGGCTGGTGCCGCGGTATGTGATGACTGAGGGCTGTACAGCGAAGCAGAGGCCGCCCTTCCGTCCGTAACATGTAAAGCCACCCCAGTGGACATGTTCTGTGCGCTTGGATTCCTAAGTCGGCGCTGTAGGTCATCAGAGCCGTGAAAATGAAACTGTGATTTGCTGCTTCCGGGTTCCGTCGTCGTGTTGTCGGCGGGCACTGACTTACACTCTCTGTTCTGACCGCAGGAGTATGAGGTTGTGATTCGTGCGCACGTATCGCTGAAAACAGTGCGTTGAATGGTACTGGAGGTATTGTGTACAGACTCGTGATTCGAGATCGTGTCGCGATGGTGATCGTGTCCGTCGGTTCCGGTCAGACACAGGAGCTCAGTGGTCCGACGAGGCGACGTTCTGTGTAACTTGTATGAGCTTGATGTTGGATAATGGATGAGAATATCGCGTATTGGACTTTCGATATTCGACATTCGACATTCGACATTCGATATCGGATGTCTGATGTTAGTTGTCGGGTATGGCCCGGTATGGGACCACTACATTGCGGTAGATTCGTCGATAGTGTCGGTTGAAATAGCGTCGATGAATGGTGCCCCGGTGCCGCTCACTTCCCGTCCCTACTGACTGTTCATGGGTATGACTATACAGTGCCCTCCCGCATGGCTCTTATGGCTAGCGGACTTGACGACATCTAGGGCAGCGCCCACTGGACGTCCGCTCCCGAACGCGGTAGCCACGGCATTTCTTCCGGCCACAGTATTCATCCCACTCGCCCTCGTGGCCGCAGGCGTAGTACATGAAGAATCGGGTATACATGGATTAGAAGAGGGGGAGTAACGCGTTTAAGGGGGCCAGTAATGGGTTTGGTGTCTTCGGTTGGTCGAGTATTTGTTGGATCGGGTGTGATCGGTGGTGTATGATTAGAGGTATGGTAGAAGAAGGAGAGTCGAAGGATGAGGGTGCGTCCGTGTATCCAAATAGGTAGGTCCAGCCCAGGACGTTGTTTGCGCTCGCCGCCTCGTTGGTGGTGCTGGCACCACTCGTAGGGTGACCTTTGGAGTGTTGGAACGTTGACTGTTGCACAGTTAGACCGTGACAGCTGGCCGCGAAGACGACTGTCGAGCGTGAGCAAACCAACTCCACGGCCTGCCGTAGCGTTGTTCTTGCTTTATACAACTGATACACCGTTGCTTCAAGAAGACACATCATTCCGTTCCGCCTCTGCCACTCCACCTGCCGCCTCCTCGGCCTTACTTGCCCTGCTCTGTTGACGCTCAAGATCACTTTTCAGACTGTCCAGGAACCTCGCCGCCTCAGCTGAGTACTTGCACCTCCGTCTGATGCTCTTTCCATACTTGTAGAAGAAGATCGGGAACGGGAAACAGGCAAGAGCAATGAAGCCAGGGACAGCCGACGCCCAGTGGACGCCGAGATTGTTGTACATGTAGGTCGCAAAGAGTGGGAACACAGCACCGAATGTCGAGCGGAGGATGGAGTTGCCGGCGAGGACGGAGGCAGAGTAGATCACATAAGAGTCGACACTGACATATACTTAGCGTGGCTGGGGAAACAAGGTGGGGGTATAGGAGAGCAGTCTCGTATTAAACTCACAGGTAATTGGAACAACACATGAAGATCAAGATGAACCCGATTCCGAACGGTAGTCCCGAAAGGACGGGAACGATAAAATGAATGCTTGGATCCGCAGTCGCAGCAAACCAAGCGAGACCGACGATGGCAACAACACCCCCATATATGACGGGTGGGAGGCGCGATTCGGGCGGTGCGAAGCCACCGTGAGCTTTGGAAATGCGAACGTATCGCTTGTTGTCCAGGATGATCACGCCGACGGCTAGGAGGTTTCCTACCATGATCCCGAGAAAAGCGAGACCATTTTCTCCCGCATTCCAGCCGTAACCTTGCTGAAAGACAATCGGGAAGGCTGCAAAGAACAGGTAAAGAGTCCCGTACACGACGGCCATGTAGATCTGTAGTTGTTCGGTGAGCGGCCTGAACGACCCGCATGACTGCAATGACATACCGAGAGGAGTAATACAATCGGTTCACGGAACAGAAGAGCCCATGGTCGAGCAACTGATCGCTTTACTACCTCTTTCAACACAATTGGTTGCTCAATATCGATTCTCGTCATATAGACCTTCCCTGTGGCTTTGGAAAGCAGCTTTGCCCTCCTCCGGAGCAGGACTGGTGCGTATGTCTCTGGGACGAAAATAATCCCAAGAACTGTCAACGCGGCAGCATACAGAGCAAGGAACCCAAAGAGCCAGCGCCATCCCGCAGCCGGGCTCAAGAACCCTCCGACCGTCGGTCCCAAAGTCGGGCCCAAGAAGGGAGCCGCTGAGTAGACAGCTTGCGCCATACCGCGCCTGGTGTCCAGATGTCAGTACCCCCATTGACCGCCCGGGACAAAACTTGGACCTACTGCTCTGCTTCAAACATATCAGAGATTTGCCCGCCTGGGATGACAAAGGCAGCGGAGCCCAAGGTGCCGCACAGTAGACGAAGGATGACAAGTGCGGTAATGTTCTGTGCCGCCGCGCAGACTGCCGTGAAGATGATGTAGAGGCCCAATGCAACCAAGAGAACGTCTCGACGAGATACCGCTTCTGAAAGTGGTGCCCACATCAATGGTCCAAGCGCGAAGCCAGCGACCATAAGACTCAAGCCTAGCAGGTAGACCTCGTGGCTGCAATGGAACTCGGGTATAATCAGACCTGCGGCGCCAGTATATGCCGAGGAAGCCAACGACACACAGAGTGTCATGAAGGCCAGGAGAAAGGTCATCAACCACTTGAACAAGTTGCTGTAGTTCTTCGGGTTCTCCGGGTCATGGTCGAGCCATTGGACGACAAACGGGTCCCTAGGAGTTCCGCTCCCTCGATACTTGGCTTCGACAATGTGGCTGAAGTCGGTGACCCTCCGTCGCCATGGTCTCTTTCGAAGAGTGTACGGAGACCAGTCTTGAAGCCCGCGGTCAGTCGACATCCGGGTTGGTGCGCCGTCTGTAGCTGCAGGATGGTCGAGCGGTTTCTCGTCTGCCTCGGACGATTGCGTTGCTGAAGAGGTAGGACCGTGTAACGGGAGTGAATGGGACGAGCCCTGCACGGTAGACCGCATGTTGGAAAGCATAATCTTGGGACGGCATTTGCGACGTGTCAAGCGACAGCCGCCGCTTCTTTAACAAGGAGGCTGATTGACGCCGTACACCCACCCATCCGATTCTGCAAGCCTCCATCGTCCGTGGCATGGCTTCGAAACAAGCATGATCTGCCCCTTCGGCCTCAGTGCTGATAAATCGAGGTCGCCCTCCGAGTGCCATGCTGCGCCGTGACACGAGTTGCAGCGTGTAGATGCGGGGATGAGGAGGTTCGCCCGTTGTCGGTCTAGCACATGGTGCCCCGGTGCGCCTGACCGCGGCTTCCTGCGTGGTCCCCTGGCTTGACTCCGGATGTTCGGCTCGTTCGGGGGACATTTGAGTCCCGGACGCCGACTCTCCTTTCCAGAGCAGCTCCCATGATGTGAGCGGCAGCTCAACGGCGGGTTATTAATGACGGCCCACAAGGCTTATATGCCCTGCTTCTGCACCGGCCGCGGCGACAAAATGGCCAACAGCTTGTCGTTTTGTCCAGTTGGCAGACTGCAATCATGGCCGACACCGAGAAGAAGCATTCAGCCTGCGCAGAATGCCGTGAGAAGAAGTTAAAATGCGTTCCCAGCGAGGAAGGAGGCGACTCCTGCCACAGGTTCGTAGGGGACCGCGACGCCAGATGTCTCGATTGTGCTCAGGCTAATCGCGCTGCCACCCTGCGCAAGCAGATGTGCAAGGCTAGGCAAAGACTGTCAAGTACCTGAAGTCAAGCAGAGGAAGCGGAAGGCTCGGCGTATGGCGCCTGCATTCCATATCTCCGGACACTCCGCTGATCTTGCAGTAGTACGCGGTCGCGTAGAACAGCTGGAAAGCAGCTACTCCGAGATACTGTCTCTGCTCAAACAGAAGCCGCAGCCCAATACCAATGTAGCGACTTCGGTGTCCACCTCAACGCCTTCACGTACAGATGCATCCCGGCTGTCGCAGGTCACGGGCTTGACGTCTCCGTTGCGCTTCGAATCGACAGACTTGGACGCTTCGAATAGCTATTTGCTCGAGATCCCTCTTGAGGAGTGTGAGGTTCTGCTCAATGACTACCGGCGCATGTCAACCAACCACTTTCCTTATGTCATGGTCCCCGAAGCCTGTCCTGTTGCTACCTTGGTCGAGGAGCGACCCATGCTGGCTCAGGCAGTATTCGTTGCAACTACATGGCGCTTCCCTGAGCGGCAGCGTGCACTGAAGGACAAATTCCTGCAGGATTTCAGCCACAGGTACTTTGTCAAATCGGAAAAGTCGTTGGATCTCTTGCAGGCACTCGTTGTATATTTCGCCTGGTAAGCTTGAGGAGCTATGGTAGGGACGAAATAAACTGACTTTTCAAAGGTGCCACTGGTATGCTACCCCTGTCGCAACTCAAGTCTACAGGCTAGGATCTCTTGTGGTTTCACTGGCCGTGGAACTGGGACTCAACCAGAAGCCAACGAGCGTCACCCAGCATGAGATCATTATCGGCCCTGGTTCCGCGCTTGAGCAGGGCAGTGAGGCCATGTCGTCGAAGTTGTGGGGGTTTGAGGCTCGACGGGCAGTTCTGGGCGCGTACACAGTTTCCACATAGTACGAAGCTCACACAGGCGGCACCGCTGCTCGCGATGGATGGCGACTAATTTGTTGTAGTGGCTTGTTATTGTTCAGAAGACCATCCGTGTTGCCATACAGTCAATATCTCGAGGACTGCGCGTCTTCCCTCGTCACTGATCCACAGTATTGCTCCGACCCGACGCTCATCCACATGGTCCGGTCTATGCGCGTCGCCGAAGAAACCACCCATACTTTCGATCACGGTTCGAAGGAAAAGATTGGCGAGCTGAGTGACGATAAGATCCAAATACTGGTTGGCGCCTTGTGCAAGCAGACGGAGGAGTGGAGGGTATCGCTGCCTCATGGTACTTTCACCACTGGTACGCATAGCATAGCCCCGACATCCCAATTCTTGCAAGCCTTCAGCTTACCTTCCACGCGGCCACAGGTTTGCTTCAGCGCGCATACCACAGCAGCAGATGCTATATCCACGAGGTCGGCCTATACGGCCTTCTCCATGGTCAAGCACCCTCCGTGACTCGCCTTTCAATTCTGTATGACTGTTTCGACGCCACCATGAAATACCTCTCTTGCGTGCTGGAGAACGGCCTGGACGACATGGTTGACTGGACCTCGCTTGAGTGGCGGGCACTCAACTTCGGCATCATGCTGTCCACCAAGTCGTCGATTATTCTGGACTCGGCGTACGTCAGCATGGAAGCGTCCCAGCGTGCTGCTTGGCTGGGCAAGTGCCTCGATACGTTGTGTTTGCGAGCGCACGAACTTCATCGAATGAAGGGAGAGAAATGCAGCTATTTCCTGAAGCTGGCCCATGAGTGGGCGAACATCAAGATGTATCACCAGAATACCATTCAGAGGGCGCTGCCGGCCCCCACGGTGGCGAACACAGCACAGCAGCAATCGCAGTTATCGGTGCAGACGCAACAACAAAACGCTGGCATGTCGTTCATGGACAGCGCTTTTGATGTGGACCCTTTCAATGAACTGTTCTGGGCTGGCTTCGGAGACTCTGAGCCAGGTATGGCAGGGATGTATCCGATGTGATTGGGCTTGGGCACATACGCACGTTCTCCCTTCCTAGGTATTGAGAGCGTATCTCGACCGGGTCGGTAGACTGCTCCCTCGTGTAATCGTCTTGACCCTGGCGGAAAAGTTCAACTCGCACCGGTTAGTGTTGGCATCTTAATGTGGCTACAAGTGGGCTGTTATCAGATTACTCTGATACTGTATGAACAGATGTCTCTGATGTCGGCCTCCTCTTCTGGAAGTGAGCGCCCCAGGTCGTACTCACGCGTAGCTGTACCTGTACATGTGCCTGTCTGCGGTATCTTGTCGTTCGCTCGCGGCTCGAGTCTGGAGGAGTCGTCGAGGTAAAGTTGACTGAGGATGAAGACAAGCTCAAATGTACACCTGTCGTGTCAATACTCTAAATACAGAATCCTAGCCTCGCTCTCTAGGGTTGGTCTGCTACCTCTCATAGTGCCTCTTGTCCATCCATCTCATCGTTCCCAGCATAGTGCTCCGCCTGAGAACAAGTCTGTTCGTGGCCAGGACCTGGAGTAGCGCAGTTGGCGAGGCTTTAACGTTCATGTCAGTCCATTGCCTGCAACTCAACCCTATGATCAGGTGGGCAAGGGTGGTCTACTCACCTCTGATCTTGCCGGTGGCACGTTCTGATCCGCTTCGCCGTCTTCACATTCACTTTGCAACCGCGAAACCGCCAACTGCCCAGCAACTCTACCAGTCAATACAACCCGTGTATTCACTCCGCGAAGCACTGCCTATGCACAACTGCCTTGCACCTGAGGATTTATTTCTCTTTGCACATCGGCGACTCCTTTCTCTTTCCTTCTCTCTCCTCCATCCACACCATCCACACATTTCTCTTTCCCCCCCCAACTCATCCATCATGGCTGTCGCCATGAGCGACGTACTCATCACCCTGGCCGCCACTCTCGTCTACTCGGTCTTTGCACCACTGTGGGTCCTCAGCTTGGGTATTCCCAAAACGAATGGAAGGTGAGCAGCCACTGCCTTCAACATACCTGAGATTTGCTTCCATCCATGCTTGCATCATGTACTGCCCGTTGTACTGCCTGTGATCATCACTGACTCGTTGTTGTTGATGTTACAGCCCGTCGCATGCAACAGCGTTGTTCGCCGACGGCGTTCCTTCATGTCCCGTCCTCGGAGGCGTTACCACCTCAACTCTGGTATTGTGGGCAAGATGTCTCCAGCTAGCACCAGCCTCAAGGTGTCTCTTATTATCGTCGTGCCGCCATCAATCGGCTTCCCTCTTTTGTTTGTGACACCGTACCTTCCTCATCCCCAACACCGTGCCTTGTCATGGGCATTGGTTCTTGCACGTCGCACCTCTCACAACAGCACCTACATCCCATACAGTCGTTTCGATTCCGGTCGTGGCAGTCCTGCTCCAGAAATCCAAGAGGGGTTCGCCGAGGACAAGACATTTGAGAACGACGTGTCGAGCAATCTCTGGCTCATGCCTTACGGATTGAACTTCTCCAGATCCATTACAGAGACCGAACAGGTGGTCGTCGACAACAAGACATTTGATAGTGACGTGCCGAGCAACCTCTGGCTGGTGCCCTACAGCTTCGATTTCACCAGTTCCATTTCAGAGTCGGCAGAAGAGTCTTTTGCAAGTTCGAGTTCTGGGAGTCCGTCAGCACTCCTTCAGTTCTCCGTCCATTCACAAGGGCATGACACAACCACCCGTGTTTCCTCACCCGTGAGCACTCACTGGTACAGCGACCTTCGGTTCCAACGAGACGAGCATGATGGCGTCCGTCTGCAACAAGCACTGGAGGAGAAGCTGGCATTGGAGAATCGGCTTGGTGAGGTGTTGGCCGAGAATGGAGTGTTGTGGAAGAAAGTCAACACACTTCAACGACTCATGGCAATTGGTGTCATTCGCCTCAGAAAGTCAGAGGTAGAGGCCCAGAAGTGGAAATCCCTTGCTGGCTACAAGCTCGACGAGTCCTCAGCCATTCCCGTACCACATTGGAAACAAGAACCTGCAGCACAAGATCTGTACGCGGAAAACGAGCGACTGGAGTCCCATCTAGAACGACAAGATAGAGCACTCCATCACACACGCCGAGAGATCCATCACTTAGAGGAAGTCGTCGCTGAGAAGGAGACACAAATCACACTGCTCAACAACGAGATCGACCAGCTGCACTTGGGCGTCGGGAGAGCATACGACGTTGTCGAGGTCATTATCTTTCGATTCAACTGGCTCGAGCAGCATTGCACGGATCCCATCGCCACGCATGAACGGCTCGCAAACCAAAACCTGGCACTCCAACACCAGGTGCAGAATCTGGAACATGACTTGGAAGACGCCCAGAACCAAAACAATGTCCTGGTGATGGAGCGCGACTAGTTTTACACGTGGTATGTCGCCCGAGATAACGACCTCCGGGAGGCCATCGACGACTACGCCCAGCTCGATGCCCAGAGACACCACCTGCAGATTGAAAACGCCGAGCTTCGGGCGGAGAAGAGAGAGCTGACGCTTGCCAACACCAACCTGAAGGCCCAGATGAGAAAGGCGAAGGTTTCGAACAACGTCAAGGGGATTGCCAAGTCCTGGAAGCTCAAGGTAGAGACCCAGGCTCGACTAAAGAACCATGATGAAACGAGAAAAATCTTCTTGCAGAACTGCTTCAGCAAGACATTGGATCAGAACAAGAACGTCGAGTGTGAGGCAACCAGTTCGGGTGAAGAGCCTCAGGCGGAGCTCCGAGATTATCACACAGCAAAGGCGACTTGCGACAGCCAGGGTGATTTCTTCGACCACAAACTGGCACCCTTACCTCACCCCCTTCCGGAAAGTTTCCGTGTGTATCGGAGCGTCGAAGAAGACGTTGTCGAGGAGGAAGATGAAGATGATAATGAAGAACCGAACACAGATGGTGGTGTCCTCGACCTGGTGCGCCTCATCAACATGCTGACAATAGAAGATGAGTTGGATCTCATCACTTGAAGAAAACAGTCCAAGGTACATATTGGAAGATTGTGGAGGATTGTTTGGGAAGGACAGCACCCTCGGAGCCTGCTAATTCAGCACGGAATGAGGCGGCTGCTGGTGGATTGGAAGTCCCAGGGCTGGCGACATTGGGCTTGGACAACAGAAAACCAACTTGAGTGGATCGAGTATACGAAAGGCTGGAATGCATCAGCATTCAGAGCTTGGAACGGCGCATGGCGATGGCGAAAGGGTATTGAGTTCCGCCGTCGTCGTCAGTTGTGGAGGTCGGGTTTCGATTCTTGCAACATGTTGAGCCAGGACACATGTCTCCTGCAAAACAGGCGTGTACTGGGTGATGGTCTTTGTGATTGATTGATTGTCATGCAATTTCTGCTGGATCGCCATGGCAGATTCGGCTCACGGAAAGCAATGTACCAATATGCATCTTGTCCTCATTTCTGTGGTTATTGAGACCCTAAGTTGAACAATGAAAAGAGTTTTTTACCACAGAATCTGTCAGATTTCCCTGTAGCTGTTTGGCAGCAGTTGGTCTTCCAGATGGTTCAGAACTAAGACAGAGCCAAATGACAAACAAGTGACAAACAAATGAGAAAGTTTGAAATTCACGACAGTGGCAACGGCGAAGCACTTACACGTATCACGCAAATACTGACGCAGCACTCAATCCTCAATGTCCTTCAACCCGACTCACAATTTGGGATATCCTAAAGAAAACTGATCGCAACCCCACGGCGCACTGTATTACGGCTTCCAACTTCCATGTCCAATGGCTACAACCGGCTCCTCCATGGCTCGGCTGCGCCCAGCTTGGTCTCGCCTCCCTTGACCTTTCGCACGACTTGTTGTCAACGCGATGTTTCCCTCAGTCACGCCTTGCGACTGGAACGAAATCGAGCCACGGGAGATGCTTGCTGCTCCCGAGTCCAAGCCCAGCCACGCTCTGGTCACCATGTTGTCGCCAACTATGCTCATCCTGGCCCCTGTACAGGGAGCACGGTGGCTGCCATTAGGATCGCACCACTCGACTCGGGTATTAGGCGCCGGGCTTTTCACACCACCTCGACATCGATGCTGAGAAATGCTGAGAAGAAGTCTGTACCTGCTCAGAATATGCCGAAAAAGCCCGCGTCTGCCTCGCCCTCGACTTCGTTTCTCCCTCCCGAGTCCAGTCTTGCAAAACGACCAAAATATCCACGGCCTCCTGTTGCTGTGCCTGGTCTTCCCTCAGCAAAGAAACTCAGAGTTACCAAGGTCGCTAGCCCGAATCTCTCCTTGCCAAACAGTCCGATTCAAGCACGTCGAAACGCTGAAGAAGAGGTGGTGAGACAAGAGAAGGAAGAAATCGAACGGATGCGACAGGCTTGGATGCAAAAGCTGCATGAGGCTGAAAAGATCGCCGACCATGTCGAAGCGTTTTTGGAACAGGAAGAGGCTGAACTCAAACGAAGCCGAGAAGAAGAGGCCACAAGACGACAAGCGTGGACGCGAAAGCTGCGCAAAGCCGAACAAATCGCGAATCTCATCGAAAGCTTCGGCTGGGACGACAAGACAAGCATCGACCGTTACCTTCGGCTTCGCTCACTGGTGGAAAGGGGAAAGGAACTCGAGCGCTGTTTGGAAGACTCCTATAAGAAGAGTGGTCTAAATCCTCGTACCAGGGAGGTTGCCAATGCGGCGTGGCACTCCCTCGTGGACGCCTTTGCCGATCCCAATCTTGCCTGGATCCAGCCGCGCCTTGACGAGAGCCGACGAGGTAGACGACGGTCCCTCTCCGTGAGAGAGGGAAAGCCTCGTCCATCCTTGCCTTCTCGTGTTAGATTCTCATTGTTTGGGATTATGACTCTCCAAGATGATATGGTTGACACCGCCACGATGATAGGCGTGCATCTGCATGAGTTGCGCCAGCTGAGAAGAACACGACTTCAATTGTTTTGGGTGCCAGAACTCCACAGCTACCACAAATTCACACTCCCGCTAGAATACCTTGCAGACGCTGCCAGCCTGACGGCCACACGTATCAGGGACAACTACATTCAATTCAGAAAGGGTGCCAAACTGCTCCATCGTCCATCCTCGCGTAGGCTGGCGAAGATTCTCGTCGATGAACCCATTCTCCACCATGTCGGGAAAGTGCACTGGCTGAGTAGGGTCATCGTTCGCGATATTCGGCACGAACTCTCACAGATCTCAGCCTCAGTCCTGCAAAGGGAACTGTTTTCAACATACCAGCCTCTCGCCACTTACAACGCATACTCTCCGGTGTTGAAGAACTACATAGATTTCGCTGGTCGCGACCGTTCACCCGGAAAACTGCACAGCCTTTCAGCCAGGCATCTGAAACTCCAAAGAGATATCCTACTCCAGAGAGATTTCACATGGCTCTGGGCAGGGATCTCTAAAGCCTCTTCCCTCGACCGTTGCTGGTCGAATGACTATCATGCCTCAATGGATCAAGCACACACGGGGTCCCCGGCTTCCCCCATCACTCGCTTGCTTGTACCATCTGCTCAAGTCGACGCTGGTCGTACAGCTCCATGGGCGACCCCAACGCCCCTTTATCCGCTCGGCCCTGCAGTCCCCATCCTCTATGTTACGACATTCTCTGGCCTCACCAGCGTCTTACACCGCTTCAGCAGTCCTGAGCGCTGCAAACACTTGGCCTTCGATATCGTCCAGACCCCTGGCACGAAGTGTTACCCTGGGGTCCAATTTTTGACACTCGCAAGCGAACACGAGGTTGCAGTCATACAATTCGCTGCAATCAGTTACTTCTCGATTCTTCAGGCTGAAACATTCGAAGACGTCATGAAAAACCCCTCAATCCTCAAAGTAGGTGTGGACGTCGAGTCGCAACAACGACTTTTGGCAGATGGTCCAGGTATCGAGGTGGAAGGTCTCGTCGAGCTCCATACTTCGGAACACCATGATATTCCCCTGAAGCATCTATCTCCCAACAACGGTCGAAGTCGAAGAGTCTCGTCAATGGCTGCACGATCGCTGGGATTTTCTCTGCCGCCTTTGGATCTAGACCAGGCGGTCAACGATATCATCAGCTTCAAATCTGTTGGCCGCACTCGTGCGGTCGATCCACTGCCGTTCTTGACCCGTAGGTTACGCTCCCTCTGCTTTATCCTTGGCTGACATTCATATTAGATATCGCCTCACGAGCCTACGCTATACTACAAATCTATCTAGCGTCCACGACAGGTGGCTCCTTCACTTCAGCGCCTGCGGCCCATCCATTGCTCGGCCCCGTCGAAGTCTACGGGCAAGCCGGAAAACCTGAGCGATATTCGGAACTTCGTAGTTCGCGGATGAAGTACCTGAAATGCATGGCGCGATTTCTCGTTTCTAGAACCGCCTTCCGGGCTCAGTTGGATTCTCCAGCAACTAATCTATCTTCACGACTTCAACTGAAGAAGCGGTTGATGGCCTACTTTCTCTTTACGACCTTCAACGAACGCCTCGAGACCGTTGAAGAGATTTTAGGGATGTCCCAGGTCGCATCGAATATCCTTGCCATTGTCGATGCCGCTAAGCTGCCACTGCGCACTCAGGACGCCGGTCTACTTGAGCGTCATCGCAAGATTTACCATGAAGACATGCCGATCCGGAAAGTTCAGTATACTCCGGATATTCCTCTAAGAGCAAGAACTTCCATGGCTCCTACCACGGCAAGCCAAAAGGCGGAACCCATGACTGCTCCAGTGGCACAGGTTGCATGGAAGTCGAAGAATCCTCCGCCTGCCAGGAAAAAAAGAACGCCCACCGCGAGCTCAGGCCTGAAGAAGCCAAACTCACATTTTGCCGATCAATCTACTTCGACATCCTTGGAGATTCAACCCCTGGGCAGTCGGGCGCTTGGTTCTGATAGCGTACAGATCAGAAGGCTCGCCACTGATAGATTGAACAGGGTAGAGCGCAGAAGGCTCCAGACTAGGATAAAGCGACAGTTCGTTCGAGCTCGAATGCAAGTGGGTGACCAAAAAGCCGAAGACCTATCCGCCTCAGCAACCCCGGATTCTCTGCGCGCCGGAACATGGCTGCTCCGAAAACATCCCGGGGGAAAGAAGTCGAACAAGGGAACCACGGCCCATGAGGGGGACCCTTGGTTGCCGAGAACAGCAGAATCCTCGAACCAAGCCAGGGAAGCGATTCGGAGCACCATCAACGACCCCGGGAAGGGCAGGACATTGACTTTGCCAAATAAGGGAACAATTCGTACTATGGATGGCTTGATACGGGGACGGCGCAGAAGAAGAATACGATCTTTCGAACGGAAGAGCCTAGGTGGCACCGAAGCAGCCGGAACATGAGGGGAGTCCGGCGAAAGCTGCGAAAATGGCCATATTGCACAGTCGCCGAAGGTATAATACACATGGAGATGCCGCCGGGGATGGAGCGCAGAACAAGGATGAGGATACGACGGGGTGGAGGTCGAAGTCAGAATCTAGAGCTATGTACGGAGTACTCTCCAGTTGATGACAAGGGAAATATCGGTGGCACAGGTGCAGAGAATAGGGACAACCCAGCAAGTGACCTGTTCAGGCACCGTGTCATGACTTACTCTCGATGGAGCTGACAGGCTGTCGTTTCCTATACTTTCGGCGACTTCCATCTTTACTAGTGAGGACCCACGGATGTGCGTGTGAATATACGCATACGCTGTACCAGCACTGTATGTCCCACTGTGCGGGTAAGTACTCTATCCAACTCTTCCAGTGCCAGAGCAGGTGGACACGCATGCGAAGCAGACGTGTTAGACACGGTGAGAGACCTTCTCGTCCCACCACTACCATGGATCATGGTGCACTACATGTATTTGTGCGCTTGCAACAAATCCTGCCTGGCCACCGCAAGTTTCATTACCCTGCCCCCGAGTCGGTCCAGGAATTTTGGTCCCCGGTCCTTTGCTTTGAACCTCGCTTCCACTGTACATGTACAGTAAATTTTTAATGTGTCATTCTTGGGAGGATGAGGGTTACTCATCGAGCACGAGATCGCATCGGTACAGCCGACCAGTAAAAACCACGCAAAGAGAGAGCGTGGATGCACTCGGCGTTCGTGAAAGGAAAGCGAGGTCAGAGGAAGGGAATGCTGTATGACCAGCGCGGCCAGTGGCGCTTTTCTAAGGAGGTCAAGTGAAGGGAGGGAAGGGAAGTCTCATATCCTACGGAGTACCTAATTAGTATTCGATTGGATCGGTCGGCATGGCATGCATGCTCGCACACATATGCAGAGACGGGCGCACATGCATAAGGGTGGGGACCCGTAAAGTCAAGCTTTCTCGTCAGACAAGGGTTCGTGTGCCCCGGATGGGTTTAGCCTGGCCTAGCCATAGCCCAGCCTAACAATTTACGTGGAATACTTACTCCGTACATAGGTAGGTAGTACCCGATGCTGGGCATTGAAGTGCTGATTAAGACGGCAGGATGGGCTTCGAGGCGCGTTGCCTTGTTTTGTGTCTTTCAAGTCGCTGCTCTTGCTATCCAATTGAACATGGGACGCGGTAATCCTGGCCCCAGAGGTACGCGATACTGAGGGGGTCCCAACCGCCTGTGTATATCCAAACACATATTTACAAACACAAATATCAACGATACGGCCATGTCGTGTGCTGCCTACGACCGACCCCATCTCCGCCAGAAGCGTCCTGCCCTCCCCCTCTGACCCCTTGGTATGCTGAGCTCATCCTTCTTAGCGACCCGCCAGTAGTATACTGGCACTCCAGACACCACGAACGCAATTACAATGACCGTCTGCACCGGCTGGTTGACCACGGCTCGACTGACGAGAAACAAAGAAACGCAGCAGAAGATGATGGGTGTGGTGATGTACGTCCGGTACGGCCGCTCCAGGTGTGGTTCGCGGATGCGCAGGACAATCAGGCCAAGGACGGTCAAAAAGTAGAACGAATACCCCGCCACGCCGTAGAATGTGATCAGGGTCCCGAACTCGCCGAGCACAACGTAAATCATGGTGAGGAGCATGTTCAACAACATGGCGTTGACAGGCGTATAGCCCATGCCGATGGACTCGTCGCCGAATACCCTTGCCAGTGATTTCGATAGCCAAGATCGTTTCCGTGACTTGTGGAGTGGCGTAGCCGGCTCTGGCCCCGGTTGGCCTCCAAACCCGATTCTGCCAAACAGGGCGGGGATGTATCCTTCTCGCCCAGCAACGTAGACGAGGCGGCCGGAGGTGAAGGTCGTGGCATTGAGTGCGCCAAAGCATGAGGCACCAACGATCAGGGCGAGAATGAGTGCTCCTATAGGGCCGAAGACCTTGCTTCCAAACTGCACGGCGACGGTGTTGGACTTGTTGATCGTTTCCAGCGGCAGGACGAAAATGTATGCCACGTTGGCAAGGATATAGCATACGATCACAGCAGGCATGGCGGTGTGGATGACACGTGGTAAATCCCGACTGGGGTTCTTGAATTCTCCCGTCACGTAGTTCGTATTGTCCCATCCGTCGAACGCCCACAGACCTGCATACAATGCGACGGCCCAGCTGGATACGTCGGTCGACGTGTCCGCGAACCAGTTCTGTTTGCGCCAATCCCTATTCGCGGGACCGTTGAAGGAAAACCCCGTGGCGGCCACGATGATGCCGACGACCGTGACCGCAATGAGGGCAACGAACTTGAAGAACATGAAGAGATCGCCCAGGCGCGCCGCAAAGCGGGTCGAGACACAGTTGAACACGGTGACCAGCATGACGGCGACCAATGCGGGGATCTTGTTGATCCATGGGTTGACATCTTCGACTTCGGCACCAATTGCTGCACGGACAATGTATTCGCCAAAAATGATGGCGATAATGGCTGCACCACCGGGTTTCAATACTAGGATGGCGCTCCAGGTGAAGAGAAATCCAACGACTTCACCAAAGATCTTGGCAAGGTAGACTTGCGCGCCCCCGTTCAGTGGTATTGCGCCTCCAAGTTCTGCATATGAGGCTGCGCCGGTCCAGGCAAGCATGCCCGAGATCGCCCATACCACCAAAGCCGCACCCGGGGACCCGACATGTGAATTGACCTGCGCCGGCGACGAGAAGATTCCGGACCCGATTATCAAGCCGACCACCAGCGATAGACCATTCAGGTATGTCAAGGTTTTGTTCTTTTCCAGGTTCTGAAGATTGCCCCGTCGCTCAAGAGAAAGGGACACTGCCGAGGGATTGCCTAGTGCAGTGTAGCCTCCTCCTGCAGTGGACGACAGTGGAAACAGTGCAGGGGTGAAGTCGAAGGCCGAGGAGACAGAGTAGGATCGTCCATGCAGCCCCCTCCGCTCCGAAGCTGGGTTCGCACTGTCGAGGGGATCCTGGTTCTCGAGGGACAGGCGTCGGGAGGAAGAGATGCCCGATGGTGAGGACGGTCCAGGGCTAGGCAAGTCGTCTTGCTCAGAGTCTGCGAGGGATGCCAGCTCGAGGGAATCTCTGCCTGGCTGTGGTCTTTGGATTTCGGAGAAGCCAGATGCGGGAGGAGCCATGGCTGTTCGTCGAGACTCGAGACGAGCTCGGCGAAGTTGAGCGACGTTGATAGTGCTCGGGCTTCATCACCGTGTCGCCGACATGGTCCTGCGAGAATTCTGGAATCCGACGCGAGCGCGACGTGTGAATCGGACGTCTGCTGGTAGGGGTGTTGGAATCGAATTGTCTCGGAATGGAAAGCGGTAGCGAGACCGCACGGCGAGGAGACGCCAGACTCGAGTGATGCGCCAAGCCGCTAAGCAGCCCTGATTAGTTAGGCGGCCATGCTGCTTTACACCCTAATTTCCTCGTGTTTGACGCAAAAATTAGTTATCGCAGCACCCACGATCTCCGCCGACCTCCTCTTCCGTACCTCCAACCGGTCTAATGCAGCTACTGTAAGAGGACACGCGCTTTACTAAATGTCGTGCCGATGACCCTGACCGTTTCGGAAACCGCCAGCCATCGTGCTGATGCCCGTAACTTCTTGAGCATTGGATGCCTTACGCTGAACACTCTCCGTGGAAACGAGGCCGCGTCCCTCTCCCTGCTGCTGGGGTGCGGTGCTCCGTTACGACGTTCACACAGCGGTATGGCCCTCGGTCGGCCTCACTGATTGAACCACCAGAGCGTGGCGATGGTTAAGTATTTTCAGTTTCCTTGAGCTCGTCTGTCCGCCGCGGGTAGGGATACGCCAGAAGCTTCCAAGTACGCGAACAAGCAATTTCACCGCACATGCCACTAGCAAAATGCATGGAAGTCTTAGGAATCGTACATGAGAGAGAAAGCGTAGACTTGGATTTGGAGATTCGAGACTTCTTATGGCGCCTCCAGGACTTCAATCCGATACCCCTGCCGGCTGTCAATGCCCTCCGCTTGGCTGCATGGCTCTACAAAAGAACTGACGCATTCTGTCACTTGTGTACCCTGACTAATCCTCGAATACGGGTAGCATACTGGCAGTGCCACCCGTTCAAGAATCGTTGTGAAGGCCGAATGCCACACGACCGGCAGCTACTCATCGGCAAGATGCCATAAGCGGCTATGGAGGATCCATCATAACCAAAGCCCAAGTATCTGGGTCACCTTTCGCTAGGGCTTGTTAGTCATGTCTATGGGGTTGTTCACATGCGTTCCCAAATACGAGATTGGAGGAAATCGCCCTGGTAAGTCGTTTGTTGTGAGGCTGCTTTATACTACAAGGTATTTGCTAATAACCTCTAGAGGCGGCTCCCGGTCTTGATCATCGACGATCGTACGAGTCAGGCCAGGTCTTCTCTTACATATCCATCCCGTCGGCCTAATCAATATCTCCTTGTTACCGTACAGCACCGTCGTTGTCAACATGTCTCAACAGATCCATTTTGTGGAGACTCAACCTGGGACAGCTTTGGACTCTGGCCAAGTACGTGCGCTACGATCACATGTGCGGAAGGTCAATCTGGAGAGATCGAACCGGAAGAGCACTCAGCAATTGGAGAACTTCCGTTCCTTGACCATAACCGATTTCTCCGGAAGTGGGAAGGCGAAAGGTGCCAAGAGGAAACAATCCTTCCATTCCAATGTCGCTCATCTTGAAACGGTAATTCAAGAATTTCCATGGGGAGACGACCCGCCACAGGGTTATCCTCTCGCCCCTGACAGCCCGGGGATCCCCACAAGAGCGTTCCGGTGCCTACCTAACCAGTTGCCGCCAAAACGATGCAGTTGTCACAGACCCAGCCCGCAAGGTCAGCAATCGCCAAGCTCAAGCGAGCATTCAACCCCCAGCGATTCTCCACACAGCGAGGAGACACATCCACAGGCAGCCTGGATAGTAGATGCTACTGATGTCGATGAAGATCAGATCAACCAGCTACTCAGAAGCTGTGAGTCTTTAACTACAGGCGCGGAGATCCTCAGCTGACCATTCTAGGTGCTTTTCAGATAGAGGCAGAATCTCTACTCTCATTCGGCCTGGCCAATTGTGACTTATGGGCACTCCCATTATTCCCAGACTGCTTATACAAGTCGGCCTTCCTGTACGCCTTCCTTTACTCCATCCTACATATCCACAACTCATACATTGGAACAAATGAGTCTCTCGCCCTCAAGACGAAAGCGATTGAATGCCTCAGAGAAGATCTCCGTAAGGATGATCCTAACATTCGAGCTCTGACCATTGGCACCGTCCTACTGCTGTCATGCGTCGCAGTATGTATAAGTCCCTCAAGGGCTTTATATCACGGACTCACGGTGCCTCAGTATCATTGCGGGGACCTTGCCGAGTCTACAGCACATTCCGAAGGCCTGTACAAGCTCTTGGAACACTACCACGCGGACGGCGTCCGCCTGCGAACTGAGGTACTTCGTGCCATCTTCTGGTAACGCATCTTATGACCTATTCGAGCTTCCTCAAGCTAATCGTCAACGTAGGCAGCATCTTCTAGGTACTGCATTGGTCTGTGACCAGCAGAGATTCCTGCAGCCGGATTTTCAAATGCTTCTCAAGCGCCCTTGAGACTTTCCTACTGTCATCGCACTGCCGACACCGCCTCTCGGATTCGAGTTACACCAAGAAGTCATCAGCCCTCGATGTGCTGTTGTCCATCCGCATCATTCCTTACCTTCAAGACCATACCAGCCCCGGCCCATCCGATCCCCTGGTGATTGCAGGCCTACAAGCCCGTGTTGAACCACGACTAGTCTTTGACGAAAAAGCCTGCAAAGAATTTGGTCCGATAGCAGAATGTTGCCGCGTTGCGGGTCTCCATTGTCAACTACATCGGCACCTCATTCACGTGGAAGAGCGCCTTTGTGCCTCGACGCCTAGCGAAGAAGCTCCTTGCCTACCTGGTAAAGACGAACGAACAGGACCTTTGGCGTTATCGACGAGAGTTGTTCTTATGACAGCTACTTGTGGACTCCCCGGTTGGTAGAAGGGAGCTCTGTTATGCTGGCGAGCTCGCTGCCCGATCTCAGCAGTCCATTGAAGGCGTCAAAGAAGATGGCATGAGTTGGACCGACTTGAAGAACGGACCTGGAGCCCTACACGATGTGATGAAGACGTTCATCTACGCAGATGACTGGGTTGCGAAAAGGCATCTGCTCCCAAGCTGGAGTGATCTCGAACGGCCCCATCTTTCTGTGTGGCTCAGAGGGAGTCGACACCGACATGGATTACTGGAGCTTCACTCAAAGAGCTGGTGCCGGATACTAACCTCTTCGAGTAGCTCCGATCTTCATATGACAAAGGATGCCTAGCCGAATCTCGGCTCTGCTTGGCTGTCTGTCAACCGCCGTATCGGCGACACTGGTCATCAGTCGACTTCCCCTCACCCCGGACGATGGGTCGTGCGGTTGTCTAGAGTGACTGCAGCGCGGGACGTGGTGCTTGGTGGGTTCCACTACAAGGGGACCTCATAGCTTCGACTTCTCAGGACTAGGAACGCGTCTCATCCTCCGTCTCAAGGCGCCTCACCAGGACTTGCCATATCAGTTATCCAAGCTATCGATACTGAAGCCGAGTCGTTTGCTGCGATCGAGTAGTATCACCGGCATAAAGACACCTCATTATAGACCAAGAAGAGCTCGTTGATTTTTTCTAGATACAGTCTCAACAGTCAGATCCCCAAGGAAACACAAACAGAAGTTATGAGCGTCCTCCAATATCCCACATTCGTCCGGTATCTGTCGATCGAGCGGACTCTGCGCTCCTTATCCGCCCCCTAATTGATACCCAGAACGAGACTAAACTCCGAAAACATTCTTGTATGGCTGCCAACAAACGTAATGCCTACACCCGAGTCTGGATGGATCTACTTCCATCATGACTCGAAGAAACCAGTACAGACACCCTTGCGCGTCCCGGAACCCCCGATCCAAAACGGACTGTATCTGCAGCTGACAGATGGATCCAAGCGATATGCTGCAAGGTTGGCCGACCGACGGAAACCGACGAAGTGGCGCAAAAGCCTGGGCCAGGATCAGCATGATGGGCATGGGAAGGCAGAGCTGAGGTCTGTCGGTTCTATCAGGAACTATGCTAGGGGCATGACATGAACAAGAACGGCCGATATTGAGGGTTTGAGAATCACTTCGACTGAGCTTCTGGATAGGAAGGCCTTTCACGCGGAATTAAGCCCTTGCCAGCGTCCACGTAATTACTCTATGGCTCATTGAGCAGCTCCTCATACGTGACCATCGGTCTTGAGCGAGCCACTCTGTGATTGAATCATTTTTGCATGTGTTTCTGTCTCGTACTAGAAAGAAAGGAGCCGCTCCTCTGCACGCAGACCGCATTCTGCAAGAGGAAGCGCTATGCTTCTCCATGTAGGAGGCGATGTGTCTTGGTGGCCGTGATGGCCCTCCTGCGCTGCGCTCTCCGGCGAATGCGCTGACGGAGCATCGCATGTATCAGTACTCCACCGTGACTAGTACATCGCTGGTCTAGCCCCTGAGCTACTTACATCAACTGGAGTAACCAGCAAACGTTAGCATCAAGTCCCCAGTTCAGGCTGCGAATTGACCACACTGCTCCGCAACTTGACCTCGCATCCAACAATCAATTTGGCATCACCCAGCATTCGTAATGTGCCATCGACATCCATATCCCTGGGTCCCGTTGCTGGGAGTGCGCTGTCTGGGTGTTTGAGCATGCGAGCTCTTTCCTTGATACGCATCCTGACAACTCTCCTTTCATCCGCCTCCCCGTACGCCCAGATCATGAATTACAAGCCGCTTTGTTCATGAAGCGTCCTCAAACTCATCGAGTCGTCCGAAGTTCGGGTCAGCATACCATTCGCCAGGGTTCACGATTCCCGGTGTGTACTGCACCGGTGGTCCCGACTCGGTCGGTTGCCACTCGAAGGCAACGTCCTCATCGAACGACTCTTCGGTCTTCTTCCTGAAGTCCCCTGCACTCGTGAGGTGCTTGTAGAGAGTCTTGAGCGGGATGATCTGCGTCATGTCGTCGCCGAGCGGTCTGCCCGTCCGACTGAGGATGTCGAGTTTTAGCTTCGGCGTCAACTCCTCCAGCAACAACTCCAGTCGATATGCAATCACGACGTAAGGTCTTCTGTCATTGTTCGCGTGCACCTCTTCTTCAAGGACCCAACCGCCCCTCTCGAGATTGGGTATCTTTATTTCGAAGACTCCCGCGTTGTCAGGAGTACCCCATTCCGGACAACTCGTCACGTCCAAAACATGGTCAAAAGGGAATTGGGGCCGTTCGACACGGAATTCGCCAGTGGCTGTGTACGGGAGCGCTCCGCTCAGGTTCGCATCCTGGGTGACGAACGGTTGCTGTCCCTTGACGGCGAAATCTGCTCTGGCCTGTTGCACCTGATTCATGTCCAGACATGAGAGATAGACAAAGTTCCCTCGCGCGACAGCAGAATCGATCTCTGACGCCATCATTCCGACGGACACGCGCTCATTTGCCTGCACCCCATAACCCGTTCTCTCAAGCTGCTGTTTCAGATAGCCCAGCACGTATGGCGGGCGGCTGCCACCACCTGTCAGAGCAAGTGTGCAAGGACTGTCAATTCTCGACATGCATTCTTCCAACATGCACTTGATGGGGTCTAGCCACTGGTCGAAGAGCATCTTCATAACAACCGCCGAGAGGATCATTTGCTCCTCGTTTAGGACCAATCCGCGGCCCTTGGCGCTCTTGAAAAGAGGCTTTTGTCCAGACTTGTAGATTGGCCATACCTCGTAACCCCGAACGGCCCCGTCAAACGATCGCTTTGTTATCTCGAAGCCTCTTTCAAAAGCCTCCAGCAGGTCATTCTCACTGCCGTTGAAGCCCCACGAGAGTGGAAGCAGGCCGAGTGGGAACTGCGCGGTAACATACTCCTTGAACAGTTCATTCTGACGTTGCGAACCGTGGAACGAGCCTTTTCCAGGAACCACCCCCTGTAACTGGACAGCGGAAGTATTGTATTCTTCTTCGGCACACAGTCCACAGACGTCGGTAGTCAGGCCTCCCATGTCGCAAACAATTCGCACCTCCTCCTTGTTGGCGATATCAGCAATTCCGGCGCTCTCTTTTTCAGCAGTTTCAGACAGATCGTACATTGCAGAAGCATTGGGCTCCGACCATATACAGGTGCTTTTCGGAAATCCAGCTTCGTGTAACAACATGCGAAGTTCATCCTTGGCCTCGACCTCCCAGATCGATCCTGTAGGAACGGCGATCATCGCGTCGGCCTTTTCGTTGAAAATCTTTGGCACTATGGTGGATTGAAGGCCATAGGCTTCGGCATATTGATGCTGAGCGGATCGCAAGAGGAAGCGGAGGAACTCTCGGATGATACAACGGGGAGATTGGAGTGTATGAGCAGTAGGTTGGCCGGTAAGGGGATCGCGCACGCAGTATTTCCCTTCTGGGATTTTGTTGCGGACCGCTTCCACCTGTCGTCGAATTGTGAGTTGCCGTTCCATGACCATGGTAAGTAGTGAATGGTCTCGAGGAAACTCAGTGTTTGGTGCTACTAGACACAGCTTGAAGAACTCGATTCGCTCAAGGATCTCGTGTGCAGGTCTGGGATCTTCCTCTGCCTCTGCGCCGAAAACAAGCTCGCACGGTGGGTTGTTTGGGGTGTCGGTTTTCTGGACGAAGATGGCGATAGTTGGGATTCGAGATGTGCCGTTGATATCTTGTACTGGTGTGAGAGCGGCTTTGCGTTCGGTCAGAGACCAGTTGGGATGGACGCGGCCATAATTGATCGTTGAGAATTTGGAACCCAGGTCCACGCCGGACTCCAGACGAGCATCGCCGTCTAGGCCGACGTGCTTCAGAACTCCGTTGTAGCCGATCGCGAGATTTTCCATCTCGTGTACCGGAGCATCGAGCATCTCGATGTCACCACCTGATGAGGCCATGGTTTGGAGGTCAAAAGGATAGCAGTAGGCATACTGTGCTGAGAGCTTGGGGGACCATGGATTGACGAGATAGAGAAAGATGCAAGAAGGACACGTGGAAGTTACGGGTCTTGAAGAGTTGACAGAAGCGCAGTTGGGACAGGCAGTGGCATAAGCGGCAAAACGGAAGAGGGCAGTTTGAGCCTGCTTTGTGAAGGTGAAGCAGTGGTAAAGGCGGCAGCCGTGTGACTCTTCATGGTGAAAGTGAAGTGCAGCTAATGTTTGGTTTGCGGCCCCAGGACTCCACCGGGATGACCCAAAGCTCACTCAACTTCGACAAACATCACGGCTGTGTTGGCTGTTCTCTCGACCAGTCTCTCCTGTGGTGTGGAGGAGCCCTCGGGGCTTGCGCGAGGTAAGCGGAACCCAATTTCCAGGTGGATTGTCATTCCGAACGACATGTTGGCTTCTCATTTTCTCAATTGCGCTGACCAGCTTATGCAATGCAACAGAGGTCAATCGATCCTGGAGAATAACACGCACTGGCTGTTGTGACGGGAGAATGAATGCAACGATGAATAATACCTGACAATCGATTCGAATTGACGCTCAATGAATCACATTCTTTGCGTTGCACAATAGGAACGTGCGACGCTATGGCCCCTTCCACTTGCGGATGAAGAAGCAAACAACTCGATCCCTCCAACTCTCTCCTGCACCATTCCTCTACCGTCGCTCGTCTTGCCATCTACATTTATCTCTTAGACAAATCTAGCTCAGCAATCGGGCTACAGTTTGTGCCTATTAACCAAGTCACCTTCTCGTCTCCCTCAGAGCCTCTCAAAACCATCCCCCGCCAATCAAACCTCAGATGGCGAGGCGCAAAGCCAAGAAAACCAACCCAAGTTGGACCCTCAAGGCGGAAGTCCTGCTGTTGAACTGGCTTGACGCCAGCAAAGGCGCGGATGGAGCGTTACGCCACGACGAAGAGACAACACTGAACGATTTTGTCGCAGGCGACGAGTTCGTGCGCCAGCATGTGGGCATCCAAGACTTTCCGACAGAAGAAGAGAAGAGACAGCACGTCCAACTCAGACTCCGATACTTGTGGAGCAACTTCCGATCGCCACTCTATGCAGAGACACCTTTCGCCAAGACCATCATCTACACGAAAGGTAGCGCGGCACTGGACTGAAATCGCTTGGAAACCAGATTTCGTGACTTCTACACACCTGAAGAGTATCGAGCTCGAAAAGCCTCCGCAGGATTAGACGCAATGGCCGCTGGCCGGACCAGTAATAAACGCAAAAGCCGCGAAGAGCAGGATGCCGGAAATGGTGCCTTTGAAAGCGCAGCCGGTCACTCAACGCCGAAACGACTCCGTCCAGGAAGTGGCGAGCAGCCAGGTCAGACAATCCCTTCATCCACGAGCCCCGTGGAGAACAACAGTGGCCCAGAATCCATTCAAGGCCATCCGCCACCTCAGCCACCAACCAGCATTCCACCGCCTTTGAGCCGAATTGAGCGTAGGACTCGGCAAGATGCCATGCTGTCTGATCTTGAGCTTGCCAAGCTTCCGAAATTCAAACGCTTGATTGGGGAATCTTGGGAGGATGTAAACAAACCCACAGAGGTGTTTATGCTCGAAACTCAATGGATGAGAATGTACACGCAAATTGAGCAGACAGTTCAAGCTTACGTTCGAAGCTGGGGCCTTGACAGTCTTCACCCAATCATACTCGCGCCCCAAACTGCCTATCCACGAAAGCCGAATCATCTGGTGAGCCTGATTCTCTGTGGCGGTATGACACACGTTGAATGGCGGCGCGAAACATTTCAGTCCCTTAGAGACAACAGAGCCATCACTTATTCCCTCTTCCTTCGGTCACTGCTCATGTCTGCAGTAACCGACTGGTGTCTCCATTCCCAAGTGGAAGAGGCCAAGGTCTACAAGAGCTACGGCGGAGGGGTGATCCAGCAGGTGCTTGCAAGTTGTGAGTCCTCTAGCATCCTCACGTCATATCGTACTTGTGTTAACCTTGCTAGCCGTCGAGCCCATTGTCGAAGCAAGACTGCGACAGAAGTTTCTTGAGGCCTACATCGAGAAAGAGATCAGACCGCAGATACCATCACAGGCAAAAGACACGGCGACCACGTTCCAAGGATTTGTTGACCTACTAATGCCTCGTCAAAATACTCCATTTGGCTTGCAAGCTATTCGCAACGTCAAGGCTTGTCCGAGGACCGACCCAATCCGTCCCGACATGCCCATCCGTGACTTTGCGCTTCTCGAAGAGTCAGTGCATCGCATCAACTTCAGGGAGGATCTACGCAATATTTTTGAGACGGCTCTGCAATGGCGCGCCGAGAGAGATCAGACGATGTTTGAGATATATGATTTCAGCTTTCCTGGCCTCGGAGATGAATACATCGCGGATCAGATGGTGGAAGAAGTGGACAGCGAAGGGAACAAACGCGCCAGACCGGTCATTCTCTGCCTCCTCCCGGTCCTATTTCGATCCGTTTCGAAAAGATTACTCAGCGATATGGAGATGTCGAAAAAGATCGTCAATGGGATTGTGGTCTAGTCAGGGGGACACGCGTAATGCCGGTGCATGTTGAAGAAAAGAATCTTCAGGTGGGAAATCTCATGTGTCTCGTGGCGTTGAGTGATTCAGTATGATATCGAGCATATTCTTGATAGCTAGTAGTGCCGGTTAATCGGAGCAAATTCTTATCGTGAGAACGCAATGTGGTGTCGTATCGCCGGCTACGGACGCCTTTTCCGTCACTCAAGATCAGCGTTCTGGTCTCGGCGTCGTCGCACACATCCTACCCTGCCCTGAGTCGCTTCAGAAGCTGCGCGGCTTGACCGCGCAGGCGTGAAGCGTCATCCAGGCGTAGAATGTATACGTTACCTTTAACTTATCACGAATAGTCTGAATCAGAAGCTCTCCCGGTGAGCCGTTCTTGTATCGAACTACTTCCAGTGTTGCACCTGCAGCTGCATTGGTAGGCAGTTACGTGGGAGGGGGGGTCACTCTTTGTGACTCAATTGGAGGACACGATGAATTCCAGAGAGGTCTGGGCAGAGACCCAGCTATATAGTTACGGAGGCCTATGTTAACAATACGGTATCGTACATTAAGGGGTTATGGCCCATTACAGCCCTTGGCACTGTCTGGCCAACCGTTCGGATGACCTTCCCAGTCACTCTTCCTTGCTCTCACTTTGGTTTCATCTCTCTTTCTCTCTTCTTCGTGGAAAATACAAGATGCCAATCCAATGCCATCACACAGAGGGTGGAGAACCTTGCCTGCAGAATAAAGCGACATACTCGCCCAGTACTTACTACCCCTTCTTCAGCCCCTCCCCGGTAACATCTATTCTCCTGAATGACCATTGTGAAAGAGCTGAGGTTGAGGTTGAGCTTTGCCACAACGTAGTCACTTAGTCCACCGTCGCTTAGATCGCTGGAGGACCCTTGAGGCCAAATTCCGTCGTTATCATGGGCTAATCATGAGTTATGAACGAAGTCTGTCCTCCTGGCTACATGAATCTATGGAGCCTAGACTCGGTGGACTTCATTGGATGATTCTTGATCCGTGCTACGATGTTCGCATTGAGGTTGCCTACCAGAATCTATCTATGACACAGTGACGACTGTAGACAAAGTCTGGGCCCTCGTATAGTTGCACGCACCAGTGTCCTGGGCCTGCACCTGAACATACGATACATTCTGAGGGAAGAGGAAGTTCGTCTCGAAGCCCGTCCTCTCGACTGGACCCATGGCTTGGAGGCTCGAGGGCGACACGCCACCGAAGACCGTCCACGACTTGTACTCCGTGTTGCCGTTCCACGACATGTACACTCTGACACCATTCCCTTCTCGCTCCGCGTAGACGTCTGGGGGCGTTTGGGGACACCCGGTCCAAGGGCCGCGGAAGTCGCGGTACCCGAGGACGCCGCCTGGTGGGGTGCCCATGCCGTTGGCTATGGGCCCAAACTGTGCTGTCATGACGGAGTCACCTTGCTCGTTGAATTCCTGCATGATGGGTGCGAAGCCGTAGCCGACCATTATGTGGCCGCCGGGCAGATATTGCATGTTGCCTTGTGCTATCGCGTAGATTGGCAGGTTGGGGTTCTCATATCGAGCCACGGCAACCGCGGTCTTTGCTTCGGTATCTAGGCTGAGGATGAGGCCCGAGCTGGGCACCGTAGGGTTGGGCAGCGTCAAGGGAGAGTTTGCATTGTCGAAGAGGGAGATGACGATCTCGTTGTCGTTGGTGCGTCCTTGGCGGGGCCCAAGTCTTTGTCGGACGTCATGTTGGTAGCAGAATGTTGCGTTCGGGGATAGCTGGAAGTCGCCGCCATCAATGCCCGAGAGGACCCAGAGGACGTCGCCGGAACTCTTTTCTATGGCAATCTCGGAGCAAAGGTAGCGCGAGCTGATGATGTACCCTTCCCGGCCGTTTAATTGGCTGACGGCGTTGATGTGGAAATAGTTCCAAGCCGTCGCTTGAGTTGTACCATTGTATCCCTCATCGCCCAGTGGCAGCTGAGATGCAGAGAGTGGAAGCTTGTCCAAGTGATCAAGCGCATGCCATTCGAAGATGACCTCGTTGCTGGCAATGTCGATTTCGTAGATGATGGAATCAACTGTCCAACCGGGGTACGGCCCGCCAACAGAAGACAAGTCATGCTGTGTGACATTATTTGCCGTGACCAGGATGGTATCTTGCGGCGTGATATTGATTTCGTGAAGGTCGACGTTACTTGGGAAGGTTTGAGAGGCGTCGAGCGTCAAGAAGAGTCCCGGAAGACTGACTGTGGCGGTAATCTCGTAGGAGGAATCAAGGAGAACGATTGACCCGTAGCCGCGGCCAATCGGCTCTGGAAAGACCGTGCCGTTCCAATACGCTAGGACAGTGTTGCCTCGATATTCGTACGGGCCGAAATTGAAAGCCGGACCACGGGGTCCGAACCACACGAGCTCGTTGTCGTCGGTGAAAATGACGGGCGCAGTGGAATTGATATGTGCGAAGCCGTTGGGATTCAAGAAGAGGTAGCCGGGGGCCGTCTCTCCAGTCTTGTTGATTTCAAGGGACAAGGGCGAGATGGTCGGGGCCGACTTGAAGGAGAGCGTCGGCCAAGGCGGCGAGCTGGGTTGTTGTGCGACACTGATATTGATCAATAGGACTGTGCATAATGCGAGTGCGAGTATTTGTCGAAGAGGAATGGACATGGTGCCTGTCGTGAATGTCCGTGGAGCCTGGATCACAGTACTTTGTCTCGTAAAAGCTGCTTGAGCGGTACAGATAGTCCTTGGTTACGTTGGCAGGTGAAGCAGAGAAAGGTCCCCGAGGCTGCTCTTATTGAGCTTGCGGCCGCCTGCGTAGGACATTACGTAGTATGCAGGAACCAGCAGAAACGTCAGCTCGGCATGGTCCTTCCTCCCCACAGATCGCCATGGGTTCAGCGATTGGTGACACGAGCTCGATCTGATCATTTGCAGCCAGGTACTCCGTACTGGCGGTGGCAACGGCGTCGTCTCACCGACCGCTCTTCATCCCCTGGAAGCCGCCGCCGACCGCCGCGCATCCTGAAGATGCTCAGGTGCCCGACGCTAGAGCTTTCGCAACACAGCCAAGTCTAGTGCCATAATTAACACTAACTAACCTGCTGGGTGCCTGCCATGCAGAGACATCGGGAGCCTGAGAGCAGTATGAGTTAGACTTGCGAGCCGACGCAAGCCTTAGCGAAGCTTACCTGTTCCAAGCGTGGAAGCGGGGTCCCTTCGGCATACCTTCTCCACTGTCGACGGAGTACATGATGCGGAACCGTCGGCTTCATTTTCCCCTGCTAGCTGTCGCGCTTCTTCTGGATATATTCTTCCTCTAACACAAGAGTGTGTGAGCGCTTCCATGCAGTTGTTGGTGGGCGGGCGACGCAGTCAGATGTGCGATCAATATCCAATTACTGCGTCAGTGTCAGCGCAGGATACCGGGAGTCCCGAACCAGCAAGGACCACAGATAAATCGCAGAACTCATTCAACCACCGCCCCAAATATTGACCAGCACGGCGTAAGTAGTTCTTGCTGACCAAGCTCGCGGGATTTACTTTGACTATGTCACGGTCCTCGTGGCCATCGTGCTGTGTGTCCGCCATCGCGTCTACCAAATGCCACCCCATTCCAATGCTCTGCATCCGGGGCTCCTCGGTCCTTCGCATGTTATCGTAAGGGTTGCTGATATCAACTCATGAGTGTATCAGAGGATAAACAGACAAATCGGGAGCGGTGAATGACATTAAAAAATGGCTTCAGATCGTGACCTAGCTGCTTGATCCCGCAGGTCGAGTATCGTGGTACGGTGATGTGAAGACGAGTGTCGAGGTGATACTAATCTCACTCGGACCACCCGATATCTCGCATCTGCCTGGTTTGATTACAAGAATGAAGAATCGGCTAACGAATCCATGTAGGAGATGGCGGAGCCTGAGTCGTACGCAAGTGACCCTGGGATTGAGGCCTTGGGTGCGTCGACGCAGGGGTACTTTGCTAGCGCGCCTTCGAATACACAGTAAGGGTAGAGCAATTTGATGTAGAATTGTCCCGTTGCTGATTCTTCTCACCTTAGCTCACCTCAAGAATACCTTCCGCTTAGCCTTATGTGGGGAGAGCATTACCTAGTCACTACCATAAGGGTGCCGTTAGGTAAGCATGGCCCACAGAATAAGACCCGACGTCTAGCGGGACTGGCTCCGCCGACCCCGCACTACCCCACGTTAAATACCTGTACTGACCGTCGTCATGGTCCTCATCACAAATTTCTCTATTCCCATCAAACAACTCGCCAAAATGATCGCGCCCATGTCCCACGGTGATCTGCCCGCCTTCCCAGAAGGATTACCACTGGCCCCCATCGCCCGCATCTCGCACAACAAGCTCCTCCAGAACGATCCTGCGGAGGCGGAGAAGGTCTTAGAGGCTTGTAGAACTCATGGCTTCTTTTACCTCGACCTCACCGACACCGACGACGGCCAGACGCTGTTGGGAGAAAGTGAAGACCTTCTCGAACTCGCCTATCGCGCCTTCGACTGCCCGGTAGAAGAGAAGCGCAATTACGCCCTCGTCAAAGGCGTCAGCCTCTTCGGATACAAGGAAAACGGCACCGTCAAATTGACCGATCCGGAAAAGCGCCCTGACACGACCGAATTCTTCAATGTGTCCAAAGACCATATGCATGGCATCACTGAAAGTCGGACCTATCCCTCGGCGATCACAGACAACAGAGACCTCTTCAAACAGTTCACGCGCAACGCGCACGAAACCTGCATGCTTGTCCTGACCACGCTGGCGAAGCAGCTCAACCTTGCGCCTGAAGCGTTCGCGAATAAGAATCTCTTCAGTGAGCCCTCGGGCGACCACTGCCGCCTGACGCACAAGTTTGCGCATCACTCCGACAAGTCTGCCATCGGATTACCCTCGCACACCGACTTCGGGTCCATAACGATGTTGTTCAACTGGCTTGGCGGACTCCAGATCCAGTCTCACGACCCAGCAAAAAACAAAGAGTGGGAGTACGTCAAGCCAGTGCCGGGCCACGCCATCATCAACCTCGGAGACGCGATGGTCACCTTCACGAACGGGCTTCTCAAATCGGGCAAACACCGCGTCATTCCAGCGCCGGGCGAGCAGGTCAATGTGGATCGATACAGCATCGTGTACTTCGTCCGACCACATGATTCGGTTTTGATGGAACCGCTTCCAGAGTTTACCAACTTGGCAGCCCATTTGAAAGTGGCGGGCAAGTTTGAACCCGAGGGCGGCAAGACGCTCACGGCAGGGGAGTGGATGAGACAGCGGTCAATTCAGCTTGGATCATGATTTCAAAAAAGGACATTTTCGGACTGTGTTTCTCACTTCATGGTATTTGTATCGTGCTCTTCGACGGGGAAGTAGGCAGTACGATTTCAAAAATAAGTATTGCTGTATTGAAATCCCATTCCATACCACAATTGCGGAATTCGCAGACTTTGCCATTCTGTTTGTCGTCACAATGGGTTGTTCGCAAGGCAGTGGTTATGGTCATGGCTTCCTAAAATGTGTAGGAGTCTTGGGTCGTGCACTTTTCATGCCGCCATGTTGGCTCGATTTCAGCCCTCCGACATGACCCGCGAACAGAACAACTCGCAATCGACGATAAAAGCGACCGATTCTCCAAGGCTGACCTGGCTTGACAGCAGGAGTCCAGGAGGTGATTATTGAATTCGGGCTTCAGTCGTCCAGGGGGTTAATGCTGCAGATTTCGCCGGCCTTGGCAGTGATTCAAAAGGTTTGGACAATTTGATCTGATACGAGCTGGCTGTAAGTCTAGCACGATGCAAAGGAGTTCAGAAGCCTGTTCTTTCTAGCCCGCTGCAGGGAAGAACGCGGGTCGCGAACTTCTTAAGTCCAGGCGGCATGAATCCGCTGCCCATTTAGTACTAGTTTGAGCCGCATCCTCGCGCGGCTCCGCAGCCGCAACGTTTGCAGTCGTCGCTCTCGGACGAACCTCAATATGAGCCTGCCCTTGATCACCTCACGCAGTATTGGCTATCAACGCCCTTTTCAATGTTTGCGCGATGTTCGCGAGGGACGCCAAAGTGCTTCTCGCCTAACGCACCATGCCAGCCGCAATCGTCTCTCCTTCGTCCATGTCCGCGCTTCAACTCATCCCTCCCTGAGCGGACCCGCAAACTTCCCAATGCACGAACATCCAGCCCCAGCTCGAAGCTGCTCACCGACTGGCTGCTCAATCGCTGGTTCCTCCTCGGAATCGCCTCTGGGTTTCTCTTGAACGAGTACTTGAAGCGCCGCAGGGATGACTCCTTCGTCACATACACCTTAACGGCCAAGGAGCCCGTCTCCTCGACCGCAAGCATCTTCCACTTTCACCTCCACCCGAAGCAGCACTCGCAAAATTACGAGCTCTACAAGGAAGCATGGAGACGGGCCATCTGGAACGTGCAGTTCAAACAGCCCCAGCTGCAGATCGTGAGGGCGTACACGCCTTTGCCGCCCGTGGATGTGGACGAGAAGACCGGGCCGGGCCAAGAAAAAGAGACAGAGGCGGGAGATTTGCGGTTCCTCATCCGCCACGACCCGCACGGCGAGGTCTCCAGCTGGCTGCACAGACTGCCCTTGAAAACGGAGATCGAGATGAGGGGGCCGTACCTCGAGTATGAGATCGGCGAGGACGTGCGACAAGTTGTCTTCTTCGCGGGCGGGACGGGGATTGCGCCCGCTTTACAGGTCGCGCATGCTCTGTTTGGAGGAGACACTTCGGCACCGCGCAAAGACCGCAAGCTGCATATCCTCTGGGCGAACAGGATGCGGCAGGACTGTCTCGGTGGCGTCAGCGACGAGCCGCCAGCAGAGTCGTTGCCTCCCAAATCGACGTGGTCGGGCTTCTTCTCGGCGCCGAAGCCGAAACCGCCGCCGCCGCCGCCATCGACAGAAAAGGGCCCAATCGTGCGGGAACTCGATGTACTCAAGCAGAGATATCCCGGCCAGGTCACCGTGGAATATTTTGTCAATGCGGAGGATACGTGGATCGACGAAGACGCCGTCTTTCGCGCACTCTCTCGGTTCGATGACAAGGACTTCTCCTCCGCGAACACGCCGACGTCGCGTGAACAGCGGCAAATCTTGATCTCGGGACCGCCTGGGTTTATTGCACATCTAGCAGGTCCAAAGGAGTGGAGGAACGGGCGGGAAGAGCAGGGCGCTGTCAGCAGGCTCGTGGCGCATGCGCTGGCAAAGAACCCGCATCACGTAAAGGTTTGGAAGATCTAGACAGACGTGTGAGCGGCTGAGAAGACAGGTACAGCACATCATGAGCGCCATTGCCTATGAGCAGCAGCACCGAGTCATGTTGAAGAGAGCTTCGTCGACGAAGAAGTAACGTATCGCTCTCGTAACCGTTCTTGGTATCCCTCAGCAATCATTATGGGCTAGACTGTGCCCGGAAGTGGTGATGTTCTGGACAGCAAGGCCTCAGCAATACGGTATGAAAACACGGCAATTTTGATTAGTGTAGTCACCCGCCACGTTACAATCGTGGCAAAACGGATCCCAGTTGCGCACGAAACAGTCCCGAGAAAGTCTCTCACGAGCACAAGCGTCACAATCCAATACATTTCCTTCAGATGACACGCACGACGCAAAATAAGACCTAACTGTCCAGCCAGCGCTTCACAAGAAGGCCTAAACGGCCTCATCGAGACTGGTCCAACTGCTGCCGTCAAAGTGGCTTCTCCATAGATTCCCGTTCGGGCCACAAGCAAACACATCGACCCGGGCTCCATACGCAATAGCGCAAGGGGTGTTGAAAACCTGCTGCGAGATCACTTTGGTGGCCTTCGCATTGTTGGCTCCGAACTGGTCGGCGGTCAAGCTCTTGTCGGCCATGTGGCAAACAACGCTGCCCTTCAAGTTGCCGTCGGTCGCACTCGGCACGTCGGCGCCTCTGATCGCGAAGACGAAGCACCTGTCATTCGTGACTGCGACGGTCGGCGCCGAAAACATAAACCTGCTCTCGAGTTGGATGCGGGTCGGCTTGGTCTTGGAGTATGGCTGATCCCAGGTATGCAGGGCAATCCAGGTTCCTGACTCACCGTTGCCGGTCCACAGGTGAACTGCCGTGTCGGGAGTCCAAGGCAGACTGGCTGCTGCCATTGGCAGATCTGGACGAGCGTTCTCATCCATCCTTTCCCCTGCTCCTGGGTCCTGCCCGTCCTGGAGGGTGAACCTGTACAAGGTCCCCAGGTCCGCGCCACTGGTCAGGCAAAACAGCCGACTGGGGCCACTGTTCTGCACCAGGTTCAGCAGGCACGGCTGGCCGATGGCGTACGAGCCAAAGCTGACAACTGTGGGTTCTGACGCATCTGCGTCCCATTTGAGCCACTCCACGTGGGCTTCGGAGGTACGGATTGCGACATCGACTCGGCTGAGGCCGGTGCTGACGACAGTGGGTCCGGAATGATAGATGGTGTCGGTGACCTTTTTCCATGATTGCCACGCTCCGTTGGTGTAGGTCTTCCGCCAGAGTTTGCGGTCCGCACCCAGGGCAAAGATGTCGCGAATGTCTATCGAGCCGTTACCTCTGTAGATAGCGCCAATCTCACGGTCGGTAGCAAGCACAATGCTGTCGTTGGGTGTGAAAAGCTCCCAGCTTCCGGGCGCTGACCTGCTTGCTGGACCCTGCTGTGGCTCGTTGATCCACTTCCGGTAAAGATGACCATCTCCTGCTACGGCGAATATTTCAGTCAGTCCCGCGGCTGTGCGGTATGCCTTCGGATTTCCAGCCATGATCATCGGCTTTGTGCCTTGGTTTACACCGGCATTGGGATCGGTCTTGCGGACCGGAAGGCCGAATGCGAATAACTGAGGATCGACGATATTCGGGAACGGCGGAGGCGGCTTTTCAGTGGTAGGCGCTGCGGGTCTCGACGCCAATTCGTCTGTTCTGGGCTTGGCGACGACGACCGCCGAGTCTGACGACTTCGAAGACGGGGGCCCTGAAGTGGCTTGGGGATTTCGGTCCTCGTCGGCAAGGGCCAGAGAGGCATCAATCGCGCGGTGTGGGTCAAAGGTCACGTAATCAACCTCCTGGGTGATAAGTGCCATTTGTTTCTTGATCTGCTTCTTCGTCTGGAGAAGGGCTTGGATCTCCACAGGGATAGCCTGTGGCGAGGCAGCCACCTGGTAGTCCGGCATGCTGCGGACAATGTCATTGAGCTGCTTGAGCAGAGTTTTGTACTCCAAGAATTGATCGAGCAGGTCGTTCGTGTAGGTCGAGGCCATATCGTAATCGAGCAGGCTTGAGGACCACCAGCTCGGAGCGGACTTGTGGAAGTCCTTCAGGTGGTCCCACTTGGTGATGATGGCGTAGCAGTATTCTGGATGCGCTGAAACCCGGGCCGGAAATTCCGTGGCTGCTTGGAACAGGCTGGCCATGTTCCACGGTTGCTGAGGATCTTTGACCTGACCACCTCCTCTCCAGTTCACAGCATAGTTGACCTCGCTAAGCGATTCACTACTTGTTTTGTCGAAGCCGCCATTGCCTTCACCCTTAAATGCGCTCATCGAAATGCTGAGCTGCGCCTTGATGTGCTCGGCGCTGTCCGTGTCTTTAGTAACCATGCTAACGATGGCATTGAACTCTCCACCCTTGACCCAGCCGGAGATGAACCCGTCTCCATAAGCATTGACAAACTGTTCTTTGCTGCCATAGACGGACTCGACCTTGTTGAACGTCATGGCAGATGTATCAGGCTGCGCGAGGTCGTTCATGACTTTGACGGTCAAGATATAGGTTAAACTGCTCTGTTTGACCTTGTCCTCTTGCACAAAGGCGCCACTACCGCTTGCCGTCACTGTTCCCAACTTCACCGAGGCCGCGGCCGAGATGTTGAGGTTCTCCAGTGCATCAGAGACTTTGTTGGTCACGGTCGTTTTGTAATCTACCACCTGGGGAATGGTGTCGTCGGGCGTGATCGGATGGAGCTTGACGTGCTCTTTGATATTCTTGATGTCCGGAATCTCCTCGGATGCGGTAGCACCTGTTGACGGATCCGCGGCTTCGAGGGCTTTGCCACCTGGTTTGCCAACTTGGTCGGCACCAGTAGGTGGAGTTGTTGCTGAGCCGCCAGGAGAAATATCGCCGTTCGGTCGAGGCCCGACCAAAGGCCCAGGAGCAGTGAGTTTGTGCTCTGCGGATTCCTTGAATGATACGACATTCTCCATGCACACTTGTTGGAGGTAGGTGTTATAGCCCTGAAGACGTGAGCTGCCAGCCAGCAGGAGAAATATTCCGAGAGTACACTCACCTGGCCAAGTCGCATTGACTGGTCGAAAGGCACGAGTATCAAAGGCATTCTGGAGGAGGTTTAGGGTGGTGAGTGAAAACAACGAGCTATGAGAGAACGGTTTCACACACTTGTATGGAGGCGGCGAATGCAGCAGACCTTATAGTTTCAGTGTCCTCCGGAACCCCCGTTCGTGGCTCTTGCCTGATCGAAAAAGGAGCAACACAGCATCTGTACTCCGTTGACAGCTCGAGCCTCAGCTCTCCGCCTTGGATTGATAATGAGAGTCTGCGTGCGCGTGGCTGTCGCACGTGGCCGACCTCAGCCAGCCCCAAGAGCGCCAGCTGGCGACACTCGCCGTATTGCTTTCCATCTCAAAAGCTATAGCAGCTTCCAAAACGAGCACTTGTGCTACCGGACGCAGAGGGAGGACGAAGGGGTGAGTGGGAAGTGAAGAACCCGGGCGTCCTTGGCGGTCTCGGGGCGCTGGTCGTTGACGGAAGGTTAAGCGCGCGGCGTCGATCTGTGGCTGGCTGTGCAGGGCAGAGCTGAACAGCTCCATTTCCTCCCGCACGCGCACCCTTCGCTTCATGCTGAGCCATGGAGAAACGGTTACCAGTTTCGGCCTGCTGCCTGCGGCCTGCATGTGCTCAAGCGCAGACATCCTTGGCGATCTTCCTGCGTCGTCTTGGACATGGTGTTTCGTGGTAGCGGTGTGTCAGTAAGCTGGATGGCTTGCAGAGCTGAAGGCGCAGTCCATCGTGGGTGCCAACATAAACGGGAAGTTGCAGAAGTTTCCACATCCGACTACTTCCAAGCCACGCTATTCCCGGGTCCGAACAGCTTTCATCCCTTCAATTGACGCTGTGCTGAATCTTGTACCTGAAACATAACTCTGAGAACCGAGCTGACTCTTAGACATCTGATGCCCTATATGAACACAAGCTCTAATAGCAGCAGTTGCGGCCTTGTAGCGGCTGCGTACGGCTGATCGTGAGAGATCTGCGACTCCGCCCAGGGTATTTGCTCTGATCATACAGCATTTCATCAGGTCAGTTCGCACGAACTGGTAGCGTCCATGGACAGCGACGACGACTCAGATATTCGACTCCTTTCGATCAGCAAACACGCCGCAGCAAAGGCTCCTTTCAATGTCCCGGCACCTAATCTAGGCGCCTTTCAAATTCCAAGCAAACCATTCGGACCCAAAGGCCTCGAGACGAAGGTGCTTGAAATTGGACTCTTCTCTGGTTTCGACTCAAAGCTAGCGAATGCACCAGATCTCGGGCCATTCCAGGCAGACTCGCCCTTCCAGCTTCAGGACAGCTACGAACTTGTGGTCACACCCTTGGGGCGGAACAGCTTCTCAGACGTGACCAGCACCTCGTCTTCGTCCTCGTATGAGCACCTTTCTGCGTCCGTCGGCGTAGGAGTTGACTGCGTGGTCTTTGGAGGATCTGTCTCCGTGTCATATGACAAGTATGTCACTACGAACACAGACGTATGTTCACTGCTTGAACGGACCTTCTTTGCACTAATCCGACCTATTGGGTCAGGGCCTGAAGCATAGCCAGCATGCCGTATGCTACGACTCAGCTATACGGTACTTGAGCCCACCACCACTGTCAGATGTGGCCAAACAGGTTCTGCGTGAGCAAGGAGAAGCCGCATTCCGAGCGAGATTCGGTGATTACTTCCTAGGCGGATTTGTGACAGGCGCAGAGTCTGGTCTTCTCATGTCGTATGCCCACTCTGATCGAGAGGAGACGGATATTACGCGCTTCACCATGACTGTCAAGGTCCTCTTCTGGAGCGCGAGCCACACCGAGGAAACCGTACACACTGACACTCTAGAGACCTCATCTTTGACATTCACATCATTCAACACACTTGATCCCGCGTCCTCTCGAATAAGTACCGCGCCAGGTCCTGGCAGTATTGGCATTACCTCACGAAACCCAACTATACAAGAGACACAAGAGCAGGTGCAAAATATAACGTTAACGACTCAGGCGTTGTCTACGCTTGTAGCAGCAAAAAGGCAGTCCATCTTTGGAACGGCGCTAAGCGCACAGGACTGGGATGCTGGCTGCACATTCACTGTTACCCATGCCGCAACCCGACTGACGAGCATGTATCCTTCGAGGATACTGTTGCAGATCCAGCTCATCCCCTATACTGTGCTATGGGAATACCAGAAAGTGCTTGGCTCCAGGGCGTAAGCGACGGAGCATGCATGTGAAGAGCGGACATGACATGCTATTGGCTTCGGCTCATTACAACTAGTAGACTCCGACGGCTACCAGTTGCCCTAACGTTGATAGTGTACAGCAGCAAGCAAGTCCACAGTCCGCACTACTTCTATCGTACCTGTGTGGTCGGTCGGTCTCCCAGCCACCAATCGGAAGTGCAAGAATTTAACCGAATTCCGCCTCGGCTTCTGTTGATACAGCAGATCTTTAGGCGGTCCGCCTCCTCATCAGGACTCACAAGCCAAGGTAGACCTAGGATTCAAATACCCCTTGTGCCGCAGAAATGAGTTTCTTGACCGTGTCACGCCGCCGCCGAGAAGCCGCTATTCTCGCGATCTCATAGCTTAACCAGCGCACACTGCCGCGATGCCTCCCCGCAGGACAATCTACCTCCCGACAAAGGACTATGAGCTCCCAGACATCGACATCTTGACCTTGATCTACGACTCTCCTGAATCCTGGACCCAGGAAAACACGGTTGTACATGCTGAGGCCGCGCTTCCTTCTAACGCCATCACGAAGGCCCAAGCTCGTGTCTACACAAAACGACTAGCATGGGTATTCAGGCACGTCTTCTCTATCGGCACAAATGGGCCCGGCAAAGATGTCGTTGTCTGCATCTCTTCCGGACAGATACTGCTGAGTAACGTCTTCTACGGGGTGATTGCCGCCGGAGGGGTATTTTCCGCTGCGAGTTCCGCCTTCACCGCAGGAGAGTTGGCGCGGCAGATTAAGCAGGGACGAAGTTCATGTATAGTCTGCAGTGAGGACTGCAGGGATGTGGCAATCAAGGCGGCGAAGGAATGTGGCGTGCCGGCGAGCAGGGTTTTGGTGTTAGAGAGTATGGGTGGGAAGAGAGTACTTAGGGACGTAGAAAAGAAGGGACAGAACTGGCTGGATGGTGGAGAAGTGGAATGGGTTAAGAGAGGTGACTTGTTGGACTGGGAGAAGATCACGGATAAGAAGACGTTGAAGGACCGAGTGGTCTGCTTACTTTATAGCAGCGGGACGACGGGGGTTCCCAAAGGTGATCTCTGGCCGCTCATCTTGTGAATGAGCCACGCTGACAACAATACCCAGGAGTCAATATCTCGCACGCAAACCTCGTCTCCGAAGGCTTGATTCCCCAATACCAAATCCGCGAATACTTTGCGCGCCAGCGTCGTCTCAATCCAGCCTATAGGTTCGAATACCGCACATTAGCACACCTCCCGGCAGCCCATATTGCTGGGTGCCAGGGCTACTTTGTCAACCCGTCCATCGCTGGCGGCCCCGTGTTTTGGATGCCAAAATTCGACTTCCCACTCTTTCTCGAATACAACAGACGCTACAAGATCACTACCTTCTTCACGGTCCCACCGATATACCTTCTCATTGCGAAAAGCCCTCTGGTTACCGATCAGTTTGCAAGCCTTGTGCACGCAATCACCGGCGCGGCGCCGATGGGCCCAGAACTACAGGCCATGGCGGAGAAGAAGTTGGGGTGCCAAATTTCGCAAACATGGGGCCTTTCAGAGACAACGGGCAGCGTGACAGCCATGCCTTGGGACCAGAAGGATGAAACGGGGAGTGTATCTCCTTTATTACCGAACGTGCGGATGCGAATCGTCGACGACGAGGAAAATGACGTCGAAGAAGGCCAGGAAGGAGAATTCATCGTCCAAGGACCCATGATCACGACAGGCTACTGGGCCAACGAAACCGCGACGAAAGAAGCATTCACCAAGGATGGGGCGTGGTTCAAGACGGGAGACGTAGGTCTCTGCAAGGATGGCAAATTCTACGTGGTGGACCGCAAGAAGGTATGTGCCACTGATATTAGCTCGCATGGGACTTGTCACCTCAACTGACGCACGCTCACAGGAACTGATCAAGTACAAAGGCCTCCAAGTCGCGCCTGCGGAACTGGAAGCCCTTCTCCTCTCGCACAAGCTCATCCTCGACGCGGCCGTCATCGGCGTCCCGGACCCGTCGGGTAGTGGCAACGAATTACCACGCGCGTACGTCGTGGCGGACCAGTCCATGATATCGGAAAGCGAGATCAAAGCCTTTGTCAGCCAGAACCTGGCCCAGCACAAGCAGTTGAGAGGCGGGGTGGTTTACCTGGACGCGATTCCCAAAAGCCCGAGCGGGAAAATTCTCAGGCGCGAGTTGAGGGAACTGGCTAAGCGGGAGCGCGTGGCGGGACGAGCGAAGATTTAGAAAGGTAGATTGGACCCGTGTCTGGTGGGACAAGCGAACATCTAGGTAGGTAGGTAGATCGGATCTAGAACTGGCGGGACAAACAAGCATCTACCTGGTAGATTGGATCCAGATGTACGGAGTCCTGTGTCTCGCTATACTTAAGCCAAGGGAGGAAAAGGGAAGGAGAGATGGATGAAGACAGTGGATAAACAAACGGTATACACGTACACGTACGCCGTAGAATACAGGATGGAGGACCAGGCAGAGCGGACCTTGACCCAACCACGCAGGCTATGCTTTCATGGCTCCTGTTCCTTCTTATCGATGGCGCTCCACGTACAGAGTATCTTCTTCCCGATCGCGCTCCATGTACAGAGTATCGCGGCGGGAAGGGAACGTGTGGAACCGCATCAACGTACCATAAGCAGACCCGATCCTCAGATCACGCATCTCTCCGCACTCGAGAGCATGGCGCGGCATCGTAAAGCGCAGGAAGTACGGAAGTCCATCCCACTCGGCCGCCTACATACGTACCACTGAACGCAGGATAGGTTGGCCTAGCTACAGTACTGTACCTAGGTAAGGCAAGGTTACAGTCGGGTGACAAATGGATTGATTGCAGCTAGGGGGTTCAGAACCTGGTCTTTGGCGAGTTGGATGACACTACAAACGGGCAAAACGGGTACAGTAAATCGTTCGAGGGTAGCCAATGTTCCGGACAGTCAGCCAATGACAGACCACGAAGCGTTCGATGGAATTGGGTCGTCGTTTAACCCGCCTCAGCCTTTCGCGTCATGTGCGTGCATGTGGTATAGGTATGGAGTTACGCGTGGTCTTCAAACCTCAAGCACGTGTCTTGCGCCATTCCGGAGTAATTAAACATTCACGGCTTCGTTGTGGGGGCCGCGCTCCGTCGGACGACGGCGACATGCATCTCCATACGTACCCGGTACCGGGGTATGCAACAGTGCGATTGTATTGTTACGGAGTCGACTTTGCGGGGGTCGAGATGACTCCTGACCGGAAAACCAGGCCCATGATATTGGTAAGCACGAGCTTTACGTATAGTGCCTGGAAAATGTTATCGATTAATGTACTTAGGTATGTGTCTCTGTGTGCGTGTGGTCGACACCAGGAAAGAGAGGCGCCTAGTAGGCTATTTTCGTTCTCAGCGCCTTCCGTGCCCGCTCAGAATATCCAACGCCCTGATTGTGACTCTGACTCATGAGGATCGCTCTGCTCGGCTTGCATATATTCAACACGCCTTGCTTCAAGAGAGGATCAATCCTGCCCGGCCCCGAAAGAAAGTACACGCCCAACGATCACAGGAGTGGCGGGCGCATTCATTCACCTCCGGGGCGTGGTGGGCGTTGCGACGCCGTTCGCGCGACCTCGATCCGACTGGCCTGAGTCCCTGTGCTGCCCATCCCCCATCATGCCCTGCATAAAGGTGATATAATCATACTTAGGCACGTTCCGGTCGGCCTCCATGTCCGGCCCGGTATGTTCGGGCATACTGCTCAATAGATCTTCAATCAAATCATCCGGGATCAGCGAATGCCGCAGATCCATCTCCGTGACGTAGGGTTTCCCGTCCGCGACCTCGCGGAACGACTGGAAGACTTGTTCCGAGCTGTTCTGGTCTTCCGTCACGGAAACCATAAATCGAATAAACTGCTCGAAGCCCACGCCGCGGGATTCCCGCTGACGACGCGAGACAGGCGACATACTGGGATCGATGCCGGTATGGCATACCTCCACAAACTTGTCGTGCATTTCGTGTTCGTCGTACACCAGGCCCAGACTGGCGAGCGCGGCGCTGAATTCGAGCTCCGTGAGCGCATTTGTGCCGTCACGGTCAAAGTGGCGGAACACGGATTCGAATTCCTCGAGCTGGATCGGTGTCAGGTTGGTCATGTTACGAGCGACCATTTGGTTCTCGAGGAAGGTTAATTTCTTCTGCACACTGGCCTTGACCAGGCTGAGCTCGTATAATAGCTCGTCGTACGTGTATGTGGTGTAATCGTTTTCGTCAATGTTGGCCTCCTGGCACTTCTCGTCGAGGATTGCTATGCCCTCGAGGTATTGCTCGAGCGGGCCAAGATTGTCGGCGAGCCGTTGGGCATGGTCCAGTTGGTCCTCGACATCACCTTCCAACCCTGAGACGGCGAGGGAGAGTGTGTTCAGGGTCAAGGCGAAATCATTGGCCTTGTCGGCAAAGGTCCTTCTCAACGCGTTCTTGATGTCTCGGATGGTCTCGTTGATCAGCTTGCTTCGAGCGTGCTCGTCAGTTCCCAAGGCCGCCCATTCGTGGTCGAGCACTTCCAGTCTCAGTTCTGGCGGTGGCTGATAGGGACGGAGTCTGTACGTGGAGAGTTTGGTCTTGATGTTGCCTAGCAGTGCTGCCAAGTCCGACTTCTCGGCCACCCACTTCCGCTTCTGGTTCCGCTTGTAGTTGGCCAGCGCATTGGCCTGGGCCTTCGCGTCTGCGTACGTTCCCTGGAATTGCGAGTCGCGCCAGGCCTGCCGCTGTTGCCGGATCTGCTGTAGCAGGGCACGCATTCTCTTCTCGTATGCCGATTCCATCTCCCACGCGCCTTGCATGTTGCTCACGAACTTCTCGACTCGTCTGCCCGCATTTTCCACCCTCTCCATGGCACTAAATGCGTGGAACCAGTAGGCAATGTACGTCATAAGCGACCTCTCATCGGGTTTGGGCACATCTGCCACGTCTTCGACATCCAGCAGGTCCGGGATGCCGATCTCTCTGCTCGCAATCTCAAACGCCAACTTCATGTTCCCTTTGTGGTCCGACTTATCCAGTGTGTCGAAGTCGATCAGGTCGGGCCGGTGGATATCCAAAAGCGCACAAAAGGCGAGCCCATCGTTCCAAGAGGACGAGAAGTCCCGCACTTCGACTCCCTCATAGCATGCCGTTTTCCGTTGACACCAGAGTAGCAGACCTTCCTTGGCCGTCAAGCCTTCCTCGTTGATGTCCGAGATGGTGAACCGCAGAATGAGCGTCCATATCAGCCCCAAAATGATCTTGCGGTTCCCATCAACCACATCCTCTGCACCAATGTTTGTCATCTGGATCCCGCGACTCTTGATAAACTCGAGTGATTTGTTGACGTTTTCGAACTTCTGCACCCGCAGGCGAGGGTTCGCCGCATATCGGCCGAGAGATTCATTGCTGAGGATCTCGAGAAGGTGGATGAGGATGATGCCGTCGGAAAGGTCTGTTACCAGGCTTTTGACGGCGACTTCGCGGGGTTTTATCTTGTTATTGAGCCTGAATGTGTCAGTCTATCTAGGCCGAGCGTGAGTCGTGGCATGTACCATTTTGTAAAGGTCTTCTCTTGGACATTCACCCATTGCTTCTCCAATAATACCATGGCTGCATGTCAGACGGCGGGAAGGTTGACAATGATGGATACTCGGGGGTCTACGTCCGCAGGTCTGGTCGAGCGGTGTCGATTGTACGGAGATACAGTATCCAAAAGGTAGCAAACTGACAAACGCAGGTTTCAGTGCAGGGCCGACGGACGTCCAAGTGTCATCCAGACTAATATGCAGTCATTGAGAGAATGATTTAGACTAGGTAACTAATCCTGTGATTCCCAGCTGAATGCCAGCTGAAGGGAGCGTGAGGGGGTCAGTTTTTCGGCGTTGTCATGTTCCGAAAAGTAAACAAGCCGCCAGCGGGGCAACGAGGCCAAGGCCGGAAGCCCGCCAATCACATGGTCTCGGCTCCTATAGGTATCGCTTACTAGGGCATCAGCGCCTCCTTAAAAAGCAGCTTTACGTGTTCCTGTTCTTGACTTCCACGACCTTGAGCTTGATTCCATCGTCCTTGGTTTAAGCTCACCGAGTTACCGACCCTCGCAAAGCGATGTGCACGTCAAGAAGGCTGTCGACCGCTGCAAGCCACTCGTGGCGGGACTTCCCAGAAAATGACGCCATGACTTCATTTACCTGGAGACACCAAGAAGGTTCGTAGAGTTTGTCGTTGTTCCGTAGGTAGATTCTCCCTTTTTCTTTACCGAGCTTCAAAGGCATCTCTGCCTGCAGCGTTAGTACCCAGCAAGATGGGATCTGTAGCCGACTCGTCAGAGAAATGGTGCTGGGTCACACTCGTCACCAAGCCGTCCTATCTGCCCGGAGTCATCATCCTCGCACATACACTCGACCAGCACAAGTCCAAATACCCTCTCGTCGTGCAGTACACCGACTCGCTGGGTGATGAGGCCATATCCGCTCTCCAGGAGGAGGCCCGGAACTATGGACGCCTACAGCCCGAGAGAGTATCTCTCCTCCTGCCCAGGAAAGAACAAGAAAACACGGGTAGCGTTGCCGAGCGCTTCAAGGACACGTTCACCAAACTCCGAGCCTTCGAGGTCTACAAGCTAGGGTACAGTCGAGCCGTCTTCCTAGACGCCGATATGGCCATATTCCACAATCCCGACGAGATCTTCGAGTGCAGTTTGCCAGGTCGAGACTGGCTGGGTGCCACTCACGCCTGCGTATGCAATCTGGACTATGATTCGTGGGCCCCAGCCGAGTGGAACAAGGGGAATTGTGCCTTTACGCCGTTGAACCACCCAGACGAGGTAGCTGCAGAGATTACGCCCGAGTCCCGGCCGACATATCGCCTGTTGAATGGCGGCATGTTTCTGTTCTATCCGACCGAACAAATGTGGAACAGAATGCTGGATTCCTTCAACACTACCGACCGCCTCAAGACATATCAGTTCCCCGACCAAGACTTCCTGGCAGACTTCTATCGTGATAAGTGGTACCCCTTGTCATGGAAGTATAACGCGCTTAAGACCATGCGGTATTGGCATCCGCGGATGTGGTCGGATGACAAGGTCGTGGTCCTCCACTACATCGTCGACAAGCCGTGGGAGCGGCAAGTCAACGAGGATGGTGTTGCGGGCCACCTCGGGAGAGACGGGTCAACTCATGAGTGGTGGTGGAGTATCTATCGGGGCTGGCGAGCCGAACGCGAGAAGACTCGACCTGATAGTCTCGTGCTTGGCTCCATGTCGGAACTGGTCGATACAGAGCAACCGTTCACAGAGGTGATTCCACTTCCGCAAGAGGTTGGAAAGCCCGAAGATGTTTCCTAGAGCCATGAGGGCGCTCGGAAGGTTAAAGGTGATCCAACAGGAAAGGGATGGATGAGGCAAGACAAAAACTTTTGGGTATCAATTCTCCTGTGCCGGCATCCACCAACCATCCCCAACATCTCATGTATGTTCCAAGACCCGAGTCACTGTCTAAACTTTTGATTGTGCCATCCAATGCTTCACAGTCTTCCAGGGAGGTGGTCTTGGTGAGATAGGCAGATCCAGAAGATTCTTCCGAGCTCAGCAGCTCAATTTGTTCCCTGCGGCTGTTTCACTCTACCCGGCTCGTCGCTATCTTGACTTTGGACGGTGGATAGGTGCTCGCTGTAACTGCCCCAGTGCCACATGATATCAATGCATCCTGCATCAAGAAGTTGTCTAGCCATCTCGGTTCTTTGTCCTAGTGTATGAGTCGACCCAACATATCCCAAGCACTTCAACTTCGCACCCACAGCGGCCCCGACTCCTGACATACTGTCCTCAACAGTCAGACATTCCCCTGCCTGAGCACCGAGCTTCTCAAGCGCATGGAGGTAGACACCGGGATCGGGCTTGCTCGATGGAGCAGAAAGAGAATCAGACGCGGAGAAGATCTTGTCGCCGTCAAAGTACTTGATCAGTCCCGTCACGCGTAGGCAGGTGCGAATGCGGCGGAGTGATGAGGAAGAAGCGACAGCAAGGATGAAGTCATCGGATTGGTGGAGTCCGGCAAGTGTTTCGGTCACGCCAGGGCATGGTTGAATCTTCGCTTCAATGTTGGCAACCACCCGATCTTCTTGGATAGCATTGTAGGCTTTCAACTCGCCTTCGCTCAGTTCGAAACCAAGTTGTTGTTGCAGAGTTACCAGGATTCGGCGAAAGTTAAGACCAACAAACTCCGAGATCAGGTCCTCAGGCGAGAACCGGATGGCGACGTCCCTCTTTTCCAACACCTCGTTAATCAACTCGCAGCAGATTTCCGAGGCGACATCCTCCGATTGCACCAGGGTATTGTCGCAATCAAACAGCAGATATTTGATCTGTGGGCAGAGTCAGTACTTAGGGAAACAAATACAGGCTAATAAAGCCGAGTCAAAGCCGTACCTTCATGGTGCCAAACGCAGCAAGCCAGTGGTGCAGTCGCGACAATCCAAGTTGTTTGCTGTGGATCAGTGGAATTTCGCTGGGGCGTCGTTAGCTGATAGCAAAGCTGAAGCACAAGCAGCTACTCCGTCTGTCCTTGGCCAAAACTAAGCAACGCCGGCGTCGGTGGTGAATCAAACATATTGGCGACGTTGCAAACTGGACTGCCTGCAAACAACGCGGCTGCTTTCACGTCACAACTCTCCACGGCCGCGTTATAAGGCATGACAGCGGCGGCAGGATCGTAGGTGAATGACAGCATCTCCGGGCCAGTCGCGGTGGTTTCTGAAAGACAGCATACAGAGTGAACGTTGCGTGTTGAGAGTGAAGATATGCTCTGTCGTTGTTGACACAGGTCCGGTCGGTGAAGCATTCGTCCATCTTCGAGAAACACATAAATTAACATTTGAGAAACGACCAAAGCTACCAACTTCATTCGATAATTACAGCAGAACTCTTCCCGCCTACCTATTCAGCTGTGCTGTTCCATCGTGTGCTAATGGTGCCTTCCATCTAGAATTGTTTGTTGTCAAAGCAATTTCTTCACAGTGACTCCTTGATCATCTTCAGAATTGGTCGCGCCTGCCACCACAATGGCACCTCAACAACACGATGGCCACGATCATTTATACGTCATCTACACCCACGAGCCCTTCGCCGTTGGTAGTGGTGCAGCAGTCGTGCTTCTAATCTAGCAGCGTTATGATTTGGGCCTGAATCTTGCCTGTGTTGTGTTTGATATCTGCGGCTTGGTGTCTCATGCTCATTTCCACCCCTTGCATTGACCATGCCCTAACCCAACCAAAGCTGGCAACCCCGGACCTCGTGACGACCCTTGCATGTCATGGAGGCCGAATTCCAGATAAGCGATCCGCTCAGACCATCTCAGAGCTTCAAAATGAGCAGATCGCCTCGAGGGACGAAGCGACCGCACACCAACGTCTTTGATCCGAATGAGGCTCGCCCTCCAGAGCCAGATTGGAGTCCTCGTCAACCCTACGGCAGTCCGCCCCTCAAGATGCCCATGCCTTTTCATCCACGGACCGCCGGTATTCTCAGGAGTGAATCTCCACTAATAGGACAACATCTACGAGCATCCTCCCAGACACCCCTCAGCAGAACGTCGGCAACACTATCGCGCAATGCCACTGGAACACCGACATACACATTCGGATCGTCGGTGAGCCTTGATCCTGGTTCCTTGCCACCTGTACCCGACCCGGTGGCGTTGGCGGAAATAAAGCGGATGGTTCCTCAGATCCAATCCACCAAGGAAGGCTTGAGGAACGTTGGCGGAATGATTGAAGCATTGGGAGCTTATGTCAAGCACGCCAGTAATACGTCGGTGCCTGGGTCCAATGAAGATCAGAAATCCAGCAGTGACAGAACGTCACAAGACATACTCGAGGGCGAGTTCCCAAACACTTTGGCAGGGTCCGCGTTCGACGCATTCCTCAACGATCTGGAAGATGGAGAAGGCGGCGGCCTTGGTATCGTTTCAGGAAACAGTACGCAGGCGGAAAATCGCTAGCACCGAACAGAGCCAACATCAGCGGAAGACGACATGGTTGAGATACTTGGGAAACGCAGGGCATTTCTCGTTGCGCGAAGGGCGTCCCGCCTGGTTCGACGCTTGAAGGAGGTTCGACGGTTCCAACACCGACCAACATGAACCCTCAGCACAGTCGCCTGTCAATATGCATCAGTAGATATCGGTAGCGGGGTCGGACTAGAAAATGAGGAGATGGCAGCATGAGAGAAATGCCGTATGTACCAGCGAGTCTAGGTCCTGGACGAACTCCAGTGTCGTGAACACGTATCCTCGCCTTTTGTGCCTTGCCTTCCACCTCCATGCCTTCTTGGAGTGAATACTGCCATTTGTCATGTCCCCGATACAAAGATCTCACCGTTCAGGCGTTTCTTCTTCAATCGTCTGCCTCCACTAGCTGGAGTCATACCTCACACGGTCATTCGCCGCTGTCAGGCCTCACCTCAGACAGGAGACCTAGAGGGCTCATGTCTTCGGCGGTAGGTTGAGTATGATGAGACGGCCAAATCCACTCATAGTTTGCTTGTGCACGAAGTAGTCCCGGCGTTATAGCTCATCTGTCAGCAGGATCTCCCACAGTGGACCTACCTCCGCAGCCTGATTGATCCAGGTCCTTTGTTGCTTGCTTCCACAACCCTGTGATAAATCACAGTCATTCCCAGTAGGCCTCTCACGACCACAGATTGTCAAACAACGCTCTGCTGTTCTTTATATCATGCATCCGTCCTTTTGTGCTCTCATTCACCGTCTCAAGGATGTGATGCATACTAGAAGATCGAGCTGCAGGGGTGGGACTCCTTGTCCGCCCTCTGTGCCGTCAGTAGGGCAACGTCGTTCACACGCCACCGACAATTCTCGGCATTTTTTCCACCAAAATCTTGTCGTCGTGGGGCTTATGGGTCCTGTCCAATGACATGATGGTTGAGCGCATGCTTGGCGTCGTCAATCGTCGGCTATGCCTGGCTGTGTTAGTCACGGTCTGTCACGATGTCGTCGTTGCCTGTCACGCCCTGGAATGATCATGTCGTCGTCTGTCACCATCCTCCACGCCGCCGCCTTGGCGTCGTCTTCAGGGGTATAAATATCTCCCTCCTTGGCGCCATCTTTCCTCGTCTTCCTCCTTCTCCTCTCCAGAACACACAGGCTCTTGGCCTCCTCGGCCTGGACCTGTGAGAGTCCGCGAGATGGAGATACGGACTCTCTTCAGTGCCCAATAGGCCATCTTTGTCTTCTTCATCTCCAGTTCACCCGTGTCATACTCCGCTGTCGACACAATGTCGGAGACATAAGGTAAGTGCTGCCGACATCTCCATCGTCCGCTGCTGACTTCTCTGTAGTGCAATTTGAGTCATCTGGTCTCCTCGGTCCGCGAGTCCCTGGTTTTTCCCAGCTTGTGGAGTTCCGTTCATGACTCCGCTGCGCCTGTTCATCGCGAGGATGTGGTGCACCTGTTGGGGTTCATGATGCCGTCGTCGTCACTGATCCTCCCTGATGATGTCGTCGCCATTCACATCCTGAGCCGGGTAATCCACAGAGTCAGGGGCCGCTTTCGAACTTTGACTCCTTGTCTTCCTTCGTCCTTTTCCCACTCCAAGGCACCCACACTAGGTCTGTTATATGTCCGCGGTTTCGACAACAGCGACATCAGACATGGCCATATGTTCCAACGACGAGAACCTCCTTTTCTTCCGCGGTCATACCCCTCGCTGTTGGAGGTTTCAATGAGTCTCCTCAAGGGAGGTGATGCAACGAAGACACGCATCTTCTCCAGTCCCGTGTGCTGTGCCGCGAAAAGATGTCGACACAGTACGATCTTCACAGTGTCGGTCACCAGCCACCGCGCTTACTGCCAGACCGCACACAGCCTCGTGCACATTCATCAACAGAAAAATGTGAAGTGCGCGAGGCAGTGACAGAGGCAGCTTTTTGCGACTCAAAAGACCTTCCGTCCACGACCCCCAAGCCCAGTCGATCTTCGGCTACCACCACCACACACAACCACACCTTAGGACGGTACAACATTTTGATAAGCAACAACCACAACATTTCGCGAGACTCTTTCTCCGTCAAACTCATTCAGAATGTCTGACTCTTCTGAAGCCGATCAATTCCTCTACGCGGCACTGGCAGCCGAAGTTGTAAGTTGAACCCCGACAAGTCCCTGACATGTTCTTGACAAGTACTCACCTTTTCATAGGGTAAGCCGTCGACTCCTCCACCGGAGTTCCACCGCGCTCCCAACGTGGCAGCACCGGCGCCTGCGACGAATGAGGCCGGCAGCATGGCACGCAATCATACTGGCATTGTCCCACCAGTTGCCGTCGCTAGACCTGCCCCGTCAGTTGCCGACGTGCCAGCTCACCTCGGCGCTCCGCCACTCATCCCATCTACGCCAGCAACAGTCAACAATCCTGCCAATGCCGTCGCTGCACCACTTGGTACTGTCGGTGGTACTGCCGCCCAGCCTGCCACGCAACAACAACGTACACGAAAGTACAACAATGTTGGCGACGCAGCAGATCCATTCATCTGCCCAGGCCTCAACCGGGACTGCTACCACGCGGTCCTGCGCGAGAGTGGTTACTGGCACCACATCTTCCGCAAGCACCACTACACGCGAAAGCAGCTGGACAAGCCAGAGAACCAGCATGTCCGCGACATCTTCGTGCCAGCTCGCCGCGCCTCCTGGTATCAGAACAGAGGCGTCGATATTACATACCAGGGAAATGAGCCCAAGCAGATCGCGGTGCGGAAGCGTATGGCTGTCGGCCTCAGATCCACTGACCCAAATTACGCGGAAACGGTGTATGGATCGACCATGACACAGCCAGACGTGTGAAGTGAAGCGGAGTGAACGGGAGTCGAGGATGAAGTGAAAGGAAGGTGAAGTGGGATGAATTGAGGATGGAAGGTGAAGCGAGGTGCAACTCCAGCGGTTGAGCATTGGCGCCAAGCCGCAACAGGCGAGCACCCATGCGAGTCATGAGCAGAGAGCAGTTAGTGCACATTGGAATGAGACATGACTCCCGACCATCATCTCTTATCACTATGACCGTGATACGTGTTGTTTCGACCATTTCGCCATCGCCAAACATAGAGCTAACAGTACCTCGACGGTGGCCTGTTCTTTCCAATACGTCCCAATGCAAACGCATGCCGAAAGCGATGGCGACGCGTGCCAATGCGGAAACCGCCTGTTATCACCGACGACCATGGCTACCAGAACGAGTCCATCGTGATCATATTTCGGCGGTCCCCACATGCATCGTCAGCGCCAGCTTCGAGACCGCATTTCGAAGCATTGCTATCGGACGGGGTATCCATCTTACCCTCGTGAAGCTTGCTCTCGGTGATCCCAAACATTGCGCTAGCATCCACTTATGGCGAGCACTGTTATAGCATACGTACATGCGTCCACCTGTCGGCGGGGCCGGGGAAGCTGGTGTCACAGCACGCGGGGCAGACCAGCGGACGGCCGACCATCTGAATGTTTCTCGCCCATTCATGGGTCGGCTGGGTCGTTCGCCCGGTCGCTCGGTCAGTCATGCCGTGGAACCTCCAATGCATATGCACTGCACTGTGAGGCAGAATAGTACATGACGTGGCGCAGTCTTGCAGACCGACGACAGGACAGCGCGTAGAGTGAGAAGGAGGTGGCAGGGCTAGTACGCAGAGGGCAAGGTGGATCTGCCGATGAGCCAGACAGCTAGCCAGCTAGCTCGGTAGGTTGTTGGGTAGATGTTATAGCTAAGGTTGTGCGACGTCACTTGATGATACACTCACAGACTCACGTAACTCGTCCAAACGCCCGCATCGTCCGCACAGGGCACACAGACGAAGAGATTATGCTCTGTAACACATTTCTTGATCCTAGACGCGTTGAAGCGGGGCAGGAATCCGGTGGGGAACTTGACATGAGTGCGGGGACGTCGATAGTTTCAGGACGGTACCACACAAACATGATGCCAGTCCTGCAGACGATCTCCAAAGTCAAGGGTAGGGTATGGTGACTCACTTTGCTAGTTGACTGTTCTCCATCCGTGGACGTCCCTCATCCTTCGTGGCGAGTGGCGAGTGGCCTGAGGTTAGCACGCGAATTGTGTTTCGACGCATCCACACGAATGAAAGGAGGTCAGAATGCGCTAGGCAGCCATTACAAAGTCCAGCGTATGCGAGGTTCTTTCCGACGGGGCGGATTCGAGAGCTGATTTGCTGAATCAGCCATTTGTCGCCTTCTTGATCTCATTGACTGTTACGCAAGCATGGATATCTCCGAAGTCGTATAGTCCTGGGCGCTCTCTATGATACCGTGAGATTGGAGCCGCCTTTCTGACCTTAAGAGTCGGTGAGGCTTGTCTTTTGCATATGCGGCTTGGTTGCGCCCAAGTTTGTTCCAATGCTATGTGTCCCACTGACAGAGGTAGAGGCTCAGGATGATGGTTTTGAGAAGGCGCATCGCACAGGGATGTATTTGGCCACTGTAGGACCGCTCCGGTATGTATGATTTTGAATGTCAGTGAAATGCTCACTTCAGGCTTCCAGCACTTGGTCAATGCCCGTTAATTTCATAACATTACGCTCGTGATCATGCGTTACAGTCTCGGCCTCCAACACGCCCAACCTGCCTTGTGTATAGGTTTTCTGGTGGAGGGCAGCAGAAATTGAGGTCGACACCCAACAAGCAACCATCCTGATATCCAAAGCTACCATTTCAGTACTTTCGTTGGGAAGAACTCATCAATCAGCTCCAAGTAGTAGGGCTGAATTACCGGGTTAGCTTTTCGTCGAAGACCAACTGCAGCGTGCACATACCTTGAGCTTTTCAATATCGGGTCTCTCATCACTTTTGCTGTAAAGGTCATAGGGGTTGAACTTCTTAACTGCCTTGAGCATCTCATGGTCCTTCCCGTTCATGAATTCTCTGTAGGCGCCCTGTTGGTGCCAAGGGTAGAAGCTGTGGTATCGTATCATCGCAAGAGCTTCATCTGGAAGTGTTGATTGAGTCTTGACAACGTGATAGAGATACTCATCGTGGCCCCACGACAGCATAATGTTGTCAAGACCGCAGCCAGGCGTGTAGATGCCACTCTTGGTGCTGTAAATCGGATCGTTAAAGTCCGGGTTGGCACAGAATGACTTGTTGCCATAGATGATCCGATCGTCAAACGCGCACCCGACGACGAATGTGTCACCGACAACATCCCATTGTCCGTCAGCATCGAAGAAGAACAGCAGCTTCCCTAGGTCGTGGATGAGTCCGGTCACCTGCATCCAACGTGGTCGACCGTCGCGGCGCATAGCCTCCGCGGACTGAAGCAGGTGCTCGATCTGACCAAGCTCGGTATCGGGGTCAGACTCATCAATGAGAGTGTTAAGGCGTTCCATTGCTTCCCAGATGGACATTTCGGCACGAGTTTTGGAGCGGAAGGCATGTCGAGCCTTCAGATTGTAAGCGACAGTCTGCTTAGTGTGTTGCTCGAGGTAGAAGTTCTTGACTCGGTCACAGGCATTTTCGTACTGGCGAAACCGAGTCTTGTCTTTTCCAGCATCAAACTCGGAAGCTTTGTCTTCGTCTGTCTGTTGTTTAGCTTTGAAGGCTTGATCTGATGCAATGTCGGCATGCTCAATCTCATCGCAGAGCGCTTCGAAAGCTTGCCCATCTCGGTCGGCGCGAAAGGACGATGGGTGGGAAGGCTGCTGGAGAACGACAGACATTTGGGGATAGAGGCGATGCAGCAAGCGTACTGTGCGACGACGGCTTTAGTGTGTAGGATAGTGCTCAGAGCGAGATTTAGAGCTGAGGAAGGAGTGCGTTAGCTGTGTCGGGATAATATTGGCGACCTGATTGACGAAAGCTCGAATTTTGATGTTGCCACGACGACCGACAAGATTCGAAACTGAGACTGATGATGTCGAGAAGTGAAATTTCGCCTTGATATAGAGATCGTCTTGCTTCGCCAGCGGCAGTGGGCAGTGCACATATATCTCGCCAACAGAAATTTCGGACTGATAGAAACAGTGACATTTGTCCAATTACCTACCAGAAAATTCTCATGCATTCAACCAATTCGCACCTGAGCAACTAGCGAGCTTGTTCGCCGCGGGTACAAGCGAGGCGACTTTGGCGGATTGAGAGGTGTAAGTTGCCAGATCTGGAAGATGAGGTCGAAGACGAAGCCACAGATGGATCTCGGATGCAACGCTAAGCTAATCACCGACCGCGGGCCGTCGTAGTTTCTCCCTTTACCATCAGGGTGGTCGGAGCGCCTCGTAATCTAGGCTCCTGAGTGGGTGATAATCCCTGCCACATATTTTCTGGTGTTTCGAGCAGTTGCCATTGTCTGTGGCTGTTGTGAAGAGCTGGTCGGTGGGTGGAGGTTTTGCAAGACAACAACACTAGAGCTGGAGGAGGCACGAGCTTGATAAAGTCGGTGAAACAGCACGGAGATGATATAGCACTATCGTGATTATGATCCCTTGCCGAGCGTCAGGGTTACACAGCGCTGCCAGGATCTGATGACCGGTGAAAGCTCTTGACAACCCCCGGGGATGGACGGGCGTCAGTAGCTCTCATGTTGTGTAACGACGGTAGCATAAATTGCATGCCTAAGGACAAGGGTCTCCCCGAGACCGCCGATAAGACAGCCATCTGAATGTGCGTTGCATTTGATCGGATTTCGTGCTTCGTGTCTCACAGCAAAATAAAAGAATACATAATGAGCTCCAGAATGAAAAATTGGAATCGAAACAAAAGGCAGGTGGGGCACGGGAGGAATTTCCATATTGAGCCAGCTCGGAAGGCACGACGAGGCTGAGAAGGAAGGAGGCGGTGGAGGTGAGGTGGAGGAGGACCGGTGCAATCCGTGCAACCCGTGCAACGCCGACCGCAGGCGCTTGCATCATTCCTTGCCGACGGCCCGGCTTTCGACAGCCACTGTGTAGGTTGACAGTCGCATGTACACACCAAGCATCCGATGCTTGACAATGACTCGCACCAACAGAAGCGATATCATTGCCCCTAAGCGGCAGCGGCGAGCTCTCGCTTGTCTTTCCGTTTCACGGCACTAGTTGTGCTACGCGATTATGTTCTGCAAACGAGTGTTGCAGCCCAGAATGATTGACACTGGTGGCACGGTTGTGCTGTCGGCTATTGAACTGGTGCCAGCTCGGGCGGACAATACACCGAGGTGGTGGGGTAATTGATCCTTTCCTCGAGAAATATTTCGCTGATGAACACGGTTCCCCGCATGGCCAGCGCCTTGAACTGGGTGTCAATGCTTCGTTTAAATTCGCCTGCGCAAGTTGCTCTGCATAGATCAGACAACAATAGTTCGACAAATTGACACCATGGTTGACGTACGACTGCCACTGAACACCGGTGCAACTATTCCTGCCCTAGGTTTAGGTATGGCTGAGTCGCCCCGAGAGTCGCTTGGACCCAGTCTAACACGCAATGCCAGGCACATGGCAGAGTCCCAAAGGCGAAGTGCGGGCGGCGGTAGCTCACGCTATCCAGTCCGGCTACCGGCATATTGATGCTGCATATGTGTATGGGAATGAAGAAGAAGTCGGTCAGGGGATCAAAGAGGGTCTGGCTGCAACAGGGATATCCAGAAGTGACCTGTTCATTGTCACGAAACTCTGGTGCTCATATCATACGAGAGTGGAGCAGAATCTCGACATCAGCCTGAAGCTTCTGGGCCTTGACTATGTGGACCTCTATCTCATGCACTGGCCCGTCGCCCTGAATCCGAACGGCAACGACGAGAAATTTCCTAAACTGCCCGATGGGTCAAGAGACCTCCTCCGAGACAGATCTCATGTCGACACGTACAAGGACATGGAGAAACTGCTTAAAACCGGAAAGGCAAAAGCCATCGGGGTGGCAAACTATTCGAAGCGGTATCTCGAACAGCTCTTGCCCAAGGTGGATATTGTTCCTGCAGCCAACCAAATAGAGAACCACCCACTTCTGCCCCAGCAAGAGATCGTGGATTTTTGCAAAGAGAAGGGCATCCACGTCACGGCCTACAGTCCCCTCGGCAGTACCGGAAGCCCTCTCATGAAAGATCCCCACGTCGTAAAACTGGCGGAGCACAAAGGAGTCACCCCAGGCTCCATCCTGCTGAGCTATCACATTGCCCGAGGCAGCTCTGTGCTCGCCAAGTCGGTCACGCCATCGCGCATCGACGAGAACAAGAACATCGTTGACCTCTCGGAAAGCGATCTTGCGTCTCTGGCAGAAATATCCAAGAAGGGCGTCACTCGATTCGTCTACCCGGAATTTGGCGTTGATTTTGGTTTCCCAGACAAATCCTGAGTAGTTCTTGGAATGCAGTTTTATTAGGCCATTACTAAGCCATCATACACGAAGAAGTTGCGGGCTGGAGTGCCGCCCGCGGCAAACCCACACTCGCAGCTCATAAGCCCGTCTTTCATAACCAATGCATCAGCCTCCATCATAGGTGGTCCAAAGTACCCAATGGACTCCGATCCCTACTGCTGATTGTAGCCCTGGCCCGCTCCATCGTCAAAGTCGTCGCCTTGCTCATCCGTGCTGGTTAGGTAGGGCTGCTGCCCAGCCAGTTGTCCCGCTTGCACAGCCAACAGGAAGGGGTCAATCATATCGTCATCAGGTTGGTCTTGACCCTGATGACCCTGGTGGTGTTGCTGTTGCACTGGAGGAGCTTGATGGGTTGAAGGCGGAGCGGCCTGCACTTGCTGCAGTGGTTGATGTACTTGAGGTGCGCCGACGTTCGGACCAGCAACAGGCTGCGGAATCCGCACACCTGGATATGCTTGGTCGAAGGCAGTACTCGGGCCTCCAAGGCGCTGTCTAGCCACGATAGCTTGGTCCACGGCAGGAATAGGCGCTTGCATGGGTCCGCCACGGTTCATGCGATCTAGCGCGACGTTTCCTTTGGCTGTTTCAGCACAGGTACCTGCGGGAGGAGGCTGGTGGGCCGTAAGAACCCCAGGCGCGACGTCAGGGAGCGAATCGTTCCACTGAGAGCGCAGCTGGTCGAGCGTGCCGATTTCGAACCTGCCGTGGAGGGGGACGTCTCCTCGCACGATCCAGCGGTCCCACGGATTGTCTCTCTTCGGTAGCCCTATGATCTGCTCCATTTGTTCTGGTCCCGACGCGTAGTCGTCCCAGGTGTAGCCTGCTGGATGGCTGATGCGGAAAAGGAGGTCTTCGGGTCTTCTCAAGACGGGTCGCGTATCCTGGTGGTTGCCGCCCATGTAATGTCGCACATTGGCCTGTCCGTAGCGGAGTGTAAGCACGCAGCCGGTCTCAGGGTGGAGGAACTCGTCGCTTTGCTCGAAGGCTGAGTAGCCGAGGTCGACGTAGGCCATCTTGTAGAACTTGACGGATCGGGCGTTTGGCTGCTTCACGGGTCTGCGCAGAGAGTTAGTACATGGAAATCTGAGGCCAGATAGGACAAGGGCAGCAGCATTGACGAGGAAGAAGACTCGATATCTGACGCTTCGACCTGACGTCTTGCTCAATCCACGCCAGTGTGCACAGTACAACAAGCCTGACGACAACGTGTCCACGTTTGTCAACAGCTATCAGTCGATCCTGCACCCAGCTGCCTGGACGATAGAGTGCAGTAACAAGACGTGTGTAAGTCTGTCAACCGACAGGGAGATGGGAAGCCTGAGACAATACAAAATCAGTACTCACCCTGTGTACACCATCTTGACGAAAGGCTGTGTGCCCCTGCGCTAATCGAAAAGGGCTAGCGTAGTGGAGATGAACCAATGAGCGTTGCAAATGTCGCCGCAAATGCGTGTATGTGATTGGCTGAATGAGGTAGGCGACGGATGAATGTCGAACAAAGAAGGACAGAGTGCCCTAAGTATCGCACGTTGGATGTCCTGCTTGCTCAGGCAAACGAGAAAGAAGTGTCAGACAATGTAGCAGCAGTCAAGCAGTAGTTGTTACAGTTAGAGAATGTGGGCTTGGCGATGTTTGGCAGGCACGGCGAATTTGTTCCCTGTGTCCCCTGGCGACTAGTCACTCCTACCGAGACACGCTTGAGCTTGACCAATGCAAAGAATATCGTTTGCAGCTGCAGAGATACCCATACGACAGATGCAAACTATCCAAGAAGAGCTTGTTGTTACGAACTTACATGATCTACCGCAGAGACAATTTGCCCTGTTCAGGATGTCCGAAGACACAAGAGCCCATCTCCTATTGTTTGGACTGTCTCCGTAGATCTCTATCTGCTTCCTAGTTAAGACTGTGCGAGGACTTTCGAGCTTCACAGTAGGTAGAAGCTCAAAGACGTGGTAGCACACTGATAAAGCTTCCCTCATTGGCATGGCTGAATGCTAATGGAAGTGGTGGGCGGGTTTGCGAGCACGAGCGAGACGACGCACGTTCCCTTCCTTGGACGTAGCGGAAGTAGTATTGTCAGGGCCGTTGCATGACAGCTACAAAGAAGAGATCGCTCGAAGATTATGTATTTAAGTTGCTTAATCTCTGAGACTTGAATGAATTTCCATTTCCTGTTGAAGGACTGAAGCTGCCGCACAGAGCCAATGACCACCAGACCCGTTGAAGGACTGGAAACTGCCGCACACGGCTAATGGCCATCATCTCCATAAGCAAAACTGCAAGCGGGCCAACCGTAAAACACACTATGAAAGAGTAGAGTAGGATACAAGACCATCAGCCTCTAGGGCCCCAATGAAAGCCCAAGCAAGAATTGACCAACGCAACCAGCGATGCTGGCAGAGAAATACAAGCCCCATACTGGGACCCTTTTGCCACCGAGAAAAGGAAACCTGACGCCGGATCTGCCATGAACGAAACCACCCGTCGCTGCGAACTCCTGCAGCAAATTCTGCAGAGCAGCAAATTCTGCAGAGCAGCAAATTCTGCAGAGCAGCAAATTCTGCATAGCAGCAAATCCATGCTGGTAATGGGCATGTGCTGCCACCCTATCAAAGTGCACATGATCACAAGAATTGATGCTCATCAAGCTCGTCGACTGTCTCATCGCCAGGATCATTGCCGTTGTCCCATTGTTGCTGCCAATGAGTTTGCTCGCCAGTAGGCCAGGGCTGGGTCTGCTGCTCGTATGGTAGCTGATTAGCGAGCATCTGCTGTGCAAATGCGGAGTTCGGCTGCTGAAGCATCTGTGATCCGTCTAACATGCCACCGCCGAAGTTGTAGTTCGGGGTCGTGCCGTACGGAAAAGTAGGCATCTGCTGCATAGCCTGTGGATACTCCTGTACTTGCGCTTGATGGCCGTTGTAGGGGGTAGAAGCATTGGGATTGATTGTGCTGGCGTATGTATTCTGCTGAAAGGCAGGATTTCCTGCATACTGCTTATTGTATTGAGAGACAGGAGGCGGATAGGACGGCTGAGCGTTGTATGTGGATTGATTTCCGTGCTGCTCATGGGTGCCAAAAGCGCCAGGAGTGCCGTGACCAAGGAGAGACTCATGAGTCGCTAGAGCCTGCGGCTGTGCCGACATGCCTCCTAGAGACTGACTCCGTCGAGACCCAGCACTTTCAGCTAGGGATCCTGCTCTAGCTGAAGTCTTACGAGGGGGAGCCTGCATTGATTTGCGCTTGCGACCTGTGCTGTTCTTGCCTCGAGCCTTGTTCCCATCACCGTCGCCGGACGGACCTGCTGTATCTCCTTCTCCTGGCTTGGACCGTGCTGACCATCTATTGTTCCAATTGGTGCGGACTTCATCTAGAGTGCCTAAGGACTCGTATTCAGTCGTCCCGTCGGCGTCAGAGCCGAGCTTTGGTCGAAGAAGCTTGAAATTCTTCCATGGCTCTCCTGATTTCTCGGCCCCATCTGTCCCGACTCCAACTAGCATCTCCATATCCCTAGGACCAGTGGCTAGACCGTAATTCGGCAGGCAGTTGCTATTGTCGACAATGCCATCGGCTCTTTCAAATAGAAGACTCTCCCGGGGTGGGTTGTATGGACGGAGGTGGGTGTCTTGACGACCCTGAATTTTGACTTCACGATACACGAGCTTAAGACGCTTCCCGCTCTCGTGCTCGAACAGATCGCCTTCCTGGAACGCGGCGACTTCGGGGTCTTGATATGCCATTTTAGAGAATTTGACGTCGCTGGCAGTAGTCTGCTTGAAGATCCTGTATTGCTTCGAGTCAGTAGCTTGCTTATCAAGCATTGTATAAACAGTGATGGTTACAGCAGCTAACAAGAGCACGTCATGTTCTCGAGAGGTTCGAAGCCAGACTCGGCAGAGAGACGAGGACACTCACTTTGATTCGCGTCGGTCTGTGGTGTTATCTGGCGCATGAGCCCCAGGACTGATTTCTTGGGCCATTAGAGCAAGCTGTAGCTGTCAAATAAGGACACCAGGAGCACAGAAGGGGTTGCTAGGAACTGGAACTCGCAAGCGTTGGCAGCCACGGAGGCAAGACGAATCGAGGAAAATAAAGAGGGAAGACAATGAATGGGCGTAACGTAGAATCAACCGCACACGAAGCCAAGTTTTGTAGTGCGGGCCTACTGGGGCGCGCAAGGTCTGGAATTGTTATTGTTTGTGAAGTAAATCACGTAGGTTTTAGCTGGATGTCATATGGTGATTGCTGGCGAAGCGCACTTCGCGGTCTGCTGCACGAAAGCATAGAGAGCAGAAGCCTCCGGAATGACTAGGTCCCATACGCGACAGGAGTCTCTACCACCCGCCACTATTCCAGGGCAGGGTCGTGGAAGGCAGAGACAAGCGTGAATGGAAGGACCACCAAATACCCCTTTGTCAATTCTGAACCTAGTCTTTGACTTGCAGAGCCCCTTGAGCCAGGCTCCCGCATTGTCCCCAATGCCACTTGTAATCTTGGGGCCGTTCGATATGACGTGTTAAGACCCCTGGGGGGAATGGATCGCGAGGATCGGGCGGTTTGTGCTGCTGTTAATCCCCAGCTGTGGAAATTGTAGTATCTGTGGATCGGAAAGAGAGAAGCCACAACGAGGAACGCCAGCCCAAATCCCAGCCACTAGGTCTGTTGCTGTCGCCAACGTCCTCGGCGAGTAGCTGCTGCTGTTAGGATGCAGATGCATTGGCTGCGCCGGCTTCAATTCGTAAGGCGGATCGATCAGCAGGACGCTCGTTGGAAGTCAGCCGCAGGACCGTAGTTTGAAATGCTTATAGGGGATCATATTTGGCAGATATTGGCGGACTTCGGTTGTAACAATATGCGAAGTTTGACTGGACCGGTGTTTTGTGGCGGCCCAGAGCAAGAGGCTGCTGCTTCATGACTGAGCCCGAGGGATTCCTGACATGAGGACCGAGAAGAGCTGCTCGTAGAGGTGTGGGTGGCTGGGTTTTGAGACTGGTCGTAATAGGGGACGTGGTAGGCCACTATCCGCGCAAAAGTTGCCTTGTCACCGCCCATGCCACAGCTCTGGAAGGATTTCCAGGCACAGAGGGACCAGCAGAGAATGGGGAGACACGTCTGTCTTACGTGTGCATATGTATATCTATGTAGGGAAAAAACAGACGAGTGGCTGGGCTGGAGAGAAGAAGGTATCTGCAGGGGAAAGGCCTTATCAGGTATCGTTGCAAGCGAGGCATGATCCGCTCGCAAGCAATGGGCAGACGCAGAAAGGTGTTTTTGACTGACCATTTGCAAAAGAAAGCGCTCGGATCAGACCTGACAATGTTCCATGATCATACGCGCATTCTTGCGGTAATGCAACATGATCCCGAACCTGGCCTGATCTCTCACTCAAGGGCTCCTTCGGTCGACGCGACTCTAGATGCTTGCGCTCATGGATTCTTTGAGCGAGAAGGCTGAGCAAGTAATGTTTGGTTCTGCTAAGATTGGAGTGCCGAAGTCTCAGTAAACAGCCGCTCCCGTTTTGGCCGTCAAGCTCCACGTCTTCATTTGCGGTACTGTTGACAAGGGCATCGTGCGCTGTTTGGCTTCAGCCACAGGATTCGACTTCTGTCCATCGTGGGGAGATCGCGCCAGCAGTGGTACAAGTAGGTCGATGTGCGATAATACTATTCATGAGCCGAATTGTTGAAAGTATGTGTGGCACCCATATAGAACACTGTGGGATACTTTGCGACTCTATCCGGAGGACATGATGGACACAGAGGGTTCTGGGACAGACGGGACTATATAGTTGCAGAAGCCTATATAAACAATACAGTATCTTATAAAGGGGTATAGTCTACTCCGTATAACACCCCCTGAACAGCCTCTGGGCGCCGTCTACCTAAACCAACCCTCGGGTAACCTTCCCAGTAGCAACCTTGCTCTACAGAAGTGACGTCTTGTACTTGAACCAAGGAGGAAGCTCAACCGAGTGAATCAGCGGCTACTGCCGGCGCTAGTGTCCGCGCGGTGATGAAAGCGTGTCCATAAGAGACGGTACAACTTGTTGCGCTGGAGTTGTTGCAGAAACGTCAGTAGAAAGAAAGACAGACTAACCGACGAGATGATTAAATCAACGCAGATAGCCAGGCTAGATGGTGAGTGTCCGACGACTGCTCTCCGCAGGTCACCAGGAAAAGACGACTGACCGCACGACTCCTGCACAGGCCTCATGCTAGCGGCCTCGGTGGATGACGAGCAGGTACGCATTTTTCCACTCCGAGTCCACGAGCGTGAGGCTGACCGAAGGACTTACAGGTCGAGACGGAGCTGGCCGAGGTCAAGTCGCAGGCGAAGATGATCTTCAGGCGGCTGAACCGCAACTCGGAGCAGCAAGCCAGCATCGAGTCTGGACAATACACGTTGCAGTGAGGCAACAAGCTAGACTGTATGTGTCTGGACCCACGAGACTGACATCTTCCCCGACAGCTATATCATCCAGGACTCGGTGTGCTTCCTTTGTATATGCGACCGATCCTATCCGCGGAAACTTGCGTTTACCTACCTCTCGGACCTTGCTCAAGAGTTCACCACCGTCTACCCCTCACAACAATATCTTTCCGCGACATTGCGCCCTTACGCGTTTGTCGAGTTTGACACATTTATACAGCGGACGAAGAAGACATACCAAGACAGTCGTGCGAGCGCAAACCTGGACAAGCTGAACGACGAGCTAAAGGATGTCACCAAAGTCATGACCAAGAATATTGAGGATCTTCTGTACCGCGGGGACAGTCTCGAACGAATGGGCGAGATGAGTGGACGGTTACGAGAAGACAGCAAGAAATACAGGAAAGCGGCGGTCAGGATAAATTGGGAGCTGATGCTGAAACAGTACGGGCCGTTTGTTGGGGTTGGTCTGATCGTGTTGTTTTTCCTCATCTGGAGATTCTGGTAGATGAGCGTCGGGGGAATCGAACAAATTGCATGGCGGACAAAGGGGTGACCAGTCACAGCGGCGAGCGCATGATATCCTGTGGCGGGGCCAATGCTTGGATGATCCTCGAGCTCAGGCTTCCTGGGGAACACGAACGACAATGATCTGACGTTCAGATCTCATCTTCTTCCTCGTCGAAGTCGTCTTCAACACCCATGTCATACAAGATCCTCCCACCCTCACCTCCGCCACCCGCCTTCTGAGCATCAAAGTACGGCAATACCACGCCCTCGCGCTCCAAGCGCTGCCTCTCCGTCAACCCTAGCTCAAAGGTCATACCCGACAAATCTTGATCCTCGTCCGCCCCCTCCTCCTTCGGCTTGCGAAACTGAGGATGATCGTCCAACAAAATGACCGTGTCCCGATATGCCTGGGCCCCGCCTGCCCTTCCGGCTGTCGCTCCTGTTGGCAAAAAGAACCACTCCCTTACACCCCGCCCGCTCTTCCTCCGATGCTCTAGTTCCAACACGATTCCTTTCTCACCAGGCGTCATATTGGCCACTGCTCTCGGCTTCAGCCCGATTATTACACCTTCGATCTCCCCAGACAGACCAAACGACGGCGAGGCAAGCGATTTTGCCAGTGCAGCTTTCTCGGCCAGCAGTATGGCCAGTGAGTGGACTGTGATGACGGTTGTCGCGAGGTAAGACAGAAGCGATAGCGGTGACGGACTGTACCCCTGCTGGGGTCCAGCGCTCGGAGAGGGTAGAGGAACATCAGTATGATAGACCGTGACCAAGGAGACCTGGGGCGGCTGTCTCTGCTCCTGCTCGGAACTGCTTGACTGCAAGGCCTGTGGCTGAAGAAGCGACGAGAGAAAAGCCGTCAAGTTGAGATCAGATGCCGGATCCGCTGAAAGCGAGGCCAAGATCGTCATCGAGTCCAGAATCACAAGAACCCCTGGCGATGATAGGATCAGCGTAGAACACAGAAGAAACCCACTCAGAAGCAGAAACAGAAATGCAAACAGAATCACAAGCAAAAACATGATACCCATACATACTCTTCCCAAGATTTCGTTTCACAATATCTGCGAACTCTCGCGCAATATCCCTCTGCCATTGCCATCTTGATGCTGAAGTTCTCGCGCCGCTCAAATCGTGCCCGTGCCCCCAAGGGAGGAAATAATCCACATTCTCAGGCTTCACGACCGTCTCAAACGCCAGAAACACCGTAGTCACCGGTACCTGTTTCGACAACTTCGCGCGCCGCAGGTACTCGCGTAGCAGCGGCCGCGCCGGTTGCTCCAACGTATCGAGCACAAGCGTAAAGGGTGAGGCTTGCGACTGTTGCGAGAGAAGTTTGGATATTAATAGTAGGTTGTGTGTCCTTCGGTGGTGGAGGTTCGTGTGTGCCATTTTCGATCGTCCGTGACTGTGACGACACGAAGACCAATGCCAACAATAACTGACACGAGAGTGCGAGATTGTGGTTTCCTTCGCCGGTCAATATCAATATCAATTACGATGGTCTGTGGTGTCTATGATAATGGCTTGGGAAGGTGAGTGCAAACTTGAAGCTGGTGATACATAGGAGGTCAGCCTCGTGGTGCTGGCAAGCCTTGCTCCCGCCACGCCTGCAGGCCTTGTGAGCTTGTGTGCGCGTTGGTCTCTGAATCGTGCCGTATACGGGGGCTCGGCTTGAGTGCCTAATATGGAAATGCTTGGCGGGGGCATAGACGACGAACTGAATAATTATCCTTTTTTTGCTTGCTCGATTCTCAGTTATTAGAGCTTCTCGTGGACCTGGGGTGCTCCCCTTCTTTCTTTGGTCAATAGTTCCAGGCAAGCTGATGCAGAAGTCGGGCAGCATTCTTTCGTCTTCCAAAGCAATGGCACGGCTCATGCTCCGTTTGACTTTATGACTTCTCGAGGACACGGCGGTACGGCGCTATTTTTCCGCAGTGTCGGCACGCACGCCAATGCTGGGGACGTGTTTCCCTCCGTGAATACAAGCCGGCAAAGTCGGTTGGATCCAGCTTGAACCAGCAAGTGAGCGGAGTACCAGATTGAAAAGGCGTCGGGTGTGCGAGCCCGCGTCAAGTATCTCGAACCGGCTCTATGATCATGATTGACGTTTATCTGCGGCGCGGTGCGACATCTGCATGTTTACACTAGGTACTTCCGCACAACGTCAACCACTACGGTGGGTAGAGGCAATAAGAACGAAGAATCTTGGTGTCACAGGGCAGAGAAACTCTCGCATCAGGACTTGATCAACTGGATCAATAGCCACGGTGTACGAAATGAGGTCGTTCAGCTGATTTGTTTACGGTTGCAATTATGGCTGCAGGTTTAACTCCAGAACGCCAGAACTCTAGTAGATCAAATACCCCTCCAGTAGCCACTTATACCTCCACGATCTTTGTCTCAGAAGGCATATTCCACTTTTCCACCGACCATTTCTTCTTGCGCACGTCGTCGCGATAGGTGCCCCACGGAAGGTTACGTCCCCAGAGGCGGCGCGGTCGTCGAGCATGTGCTAGAGCCTTACCATCTTGCGCGGCTTCGGGATCGCTGCGCAAATCGGCCGCCAATGCATTGACACTGCTCTCGTGCAGCAGAATGGCTGACCCGAGCAGACCGGTCGGCTCTTCGAACAGCGAAGTCTCGTTGTTGACGAGATCGACGGCAATCCACACCGTTAGCACCGCCAGGACCGCTAGAGTGCTCAGCAGGACGTTGGCGATCGAGTCGACCACCACGAGGCGCATCGTCGGGATGCTCAACGAGCCCTGGACTGTGCTTTCGGCCGTGGCGCCTCCACCCGCCTGCCACAAGAAACTGCTCACCATGACGGCATGGGCGGCCGTGAAGAGCACGGACGTCGCATTCAGCATGGCGCGTGGGTTAAAGGACGATCGAGGCGCCTGCTTCCTCGCGTGCGCCAATATAAGGCGGCCAAAATTTGTCGCCGACGTCGTTGCGGTGTCGTCGAGGATGCTTGGCTGGTGGAGTTGCCGTTCGAAGTTCTGGTAGTAAACAGGCATGGGGTTGTCTAGGGGTTGAAGCCCGTGCTCATGCTCCTGGAAACTGTTAATGACGGCAGAAGAACCGTCCAACGTGTATGTGACGTTCAGGGTCCCCGAATGTTTGAAGTACGCCGTCCTGCAAGACAGGACCGTCACTTCCGAGGGCTTGATCGTGTCAGGGTCGGGTGTGTGGGCAGCCAGGACGAACAAACGGCTCAAACCTGCGTCTAGGCTGCAGCTCACATTTGAGAATGTCTGTACGTAGTTCTGGAACCCGGCCGTTGCGATGATGAGAGTAGGAGAGAAGTCACAGCCGTGGTCCTGTGCGCCGAAGTCCCACCCGGTCCCATCATCTGTCTGTGTAAAGACGTACTCTGCCTTCGCGAGGGACCGACACTGTAGACGTGCCGAATATGCAGTGGTGTCCGCCAGGTAGGCCGCCAGTATGCTTGGTTTCAGAGACATTGGGGGTCTATCGAAGCTCTGAAAGCTCATGTTGGATGTGGTCCAGGCTGGGAACAATCCGCCGTACACTAGCGTGCTCGACACCACATCCAGTACCGGAGTCAGGTCTGAATCATACCCAAAGTCATAGGGCTGGAATGTCGAGCTGAGATGTGTCAATGTGGTGTCAACCATAGGCACAATGTTGGCGATGAGAAGGTGCGATGCTAAGGAGCTCAGAAACAGGCTTATGAGCAAAGCTGCGAGAAAGCTCACACCCAGCATCCAATGCCTGTTCCGGAATGCTGCCAAGGGCCGGACTGCTGCGACTTTGCTGCGATAGTCAAGCAGGATCGAGGTTTTGGTGTCTGCGCCCCCGGGCCGCCTCAATGCGACGAAAGGCTGCCTCTCGCCCCGAGAGTCGATGATTGCTGCGAAATACAAGCCGAATATCTGGAATATGAGCACCGGGAAGAAGGTCCACCACAAGCTTTGCCCCACTGGATAGTTCAGAACAGTGTTCGTCGAGTCGGACACGTCGGCAAGGCCACGCTTGGAGTGCGAGACAATCTTGATGGCGGTGATGCCGCCTATGAGACCCAGGTCGGAGAGCAAGAAGCCCAGTAAGCCATGGGGCGTCAACCAAAATGTCGTCCATTCCTTTGGTTTGCTCTTGGTGTAGAATCGCCAGAAACGCCGGATGAAGGTGCCCTGGGGAGCCTGACTCTGTGGGCCATTTGGCAGTGTAGTCTGGGGTGGTGGGTGGTTGCTAGTACTTGTGGGCACAGCCGTGCTTTGAGACGTTCCAGAGGTAACGGTATTCTGTTGAATAGTCGGCGGCAGAGGCGTGGCAGGTGCCGCATGCGTTGCGTTAGAGGTAGCAGGTGGAACAGCTGGTAGAGTGCTGAGGTGAATTGGTGGTTGTGGCTGGCCAGAGATCACAAGGCGTGACGCGGTTGATCCTGTTGCCTGTGATGAAGGAGGTGTGGTCGTCGAGGTTCCTGATGTTGATGAGTTGCTGGCGCCAGCTGGGCTCCCAGCAGCCTGGTTGACAGGAGGTGTCTGTGCCGATGACATGACGAGTTCGCTTGTGTGGAGTCGAATGGGACCGAGATAAGTCAATAGTCAATGGTCACGCGTTAGCACAATTGCCATGCAAATAGACGTGGGAGGGATGGCGAATACCTGTTCAAATACAGCTTCTGTACTTCAGCCTTTGTATTCGAGGCCCTCTCTCGCCAGTCAGGACGGCACTAAAGACAAGGGTCACCATGAGCGTAGGCAGTCTGCCTCGATGAGTGGAAGTGCAACAAAGCCACGGTCCGCAACATTGGTTCTGGGGATTGATCGTTCATCCCATGGCAAGGCGCACCAGAGGGATCTTGCTCTGGCCAATCTCCTTCTCGGCTGAAGGGCGCTTCCCAGTGGCGTCCAAGCCATGAATGACCGTATCTGCCCTGATTGGATGCTCCTCGAGACAGCTTCAGGCTGCAGCTTCTTGCCAAGCAGCACAGGGGGTTGAGTTCGCCTAGGTCGTGCCACTCCCTGGCATCTGAGGATCCCGTCATACCTTTGAGAGCCATGTTTCCAGCTGCCACGAGTTCAAGGAATTGGTAAGGCGGAATCCTGACCATGGGCTCACGCAAATGCCGCATCGATGCTCATTGAGATAAAGCTCAACACGTCTGCCTTGGACATCAATTCTCGTGCCTCAATTCGCACTCGTCCCCAACTGCTGAGAATTCTCCCACCTGAACACTATGATCACGGCATTCCTGGGCTTATGCTGGGCCATCCCAGCCTTTGCGCAAGTAACTCAGATAACCAAATGCTGGTCTGGCACCACCACATACGCCACAACTCTGCCTGCATGCAACAAATTTGCAAGCTCGCATTCGAAGTGTTTTGCGCTGCCTGGCCCCACCTCGGTCGACACGCCGGCCTTCAAAAACTGCATTTGTGATCAGAAGTTCTTCGACCTGATCATCGAGTATGTAATATGTATAATGTTCACAAGGCGTGTCCGCTGGACAGCCCACTTCTGACCGTGCTGCAGTTGCCAAAGTGAAACACGTCTGTGCTTGGAATCGCTCGAAGAAGACAGCTCGGCACAGCAGGCGGTTGCGAATTGGCACAAGCAATGCAACACGTGGATCGACTTCAAAGTCACCACGCCAATATTGTCGACTCCGTCAATTACCCTCGCTCCCGAAGCAGAATGTAATGCCATCGCAAGCGTGTGCAAGATTGGAGGCGATTTGACCCAGTCTTGCAAGCAACTGTATGGGTCTTACACAAATCTGCTCGCGCACCCCAAGCTGCAGACCTGCCTTTGTAAGCCAAGCATACTATCCATGGAGTCGCGATGCATTGTCGACGGGAATATGATATGCAAGACCAAGGCGGCGTCAGTAGCCGATCTCGACCTATGGGGGGAATGTCCTGTAAGACAACACGAGCAATCCCAGGCGTCGGCGCGTCACTAATGTCCTGTTCACAGTTGACCGCACGCCCAACTGCTGCTCGGGTCGAAGCCAGGGCAACAACCCCTCCAGCCCTACCAGAGGTGAGATCCTGGTATGCATAAACGTGGAAGGAGGCCTGCGGCTGAAACGGAGAAATGTGCAGGGACTTGCGACTCGTTACTCGTATTTGGGTTGGCGGTCATGGTGGCGGTTCGCTGGTCTCTGCCTACTTTTGTCATCAATAGCTTCGTTTGGTCCCATAGTGCAATGTGGGTAATTCCGAGAGCCCTACGGCCTTCGCAAAACCATATGTGCGGCAGTGATAATGCTCAATTTGCATTGATAGCCTTTCGATCCCATTCCAAAGCTGAGGCTGAAATTGTGTATGTGCACACTCCACAATGCCCAGTCAAGCCTCAGAAGTTGTGTTGTGGCGAGAAGCTTGGATGAGCTTCGCTACCGGCTCCAAATGGGGAACTGGCTTCATGCAAGCTGCGAGACTACAGCTTCGTCACACAGCCGCTGTTCTCGATTCGTCTTCTTGCATTTCAGCTCCTCGCTTTCTCGAGCTCCATTCTCAAGAGTTCCTGTCGTTTCGAGAGAAACTCGAGTCCTTGGTTGTGCTCCTAGAACTGCCTCATCCTACCACCCTTTCTGTCGAAGCCTCAGCCTGATTGTCCTGGTCAAAATTGAGGTAACAGAAGATGTGGTCCAGGAAATCTGGACATCCATTTCATGGCCAATGCTCAAAGTCCGGGCGTGGTCCCGTGTCGGATGCAGCGCCGCTATTTTGCAAGCCAGCACAGCACCCTCTGTTGAGAAGTGCAAGAGCACCTTCCAGGACTACTGCAGCCAGATCGCCTACGGTCCTTGTCTAATTGACTTAGCCAAAAGCTGCACATTTGCCTTGCTGCCGTGGACAGTCCTCTGGTCTTCAACAAGCGTATCGTTGACAGCAACTACATGCCGACGGTAAAGTTCTACATGTCTTGATGGTCCTGCTTTCGGATCACAAGCTGGAATGCCGTAGAAGGCAAGATCCTGCTGTGTTGTCCCAGGACTAATAGAAACATTCTCGTGTCTGAAGTAAAGGGCGGTTCCATTCTGAGTCGTGCTCAAGCGACTGCCCACGAACGCTCGATGGCGTTGGGGATCCCCCGAAAGATACTCAACGGAGTCATTGAACGGCTCTAGGCCAGTAGGAAATACCGGCTGACCGTAGACTTCGATGTCTTGTCCGCGTTCGATAGCGGCGGAGATGAAAAGCGTATGAGCCACTTTATCCTGGACAGCGGTGCTATTCACGAAAAGTGGGTAGCTGAAGGTTTGAGAGTAACCACTTGACGACACTGCGCTGCCATTGGTATGCTGTACCGTCGTTTGCGTGACACCGTAGTCGGATATATAGTCCCAATTGGAATATGTAAGTGATTGCCGCCACGAAACTGTTTTGATGCCTTTGGAAGTCTCCACTTGTGATAAGACGCTCAAGTTGCGAGTTACGTCGATGACATTCGTCAGCGTTTGGTTGGTGCCATTTGAATCTAGACCGACCTCAGCGAAGAGCTTCAGGGAAGGTACAGGCGCAGCGAGGGTAGGGACTGTTCCAGTAGTGATCGATCCAGCGTGGTCGAGCCAGATGAATATCTTCCCTGTAATGACCTAGAGGCTGTGAGTACGATCCGTAATGTCTGTTGTTCGGCTTACCCAATAGCTGCCCACAGTCTGAGAGAGCTGACTCTTGCCTTGCCCGTCGTCATCGATGCCGACCACCCTGATTTCGAAAGCGTGGCTTTCGCCATCACACAGCAGGGGCAGCCAAGGTGTCATATCAATTTCATTTTCGGGAATGTCGAATGTGTCAATACCCACAATGGGTCTCCATAAGCCGGGCACAACGCCACCAGTGAAGACTACTGGAAATGGCCACACAACACCCGCCAATTGCCCGTCGATCAGGAGCTGGATTTCCCGGAATGGCGCGTGACTGGGAAGGGGGTCTGGCCCAAACGTAAGGGTGTTCGAGGAGAAGACGTTGGAGTACCAGAACTCTACGCGCAAATGGTCAAAAGGGCGGTATACCAACCTGAGAGACTGACGCACCTTCGTCCATCTGCCCAGTGGCAGCAACTGTGAACACTGCACGTTCCACATTTCGCGGCAGCACGATGCTGTCTCCCACTGTAACGTGGGGATAGTGTGAAGGATTCTCAAAAGTAACCGCGCTTCGCTTGTTTGGTACCGGAACAATAATATCTGCGGGATCTACTGTGGTAACCGATTGAAAGAACGTCGCCTCCAAGGTCACATTGAACGGAGAAGTGTAATTCTCGTTTATGAGGTTGCCAAGGTCAAAGACCAGCTGTTGAGGCTTGACGAAAAGAGACAGGAGATGAGACACGTCCTTCAGGTGCGTCCAGCTAGGGGCAAGTCAGCACTGTTCAAGAGAGGGGAATGTGCCTGCCATACATAATGCCAGCATGTGTAGGTTCAGCTGTACTGGTTCGCCAGATTTCGACATCCCCTAGATAAGCCACCGCCAGGCGATCAAATTGTCTTCCAGCGGCTTCAACGGTGAGATTCAGCGTGACATGGTTGAAAGAGCATTCCGGCGGTGTATAAGAACCGATGGACGGGTCACCGTAGCTGTTGCCGAACGAATGGACCATTAGTGTTTGAGTGGCCAAACAACCATGTTTGCGGATGTCGGCCGCTACTGGTAGTGCCTGGTCATTGTTGAGCGACCTCGTCTGTGGCACAGCCTGTGGCGCCAGGAGAGGTGGTGAAACCTGGAATACTCGCAGAACCGAGGATGTAGCAGCAGCGGCAACCGCGTGTTCAAGGACTCGCATATCTGCCTTGCAGGGGCGAAGGAGATCTTATAACGCAGGCGAGACCGGCCAACGCTCAAGCTGCGACACCGGGGGCTCTCGCTCCGCGACCCGGGCCAGGCTGGTACCACTAGAAGTGACGCGAGCTTCAGGTTGCTCGATAAATCGAATCGTTACGCCGCGCAAGTACCTGAGACAGTTGCGAGATTTTCCATGTCATGTTAACACAAGCATAGCACCACCTCGACGCAGTCAGAGGATTCTGCGTGGTCCCAATGCGTTGGACACGAGGTTCCCGGAGGATGATTGCGAAATCATAGTTCAGATAAGCCTGCTTGAGCTGTTAATTACAATGAGTAAATATTCAGATGTCGCGCGGTTGCTTGATGATCCACCGTATTTCGCGGATCCCAGATGGCTTCAACATCTCATCTCGTCTGTTCTGCCAGATTCATTCCTGCGGTGTTTAAGCAACTCCATGTTGCAGGCTCGCTATGGCGCCCGTATCTGCAATCGAATACCTCACTAACCCACTAGTCACCGCCGACCAGCTCATAAAGCTCAAAACACTCGACGACGAAGATGCCCCCTCGATTAGATTCGCTCAATTCCAGCTCACTTCGGCCGCGGGCATCCTCCTCCAGCTCAGCCAAGAAGTCATTGCGCACGCCATAATTCTGCTGCAGCGCTTCCTTGTGTCCAGCCGACCAGGAGACCGAGAAGGGTTTAGTCACAAAGCCTACACAGCAGCCTCGATCCACCTCGCTGCAAAGATCTCCGCAACACCAGTGTCGCCTCGATCAGTGATCAATGTCTACACCTACTTGATGTCAAAAAGTTCACCTCTGAGGTTGGTTAACCCAGATGGTGCTCCCTTGGAGAGCCGACCTCAAGACTATTATGTATCAGAAGGGACATACGAAAGAGAAAGACAGAGGCTGTTTGTCTGCGAAAGCATGATATTGGCGGGCATTGGCTTCGATACCCGAGTCGCCCTGCCATACACGTTAGCCTTGACATATATGCAAGCTTTAGGGGTTTCGTCGACGAAGCTTGCACAAAGAGTCTTCGAGCACTTAAACGCCGGTTTACTCTCTCCTCAGCTGTTATACCTCACCCATCAACCGAACGCGCTTGCCGTGGGAGCATTATATCTGGCGGCACGAGAGATTGGTGCTAAACTGGTCGAACAGAACTGGTGGGAAGTCTTCGACGTTAATAGAGAAGACCTAGGGTTTCTCGTTCTATCATACGGGAGCGTTGCCAATTTCGCCGAAGCAGAAGCGTCGAAGTGGAAACAAAAGTCTTTGATTCTGGACTGAGCTCAAAAGAACCGAAAGCACGTTACATGTCGGACTGTGTAAGCGACAGCACGCTCCGCTCAACCGGACTACCCATCTTCAGTGTTAGAACTGTCATTCACGTCCACTCCAGGAATCTAATCTCTCCTGTCACTCGAGCTCGATCTCGACGAGTTCATCATCGTTGACCCGCTCGTCGTCTCTGGCCTCTGACATCATGCGCCTGTGCGTGTGATACGGAGATTTGTGTGAGTGAGTGAGTACGTAATGGGTCAGGTAAGGGTGAACCAGCAACGGCCTACACACGAGGAAAGAGGACGCTCAGATAGTGGAGAGAATTGTTTACAGCTTGGGCTGGGCGTGAAGTGAAGATGGCTTGATCGAGCTTCAGGTATTCACTTTACTCCTGCTGAGCGGTGAGGGGCGAGTGAGGCCAACGATTGAGCGATGTGTCTGCCATGTGCAAATGCATGTTGACAGCAACAGGACACACGACGTTTTATATTGCGGCGTTCCGTCGTTCAAATTGCGAGTAAGCAAACCTTGACAATTGAAAGGATGGCTACCACTCACGATTCGAGCCTCCCAGCAGCTCTCTAAGGTATGCTATGGATCTCACCTTTCTTGCAGCAGCATACGGAATGCCAAGATGCAGGGCTGGTTTCTCAGTCCATCGCGGCTTCGATACTTTGCCGTTCAGGCACCAATGGCTGGCAACTCTTTTACTCCTTTCATGGTTTTGTGGTCCCGGAACTAGCTCTGTATCGAGAAGTGCTTATAGCTAGGTATGTTCTCTACAAAATGGCATGACACAATTTCGACGCCATATGCTCCAATCTTTGGACGACCCTCTTTCTGCCGTTTCTGAGCTCCGCGGGTTCGACCAAGCCCAGGAGCTCAGTCTCTGACCTTTGGACGAGGCACGAGTAGGGACATTTTTAACAAAATACCGCCTCGGCTCCTCTCCCATATACAGCTCCTCTGATGTGATCATCTTGAACATCATACTCATTGGAAAGCAAACGCTTCTTTCTCCAGGAAGCTCGTCGCGATTAGATGCGTTTTGCCCATCTCGCTTTTGTTCGCTTTGTCACGCTCACATGCCAGACGCATGCACAGAGCAGGGCGTCCAGCTCTCACCACGAAGCGAGTAACCACGATAGAAACTCTCGATGCGTGGGTATTGCCAAAGAGAGGACCGCAGCCTGCTGGCAGCCTTTCCGCCAATGGCTATGATGCCTGCCTATTTCTCGTCCTAGGTGAATAATATCACCGATTCGATGCCTACGCTTCTAGACGCAGTGCTCTCCATATCTAGCAAGAAGCGCGGATGGCTAGGCATTCAAGCCTAGGTGATGCCGCGACTGAATGAACAGTTATGGGATTTTATTGATTGTCGGCTTGGGAAAGTAATGCCGTTCATCTGCAATGAACGAATAGTGCCTGTCATTCATAAATATAATGCTGGACTGGGTATATGAAAGGGCGATAAATGTGCCTGCGTTGAAAAGGAAGATCCTCAACAAAAATAAAGCAAAAATGTCCAGAGCGAGAATCGAACTCGCGACCTTCGGATTGCTCTTGTGTTGAGGCACAAGATCACAGTTGAGACTATGAGACCGACGTCATAACCAACTAGACCATCCAGACTGGGTAAATTGTCTGGCTTTGGGGACAACATTGAGGACAATGTTTTCTACATAAAGATTATATTTCTTTGTAGCGCGCCCCAGTACTCCGTTGTGATTCGATAACCTGCCGATAGTGGGGGCTCCGGTTTTCAAACCCTGGGTCACAAGTGCGGAGTGGCTTACCGCAAAACGAAGCATGCCCGAGCCTTCTGGAGTTCTGAAAGCTGTGAAACTGTTCTTTGTTCCCGCCCAATGTCGATGCTGTGCTGGTACGGATTATCACTGATACTCTACACAGGCAAAGACGATCACTGCTGTCCGCAGTCGCTGCCTACCAAGAGTAGTACCCTCCTCAATCTCTTGATGGCGTAGAGTGGAAGTGACCGCAGGTGGCAGATACTAGATAGGGAAGAAACGTTCAACAGTCCTGACCTTTCGGTCTGCCTCTTGAAGTATCTATAATCGAGATCTCGCCAACGCGTCGTCCTCAACAGCTAGGTGCGGCAGAACCATGAGGTATCAGCGCGTGTTGTTTCCATCCCTTCTTGGCCTTTCCCTCACGCGTGCCTCTTTGAAAACAACACTTGTGACCCAACCTCAAATGCTCTTGCCCCTTCCTTTCTGGAGTCGACCTTTTGGCAAAGTCTAACTCGAGAGAAGTGCCGTTTCCGACTCCTCAAGTATCGTCTCTGTCGCTTCTCAATTTTCAAACGACATCTATCATGCAGCTGGTCTTGCTGTGGGCTCTTTCGACTAGCACCTGGGTCTGACTTTACGTCGACTTCAGAATCCTCCTTCTTCTTCGCAATCAGATTCCAAGTCACTTTCCCTTCTGACATCGCTCGATGGGTCACCATGGCGAACAGGATTCAACTCCAGTATGAACTCGCTCAGATTGAGCTTGAGAAACGTCAATTGAGGTTGGAAGAACGGCAGTTAGAACTCGAGCGCAAAGAGCTCGTGGTCAAGCATCAGCTTGAGCAGTTGATCACTATCGACCTCACCGAAAATAGCGCCCAGGTGAAGAGCGAATCACACGATGCCAGCACAGAGGATCCTCAACTCACCATCTGCAACACGTTGTCTGCGGCACCTGCAGGTGACCATCGAGCTGATCTCACAATGACCAGCGCGCCGGGACATGAAGACGAGACCATGGTGGCAGAGAAGTCGGATAGACCTGTGCTTGCTAGCAGGATCCTCGCAGCTACTGCCACGGGTGAATTGAGCATGTTCAACCGAGATTTCAAGTCCAAGGTATTCCTGCTAACGACATCTCAGAAGCATCACTCGCAGTACAAGCTCAGCCCGAGAAGGAAGCGGACCATAAGCAGCCGCGATGTCCTTCACCAGTACCTGCTCCCAACTCTCCTTCTTCTCTTACACCAATATCCCAGCTCGCGGACACTTTCCAAAAGGAAGCAGGGCATGGCCAGCAGCGATGTCCTTCACCGGCTCCTGCTCTGACCCCTCTTTCTGCTCACACACCAATATCTCAGCTTGCGGACACTCCTACAGATGACCGGAATCTCCTAGCAAAGTTCTTGGCCAAGCCCGGTCCTAAAATGCCGAAGCCACAGGCTGGGATCAAGCGACGTCGTATCGAGAGTGATGAAGAAAAACCCACATCCCGCGAGCCGGGTAAGAAACAGAGAAACAAGAAGGTCATCTCCGAGAGTGATGATGAAACCTCCACATCCCGCGGATCGGCTTACGGACTGGGAAAGACGAAGACCAAACTCGAACGCACTTGCAAGAGATCAATTACGCGGGGATCGAGAGCCCAAGTGGTTAAGGAGCAAGACTCGCGCGCGAATAGTCGACTGACTGAAACCGAGCAACGCGACCTCATCTCCAGCTACACAAACCTCTTCCTCAGGCACATGCAGACCATTGAACAAGGGCTGAGATCCAAAGACGGAAAGGGGAAGCCTGAGATCTCCTCCAGGATGCACAAACTTAACGTTGGGAGAACACATACGAGTGTTACACTCTTACACCGAGAGTTCGAAAGAGTGGTCAACGATCATGCCAAATCCCATTCAAGACGAAGCAGTTTGCAGGCGGAACTGAAGAAGTTTGAAAATGCTTTACCGTACTGGTCTCCGAAGTGCAAGGCCCTGCCAAAACAGAAGGAGAGACAGGCGATGGTGCAAGAGGTGGTTGACGCTATTGGAAAGGGTCTTTTCGACTCTGAAAAATACAAGGACTGTTATGATCCATACGATGAGCTCTGAGGGTCGATTCGAAGGGCTTTCAATGTTGGCGGCGAAGTTGGATAACTAAAAGTAACACCAAATTGGAAAAGTGCTGGCGCTGAGCGGAATGGCGTACGCTGGCCGGGGAGTAATGCTGGCAGTATGTGCTGCTTGCAGGGAAGCTAGGAACCAACCGGATCAGACATTGCGGCACTCGGAGATGGCTACTACCGAGCTGGCATTCGTCTTTACGTGCTTAGATTGATTGAGTGCGAGAGAGAGAGAGGAACGATGCACTGTCTCGCGGAAGCTCAATAACATGGGTCTACGGGACCCTAATCCCAATTGGTGCGTTCATCTGGTGTGATCTAATCATCCAGCCACTCCGCCTTTTGATTATGAGCTTTATTGATTCCCAGAGCACGAGTTTCAGGGTGAATGAGGACAAGGCGCTGCACGATCGCAGCACTAAGTGCTGAAGGAGCATCTGGAGATAGATATGCACTCTATGTTACCATAGGGAGGAGGACAGAGTAGCCTCTCGTGGATTCGACGCACCTTCGTCTCTGGTCTGCTGGTCCACTGCATCCGAGTTCTGACCCTGCACTTATTTCCGCACAAAGACCACACCAGCGTCCTCCGGCCGACGCATTTTCGGCGTGATAATATTCATAGAGTCCTCTACAACGTCGAGGAGCGCCGAGCTTGCTTGCTCTTTCGTCTTGCCGTCAAGTGCCAGCGGCTTGAGACGGTAGTCCTTGAGCAGAGCCGCAATGACCGCCACGAACTCTAATTGACTGAACTTCTTACCCGGGCAGACCCTGTATTCTTGTCAGTCTGGGAGGGCTTATGTCGTGCATGGCATGACCCAACCGGATGTTGAGGAACCAGCACAGGGCTAACGGATGACTCACCTGGGCCCGACGCTCCATGGTATGAATGTTGCTCCCGGGTGTGGGAGAGCGATCGCCTCCTTGCCTGTCTTTGGATCTACCTTGATCCATCGTTGCGGTTTCCATTCCAGTGCATCTTTCCCCCACCACTGCGGGTCACAGTGCACAGCGTAGAGGTTGAGTGAGACGAACGTTTCAGGAGGAACCAGCAGTTCCTTATCACCCACGCGTAGGGTGGTTGACTCGCCGACACACCACCGCTCTGTGTTTGGCACGGGACCCCAGAGGCGAAGAGTTTCGTACTGCAGCACATCAGTTTGCGGAAACGCTCAGGACGATGGACGTACCATAAGAGCCAAACATCTCACAAGAGAGGGGAAGACGTCTTCATAACTCAGCCTTTCCATGTCACGCCCTTTCAGCACCGCGTCGATCTCTTGCCCTGCCCAGTCTTGCACATCGCGATTGATGGCAAGGAATGGTATCGTGTAAGTCAGCGCATTTGCGGTTGTTTCGAACCCAGCCAGATTGAAAACGTATAGATCGCCCAGCAACTCGGCATCAGTCAGGTGCATTGGTTTGGCCGTGATGCCAATTGCACTTGCCGCACTCTTCTGGTCTGCCTTTGCTGCTTCATCAGCCTCAACCAGCGCACTCACGATATCGGCACTGTAGCTGGTACCCCCGCCCAGCGTGATGGCTCGGTTGTACGCTATCACTTCCTTCATGTATTGTCTGAACTCTTCCGTCATGTCTCTGATTTGTCGGTAAAGTGCCGGAAAGATCCAGCGTAGCACAGCCAGTTCCTTGAACAAGACAGCGAAAATGATATTCTGAAGGAGAAACTTCAATGCCTCCGCCAGGCTGGTGCTGTGTCCCTCGGGAATTTCGCGGAAACCGCCGTCAAAGTCGTGGACGTGCCCGAAACCCGCGGCGGAAAGGACATGCATTGCGATCAAAACACAGTCGTTGCGCACGTCAAGCATGGTTTGGTGGGCACCTGGTCGCTCCGTAGCTACTCTGATCATCTGCCTCGCCTGTCTCAAGGACTCATTCCAGACGAGCTTGTTATTCTGCTCTCGAAAGGCGGGATTGACGATTCTTCGATGACGCTGCCAATCCTCACCGTTGAGACTGATCACGTTGGGTCCAAACGTGTCAAAGATCTCGTACAGAGGCCCGGGCTTGAGCCACGTTTTGTAGTGCGATTGCACCTCGACGGCAACGACTGGGTCGTTGACGACTATTTCTGTTCGTTTCGGCGACACGATGGCAAAGACATTGCCATACTTCTGGTGCGGTCGATGGCGCTCATTCTGTGCCCAGGAGTGATAGCCAAACGTGACAGCGGTACGCAGCCCAGGCACATTGCGGAATCGTGTAAGGTGTGGTTGGATGATTATCCAGAAAGCATCTTGCGATGAGACTGGTGTCACGATTATGGGTATTCTCAGCTTCCTTGCTTGCAGGTAATTCGCAACGAGCGCATAAGTGCGGGCTATGCCGAGAGCGAGGATGGGGATAAGCAGACAGGATAGAAGCGTGCTGGTTGTCGGCATCGTGAACGAGAAGCTCCGCAGTCAATAAGGATGACAACTTCCAACATCCTGGACGTGGCGAGCTGAAGGTCTATTATGTACAGTACAAGTATCCTCTGACGCTTTGATGGACGCCTGAACCCTTAACGACCAAGCCACGGGTTCGCATTCGTATGTCGTATCTACTCACTGCTTGGCGTCGTAGATGCATCACTGTGGCCAATCGGCGTATACGTCTTTATTGGTTGGGTTCACGACACGGCTCAGAAGTTAGCTGTCGCGTATCGCAATACGGCCGAACGTAGCTATTCATTCAGCATGAGACACAGATGCAGCAGGCGCCGGCGATCTACTTTGCCCTAGAGCCACCTACCAGACGTCTCGTATTGAGTGAGCAGCGTGATTCAGCGTTGAGAGAGCTGTGAAAGAGTCCCGTGGAGAGCGGAGCTAAAGCGCAGGGCGTGCTGGTGAGTTCTGAGTATCTTGTGGATTAGCCTCTGAGAGAGTGCATGCGTCATGCGCTGTGATGCAGTTATATGAAAGCAGGTGCGAGGTAGACCGGTATCCCACACGGTTGCAGGTTCAACGTAACATGAGAAGTTCGATTACTAAGTATGTACGAGGTAGAGATGAAAAGGCCACGGAATCCCAACTTCGTTCGAACGCCGGTTTCTGCCGCTCTCGCTTCCCCCGCTTGCGGAGCCCCAAACGTCCTCGCAACACTTCTTCTTCCACGAACCCACCCCATAACCCTCTACCTTTCAACACGTGGGTGACCTGTCTGTGATTTGATGACAAGCTCCTTGTACCTTATTACTGGCCATCATCGACGGGAACCCTGTCGATGTCAGTGATCACTAGTTGCACTAACAGGTTCCCATCCCTTACGCTGTTGGATCAGTGGCACTGACGAAACAAATCACATTGTCGACCGACTCCACCCACGACGTATCGAGGATGGCGGACTTTGCCCCGGATTTCATTGTGGTCGACCCGCATGTCACCGAGTCACCGTCGGCTCCGCCTCGATGTCGGCAGGTATAGTCACAAGTGACGTATGGTGCATCGGATGTGGTCGATATTGCTTGTACTGACTTGGGTCTTTGTGAGAGAACTGTGGACAGGAGAAGGTGAGCATTGTGCAAGAGCAAGCATTGAGGACAGACCTTTGAGTGCCTGCGAACTCCTGTTGCCCTCCAGGTCAATAGTCACAGTTGTATCCACAAAAGCATCGCCATTCCCAGCGGACTGGCGGATGACCACCGTCCCACCGAGAGCGCGTGTTGCAAAGGGAGAACCGCGCACCAGTTGTGCGCCAGTGCCAAGGAGAGAGGCTATGACCTTGATCTTCATGCTGTTCTCACGGGCCACGGGCCAGGGCGTCTGAGGAATTGATACACAAGAAGGAACCGGGGTGAATTTGGGAGATTGCGTATTGTCCAGCCAGGAGCGGTGTCATGGACGGGATATGGGATTCTTCGACGTACCGCAACTTGAAGACATGGTCAAAACGGATCTTTATATTGTAAATTCTGCACAACATAACCATTGTAGATGGCCGTCGGGAAATACTGGACCAAAGGCTGACTGCGATGCCAAGCGCCACGTTCTGTTGGCTGACCGAATCACTCAGCTCGCCTCGTACTTTACTGTGCAGCAAGTCACGCGCTGCCGGCCGAACCAGAAAACTTTCTCAAAACCGAAAGTGTTGGGAAGTCAGACATCATGAAGCCGACCTAGGTATACTCCCGATCTGTATATGCATTTGCCAAGGCGTGACGCTCATCAGGCCACATCTACCGTCAGCAAGCTATGCATAGGGGTTTGGGACGAAGGTGTTCTGGACCGAAAGCACTAAAGCCCGAGCAGTGGTTAGCTCTTTCCTGTGTGGTTGTCGGAAGTGGGTACAAGGCCGATAGCAACCAGGATTGCAGCTATCGAGAGACTCGACCGGTGCTTGAAGGCTGCAGCAAGAGTGGCCGTCTGTCATAACGGGAAATTTGCCAAAAGATCATACGCGCGTGTGATGCGATCAAGGAAAAAGGATAAAGCGGACACGTGTCCAAACTATTTTTTGAGACGTATAAGTCAACGTGAAGAAGTGAAGTACTGTATAGCAAAAGCCTTCAATGGAAACGGTCGAGCGTGCAGCCTGGATACCTAGGCAGGATTGAGAGGCGAGGCAAGGTGGCCAATGAAGACACGAGTTCTTGACATGGTACGGATGCTGTTGGGATAGAGGCGGCACAGTTTGAAGAGACGTGAGAAAGACGTGAGAAATAGGTCAGAACCTTGGAAACGGGAAAATGAGTACAGAGATCTACGGTAAGCCCAACTGACCAATGGGCGATACTAATTGCGGCGGAGTATTGTTGCTGTCAGTGCAGAGGAGTTTTTGCCAGCAACTTTACTCCGTAATTATTTCATATCCAAGCTGCGTTCTCCCCTCCCCTAATTCGAGCTCATCAAGCTGTTTTCTGGCCAGTTCCGATTCTGTATCTTCTCGAACCAGTTGTGAATGTGGACTCGGGAGGAGATACACCGATCTTCACGCTTTTAGCCGGCTGACCAACGAACCATGACGTCCAGCCCTTTCCTCTCACTCACACGAGTGATTCTTCGAGTGCCTGGCGATCTCATGCATCATTGTTTTAACCGGTCCATTTGTGGAGAAAGAGATTCCCCAGTTTTCGGCACATCACTAACGCGATGCTTAATCCCACAATGACTCGCTTCTATAATATGGGCGAGACGCAGCCTCATCATGAGTCGCAGCAAATTCAGGGCAGAAGAAAGTAAGTACGATGCTTGCAGGAGGGTCGCTCGCGTGCCTGGCCACGAGCCTCTTACTCCCATTGGCTCTCGCAGCATCAAACTCTACCTTCACAAACCCTATACTGCCAGGGTTCTTCCCTGACCCTAGCTGCACTTTCGTTCCCGAATGGGATGATACCTTCTTTTGCGCGTCCAGCAGCTTCAACGCTTTCCCTGGCATCCCCATTCATGCCTCGAAAGATTTGACCAACTGGAAACATGTCAGCAACGTGCTCAACAGAGCAGAACAGCTCCCAACCCTAGCAATCACCAACAAGTCCACGAGTGGGATTTGGGCCTCCACAATCCGGTACCACGAAGGGACCTTCTTCGTCATGACGACCCTGGTGTTCGACGACCAGCCTCAGACCAATTTTTCTCGATGGGACAACATCGTATTTCATTCTATGAATCCCTTCGACTCGTCGTCATGGTCAGATCCGGTCCACTTCAACTTCACCGGTTATGATACATCTCCGTACTGGCTGAGTAATGGGACCGTGCTTGTCACTGGCTCTCATCCGTGGCAGGTTCAACCGGGCATAACGCAGACGACGATCGACCTTACCACCGGAGAGGTCGGGGCGAATTTCCGCTACATCTGGAATGGTACGGGTGGCTTGGCTCCAGAGGGACCTCATATCTATTTCAAGGACGACTGGTACTACCTCATGATAGCGGAGGGCGGTACAGGCGTGAACCATATGGAGACTATTGCACGTTCCAAGAGCATCGATGGCCCTTACACACCGAATCCCAATAACCCGATCCTTACCAACGCTAATACAAGCCAGTATTTCCAGACAGTCGGACACGCAGATCTGTGGCAAGACGCTTCTGGCAACTGGTGGGGGGCAGCTCTTTCAACTCGATCTGGACCAAACTATACGACCTACCCCATGGGCCGTGAGACAGTCTTGTATCCCGTGACATGGAAAGCAGACGACTGGCCTATATTACAACCCGTACGCGGCCAGATGAGCGGATGGCAGAAGCCTGCGACGAATCTCAGCATCGCTGGAGAAGGGTAATTTAGGAGCGTTCGACGTCGAGTTTGCAAACTGAAGTGGATGACCTAGACCCTTTGCAGATGCTGCAGACTACATCACCTTTCCGCCAAACTCCAGCCTACCAATTCACTTCGTCCACTGGCGGATTCCAGCCAATGGGTCCTACACGATCTCTCCTCCCGGCCATCCAAACACTCTTCGGCTCAGCCCGTCGAGACTCAATCTTACAGCCTTTGACGGCAACTACGCCGGACCCGAGGGCCAAACGTTTGTCGGCCGCCGCCAGACAGATACACTGTTCACCTACAGTGTCAACCTGGAATTCTCGCCACAGCAGCAAGGTGACGAAGCCGGCATTAGTGTCTTTCTCACTCAGGTAAGCAACCACCTTTCGCACCCTAACCTGTCCAAGCTATGCTGATAGGGTGCAGAACCACCATATCGACCTTGGAGTCGTCCTTTTACCGAACACGAGCTCTTCCGCGTCACCAAAACCACTTGCGCCGTACTTCCGCTTCTCTGCGACATCCTACCTGGCCGTTCCGCCACCAGTGCTTGTCCCCATCCACTCCTCGTACCCGAACTATACGACGCTTTCGGACCCAAACGCGACTCCACTGAACTTGTATCTAGAGATCAAAGCCATCAACGTCACCCACTACGCTTTCTCTGCTGGCCCGACAGACGCCATGTCGGATGTAATCACCATTGGGTATGCGCCTGCCGCGGACGTCAGCTTTGGATTTACTGGTACGTATTCGTGCTGGACCTGAGTCATCCCGGCAAGTGTAACTGACGGAGCGCACATCAGGGACGCTGCTCGGTGTTTATGCCACTACTAATGGACGGAGTGTCAATGCGTCATCCCCCGGCACGCCGGCATATATCTCGGAGTGGAGATACACCCCTCAGGGACAATTCTTGAGCTAGATATCGGGCGAGGCACATCGAAGCAATGGTTCCGGATGACGTAGACAGGGCCATCCTCGGGCTCCCATCCATGCTTTGGACAAGGTCCGTGGCGCTGCACTTGACTGATCAGGCTTGCACAAGTGTCCTGGACACAGTACGAGCCAAGTGCTGCGCAACTAACCTTGTCCAAAGCATGGGTCGAATATTAATGATGTTACGAATCCTTTTGAAGTACCACGTTCCACCAGTCCAGGCTCTTTCTCTCATGGGATGCGTGTACTTCCTGCTTCGGGGCCCCCAAATGTACATAGGACGGGGATGGGAGTGTCGAGTTTGAAATTTAAGATGGTCTCGATATGGAGAAAGGAGCTATCAATCATCCAGTGAGACATCGGTCTGTTCATCATTTGCTACTATAGCCACTCCCGCTTCGCTTTTCCCCATTTGTCAATATGGACTGGACTGGAGACATCCATCTCTCACCAGATGTTACGACGCTGACGCTCCTTTCCGGACACTGCTCCCTCATAATATCCCATTCCAGACTAGCACCTCTTGAGGTTGGGCTCAGGAGTCCGCGTAGCACCACTTATAATTTTTGGCATCCAAGTAGTCGACACTGTTGTCACGGCTGAACCTGGGTGTAGCTTTCGACTCCCCCACAATACCTGTGAGGAGAGCTCAACTAGCCCCCGTCTTTTTGTCAGGCGCCAGATCGGGGGCACCTCCCGGAGAATGCGTGACGACGGCCTATCTCGCCGACCACCAGCAACTAGTTGACAGCCGCCTAGATGTAGGCACGGAGTTCATGTCTAGCTTCGACAAAATGTCACCTGGGACTGGCGAGCTTCGACGCCTGGATATTCCGAATCCGTTTCACATTTTCACTGTTTCTGTCACGGCATTGATGACGCAGTGTCATGCTGTTGACCGTGCCGCAGCTGGAAGGTGGTGTTCCCAACTTGTTCCCAACTTGCTTGAGAAGCACTCAAGGCGGTCCCCATGTGTATTCCTGCTTCTGCTGCGAACGTTGCAGTTTCAGCTTCCGCTTCTCAATCGACCGGTGCCAGGGCTCAACCGGGCAATGTATCGCCGCTTCTTCAGCTGAGTGCGGTACTGCGGCCGGGTGATAATATCCCGGGGTTGCTGTCAGGACCCTCCTGAATATCTCCGCATTCCGCCCTCATTTCCAGTCGTTCTGTGATCCTGTGCCGAATTGCGCTAGAACCCTCTGCGGCGATACCTGCCTAGACCACCCAGTTCTCCGATGTATAGACTGCAGGCTTGGCTTGTAAAGCCAGATTTGTCTCCAGCGGATGAGCGTCACACATCGCACACAGGATCATCTGGAGGGGCTGAGTGGCCGGTTGAAACCGCCCACCCGATTCATATACTGCCTGTATTCTGTCTTCTTCTCCTTCCTGACGCCGTAGATCTGGTTTCCCGGCACCTTTGTGTTCTGCGTGGTCTTGAACGTCGTGAAGCCCATCATCTTCCGCAGGAGAGCACTGTCGTCATCCTCATCGACGGCCATTGAATCGCCATTGACTGTCGAGTTGGGTGGTCTGCTTGCAATTGCGCTACTTATTTCGTCTTCCTTTGGTTTTGTTGTCCGCGATTCTTCTTCGTCCTTTCTCGGTGGCCGGTTTCGTGCGCGGTCCCGGTCGTGGTCGCTTCGACGGAGAGGGGACCGTGTCCGGACTGATGGGCCTCCACCATTACGCACGGGAGACCGTGAGCGTGAGTAACGTTTGGAGCGTTCGCCTCGGTGATCTGTATCGCGTGAGCAAGAGCGTCGAAGCCTTGAAAGTGAGTGGCCCGTACCTTTGGAATCTCGGTGCCTGTCGCCGCTCCTACTCCTCTCACGTCGTGGCCGTCCGTCCGCATCTTTGTGTCTCCCGCCTCGATCCTTATCCCTGTCCTTCTCTCTTGGCCTGTCTCGATCGCGGTCCCTGTCACGGTGTTTCCGTTCTCTTGACCTGCTACGCTCCCGTTTCTTTTCAGGCGTATCTCGAGAACTTGACCTGCGTCTTCTCTCATCATCTCTTCTCGCACCTCGCCGGTCTTCCTCTTTGGTGTCGCGGGATCGGGGCTTGAAGTCTTTTCCGCTCGAGCCTGGCCGTGACCCTACTCTTTCTTCGGTGTCTAGACGGGCGGTGGGTGCTGCGTGCTTTGCACGTTTGGGTGGCCGTTCTGCCATTATATCACAGAGACCGAGCAGGAAGCTGAGGCGGGTATCGAGTATGCAAGGTCAATTGAAAGCAAAGTGAAGGCTGATGCTGGGAAATTGCGCGGTTGTGATGCATAATGACGTCTGGGTCTTGCTGCGTGGACGTACACAGTTGGCTCATGTACGGCTGAGCATTCAGTGCGGATGAGGACGTTGTCCTCTCATAGTACAGCAGTTGTCCTCACATAGTACAGTAGTTGTCTCGCATGCATTACTCGGGAGACTCCTCCTCGATCGCCTTAATCCCATGTCCGCTTCGTTTTAGACCTAACTTGATTTAATTCTCCCGTCATTCTCAAGAAGGATTTTACAAAACTGCGTTCGATTTCGGGACAGACAGCCACATCGACAGAACGTTTGTTGGCGATGGTGGTCCATACAGCAAGTGGCGGAGAACACTCTCCGTCCTCGAAGCCACCAGACTGGTTGCTCTCGACCACAATCATGGATAATTAAGGGAAAGTGGCTTCCAGTCCCATCGCTCACTATGATGCTGTGAAGTTAAGTGCTATGCTGCTCTTTCATTTTAGTGGCACTCTTCCCTTCTTGCTGGATTGAGTATTCTCAGAACATAATGTGTCATAACATATTTCCACCACATTTCCACCACTCTATCGCCTCCGCATTTGACTGAGTACAGCAATCGCAGCCAAAGCCACCAGGGCAATATCCGCATTATACTCTTTGTCCGCTTTGACTTGGACAACCAGACCTACAGTGAACAGGCCTAAGCTGATACTTGCGGCACTCAGCCTCACTGCCTTGCTCCCGAATAACAGGCTTAATCCCACGAACAGGTCGATGACGGGTGTGATTTTGGCCACCGTGGAGCCGTCGTCGGGTGCATGGTACTCCTGGAATGCGTAGAACTGAGGCGTGTGTTCGCCGTGAGTGAAGCGAGAGAAAGCGCCCAGCAGCACGACTGATGAGAGGAGGTAAGTTGGGAGATTTGTGAAGAACGATGGCATGGTTGTAAATTTTCACTTGGGAGAACTGTATCAGCTGCTGTACACAGGATCCTGATGTCGATTCAAATGAGTTGAGATTGCTATGTGAGAAGAACACCGTCAGCTTACGGAGTACTTGGCTGGCAAATGGGGGTGTTTGAACTGAAAACACGTGTAGGCCAGACGCAGCAACGGTCGAGCACAATCATGCGCACAGCAACTCAGATAGGCCGTAGCAGGGTCAAGCGTTCGAGAGGCTGGCCAATAGATGACAGTGGCGGGCATCCCAGTAGAAAGACAAGCGCCGTGGTGAAGATAGCCTCCGATTACATAGGAAGGATGGGCCCTTTCGGCAAGGCCTCGTGGCAGCCACAAGGAGGCTCCAAGTGCCAAGGTAAGCAGAACTGGAATGCAAACAGGACAAACGCGGAAAACATTGTAAACGCTGCAAACGGGGTCATGCTGTTGTGTCCCTCCTGCCCTCATTAACAGGCGGCCAGGTCATGAACACCATCAAGCCGCAGGCTACACTGTGATCACCTTGTCATTCACTACATTCTTACTCTCCTCGGTACCTAACACCCTGTTCCTGAGATCCTCCATTTGCAACACCTGTCCTACATCCCTACTGGAGGCTCTAAACGCTCTGCCGCTCTATTCAAATCCAATATCACCCCGCCATACACCCCGATACCACGATGCAATACCTCCGCTCAGGCCTAGACCAACTTCGCGATCGTTACGCCCCCGTTAGTCACAAGTCCACCTTTCGGAGCACCGGTCAAATCACGCCCGAAGAGTTTCTCCTCGCAGGCGATTATCTAGTCTACAAGTTCCCCAGCTGGTCGTGGTCCGATGCATCAAGTCCCGCGCGACGCGTGCCCTACCTGCCTCCAAACAAGCAATTCCTCGTGACCCGAGGAGTTCCATGTCACAGACGATTAGACGAGAACTTCGCAGGCGGACACGGCGCGGCTGATGACTTGGTGCGAGACGGTTTCTTGGGCGGACCGGACGATGAGTCGGATAGCAAGGGAGGAGGCGAGGATGAAGGCTGGCTAAGAACGGGCGGCACGACAGAGAAGGAGCAGGAAGGCCTTAGAGGGGAAGTCCGGACGATGAGCGAGAGTGGACAGCTGGGCAAGAAGGCCGTCGAGGACGAAGACGAAGAAATCCCAGATATGGAGGACGAGGACGATGATAATGAAGCCATCATAAGAGACAAGGGTGAAGGTGCTGCTGCGTACGCTATATCTCCCCTCCTAGCGTTGCCGCCAAAACCCGCGAGTAACTGACACATCGTGCACAGACCCCTCCGCACATACACCCTCTACATAACGTACACGCCCTACTATCGCACACCGAGAATGTACCTCTCTGGCTACCTATCACCCAGCGAACCCCTTCCGCCGCACCTCATGATGGAAGACATTGTCGGCGACTACAAAGACAAAACCGTCACGTTAGAAGACTTTCCATTCTTCGATAACAGCGTGAAGATGGCGAGCATCCACCCTTGCAAACACGCCAGCGTGATGAAGATCCTGCTTGATCGAGCAGACGCCGCGCTGAAGTTGAGGCTCGACAAGCAGAAAGCAGGCGGCGCTGACTCGAAGAAAGAGATCTCTGGCATGGAAGGCTTGATTGACGACACCTCAAATCTGAAACTCTCGGAGCAGAAAAGGGGACATGAAGCTGGCGTCAAAGCCGCAAACGGCGGCGCGGGCGACGAGTGGGAGGTCCTGGACGAGCAAGAAAGTGCCGAGGACGAGGGCGAGAAGGTGGCCATCCGGGTTGATCAGTACCTGGTTGTATTCTTGAAGTTCATGGCGAGTGTCACGCCGGGGATTGAGCATGATTTCACGATGGGCGTTTAGAAGGACGGAGCATTCTTGCTAGCGCTGACATTGATACGGCACGATGCCAGGAGTGGTTCATTTATAGGTACTTGCATACGAGGCTGGTTCTGAAATGCATGAATGAACCGACTTTCAAGTGATACGCCACAATCAACTGATGCTCGTCCCCATTCTCTGACAGAACAGCAGGGACCCCAGGTGGCTAGTTGGCGGGCGGGCAAGCAGGTAAGTCGATAAACAACTCAGCATGGACCCTACAAAGCCCATGAAGAGCCACGAGTTGTTACCACGCGTCACGACCATTCGCCTCTGACACCGCACATATACCACTCTTCGTCCCGGGGGCAGGAGCACTAACCCATCTGACCTTTCGCCCCCACTCTTGCAACTTCATCGTTCTCAGGCTGTCCCAGCTCCTCGGCCACCATCGTCGCCCACGGCCCCTGACCCTGTCCCTCCCACCGATTCGGCATAGCCAGTCTAGGTCCCAAGGGTCACTGCATTTGAGCTTGGGCCTGCTGCCCTCCCACTATCCCCTGGCCGCCGGCGCCTCCGCCCCCTATTCCCTCCGAGTTTGAATTCATGCCGGGCGGTGGACTAGACACCGCTCGTATGGCCGTGCGTACTGCGCCTGGTGGGGGAGGTCTAGATATAGCCTTAGGTCGTGGCTCGGGGGAACCATTGGCTGAGGATGTGTTCATTCCGTTCATTGGGTTGGGTCCAGATCTGGGTTCCGGTCCTGGTGCGCCTTTGACGGGAAGAGGCGGCGGTCTACCGATTGGTATGGTTGTGTTGTTGGGAAGGGGGAGGAGGGCCTCCTGAGGCTCCGTTTCCAGGTCCGCCGTTGCCGTTACCGCTTGTATATCCGATTCCATTCTGCATGGGCTCGTTAGGAGGCGGTGGTCGGCCCATGGATCTTTGTTCTCCTTGCACTGGTTGGGTGTCGTTGTCACTGTTTGCTTGTTGGTCCGAGTTGCCCTGCCATGAGCCTGTGCCACTCGGACACATGGGTCGAGGAGTTGACGTGGACTGTCCTTGTCTGGGTTGGAGGTGCTGAGAGCTTCCATTCATCTTCGCATCCGCTCCACCTTTCGGACCGGGAGATTGATCGGACGATGGAGACATGCTAGGGACGGGTCTTCTCTGCTGCACTTGACTGCTCGTTGGCGAGGATTGGTGTTCCGGGCTAGGTGTGCCGTGTGGTTCGCGATTGGGAGATGGGGATCTGGACACAGCCTTCCTAGCGGGAGTTAGGCTGGGCGGCATGATGGGCCGTGGGCTTAGAGGTCCTCCCGAGGCTGAGGCTGAGGCTGAGGCTGGACCTGGACCCGGACCCGGTCCTGCAACTGCTGTGCTGAGCCCCGAGCCTGGTCTCGATGAACGTTGTGCTGACGGTGGTCTGTTCGCTGCGGGAGTAGAGTTCCCGTTGTTGGCTCTGGGTGGCGGGTTGTGCGTAGCGCCTGAGTTGCCTCCTCCCTGGGGAGTTGTAGGCCGGCTGCCGGCAGGTTTCACCAGTTCAGCCTGCAGGTTCGTCGGTCCGCCGACGCGCTCTTTGTGTTGGAATCGCTGGAAGATCAAGCACGCTCCCACGCCCCACAGCCAGACAACGACAGCGGCCCCAGTGGTGAAAAACATGATCGGCACGAGGACCAGTAATGACAAGACCATGGCGCCGGAAACGAAGAGCAGAACTCCCAGCCCGGCCATCATGACGCCCGCCAGTAATGCGAAACTGAACGCGACAATTGTCAGCAGGAGGAGCGGAAGGCCACTGACTACCAGTTGCGACAGCAGGAAACTGGCGACGAAGGGGTGTTGTTCTGCGAAGGCCGCGGCCGCTTGTTGCCACTGCTGGCGCGTCTGGGGTGGGAGGACGTGGTCGAGATATTTGCTGGAGCTCGTCGAGGGTGCTCATGCTGGCTTGTATTGGGCCGAGGGCTCTGTTGGCGTTGGAAGCGGGAGTGGGAGCCGGCGTGCCTGCGCCGCATGGAGGCATGTTAGGTCTGCGAGCAGCGGACATTGCGAAATTCTTAGACTACGAGGCTTGATCTGATTCAAGGTAGGAAGGAAACCGTGATGCTTCGAGTTCATGGAGCTTGTTGGATGCCGGTATGGTCCTCCTGAGGAATTTGAGGGCGGTACCAGGTGCGGCGTCCGAGTCACCAAACAAGGGCCGAATTGTTCGGTTGATGCACCACCCATGCACCGTCATGAGCTTGTTCTATCCTTGAGTCGCTTTCGTGGTAGCCCCTGTCACCCTTAGATCCTGTGATGCCACGCCAAGGTGCCGAACGTCACTGCTGATCGAGAGAAGGATATGGCATGACCACAGCAAGGGGGGCGAGGTGCTGCACACTCACGGTCCAGTAAGGTGACTGTAAGAGTTTACCAAGGAGAACGACATTCCCGCGTACATAGTACTAGGTAGGTACGCGCTCAACAATGCCAGCGGAGTCATCTCGGGGACACCCAGAACTTGCCAAGCACCAGTGTTTAGTCGCCGGCTATGCTTCGAAGAGCCTACGTGCCTACCACTGCCGGTGCGATCATCTTACATCCGCTGGAGACTACCTATACCGTCAGCGTCTGCCCTAACCTCGAACTCTCCCGGGCGAGCTCAACCAGTCGAATCACACCGACAGCGTCTTCCGGAGGGACAGGAACCTCGGACGCATCACCATCCAACGCCACCGCCAGCCGCCGATAATACTCCACATAGGTAGGCGGCTCGACAGTCGGAGCGACCTCGCTGACAATCTTTCCGTCGCCCTTGTCGAGGTTCAACACGCCATGATGATCCTCGCTCTCGACGCCGTACTCCTGATCACCCGGCCGGAGCCCTTCCTTCCTCAACTGATCCTCCTGCGGGTCGAGATGGAACTTCCTAAAGGAGCCTTTCTCGCCTCGAACCCAGAACCGCAACTGGTTCACCTCGGGACTGACGACGCCGGCTTTAACCGTGACCAGTAGTTTGCGGGCGTCGTAGTGTAGGAGCACTGTACAAGAGTCCTCCAACCCAGTGGGGTTGACCTCTCGCTGCGAGCCGACAAACCCGGTGACCCGCTCGGGCATTCCGAATAGATGGACGACCTGATCCATCAGGTGAGTTCCCAGATCATAGACGGCGCCTGTGCCGGGAGCGTGATATGCCTTCCACGTGCCGGTCGGCGCCTCAGGCCGGTGTCGATCGAAATGCGTTTCGAACTCGACTATACGGCCCAAAGTTCCGTCGTCGATGTACTTCTTCAGGGTCAAGAAGTCAGAGTCCCACCGTCGGTTCTGGTACACAGTGAGGACTCGGTCCTGGGACTTGGCCAGGTCGACCAGTTCCTGAGCCTCGGCGGAGGTGGGTGTGAAGGGTTTCTCGACCACGACTGAGTACTACAGTCAGTCATTGTGGTCCTAAGAGTGTGGCCTCGTCCGGCACATGGAACAGGCTGCTAGGATGAATGTATGGTATACGTAGTACGTACCGTGCTTCCTTGCCGACAGGGCCAGCTTGGCCAACTGTAGATGTGACTCCGGGGCCGTGGTCACAACGACGACATGCACATGCTCGTCCTGGACCAAGTCCTCGGCAGAATGATAGAGCTTGACGTTCGACCAGTCTTTGCTGGCATCATCGTCTGGCTTGGGACTTCTCTGCACGATCGCGTAGAGGTTGAAGTCGGACACAGCGTTGACAAAGGGAATGTGAAAGATCTTTGCGCTCAAGCCATATCCGATGATGCCGACGTTGTATTTGCCGCCTGCCATGTTTCGTTCTTTAATTAAATCTGGTGATACAATTGTCCGCTGGCTCGACTCGGAGGTATTCTCGAGACTGTTTGAGCAAAGGAGTTCTCTTCACTGACTCACTGGTCCGTACGGATCTCTACTTATTCTTCAAGTCGAGAGAAGGCACCCGTCCAATGATTTCACATAGAAAAGCTACGCCATACATAAGCATGCTGCGGTCCGTTGAGAAATCTCTGCGCTGTATCATCAACGTCGTATTTACCCCACGAGCGCACGTCACGTACAGTGACGGCAAGCCGTTGGCAAACCCCGGTCGACAAGTCACAGTGGGGGAATGTCTCTACTGTCGCAGCTGGAAAGGAAACACTTTCGTGCCGTAATTAGAAAGGAGCCGGATGTTGGGGTCCGATACCTGCCTGGTTAACTACTGCAAATGGTAGCGGTTTTCTCATGTCGTTCACGCGACGTTTTGGCTCAAACCTTGTCTGTTCTGTTATTCTGCACAGACCTACCCTGAGCCGGCACGAGCGCTCCAAGTACCATGCTCTATCAATCCGTAGGGAAGAACGCAGTAGTGGTACAAAATCTCCCCTCTGTCTTCCCCTGCTGTTCCTTAGACGAAGGGCTTGCTCCTCGGTCATCACCAACTGCAGCTCATCTCACCGTCGATCAACTTTACAAGTACAAGCCTTCCGGCTCACCCTCATTCTTCGTCTTCATCACACTATCTCTGGCGCTCCTGAAATCCGCCATATTCACCCTCATCCTCCGTTCTCGGAGCGCCCTCAAGCCGGCCTCACTACAGATTGCTTTGATATCCGCACCACTTAAGTCGTCTTTCTGGGAGATGAACTCGTCGAGATCAACATCTTCGGCCAGACTCATCTTGCTCGTGTGCAATGTGAAGATCTTCTTCTTGGTCGCGGTGTCAGGATTCTCGAAGAGGATCTTGCGGTCAATTCGGCCAGGGCGGATCAGGGCTGGGTCCAATGTCTCGATCTTGTTGGTCGCCATGATGACCTTGACGTCGCCGCGGTCGTCGAAGCCGTCGAGTTGGTTGAGCAGTTCTAACATTGTACGTTGAATTTCGCGTTCGCCACCGGAGGTAGATTCGTAACGTTTTGTGCCGATCGCATCGATTTCATCGATGAAAACAATCGCAGGGGCATTTTCAGCTGCAACTTGGAAGAGCTGTCTCACGAGACGGGGCCCATCGCCGAGGTATTTCTGGATCAGCTCAGAGCCAACGATCCGCAGGAACGTAGCGGACGTTTGGTTTGCGACAGCTTTGGCAAGTAATGTCTTTCCCGTTCCCGGAGCGCCGTAGAGGATTACACCCTTTGGTGGTTTGATGCCCATTTCTTCGTAAAGTTCTGGGTGCAGCAGGGGCAATTCGACAGCTTCGCGGACTTCTTGGATCTGCTGCTCCAGGCCACCTATGTCGGCGTAGGACTCGGTGGGAGCTTTGTCGAGTTTCATGACCGAGACGAGCGGGTCGGCGTCATCTGTTAGGACGCCAACCACAGATACAGATTTGTGGTGCAAGAGAATCGAAGCGCCGGGTTCGAGTAGGTCCTTGTCGACGAAGGACATGATGGACACGTAGTATTCAGGACCGGTAGCGGAGGAGACAATTGCATGGTCATCATCAATCAATTCTTCCAAGTTACCCACACCCATAGGACTGCCGCGCATGTCGTCGACTTTACTACGCTCGTCGGAGTTACGGTCAAGGGGCTCTGCTCCTTCGGTGGCTGCGGCGGGAGCTTGTGTCTGGGCGGCTTTGGTCTTGCGGAGTCGCTCTTGGTTCTCCACGTATTCCTCTTCTAGCAGCAGATGGTCGTGAACTCTCTGCATGCGGAGATATCGTAGCTTGCACCGCGCGGTCGGGTAGATAGTAGGAAGTTTGGCGGCGGCATTTGGTCCGGCTTGCTTACGCTTTCTACGGCCGATTCTAGTCGTCGGTTGTGGAGGTGGTTCGTACTTGGGTTTCTCTTTCTAAAGCGGGACTCAGTAAGGGATCATGCACACAGTCAGCTCCGCACTACCTTTTTGTCTTGTTCATCCTTGCCTCCACGGCCTCCCGGAGGTTGTTGTGATGATTGCTGGTTGCCCTGCGGAAGGTGTTAGTCTGCTGGTGATGCATCTGAGACGCGACCCTCACCATTCTGAAGTTTGACAATAGAGAGCACTGCCGCCACTCAAGAACGAAGTGGAAGGGGGATGAAACGGCGATAAAGAGAGAGGGAGGCAGATGGCAAGGTGATTTGATTACAAGTCCAAAGATGCGTGACGAGGCTCGATCGCGCCTGCCGTACAACGGAAATACCTTTCTCCGGGATGCGGGCTGCAACTGGAAACCCGCCGTGAGGCTGTAGTTCTTTGCGATCCACAAACCATCAGGCAACACGTCCGCAGTGGCTGTGTGACAGCTCGACGAACCAGTTATTTATTCCCGGTTACGAGTACGGTATCATCTGGCAGTTTTCTCCAGATATTCAGGATAGCTCATTCTTACAGTACCAGCATCCTTCGTGTATCTCTCGGCCATCATCTTCGATGTGATTCTGGCGACTTATAGCCTCGCTCGCTCGACTCTACAGTCTGACACTTAACTGCCTCGCCTCCGCCTAGTCGTAGTACAGGATCTCACTCGGACTTCCACCTATCCTACCACGCCTCACCCCAGCTTCACAGGCAGACGACGGACGACGAGTAGCTACTTTTCGCAGAAAGGAATATTAAGAGATGGCAGGCCACAAGGCAAGGCGGATAGCCAAAGACCTGGCGGACATCCGAGCCGACACAACCTCTCAGATCTTCGCAGACACCGTCGGAGACAGCATTACCGACTTGAGAGGATCATTCAAGGGCCCTTCGGGAACCCCATATGAAGGAGGAACGTACGAGGTATCTATTAAGATACCTAACGAGTATCCGTTCAAACCGCCCATCATGAAATTCACTACGAAGATCTGGCATCCAAACATCTCCAGCCAGACGGTAAGCCGGGCAACGCACAAGGTCTGCGACCTAAGAGCTGACTGTCTTGCAGGGCGCGATTTGTCTTGACACACTGAGCACTGGCTGGTCACCCGTCCTAACCATAAAATCAGCCATGATCTCATTGCAGTCCCTACTCAGCTCGCCCGAGCCCAAAGACCCTCAAGACGCCGTCGTGGCCAACCAGCTAATCAAGAGCCCCAAAGAATTCGAGAGGCAAGCGCGGGAGTGGGCGGTCAAGTACGCCGGTGCACCTAAGTCGTTCATTGGTGAAAGTAGTGGCGGCGCCACAGATAAGGACATAGAAGCCGCTGAGAAAGAAAGTCAAGAACGAGAAGCCCAGGCTAATATCGCAGTCTACGATGGGTACAGCAAAGAGTTGATCGATCGATTCGTCCTGATGGGCTTTGATGTGGAGCGAGTGGTCGAGGCGTTCAATTACGTCGGAATCGACCGGAATGGAGGACAGGACTATGAGCTAGAAGAGGCATACATGGGCGATATTACGGCCAGATTGCTGGGCGAGCCTTGAGAATGCAGTGGCGTTGACTGGGCTTCTTGGTTGAGTGAGTGAATGAACTGCATAAAAAGCGCTGGTGTCGATAAGGATCAGGTTCCAGGGACTCGCATATGCTGGTGGTGGCTTGTGTATATCACGATTATTGTGACCATACGGTAGAATTGAACATGCTTCTTTGAGATACACCTCCTTTGCTGTTTTTTAAAAATAGCTCTGCATTTTCTTCACTGCAGATGCCGCATGTTCACTCTGAAGGCTGTCACCGGTGCTCGGCGGCGGGTTATTGTCGAATCCTCGATTTCGTTGTCACTTCCACCTTTCATTTTCTTAGACAGAACAACAATAACTCTCAACTGACACCACCCTCACCAACGTGTCAAGCAACGTCGATCAAGAGACACCTCCAATAAACAACACGGAGTATTCACGAGAATTTACACGCCAGTCAAGCCGGAGACACCTAGCAGACACATTCATCACATCATTTTGGGCAAATCCCCCCGATTTGAAGTCACATCCGGTTACAGAATACAGAATCAATTACTCAACTCCCCTCCGAGGGACGGCACCTCCAACCCACAAAGCGATGATCCAGCGGCTCATTGCAAGGTAAGCTTGACTTGACCACGGACGAAGCTGTCCGGCCCGGCTCCACCCCGTCACCATGATCGAAGACGACATCTACCGCTCCTCAAGCCAGTACCGACTATGGTCATACACGCGCGCTTCCCTGGCCCGGATCCGGCAGGAGACCAACGAGCTCGCCGCGCAAAGAGTGCGCGCCGCATTCCGACGCGCCCGATCTGCCCAAAGCCAGAACGGCGGCGGTCCACATGGCAGCGAGGAAGGCGGTGCGGTGGCGACTGGAGACGATGCCGTGATCGACACGTTAACCGTGGAGGAGGAGTTGAAGATTGTGGAATGGGGGTGTAGCAAGATTGTGGATATGGGGGAGGCGATGAACCCAAGGATTCCGAGCCATGTTGTGGTGAGTTTGCCGTTTCTGTTCGTTGTCTGTTCGTTCTCTCTGTGTGTTCTCCAGTTTGTGGATGATTTATGTGGCGTGGGATCGAGCCGATCTATCTTCGAGAGACTTCTTTCCCTCTCTTTTATGGGGAGGGCTCCTTCAGGGTAAGGGCCTCCTGGGCCAATGCTCTTCTATGTCTCGTCTCGTCCCGTCTCATCTGCTCTCATCCCGTTGTGGCTCCTACCACTCGCTGGAGCGGCCCACGACGGCAACATGCGCTATATATCCATCTACTGCCATACGACCCGACCCAGCCTCCGCGTTGATCCAGTAGCCACAGCATCTGATCTGTCTATATAACTAACACTCACGTTCCCCTTCCCACAGGCCACAGCCACGCAATACCTCAGACGATTCTACCTCACCCAATCACCCATGACGTACCACCCCAAAGCCATCCTCCCCAGCGCACTCTACCTCGCGACCAAAGCCGACCACTTCTACCTTCCTCTCTCCCGCTTTGTGGCCGAATTACACAACATCTCCGAAGACGACGTCAAGGCCCCCGAATTCCTCCTCCTGCAAGGTCTGCGGTTCACCCTCGACGTCCGGCACCCCATGAAAGGCCTACAAGGCGGGCACGTCGAGATGAACGTCCTCGCCGAGGAAGGGAAGCTGGGCGCGGCGATCGAGCCCGGCCGGGCGAGCGAGAGACGCATCGGCATGGCGGCGGACCAGGCGAAGAAACTGCTCGCGACGGCCGCGCAGCTCACGGACGCGTACTTCCTGTTCACGCCGTCACAGATCTGGCTCGGCGCGATCATGGTCGCGGACCGCGACCTATGCGAGGCCTACCTGAACTACAAGTTCGAGGGGATCGTCGATGCCGTGGAGCGGCAGGCGGGGCGGGCGGGCGGCCACACGTCGGACGTCGACATCGCGGCCTTGCAGGCGAAACTGCTCGCGACGATAAACTCCTGCGCGGAGCTCCTGCAGTCGTACACGCCGCCGGAGGAGGAGTCCGCGACGCAGCGCAAGGAGATGCGGCGGATTGGGAAGAAGCTTAACGTGTGTCAGAATCCCGAAAAGACGGATATCGTCGCGGTGGCGCGGGCCAAGGCCGCGGAGAAGAGGGAGGGCAGCGCGACGGGCAGTGGGAGCGATGCGGAAAAGGTGGCCAAGAAGCGGAGGTTGGAGCGCGAGAGGGCCGAGAGGGAGGGGGATGTGTTTGGGCCGGCGTTGAAGGATATCCCTGGCAAGGACGGCGAGTAGAAAGGGGGGCTGATGCCAGTGTGAAATGATGGCGCACGGCTGCCTATCATGGCGGACGGTCTGCTGCTCATGTATAATGACCAGCGACGCGCAGATGCGGCTTCGGGCAACGCCACAGTTTCAGAGCGGCCATGATTGCGGAATAAGTGTACCAACCAAAGGAAATGGGGAAGAGGTGAACATGGGCTTTTGCTGCGCCGTTCGGTCTTTCGCCAGATTCTCGTCTAAACAGTCTATTCTAGCTGGCCATTGTACTTAGGCCAGTCGCTAGCAGTCGCTCACCTCGTCGTCAGTCATCCGGGGTACGCCAAAAAGCAAAGACTACTCGGAATTGGAACCCTTGTCGCAACCGATCCGACCAAGGAGCTCTTTCCGGTCGCTACTTGGCCCTAGGAGGTTGACGCTCGATGAGTGCGCCGAGTCATGCTTTTGTTTTCTCCTGAGACTGCTCGTTGACGATGCGGTCACCGAGTCTGAACTCGATCTTCTGCCCTTCGACGACGAAGACCGCGAGACTGATTTCGACTTGGATCGGGATTTCGTCCTCGCCTTCGACGACGTCGAGACTGAGAAATTCGTATCCGTACTGAGAACCTCGGTTTCAAGGTACTCGACCTGCGGATCAACGCAGAATTTGACCCTGTCCACGTAATCTCTAGGGCACTTCTCATCATCCATCTCGCCGTCCTCCTCTTCATCATCTTCATCGTCGGAACGGACGTCTTCTGCTCCTTTTCCGGTGATGACCTTGTAAGCCACTCGGACAATCATACCGAACCATATAATCAGGATGACCTGGAGCGCTGCAAGCATGCTCAGGAATCCCCATTTGATGCTATTGTTCCAGCAGACTAGTCCAACAGGGTTCTTGAACGGCTGGATCAAATGATCCCAGTCATCGGGCGTGGGGATGGGCCCCTCGAGGTCCTGCGCACTCCCCCTATAACAGCCGTACCGGATTTCCTGCGGAATGTGCGCATAGATGCTATACCAGACCATGCTGTACAGGACGTGTCTCAGGGCGAACCAGGAGACCATGAAAACGCCAAAAGCTATGTCGCAAGCGAGTTCGAAATGGAGGTACTTGAGAATTTTGGCAAGCGGGAGAATGATATCGGCGAAGTCCATGAGACAAAGGATCAAGGTGCCGACACGGTATTGATGATAGCCATAGGAGGTAAAGATGAGCGCGCACGTAAAGATATGGTGAGTAAACATCTGCCAGTGGTCCTTGCGGCGCTCTTCGATGTTGACCACCACGATCTGTTGGAGCCAGAACCCAAATTGAACGAGGTAGTACCATTTCGCAATGCCCTCCATCTCACGGGCGGGCCAGGTGCGCCACAAGGCTCGCAAGTTGAGCCAATAGTCCGAGTTGTAAATGATGTACATGCCAATGCACCAGGAAACGGTATAGTAACAGAGAATCCAGGCCTGTTCGGCGAATCGGACCTTTGCCTTCTTTTTCTTGACACCGAGGATTCCAGCTAGGGGAGCAAGAACATAATCCATCGTGGCGCATCGGAGTCCGGTAAAGGCTATCGTCCAGTAGAAGACAAAGAATATGTCGTCCCAGCCGAGGGCGAAGTTCCCCGTGGCAGGGTTGTAGTAGGAGATTCGGAAGAACTTCTGAGTGTGGTGTCTGGTCGAGGGGAAGAATATGTGGAGGAAGAATAGCGTCGATATGAGGCTCAGCGATATGCCTAGATTAATGTCAGCATTGAGCCTCCATTGCCGTCCGTCTCGGATGCACTCACTGATCTGATGGTCTACAACCCATGTGCACAGGCGGGCTATGGTGCTCCTCTCCCGGCCCTTCCTGTCCCACCTAGGCCAAGCTGTTTTTTGAGAGGGCGATTCATTATGCTGTCGCAGTCCCGGCGTGGCAGCTGATGTTGGTTCCAGTTTCTCCTGGTCCATCTTTCGATGTACCGGAAACAGCGCTGAGCACAGGGTTGCGGCAACAGAGTGTCCTGCTTCCGGCCGGGTGAATGAAGAGGCCGGCGATAACGAGGGTAAGATTCAACAACAGCGTGCAAATGGAGGAGCGACCAGCGCAAAGAGCATGAAATCGGAGCGGGAGCGGAAGTGGGTGTTGGAGCGTTAAACGGTAGGTGGTACGGAGTACGATGGTGGTAGCTGAGGGGGGGATTGCAAGCGAATGACAGATCTGACCGAAAGCACACGCTCAGGAACGGCGGAAGCACTGCTCGCTAACCCAGAATGCCACAGCGACGGTATGAGGCCATTCGGACAGAACCAGAACAGCGCAAGTGGACTGATATGGAAGGGGGAGGGAATATTTTCAGTGCGGTTAATGGCGCGGGGACCAACTGGCGGTGTCGGTGTAGCTTGACCATCGCCTAATTGTGATTGGCGGCTGAGCTGCCGGGGCTTAACGGGCTGCGTTGGGCGATACTTGTGGTGCCTGTTCCTTGCTTGCCAGCTCCGGTAGTTAGCAGTGTAGTGTAGGCCTAGTCGATGATCTCGGCGCAAGCTCATGTACTGTACGTAGCCAGTTCGGAGCACACAAGATGATTGCTGCGCTGAGGCGTTACCTCCCTCCCGTCCCTCTAAGCTCCCGCTGTCCGTCGTTCCTGCATGAAAGTATTCCAATTGGCAGAGCTCATTGCTCGCTTTCATGTCCCAGGTTCCAAGTAGAGTTATGCCCAATAGCAGGTGTTTCCAGCCCTTCTTTGTGCCTGAGCAGCATCCACACCCTGGCTACCCCTTTATGTCATTCCCAGCATCGTCGCCTAATCGACGCATGCATGACCCGGAACAGTTCATCTGGGCCATACATGTTACATGATGCTTGACACTGCGGTCTCGGACCCGTTGCACCACCAGACTCGACAATAGTCAGTCGAACATTGCATAGCGTTCGCTTGTTGACAGTGACCATTGTGTATGACGTGCTCAGGCAGTCTGGTTTGCCATAGTCTTGTGCTTAACGCTCAACGCCACAGACCGTACGGCTCTTTGCAAGCTTTCCACAGCTTGACTGTTCCGTCTTCACTTCCAGTGGCATAGAGCTTGCCGTCAGGCGAAAACGAAACCGACCAGATCGGACCATGGTGCCCTTTCAAGACTTCTGCTACAGGTTAGCATGACCATTGACACCTAGGATGCAGGATCGTACCCAGTTCTTTCTCTTGCTCGAAATCCCATACTCGAACCCAAGTCTCTTTGCCGCCACCCGTCACGAAACGTCCGGTGCTTGGATTGATGGCAACGCTGGCTACTTCATGGTCGAACTTGACTTGCTTGATCAGCTCTCCTGGCCGGCCCGCGTCGAAGAACAAACATGATTGTCCCGCTGCTACGCTCAGGATGCCCGGATCACTATCTTCTGCCTTGTTGGTAGACAGCTCGCACGAAGTGATGTCCCGCTCGGTTTTGACACTGGCGATCACTCGCTGGGTCCTGAGATCCCACCAACGGATAGTCTTATCGTCGCATGCAGTTGTCAGAACATTGTAGTCGACGTTCCAGACGATCGACTTGATGCTGCCCCCATGTTCCCCAGGCCCAATCTCATGTCCTTCGGAAGCGGTAATCGGTGTGACAGGTGATGAGCTGTTTGCCTGGTCGTGAGTAGCTGCACTACCTCCACGTGTCAAGTCAAAGATCTTCAACTTCTTATCCTGCGCCCCAGTCGCTACGCATTGTGGGTTTACTTGGATCGGGAAGGCAACGGCGCGAACGATGTGGTTGTGGGTCAATATGTTCAAGCATTCTCCGGTCTGAGGATCCCAGATTCTCCTGGTCAAGTTGTCAGCGTGCGCCATCTGCTGTATGCCAAATCGGTATTACGCGGTGAAGTCCGCTGATCCAGTTGCTGCGATTGAAGCATCGGAAGAGAGTCTTGAAGTCCAAACAGCACCCTTGTGTCCAATGAAAGTCCCGATCCAGTCCCCAGTCATGCCATCTCTCAGCATCGGATTGTTATCTGCCACTCGTCAGAGCCGCCTTCACGGGAGCGCAGTCCTTACCTTTGCATGCTGAGATGAGATAGTATTGGTCATCGTCCACAACAGAGGAGAAATTCAAGTGTGTCACTGGCCGGGAGTGTCCATGGCAAGTCAGCGGAACGATGCGTGGTGTGTCTGTAGATCGAGTCAGGCATTTCATTAATAGATCGCCCTGACGCTGTCTCATTACCTGCAGACATGTCGCAATATCGCGTTTGCTGCGATCACACTTGCGAAGCCTGGCACGGTGTTTGTGTATGTCGCTGGTGTCTGAGTACGCAAATGTTGGGAGCAGAACAAGTGGTGTTACTTCCTTTGACCTAGCCAGCGGCCAGCGCAGAGGCTGTGAAGCAGTCTGTTCCGGGAAGAATAAGCCAAAACCAAGTGGAAAAGGATGGCGCCTGACGTCTGCTTGCTGTGAGAATGAAGTGGAAATATGAGTGCAATAAAGGTGCTGTCTTTGCCCTCGCAGGCCGTCGCAAAATGCTCTAATATCTAGGGTACCGAAGCTAATGTCATTAGGTCAAAGTCATGAGGGTGAGGAGGGTGTGAAGAGATATGCTGCACAACCACACTGATGGCTGTGTGTACTGTAGAGTTGTTGGTTCATCAGGTTCCCCTTCCTTGCCGCTCAAACATCAGCCATACCAAATCGGGAATAGTAACGTTTGCCGTACTTCACAGTTAATTTTGCAGTCTTCTTGCCTGCGCTTACTTTCTCCCTCATACTCCTTCATCTAAGTATTCCGATTCAGGCCATGAAACGGCTGCCCTCCCCTGAACAGCTCAGGCCTTCCCAGTGGTAATCTGCCTCTTCCAGGATAAAGAAACGCTTCCAGCGGCGTCCTACTTACTTTTCTCCGTGCCTCACAGTTGTAACAAAGAACCAATACGCCTATCTACAGCCAGCTCGTACCGGGATTACTGTTATCTCTTCTGTGCTTCAGCTTCTTTGTCTTGTGAATAAACCAACCTGCTTTCAATGCCTTCCCACCATCCTCTCCGCATGGCTCTTTCGCTGTTTCAGGTCAGAAGTCAATCAACAGCTCGAGACCATCACAGACCACACTTTGCACTTTTCTAATACAGTCACCCTGTCGCGAGAAACCAGACCTCTGCCCTTCTCTTTGTTGTAGTCCATGTTGGTCGGACTAACCTGTCATGATAACTTTTCTCTGTTCTCTTCGACGTCGGTGACGGTATGTAGCTACTCCGGTCTTTACCATATGGCTTGGCTACCCCTTTGCAACGTGCGCGTATTACAATTCACTAACAGGCTGCTCTAACCGTGCCTTGTTTGACTACTCACCCCATGTCAAGGTTCGTTTCCTTGTCGCCTATCCCGGCCAAGGCAGCTGGTCTACTGTCGACTTACGCATCCACTCTCCGTTGCCTCACGAACTACCATGGTGTAATAGCGCCATTCATGGTAAGGTATCTTCCAAAAGCACTATACCATTGACCCTCTCTCAGTCATGCTCTTCAATATACCTGGCAAGAAAACTGTACTGGCAAAACCTCCAGGCACTGTGCGACACATTCCGACGACAGCCTCCCGGCACTGCCTGTTTTAGACCCGATGACCTCTCTGCCTTTTGTTCCGACGTACAAGGTTAATCAAGTCAACTGTGAAAGCCGCGCGGGTAACCCGGCTAAGAACGAACAAAATGGAGGCCCGAGTCAGCGCAACCTGGAGACAAAGAACAGAGATCATAGCCTGAGTCCATTTCCCGGCTGTCCTTATCAGCTGCGTATGATATCCAAGAGCCAATGCGCATTTGCGTACAACCTATTTCGTCACTTCCAAGGGACACGAGGTGGAAAATTCACTGATCGTTACCAATCGAAGCCTCGAGCCTGGGGCATCAGAAGGAATTTCTACGTCCTAGGAACTTCGCAGATCCCGGGATGGACCTCATGATTTCGAGCAGTCTCCGATCCCTTCCGCCATCCTCAGAACCCGGAAGTGGCCCGCCCGAGAATGAGCCATATAAGACGCCCAGCTTACGCGCTCCTAACGCCACCACAGAGGCCCAGCCGTCAGTATGTGGAAAGCAACAAAGGCCGCGCAACGAATTTGCAGACTCGCGCTTTTTAGTAGGTCTGTGGGACACCAAGGCCGAGACACTGCCAAAGCGGTTCCTGGGTTCGCAAAACCAGAAGCTATCAAGAATACCGAATAACGCCATCAAAAGAGCAGAAAGCGAATATGTGCCTAAGACGAAGAGTAGCGATGAAGAGCATCCAGCGTCTTCCCAGAATCGTACGGCGCAGCAAAGTACAACACCACCTTACTCGGCCCGCAGTATGGGCTCGCTCATTCTACAGCTGCTGACAGTGCTCGTCTTACTATTATATATACTATGGGAAGGATATACCCGCAGACCCAAGTTACGTTGAGACGGACTATACTCAGATCCTGTTTCCAAGGCATCCTAGGGCTGTATATGTCATTATGACCTTGCTGTGGCGAGGACTAGGACGGGGCGACACCAATTCAAAAGTTGCCCACGTCGAGCATGGCGGGGCATTGCAAGTACTTGCATCCAGGCGACTACTGCCTCAAAACACTGAGAGGTGCGACGAACGCCCAAGCTGCCGTTCAGCTCTTTGGGCCAAGCTCCCAGATGTACTCTCAACGAGACGCATGAGGTGCGCTCTCCTCTTATCAGATTCGATGCACCATGGTCCTGACGCACTGGTACTGATCGCAACATATCAAGACCTATTACCGGATCCAACTCAACTTCGCCTGGCCAGATACTCTGAGAAATTCTTTGAAGAGGTAATCTGGTCCGAGGCTTCTCTGCGAGTTTGCTTTGTCTCAACAACGGATTCTTTTGTTCGGTTTCTTTTTGTCCGGCAAAGGCAATGGCAGCTGTACCAACTCTGTCCCTGCACTCTGCGTCCTTTCAGATCCAGCTTTCTCGCTTACTGCCTGCAGTGAGCATTAAGAGTGGATGAACTCCCTTCCAACGATGCTCTCTTTTCTCCCCTCATCCACTTGCATTCTCGAAGATATACCACCATTGACCAGTCGGTCCCAAGGTCCTCACCCTTATCCCCCAGGGAGCAGATTAATATCCGCCACTTCCCTGGTGACTACCATACCGACAGACCGGTTCAAGCGAAGCAATCTCCACCATGCTTGTCAAGTCCGCGTCCAGAATCCGTAAGCGACACTCCTACTTCCACAAATCCGTGGCCAAAGGTCTTCTCAAGCGTGCCAGAACAACTCTGAGATCTAGATTCAAGAAGGCCAAGCTTGCCCAACATTCCGAAACGATCGAGAAAGATGCCAGTACTGATCGACTTCTCCATATCCCCAATAATGATCTGTTCCAAGGAGCACCCACCATGTTGGAAGTTACCAATACCGCTCCGGCCCCTTCCCCACCACGGCCGATAGGGCTGACAGTGAGATATATCATTCGGAGTCGGAAGAATTGCCCTTCCTCGACTAATAAATCGTCCGATGCTGCAGGCTTGAAGCCAACACGGCCGTCTAGAAGACTCAGTGAGATCTCCGCATCCTCACTCGCACAGCCTTCGGTGTATTTCGCACCATTTTCGCAGCTTCGTTGTCAACGGCTAGACGAACAACATCTTGCTGCGCTCGCAACACCTCCAGCGCTGTTTGATAACGATCAGAGCGATCACCTTGACATTCAGCACAAACTTCCCTCTACAGAAACACAGTCAGAGCGTGCGGCGACCCTTGGAGAAGCAATCTGTCGCACAAGCCAAGGTTCACTTTCCGAGGAGGCGAATACTCAAATTCTCGACTCTTCGCTGACCGGACCAGATCCGTCCAGCCAATTTCGGTCTCCCCTCGTGTCCTCCCGGCATCTTGCTTCTGGAGCCTCAAGCAAGGACACGTTCGGTCTGCGGGGAAAGCCGAAAAACCCAAAACTTGGTACGACAAGTGTCCTATTCGGTGGGCGGGAGTCTCTCAGTGACCCTTTTATAGAGTCAAAGCCAGAGAAGGAGTGTCTAGAATCGACACTCCCTATAAGCGTCGACCATTCGAAAACGCAGGTGCAGAGTGTCACAATTGCGGACGCAACCTCTGTTACCGAAAACAAGACTCCGAAGTCCCCAGCACGTTGGTCCGATGATTACGACCAATTCTCATCAGACGGCCAGAATCATCGCTTGACTCAAGTGGCGTCAGGTCAATACGAGCTGCTTGGCAGAGGATATCACCTGAAGCCACCACCAGTGCTCGACGTCCGCATCCCGCGCATCCGCAAACTGGTTCCAGATGACTCGTCTGACGAACACGAATTTACAGGGCCACAGCCAGAGCATTTCATTCGACAGCAACAGTGGTTTCCACAGGAACAGGTTCTTCCCCAAGCCATTCCAGTAACTATGCTATTGGCTACTGCAATTGAGAACGCTCAGTCGGCCATGAACAATTCGACTCAGCAGCTGAACAATCTGGTCTGCCAGGCTCAGACACATTTCTGGAATGCTGGAGTATTTGCAGGGAGAGTTGCGTCTCGGGATCAGGAACTAGCAACAGCTCTGTGGGATGCCCAGCAGAAAGATGCAGAGATTGTACGACTACGGATTCTCCTTAGCACAAGAGAGGCGGAGATCGAAACATTACGGGCTCGAAACCTACGGGGTGAGCATCCAGCACAATATGACCATGATTCCGATGACGAGTCTGAGACATCTGACCTATACGGCGGAAGTGACTATCACGCAGATATTGAGGACGCCGACGGTGAAGCCACCAATGACATCGTCGAGACTGTGTCGCTCCAGGAGTGTCAAGGTGCTGACAACGCCCAACAACCTGATTCAGAAGATGAAGACGAGGTTTTGTTGAGCCCAGCTACGGATACTCGTCGATACCGCCTTGGCCTCCTGGAGACGGCTTCGGACAGTGCCGTGCTTGACCTCCGCGACGCTCCCAGATTTCCAGGTCACGTCCACCAACAATCATCTTAAGTCAAGCCCATGATATTTCCCTGTGGGTTTAAGTTGGAAAGAATAGGAGAACGTGGTAAGCGATGTGTTCAGGAATTTTAGAGAATCTAACAGGAACTAGAAGAAATGCAGAATAGCTGAGATATTGGGACAACAAGTCAGTATTCTTACCATACACTGAAGGCTCTGGACGAGGCATTGCTGCATGCTAAGTGGCTCTTGCTGATCAATGGAATGATTACTTAGGATCGCTCAAAAAACGTCGAGACCACCGACCAGGCAAGCTGGCTTTCCGCCGTGGTCCTGCATAGTCTCGAAATGGCAAGTAGTCGCCGGAATACGCTTCCCTTTGCATATTCGTCGAGCTCCTGCTCCAGATTTATCGATCACGTCGGTGCGGAACCCGATCCTGGTCAACACAATGGAGTCAATGAACAGTAAGACGATTCAAGACTTCTTTGTTCGTTCCCTGCGATATGTCTAACCGTCACCTTGTACCCTAGGCAATGAAATCTGTGGCCAGAGGCAGTGATATTATTGCCACAGCGTGTATCGTTCACAGGCAGTTACGGTACTTGCTGCCTGGACTCTGATGGTTGGGGATATACTCTTCGTTCTCCTCTACCGTTGTTTCTTCAAGCTATTAACATTTTGTGAGCAGTTTTACTGGCAGTCCCCCTAGTACGTAAACACGAGGCGCTGGTGCAACAACTCAAAATCTCTGGGCTCATTCAGACTCTACTTCCATCATTTCGTAACCAAACACTATCATGGCGAACAGCTATCGAAATGGAGGTAACGGCGCGAAAGATGTTCAGTCCATCGTCTCACGGGCGAAAGCTCACCTCGAGGCAAAGATGATTGCTGCTCATGGTAAGTTCAAGCTTGCACGCGGAGCTCGGACACCCCATCATCGTTCTACACCTGGAGCTGTCAGCGGATCGTCATCTGCTGCTTTGCCCACTGCGACATGTTTTGGAGATGGGTCCCAGCTTCTTGCCTCGCCACAAACACCGAGTGCTTACTACGCAGGGAGATCGAGGATTTCTGATATAGCAAGCTTCGTTGACTCTGCTAGTCCAATATTGCACTCGGACAGCCGAGAACGCTCCTCGATGTCACCAGACGTCGAACCTCCGGCATTCCATGCATTCGAATTTCGACCTCACTGGGACTTGGCCTTACAGAATCGCGCCAGGCAGGCAGAGGAACTCCGTCCAGAAAACCATCCCCACGCTCAGCTCCGTTTCAACAGTCATGGTGTGAACAATCTTTCACGGTAGCTGGAGAATCGGACGCTCAGATGATTGGAAGGCCCTCGCACGTACCTGAGGAAACTCCTGTGGCCGATTCATTTGCCGAGCGCATGAGTCGCAGACAAGCCCCGGCCCCGCCCAAGGCTTCGCAATTGACGCGCTTGCAATTTTCGACGACCCTTTTATCGATCACGACGAAGCAATCGTGGACGCCCTCCACCCAGCTCACGCTCCCACAGATCGACAACTGCGAAATGCGCCGGTCATGTGGTCGGACGATGGAGTCAGGCTCTCACCTGCCCCAGAACCATTGTTCCACCAGCGACAAAGCCTTGCCCCACGGACGTTGTTGCCACTTTTGTCACAAGAATTTCGACCCAGAGCTCCCGTCGAAAATGTGCAGCGGGCCAAGCTCGACTTGACCGAAGCCGTGAACGACCTTGTTTTGGACAACAGAACTTATCACCACAACGTCGGAATCCTTGCAAGGAGTCTTGTCATTCGTGATGCGCAAGTTCAGCAGCTACGCAGCCGACTTGTGGAGGCGGAAGCTGAGGTTGAAATTCTGCGAGATCTCCGCAGACGTTGAAACGTGAAGCCTGCGGCGTCAGCGATACATGCAGAACGAGATGGTGTGACGAAATGCACCGTTGGCTACGCTTTCAAGGAGTGAGTTCAGCTACCATGTCGCCTGATACGTTGATAGGTTAATCACACTTCTATGGTCTAGGAGTTGAGCTCCCCAACAACAGTCCTGTGGTGCAACTTCTGAGAACGTCGCTGCCCGGTTCACCTTACCCGCCCTCACTTTGATCTCCTCCCTAGACATCTACATGCAGCAGACCTGCAGATTACCGCCTTTTCTACAGTCCTGGCACTGGGTAAGCCGACCTTGATTTGCGATCTCTTTCCCTTGCTGGTGACAATGAGCTTTGTTTCCCTGGTATCAAAGCATGAAACTAAGGAGTTTTGCAGTTGCCTTGGTTCAGCACACTCTCGCCTTGTGTAGCATTGCCACTTCCATTGCCTACAGAGGAATAATGGAGACTTAGGAGCTTTCGTCGATAAAAGACTGCTTCGCTCCCTGCATCCTGGGCTTACTCAGAATCTTCCAGCAGAGACGGTTTGCAGTTACCTTCTGCTACTTCCAAGGTCTTCGCCAATCCTCTCTGCTGGAGTAGCACCAGTCTCTCATGCCACCAGAACCCGTAAGTCCGGAATCTCAAATTAAGATGGCCCTGACTAAGTCATACCGTCTGTTCAGCCGCGCGAAGAGGGGTGTTTCATCACTAGTTCGAACAGTGTTCCCATTGCGAGCATCAAAGCGGCGTCCACGGTTTACTGTGGTCGCTAGCGAGGACGGTTCTTCCTGCGGGCCAAGCCCTCACGCAACCATCGAAGGCTCCGAGCCATCCGAACCAGAGGATACTCTGACTGCATTGCCGACTCCGCCACAGATCCAGCGATTCCGAGTGCGGCGTTGCCGTGGGGGCGTGGTATTTTCTACAAGCCGGAATCATTTTCCGAATGCCAATGTGAGTCCCCATTCCGAGCAACGCTATGAAGCCCAAACATTTCCCGATGCTGCATTTCATAGCTCGACACTCTCCCCCGCTGCGTCTGAGAATGGAGTTGACTCTTATTCCCGGAACGATCCTGCTGAGGTCAACACTTCGTCCATCCCGACCCTACACTTGAGCTCAGGCAATAACGACCGCAATACAGCGAACAGTGGAAGTGATTCAACTCGACGCTCGGCTCAGGCATCCGCATCCTCTTCAAATGAAGACAGCACTAGCGACAACAGACCCTGGGACGACTTCTCGTCTGACGAGTTCAATGATGCCGACGCACCATTCTACCAAGGAAACGGTGTTTACCAGCTTGTTGGTGGGAGCGAACACGGCATCAATGAGCTTCCGGCACGACCAGGAGAGGTATATTCACCTCCCGACCGACCCAACTCCCCCATGGTGGCCGAGGTCATGCCGTCCCCGGTTCCGGAGTTACTACGTCCTAGGATCTCTCCAGAGATTGCTGTTGCAAATGCCACGCTGGCCATGGCAGGTGCGTCCAGTGAAGCTCAACAAGCAATAACTGACCTTGTTGACCAAGCCCACGTTTTCTTCCACAATGCTGAGGTGCATCGCCGACATGCCATACGCGCCGAAGAGCGAGAGGCAATGGCATTGACATTGGTTGCGGAGCGAGACGCCGAGATCCAACAGCTCCAGGATCGCCTTCAGAATCCTCAGGATTGGACTCCCCCACGTCCCCAACGACGGCTGTCACTCTGATTGTACAGTAATATGCAGATAAATAGGCGGTGGTTGACTCACAACCATAGGAGGCGCAAGGACCGAGGTGAGTCTATGTCTTCCAAGCAGTATTATTTACATATGATCAAATCTGAGATCTACAGAATCACTAACCGCTTTGCTATTCAAGCCTCCTTATTTGGTTCCGCAACATATAATATATCCGTTTTCCATATGACCAAAGGGGGGTTTCCTACACCCACGGAATCGGTGGCGAGGTGAGCTAATACTGCGTTTTCCACCCTGAATTCTCCTTCCAATCTTCCCATTTGTCTAGATCCTGTTCCGGCGATAGTTTGGCCTCCATTGTGTAGAGGCTTCTTTCAGGCATCACGGCCTCTTTGAGTCGTCAAACTTCTTTCAGTTAGTCATCAAGTCTTCTTTGAACGGCTCAGGGCCTTTATTGCCGCAAATGCCTTGCTCCAGCACAAAGCGGCTTTGCAACATGGGCCCTTGCTAACTGCCTTGCAGCAAGGAACAATGGAGACGCACGAGAACGTCTTTTGCATAAGGTTCTCCTCGATTTCCTACAGTCTCGTCCTTTTCCAGACTATGTCACCACAGGAGTGTTGCTGATACCTTGAGTTACTCGACCGAGGTTCTCAGCAGTTGTTCCGACATAACACCTCGTCTTCCAGCACTCAGCCAAACCTCGACGTCACCATGGCAAGGTTGAAATTCGGCCTTCTTCGACGTGCCAAGTGCAAGCTGGTCTCAGCGCTTGGTAAGGTCGTTTCCAGGACGCGTCGGAAGGGCAACCGGAAACCTGAGACTCCTCACTGGGAAGGCTTCTCGGACGCTTTCACTGTTGAATCGACAGAATTCAGCTTTGTGAGGACCCCAGAATCGGCCTATCGAATACACAGTCCCCTTCTGCAATCCCCAACCGGCCTCTTCATCCAGCACGCTGACCCACCACAGGATCTATCTTGGCCAGTACCGGTTGAACCACCCTCTGGCACCAATTTTCCTGATGCCGACTTTCGGTTCCTGGGCACAAACTACTCGGATGGGTCCAGCCGTGCAGCACTCAGCTCCTCGCTGAGCTCTTCATGGGAGACTGAGGCATCTTCGGATGCTCTCATGGCTTCACTGCTAAATGGTCTCCCAGAGATTCCCCGCCTTCGACGAAGACCAGGTCGACGAAACCTCCAGTCAGATCGTCCTCCAAGCCACCACGACGTGGACTCGAATTCGGATGTTTCAACTGTCGGCCATAATGAAACAGGACGTGCTGAAGCTCCGGACCAAGCAACTCAAGCTGACAGCTCCCAGCAGCCACGGGAAAGCCGGCTCGATCACAACCTCCGTGCGCAACTCAGTGTTTCCGAAGCTGTTGAAGCTCAGGTGTTCGCGTCGCCAGCGGTTGGAGGCGGTCATGGCTCACCAGGACCAACCATTCGTCACGGTTCTGACTCCCCTTCGCCTGCTTTCCTGCCTCGGACAGCAATCTCTGACACTTCCTTGGTTTCCGCTCCACATCGGCCTCGGAACCCAATGGTACAGAACTTTACTGTCGGCAGCGAGACGCTGTCCGATCCATTTCTGGCAGATCCAGGACGGGCTCAAGCTCGTGGGAACAACCGTCGCGAAGGTCACCAATTATGGTCAGAGTTGTCGAGCTCCTCAGATTCGAGGCCTAGTCCAGTATACCAGGGAAATGGTGTCTATGTCCTTCACGACGGCACCATCCATGATATTCGGCGTAGCCGTCGTCGTATCCAGGAAGCTCGGGGCAGTCAAGTCCGCTCCAATAGAGGGGATATGCGAGATACTTCTTCGGATGAGGCGAATCACGCCGACAGATCCGATTCTCCCAGTGGAGGAAGTGATTCGTTACCATCAAGGCCTCCTCGGACCGCAGTCCGGCGTCTGCAGACCGTAGTGTCAAACCTCGAGGGATTCACCTCACCTGCCGCACGGGAAGCCGTGCGTGACCTGGAGCAAGCAGTTGACGGCGTCTCAGCGATTGTCGCCACTCTCATCCACGAAATGGAGGTCCACGCATACAACGCGGAGGAGCGTCGGCGGAGATTTGCTGCCCAAACCAGCGAATTGGTCGTGGCACACCGAATGATCCAAGCACGGGATCGAGAGATTGCCCGGCTCAGCCACCCTGAAGTGTACGGTGAGAATGCCACGCCCCCAGAGTATGCATCTGACGCCCAGCAGGATCCTCAATCTGTGACAGTGACACGAACTCCTGCGGGCACGCAAGACAACACCAACAACAACTCGCCCACGCCCGCAACTGTGGTTCGTCGCCCAGCGCTCCAAGCTGACAACGCTAGGGATCGTCAGGTGTCTGTCACAGCAGAGGCTGGATCTGCAGCACCCTCGTACCGTACCTCCCCTGATACGGACCGTCGGGTGTCCGTGACAGCGGAGGCTGGAGCCGCTGCACCTTCGTACCGTACCTCCCCTGATCCTGATCCTGAAAGTGTCATTCAGCCGCAAGTTCTAACTCCGGAAGTGGTCGCACAAGGGAGCCCGGCCTCCAGCCAGTCCGGCGAATCCGACAACGTAATGTTGACGCGGACACCGCGGTTCCGTCGTCCGACGGTCTAATGGCATGGGTCTTAGAGGGTGAGTCTCTACAATTTTGAGTGACTGAGACTGGCAAACAAAAGGTGAGATTGGTCACGGGTCCAGGGTTGGACAATAGGTAGGGAGATTTAAGCGGTAAAGGTAAGATCTTAGGTAGGTACTATGGTATCTAAGTCTATGACAATCTGTCATCGATATCTGTCAATAAATTTCTTCTAGAATCTGGTTCACAGTTTGGATGAGCTAGTCTGCGATTGTTTCCAGCTGCGGCAGGTTGGAACTACGGCCTGTGCACGCATCTTCTTGCATCTTGTTCTGTATGGTGGTTCGCAACCATCTCCTACTCTTGCTTTTTCTTCCCTTGCAGTGACGTGGCGCCTGCAGGTTGTGGATGGACATCGACGGTCCCTCCGACGCTGCTGACACCTTGGTCTCGACCCATGTGTACGCGATGAGGCACAACCCTGCGACCGCGAAGCCCGAACCGTTGCTGTAGCCGTAAAAAGTCCATCTTCGCCACCGAGACTGTCCGAGCCTTAACTACCGAACTCGGAATCCACCTGTCATACCGATCTCCGCAATGTCACGCTGCTGTTCAGATAACTTGTCGTGGGCCTGCAAATTATTCGGGAAAAATGCACCTGGACCTCTGTCTCAGCTCAGCCAGGCACAACCACCATCAGCCTGGCAGATGCTTTCTCGCACTTGACTTTGGGCTGCTTGAAGAGGTCGGTTCATCGGGTCGTTGCCCCACCAGAAGATCAACGCCCGTACACACACGTACAGGCTTGCTGTACTTTTCCCCTCCTCGCAACAAGACAGTTCTGGTCCCCATCACCGACTCTTCCGTGCTGAAGCATGCAGATGTACGCCTGGTTCGACGACGAAGTGACCGTGGAACGATGGTTCAATGCCAAGCAGACGCTGCCGTGAATCCCGACACTGCGGCTAAGCGATAGTCAGAGGAGGGCGATGAGACAGTTGAGGTGCTTGCAGGCTTCTCCGACAGGGGGTACAAGGAGTAAGTATTGCTGCGAGGCATGCTTGATCTGATCTGACGATGTAGCGCATAATCCAGCATTGTTGCGAAGTGCCTGGTGTCGTGCCGTAGCTTGAGCTCGCATCGTGGAGATGAGATGTTTCACTCTTTTCGCTCTGCAGGGTACAGTGAAAATGCCTATATGCCTTGCGTCGCGCTTGTGGACGCATTGAACTACTCTCCTTCTTTCTGCTCTTCAAATTCGACCAAGTCCACACCAGCGCCGACCACCTCACCCTCACCATGTGCCACTCTCTTGACCTTTGCCCCTTCAACTGGACTCCTGATGACGGTCTCCATTTTCATACTCTCGATGACAACCAATGGTTGTTCCTTCTTCACGACATCGCCAGGTTTGACCAACACTCGCAGGATTTTTGCGGGCATGGGAGAGACCAAGCTATTTGCAGATTCGCGGAGGCCAAGGGCTTTAGCCAGGAAAGGAGGTGGTGGCGAGATTAGCAGCGTGGAGCCCTGGGGTGTAAAGAGGTGGATCATCTGCTGGTTACTGGCCGAGGACGCCTGGAAGATGACGCGGGAAGTGTGCCTTGTGTGTGGGAAATACGTGGTCAACGTATTTGATAGAGGATCGAATGAGGATGTCAATGTGATTGCATCGCTACTGGCTGGCGTTTGTACGGAGAAGGTGCCTGGGCTGAGCTGCTGGAGCTGGACCGCGTGGATGTCCGGTGTCTTTCCAGGCCCAGGTTCAAAACTTGCGGTGTGGAAGTGGAAAGTGCGTGGTTGGAAGTCGGAGGAAGTGTCAAGCCAGGAAGATGATGCTGAAGGGAGGCCCCATGCCGGAGGAGAGGAGTTCGGCTGCGGTGAATGGCGCAGGAAGGATGCTATTGCGGCCTCGGCGAGAACTTCAGGTGTGAAGGAGACTTCGGGAAAGAGCTCGTCTCTGTGTTTTTCGATGTAACCCGTCTCAACATTGCCACCCACGAAATCAGGGGATTTGCATATTCGTTTGAGGAAGTCGATGTTCGTGACTGGTCCCGCCACCTCGTAGTCTTGCAATGCAGCTACCATCTTGCGTAGAGCGAGTTCTCTTGTCTCGCCTCGTACGATCAATTTCGCAATCATTGGGTCGTAATGGCTGGATACCGTGTCTCCTTGCACGAAGCCGCTATCTATCCGTACATCGGCCGACTCGTGCGGTAACTTGACATGCGATAGTCTGCCAGAATCGGGTATGAATCCCTTGTCTGGATTCTCGGCATAGATTCTTGCCTCGATGGCATGGCCACGTTGAGCAATCTGTTTCTCAACTTGGTCCTGTGTCAAAGGGAGTGGTTTGCCCTCTGCAACTTGGATTTGCCAATGCACGAGGTCCAGCCCAGTCACCATCTCGGTCACGGGATGCTCGACCTGCAGCCTGGTGTTCATCTCCATGAAATAGAAATCGCCAGTATCATTGTCAAAGATGAACTCGACCGTACCGGCGCCCTCATATTTTACAGCTAATGCAGCCGCCCGAGCTTTCTCCCACAGGTCTTTTCGTATCGAGTCGTCCAGGTTGGGGGCAGGAGATTCCTCAAGGATCTTCTGATGCCGTCGTTGGATGGAACAATCACGCTCACCCAAGGCCAGGCAATTACCATGCTTGTCCGCAAAAACCTGAACTTCAATGTGGCGCGGGGTCGTGATGTACTTCTCAACCAGGACTTCATCGTTGCCAAACGAGTTCCTGGCCTCGCTCTTCGCACTTTCTAGCATATCTGGGAACTCCTGGGCGGACCTTGCGATCCTCATTCCCTTGCCTCCGCCGCCCCTCACGGCTTTGATGAGGACAGGATAGCCGATCTTCTCTGCCTCCTGTGCGAGTGTGTCAGGAGCTTGGTCGGAGCCATGATAGCCAGGGACACAGGGTACACCGGCAGCATTCATGATCTCCTTGCTCCTAGCTTTGTCACCCATATCTTCAATGGCGCTCGCAGGTGGGCCAATGAAGGTGACACCTTCTTCTGCGCACCTCTTCGCAAACTCGGCATTCTCTGACAGGAAGCCATAGCCCGGATGTATTGCCTGACAACCTTGCTGCTTTGCTATCCGGAGGATCTTGTCTTGGTCCAAGTATGCAGCGGTTGGGCCGAGGTTGAAGGAGAAGGGAGAGGAATGAGCATGCTGTGCGAGAGCATCCGGGTTGGTATACAGTGTGGTTGTGCGGATGCCGTGCTGAGCAGCTGTCTTGTTCACTCTTATTGCGATCTCCCCTCTGTTTGCAATCAGGATGGAATCGATGGTCTTTGTCGAATATGATCGGAGAGATGTTCCCGTTCGCAGAGCTGCAGCAGCTCGTGGGAGCTGACGGTGAGACATGGCTAGACTGAGGCAGAGCACCTGGGTGGTTTCTGTCACATCTCATGCAAGGTCCCTTGTGTAAGAGCTCTTATAGAGAAACATGAGAGATGGAAGAGGAAGTACGAGGTACTTCTCCAGGCGCGGTTGTCGTCGCCTTGCATCGGAGCGGCAGGAAGCGGGGAACAAGCGAGACGCGCATCGTCTTGATCTGGCTGTAATCCCTTGTCCAGCATTGCTGCCCGCACTGTCTGTCACACTGTTGTTGATTCGTCCCACCAGCCTGCACCACACCGCACCGGCATCAACTTGCATGACTGCTCGAACAGAGGGGCGAGGGGCTACGTGAGTCAAGGCAACCACTTTCACGTCTCTCTGCGACTTTCCTCAAGGTACTTGCCCGATCCGAAACGAAGGCTCCATCATGCCTTGACGGGGCTCAATACATCTCGATCCGCTTCCCAACATGTCTGACGTCGAAGACTACGCCTACTGGCCCTATGACGACCTCGAAGATGTTTTATATGACGCCGATCCGGACCCAGAGTTAGCGGACGACTTAGCCAGCCATGCAATACACAGTCCCATTTACCACGAAGAAGACGCCGTCAAGGACGAGTTGCAGGAATACTTTAGCGACTGGGAATATTACTCGGATGACTACGTGGATGATGACCCAACACTATTGAGAAAAGACCCTCAGGACGGTGGGCCGATCCAGCGGTTCGCAAACATCAAACGAGAACCGAAGCGTGGGAAGAAGAGGAAGCTGGTCGAAACACAGGACATCCCTCCCTTTGATCTGAACGAGGACCAATTGTTGATCCGCTGTATCAAGGGTGTAGTATGGGCCAAACCTTCCGAGCTAAGGACGCCGCAGTACGAAGGAGGCCAAGAAAACAAAGTCGCCTTGCTGAAGGACTGGAAAGAAGTGTTTGCGGTCACAGACAGTGGCTGGGGTAGGGCATCAGAAAGGGCTCGGCAAGATGAGTCTTGGGCTAATGACTTGAGCCTCGCCGATATGGGTCTGCGGAATGTACCCAGGCAAGCGTCTTTCAAGCAAGACGATCAAGAAGAGGAAGCAGGTTTTGAAGAAGACGATGCAGAAGACGACGGAGCAGAACACAGTCCAGTTGGAATAGAGGAAGATGTTCTGTCCGACAAGGATTCGCCTGGACCAAGGTCTTCGAAGCTCCGCACTACCATGCTCCTGGACGAGGATGACAGAAGCATAACTCAAGGCTTGCCTGCTGCGGAGGATTTGGAGGACGAGCGAGGTCCCCGGAAAAGACGCCGAGTGAAGCCAGACCTCCCGTCCCCGCCAGATTCGAATGAAGCCGTTACACTCGACCTAGAGGAACCCCAAGCCATGTCGAATATACAAGCTGCAGCACTCGCAAAGGAGGACTCGTTCGCAGGCGGCAGTGATGAGACTGTCCAAGCCAAAGCGCCCATATCTGTCGGCCCTGACGTTCCGCAGAGCAGGAAGAGAAAGGCAGCCGAAGAGCCCGAGGATGGTGTCACCAGATCAACTGCGAGTAGTCGGGCGAAGAGAGTTGCGTCGTCCGTGTCAAATGTCCCCACCAGCTCACGACCGAAACGAAGCACCAAGACAAGGTGATGTCGGGAGAGATCAAGAGCTTCAACTGGGGACTTTTCAATACCTCCTCATTCCATAGTCTATGTAGTACAAACTCGGCTCAGCGTACGCGGCATGTAGTTGCGCATGGCAATTATATGAGGATTACAAAGCGTCATCTATGACACGCACATCCCTTGAATGTAGACAATGGCATTTTGAGACAGTAATAGGGGTATTAGTCCATTGAGACTGGGAGGGGATGAGCTGAGACGAGACGAGGCGAGGCTCCGGTTCGGCAAAAGTCGCAGGCTTGGCAGCCGTGATGAACATGAACTCGAAGTGAACAGCGAACATGGACTCATCTCCATCCAGCAAAACCTTCTGCTTCACCATCACCCACCAGTCACGGATAACCCGTGGACTTCGTTGCCTGCATTGGATTCTTCTCTAGCTACTGGGCATCAATCCCTTGCATCAGACATCGACCCGAATCACTGCTGCATGATTGTGGCCCGGACTTCATTCATTCCATGCTGAATAATTCAGTTTGGGGGTATGTCCATTCTCAGTCTGGGTGTACCGACATCAAGCAGACCACCCAAGTTTCTCGTTGTCTCTTCAACATCTGACTGACACTGGTGACCGATTCAAGTCCCGACATCGAACTCGCAACCCACATGTGGCCGGCCCAGAGGAAGTCTTGAATCGACAAAAAGGAGGAATCACTTTTCACCATGGCGTACAGTATGTCCCCGGAGACAGTGCAGGATAACGCTCTTGCCTTTTCTTCCGACATGGTTAACACTCGCCAATCTAGACACGTCCTACTTGTCGTCTCCTGACACACCGTCAACGGTTTTCCCCGAGCGGTTGATCCGACCGCTACCCAGGAGATCTATCAAGTCCCGGTTATCCCAAGAAGCTGTTGAAGCTATCCAATACCCTCCTACGCTGCCCTCATCCAGCTTGCCGGCATATTCGAACTACGGCGAGAAGGGCGAGGAGACCAATGACGGCAAAGTGTTGGAGCATCACCACAGTGACAACTATTACAATGACCATGACCACGACCACGACCACGATCATGATGACGATGACGAGTGTCCCCACCATCACCACCACCACCATCATCACCATCATTGCCACCACGACGAGTACGAGGACGATCTTGATTCCCAGGACGAGCGTATCTACCCTCCCCGCCGCTTCATTGTCTCCTCTCCTCGCTCGCCACGGTCGGGACGTAGCAGATACTCGACAAGAGGTAGTACTTCAGGCCCGGACGGCTATGAAGCATTTGAAAACACCAACAACAAGAAAAAGAGAAAAATACCAACTTCGGGTAGTCTGAGTCTGCATCAATCTGCCGTCACCGACCAATTGGCACACATGGGCATTAGTGGCACCAAAGATGGCACAGCGGATGACGGGTTCTACGCCGGCGCCCATGCGGGTAACACCGCTGGTCTGGGGGTGCAGGGTGCTGGTAGAGGGCGTGGTGCAAGAAAGGCTTTGGGCCGGAACCCTCTCGGTGTGTCAGTCAATGGCTCCAATGCTCGGATCGGTCCTTCAAAATATGACCAGAACATGACCGCCAACGCGAAAGGTAAGGTTGAAAGATCATCAGCACGTGCTATTGAGGCTGACTTCGGGAAAGCTGAGGAGACCAAAGACCAAGGTATAATTTCTACAGCCATTGCAAAGGCTACCGCACTGCTTCCGAAACCACTCGGCAAGGGACAAGAACACGTAGGCGTGCTCGACCAAGAAGCCAAACAGGCGCACAATAATTCACAGTTCACTTTCACATGCGAAGCCGACGCCAAGGGAGTGACTTTCCCAGAGCAGAGTTTATATTCGCCCGGGTACACTCAGCGAAACAACCCCACTCACCCTACCGCGGCTGAGAAAGGCAACATTCAGCCAAGTCAAAACACCGCAAATGCTACAGTGTCTGTGGCTCAGCCAGCACCTGCTGCGCCTGTCGCGCAAAACGCCAATGCTCAAGGCAAGAAGCCTCGTAGACGGAGAGGCGATGTGTACGCGCTGGCAGCCCGACAGAGGAAGCTTCAACAAGAGTACAACAACCTGCAGCACCCGCCAGCACCTGAAGACATCTGGATCTGCGAGTTCTGCGAATACGAGAGTATCTTTGGGCAACCACCGCATGCTCTCATCCGGCAGTACGAAATCAAAGATCGAAAGGAACGTCGACGCCTAGCGGAGAAGAGGCGGTTGTTGGAGAAGGCCAAGCTCAAGGGCAGGAAGGGAAAGAAACAGACCAAGAATGCAGCCAAAGCCGCCAACCACAATGCCGGCACTGTCAACCAGCAGGCTTACGACAATCAGCCGTTGGATCAACTTGCTGATGATGATCTCGACTACGGCTATGACGATGACCCGATTCCAATGCCGGCACCACCGCCAGCCACGACTGCAAACAAGGCTGTTGTTGGACCGCGGACTGCTACTACAGACAAGGCAGGGGGAACAGCAGGAGGCGGAGGGATTCGATGACAGCCGGACTTTACCAGTGCTGTCCGAGTCCCCAGTCTCCTAATCTGTTTCGTTTTGCTGTCCTGTTTTTGTGTCTGTATCCGCGTCGCGTTGGTTTTCGCTTGGCCAATCGTTGCGGCTGACTGGGGGTTATGCTGTTCTGCAATTCTGATCTTTTCCTGTACTTAGCCGCGTTGCAACCTTTTCCCCCACCCCTCCTAGCATAGCCTGAACATACGTACTCCTCTCCCACAATGAACAGTCAATCTGTCCTGTCCATAGTGACCACTCTTAGAGGCGAGTTCTCATTTCGAATCGTGCGATTATTTGAACTGGACCACAACCAGAAGGTCGTTTGTAAGTGTCGGCATCGCGTGTGCACAGATAAGGAACAAGGTCCGCCTGACAGGGATCACGGGCTTGATGCTGGGGGACGATCCGGGGTGCAGGCGAACAATGACTGCAGCGGCTAGGACTCAGCCACATTTGGTCCTTGGGCAGCCACCACCGGGTACTCAAGCCACAACCCCGCTGACCCTCCCAGCAATTTCAGAGACATTCTTCCCGACGGTGACGCACATGTGCAGCATTCCAAGAACTTGATGCGTTTCTAAGATAACTGTAACCATGACCTTGGGAACAAACACTCGTCCTGTTGCTTTGCTTTGCTTTCCTCTCATTGTGGACTCGGAAAATCATGTCTGTGTGGCGCAGTAGCGTTACCCGGTATCGCCATCACTTCATCCTCCTGTCGACCACTCCCACTGTTGCGACCATTCGAACCGCGTTCTACGCGACAACTCGAATTCGGATACTGGTATAGATACGCCACGAACAAGGGCTTCGACTCGTAAGCCTCGAGCCGTGAATGAGCCTTTGTCTAAGGCACTCAAAGCGCAAACACTGCCTTTATCACTTCCTCGTGCCGACTCACAAAGCGCATTCGAAGTGACGACTGCCATCACAGCGTCCTTTGTTTGAAAGTTAACATCTACTTAGCCAGTCAGGCAGCTCGCTCAACTGTGTTTGCCTTGTCCAAATACAACTACCTCGTACTTGACCCAAACCTTGCCAATCTCGCGTATTCTGTCAATCGACAGGACCAACGCTGGCTCATTCAGCAAACCCGGCATAAATCCAGATCTCGAGACATCTCACAAACAATCTAGATCGACATTTTGATCCTTCTTCGACCAAGATCCCGAATCAACCACCGTTCAAACCACATCGCCGAAATTCAACATGGCAATCTCGTCCATCTTTTCCGGCTTTCGCAAATCCAGCTGGCTTCACCTCTTCCTGCGCAGCTTCCAATTGATCGACGCTCTCGTCGTCATAGGAATGTACGGCGTCGACCTGAATGCGGCGATGAAAGCGTCAAAATACGCCGACGGCAAATGGGTGAGTCCATCTCCAGATCCCCAAATTGGCGCATTGACCTCCTTGCCGCCCGAAATGGTACGCGTACTCACCTTCGTCAAGGTCTTCGCTGTCACAACGGGCAGTCTCGCCGCAGTCACCGCCCTGATCTTCAGTCTCGCGTCCATCCTCATCCAATACCGGACCGTGGCATTGCTGTTCGCGTGGGATTGGACCCTCACCATCCTCTTCGCCGTGCTTTCTGGCATCTTCGGCTCCATGTATTTGCATGTAAGTTGTCGTCTTTTCTCCCCTCTTCTTGCATATTATGCTAACAATTTGGTGCCACAGGAAAACATCGAGATGGAATCCGGCATCCACCGCATGAAGACCGCCGTGGGCTTCGACCTGGCCGGCCTCGTTCTATGGTTCATCACAGCCAGCTTTGGGACATGGTGGTTCTTCAGCGAGAGACGTAAGTCTTCAGATCCCCGTCGCGAGATTGCGCCCAGTCAATGGGAAGGCAATGCTGGTCTGCCCAAGCTGTCCAAGACACTTCGTGACGGGTCAATGACCGGTCGTTCCTTCCGTATGGGTTCAGTACGCAGCCACTGACTGACTTGACGCCAGGAGGAGGACAAGTCACGCGCAGTAGAAGTGTAAAAGCTTAATTGATTGCATATTTATCGACCATCGACCGAGAGGTAAGTCGAGCTGCGGGGAGAGAAGGCGGAATTAACCTGTCAAATAGACATATCACCGAGACCAACTGGAGAAAACTGCCCGTGGTGATAAGACGAGGCAGATTGGAAGAATAGAGGTGAAAGTGTGGAGCTCCCAGCCAGCTGTACTCGCCCATCACCTAAGCCCTAATTCTCAAGGACAGGACCAGCGTCCGTGACTGAAAATCTGTCTGACAGGTATGTACCGTAGGGCATACAGGCATGCAGCATGGCAGGCCTTCCCACATACAGGATGAGACTAGTCGATTTGAAGTGGCGAGCTCAAGCGAACCAAATGATGCCCGCAGCTCTGTTCCGGACATACTGTGAATCCTCAATGCGATTGTCGATGGTCCATCCACTCACTCCTAATATCTCACATCTGCTTCTCATGTCCCATGGCTGCCCATGGTACCTAGGTATTCACACGTGCCAGTCCTAGCTCCATTACTACATACCAACGTGCCCCGTATTGATGACAAAAAGGGAGCAAGCACATGATGACATGCGTTGCCTGCAGGACGCATTGACTAATCGTACTGTCTCCCATCGAGTCACTTCGCAACCTGGTCTGAGCCCGACGGGATGAGTCCATCGAGTTAGTCCGTAATTCTATCCTGACTTCTACGGGATGAGTCCATAGACGCAGTCAAAGAAACTACATACAGACCTCGCATTTCGCAATTAAAAATGTAGGCGGTTGTAGTTTCATGAATCATTGGTTGATTCCTCGCCTTACCATCTGATCTGCGGATGGATCGATGGATGGCTAGTGGCTCTAACTTTGGCTGCGGCTGTAAATGTACAAAGAAGCCACTTCGAGTGTGAAGTAGTCTGTCCTGACCGACTGTCGGCCTGCCTGCCTGCCTGTCTGACTTCGCATAATGAAAATGTACAAGAGGGTATCGAGACTTGTGTCAACTCAACTCAACTCCGTTCCATCCCTTCCTTCCTTCCTTCCTTCCTTCCTTCCTTCCTTCCTTCCTTCCTTCTCCTTCCGTCCCCAAATGGCTCAGAAATAAAGACAGACAATCGCTTGCATGATATGGAGATGACCCAGACGTGGCAAAAAAAGGGTCTCCGAGAACAGTGGAAAGTGGTGAAGATGCGTGAGGTGCGTGCTTCGTGACTGTGTCGTGATCGTGAGATGATGGGTCCTGCAACTGTGGTTTGACCCTACTGGTGTAGGTCGTGACAGATGCATCGTTCCTTCTCAATCCCAATCCGGTGTGGGAATTGTATCCAAGACGTGGACTGAGGCTTACTTAGATTGCATAGTTTTCTGCATGCAAAAACACCTCGTCCATGCCACTGCTGGTCATGACGTCCCACTGTAGCCGCGCAACGCAATTACTCACGTCTGTCCTCATCTCTGGCGGCCCACATACATAGACGCAAGTCCGCCGTCCGAACTCCCGGGACAGTCCTTTCAGCATGTATGGGATATCCGGGCGGCCGTACTCTGTCCGCCAGCCGTCCCGTTTGTGTCCGCCGAGACCAGAAGAGCCGCCCACATTGGTGGGCAGGAAGGCGAAGCGCATGAGGTTCTTTTGAAATTTCGTGGGAGTTTGAGGGAAGCCGAAGTCGAAGGTGCGGGTTGCTTCGATCTGGGCTTGGGAGATTGTAGATGTGCGTTTGTCTGTGGGTGGAGGTGGGTAGTAGAGTTGGTTGTTAGCGGTTGCTGTCGTGCCAGGAGGAGCAAGGTGTCGAGGTGGCGCGAGGTATGCATGCGGCAGGGCCGTGATGCTGTCTTCGAACTCGCGCTTAAGGTCGGGTTCTTGCTCCATCATAACGAGCGCCGAGTTGCGCTTCGAGCCGCTTGTCGCTTTGTCAATCACATCGGTGATTTTGTCTCTAATCCCGCTGAGACGGTGTTCTTTCGTCTCGAGAGGCGGATCATATCGCCTGGCGGCGGTGATGAAGAAGTGGCATTGCACCGAGCCAGGAGGTGCACATTCTCTGCATATCCGCAGTTCCTCCTTGAACCACTCCATGATATCGGGTCGTTTCATGGCCCAGATCACGTGCACTTTCGTCGTGGTGGCCTTGCCATCACGCATGCGCTTGATCAGATCGAGGAGTTGTGATGCAATGGCGGTGATACCGCTTCCGCCGGCGAAAAATATGACTTGGTCGAAAGAGGCCATTTGCCGTTGCATACCCCCATAAGGGCCTTCAATGAAGGCCCGGTAGGTTTTATAGGGACCCTTCTTGACCGATGTGTCGAGGACTTTGCGGGTGAAACCTGAGAATGGGCGGAAGACGAGGGTCATGTCTCTGTACTGTTCGCCATATTCGGAGGGGAAGTCTTCGCTGCAGAGCGAAGCAATGGTGAAAGGATGGTTCTCGAGGGGAGAAATGCCGGGCATGCGTAGGTACGCGTATTGACCAGGGCGCCATCTCTTCTGTGTCGGAATGGTCACCTTGATGGCGTTTTCCGGTAGAATGGTGACAGCTGATTCTTCTCCAATGAGCCACGATGACCGGAACGGATTCATCCAGTTTAGGAAGAAGAGGCGGGTGACCAGGGACACAAGCATTAGGGCCACAGTAGAGTAAAGGTACGCCCATGATGTCAAGTAATTGTGGCAATGCCAGAACATGAGACCAATGAAGGTCCAGGCGACCGGGATGTGGAGGAAGACGAAGAGCTCGTATGCCTTGTGCCGCAGGATAGGTACAGAGTGTAGGGCAAGGAAAAGGAGAGGTGCAATGGCAGCAATGCCGGTAGTGTAGACCCAGTATTGTTGACTGAAATACAGTCGGAAGGTAGCATAGCCTTCAGGGTCGTTGACGGACTGATACCAGTATGGAACAGCATGAATGACGGCGAAGATGACACACAGGTATGCTGTCCAGCGATGCATTACAACAAGTCGTTCAGCACCAATTCCAGTCAAGAAGGCAATCGGATTCGCCTTGTTGGCCAAGACAACGGTCCACGGTAATAAGGAGACCGACATCATCCCTGCTCGAATCGCTAATGGAGGTGATCCGTAGGACATTGAGGCGTAGAACAGCGGTGTCGGCAGGAAGCAATAGAGTATCGACGAGACCAGACCGATGAGCATCACTGCAAGCACCCCCAGCGAAGGGAATGTAAATCTGTACTTGCCGATCCTGATAGCTGGAATTGGACGGTAGAATATCCACCGGAAGAAGGCAATCGCATTGTTAAGAGGTGCAATCGCAGATACGGCTGCTTGTTGCTTTGCTTTCTCGGCCACCAATGGCCCCTTGTCCGGAAAGAAATGCCTTGTCGAGGCATCAGTGTGCGCACTGATTGCGCTGGGCAATTCGTAGGTGCCAAATCCTGCATGAGGCGAGAAGCCTACCGGACTGAGTGTCGACGCCGAGTTTATGACTTCCTCCTTGTACAGCGCCGTCCGGATCTTGTCGCCCCAGTAGTAGTATAACCGCTTTATCGTCGTGGTGACGACCAGTATGATCCCGATAAAGACAAATATCAGTCCATACTTGTCTGCACTGTTGAATGGATCGTGTTGTATCGCATCGAGAAGGGCAGGTGGAGTCGTGCTATTGATAGGGATGTTGACTCTCTTCAACAATTCCTCCGTGGTCTGCTCTGTCGCTCTCCGCGTCAACAGCGCCAGTGCTTCGGACGGTACAGAGGGCATCGTGGCTGAGTGTAACAACTGCCCGTATATCTAGAGACCGGCAACGGGCTCAGGGTCCGACGAAGGGGAGATGATGCGCTTCTCCTCTCAGGGTAGTCTTCGTAATCGTCGTGGAGATGGTCGACCCCGACTGACCCAGCGTGTCTATTGGATATGCGATCGCCTCAGTAAGGTGGTCATGGATTGGGTGACCGCTTTCAGGCCCGCCTCGGTCAGATATGTAGAATTCGCAACGGTTCGTAGAGAAGAGAAAGCCTGCTCTCTCGAGGACGAAGGGAATGGCGAGGTAGCGAGTGTAAGGAATGGAAAAGGCGGAGGTTCTCAATGCCTCTGGGACATAGGGAGAGGGGGAGAGGGGCGAAAAGGTGCGATATACTTTGTCGAAACATGCGCAAGAGGAGGTTATTCAGACATCGAAGCGAGTCAGTGATAGAACAATGGCAGCGGCTGTGTGAGCGACGCACACCCCGCTCCTCACCTACTCACTGTGATATCGACAGATGAGGTATGGAACCGAGAAGCTATCGACTCGAGGGCAGCAATAGCAGCACAGAAGAGCAGAGCTATCGAGCTTGGGTACTCGCGGAGATACCTCCATCATGTGGACGTCTCTGGGAGTTCTGGTGCTCAGCGGTAGCGTGAAGAGAGTCAGCGCTTCGAACAGAGCTTGCATTGGTTGTGCGATGAGACGGGTAGTGGGATGCATCTCGACTCGGTAGAGGACGGTGGAGATCTGGAGCGGACCGAGACCCTCTTGGTAAAGTTCAACAAGGCGTGAAGCGAATAGCAAGCGAGCCTTGAGGAAGAGCAGCATGAAAACACTCGACGACTGGGCACGATTGGACGAGTGAAGTGATGGGCCAGGAACATTTTGCGTGAATGGTGCAGATTGTGGCTTGCATGGGTAATGAGGAGGAGCCAACGGAATCAAGAAGATGCGAAGTTGACGAAGGCGGACCAAAGCAAACAGCCAGTTGTCCCCTGTGGCTCTGCCATATCCAGCCAATAGACGCCCACAATGTGTCGCCGCCGAGGTGTGACGGCCTGCACGCGCCACCTTGAGTCCGCAAGGCCCTCCGCCAACCACACTGCGTAGCCCACAAAAGTCAGCTTGGAGGCCCTGCGATTGCCTCGAGCTTTCAGGGTTTCCAGACCTGGACTGGCCAAGCCTATCGATCCCTTCCCCACAGTTCGAGACTCGAATTCTTGACATGGTCAACGTGCTGTCGAAGCATTACTCCACGAGAGCCCAGGACACCACTGCGGTACGAGTACAGATTATGCGGCACGGAACGCCCGTGAAAATCCGAGGGTACCTGGAAACTTGGAGGATTCAAAGGAGAATATTCCGAGTTTCCGAGTAAACGACGCACCCTGGACCTCAGCTGTCGATCTCTCGTTCCAAGGTGGCCGTTATGGCAAATGATATCGCGCTTATGGTTACCTCCGGATGCCTCATATGCGGCACTGTGTTGCAGTTGCACAAATGAGCCTATTACAGGATGCCTAAGTGTCGACAACAGAGCCCAGCTGGTCACTTGGTGGGGTTGACGAAGTAAACCGTACATAGTACTGGGCAAGCTCACCGTCGTGCCTCAGGCGTCGTGCGCAATGGAATCCCTGCGCAATATCAGCTCACGCCACTGCATATGGCTCGGCACCACGTCCGGTTCATGTGGTAGAAAAGATGCATGGGATCTCGAGAGGGACGAGAAAACACACTATACCAGAACCACTTCGCCAGAATGCTCGTGGGAAGAGAAGACCATCGTCTCGCTGGATCTGGCCATACAGTTGTGAACGAGATCAAGATGAGTCTTATCGACAGCGTCAGCACGTTCTTGTGCTCGTCGCTTGGCTGGCTGCATCGTGAACAGGCATGACGGAGCAGTGGGCATTGGACCGGCAAGGACTCTCCGACATAGTACCTCTTACTGGACAACTCTGCATCCCTACCTTCATTCTTCCCGATTCGCTCGGTGACTGCAAAATTGTAGCAGTGCTTGACATTGCTGAGGCCTTCTTCTGAGTGATTTTCCTACTGGGTATTCTCACTTGCAATCACGTTCCAGGTCCGAGCTCTCGCTGCATCGATGTCTGTGCTGGAATGAAACTGGCGATCAGGCGCTACAACAAATTGACAGTAAATTGCAAGCAGATAAGGGCGGATATAGATGTCCGAATCTGAATGCTCTGCAGAGTTCCGACAGTAAATCTGCCACGAGGTGCATAAGCCGTAAGATACTGTAGCCGCCCTTGCCAAGCAGAAATAGAGTTTATGATGGAACGATGCAGCGCAAGGCTCCATGTCGCAATATCCGGGGCCAACAGATCGGAGGCCTGCATTAAGCGCCCACAAATGTATCCCTACCTCGTGCGTTGAGGTGGCGCAGATCTATTTCGGTATGGCAGTTAGGACGCACCCAATAACAAGAGGTTCTAGCCCCCTGGTACCGCATCTCGACCACATGGGCACCTGAGACAACGGGCGCTCCAGCCGTCGAAATCGTTGGCTACAGACGGAAAAGGGACAAATCCAGAGACCACATCAAGCGCCCTCCAGAAGCCACGACGAAGATCTGCCCTATGTCCAGGGGTAAGATATGCAAGCATGCCGTTCTGGATGCGTGTCATCTCCACGCGAGCTATTTCTTCGCACGATAAACCTTCAGGTATCTGTGTTCCTCGATCGACCACAGCAGGTTATGCATCATGATTCTCAATGTCCGAAATGCCACTGAGCTGAAGCCGCACGTTCGCAAAGGTTCTGCCTTCGTACACTCCATCGGATGCGTTCATGGAGGTCGACGACTAGATCCGATGATCTTTACAGCATTCGGTCGTCCAGGCACGGACTCCCGTGAAATCTCGTACTCCAGGCCGCAGAAGTCGACTCGAATGAATATTGCAGGCGTGAGGGAATATGTCGACATTCTGTGAGTCGAACCGGTTCTCCTGGATCCATTCACCGGGCCTCGTTCTAGCGAGTATGTGATAGCCGGCAGTCGAATATCGCCTCTGGATTCGGCAGGTTGAGTAGTCTTCGTGGTCGATGGGTCTGTATGGTGTGTAATGAGTTGGCTGGGGCCCAGTTGACCTATTCACCCTCGGTACCCTCGACCACCCTGGCCCGGACTATCTTGACTTCTTCCAGGGGCCTGTCCTCGGCATTTGTCTTTACCAGTCCCATTCTCTGCACGACCTTCATTCCACTCTTGACTCTCCCGAAAATTGTGTGTTTCCCGTCAAGCCACGGCGTCGGCGCCAACGTGATGAAGAACTGGCTTCCATTCGTGTCCTTTCCGCTGTTGGCCATGCTCAGGATCCCGGCACCAGTGTGCTTCAGGGAAGGGCTGATTTCATCGGCAAACTTGTCTCCGTAGATGCTTGCGCCGCCACGGCCGGTGCCAGAGGGATCTCCTCCTTGTATCATGAAGTCGGGAATGATGCGATGGAAGATGACATTGTTGTAGTAGCCGCGCTGAGCCAGGGTCGAGAAGTTCTTGCATGTCCTGGGAGCGTGGTCATTGTAAAGTTCAACTGTGATCGCACCCTCCCATCCAATCAGTATGCGATCTTCCAAGACAATGGCACGCCGGTACTTACCATCGTGGTTTCGAGCACGACGTCGGTTGCCATTATGGAGGACGGTTCTCGGCTTGGTGCTTGGATGTGCAGAGTGGTGACAGGAGCCTGCGCATCCGACTTACAGACACATGATGCGCAAGGGTTATCTTTATGTCGTTCGCGATCCTAAGTGCAGTTGAAGAATCTCGAGCCTCCAGGCTTGGCATCTGTACTCCGCACTCGTCACCTTTTACGGCCATTTCCCACGTTTCCCTACTGTTTCAACCCATAGGAGCTGCCCTGGTTTATAGGTTGCGCGTGCTTACTACGAGGAACTACGGAGTACAAATCGCAGTACAGTAGCTCAAGTTTGGCATTGGCAAGACTATGAGCCATGTATTAGCGGCACCAGTTGCCCACGTCGCCTTGCGCATTTCAACCCGTGAACTCTTTGCTAGCGACATGGACCATGACCACGTTCTTCAGATCCTTTGCACCCCTCAACATGTGGATGTTCTCCTTGAACGAAGAAGTCTCTCTGTACTTCATGTGCGATTCGACGCTAGGCCACCCGATCAAGCAGACATAGGCTTTCGCTTTGTCGCCAGTCTTGGGGTCCTCAACTTCTTCAGCAACCCATCCACCTGCTAAGCCTCGGCATTCATCCCAGTCTCGTTGAACGATGGAACCAAATTTCTTGATGCCCTCATGGAACGTCTTTTGGTCCTCTGGTGAGTAGTCCGCAGGAAAGTAAGCCCTGATGAACTCGGTGACTTCAGAAAAGGCTGGAGTTGGGGGAAATGGCTCGAAATGCACATGAAATAGACTCGGCGGTGCGTCGCACAGCTCCACCGCCCCGTTCAAAAACGCTTCATACCCCCTATAATCCGGTTAGTTGGCGAGGCTGCATGGGTGGAGGGTTCGAGCAGCCATACTCCCACTTCGTGAACTGCATGTGGTGATCAATGCTCGACCAGTCGATGAACAGGTTCTGGACATTGGGGTGTTCGACCTGAGCACCTGCGTACATGCGATGCGGTTGGCCATGCTTGATGATCGTCTCAAGGGTACTCTTCAATTTCGGATTTTGCGAATCGATGCCTTCTTTGAGGGACAAGAAGACAACTTCAGTTGCCTCGGCCATGTTTGCTGGTCAAAGGGTGTGCTATATAGGTACAGAGTAGGAGAGGTGGATATAGAGCGTTGTCAATGGCGGTATGCTAGACTTACAGCCTTTTATAGGGCTTCAAATTCTAGCACTCTTTTGCAAAACAGATAAGAGTGAAATCGATATTATTCGTGTTAGGCTTGCGGTCCAATGTTGAACTGTCCCGCATCTGAGACTGCACACACCTCGGCCAGTCTGTCATGGCGCTTCCCCCACCCCACCGAATACTGTACCGTGTGCATCTCCAAGAAGGGGAACAGCCAATCGATCTTTGCCCGCAGACAGCGACGGATGACATCAAGAAGGCATAGGGCTTTATGGATGCGGCCTGATGGTGATCGATCAGTAAGCTGACCTTCAGGCCTCTAGGAATGCAGTGAGCTTTTGCCGGTGTAATGAAACAGCTATCTGAACCGCAAAGCCACTGATTGCTTAGAATGTCTCTGCGGGGCGGGGTGCTAGTACTAGTATAAGCAGCACAGGTCGGGTGGGAATATCGCACTGAGCTTTAGTGATCACTCCTGGAATATCTCAGTATTGACTGCTTGCAAGTGGTGAATCGGCCCCGCAGGCGACAGATAATGGTCTGCTCACAGGCTTCAAGCCCGAACCCTGGATTTTCCCACGTCGGATCCGACTGGCAAATTGACGGCTCTCGCAAAGAGACTACTGTCAGGTAGAGACGAGTAAGCCTGTGTATCGGATCATTGGAACGAAACTCTATTCACCCCTACCATGATTTTACGAAACCTCCCAACTTATATGGAGATAACTCGACTACTTCGCCACTGATGGTGAATGGGGATTTCAAAATTAGCCAGCTCCAGATTGGGCGCCATCTTATGGCCCAGGAGAGAGATATTCGAGGCCGGATCAACGAAGTAAAGCATTCAGTCAGTAGCTGGGAAAGAAAGTACTGGATCTTATTCCGGGACCCAAAGAAGGATCATACCCACGTGACCGGCATGGAGGCATAACCGTAGACCGCAAAGGAGATACCCAGCCAATGTCAGAAGAGTGAGTAGAAGGTCAGCAGGTGAGGGTACCGTGAGAAGATGAAGGCTTGGTCAAGTGATATTCAGAGCGGCCCGTTCGTAGTACTCTTGTTGAGCCGTCATTCAGATGTGGTCGAAGCAAGATGGATGTACTTAAACGCAGGAATGCCGGAGAGACGCAGATATTGGTGGGGTCTCTCTGCTTACAGAACAAGGGTTGAGCGCTCCGCCGTACCGAGCTTCCCGGCTATTCGCGGGGAAACTGGCTCCATCTCCAACCGCAGTCAAGCATTGAGAAGGTTGCAGCTCAAACATATGCATTTCTTTTAAGCAGGGCATCTCTTCAAGTTGCGAGTGCCTTGTGCAGGACACTCTGTGTGACACGGTCTCCCGCTTCGATCATGGCTCCCAAATACGTCCCGACCAACTCCCTCCTGAGGAGCTTGAACCATGCCCTTCGAGAACACCGACATCAACGCGCTTCCACATTCCACCTCCCATCGCACTGCCGTTCAGCAGCGACCTTTACACATCGACAATATGCCCAAGCCATATCAGTATTACCCACAGCAGTGGACAAATCCAGCTCAGACTTCAAGGACAACGCCGCCGAGTTGGGCGACATCATGTCCAAATACGCAGCCCTCCACCAGAATATCTCTCAAGGTGGCCCCGAAAAGGCCCGAAAGAAGCATATCGAACGGGGCAAGATGCTAGCAAGAGATCGTGTCACAGCCCTCATTGACCCCGGGAGCCCATTCCTGGAACTCTCACCGCTAGCTGCACACGAGGTCTACGAAGACGAAGTCCCCGCGGCGGGTGTGATCACAGGGATTGGCACCGTCGAAGGCGTCACATGCATGATCGTGGCCAACGACGCGACAGTCAAGGGTGGGACTTACTACCCCTTGACGGTGAAGAAACATCTTCGAGCACAGGAGATTGCACAGCAAAACAGGCTACCCTGCATATACCTCGTGGACTCTGGCGGGGCGAACCTCCCGAACCAAGCCAACGTGTTCCCCGACCGAGACCATTTCGGCCGCATCTTCTTCAATCAAGCCAGAATGAGCGCCTTGGGCATTCCTCAGATCGCCGTGGTCATGGGTCCGTGTACAGCCGGCGGAGCATACGTGCCGGCCATGTGTGACGAATCCATCATCGTCGAGAAACAAGGGACCATCTTCCTGGCTGGTCCGCCGCTCGTGAAAGCCGCCACCGGGGAAGTTGTCTCTGCGGAAGATCTTGGCGGCGGGAGCTTGCACAGCTCCGTCTCCGGCGTGACAGATTACCTCGCCGTGGACGATGCGCACGCCATCGTCCTCGCCCGCCGAAGCGTCGCCAATCTGAACTACCCGCAAGAACAGGCCCCGCCTGTAGAACCTCGCGATCCGCTCCACGATCCCGCCGAACTCGCAGGCATAGTCGGCACGAACCTCCGCAAACAGATTCCCATGCATGAAATCGTTGCCCGTATCGTCGACGGCTCGGAATTTGCCGAGTTCAAGAAAGATTACGGCACGACTCTACTCACGGGTTTCGCAAGAATCCACGGCTATCAGGTCGGCATTATCGCCAACAACGGCATTCTCTTCTCAGAGTCCAGCCTCAAGGGCTCTCATTTCATCGAACTGTGCTGTCAACGAAAGATCCCGCTGGTCTTTTTGCAGAACATCTCCGGGTTCATGGTCGGTGCCGACGCCGAGAGGGGCGGCATCGCGAAGAACGGCGCCAAACTCGTCACTGCGGTGGCGTGCGCGGAGGTCCCGAAGTTTACGGTGGTCGTGGGCTCGTCCGCCGGGGCTGGCAACTATGGCATGTGCGGCCGGGCATATTCCCCGAGATTTCTGTGGATGTGGCCGAACGCGAAGATCGGCGTGATGGGCCCCGATCAACTTACTGCGGTGATGGAGACGGTGGGCAAGTCGGTCGACGTCGGCCTGAGGGACAGGATTGAAAGGGAGAGTGATGCTTGCTTCTCGAGCGCGCGGCTCTGGGACGATGGCGTCATTCATCCCAGCCAGACGAGGGATATGCTGGGCATGGGGCTGAAGGCTGCGCTGGGAGGCAAGAACAAGATCGAGGAGGAGAGCACTAGATTTGGGGTATTCCGCATGTAGACCTTGCATGTGACACATTGTGCTCATCTCACGGCGTGCAGACGCTGGTGGCCCTCTGGGCTCAGTCATGTGGGCCTGGTTCTATGCTCCCAGAATCAGCTGACCCCATGAGCCAGCGCGAGGAAAACAGGTGTCAAGAAGCGATTGAGCGTGCGGCAGCCGTGTGAATAGCACCTCTCTTCGACGTGAGTCGGTAAGTCTAGAATATTCTCCTTCGCCTAACTCTCTCTCGTACCGGCCAAATGCGTTCAGCTTGTTGTTACATCGGATCCCCACGACGCGATTTCCCTGCCCCCAAGAAATGCAGTGTGTGCTGACTTTGAAATCAGAAAAGCTGGTCATAAGATGACGCATCTATCACGGTTCCTTTGCCTCCTGCCCCTTCGATCATGGCGATTTGGCCTGTCCCGCCGCCGCTGGGCGGCCTGGGACTCGGCATACGCAGTCCTCGCGCCTTCCTTGTCAATGATTTGCGCGCAGAGGTTCAAAAACACTTCGTCAACGTTCGTCCTCCGCCGCGCACTCGTCTCGTAGTACGGCTTCTGACCCCAACTCTGGGCGAGTTGGAATGCCCTTGCACGGGGCACGACTCGATCATCTTCCATGTCGGATTTGTTACCCACCACGACCAGCGGGATGTCTTCGTCGTCTTTGATGCGGATGATCTGTTCGCGAAGTTCGGCGAGTTCATAGAAAGAGTTCATGTTGCAGATGGAGAAGACGAGGAGGAAGCCTTGGCCCTGTTTCATGTAGAGTTCGCGCATGGCGGTGAATTGCTCGGTACCGGCCGTGTCGAGACTGGAGGCAGGGTAGCTCGATTAGCATGTGTTTTGTGGAGATCAGAAGGGTTGAGGGCGGACGCAAGGAATCTCTCACATTTCCAGCATGACCTGGCGACCGTCCACATTGACTTGTTTTCGGTATGAATCCTCGATGGTGGGATCGTAACTTTCGATCCAGACATTCTGGACAAATTGTGCAGTGAGACAGCTTTTGCCGACACCACCAGCACCAAGCACAACGATGTGGTATTCTCGTCTGTGACCGTCGATCTCCATTAGTCAACCGATCTTTTTGACGGGGAAGAAACTACCATGCAGCCGCGCGACTGGTTGCGTTCCAAACATACCTGGGCTGCAAACTCATGCTTACTCTCCTCCACGGGCTTCCACCCCACCTTTGCAAAGTTCTAACACAACGGGTCGGAAATGGAATTTGGTGTCTGGTCGGGTTTCGTCGACTACATCTCAGAGCCCTGGTTTCTCCTCGTCAACCCCGCGGTGGAAGGAAGTTGTGCAAGAATAGACACCGGCTCAGAGGAAGTTGAAGTAACTGCAACCAGGCGCCGTTTTTCAGTCCTTTCTCGATATTGCAGATGCCCGAAGTAAGACGCAGGTATAATTGTCTTTGAGCCAGAATTAGAGGTCACTTTTGGTGATTTGTGCGCGACAGTGACTGAAGCGGGAAAGCGTGCAGCGCTGCCAAATTTGGCTTTTTTGTGTGCCGCCTGTCGATGCCTTGTTCGACGCCTGGTCTCGTTGCAGTATGTACACAGGCGACAAAAGAACGTCGGATGACTCTCAGGTGCGACGGTGATGGGGTCTTCACGAGTGACTGGTTCGCATCATACAGCGAGGAATAGATCGTGTTCGCCTGTGTTTCGTGCTTCGACCTCGTAAGCTACGGTGCGGCCTGTGTGGCTCGCCTCGTTGGATCCTCTAAGCAAGGGAGATGTGGTTACGGCGGTGGCAATGAGCTTGGTTGGACGTTGTGAGGAAGCGACAAGTCTTTTGTTCATCGACCAAGTGGATCTCGTCCTTTACATAATCCCGGGCAGATTCGCCTGATCGACTCGTCCTGCCGCCCGTGCAGCCAGATTGGGCTCCAAAGTGCCTGCAGTCTGGTTCGAGGTACCGAAGTCGGCCAGGATCAGCCTGCACAGTATCTTGTCGCCAGCGACCCTGGCAAGATGGAAAATTTGAGTTTCCGATCCAGATCGCGCTGGCCCGCCTGGTAGGTTGGTCAGTGTCGTGCTCGATGCCCGAGGATACTTTCTTTAGCCGTTGGTGACGACGATGATTCACCCGCCTTCTGTCCCTCAACGGCTGGTCTCGTGTCGCACAGCAGTAAGGAACGTGTCAAGGAATACTTCGGTACGAGAATGAAATGTGAGGGCCAGCTCTGTACTCCGTATGATGACCTTATTGGCCTCTTGCTCGCCTCATCGAAGATTCTCCGCCCAGGGCCTGCTCGCCACGAGGTAGCCAGGGGCCGAGGTCTTGCTTGCCAGGGAGCAGCATTGGCGCTCTGGGTGTCTTAGCTACTGAATGTTTGGGACCGCGGGTGGCTTCCGTATGGTCCGGTGTGCCCTGTTACCCGGCCGCGGCACTGCAGCTCTGCCTCCGGATATGCGTCTTCGTTGCTGTCGGCGCGCACTCAAAGCTGAATGATGCACCTGAGGTAGGAGGCTATGGAGTGCTCTAGTCACGATCCTGTAGCTTGGAGCAGATGTCAAGAACGTCGCTTCTGCTCTCCTCTGACCGCCCCGTGCCTGCCACTGCGATGAAGGATGGCGACTTCCCAAGTCCGGCGGGCGGTGCGAGCTTGGTCCTATCTCAAGACCAACCAGCAAAAGTCACTGCAGCAATCCTCGCAGCGTCGCACTTGAAAATGCTGATCACCACTCTTCCCAGCGACGCAAGACTGTGTTTGACGCTAGCCCTGCCTGCTACGAAGCAAGGCGAACAACTTCCTGCCTACGCTGATGTGAGACTACTCTTGGTGCTCTGCTGCATCCACAACTACCCAACATCCACCTTCTAGAAGAGTCCAACTTACGAGGACTGGGTAGGGTGGTACAAAGATCGCGGGACTTTCCGACGTCTTCCCTCCGGAACATCTACGAGTACATCCCTTCTGCCCCCGCTCAGCTCCTGTAGTAGACGCGAGCGTTTCGCATCTGGTTATCCTCCATTACCTTCCGACATCGTCGCGCAACCCGCCGAGCATCCTTGATAGGTCAACAGCTGCGAAGCCATCCATTACTCCGCTGGAGAGGCGACGGCGCAATAACCTACAGGGTACCAGAAAACACGGCCTGTTCTCTTACACTTTCCTTCCACGGGCACGATCATCCTCACACCCAAGTGCTAGCTTCAACAATTTGGGCAAGGCGCTGGAAGGTGAAACAAGGCTAATTATGACGAGGAGGCTTGCGTTTTCAGCTTCGAGATCGGCAGGGACACTTTTCCAGAAAGACCGAGAGACCAGGGCACGAGATAGGCCAGGCGTGGGGTCGCACCAACTCGAGGGTGTCTCGTCCCAGTCAGCACCCGTGCACCACTTGCTCCCGGAAAATATCCGCTCGTTGGGCCTGGGAGAAGCAACCTTGTCATGAGCCGATCAACGACTCGAGCATGTTTCGAGATGGCTGGGGACGGTTCAACCGTTTTTCTGTTGATTCACACCTACGAGTACGGCTACCTCGTACCCCTCCGCAGTCCATCATTTCCTTCCATCGACCCGGTCGCTTGATCTTAGATCGAGTCGAGGTCAATCATAGTCTTTCTCCGTCCTGCGCACCCTTCGGTAACTCCGGAAATGTTGGGCGCGCACTTCAATAGTCTGCTGGCCCATCAGTCTTGTCACCCCTTTTCTGACAATGCATTCCTTGAACACGATCGAATCGGCAGTACTCCGTGATTCACCGCCAATGAGCTAAATCAGACGCCGCTCCAGGCCTTTCCAAGGCGTGGTTGCCATGCTATCGCCAAGGACAAGCTTAGGCAGTTGTGGCCGCAATTCCACGTCTCATCAGGCACGATAACACCTGGAGCCGCGACGCGAGGACAGTGGAAAAGATTTCCAGGCGAAAATACAAGACACACGGGGGCACGGAGTGCGAACACTAGCCTCGACACGAACAGAATGGCGTAGGCAACCTTCTTTTGGAGAGCAGCCAATCCCTAAGGAGACTTTGACGACGGGAGCTGATCACCGTCTTCGCGAGACACTGCTGATCGACCTTGCTGCCCCTGGTGTTATCTGTTACCTCGTATGGGACATCGACCACTGCCCATAATATTTCTATCTCCGATATCTCCGAGGGACTGTCTTCCTGGACAGATCTCGGAAACATGGGATTCATCTTTGCAAAATTGCCATCAACCCCATGCGGTAGCCGCGGCCGCCGGATAAATGGTTCCTGCACCATGCCAATCAAGTCGATCTCTCTTGCTTCGCGACCACAATTAGGTACGTAACCTGGATCTCGCAAATTTCGGGTCGACTTCTCAAGTGCTGGGCCTAGAAGCAGACCGTATTTGTTAGCCCATGACTGAATCGTGCAAGCCAACCTGAACAGGCTCAACTCTCCAGCAGAAAGGCTTCTTCAGCCTTTTCTAGGAGTTGTAGGCTGTTCAATCCCGGGAGAATCATGAGACGCGGTCGCAATGACGGTCAGTGAGGCGTAGTATCACTACATTCAGTCTCACCGCTTCGACCTTCCTTCACAATTGGCACGCAACCAACACGATAAGACCTGTCAGTTCCCTTTGAGGGTTTGGAGGAAAGGGTTGACGCCGAGCCTGAACCTCAGAGTATCGATGCAACCCGCCCAAAGTTGAGGACGGTAATATCACAGGCAGTTGCCGCCAGCCTCAACCTCGTGTACCCTTTCACACGCAAACCCTTGCCCTTCGTCTTCATCCTCACTGTCCTCCTCGCCTCTCATATTCCACCACCAGCGGCTACCCCTCCAAATCCCGTCAGCATCACCTCTGGCTTCCTCTTCCTCCTCCGTACCAATGAGCCATGCCCACTTTTTCAGAAACCATTTCTTTGCTTCCCAACTTCTCGTGCTCCAGGCGACAGACTCACGCAGATCCCTCTTTCCGCTCTTTGTTGATCTTCCATGCCGATTAGACAGGCCGGACTTTCCACCCCAACATACAAGACCGCCGTGCATAATGTCCATAAAGAGCTGACCATGGTCCAGGATGCCGTCTGCAGACGCTTTGACAGCGTGTTCCCGGAAATGAGGGAAGACAATACAGTCGAGGTAAGATGGATGCGGATTTAACAGTTGTGCGGGCGTGGGTCGTATAGGCTGCTTGACATCCTCAAGATGAGCTTGCAGTTGTGGTGTGATTTGCATAAAGGTGCCGGCAATTCTGTATGTTACGGTGGTTGGCGAGATTGAGTTGGTTGGCACCCGAGGGTCTGGTTTGTTAAGAGCGACGTAGCAGCCCGGGAAATGCGACGGGTGGTCGTTGAGATACTGGTTGCGGCTTATCTTAAGCGCCAGGCCGATTGCGACCGAGGCTTCAATATTTGCCTCCCCAACCAGACGCAAGTGATTCATGTATGGATCAGCGATCGCGGATCTCGGAGAGGGGAACCCACTTGAGGTCCGATGAGACGTGAGTGTGATGAAAGATTTGGAGCCTTGCAGTGAGCCTGGGGGAGTGGGGTATGGCTTGCGAGGCAAGTCTGGTTTGGTGGGCATGGCCCAGATGGGCGCCATCCATATGTCGCCATAGTCGTCGTGGGTGTGCTCAACCACCGCTTCAGCGTGCGACCCTGGGGTGGGTGTTTCAGGTGCTACCTGGAACTGAATACCCGGCAACGAGCCCTGGCCGAACGGTAAGTCGCCAGCGGCCACGAAGGCATCAGCGAGATTGATTACTCTTGAGTCCAGACGGGTCTCCGTGGGTAGTACCTCCGGCGGAGATGCCGGAGACTCGTCATCAAGGTCGACGTCCCCTTCAGCATAGATTTCCGTGCTCGGAACGGTTACAGTTCGATCAGGCAATGCAGCCGCATCTGCTTGAGGGGGCGCCGTCGCAGTCTGTCCCTCCAAGACCTCCAGCTTCTTCTTCAGCCGTTCACGATATGCCTTTTGGGCACGACGGTTCTGTTCACGCCGCTTATCTGTGACTTTCCGAACATAAGCCTTTCGAGACCTGGTCGTTGCAGCCTGATCATTGGCCATCTGTGCGCGAGTGCCTGCCAATCGTGATCCGCGATTACCCAGTATAGGTATGATCACACCACGAGAAGACAATCTAGACCTGCAGACTGCGAATGCTGGCTTACGTTCGCGATTCCGCACAACGCGATGCGGTGCAGTGCAATGCGATGGCTGTACAGTGCACAAAACAGAGTGCGGAACAGGAGGTTGTTGAGAGAGTGTATGTTAAGAGAGTGAGCCACACTCGATCGAACCTATGGCGAGCCGTGGCAAGTACGAACGTGTAAGTAAGGTCGGAGTACGCGGTCCAAGTGGTATGTATGGCTGATTCACGCTCGGCCGAATGCTGCCCTGCCCATACGAGTCAATGTACCTATGTAAGCACGAGTACTCCATCCGGAGTAAGCCAAAAGTTAGTCCGTAAGCCATCTGCGGGCACGGCATTCTCCCAGACAGCCGAAGCCGAGTTGGCAGCCAAAACGGGCAGCGGGTCACATGAAGACTACGGAGTACGTACCTGGTACTGGTATCGATGAAGCAACAGGGCTTGGATGATAATTAGTCAGTCGAGAGCACCATTGGCTCTATGGTCGCGAACACCGAGTCGAAATGCGGAGTACGAGATGCGGGATGAAGATGAATTGCCCATACTTTCTCGTAAGCGCCGCCTACTGGCTGTGGTTGGGTCGATGTACCAAACAGCCCTCCAGATTGTTGAACGCCCTGTCCCGCGTTGCGCCGTGTCCAGAGGTGTGGTGTGTCCTCCACTGTGCTCTGCGTGATGAGCGCGTCCTGGCGTGATCCTGTCCTGGGGCCGACGACGGCCGCCATGTGTATGTGGTGTCATTTCACCAGGTCCAAAGCTACCTAGGTTGCTGTGACCGTGTACGCCGTCATCCGGATTAGTAGTTATATATACACTGCAGACAGGCAGGCAGGCAAACAGGCAGACAGGCCCACACTGTGGTCGACATTGCCGGGTCGAGTGTAGGTACGGATGTACGGAGTACGTAGTCGGAGATACCTGGTAACATAGGTATGGGACTTCGTACTGTACCTAGGTACGTAATACGAGCGTATATTGTACTCCGTAGGTACGTGAGTACCTCTGTACGTGAGTACTGAGTCCCTCGTTTGTGTGGACACGCAAGGCATATACCTACAGTGTTTACCTCGGTGTACGGTACCCCTCTGTGCAAGTAGGTCGTTAGCCATGTTGACTGCTAGATCGCGAGAAGATATATAGATGCGTATTGACCTACCCCGTACCCAGGTTACCTAAGGTAGATGATAGACAGTCTACGACTACGGAGGAAGGTACAGCGTATGTATACCTTCACCTACAGTACACCCAACGGAACAAGTCGAATGCAAATACGGAGTTGGCTACAGTACCACTCCGAACCCTACTGTCAGTATGTAACATGTTCATGTTCATGTTCGTGTTCGTGTCCCTTTTCTACGGTACGCGGTAGACCTTTTGCACAACACAATACCGTAAAACTGATACTCATGCTCATGCTCATGCTCATGCTCATGCTCATGCTCACGCTATGTATAACGTGGTTGGAGGTATCTCAAAGGGAGGAAGAACATGATACGTGCGTGGCATTTCCACTTTCCGTTTTTCCATGCCATTCCATCCCCAGTATCCCATCCCATCCCCTCCCATCCCATCTCATCCCATTCAATTACCACCACGGCAGACCAGATGGAAGTGGGAACAACCGGGGACTTCGATGTTCCTGATCGTCAAAAACTCATTGTTGGCTTCGATCTCAACCCTTTGGGCAACTCCAGATAATGTAGTACTGTAGTCAAATGCTCATGTCCGTCCTTGTATGCATATGATGTCCATATCCGTGTCGATTCCAATGCACATCCAATCCACCCGTTGCAACTCCGAGCACCCCGATATGCCATGCCGTGCTTATCCTCAAGTTTGGCCCAGCTTGGTCGTACCTCGTAGTATGCCCACTCATGTTCAATCCCCCAGTTCACGCATCACCGCGAATACACCCCATACACGCTCTGCCACTGTACCAACTTCTTGGTCAGCGATTCCATCATGTCCACACTGCCCATTGTCCCAAAATCCCGGTCATCTATCATTAATACCGGATTCTCGCCACCGTCGTCCCCTACTTGGCCCTGCACGTCTTTCAATCCCGCTGCTACCGCGCGCACAAGGCTCGCCGTCGGTAGTGCACTCGCCCTCGATCCGCTAGAACTTTTGGACAGGCCATTCGGGGTGTTGGTGCCCTTTGAGCTGCCGTCACTCCCGTGGCCGCCATGCGCGGTATTCTGTGCGGTCAACTGCGTCGTCCGCTCGGTCTGCATTCGTCCCACAAACTCGAGAATGGCAGCAACGCGGCGTTTCATTTCATTCATGCTCGTCCGTGCCGGATGAGTCTTGGCTTTTGAACTGCGCCCGCTTTCTCCATTGATGTTGTGGCCATGGCCATGGCCATGGCTGGTGGCTGATTTGATGTGGTGATCTTTGCCTTCGGCCCCATTGGTGGGAGGCGACGCACCCCTGGACTTATCGCCACCGTTTGTCTCGTGGGAAGCGTCGTGGTGGGATGTGCCCTCTTCGTCGCCATTCTCTCGATCGCGGGTGTTTTGATTGCGTCCCAGTCTTGCTCTTCGTACTGGTGCCCTGCCGCCTGTTTTGCGGCTATTGATGTTTGAACGGCCCGAGGGGGGCGTCTCCGCTTTGGGTCGGCCGTTACTCTGTACCGCTTTGGCAGGCGAGAGGCTCGGTGTCGGAGGTGGTGAATCTATCAGTAGTTAGCCATTGTGTCCCTTGCGCTATAGGTAGTGTCAAGGCTCACCCTCTCCTCTTCTGCGCTCCGATCGGGCATTTCGTTTACTTGCCGCCTCTGCTCGCTGTGCCGCTTGCTGCTCTTTTTGCTTGTCACGAAGCTCCTTTTCTCTATTGTTCCGAGCAGCTGCTCCTCGTAGCTTTTGGGCAGCACTGCTGAGCGCCTGAGCCCCTTCGTCGATAGCTGCAGGTTCGGGCGATTCGGAATGCTTGGAAAGCGTGTCAGAGGTGTTGGAACCCGTTCGTCGACGCTTGGAATTGCCCTTGTTACTTCTCACGGTTAGACAGCCATCGTTTTTGGTTGTTCCGCTATATCTTACTCTTCTGATTCTTCCCGTGTCCGCTTGCCCACGGAGCCCATCTCTTTGCTCTCCTCGATTGCTCTTCTTAGCATCTCGTCTTCGTCATAGGCGACTCGGCTATTCATAGTGGCCCTCCGTTTCGTGCTTTCGTTCTGAACAGCTTTGCTATCTCTCTTACGTCCCGCTTCAGGATTGGAGGATAGAGGGGATGAACGTCTGGAGGATGCGTCAAGCAAGGGAATATAACGCGAGGATTTCGGCCTAGTGGGAGACACATGTTAGCTGTCATTGTTCACTGGCCTTGCAACCACCACAGTCAAACGATGTAGACTCTCGTTGAAAGCGATGTGTATGACTATTGTCAACACCAGCTGTATGACGCAGGAGGCCCGACTCACCCACTTGAGGACCTCACGATTTTGTGCAGTTCTGGTTTGCACTGTTCGCAGAAGTACTCGTCCGGTAGAAATACCTCATCAATGATACCCATGCATCCGCCATGTTGCCAGACACCGCAGTTGTCGCACTGGACGAAGAAGTTGCCTGGCTCTTCGACGCTGTCGTCGGGACCTACCAGCCGTCGTACTAGCGCAAACGGGGGACCGGGATATTCAGCTTGTCCGCAAATGCAGCGAGTGACTTCCTCATCAGCTGCTTCAATATCATTCTCTTCATCCTCTAGCGGTTGTTTAGCGAGTGGTTCTTTGTCTTCTCCGTTCCGACGACTTCGGCGTGGCGCCGTTTGCTCGGCTCGGGAGGTGGAGTCTGCGCCATCGGCAGATTCAGGCGGTTGAGTGGAAGAGCGGCGTCGATGGATTGGGCGCTGGGTCGTTCGAGTGTCTCGATCCAGCTTTGAAATGATTGAGGTGTTGGAGTTTGTGTGGTTGGGACCTGGAGGGGGTTGCTGCGACGAGCGAGCACGGGATGACCGTCGAGGGCTCATTTTGGACCTGCTGCGGCAGGAGCAGACTCGTAGAGCTGCGTGATTATCACAGCCGACAGTGAGGTGTAGGAGGTGTCGCACAAGAGCAGGGGTGGTGCTGGTAAAGACAGAGGTTGCCCTCGCTCGAAGGGTGGGTTGTTGGAGGACCGGCTGGGGGGCTGGACAAGACAGAAGCGCCCGAAGTTCAAATTGACAAGCAACGGAAACAGTAACGCCAAGTTGCCAGCGTCGCAGATGGCATATTCACATAGTCGATGGTAGCAATTTTGTGCAGAGGTAACAAGAGAGGAGTGACTTCTCTCACACACATACACCTCTCGTCTGCCCTCTGCTCTGCTCTGCGGTGACTGCACAGGGTGGCGATGGCATCTGAATGGCTGGGAACGACGAGAAAAGTGGGCCAGGGCCCATACACTGCGTCTGTCCCTCCAAAATTCTCCAATTGAGCAGTCGATCCCTGCGCGGATCTGCTTCTCCAAGCCTCGAGCCTTTGTAGCGGTTGTGTCCATTTCCAGGTCCGAGCGCGATGCCTGCACGCGGGACAGCTCTTGTCGGAATTCGTCAGCCTTGACTGTGCGCTGTGTAGAAAAGGGACTTGTTTTTCTGGAAAATGCAGTGTAGCCGTTGGTTGAGTGCGAGCGTGAGCAATGACAATTTTTCCCCACTTGCGGCTCACGTGGTTCGACGGGAGCAAGACCAATCAACGCGTCTGTTTTTTGACCCCGCTCGAGCACGCGTCACTTTCAGTCGACGGAAAACTCCGTATTCAGTATTTTATCCCGAAATCCATTCTCCTCGACGTTGGTGTCAGAGAGCTTACCCACGGAGTATTCAGAACTCTCTTGAATCTGGCGCTTGGAGGATTCTCATCTATCTCTCCATACGTTTGCAAGGCACGCCTTGCTCTCGGGGGGTCGCTTCGGAGCTAAACCTTTTCACCGGAAGACCGAACTTACACTACTTACCATCTTTCGGGCCACGGCAACGATGCTGGACAAACGGTAGCCCGGCTGCGCCTTGATTGTGGGATAGATACTGCATGAGGGCATTCAACAGAGACCCGCATGGACCAGAAAGAAACGGGCATTGGCTATTCAGGCTGAGCTTCCCCAAGGCTCAAGCCTTCACAAGCCTTGCCGTCCTCGTGACTTGGACGACATCTCGGGGCAACGTGTGGGCGGGAGCAGTTACAACATGCTACTGAACGGTACCAGTCTCCTAGGCGACTTGTGCCGGTTACGTTACAATGCGGTCGTCCCACTAGGAAATCCAAAACACTCCACCTCTGTTCCCAGCGCCATGCCGTACCATCTCTTGCTCCAAAAGGTCTTTTCTACGGCTTCGAAAGTCCAATGCTCGCCAAACACCAGACACTGTTGATACAAGACATTTTGTTGCGGCCGTCTCGTCGTAATTTCGTGTCATAATACAGAATTGGAAGAATTTTGCTGAAGCGTATGATCGAGGTTGATCTGCACTCAAAACAAGGGTTCCGGACTGGACGGTGACTGATAACCAGGGTCTTCGAGTTCGCTGACCCTCTGTTGCCTCGGGACTTGAACTCCACCCGCCTTAGTGACTCCATCGCGACGGCCCATAGAGAGCAGCTCTTGTTCCTTAGACCTAGCCTTTTGTCTGGCGTCATTGTCTTTCCCTTTCGATTCCTGCACTTGTGCTGCAGGGCCAATATCAGAACTACCGGTCTCACTCCTCCTGTTGTTGATTAACAGGCTGAGCTGACTCTTTGTGCGCGGAAGTTCCATGGGGCTTGAGGAGGAGTCCGAGTCAGTATCGTCAGAGATCGCCGCGCTGGCCATGCTAGTGCGCAATCGAGACGGGCCCAGGTTTTCCTCTCGCAAAGGTGAGGTAGGCTGCTCTCGTTCTTTGCTTTTATCTGGATCCACCTGTGGGAGTTCGTCGGCAAAACGCACAATACTGCCGGGTCTTCTCATTCGACCCAAACTCGTGAGGTTCGTGGAGCTGGCCAGCTTCTTCTGGGTTTCAACGAATTTGCCGCGGAAGTCCCGATGGACGAGTTCGCCTGAAGTACCGGACTGGATTGGTGCAGTGCTTGCCAGCGGAGGGTGGGGTGATATGGAATCAACACTCTGCCACGAAGACGCCGACGGGAGAGCGAAGGCTGGGCCGCTGGTAGCCGCTAGTACTATACATTAGAAAGATACATATACGTGGGAGAAGCACACTTACGTGGCAACGGCAGGCCTGGAGGAGGGTCTCCTCCGGGAAGGCGCCCAACCCTTGCACTAGGACCAGGGGGTGCGAGGGCTTCAGCCGTCGAGCTTGCTGTCGGCTGCCGGACTGATTTAGGCTGGTTGGAGCCACCACCGGACTTCTGTGTACTGGATTTTCTGCGTGGAACCGACGGTCGTGCCCTTGCCTTCCCGGAATTGGCCAGGACAGGCAGTCTCTGGCGACCGCCACTAGCAGTCCTGCTCAATGTAGGTCTGGACGACGACTCAGATGTGGTTTGAGAGGTCGAACCTGATGAACTATCAAGTCGCTGCCCCCTTGCCTCAACTGAGGGGCGGAATGGCTGTCGAGGAACGTCGCCCCGTGCGGTTTGGTCCGTGGCCGACCATCTGAAGTCTTGCAATGTCATGCCAACGTTCTGACCGCCTCGAGGACTTGAGTCATGCATCGGGCGAACTTCACTAGAGGGAGACAGCGAGGCGAGCTGATTTCGAGACTGCCACGCAGCAGAGGGGCCCTGTGTGATCATCATCATCAGCTGGAATGACCATACAAGTCCATTTGTTGGCCCTACTTGTCGTGTGGGCGGTCCGCGTAAAGCTGGAATGCCCCCAATCGCTGTCAAGTCGAACTCCTGACTACATCGCTGCCAGAGCCGCGTCAAACGAGGAGGTGTAATGGATTGGGTCAAGGTGCGACTGCTCCATATTCTCCAAAAGAGATTTCGTGATCGCACGGCCCCGTCATCCTGGGTCGCATTGCTCTGGATCGCGTAGACTACCGTTCGTGAGCCTTGTACTCAGGTGGTTCCTTTGGGATCACGTACCTCTCCAGAACTTTCGAAGGGCTTCCGAATTGGTGAAGGCAGCATTGGAGTCATCCAAAACGTATTGTTGTACATCGAGATTGGCATTAATAAGTCCTTGAGGTAGTACGGCCGTCATGACATGCGGTCGTCAAATGTGCTTCACCCACGCTGGCAGCTCCACAAAGCCGACGGTCAGGACCCCAGCTGACCAGAACATAGCCTTTGGTCCCAGAAAAATAATCCAGTGTTGTCGATCGGCAGTGGAGAGGATCAAGGACTGAAGGGGGTAACAGACGAGGTTGCGGAAAGGTGCCAGGTGGACCAAGCAGGTGCCCGGCCACCGGGTGCTGTCGTGGCAAGAGGTGCCCAAAGATCGGTGAAAGGCCAGAGGGAAAGTCAGGAGTAGGCGTGACCAGTGAATAAGATTTCGTGGGTTGTTTTTCCTTTGTGTTCTTATGACGAAGGCCCAATGCCGAAATAACGGTCAAGTAGTGCCACCAACCGCACCACGGCCTGCACTTACGGACAAGACTTTGTGACCTGGCACGGGTGGAAGTCTGCTGGAGCTCAGACTAGCCTCTGCTAGAGCTGGAAATAGCAAGAGCCACTGGTAGTCAAGATCGAAGAGACTCACTCGCTAGGATTTCATCGGCTGCCAGGACCCGGTCCTAGTCTATGGATGTGGTGAGAAATCCAGTGGGTGCCAGAGCATGGGATCCGCTGCCGAAAGCCTAAAATCGGGGGAGCCCTTGGTGGCCAGTAGAACAGCCGCGCGGAAGGGGTCCGTTGGGTAAAACCGGAGCTCTGACTGAATGGCTCGAGGAACTAAAACACGAGACGGGCTTCAACTCAGCTGTGATACCTCGGATGTCCTTGATTGAGTGCCCCGAATTGGGCTGAATGGGGGCGGTCTGACGACCAAAGTAGCTGGTCCAGACGGTGGGAGGTGGGGTGGGACGGTGCTGTTCGTGGTCGTGAGCGGTCGCAAAAGCTCGCTGCGACAGGTAGTGCGGATAAGATCGAAGGGCGAAGAGTAAAAGACCGGAGCTCGATGGTTGATGAGTAAAGAGAGAGTAGTGGAGCTCAAGCAAGCTACAGCTCGAAAAGACCCAGGTCAGCCGACCCCACGGCTAATAAACAAGAAGATGAACACGACCGTCGTACCTGTAGCTGGTGGCAGCAGATGCAGGAACCAGACCCAGCTGCGTTGCAGAGGGGCCGGGGGGTGGAATTCGGACCGTGGGTAAAACAAAGGGATAATGCAACGGGCGGGCGGAGATGGCAGGTGCCAAACTGAGAGAGGGAGCAAAAACATCAGGCATGGGACTCCGGAAATGGACGAGAACTCGGAGTGCATAGACGAGAGGTGTCATGAGAACGAAGAACAGAACAGGGGTCTGTTGCAGACGGCTGCGGGAAAACCGAATGTCGATGGTGGGAAGGGGATGCAAAGGGATGAGACTTGCTAGCCGCACCAGCGGAGGCATACCAGAACCCATCACCGTCACCGTTAGCACGTGGGGCAGCGGCGACGAGCCTGTGAGGGCGCGCAAGGGGTCATGGTCCCCATTACTGCACGATCCGTGCCACGAGAAATCATGGGGTGGATGTCATGGTGAGTGGAGTACCTAGTATAGACAACATGAGGAAGAGAGCAGGTGAAGTAAGATGCGCTAGAGAAGTCACGGAAAATTACGAGCGCCACCTCCCACGGCACGAGGTACCCCATTTGTCGTAGCCGGCAAGTCGGTCTACAGTGACTGAGGAGAAACAGGAAGGAATGCGATGGGTGAAAAGAGGAGAAGGGCGGAGAGGAGGGTCCAGGTGGAATTATTTCCCTCTCACTACCGCCTTGAACGGGCTTCATGGTTTCCAGATACGCCAACCGGATAAATTCGACAGTGGCATAACTCGGCAGTGGTGACAAGGGAATGAGGCTCAAATATACTCACCGCTGGAGGGACATGTCTCGTATGGTGCATAGGATCGACGGCGACATGCCGTGTGGAGCAGTGTCTTCCGTGGTAGCCACACTAGAAAAATCGAGAACATGGACTAAACAAGCGGCGCTCTGAAATGGGACGGCGTTGATGAGGGTGCAGGTGGGTTCGGCCTTATCTCAAGATAACATTCCCCGAGAGCGGGCATAACAGTTGAATGTAAATTGGATGTACGTAAGGTACTTGTGAATTGTACTCCGTGCCTCAGCCACAAACGAAGAAGACAAGAACAAAGATCCAGGTACTGTAACCCTGACGATCTGATGTGGGTGATCTCCATCCGTGCATGTGTGGGCAGGTGCTTTGTGCTTTTTCCCTCGCAGCTCCCAAGCTCAAGCCTGAGCTCGATTATCGAAATCTTCCTCTTGCGCATCCGGCCATGGCGAAGGCGGTGCCTCTCCGATGTTTCACCCACTGCTCGATCATGAGTAGCTTGTACGAGCACCAGCTCTTGCTGCGACTGTCCCACAGGGCTCAGCTACCTTCATTACTATTACTGCATCCATACCTTCTCGATTCGAGCTCCATTTCCCTCGGCATCACCCCAGCAGTGCCGCTAGCCACATACTCCGCGCTCACTCCCACTTCCACCATGCAGCCGTTCCACGCCGTTACCATGCAATGCCCACATTTTCGGATCCAGTTGTGCGTTTGTCGCGGATGTGCAGACCAGAGGTGCTAGAGCCGGCAGCTTTCGCCTTAACCCAGCACAGCAAACGAGTCCGCCACCTACCGATGGTACACAGAGTGACATCCGTTGCTCCCGTTGGTCACACGTGCCTGGACAAAGCCGTACTCCCCACGGCTATCCGACACGAAGCGTTCCGACCCTCCCTTCAACAACCTATCTCGAGTCTATTCATTGCCTTATTCGGATTTCGGATTGTAAATCTAGTTGACTGTCCCAGTCCTTGCATGAGCTCCTTGGGTGCTATCTTGGGCCGACCTGATCTTACTAGCATCTTTGTGGGTAGGGGTTCCAATGCAACATCGTGGGTGTAGCTCTGACTCCCACTGGTCCCTTGTAACCACGAGGCATACTACGGGGTCGACTGATACAGCCTTGCTCAAGACCCCTGCGCCTCAGTAAGATTATCAAGGTGCTGCTGTCTAGAAATGGGCTCCAGTCCTCTCACTCCTTGCCGCGGGACCCTAGGATCGAGCCGGTGTCTTGGAAAAGCATGCGGGACGAGGTCCAGGCTCCGTCTGAACTTCCTTCTGGTGTTCTTGTTAAGTCCCCGGGGCGATCATTGTCAAGACCGAAAAAGGCTCTTACAATTTGCTACATGGAATCTTTGAAGCGATGAGTCGTCTAATGCCGTGCTACGTGGGATGGAAACGATCTTGATTTGCCTGATTTGGTAGAGATCGTCGGCTTCCAAGTACTACCCACAGCCACTGGGTGTCCGATGTTTGTCGCAACCGCGACGGAGGTTGAAGTCGGTAGTGGTTGCGAGAAGAACCTGGCATGCTCTGAGCAATTGGAGCCACGGGCATGTGACGAGCAATCGTCTGGGCAGTGACACTTTTTAAAGGCGTCTCGCGCTGGTGTCAAGCATCGAGCCCTCAGCTAATGTCCGTCTACGAAACGGTAGACATATCTCCTCGGCGCGCCTCGCCCTGCTTCAGTGGCACGTGACACCAATGGCCAGCACGTCTATGTGCATGTATAACTGCGGTCCGGTGTTAGTGTGTCAACTCATTAAACGCAACGGCCCAGCTAATCAAGATCAAGATAACGCTTGATAATGGCGGTCTGTAACTGGGGAGTAGGGGACTGGACGGGACTCACCCTCCATCAACTCTCAAGTCTGCTCCTGTGACATATCGACTGGCATCACTCAGCAGATAGACGACCGCTCCTTGCAGGTCTTCAGGGGAACCCATTTTGCCGACCGGGATCAATGAAGTCCATGTCTTGTTTAGTTCCGGGTTGTCGTCCAGGATTTTGCGGGTCCTATCAGCATAGTCAGCCTAGTGGTGATGCGGTAGAACGCCGACGATGGAACATACAAAGCCGTCAGCATGTAGCCAGGACTAATACAATTGACTCGGATATGAGCGTGCGCCCATTCCACCGCGAAGCTAGCCGCAAGATGCCTCACCGCCGCCTTCGCAGCATTGTACGGCGCCTGTGGTTGGGGCACGTTGACAATCGAGCCGGACATGCTGCCGATCATGACAATACTTCCGTGCGTAACGTTCCTCTCCATCAGATGCCGCGCGACGGACGTACTGAACAGATACGTCCCGTCGACGTTCACGCCCCAGAGCTTCTTGATGCGTTCGTAAGGGTATGTTTCGGCAGAAAAGTTCTCCGTGAATCCAGCCGAAGTCACCAGATGGTCTATCTTGCCGTGCTGGCCAATAATGTCGGCGATGCACTCATTCACCGACGTCGGGTCCGACACATCGGCATAGTGTGCCGTCACCTTGGGCACCGGGTCGTTCGAGCCGCTTTCCTTGTTCTCCTTCGCGATCAGCGACATCAATTCCTGGGCTTGCTTCTCGGCCTCTTCCCCTGTAAAGGGACATGGGTCAGCATATCGCTACAAGGGAAGAAGTGCAGGGCTTCCGGCTGAGAGGGTGGGGAAAATCCTACTGTTCAGATCCACGATCGCCAGATCAGCCCCAGACTGCACGAGTGCCTGACCCATGACCAACCCAAGACCTCTCGCTCCACCCGTCACCACGGCGGTGCGCCCCTCAAGACTGAACGTCGGTAATGTCTTGACATATTGGACGCCGCCTCGACCCCGCAACGGGCGATCCTGAGGAAAATCTTCCTCCGGGGGATACTCGACCACGATCTCCCGGTCCGTCCGAGATGCGGAGCCCTCATGCGGTCCGGCCGATGTCCCCGTTGCCTCAGTCGACGCCTTGTGGTATGGGTCGTCCTTGTTGAGTTGCGACAGAGTAGGCCGGAGGGCGCGGGGGGTTGTCGTCGACAGTGGTCTGAAGCTGGATGCTATCGGTGTTCTCGGAATGTTTGCTACACGCCGACTGGCATGCCTTAGCACACGGTATGTCGTGGATGTGTTCATCTTCGGTCGTCGTGGGTGTTTCTTTCTCTCGCTGATTATCTGTACGTCGACCTCTGTGACAGGGAGATCGATTCCGCAGGATGGACCTTGAACGTTCCTAGTTCCACCGCTGGCGTCGGGTTCAGGTTTGTTGACTAGCACAGAGAATGAATCGATTCGAGCGTTCTTCCCCTCGTGTGTATGTGCGTTCAATTCCTTTTTTTCAAAAAGTGTACGAGAAGTCTGACTCCTCACGTCAGACTCTAGACCACAGTCCCGTATGTCTGAACAGTGGTGACAAAAGCCAGTTAAAGCGAAGGTGAGCTTGACAGACTCATCAAAATCGAGAAATTCTATCAAGTGAGTGAGCGACGAGTGAGCAAGTGACGCGCCACCAAAAACTTCGTTGACCTTCGTTGCTCCCACTGCAAAATGCACGGCATTATGTCATGAGCCGCATGCTTCAAGCTCAACAAGTCTCGCCCTGTGAGGCTGTGTGGGGACAGACGCTTGCTGATCCATGTCCCTCCCTGCACCATTTACTGGGTACAGCATGACGCGTCTCGATCCTGAGATTCTGGACTCTCGACCAACTAGGCGCGTCCTGCACTGAGGCGTGAGACTTGGGTAAATTTATGCGACGACCCTGATATCCGCCTTTCTTACCTCTGATTTCTGGTCTCTCTGTTATAGCATGTATTTAGTGACTACTCGTACTGGCACAGTACGGAGTATGTAGCCTAATGATGGACCCTGCCCTCTCTGAACTCTCACTACGCTGTAGTCACTGCTGAGTCTGACCAGTCGTCTAAATTTCCTGAGGAGGAAAGGGCGCCGACCAGCTGATACCAAGGCTATCCATCACCTCAGGGCTCGCGACGCTACACCTCCCTAGCTTTCATCGGCGCAGACTATTGCATAGCCGGAGCGCAGTATCTCGATATGCGCACCGGCGCCGAGACCGATGTACAGTACCACTGTAATTACGTGATAAACCCGGACAGTACCTGACATCTCTGCCGCACCTCTTTCGATACCTTGTACCATTTGCCATCATACGCAGGTAACCGGTTTTCGGTGCCACTGCTCGCAGCTTCCTCCTGCTCCAAAAGCACTCAATTGGGGGTCATATTCGCTTTTCCTCTACCGCCAGTGTGCCTCTCCGCAGTCGGCCATGCGCTGTGCCTCAGCTGCAAGCCTCCCAGATGCCCAACCGGCCCACACTTTCGCCGGCATTCCTGACAATGCACAGATATTTCCTTCGCTCCTTATCCTTCCCGCTCTCATTCACGCTATCATCCGGCATGTTTTCCCATCGCCAGCCTTCCAGAAGTCGTTGTACCCAGATACCACCGATGGCCATGCCACGGCCTTCAGCCAGATTATACCCACCACTGGTGACAAACCCAATCAGATCATGAACATCTGGGCAAGGAGGATGTTTATCCCACTCGGTTGGCTGCTCGAAGGGCTTAATCAGTAATTCCTCCAATCCGTCTATGCCAGGAGCAGGCCTGTCCAGCGGATTTCCTTCATCCCTGCCATTTCCCGACTCTGAGACGTTCGCCTTCCGCGCGGCCGCGCTAATCTCCTTCTTGTTATCTTGTTTGTGTCTGCCCATCTTCTGCTTCGGTGGCGGAGGCACCTGCTTCGGGATCTCACCATCGCCTCGGCCGAAGGCGCTATCAGGACCCCACTTCTCGACGATCTCCGGGGGTGCGTTCTTGGGCAAAACATTGATCTTTGCGAGGGATTCACGTGGGTAAGTGGCATGATGGCGGGGAATGTTGGATCTGTTGTTTTTCATCTTCGCTAGTGGTCTATTACTCGATAACGATCGCGCTTCCAGGGCGAGCCATCGCGAGCGGAGGTCACGAGCTCGAATTACTTGGCTTGAGGAGCTCGATGAGTCTGAGGAGCATGTAGTCGGAAGAGGTTGCGCTGGGGGCGGACCATCAGAGGGCCAGCTTTGCGGCTCCGAGTCCTGTGAGACTTCCCCATTTGTGCCTGGCAAACATGGCAGAGCAATTGCCTTTGGTCTTGGAATGGATGGCAGTCGATAAATGCGTGCTGCCGGGGATGGAGTACCTTTGTCACGCAGCATAATCCGGACAGTCATCACTGTTGGAAGTTGTGTTGCCATCGTAACTGGCGGGTTCCTCAGTATCGCAGTGCTCTGGACGGGCGGAAGTTGTGTGTATCTGCACCCAGGCATCGGATTCGACGGATTTTCGTGCTCTGCCTCGCTCTCTGGACTGGAAGTGTTGCGTCGGCGAGCGCGCTTTTCTGCCTCAGCTTCTTTAGCCTTGGCAAGTTTTCTTTGTCGCTGTGTCAGAAGTTGTGATGGACCGTGCGTCTCAGAGACACCATTGTCATGCTCGGAGGTGGAAGAAGGTTTAGCATGGTTGGCCTCGTCAGTGTCACTGAAGAGATATTCCCAATCACAAGCCCAACCACGCCCAAGCTCGCCACGCCGGCCGAGTCCAAGATCGAGCATATCCCACGCAATCCGATGTTTCGGAGGTCGTCGAAACCACGCATCGAATCGCTTTTCGCTTTCAGTCCGTTCCCATGCTTTGCCCGCCTCGGTGCCTGGGTGATTCTCGGGAAACCATGGAGTCTTTCGCTCAAAGGACATCTGTCGTTGCTGATTCATGCCCCCGAATCGCGGAGTGCCGCCGGAGGAGAGAGGGTAGTACATCAGAGACCGCCAGACGGGATCGACGCAGCTCCAGGGGAGAAGGACAGTCCATGTGCCTTGCTGGTTCTTGTTAGTGCTGTTCTCCGCCCGCGAAGCAAGTAGGATGACTGGTATCCTGGGATCTTTGGCAGTGGCTGTCGGTGCTCGCCCTGGTGGTGCTAGCGCTCGTCGACGGTTGATCGCCTTCTGTGATGGTAAGGAATTGCTTATCAGCCAGCGCGTCTTGTGTGAGATCAGTGACGGTGATGGAACTGTCTTATCATATGGCCACGATACAACAAGTTCGTCAAGATGATTGGACCCGGAGTTTTGCTGGATCTCGATCTGCTTCGGTGGATGGTTGAGCCTCGGATCGACGATATCAAAAGAAAGCATAGCGTTTTGGGGAAGAATACTGGGGTTATTGACGCCAGCAAGATGCGTCCACAGTGATCCGGTCGAGTTTGCTGTCCCCAGGTGTGCTGGGAAAGGACGCAGCACACCAAGTAACGCTTCAGTCGAGCCGGGCCCCTGAATATCAATGCTTCCGAACTCGAAGCGAAGATCTTCAATCAGGACTTGCGGCTTCTGCATCTTCGCGACCTTGAGGAGTTGTTGCCAGACCTGAAGGAAAGCAGAAGGGTGGACCCGTATTACGATCCGGTGATCGAGTTTGGCCTTACGCTTCTTCTTGCTCTGTCTGATAGTTTCGCCTTGCACCTCGCTCCCAACAGGCTGACCTTGGCCATTCTGCTCTATTTCCATCCGACCTCTTGCGAGACCAGGCTGGGCCTGGGCGTCGTTTCCAAGGCCCACCAGATTATCCCGTTTTGCAGATTCTGGCCTTTCCTCCCGATTTTGCTCCGGTAGAAACCAGATTACCTTCGCTGGTGCGATGAGCTGCTTTGCTTGATCCCGTTCGGAAACCCAGCCGCAAGCAAACCTTGTGCCGTTCTTCCACTTCTTCTGCAAGGACTGCGAAACTCCCTGCGGAGAAAAGCTTAGCGCTTTGAGCATGCTGTCCAAGGCGGTTTCGGTTCCCCAGCAAGCGACCGTAGACATGTAGCTCGTATCCCAGGCTATGCATCCGTGCGCGCCAGCTGCTTGATGACTTGGTCTGTAACTCTTCTCTGTCGGGCTCAACGGGATGGCCATTCTCCATAATGGTTCGGTTGGCCGGGTCATGTGAGCACGCTTTGTGTGCCAGAGATGAGTCGGTAGCCATGTCTTGTTGACCTGCCGTTTCTTGTACTTCGTCGTGGCTTTTGGAAACTCGGACAGTGTGTTCTTCTTCAGGCGAGGTAAACGTGAGAGTAGCACATGCTTGTCAGGGTCTGGATGCCGAGCATTGGCTTTCGCTTCCTTCTTCTTCTGCCGGACTGTCTTGCGCTTGTGATTCAGTCTCTTTAGACTTCGAGCATTGTCAAGTCTAATTCTCAACTTTCGAGAGGGAGTGCGCGTTCGCTTGGTCACTGTAGGCGTGTTGTCTTCTTTCATCTAGCACCCTCCTGGTCAGCAAAGGTCAGTACACATCACGTCGTGCTAGGTGTATGTGGCACATGCCTCACGTTCGGCCCTCTTTCGCAATCGTCGAGGTACCTTTTTCGCGTTATGGCTGGCAGTCCTCCTTCGCATGTGCCTCGGGATTTGTTGAAATGCTCGTGTACTCAGTGACTTCCTTGCATTTCGCATGCTCTTCTCTAGGGCCGCGATTTCGAACTCTCTCGCCTTTATGAAGGACGGGATATTGAGTTCCCCTGTCGCAGAAAGAGCGGCATCGGACCGCTGCACTGAGATCATACGCGCATCATAATATTTCTGTCTCTTGCGTGAATCTGACGGCGGCAAAGGCTTGTTGAAGCCTAGCTTACGCTTTTGCCCGGCCTGCTGTGTAGGGGGAGCCATGGCTGAGATGCCAGGTTTCGCGGCGAGAAACCGCGGTGCGCGTTGGACTCATGCTTCTCGATCACCACCTGAAGTTTATTGGGAAATTGACGTCATTTCAAACTACGGGGAAGCAAAGGCAAAATCGTGCGTAGTCCTCGACACCAGTCTCACCAGTCCATGCTATCGCACATCTTTTGACGCCCACACGGTTGTATGCGCCTCAGTTTATCGTATGCCCCGAGGAGATGTCTAACGTCAGAATCGTCGGCAGCGTAGAGGGAGATACATTAGGCAGGTGCATGTCACTTGCTAAGCTAAGCTTGCAGCAGGGCGACAGCTGCCTCGTAAGCCCCTTCCTGAGTCCGGATCATCGAGCACATCTACGTGCAGATCATCAGTGGATTGGCCATATTGACTACAGAAGGCAGTGGCTTGCTTAGGGATATAATCACCTGAGTATAAATTGTCAATGGCATAAGAGAAACATAGCGTCTCTGCGCCCGGAAAGGATCCTAAGGACTAATTCTTGTACCACTGACGTTGACTTCTACACAGTCGGGACGCGGCGTCGGAGACCACGGAAGTTCGGGCTTTTCACTCGATATGAGTAAGGTCGGCATTCTCCTACGGTGCCGTTCTGGTCTGACCGTGCGCCATAGCTATCACTGACCTCATGTGGGAGCGTATGCGAGGCTGTCACTCAGCTGCGTATCTGACAGAGGGTTCGGTATCTTGGTGAGAGATGCGAATTCACAGCGTCTCGATCCGAAATACTATGGTCGGAGTTGTTGTGGTTGAGAAAAGGAAGTCCTCGGCTTTGCTGTTTTTCAAACTAGGCATCATCGAGCTTCCATAGGCATCATCCCAGGAATGGCAACATCTTCAGCCAAGTCAGCCATTGATACGGATAGTTTTGCGACGGAAAATGCCGATGGTGAGCAGGCTGGGATCCAAGGAGTACAGTATGCCGGTAACCTGATGCCGATAACTCGATGAATTTTGGATGGAAGTGACCTAGTCTTATCATACCGGAGACACAGGTCAACCGCCTTGGAGTAGAGTCTCGAGCTTCCTCGGCTGTGTACCGTGCTGTGCACTAGCGCGACTAGTCGTAACAGCAAGCGAATACAATAAGTAATTAAAAGTCCAGATAAATGAGATGCCGAGCACAAATCGTGATCTTGACTTCGGGCAAGACGAATAGAAACGGAGTTCGATGCAGGTAGCAATGAGGAGCCAGAGCAAGAGGACGAGGCGCATAATAATCTACCGAGAAGGTGAAGAGAGGTGTTATCTGTGCAGGGATTAGTGCTGCCCGACCTCAGTAAGACGGGCCCAAGTGGAGAAAGGATCGATGACTAAGAAGCTCACTTTAGCCTAAAAGTCTTAGATTCATAAAGAAGGGCTTCGAGGCGCCGGCTCTTGAGCGCTCTCTAGAGACCTTTCCGTTTCGGCCCCTCCTTCTCGCGATCCTCCGATCAACAGCCTCAACAAGGGCGAAAGATATATTGTGTGCTGTGTACACAGGGCACAAACTGCTCAATGCAGCATGCAAATCCCTCAATTGAGTCTGCCATCGGGATCGTGCCGGCCGGAAAGTCAGCGCTCAAGCTTCCTCGTAGCCTCCTGCTGCAACGGCATGTGCCCGTTTGCAATCACTGAATAGGTCTACTGAACATAGTCGCGAATCGCATTGTGGTTGTTTCATCCTTGCCGCGCTCAGCGCTCTGTTGCAGATACTTGGCTGGACTTACTGCGATAGAGCTGCAACGTTCGGCAGATGATGCGCGATCGCTCCTCGGAACAACTTCGCTCGAGCAATTCGAAGCGAAGCCATACAGTACGGAGCACTGCGTGAACGCCCTCCTGCTGTTGACCTTAAGACGAGAGCCTTCCAAGGTTACTGCTGTTTTCGAAAAGTCTAGATCTCTCTCGCCATCTAGGACCGGCTTCAACTATTTCTGGGGGCGCGCTCCTGCAGGCCGATTGGATGCCACAATGCCATCACGGCGACCGATGGTTGGTGCTGTATTGCCTGCAGTGTTACCACCGAGTAAAGAGCGGCGGATGCCCGCACATGCAGTAACCACACCAATAGCGCATACTGCTGCGTATCCTCCATTTTATGTACTGTAAACAGCGCTCCTCTGCAGCTGCGGTTCAACCCGATACAACATCGCAGTCTGCATCAAAAAGATAAGGATACGACGAGTCCCTGGATAGCACGATCAGTCGTGAGCATTCGCAGCACACCGAACTCATCTGACCTAGCGTTGAAGCCTGAGACCTACACAACACGGGACGAGCGGATTGACCACGAACAGCACGTCTTCACAAAAAGCCGCAGTGTCGCCGACATCTCCCAACAAGGAACGAATCGAGAAATGGACTATTTCGCCGCTGCTCACCATGACTCGCATTCCGTGACGCCAGGGGCCGGTTCATCGAGTTCGAGTTCTCCTGATGTGAGTCCCAACGCCCGGACTACGCGCATGCCCAGATGCCGCATGGGAGACGGCTATCTTTCAGAAGCCTTACCCAACGACCATTTCGCGCCGACTGGGACTAACCACAAGCACCGAGTAGAATTTGAACGACCGTCTCCGCTTCGGTAGCATTGATCCTGGCATCTTCCCTCCCGATCAATCATGGGACCACGTAGACCTGTCATCTCTCGATGCTATCACAGACTTTCGCGACGAGTCTTTTTACCAAACAAGCCAGCCATCTTCAACAGATACTGAGCACACGATTGTCCCTCCATCAAAACAAGTGAGGTCTTACCCCTCCACCGCGGACGTGATCATGCATTTCTCGTCCCCATTGATCGCCTGTGACGCAGCCAGCCTAGTTTAGGGCACTCCAGCATCCTCAACGTCTCAGATCGTCCGATCACGACCACGATGTTCCAATACTAACCTGACTGACTAACAGAGACGAAGAGCCCAGAACCGCGCCTCGCAACGCGCCTTTCGTGAACGCAAAGAACGCCACGTCAAGGGGCTGGAAACCCAACTCGAACTGCTCAACGAGAAACACCAGGCCTTCTGTGCAGCTACAACAAGCAATCCGATATTATGGTGAAGCTGAGCCGGAAGATTGAGCAATTGATGGCAGATTTGAAGGCTCTGAAAGCATCACCTCCGACAACGACGATGACGACGCCGCTTGCAATCGCTCAGGACTTCGGGGAAGGAGGGTCGGGGAGGCCGCGAGAGAAGCTGCACGGCGGTAGGAGCGGAAACCAGGGCGGACCAGAGAAGTTCGATGTGTTTTCGTTCACAAGTCATCCCTCAATACCGTCAGTGGTGTATGATGGTTATCAATTGGAATCGGACGGCACCATCGTCAACGCCACGGACGCGCCAAACCTGGCGGTTGGCGGCACAGTGGCCAGGACTATGCAGTTACCGGATTTTGAGGATCTACTGCGGATGCCCTGAGAGGCCATTTTGGTATGGGTTTGGGACAAGACGTTGATACTGGGAGTTTTTAGCCTGCGTGATTCCATGGGAGGAACATTTGCATCCGGTGTCCATCAATATCCACCATATTGAGTTTCAATACCGATATTCACTCGGCTATGCTGCAAAGGCTGGGTACAGGATGTGGAGGGTCAACTGCTTTCTATGTCTCTTGCATTTATATCGCCACCATCAACAGCCAGCCGCAACAGAAGTGCTAGCATGGCTCGGGCTGATTCAGCATCGCATCACCATGCAGCGCTGCATTCCCCACAACGAAGCCACTTGGTGGTCCATATTGCATGACAAGCCTCGGTCACCTTGACTCGCTGCGGCAAGCTATGTACACCTTGCTTGTCTTCGTTTCTGCCTTGCTGATAAGACGGGTCATAGTTTGGAGAGGACGGCTTGTGCCCCGGAAACCTAGTGCATGCATCACGTCAGACCGGGCTCGATCTCCAACGCCCAGTGCTGGATCCTGGAACGAGCAGAAAAGGGGGAGACTCACCGTAACGTCCCGCCCAGGTTCCTTTTCCGCGTACACGATCTTCCCGTGGTCAATGACGATAGCGTATCGAGCCGTGCGCTCGCCCAGTGTCCAGCCGATAGACTTGGAGAATTTTGTTTCCGGGTCGGACAGGAAGAGCTGTACAAAAGAGTTGTCAGTCCCTCCAGTAATGATATGCTGATAGGGCGATGGGCTGGCCAAATTCCACCTCGTACGTCTTCGCAGGCGACTAACAAGCCATGGCCGCGTTTTGACCTCTGCCTTGCTCAGAGGTACCTGTTCTCCTCCAAGTATTCGTCACAGCCACGACAGGTGCAGAAGCATAATTGACTCACAATCTCGTCCTTGATACCATTCGCTTTGCCCCACGCGCTCATCACAAAAGCGTCATTGTAGGCGAGGACGGCCACGACATCCACTTTCTTGCCCTTGAGTTCCTGCAAGGCCTGAATGTATCCAGGCAGGTGTCTCACCGAGCAACCGGGTGTAAAGGCGCCGGGGACGGCGAAGAGCACGACTTTCTTATCAGTCCATTCCTTGCTTGCATTGTAGTTCTGCGGGATGCCGCAGGAGGTTATGTCGGCGGATTCGGGGGTATAAGGGATGTATCTGTAAGTGCGGAGCACGAGAAGTCAGTCAGTAGGTAGATATATATATGTCGCGGACACGAAAGAGTGAATGGGGTTGGGTTAAAGGCTTACGAGAAGACGACGTCGTCAGGAAACTGGTCACCCTCCTTGAGCCCGGCCATTCTCGAATGTTAAATGGTGCCTGATAGGTGAATCGAGAAGTATAGAAGTGTCACCCTGCCACCTGAAGCACTTCCAAGGCAAACGAACTATGCGAAAAACGCTTCTGCAATGCACACTACCTGATCAAGTCTTGCTTACTTTGCCTTCATGTACCATTGCCCCTCAATCGCCAGAATAAACAATGGAAAGCCGCGGCCGCTTGTGGCTCGATCTGGCCCCACTACGTTAAAGTGCCCCGCGTGGGCAAAATGAACGGGAATTTCGGTGAAACTCTCTTCCGTTTTGCGGATTCCGCATCTTGCGTTCGCTGCTGTTGTCACATCATGCTGCTGCTTTCACTTTGTCCTCATCCGCGCAAAGCAGCAGGAGCTCGATGCTGGATGGCATTGCTCCACGTGGCCAAGAACTGCAGCGCATCCATCGGCCGACTTTGGGACGGCTCAAATGGAATGCTGGTTTCGAGCCCATCAAGGCTAGATTCCGCACTGGCTTTGGTAGCGGCGCCGCGTAATCGATCGGACTGGCTTGTTCGGGGCATAGTAAAAGCGTCCCTGATTTATGGCGACGGATTCCAGAATCCGTTGGACTTGGTCATGACTCTTACAGAGGAACCCAGTATAGCTGTGTTGCTGTTCCCGGAAGGTCTCCATCACCCTCAGCAGTACGGAGGCACGAATCGCGATGCACTATTTGTCACGCTGCTTTTTGAGAGACTCCTCATTTTGACTCGCGTGTCCGGATGTGCCGACGACAGCAGCTGGTGATTGGCCATCATCGTAAGGCTGAGTTGATAGCAGGGTGACCTTGCATTTCGACCGGCAGCAGGAAGGTAGGTCGCCTGGACGACAGGCCAGATGCATGCAGGAGCGGAATCAACCTTCGAAGCAACCCAAAGCCGGCAATGTGCTTCATGACGGCCAGGGAACATAATGGATCTCCTAGAAGTATAATAGATCTGCTCGAGACTGTGATCGAGAGATTTCTTCACAGGAGATAAAAGGCCTTACTGGAAAGAGGCTTCTCTCCAGCTCCACCGCCGACATACTACCTCATACTATACCTTTTGGCAAATCTCAGAGCCCGCGCCATCAACTTCCAAAACCACCGAACATGGCATCCCTCAAGCCTCCTTTCAACGCGCGGACTGCGCACGAGAAGGTCAAATTCGCGCAGAAGATGTGGAATACCCAGAATCCAGTGCAGGTGTCGAACGGATACACCAGCGACTGCATTTGGCGCAACCGCGACTTTTTCTTCCGCGGCACACCGAAGATCCAGGAGTTCCTCACCAAGAAGTGGGAGAAGGAGGCGTCATACCGGCTGAGAAAAGAGTTGTTTGCCTTCACCGATGACAAGATTGCCGTGCAATTCTGGTATGAGTACCAGGACAGATCCGACAACATGAAGTGGAAAAGGTGTTATGGGTTGGAAGATTGGACGTTTGATCACGAAAGTGGGAAGATGAGGAAGAGGATGATGAGTGGGAATGACATTCTGTTGGGTAAGGACGGAGATGGCGTTGCCGTCGCCGAAGAGGGCATCGAGGGAAGGTGGTTCGTTGACGGAGTCGATGTTGACGATGATAGCGTCACGGCCAAGATCACTGAAGCGCACTGGTAGCACCTCCCGGCTGATGACAATGTTTGAAGGTCAAGAGGTTAATGTCGAGACTGCATTAGGGCGACTTTTTTTTAAGGGTACAATATGATGGACGAGTCAGGCTTGGGGTGGGCGGTCCGATAAAACAGACTCCCAGGCACGCCAACTGTTCCTCGAGGACTGCTTGTCGATCACATTTCAGGACATAAGCCAGATAAAGGGTGCATATGTACCTGCAAGTCATCTGAATTTTCCCATACCTCGTATTCGTGTCACTCACCCGGTGAGTCCAATACCGGGCAGAACTCCTTGCAGGCACCCGCCAGCTCCATATACGAAGCATTTCATCCATAACCCCAACAACAGGTGGCTCTTCTGAGGCCCGTTCGGAAAGTTCAGCCTTCTCCGGTGCGGGCAGACGTCCATCACAGGCTTGGCTGCTGTTTCCGTGCCATTGACAAATGCCCACCTTGTCTGAATCTATCTCGCGCTCGGGCAGGGCACGGATAGAGATTCTGCCATCGGGTACCCGCGAGCTCAAAGCAGGTTCCACGAGTCGGGGAATCCAGGAACTCTCAGAGGGCAATGGGGTCAAGCTAGGATGCCCCAGTAGTCGTCGAATAATTGAAGTAGAGTGATAGTCTACAACATCCCTATCTTTATATTGGGAAGGAGAGGTCATGTAGAGAGATGGCTGATCGTCTAGTCAAACTATCTGATAAATTCCAGAAAATTGTAGCGGTCGCACCTGAGACAGGATCGGTGAAGGTGAGGAGAAAGGAAGCTCAAGGAGAAGTTGGGGACTGGCTATTTTGGGTTGCACCCTGAATGTCAAATGTCGACCCAAACGCAAGCCGTTCCTCTACAAGCCACTCTGTGATTTCCTCTTCAAAGGCGCATACTCTCTCGAGACACCCTTTGTTCAGGAAGTTCCCCCGAAGCATGACCCAAATCTGCTGGTCATGGACGGAGATGTGGCCGTGGAGCCTGAGGTGGACTCCTTCAGTCTGATGCTTCCACTCCCTTATAGAGTCGCCATCATAATAGTTCTCGGTAAGTGGTGGCGCGGACAGCAAATGCATTTCGTCTTTCCTGATGCGCCATAGGCATATGGGCTTGGGGACTGAACCTGCACTATCTACACCTCATCAAGATTGTAAGCTGAGCGGCCATCTCACGCCATGTGCGCATCTAATTGACCTTGTGCGCAGGACGTCCCAGCATTGATCCGTTACCCTCCTCGCCAAGTTGCGCATCACCACTACTCGACCTATCGACTAGCGACTGTCCTCAGTATTCCGCTCGTTTCCTCCATCCTCTTGTACTGGGCTATCACTCGGGGCGACAAGCATGCGGTCCTTCACTGGCAGATCCTTCCCCAGTCCTATCTTCTCCTCCTGGCCGTCTGTTTCCTCGTGCCGCTGAGACGCATGTCGCTTTCAGGCCGGCAACGCTTCTTGAGCATATTGAAGAGAATCAGCCTCGGCGGATTGGCGGAAGTACAAGATGGAAAGTTTGGGGATATCCTGCTGGCAGACGTCCTCACGAGTTATGCAAAGGTGATGGGGGACTTGTTCGTTTCAACATGCATGCTGTTCGATACCAAGACCACTAGCACGGCGAAACCCAACCGAGCGTGTGGCGGGGTGTTCTTGGTGCCCTTGATCATTGCAATACCCAGTATGATCCGGCTTCGACAGTGTCTGATCGAATATTTCCGGGTGCGGAAGCATCCAACGACGGCCTCGGGCTGGGGCGGGCAACATCTCGCCAATGCCCTCAAATACTCAAGTGCATTCCCGGTCATCATTCTGAGTGCTTTGCAGCGAGGCTACGATCCAACCATCTTCCACATGAGTGAGGCAGGTCTGTTTAGACTATGGTGAGCACAATCTGTTCCGCACACTTGGGTTTTCTAACAGTGAGCAGGCTATTGTTTGTGTTTATCAATTCGTTCTATTCGTTTTACTGGGACGTGGCAAAGGACTGGGACCTGTCGCTTTTCTCGTCGGCTCGAGAGAGAAATGACCCCGAACACCCGTGGGGTCTGCGCCGTTACCGCTACTTCCACGCCAAGGAGCTGTACTATATTGCCATCGTGATAGACTTTCTGCTACGGTGTACCTGGAGTTTCAAGCTCTCTCCACATTTAGATCACTTCAATGATCTCGAGGGTGGGATTTTTCTGATGGAGTTGCTGGAAGTTGTGAGACGTTGGATGTGGATTTTCATCCGAGTCGAGACAGAGTGGGTGAGGAACAACAAGGGGCCTATCCCCGATGATATTCTCCTGGGAGAGTTTGGGGGCAAGATAGATGAAGATTGAGTGAGGACAATGTGAAACTCATCATTGAGACCCCACTTTTATATGCAGGTACAGGCCGAGCTCCGCAGCACATGCTCTGCGCACAGCCCATTTTCCCAAATGTTCACCGCATAGTTCTCGACTCCCAGCATTTTCCCTCGAAGCACACCAACCACCATGGGCGACTTGAGTTCTCAGGCCCATGAGGACCTCTTCGTCGAAACACCTCCTGCACCTCCTGAGCAGGAGCCGGCAAACAGCGGTGTCCGCACTACAAACGTACGCTCAAACATGTTAATGGAGGCCTGTTCAGTCCCCAAAACTCACCTCGCCTCTAGTACCCTGCGATCAAGAATGGCCCGCTCCCTGCCGACGTTGCAGGTGCAGAATCCTTCAACAATATCCTCCTCATCGGTTTCCTCATTGCCGTCCCATGGTACATCGCCCGCCAATTACATGGCGGGTTGTGGACAACGCTTTTCCTCGCAATCTTTACCTCCATCCCCATTCTCATGCTTTTCTGGACCGTCGCAAGCACGATATCTCCCCGTTTGAATGAGAAGGCCAAGTACCCGGGGCTTCCGGTGGAGCACTACCTCGAGTTTCACAGCCAGGAAGATAAAGACAAGTACTACGGCAAGAACAAGATCCCCATGGAGACCTTCCACGAGATGTACTTTGACCAAAAGGTCTCCTTCAAGGGCGACTGCCTGCAAGCCCTGGAGTACCGTCACGACTGGGCCAGCTTCAGATTCACACTCTCGCTGTTCTACTTCTTCTTCACAGGCATGATCCCCGAAGCCCTACTCCACACCCGCAGCCAGGACGAAGAACAAGTAAGAGACCACTACGACAGGGGCGACGATTTCTACGCTTGGTTTCTCGGACCCCGTATGATCTACACCTCCGGCATCATCAGCGACATACACCGCGAAGAAACACTCGAAGAACTTCAGGACAACAAACTAGCGGTGGTGTGTGAGAAGATCGGCATCCAGCGAGGCGACACACTGCTTGACATCGGCTGCGGCTGGGGCACGTTGGCCAAATACGCGAGCGTCAACTACGGTGCCCACACCACGGGCGTCACCCTCGGACGGAACCAGACGAAATGGGGCAACGACGGCCTCGCCTCCGCCGGCATCCCAGACTCGCAGTCCCGCATCCTCTGCATGGACTACCGCGACATCCCGCAGTCGCCTCCCAATCACCCCGCCGGGACGAAATACAAGAAGATCACCTGCCTCGAGATGGCCGAGCATGTCGGCGTGCGTCACCTGGGCAGTTTCCTCCGCCAGGTCAATGACATGCTGGACGACGACGGGGTTTTCTACCTACAGATCGCGGGTCTTCGAAAGTACTGGCAATACGAGGACCTGGTCTGGGGTCTGTTCATGAACAAGTACATTTTCCCCGGTGCCGATGCGTCCACGCCTTTGGGTTTCGTGATCGACAAGCTCGAGGGCGCGGGCTTCGAAGTCAAGAGTGTGGACGCCGTAGGCGTGCACTATTCCGCGACCTTGTGGCGATGGTACCGGAACTGGCTAGCCAACGCGGATAAGGTGAAGAACAAGTATGGTGTGCGGTGGTATCGGATCTGGGAGCTCTTCCTTGCTTGGTCGACCATCATTGCGAGACAGGGCAGTGCGAACTGCTTCCAGATCGTGCTCGTCAAGAACATCAACAGCACGCATCGCATTGAGGGGATTGAACAGCAGTTCGGGTTGAGCGGCGCGCTCAAGGCCGGGAAGGAGAGGCTGAATGGCCAGAATGGAGGTGCTGCGAACGGACACCTGAAGAACATGGTCAAGAGTGCGTTGACCGATTGAGAGAGGATGTTGGAAGCATGGATCGGGGAATGACGGAAACTCGGACAAGGAGTGAAGCATGCAGGAGCTATGACGCCCACGCCAAATAGCATGTGCAGACTAGACTGTGGTGCCCAGAGTCCCGAGTTGTTACGATGAGCAAGCCAAAACAGTATGCGCAGTGCAAAGCAGAAGAGATAGAACCAAGATAGATTTGTGCAAAGAATGGACTCGACGATCATCGAATGTGATGTTGTTATCTTAGTGGTGGGCCTCACTTCCGTACAGATCATTGTTCTCGCCCCCCAGGGTATACCCTACCTGTTTCTCGGACCCCTCGGCGACGGTATCACGATATTAAGCAGCCTCCTGTCTCACCTGCGGTTCGAGCTTCGAAGACCACACCGCCCATCGTCCTATTGGGGAGTCATTGGAGGTTGTGATCGTGCCGTTCTCTTGTGTATGAAGGATATTGTCGTGGTCTGGCTAGGGGTAGCATCTCCACCCGTGAGGCTTCGCGGTGTTAAACGGGGCGTTAGGTTGAAGTGGCATACGGAAGACAGATGGTTGGCAAGAGCATAAAACCTGGGGGACAGTTTGGTGCATTATCACGGATATATAGCGGCTGGGGAACTGTAAGAACCGACCGAGCAGTGCACAAGGCACAGAGGTGTGGCCTAAGCCTTGCTCTCCCTTGCTTCTACCTACCATTCCTCGCTCGGCTGGAGGTTGATAAGGATCAGATGATGCGGGCTGTATGTGCTTGGGGCCGATGAGCCACCAGGCTGCCTTTCAGGAGCAAGCACTAACCCCAGATCAACTGACAGTGTAGCAGGGAAAGTAGCCGTTGCTGGTGACCTTTCTTCAGACCTATTTTCCCAATGTGGCTTCACTGATGTGACATGCAGGCGAACAGCTAGCGTACCGTGTCTATCATGTTTCCATAAGTTCTGAGAACCCGAAACTTACATAGCAAACAGTTGTCCACCCACTAACCTGCTGAGAGGGTTTGCAATGTGCCTTTTGTGGTCGTACAACCGGGGGAGGCGACGAAAGGCGTCATTCCACACCAACTGCCTTTCTGCGTGACAGCATTGTAGTCGGTCATATTCCGCTCTTGGACGTTGTAGTAGCCCTTGGACGAAAAAGAAAATATTGACTATTGGGTACAGGAAATTGTGCAAGCGAGTGTTTGGGACTAAAGGGAAATCGGGCCAGGGGCGAAGTCTGTGAGACCCTTCCGAAAGAGGAAAGTCCATGGAACGTTCTCTGCTGCTTCTTGTGCATCGGCGAGGGTTTTCGAACAAGGAAGCGGCAGGCGGCCGATGACAAGGGTTAAAGTGGGAAGCAGGAGCGAAGGATCCCGAGACCAGGGTTGATGTCACTATGTACGATCGGGTGGACCGTCTTTGATCCCATGTCTCGCCTGAACCGAGATGTAGTGCTTTGTCGCACGCGCACGCTTCGCGGTCCTGTCGTCGCATTGGATCATAAGGTCGATATACAGTATCGTGTCAAAGGAGCTGATGTAGCGACCGATATGGCTGGGTCCGAACGTATTTTCAGGCAACGGGCATCATTGTGCATGGTGCCAAGTACATGCTGACCAGACGACGCGCTGATATCAACAGGCGCGCTTCGCGCGCAGTGAGGTATGCCGCGCGAGGTTTGCGCATGCCTAGAAACGGTCAAAATGCTCCATGTGTTCAGTACATGAGCACTGCGCTAGAGCCCATGATATTGTGTCGTTGACGTTTCGAGCATGAAATCGATGTGATAAAGCCCGATCAAGATATGGTGGAGCCGCGATGCAGCCATGATGGATCGCCTTTTTCGTCATGCCGCAGATCATTAGCGATTGCCCAGCCTCTTCACTATGCATCGTGCCGCGGGATCGTTGGCTTGAATGGATGCTGATCGTAGACGACAACATCATCAGGCCGAAGGTTCATGTAGACGCCACAGGACGGCTATGAAGCCGGATATTGTGTAGGTGCGATCAAAGTGGATCTCGAACCTGGATTCTCTGAGCGATTTGACATCTTTGGCAGAGTGCAACAAGTCATGGTCTCACTGACACGGCCAACGGGCAAGCCATGGCCACTACCCACTATGGTTATCGGCAACGCTGTAGTAATGCTAAGCAGCACCTCCAAGTATGTACGAGCACAGAACCTCGGACGGGCGGCCGCACACCGATCTCGAGTGCTTCCTCGTGGCATAGCTCCGGGCACGACGTAGCTGGAAGAGCCTCTGTCGCCTTCCTTCTTGCCTGATTTCGCATCGCAACCGAAAGTTTGGGGGCATTTCTGTTGCATCCGTAACGCTGTTCTTTGCATTGGAGAGAAAAGAGGCGAAAGGTCATGTAACTCAAGCAATGAGGACAGAGGCTTGGCAGGGATTCGACCGACGTCGTTCTTCAGCCAATCAAACAGCCCACGTGGGATGGTCAAGCACTCTCAGTAGCCGGCGGCTGAAGCTTGGCACAACGCCTGGAGCCTCTTTTGGGAAAAGCCCCGCGCCAACCGCCACGCTTTGAACCTCGCTCGACTCCGCTTCGCATGCGCCCAGAACCAGACGCTCCGCCTGGCAGCAAATTTCGCTAGGTCTCCCGAGTTTGCTGACGCTGCAGACCAATTCGATGCGCCGTTTCTTCTTCTTCTGAAGCCAATATCAGCCTGTCCTGGCCCTTGCGTGCACACGACGGACCCAAAAAGGAGGGGCGCTGCAGTCCCGTGGGCCATAATCTGTGGCAAGGCATAAACACGAGATTGGACCTGACAAGACGTTGGTGCGAACGGCTTCGTGGTCGTGTACGGGATCGCCAATGGAATGCCATGGCCTGTTGTTTTCGCTTGTCACGCTTATCAGGTCTTGATGCATCTTGACTCTTCTGACCAACTGCTTGGACCACACATCATCTTGCATGAGGTAGTGGTTGTCAAAGCGCACGGCTCAGAGAGATTGCAGATCCGGTGCAATGTCCGTTTGTTGGATATCGATACAGAGTAATGAAATCAGAGCCAAGCGCCAGCAATCCCTAAGCTACGGCATCAGCGTGGGCACGTTGCGAGCGTACAGCCTCTGGTTTGTTCTGCTGTGGTAATGTTCGCAATGTTCATTAGGACACCACTCCAGTGGCGCACTCGGCGCCCAGAGAGCCCTAAGGCTTCTCGAAGGCTACGGTCCTCTGAGGCGAGTACGATGGAGTCCAGTGATCGCATCTCCCGCCCCTCTGCTATCATTCTTTGGCAATAGGATATGAGGTGAGCGACCTCCGAAAAAGTCTCTGAGCGTACCGTGCAAGACAGCGAGAGCTAGGACAATCCGATCCCTCCAACGTAGATCCCATTGGTGGCGAACGCATGGAAGCAGAGCAGTTAGCCAGTCAACACCCACGCTTGCTCGCAAAGGGCTCCCTTGTTCCTCTTGCGGTTCCTGGGTGCCGACCGATATCTTCGATCCCCCTTGTCGCTCATGTTGCCGTAAAACGCTTTTTTTCTTTTGGCCGCTGCGTGCCTTGCTCGGCTTTGATCATTGGATGCGACTAACACCTTGCCTGACTCCATCGCAGCCCTGGCTCATCCCAAGTGGGGAAAGTGGCATCGCCTACTTGTGTAGAGTTCGCCTTGTTGGCCCACAGGCACTCCACGCACCGCTGCAGATATCACTTCGCCTACGCTAGAGGTGCCCAGACAGCCATGACGGACACGATGTCACCTAGATCCTAGAAAGTATATGTAGCTCGCGTGCTGCCGGCTTGGGACTCGAACGCTCGGCTCTATTTCTTGTCTCTCAAGCAGGATCTCGTTTACCTCTTGTCTTGTCTTGACTTTTCTTGGGAATTCCTTGGTAGGCCAAGAGATCCATTCCTCCAAGGCGCCCCCATGGCGACGAAGACTTCCGGCGGCAACGCCGCCTTCCACAACTTCCATAACGACTTCGCCCACATCCAGGATCCAAATGAGCGACGTCGACTTGCTCTGGCCGAAATCGACAAGGCGCCCTTTGGCTGGTACCATATCCGCGCCATCATCGTGGCCGGCATTGGCTTCTTCACGGATGCCTACGACATTTTCGCCATCAACTTGGTGACTGCCATGTTGGGTGTTGTCTACTGGCAGGATGCTCCCAGCTCCAAGAATGCAGGAAAGATCCCGTCCAACTCCGACACTGCTATTAAGGTCGCAACGTCTGGTGGCACGGTTATTGGCCAGCTCGGCTTCGGCTGGCTAGCTGATGTTGTTGGTCGCAAGAGAATGTACGGCCTCGAGTTGATTCTCATCATCTTCGCAACTCTCGCCCAGGCTCTCTCTTCCGACTCTCCTGCCATCTCCGTTGTCGGTCTGATCATCTTCTGGCGCGTGATGATGGGCATCGGCATTGGTGGCGATTATCCACTTTCCTCTATTATCACTTCTGAGTAAGTCGCCTTGAACCCTCACCTCGGCCTCTCCTTGCTAAGCCTGCTTCCAGATTTGCCACCACCAAGTGGAGAGGTGCTATGATGGGTGCTGTCTTTGCCATGCAGGGCATTGGTCAATTCACTGCTGCCATTATTGCTCTGATCGTCGTGTCCGGCTTCCACAACTCTCTCAAGACTGCCGCGACAGTTGGTGCCTGCGACGGTGTCTGCCAGCTCGCCGTTGACAAAATGTGGCGTGTGATTATCGGTTTTGGGGCGGTGCCGGGCTGCATTGCTCTGTACTTCCGACTCACCATTCCCGAAACTCCTCGCTACACTTTTGACGTTGCCCGCGACTCCGAGAAAGCCGTCGAAGATGTCAAAGCCTACCGATCTGGTCAACGTGAGGGCAAGCCCGACGAAGTCAGCCGTGCCGCCGTCCTCCAAGACTCTCGCCAACGTCTTGACCCGCCCAAGGCCAGCTGGCGCGATTTCTGGCGCCACTACAGCCAATGGAGACACGGAAAGATCCTCCTCGGAACTGCAGGATCTTGGTTCTTCCTCGGTAAGATATCCCCTCTGCAACCATGTTGCTGCCGGATTGCATACACTAACACCTCCCGACAGATGTGGCTTTCTACGGTCTTGGTCTCAATAACTCCATCATTCTTCAGGCCATCGGTTACGCCAAGGGTGACGACGTCTACGAGATTTTCCGCAACACTGCTGTTGGCAATTTGATCATCGTCTGCGCCGGCGCCATTCCCGGTTACTGGGTCACCGTTGCAACCGTCGACACGCTCGGCCGCAAGCCTATCCAGATGATGGGCTTCATCCTTCTGACCATCATCTTCATCATCATTGGCTTCGCATACAGCCACTTGGGCGAGGGTGGTCTTCTGGCCCTGTACGTTTTGGCCCAATTCTTCTTCAACTTCGGACCCAACGCCACCACGTTCATCGTCCCCGGCGAGTGCTTCCCCACCCGCTATCGATCTACCTCGCACGGTATCTCCGCCGCTTCGGGCAAAGTCGGTGCCATCGTTGCGCAGACTGTCTTCGGACCTCTCCGAACAAAGGGCCACCCTACTACAGCGAACCCATCGCCCTGGCTCAACCATGTCATGCAAATCTTTGCCTTGTTCATGCTCTGCGGCTGTTTCACCACTCTGCTCATCCCCGAGACCAAGCGCAAGACCCTCGAGGAGCTCGCCGGCGAAGTTCCAGGCACCAAGAACTACGACCCCGAGTCTGCTGGTCATCGCAAGGAGTCGTACGTCCCTCCCGCCTCCAACGAGCCTCTCGCGGCGAATGGCGAGAAGACCGCGTAAAGGATTCTTGCCAGCAGAACAGCCAGCCTGTCATTTCCTAGATACACAACCTTTACGTTGTACGTTAGCGGTGTAAACCAGGTTTCCATGAAGATTGGATAATAGGGTTGTAGATTAATCAAGAATGAAGTATACATTATTTCAACATGGTTCGCTGTTCTCGATCCCATCCTCAGTATTCACCTGAAACATTTTCCGTAAAGAGGTGTTAGTTGATGTCCTTTTTGGCACTCACCAGGCTGTCGGGACTCGAGGTAAGGATCACGTCTCCATCGAATCTGGCAGGCCTTCTCTGCATGCCTTCTTGACGATCATTTCCCAGTGCACCCGTCCCACATGCTCACAGAATGATTTGAGGCCCTCGGATTGGCCCATTGCGGATGAGGCGTCCACGGACAGGGCCGGATATCAAGCCCGAGCTAAGCACCGGCAGGAAAGCTTGCAGAAAGCTTACGCGGCAGCTATGCATGCAGTCCGGACCGCTCGGAAGCACGATCTTCAGTCGTCACGGGTTTGTCCTGCAGATTAGATAGTCGAGTCAAGGGTCGAGGCAAGCTAAGGGTAGGGCATGTGTGGAAACAGGTACGAGTAGGAACAGGGAAAGCCAGAGGGCGAAATCCTGGGGAAAGACAGGGTCAGGGATCATCGGTAAAGAGTCGAGACATCTTAGTCCCAGGCCCAGACCGAGAAACTGATTCTGTACCTGCTCCGGCTATGAGTAGGGTCTGCCTCTCACTCATTGGGCTTGACGTCTGCATCATCAGAGGTGCGATGGCGGAATGTGCGGTGTCATTCGGTCGCGGTTGGCTTCTTTCCATTTCTGACGCTGTTTCTGCTCGTAGCTGAACGATTCATGGTTTCCCAGGTGCTCATGATCATATGCCCGCCCTGTATCGTGGATTGCCCCACAACATTCCATTTCGTGTGACATGACCATCCTCGCCTCCGTAACGTTGCGTCGCTAATCCGAATTCGGCCTTCAACCAGGACTCCAGGCAAACGTCCTGGACCTGGGGCCTTGCCGGGCAATTCATGAGAAGCGGTTCACCCTAACGTGATGAAGTGCATGTCAAAAGTCCAAGCGTTGTAGACGGACAGCCACCGCGGACTGGTCAGTCGTTCCGTGCTTGAGGGTTTGCCGTGCACGCGTGACAGGAACAGGTGGGTGACAGGTTCAGGGCTTTTCGGATTTGAATTATCTACGGTCGAGCATAGGTGCTGCACACCACGAAGCACGGAGTCCTGTTGAGCATAGCACCAGCCAGTGACGATGTATTATTGCGGAGCATACAGGCACGACCCGAAGGCGCCCGCGGCTTCATTTTCACAATGCGTGTAACTACTGAGTAGGCTCTCGGCAAGCACGCGAGCTTGATAGCTCTGTTTCTTCCCGAAATGCGTAGCTTGTTCTTCTGCAAGAGCGGAAGACGAGTAGCAGCTCCTGAGGCGATCGGCTGGGAATTGCTCCTGCTGCGGCCATGGCTTGGACCAGCCTGAGAAGGCGACTCGCTAAGGTGCCTCGCAGGTCAAATGCAAGCAGCGCCCCCATGCCCGCGGGCTCAGCCCCGATGGCTTTCCAGCCTGATCAGGATGATACTCTTCTTATCGACTTTCCCATTGAACCACATTTGCATCCCTTTCGCTGGACTATTGCTGTGATCAGCACACCTGCACAAGATGCACCACCGAATTTGTGGTGAGGACGTCATGCACGACTTTTATTACACCAAGCTATTGGTCGACGAGTCCAAGTTCAAGCCTCGCGTGGGACTCCTTTGCGTGGACGTATTGGATTCCGAGGTGAGAACTCTTCCACGCCAGATGTACGCGCGGGCTGACACCTTTTCAGGCTGCCGGGCACCCAGTTGTACTGGAGCGAGACATCACTGAGGATCAGGTCCAAGACTGGCTTGCCCAAGATGACCCTCCATCGTCACAGAGCAGTCAAGATGGCAATCAGGGGAGAGTTCGCAGCCGACTCCGCGTGCTGATTGGCAGCCCGGAGCAACACTCAAGCGATGCAGAGATTCTACCGCTACCAATGTCCCGCGAGACGTTCGAGGCAGTCAGAACCACGTGGAACATGCCTAAGGAGCTGTTGCGCATGATGTTAAGTACCCTGCCGATCGCCACGCCGATTCAGACGCTGAATGACTTGGCACAACCCGTCAACGGCCTGATGATGAGAAGCGCCAGATCAAGAGACTGGAACTTCTGTCTCGGACTAGTCCACAATGCCGAGACTGGAACGGTCCATGCGATTGTCAACGGATTGCAGGGGGAAGAGATCGCCCAGTTGCTGACGTGTCTGCGAGAATCACGCTCATGTCTGTCCGAGCCAATGTTGCTACCTATTTTCTTGCTCGAGCTCAAAGTCCACTACTTCGCAGTCCTGCTGGAGAACCGAGCGGAAAGGATTGAAGGGATTGAGCTGGACACCGGAATGAAGCACGAGTTCTCTCTGAGTGCGAAACGGAAAGAGGCAAGACATAGGGAAAGAGAGAAGCTACTCAAGGACCTTAACTTCGATGAGATCACTCAGAAGTTGACAGGCGGTACAGGCACTTTGGCGTTCTGCGATATGACCTTTGCCTCTAGCTTGAGAGCGTTAGAGCGTGTCTGCTTGGTCAAGGAACGAATTCGCTGTCTTCGCAACCACCGGCCGGATAGAATCAATGCTGCCGGCGCCAACGCCGTCGATACACGGATAGCATACCTCCGAGAGCTGATTGTTGGGGCCCAGGCGCACAGTGGAGTGTTGTCGGCGAGAACAAAGGCTCAGGTTCAAACGGTGCGTAAGATGTCGAAGAATGACTCACTGCGGAAGCTTCTGACGGTCCACCTAGGTCTACAGCATGATCGGTCAAAAAGACAACAAGCTCAACATCGAAACGGCAGCAGCGTCCCGAGATATTGCAGAGATCAGCCTTCGCCACAACACTGCCATGAAAGAAATGGCCGTAGACTCACGGAACATCGCCATACTCACTCGGCAAGACAGCACAGATATGCGTATTATCGCGGTCGTCACACTGCTATTTCTACCTGGGACTTTCATGGCGGCACTGTTCAGCGCCGACTTCTTCGATTTCTCTCCAAGAGATACCAATGAGGTCGTTTCCAAGTGGATTTGGCTCTATTTTGTCTTGACAGGTGCTGCCACTCTTGTCGTCTTCGGTGGCTGGTACCTGTTTTCACACAGACAGAACAAGAAGATAGTGGCTGCGATGAACACTGATGCACGCCCTCCGTTGATGAGCGATCGCGATGACCTTGAATCTGGCATCACAGCCTTGCCGGCACCACCAGACGCAAGGCCATTGTGGACGGCGCGCTCAATGTCAACCGGGGAGATGGAACTCGTCTCCTCTTTTGGACGCTCGGCAGATGCTCTCAAATAGACATCTCTCCAGTTTCTACGGAACGATCTCTCGGAGAGCGGCATATAGGAAACATATATGACTGAACCTCAGCATGGGGCGCCGGCCGCTTGCGCACTTACTGTCCAAGAGCATTGCTCCCGCCTTTCATAATATTGAGGTCGGAGCCAGACGCTGTCACTGGCGGCATTTCCCCGTTCTAGAGTACGGAATGGGCTATCATGAACGATGTGCAGTCTTCAATGCGGATCTCAGCCTTCCGTTGGCAACTGAACCGTGCCGTGGGAAATGTGCAGTTGCGCTGCTCCGAGATGGGGCTCCCATTCACAGCAGCCAGCCTTCCGTCCACTAACATGGCTTCCAGATACTTCTTGAATATGACGAGCTACAGCAGGCCATCGCCGTCCAGATCTCCCCCGCCTAAGATCGCCCAGGCCTGCACGGCTGTGCCGGTGTCTGGGAACCGATCGATCTGTGCCCTGTTGACACCGAATTAGAGAGCGTGTTGATCCCAAGTTCGAAGCGCTACCTCGTACTCGATTCTGCTGGAAGTCGAGAACCCACGACAAGACGCGATCGTCAGATGCAAACTCCTTGGGAAATTCGTGCACGGGATTTTCTCCTCTGCACCAGGCTTGTGTCTGCTCTTTCGAACCACTGAAAGCTACCACATCAAAAACATGATAGCAACGGCTACTACTATTGGCCGGCCAGCTGGTAAAGTACTCCGGCTGATCAAGTTACAGTAACAAGCTCCAACCGAGCTTCAGAAGGGTAAGTCCATCCTTTCCGTTCGATCCCATGAATAGCGGGGGTGGCATTCGTCGACATCATGCCAAGGAACTACGAGCTGCCCTTGTCGTCCTCGTGCAACCATTCCGCACGCTGCAGCTTCATCATTGGAGGGCAGGCTGCGTGCTCACCAGAAAATATGCGGCCAAGGCCATGGCCTCGGTTGATTACAGGCGAACCGTCATCCCTCGCGGGGTTGTGTTGCTTTGCTATATCACATTCAACCTAGCAGACAAGGTCCTGCCTGCGTTGAGCGGCCAATCCATCCACGAAGCTGTCCGCAAGATGCAGGTACAACAGACACGTTGTCCCAGGGTGGCTGCGATTTGCTCGATAACAGAGCTCTAGCAGAATCGGGTGGGATTTGCGCAGCTAGACGCCCAGCTCTTCCCAAGCTCCGACACAGGAAGCTCCCCAGAGCTCCAAGCTCACACAACTTCCTGAATCCGACGACATGGCGCCTGTCGTTTAATTCACGTGTGATCATGACGGAGCCCCATCTTGCATCGGCATGAACTCCAGCAGTCCGTTTACCGGACTAAGGTAAGGATAGATGGCCAGCTACAAAAAGAGTCGTGTCCCGCTATGCAGTCCCTTTTCTCTCGTGCTTCTTCGCAGGTAGGGTGTAGCCATCGCAACTACGGAACCTAGCTCAAGACTCAGATCCAAGATGCGTGCGACAACCAGCAGCGTAGCCCTTTTGGCATTGGCGGCCAACCTCGCTGCCGCCGTGCCCGTCAAGAAGCCCCGCTGGCAACATCCAGTGCCCGATGACTACCTTGTCTCTCTAGGCCCCCGTCCTTACTACCTCGTCCAGAATATGACGGACAGCCCTCTCAAGCAGCAGCTTGAGGCATGCTACAATAAACCCGTGGGTATTCACGGTTGGAGCATTGGCCATCGCGGCGGTGGGACCCTACAAATCCCAGAAGAGACAACGCAGTCCACCGAGGCCGGCGCGCGTATGGGCGCCGGTGTCCTCGAATGCGACGTCGCATTCACCTCGGATCTCGAGCTTGTCTGCAGGCACGATATCTGCGACTTGCACACGACGACCGACATCCTCCTCCGACCCGAGTTGGCAGCGAAGGTGAGTCAGAAGCCATGAGTCTCTGGGTCATCTGTCAACATGGTCAAGTCCGCTGACATTGTCCTGCGAGAAATGTAGTGCCGAGTCCCATTCACACCGGCCAACGCAACATCCCCAGCGAACGCTCTGTGCTGCACCGCCGACATCACATTGGCCGAGTATGGAACTCTGTGCAGCAAGATGGACGGCTTCAACCGATCCGCCACCACGGTAGAAGCCTACCAACACGGCACCCCGTCGTTCCGAACCGACCTATACAACACCTGCGGCCAAGTCATGACGCTCGAGAGCTACATCGACCTCGTGGACTCGCTGCCGGGCTACCGCAACTTCACGCCGGAGCTGAAGACCCCACCCAGCGCCGTCCCCATGCCGTTCAAGGGCTACACCCAGGCCCAGTACGCACGGGACATGATCAACACGTTCGTGAAAAAGGGCATCGCCGCCGAGCGCGTGTGGCCCCAGTCCTTCAACCCGGCCGACATCTACCTCTGGCTGAACGAGTTCCCCCAGTGGGGCGCCCAGGCCGTCTACCTGGATGAGGACGCCGACGTGGCCTCGAACTACACCGCCGCGGTGGCCAAGTTACCCGCCCTCAAGGCCTCGGGGGTCAACATCATCGCCCCGCCGTACAACTACCTGCTCTCTGTCGGCGGGCCCAACAATGACTCGATCGTGCCGTCCATGTACGCCACGGCCGCGAAGGAAGCCGGCCTGGACATCATCGCTTGGTCGTTTGAGCGGTCGGGTCCGCTCGATCTCGTTGAGGAGAATGGCGACTACTACTGGTCGTCCGTCGCCCCGATCGTCTCCTACGATGGGCAAGTGTACGAGGCCCTGGACGTGCTGGGCCGCGAAATCGGCATCATCGGCATGTTTTCCGACTGGTCCGCCACCGTCAGCTACTATGCCAACTGCTTCGATCTGGCGGGGCCACAAGGGGGCAAGTACTATTGAGCCGCAGAAGCCTAGACCTGAACGGACCTGGGGTGGATGGGGGCCGATAGAAAGGATCATGCGGGCCGAGCACGAGCGGGCGGACAAGGACGATGATAAACACGACGACGTTTAATGAAGTTCAAGTAATCTACACACCCTATCTGTATATAGTTGTCTATGAAAAAGAGAGCCAAAACACCAAACGCGTGTTGGACCTGGTTATGACAAGCTGCCTAGTATTCATGCCTGTCTTCCCAACTGATCGGTACTCGAGTTCCCCCATCAAGGCGCGCAACACACCCAGAACAACCACCAAACGTAGTATGTCCGTAGGTGCTGTACCGTACCGTGTCTCCTCGCTGCTATCATCACCACAATTCCCGCCATGCTGAGAGTATGCCGGGCTGGCCGGGATGTTTACCAAGGTAGCAATATTCAGCACGGGTATCGTGGCCTCGTTCTGGGTCTCGGTCTGGTCCTCGTCCTGGTTCTCGTTCTCCGTCGGGCTGTTGAGATCCAGGACAGTCCGTACATTGCGTACAAGTGCGGGCCTCACGACCGCTTCAATCATGTACTCGCTTGATGCGGACTGACGGGAACAATACCGACGTTGAGTATGGTGCAGCCACGGCCGCACTTTGACGAATCCTTAAATAATTCTTGACTGTCTTTTGACTCTCAAGAGAACTCTTCGACTCTAGTCTCTAAGATGCTGGACATGTATGCACAGATGTGAACGTTACCGGATGTATTTGTGCTTGTCCCCGCATATATACACTGTAGTACACTCGGCCCGGTGAAACCATGGCCCGGGAAACTATAATGGAAGTGAGGTCGACGCGCTCACGATCAGGAAGCGCCTCCGCACAGCGATGCTCTGTCACTTTCACTTCTCACCTTAGGATATCACGATTCTGGGTCATGCGTCTCATCCCACTCCCTCAACCACGCCTTCACCGCTTGCAGCTCCCTGTTCTTCGCGTCCACGACGGCGCCCTGGGCACATCGATGCTCTCATTCTTGAACACGCCTGGGAAATCCCACTCATGAAAACCCCCCGTCGATGACGATCTGCGGTTCGCTTACCGTCCCGTTGCTCCCTAGCCTGGGATTCGGCGTCCCGTCCTCGAGAACCGCCGCCAGTTGGACCTAGAGTACGGAACCAATCGAGTTGGCCTGTCGAGATCGTCAGACGGGGATAACTCAGGTTGAAGCCGCCGTACTCGTTCAGCCGCTCCAGTATAGGGCCATAGCTGATGCTATACGTGGCGTGGCATCGATCCAGGGGAACTACGAGGGCGTTGCTGTGCGGGAGACGAGGGGCAAAGCGTTGGGGATGCCCCGGTGTGCCTGGTGTATAGCCTGTATCGAATTGACCCATTTGGGTGCAGAGGAGCCAGTTGAAGGGTGCCCCTTGGTCCAAGGCGAGGCAGTCTGCTGGGGCCTGTGCTGCGCAGAAAGTATAGGTGCTGCGGAAGTAGGAGAAGAGATTGAGAAGCGGGCAGTAGAGTGATGTTGCGTTGGGGGTTGCTGTCGCGTTGGTGTAGGAGAGGAGGGAGTGCGCTGTTGGCTGAAGGGAGGGGCCGGCTGAGGGCGGCGAGGTCTGCGAAGTGAGCATGCCGCAGTATGAGCCACGGGCGTGTAAGATATTTTCGATCAGTCAAATCACACGACGAATCCTCCTCGAGCGAAGGGCCGCGCACCGGTGAATGGGAAAGGCTCGCCATTCCATATCTGTTGCCAAGCCGACAACGGCGGCAACGCTCCCGCCAGCATGAATATAATGTCGGGATACGTCGAGGCCTGCGAAACATTAAAGGCAGTGTTCACTCGGACATGGCTGTCTTGTTGCCGCTGGTATAGACGTTGTCCATCAGACTCATCAGTTGTTGGATTGTTGAAACACAGTTGGCAGGTCCGTACCGCCGTATCACATCAAAGCTCGGCCAATTATCGATCAGCCCGGTGGTGACTCCGGAGAAGGTCAGGCCGCCCCAGAAGACATTTGTGTGCGGCGCATAGCAGGAGATGTTGTGGAAGTGGTCGATCGGCGTGGTGAAGTTCTGCTGTCTGCTCCAGCGTCAGTCCTGTTTTGCGCGCCTCGTCGACAGGGATCGTGATCAGCCCTTCGGAAGAGCTGACGGATATCTGGCCAGGAGATCGTCTCCTTGCGACTGCCGTTTCGCAACGGATTGCACCCTCTCGAATGCCCTGCTCAGCAGTCAGACATTATTCCGGGACACCTCTGGAAAACTTACCTTCCTGCTCCAGCCGTCAGGAGAAGCGTAAAACATGCCAAGTTGGCGGCCATCTTGTAGACGTACAGGACCTTCGGCTCAACCATTCTCACAATGCGCTGCTCCTGGCATTATTATACGTCGTCCGCAAAAGCACACGGTCGTCGGCATCTTGTCCCCGAGCGTAGATAGCCCTGGCGATGAACGCGTCTCATGTTGCTGCGGCTTCCGGGCGGATGTGCGCCCTATACGTGTAATCTGGGCAGGATCCGGCGTACAATCCAGAAGGACTCGTAGGATGGACCGCATGATACCTAGGTAGAGTATTCATACACAGAAAGCCGCGATGGATTCAATGTTTCAGCCTGGTCCATCTGGAAGACGTCGCTGACCCGTGAGCCAAGCAAAGATCGACAGCTTCTCACGTACGAGGTACTCGTATGCATTCAGAAGTACCATCCTACCTGGTACGAGGTAGGTAGGTACCTTATGGGCGCGCGGCGAGGAACGCGTACGCTTAGTCCTACGTCTGTACTAGAGTACGCCGTATCCACCCGGCAAATAGGCATTGGTCAAGCAATCTTGGTAGAGCCGCTTTAGTGCCTCCCTAAATCCGCGCCCAGGCTTAGAAAGTACTAAGTACTCCGTACAGTCGACCAATTACTCAGCCATACCCCCTTTCCGCTTTCGTACTCGCGCCCCCAAAATGTCTCAATAGTAGAAGTTAATTTCTAGCTTCCCTCGATAGACCCCGGAGCCCTAGCGGATGGCATACCGACTATCTGCGAATGCAAGATTCACAGAATGGCCATGAATTTTGAAAAAGTGAGACTGGTCGAGGAGCCTGAAGGGCCGGCACAGCACGGGAACTGCATGAGTGCGTTCATGACCGCACCCGTCGACGTCTAGACATCCTCGCACGGAACGGCCGCTATGGGCATCAACAGCCCGAACCCTCATGAGGTGAAAAGACGTCACGGCGCTACGTGAGCTCTGCGAACTCCTATTGCTCTCAATGTCGGCGTCCCTCGATGGTCTCGAACCAGCTTCCTCTCTGCCGAAGGGATCTCCTTCTCACATTTGGAGCGGTCTCCAGCTATATGGCCGGAATATCTCGCATATCCAGAGGGCGTGTGTCGGGCCATATGCCTCTGGAACTCCAATGACAAGAGGCCCGACGAAGCACGCTGCACACGCCGACTCAACGTATACCATGATCACTGACCGGATGGACTCCGTGAGCGGCTTTCATCATCGTCCCTGAAGAGCACCACCATAGTGTCGTGATCGCTCTGTATACCGTGAGTGCTTACCACTGCATCCACCACTGCATCCGTCCCCATCCTTCCCCTTACCCACTTGGGACCTCAAGAGCCTGCCTACCTCTGAAACACAACAGCTGTGCCTCCAAGTAAGTCGAAGCTTCCAGCATCTGACTGAACCACCACGCAACAACCAGACCAGCATAAAACCACTCTACTCCTACTGTCTTCGCATAAGTCACGTCTCGACACCTCCAGTTTGTTGGGTCTCAGGACGCTGCAGGCGGAAATTGCTCTACCTATACAGATATGGTAGGTCAAGTCCTGAGGCCGCGCGAAGAACGGCTTGTTGCGCCATGTTCAACTCGGTGCTGGAGCGAGCAAGGGTGAATGAATGTGGCAATCCTGGCACCAAAGGTTGTCTGCTCAACCCAAACATTGGTCGAAAACGCGCCTCAGAACGCAAACTGAGCAGTCATCTGAAAACCAGAACACGCTTCGTTCCTCCTTCGTAGAGCATCCATCCATCGTGTGCAATCATGGATGACTCTCGTGTCATCCGTTGCTGGTGTTGCATGGGAGTCAGAAGAAGTCATGGTCCTGGTTTTCGGCCGTATACATTGACACTGGCATTGGTTGTCAGTAATCGAGAGGCAGAACAGCATGATGTCGAGTACCCACAATTTAACATAGGTATGAATATTCCGATCGAGGATTTCTCGTCTCGTGTGCGCGAGCATGACCGCGAGTTGAGCACGCTCCATGCCCAGCAGAGCGGTAGCCCCTCGCTCAAACCCAGCCTGAGCATATTGGAAGAAGTTCTGCATCTCGAGTTTCCCTATGGTCTTCAGGCGCCGATCCTTTGGCCAATCATTCGTGGGCATCTTGAACACTGTCTCGTGGACGTCCTCGAAGCCCCGGTCCCGGAGTTGATCCTTCCACAGCCGGTAGGCGTGGCCGTCCAGGCCCATCGCTTCTGCGATTTTGAAGAATATGTTGCCCATTTCGACGTACTGGGAGTCCGGAGGACACGTTCCGTCATCACATGTGACTTCAGGGACTGTAACGGCGAGTTCGAAGTAACCGCCAGGTCGAAGATGGTCATATGCTTGTGAGATGAGCGCGGGCCAATCTCGAATAGCGAAGATGAATTCTCGGGCGTGGATCAAATCGAACGAATTCCGGCGAAACTCCCAGTCCGTCTCTACGTCTAGAATCTCGAACTGGCAATTGGGAGATACCCAGCTTGGTTGCACGGCTGCAATGTCGACGCCAATCACCCGTGCTGAGGGATAGAGGTCGGCGGCCTCAATGGCCCAGATTCCGCTGCCGGTGCCTAGGTCCAGGATGTTCTGTGGCTGCGGATCGATCGGAGCGAGGTGAAGCCGTCCTTCGTACATCAAGAAGAACTTGTAGTGCTGAAGGTCGTTGCGATCCTGTTCCGCGTCGTCGATGGGGAGGCCGTAGAAGTGTTTTCCGTAGACCGCCCACCGGCGACCGTACTCCTCAATCCCATTACGGATTTCCGATGCTATGCTGTGCTTCAGGTCAGAAAATCAGTGCCGGGACTGCCGGTGTGTCCTCCATACCTGGTCACATAGCTCGTACCCGCCGAGTTGGTGTCGTAGCCCTCGTCGTCCACCGGGATGTGATCATCTGGTTCCATGTGCGGCGAAGAACGCACTGCTGTGTGACGCGAGTGTCAATGTCGCGTGCCAGAGACCCGAGGGGAATCACCATGTAAGTTTTGAGGAGATGGGAAGTCCCATCAGAGAGGGGCTGCGAGGCACTTTTACAAGAAGAAAACAAGGTTCACGCCGGGTTGAGGGGAGGCAGGGGGAAGGGCTCTCCCTCGGGCCATAGTTGCTCGGTAGGCATTGCTACAGTACAACCTTGATTCGGGGGTGGCCGGAAACTTCAGCCTGGCACGCCTAGGGGTGTCTGCCACGTGCGGGCTGGCAACCTACCGTAGCCTAGCTGCCTAAGGGCTCGCATGATAACATCCCGGCCCACTAGTTCAGTGGCGGGCATGAACCCCGCCTAAGTCAACCGCTGCAGGCCAGCTCAATAAAACCCCGCCTTCAAGCTCGTTAAAGTGCACAAGTACTACCTAGTCTTCTACTATCTCCTTCCGCCCACATGCTCTAGAACCTCGCGAAGACACTGGAGCCTGCAAGCGAGGTGTCTAGCATGTTTTCGAGCCGGAAGGATGATGAACTGTCACTTGTACAGCACGCTAATAGATTAGCACGATCAGTCGCAAAGGAGCCACATGGCGACCAGTGACTCCTGCTCAGCTGGGATGCCTACCGTCCAGCTCCCCTTAGTCTGCTCTGGCTCCCGCTCCGCTCCCAACCTTGCCAACTGCAGGTACTCCGTACGGTGGACAACATTTCCTGTGTACCACAGTAGATTTCCAGCCCCAGTAAGGAGCGTGCCTGTGTCTGTGCACAACGTCACGTTCGAGAATGTTGGCGCCAGAACAAGATGAAGCAACCCAGCTTCAGAGCCTGATACAACAACTCACCGACGCAGCAAAAGCATGCGACTACTCGCCCGGGGCAAAAGGCTACATCGCAAGGACAAATGTCGCCGGCATTGCCAAAGACATCGTCCGCCTGATGATGGCCCCGAGTGACATGTCCATGCACCACTCGGTCAATGCAAGTCCCGTTTTCACTGGAACGAACAAGCATCCCCATTGATACTGATACGACGCAGATGCTGGAGATAGTGAGTATCCGAACGTTGATGAGCCTGGGGGTGTTTGACAAAATCCCGCTCGACGGCTCCATCTCTCTGGCCGAGCTATCCCAAGCCACCGGCGTGCAAGACTCGCTGCTCGAACGCCAACTTCGCCTTCTCGTCGGCACGAAATTCATCGACCAGACGCCGACCGACGAGTACACACACACGAAGTTCTCGAGGGCGTATATCCAGGTCCCCGGGCCGGGGAACTTCTTCCAGTTCATGAACGACGAATGCCTGAGCACCCTCGTCCACTTGCACAGCTACGTGAAGGACCGCGCGCGCGAGGACCACAAACCCGTACAGGAACCCGACGACCCTCTGCACAACCCGTACACGCGCCGCCACGGCATGGACGGCCACGCGGTGTGGGAAGTCATGGCGCAGTTCCCCGACCGCCTGCGCGCCTTCCAACTGGGATTCATGTCCCAGGAAGACTCGGTGCCCATTGTCGGCTTCTACGACTTCTCCGCGCTCTATGACCCGGAGACGGACGGCGATCGGCCCACCCTCGTCGACGTAGGTGGCGGGCAGGGCCAATCCATCATTCAAATTCTGAAGTCCTTTCCTACCCTGCAGCCCGACAGGATGGTCCTGCAGGACCTGCCGGAGCCAATCGCGCAGGGTAACGAATCCAAGCTCCTGCCCGAGGGCGTGAAAGCCATGGTCCACGACTTCTGGACCCCTCAGCCCGTCAGGGGCGCCAAGGCCTATTTCCTCCGCCGCATCATCCACGACTACTCGGACGAGAACTGCGTCACGATCCTCTCGCACCTGCGCGCCGCCATGGCGCCGGACTCGAAGGTCCTGATCGCCGACATGGTCATGCCCAAGCGCGTATACGAGGCCGATCTCCCCGCCGCGGCGATGGACAATTGCGTCATGGTCATGGGTGGGAAGGAGCGGACCGCCGACGGGATGAAGAAGATCCTGGAGGACGCCGGATTACAGATGCTCAAGATCTGGCAGAGTCGAGAGGGCGGTGCGACGGGGAATATTGTCGAAGCCGTGTTGCCTTGACCGGGAGACTAGATGGGGTATACTATACTATGCTATTGCCGACGTTGGCTTGAAGTCAGTCGTTTGATACGTAGCTATTGAGCGTATTTATGCTGCCGTTGAGCTAGAGATAATTGGCACACCACGTCCGAAGCTGCTCTCAGTACATCCCATGCGTCAATTTCTGGTGGAAGCGCGTGTCTAGATTTGTATGCTCCGGTACTCCGTTGCGTGGCCTCGGCTGATTCAAGCAAACGACATCATTGCATTATCCATAACTTGTGCGTAGCGCATGTATTGCCGCTTGTGCAGCTAGTCCTCTAAACGCCAGGTCACTGTAAAACACCCAGCGCTATGCCATTATGTATAGTACATTCCAGTGACAGTCCGTCTCATTTCTTGCTCGCCTTGCTCGGCTTTTTGCGAGCGCCGCCATCCCCGGCACCGGCGGCGGCACCCGTCTTCAGCTTGAGCTTGATTTGTGGCTCAGAGCTGGCGTCCCTCATCGATTTGGTGGGCGTCACTTGTATTGTGTCCCCATTCGCGTCCTTGGCGTTGGGGCTGCCTTCATCGCCAATATTGTTGACCTCCTTCAGTTTACTGGGCGGTGCCTTCTTGTCCATCTTCTTGACATCTCCGGCAGTGGTCTTCTGCTTCTTGTTTTTCATGGGACCACTACCCACGCTCTTTTCATCATCCTCGGCTTTGCGCTTAACGCCGCCGTTGGTGGCTGGTTTGGGTGAGTTTGCGCGACTGTCGCGAGGAGTCCCGCCAATTTTTGCATTAGCCTCACGACCCGCAGCCCGGTCTTTCTTGAGGAAGCAGCTGCCATTCAAGTGTGTCGCGAAAACGTTGACGGATTTCCAATGATCGCCGAGATGAGACTCCCGGTTGGGGCATTTTGCGGCAGGATAGTCAATCTCTTTGAACTCGAATGAGTCGGCAGGCATGGAAGACGACGGAGTCAACGGATCGGAGTTTTCCGATGCCGCAGGAGAGCCAGGATCGTCCTTTCTTTTCTTCTTGTTCTTAGGCTGGCCTTTTACTTTGACACCCTTCTTGCGTTGGCCGTGGACATCATGCTTGTCTACGATGATCATGGGCTCGGTCTTGCAGTATTGTTCGGTGGGATCTGGAACAGGGCGGGAATTGTAGCCGACCCTGGGGTATAATAGACGCCGTAGCCGGCAATTGGGACATCTGATGTGCTTTACCGTCTTCATTGGGTTGCCTTTTAGTTGGACCTGACCGGACTTAAGAATAGCAGCATTTGTCTCAACAGATTGGTCTGCGGTATTATTTTCGGCTTCGCTGTCTAGCTTGCTGCGGAGTTTCTCAGCTTTCTGCTCGAGTTCCACAACGGCTGTCTGCATTCGAGATATCTTCTCTTCTTGGTGGATTTCCAGGAGGATATCGTGCAGTATGCTCTCGACGGACAATTCGAAGAGGTATACCATCTGAGAAAGGTTAGTTGAGGAAGCGTTAGACCACGTATTAATTTAACTAACCGCTTGTTCTTGATCAGAAGCTGTCAGGGTGACATTAGGAGACTTGGAACTGGACGCTTTCGCTGAAGCCATGTCGAGAGACTCGTTGACTGGGGGTAGACAGTCAGCTCTGATCTGCTCATCTTCCATGAAACGCTTCCACAGGTCTGGGTCGAGGCCGCCATGTCGCGGCAATGAAACACCCGATGTTCTAGGAGCCATGCTGTGCTCAGACGAGAAAGGTGAAAAAGAGAGCCGCCAGCAACTGTGGAGAGGTGTAAAGGGTAATATGGGAAGAGTGCGCCTTTGCCCTTGCCCTAGGGTGTCCAAGCCTGCAGGAAAATAAACCAATACACGAGGCCAAAAAAGCACAATGCAGTCCGGGCATTTGAAGCCCTTGAAACATGCAGTGAATGGACATTCATGATGCGGCATCCTATTGTCCGGCAGTATTTTCACTTACCTATCTTGAGATGTGTATGGCAGCCTCCCACGTTGTGCCCCGTGGCTATTCACACAGCTTCACTCCCTGCCGCACCCGACAGTGCTCTACTCATTCAATAGCATGTATGAAGTCTTGAGGATTTCTCGTAGTGGTGGCTCGGAGTCGTGAGAGGTGTAAGCCTGCCCGCCTTGAAGAGGTGTGGTGTACACAGTGAAGCAAAAGGACCCGGACTAGCTCGTCCAGGCTCGTGACAACGAGGCGTCGAGCCGAGGTCAAAAGGGTGAGGAATGGAAGTAGTATATGACTTCGACGTGTGCTCTGTAGCTTAACCAAGACGGCTAACACATAAATATTTGCATACTGTGGTATATTTTCGGTGCATGTGCGTGGATGTCAAGTGGGTGCGGCGACGCAGGATGCAGAAAGAAAAAGGCCGGTCCGGGGGATGCTTAGGGCTCGCTAAGGTTCAAGATTAAGCCTCGATAACCTTGTTCTAGTGCCGGAAGCAACCGTGCCGATCACGTCCCCTTTGCAGTGGGCGCGTGTTCTCCTGTCCTTGCATGAAACGGTTAATCACCCAAGCCAGTGGCATTAGCAGGGCGGGTATGGATGACTTTCTTGCACGATGCCTCAATCCAGTCTGCTGTCCTATTTCACCAAATCGATGTCAGTAGGGGGGCCCACACAGACGGACTCGGAGCGAAACCGTCGAGTTGAGAATCATCGTGTTGAGACCAAGCACATCGCGTCTGCCGGCTCTTCATTGAGCCACGGACAAGGTGTTCTTGACGTAGCGCAGAACGAGGGTGCCCAGATCTCAACTCATCCGGCGAAACGGGCACCAACGAAGCCGCAGCAGAAGTCCCAACCCTCGACGCCGGTGGCACGCACAGAGGAACTCGAGGACATATCTCCACCATCGAAAGCTCTTTTGAAAACCCAACAACACCCGGCGGGAATCATACAGATCCCCCACATTCCAGGAGCCGCCGTTTCTCCCGTCTCGGAGGACCACTTGCAGGCGATACGACGCCTCACGGCTACGACGCTCCCCGTTCGTTATGGCGATGCATTCTTCAAAACAACGGTGACCGACCCAGTTGTGCGGCAGTTATCTCGTGTCGCTCTGTACGACTCAGAGCCCATTGGCTGGATCCGATGTCGCCTAGAGCCGTGCTCTGTGAATAGTGCTTTCTCTACACAGACGAACCCTCCATTATCGCAGATCTACATTCAAGCATTGGCCCTGCTTTCGCCTTACCGAAACCTCGGCATGGCAACATTACTTCTCAACGAGGTGCTGAGTTCGGCAGAGTCGCTAGTGGAGGATCCAATCTGCATTTACGCTCACATTTGGGAGAAGAACGAAGATGCGCTGGACTGGTATGCCAAGCGTGGCTTTAAACGCGTCATGCTCGTTGAGCGATACTACACGAAACTGAGGCCAAGTGGTGCGTGGATTGTCAGGCGTGAGCTTGGTGACACGTGAAACGGTGTGGTGGACCATGAGATTATTTCCGGGATATCAAAGCTGTTTGGACAATACGACTCGGGACGCATCCTCCTCTCTGCAACCTCTATTTGCAGTGGCCCCTATCCCTGGGATTCAGAGCGAGCCGAAGCATGATCAATAGCTCTTGAGCAAAGCTCGGTCTCTCCAGCAGCCGCCTCGACGGGGCTCGGTTGAGCTTTGGTAATTACAATGCCGACCAACCCATGTGCACGAAGACATGCCGCTTCCAGGGCCACAGAGCAAAGCTCTCCAGGACCATCATCATGAGGAGGTCGTAACGCTATCAGCTCGGAAGGCTATGGTTTCAATGGTGCTCCCTGTACAGAGTGGGGGCATTTGGATAAAGCTTCGCTCGCCAACAGAACGGATACGACAGGACTGTAGTGCGGTTACAGGGATGCATTCGCGGCAGACGAGCTGAAGGAGAGCTCCTTCTGTGCCCAGGATTGGCCGCTCGGGTTCTGCCAGTGATACTTTTAGGAACGGGATGCGGAAAAAGTATGCAGCAAACTGGTAGTCGTTCTCTCAATGCCGGATTTTCGGTTCCTGCCGCCCTCCCAATGGGTATGTACATGGCCCTCTCTGCCTTGTCAATAAAGATAAACAAAGCTCTGGGGTATATGGTCGAGCAATTAGAGCACAGAGGAAACGTAGTTCTCTTCCAGTTTCCGCACCTCCCGCTTGAAGATCTCGACCTCCTTCCAACAGTCGAGGGGCTTCCGGTCGTTTATTCGTAGACAGGAGATAACGTCTTGTCTCCTAATGCCGTATGTTAGCTCTAGATCGCGCATGCCGCTGAAAGACGTCCACGCACGCATTCTCTACTTCCTTTGGTAGCTCCTTTAAGGTCTTCCGCTGTCCCAGCTGTTGCTTGAGTTTTTCAATCTCTTGTTGTACCTTCTGACTCGATTGAGCTTTTCGCTTCTGTTCGTCATCGTTCTTAACGCCCGGGATCAAATCTTTGGGTGATATCGAGCTTGAGCCTGAGGGTGATTCCTCTGCGATTTTCTTCCGGATTGCCTCGAGCGCCTCGGACTCGTGCTTTTTGATCTTTTCCAGCTCTTCTGCTACGCGCTGCTGGATATGTAACTCTAAGGTCTTTGCGCGTGTGGAGTTTGTCTGTGGTAGAAGAGATTGTAAGCATGAGCTGTTCCTAGCATGCTGAGGGTGAATTTAGCATACTTCTGAAGATGCTTGAAGGGAGTCAATCAGCCTGGGAAGAGGTTAGCGAGCTTCCGCTCAAGTGCCATGCAGCTCGGTCGCCAAGTTCCATGCACAGCAAGCAGCAGACTTACTCCTGGGAGAACTGAATGGGTGTATCGCTTGCGAAAACATGCTTGGTCGACTCGTCGGGTTTCGACTGTCCTGCGCCCATCTTTGCGGCAATGTAAAAGATCGCAAAGGTGATGCTAGCTGATCATGACATACCCTCACACGAGTAAACGGCTGGGTAGAGGTCTGCAGGATAAGGAGAATACTTGCGCTGTTGCTCCTCGGACGCGAAAGCTCCAATTGCGTAGGGCGGCGGAAAAGAATTACTTGGCACCGCATTCAGTTCACGTGCTACATACTCACGATACTCCGACCTTGAAACTCTCACCTTCATATGCTCAATCATTCAGACATATCGGAGTACCACCCAGTCGCTAACTGCCCTAGCACTGCAATAGCTGTCCTCGACAGGATAATCAACCGCGAACAGAGTCGCATTGGACAGCCAACAATGGCCTCCCTGACAACGCGACATGCGAGTGTCGAAAGCAAGGGAGCGGCACACCGTCGTGTCCCCCCAGCTGTTCATCATATCACAAGCCTCGATACATCGGTGCACGCACGTAAGGATTGACTGTACTTTGTGAACCGTGCGCGGAGTTTCTGACCCCGGCATCCGGCTGCAGGCGTTCAGCGGCATGGTTAACCTCGAGGCCTGGCTGAGAAACCCATTTCTAAGACTCTCCTGCAACTGTTGCTGGAGTTTTGAACAACACCGACATCACCGAAAGCAAATGTTCCATCCAGTGCAAATACATGATGTCGGAAACAGAGTGCATCAGAGAGATTTAAGTAGACATAGCAGGGCTTCGTTGCATTAGAACCTTGTGCGTATGGCTTCTCCTCGGAACATTGCCAGCTATTTCAACCTGCCAATTTCAGAGGACACTCACATGGACCCCCTTGAGGCCGCTACTGCACATCTGAGCCTTCCATGATATCTGAAATCACAAATTCGAGGGCAAACTCTTTGGCGCCCACAAGTATCCAAACACAAATGAGCTCTTATGAGGGGGGAATGGGCACAGGCTGCAAGCAGGCACAAGTCAGCAGGAGAAGGAATGGACGAGATTTAGGCAAGAAAATGTGCAGGATGAGGCGAGTCAGGCACAACGACTTTGATTTCGTTTTCATTTTCATCCTCTTTTTCCTCACATCGTGAGCCTTGGTATGAAAGCCAGAACCGAGCACAAACAACAGCCGAGCAATATATGTAAGTGTGACTGGTTGCATTGCTCTCGACAAATGTCGCTACCCCTGAGACTGTGTTGTCCAAGTGTCGAAAAGGCAAAGTCGCCCGTGAAAATCGCACTGCAGACCATGACCAGGACCTACCTCCGAACAGTGTCAAAAGAGTCCACAAACAATAAGATTGAATATGGACATTCCCGAGATACAGTACACCGACAGTCCTGACATGGCTACACATAACCAGAGCTGCCGTTGTGTTGTTTCCACGGCGCCCCCATATTCAGTGGCTAAAGATCGTGGATGAAATACCTAGGTATGTACTCTGTAGAGGGCAACAATCACTGACTCTGGGTCCTGGGACTAGTGGCACGGCGCCGGGGCTTCTAGCCCACGTTCTTCTACCCAGGTACGTTCAAGTCCTAGCGTCGTCGACAAAATTACGGGGTTTTCGCCGGGCAGGCACAGTAGCCACAAACTGCAGCCACGTGCGGCTAGGGACGAATCGATGAAGACGGGCCCTCCTTTTATGCTTTAATGGATCAATGGCTCAGCGGGATCATGCAACAAGGAGACGATGGAAAGCCAACACCAAAAAATGGGGGCAACTGGTGATGTGATCCTAGTATTACACCTGAGGATCTCATCACCAGTTGTGGTATGAAATCACGCACGTCCAGCATATAAACAAAGCGTCAAATCAGCTATTCCTGGAAAAGCGCAGACGGGGAGGTAGGTGAATTTTCTGCCTCAGCTTCACGGAGCCAGCCACGACAGGACTACTCCATGGACACGACAATCAGCTTCTTGTGCTCTATCACGAAGATACAAGATGCATGGAAACCTTCTGAAGGGGTTTACCGAGCTGTGGCAACCAAATGCAGAGGGCGGACCACATCTACGACTCAGACAGAATTGCAAAATTGCATAGCGAAGACGAGCAGCAGTGTTGAGTTCAATCATTTGCCCTACTATAATTGATCGCTACAGTCTAACGCAGGCATAATGCATGCTTGCACACTAGCTCCAACCATCCCAACCATGCTGAACGAAGCGTGCAGCTCTGTGAGTCTGCGACTGACTGCAAAAGTGGTGGACTCTGGAAGATACGGTGGCGACGACAAGGGCCGGGCTTCGCTTACTTAGAGAACAAGCAGGGTAACGGCAAAGCATCTTCTGTCTGGTGAGTGGGCGCAGCCTCAGCTCAAATCATCACCTGAATGATTGCAAGGTCAGGAGAAGATATCATCGCATCCACAGGATTGAGGTCTGCAGCCGCATCAACCTCAGCCCCAACAGATATCTTCCTGAGGCATTCATCAATCTCATCATGACGACGCAAAATGAGTGGCTATGGAAGTCCTTCCGGGAACACATTGCACGCTGGTGGCTTCATTAACACTAACGCAATCTGTGAGAAGCTCGTAAAGTACAGTACAATAATGCCTGCCTCTGTGGTAGGACAATCCAAGGCTTTTGTGCAAGCGAATGTACAGTAGAACGTTTGAAAGTAAGCCAAGTTTTACTTCCCTTCAAAGTCTCCAAGCATACCGCATGATAACCAAGTGTGACACAGAATGTCCAAGAATCCAATGTTCGTCGTCTCCTCACAATCCCGCTTCCTTCATGCTTCTCTCAATGCCTTTCTTGCGCTGCGCATTGACGACGAGCATGTCGCGCTCTTTGAGCAGTGTCTCAAGTGTGTCGACAACTTTGTAAAAACTGCTGGCTGCGCCCTTTTCTTGGGTGAATTTCATGATGCTCAGATTTGCCTTTCGGCCATGTTCAAGAACGGAATATAGAAATGCATGAAAGTGGACTGGTTTGAGCTTGAGGTCTGTTTGATAATTAGCTTGTGCTGCGGTAAGAAACGGACGGTGCTACTCACAGTTTGATGCATCAACACGTCCACGCACAAGGTCAGTGCCACTTCGTCTTTCGGACACCACGTCTCTCAAACCAAACTTCCGCCATTCCTTGAGGATCTTGACGAGCTCTTTCTTCGCCTTGGCTTTGCTGATGACAAGGCACATTACTCGCGTCGCGGGTTTGATGTGGAAGAACTTGGCAAACCAGTTCTGGTTGACCTCGATGGGGCCAACGGCAGCCGCAGCCGAAGCTGCGTCAACGCTCGTAGCAGGAGGGTAGCTTATTCGAGCGACCGCCTTCGTCTCTGCTGGGTCATGGGTTGATTCTGTCCCCTCGGATAGGTCTCGCACGATGCGATGGTCGCCTGTAGTTGCTAAATCACCGTCTTTGAATCGCGATGACTTGGCAAACATCTTCTGAAACCATTTTCTCTTCTTCTCCATATGCAATTCAATGTCCGTTGTCTGGGGCTCACTGACCTTCGCGGTCGAAAGCGTGGAAGGATTGCCAGACTCGCTCGGTTGGACAACTTGGGATGCGTTTGAGAGCGCCTCTTGAGAAACATCCTCGGAAGACTTGTTGGGCTCTGGCGCATCCTGCGTCCCGGAACCACGTTTTCCAAGCCACGACCATTTCCGAGGGCCGTTCGCTGGGAAGTTCTTCTTCTTCGGCGAGCTTGGATTCTCATCGATAGTGTCGAGCTCCCGTCTTGCATACAGACGTGGATCATACCCATCACGCTCATATGCTTCCAATGGACCGCCTCTCAGCGAATTGATGAGAGCAACCTTGTTCTTCTTGACCCTCAATGGTTCTGCACGAGGGAAAGGGGACGTCGGATCAGGTGTGACCAGGCGTATGGTAGCATCCTGCTTGGAGCCAGGTGTCTTGAACTTGACAGGGGCCGATGCTGCTCGGGAAACTTCGTCACGATTGCGTCTGAGATCTGCCATAGTGTCTGCAGGGGTCATGCCGGAATAGTATCTAGTGTTGTGAGTTGGGTCAGATGCTGCTCGCTTATCGCAACTTCTCATTTTCTCGAACTCAGCGTCGATGCGTCTGTCAAGAGCAGCGAGCATGTCGACAAGAACAGATGGATCGGCATCTCCCCAGGTTTCAATGATCTTCTGTCGGCGCTCAGAAAGTTCCTGTAGCACTGGAGTTGCAGGAAGTGGTCTGTTGCGGATGCTTTCCGGAACTTTGTAATCATGTGCCGCCATTGAAGTCGCCGACGAGTCCATGGGAGCAGCCGGACTGGCTTCGCTAACAGTAGATACCGATGACCGATTGAATGCCTCTTCACAAATCTTGCCAAGCTCTGCGCTGACCTTTCGTGTCTCGTCTTTGAAGTAGGAACTGGCAACGCGCTGCTTTTTCATGTCGATGTCCGAGCTGGACTTACGCGGGCGGGACACTTGTGCCGGTGTCGATAGGCTAGGGTTGCTCTGACTCCCGTTCGTGGTACTTCTAGTCACTGGACGATCAGACAGGCGACTCTCGGAGAACAAAGGTCGAGCTTGTCGGTTGGCAGGGCCAGAAGAGTTCTGACGACGATGTTGAAAGCTGACCTGGCGCTTGTAGCTGACTGACTTTCTGATGCCTGGTACGCGTCTCGTGCTCGACGACAAAGAGCTCTTCGAGGTTGCAGTAGAATATGAGGCACGCTTCTTTGAAATGAGCTTCTCAAGTTCTTCGGACGTGAACGTGGGCAGTGCAGGTACTTCAGGTCGCATTCTATCCACGGCGCGATATCTGACGCTACCGGCGGAGCTCACAGAACGGCCTCCAGGAGTGGTTGGGCGATGGCGGATAACGACTGTGGGAGGTTCCGGGGCATCTCGGTCAATAGGAGTCCTGGAAGCGCGATATGGATCATAACTGCTTTGCGTAGCTTTGCTTGCCGCCGTGGCAGAGTTCTTATAATACCCGTCCCTCTTGTTGTTGTCATCACTAACAATGGAGAACTGAGAAGCTCGGCGGTTGTGGCCACGCTTGGGCTTGGCTGGCGGTTTGCTGACGTGGTGATAGTCACTTGCAGAGTGATGAAGCGGATCACCTGGATAGTTCTCAAGCTGATCGTCTCGGAATCTGATCAACGCCCAGTAAAAGAGCTTCTCGTGATTAGGTTCCTCACTCATCAATCGTCGAACCAGCTCATCCGGCTTCTCCCCGTGCCACAGGGTCGAAAGATTCCTCAGGATGTCGCCATCGATCTCTGAACGCTTCGTGACGCGCCTAGCACGGGCTTCAGTGCTTAAAGGGGGAGCGGCACCAATGAGTGGTGCTGGTGCGGCTAGGCTGGCATGGTACTTCTCGTACTTCGTGAGGAGCGGATGTTCCCAGATCTTCTCCATGGTGATTCTTCTTTCCGGTCGCTTCTGGAGAATACGCTGGATCAGATCTTGGGCTTCCGGACTCAGAGTCTGTGGTAGGTGGTAAGCTCCTTGCTTGACCAGTCGGAGAGTATTGGGCAATGTGCCACCATCGAAGGGCAAGAAACCATTGAGCATTGCAAATAAGATGATTCCTGTGCTCCAGATGTCGGACAAGTCTCCACGGTACTGGTTGCCCTGGATGATCTCAGGAGCGGCGTAGTGTGGACTGCCACATGAGGTGTTCAGCCATGTGCCATCGGGCTGGAGAGCTGCCATCCCGAAGTCGGCTAGCTTGATGTTGCGCTTGTCGTCCAGGAGAATGTTTTCCGGCTTAAGATCTCGATGGCAGATGTTGAAACGGTGACAGTATGACAACCCAGCGATAATCTGGCGGAACAGTCTGACGGCTTCTTCCTCCGGAAGAGCCCCATTGCTTGAGACATAGTCGAACAACTCGCCGCCGGGAACATACTCGAGGACGAGGTACAGCTCCCCCCGATTCTCCCAGATGTCGTAGAGATTGATGATGTTCGGATGTTCGATGAGCTTCATAATAACAACTTCACGTTCAATACCAAAAGGCATTGTGCGAGGACCAGTTGCAATCATTGAGGCTGTATCTTCGTGGTCCATCCGGGCCATACTTGCACTTTGAACCAGCGCAGCGGACTTCTTAGAGACAATCTTGACTGCAGCGATCTGGTTGGTGTCCCGATGTTTTGCCAGACGTACCCGGCCCGTGGCTCCCTTGCCCAGAGTTTTACCCAGCTGCCATGGTCCAACATGAGTCTTTCTCTTAGCTTTGGTGCCGGAGCCTGTGGATGTGGTGGACACTTGAGAGTCTCTCTTGCTTTCAGCAGCGAGCTCGTCAGCAACAGTGGACAGTCGCTTATTGTCAATCGGTTTGCCGGCAGCTCTTTCACGAACTGAGAGATTGCCTTCCGGTCTGAGTGACTCGTGGTGTGGTAGACGCGGCGATGAGCTTGTAGGGTTCTGAGCGCGTCGTCGTGGCGAGGTAGGCGCGGCTGGAGCTCTGGGTTGGATTTCACCCAAGACGTTCCTCTTGGAGTGCATATTAACCGAGCCGACCTGCCGGTCAGGTTTCTTTTGAGTGGACGGCATATAGCGATCACTGTCTCGGAGGGAATTGTGGACTCGCCATCAACTGCTTGCGCGCAGGGTCAGTTAGAGGGCAGCATTGTGAATGATGATACCTACATATCCAAAAATGGTTGAGGACGTCACGAACTGAGGATCTAAAAAATAACAGCTGTGCCGGCGACGCGAGTAACCGCGGAAAAGTTGGGAGACGGCGTGGTCAGCGAAGCGGTATTTGGCAGAGTTGTTTGTTGATTGTCAGGTGCTGAAGAACATGTCGCGGCGTGGTAACAGTGAAGGTCTGGCAACAACTTGACGACGACACCACAGCGCAGTGCGGACTCGTCAGCTGCTCTTCACTTGTGTTGAATTCGGCGACACACAACTTCTCCGCCTTCCGATTACCAGCATGCGCGATATGTTTGTTTTGACCAGCACCTTGTGATTGATATTACCAGTGTTGGCATATGATTGGATCAAGCCGAGGAATGCAGACGCATTGAGCGCAATGGGGCATTGGGATGTTCTAGGTAAGTCCAAAAAGAGACCCAAGAGCCAAAAGGAAGAGAGCAAGCATCCAAAAAGAACGACTTAAACAGTCCCAACAGGATCCTGACCACGTTGTTGTCGCCGTCTGTGGAGGACTGTGGCACAAGGTCAAAGACTTGGGCAAGAGAAAGGTCGGCTGTTGCAACGCAGTCGAAGACGCATTCCATCCATCGCAGTTGCCGATGTTGTGTCCATTGCTGAGGATAACATCGACATTGCTATTGACATTCTTTTCATGCATCCGTATCAAGAGCGACCGAAGAGACAAGAGGAGGTACCAGACATTGTGGATGGAAGTCACAGCTCAGTGATGCTCTGTCTCTGCCCACCTGGATCATTTCTGACTTCTCCCACTTGAACGTTTTCAGCGGTTGTGCCAAACCACCAGGTACGCAAGGATCATGGGAATCCATTTCGCAGTGCTTCGGAAATCCTGAAGGAGATAACTCAAGAGATGACAGTCGATGTCGATTGAAGTGCCACTGTGCAAGCGTTTCAAAGCCCCGTGGAGCAGCAATCTAGGTTGTAATCTGCATCTTTGATTTGTGCTTCGGGTCGGAGCTGTCTGCTCGGCGGACAAGAGCTCACCCCGGCCCAGGGAACCGGCCTCGCCGGCCCACGCGCCCCAGGCAAGAGGCACCAGTGGTGGCACGCCGCTAACGTCATCTCTGTTTCAGTTCGGGTTGCGCGGCCTTCGCTGCAAGCTGTTGCGAGTTTAAGCTGACCTTGGGCTAGCCTAGTCAGGCCCCAAACGGGGAGCAAGCTGGCCCCTCAGCCAGTCATGGCATCGATGAGCTTCCCCCACGGGCTGCATCATGCGTGTCCGTGTCCCTCTCACACCATCAGCAGTCTGACGCATACCATTCGCTTCCTGCATGTCATAGACTTGGGGAATCCGATCGGAGTGAGATACGGATGGACATCTTTTTCGCTTCTGCCTGTTGACCATTCCGACCTCAAATACTTTCCTCACTTCTCATATCCTCTCCATCACTCTAGCGGTCGTTATCACGTCCTCTCCTCTGACCAAGCCATCATGAGGGTCCTCTCAGTCCTATCGGCAGCAGCTGTTGCCACTGCCTGGGTAATCCCAGATCAAGCCACTCTCGAGTCGTTGGCTGTCCAGGACCGTGAGACCGAGCAACCTGCCGAGCACCCATTCTGGGACAGGGTACACAAGGCCGAGACCTTCTGGGAAGATCTTGAAGAGGAATTTACACGAGCTGCAGACTGTGCCAGACACCGATTCGCAGAGGTTGCTGATTCGGTCTACGATTCAGCAGTCAGATATGGCGAGGATTTCAAGGATGCCTTTGCGGGCGAGGACTGGCTAGACACAGCAGACTACGATACCGACCTGTTCGAAGATCCTCCTCATCACGGGCCTCCCCACCACGGACCTCCTCACCATGGCCCCCCGGGAAAGGGCCCTCATCACCCACACGATCCCCACCACTCTCACAACCAGACCATCTGGGAACTGATCTCTAAGAGCGAATATACCACGAAGCTTGCTGCTGCCATTGGTGACTTCCCCGACCTTGTAAAGACGCTCAATGGCACCAAAGCGAACTACACTCTCTTTGCTCCCACAGACCGGGCATTCGAGAAGATCCCGAAGCACGCTCCGAAGCCACCCAAGGAGTTGTTGGAGAAAATCCTCACATACCACGTCTCACCCGAGTTCTACCCTGCTCGCCGTGTCCTTCTCAGTAGGACCATTCCAACTGCTCTCGAGGCCACGTTCATCGGCAAAGTCCCGCAACGTCTCTCGACTCAAATCGGATTGAGGGGACTGACGGTCAACTTCTATTCTCGCATTGTGGCAATCAACATCTTTGCCACGAACGGTGTTATTCATGGCATTGACAGTATTCTTCTCCCTCCACCAAAAGTGGTTGACATCCTATCTGCATTCCCTGGCGAGTTCAGCACGCTTGATCTTGCGTTGGAGAAGACCGGCTTGTACCCTGCATTCAATGATACCTCAAGCCACAGTGGAGGCACCCTGTTCGCCCCATCCAACTTCGCCTTCAAGCGTCTCGGCCCTCGTGTCAACGCCTTCCTTTTCAGCCAATACGGCCTCAAGTACCTCAAAGCCCTGATCTTGTATCATGCCGGCGATAACATTACACTGTACTCGGACGCCATTTACAAAACTGACTCTGCCGCTGATGCCGGCTCGCCCCACAAGGTGCCTAAAGGATTAATACATGTCGACCTGCCAACCGGCCTTGAAGGCAAGAGTTTGAGCATCGACATTGCCCGCTACGGCCGACTAGTGACTATCAAGATCAACGGCTTCACTCGCGTTGCTGTTACGGATGGCATTGCTGCTGATGGCGTTTTGCACGTCGTGCCCAATGTTTTGATTCCACCCAAGACACCCGGAGGTCTGGGCGTTGCTGAAGATGACATGGATCTTGAGGAGTTCAAGGCCAGATTGGCACCGTTTGTGGAGGCTGACGAATATGACATGATCGAGGACAACTTCGAGCTATGATGGCCATTGCCCTACGGCACAGAAGAAGTTGCTGATAAAACGCAAACAGCATACACACCTCACCAACGGACGATGTGGGACGGGGATTGTTTCAAGGCGGTGACGCTCACGTGTGTGTATTAAGTAGCATAAAATCAATAACGTTTTGGGTGACTACATGTACGTACCGCCCGGTGTTCTGCTTTATCATCATATTGCATTGTTCCCACGAGTCAGCTGCACTGGTCGTGCAAGCCAATACCACCTTGGTCTACTTTACCTGGTCCGAGAACAAAACTGGAGCAGCAGCTCACACAATACAGGGATTGGAAATTGCGCACTCAATGAGAACAGGCTTAGGCACAATCATTCAGCCTCCTCCCCGACTAGGACATCATGCATCCATCATTGAGCCAGCTAGTCCTTAGGTATTCCAGTCTTTCTTGCCCTCTATATACCCCGTCTGCCTGCCTGCCCACCCACCATGTCACCAGGCCGAAACTCGTCCGACTCGAGAACAATACGTGGAAGCTCGATTCTGATCGTGACGCTCCCCTTACATAGTCGGCATCACGCCCACTTCCATGTACACGCACGCGCATGCACCCGCACACACACACAGGCAAATCACGCCTTCCACCGCCCCTCGATCGCCTTTCTCCTAACCAACGGCCTCAGCGCCATGACTCCAGCCCCCAACGCCAACACAGTAAGCACCAACTGACCCTTGTTGAATCCCTTGCCCAGCACGTCGAACGCCATCGACGGCGTCACCGTCGTGCCGAAGATATCGTGCCCGTACGCAAACACCACGCTCGTCGACTCGAGGAGACTGGGGCTCGAGAGCACGGACTCCACGCCAACCACCTCGCGCGCGTGCGTCAGGTACCACTGCGGATTCAGGTCCAGTACCGGAGTGTACCGGAGGAGACCCTCCTCTCGCTCTGTGGTGTTTGCGTCGCGGTCGATGGGGCGACGAGGGTCGAGAAGCTCTCGCGGGATCCCGACGATGGCGTTGGAGTGGGGGAGCGTGGCGAGGAGTTGGCGCGAGGTTATTCCCTGTGTGGTTTGGGTGACGGCGAGATGGGAGATCGGTTCGGCGAGGGTGAAGGCTTGAGAAATCACGTGCGGACGCGCTGCTGCGGCGTCGGGTGCGAAGGCGGAGTAATTGGTGGGGAGGCTGGAGAGGAGGCCGCGGTCGTTGGGAGCAGAGGATTCGTAGAGTTCTGAGATCACGAGTTGGTGGGAGATGCCGGATGTCGAGGGATCGAATGACGTGAAGGTGTAGGTGAGCCAGTTTTCAGAGAGAACGGCAGGGATGATGCGATCAGATAGAACGCCGTTGTGGGTGGCGGTATGCAGGACTGCACCGGTGATCGCGTCGACGAGGTAGATTGTCAATGAGCCGGAGTCGGAGGTTGCCAGTAGGAGCGCGATATTGGGGTTGAGGTATTTGTAGAGCACGGATCTGTCTCCCAGGACCCGGCCAATGGAGGCGACAGGGTCATGTGAGGCGCGGGAAATGGCACTGATGATCTTGAAGCCCGGCTGTGGCTGGAGGATCCATGTCTTTTCGACATCTTGACCGATAGTCCAGCCGACTGCTTTTCCCTCTGGGCTCAAGGTGACGACGATGTTTCCTTCTACAGCAGTATTAGGCGCGAAATCTGTTGCGGGATGAGGCACGCCATCTGCGCCGACCTTGATGACGGCTGGTGAAGGGCTGCCAGGGATGTGAATGAGCTGGGCCACCGGAATAGAGCCTGACTGATGTTCGATGAGAGCTCCGGTAGTCGAGTTGAGGACAATCAAAGAGCCTTCGGACAAGTATATGGAAACTCTCCCACTGTCCACTCCGATGGATCTCATCTCATTGTCTCCAGAGATCTCGGCGGAAAGATCTGCTTGCCACCGAAGAAGGCCTGGCGGCGTCGCATCAAGGGCAATGACTTCCTTTCGGCTGGTCCCAAGCACGATTGATTTGCTTCCGACAAGGCTTCGGCGAGCCGTAGCATCAACTTCGGGAGATGATTGCAGAATGGTATCACGGATGCTTCGCAAATAGTTGGGCAGACTGGCAAGATCGTGCAGGTGCCGTTTGAGGCGATGAATGTAGGCGGTCAATGGGTTGACAGATGACTCGAGGTCAAGTTCCTCAGCCAACGCATCTGGAGCTCCATTCTCATCCCAGGCAGCAATTTTAGCGTAGGCCAACATCTCAGGCCTGCTCCATTGTAGCTCTCCATTACGGACTAATGACCAATCGCCACTAGAAGAGAACTCAGCAACTCGGACAGCGTAACTCGATTTGCCCCTGCTGACGACCTCAACGGTGGCATGTGGCTTGAGGTTGCCAGGGGAAGTTTTGAAGTTGGGTTTCTTCCATCGTGCTAGTTGGCCGTGGGACGCGGACGAGTAGAGCGAGACGTCCATTTCGGTAGAGCGAGTGAAGAATACCGTCTCTTCAATGTTGCCTGCGGCAAAGAAACTTTCCTCTGCTGTCGCGGGTAGTGAGTAGGCTTTCGTGACATCGGCTGTTTTGGTGTTGATGTGATAAACTTCCGCCCACTGCCGAGTTTTACCTTTGATGTGAAGCAAGAAGTGAGGCGCCGCGGCTGCGTGGCATGGGTGAATAACAGTAATATCCTCGATGTCGTCACCCTTATCATCCAATACCAATGTCGAAACCTTCGGGCTGTCGAGAAGACTGAATTTGAATGACTTGAACGACTTGTCGGTGGAGATCAAGAATGGGGAATTCGAGCCTATGGCTGCAACATACTGCCCATTTGTCCCCAACGGCTCCGAGTCGATGGGAGCACTCGTCTGGCTGACTTCTTTCCCCTTGGCTCTGTCAAGGGTGATAATGGTCGCCTTATTGCTGGTCAATAAGCCGTGGGATGTTGTGATGTAGTAAATGTGCTCCGCGGATACTGCAACGGAAGCGGGAGTTCCATGCGGTGTGCTTGTGTCGACATGATGCCATCTTGCTGCACTTCCATCGCCTGCCAGCCGAATGATAGTGATATGTGCGGTGGGATCGACCGGCAAGGCCAAAACCACATAGTCCTGCGTAATTCTGCCCGTGACAGGCTCTGCGCCGCTCACAGCCTGCAACCCTCCTATCTTTGTACCTTCAGGAATGGTGTAGTCCCAGACAAGTCTTCCATCCAGCCCATCCCAACACGCGACTGTTCTCTCATATCCGCTCACCAGTTGGCCATCTCTCTCGGCCGTAACGAGGTATGAAGTCGAGGCATTATTCACCAGCTGCCCAGCCAGCGACTGACGCCATAGTACTGATCCATCTTTTGGATTTATAGCGCCTAGAACGGCCTTGTCTGAAACGGTGTAGAGAAGAGAGGCGTTCGTGTTCGAGTGCGGTTTGTGGAAAAAGGTCGTGGATGACTGCGGGCTGCCCAGAAGAGCGTGGTGGAAATCTATGTGGAACGCATCGTCGGCAAAGATTGCTGTGACCGGTAGCAGCAGCGACGTCAAGATGGAAACGACTCCATACCACCTCATCCTGCCCGCCAGACTTGTTGCAGGAAAGGGTGTTGCCTCTCACATTAAATGGTTCGAGAAATCATAATGCACATGCTGCGCTCAATCACGTGGGATCGCGCATTACATAAGCCTCGCGTAACCTGCCATTCGAATGCCAGTCGCAGTCTTACGGCTGTGGTACTTTCTCTCCAGTGGGATTCTGCCCGATCTGAAATTATTGTCATGCAAGAACCCAGTTACTGACTCAAAACCTCCTCCAGAATGTGTCGATAAGTCTCGAGACCGGGCACCTCCAGCCCAACCACTTTGGCTCCATCGTCCCACCTTCTCAGGTTCGCCTTTTCCGCTGGCCACCTACCTTCCTGCCATAGCCGGACTTCTTCTGAGCTCATCGGCCCTCCTTGAAACCGCAAGCTCTCCTTGCTCGCATCACTCAGCGTGTCGTAATAGCCCAACTCCGTCGCACAGAGATACCTCTTTGCCGGCACATGAGCTTCCACCAGCTCGGCCACCTTTGCCGGAAATCCCAACGCGAGCAGATACTGGGCACCCAGGCTTTCATGTGCCACCCGGCCCACACTATCAGACCACTTCGAGTCAAGACGCATACCGACGTCCTGGTGCATGTTCTGTACTTTTGCTCCCAGTAGCTTTTCGGCGTTGGCTTCTGGGATGATTTGCCCGATGTCATGAAGTAAAGCGGCAGCTATTGTCTGGGGATCTGCTGAGCTTTGCACAGCAAGGTAAGCACATTGGAGTGAGTGTTCAATCTGCGATATCGGTTCCCCTATGTAATCACTCTGCCCGTGCGTATTGAGAATGGCGAAGATCTGAGAAGTGGCCTGCGAAGCCGCTAATTTCGAGGGCGATACCTCCTCATCGAACTGTGAGAAGTGGTAGTGTCAGTCGATCGAGTTCATAGAAGCCACGAAGGCTCGAAGGTGAGATAAGGTCTCCCCCTACCACAAGCTGCTTTCCAGCATCGACGCTCAGCATGGGACTGCCGTACCCATATCTCAGCGCGCCTTCCTGGTAAGTTTCGCCTTGCTTTCTGAGTTGCACTGGTGGCCATATCACCTTTCTGTGCGCGTAATACTCGTCATGCAGATCACCCTCTCTAGCGCAATTGTAAGTGGCATAAAGCGCTTTCCGATCCAGACCACTGTAGTTTGCACCGCTTCGATGGGCAAGGTACGATCCAAAGACGAGAGCTTCGCCTACAGTGTCCGAGTCAGCAGCTATTCAGGATCCCTCGCAGCTTTCAAATGAATCAATCTTCTCACCAGCTGCAAGCTCAACGGGCGTCCAGGTCTGCTGCTTCGCCCATTCCGGCTCAATGCAGTTATCTTGTCCGATCGGAACCTCCATCTCGTGGCTTCCTTTCACGACTTCCAACCCACCATTCGTCATATTCGATGGGTCGACCGCCAGCAGAATAGCAAGGTGTTTGATCTTCTTGATGTGGGTGTACGCCGTGGAGTCGACATGGGGAGCAAAACCGCCTGCATCCAAGTGAGAATGAGTCCCGTGACACAGGCAAGCAAGCATGATCCGGCGTGCGTACCGCTTCCTGCAAGCTTGTAGTTGATCTTCTCCTTGAAAAGCAACATCTCCTCGCCAGACAGCAGCTCGAGCAGCCGGAGCAGCTTCTGTCCACGGAGGAGGTTATTGAGTCCTTCGTGGGAGTTTGCATAATTCTCCGTCCGGCAGAGCACTGTCTCGCCCTGGGCATTGATCTCCTGCGAGAACACTCAGCTCGGATGTTATCACCACGAGCCGTGGAAGGGATACCTCATACGGCATCCAAGGGCTGTGCTCATCTGTCGGCCAGTCATGGACTTCTTGCGCCCATTTCTGGAGGTCCTTCTCTTCATCCGCCGAGAGAACATCGCGAAGTATCAAGTAGCCATTCTCATGAAAGAGACGAATCTGTTCTTCGGAAAGCATTCTGGCTGTATTGCAGCACACTGACCTGCACGAACACGTATGTTTGCATTCGGATGTTCAGGCCGTTCTGGTGTCCATCAAAAGTTATAGCGGCCTATCTCTGCAGTCTCGACTCTTCCTTGGCCACTGCCCAATCGAGTGGGCTTTCAGTACCCGTCGTCTTAATCGATCAGATATAGCAGGTGGAAAGACTCGATCTCGCTCGTCAGACACCATTGCAAGGTCAAAGCTGAAGGACTACCACCGTCGCAGGAGATTGCGCCAGTCAGACAATAAAACCTCGCACTTCGAACCGACTGATCGCGGCAGATGCGCTTCTAGTGAATTCGGACGCGGATCTCCCGCACGAGGATCGCCCCTGGGCCGTGAAATTAATCCGAATCATCTCATCCCACCTTGGCACGTGGATCAAGCTCGTGCAAGCAACCAACCTTACCCTTAAAAGTGGCGCTCGAGCAAAAGGCTGAACGCCTCTCGGGTGCGCAAATCTATCCAATTTCGATGCGCGAATCGAGAGAACATAGGGCACGTTCCTGCACAACTGGTAGACGATGATCATCGAAAGGGCGTCGACTTCGTTTTTCATGCCTACCTTGAGCGTCATGGTTCGGTTTTGGTAACGGCATCACGGCGAGCCGCCTCTCGAGATCGAACATCCTTCTTGTGGCGGTTGAAGCTTCGAAGCCATGGGAATACTTATCTTGAAGGGTCTCTCAACAGTAGATGGATATATGATGGCCTTCTCCGGCCGGTGGTGCCAGCAACCACGGACTTCATTTTCTTGCTCAACGGCTTTGCTTTCTTCAAGATGGCAAGCTCAAAGCATCATCCTGCTTATGAAATGCCGGGCAATGACTCCGACCGGCGTCATTCCAGTGCTCAAGATGTGGAAAAGACCGACAGGAGACTCAGCCAGGTGGACGTCGCCCGCATTACCAAAGTCTCCTCCATCATCACAGTCTTTGTTTCCGGTCTGGCACTCTTCTCGGACGGGTACAATGCGCAGATCATTGGGTGAAGCCGTACGAGCTCCCTCGTCTCTGACTCGTGACTGACGGTCTCCACGCAGATACATGGAGCCGCTATTCACAGACTTGTACCAGGAAGGCATGTCCAGCATCATCAAGACCAGGCTGTCCAATGCCTACCTCATCGGTGAGATCTTTGGGATGCTGTTCTTCGGTTTCATCATCGACAAGATCGGCCGTCGGACGGGAATCGTGTTTGCGACGCTTTTCCTGGTCCTGGGTATTGTGTTAGCTACTGCCGCGCATGGCACGTCCCAGGTCGGCATGTTTTGGATGATGATCGTTGCACGTGGTATCGCTGGGTTCGGGGCTGGAGGTGAGATATGGCCATTCCTTTCCGAATCCCAGATGCGGCTCGAACAACTCTGACGGCCGTTCTCCCTAGGCGAATATCCCACCTGCGGAACAGGTAGCGCCGAGGCGTCCGACGAAAGTGAATACGTTCGCCGCAAGCGAGGCTTCCTCGTCGCCGTGGCCACAGATTTCGCCATTGACTTCGGATTCGTCATGGCCGGCGTGATTGCGCTTATTGTGATCGAGTGCTACCACGAGAACGTCTCCAGCGGTACCTGGCGCGTCTGCTTCGGGTTGGGCTTCGTCCTGCCCTTGGTTCTCTTCTTCTTCCGTATACGCATGGTTGAGTCAACCCAGTACCGCAAACATGCCATCAAACACAATGTACCGTACTGGTTGATCATCAAGCGCTACTGGAAGCCCATGGTGGGGACCTCCCTCGCCTGGTTCTTCTATGATTTGTAAGTCAACGCTCTCTTCTCTCGACTCGATGTGATTCGATTGTCGGACGCTTCACTAATGGCACCCGCACAACGCAGCGTCACTTACCCGTTCGGCATCTTCTCCTCCACCATCATCGGCCAGCTCAATCCCAACAACACCCTCGTCCAAAACATCGGTTACGGCACCGTAGTCAACTGCTTCTACCTCCCCGGCTGCCTGGTCGGCGGCCTGCTCATGGACCGCATTGGGCGCAAACAAACCATGTGTCTTGGTTTTGGCCTCTGGGCAATATTGGGATTCATCCTCGGCGGCGCCCTCAACCCCATCCAGTCCGTCTTCCCGCTCTTCGTCGTCATGTACGGCATCTTCAACTCACTGGGCGAAATGGGCCCCGGCGTCGCCACGTTTCTGTGTGCCGCCGAATCTTTCCCCACACCACTCCGTGGTCATTTTATGGGCTTTGCCGCCGCGGTGGGGAAAGCCGGTGCGGCGATCGGGACACAAGTATTCACGCCCATTCAAAATTCATTTAGCGACACGGAGAAGGGGACGCAAGCGGTTTTCCTGATCGGCGCGGGCTTTGCTGCCATGGGCGGTATTATCGCCTGGGTGTTCATCCCTGACCGAGACCGAGACCTGGAAAGCGAGGACGCCAAATTCAGGAGTTACCTCGCGGAGAACGGGTATGACGGCACTTTTGGGGAGAGTCTGATGCACGAGGTCAGAACCACGGCGTTCAAGCCCGAGGTTCTCAAGACGTCGTGATCATGTGCCGTACTGTACGACGGGTTTCTAGGACTTTGAAGCAGATGGACCCAGCTGGCTTCGTCGACAGAGCCAAGCAACGGTGGGAGCCTAAGAAGAAACGGATAAACTTCCCGGTCCCATCCATGGACAGAGCTATATGAGCAATGTCGGTCGTATCATCGAATGGGGTCTGTACGAGAATCGGAGAGTTACCCTGGTATGTGTGTTCCTGCATAAGCCTATGGTGCCAGGGCAGCCAGCAGGATGATTGTCCATGTGGCTGTAAAGACCAAAGTCACCTGAAGTGAGGTGCCGAGGTGCATATTGACGATACCACTTTTGCTGCATCAGCGAAATGATCGCTCGTAGAGGAAGGTCAATGGTTGGCGTTAAGTAACCGAAGAAGCATTGAAGACCGGGTGGCATCCAGGAACTGGAAGCAGATAACTACCTAGCTATACACAGTATCCCTCTGTCAAACTCAACTAAGAAAGTTCGTCGATCGCCGTTATGCTCGCCAACGGCAACAGAGACACTATTGCCCAGTGCGTCTGCGAGATCCATCGATTGGCGTCATGTTCTACAAGTCGACGCACCCGGCGCGCTGCGCGAGACAAAAGGACCCGCGTACGCGGAGTTCGACGTCCCTGTCAGTGTCTCTCGTGCGGGGAGTCAAGTCACTTCCCAAAGAATGTTCTCGAAACATCGATGGATCCCGTTTGGCTGGACCACGTCATGGGCTCAGCTTGCCGTGACACTCTCCTCCCACTGCTTCAGGCCCCGTTCACTGTGGTCACTGAACCAAATGTGATCCTGCCTTCCATTGAGATTTTACTCGAGCGTTCTAGTGCTTCTACCCCGTACCGTCACGAGCCAAAATCCCGCAGACCGGATCTTCTTTCCCACACAGCCTAGTCACCCTCGCCTCACTCTATTTCTTCTTGTCGACCAGTCTTACTACTTCTTCCCTCAAACAAAAGTACCTCGAACCTCACACATAACACGACATTCGCGACCAATCACAACCACACCAAACAATGGTAGCAGAAACCAAACTCTACGACGCCCTCTCCGTCTCCCCGTCGGCGTCGCAAGACGATATCAAGAAAGCCTACCGGAAAGCAGCCCTGAAATGGCATCCGGACAAAAACAAAGACAGTCCAAACGCTGCCGAGAAGTTTAAAGAAGTCTCACAAGCATACGAGATTCTGTCAGATCCCGAGAAGAGAAAGGTGTACGATCAATATGGCCTGGAGTTCCTGCTAAGAGGGGGTCAGGCTCCACCACCAGGTGCCGAAATGCCTGATGGCATGCCTGGTGGTGGCTTTGGTGGTATGCCAGGCGGTTTCAGCTTTGGAGGAATGCCTGGTGGTGGTACTCGGACGTTCCACTACTCTACAGGCGGCGGCGGGGGAGGAGGTTTCAACTTCTCGGATCCCAATGATATTTTTGCTCAGTTCGCCCGCAGTTCTGGTGGTGCAGGGGGTGACGACGATCCTATTTTCAATCTATTTGGTGGTGGCTTTGGGTCAGGTGGGAGAAGCGGTGGAAGCCGACGGACTACAGGCAATTTCTCGGCCAAGCCGCAAAGGCCACAGACCCCAGAAGTCACCGTCATCGAACGACCACTACCGGTCACGCTGGAAGAATTGTCCACCGGCGCACACAAGAAGCTCAAGATCAAGAGGAAGACATTCAACGCCCAAGGCCAGCGCATCAGTGAGGATAAACTCCTAGAAATGGACATCAAACCGGGCCTGAAGGCTGGTTCAAAGATAAAGTTTGCCGGAGTGGGAGATCAAGAAGAGGGCGGGACTCAGGACATGCACTTCATCGTCACAGAGAAGCCGCACCCAACTCTTACCCGCGATGGCGACAACCTGGTAACGACGATCGAGTTGGACCTGAAAGAGGCCCTAACCGGTTGGAAGCGGACTGTAACAACCATTGATGGCAAGCAACTGAACGTGTCAGGCGCCGGACCGACTCAACCGGGCCATGAAGAACGTTTCCCAAATCTAGGCATGCCGATTAGCAAGAAGCCTGGCGAACGAGGCGACTTTATTGTCAGAGTCAAAGTCAACTTCCCTCGGTCACTTACTGCTGCGCAGAAGGCAAAAATCAAGGAGGCATTGCCATAAAAGACACATTCTAGGAGCGTATGATGTGGCGGGGCTGCATATACCTCCGCCGACGCAGAGTGACCGGAGACCGAACAGCTTGGGCAGAAATACCCAGGGTCAGAATTTTCCGAGAATCCGCTAATCGACACCTTTGAGACCGAGATGAGGGGAGGAAGGACGGAAGGAGATATGCTGCTTCACGGTCCCCCCGAGGACAATGTCCCAGACTAAGAGATACAATCACCTGCAATACCAGAGATGATGATGAGAGACGCACGAGAAGAGAACATGATACCCAATGACGAAACAGGCAGTTTCAGCGAGGTGGCCGAGACATAAGCACTCCCTTGAAGGGTGCTAACGGAAAACAGATCATCCTCTCGAATTGCATAGCATTAGGCAGCGATGGCGTTCATCAGAGGAGTAAGGGATGTTCCGAATCTTGTGGACTAATGCGAGGAAACGAGGACGATTGCATCACGGATGGCGTTTACTACAGACCGTAGCGGAGTGGCCAATGTCGGACGACTACATGATATTCATATGAACGCGAGTTTTCGAGTGCTCGACGAACAAATCAATATTACAGAATTCCATGTTCTGTCAAGTCGCTGTGTTTCTTACAATTCCGTTGATTTGCGTGTTTTCTGACTCACTTCACACGTCTTTGCTGTGTGAGTACAGTATAGAGTATACATACTATACTCCGTTAATCGTAGGCTCACTTCGATCGTCGCATAGCCCCTTCACTTAGGACCAACTACGGGCCCACCACAATGAACGCACCATCAACGGCACTCACAACTTTTCGACAGGCGCTCCTACCTCCACCTCGGCGATCTGATCGACCCCCTGATAATCCGGCACATCAAGCCCATACTTGTTCGCGACATCCTTGCTCAAAAACCGGCCGCCAATGAAATGTCTCTTGCCCTTGTAGAATTGGACGCTCGGCTTCGCCGCCGTCAGCGAGATGAGGTACTCGGGCATGAAATTGTGGCCGACAAACTCCTCGCTCGGCGGGCCGGACTCGACGTCCCACGACGACGGCGTGTCCACCGCCAGCACGGGCACCTTGGACGAGATGATCGACGAGAGAACCTTGTCGAACGGCTCCCGCACGGGCGGTTTGAAGCTGAAGCCGAAGAGCGCGTCGACAATCAAATCCGCGTGGGCGAGCTCGGCGTCAAAGTCTTCCGGCGTGGAGAGGAACGGGATGTGCAGGTGGTGCAGCTGCTTCTGGAGGCCCGTGAAGATGGCCGCGTTGGTCGGTTTGGGGTAGTAGATCTTGGGCGTGTAGCCGTAGTGGTGCAGGTGGCGGGCGCAGACGAGGCCGTCGCCTCCTAGACTCACGCTTCAGAGGAAGGATGAGATAGGGATAAAGAGAAAGAAGTGCGCACCGTTATTCCCCGGCCCACATGCTATGAGGATGTTTTTGCCGTCCTGGGGGGTTTGGACCTTGTACACTGAGCTCGTGAGAATGGCGTGTCAGCTTGGCCTGTGTGCGTAGCTGCGGTGGTGCGTGAAACTGCGCGCTGTGATGGCTCACCGGCTTGAGAGACGCTCAGTCCAGCCAACTCCATGAGTTGGTCGATGGTGAAGCCGCCGTCCTCACTCATGAGCTCCTTATCGAGCTCTGCCGCTTTTTGCGGTCCGAGTGTCTGATGCGTGAGAACATGAGCGTCGATTGTCTCCAGGAATTCCACATGGCAGCGTTTTCTTGTACTGCAGGGCTTATCGTTGAGCGGACTCACCTTCAGCGTCGTCATGTTTCTGTATCTTCTGCTCGTCAGGATCGGAACTGGTTTGAGAGGAAGTGCCTGGCGCGGGATGAAGCTGCGAAGCGTTTGGAGCATAACCCGGCTTGTATATTTCGGTTGACTGAAAATCAAATCACTTGGTGTAGACGTGGCTTTGACAAGTGTAACGTGTTTTTGGTATCAAGATTCACTTGCACTGCTCTGTCCGCTCAAGCGAAGCATATCGTCATAGTTGGGACGAGCATTCGGGGGGTCGTTATCAATCCGCCAATCAGACGCCCAGCTGGCTCGCTCCGCACAAGGCTGAACGAAGTTCGAGGACGAGTTGCAAGGCTGAATTCTCTTTACTGTGTACGGAGTACCTTAAGTAGCTTTCCTCTTCGGCATCAATCGAGCATCCATCCTCCACGAGATCATAACGTCGCGCACTTCTCCCTATTCGACCTCTCGGACCACACCTCGACGCTCTCCCCTCTCCCCATCCCTCATCGCCGTCAAAGATGGTCCTCCGCATCCGCCTCGCCCGCTTCGGCACGAAAAGAAAACCAATCTACAACATCATCCTCGCGCAGGCAAAATCGGGCCGCGACAAGAAACCCATGGAAGTCCTAGGGACGTATAACCCGATCCCCCAGACTCCGCTCGCCACGCCGGACACGCCCGAGCTGCTAGAAGATGGCACGAAATTTGTGCCCAAGAAACAAAAGGACGTGCAGTTGGATTTGATGCGCACGCGGTATTGGCTTGGTGTCGGCGCGCAGCCGACAGAGCCGGTGGAGAAGCTGTTACGCCTGGTAAGTTGAATGTTTGTCGTCAAAATCACGTTCACGACGAAGGGCAACGATGTCGCGCATGGGACACAGAAGAGCAGAAAAGAAGAGCGAGCAATAACCCTCAGGAAGGGCTGCGCACGCGTTCTGCTGTATGTCTGTGTGTCGAGCATGCATACTTATATACATCATCGCACTCGTCCGACATGATGGTGTCATTATCCTTACTGTTACACCTACTAACCACGGGCGCTCGTTCGCAGATCGGCCTGATCGAAGCGAAACCCTCGACCGTCAAGCGATTTCCCACAACACCATATAAACCACAAGTACAGGAACAGGCACAACCGGAGCCAGCAGGACAGACGTAGGGAGTGTAAATTGGGAATCGAAAGGGCGTATACACCTATTTACATCGTCCAATGTCGGGCATTCCGCGGGCATAGCGAGCGGCGTTTGAGATTGAATTTGATGTCGGGATGGACATATACCAATGACAAGCCCGGACGGGAGCTTGTGGAATATGGGTTAGAGCATTGGAATACGAATGGATATCCAAAGGGACCCTCTAGCGCCATGGACGGGTGCCAGCACAACACCGGCATCCTTTTCTGTCGCCGCGCAGAGATATCCGACAAGTCGTCACCGAGAAATGTGGCAGGGAAATAACACCCCTGGGCCCCATCTGTTTGCCATACCCGTTTGCGCAGGCGTGGGCAGGCTGAGGAGTGGGAACCAGCCGAACGGACCGCAAGCTCAATCAAGCACAAGCTGTGCGTGGGATGCTAGGGGTTTCACGATTTGCCCGGAAACAGCTCACTTGTAGCTGCTCGCTCTGCAGAGCCGTGGCCACGTCTCAGAAAATGGTTGGAATCAGCAAATTGTCGTCGTGAACGCCTTGTGGCTAGCTCATCTATATGCAGAGGGTGCTGGTGCTAGGAGTGCATGTAGCCTCAAGAAAGTACGATGTCCGCCAGATAGACGTCTTGCTCATGAATGCATTCTGCCATGCCACGGGTCGTTCGGTGGCTTCATCATCTCTGTCTATCTGATCTCTATTTTCATTGTGCTTCTTATCGACACTCTACAGTAGCCAGGCTCTGGTCTCATTCCACTGCAATGGCTTTTACCTCATCTCATCCACCTTACCTCGACTCACTTCAGAGCCCGCTCAATCTCCCCCGCCACAGTCCTAAACCGCGGCTCGTCGAGATATTTCCCCTGTTTCAGCTTTCCCAGAGTGCTAGGAACATCGAAGATGTCCTTCGCCGCACTCTTCAGTTCGCTGTCACCCTTGAAGAAGACCAATATCGTGCCCAACGCCACTAATGAGCGGTAAGCAGGCTCTGTCGACTGGCTCGCCGGGTTGCCTGACGAAGCAGAGTGGTTGACGGCTGGGAAGGAGACCAGCAAGTTGGTTAGGTCGGCGAGCAGCTCAAGGGCGTGGCTGGCGTTGGCCTCGCTATCACCTGCGGAAGTGGTGATCAGGACCGCAATGTTGAGGTATAGTGTCGTCAGAGCGATGGCGACCGAGACATCAGAGAAGACGAATTGTGCGACGGGTTTAAGAGATCCGACAATGGCATCGAGATTTTCTTCCACCAGCCGACGACCGGTGGACGAGCCGTAGAGCAGATTGGAAAAGAAACGCATCGAAATCATCGCGAGTTTGTTGTTGTCTCGCAAGAAACGCTCGTCGAAGATTCCACTATTGAGAATACCGACCACGGTGTTGAAACTATCAGCACCTGAGGAGGGAAATTCCTGTGCCGCTGCTGCAATGAATCGGAGCAAGTCCAGAGCCGCGAGTCTGTTGGCGGGAGGTTGCCATCGTGTAACGACCTTAGCAAGAATGGAGACCGCCGATGAGATGGTCGGAGAGGTGGCTAATGATGCCTTGCCAGAGAAGTTGTACTTTTCTAGCTGTTGGGCGACGTCTGATAGGGTCCTGATTTCATCAGGTGAGAGCGCTAGTTCGGTGCCGGAGTAGTCGGCATTCTTCTTGTTGATCTGGGCCATCGCTGCGCCGGGCTTGCCAATTACTACTGACAAGTATTCCTTCTGCGGCAGCGTTTGCTTGTTCGGTGTGGGTGGTGGAGGCTGGTATGAGGATGTGGGAGCGTCACCGGGTCGATACCGGTTCTCAGTGCCCCATGGGTCTGCACCCGTGGGTGCCTGTTGGCCAAGTGTGGCACCTTGCGTGTTCTTGATAATGAAGTTGGCAGTTTCTTCGAGGTATGACATCGGCAATTCATGATCTTGCAAAAACTTCGTGGCTGCATCGTATGGATTTTGATTGATGTTGTAAGGCAATTTCAGAGGAGGTTTACCGTCTTCAATGTCGATATCAAAGACGTAGTCATATTCCTTCCCGTTGTATGCGGTCTTGCCACTGGACGCAGCAGAATCAACGACCTGGCCGATCTTTATCCATTGTTGCTGTGAGGTTGACCACTGGTACAGACATGCCGAGCCGTCGTCCTCTTTGACGATCTGACTCTGGCCCTCTTTCGTGCCTACCTTGCGCTTGAGGAAGTCTGGACCAGGCAGATCGGTCATGTTGATCTGGCCGATCGTCTGCTGAGGTATGCTCGACGCTTGCAGGGACTCTTCGAACGCCGCCAGAGTCTCCGCACCAGCAACACGCTCTGGATCCCGTGTAAAGATACGCGCAAGCTTGTCGCTCGTCCCCACGATGATATCCCCATTGGGAGAAGCTGATACTGACCACACTGAAATAGCCGGCAAGGTAATGACTTGGGTGCAATTCTGGCCTTCCCATATTCGGACTGATCTGTCCTCTCCTGAGCTCACAAGCTGGCCGGAGGGCAGAACTGTAAGAGAATAGATGAAGGATTCATGGCCGATCAGGGAAGCGACCAGTTCCCCCCTCAAAGTCCAAAGACGGATGATCCCATCGTTTGTGGCAGCAGCGATCTCAGCGCCAGTGTGATGTCCTTCGGGGAGTTTGGCAAGAGCACGGACAATATCTTGAGCATCCCAATAGTGTCTCAACTTCCCTCGGACATCGAAGACTCTGATGTGTCGATCTGCACATCCTGTGACAGCCGTCTCCCGGTCAAATGCCAACACCGACCAGACAGTCGCTGTATGTCCTGCCAGATCGACAGCAACCTCCCATCTGCCAATTTCCCAGATCTTTGCTGTGCTATCCCAACTGCCGCTCACAAAATAGTTGGCCTCGGCGCAGACGTCTATCGAGCACACTTGATTGCTGTGCCCAACCATGAAAGCATCGGCATTCATATCTGTCGTTGTTGAGGGTTGCCGCGCTTCAATGAGCGCATCTTGTCCCGAGGAAAGTACAAGACCTTCTTCGAACTCTTTCGAGGGTGGGACATACGCAAGGCATGTCTTGAATTGAGCGCCATGTGAGGATTCTGTATCGTCGTATATTGGAGGCGAGATAGAGGTGCGCTTCCATATTCTTGTCGAGCCGTCGCGGGAAGCCGTTACCGCGAAGGAAGGGTCGGGGAGCAATACAGCGCGTACCTAACACCACGCATGTTAGCTCTGAAAGTCAATATGAATCGGGGTAGAACGCACATCGCTCTTGTGGCCGCTGAGCACGGCGCTCAACTTGAAATCAGATATCCCACCACTCATCTTCGGTGGTTGGTTGGTGTCAGATGCATCTGCATACGAGGTCGGAACGAGATCAGTTCGCGAAATGACAAGGCTGAAAGAAATATGTGCGCGCAGGCAGTGGTTTCCACTCTGCTTTTCACTTTCATGCCACTTCACAGCGTTCGACTGCCACTGACTCTATGACAGCCTTGCGTGTGACGTAACGCTTCAGCCTCGCTGTCCCCCACGCACCTTCACGCCTAAATATGTCCTTTCACAAAGTTGTCAGCTCCTTCTATTTTCTCTTGCAATCACATCCGGCTTGCGAAAGAGGGTGCGTATGTCGTATAGATATATCATAGCGCATGACGCCGGAATCATGTCTGTCTGTCGACCCTCAATTTCGCCCGGTGGTACAACAGAGGAGCACTGTTTATCAAGATGGCTTGACAAATGCATCAGGGATTTCTACGGAGTACAGCTCTGCCAAATATCAAACAGCAAACCACTCCCGTCTCCTCGTACCTGCGAGTCATGTGAACTGGGCTGCGCCTTTGTTCCCGCTCCATCGCACAGACTAAAGGGTACCCAGGACGGTGTCCTTTCAAAAAGCAACATCAGGCCACTATATTACGAACAGATTCGAGGACCTGTTGTTTCCTGAAGTCAATACCAACCTGGATCAACAACAGAGCCTAGGACGGTAATGTGAGCCTTGTGTGTGAAGCGGCCACCTCACCTGTCTTTCAAGCGAAATGACCACCGGACTGAACGCTTTGGATCACATCAACAGCAGACTAAGGACAGTCTAACCAGTCCGGATTTCAATGGAGTTATCTCACTGCGCAAGAACACCTGAGAAACAGGACAACTGATGCTTAATAGTGCTATTTCTGTGGTACTCCCCGTGGGTTCTTTAATCACACTGATTTTACTCTGTATGAGGCTTGCCAACACCTAACCAACAGAGTCCTACAAGGGAACTGTTTCACCCATAATGGGTCCCATCATCCTTAAATCAGGTCAGTACAGGTACCACACTTCATAAATGGTGGACTCACATGGCTGGATATCGGTCACCCGGGATCTCACTTGCATCGACCGCCGCCCTCAGCTCCTGGACCTCCTGTCCAGTCAACTTCAGACTAGCTGCGGCAGTATTCTCCTCCAGATATTTGGTCGTTCTCGTGCCGGGGATTGGGATGATATCTTCCCCTTGCGTCATCAGCCAGGCGATACAGGCTTGTGCGGGCGTGGCTCCGTGGTTCTTTGCCACAGCCTGGAATTTGTGCACAAGGTTCATGATCTTCACAAAGTTCTCTGGCGAGTACTTGGGCGCCAAGCGACGGAAGTCATTGGCCGGCAGGTCATCCAGGGCCTTGATCTGTCCGGTCAAGAAACCCCGCCCAACAGGGGAGTAGGCGACGACGGCGACACCAAGCTCCCGACACGTGCGCAGCAGGTCGTTCTTCTCAATGTCCAGCACAAAGGGATTATATTCGACTTGCAGCGCCGAGACTTGGTGGACGGCACATGCGCGACAAAGAGTCGTTGGTGAGACCTCCGAGAGCCCAATGTATCGAATCTTGCCTTGCCTGGAGATTGTTGTTAGCAACGACGACGACGATTGATCAGTACCTGCATGCGAGAGTTCTTACTTCTTCAACTCCACAAGAGCTTGGATGGTTGTCTCGATGGGTGTCTCCCTGTTGACCCGATGGCAATAGTACAGATCGATTGTCTCGACACCCAACCTCTTGAGACTCCTCTCGCACGCCTCCCTGATGTACTCTGGGTCCGAACTCTCGCTTTGCTGGAAGTCTTCGGTAAACTGCAACCCGAACTTCGTTGCCAGGAAGATATCCTTGCGCTTTTCTGGGTTTTGCTCGAACCATTTGCCAATGATGTCCTCGCTGTCGAAGTACACGTCGGCGGTATCCCAGAACCGCTCTCCAATTGCGTGAGCACGGTCAAGAACGGCCAGCTTTTCCGCTTCGGTGTCCTTTTGGCCGTACGCGCCACCAATGCTCATTGCGCCGAACCCGATAGCTGTGACCTGGGGACCGTTGCGGCCCAGTGTCCTCGTAGGTGTCGACATGTTTGTAGGTTTCTTGCAGAATACTCAACCTGAGCGCTGATGGTGAAGAGGAAGTGCCACAATGAGAATGTGATATGAAGCTGGAGTACACTACCTCCAGCATTGAGAGATCCTCCTTCTTATATAGCCCTCTCGCTGGGCGCATGTCCTTCGCAATCTACATGGTTTGATCCGCTGACGTGCGAAGCTCTATTAACTGCTAACCCCGCCCTCGAGTCATCGAGTACAGCAGAGTTCAAAGCGTTCCCGTGCTCCAGAAAGTGCCGGTGATGTATTTGATAGAAGCCAAGCGACCGTAAAGGTACACACGCTCCGTGCTGGGTGCCACGCTTCTGCAGCTAATCGGCCCAACTCCCCCACAATGTCTCTCGCGACCAACAAGATCGCTCAGCATCCCGTGCTGGCCATTCAGAGCTGTAGCTCGTGAGAGGGGGCGAGGACGAAATGTGGCCTCTCGGACACCTTCAGCCGTGCCCGTCCGTGCCAAGCGACATTGGTTATAACATTCGGGCCAAAGATACTCCAAACATCTCATCTGTCCATACTGAATTTCGTGGGCAGTGGCTGTCTGTCCTCAGTCTATGACTTCACGAATGGATGGCTTGATCTAACTTAGGATTGTGCACACGGTGCTAACCATCGCGACTCCCTCTGGCCAATGGACAGTATTTCTGGTGGCGGCGATCCTCGACAAACCGGCCAACATGTCGTGCCGTTGCCTCATGACACGGCACCTGGTGACACCAAGGAGAGCGCCCGTGGCCTCAAAGTCAGATCCCGACAAGGGTGCGGCACCTGCAGTGAGTCTCCGTGCGTGCCATCCATGTGTCCACGTCCCACGCCAACCGAGACGGACGCAGGAAGAAGCGCATCAAATGCGACCAGGTCTGGCCCGTGTGCCAGAAATGCAAGGCCGCCGCACGGGTGTGTCATGGCTACGGCGTCTGGGGCGGAGGAGGTAAACCTTATGGTCCGGACGGCCACCGTTCGAAGACTATACGTCCCGCCGCTTGGGTTAGTTTAATGCATCAGTTCGGCGGCACTGGCATGACAGCCGAGCAGCACCTGTCGCTCGAGATGCTCCGGCTCAAAATAGGCGTCAAACTCTCGGGCGTCTTCGACTCCGAGGTCTGGGACAGGCTCATGCTGCAGGCCAGCGCCACCGAGCCAGCCATCCTACATGCTGTTGCGGCGACTGGGTCTACCTATCGGAGCGATCGTCTTGCGAGGGGCGAGTACGTCTCGATCGACGGGATGGACAGCGAAGGCATCCGTGCATTGGTCGAGTATAACTTCGCGATTCGGTGTCTGACAGTCCATCTGAGCCGCACTGTTACGGACATATGCTCCCTCCGCGTGGCGCTGATCACCTGCATGTTGTTCATCTGCTTCGAGTATCTTCGCCGCAACCTGCGCACGGGGGATACACATCTGGTCAACGGCCTACGACTTCTCCGCGACATTCAAGCCCGGCGAGGACGAAGTGCTGTGGCTGTCGGAAACGCACCGAATTGCATGGACGACAATCTCGTCGAGACCTTCGCGCGGCTGAACCTCCAGTGCGCCTTGTTTGGCATGCATTTGCTGCATGCGCAGATTCCGCGACGGTCGCGCCCAGAATCTTTGTGCGCTTTCGAGATCCTCTTCATGTTCGAGTCGGTACAGCAGGCGAGACGCCAGCTCGACGAACTCCTCGCCGGGACATATCATTTACTCCAGCAATGTTGCCTGAGCGAGCGAGGGCACAGCTACAGCAGGAACGAACCTAGGCAGCCTGACCTCGACGCCTAGCAGCGTGACCAGGTCGAGCTCAAGTCCAGATTCGCGCGCCTGGTTGCGGACGTACGACACAACGCTGGCGCGATCAAAATCTAACCTCACCCTCACCCTCACGCTATCGTACATGGTCGTCCGGATGTATCACACCATGGCCACCTTCATCGCGTCGGTGTGTCACCCGCTAGGCCGCGACTCCGACTTCGACACCCCAACCGCTGCCTTTGTTTCCACCATCGAACAGGCAACCGACCTGTCGGAAAAGGCAAAGCTGCACACATCAGTATCCCAGCGGGAGTCTCGTCTCACCACATCAACAACAGCTGCCACAAAGAGGAATAAGAAAACCTTCACAGTTGACATGGGGTTCATCCCCGTGCTTTACTTCACCGCGCTCAAGTGCCGCGTGCCGCGCATTCGACGGCAGGCGATTAAATTGATGCAAGTATCCCCTCGTCGCGAGGGCGTCTGCGACGGCGAATTTACGGCCGCAATTGCGGGCCGGGTTGTGGAGATAGAGGAGGGCGGGTACTTTGCGGGGTTTGACGTCGAAAGGGAGTTTGATACTTTTGACATTGCCGTCGTCGGGTGGTGACTGCTCGGTCTTGCCGACGCTGCCGGAGGAGTCGAGGATCCATTGGGTGGATGTCATTTTGCCGGAAGAGGGGCTAGAAAATACGGTGCTGCGGTGTATCGTATCCGGCGTCGATGGGATCCTCGGAATGGTGTGTGGCATGTGGAAAGGAGAAATCATAGCGTTACCCCGTCATTGCGGCATTGAGGTAAGTCGTGAGGGATCCTTGTGTTCGTAGTATCCCTCCCCTAGCTCAACACCGCGGATCGGATGTAAGTCCCTTGAACGGAGTGCGTGGCCTGGAAGGAATTGTCGTACGCTGGGTATGCCATTGCTTTCGAGGCCCTGTTTCCCACGATCTGCAGATAGCGCCCATTCGCTCCCGTCGCGCTTCGGTCTGATCAGATGGCAACGCCTTTGGGCGCGACAGGGACGCTCTTTTCCAGAGTAGTTGCCTCGTCGGGCACTTTGCCCTCGGTCTTCAGCTTCTCCTCCACTTTCTCATTCCACTCGAGCATGTGCAGGCACAATCCCTCCAGAGTGGTATGTCCGGGATTGTAACCCAGCTCCTTCCTCGCGCGGGAATCGTCATAAATGATATATATAGTCGAGTAATTGAACATGGCAGGCTGAAGCATGGTGAGTTCGAAATTCGTCACTGCAGGTAGGAAATTGAGATGACGGCGCTGCAGCACGATATACCCTTCCAGGAGGTGCGCGATCAAGATAAGCAAGGCAGCAGGGACGGGTGTGAACTTCACGGGCGTTTTGGGGTGAGCCAGCGTGCTCAGCAGGCGGTACAAATCTGTGTAGCGAAATGGAGGGCCGGGATCGCTGACGCAGTAGGCGTTGCCACCCACGTCCCGGCCCTCGACGAGGCGTGCTTCGTACGAGAGGTGAGCTAACGAGACGTTCTGCGCGGAGACATATTGAAGGACAAGCGGATATAGCCAGCTATTGCCACGAAGGAAACTGTCAGCCATTTGCCGTGGACGTTGAATAGGGGGAACATTGGCTCACGTTTGAAGACCGCCTCGTCTGAGATAGTCGTAGACGACAGAATTCCGATTCTCAGCGCCGTGGCCGTAGATGGCGTGCCCGGGTCTGATGGCACCGGTTCGGAACCCTGCTTTCTTGTCGTCCGCGTCGGTTACCAACTTCTCTGCCAGTGCTTTAGAATAGGCGTAACAGCCTGCAAAGTTTTCGGCTTTGTCCAGCGACGGCGGCTCGGCGTTGTCCGATATCTGGATGAAGTTTCTGGGATACTTTTGCCAGGGTGGAAAGAGGAAATTAGCTGGTCGGATGCCTATGCTGCCAGATGAGGTGGCGATAAAGATGTCGCATCCCGCCGACCGGGCGGCCTCGAGCACGTTTCTTGTGCCGTCGACATTCACTTTCATGTATGTGCCGAGAAAGTCTGCCTTGCCATAGCCGGCATGAATGTAGGCAACGGTGTGAAAGACCGTTAGTGGTAGATTGGCGTATTCAGAGGGCCAGGCAATATTAAAGACCTTTTCGACAGCCGCGCGATCCGTGACATCGGCTTTGAAATACGGGACATTATTTTTGACGGCCAACTCGCGGATGGGAGGCTGGAGATCGACGATGCGGATGGCAGCAGGGTTCTGGCCACGCATGATCAAGTGCTCGACCATCCAGCCGCCGACGAGACCTTGAGGCGGTTGGTCAGACAAAGGGAACGCATACTAAACACGTAAGCCACCCACCTGATCCTCCGAACACGATGTATCGTCTATCCTGCTTTGGAGGCAGATATTTCTTGAAGTCTGGTCTGTTCTTGCGGCATTTCTCGTAGGCATCTCGAATGACTTCGTCTGTCCAGGGCTTGCCGGCGATCTTTTCGACCTCTTCCGGGGTGGTGGATAAGACGCTGTTGATGTGGTATAAAAAGGCACTTAGGCCAAGGCCGACGACGAAGGCGAGCAGAAGGATTTGAAGCCACATGTTTTCCAGCAGTCAACGAGAGATGATCGTGAGGCGGTGAAGTCAGCGACAAGATGACATTGAAGGACTCTAAGGGCAGTCTCCTCGTTTATATACCGTGTTTTCGATAACACACGTAAGCCTCGTGGGCCCCTCAGATAAATAAATAAATTGAGGAGGGGATTGCAAAATGACGAGGAATGAATCTGTGGCCTCGCGACTCCATATGGATAGTGGATAGGCATCAATATTCTGATGCTTTCTCTTCCCGTGTACAGCTTACCCTTGGTGGGGGATTATTCTCGTTAGACGAGATTGTGGACAAGAAATGACTGCTGGTGGCCTGATGATGGTGACTTCATTTCACACCGTCTGCCTCTTCTAGCTTAGTTTACGAGGGGTCGTACTTGGTGAAAGACGCCAAGCCATGGTAGGGAGTCTTCGCGCATCGCACATGCTGACATCGGACACCTGTGTTGAGGTGCGGTGGCACCGTGCGGCGTGGTGTGTGTGGAGTGTATGTATGATGATCTAAACTATGGAAGATCCGAGAGGATCTCAATAGAAGCCATCACGTGCTATCACGTGATAGGGACGTGTGTAAGAAGCACTATGGTGCAGGTGCACCCGCAACAACCTGAAGGGTTCGATTCCTCTGTGACCGTTCAGACGTAGAGTACTGTACCGACCGATTGCCTGGTGTTGGCTAGAAATAAACTCTCAAACACGCCGAGTCGGATGCGACTTTCACTGCTTGGCCGGAACACGAATTCCCGGATCACGCTCTCGGGTCCCACAGTGCTGCCAGCACTGTCTATAAAATCGAAATCATCATGCACGCCTGTATAGCTGCCAATTGAGGGCTTCTCGATAGGGCGGCCGAAGGTGAAATGGGCAACACTGCCGCGAAAACATCCAACATCGCTTGGAGATGGTCAATCAGCCTGCTCACCCTGGCTCTGTTGGCTGGATTGTACTCATGGGCCGATTCCGTCAAGGTATGGGAAAATGGAACCCCTAGTGCTCTCTTGTGCTAAGTGGCTGCCTGCATTTAATAGTCTAAATGGTACATCTTCGACCACGTAGACCTGCAGAAGCTGGTTGACCAAAGCCTGGCCCTGTATCCCAACTCAACAGCCGGCGTGGTTCACAACATTGTTTCGACACTCCGCGAGATACACGGACCTGTGCTTATCGGCGTCGATCCTTTCCCTGGTGCCGATCCCAGCAAGCACGACATCTCACCCGTCTCGCCATATCCAGGGCAATGGATGTTCAACAATGCCGGTGGTGCGATGGGTTCGATGTACATCATTCACGCCAGCATCACCGAGTACCTGATCATTTTCGGCACGGCGCTCGGAACTGAGGGCCACTCTGGCCGCCATACAGCGGATGACTACTTCATGATTCTCGAGGGTGAGCAGTGGGCTTATCCGGCACACTCACTGGCACTCGAGCGGTATCCTAGAGGAAGCATGCACCATCTCCCCAGAGGCCAGGTCAAGCAGTACAAGATGCACCGTGGAGCGTGGGCGTTGGAACTGGCTCAAGGCTGGATTCCTCCGATGCTACCATTTGGGCTCGCCGACACTGTATTCTCAACGCTGGATTTCCCTACGTTTGCCCGCACCGCGTGGTTGACGGGTCAGAAGATGATCGGCTGTCTGCTCGTTGGCAAGATCTAGATCGCAAGGCGTGGGATCCGCAAGACAGCATAGAATGACGAGATTGCTCATACCACAATGGCGTCTTGGTATCCTGCCTCTACAGGCACCTTTCCACTGTTGCCTGTAGCTTGTGCTGGCCTGACCATGACGATCTGCACGTACCATCCGTTCTTCCTGCCGGGATCCGCCTCGAGCCTCTCGTCCTCGAATTCTTGACCTTTGTCCCCCCCATTGTCCCATCTCTTTAGGTCGATCCAGATTTCTGCCCCGGGCCATTCTGCCTTCCTGAAGCCAAAAGCCCCGTACACGCTCATACCGGCAGGACTAGCCTCCAGCATGGTGGGCAACCCCAGATCATCGGCCTCACGACACGCATGACGCATGAGCATACCGCCCGCACCACGGCGTTGGTGTGCAGGATCCGTGTAGAGGAAGTCAATGACCATATGTGCGCCGAGAGTCTTCATCGCATGCTTGCGAGCGGCCACCATTGGGCCGACGAAGGCATTACCCAGCGCCTCGTTCTCATACGTCAAGCCGTGCACGGACTGGTCCGGATTGTCGATGACCTCTTGAGTACCGGTATCTGGATGCGGGCCTCCTGCAGGGACGAGATAATACTTGATTGCAGCAATGACACGCCCGCGCGGCCTCCCTGAGACCTGTTCAGTCCCGGTACTGCGCTCTTTGTGTTTTGGGGTAGCTTCATCTTTCAGTTCGTCGTCGACTACAACAACGAATCGACATTGCCGTTCATTCTGCAACGAATGCGTGTGTCGATCGAGGTATTTCTGAGTTATGACAGGATGAGAGCTTTCGGGGCCGTAGTATGCTGTCTGCATGAGCTCGATCGTCATCCATGCTGCGAAATGTATTCGTGCGACGGCAGGCAGGAGCTTGAAGTCCGTGACACGCTCTGGTGAGAGCGTGTAAAGGTGCAGCGTCATCTCACTCGACTCAATTTCTCAAGCTCCTGCTCAAAGCGTCTCGCTAGCAGTTATGTGCTTTCCCAGATTCAAGTAGTTTCACACGCTCAGGCAATCACAATGGTTTACCTGCATCATAGCACCACTTGACGATTCGCTGAAGTCAGTTGCGCTTCTATTGAGTGTGCTTTGGCGAGCAGCGTACCGACCGTGGCTCAGTTTGGCATCAATGCGACGTCAGATGCAGAGAAAAGACTGGCCTTCATCTTTGCCGCCTCCCACTAACGCTCCACCGCGCGTGCTGCACAATAACGAGTACTGTACTGTGTACATAACTAATCACATCTTGTTTAGCGTGTCGCAGCGACTTCGACACTCGTACTCGGTTTCTTCTGCGTACTGAATCAGTTGGTCACCTTCCACCTCTGACTTGGGAGAAAGAGCATTGTAAAGGTCCGTTCCCCCTTGTCAGATTGCTTGACCCGAGCCGAAGACTAAGCCAAAGACTTACTTCTCTTTCAGCACGTGTTGGATGCATTTCTGAATCTGTGAAGACTGGCGAGTTGTCGTGCAGATGTTAAATTAAAAGCCCTCTTCCCTCAAGATTGCAATTTCGCCGGTTAAAGAAACGCGCCTCCTCGGAGCCAATCACCGTCATCTCAACCATCACGGCCTGTCGAACACACCTGGTTCACCGAGCACAAGCTGCCATTCGATTTGTATACCTGCATGCAGAATGGTTCCGGGTCTTCTGCAGAAGAGCTATGGCATTTCTACCCCCTTGCTCATGCTGTATCCCAGAATCCTTAAATATGGATGGGACGCCAGATGGCATCAAATGTCTTCGCCTGGCCGTGACCCGTTCGCTCGTTTTTTACCTGGTTCACCATGAGGTTCGCTGAGATTTGCGTCCACGTCGCTGCCGCTGCACTCTCACTGTCCCTTGCGACCGCACAAACCATCGCTCAGATCAATGGCAACAGGTTTATCTCACCCTACCGCAACCAGAACGTCTTCAACGTGACGGGCTTAGTCACTGCCACGGGGCCAAATGGACTATGGATCCGCTCCACGACGCCAGATTCGGACATTCGCACCTCGGAATCCATCTACGTCTTCGGCAGGATACCCAGTAGTCTCACAGTGACGGCCGGGGACGTGATCGTCCTCGACGGACTCGTCTCCGAGTATCGCTCCAGCGCGGCATACCTATACTTGACCGAGATAACTCGCCCCACCAATGTCCAAGTAGTGTCACGCGGCAATCCGGTCAAGGCTGTCGTGTTAGGCAAGCAAGATACCAGCCCACCCACGGAGCAGTACACGGTGCTCGACGAAGGTGATGTTTTTGCCCTACCAAACAACGCAAGCCAGATCTCGACCGCCAATCCCGTGCTGCAACCATGGGCATATGGTCTTGACTTCTGGGAGAGTCTCAGCGGGGAACTCGTTGCCGTCAGGGGCGCCTCCGCCGTCGCCAAACCAAACTCCTACAATGAGACCTGGATCACGGGGGACTGGAGGAAGACCGGCAAGAACAGCAGAGGTGGCTTGACCATGACGGCCGGGGACGCCAACCCGGAAGCCATCATCATCGGCGCGCCTCTGGACGGGACCGACAACCCCACCGACATCAAGCTGGGCGACCAGCTCGCGGACGTCACGGGTGTCGTCTACCAGCAATTCGGGTATTACTACATCCTGCCACTGACGGCACTCAGCGTGACTGAGTCGATGTCGCCTACCCTCCCACCACCGGTAAGCTGGACCTCCAAGGGGAACTGCAACAAAATCACAGTCGGGCAATACAACGTGGAGAACCTGGCGGCCAACTCGACCCACTTGCCATCCATCGCCCAGCACATCGCTTACTACCTGAACTCCCCGGACCTGGTCTTCCTCCAGGAGATCCAAGACAACAGCGGTCCGACGGACGACGGCGTCGTCTCCGCCAACGCCACGCTCGAGGCCCTCGTCACGGCCATCGAAGCCGCGGGCGGTGTCTCGTACGCGTACACCGACATCGACCCCCAGAACGACCAGGACGGCGGTCAGCCAGGCGGCAACATCCGCCCGGCATACCTGTACAACCCTGCTGTGTTGAACCTGAAGACCAACAATGGAATCAACCCCACTACCCCGGGAACCGTCCTCGACGCCAACGCCGTCTACCCCGGCCCGAACCTCAAATATAATCCCGGGCTCATCGACCCGTCGAACCCCGCGTGGGAGGACTCGCGCAAACCGATCGCCGCGCAGTGGGAGACCGTGGCAGGCGACAAGGCCACGCTCTTCACGGTAAACGTGCACTTCACCTCCAAGGGCGGCAGTTCCACCATCGAGGGTGACCCTCGCCCGCCTGTCAACGGGGGTGTCGACCAGCGCATCGCCCAGGCGACCGTCGTGGGTGACTTTGTGGCGCGCATTCTCGCCGAGGATCAGGCGGCCGCGGTTGTCGTGGCCGGGGATTTCAACGAGTTTGCGTTCGTGGCGCCGTTGGAGACGTTCGTAAACGTGTCTGGGCTCGTCAATCTCGATGATGCCGCCGGTGTTGCGGCGCAGGAACGGTACACGTATCTGTTTGAGATGAACAGTCAGGAACTGGACCACATGTTTGTGAGTCCCAAGATTGCGGGATCGCCTGGGGGCAGGCCCGACTTGAAGCACGTCCATGCGAATACGTGGGTGAGTTATGCGGAGCAGCTCTCTGATCATGATCCTAGTGTGGCGAGGTTGGATATTTGCTAGCGAGCTGGGAAAATCAGATCGGTACGAAGTACACCTACAGTATATGTGTTGGAGCTAGTACATACGGTCATGAGCACGAAACAGGATGAAGTACGGTGTACGGAGTTTTGGTATCGCTAGGTACCTACCTGTAGGTATGAAATACTGCCAGCGCGACTACTCGTACGAGAACTTGGAGATGGGATCCATACGAGCAATCAATCGGCCGATACATGGACATCCTCACCCAATTTACTGTATCTCATATTCCGTACCGCCCGTACCGTAAGGTGGAAAACTTTGGCTGTCGTCAAACCTCCCTCTTGGACTCGCGGTCATCAAGCGCCAAGGCTGTTCATCGATTTCTTGCGCGTCTAGCTCGTCGAGCCGTCATGTCATGTCACGTCGGCCCATACGAAAGCCGCCCCTAGCCCCGGTATTCCCGCCAACCCTGATTCCTGCAACGCCGGAATAACACCTAGATCTAGCCTCAGGGACAGTGCCGCGAGCGCCTGCTCGTACCACGGAATATGCTCCCCATCGTAGATCACTGACGTGACGACAACGTCAACCGGGAGGACACCAGATTTGTAAGGGCCCGAAACCAACCCCGCCACGGCCATCACGTTGGTCGTCGCCGTCATGGGGATCGAGTTGTTACCCGCGGCTATGAACACGTTCGGCAAGGACGCGGTTCCAACGGGCATCCCGTCCACGGACATGTTCATGGTGAGATCGCCCAGCTCGAACTGCGAGACAGAGGGGTTGGGGATGGAGATTGTCCGTTTGCCTTGGTGCCGTTTGCCAAGGGGGGAGTGATGATTTGGAAGGACGTCATGTTGAAGTCCTTGAGAGCGTTGAGGCCTAGTAGCATAGCTCGTCAATTACTTACTGAGATCGGACCCCGCCCACCACACGGGGGTAGGGTAAACGCGCTGAGGGAGAGCGAGCAGAACAGACCTCTCATCGTAATCTTCTTGTTGTAAGCCACCGTGGTGGCGGGCCACGCTCCCTTATGCAGCATCCCCTTTCCCACGAGGTAGAAATTGTACTCGTCCCTCCCGAGGGCCATGCGCGTGTACTTGTTGAATTCGGTCACGTTAATGATCTCCGCGGTATTCGAAATCTGGATCTGCGTACCACTCCCGGCTTGGGCTCCGGGTACACGGACCCTCACGAAGGGGGTTCGGCAGTCCGGAGCCAGGCAGAGGCTGCCGTCCCAGGGGTCAAGGGTCGCTCTTTCGCTGCTGTTGGTCACGAAGACTGTGGTCTGTTCGAGCTGGAAATTTTTCATGCTCGGGACCAAGATCGATTGACTCGTTACCATCAATTCTGCGTTGTTGATGGCGTCTTGTGCCGTGTTGGGAAATGCGACGTAGGGGCTTCTGGATGTCAGCATGTCGCTGTGTCCTGCACTGGAATGTAGGTACTGACATGGGGAATACGACGATGATGGTCACCACGATGAGGAGTGCCATGGGATATGCCCACCACCATTTTTTGCAGTGGCGCTTGAGCATTTCCGGTGTGTGTACCAGTCCGCCTGTCTTCGAAGGGCCGCTTGGAAGGCCCCACTTTCTTCGGCCAACAATTTTCACCTTGTTGCTGTGGTAAATTGTCTCTCCATTGTACCTTTCCTTCTGAATGAAATGCCAGCTGATCTGAATGAAGTGTTAGGAATTGTGCCTGAGCGTTTCCCTGGGAGTATTAAATGTGACTCGTTCCGCGCCCAAACACCGGAGCTCTGCAAACAACGCGATCCAAACATATATCGCCCACGTTGGTGATCAGGTCGTTCGTAGCATCCACGACCGCTGAAGAAACACATCGTATAAGCGCCGATATTGCAAACCCTGCCAGATCAAGTCTCTCTGTTTTTCAGCAAGTAGCTCAACTCTGTTGGTGGTTGAGGTAAAGGGCAAGCGCATGTCAAAAGCTAGTAGCAGCCGTTCGTACCACTCTCCAAAAGACGTAGGAGGCGCCCACACATACTTGGCCTCGATGGGTAGAGAGATGGATGAAACTCAGCTGTTTGAGCGACGGTTGGGGCAGCCTTACCGACATCACTCGCTCCTGGGCTTCGTGTCTGTAGGCGCCGTTTAATTAGCCCCGATCACCACAGGCGGACGCCCAGCTCCATCTCCATCTGAATGTACCCGTCAAGCTTGAGCGGTTTTGAGCAGAGCTGAGAGCATGTCACTCATCTCTAGAATGCTTGTAAGAGAGTTTATTTGCAATTCGCGTGGAATTTGCGGAGTGCGGTACTTCCGTTCCTTCAGCGACTCTTTCGCTGGCGTTCTGATTGCCAGCAGAAACCAGGAGATGTCTGATAGGAGCCTTATCGATGAAGCTCGAGGGTCCCTAGGCCAGGATCTGCCTGGGTATACTAGTCAGTCAAAGGCATCGACAGAACACCCTCGGAGGTGCATCCTTCGACGGAGCCCTCCTCTTTAATGAAGTTGCGACAAACTCGCAATAGTCGGCGTCGACATTGAGAGCTTAAGGGAAGGTAGCTTGTCACACTCAGAGCAACGGGTACGTGAAGGTCACTTCCAGCAGAAGCATTCCGGAGTCTGTGCTGAGTGACGAAAGTTGCGATTTGACGCGGTTTCAATACGAGTTGTGGTGGAGTTGAAGCAAACCTCAGATATCGCTCACTGAAACTGCTTGATCTCACCTCGCTTACCCCTCGCCTCACTTTTCATTCCGGCCGAAGTACCTTAACTAATTTCTTCTCCCGATGGCTTCCTTACTTTTCTCCCTTACGGATATTGATTCCGTGGCTACCACATGATCGCGCCCATTCATTTTGTCGGGTGAAATTCTTTCAAGAAGGCCTCACCCAGGCCCCCATCCGAGCCGAGGCATGGTTGTGGGCAGGCTGGAGTCTTCAAAGAGGCCCAGGCGACCAAGATCTCATCCCTAGTCTCACCTCGTATCCTTCACCTGGAGTTGCCTTCGTGTCACGACTACGAGATACTTACCGTAAAATCGGTGAACAGTCATGAACAGGGCCAATTTCCACACAATCGACAGCATCACCCACTTGTGGGAGACTCTCAACCTCCCGAGGGGAGCTCTTAAATCCGTCAATATCCCAGACGCCGATACCATATGTCTCCCGTCGTCGTTCAAGATCGGTCATCTAGCACAAGCTTCGATAACTCTGACAGCTCTACTCGCAGCTCTGGTACACGCCCAGCGCGAAAACCTAACTTTCATGCCGCAGGTCACGGTACCTGTCCGCCATGCCGTCCTGGAATTCAAGTCCGAGCGGCTCCTTACCATTAACGGCAAGCCTACGCCCTCAGCATGGGGCCCGATAGGCGGTCTGCACAGGACTTCGGACGGATATGTACGCGTTCATGACTCATTCCCGAATCACCGCGCCGCAACCAAGAAGATGCTTGGCCTCGCTGAAGACGCGGACCGAGAAGCTGTGGGTCGCGCGATCGCGAGCTGGAAATCTATTGATCTTGAAGATGCAGCTGTCGATGCTGGCGCTGTGGTTGCCGCCTTGAGGAGCTTCGCGCAGTGGGATGACTTGCCTCACGCGAAAGCCGTGGCAGACTTTCCCATTCAAATCACCAAGATTGCTGATTCACCGGCTGGGATCCCTGGACACCTTGCCGCCGCTGGTGGTACGGAGCGGTGTCTCCACGGTCTGCGGGTTCTGGAGCTTAGTCGCGTTATCGCTGCACCAGTGGCCGGGAGGACGTTGGCCGCCCACGGCGCGGATGTGCTCTGGATTACGAGCCCGAATCTGCCTGATCTACCGAGCATTGATCGGGACACGGGCAGAGGTAAGAGGACTGCACAGCTGGATCTAAACCGACCAGAGGATCTGGAGAAACTGTTAGAGCTCATCGACCACGCGGATGTCTTCCTTCAGGGATATCGTCCGGAAAGTCTAGCAGCGAGGGGTCTCTCGCCTGCGCAACTCGCCGCGGGACGAAGTCAGGATGGTAAGAAGGGTATAATCTGCGCGAATCTCTGCGCTTATGGTCCCACCGGCCCGTGGAAGCAACGGCGAGGCTTCGACTCCCTGGTGCAGACATGTTCGGGAATGAATGTCTCTGAAGCCGAGCACTTCGGCCAGACCGATCCTCCTGCCAAGCCAATGCCTTGTCAAGCACTCGATCATGCGAGCGGGTACTTTCTCGCAGCCGGGATATTAGCTGCTTTGTATCGACAGATCAGGGAAGGTGGGTCATGGCAAGTCGACGTCAGTCTAGCTGGAACGATGAAGTATATCAGGAGCTTGGGCCAGTATGAAGCCTCATCGGAGTTCCGGTGGGATGCTGACTCCACGGAGGGCGTGCCTGAGGAGTACCTCGAGTCCAGAATGTCTGACTTTGGGACACTGAAGGCTGTCAGACATGCTGCCACCATCGAGGGTATTAACGTGGGGTGGGATATCATGCCCAGACCATTAGGCTCAGACGAGCCCAGCTGGCTGTGACCTATATTACACAGCCGCGTGTCCTTCGTGACACCGATACGTCTTGCCCGTCGCAATCAAAGTCTCACGAAGTTTCAACTGCATAGCAGGCGGAGGTCGGAGCCACGTGAGGATGACAGTGGGCCTGGTTCTGGGAAGTCACGTCTCGACTGTATGAATAGTAAGTCCTACTGATCTTAGATCCCTCCCTCCACCACCAGAGCAAGATTGAAGAGCATCCCGCACTCCGCTTTTGACTGTTACCTGATGCCGCTTGTAAATGCTCACCTGAGCTCTTCCCCGTTACTGTCCATTCGACATCTTATCTGGAGAATCCGACTTCGATCGCTTCCTGCGCACGACGGTATGCCTGATAATATCACCCTCATCCCGGTGTGCCAGCCATTCACCAATGCCATATTTCTCGGGCGCCTTCCTCACGCCTCGACCACCACCACCGACGATGAGGTTTCCTGGACGGTAGTGTGGGTTCGCTTGCATGCGTCTGATGACCGAGATATGGATCTGTGCATCGTCGGGCATGTCTCGAGTTTCACCCATTGGAAGCGGCCTTCATCAACAGTGAGCTAAACATTGCACCACTACTGAAACCATATACGTTGACTCACCAACGAATTGCTTTCCACTTCCCATCCTGCAGATCCATTCGTCGAAATGGAAGATATTCCATCATCTTCCAGAAAGACACGGTGCCACGAGGCAGGCCACTGCCGAACTGCAGACAATCGTGAGCTACAGAGTCAGTGAACGAGCTCTCGAGCCTTTCGGTAAACGCTTGGCGGGTGGTAGTATCCTCAGTTCTTTCGCCAAACTCGTCCACTGCATGAGGCGAGCATCCCAGGCGAGCCATCTTCCTGGGCACGATTAGCCCTCGTAGCGGTACAGCATCCAGAAACGACATACCCAGGGTCAAATTTCAACCCGGCCCTTTCCGCCTCGTGTAGCATCCACACTAGCGGCGTGTGACTGAGCATCCAGTGCTCTCTGTCTGTGATTATATGTCAACGGTGCTGCAATGACAGAGCCACAAGTGCTTAGAGAGCCCTGCAAACTTTCGGAAAGCATTGAATGCTCACCAGACTTGTCCCAGCCACCACCGATGTCACCGTGACCACCTGCGAACCTGGCTCACTTACTTCAGTGGGCGCACTGACGGTCTCTTTACAATGTTGCTTACCACACTTCTTGGATGTCTTGTGGACGATGTGCTCCGGACCATGTGCGTCTGGCATGCCTCCGTGGTGATTTAGGTCTTTCACGAAGATGCTCGGTGGAAGCAGAATGCATGGGTCCAGCAAGACTGTCGGATGAGCGTTTTGGTACTACCTGATCAGGCACTGATAAATGGCCACCTATCGAGTTTGAGAAAGCAATCCTTGGACCCTGTTGTGTTGAGTTTTGCTCGTGGGACTCCTGGTTTCCGACTTTCTCATTCATCTGCGCGAGGTCCGACTCGTACCGATGTAATTCGGCCCCGATGTGGTCCGCGTGTGGCTGGTGGCTTCCACCGATGAGGTCTTGTCGGAACTTGGCTCGCCTTTCGTCGATGGAGACGGCATGGCGTATGACCTTGGCTGATGAACGGGCGGTGTAAGGAAACTTGCTTCTCTGCATCCACGCAGACTCGAACCGGGGAACCGAGTTGACCGTGTCAAAGAGACCGAGGAACCGAATCCGGCGTACTGGTCTGCTGCTACATTGGGTGTTAGATCGCTTGCATCAGTCCTCCGGCGGCATCGGGGCCGTGCCTCTGAGCACTCACAATGTTTCTCGGAAGCCTCGCATGAACTCGTACTGCTCTTTCTCAGCTTTCCGGGCCTCTTCACTGCCATCATTGCTCCTGGCTGCCCATTTGGCATAAGTCTTCCAAGCAAATCGTATGAGCTCCTCGTTACCGGCTGCCAGCAGCCCGATGTGGTCCAGCATTTCTGCCAGGAAACGAGCGGTATAAGCTCCACGGCTGAACCCAAAGAAGTACAAATCGTCTTCGCAGCTGTAGTATCGCATGAGGAATTTGTAGCCGCCCATGACGTGGTCTGCGAAGGACGTGCCGACGGCCTCGTCTTTGGTTTTGAGGTACCATGACCGTATTCGGCCGAGGGTCGACGTTGTTTGGATCTGCGAGCGTGAGCACACCAGCACTTAATGGCAGGGTAACGTACCGAATGAGTTGTAATATACGTCCCGATGCCCGGCTGGTAGAATGTGTACATGTTCACGTCAGTGCGGTCGAGCATGCGGTAGAGCTTCAAAATGTTGCTGTCGGTCTCTTTGCCGCTGAACTTGTTGCCAGTGCCCTCCAATACCGTCACTAGCTGTCACACAACTTGGCAGGCCCGGCACTTACATCAAAACAGAGCACGAAAATATTCTTCTGGCGGTTCTGGCTTGGTTCTGGGACGGCCATGGTAATGACAAGCTTGAGTCAAGGGAAGGATGAACGCAAGGCATAAGGATAGCAGCAAAGAAGGGGAAACGGTGATGATGATGGGGTGGAATCGTAAGTATAGACAGACTTTGACAGGCCTGGCGGAGCAACGAGGGCACGGCGGACATGAATCAGACATCAAGCATTGACGTGGATGGCAGTGTGTAGCCCCTTCCATCTGCCCGTTTTGGGATTCACAGCAGGATCATGGGGTGCATGTCGTGACTGACTGCATACACTCGTGGTCGGACCTGACCACCCGTATCCAGGCATTTTCACCGTGGTCGGGGCAAGACGGTAACACTCGGATGCGACGTCGCTGAGTCGTAGATCTGCAACGCAGACCACGCTATTAGGCACGCTTCTGATTCGAGATAGAAGCCGTGTAGAGTACGTGAAGTGCCAGGCTTCATTGCTTGCGGTGCTTGGTGCGGTCACACAACTCCGCTCCTGCCACCCACCAGCACAAATGGTGTGTCCGTGGTTGATCGCTCGCTAATGGGTTTCGGTAGATCGTATTAAGTGCTGTGCTAGGTATCTTCTACATCGATCATACCTCGCTTCGTCAGGTGAAGCCCGAAAGAGGGCGCACCTTGACCGATTCTGCTGTCGTTGCTGAAGGGATTGACTCGTGTGCAGTCAGATATCGGGCGGGTGCTGCTGACCGCCAATCGATATGGCTTGAAGACAGAACTGTATGCTTAGACAACGGGTGCATGGATTGGCTGAAGGAGAGCGATCGACGTTCGACCGACAAGCGAAAGATAGTCGAGGAAACCTTCTTGATGCATGAAGACAATGTCTGGTTGAGACGAGAACAAAAAGAGGGCCACCAGGGGTTGGGGTTGCTGCCGGTTCGGTCCGAATGGGGTTGGAAGTGTCACCGGGAGCTGCGCAATTGGCTGTTTTAGGCACGCCAAACCCACCTAGAGAACTCGGATGGCGCCCAGCCAAGGGCCCCGGAACGGAACACTCGAGCCCCATTAGCACATCCGACAGCTGCCACCTTCGCTACAAACCTTCCACGGTCCTACCACACTATCGTTCTCGCGAAAATGATTTGATCCAGACCGCAATGACAGCAAACATATGTACGCCATCACCGCATTTCACGTAAAACAAGAAGGGCGTCACAGAAAGATGTTCGATCGTTTAGCCCGTTTCGTCCGTGCGGGTGCTTCGGTGACTTCCGATCCAAGATGCACGACCTACACTACCCAAGGAAGAGTACTCCGTGGCATGGTCGGAAGAGAAGAGACATCGGTCCAAGCAGATGACCCGGTCACTCAGTAATGGAGTCCAATAGAGCGGATCTTCTGAAAGTGTGGAGACGGACCCAAGGTGCCACTCATGCCTGCTAGACAGGACGCTGCCACATCGACGCCATTCGATATATCTGCTAATTGCAAGCGCAGATGAAGCATCGATGCACATGATACAAGACCGGCGGATGCCGCTTCGAGCCATCCCTTGAGCTACTTCCCCACCACGGCGACCTTGAGCAGGCCATGACAGACAGCCTGCGTCCTCCGACATGGGGATGGAGCCTTGATGATCAGGCTCGACAGCTCCTCATGTTGACAATTGAGCCATCCCTCGCTGTAATCATGGTCCCGAGCCTCTAAGCTCTACCACTCCCAGACTCTTCACTTCCTTTTCCAAGTTTCTCTCCTCTCGTTCTGCAGTCTAAACCTGAGCATAACCTCCATTCCGGAAGACGACCTCAAGCATGCCCTTGCTACGAAGGCTATCTTCTAGCTTCAGAAAGAACAAGGCAACCAGTGGAAATGGTGGCAACGGTAGCAATGGTGCTCTCCCATCGATTGACGAGTCTAAGCATTCTCCTGCGGTCAACGGGAACAGCACCAGTGGTGAGGCGACGAATGGTGCGTCGATTGGCCAGAGCCTGCAGAAGACGAAAGATGTCCGACGACGTTCAACGTACAAACCTACCACCATCCCGGATCCTCCAGCACCAGAGGAGAAAGAGGATGGATCACCAGCGACACGCAGGGATGTAGAAAGTGCTTTCAGCCAATTCGCAGAACTGATCCACGCATCGCAGCGTCCGCTTCCGACCCAGTCAGGAGACGGGCAATACCTCGAGAAGGAGGAACCGACTGGTTTCTGGCAGGATCTCAAACACCTGGGGCTCAAGGATGCCCAAGCAGCCTTGCACATGGTCGAGGACAAGCTCTCTGGTGGCCCGGTTGACGACCGAAAGATGCACATGGAAGAGGTTATGCAACTCATCGCCGCTCTTCCTGATCGCTCTGCCAATCGGGTCAAGCTCACCGGCGCTCTCTTGGACCTCCTGTGGAACTCGTTGCAACATCCGCCAATGTCTTATCTTGGAGATGACTACAAATACCGTTCTGCTAACGGATCGAACAACTCCTACATCTTTCCAAAACTTGGTGCCGCCAATACCCCCTACGCACGGTCAGTCCAACCCAAGACGGTGCAACCTGGTGCGTTGCCCGATCCCGGACTCTTGTTCGACTCGCTCCTGGCAAGAGAAGAATTCAAGCCTCATCCCAACAACGTCTCGAGCATCTTCTTCAATTGGGCCTCGTTGATTATCCACGGTATGTTCGCCTCGGATTCCGAGTTATGATCGCAAGCTAATCCATCGAGACCTCTTCCAAACCGATCACCGTGATTATAACAATAGCAAAACCTCCAGCTACCTGGATCTCTCCATCTTGTATGGCGACACTCAAGAAGACCAAGATTTGATGAGGACGTTTGAGCACGGCAAGATCAAACCAGACTGCTTTGCCGAAGAAAGACTCCTTGCGTTCCCACCATCTTGTGGCGTCATGCTCATCATGCTCAATCGGTTCCACAACTACGTAGTTGAGCAGCTAGCCCTCATCAACGAGAACGGCCGTTTCACGCCACCCTCCGGCAAGCTCTCAGGAGAAATATCCCAAGCAGCATGGAAGAAGTATGACAACGACCTGTTCCAGACCGGACGACTGATTACATGTGGCCTGTATATCAACATCACGGTAAGTACCCTTGCTCATGAGAAACCTTCAATTTCTAGACGGTTACAGTTACGTATGCTAACGAAGATCTTAGTTATATGATTATCTCCGCACGATCGTGAACTTGAACAGAACTAACAGCACCTGGACATTAGATCCACGTATGGACGCACCAAAGAGCTTCGGAAGTGACGGTACTCCAAAAGGAGTCGGCAACCAAGTCAGCGCTGAATTCAGTCTTTCGTATCGTTGGCACTCTTGTATCGGCCAAATGGATGAAGCCTGGACAGAGAAGGTCTACTATGAGTTGTTTGGGAAGAAGCCGGACGACGTCTCGCTCAAGGAATTGATGATGGGACTCGGGAAGTACGACCACGATCTGCCAAAAGATCCCCTTCAAAGACCATTTGCTCATCTCAAGCGCAATGCCAATGGCAAATTTGAAGACGGCGAACTTGCGAAGATCATGCAAGCTGGCATCGAGGAGGTTTCAGGCGCATTCGGAGCTCGAAACATCCCCAAGTCTCTTCGAGCCATCACCATTCTAGGCATTATGCAAGGACGGTCATGGAACCTCTGTACACTTAATGAGTACAGGAAATTCTTTGGTCTGAAGACTTACGACACATTCGAAGAAGTCAACCCAGACCCATACGTGGCCGACCAGCTCAAGCATCTCTACGAACACCCGGACTTCATCGAGCTATATCCTGGACTGGCAGTCGAAGAATACAAGGAACCAATGGTCCCAGGCGTGGGGATCTGTCCGACACACACAATATCTCGGGTGGTCTTGTCTGATGCTGTTGCCTTGGTCCGTGGTGACAGGTTCTATACTCTCGACTATACACCCAAGAACCTGACCAACTGGGGCTACAATGAGGTTGCGTATAACCTTGCCGTTAATCAGGGCTGCGTGTTCTATAAGCTCATCCTCCGGGCTCTGCCGAATCATTTCAAGGCCAACAGCATCTATGCCCATTGTAAGTGTCCCCTGTCTCTGTTTTGAAGTTCGAGACCTCGATGCTGATACTCTACTGCCCAGATCCAATGACGATTCCGAGTGAGAACGCTAAAATCATGAAGAACCTTGGGCGTTATCACGACTACGACTGGAGTGTACCAGAGTACATCCCTACCCGTGTCACCCTGACCTCGTACCAAAGTGCCAAATACCTCCTAGAACGGGCTCAAGACTTCACAGTCATGTGGGACGATGGTCTGGGCTTCGTCATGGGCAAGGGAGGCGAGAGGTTCTGTCTCGGAGGTGACACCGTCTTCCACCGCAAGCAGCGCCAAACCATGGGTCAGCTCATCTACAGGGATAAATGGCACGAGCATGTCAAGCATTTTTACGAGTATATGACCTTGCGTCTTCTCCACGAGAAAAGTTGTACCATTGCTGGCATCAACCAGGTGGATTTGACTCGAGATGTGGGAAATCTGGCACACGTTCACTTCGCGGCGAACATGTTTGCCCTGCCTCTCAAGACGGCCGAAAACCCAAATGGCATCTTCTCGGAGCAGGAACTATGGATGGCAATGAGTGTGATCTTCACGGCGATCTTCTTCGACTTTGAGCCAACGAAGTCATTCCCGTTGCGCATGGTGGCGAGGAAGCTTGCAACCATGCTCGGCAAACTTATCGAAGTCAACATTAAGTCTGTAACGGCCACCTCCTTTGCATCCAGGTTCTTCGACAGTCGGAGGGAGAACGAGAACGCGCTGGCCGACTACGGCATTCACATGGTCCGTCGCCTCAGCGAGACCGGCATGAGCACCTACGACATGGCATTCAGCCAGATCATGCCAACCGCTTGCGCCATGGTGCCGAATCAGTCTCAGGTCTTCACCCAGATCATGGACTACTACCTGAGCGACGAAGGCCTCAAGTATCTGCCAGACATCCAGCGCCTTGCCAGGGTCGACAGCAAAGAGTCCGACGAGAAGCTCCTGCGCTATGTCAATGAAGGCATCCGTCTGAACGGCACTTTCGGAAGCTACCGCCGCGCCGAAGTCAACCATACCTTTGACGACGATGGGCGGAAAGTCTCGGTCAAGCCGGGCGACAAGGTCTTCTGCGGGTTTGTGAAAGCGGCAAAAGATCCCCGAATCTTCCCCGACCCCAACGAGGTTCGTCTTGATAGACCATTAGAGTCATACATTCACTACGGGATCGGCGAGCATACCTGCCTTGGCAAGGAGGCCAGTTTGGTGGCCCTGACAGCCATGCTCAGAACGGTGGGCAAGCTGGAGAATTTGCGAAGAGCGCCAGGACCGCAAGGCCAGCTGAAGAAGGTAAGCGATTCACGAGGCACTCCTTGCCCAACCACCGTTCCCCCTATGTGATATGACCCGCTAACTGACGTTTCTTCCACATCAGGTCCCTCGAGACGGAGGCTTCTACGTCTACATGCGAGAAGACCACGGCTCGTACTTTGTATTCCCGTGCACGTTCAAGGTCCATTATGACGGGTCGCTGCCGCCACTGAGCAAAGTCAAGGCCGAGCATTAAGAAAGTTGGTGAGCAGCGACCATACTCTTCGACAGGTATGCCAGCTGGGACAGCGGGGATGGGTGATGCACTACCTGTCCTCTTCGGCGCAGGAAGATCGAATTTGCAAGAGTGAACTGAACGGAAGTTCCATACGTAGGTATTAGCATAATCAGAACGTAGTACCACCGCGCAATGAGAAGGCATTGAATAACGTTGAGCCCGGTGCACTATTATGACCCGAGCCTCGCTACTTCAGACAACACAGCTGGGCGACGGCTTGTTTGAGGTCATAGCACGGTTGACGAGCAGGTTCAGCTCGAGCTGGAATGAGTTTGTCGAGGCCATAAACTGTATGAGGTGCCATTCTTGCCGCCCACTGCCGCCAACTGCGGCCATCACCTGCCATCGACTACCACCTACTGCTACAACTGCCAGCAACCACAAGTGCATTGCCGGATCATTCGATCGACCGTAAGCTTGGCGCTAAGTGGTTGCTACTTGAATTGCGTTTCGCTTCCATCTCACACAGACCGATCAAGCCATCTACAGAGCAGGCACTTCAGCTCCTCCTACACATAGCCAGAACTCACGTGGCTGTTCCTTAAAGCTCGTTAATCATCTACACCCGTACGATCGGAGCACACAGCTTTGTGGACGGTGATGGATATCGGAGATTCAATTCAGGCCTCCCACGCCGTCAAAGCAATTGACAGCTGTCCCGCGCACCATGGACGCCCCCCTACCCTGTTGGCACGAAGATCGTACCTCGTACGCTGGCGTTGGACTTGCTGAACGTCTCGAAGATTCTCATTGAGCCTGACCTTGCCAGTTGTGGTTCAGCGATCAAATACGGAGTAATCTATTGGGTTCGCGTGCCTTCACCTCGTCGTCAGGTGTCCCTTGGCCCCTTCTGATCAACCACCTCGCAGCAAACATGTTCAGTCCATGAGGTTGGAGTGCAACCTCCATTTCGTCATTCGTCAAACCGCAACAGCCAATACGACAATGTATTCGACGAGATGCCGAAGCTTCGGAGCAAATTGGTGCATATCGTCTGCATACAGTGCAGGGCTGAGCTGGACTTCCAGTCGAGTTTGACTTTCAACAGCCGAAAGACTGGCTTCCTGGTGCCAGACTTCGTATACTAGTACAGCCTTTCGTGGGCGTCTCGGTAGAGGCCTTGGTACGCCTCGCCGAGATGCCTGCAGATGGACTGCTCTTCCATGATCAACAAGCCTGAGCGGGCTTGAAAAGGGAGACGCATTCCATCTGCAACTGGGATTGTAGGTCTTTCTGTCGAAATATTCTGCAAATCCCGAATTACCGCCATGGCGGCAAAGTACGGTCTCCTCAGCTGTTTCGCTGTGTTTCTCTTCCTCTCTTCTACACATTTTGCTATAGCGGAAGGAACCGAGCAGAAAACAAAATGGCTCGTCCCTCGAACCAACATCACAGGACCCAATCCGAATGACTATGAATGTGAAAGTGCTCGAGCGGCTGACTATTATGGCATTGGTGTCCGCCTGGTAATTTGTGACCGCCATGGGGGCTTGCTCACAACGTGGCAATGCTAACGTCGTTCTTATCAGGGCATCTACTTCTCCTGGATAACTGGCTGGGTGGTGAGTCGGACCCACCAACCTCATACGCGGCGCACACTGACCGAAGAAGGCAAATTCCTTCGTATCTGGGGATATTGGTGGAGCCCTCGATACAAACGCCATATTCCTTTTCGCGAATCTTGTCGCTATGGTCAGATGTACCATGACAAAGGTCTTGACGCAGCTCGACTGTATGATGCTGATGCACCTGTCTGGTGGCACAGTGTTCTCGGTGCTCAGCCTCTGGGGGTATCGAACTTGTCATTACCCCAGAGAAGGCCCAAAGGGGATTCGCCATTTCGGAGGCTTTGGCACGCATCTGAGGCTGCTGCTCTCCATGGCTGTCGCAATTTATGGGCTCTGGTTCTGGATCATCGGTATTCAACCAGACACGACTGAGATCAATGTGGACGCCGGTCCATGCAGGACGGTGTATACTTTCATGTTTGCCAAAGTCCGTGCCGACGGCGGCGTAAGGATATTCTACATCATCATCTGCGTGGGGTGTGTTATCTACTTCGGTGTGATGCTGCTCGCATCCTCATTAGCCCTCTATGCGAGATTGGCGAAGGCGGCCAACTTAGCAAAGCAGGGGAAATGGCGAACGAGCACTCGGCTGCATTATGCTACCGGACTGTATCACAAGGAGTAAGTTCCCGGGTGAGTGCATATATGGCGCGGGACAAATAGCTGACTGCAGACATCAGGCTTCGCAGGATCTTCTACTTCCTTAGGGTCGGCAATCTGATTTGGATCGTGTGGTCTGTGATACTGGTCGAATGCACCCTCAACTTCAACCACGTCAAGGCGGTTCTTGGCCCCGGCAACCGCATCTTCTTCCCTTCTCAGCTCATCCCTGCAATCATTGGATGCTTCAGCTTTGTTCGGCTGATGTACAAGGTCTTGGAGCAATGGCGAGATCCTGATGACGAGCCATCTCTCCCGAACGATCCTCACCTCACGGGAAGGCGACAGGAATTCCCCAGCCCGAAGAGGCTCTTCAAGGTCTTTGCACCGCCAACCACTGCTGTCAACCCCCGTCCCCGACTCCCAGAAGACATGCCGCCGGAAGACACAGACATTGACGAGCTTCTACAAGGGGAACCCATCCGCTTGAGGTATCTTGTCACCTGGCTGCCGTGGCTCTCACTGCTCCCATGGTGGACAAAGAATGAGCAGAAGCCACATAATAAACGTGATACGAAAAATGTGGAAAGCGGTCGATCACATTCGCCTTCTTCGACCCTCCAAGGAACACCCACGACGCCAGCCTTCGTCAACCCGTACCAGTCGCAGATTCCCTGACGCCAGAATGCTGCTGGTTTAAGGATCAAACGCTACGTGATACTCTCCTTTCGAACGTATGCAACAGAACAAATAAGATTGGGTCGCTGTTGACATATGCCATGGGACACTGTGACACGAATTATATAAATCTGGGCGGCAACGTGCAAGGACTGCATGCGTTTGTTGAGCCCAACCCAATCTTGACAGCGGCCTCCGTTGCCTGAGCGGACCTTATTGGCCTGGGGCTTTACGTGGTGAAGACTGTCCGGCGCCCTACTCCGTACTCCGTATTTCACGTAAGCAAGTTCGCAATTTGCCTCAGGCAAGGCGCGCGACACGACAGCAGCCTGAAATCTCGTTTGGTCGTATTGCGATCCTACTCTGAGCCCAGGTCGCACGTCAGCCGTGTCGCTCTCCGAACAGCTTGGGACGGAGTACGGAATATCGGCAGGATATTTCAGGGCCTCACAAGCGAGATGTGCTTGAAACCTGAACGTCGACCCGAAGTTGAAAGCACCTTGTGAGACGGACTGAGACATGGCCAACGTGCAGCAGACCTTTTTTACCAGGTTCCGGAAGTCCAGAGCCGCTCCCCTGGACAATGGCCCCTCTATGCCCTATTGAGTGGGCAGACACCGCCTGTTGCTACAGCTTGTCCTTCCCCTTTCAGTCTGGCTGCAGCTCGAAAAGAGGCTTGGAGGCTGAAGAGCGTCAATTTCAAGAGGCTCCCCAGAAACTCGTCAACCAATGGCACGCCTGTCAGAGGTCAGGCCGAGCTTCGTTAATGCTGTTGACCCAATCTCGGGCCGCTGGCCCCGGCTTGTCCGCCTCCATTCAATCTGCAACCATGTGCGCCGTTTCTGGTTTTGTCGATCCAACGCATGGGGTTGGCGGCGGCCTTGACGAGCTCGAGAAACACGTTGTCCGTCGTCCAACGCTCTTGTGGTATCTGCGCATATCATGCAGATATCATGCAGGTCGACCTCATCCTGCTCAGAAACTTGATCGAATACCGGTTCTGCATGTGCTCAAGATAGGGTCAAGTTTCCGGCGAACACGTAACACCGCAACAATCCTCCTCGAGTTCCGACCTTGCAGGGCAGCTCCAGCCTTGATTCTAACGCATAATTTCCCGGCCGTCAAACGCATGATGCCGCCCATGGGCATGACTACGGCCTAGCGGGTCTCGTTCACGGAGGCTAATCGGCACGTTTCGATTCTCCTCGTTCTGGCTTGCTTCTTGATGACGATTTGGACAATCCGACGCCCCTCGCGTCCTAAACGGTACTGTGATGCGAGGGCGTGGCTTGCTCCATCACTTGCAATTTCGCTCTTAGCTTACCATATCCCCAGCTTCCATGCCTTACAGACCCGCCTGAAGCTGTTTTCTCCCTCTTTGTTCAAGAGTATTGCTGTTGCTGGGTGGGAGGAGAGTAAGTAGCTTTGACAGCATTTTGGCTTTGTTGTCTCTGTTCTCTTGGGGCTCGCGACTGTTACTCGGCACTCTGGCGTGAAGTCAGATATTCTCCGCCGTCGAATTGCAGGCCGGAAGCCACGTCAATGGTCACTCAGGATTCCTGGTAGCAGACTTGCAGAGTTCAAGGTTGAACCTTCACCGCCAAAGACCTCCGGATGCGTTGAAAGTCTGTCGATTGCGGCAAGAGCGCATTTCGAAAGCATAAGCTTTGCCCTCGTCAGCAAAAAGCAAGATGCGAATCTCCCGACTGATCGTCTGGACGGCGCTGGGATGGGCTCTACCTCTGACGGTCGACGCTGGACCCGCGGCGCAGATTCAGAGACGACAAGACACGACAGATACTGGCTTTCCAGCTCTCACGACCGACTCGCCCACTGGCTCAGCAAACACTCTGGCTCCGGAGAGCGAGACGGCCACATCGGCTGCGACAACCTCAACAAACGACGTTCAGTCTTCCAGCTCCACAGCATCATCCACATCGGCTGCAAACTCGCCCTCGTCAAGTCTCTCTTCGACGGTCCAGCATTCCCCTAGCACGACATCCATCCTGCCAACCGCCTCCAGTACTACCGCCAGCAATGCTACGGCGAGTTCGGACGAGCAAGAGTTAGATGCCCTGCCAATACAGCCGCAAATCACACCAGCCTTCGGTATCGCCGGAGTGTTCCTTATTGTCCTAGGCGCCACATACGCTTTGATTGGGGTCAAGAGCAGATGGGTTCAGATATTCCTCTCCTGTGGGTTCCTTGCGAGTATAGCGACAACGGCGCTAGTCGACTACGTCATGAACCCACCGGTAACGAATGCTGTCCAAGGAGGCTTTTTCGTGGCAATCTTCATGACCGGTGTTATTTTTGGGGGTGGAGCCCTGGTATTCAAAGAGATCACCGAAGGCTTTGCCTGTCTGCTGGGCGGGTTTTGTTTTAGCATGTGGCTGCTTACACTGCGACCTGGTGGGCTCGTTACTAGCTCGGGAGGCAAAGGCGTTTTCATTGGAATATTCTGCATTACAATCTGGGCGCTATCCTGGACCCATTACTCTCGGCCATATGCACTAATCGGAGCAATCTCCTTCGGCGGAGCGACGGCATTCACATTGGGCGTTGACTGTTTTACACGGGCTGGCTTGAAGGAGTTCTGGTTTTACCTCTGGGATCTCAACGACGACCTCTTCCCCTTGAACACCAACACTTTCCCATTGACAAGAGGAATCAAGGTCGAAAATGCAATAATTGTGATCGGCACCATCATCGGTGTGCTCTCACAAATGAAACTCTGGAAGGTAATCCGATCCAAGGAGCGTGAGATGGAGGTCGTCGACGAGGAGTACTCACGCCAGAGGGAAGCCGTTGAGGCTGCTCTGGGCCGACACTTGCAACGGCAGAACGAACGGGAAAAGTCGGAATGGGAGAAGCAATACGGAGATCGCCTAGCAAGCAGACGAAGCACCGTGCTGTGGCAGAACACGCATCCCGAGAAGCGGTACTCGAGTGTGTCCGTCATTCAGCTTGACCAAGAATCGAAGCAAGGTTCTTCTGAAAGCTTGGAAATGAATGCGTATGGCCCACGGAGAACGGATTCGGCTTACAGCTCCAGGAACAAACGACAGAGCTCACTGCCAGTGGACGTCATTGAAGAAGTAGATGAGGATGCCGGTGCTCTTGCGACGGAGCGCGAGAGAGCTCTTCAGGCTCTGGAGAGGACCAAAACTCCCCTTAGTATGCTGGAGCGTACACACAGCCGTGAGTCCCTAGCAGGGAAAAGCACCGCAGGTGCGTCGAACGACGGCGGTTCTGCTCAGGGTGCCGCTGCCATTGATCCGTCAAGGAAACTTGGCGATCCGTCAAGACTCAAGCGGCTTTCGCAGCAGTCACTTTCCCGGATATCGAAACACCTCAGTGTCAACTATAATGGCAACTCTCAGTCCCAGGAACATCTCATTGATACGGAACGGCCACACAGCAGAGCATCTTCAGCTGCCGCAACCCTGGACGTTGACAATGAAGATTTGGATATCCACACGATCGACGTGGAGATGGACAAAGACATGCCATCACCGCCGGATATCGTTATATCCCCGGCACGTAACTCTGGACCCACATTTGCCGACGAGGTACTTCCGAACAAGGACTCCATTATAAGGCAAGGCACACCAGCTTCGAGCATTGGCGGCAATCTAGAACGAGACCACCTCATCCTTGAGTCAGATAAGTTACCCAAGAATGAGGGTACGAGCTCAGAGGGGACACCGACACCCGAAGAAAGTGGCACTGGCGAACTCAAAAACCCTCAGTCACACACCTCCGAGTCGAGCAATTCGAGCGCCGACACTTTGACGAAGACTGCCCTTGCTTCGGTGCCGAGCCAGCTGTCGAGCGTGGTGTTGTCATACCGGACCAACGAGTGGGCGAAGCACATCACTGCGGCTGAAGAGCCGGTCTATGACGAGCCAGAGACCATTGACGGCGTTGACAACGAGTTGCCCACGCATCTGGCTCCGGTGTCGGAGTCTGAGAAGGGACAGCTCACCCCGGAAGTGGCTGGCGAGATCCCCCCAACAGCGACTTTGCCGCCCACGGTCAAGGCAGGCGGTGGTGGCGTCGGAATAGCTGCTAAGCCATCAGTCTCGCAGCGTTCATTCTCAGACCAGGAACGTCGCCGGAGCAGCGGAAGGGCGCCGTCACGGTCGAACTCCAGCCAGTCTCTCCGGCACTCTTCCAGCCGAGGCAATCGTACTTCATTGAACCCCGGCATGCAGCATTCCCTCATTACTACACCCATTGCCGAGGATGCGGCCATGGAGTTCCCTAACGCGAAGAGGTCAAGCCGGCGCGTGTCGGCGCCATATCCGATGCCCTCTCGGAGCAACAGCGGGCCTCGACCTCAAACGGCCTACAGCATCAGCCCATATACCAGCACACAGGACCTCCTTGACATGCCTCGTCCGTTCACGCAACACGGTTCCCGGCCCGGTCTCTCCAATGAAACGAGAATGGGGTCGCAAAACTCTCACCAACCACCACAGAGGGATCTGAGGACCGATGCCCAACGGCGAGAATCGCTGCTAGCGGATTGGCGGCTCTCGCAGCAACAACGGGCCGCAAGCACAGGCATCAGCGGTGCCATGGCGGAGCAGGGCCGAGCTCAAATGAGAGCCGAAAAGGAGAATCAGAAGCTCGCCGAGGAGCACCAGCGCAACACGATCCGACAAAAGCAGTACGCCATGGACCAGATGATGCGACGGCCGGACATGCAAGAGTTGCACCGTGAAGCCATGCGCAAGATGCAGGCCAACGCCAACAAGAAGCTCCGGTCCTCCACCGGCTAGTGACTGGTCGACCGACCGAAAATGGAGTCTACGCTCTCTACTTCTGCACCATTATTTCAGTTAGTTATTCATTCATTCGCATACATACCCATTGCATATGGCGGAGTTGGGGTCTTGAACGGCCGGTCTGGGCGGAACATGGGCAGGACCGGACAAAAAGCGAACACGACACATACGGGAGGCGGGCTTAACATAGGAGGCTATTCGGTCTTTTGACCAAAGAAGGGAGCTGCCTTCATTTCAGCCCGGGAGGGCAAGGACGTTATGCGAACATAGAGATGATACCCCGACTGGATATACACGACACAGTAGCTTAATGGAATATCTAATAAGCATCACTTGTGACATGTATTAAAGCCTAAGCTGTAGAGGCGGCAGACAGTACGGCGTAGACACAGGTCCGCGGCTACAGTAAGTGTCTGGGGGTTTAGCAGCTGGTTAAGCCTCCGAACCTTGCTATTACTGCACCGAGTACTCCGTACCCCAGGGATGATTTCCTGGCTGTTCTGCTCTTTGTCTGCAACGTGCGGAATCCTTCGACCGGCTTGAGTGTGTCATTCCTTCGGCCATTTTGCTTCTCAGAATTCAAGGTGCTGTGAACTGATCCGCACTTCTCAGCGCGCTCTCCTCGGGCCCGTTCGTTCACAACACTGATCCAGGTCGCTGATGACGGCTCCAATGGCTCTTATCGCACCTCAGCAGCCTCCGTTCAGCGCGGCAAGGCCCAGCCCTGGTGCCCACATGCCCTGACAGCTTGCTCCGTATTCCACTTCCCCACTGCCTGGTTCGGAGAAAGCGGCCCCGACGCTTAACCCGCCTCGCCGTTTACTGTCGACGCTGTCCTCACCCGTTATTCCTCTCTTTGAGTTTTCGGGGGTGGGACTCGTTGATGCAGGCTCTGTACTGTACACAGTAGGAAGCATCAGATCGAGGAGGTCGAAGCTCTCCACAACTCGAGGGTCTGACATGGTAGAAGTTCGATGGTGTGAAGTCGCAATTGCCACTATGCGCTCCTCATCCCCAGTGCAACCCGACCATTGCAGGGTGGGTTTGGCTTGGTCGCGCCCGCTAGTCGGTTCATGAACGCAGCTTGTCCTCTCCTACATTGGGCCCCTTCCTAGGCGTTTGAAGTGGAAGATCATCGGCTTGCAATCGAGTCTCCTTTTGTGCCCGAGTCACTCACTTTCTCCCAAGATCCCGCCTCTCCACGGCACGATTCGCCAGCCGTCGACGGTCGAACCGACAATCAGAGTGGTTCGCTTGGTATCCGTCACCTTTCTTCTCCCGGTCAAGCCTAATTCGGCATTTCCTTATCACCACCAGTGTCCCTGGACGCCGCATGATATCTCGGCTAGGTGAAGCTGCGCTCTTTCCCTTGCAAACGCACAATGGCATTCGACCTGACTTGACCTCGACTCACCACATCCTCGCACCATGAGGACTCTCTCCGTAGACCTGAACACTCCGCTCGACGAACCAGTCCTCCGGCACCTAATCTACTCGTAACAGAGCGAGCGACGTCATCGAGAAATCCTACAACCGACCCACGCCGGACAGACAACATGGGCACCCCGTTCGTGGTGGAATCATGGATATGGTACTCGGTCACCATATGCATGGTCATTGCTCGAGTGTACGCAGCGTGTATCTTCAGACAAGAAATTCGAAAAGGGCTAACAACCCGACACAGGGCCGTGCGACTGATGCATTTCAAGTCTGTGCTTCGGCTCCAGACAGAGGATTATGTGATGGTATTTCTGACTGTCCGTCTGCCTATATCCCTCATGCGCCTCTGCGTGGCTAAGAAGACCAGTGCCTGTACACCATACTCATCGCCTTCCTCAACATTGACCTGAATGTCTCGACGAACCTGATCGATCCGGCCCACCCAGTCACCCTCACACCCCTGGAGATTTCGCAACGAACATGGGGCTCCAAAACGGTTCTGCTGGTCGAGCAATGCATGTGCGCCGTGCAGTGGGGCACGAAATGCTGCCTGCTGCTCCTCTACTGGCGGCTGACCCAGAACCTCCGACAAGCCCTCGTGGTCAAAGTCGCCGCGGCATATGTGGTGGCGACGTACATTATCATGGAGATCTTTTACTTTGGTGTATGGTGTCGCCCGTTCCGCGACTATTGGCAGACCCCTACGGATAACGTGCAATGCACGACCGCGCTCCACCATCTCATCATGAATCTCGTCTTCAACTTGACCAGCGACATCCTGATCCTGTCGATCCCTCTGCCGCTGCTCGTCAGGGCGCACTTGCCCCTCAGGAAGAAAGCTCTGCTGGTTTTCCCCTTCAGCCTCGGTCTCTTCACCATGCTGTGCGCCATCCTGAGCAAGCGCCTGAGTTTTACTCACCCGTACAGCTCGGAGTGGGTGTACTGGTACTGTCGAGAGGCGAGCACAGCCATGATTGTGGCGAACATGCCCTACAGTTGGGCACTGATCCGAAAGGTCTTCAATCTCCGGTCATTCTTTGGCGACTCAACTGCAGGACACATCCAGGCAGGACAACCGAGAGAGCTTACGGGGCACAGTCTCGGGGTCCTGCAATTGGAGAGTCAGCCTCGGTCGCGCGAAGTGAGTCATGCCGAAGGTGAACACGGGAAACTCTCATGGCACAAACTCAAGCTTCACACGTCAAGAGATGACACGGTCAAGCCCTACGAGAACGGCAAGGACAAGGAAATCAATGTCAATACGACCCCGACGTCGAGCAGCACCAGTAGTGCTGGATCTGTTCGAAAACCACCCACCACAACGAAGACGGACTGGACCTTGGACCGTCTGTACCCTCTGGACGACGAAGAACTGGCAGCTCCAGACCCTACGCAGCGTCGTTATGAAGGGGTTTGAGTGATTTCCATCTGTACGCGGGGTACGAGCGACCACAAATTTCGCCAGATGTGCTGCAAATGCGAGCTGTTTGTCGGGCTTGGCAGAGCTAAACCCAAAAGAGCTTATGCGGCTGAGCAACCAAGAACATGACGCAGCCGGAATTTTCACTCGGGTCCTGGCTTTGTCAGGCAAACTTTCGGTCCTGAGTCACTCACAAAGCGATTCCCGCAGACAAAAGGACAAACTCTTCGTCGTTCGATGGAATCAAGGTAAGCACCGCTCTAACGACCACTTGTCAAACCCATGGCTGACAGGAACCAACCGCAGCCGGATCCACGGCAACGCGTTCAACATCCCTTGCGATCAGCGTCCCATTCCTACAATCAGTATCACGACCCTAATCAGGATCTCTTCTGGCCCGAGCCTGTTGAACAATTGACTGTCGAAGGCACTGCTCAAATTGAGCCCGAGCGGCTGCCTCGGTCGGATCCCTCAACGCAACCTCAATCCAGTCCCTCGCCGCAACCCCAACCGGATCCCTCGTCGCAGTCTCAACCGAACCCTCCGACGCCTCGACAAGATGTGGTCAAGAGACGCCCCGTCCTGCCCATGATATCTCACAGCGCGCCTCCGCCGATCGACGCAGGCGACAAGACCGTTCTCTCACCCATCATCCCGTCGCCACTGCGCATCCGCCGACCCAAAGTACCCTCACCCCAACCACCCCCTACTGCGATGCGATCAGTGCGCCTTCTGATCGCCTCATTGGGCAACCCGCCGCCATACCACTCCACACGCCATTCCGTAGGGCACATCGTCTTGAAACACCTCGCGAGCCACTTGGGCCTCCCCTCGCTTACGAAATCGAAGCTCCTCGGCCCCGGTCTAGTCAGCTCCGGGGCCGACATCGGCCTACCGCAATACACGCTCTGGCAGAGCGCGAGCATGATGAACATCTCCGGTCAAGGGACTCTAAAAGCATGGAAAGCATTCACAAACCTGCATCCTGCCTCGGAAGACGTGGTCACAGCGTTAATCATCCTTCATGACGAACTCGAGTCCTCTCTCGGGGCGATCAAATTGCGCCGCGGCGAGTCTTCGCCCAAAGGTCATAACGGGATCAAATCCGTACAGTCGTCGCTCAAGTCTGCTGGTTTGCTGTCTGCCATGGGTGAGAGGTTTATCAAGATTGGAGTCGGCATCGGGAGACCCGTATCCCGGGAGAAAGATGATGTTAGTGCCTGGGTGCTGGGCCAGTTGACAGCCGCGGAGAAAGCCAAGATCGAGGGCGCGACCGAGAGTTTGGACGCAGTGCTGAAGAGTGAGATTGCCAGGTTGGGGAGGTCATAAAGGACGGCAGGTAACTGCGTCTGGCTTCCATGGGAAGGAAGGAAGGGAATGGAAGGGAAAGACCAATGGATTTCTGCGTGGCTAAGGTTGCGGTTTCCCTTGCCTTCCAAGGTAGGCAGAGATACAGTCCTGGTTTGAAAACGTGTGATATACTTCCGGAGGTCGGGTGGATTTGGCTTTGGCTTTGGCTTTAGCAGGGCTATGGATTTGGCTTCAGCATGCTTTTGGCTTTGGCAGGCCTTTGGCTTTCGCATGGCTTTTGGCTTTCGCATGACTTTTGGGCTTTCGCATGGCTTTTGGGTTTGGCGTTGACACTGACATCGACATTGACATTGACATTTCTCGTTCAGATACCCCATATAGCATGACGAGGCGTTGATGATGGGAGATCGGATGTACCCAGTAAATAGAAGTACTGTGTACGGAGTAGAATCAGGCAGAGGAATGGCTGAAGGAAGCGGAAAATGAAGATCAAGATCAAGATCCAATACTCCGTCCGTACATCCATACTCATACTCACACTCGCACTGTGCTGTACTGTATTTGAAAATTCGATGTCGAGGCAACCACACCATCAAGCATACAGTACCATTGGATGGCTTATACATGTATCTAGGTAGGCATTCGTGTTCTTCGTTACCAGGTACGTTTGGGATGTACCTATTACAGTAGGTACATAGATTGGCTTGTTTGATGGGAGGGATCGAGGGCACAGGGCACACACACTTCATTGCCCCCTTCTTGTAGAGTACGTCACCTGCCTCAGCAACCAACCCATTTAGTTACTGTAGTGAGTGAGTGAGTGAGTGTTGGAAATGATCATTCTTACTAACTATATCTTAAGATACCTTGCACAAACTGCTATTTAATTACTACGAGTTCCCTGTTACTGGTTTGGTACGGAGAATGGAGTACAGGGATGTAATTATACATTCATGTCGGAACAGCACGACTACCCAGCTACAGTACCTATACGAGGTACAGTACTGTATGTTCTCCACGGGTTGGTCACAAGCCCACATATCCGAAATGCTCGTAATCCGTGCGTGAATCCCCGAAATCCCGTCCCGTAATGACCTCGCAAGGTGAGGCTCATCATCGTGAGGCTGACGAGGCTGGAAATAGGAAAGGTCGAGGTGGCGAAATATACACGTATGTACGTAACTACCAGGTGACTACCTCCCTCTCGCATACGGGCTCGACTCGACTCAGCCTCCTGTGTGTGATGCGAGGTCAGTTTGTAGTGACAGCGTGGGTGATACGACTCGATTCGCCCAGGTCCACATTCGGAGACCACGCGGAGCGCGGAGCATGGAGCATGGAGCATGGAGCATGGAGCATGGAGCATGGAGCATGGAGCATGGAGCATGGAGCATGGGGCATCGAGCATGGGGCATGGAGCAATTACATCTATGTCCTGCATAAAGTCGTTCAGTTCAGCTGAGCTGAACTTGTGTCCTGTCAACTAGGGCCGAAATCGAGACACCCAAAGTGCCCTTCGGTGGCCAACTGCTCCAATACCAACTAAATCCATCGCATCGCATGCCTTGGGTGTCCTTGGGGAGACGCACATGTACGTACAGTAAGCTTCAGCCATCCAGCCAGCCAGCCAACGGGCAAGTGAGACCTCAATTCCAGTCCCAAGTGGACAAGTAGATACTGTTCGTGCTGTTCATGCTGCATATGTAGTCACCATCTAGCGCCCTCCGTGCGGGCCCGTCCGCCTGTATCCTGCCCGAAACCGTCCGTGGGAGAGATGAGAAAAAGGTCGGGGGTCAGTCATCCCGTGGCCCGTGCTCTTGTAGGTCGTGTGTCGACGTCGCATCGCATTGTGTATCATTGCGCCAACCCCGGGCAAGGAAAGTAAGTGCTTGCTTGGTTCGATCTAATTGTTCCCCCAGGGTGCTCGTATTGATGCGTTGGCGTTGCGTTGCGTTGCGCTGCCGAAGCTCGGATCACCTAAGTACGGCGTGGCATGCGGTGTCAGATGGAAACGTTTGCCCAGCTGAAAGAAAAGTTGATCCTGGTCCGGATAACCTTAGGCAGTCGGTGATAAATGTCTGACGTGATCGATCGTCAGAGTCCTCGTAGTTGGCGGTAGATCGTCTTTGGGTTGCTCGCGATATGTTACTGTGTAGTTGGCGTGACCTCTGCGGACTGTTCACCTCCTTCCAAGCTCACGCTCATGCTCATGCTCGTGTCCGCAACCCGGTTATCTTGCTGACACCTGACTATACTGCCGCAGCAAAGGCGGGCGTCAGTGGTGGGTGAATGATGGCTTGTTGTGGCAGCGTAGGGACAAGTGTTGCGACAAGGCTGGCATTATCTGGCTGCCTGGTGTTCTCTGGTGGTGGACGTCTCCTGTCCTCTTGGGGCTCGGTTTCTGTGGCCCCATGGGCTTGAGGATACCAGCAACGTCGTAATGGCCGCGACCCATGTTGGCGGTTGATCGTGCTTGCTTGCTTGACTGTCAGTCCGTCGGTAGATACGTAGAAGCAACGTCTGCCAGAATTGCCTCTGCTCTGGTCGGGAGGTAGAACGTGGGAGACGTGGAACACGGAGGCACCTTTTATATGCAGGTCCCGATGGATGGAAGCGGTGACACTGACACCGTCACGAAGCTTTGGGGCATACGATACAAAAGTGTCAAAAGCATGTCGCACGTCGCATGTCAAAGCATGCTAACGGATGGACCGAGTCAAGTCAGGCACCGAGTACATTCCAAGCGCCTGTAGTCGACCCGAAATGGATGCTGGCCAGGTGGGTGCCAGGGAGATCATTTTTCTTCTCTGTGCTGCTTGTGCTGCTGCTGGGTTTCGGTGTCAGCTGCCAAAGTCAAAGATGCGGTGACTGTGTGTGTGTGGCGTTTGGGTACCGTCCAACAGCCAACGGCCTGTCAGGCGTGTCCCTAGGCTGACTTTCCCCTGCAAGATGCCATGCAAGGCCCTTTTCGACCTTTCAGGGCATCCACTCGCAGCGACAGGCACTGAAGCGAAAATTCGGTATCGGAGTCGGTATCGCCTTGGGGATGGCGTGGTTGCGCAGGTCCAGCTATCACAACGGGAAGTCGGTCACGGAGCTCACCTTTGCGCAGCTGTACGCCCCTGCCCACCCTACCTCGCCTGCCTCTCCAAAGAAAATGGATCCGCCACAAGCTGCGAGCGTATGGCGGACATCATGGTTGTGGACAGGTTGTTTGCTTACACGCTGGGAGCAAGTGGCAGGGACGGGCAAAGGTCCAAAGGGGCGGTGAGGAGGCTGACATTTGCGCATGCGACTCGGCCGCAGCAAGCTGGGGCCGCAATGCATAATTCCTTCTCCCGCCCGCTGGCCTGCAGACTGCAGCTACGAGCTAATCTAGGAGTCTCGCAACCGAAATTCGCGATTGGGTGGCGCAGGTACCTCGCTTGGGCGGAGAGTTGCGCCATCGTCCGCCCAGGCCTCGTGTCCATCATGAGTGGCGTGGGGTACGAGTCGGTGACGAGAAGCTCCATTTATACAGCGACACCAGCGCGTCGGAAGCATCTGAGCTGGATCGTCGGACCTTACGTTCTCTTTCCTGGGGTTCCTGCATAGAGACAGGGAAGTTTTTGTGGGTAATATGGGGCAAGAACGTTACGACGGGGAGAAAGAGAGAAGGCACGGAGACCGGAGAGAGCAAATATATGACGGCGGACACACTGGATAGAAAGATCGCCTGCGCCTGCTTTCATTCCGGCACTGACGCCTGCTCAAATGTATCCAGTACACTGGGACATGCAGCTACCGGAGAAGGCTCCAACTTTCCGCAGTAGGGCGACTCTCCACTCCTTGCGGGCGTGACTGTCCGGATCTACACAGTAGAGTCTCGCAAGGCGTTTCGGTGAGGGATCGACAGGCAACGGCTCATAGTTCTACTGCGGTACTTGGGCCTCACATGTCAACACCTCCCTCGACCTGGACACCTTGTATCTCGCCCTTTTTGAACTTGTTGGCCATGTCCTCAAACGTGCACCACTCAACACCTTCGTGCTGATTGATCCATTCAATGAGGCGCTCATGCATGAGCACGATTTGGGGCTTCCCGCTGACTTGCGGGTGGATGCTGATTGGAAACACAAAATGCTCGTACTCGCGGTAGCAGAAGTCGAATTGCTCCTGCCAAAACCTTTCAATATGGTGTGGGTCAATAAAGCCAGAAGATCCCGGCCCTCGCTGTGGCTGGAACGCAGGCCAATCGTCGACGTGCCAGTTTGCTGGGATCTCAACGAGCGATGACGGCCGCAGTGATGACATCGGAGTCATCCAGTCGCTGGCCGAGAGGTTCTTGTAGTCCGTCTCCTTCCACTGCTGCGGTGGGTAAGGCAGGTAGTACAGCTGCGAGTCGTGATGCATGAAGGAATGGTCATACTCGATTCCGTGCTCCTCCAATAGGTTGACCGTGCTAGGCGATGGAGTCCACGCGGGTGCGGTGAAGCCTCGAGGTTTCTTACCCGTAAAGTCCGTGATGACCTGGATGGATTTCTGCAGGACGTCCCGCTCTTGTTGTGCCGAGAGCTGGGAGATGAATTCGTGCGTGTAGCCATGAAGTCCGCTGGGGCAGGATGCATGATATCAGCAGCTCATTACGGGGTAACTTGGACAGAGCGGTGACCAACATTTCGTGTCCAGCATCTCGTACCTTGGCCATCTGGGTTGGGAACGACTCGATCGAATGGCCCGGGATGAACCACGTCGCCTTGATGTGGTATTTCTCGAAGAGCTTCAGTAATCGGTCCGTCCCTACAGTAGCACCAAAGACACCGCGGGAGATGTTCGTCACGTCCGCCTTTTGGCCCGTCTGCGTGTTGATCCAGCCGCTGACGGCGTCAACATCAATGCCATATCCGACCAAGACTTTCTTCACCATGGTTGCGAAGCTGTGGCAGAAACCAGGATGTTAATCGAGTGGCACGGAAGAAGCCTACCTGTCTCACTATATACCGAGGACACGTCCATATGAGGGGATCAGCCATTTGCTATCATGGCTGCTGCGTTGATAGACGGAGATGGTCGACGCGACTTGGAGAGGCCGAGATGAAGTCTCCAATTCGACATCTACGCCGTCAGACGGTCACTTGTACTATTTCCGTTGACGTGAAAGACTGTCAGACACTCGGTTCTGCATCCACCTTTTTCACATCTGCAACAACTGCGCATTCTGACTCCAGTAGCTGCTGAACGTGGCCGCCTCCGCCATGTAGCAGATGCCACGTCTTTCTCCAGCCTTGATCCGCCAGGCCACATTGGAAAATCCGCTCCTGACTCTCCTCCTGCAAGTATGTCGCGACCTACCGTCCGCGCGGAACGAGCTGCGGTGGCTCCGAGAACACGCCCACGATGCCGTCCATGCAAAGAGATACGCCAGTCGCGGCCCGCCTGTGCCTCATGCAGATCAAGGAGTCGAGACTCCTCAAGAGATAGGCGGGCCTGGTACGTCGGAGAAGGCGCAAGCTGAAGACGGCCATGTCCCTACGGAGTCGACCAAGCAAGGCTCGGGTACCGTCAGCAAGCCCGAGGCCGTGTGGAGAATGGTCAACAGGAGGCATCTGATCAAGTCAAATCAGACGTACGTGACATTCCGGATCAACTCTGGCGAAGCCGAGGTCGCGACCGAAGCAAATGCCACATCACACGTTCAAGCACACGACAACCAGGCAAGTGAAGAGGTATCTTGCACCGTGAATGCTGGGATTTCAGACCGGAGAAATAGCAGATCCCGGACCACACATCAAAAGCGGACATACGTCCCTAAGGAGAAGAAGGGACGCAGGATTGCGAAGATATCCGGCCGACAGTTCGTCACGTTTAGGACATGGTCACCTCACAGCAACCACCAACTGAGGTTACTCGGCGAAACTGTGCAGGTCCCGCTAAGTAGTCACACCGTCAGCAACGCTCAGGCTCAGGCTCAGAAGCTACTGGCCCACAATGTCGATAGGAGATCGAAAGGAATGCCTCTGCAGTACATTATGGGAAGCCAACCATTCGGAAATCTCGACATTTTGTGCCGGCGCGGCGTTTTGATACCCAGACCCGAAACTGAGATGTATACCGAAAAGGCGGCAAAGCTGCTGTTGGCGGCCCTTCCTGCCACCCAGTCAACGGATGGACCTTGGTGGCAGGACCGCAGCAGCAAGGTCCGCATCTTGGACCTCTGTACCGGGACTGGCTGCATCGCGCTATTGCTGCATTCCCTTCTCAAGCCAATTGATCCCACCAAGCCGAGTCTGCCTCCTGGACTTGATCTCGAGATAGTCGGTCTCGACATCAACCCGCGCGCCGTCAGATTGGCGCGCAAGAATCTCCACCATAGCGTCTCTCAAAAGCTTCTTCATTCCGATGCAATCCACTCTGTATCGTTCCAGCAAGTAGACGTTCGGGCTCTGGAAAAGAAACAGTACAAAGAAGGGGGGTCAGACGACCAATTGCGCAAGACCGTCAACGCTGCTGCAGCAGGAGTGTCTGACGAGGACATCGACTCTTCCCTCGCAAGCGCCCCTTGGGACATGGTCATCGCAAACCCTCCTTACGTTGGCCCGAAGGACTATGAGTTGGGCGGAAAGACTGAGCCGAGCGTGCGCGACTACGAACCTAAAGAGGCACTCGTACCTGTGGTTGGTAGACACTACAAAGCCTCGGCAGAGAAGCAGGCCGACCTGTTCTACCGACCACTTCATCACATTGCCCGGGCAGTGGGTGCGCAACTTATGGTCATGGAGGTTGGTGATTCCAGCCAAGCAGCTCGAGTCGGGAGCATGGTCGTGGGCAAAGCCTGGGGCGTAAATTCAAGATCAAGTGACGATCGCCCCCAAGCATTCTCCTGGGACGACGGCATGCGACTCGAAGCATGGGGAGACGACTCGGCCGTGCGAGTCCTAGCAGCCGCCCAGACACTCTCTACCCCTAAAATCAGCATCGCTCGAAATCCAGATCCAGAAGTCTCCGACCGTGCTATCGTTGTGTGGTCCGGAAAGCTCGCCGACTGGCGTTGTCGCACGCTCCCCATGTCGAATCGTACCGATTCAGCACCAAAGGAGGTCAGAGCAAAGTCGAAACACGCGAAAGAAAAGGCGATCGTAGCACCAGAAAACGCCAGAGCACCAGAAAACGTGAGAGCACCAGAAAAGGTCAGAGCAACAAGGCCGAGGCACGCGAAAAAAGAGGCGGCCATACCTCGGAAGGTCATGTCATCGGCTCGAAAGCCCGAAGCGAATAATACCAAGAACGACGCGCCCCCCTCTCGAGCCTCATGTTCCAGTCCTACTGCGATCTCCAGCGCGGGTGCGCACGAAAAGACAGCAGCGAACACAGGCATTCAAGGAGCGATGGAAGCCTACCTGGGAGCCAGGAAAAGGCCAACAGGACTAAAGAAGTGGCCGGAAGATATGATTGGAAAACCGGCTGAGCTTAAAGGAGCGTCGGTGAGATGATAGACGGCGAAATTGGGACTGGAGATGAGGATGGCAGATACTTCGCGTATGCTTATCCGCGTTACAGGTATATATATATCTACCGATATGCCTGCCTAGACGCTGGAGGGCATCCTAGAAGGAGATTATGAGGGAGACATGTTCAGAAAACAGGCTGAGCTTACGGGAGAGTCCGTGAGATGATAGCATAGGAGGTGGTTTTGGGCTGTGGACAACAGCATAGCAGATCCTTCACATAGGCTTGTCCACATACAGGTACATATACATACCAGTGCGCGTGTCCAGACGACTCGAGGGCATCCTAGAAGGAAGTATTTGGAAAGACGAAGAGCCTCAATTATGTCAAAAGCGACACGCGAGCCATAATATACCGTGCTAGAAGTGCGTGTAGGCCTGCATCGGTACCCCGTACGTACCCGTAATATATCGTAGATTGTTTTATACTCGTGCTCGCGCTCACACTGCAGGCAAGCGAACAAGCAAGCAAGCAATCGCGCAAGCATACAAGTCACGCCGCAAAAGATGTTTTTTGTAGTCCTGTATGCGCGTGTAGACCTCGTTCGTCCTCGCCTACGCTTCGACTCGCGCGGCAGCCAGTTTCGCATGACATGACGTCGTATCCGCAAACCAAGTCGTGGACCAAAAACTCCTGAATTCGTTGCAGAAAACACTGCTGAGGTATCGTCGGTAGTGACTGTGCCCCCCCATGCAGTAGAACCCTGTTTTTGGTGCATGTCCAACGCCTTCACACGCCCACGCCATGTCACGCCATAATTCGAGTCCTTGATCAAACCTCTGCATCGAGTAAAAGCCGTATTCGCTCAAAAAACCTTCAAACTAAAGTATAATCGCTCAGATGACCGCCCAAGTTCACATTGCAAAAAGCCACTCCACTGGTAGGGACTCCCGTGTCGCAGGTTTTTCCTCTCCTAGAATGGACCCGGGCCTAATAGTTACCCCCGGGCTTTCTCGCATAAACCACGTTCATGCGATGAATGGCGTGCACCTTTGGATTCCGTATCTCGGCCCGGACGTTCGCACACAGCACCCTAACCTCGTCGGCTGTCCATCCCAGCACATTAGTTAGCAGCCGTAAGGTCCAGTTCTCCAATCCGGTTTCGATATGTGCTCTGCACCATGAGCCCAGCTCTTTCAAGGCCGGATCTTTTGGCCAGGGCCCGATGGGCCATTTATACCGTTGCTCGGTCACGGACTCAAAGCCAGCACGAATCATATGCCCCCGCATTGATTCAAGTACCTGCAGCTCGCGATTGAGTTTGGCATGGCATTCAGGGCCGACCGCGTTCCATACAACGATCCCACCACGTGGCGGGATAGTATCATCGTCCGAGGTGAACTGTGCCGAGTACTCCGCCTGTTCGAGCCAGCCACCAGGCTTCAAGCACCGCATGCACTGTTGGTACAAGGCGGGCCAGTCTTCGATCGTGCCGTGCAAGCCACGAATGTGGATCAGGTCGAAAGTGTTTGGCTCGAATGTCCATTCGGACTCCATGTCGTCAATCTCGAAGCGTACATTCGGGGGCACCCAGGTAGGCTGGATGGGAGAGAGGTCGGTGCCTGTGACAATGGCGGAGGGGTACATGTCGGCGGCTTCTATAGCCCAGAGTCCGGTGCCAGTGCCAAGGTCAAGGATCTGTGACGGGTCCGGGCAGATGGGTGCAAGGAAGAGGCGGTTTTGGAGCGTTTTGAGGTACAGGTTATGGCCGATGTCATGGTGTTGGATCGCTTCTTCATCATTGGCGCCCCTACGATCGGGTGATCAGTCCTGTTGTAGCCCGACCGACAAGTTTTGGACAAGCGCACCAGTATTTCCCATCTTTGAAGGCATGGTATGTCCGGCCATTTTCAATGCGATAGTCTCTTATCCACGACGATATCGAGGTTGTTTCCGTCGAGCTGAACAGCTCAGTGTCAGAGAGAGTCAACAACATCACCCGAGCCTGAAACTCACGCATCATCACCATATGCCGAATCGTCGTCGGCAATACCCTGTCATCACATCTGCAGTCAGGAAACACTCCGTGGCGCAAGAACCTGTAGGGATCGCGATCGCATTTGGGCTTACAGGATCGGCAGCGATGCGACTGGAGCGTTCGCTTTGACTGTCGTCGACATCCTCCCCTTCTGGACACATGGCGAGCTTCAGGAGCTCCTGAGGAGCACACCCGCTCGCCGCCGGCCGGAGATATGTAATGTCGTGGAAGGGGGTTTGGCTATGACGAGGCCGAAGCCGACGGGGACACAATGAGTGTTCGCCCGCGTAGAGGTCGGGTGGGCAACCTTGCAAATTGGCTACTCTCAGGCAGAAGAGCAAGGGCCCGGCAACTACCGCTCTGGCCGTTGGCCGAGACTAGGGTTGCCAGTGTAATTCGTGCTTACTTCATGCCAAAGCGCCCGACGTAAAACAGACCTGCGAATGCTGGACGGTGGTCGGGCCGAACCGTTGTCTATCATAGGTAATTAGAAAATGGTGGTCAGCACGTTGAGCCTCGCAGTAGGGTTGCCTTGTTCAAGGGACGGTAAGGAAGGATGGATGGCGGCCGGACAGGGTGCGAGCATTTCAATCATATCATCCTGGCCAGGATCCTGGGAGGTCGCAGCGTCGACGTTGGGGATCTTGCGGGGCATCAAACTGGTCCGTCCTCTGCAAACTTCGACTATCCTCGCCAGAGAATGGTGGAAGCATCTTCGCCCGAAGTCGCTAGTGTTTAAAGCTGTCTGTTTTCTAGTCGACTGGCTCCCGATAAAGGCTTGGAAGGTGTCTAGTCAATCCAGACATCGCATCCATCTGTCCAGGGAGTGGTGCCTACAAGCCCGCTAGGTGGACCACGGCTTCCGGGGCGCGGAACAGCCTCTCAAGCGCAAAAGCCACATTAAGGCCTCGGCACGCGTTGCGACGTGTCAAAACCTCGGAGAGCACGGAAACCCTCGAGGCTAGAGAATTTTTCGAACATTTCGCGAAGCTTTGTGCCTTGATCGGTCGATTCAGGTGAGCCGTCCACCCTTGAGCGCCTTGTTCCGTGGTGGAGAGGAAAGCTAGCCCCGGGAGCGGATCTCTAGCCTTGTTTGAACGACGAATTGCAACTGCGGAGCTCTTTCTCAGCTCCTCACTTTTACGCAAAGACGAACCGAGCTCCTTCGACAGCTTTGCCCATCATTTCGTGCGCAACGGCCAGACTGGGGAAGGCGTGAAAGTAGTGGGGGAGGCCTTCGTAGTGGTCGAGCTTGCTTCTGACACCGCTTTGTCCGAGTCGAAAGTCCAACACCTTTCCATCATCACGGAAGCAGTCCTTCTCTGCTGTGACAATGTAGCAAGGAGGAAACTTTGAGAGATCGTCTGCGAGCCCTATGAGGTGTCGCGGGCTACCGAAGTCAATGTCGAAATGAGCTGGACCAGACTCACGTCAGTCGAGGTCGTGTGAATGAGTAGAGGATGGCCTACACCAGATGAATTTGGCAAGCTCGAGTCCGAAGACTGGAGTCCCAGCATGTCCATTCTCTTCCCAAGCTGTGTACATGTGCTTGTACTCGCCATCATACTTCCAAGATAGGGTTACAGCAAAGAGGAGGACACAGCCAGTTACGGAGGTGTGGTCACCCTCAGACATGAAGCGGTATGCTACTTGACCGGCGAGCATCGCCCCGGCTGAGCCGCCGGCCAGGACTGTCTTTGTAGGATCATCACCAAGCTCCTCGGCCTTGTTGCGGCACTGCCTCGTCTCAGTGGGAAACAGTAACTTGGTGTGGAAGCAGGCCTACCCAAGGAACAGCTTTGCTAGCAAGGCCAATGATATCGTCGAGTTTGACGTCGGGCACCTTGGGATAATTCACACTGATCACCAGACAGGGCACCTTTGCTGCGAATATGCGACAATGAGCATCCTCGGTGTCGAGATTACCTGCAATGTACCCCCCTCCTGGGAAGTAGATCATAAGCGGCAGAGGTTCGTCCGAGGCGGGCTTGTATATCCGAACATCGAGCTCTCCAATCTGGCTATCTGTCTTTTCGTCCCCTGCTGGTTGTATCAATTATAGTCGAGCCGAAGGGATGGAGAGTGTGGATGTGCCGTTTTGAACCAAACAAACGTACAGACTGTCAGCTCTTCCGGCAGCTGGGGCCATTGTTTTGCAAAAGCAGAAAATACAGCATTATAGGTAGGGACATCGACATTCCAATCGCCAGTCATGACATATCGTCCACCAGATGCGTCTTCGAGCTGTTTTTATGGTCAGCGGAGTGACCCAACCCAGCAATGGCGGGGTCAGTGGTAGCGGGGCCCATTGTCCCTTTGTAGAGACTTACCGCCAGCCATTCTGGCCGATAGCCTTCACGAGGCCAGCTCGTATTAGCTTTTGTCGTCATGACTTGCAGAAGTGTGAGGTAGGACAAGGTGGTGATAATTGACAAAGGTCCTTGACGAGAAGACGGAAACTTGAGTGGTCAGTGTGGCCGAACGCTTTTTGCTGCAGCTGCATGCAACGGCAAGTCCTCGATTAGATGAGCGCACCATCCACCCTAGCATGCAGGTCATTTTATGCCACAAGAATGCAACAGAGGCCTCGCGAGGCAGATACCAAGCAGTTTACAGCTGGGGGAGATGTGACCTCAGATGGCTTTCGAAAGATGCAGCAGGCGTATTCAAACAACGGCAGCATATCATTGCTGCACATAAACTAAGACGGCTCGCAGCCATGAAATACATCGAGAATTAAGGAAAAGAAATCACGAAGAAGAGCAAGAGCCATAGCCCCAACAGGCTGTTTATTCCAGCATACCAGGCAGGCACAAGTCACAAAAGGTTCACTTGGACCAGTCACTTCTCGGCGAGCAACAACTCTGTTAGCGGGGAGAGCAGATTCATCCACTGATCGAATGTTTGCCATAGAGGTAAGAACTCTCTAGAGATCAGAGTGCCGATGGCACCACCGGAAGAGAATTGCGAGCCTCAACCAGGAGCACTGTATGTTGATGGGTGATAGATACATGCGAAGGAGCACACGAAGCACGAGCCTTCGCGGGCCATGCGGGCTCATGCTTTCGGAGCTCTGCGTTTCTATATGAGATTTCATCCTAACGTACGAGCGTACCTTGGCTCCTTGGTACTCCGTACCTGAGCGTAGTATTTTACGGCGTACGAAGCGGCACTCTGTGCAGTCTACCTCGGTTCATCTCTGGTTCGTCTTTGGTTCATCGTTGGTTCATCTCCATCACTCGCAGTGCTCCTTCCATGGGGACACTTCTACCAGCAACAACATGGCCAACGACACTCCGAGCGCTTCTTCTGCGGCTGCGCCCTCCATAACCTCTTCGCCTGCTCCTCCCTCCGCAGCACCACTTCCAATGGAGTATCCTTTCGCAACCTCCCCAGACATCCTCCGCACGCATCAGAAAGACGCATACATCACCGGCACCATCTCGACACAGGCATCGACTATTCTCCGGGCCTTGCTGGGTGCTCGATTCGCCCACAAATACTCTGATGCCACGAACCATCTATCCGAGCTGCTTTACCTCTGCATGACAACACTCCTGGGGAACCGAACACTAGGCGAAGAATACTGCGACGTGATCCAGGTCGAGGACGACACATCGCGACTCGCCGGCCTGGGGAGGCGAGTCGGCTACATCGCAAGCGTGGTCTTCGCACCCTGGATCCTGGGGAAATCATTACCAGCCCTGAGGAGAAGACTGCGCTCCAAACTCGAGTGGAATATCGACCACGCAAAGCAGAGGCGGAAACGCCCGACCCGGGCGCTCAAAGTGCAGGAATACATCCTCAGACACCTCGACACGTTGACCTCGCCTCAACCCGTCTATGCGCTGAGTCTGGCGACATTCTACTTCACAGGCGCGTACTACCACATCTCCAAACGCCTGTTCGGCCTGCGTTACGTCTTCACCAAGCAGATCAAACCGGATGAGCAACGCGTAGGGTATGAGGTCCTGGGTGTGTTGCTCGTATTGCAGATGGCGGTCCAATCCGCGCTACATGTCCGGGAGACATTCCTCGAAACAACAGCGTCCACGGCCAGTGGGGGAGAAACGAAGGAGGAAGCATCAAGCTCAGCCATGGTCGGTCCGGGCATTGAGATGCATCTAGCGGGACCGCTGGAGACGGGCGGCAATCCTAATCAACTGCTCTCCTCGGTTCCTGTTCCGCATTTTCTCCCACCCGGCCTCAGCGCCAATACCGCAACACCCATCCTCGATTCGCCGCGGTACCATCTGGACGATGACGAAACCCTCGCCTGGATCCCCGCGGGCCAGCAGCGCAAATGCACACTCTGCCTGGAACCTTTCCGCGATCCGAGTGTGACGACGTGTGGACATGTGTTTTGCTGGACGTGCGTGCAGGACTGGGTCAAGGAGAAGGCCGAGTGTCCGCTGTGCAGGCAGAGTGTGTTGAGCCAGAAAGTCCTGCCGTTGAGAGGCTAGAGCATCTGTCACCGGGTGTGACACCGCAATGATGAATTATATACAGTGATACCCCCTGCCAAAAGCTCTCGTGATATTCTACCGTGCGCCGCTTATGTACCATCACATGCAAGACCAGTATGCGTTTTTATTCGGATGTCCCTTTCAGAACGGCCCGCCTCGTAATAGACGCACGCTCACCACTTCGCGAGTGGCCGCTTACTCCAAATTACCACCATGACCGCATAGCGCGGTATGAAGCCTCCCCTACGCCAGCGCGACACCACCTTCTTTCTTCGCAACGCGAGGTGAATCCACCTCGTCCTCTCCCTCATCGCTGATCAAGCCTTCCAGCTCGAACTCCTCCGCGTCGCGTACCTGCTGGCTCGCAGTGCTGCGATGTTTCGGTAACCTCGCGCTCCCGTTCGCTGAACCGTTGATCCCACCATTTGGGAGCACCGACATTTTGTACCCGTGGCCGGCTCCGCCACCGCTGGGGCCGGCAACGCTAAAGTGTCTGCTCGCGCTACGCGCGTGGGGGCCTCGACCGCTCGCGGCGCGGACCCCGTTCGTCTCGTCCTCGGGCCAGGCGTGGCTGGCGTAGACGTACAGTAGGATATTGACGAAGAGGTAGAGCAGAAAGGCCACGCTGTAGAGGATGAGGATGTAACTGACGTGGGTGACGTCGGCCTCGGAGAGGAGGTGCATCTGTTCCTCCGTGGCGCCCATGAAGAGGAAACCCGACGCGTAGAGAAGCTGGAAAGTGCACGGTTGGTTAGTTCAGTGTCGCGTGACGGAAGAGCAGTGGTTACAGCACTTACGAACGGAGGCAGATGCTGCCAGCTGTTGACCTCGCCCGAGCCGCGGCTGTCCTTGAGGAGGAAGCTGATCTCGATGATGCGCGCCGTACCGGCCGCCATCAGCGTATACCCGAAGACGGTGTGCACCATGGTGCTCAGAGGCAGGTCCTGCGGATGGGCGCTCATGGCCCACCCCGTCATGAGAATGACCAGGCCAGGGAGGATGTTCCGCTTGGGGCGCCCGTTCCGGCTGCGGGACAGCCACACGCCCAAAAGGCCGGCGCACCACCAGACGATGCCCATGCTTGTATGCTGCAGGTCGTTCTTGACCCAGGGGTGGCCCCAGCGGTGTTCGGTGAAGGTGTTGACGCAGCCCCACGCGGCAATGACACAGCTGTCGAAGAACTCCTGGCTCCGGCCCGTTTTGCGCAGCCACGCCTGGCCCACGAGCAGCAGGAGCGTCATGATGATGCCGTAGGCGATGAACGCGCTGCCCATGATAAAGTGTGCGAGACACTGGCCCAGGTGGTCGCCGCGGCAGTAGCCCATGGCGACGATCCCGCCGAACAGCATCTGTGTCCACGCCACGATGGGCATCGTCTTGCCCAACCAGCCGTGGACGAGGACGACTCCTCGGCGGCCTCCGCGTCCGGCTTTGCCGCCAAACACGCGGCCAACCCACCCTTTCTTCTCCTCTAGGTGTAGTTTCAGACCGACGCCGAGTCCGACCTGCACGATGAGCATGAGCACCAGACTATTGGCAAAACTCGCGTGAATGTTCGGATGTCGGAATTGTCGTCCCCTATGCATATGCCCCAGGAAGTACGCCACCGTCGCGATCACCGTGCCGACTATCTGGCAGGGAACGTGCCATCGACTCTTGACTATGCCGAGAACCATGCCGTAGGGGAAGATCATCCCAAAGGCCAGGATCATCAGCAAAATGTGCATCCATAGCCGCGAGTCAAGCGGATCCGGCGAGACCGCTTCGCCCTCGGGGATGTTATCTGTATGACCGCCGTGCGCTGAGGCAGGCGTGCTTAGGAGAAGAAGAGGGCTGGCGTACAGGAGGAGGGTCGCTTTTCGACCGAGTCGTAGGGGGCGTGGCGTGTCCATCGCAGCGACGGCGACTTTGCGGCGAAGGCAGGACCGGCGAGATTGACGTAGAGATTGACTGGGCCCGCGTTGCCAGCTATCGGTCGTTACACATGATATAGGCTCCGGGATAGAGGAAAGGCGAGCGTGGTCTGACAGATTCACGTGAGAGGAAAGTGACAATGTACACGATCTACACTTGCACCCGGACCGTTGCAACTCGCATCCCACCGAGAGTTCCGGTCGATCCTTTTCACGTGTCCCCACTTCACTTCGCATTCGCTACCAAGTGCCCAAGTACATATCGATTGCAGTCCAACCATGAACATAGAGAAATCTGAGGCGAGAGTGAGGTGTGCTCTGACTTGTCACTATATCGTTGCTACCATGTTCCTACAGTATCTAAGCCATAAGTTCATCTCGCTGGCTGGCCAGCCGCTGGCTTCTGCAGCTACAAAAGTCGTCTGTCATGTACAATTGCACGATTCTGCTATTTGACCATGCAGTGTTCCACGTCGCATATGTTCTTGCATCCAGGTTCTTGGACCTTGCACGGCTTGTCCCGCGCAGGTAGCGCATGGTGGAAACATATTCCATCTGCGAGCAGGTCTTTCGTTCGGCGCTACCTCTCTAGAGGTTATACACATCCCTTCCACGGGGATGATTGCTCTTCAATCGCTTCTGAGGCTGCATTGGTGGAGCTCGCCCGAGAGAGGTGTCCGAGACAGCATGGCCGTTGACTGATCTGGTGGCAGGATCCTCTGCACATGTTCACATCACCAATCCCAGTATCGATCGCGCAGAGATGCACCGATAATGGAACAATCACAATCACCACACGAAGGCCAGATGTCATGAAAACCAATACTATATTCTGAAAGAACTGCCCATTGTCGCTTACTGGAAGGCCCCAGGTATGTCGTTGGGCTTTCCCTTGTCCTCGTCGCTCGGCGTCACTGGTATGGAATGGAAGGTAGGATCGTTGGCTTCACGAGTCGATGTGGGCGTAATGACGTGTCCTCCTTCGTGCCTCTGTTCAGCATCTCCATTCAAGTCGATTTTATCGAATCCATCAATAGGAGGTTGTGTTTCTGAACTAGGTGATGCTACTCGCCCTGGGTTTCGTGGTGGCAACGCTGGCGGCACGCGTCTGGGAACTTCAACCACCTTCGCACGTGCCATGACTGGCACTGCTGTAGACACTTCAACATCTGAATCAACGTCTGAGAAGGAATCTTCTCGTTCGTCGTGTGGCTCATCTACAAGTTGGCTGTGTTTCTTTGGATGATGATCCTCGTGACCACGGAAGGCGTCTCTGTGAGGACTGTTCTCCTGGCTCTTCGTGTTATCGTCATCGTCGGTCTGCGTCCCACGGGTAACGCTGGCCAGACTGTGCGAGCTGTCTCTCCACGTCCGGCTCCTGATCGAACCGTCAACACTTCTTCGAGAGAAATGTGTATACACTGGGCTGGTTGGGGATGGTCTGAATTCGAATGTTTCAGCAGGCGGCCTTTGGTGCGTGCCAGCCTCTCTGATGTTTAAGCCTTCCGCTTCCAGCGCTTTCACGCCGTACGGATCCGGGTCATCCTCTGCAGGAATCCCAAAGGTAGGCCCGCCTATCACCAATCAGTCTACAGCCTTAGAGCCCATGCACGTGACTTACCTTGCTGGATAATGTCCATGTCGGATGGAGCGGGCGCGTCAGGGAGCAAGCTGTCGTCCACTTCCTCGCCCTGGGCGGCTCTCAGGGTATCTAAAAGAACTTGATACTGCTGGACTGGAGGATGCCGCACCTTGCCGTTGAGAATTTCTGTCACGCTGACCTGCTCACCATAGAATCTTGCGTTTTCGTCGGTCCTTTCGATCACCAGATTTCCTTCCAGCGCTACGCCCGCATAAAGCCCTCGACTCTTCACATATGACCATATAGGACTTTGACGTTTTGTTAGTTCCGTATCGAGGGCGCCGCCAATGCCGACAGGGCCAGCTGCCACCCCGACCTCCGTGCCTAAGGTAGTTCTGAATTTGGTGAAGGCACCTAGTGCTTCGTATGTATTGATGACCAGGACGGTGTCATAGATGTCAACTCCAGCGAGGAAACCGAACGATATGTTCTGGGTCTGGATACCACTAGGAGCGCTCCATTCTCGAGTCTCTGGATGTCTTCCGACAAGAACACCGGCGCCACCAGAGCCACCAAAAAGCCAGCCTGTTCGCATTGTTGTGAATATGGCCAAGCCGACTGCGTTCTTGATAACGCTCGCTGGAATCTTCTTCATTACTCTTTGCTTGCCTTGCGGAACACCGACAGCTGTCGCATTCCGGGTCTCCACCTTCTTGAGCTCTTTCTCCTCTATCTGGTCATAGAAGCCATCTTTACAGAAGCCACGCAAGATTCGAGCAGCCTTTTCGGATTCCTTGTCCATTGTTGTAGGCCAAAATGCCTCTGAGCCGACCTTGTTCGATAGACGATTCACCGGGGCTCCCAGCTTGTCAACCACTTTGTAGGCTTTGTTGAAGCCCGGCAGGAGCGCCTTGTTGTAGACAGTACTGGAGCCGCTCTTGGTCTTGTCCCATAATGTCGAAGTGCCCAAGGATGTCTTGGTGGAAGTAGTCGTCGTCGTGGATTGCAACACTGGCCCGTCCGTCGCCTGCGCCATGTTGAAAGATGGGTCAGATTCTAGGAGCTGACTCGACAGGGAAATGCCGCTGTCCGTTGATGCCGGCGCCGCCCACAGTGAGTCTGGGTAGGAGGGGTCAATACTCTTGTTCCTTGTGGGCGCGCAGGCCGTAGCCACATTAGCAAGGCAGATTGTCTGTCGTTTGGCCGCAAAAGGACGTGGGCTTCGAGAAAGTATTTAGGCAGGCTGTTCAGCCAGTGACCCGGTCGCAGCCGGAGAACAGAGCTGGCACGCATTGGAGATCTACACATAGGCACCCAACGTCATTGGCCTTAGGCGCCACCAGCGAGGAGAGGCATATCTTAGTCAGGACATCGGGGCCACTGCTGACTCAACTCAGACTCACCTCACGTGGCAGGTGCATGGCACCCAGCCGAGAGCTTGGATGGCTTGGGCCTTACTGTTGGTGCTGTGTGATCCGCCGGAGCGTCATATTTTGTCTCTGAACGGAGTACTGACAAGCAGCTAACAGCATGCGCACCTCGGCTGTCTGGAGCTTAGAGATAACCAGTTCGACTAATCACATGCGATGGGGATCAAGGTTCCAATGAAATATATCAAAGGTCGACTTCTACCGGCTGTCAATCTCCGGAATACAACTCCTACGGAAACCTTGCAGGACAAAATCATCTAGCAGGCAAATATCAACCTGGTAAACCTGGGAGGAAGGATGCCGCCCATTCCACCTTTGTTCGTGCTTCCAGTCCCTCCGACCTTGAGCGCCAGCTCGTCTGCTCCAGGCGGACAGGGAAGCTTCATATGCACCCAGGCTGCTCATCAAGTCTATCTTCTTTCGTTTTCTTGCCCTCCAGACAACCGCCTTGTCCCAGCTTTCAACCAGACATTTCTGCTAGCATTGGACATTATCGAGCACCGACTTCCGCGTGGTGTGGTCATCACGACTTCATCCATTAGCAAGTTCTACTCCAATGGCCTAGACTTCGAAAATGCCATCAAGGATCCAACCTTCTTCCCAAACAGTCTCTACCCACTATGGCGGCGACTCATAACTGTGAGTACCACTACATCCCAGGATCGCGGTTGTGGAAGCGATACAAAATACTTACGTGCCACAGTATCCGATGCCGACGGTCGCCCTGATGAATGGCCATGCCTTCGCAGGAGGCCTCATGACTGCAATGATGCACGACTACCGCATCATGAACCCTCACAAGGGTTTCTTGTGCCTGAACGAGCTTGACTTTGGTGCAGCTCTTCAACCTGCCATGGCAAGCGTGTTTCGAGTCAAGCTTAGCATGACGACCTTCCGAAATATGGTTCTGGAGAGCAAGAGGTTCCCAGCTTTGGAGGCTCTAAAAGAGGGCATCATTGATGGTGTTGGAGGTGTCGATGAGACCCTCAAGTTCATTGCCGAGATGAAACTAACTCAGAAGGCGCAGGGTAGATCATACGGACAGATCAAGGAAGAGTTGTACCGCGAAGTTGTCAAAGACTTGGATGAAGCGGCTGAGACTCGCGGGAAACTGGCTGCCAGGGATCTGGACCGCAGCCGTCGTGATCTAGAGGCAAGAAAGAGGGTGGACGATTATCAGGCAGTCGTCCAACGGGCAAAGCTATAATGGTCCTCTGCAATAGGCGTCTTCCTCGACCTAGACTTGACACTGGACATGTTCCGATCGAGACCCGGTTCATGTTCACCACGGAAAGTCTCACTCTCATCATACTGCCGCCCTATCAGGTGAACGAAGCCGTGAGGATTATGGCGTCTTATTATAGACTCAATTTTCGCGATACGTGCAGAGTATCCTTGTACATTACCTACAGAATACCTTGGTAGCAATCCGCGAATGATCGGATGATCGGACTCCGGAGTCATGGAGCTCTCACAGCTGTGCTGATGCCGTTTGTCCCAGGCAGCAGTGACACGAACCGGATTGATCGGGTTCAGGACGGTATACGAATACGTATGAACCTGCTTTGTCCAGGGTGTGGCGTAACCGTATAGTCTGACGAGGGGCACCTCTAGATGGATATAACAATTGCACTCGCTTTTCAAAGTCAACGCGGGGCGAAGACTCGCCTAAATTCTTGTATATTTGCCCCAAATCGGAGCATCCAACCCACATCGTGTCTTTGCTGGGCCACTTCTTCTGTCAAACATCGGGAACAGCACCATAGAGTGGCCAACACTAAGGCGCATAATGAGCACTTTGTGAACGGGTTATGCAGGTGGGACGGCCATCGGGTAGCCGGGAAGAGTAAAGGTCGCGAGACGGAGCGGGCAAAATACGATGGAGAACCCCACCAGGGCGCCTATTACTGGCTCTAGGCGGTCTACACGAGGCCGTAGGCGCGCCCATGCCGGGGCCTGTCCGCCGTCTCATTGCAATCCAACGTCCGATGGCAGCGCATCTCATAGTCACCACTTTCCACCATTCATACTTTTTGTCCCTCCTCGGGCCCGAGATTGTCTATTGCTGCCTGGTAGGCCGTGTACATACATCCCTTCATTGACGCATCACTCGTCCAGTCTCTACGTTTGCATCCTTTCGCCTATTGTTCTGCACGACAGTAGTACAGTCCCTCAGCCTCTGAGATCCTTCAAACCGCGCTTCATAGCATCAATCTACGCTTATTTTCCGAAGGTGCTGTTTGGACTTTCAGCTCGACCATGCGGCGCTGAGTTACGTTGCTTGGACCCTGTACCCGTATCTCTGGCGGTCTGAGCAGGTACTATCATGAATCCCGCTGGCCAGGGCGACTTGCCCGCCGCTGCGACTGCCATTGAACAGAATTTGGAAGAGAAGGAGAGGGCAGAATTGGGAATTGTCACAGACCGGCAACAGCATACAGACCCGCTCACAGAGAAACCTCCCGTGACGCCCGTCTCCCCAAACCCGAAGTCCCCGACTTCTGCAATATCGCCTACCTCGCCCGTATCGCAGTCTTCCGATTCAGACACTCGCCCAGACCTCACCAAATATGACTCCAAGATCGTGCAAGTACGGGATATACCAGAAGGTGATGCCGCACTGGCTCACTTGCCTGACCATGAGAAGAGCGTCATAAAAAAGCAGTTGGATGTCCCGGACGTCAAGGTCACATACTGGACGTTATATCGCTACGCGACAAGGTGGGACAAGGTCTTCATTGCAATAGCCTGCATCACGGCTATTGGAGCGGGAGCTGTCCTGCCGCTGATGACGGTCGTGTTTGGCAATCTTTCGGGCAACTTCAGTGGCTTCGCTCAAGGACAACAGGACATCTTGCGAAGCTTCAGTTCCACCGTGAATCGATATGTGCTTTACTTCGTTTATCTGGCGATTGGAGAGTTCTTCTTGGTATACATCTCAACTGTCCTCTTCATTTACACCGGCGAGCACATCACCTCGAAAGTCCGCGAGCAATATCTCTTCGCAGTCTTGAGGCAAAACATTGCTTACTTTGACGTGAGTGCGCCAGCTTCTCCGCTTGGCCAGGCTAACTCTGTATATAGCATGTCGGAGCCGGAGAAGTCACGACCCGTATCACGGCAGACACGAACATCATCCAGGAGGCTATCAGCGAGAAGGTTGGTTTGACACTGACTGGCGTGGCCGCCTTCTTCTCGGCATTCATCATTGGTTTCATACGATTTTGGAAACTCACATTAATATGTTTCGCAACTGTCGTCGCCATCGTCTTCGTCATGGGGTCTGGTGGTAGGAAAATGGCCGGATGGAACAAAAAATCGCTGGCCGCATACGCAGTTGGCGGCTCCGTGGCGGAAGAAGTCCTGGCTTCAATTCGCAATGCAGTGGCATTCGGCACACAAGACAAGCTGGCGAGGCAATACAACGTCCACCTCCTTGAGGCTCGTCGCTGGGGTATCCGTAGCAAGGGTGCTCTTGCCTGCATGATTGGAGCCTTGCTTTGTCTCCTCTTCTTGAACTACGGCCTGGCCTTCTGGATGGGGTCGCGATTCTACGTCGGCGGTGAAACGAACCTGGCGCATATCTTGACAATCATTCTGGCCGTTATGATCGGCGCCTTCTCCTTTGGCAATGTTGGTCCGCATATGCAACACTTTGCAGCTGGCGTGGGTGCAGCATCCAAGATCTACTCAATAATCGACCGATCGTCGCCCGTGGACCCCCTGTCTGAAAAAGGCGAGAGGTTGGACCGAGTCGAGGGCACGCTTGAGCTACGAAACATCAAGCACATATATCCTTCTCGACCCGAGGTTGTGGTTATGGAGGACGTCAGTCTGTTGATTCCCGCAGGCAAAACAACTGCTCTTGTGGGCGCCTCTGGATCAGGAAAGTCCACCATCGTTGGCTTGGTTGAGCGGTTCTACGACCCAGTCGGCGGCGCGGTCCTTCTCGATGGGCACGACATCAGCACGCTCAACCTCCACTGGCTACGACAACAAATCGCGCTCGTCCAGCAGGAACCCATCCTCTTCAGTCAAACCATTCGGGAGAACATCAAGAACGGCCTAGTTGGTTCAAAGTACGAGAACGAGACTGAGGAACAGCAGACCCAGCGTATCATCGAGGCGGCGAAGAAATCGAACGCTCACGATTTCATTACGTCGCTTCCTGACGGCTATGACACCCATGTTGGTGAGCGTGGTTTCTTGCTGTCCGGAGGTCAGAAACAACGTGTTGCAATTGCCCGCGCTATAGTCTCCGACCCGAAAATCCTTTTACTAGACGAAGCTACATCCGCGCTCGATACAAAGTCTGAAGGGGTGGTGCAACATGCACTGGAGGCGGCCTCGGTCGGCAGGACCACGATTGTCATTGCTCATCGACTATCCACCATCAAGACAGCAGACAACATCGTGGTAATGCAGCAGGGGCGGATTGTCGAACAGGGCACTCATGACGAACTCCTTGAGCGCAAGCAAGCCTATTTCAATCTGGTCTCTGCTCAACGCATTGGAAATAAAGAGGACGACGAGTCCGAAGACTCGACCGAGGCCAGCGAACCTGAACTGGCTCGAATCCAATCAACGAAGTCCGGTGGCAGTGCTGCCATGGTGGATCCCGACGACGAGAAGCTTGCACTGGGCAGAACTAGAAGCGGGAAATCTGTGTCGTCCAATATTCTTGCCGACAAAAAGCCACAGAAGGAGGCCAAGTACTCTCTCTGGACCATCATCAAGTTCATCGCAGGCTTTAACGCTCAAGAATGGTGGATTCTGTGCATCGGCTTCGTCTTCACCGCAATCTCGGGAGCCGCTCAACCCGTTCAAGGTGTCTTCTTCGCGAAGTGCATCATCGCACTGTCACGACCGCCGGATGTTTTCCGACATCAGATCCGCTCCGACATCAACTTTTGGTCGCTGATGTATCTGATGCTGGCCTTCGTGACCCTGCTTGCGATGTGTACCCAGGGCATTGCCTTTGCCTATTGCAGCGAGCGGTTGATTCAAAGGGCCAGAGATGGTGCATTCCGGCGGTTTTTGAGGCAGGACATATCCTTCTTCGACGAGGACCAAAACTCGACAGGTGCTCTTACATCTTTCCTGTCGACCGAGACAACGCATTTGGCGTCGATATCCGGGGCAACACTCGGGACACTGATCAGTAAGTTGCCATTAATCTCGCGATAGCGGCGTGCGCTGACGGGCATAAACAGGCTGTTCGTCCACCCTGATCGTCGCGATCGTGGTGGCACTCGCCATTGGCTGGAAGCTCGCTCTTGTCTGCATGGCCGCGTTGCCCGTCATTCTCGGCACGGGCTTCTTGAGGTTCTGGGTCCTTGCGAAGTTCTCAGCAGAAAACGCGAAACATTACGAGAAGTCAGCAGGCTATGCGTGTGAGCATACAAATGCTATCCGGACAGTCGCTTCGTTGACCACCGAACGCGAGATCTACGCCGAATACAAACGCCAGCTGCGAGCTCAGTTGCCTGTCTCCCTGAAGTCCAATCTGAAGAATTCGTCACTATACGCAGCGTCGCAATCCGGTATGTTCCTGGCGTTTGCCCTCGGCTTCTGGTACGGTGCCCAGCTCCTGGCTCGTGGAGAATACACACTGTTCCAGTTCTTCCTCGTCTTTAACGAGATCATCTTTGGTGCTCAATCTGCCGGCACCGTGTTCTCCTTCGCTGGAGACATGTCGAAAGCGAAGAACTCTGCGGCGGCTTTGAAGAAGCTGTACGATCGCCAGCCAACTATCGACCCCTGGTCAGACGATGGCGTGACACTTGACCATGTTGAAGGCACTATTGAATTCAGAGATGTCCATTTCCGATACCCTACTCGGCCGGATGTCCCAGTCCTTCGTGGACTCAATCTGACCGTCAAGCCAGGGCAATATATTGCTCTTGTTGGTCCGTCTGGCTGTGGCAAGTCGACCACGATTGCGATGCTGGAGCGCTTCTATGACCCTCTTGCCGGAGGTGTCTACATCGATGGCAAAGAGATTTCTAGCCTGAACCTCAACGACTACCGATCTCATCTGGCGCTCGTATCCCAAGAGCCGACCTTGTACCAAGGCACTATCAAAGACAATGTCCTTCTCGGTGCTGACAGAGGCGAAGTCAGTGACGAGCAGATAATCCGGGCTTGCAAAGACGCCAACATCTACGACTTCATTATGTCTCTGCCAGACGGCTTCGCCACGGACGTCGGCAACAAAGCTGCCTTACTCTCTGGTGGCCAGAAGCAGCGTATCGCGATTGCGAGAGCCCTCATCCGTGACCCCAAAGTCTTACTGCTTGACGAAGCCACTTCTGCACTGGACTCGGAGTCTGAGAAAGTCGTGCAAGCAGCCCTCGACGTCGCTGCCAAAGGCCGCACGACCATTGCGGTTGCCCACCGACTCAGCACCATTCAGAAGGCGGACATCATTTATGTCTTCGACAAGGGTGTGATTGCCGAAAAAGGCACTCACCACGAGTTGATGGCGCTCAGAGGAAGATACCGAGAATTGGTCAGCCTCCAGAGTCTGGAGAAGCAGCGGTAACGCAGTCCGCAGGTGGGGAGCCGTGTATTCTTGCTTTATCGATTTGATTGGGATATCTGGTGCACAGCAAGCGTTTCGGTGGGATCTTTCTGGGAATCCACAGTGGTTGAGCACTGTCGGCTGTGCATATTATTCTTATTGGATATACAGCTCATTCTTAGACGGTGGAAAGAGCTCATGGCTGGCTCTGTCTGGGTCGGGGATAGACATGATCCAGCCTAGAGCTGGACTAGGGCCAATAGGAGGTCGAGCAAGGGTCAAGGGAAGCCACGGTCTGGGTTAGATTTCAACAGACCAGCGCTCGCTTTGAACGGTGCTGGGGCAAAACCAGCTCGATGATCCGCTCAAATATAATCCTGGGCATGCTTTGCTGGGGTCCTTGTGCTTTTATCCAAGCTCGCCTCATTTGGGGCCAGGTTGCGTCGAACCTACGCCTCGCCATCGTGTCCTTAGGCTGCATCTAAGTGCGAAGAGCCAGGAACGCCTTTACGGGAAGTCTTTTTATGCTGTTGCTCTCATGGTCTTGTCATGGCCACGTTCGTCATGTACTCCTTCCACATTCGTGGTGCGTGCATGCTATCTGTGTCTTTTATTTGTGTCCCTCATTACAATACCTTCGCCGCAAGTAGAGAGATAATCTCACGACGCAAACCCCGAATTCACGATTTCCTCTGAGATCATCCTTGATCAAGTCGTCCCCTCTCCGCCGCTTGTTTCACCTCGGTTCCGATAACTCGACTCAACTCGATTTCATTGGACAGTCCCCCAAACCCCCATGTGCTGCTGACGCGGACAGATCGATTGCTGGCTTAAAGACTGAATGTTCATGCCTGTCTCCGACGGACCTATAACTTGCTCTTGCTCTCGGTACCTGCACAACAATCCTCGACCACGGCCTTTTCTTTGCCCACGACCAACTCCTGCGTAGGCTGCCGATGCGCCTCGGCGACCAGCGTACTCTTGTTAAAGACCTGCTCGCTGGGTGGGACGTCGATGGCCGGGTTCCGGTCGAAAAAGTTGACGGGCTTGAGGCTCACCTTGAGGATCTCGCAGGGCATGACGGGAAAATCCTCGATGCGGGGCACATGGTTGATGCCGAACTGGATCCAGACGACAATGTCCGTGTCGACGACGCTGTCCCCGCGGCTCGCCCAGCTGCGCACGCCCGTGCCGCCGCGCGACTGGTTCGTGTACCACCCGCCGGCGTAGAGTTCGCGGTCCGCGTGCGTGGTCACGTAGATGTTGTGGTCCGCGAACTCGGCGCGCTTCCAGTTGAACGACTCCGGGCGGGCCAGCATCTTCTGGAACGGCGGCACGTGGATCTTGTAGGCGACGGGCTTGCCGTTGATTGGGTTCTTGACGGCCGCGTTCTGGATCTTGAACACGCGGTTCGCGTCGGTGTTGAGGTCGAGCCCACTTGCCACTGGCACGACGGTCTCGGACACTTCGTACCCGACCGCGTGCGGGTTCCAGTCCGGCGTGACGGGGATGGCGTGCGCCTCGTCGTAGACCAGTCGGTTGGCGTGGCCTTCGAGCATCGGGTCCACGCGCAGCGAGAAGATGTGCTGGTGGTGCACGGCCAGGACGCCCGGGTGGACGACGGTGCCGAACGGCACGCCCACGGTGTCGAGCTCGTGGTCGATCGGCTGCGTGGACAAGATCCCCGTGGCGCGCACCTCGTAGATCAGCTCGCCGGCCTGGTTGAACATGAAGGCCAAAATGTACTCGTAGTTGCTGACCGTGATGATGCTCTGCAGGACGAGCTCGCGGTTGCGCACCACGGCGGCCCGCCCCGTGCGGTAGTTTGTGTGCTTCCACCCGATCCCGCCGTCCTGCTCGTGCACGCACACGCAGTTTTCCAGCGGCGTCGGCGTGCCTTTGTCGTCTGTGATGACCGCGCTGAGGTACTGGATGTGGCCCAGGCAGTCGCACCCGAGCTGCAGGTTGTTGGCCATGGCGCCCGCGCCCGCGTCCCCCAGGTCGTAGGCCGACTTTTTGTGGAACGGGTGCCGCGGGTCCGCGTAGGGGATGTTCATGTCCGACAGCGAGAGGCGGTAGAAGAGGGGCCGTCCGTCGTACCGCACGTCGTACAGCACCATGCCCTCGCGCTGGTTGTAGCCCACGCGGAGCGTCCACTTCTGCCACGCGAGCAGGTGGCCCGTCTCGCCTGTGGGTGTGAGGCTGAAACTGGCTCCTTCGGGCTGGACCACGTTCAGCGGCTTCACGTCCGTCCGCAACGTTTGGTACTCGTGCACGTACTCGTTCGCGGGTTTGGGCTGCCACGGTCGCGGCTCGTGGATCGTATTGTCCGCCCCCGTGGGGAGATAATCGATCCGAATCACCTTGTACTCGTTGCACTCGACGACGGGCGAAATGGGCAGCGGGAAGGCGTAGTGGTTCGAGTCGAGTTCCGACGCGTTCTGCGGGTCCCGCATGTACAGGAACACCTGGTACATGCGCTCGTCGTCGTTGACGCCGTCGGAGCCTGGACACCGAGAAAAGTATGAGTACGGGCTGTGGTCCGGGGATGCTTTCCAGTCGGGAATCAAGACTCACCGTAAATCCAGGGGTCCGCGCAGACCGCCGCCCCTTCAGGCAGCTGCAACTTCTTGATCGCCTCCTTGACCTTTTCGTCTTCCAGGGCGTTCTTCTCCACCTGCAGGATTTCATCGTAGTCGCCGTTGCCGTGCATGTTAGGTCCAAGCCGGACATTGCTCTCGACGGAGCGGGATGAGAGATTCACGACGGCTTCGTGGAAGCGGTCCTAGAACATGAGAGTCAGCTTGGGTCGGGGGAAAAGCAAGGACAAATCATCGTGATCAGGTTGTCGCTCTGCTGACATGGTACACAAAGATGGGTGCTTGCCAATTCCGCACAGAGACATTCCAGAACCACCCGAGGACAAAGTCAAGTGTAGCATAAGACGTTCCCATAAACTCCCCGGAACGAAATCAAGTGTAGTCAGAGCTGATCCCATGACTCCGAAAACAAACTTGAATGTAGCGCAGAGATGATCCGATAGCTCCCCAGAACAAAGCCAAATGTAAAGCAGAGATGATCTAATCACTTCCAGAACAAGATCAAGTGTAGTCGGGAGACACTGGCCGGCGTCCCCTAAACAAAGCGAAATGCACCTGAAATGTACTGGGAAGTGATACTATACGATAGGAGGCACGCAAGCACTCACCGTGTTCCGAATATAATACGAAACAAACGCCTTCCTCGGGATACTGGGCAACGCGTGGCTGCCACTGGAATGCTCGGCCTCGAGATACGGAACCATGGACTTCTTGGCCGGCTCGTCCAGCGTGATGACCTTGAACCGCAGATCCACGCTCGCGGGCCATACGGAGCGCACGATCTCGGCGGTGGTGGAAATCTCCGACGCGCTCAACGGGCATAGTGGATGGGCGACGGGGTGTGTGGCGTGGGTGGATGAGGGGTGGGAGGAGGAGGAGAAGTCCTGGGTCTGAGCCTGCGTTGCCATGGTGGACGGCGGATGTGGACACACAAGTGCGAAATGAGAGTCAGAGAGAAAATCTGTTGGAGAGAAGTAAAAAAGAGGACAAGAAACCACGGATTGCGGATGGAGTGATCCTGATATCTATCTATGTAAGTAATTACTGTAGCTACCCATGTGGTCCGGTTCGTGTATGCACTGCACGCAGGGACCACGCTTATCAGGGGTGGAAATGTTCCGTACAGTAATTATCTGACTCTCCTCCGCGCTCGTCGCCCAATCAGCAATGATTCCGCGGGGATGGAGAAACACGAAGACTCTCCACGGCTCGAGCGACAAGCACTACTGTCCACTGTCCACTGTCGACAATGGGTGGCCCGTCACCCGTTGATCCAGGTTTCCGTCCATTTGCCACGACAGCGGGACCTACCACGTACAAGGCCCAAACAGGAAAGAGAGATGGCGGAAGCCATTGCGATCCCTCTCGGCGGTCTGCTGTCGCTCGAGGTTGAAATAGCAAAGAAGGCGATTAACCGCAGCAGGCAAATACAGCCGAACAGCCAGTCAGGATGAATCTCTGATGCCGCCAAACTCCGTTGACGGTCGACAGTCTTACATGCCTCACATGCCTTATCCGAAACGCACGCCTTGGTACGCAGCACATCTTTGTTGTTCTCGTGGTGTCGATTACTTGTCCACGCCTTGATAGCACGCCTTGATATCCCCGTCCGGTCGATTACTTGTCCAGACCCTTGGTCCGGTAGGTCGTCGTTGTGAGCTCGCAAGTCCAGCTTAAGAGCCGCTGCGCTTGCCCGGTAGCCGGATCAGGTATTTGGGTCTCGACTCCTGCGCCTCGCCGATACTACTACTCCACGCCTCCTTAATGGTCTGCTTGGACTTCTCCTCGTCGAAGTGGAACTTGGACCCAACCTGGAACCATCCGTTCCCCAGGTCAAACGCCTCTGCCAGTCCGATGGCGTAGCGCGGCCATCCAGGTGGCGCCACCTTGATGCAGTCGAGCTGTTCGATCAGTTCCTCGAGGGGCATCGAGTACGCGGCCGTCATGACGCGGAACGGCTCGCACGCGTGGGGCGGGATGTAGAACTGGTTGCTGGCGTTGACCGTGTACTTGTCAATGACGTTGTAGGTGAACAGGTGGAACGTGGCGTTGTTCTTGGAGACCACGTGGCCATGGCCGCCGCTGTCCTTGACCACGACCAAGTTGTCCTTGACGCGGTTTCCGCTGACGGGTGGTTCGGGGGGTTGAGTGGCAGCCTGAGCGACTGCGCCTGGGACGGTGGGCGGAGGAGGCGGTGGCGGTGGCGGGTAACCATACCAGCCTGGCGCAGCGGGAGGAGGTGGTGGTGCTGCTGGACGTCCTGCGCCGTTGGGTACGCAAATAGCGCCCGGGAAGCCAGGGCCTGGCGGGATCATGAACGGGCCAGGCTGAGGTGGCGCAGGAGGGCCGAATGGTGGAATCATAGAGTAGGGCGGCGGAGCGCCTGGACCTGAGTTGGCTGGTGCAGATGGCGGCGCACCCTTGTTCGGTGGCCCACCGTCACGAGTCATGTAGTGGTAGACGGTTTTGCCCATAAGGCCTGGTGCTGGAGCTGGAGCTGGCATGGCAAAGTACTGTGGTGGGAGACAGGCCATAGTCGAGGGCTCGAGGAGAGATTGCCTTTGAACAAGGAGGAACAAACTGATTTGCCACGGGTGACCAAGGTTTTGATTGCTGAGGAGCGGCACTGAGGATCAAAGGCACTGATCTGATGCTGAGAAGCTTGCCACTGGTGGTCTGCCGACTTGCTTGGTGGGAAACCCGCAAAGAAGATGGGTGAGGCATGGCTAGTTATAGTCGTGAACCATGGCCCTTCTGCTGCTGTTGCTGCTGCTGACACTGACTGCCGTTCGTCGCGGTGACGCTGTGACTGTGAGTACTGCCCATCATGCGAAGTCGTGCAATCGAAGACGTATAGTCAGGGCTGTGCGATGTGGTAGGCATTATGACAAAGAAACGCATGGCCAGGGCCGAGGGTAGAAGAAACAGAGTGGCGAAAGCAAACACTCTTGAACGCTGACCTGTCCGGAGGAGGTGCAGGAAAGATCAGCTAGTCACAGGGTGAGGTTGTCCTTGGGACAAAACGCAGCACCCATCAAAGCTTCTCACCAATGAGAGACCTTCCCAAGGGTAAAGGACCAACCGTGGTTGCCACTTCCTGTGACCTTTGCAGAAGCGAGCTCGTTGTGCGGCGTAGTTCGTTGGCGTTTCGAACCGTGACAAGAAGAAGGCTTTGGTGAGTGAGGGTTGCAAACAAAAATGAAACCTAACCTATAGTGTATCTGATGAGAGCAAAACGGGTTGACCAGCGGGAGAGCAAACGACTGAGATGAGGGAATGCTCGGTCCATGGTGGTACATGCAGCATGACTTGTGGATACAGACAACTGGCGGTATCGAGCCTCAACCAGCGGCGACAACGGCAAGCCCGTCATAGATCTTTCGCTTCACGCGCGTAAAGTTGTCCACCGTATGTGGCGTCATGGCAGCCGTGCTGACGGGTATGCCTTCCACAATGATCTTGCCTGTCCCCAATTTCCTGACGGCGATCATGCCGTCCACAAGCAAAGTACCTTCACCGCGAAACTCGGCAGCATGGCCGTCCATGGCAATCAGCCTCCGAAGCTCCGCAAGTCGCAAATCACCCACATGAATGGCATGCGAGACGGACCTCGTCGCAGCGGCGAGATTCGCTGGCAGAACATCGAGGACGGGTTCAACGGGAGGAGCAGGGGCCGAGTCCGCTGCAGGGGACACCTCGGTGTCTAATTTCTGCTTCTTGGTCTGAGGATCATCCTCCTGGGTATTGTCTCCTCTCCGCTCGGCCTTGAGCTGACCCTGGATAGTTACTACCCCCATGTTCTTGACATTCTGCCAGTGCAGCGTCTTCGCTAACTCGCGACTAAGCTTGACGACCCACGCATTAGTATCGACACTGGCATCGACGGTTTGACCTTCGGTAGGGGTGAAGATCTCCGTTGAGGACTCTTTCTCTGCTCCTGCGACCTTGACTCCCAGCAGCTCACCACAATCGGCAGCCAGAGCGACTGTATCTGTGGTATTGCCGCCCACTAAGATCAGTTTCCTGGGTCCGATCAGAGGTATCAGCATTTGCAGACTCCGCTGGTCGTGCAACCCAGCAAAATCAACAAAAGCCAACCGAGCATTGACCGTGACTTCGGAGGTGGAATATACAATCTTCGCAGGGCCTTGGAATCCTTCATGCTCGACTTGATTCTCGTCGTCCGAATCATCCGCGTCCGAATCCTGCTCGGACTTGTTGGCAGCTGGACCGTCTGCAGCATCGCCACGATTTCGCTTGTTTGGCGGTTGCATGCGATCATTCGCTTCATCCCACTTGCGCTTTTGGCCCAACTGACCTCCGGTCTTATTATCATTGGCGGCGTCTTGCTCTTCCTTCTCCTCCTCTCTCAAAAAATCCTCGGGCTTGATAAAATCACCAAATTCATCGCCGTGTCTCCGGGAATGGGTGTATGGAAAGAGGGCATTCCGGCCTTTCTTATTCCGCACGTCATAGTCATAGACACCTTTTTTGCGAATCAGGATATTGACTCCTAGATCAGCATCACTTAGAGCTGTTTTGTTTCGCGCACCATGGCCGATGGCAGCAGAGACATTTAACACACGCCCTTGCTGCTCATCGTCCGACTGTTCTGATTCCGTCGTGGTTGTATCACCGTCATCCATATTGTCTTCTGCATTGGTCTGATCTTTATCACTACCCGGCAGTGAGTCTTGGATTTGTCTCTGAGTGGCGATGTATTGCTGGTATCTTTGACTTTCTTGCGTGTTCAAGGGCGCTCGCTCAACGATTCTCAGTTTTAGCTCCCTGCCTCCACTGTGCACTTGCTCCAACTGTTCGCCTGACTGGGACTTCTCGAGTGCGACACCGTCTCGGCGCTCTCTAAACCAGGTCCAGAATTCCTGGCTGGGGCTCTGAGAACCGGGACGGGGATCGAGCATTTCAGTGAGTATGATTAAATTTTCTGGCCTCTGCACGACGTGATCCAAGAGCGACCTCGCGTAGCCCCAGTCCATAGTCAAGTCGCTGGCAAGAATAACTCGGGGACCTTCTGCTCTCAGGAGCCTCTCAAACTGAGTCTTCCGCTCGACAATCTTGACGTTCTGGAACTGGAACGGTCGTGAGGGTTTTGCTGTACCGTTGACCTGCTTACTGCCACTTCTCCGGTGTGTCTGGACCGGCGCCGCGTTTTCATCCTCGCCTTCGAATTCGCGGACGATGCTGTCGTCCATCCATTCGAGGAGACTCCTGGCATGCCGCAGCGTCGCATTGCCGGATCGGCTGGCCATGTATACCTTGGCGGTCTTGAGAGAGGAGGCATTCGAGGGATCAGACCACGCCTTTTCTAGAATCCAAGCCAGCTCCAGGACTCTGGCGCTCGAGTCGGTCGGGATGAGCACCGTCCCGCCCTTAGCGACGCTGCTCCTGATATGTGCAAGTAGATTGTCGTCCCGGGCTTTCCGCCCACCTGTGAGTGCTTCTCTTGTTGCGCCGACACTGCTGCACACGAGGGCCGTGGGTTTCCGCAGTTGTTCAATGACTTCGGCACCTCCGACGCCTCCAAACCAAGCCGCTCCCGCTATGACATTTTCTCTTGCCTGGTTCCAGTCCACCGCATAGACTATTGATTCCATGCCATGTTGAATGTGCCATATTGTGCCTCCGAGGGTGTGGCCCGAATTATACGCCGTCAATGTGAGACCCTCGACGGGCGCTGAGAACGAGGAGGCTGCGGGCTGATGAGGCTGGGAGTATTTCAAAGGTGTGATGAGGGTAAAGTATTTGTTGATCTCGTCGAAAGTCGGTGCCTGCCGCAGGATATTCGTCCGAAATTTATCATCTACACTTGTAGCCGTGTCAAGGGAGCCTGAGCCGGGGATGAAGGTGGCAGCGAGCGGAGACGAGGAGTAAAGGTCTTGCAAGAGGGTGCGGCCGAAAGCGATCACCGGCGCCGTGGCATAGACGGGGATCTGGGTGAAGAGGGGAACGTGTTTGCAACAATGAGCGTATGCGCCGAGGTGAGAGGTCGTCGCGTGTGTGAGCAGGATGAAGGAAAGGGTCGAGACATGTTTCTCTATCTCTGCTAGCTGGCGACTGTCGAATCGCTCGTCCCATCCGACGTCCACCAGGATCCTTATGTCGCTATCTAGCTCGAGGATCGACTGGGACGCCCGGGAATTGCTCTGCGATCCGAGCAAGGGCGTGAAAATGAACATTGCCCGCGCGTTGTCAGATGTTGGTTTGGGGGAAGATCAAGGATGTATTAGGCGCGTAAGAACCTCCATCGACAGCGGCGCGTCGTCGCCTCTCTTAATGGCAAATACTGGATGGACCGAAGGGCATGTCGAAGTGCGTTCGCGTTGTAGCAGGAGTGAGGCTTCGATGAGCAGCCGAAAAGAAATGGCGTGTCTGACGTCGCTGGGAAGAGAGATCACCGGGATTAGATAAGACAGTCGTGATGGTTCAGACAGTGGCACGCAAATGAACCCTTCCGCGGACGCAGCACTGTCAGACTCCTACTGTTTTTACCCGCAACTGCAAGGCTGGTGCACACCTCATAGGTGCCTCACATGTCCGTGACTGGACCTTGAGAAGCAAGCAGGGTGGAGCATCTCGGCCGCCTACTTCAATGGCAATAGTGACTGATGCTGTCCGATGTGAGTCTACGGGAAGAATTAGGTGACAGGCCGTCAGGATTCGAAGCACGAGGCGACTTTCCTCGCATTTCCAGCTAAATGATGGCAAGGCTAACTAACTTGTCCAAGTAATACGCTGATGAGAGGGCTCGGACTATCGCTAGGGAGATTTCCTAAAGAATTCGCATCTCTTTGCACTATCCAGTAGTCATGACCCAGACTAGAGAAGAAATTTATTCCCGAGCAGACCACCCTCCCAACTCACCTCGACAAGAGATCATCTCCAGCTCAGATTCTCCAGCCGAAGCAGAGAACGACAAGCAACTCCAAGAACGTAGACCCACAGATCATGCAGGTCACCTTGGTACGACCTCAGACGCAGACTCACACTCAATATGGGCCTCGACCTTGCCCTCGAATTCAGCACCCGTCCAAACTCCTCGCACCACGCAACCGCAAACCCCAAAACAAACTAAACTGCAAGCCAAGATCTCGACCCTTCAATCCAACATCACAGCCACAGAGGCACAACTTGCGCTCAAACTCCAAAAGATCACTGAATTGGAATCGTCTCCGCAACAGGAACGAGACGCAGAACAGCAACGGGAACGAGACGCAGAACAGCAACAAACGTCACCTTCACCCTTAGCGTCAGCGTCAGTGTCAGACACGAACCCGGCCACCCACCACGATCATGATCCCGCCAGAGCAAGAGCAGCGCAAGACCACGCCCAACGTCTCATAACAACACACATCACCCTCCTAAAAGGGTACAACGAGATCAAAGACATCGCGTGCGGCATGTTGAGTCTGATTGCCGAGAAACAAGGCAGGACGTTAAGTGAAGTCATGGCCGAGAGGGGGCTAAGTGAGCGGGATTGATTGATCCCGCCGAGGGCAGCGTAGCAGGTGTTGTTACTCGGTAGTCGACGGCGTGAGTCGATTCGACTCGACTACACACTGTACGTATCTCGTTTGAGGGTCGGGTGGAGGAGAACTCAGTCGAGGCTATGTCACATTTGTATCTCGTCCGAGGGCGGATATGGGTTGGGTTCAGTCGAGGTTATGTATGTATGTACACACATCTCGCACGCAGGTATACTGGATTGCGAGGCTGTAGAGCGGAATGATATGTCGATGGGGCCCGGGTTCCTACACATTTGCAGGCTGAGGAACCAGCGTGGTCGAAGGGAGACGAGTTACGAAGTACATTGTGTTCATCAAGGACCCAAGCGGGGAGAGGATCCATGGATACACAAGAAGATACCGCAGAGACCAGCATGACACAGCCAGCGTATCAGCTGGCCAGAAGAAGACTTTGACATTGTTACAGTACGAGCCATCTCCCACAGGAGGGGACAGGGCATCATATGCTTGAATCGTGTATTAATGATAAGGGCACGACTGAACCAGAAGGTGCCCAGAAGGTGCCCAGAAAATGCCCAGAAGGTGCCCAGAAGGTGCCGAAGAAGAAACATTCAGACACTTATTTCCATCTCCATGGTGTATTGGCTTACTCAATGCTCCTCTCCTCCCTTGAGGCAGAGCTATAGCGTGGATCAGTGCCGTGTGCGTAGTGAACTAGGTAACAGGACCAGGTCAAGAAGAAACAATCCACAAGGGATGACCTCTCCTGCCCAGGTCGCTTTGACTGTAAAGATCAAAAGTGGTATCGATTTGCTACGCTAAAGGTCCATAAACTTCATATCCATCCATACGATGCTACTCGTATTGCATGTTGCACGTTTCCAAGCCATTCTCAAGCTTCAAAGCCATAAACCACAACACACAAAGAGTATGTCATCATTAGAAGAAACTTCCATTGCCTTGCCCGTCTGGCCCCCTTCTTAAACTGGGATCTGGCGGAGCCATGTGTATTCGACTGCTATCCTGGCCTCCGGAGTGCGAATGTGCTTGTGCTTGTGCTTGTGGTTGGATGCCAGGCCGCGACTCTTGAAACGGCACAGCAACCGTGCCGCTTTCTTGACCACCTGTCGAACTCTGGTAAGAGGGATACGACTGTGGTGGTAGTGGACGTGGCCGCCAGTCAGGGTACGGTACAGCAACCGCGCGGCTTTCCTGACCACCTATTGAACTCTGGTAAGAGGGATACGACTGTGGTGGCGGTGGTCGCTCGTTGGGAGGATCATATCGTCCATTGTACTTGTCATCATAACTAGACGTTGCCAAGCCGATATCGCTCACGTTGTTGGAATCATAATGTCCCGGCGTTTGAAAGGCGGGCGGTTGAGATGTGGGCATGCTTTGGCTGTTGGTGAGCAGATTGGCGCCTTCTTCATCGCCGACCGCATTGTATGGTGGCAGCTTCGTGACTCCACCAGGGTACGACGTGGGTTGACTGCTGAATGTGTTGAGTGTCTGGCCCTGGGCGCTGAAATCGCTGCGGTCGGTGTCCTTGCGGTTGAGGGTGTAACTCGAGTCGGCATGGCGAGATTTGCGTCCCTTAAACAGCCATCTCGCAGACCGACCTGTAGCTTTCAACATGTCCCAACCGTTGAACGAGTCCGCCAGAGCCTTGATACCAAGAAATCCCCCTTGGTACGATCCCTTGGCGATCCCTTCCCCAGCAATCGTCTCCGACATTAGCTCTTTTGATCCAATCGTGTACGGTTTCCAGCTGAACGACCAAATGTGGAAAACGGCGAAGAAGGCCATTTCAATGCACAACAGCAGGGCAGGGATCCCGACTTTGATGTCGGGGGTCTGAACATGGTTGTTGGCCTTGATGGCGCCCGTGCTGGTGAGGAATGTGATTGCGATGGTCTGCCAGAAACTGAGGAAGATGACCAGTTTGATGGCCGTGATCTTCAAGAGTGGCTTGTGTTGCCGGATGTCATCTTTGATCTGGACGTAGAATTGGATCAAGCAGAACATGGCGACCGTGATGGAAAGGGTCTCGAAGGCCATGACCCAGATGTGCGAGAAGGCTGGACTGAGCGACTCGAGGCAATACAGATCCATGGCCTGGGTAATCACCGACACAATGGTGAAGAAGACGCGGATGAAACAGTACTGAAATATGGACACCCAGATCACCTACCGTCCTGGTTAGTCTTGCACTGTCAGGGAAGAGGGAGAACGCTCACATTGAACCAAGTCAGCCCACTTCTGGGAGTCCTCAACCAGCCTTTCTCGGCACCTCCCGTGATCTTCTGGAGGTATCCCATGGGCCATACCCACCTCTTGGGCTTGATGGTTCGGAAGTAGATCTTTTGCTGGTGGAGGTCGGGCGCCAAGTAGGCGCACATCAAGCTGAAGAAAGATGCGATGGCGAAGGCTTCGTAGCAGTCTCGAATGACCTCAAAGTACACGCTGTGTGTGTAGTAGTAGAAGGAGAGGAGGGACACGGCGGCGTAGATTGGGATCATGAAGAGAATGCGGATGATGTGTTTCTGCTCCCATGGCTTGAGGTACCGGGTCGCATGCATCAATATGAGGAAGAACGAGATGAGAAGGGCGATGAAGGTGAATATTGCGCCGACCCAGAGACCGAGGGTATGAAAGGTGTGGCCGTCCCATATGGGATCCTCCGTGATTGTCATGTCCTCCTCGGTGGTATTGCATTTTGGCCAGCCCATTTTTGCCTATCCTCCCCGCAGAAATCGATGAATCGGTATGTCAACTGTTGAATCGCAGGCGCATCGCTTTTGAGCGCCACCAAGAGAGTTTGAGGGATTCCTATTGAGACTTTTGGGCGGCTGTCGCAAACGAGTGAAAGCGTGAAATGAGCTGCTCGCAAGGCCTGCCTTCAAGGCGTGAGCGGGGTGTGGAGTGACGGCGAGTGAGAGCAGGAACGAAATCCAGGCAGAGTGTCGTATGCAGGTTTCGACGAGAATGAGAGCCTGTATGATTGTTTCGAAGGGTGCTGAAAGGTCACAAAGACATGCAGAGTGGTTGGGCGAACATTGAACTGTCCGTGACTGCGCCTCTTCCATCTGACAGGGCAGCAGCACGAAAGAGTTAGCAGTACAGCGCGTTTCAGCTCCGAAACCTAATCAGCCTCCCCAGTTTATTCTGCACATCAAACCCTCACCTGGCCCACTCGGGAGAAAAATCGTAAGATGCCCTGCATTAAATTCAGAGTGCGTGCAGTAGTGGTGTGTCCTCCGAATTGCTTGCCCTCCAGGGTTGCGCATGAACTACACTTCGGACCCCGTTTCTGCGAGGCCACCTCGGCCACCTGTATCTTCTGATCAAGCTTGTCCAAGCCCAACCAAGCCCGTCTAAGCAAAGTGGTAAGCTCAGTTACAAGATCCGGTTAGGTGCCTATGCTAAGTCGCGGTATTGACCTAAGCCAGTAACAATAAAGCGCGTGTCCTCAGCCCTGACGGTAATGGGGCAATGTGCAGTATCTAATTATATAGACCACGCGACAATGCCCCGGCCCTGCCTTTGTGTAGGCCAATGATTGCCACGAGATGGCAATAGCGATTACTGTACGACGTCGGTAACGGCTCGTTCTGCTTCCTAACACTAGAACAAGGCGAAATTCGGTGACCTGCCCAACCACGGAACACCTCTTTCGATTTGCTGTCCTTTTTCCCTGACCTTCATATCCGGGGTATCTGCGAATGCGATCATGCGATCGACGGCAATGACACAAAAAGTATATACAGCCCCATCCCGCACGACTCTACTGGTGGCTCCTTCAATCCGCGACACGGTGTCCGGCCAGAGTTGAACTGGTCCGAGATACCTGTTGCCCGACAGTAGAGTGATCCTACCAGGCGGTCAAATCGTCCACCTCGGCCTCGCCGAACGTACTCGACTTGGTCATCTTGCCTACTCCGTCTATAACTTCCCCCTCCGCGCCCTCCGTGCCGTCAATACCGGGCTTGTCCATGATGTCCGCCAAGAACTCTCGGAAGAACCCGAGCAGGTAACTATTGACTTGCTCAAACTGCAACAAAAATGCATCATGTCCTTCAGGTGAGTCAATCTTCTTCAGTCGCCCATTTGGAATACACTCGGCCAGTTCTTCCTGCTCGGCAATGGTGAACAACCCGTCTGATTCAATGCCGAGCACCAGCGCCGGCTGCTCAATCTGCGCAAGCGCTTCTCTGACGGTGGGTGCTCTGTTCCTAGATACGTCATGCGTATCTAGCTTGCGCGTGATCGCAATGTAACAATTTGCATCGAATCGATTAACAAACTTGTTGCCCTGGTACCTCAGATACGACTGAGCGGAGAAGTAGTGATTTGTAGGTTTGGAGCTGTTCGCCTCGACGACAGGAACGGGTACCACAAAATCCGTAGTTCCCGAAAATTGGGGATCTTTGAAAGTTTGCTGTCGATCAGGCGACTCGGGCTGCGAGGTCGGCTCTGACACGTTACCATTGCGAGAAACCGGTCGAGAATCCCGTGAACCTCTGGCGCGTTGATGGCCGTGATTGTGGATGCTCCAGTGCTCGTTTTGCACACCATTAGTCTTCTGTCCTTGGTTGATCGTCTGTCGCTTCAAGAGGTCGGGAGTATTTCGACCAAACCGCGCCTCGAAGGAGTCTCGGCTTCGATAGGTGAGCAGCGCCGACATGCGCGCTGCGCCCAAGCCAGCAGTGGGCGGGTCGTCGAAGGAATAGTATCCGTCCTCGTACTTCGGATCCGAGTAGATGGCTTGTCGTTGAGCCTCGCCCCAGCTAATTCCCCAAGCACTGTGGGTGGCTGATGTAGCTATGGGCGCGATAGTCCGAACGTAATCCTTGCCAAAGTAAGCATATTCTAAACAGAGCATGCCTCCCATAGAGCCGCCAACCACGCACGCGATCTGCCGGATTCCAAGGTGGTCGAGGACAAGTTTATGTATCCTGTCATCCCTTGTCAATTGTGCACATCAAACGGACTTGTGCCGCCAGAACTCACATAACATCGTCTCTTATTGTAGTCAAAGGGAACTCTGGGCCATATCTGCCCTGCGCCGGGTCTCCGTCTTTGTTCGTCACGGGACTGGCACTGCCATACGGGCTGCCCAGGCTGTTTAAACACACGACGAAGAACCTCGTCACATCAAATGCCTGGCCCGCCCTTCCCAACAGTGGGCCCCACCAGTCGGCCACGTCTGCACTGCCACTAAGCGCGTGGCAGATGACAAGGGCATTATCTCTGTTTTCCGAAAGTTGGCCTCGTACGGTATATGCGACGGGAACATTCTTCAGGACCACACCCGATTCGAGGGTGAAGGAGGGGACAATGGCGAAGCGTTGATCAACAACAAGTTTGGCAAACGGGTTCTCGGGCTGGTCTTGGACAATCTCTACGGGATTTAGTAGCCGTTCGATCATGGTCACGGTGGAGGGATAAGCAGGGTATACTGACGGAGTGTCGCGGGCAAATCCTGATTCAGGGCGTCCCCATTGGCATTTGTATCTGGTGTCGCCATGATAACAGCCCAAGGTCGGCGCGACTCTTGATTGAAAAAATATCCCAGGTCGAGATGCGGGGGCGAGTTGCGGAGGAAGGTGTCGGCGATATGTAGAAGGGGAGGAGACGAGCTTAGGTGAGATCCATTGACAAGTGCAGGGCCTTAGGACTCGGTTCTGTTATATATGGCTCAACGAGGAGGCTGTTGCCGTTTACAGACCCGTACTCGTGCTCGTTGCAGTTGACTCACAATGCGAGGTCTGGGATTGAAACCCCGGCGAAAAGTTCGGGCCTGTTCGTGTCTGTCTGCGGTGGGGCTGTCGAGCACATCATCGTCCATTGGCGAATCACAGTAGTGTGGCATTGACTAATACAAGTAGTGAGAGCCTCGGAACGTCCAAGGGCAGCTTTTCCGAGACCGCCACTTAAGGCAGTATGTGCACGTGACATAAGATGGTCTATTCTAGGTGCTGTGATAATCTATCCCTCATGCATTCCAAAGCTCATAAATTCAACTGGAACTTTGGATGCGTCCTTATCCTCTCACCATACTTCAGAAAGAACCATATCATCGGCGACATGCCCAACGCAATGAATGCCAGCAGAGAATTCCCCCACCCGAGTCCCAGGGCATTGTACATGTCTCGTCCCGCAAGAGGTAGGAAAGCGCCTCCAAGGCTGCGAAGGACCGTGTTGGCTGCCATGGCGCTCGCCGCGTAGACGGTGTATGCGTCGATGAGATAAACACCGACTGGCATGAACGACCCCACAAGGCCCGCTCCAAGCATGGTCGTGCCCAGGATGGGGACAATCCAATGGACTTTGTACTGCGCGGTCCAGCCATACAGAACGAGACCTAGAGGGGCAATGATGGCGCCAGGCCAAAGCAGCGGCAACCTGTACTCGGGCTTCATCTCACCTCCCTTGGCCATCCTCCTCAGCAATTTGTCCGAATAAGCCCCGAACAACAGCAGGCCGATGAACTGGCCGAGTCCAATACCAAGATAGACCAGCCCGACGTTGCTGGGGCTGATTCCGTACTGATCCCGGAAGACGAATGTCATGGTCGTGAACAGGAGGTACAGGTAGCCATAAACCACGGCAATGTACAGCGAGAGTCCAAAAACGATGGGCGAAAGGACCAGCATCTTTGTCGGACGAACCACGCTGAAGAAGATCAGTTGCCCAGGCGTCTTGCTCGATTGGAGTGCCGATCGGAGTTTGTCGTTGCCCGTTTGCTTGCGGAGTCGCTTGGCTTTCCGTTCGAGGAGGACTGGAGGGTAGGTTTCTCTTTGAATGATGAGCGCCACGATCAAGAGGACGGCGGTCTGCTTAGGTCAGCTAAAGTGGTTTGAGGTTCGAACTGCGCAACAGGGACGTACACAGATTCCCAGCAGGTAAAAGTTCCACTCCCAGCCGATCTCGGATAGGTAGGAGCCCACCACTGGTCCCATGCTGTTGTCCGTTAGTCCGGTTGAGTAGCACAAGGGACTTCCGGGATAGGACTCACCTTGGTCCAAACAGGATGGGGAACGTCCAGATACTCATCACCTTCCCACGCTGGTCCTGCCTGAATGTGTCTGCGATTGAGCCCGAGCCAACAGTTAATGGACAGGAGCCAGCAACCCCAGCCAAGAAGCGGAACACGATCAGCATGGACAAGCTGGTCGACCAGCCACAAGCGAGATTGAATACCATGAAGAGAAAGGTATTGACGTGATAGACGTATAGTCGACCATACAATTCGCTCATTGGGGCTCTGTGGTGGCTGGGTCAGTGGCCGTTTCGGGGACACGAAGGCTCCCACCATGAGGCCGGAGAAAGCACTCACATGACAAGGGGGCCGAATGCATAGCCCAGGACGTAGACGGATACCACGAACGAGGCCAGGGCTTCACTCTCCGAGTTGAAGTCGCTCATCACCTGTGGCACGGCCGGTGCTAACATCGAGGAGCCAAATGGTCTAAAAGATCGTCAGTATCGCAATGCCATGCTCATCTTGATTTGTCTGGCTGCCACCAACGTCAAAAGCGTGATCATCGACAGGAACGCGATATTTGCCCACTTCTTCCTCGACGGCCAGTTCAACGGGTTCTCGGGGTCATCGGGGCCGTCCCAGTCGACAATATCGGGGTCGACCGTCTGGTTTACCGTGGCTGTGACATCTTTGCCCTCATGGATCGACAGAGCTTTTTCAACGTCGCTGTGTTCGACTTGGGAATTGTTCCAAGTCGACCCAGTGCTGGACGGGCCTGCAGGTGATGCCATGCGCTCGATCTCAGACTGTTTGTTAACACTCATCTCGACGCTGGGAGTGATTAGTTCCACGACGTGCCTCGGAGCACTCGATCAAGCTCGTAGATTCACGGTGGAAGTGCCATGTCTGCTGGCTTCCATGCAAGCGAAATAGGGCATCGCAACAGAGAAGAAGACCGCCCCTTGAGAATTGGCGTTCGCGCGCATATAGTTGGTTTGTACGATCTTCCGAAACTAGCGAGGTGCCGCATACTGCTCTTCTTTCGACCGAGGGATTGGTTCTAGTTTCGGTGGAGATCACGAACGATCTGCTTTGTGCGGTCAAGGAAAGTACATACAGTAGAGCTTTTGGTCGAACGACCGGGAAGCCGGCACAGAATGCGGGGCTGATGGTAGTGGAAGTGGAAGTGGAAGTATTCAAAGCGGCACCCGGTGCCGGCCCCGGGGGCATGGGGGTTTCCATGAGCGTCAAATGGTGGCGGCCAGGCTCTTATGGGATTCAGCATGGGCGGCTAATGAATGGCAAAAGTCCTCGAAGCGTCACGTTCCGCGGTATTTCGCTCAAGCGGGCGGTCAGGCACGTCGCGTGTAGCTCTGGATATTCCCGTCATACAATGTCGTCTAAAGACCGACAGAAACAAAGACCATCATCGGATGAGGGGCTGGTTCGCTCAGGGATACGACTGGTGCCGGGGAGGCTTCTAGTCCTCTAATCGTCATACAACTTGCACATGGCTGTCTCTTCATGTAGGGTCGAAGCCAATCGTTGGTGTTGAACTACTCCATGCATTTGCGCTTCATTAACGTTCATATCTGCGTGGCTCTTGTCAAATGAGGCCGATATGATCATGTCCAGTATGGCGCCTTCAGGCTCGTCAGGTTGCTCAGAATACCATCATGATCCCCCGTCTCCTCCTTCTTTCTCTGGCCACTCAATTCCATTTGAATCGCGCGGTGGACATGTACAAGCCAGTCTACATAGCTTTGAGCTTCGTTGTTCCGGTCTTCCACCAGCATTCGAGCATACTCGAACTCGGATCCGTCGAGCCCTTGTCTGGCCAGTGTGAAGCTTGCCGCCTTGCTTCCGCGCACGGTAGAAATATACTGCAACAAATTCCGTACCTGAGCGTTCAGGTGCGTTTCCAGCACAGGGAGCTCATTCATCATGGGGTCTAGGTCGTGTAGGCTGTTGGTGCCCTCCCCAAATAGATCCTGTAACAGGTTCGGGGACACCTGCGCATGGAGCCAGAGAAGCACGACCTGTCCATTATCGACCAGATACACGCCGCCTTCCTCCACCCGAGCAAAGGAGGCTCGAAGCGTGGGTGGGACGACGAGTTGCATTGTCTCAGCGTCAGCAAAGCAATCCTCCGGGTTCAGATTATGAAGTGAGTAGATTCGGGGGTACAAGTATAACGACGTTTCTGTCACTCCGGAAGACCGCATGAAGCGGGCCGAGTGCACTCTGCGATCAGTGGGTTCAACACCTCCTACGAACAGCATTAGCAATCAAGACAAGAGGAAGCCAACGCCAAAGCTTACCTTTGAATGCTCGGCTTTTGATCAAACCGAGCGTGTACATGGCGAACTCCTTGAGATGCTCTGGAAGCACGAGCTGCCCAGGAGGATGTGACCCAGAGAAATTTTTGCGGTACCCGGCTAGGATGTCAATGGTCTTCTCAGTGATGCTCGCTCGGATATCCTTGAGTGACTTTTCCGACACCTTGGACGAGGATTCTTTCGCAATGATGTTGACCACCGCGTCTTGGTCAACCGTGCGCATCGTGTCCGTAGCGCCGTCATTGACAGCTGCAACGACATTGATACACCTCACCCTTCGCTGGCCAGTAGCAGACGTGTAAAGAAGAGCCGCCTGGAAATGAGCGTCCAGCTTCGCGTCGAGCTTGCCATCGTAGGAGAAGGTGACCCCGATAGCCTTATCAGCGTCGATCGTTCCAATTTCGAGATCTGCTCCGAAGGTATGTTGCAAGAATGAACCGTAGTAGGCAGTCACTTGCAAGCCCGTCGAGCAGCGCACCTTCATCAGCGCCTGGTAACCGGTTTCCCTTGTCAAGGAATGTTTAATTTCGAGCTGTAATTTGAGGGCGTCACGAGGTGCCACAAAGTTGGGATAGAAGAACATCTCACCGCCCGTCAGTCGTGACACATGACCGAGGGTGGCAATGTCCATATACCCTCCGCCGGCTGAGGCAAGGAAGAAGTCCACTCCGATACCTGCAGTCACCATTGCGGCAGCTGTCTTCTTGTAGCCTGGGTTTTCGGTCGTGAAAAGCTTCCTCTCTGCATCCGTGTCTCGGCCTTTACCGTCATCTCTCAGGTGGAGCCTTCCTGAACCCCAGGTCGGCAAGGTCGACAATGAGCATACTATCTTACCGCCAGTGGCAGATAACGCAGCCAACCCCGCGTTCAAGGCGGGTAACAGAGCCGGCTCTGGATTCTTGACGAGGGAAAACATGGTGGGGATTGATTTCAGAAGTGCCATAATGACAGTCTTCGATTCTTGTGGATCAACAAAGAGACCGCCTGCCAAAGGAACAAAGGGGTCTTCCAGATCAGTGACAACCATCATCTGTGCGGTGTCCAAGCCAGCTGTGAGATTGTAAAATTGTATCTCCTTGTCATAGGTGACGATAGCGACTCTGGCGCCGGCCGGAAGCCTGCGTGTCTCGGTATCCCCTTCTGGGATCTCTTCGCCGTCACCTTCGTACAGGGTATCCAGAACTCCTTTGCAGACCGACTCAAGAAATCCTCGATTAATGGCCTCTTGGGTGATATCGATCATAAACAGCCACCGCATCGGTACAGGCTCCTTAGTCTGATACTCTTTCGGAACTGTGAACTCGACCGTGCCCATCATCAGTTCTGGCCGTTGTAGTCGATCGACTCTAACTCCGGCCACGTCTGTGGGCGCAAAGTATTCTGGCGGGACATCGTTGGGGAAGTTGCACATATTGCACACCAATTTATTGCCGCCAGCTCTGAATGTCATAAATGGGTTGATATATGTCCGGCACCTCCGACACCGAGGAGGCCCCCCTTCACCGAAATCGAGCACGGGTACGGGTTGCTCTCCTTCTTGAAGAGCGGCAAAAGGTTGTAACACCAGACCCAGGGGAAGCCCGGTCGAGGCCAGGGCTTCGGACGTAGCAGGGATATTGTTAACCGTCAGCCTTGCAAACTTCGGGGACGAGTTGCCCTGATCGTGGGCAACAAAGGGTATAGCCGCAGCAGGGGGAAGATGCTTCTCCATCGTCGGGTAGACATTGTGCTGGTAGAACTGTGTGGCCACATCTCTTGCCCTAGCTACGCTTGGTATTTGTTCCGGGTTGACCCTGCCCTGAGCCGCAACAGCCTCTTCACCCATCCTTAGCTTGTCCGTGGGATTGAGGAAGGCATTGTCCCCCGGTTGAGCTGGCACACCTCCTCCTGGCCCTGCAGTTGGTGCATTGTTCAGAAACTGTGAGCTCCCAACACTGCTGGCGGGTGGAGCCGGAGCTCCTGACCCCATACCGGGAGCCGGAGCTATTTCGTGATATGCATGCCTTTCCTTCTTTCTGTGCGACCGTACAGGTGCCGCTGACACGTCGAGACCACCCAGCTGGGCAGCCAGCCCGTTCATGGCGTCATGCTGCTGCGGAATCTGCGTGGGACCCGGTCCCGGGTAAGGCGCCTGTTGCATGTTGGCATACACCTGTGGAGCGTTAGGATCGGCGCCATACTGCTGGTAGCCCGGTTGCGAGCCCGGGGGATATTGTTGCGCTCGAGGATCTGGTTTCATATGAGGCGGCTGGCCGGTACTAGCGCCATAGTGTGAGCCGTAGTCGGCCATGGCTGACGCATGAAAAGTAAGGATTCTAAGGATTCGACGGTCGGCGCTTCATAATGGAGGTGAGATTCTGAGACCAGACCTAAGACGAAAGTGCTCAGATTAAATTTGCATGGACCGATCTGGTTGAGCCGTTGGTGAAGGGAAGTACCAAGCCGAAGAAAGTTAACAAGTCTGTCACAAGGTGATGACAAGTGGCTTTAAGCAACAGTCGGACAGAGACGTGAGCCTGGCCTGGGTCGACGCGAGCAACCGACACGAACTTTTGGAGACTTGGAAGTGCGAAGTGAAGCGGGGCCTCGCTTACCTAAGCCGCAGCCTTGTAGGAGACACACTCAAGACACCCTCCGGACACCACTAAGCCACAATCCAAGAAGATATCTACGAGTCACTTACTGTAGCAATGGTGTTAGCAAGCCAGCCGCAAGCTGCTAAATAGCTCATAAGAAACCCCTAATGAGGTCCGGTCAGCCAGACATACACTTCTGTCTGCCTAAGAAGAGGACCTCTGGGAGTCTTGATGTACTAACACATTTTGAATATAGAAGACTTCAGCATGTCTCGTCCGTGGTATACAACACTTCTCTGCACCATCTTGCCAGCTACAAATGTAAGGATAGCAATTGCTGAATCTCTTGCCCGTCATTCATTCAAAGGCCGCGTCGCATGCGCTTGTCACCTCCTCTCCCACCACCACCACCGGAGCCATGACCCCTGCCATATGGAGTCGGCTCTTCATCACGGCCGTGCTTCCTTGAAGACGCTGTCTCATCCCTAGGGCCCGATCGCGCATGACCTCCTCTCCTGTCATCTCCCTCGGCCACGTGGTTATCGCGCCTACTAGGTCGCTCTTCCCGCCTTTGTGGATCTCCCGCACTGTGTCTTTCATCCTTGCCTTCACGCCCGTCTCGCTCACTTCGGTGCTCCCTGTCTCCGCGTGATTCATCGTGCCGACTCGAGTGCCGCGAAGATCTCCTCTCAGATCCACGATCCTCTGCCAATTCATTTCTCCGATCTCCCCTACCACCATCGTGGCGTGACGGAAGCTGTCTACTGCCAACCGGTACGTCATTGGGATTTGAAGAGCCAAAGAGGTCGTTGGGAGGATGTCCATCTGGACCGGGACCGTGGCCCGAGAAAAGAGGACCACCTGGTGGGGGTGGAGGTGGTGGCGGAGGCATGTGTAGACCAAAGTTTCCACTGTTTTGTCTCGAGCCGCCTCGTCCACGGACTGAAGATGTGCCGGCCTGCGCAAGGGTGTTGTTGATGCCCGTGAGCGGATTACGATTGGTCCGCCCTCCACGCACGCTCGTGTCACTTGCTTGTGGGCCGGATGGGGGTCCTCGGCTGGTAGGCGATGGTCCAGATGGAGCTCCAGGTGGAGCATTGCCTCGAGGACCTGCCGGTGGATGAACCTGCTGTGTAGGTTGCACGTTCGGACCCGGGCGCGAAGGCTCAGATGCCGCAGCATCAATCTGACTAAGGCGAGAGGGATGGACACCTGCCGAATCTGGAGCAGGAGTACCTGGTGCGGAGGATGCCTCGGCATATGAGCTGGTTCGTCCATGTTGTCGTCTTGAAGGCCCTGTGGGAGTGGGTCGGTCCGGAGGCGGTGTGGGCGGAACTTGTGTATTCAACAGAGGAGCTCTCATTCTTGGCGCCCCTGCCGAAGGTGGTCGGCCCCGAGGGCCACTCGGAACATCAGCCTCCTGAGGGCGATCCGGGGTTTGTGACAGCGATGCTCGGGGGGAGGCCTCTTGCTCGAGCCTACCATGCTGCATGTCAATCGCTGGCGGTTGACGAGCCTCTCTCGGCTCTCTCCTGTACGGCCCGGGCCCACCAGAACGTGAAGTGGAAGCAGCTGGCTCCAACGGAGGCCCATTCAAGGAGGGCTGACGCGCAGAGGGGGTCTCTGGCCTGGTCCACTCTTCGGCGTCGCGACGGGGGTATGGTTTTCGTTCCTCATCTCTTCGCGGCGAGTTTGGCCGGGACTGTCTTGATGATCTATCCAGTCCATGCCCCCTTGCAGGAGGAGTTCTCTGATCCCCGCCACTTCCTATTAATGATGCTCGTGCAGGGTTGATAGTGGGCTCTGAAGGGGTCTCTTTCCTCTGAGGAACCTGTGATTCCGGCCTTGCAGGCTCTGGAGCAAGTGGTGGTCTTGATCTTGGGCCGGGCTCCCGCGTCTCTCGCTCACGTTCACTCGGTGGGGGGCGAACAGGCGGACGATCTCTTTCTTGAGGCGGTAGAGGTCGATCGTACGGTCCTCTCCTTTCGTGCTCGCGACCGTAGCCGCGATCGTCGCGGCTAGGATAAGGAGGACCTTCAGGCCGCTCATATCGCCGTGAATGGCGATCATACTCATCAAACCCATGGTCCGGTCGTTCCGGTCGCTCTGCACCACGGTAACCTGATCTTGCGTCACGGGTGTGGTTCGTCCGACCATCGGGCGGCGGTCTGGCAACATCGATTTCTGCTCGATGTGACAGCCGTGGACTATCTCTGTGACCATTCCGAGAATCCACTGGTTCGGGACGGCTCGGCAGGCTGGACACGGCCGAACGCGATGGAGGCGGCGGAGTAAGGCGCCGTGGCAGATCGTGAGGCTTAGAAGGCTCGGGACGAGCAGGTCGGGGTTCTCGCTTAGGACCTGCAGAAGCCTCATTGCTCTGTCTTGACGGTGTCGAAGCGCCATTGGTAGTCGCTGGCCTGGATGCTGGTCTGGGAGATGGCACGAAGGGCTCAGCGGTAGGTTGGAGCCGTGTAGTCCTAGACGACTCCCCGCTCTCCTTCTTGTCAGTGTCAAGCGTAGCTGCTGGCTTGGGCGGTGCATCCGGCATTGGTTCGTCCTTGATTTCCCCGTTTCCTTGCTGCATCGTTGGCTTTGTGTCTGAGAAAGAGGCATCCTGCGCCGGAGCACTGCCAGCTTGGGAGCTTGCTGGATCGTGCTCTCCTTTCTTTTCGGGTCCTCTGCGAAACTTCGTAGTCTCGACCCACGCTTTCTCGCGCCTATGCAAGGCTCCAAGTAAGGCTTGAGACGAGACCTTGAGGTCTTCTTTATCAGAATCACGCAGCTTGTCAACAGCCTTCTGCAACCCGGTCCCATGCCAATTGACGGCAGGATAGACCCCAGAAATGGCGCGCAACACCGATATGGCGTTCCGAACGTGCATGTATTCCGGCGATCCCAGACATTTCTGAAGTGCCGCATACAGATTGCTGTGCCACTTAAACAGGATTTTCTGGAAGCTCTCGAAGTCTAGCAATGCAACGACTCTCCCTGCTTCGACTTTAAGAGCAAATCCAGGCAGATTTCTCTTCGAGCCTCCGCAAGCTTCCCTCTCGTATATTGTTTTAGAACCATGCCATCGCGCAAGATCTTTCAATACCTCGCTCAAAAACTTTCCAAAATTGTCGGCCTCCTTGGACGTGCACATGAAGATCAATGAGATAAGTCGGGCTGTCTTGAAGAAGAGGTCGTAAAAACCAAGGGTTCGGAAGTTTGGTGTGCCTCCGCTGTGGAGGAGTTTGAGAAATTTGAAGCAGAAATAGGCGTCGAGTGGAGAGGATAGCATTCTTGGAAGAAAGCAATGCTCCATCAGGGCCGTATTTAGGGCTCTGTCCATCCTAGTCTTGCCTAGGAACCACTGCTCTTTTTCACGCTGTAGTCTCGCTTTACCCTCCAGGAAGGATTTCAGATGTTGCTTGTTTTCCAGCAGTAGTTTGTCGATGAGGTCTTGAATCTCCCTGGTCGCCATTTCCTTCTTCTTGGTGCCGGAAACGCTGACATCCGTCCGATCTGCTGTGACGGCAGCCATCTTCTTGCGCTGTCGGGCACTCTCATCCTCGTACGACTTGCTAGGAACGGCAATATCGTACAAGGACAGCTGCCAAAAGGTCGAGTAAAAGCCGGTGCCGATGATTTTGTTGACTTGTTCAGGCAAAGATGGCTCGATGGCTGTCATCAGATCTTTCATCACAGGATGCCAGCAATCTTCCGATATTGATTCTGATGTCCCGAGTGCCTTGGTGCTGGCGTCGAGGTCAAGCGCCGGGCCCATCGTGTCGCCTGGAGCTGGCGAGTCATTCGTGATGTTCTCCGACTCCACGGCTTCACCATCCTCTTCTGAACCACCGTTGATCTGATCTGACATGTCAACGTCACCGTTGATGTCCTTGACCTCCTCTGCTTGCTGTTCTTTGCGATTTTCTCTGTCATAGTCCTGCATTTGTCGAGAGATGAGCGGACGGGCGATCCAGAAGGCAATTTCCGGGCGTATCTCGTAGTCTACGAGGAGACTGACCACATCGGGGATAGTGGCTCGAAACTCATCAGGAGACAGATTCGTGCGGAGGAGATCAAGATACTGGACCATCACGCGGTGTACCTCGTCATATGTGTTGCCGATCGCTTTCAGGGGGATTTCACTATCCTTGAAAACCACAGCCTGCCGCTGTTGAGCCATGGAGATCAAGAATTTTGCGGCCAAGCCCGCGTCTTGGAGTGACTTGATCAAGCGCTCTGAAGTTCTCTTTGAGTCGTGCCGGCGATCAAGGAGTTGGAGGATGATCTGGCCTTGCAACAACGGCCCACCTCCCATTGCTTGTAACTGAGCATCGTTATAACTCGTGTCGGTGGCAATTCCGGCCATGGAAAGTATGATTTGCTCCAACATCTTGAGGTCCATAGTGTTACCCTGCTCAAGCTGCTCGGCCACATACTGCAAGATTGGACCAGGCTTCATCATGCCGTAGCGTTTATAGATCTTGCCGGCGAATACAGAAAGGGCCGAGAGCCAACGGCTGGCGAAGATGCCGCCTTCTTGGGTTCGGTTCCGTCCGGTTTTCGCCATTGAGCTGACAATGGCCCAAGTAAGGACATCATAACCCAGATCCGTGAAGTAGCGAGCACCCTCGACGAACACCTCGGCGATGCTGTCGTAGACTTCGATCTGAGTGAGCGCAGTGGTTATGACGATGTGCGGATTCGCAAAAGCAATCTTTGCCAGGGCCCGTGCCATGGGTCGTACATTAGTATTGGATATGCGCTTCAGGATGTCCTTGGTCTCAGCCCTGGCTTGATCGAATGCTGCCTTGACATCTGGATTGCGCGATGTCCGGCCGGATGACCATTCGAGATACATCAAGTAGCGGACGCTGACAGGGAATATACTGATCAGCTCGAAGACTTCGTTGACTGCATCGGCATTCGACCTTGTTAGGCTCAATGAGGGGAGCAAGGTGCGCTTGATCAAGTCTAACCATCGCGTTCGGTTCGACTCGCTCTTGTCGGTGTGCAAGCTATGTTTCCCGATGCGGGAAATCTTGAGCAGGAGGCCGACGTCTTGACCGATCTTGACGCCCACAAGCGGCAGGAAGATGTTACACAACGTGAAAACATCTTCAACATTCTGGCAGACAGGGATGTTGTCGTTCCATTCGTCCCAATAGAAGCGGTAGTCGGTGCCGTCGAGGGAATCATTCTTGTCCAATTGAGCCCATCGGAGGACCTTTCTTTCGATTGCTTCTACAATCTTGACTTGGCCTTTTGGGACTCCGGGTACATCGGTTTCGTAGCTCGGCTTCTGAGCGCGCAGACTGGGTCGATCTTGCAGAGGTTGGATCTCGCCGTAAGCTCTGCTCAACGAATGATGTAATATGCGATGAATATATTCCGGGAGTTCAGGGATGAGATCCATCAACCAGGGAAAGCGACCAAGAATGAATAGTGCCTCTGGAAGCGCGCCTACGGCGAGCAGGCTCTTTAGCAGGAGAACCTTCTGGTCCGCTGGCGCACTCTCCTTCGCAGGTGGCTTCTCGACTTCTTGCTCCCGGACCGGCGTATTTGAGCGTGTACCAGATTCTTTCAGACGGGCTGGGACGGGTAGAGTGTCGTCAGCCAGGGCTCCAGCCGAAGCAAGCGCATTCTTTACTCCAGCACCCGGTCGAGCGGCTCTTTCTCGTTCGGACTTCTCTTTAACCTTCTGCTGCTTGAGCTCATCCATGGCGTCATCAGTCCTCCAAATGTGCGGGTATAGGTCTTTCAAGGAGATAAATCCAATCTTGATCAGAAGGGCGGAGAGATAGATGAGGTTGTCCGGGAGGATGTCCGTCTCGTCTCGCGCGGGGGAGGATGAGTAAAAGCGCAGTTTGAAACCCAGAAGCTGAGCAGCATCGCGGTTTCCGGGTGGCGGCAAGGTGCCAGTTTCGCGAACCCACTGCGCGAGCAGCTCGTCTCCTGACGATGCCCGTTCTAAATGCTCTTGCGTCGGTTTTGAGCCTCCAAGCAGATAGAATGCGTGAAGCCCCTTCTCTCGAGCGTCATACCAGAAAGCCTGGTCTCGTGTTCTGGTCTCTTGTGCCACAAGCTGCTTCTGCTCCTCGGTGAGGTGCCAGTCTGGCGAGCCTGGAAGAGCCCATAAAGGCAACCCTGTCAGGAGCTGTGTCTTCCTGACCAGCGCGGATGGGCGTGGCCACCATGGACTCGCGCGGAGGAATTTAACGAAGAACCGACATTGTTTGACAAGAACTGCGCTAAAGACGTCGAGCACAACATCCAAACTCCGTCCCACATCAAGGTCAAAGGCACCGATCATAGCCTTGACCTTCTCTACTGTCTCTTCGACTGTGTCTGCAGTGGGTGCCTCGTTACTGCTGGTGGTGAACAGCTCGGTCATCAGCTTAGCAAATCCTTCGGACTCTTCCCGCATCAAGTTGAAGTTGGCCTGGCGATAGAGGAGGTTTGTCTGTTTCCTGATGCCCATACGGCTGAAGGTGTTTCTGATCATGTTAAACTTCTCCAGCAACGGGGCATCGATTTCGTGTCGAAGTAGCTCATGAGGTATGCCAGTCGCGAAGATGAAGACTGTTAACCGGTCTAAAGGGATCGTAGGGTTATTCTCGAACATAACGGACACAGAATCTAGGAGCGAAGCCTGTAGAGCTGTAGGATGTGGTATCGGCTGGTCGTCGTCTTCCTGTAATTCGCTCTCGAGCATTTGTTTGACGAGGTCGCCTGCTTCGGTCGGACCGAGTCTTCCATAGACGACAGAATGCACCAACTCCTGCATTAATACGATCAGCTGTATCCCCTCTGCTTCTTGCATTCCCTGGAGGCCTTGTCGCAATATGTCTTCTCGGCCGCCTGTTTGCCATGAGTCACAGGTCTCACTTGTCAGGTACGTGTAATTGTAAGGCTGGGATTCAGAGGGAGGCTCTGAGAGGACGGGGGCCTCAGGCAAGGTTTGCTGGGTGGTCGACATGTTTCCGTTTACGTGAACGGGCTCGGCATCTGCCACGGGTGTCCTCGTTAATGTCGGGAGCCTCTCAGCGGCACTGTTGACAGGACTTGACGCGGTGTTGGCGCCTCGCCCTCCTCGGCTCGATCTCCTACCACCTCTTCCGCGTGGTTGACTGAAGTCGCGGTCATTTGATTGATACCCCGACTGCGCCAGGTTGAGATTTTGTGGCCGATGAGGCGAGGGACGGTTATGAGGTTGATCGTCTGAATAACCGCGCTCTGGTCGCTTCCTCTTATTACCGGCTGGTGGGGGCATCACGCCTGGGCTTCGGACGCGGCGACCTCGTTGAGGCTAACGTGAAGTTCGGCGTCTCTCGTATCATGAGGTTAGGGTAACGACATCTGGCTGATGGCAGAATGGTGCAATATTTCCTGTCGAGATCCCTGCCAGAACTCAGTTGTTGGCTCAGAGATCCGCTATGTAGAAAGGTATCTGCTTGTGGGGATGGATTGTGGTTGAAGAGATACTGGTAGGATCCTGCTGCGTCTCCGTCACAGCGAGTCAAAACAGCCTTGACCTGCCAGGTGGTTTGGAGAAAGGCGAGCCCACAGTTATTATGTAAGCTAACAAAGTGGTGAAGATTGGGTGAAGATCGGTTTGGTGGAAGGCACAGGCCGTTTCACTCACGTCACTGCCTGTCGAGCGTTTTGGTCACTCCATCACACAGACCTGACACTTTCAACTGCTTAATGGGATTGACTTTATTTCTTAATAGTTGAAGGTAGGTGCATTTGAAAGAACTCATTTGTCAGTATGGCAGCGAAAGTATTCCTGACTGGCACGACCGGGTAAGTCCTTCGAGCCTGCATATCTGTCCCATTTGTTCCGTTTTCTGCCTTTCACCCACAGCTCATGACTGCTAACAATGAAGCAGCTATATTGGCGGGGATTTCCTCTATCTTGTCTCAGAGAAACATCCAGACTGGGACATCACATGCTTGGTTCGCAACAGTGACAAGGGCGCCACGGTTGCAGCGTAGGAGCATCATTTGTCTCACCCCTGAGATATGTCTGACGCTCTCACAGAGCCTATCCTAAGGTGAGACTCGTGTACGGGGATCTCGATGCCGTCGAAACGATAGAGGAAGAAGCCGCCAATGCCGATATCGTCTATCATTTCGCCAATTGTGATCATGAGCCATCAGCGAACGCCATTGCAAAAGGCCTTGCTCGGCGTCCGAGTGATAAACCGGGCTACTGGATCCACACGTCAGGAACTCTGATTCTAGCTTGGGAGACGATCGAGCTCGCAGAGTTTGGAAACAGGCTGGATAAAGTCTTTGACGACTGGGAGAATGTCAAAGAGTTGACATCTCATCCAGACCACGCCCCCCACAGAAATGTAAGCTCTCCGACCCACTGACACCATTCGCAAGTACTGATATAGATTCGACACTTCCAGGTTGACAAGATCGTCCTGGCTGCATCATCAGACAAGGTCAAGACAGCAATCGTTTGCCCCCCAACCATTTGGGGAGTTGGTCGGGGTCCAGACGTAAGTTGTCCTCATCTCAAAACCTAGCTGTCTGATGACAATCGTGACTGTCCTAGTCCTGTCACCAGTGATATCAGCTAATGGAGATGTACAGAATACACGCTCTGTGCAGATATACAACGCCGCCAAGGCGTTCTTGAAGAGGGGCAAAGCCTTCAAGGTCGGCAAGGGAGAGAATATCTGGCATCAAATTCACGTCGCCGACCTTTCCGAACTTTATCTCCTCCTCGGGGAAGCGGCCTTGAACAAGGGCAATCCAGCCACGTGGAATGCCGAAGGCTACTATCTGGCCGAGAATGGGCCATTTGTCTGGGGAGATGTGCTCCAAGAGATGGCGAACGTGGCTCACAAAAAAGGGCTCCTGCAGGATTCGACGCTTGAGAGTCTGCCACCACGCGACGCCGAGGCATTCTTCCCCAACGCCAGCTTTGCAATTGGAACGAACTCGAGAGGAATATCGATTCGCGGCAAGAAACTGCTCGGATGGAAGCCTGTCAAGAGAGAATTGGTTGAAGAGCTTCCCGAAGCTGTCGACAGTGAGGCGCGACTTCTCGGGCTGACTCACGGTCACGCTGCAGAAGCTGCGGGCGAAGCTGCTTGAATGAAGTTGTCCTGAAGTAGCTACCTTTCGAGTAGCGACGCTATCCTAGAACAATAAATCAGCGCAGGCCAGGACAGGTATGTATGTCAATTAATGATGGGCTGCGGGGCGGCTTGGGACTTGCCACACGCACTCTGGACTTAGAAGTCCAATGCTTCAAATATCAGTCTCAGACCATGTACGAGTCACAGCGGCGTGGTGCCGTGGTTGATCATATCTTCCAGTAGCCTCTTCTCGTGCCCAGGGAAGCCTTCCGAGCCAAGTGGTCTAGCTCACAGACAAGTATGTAAGCTAGATTGCCTAGCCAGGCCGTCGTATCTCCACTTGCTCTGCTCTGGACTTGGAACCGCCATGGACGGTAACCTGGGTGTGTGCTGTGGTATTGGCGAGCACATATCTCGTCAAATGGCCTCGGGGGGGGATGCCATGCAAACCCCTGACCTCCGGACAAGACCTGGACACCAGTTCGCCATCGGGGAGAGCGTCAGTCCGAGTCGGTTCGGTCCTTTCGATCTCGAATTGGTCTCCCGAAACTGTTACTGTACCCTGCCCAGGCCGGCTTCAGTGGTGCGACTGACACTGGCGCCTTGACAACTTTGATCTAGCCAGACGCCGGATCGACGTTCAAGGTCTATCCTGAACGTGCCGTGATTCTCCAATCCGACGCTGGAAACCGAATCTGATCTCGCAGCCTGAAGTGAATATTGCGGCACTGGGGGTACTGGGACCAAGGCAGTTGTTACAACCCATTGATGACGCAACGTCCTCGTAGAAGACAACGCGTATAGAAAGGCGAGTTGTTGGTCTGCTCGTAAACGCTGCTTAGGAATGAATGCCGCCCGATGAGGGATGGTTCGACTTCAGCTCAACTTGGCATCATTGACAAAATCGTGCAACTTCCGACTACATCTTTCATCTCCAGCCGTGTCATTCGTATCATTCGTCTTGCATGCCAGAGCCCAGCATGATCCACGGCAGCTGCGCGTGCGGGCGTATTCAGTATAAGACTCAAGCCCAACCACTTGCTGTCACTTTCTGCCATTGTATAACCTGCCAGCGGGTTGCAGGCGGCCCGTTCTTGCCGTTCGTCGGCTTTCCCACCTCGGCCATTGAATGGACACAACAGCCGGACATGTGGCAGGCCGGTGACATTGCTGAGCGCGGGTACTGCAAGCAGTGTGGCTCGGCTATATCGATGCGGTATTTCCACGAGGCAGACCGGATCGGGTTGACGCTGGGAACGCTCGTCGGAGCTCAGCATGCTTTGCCTCCGGTCGGAGCACACATTTACCTCAAGGACAAAGCGCCGTACTTTACTCTGAGCAACGATGGGGCAGAGCGGTTCGATGAGTTCTCTCCGGGTTTTCGGGATCAGATTGAACAATGGAAAGCAGACCAGCAGAAGGAGTAGCGCCGGGACTTGTTGAGGACCTGTACCTTTGCCCACAATCTTTGACTTCGATCCGACAAGTGCTGGCATTGAGGACGAGACAACAGAGCTGAGCGGGCAACAACAAAGCGACTTCACAAGTAAAATCTTTCTGCCTCACCGCGGGTGCTGGCGTGAACATGAATCCTTCCGCATTCACACTCATCGCACGTTCTCGTCCACCTGAAGACCACCTTCCCTCTTCTCCCAACTGGACCTGCCGTTTGCGCCTTTCCGCTCCGCAGCGCTACAGCTATAGCTGGTTGCTATTTAAGTCACTGTCGCAGTCGCAATGTCGGATTCCTCACTTCCTCCATCTTCCAAAGCGCCAGCAGGGGCTCCCAAAGGACCGAAAAAGCTGCGCTTCTCTGCCATGCCACCTCGCACGTACCTCCAGCCTACAGCAAGTCCCTGGGCTAGGAATCGTGCGCCTTCGCCTGCAAATCAGCGTCAGAACAGCAGCCCACTCGTCCACAGTCCCCTTCAGAAGTCATTCGAGCCCGACATGTCGAAGTCCGAGCCCAGCTCACCACAAAGTATGTCTACTGAGGAGACGCCCTCACGGCGCTCTCGTCTCAGCGGACAAGGCGCCGGTTCACGAGGCGAGTCCCGCTCCTCTTCCGTTCCTATGGTCATTCGCACTCCACATGGTGCAGAAGACGAGAGCGAGGGCCCTGGTCAAGTCTCTTTGCGCTCGAGAAGCGGAGCTGCCTCTCGCGCAACCTCACCAATGCCATTGCCAATTGGAACTCAAAATGACCAGGATCGTCGCTCCGTCAAACATCTGACTTGCTTCTGGTGGTGGGAGAAAGGTGAATGCAAGTACTCAGATGACGAATGCCGTAAGTCTCCCTTTCCTGACTAATTATATGTAGCCATACCTGCGCTTTGAGGCGTTTGTCACGACCTAGAGGCTAATTTGATTGAACAGTCTACGCACATTATGACACAGGTCACTACACGGCCGCGCCTCGCCAGGTCGTTCCAGGCGAACCGGCAAAGGCAGGCAAGTCTCTTGAACGCGCCCTCACCAAAATTGCTCTCACCAACCGCTCATCGGCTTCACTGGCTTCGCTTGGCACCTTCAATGGTAACACCACAGAGCGCGACAATCTCAGCGTGGGCAGCGGAGCACTCTCCAGACCAGAGACTCCCTTCTCTTCTCGCAGCCGTGCTGGTACACCTTCGCCACGCGCCAGTGTCGAGTTTGGCTACTCTGCTCAGCTACGGAACGACAATGACTTCCTCCGCGGCCTCGTTCAGCAGACTCAACGTGAAAAACGCGCCTTGATGGACACGATCGAGGGACTCCAGAGCGAGAAGTCTCAGTTGACAGCGCAGCTTGGGAACTTGAAAGAGGAGCGAACCACCTTGATTGAAGAACGCGAAGCCCTCCAGGCGACCATTAGGACCATGCAATTCCCTTCCGGTCTCAATCATTACACTCAACAAGGTCTCGCGATTCCTGCACGATCTCCAAGCACTGGCATATTTCCAGCTCAGAACCCATGGGGGCCCATTGGTAGCAATCGAGGCAATGGTTCCAGCCGGCCGAACACTCCTGCTGGCACTCCTGCCGCTACTCCGAGCCCACAGTTTCGCAGTTTCACATACCCGGCCATTGGTAGCTTCGGCCCCATCGGAAGCGTTCCCGACTCCAATGCGTCTGGCGTAAATGGTGTGAGCGTCTTGCCTTCCCCAACTCTGAACCCAGGTGCCTCTTCTTACGGATCTGGTATACGAATGACAGCTCAAGGTAGCGCAGCCACGGCAAGTCAAGTTGAGAACGATTTCGGTGGGAACGGCGCAGATGGAGAAAGACTGCAAAACGTACTGCGACACTTGGGCCCAAGTTTCTAGGTGAAAGAGGTGGCCGATAGCGATGCAGAAGAATGAGTGCAGCAAAGATACAGATGAACAGTCGCACCATCCTTTCTCATGAGCCTTGACGGTATGCCTTGACTTGTCACGAAGCAATCACAGCCTCCTAAGGTGTTTAGAGACCCTTCTCCGCTGTCTCAATCGAGAAACATGAGCCGTACGGACCAACGACAATGCAAGCAAACCATCGAACCACAGCGGTGGCCAAACCAGGCTTATGCGCCTCGGAACCTTAATAATCCCAACCACGTCGAACCCTATCGAGCAGACCGATCAGCCAAAATTCCGCAGTCAACAAATGTCGCTAAATCCTCACAAACAGCCTACGGACATTCACGACAAGTGGACCAGAGGTTGAAGGAAAACTGCTTGAGGATCGGCTGATGAGCTTGATTTCTTTCCTTTTCTTTCATTTTCATTTTCCTTTTTCATTCTTGTCATGATACCCATTGGCTTGCTTTGAGGGAGACTCTACTGAAGAGAAACTGGCTACAGTGCCAAAAGTGCTGGGATGGGTAGCGGTACAGCAAAGCTGAGCTTGGATAAGGCCTACCTCCTGTACTTTACTGTACTTTACTGGCTGTGGTCAATGTAACACCGCACGATCGCTCCGTGTCATGCTTCTTCTCTCAATCCACGCCCCTGCTTTTTTCTTCCTGTAACGCGCGACACGTACTCCGTAGCTTCCAGTTGACGCGTCTCAGGTTAGTCACTCGATGCGGCCTCCATCAAGGACCAGACCCAGCTCGCCTAGAACGTACTCTGCGCCAACCGACTCGCCGCGTTCCTAGCATCGACGCGATCCTCGTCCTCATCCTCCTTGACCCTCTCCAGGCTCGCGCCCGTGCCGCTTCTCGGCCTGTTGCCACCACCACCACCACCACCACCACCACCTTGGTGCCCCGCCGCACCAACCGCGCCGTTGGCGCCGCCCTCTTCATCCTCCGGCAAGGGCACGCCCAACGCGCCGGGACCAAATCCGCCAGACATGCTCCGTGAGAGGGCATCTCTGCTGCGCGGCACGCCGGACCAGGAATCGCCCTTGGCCCCCTGGCTGCTCGCCATGGAGATGCGGCGGACGGTGACGGGATGATTCTCGCGGCCCAGGCGGCTGAGGCCGCCGGATGCGTCGATGGCGCGGACGTCCGGCCGGACGCTCTCGAGGGTCGCGAGGGTGCGGCGTTCGGCCTCGATCTGGCGGAGCACGTACTCGCGCAGGGAGAGCATGAATTCCGTGCTGGTGCGGTTGAACCAGCGGCGCTTCTCGAGCAGGAGATTCGCCGTCACGCGCTGCGTCTTGGAGCGCAGGTAGTTCTCCTGGCTGATGGCTTCGTCGAGGGCCGAGATGGCCTCGTCGACCTTGTCGCGCCGGACGCTGCTCGACGCCTTGAGCCGTTGTACGGCGGATTCTTTGCTGCGGCGGCTGGCTTCGGTCTGTAGGAGCTCGCGGAGGAGGATGTGCCGGTTTGTCAGTGTTTCTTTGACGATGAAGGCGTCGGAGGAGTGGTAGGCCAGTGCATCCCCCAAAGTGGTGGCTTCTGCCGTGCCTTGCGCGGCGTGATAGTCGCCACAAGTTTGGACGATGCGGCCGAGTTTGCGGTACGCGGTTGCGAGGCCCGAGTGCGTCTCTTGCACGGCCATTTGGCCGATCTTCTCGCCTAGGGACGATTCTCCGAGACCAAGGGCTGGTAAATTGTCAATGGGCATAGCAAGTAATGATGGAGATGATGCAGTCAACTTACCTCGTCTTGCCTTGACGACTCGCTCCAGCTTTTGGCTTGTGTCCAGCGCACCAAGATAAAACATCTTAACCACGGGTCTCGCCTCGTGCAGCTCTGGCGTATCATCTGGTGGCGGCGCAAACTGCTTCAAAACTTTCCGCCGCACTCCCGTCGCGGGTTGTTTCATTCTCACCACGGGCGAGTACCCGAAATCGCTCTCGACGAAGAACACCATCTCTTCATCCCGCATGAGCACATCATTGCTGCAGACCACGTTCAGCCACCGTTGAATGGCTGCCTTGACCCGTGCCTCATCTTCATCGGTCCCCACGCCGGCGGACGTCTGGGCTGGGGGTACAGCTGGAACCAGTGCTTCCGGGTTTGAGGATACCAGGTGGTCGGCGAGCTTGACGAATTCTCCATGTGTTCGACGGACATCTCGGAATTGGGTGGTGCGGAACTTGGGAAGATTGGTCTGTACGGGCTCATCAGCAGTGTATGGTTTATATAGAAGCGCTGCCACCCACATAAACATCAAATCTGAAAACGGGATCTTTCCGGCCGCTTCGTTCGAGCGCAGTCACCTTGGCTTGCAGCTTGTATTGCGGCACCGGTCTGTTCTGCCTTGTACTATGATATCTTGCAGCGCCCGGCCGTTGCTGCGGCTGACCAGCATATTGTTGGCCCTGTTGTCCCGCTTGGGCATCGTGTGAATGGTGTGCCTGCGCCTGGGAGTGCTGTGAAACACCCGGTGGCTGCTGGCCCTGTGCAGCCTCACCAGGGACTGCGGTGTTCCCAAAGCCGGGTGTTCCAGGTTGCTCAGGTGGTGGCAGGTAAGGAGAGTCGGGAATGCTGTCTTGCGACTGATTGTACGAATGCCCTCGAGTGGGTTGCGGGGACTCTGGTGATTCCGGAGCGGCTTGGGCGAAGCCTCGCGGGGCACGAGGGGACGAGGAGCCCCATGGCGATGAGCCATGAAGAGCGTCAGCTTCGCTCGCGACGGCGGAGTAGTCCATTATGAGGATGCGGGAGGGCGGTCGCTCTCGATGCTCTAGGAATCAAGCGGAGCGACAGCACATGCCTGCGCAGACAGCAGTGGACTGTGCCTAACAATGTAAGTATTCGCCGATTGCGGGAGAGCCTCGTATGCCGAGAGCGTGTCTGGTGATGCTGGTCCCTGATGGAAGAGACTCTGTACAATAACCAAGGTTTTGTGGTGTGCAGGTGTCTTCAAGAGGCGGGCGGAGAGCGATGGTGACAGTCTTGCGCAGAGCCGAACACGGTTTAGTTCTTCGAGATGGAGCGACGCATCGAGAATTCCTTCATTTGCGCCTTTCAAGTGCTTCGTGCCTGGCTATGCTCACTTAGACCGGCGTTCCAGTCGCTCCTTGATTCTGGTCTGATATATTCTACGCGTTCCGCTTGATGTTTCAATTGCAATCGGATCAATTGGCCTAGTTTGTCCTCCCAAGGTTGCGAAGGGCATGAAAATCCATCATGGTCGCCCGATTTTATACTCTGCTCTAAATCAAACATTGCGATTCTCCCCATGGTCACGAGTTGCATTTCAGAGAGCGGCTCCATCATGTCGGGGTTATGCAGGTGCTGCGGCTGCGGAGACGCCACAATCTTCGCGGACGAGAAATATCGGTATCATAGCTCACATCGATGCCGGCAAGACAACTACCACGGAGCGGATGCTCTACTACAGCGGTCATACTCGACGGATAGGTGATGTCGACGAAGGCTCGACTGTGACCGACTTCCTGCCTGCGGAGCGAGCGAGGGGCATCACCATTCAATCTGCAGCAATCACGTTCGAGTGGCCTCCATCGAGTGCCGCGGTCAACGACGATGGTGATGACTTGAACCTCCAACCTCGTTCTCGTTTTCCACATACTATCAATCTAATCGACACTCCTGGACACGCCGACTTCACTTTCGAAGTCCGCCGTTCCTTGCGTATCTTGGACGGTGCTGTGTGCATTCTCGATGGGGTTGCTGGAGTCGAAGCCCAGACCGAGCAAGTGTGGGCTCAGGCAGGCGAGTGGCAAATACCACGCATAGCTTACATCAACAAGCTGGATCGTGATGGTGCCGCTTTTGGAAGGACAGTCCGTGAGATTGGTTCCCGGCTAGGCGGGTGGCCCGCAGTGTGTCAGATCCCTTGGTTTGAAGGGGGAAAGGGCCGCTTCACAGGCGTGGCCGATGTGGTCAACCTTGAAGGGCTTCTGTACGAGTACGGCGGTGACGGTAAGCAGCTCAAACGCTATAGCCTCTCGCAATTGGAAGATCAAAACTCAGAGCTTGCTCAAGAGTTGAGGCATGCAAGGGTCGCGTTGGTCGAGCTGTTGAGCGAGCACGATGATCAACTGGTCGAGGCCTTCTTTGAGGCAGAAGAGGATCATCTTAAAGTAACTCCTGCCCAGATCTGGGACAGTCTGCGAAGGTCTATACTTGCACCCCGAAGCGCAGTCATCCCAGTCTTCGCCGGCGCTAGTTTCCGCAACATCGGTGTTCAGCCACTGCTAGATGCCGTCAACAACTTGCTTCCCTCGCCTGAGGAGCGCCCGGATCCAGAGTTGAGCCTTGGGCTCGTTCATGGGGGACTTTCGCAGCTGGTCAAAGGTGAACTGTCCGTCACAAAGGACGCGGCGAAGCACAATAAGAAGAGCGGCAGCGCCACGACGCCGGTGCCCGGCAAAGCGCTGCATGGCTGTGCGTTGGCATTCAAAGTGGTCAATGATCCACGGAAGGGCATGCTGGTCTACATTCGCGTGTACTCAGGCACAATAGACCGCAACGCGACCCTGTTCAATACCAACCTCCAAAACTCGGAAAAGGCAACCACGCTGCTCCGCATGTACGCGAACGAGTCTGTTCCTGTTTCATCGCTTCGTGCAGGTGAGATCGGGGTCATCGCTGGGTCGAAGTTTGCGAGAACTGGCGACACTCTTATCTCTTACGCCGGTAACAGGGCTACACCTCCCGACCCGCTGCATAAACTGGAGCTTCGGCCCATCAAAGTACCACCACCGGTCTTCTTTGCAGCCATTGAACCCAACAGCCTACGAGAAGAAAAGGACATGCACGAGAAGTTGGCGCTCCTGTTGCGGGAGGATCCCAGTCTGCACATTTCGCAGGACGAAGACACGGGCCAGACCCACATCAGCGGCATGGGAGAGCTGCATCTCGAGATTGCCCAAGATCGACTCGTCCACGAGCTGAAAGCAAAAGCACGAATGGGCAAGATTGCGATCGGCTACCGGGAAACTCTCCCTGACTCTTCTGGACCAGTTACCAAGATATTCGAAGGCGAGCGTGCAGCGACGAAGGGCAAGGCAGGATGCTCTGCCAGAGTTGAACCTTTGCTCAGTGGGATTGACAGGGATGTTACGGACGCTGAAGATGTTTTCGTACATGAACAGGATGGAAACGTAGTGGTCATCAAAACGCCCACTCTAGATCGACGCGGGCGATCTCTGGATAGCGACACGCCGGGGTTACCACCACATCTTTTGCTTCCTGAAGTCCAGACGGCGTGTCTGAATGGCGCACTTGCAGCCCTAAGTCGCGGTCCTTCATGGTCGTATCCGATGAGAGACACCAAAGTCACATTGACGCTGCATCCAGAGGAGCATATCTTTGGCTCCGAAACAACTTACCCTTCCTTGACGGCAGCGGCCCGACTAGCCACAATCGCTGCCTTCAGGGATGCCACCAAGAGCGGTCCGTGCTCGTTGATGGAGCCTGTCATGACCGTCGACATCAATGTGGACGAAGAGCATCTGGGCACTGTCATCTCGGACATCTCGTCAGGTCGTGGCGGCCACATTGTCTCTTTGGGAGATCATGAAGAAGAGCAAGCCCAAGCAGGCGGTGTTGCCACAAGGATAGACGTGTCGAAGATATATGCGCCAAAGGACCCTTTCGAGTCCGGGTCGTCGATGTCAGGAGAGAACCATCAAAGGGTGAGTTTTCAGCGGACGGTCAAGGCCAAGGTCCCCCTGAAGGAGATGGTTGGATATCTCAAACATCTCCGCAGCATGACCGGCGGAAGAGGCACGTTTGTGATGAGCGTCGACCGCTTTGAGAAGGTGACGGGTGCTCGAGAGAAGGCTCTCATTGCAGAACTCCGCGGCGATGCTTGATGCTATGTATGTATATAGCCTGTATTATACTGTATACTGTATATTGCTCGATCTGGTCAGAGTGTCAGCTGTGGACACTCGAGCCAGATTGGCCAGCCGGCCTAGAACTGTACCAACGACATGGACCCTCAACGCCCCAAAGCACTCAAACCAGGCACCTGCGATCCGTGAGGACCTTGCACTATATATGTTCGCATATCTTATACAACTACAAAGCCATCTGAGCATGCATATACGCGACAGCCAACGCCGCGACAGGTCGAGAGCGTGAGCACACGAACCATTTCCACCCCGCGCGCGACGGAGACCGAACCACGAACGAAATACACACACGATGGCCGCGAAGGCGAATTTCGAGGTGAACCAGGAGACGAGGAGCAAGGTAGTCCCTCCTCGCTGTCTTTGGATGTGACGGTCTCTGACTCGCTCGCTCGCTCTCCAGCTCGCGGCACTGGGCAAGAAAGAAGGTGCCGGCAACGACAGATGTTGCGACTGCGGCGCCCCTTCACCGCAATGGGTGAGTTGGACACCACTCCATTACGCGCCTGCAAACCACGGTGTCGAACGCAACTACTAACACGGCTCCTATCGCGACAGGCTTCTCCCAAGTTCTCGACGTTCATCTGCCTACAATGCGCGGGCGTGCATCGCGGGTTGGGCGTGCACGTCTCCTTCGTGCGCTCCATCTCCATGGACGCCTTCAAGGAGGTCGAGCTCCTGCGCATGGACCGCGGCGGCAACAAGGCCTGGCAAGACTTCTACAACAAGAACACCACGTCGTTACCCTTCGACGAGGCCACGATCAAAGAACGATACGAGTCCGAGGTCGGCGAGGAGTGGAAAGAACGGTTGACATGCGTGGTCGAGGACCGCGAGTTTGACAGGGCCGCCTTCCAGAAAGAGAGACAGGCCATACTGCAAAGACAGGCGAGCCGGTCCGCCACACCCGCTGGCGGCGTTAGAGGCCACGCCGCCGTCTCGAGCAGCGGTTCTGGTACAGGCAGTCGGACAGCGTCTCCCGCGCCGAGGGGCCGCGGTATCGCCCCAGACCAAAAGGCGCAGAACGAAGCGTATTTTTCGCGCATGGGCGAGGCCAATGCCTCAAGACCAGAAAATCTCCCGCCCAGCCAGGGTGGGAAGTATGGTGGGTTCGGCAGCGCGATGGCCGAGCCCGCGGCGGACAGGCAGGCCGGTGGCGGCGGTGGGATCGCGGACGACTTTTCGAAAGATCCCGTCGCCGCCATCACCAAGGGCTTCGGCTGGTTGGGCGGCATGGTAAGCAAGCAGGCCAAGCTGGTGAACGACTCGTACATCCAGCCGACGGCGAAAAATGTAAGCGAACCTACACGGGTCGAACAGCGGCAAATCCAGTAGCATTTGAGTTGATGACATGACGCTAACACATGCGTACCCAGATCGCCGCCTCAGACTTCGCCTCGCAGGCCCAAAAGGCCGCCATGGCCGCCGGGCAGGGCCTTTCAACCGGCGCAAGGGGAGCAGCGCAATCGTTCAACAAGTTCGTCGAAGGCCAGGACGAGAGAGCGTCTTCTTCTGCCGCGTCGAGGGAAAGGGACGTCGAGCCCGAAAGGAAAGACTTTTGGGATAGTTTCGGACTGCCAGCAGGCGGTGGTGCCACCAGCAGCATCGGCACCAACGCGCTGAAGAAGACGGTTTCCCCGGCGGCGAACCCGCCACGGAAGACAAAGGAGGATGGATGGGGTGAGGATTGGTGAGATTAGGATGAGGCTGCCACTGCCTCTGCCGATGCGCATTTCTACAGTATCTCGGATTCCGATCTGGATCGGGTATACTCATTAAAGGGGATCCATTCGGCGTGCTGTATGCAGTCACGAACCAGATCTGGTGGTGTGCTTTGCTGGAGCTAGATTTATCCTACGTCTGCATCTATAAGGTATCTACATCTCCGTCTGCATTTGATTCTGAACCATTTGGCTCTTTTGGATGGACGCAGGGATGGAACGATGAACCAGACACGACCCACGAGCCGCGAGCCGCCAGACGGTAGACGTCGCCTTTGCACTGTTCTGCGTAAAGCGAGCAATACAATACAGAGCAACCCAACAGAATTCACTTATCCTACGTCGTCTCGCGTATAAGTCCGTTGCCCGGTCGATCCTGCTCTGTATCTTCATACCGTACAGTCTGTTGCTTCTCTGTAGTTACCTGGTAATTCACGTGCTCTGTTTGAAGATGCGCTCGTTGTGGCTTGTATTCATTATCATTTCGTATACATTCCACACACTTGAAGGCCTGGGATAGCGGGCACCGACCAACTGGTCACATATCGTACACATCAACTTTTGGGCTCTCCGTATTCCCCGATGTGTGCTCTGTGGGTTGGGTCCGGGTAGGCATGTCGCAGGTCTATGCTCGCCTCGACGGGATCATTGTGATCGAGGTAAATAGGCAGGGAAAAGGACACCCGCAACATCACCTGGCCTCGCCTCACCTTCCCACCAACACGAACAATCACCGTGCGATGCCACCTCGCCACGAGTCAACAGGCCTTCCACGATATGGACCTCCGCGCCCTCTCCCTCTGAATCCACGGTCACCACCGACTAACCTCTCTTGTCCTCTCCTTCCGTGCCCAAACTCGGGACCCTTATCCACCCATTCTTCTCGGTCTTTCGAGTTCTCAAAGGAATACCGCTTCATGCCTTCATCACCGGTCCGTCCCAGCTCCGTGTACCGGGAATGTAGCCCACGGAACATGCCGAGCCTGTCGGCCGCAACGGAAGGGGGCACAGGCTTGTAGTAGAGTTTCGGCTTGGTAGTAGTGGAGTCGAAGAGCTCATCGAGCGCTTTGAAGCCCTTGCCGGGGTCGGAACTGGCGAGCTTGGGTCCAGTGGGTGGTGCTCGGGGGCGATCGCGATCACGGTCCCTGCCTCGATCATCCCGTGGAACAAGGGCCGCACGGTCGGGATGGACGCCTGTGGGAGGTTGGGCGACGCCTGGCGGCGGTCTTTCGAAGGACATGCGTGACCCACGACTCGGCTCTAAGGGGGGCCGCGGCTTCGTGGTATCCACTTCTTGGAATATGGCTTCTATACCGTCTCCTCTGTCTTCGTAGATGACTTCGAAGACGCGACGACCGGCGCTGCCGCCTCGCCCGAAGCCGCTTTCTGTCTCTAGGTCGATCCATGACTGGACCTTGTCGTCTGGGACGTAGTCGACGAATAGCGGCTCTCGTGAACCCTCTTCGGGGAACCTCACTCCGTGCATTGCCGAGCGTACGCGAGACGCAGCTGAGACGGAGGTGAACGAGATGAATGCATGTGACTTGATGTTGTCCAGGTAGAATGCGGTGATGGGGTCCGAGTCATCGGACGACCGGGTTTTGGTCTTCGAGATGATGTGGTTGCGGAATGCCTGGGGTTGAATCGGTCGCTTGAGTCGGCTGATGTATAACGAGGACGTTGCAGGATGGATGGCTGGCGGAACGTCACGCTCTTCTGACGGACTCCTCGACCTAGACGGCGATCTCGGTGGTGTCATTTTCCGCGCCTCTGGTGGAGCCAGGGTACTGCCTTGTGAAGCTGGAGGTGGTGGTTCAGTAGGCGCGGGGGTTGCATCTACTTGCTCAGCCGAGACGGCGGGAAGATCAACATCTGTAAGTTCCATGCGGATTTCTTTGGAAAGTTCGGTTGCTGCTTCCATCTGTTTCAACGCTTCCTGTGCTTTTCTTTCATTGGCTTCTTCGCTCAGTCTCATTTTCTTGCGCGCGACCTCCTCGGCTGAGGGAATGGGGGTTGCGCTGCGTTTCTTTCTATTTTTCTGATCTTCTGCAAGGTCGCTTAGGGGTCTCTGGGACGTAAGTGGTGTGCTCGAGTCTGATGGGAGTTGCGAAGGTTGCGCCGTGGGTGATACGGCAGGCTTGGGACTTGACACGGCTTGATCAGTGGTGATGGATTTTTCGTGGTTTTGCTGCACATCCTCATCGGGAGCTTGTTGTTCATCGTGCTCCTCCTCTACCGTTTCTTGCAGCCTCTTCTGCTCCAACCTCTCGGTGACATTCTCAGGCTCCGGCACAAACAGCGCGTCCTTTACGCCTAGCTCGGCGGCCGGGGTGGGTAGTTCGGGAGCAGGTTCTTCCTCCTTCTCCGGTTGTTCTTCCGAGCGGCGGTCTTCCTCCTGAAGCGCAGACGGAATGGTCGTGTCTGTTGAGTCTTTTTGATCCGAGGCTCTTCCTTCTCCGGTGTCTTCCTCCTGAAGCGCAGACGGAATGACCGTGTCTGTGGTGTCTTCCTGATCTGGATTTGCGTGTTCTCCGACGTCTTCCTTCAATGTCATCTTACTTTCGGCCTCGTTTATATCGGGGTTGGTATCGGGAGGCTGCGAGTTCTCGCCATTGACATGCGACACAGGCTCCCCATCGGCCATCTCAACATCTTGTTCCCGGACATCCTCGGTCGCTCCTTCAGTGCCTTGCGCCTCGTACTCCTCGAGCTTGTCGATGTATTGCTGTTTTAATTTGAGCCCGGTGGTAGGGATTTCACGCGACTTGCACTCCTCCTTCAGGTCAGCGACCTTGTACTTGCGCCAGTCCGTCATGGTATGGAGGGTTTAGTGAAAGGGTTATTCGGGAGTGCCACGAGCGCGTAATATGAAGCACTTGAAAATGTAGACAAGTGCCATTAGTTGAGTGGCAGTCATTTCAACGATCTCTTCCGCTGCGCACGGGACTCTTGGTGTTGACTTGCGACGCGTGACGTAAGTCTTGGCAGGTCTTCAAGTGTCGCTCCATTCTCCATTCATTTCGTTCATTGCTCACTGTCGACTCAACTCGGCATTATTCAAGGCCTCATTCCGCTGGGCTACCAGTGCCAACAGGACTATTTTGATGCTCTACAGATTTGTAAAGCCTGGTCTATTCGGCCCTCCAATATCACAAAGATGCTTCGTGCCTTCCTTCTCCTAACCCTGTACTCTTACTCCGTACGTGCCGGGGAAATCTGACTAGAGTACGGAATATTCCTCACAGTATTTGAGAACACCACTTACCCGCGCTCCATATCTCTTCATTACCGCTTTACTGCTGATCCCTGCGAAACGATGAATTGAAACTCTTTCTTTGAGCGAGATCTGATCTCGGCGATTCTGGCAGCATGCGGCACTTCGTTCAACCCTGAGAGCCCCAGATCTCAAGCTCGAAATACTACCGCCGTCGGGCACTGGATCTCATTTGCGGCCCCTGTGGCTTGAAGATATCAGATGTGGGCTTCATCCACGTGGAGCTCGCCTCGGCCTTTGATGGATCCGAGGAGAACCCGGCCATGTCTCAACCCCTTTGAGCCGGTCTAGTATCTACCCGGGCTAGCCTCGCCAGCCTTGCCGTCATGAAACAGGATCCCATACTGCGACTGCCTCAACTTAGCCGACTTGCACAGCCATGGCCTCGGTCAGTCATCCTGCATCCAATTTGCCAATAGCCTCCGTAACCTTCGACATCTCTTCTGAAGCATCGACTTACTCACTCGAGAAGTCGATGACGCCATATTCTCGCTGGTCAACATTCGTCTGTCCGGCCAAGCTCGCCGAATCACCTCAAAGTCAACTTGGCGGGCATGTATCAGGTACTTCCCGACGTGCTCGCCTCCAGAATATCCCGCTGCACCTACGGGGTACGTCTCAAACCCTATCTAGTAACGGCTACGCTAATGTCTGTCATGGCCAAGGACGGCCGTGACAACAGAGCAGCAGGGTCATATTGATTATAAAGGGCTCAACCTGATCATGGTCTTGCTTCTCTTCTCCATCCTCGTCAAGCGATTCCTCCTTCTGCCTTTCTTTTGCAACTTGCATCTCCCACCGCTGGTCGGTACGTTCGTTTCTCACGCGAGCTAGTCTCTCTTTTACAACATTCTCAACTCGCTTGTCGATCTTTACTCGCATTTTCCGCGCCCCGATTTGAACATGTTCGCCAAATCAACCGCTATCGCGGCCTTGCTGGCCGTTGCTCAAGCACGATTCGGCCAAGAACAAATCCCAATCCCAGCGATTGCTGCTGTCCAAGGTGGTGCTCCTGGCGCGGCTGCAACCATTGCCGGGGCAGCTGTGAGTGATGTATTGGCAGCGAGCAATGCCTGCAACAAGCTCAAGCGCGGTGATCAAATCATTGCTGAACTCGGGACGGGAGCCGATGCCGTTGCCGCCGCCATTGGCATAGTTGCTGCCGAGAAGAACTTCAACCCATTCGCTCAGTCGATCCCCAACATATGCAGTGATCCTACTCTGCCCGCCACGGATATCCTCAGAGGTATCACACCTCTAATCGACCCTGCAGTCGTCGGTTCGGATATCGCGAACGCCTTGTCTGCTAGCACCCAAGCAAATCCCCTCGACGCCACAGGCAAGAGCGTGGCGGATTTGTTGGCAGAGAACGGATTCACCAATTTCACTGCCCAAGCTGCCGATGGAACGACTAGTGCTGTTAATGCTGGAGCAGCAGAGGAAGCCGCAGGGGGAGCAGCCGGCGGAGCAGCCAACGAAGCAGCTGATGACGGAGCCGTTTCGACAGCCGTCCAGGCCAGCGCCACGGCTGCTGTCACAACGGCCGTTGCTGCTGCTTGTGGAGCGGCGGAAACCACTGGTGAGTTTTTTCCCTCGCTGTCTTTGCGCATGGCGCGGCTAACATGTTCCAGCTGCGGCTGCAGTTGCCGAGTCTGCCAGCAGTGCAGCACCCGCCGCCTCCACTGCAACTGCCATTGCCGCTGCGGACAACTCAGCAGATGCATCTGGCGGTGCCGCCGAGACTTCGGACGTGGCCGGCGCTGACTTCGGACTCTGTGTCCCGACGATGAAGTTTGAAGGAGGGCTGGGTGGACGTCCTGCCACGGAATTCACTTTCCTGCCAATTGACCCTCTCGTCGCACAGGGTCAACAAGAGGCCTTGAATCCAAGTATGTACTATCGCGGGACTAGTATCCTTTTCGCCTGATGCTAACGCAATGCTACTAGATATCATCACCAACCGAATCTGCGACCAATTGACCAACGTCTGCGAAGCCAATGATGCTGCGAAGACTTTATGCAAGTCTGTGCAGGCTCAAATCCAGGCCTTGGGAACTCGAGACAAGTCCACTGCTGATACCTGGAACACTGCCCTCGGCTTCCCTGGCACGGTCACCAATCCAGATGGCGGCGCGGCCGAGCCACCCGCGAAGATGAGAGTGGTGCGATCCTACAGGCCATCCTAGAGGCTGTTCCCTGCATGATCTGGCAGGGGCGGTGGCCGTGTTTCAAGATCACAGATGTGGTTTGGTCAATGGGATGGAGCGAACGCGGAGGACGAGAAATGTTGAATTCAAGAAGTCATGTGTTTTTATGTGAATGATTGTGCAGACATGAACAGAAGATCATGATCCAGGCGGAAGCAGATAGCCTTCTGCCTGTCAGACCATCGTTTCGCCCCCTTCAATCACTTACCGCCGACTAAACAGGGCAGAAGCACTCTCGAGGCGCACTTTCCTATCGAAAGCATGGCGCTCTGTACCCTTGTGCGCCTTACGTACCCTATGCTGCAGGACGTCCCATGGCATGGTTCTTTCGAATTTGCTCAGTGATATGTTGTGCGGTCCTCTGGCCACGTCTGAGAATATAAAGAAGATTTTAACAAGCTCCTAACTTTTTGGAAGCTCGAAGGGAATACTCCTACGTCTTAAAACCACTGACCGACCAAGGAACTAAGTCCTCAACGCTGATTCACACAGTACATCCAACCAAGGACTTCTCAGTCAGACACGTCAAGTCGCTCTGACCATTTCACATCTATCGAGTCCTTAGGATTCCCTCGTCTTCTGGATCCAATCAATCGCCTCGATGAGATACGGCACCTGGAGCACCGGAAAGTCAGCTCGGACTCGATCCGGAGAAATGCGCCACATGGACACGAAGTCATCCTGGTCCCGTGCAAGAAGTATGGCATGGCATGGCAAGGCAAACCACTCACAAATTTCTGCGGATCCTCCGTGGCCGGAAAATGGCCCAACCCCTTCATCGAGCTGAAATTCGCGCCGTGGATCTTTTTCGCCGTGGCCTGGCTCATCTCGGGCGTGGTCGACCAATCGTACTCGCCCGGCAGGAAGTAGATGGGGCACTTCCTGACGTCGATCGAGGCGACGCGGTCGCGCGCGTCGAAGCCGCCAAAGTAGAAGTCGAGGTCGCCGTGGAAAATGCCGTACGCTTGGCCGGAGTACATGTGCTGGAGTAGAGCGGGATTGGTCAGTACAAGAGTACAGAGTACGGACTGTGAGGCCTGCGGACTGGTTCAGTAGGCAAAGGACACGCACCCAGATGAGCAGCTTGTTGACCTTGGGGCTCTTTGGCGCCATCATGCCGTAGACTAGAACGCGGTGGTCAGCCAGACACTCGGTCACTCAGTTACAGTATGTCGCTGTGCTGAGCCGAGCTGAGCCCCATCACTTCGCAATATTGCGGTTGCACCCACTTACTCCAATCGGGATTGAACAACGACTGGTTCACCACGGGACTCTTGTCATGGAACTGCCGGTCCATGGTCAAATAATCACACCCCTGCAGCGGGATCGTGCCCCCAGCGCCGACTTCGTCCGCCCGGATCGCGACCGCCACGCAGACCTGGCCGGCCATGGACGCGCCGCAGATGATGGGCTTGTCAAGCTTCAACGCCTTGACCATCTCGCGGATCGTGCCCACGTAGGCTTCCTCGTTGTTCGTATGGTTGCCGGGGATATGGTTGCTCCCGGGAAACGAGCGGCCGTGGGCGGGCAAGTCGAACGCGATCATCGTGCATTTCTCGCGCATGCGCGCGTCGTTCATCACCCCGTGGTACTGGCGGCTGTCGCTGCCCGCGGTGTGCAGGAAGACGATCTGCTGGGGGCCCGTGCCGGATGTTTCGTAGAAGACCTTTGTGCGGCCCCACACGGGGGCGTGGATGTAGATGTACTTGCCCGTGAGGTGGTCCTCGTCCATCTCGGGCTGGTCGTCTTCCTCGAGGGGTCCGTTTTGGCCTTCTCGAAGCAGCTCGAGCAGGCGGGTGGCCAGGTGGCTGTACTGGGCGAATTTGACCTGGTTGCCGTGCACGCCGACGCCTTCTTGGACGATGTTCATCCCCTGAATAGTCCGCACGTCAGTGAGTCCTCTCGAATCCATGAGTCCGGGTGTTCGGTCGCGTGTTTCATGCAAACTGGGCCACACCGCGGCAAGACATACATACCTGAAGACCCACGAAACTGGTATACGGCGCCACCGGGTCGGCCGCGAAGAACTTTTCCCACTGCTGAGGCTGTGCTTGGAGCGTAAAGTCTGCTTTGTCCGATGATCCGGTCGAGGACGACGTTTTGGCACCTGGTGAGACACTGACGAGGATGGCTTCGTCCCCGCCGGTGCTCTGGATGCCCATGGTCACGGGCTCGATGATGGCTTGGGTGTCAATAAACGCCTGCCAGTGCGGATCGTTGTTCAGGATCTTGTCCAGCGAGGACACGGCCTTGGACATTGCTTGGGGCAACGAGATCCACGAGTGGCTCGTGCCATTCTCGTCGCTGACGGGAGGCATTTTGTCCTGCGTGGCGGAATGGCGGAGTAAGGTGGTATATTATGTTTATATCGTTGTGTCTGGATGTTAGCGGATGGTCTGGGTGGGAGTTGCGACGGATAGAACGAGATTCGTAGACCTGGACTGGTATGGCAGACCGACTACACTACATGTTCATATATGTAGTCATTGATCGATCACCCGAGGGAGCCTTTCCCCGCAAGTTCGAGATGATCCCTCGTGTCCAGCAATGTCGAAGTTGTCATTGCGAGGGTCTCGAAGACGAGCGCCAGGCACAGATCTGGGCGTTGTGAGCCATTCAGCGATGGCATACCTCTCACGCTTTGACCAGCCTCACCTAGAGAATCTGCGCGTCGTGAGCTCCCTTCGAGTTCGAAAAGGGCCTGAACAAGACACGACTGCTCGTCCATCTCGAGAACTCCTTTCGCCAGAGCCAATGATGGGCCTCGACCCCGCAGAGGAGGAGCGGACGGAGAGGAGACGAGGTGAGGAGAGCCGATGGAAGATGTCGGACGGAGTGTCCCCGGTGGTCAGGGACATGGCCGTAAGGTCAGTCGAGGACGCCGCCGGGCGGGAAGTGAGGATCGCAGAGCCAAGCGGTTCGTGTAGAAGATGCGCACAGAGTACAACGGACGACATTGGTACTTCTTTCGACGCCCGCGAACAGTATTACTACCACGTCTTTCCCGTCCTGGCGGCTGCCGTTGACTGTATTATGCTTCGACGTCGACGTATGTACAGAATGAAGCCGTCTGCGCCGGTAAAGGCAATCTACGTACTATCTATGAAATCGGAGAGGGCCACCCTCGCTGAAAGTGCATAATACCAAAAACAATGCCTCCAATTTGAATTCTGACCCGTTCAAGAGTCGTCGATCAATCTTTTGTCGTGCCACGCCTTCTTTGCTAGTTCGTAGAGAGTGTCGAAGTCGCCGCTCGTTTGGCACATGGACCTAAAATGACCGTCCTCGTTCTGTATCAATTCCCAGGGATCAGCATATTCAACCACTTCTCCTTGGTCGAGGACCAGAACGCGATCGTAGTCGATGATCGTTTGCAAACGGTGGGCAATGGTGAGAATCGTGTTGTTCTTCAACTCTCGGAGCGTGTCTTGAATTTTAGAGTCGGTTGCATAGTCGATGGATGCTGTTGCTTCGTCCATGACCAGGACCCTGGGCGACTTCAGCAGTGCCCTGGCTAGACACAGAAGCTGTCGTTGACCTTGAGATAGATTCGAACCAGATTCAGCCACAGGCGATTTCAAGTCCCGAAAGATGTTCTTGTTTTCCTTTGTGTTGGTGGAAACTTGCACCAGGGTCGAATCGGACTTCACGGTCCCGTTTGCAGACAGTGAAGCATGGCTCTCGGGAGGACTTGAACCCTCTCGGAGGGTGGGAGATCTGCTCGAGCATCCTACAGGGGTAGTCGCCCCTGAGTGATCCGGGGTGCCATGTGCGCCGGAAACAAGCTGAACTCGGCGAAGGGCAGTGAAGATCTCTTCGTCTGTGAAAAGTTCAAAGGGATCCAGATTGCTTCGCAAAGTCCCAGAGAAGAGGGTCGGGTCTTGAGGCACGATGGTGATAGCTTCGCGCAGATCTTGGAGGCCGATAAGCCCAATATTGACATCGTCGATCAAGATCTTGCCTTCTTCAGCCTCAAGACCTCTGAACAATGCTAGAGCGAGTGAGCTCTTGCCCGCTCCGGTCCTGCCAACAATCCCAACCTTTTGTCCAGCTTCGATGCGGAAAGAGACCTTCCTCAGCACGGGTTCGAGATCTGCCCGGTACCTGGTGCTGTACCCGATGAATTGAACTGTTCCAAGGCTCGGCCAATTCGCCGCAGGTTTCGTCTCCGGAATGTGCGCAGGCGCTTCCTGCTCCACGTTGATGTACTCTTGTATCCGCTCGACAGCGTTCATGTTTTGTTCATTTGCTGCATACAGTCTCACGAGCCAGAGGACGTTCTGGGTGAAGGTAATGGCGTACGACAACGCCAAACCTGCTGCACCGGGGTCGATATTGCGAGCGTTCGTAACGACAAACATGGCAGAGAAGAATGAAACTAGCGCTCCTGCCATGTCGATTCGGAATGCGAGCCATCTGTTAGTGGCCCATAGATAAATGAATGGACGGTTGTGTGTGTTGACCTTCGCATGACTGTCTTGAATAAACCTCGCCTCGTCTCCATACGCTCGAATCGTGACTACTCCGCTCAGCGTCTCGCCAAAGTGTTGGAAGAGTGGGCTTCGCTGTACAGCCTCGATCCGTTTGAGGTCGCGGGAAGAACGAATGTAGAGGAGACCGGTAAGTATATACAGTATCGTAATGAAGAAGCCCGGAACCAGGAAGCCGGGAGTGATGACGGAGATCAAGACCACGATCGTCAGGACGGACGCTGCACTGTGAAGCATGCCGATGGCAACAGGTGCAACTTCTTGGTCGAGTGCCTGAATGTCTTTCGAGAAGCGATTTGTCAGTTGGCCCAGTGGCGTAGAATCGAAGAATCGGAATTTGGCGCGAAGGATGCTGGTCAACAGCTTTTCGTGGAGATGCCAACTAGCCCGCCTGGAGCCCCAGAACAGGATGATCTCCCGAGAGAAGCATATGAACACATACACGGCGCCGAGGGTTGCATAGATACGGAGGTAGTAATTCGCGTCGACGTCGTATAGCGATTTCCAGGTCGAGAGTCCGTTCGCACTGGCTGCCGTTTGTGGCACCTGGACGTACGAGCCTCCCAATATCAATGTCGACGGAAAACTGTGGGTATGAAAAGCATTCACCGAGGCATGATTCGCGTCTCCGCCTCGGACATGGTATGCATTTGCCCATTGGCGAATCCACAAGTTGGTTGCAACTGATCCGAGTTGTGTTGCGATGAAACCACAGGCAGCGAAGATCCAGTACCACCATGGGCCCATAGCCTGGAGATACATGCGAATCGTCGACCATTTCACGCTGCCTGTAGCCTTGGCCTCAAGGCGGTGGTCGACAAATTGCTTGTCTGGCTTATTTGTCCTAGCCTTTTGCTTGGCCGCGCCCTCGGCCTGCGAAGTTGCACCTCCATTAACCTGCCCACCAGATAAGTGTGATCTCTCCTCGTTGGGGTTGGACCGAACTGGTGAAGGGCGCCTTGAGTTCGCTCTTGACACAGGCCGTGATTTGAGCAATTCGTCTCCAAGTGTGCCGCTCTCGATGATCTGTTGGGGTGTGCCCTGGGCCACGATCTTACCGTTGGTCAAGACTACCACGCGACTTGCCAAAGGAACCGTCAAAGCAACATTGTGTGACACCAGGATGCAAGTGCGGTTAACCATCATATCACCTGTCAGCGCCTCCTCAAAGATGTGCTTGGCAGTGTGAGCGTCCACAGCACTTAGACAGTCGTCCAAAAGCACGTGTTTAGAATTCGAGTAAATTGCTCGGGCAAGTGAGATGCGTTGTTTCTGGCCGCCTGAGAGCGCGATGCCCTTCTCACCAACAAGCGTCTGATCCCCCGCATCGAGGATCTCGAGATCTCGCTCTAGAGCACAGATGGCGATAACTTCGTGATAGCGATGCTCATCATAAGGGCTGGCAAAGAGAATGTTCTCCTTGATTGTTGCGTTGACAAGCCATGCCTGTTGCGCGCAGTATGCCACGCTTTCGGTCAAACCGGTAACAGGATCGGGCCGCAAATCTTGTCGTATTGACCCTCCAGGAATGTAGACATTGCCACTAAGCAATTGCATTTCACCAAGCAAAGCCATCAGAAGGGATGTCTTGCCGGACCCGGTGGGGCCAGCAATGATGTTCAGGCGGCCAATGTCGAATTCGACGCTCATGTTGATCAGTCTGAATGCTTCCGTGGCGTCCGTACTGGTGGTCCCCCATGTCAGGGTGGCCTCCTCTAATGCGATGCGAGTGGCTGGCAAACTTCTTCTTCTGCTATGGCGCAACTGGACGTATTTCTCGGTTTCTTCTTCCTCCAAGAACTTCTCGACCCGGTCCACTGAGACCTTGGATTCTTGGACGTGAGCCACCATATCTGCGAGCTGATCCAGCGGGATGCGAAGCAACGAGAACATCGAGAGTGCCGGAAAGGCGATTGATGGAACTAGGGGCCGTTTCTCAACCTGGGTGTACATGAGAAAGGAGACAAAGGTGATCAAGATAGGGACGCCACTCCAGATGGTAGCTGCGGATGCCCACAGGATATACTTTCGCCATAAGGCATTGAGTTCGACTTGCCTCTTTTCGTTGACGTTGTTCTGGAAACGCTGTTCCCAAGCGAAATACTTGATGATCCTGATATTTTGGAGGACTTCGTTCGTGACATGGATTCTTCCGTCAGTAGCGGTCATGATCCGTTTCTGTGCCGCCTGGAACGAATGTGCAATGTAAAGGTTGAGTGGCAGGATGAGGACCATCATGAATATGCCAACAAAAGAGCTGTAGCCGAGAACTTTGTAGAGTAGGCTCACGGCCATGACCAACTGCACTGGTACCGCAGCCCAGAGGAAGTGGAGGTATGCGCAAACCTCAGCCACTTTGAACGAGTCGATGGACATCAAGTTGATGATTGTGCCGTTGTTAGCCGCTGAACTCTTCGATTTCTGATGCTTGGTATCAGCGGCATCGCCGGACTGACTTTGACCTTGTCGCTTCCGGGCCCATTTAAACTTCGTCCAGAATGCAGTCTTCTTTGGAGTAACGCCCTCTTCAGGGTCTGTATCGGTACTAGCAGCTGCTCTCCGCCTCAGAGTCTTGGAGTATATCTCGCCGACAATGATAGCACGAAGCTGGATGCAAATCTTCCGACCAATCCACAGCCCTTGACCGTCACTAACAGCTTGGATCGCTCCAGTGGCGAAGAGAAGGATGACATACAGCCATGCGGCACTAACGGGCACAGTCTCTGTATTTTCCAGATATTCCAGGACAGCTTTCAGCAGCAGGGTCGGCAGGAACATGAAAACACTTGCAACCATACACCACGCACCCTGTATCAGTAATGGCATCTTGAAGTACCACAACAGTCGGACGGCCAAAGAATGAGTCTTCCGAACTTGACGAAAGTGGGCCAGGACAGTCTCGGCTTTGTCCTGCAGAGCCAAGTTCCAAACATCGGACAGTTCCAGAGTCTTCTTAAAGCCCCTCCATACGATCGCGTCACACCAGGCGAACGTGGCCGAAGACAGGACACTAGCCAAAGGCTCTCGGGATGGCTCGATGCCGTCTTCGTATTCCAGGAGTACACCCTTGTTCCCTTTCCTGGCAGTCAGAGCGATAATCACCAGCGTAGTGGTGATCGCAAATGTTACCACCGAGAGAGCTTGAAGCAGGTGGCCTGGAGGATGCACAAGAACGGAACGGAACACCCAAACCTGGCAAAGCCATTGTGCGATGTAGAGCGTTGCGCTGTGAGTCCAAAGTCCTGGCACAGGTGACTGAAGGTTTGTGCTCGATGAGATCAGCCTTACCCCAGCAATCACCGCGAGATACGCCGCCACGGTAGTCTGCGCTATCGAAGCTCGCTTGCCTCTGCCTGTTGTGCTCAACACTGCGGTCGCGCTGACAGCTACCTGCGTCAGAAGCAGCAGAAATTCGATGGTGACCCGGAAGACCTCGTGTGTTGGTCTATTCACGTCCTTCAAAGGCTGGTTGCCGTGGCTGTACGTCTTCTGCAGCGCGAGGTCTGCAACGCTGTCCTCGTCTCGTTCCTCCGAGAGCACGTCATCTTCGTCGAAACTGACCAGAAGGTCCCGGCCACGATCACGGCGTCGTCTGGTTTTCTGCTGGTGAACCACTCGGTAAAGTAGAAGCAGGAGGGAGGTCGCGCACGCCACCAGTGGAATGAGCGTTTCGAGATAGCTGTACAAGTTCAGTCAGCTCCAAGCTCTGCTGTCAGCTATCAAGAGCACATACTCTGATTGAAAACAGGCGGACAGGTCGTCAACGCGCCAGATCGGATTCCTGCAATGCGCAAACATGGCCGCAATGGATTTCCACCACAATCACCTTTGCTCTGATGCGGGGATGGCCCTTCTCATGTCGACTCAACTCACTCTCGCAGGAAGCAGAAGCTACAAGACTATCCAAACAATGGATCAATGAGACGAGGAAGCAAAGATCCAGCCTGCAACGCGGAGAATCATGTCACTCGAGTCAATTAAATCAATAAGTCTGTTAGTTGTGGAGCATTGGCTCTTGCTCCAAGATTGACCGAGCCTCTTACGCCATCCATTTAATCCCACGCAAACTTAAATCTCCGAGCAACCGGCTTGGGGCGCCCGGGAAGACAACGGACAGTAGAATAAATTGTGAGCAGGGCCAACAATCACGTGATTTTGCCCCGCACAAACAAGCTCTATATCATTTATATTGACTCAAACTTGGTCAAGAATTACAACTCCAATTCTACAAGAGCTTTGCTCTCCTGTGGCGCAATTGGCTAGCGCGTCTGACTGTTAATCAGGAGGTTGGTGGTTCGAGCCCACCCGGGAGAGATTTCTTTTTGGCTTCTCAATGTTATGAACATTGTTTATTGTGTACTCAGCTCGTGGCTTAGGGCAACGTTGTCGATGCTCAAGGCTGGCAAAACCAATAAATTTTGCACGGGCTGGGGGCAACATTGTCGATGCTCAAGGCTGGCAAAACCAATAAATTTTTGGAGCGAAAAGATTCGGCGCTGAGCACGCCTAATGATATCTTCGATGTATTTGAAGAGAGAGTTCGGAGCCATTGTACCTTGTAACACGGACATCCGGTCTTAAAGCAGATGTTCTCAACGGGAGACTGGGCTGCTGTCGTCCTCTGTAGCTTAGATTACCTTTTGCTCTATCATCCCTCTAGGTTGCCTGATCAAGGCCTATTTTACGACTGCCTTCTAAACGCGCTATGATCATCATCTTGCTAGACTGTGCGCAAAGGTATGTAGCACTGAAGCGCGCGATGTACTCGGCTCCTAGGAGGGGGTTCTTCACAGATCGAAATCTTTTGAATTCTGCCACTGGCGCACAATGGTATTTTCGCTCTGTCTCACCACTGTCTGTGGAAGTTCAGCTGGAAGGTGTACGCAACGAAAGAGTGTCGAGAAAGCGCCCTTGCGCTTTGCAGCACCGGAAAGGTTTCAAGCCGATCCCTCCTCATATGGATTTGACTCTGGATGATGGCTCCTGAACGCCTCAAAGTCTCTTGCAACACTGGGTATGCCGTCGTCTTCAGGACTTTGAATACATAGCGGCCTGTGCAAGCTCAACAGCTGCGGAGGCTGCGGCACAGGCAAGATTGAGCCGGCTCCTATGATGGTTGAGTAAAGCAGCGAGGTGTAGCCTGGCACATCAGGTGTGCTCTGTTGTCGCTGAAATACTGTGGCAAATTGCCATGGTCAGACCGGAACAAACAGCAGTTAGATGACCCTACGCCACTCTCCAGCAGCCATTCTTTCTGAAGCGATGCTACATAGTCTCTGGATACGCGAGCGGGACGTAAAGGCATAGTGCAGATCTATGCAACTGTATACACTGTTGAGCACCAGATGTGGGAGGCGGCGAAGAGTAATGTAGGTCTCTCTTGCAACCCCCTGTCTGATCCAGCTATGCACGTGTGTTATTGATTTTGTCACCCGGCTCACCATGTCATCCCGACATCAAGGCCTCGACCCCTGCGAACCCTGTTCTGACGCTTGATAAGATCACTTCTCTTCTGACGACTATTTGTCGTCTTTGCAATCTGGCACGTCCTCAGTCAACCCCTATCACCGCTATCAGCCATCGACACTTCTAAGGTGCGCCGTCTGCGCAGCCAGAGTTCTCTACCCAGCCGGTCAAGACGCCTCTGAAGGATGTATCACTGTCGGTGACATTCAGTTTGGCACTGGAAGCAAGCAGCGGCACCGCATATTCACCCTACACTACACCATCGGAACGCAGCTAATGACTGCCTCCGAGTAATGACCGCCTCCGACAACAATAGATATCGCAATCTCCGAGACCGATCTCCAACTGCACCTCACCCTCGCCACCTATCCTTCTGACGAAGCCTCCCATAAGGAATACGTGCCACTGCCACCCGAGTGGCCAAGATGTCTCAAGCGGTATTGATGAAGGAGTACAAAGCTCTGGCCAAAGAAAAATGGGTTCAGATAGACGTCGACGAGGAGAACATCTACCACTGGAATCTCGCCTTGATGGTCATCAACCCCGACTCCATGTACTATGGCGGTTATTTCAAGGCTCAGATGACTTTCCCCAAAGACTACCCGTACAAACCGCCCGGTAAGGTGCTTGATTGGATCGAGTATGTGCTGTAACTGACCTGGTCCAGACTTCCGGTTCACCAAACCCCTGTGGCATCCAAACATCTATCCCGATGGACGACTCTGCATCTCCATTCTTCATGCGCCCGGTGATGATATGATGTCCGGCGAGTCTGCTGGCGAACGGTGGTCTCCTGCTCAGCGGGTCGAGTCGGTCCTTCTCTCCATCCTTTCACTGTTGGATGACGCAGAGGTCTCCTCACCCGCCAACGTCGACGCCAGTGTGATGTACAGAGATGACGAAGCTGCTTTCAGAGCCAGGGTCAAGCGTGATGTGGACGCTTCTAAGAACGACATCCCAGAAGGCTTTATCATGGTATGTTCTCTTTCGTCAGTGAAAGTGGCAGACATTTTTGACGTTGTATAGCCAACCCACGAGTCAACCAAGCCCGAAGTCGAAAAGCCTGTTGACGACAACTTCTGGAATGACAGCGAAGCCGAAGATATCGACTTTGATGACTTTGACGATTTTGACGACGACGCTGCCAATGGAAGCGAGTCCGACCAAGAACTGAACAACGATTCTGAAGATGAAGAAAACTACGATGATGAAGAGGACGACGAGGACACCGAGCGTGTTAAGGGCAAAGCTCGAGTTGACCATGACCGACTTGACTCCGACATGACTGAGCCAGATGGTTGAATGGTGGAAGAGTCTTGTGGGACAACATAACGACTGCGTGGGCGTTCGCACTATGGCTACGGCAATTCCACAGTAAGAACGGGCTATGGCGATCGAGAATGGCATTTCAGTCTGAGGGTCTGTAAGGGGGAATTATGACTTTCAGCCCTGACACAATTTCAGCGATGGCGTCCGGGGTCGATGCACATATGTAAATATCACAAATGGGGCGGTGATCTTGGCCAAAGGGTCGGAGAGTTCCATGGATGCATATTACAGGGAGTCGCATCATATCCAGGTAGAGATCTTGCTCATAGTATGACAACAAGGATTCATTTCACGGTACGCAATCAGTCCCTGATGTTGCAATGGCTGACCACAGACAACAGTCTCAAAATCAAAGCTTGACGCCGGGACCATCGTCCACAGCCTCGCCTTCGACCTCGGCCGCCAGCTTCAAGATCTCCTGAACACACCTCTCCGGTTGCTCTTGGTTGACCCAATGGCCAGCCCCGTCCACTAAGACGGTCCCTCTATACATGCCATGCTTTACACTCTTACCGTCCTCCATTGCCTCGACCGCCCCGGGCTCTTGGAACGTGCCCCAGTCCTGCCTCCCACTCACAAACACTGTAGGCACGGTGATGTTGGCGCCAGACCATACCTGCACATCCGAGGCGATTTCAGGCTGTGTCTGGATGCGATACCAGTTAAGCCCGCCTTGGAACGAAGTCCTGCCCCATTCTTCGACATAGACGGCCAGTGCACTATCGGGCAGCCAGCGGCTGGAGCGTGAAGCCACGACCTCGGGATCTTCATTCGCCATGTCCCGCGCCACGGCTTCACGCATATTATCTGTAAGATCCATGATATAGTAGCGCGGCATCTTTGCCAATTCCTCGGCCGTCCAACTCTGCAGTTTGTGCGGACTATTACCATCCCAATCTGCCGATTTCAGGTGGAAGTAGCCACGGAGGAAGGTGTGTAGTTCATCTCCTGTGGGATAGGTCATCTCTTTGTTCGAAGGTGCTGTACAGTAGTACCACTTGTAGTGCTTCCTCGGTCGCGGGAGTTGCGACAGGGCCTTTTCCATGTCTTCTGGTGGCGAGGGCAGCGCCTCCGGCGAGCCATATGATGGTGATGTGGACAGCGGCAGTTGCGGAGCGCCTTTGGTCGGATGAGACATCAGGACAACGCTTTTGAACATGTCCGGTCGGGCGAGCCCACAGAGGCTGGCTGTGACGGCGCCAAAGTCATGACCGACCACGCAAGAAACGGAAGTATAGCCTAGGGCGTTGACTAGAGTGATGGTGTCCTTGATGAGACTCAGTGGACGGAATGAGGTCCCTTCGAGCGGTCGCCGGGAAAACGTGCGGCCGTACCCTCTCTGGTCAAAGGCCACGGCGTGATAGCCTCGAGCAGAGAGGAGGGGCAAGATATACCGCCATGAGAAGGCAAGCTCTGGGAAGCCATGAATGCATAAGATCAGTTTGGGCTTTGAACCCGAAGGTGGTAGGGCCCGAGGGAGCGACTCGAGGATGTGGAAAACGAGGCTGCGAGGCTCACAATCTACAAATCGAGACTGGATCCCGACGGGTAGTTCCAGTGGTGGAAGTGTGGTCGGGTCGATGGCGTCGGCGGGAGAGTCCTGGTGGGTGTAGGCCATGCCGATGGAGCTGGCGATTCGATCACAAGGAATCGCAGTGCAATTAGAGCTCGTGCTAATGATGAATGAGGGAGCAATATCGTGGTTTTATATGGCACATTGGACATTCTGACAGGCTCACCTGCGATGTGCGGGGGCGCTCAAGGACGCCTCTTTGGGCTTACCTACCGAGGCAGGTCTTCAATAAGGGTTTGTCCGCTCAGCCTTGCAGCATCGATCTCCAAGTCCTGTAGGTGATTAAGAGCGGATGCCTTGCTGGAGTAGTTCGAGTTTGGGCATCACTACAAAGCGCAATGGGCGTGTTGAAAACTGGCAAGCTTGCGAGCGAGCTCGTCAACGTATGAGAAGGCTCTGCTACTCGATCAGGTCTAGAAGATTTCCGGGATGGACTCTGCCGCTCCGATATCATGCGAGCCGTGGAAGACGGAAGTCTTCCAACATCCTAATAACCAGCAGGGGTGATGAACATTGCTGCACGACCAAGTTTTCGAAGTAACTGAAATATCTGAAACAAAGGCACGAAATGGGAAAAGACGGAAGCCCCGGATCGTAAAGTCGAATAATCTCGAGGTCGTTATGCCAGAAAGTGCCTGCTTACTGTGGCACTCGTGCATTCAGCTCAAGAGTCTTGCTTTGACTCTGAAGTCATGATAGCGGAATGATGTAACGACCAGATCAAGTACTAATGAATGTGGTTGAAAAACACATCCAATGAGCCGAGGGTCACCAATGGAGCACCTTATTCTGGTGATTCCACCCACAGGATTATGTACAAGCTTTAATTATCAAATGCTAGAGGAAAATTATGTTTGATGCGGAGGGCCGCTGGATCACCCGCGGTCAAATCAATATTTATTCAATTGTCGAACCCGGTGTGACATTTTCTGGAATCGATGGAAAAGCTCTCGCTCGCTGGGTGCGCTCAAGGGACCAGGAATGCACGGAGCAAAATTCCATTCGGTACTGTGTAGATGTGGCACCAGCCATCACCACCGCCGCCGCCATCACCGTCACCAACCATGGGTGACCTTCAGAGGGACATGACGTAGATTACGTGGCATGGTTGGTTTCATGGGTGAAGCATTTCTCTCAGGGTATTGGCCCACTCAGCCACATTCCTTGGTGACGGGATCACCTAACACCCACCTAAAACTCCTCTGGGATAGCTCCATGACCCATCTCCATTTCCTTCCGCTCTAGTTATTCCCAAACAACAGACTACCTGCGCTTCTCTACGCAGCTCCCTCTCCCTACCATCCTTCACCGATTGTTGGCGGGAGGACTCGACCGGACCGCCATGGGGGACGTAGCGGCGCATTTATCCCAGGCAACCTTCCGATAACACTCACAGGCTTATTGAAGCACTGCGCCCTGGTTCTCCCGTCTGCGACCGCCAACACCACTCATTGATCGGAACGCTATTTTTAAGACCCGTCCGTGATCATCGCAAACATGAGTTTCCTCCACAGGAGAAGCAGGTCTGCGTCGGCCTCTGTAAGTAATCACTTTTCGGCGCCCGATTCTGTCTGTACAGCTGTCACAGTGCTGACGTTTGCTCGCTCGCTCATAGCGGCCCCAGACACCTGCTTCAGCCTCAGCGCATAAGGCAGCTACTCAGGCTTTTCTGAGTAGCCGAGCCTCGCAGGCAAACCTGTCAGCTTCCGCTGCAGCACAGGCCCTTCGAACTATGTCCCCGCCCCCAGTCCCGGTGGATCAGGTGCAGACTAAGCGCATGGTTCAAAGGCAAGCCTCTTCCGGTTCTCTTTCAAACTCAACCCGGGGTCGAGGAAGAGGTGGTCTGCAACGGCAGAGCAGTTCCGGGTCTATGACTGAGAGGACATTCAGGACGCCCTCCCCGTCGCCGTCGCGCCCAGTATCACGATCAGAACCGCAGGCGCCGCCAATTCCGACCATCCCGCAACACTTTGCGCCCCCTGCGACTGCCCCGGTCAAGAAGAAGAAGAGAGCATCCAGCCAAGAAGCTCCTCAACCCCGCGAGTTCTCACCCTCCCTAGTGCGACCGCACAATCGTGGCCAGAGTTTGGACAGATACGGATCTTCGCAACCGCCGGTGCTGCCAGCGAGTGCCCAGAGGAACAGCTACGCACCATCGAGCAATGATCTTGAACGTACTGACAGCAAGAATTCAGTCAATTTCTCTAGACCCCTGTCACCCCGACCACAGTCACCTATGGCACAACCCTCCGTTGCGCAATCGCCGGCACTCACGAATGGCGATCGTGTGAATGGCGAGGCGAAATCAAATGCAGTCGCTGCGGCTATTTCTCCGGTGCAAGCTGCCAGCATTCAGCAGGAATTGGCTCAGACTGCGAAAAAGCCTGTCAAAAAGAAGAAAAAGAAGGTAGCAGGCGGCACAGTCGAGGGCAGTCATTTACACGCTGGGACGATGGCAAACAATCCTGCCGTTACTCCACTCGAACCCAGCCCAGAGCCCCAGCAGCCATCCTTGTCAGACGATCAGCCGCCTAGCAGGAAAACGAAGAAAAGAGCCGCGGTCACCGGAGAGAGTACGCATTTTCCTGTTGTCGAGAGTCCGAGATCCGACTCCGATTCGGATTCAAATGTTGAGCGGAAGAGAGAGAAAAGGACTCAGAGGGCCTCAGGTATTCTGCAAAAACAGCCGTCTATTGTGCGGGAGGACTGGGAAGGGGAACAGCAGGAGCAGGACACTCCTATTCAAGACCGTGTGTCGATGGACCCGTCGGCGCAAGATGTGCTGACCCTCACGCAAGACAAGCGTCCTACAAACGCAGCAAACGTTTCGAGGAAGATTGGGGAACCTATTACGTTGCCGACGATAACGGACCGGCCGCGCTCCCCTGAGCAACCTGCATCGGCTGCACCCGCCACAGAAGATCCGCCCGCAGTTTCCATGAACCACCTTCAAGCGTCCGGACCTCAGCCTACAAGAGGCACGTCTCTGAGCCCGTCGAGATCAACAAGGTTCTCGGATCGACTTTCTTCAGACCTTGCCGCTGGTCGGAAACACGAGCCTCCGCCACGATCAATCTCACCGGCCAAACCGGCACTCAAGCACTCTTCTCCGTCTGGGGCTGATGGACAAATTCGGGGTTCTAGCGTCACTCCGAGCGAGTCGTCTGATATATCCAGTGCGTCCTTGGATGGGCCTCCAAAACGAAAAAAGTCAGTACGAGTGAGCTTCGATGCTCAACCAGAGATCGTCGGCACCGCTGTCAATGGATCAAGCCCGGTTGGAAGCCCAGGCAAGGAAAGGAAGAGCTGGCTTGGCCTGGGGAAGAGTAAACCTCCCCTCAGCACCATTCCCTCGAGTGGCGATATGGAAGAGGTGATGAAGCCACGTCCTCAACTTCCGTCCTTTGGCAGCGTTCGTGGGCAAAAGTTCAAAGACACGAACGAATCAAACACAGCACAAACACCGAGGTCACCCGCCGAAACTCGTTCTCTCCCCACAGACTCCAACAATGTGTCCCGTTCAGGGACATCTTCTGAGGCGTCCAGCGCCCATATTCCTCACACAACTGGTGTGTCAAGTGACCACGCTGTGGGCGCGATATTAGCCCGAGAAGCCCAAACAGCCGCCCAGCGGAATGCTCAAAATCCGTCCAATGAACCTCTTCCCCCTGAAGTGAGGTCCGTGGAGGGCGTGTTGTCATACTCAGACGAGGAAAGCAATACATCTGAAGCTGGAGAGGGCATAAGCGTCACGCCGACACCAGCACCACGTGAGACGTCGCTCGCTACGACCCAAAGGGCGACTCCGGTCTTGACCATCAATCAACAAGTCACAGCGCCTGTTCAACCTGTCACTCCTCAGCCTGCGCAGAATGTCCAGCCGCCCCAGACAGAAGTTCCCGTTGTGGCTGTCTCGCCACCCACTCCCGGGGAGGAGCATAGGCCACGTGACCAGTACCTTGTCGTGGTGCCCGGAGGCTTTCCAGTATCAGCGGAGAGCCTCGCTAAACTGGAAGAATCCACTAAAGTTCCGCAAGGCCAGAAAGCCGCCGCTGAAGAGACTGATGAAGACGCATCGGATAATGACAGTATCTACAGTGATGCAGCAGAAGATCCTTCCGAGATGGAACGGATGGGCTTCGGTTCTATCGACGCCATATTGGAGAGTCCTGTCGCTCCTCTACCGAGGCATGATACTCCTCCACCAGAAAGTCCATTGGAAAATGCTCCAGCTCCTTCTGCGAGCCCCTTGCCGATCGAATCTTGGGAAGAGACACGGGCGCGTTGGAGTGGAATTGCGCATCAGACACGACAAGGACCATCTCAGGAGGCTGCTGAAGTAGACAGACCAGTGCCGGCGGCCTCTGTTCCTACTGTGCTATCGACACCGCAGGTTGCATCTGGGCCATTGTCTGAAAGCGCAAATCCACCTAATGCGACGAGTATCTACAACCAGGTTTCTCAGCCGGCCCAGGCCTTACGCTCCGCGCAGTCACCGGCACCACAACCTGCTGCGAATGAGCCCACGCGGAAAAAGAAGACACCGGCTGCTATGGCTGCCGCCGCTTCTGTACCCGCAGCGTCGGGGGCGAGGCAAGGGCCACCAGAGTCGCCCCTCCGGCAGAAGAATCAGGGTTCTCCCTATCCCACTGTCGCAACACCGAGTGTTGGGCATGCCTCGGCTACGGGTGCACACTTCCGGCATTCGATGAGAGCGAGCCCACCTCCAGAGGTCGAATCTGGCTTTCGGAGATCTATGCGCAATGAATCTCGCACGTCTATGGCCGGGCCAACCAACGCGGCACCACAGCGACGAACTGCACCACCCGCAGTGACAACTCCGCCAAGGCAACCTCGCGCCGCACTGCAAAAGAAACATATACCTCTTGCCACAGCTGCGGCAGTGCAGGCGCCTATCCCTCGGCCCAAACCCGCTCCACAGCGCGTGACAAATGACAGTGATTCGGAAAGTTCATTCAGAAAGGCTCGTCGCAGTAAATCCACGACGGGCGGCAAGTACACGATGCGTCGAAGCATGCGTGGTGCTGCAGATCCAACCATGCGTGGTGATACTCGCAACGGCGTACGGTCAGTCTCACCTGTTGGAAGGCGACCGTTTTCCCCGCCAGATAGTTCTCGTCCCATGAGGACAACTCTAAGAGCTTCCATGGACAACACCCCCACCCTCCGGGGCCCGGCAGAAGGCAGAAGGAGTTCTTCGATGGTTGGCCGCCAACAAAGGAGCAACCCTCCTGTTCCAACAGTCTCTAAGCAGAATAATAGGTCTCGTATCCATGATTCGGACGACTCGGACGAGGAGCCTCGCCCCAGTAAATTCCGCTCGCGGTTTGACGACGACAGCGACGACGAGGTCGATGTTCCGCAATTTGCTCCGGTTCGTGGTATTCCTCGGAGGAACAATGATGAAGATTCGACCGACTTGGATGATAGCTCGGAGGAGGATCAACTTACGCCGGCAGCTAAAACTCCGCCCAAACTCCAGGTCCCTCAAGGCAATGGATCTGCCCCTGCCAGCAGTACCGAAGCGTTATCACCCAATAGTGAGAAGAAGCGTGGATTGCTTGGATTGTTCCGCAGCAAGAAGCCCAAGGATGAGGCTCTCTCGCCCGTCACTGAATCCCCACAAGCGTCAACCATGCCGAAAACTACGGACACAAGCAACCCATCGAGACTGGGCTTCGCCTCCGCCGCTGAGCGTGACCGGATGATTGAGCAGACCAGGGCCAGACTGGAAGCAGCAAAAGAACAGGAGCACCCCAGCAGCCATCAGCAGGGGCATGCCAAACTACAACGGCGCCATATGCCGGACCGGGTCATGAGCGACTCCTGGCCTTTGCCATCGGCCTTGGCTGACGAAAAGCCCCGTCCCACCACCGCCGATGGACTGCTCACGCGAAATGGCACGACGAGGCTGAACCAAGGAAGCATGCGCAACACGAGCCAGTCCGGGGAGGCGATCGGACGCAGTGGGAAGAAGAAAAAGTTTCCTATGTTGCGCAAGGTCTTCGGCCTTACAGACTAAGAGATTTCCTTTTCTGATTGATGTTTCACCCAAGCCAAATGATACCATTCTGGGAGTCATTCACTTCGTCTTTTGTATTGAAATTTACACATGACATGCACGAATAGTTGCAAAGGTGGTGGAGAGGATGAGGAATCCTTGGACTACGGTTCTAGATGGGCTCATATAACTCAGATGGCAATCTGGGTGCTCAGAGAGCTGGAACTACAGTACATAAATATACCGATAATTGCTAATTCTCGAACCATCCGCCTGTTTAGCCTGTATCTCCGCAGCATTGTCCTGTCAGAACCAAAGGAAGACCCCACTAGCCTGAGAGTCAAGCTATGCTGACTTCATCCTGGGGTAAGAAGCAGAGACGGATACTGGATGAACTTGTCACACGCCGTGCCCGCAACAAGCCGGTGGTCAACAATGGCAAAAATTTTGCCGGGTGCTGCATGGAGCAAACGGGTGGCGGATCATCTGTCGAGGAGGTTAACAAAGGATGGCCGCTTAGTCAGTCATTCTGGTTGAGGTAAGCTTTTCATGATGTGTGATTCGGTGAGGGAGCTGCTCGATGCACAAGCTGAGAGCAGGCAGCTCGTGGCACGGCCTACTCGGAAGCACGTCAGGGTTAGCGAGTTGTGGTGGTCTGAGCGGGCGGGACGACGAACATCACGGCGCGAGGCAGGACGTGGATGATAGCAATCGAAACACCCACCAGGTGAGGGAGGCGATGGAGAGGTCCCAAGGGAAAGAAAACCGCGCAATTATTACGTTGAGGTGTGCACCATTCAACCAACCCAATGCGCAAAGGAAAACAGACTCTGAGCCATCGGGCCAACAGAGCCCGGCATCCTGGCACTGGTCACTCACTGCTCTTTTACCCGTGACGGTCCCGTCGAGGGGTCAAGGCTTGCCCCACCTTATCGTCACAGGCTGCGGGCGTGAAACTGATGCGAAGGCCAAGTTGCATAATAACAGCATTCCGACCTCGTAGCCCAGAAATTTTTGCCCAACTCTACCAAACTTCTGCATTCGACACTTGGGCCTCGTACAGATCCTACTCTGAAAGTTCAATTGAATCCGCCATCATGTCTTCATCTCTTGAGCAGCTCAAGGCCACTGGCACCGTATGCTCTGACCCCGCCCTACCCGGCGTCTCAATGGTTTTGTAGACTGACCGAGCTCACAGACAGTCGTTTGCGACTCTGGCGACTTTCACAGTGAACTCTGCCCTTCGTCGGTATCGCGGTCATTGCTAATATGCTGTAGCCATCGAGAAGTACAAGCCTCAAGATGCCACCACCAACCCCTCCCTCATCCTCGCCGCCTCCAAGAAACCCGAATATGCCAAGTTGATTGATCCTGCCGTTGAGTACGGAAAGCAACATGTACGTTGAGGCGCCCTTGCGCTGCCACATTGGGAACTTACTGAGTCTATTGCGACAGGGCAAGGACATTGACGAGCAGGTCGATGCCACACTTGACAGACTGCTGGTCGAGTTCGGCAAAGAGATCTTGCAAATCGTCCCCGGTAAAGTGTCGACCGAAGTTGATGCTCGATTCTCCTTCGACACCCAGAAGTCAGTTGAGAAGGCTCGCCATATCATTGAGGTATTCTAGCCGTTTTCGATATCACGGGAAACGCACTAACGAGGTACAGCTCTACAAATCCGTCGGCATCGACAAGTCCCGCATTTTGATCAAGATTGCCTCGACCTGGGAAGGTATCAAGGCTGCGGAGATCCTGCAGAACGAAGGTATTAACTGTAACCTGACCCTCATGTTCTCCCTGGTGCAAGCCATCGCAGCCGCCGAAGCCGGTGCCTTCCTGATTTCCCCCTTTGTCGGCCGAATCCTCGATTGGTACAAGGCCGCGATGAAGAAGGATTTCCCCGCCCACGAAGACCCCGGTGTCAAGAGCGTGCAGTCAATCTTCAACTACTACAAGAAATACGGCTACAAGACCATCGTCATGGGTGCTTCTTTCAGAAATGTTGGTGAGATTACTGAGCTCGCTGGCTGCGACTACTTGACCATCTCTCCCAACTTGCTCGAAGATCTGTATAACTCCCAGGACAAGGTGCCGCAAAAGTTGAAGGCGGAAGATGCTTCTAGCCTGGATATCCCCAAGCGCAGCTACATCAACGACGAGCCGACGTTCCGCTTCGACTTCAACGAGGAGCAAATGGCCGTCGAGAAGCTCCGAGAAGGTATCAGCAAGTTTGCCGCGGATGCAGTTACACTGAAGGGCATTCTCCGGGAGAAGATCGAGAAGGCTTGAACGGAGCGCGAGTTGTCATGAAGGATGCTGATTGGGTGCCGTCGGTGGGCAGTTTCTGGCACTCGGTTTGACCGGTTGAATGCTATGCTTTAGATAGAGTTCGCGGTGATTTCACGACGGAAGATTCGCAACCAGGTACATGTTGACAGTCGTTGCCATCGTGTTAGCCAAAAATCAAATTTTTGATCCCAGAAGAAGAGACCGAAGTGATGCCATAGTCGCCGACAATCTCCCCCAACTGTGGCTGAAGTCGGTCCTCTGCACATTCTCGGCCGAGAGGTGACAACGTCACTATCCAACTTCCAAGCAAACACGAGTCCTCGTATTTGACGCCGCCAAACAGCCTCCCAGAGTTGCAGCAGCATCGGCCTCGATCTGTATTAGACTGTATACTGCGTCGAATATAGCTGGCTCAATGGTTTACAACGCGCCCTCCCGCCGGTGACAGAGCCGTATCTGCTGTGCCCACTGACAACAAGCTCAGCCGTCCACCGGCATCACCCTCGTGATGAAGTCGATGCGCCCAGGGGAGGCCAACAAGCGAGGCAATGTTGTCACGGCGCGAATAGTCCCGCTCCTACTGCTTGGCATCATAGGCTACTCGTCCTGGGTGGTCACGGATCGAGTCTGTCTCAATTACCTGATTAACCCACCGGCCTCGTCGTCCTCTCACCGTAACACCGGCGCGGCCGTCGCCGTCCTGGTCATTTTCTACCTCCTCCTCCTCATCACACTCGCATGCTTCGGCCGCCTCATCGGTACCGTCCTCACGAGACCGGGTCTCGTCCCGCGCGGCGAACAGTATTGGATCGAGAAGGAAAGGAAGCACCGCGACGAGAGCAGAAGAACAAGTGCGAGCGGCAAGGAAGAAGCCCTCACAGATGGGGAAGGAGAATCATCAGGCTTCACGCCGGGCAAATACCGTCGCAAGCAGGACCAAGAGGCCCAGGGTCGCTTCCACGCGGAAGAATTCTGGCGGAAAGACGTCTTTGTGTGTGGCTGGGACGGCCGCCCCCCGTTCTGCTCGACATGCTACAACTACAAGCCCGACCGGGCGCACCACTGCCGCGAACTCGGCCGCTGCGTGTTCAAGATGGACCACTTCTGCCCCTGGGTAGGCGGCATTATCTCGGAGACGTCGTTCAAGTTCTTCATCCAGTTTACGGGGTGGGCGGCCTTGTTCTGTCTGCACACGCTGGTCGTGATGGCCTATTACTTCGCGAGGCGGCGTGGCGAGGAAGGCCACTTCCTCAACGTGCACTGGCTGCTGACGCTCATCTTTGCGGGCCTGTTCTTCATCTTCTCCGCGGGCATGTGCGGGTCGAGTCTGCAGTTCGCGGTGCTCAACTCGACCACGATCGAAAACTTCACCCGCAAGACCAAGATCTGGTATCTCGCCGTGTACCTGCCGCCTCGCGTGCTGGAGCGGTACCATGCCTCGGGCCGCTCGGACCTCAGACTCATCAGCTACCCGCGCCCGCCGGAGGAGCAGTTCGAGATCCTGCAGCGCCATGGCGCCACAGTGTCCAACGATAGCGACGAGACTTTCACTCGGCAGGGTTACGACGGGGTGGCCTCGCCACAGAGGACGTACCATCCCGGCGTGTCTGCGCTGTCAGCCACATCGCCATCAGCAGTCTCGCCAACTCCCGTGGGAAATGCGACCACCACAACAACCTCACCGCCTAATTCATCCTCATCACGTCAAAATCGCAATTCTGGCATCCCCTCGCACCAGCGCACCAATATGCCCTCATCAAACCCCTCCTCGCCACGTACCTTCGCCATCCTCGAATCCCCGCCCGGCGCTAACCCCTTCGACATCGGTCCAGCCGACAACTTTCAAGAAGTGATGGGGTATACCCTTCTGGAGTGGCTCCTTCCGCTCAAGCCATCTCCGCTGGTCGACCACTCCGACCCGCGGAGCATGTACAAGCTCGGCCCCGAGGTGCGGAGGATGAAGAGCAAGGCCGGGATTTTAGGTATCGGAGGCGGGGACGAAGATGAAGACGTGATTGCGAATGCGAATGACCGTGACAGGACGGGGGAGAGGCAGGGCGAGGTCACGCGGGAGAAGCGCAGTCGGACTCAGTCTCACAGCCGATGTCGAAGTCGAAGTCCTAGTACTCGTCCTCGTCCTCGTAGACGGGAAAGCGAGTCCAGAAGCGGGGACGAGGAGATGACAGCGATAGGGAGGCGGAAGAAGAAGCGGAAGAGACAGAAGTAGACGGCCCTCATCAGTGTCAGGCGGTCGTGGTGCAGAAGGGGCAAGGGAAAGCCAGAAGCCAAGGCGTGATGCGAGTAATGGTATATTATTTGTTCTTGTTCTTGTACCTGTACCTGTACTTCTACCGCAGGTGATGATTCGGGATCTGGTCCCTGGTTCTGGTCCTGCTTCTGGTGCTCTAGCGCTGGCGTTGTACATGGCGTTGGTAGTTGGGAGGTTGGGAGGTTGGGTACTCTCGGGTCCTGTAGGCAGATAGATACGATATCTTGATGCCTCGATGCTTCCGGGACGCGGGTACTCCGTCCTCAAATGCATGCACATCTTGAACAAAGAATGTTGATTGTTTTCTTCGAGTTTATTGCCTAGACGATGATTTTCTCATACCCCAGCCAGTAGGAGTAGGTGATTATTACTGGACGTCCCGGGTCTGCTTATATGTGAGGTCAACGCATCATACATGCCGTTATCAATCACTCACTCACTCACTCGGACGCTGAGGGCGTGACTTGTGGCAAGAAGGGCAAGGTCGCGGGATGTTCGGACCTTCAAGCTGTGGTAGAATTCCTCAATCGAGGTTTACGGGACGGAGAGTGAACGCTTCGGGGACATATATGAGTCGGGCATTATATATACAGACAGTGGAGGATGAAGATGAAAAAACATTGTGGCTGGGGACGAGAAGGTACGAGTAGGTCCTCTGCCGTGGATGAAAAGTGAGCAATGTGAACGAATGCTACATGACATAGCTAGATAATCTATCTCCATACAAACGACAGTGTTGAATGAAATGAAGTATCTGATACAAACGACAGTGTGGAATGAAACATGAAATGAATTACCTGGTCCAAACGACAGCGGTGAATGAAATGAATAGATACTAGACTCGTCTGATCTGGGCCACGTGGAATGAGCCAGTATGCTTAGTTTCCGTTCCAGAGTGGACTTCCAAATTGTGTTGACACATGGCGCCTCGTATGTAGCAGCTGCATACACAGTTGAAGCGAATGAAAGGAATAATAAGTTCTTCGTAATGCGTGCTGGTATTCGAGCGATGGCGAACTCCCCTGCCGTCTTGGAGCCGTGGTTGTCCTTTCTGTTGTGCTGTTGTGCTGTGAGCCTGTAGTAGTTCTGGAACGGAGGGGAGTCTAGAGTCGAGGGCCGCGGGAACGAGCGGCTGCTGCAGGTTGGGTAGGGTATGAATTGAGCGAGGAAGAACCGTGCTGGATGGCATGTCTTGCTGGTAGAAAACGAGTGAAAGTCGTCATAGGAGTCAAGTAGGAAAAGTCCGCAAGAAGTACCCAGGATCGAGCCGCGTACGATAGCAAGGGGCCAGAGAATGTCCAGGTGAAGGTGTTCGCGGTCGGGGGAAATTGAACGGAGAGCATTTGGGCTTGCAGCCTTGTCACCCCTTTCCCGCCCACTCTCTAACGAGCTGCTCGGCATTGGTGGCATTTCGTGTGATTGCACACGGTACATCTTCCTTGGCTCAGATCCGGATTGTTCATGCTGTCACATTTGTGGCAGTACCACCAGCCTCTCATGGAAGGTGCAGGTCGGCTACCGAGGCGCATACGTTGCCTCGCGTGCACCGAATTTGCTTCGATCGGGCAGGTAGCCGGAGGAGATACTGTGAAGGAGCGGTTGAAGTGTAGGCTGGTGCCAGGACTTGCACAACATGCAGTATCATGGTCGTAGGAGCGAACGGCTGCTGCTCTCCTCGAGCCAAGGATTTTGATTTTGTCATCTTTCTTGCACGAACCGCAAGGAGTGTGTCCACATTTGACACAAGCCGGATTGTTTTTCACCGTCATGGGTCCATCGCGGCAACGGCAACATTGCCAGAGCGTCGGCATTTCTCGAGCTAGGGTCGTATCGCCTGAAGGATTTGAGTCGAACAGGAAGCTGCTTCGCGAAAGCCGGCGCTCAAGGAGATAAAACCGTAGCTACGCAGAAACAGGTAGGACAAGGGGCACAAAGGATTGAAGATGAAGCAAATGTAAGGAATCTTGAACCGCGAGCAGCAGGATGAGTGAGGAGTTCTCATACCTTCCTTTGGGTGAGTATCTTGCAATTTTATATCCTTCTTTTGTGAGCAATGGTAAAATCATCCTGCGTGAGAACACAACTGCGGCCCATCTCGCCTTGGTGATGCGTGGCAGCATTGCCAGTATACTTGCCCCGAGCTGCAAGGTAGTATAGTTGTCCCATTCAGCTTGACGTGGAAGGTTTTGCCCGTAGCAGCCTGCTCGCCTTGGTAGCGGCAGAAGGTGTATCTTGACACATTGACCAATTTGATGCCCTGCTCCCGTTTGGTGATATTCTCGCTTCTCCCAAGCACTCTGCACATGAACATGAGGCGGCATCATCCATCTAAGCCACAAATAGGCCATCGTCTTGTTGGGATACTTGCTTGGTGCAATATCGACAGTATGCCACATACGCCTCGGCCATGGCGGGGCTCTCGTCATTGAGTACAAACCCAAACCTACCTTGCAGGGGTTGCGGCTGGCGTAAGGTCAGTTCGACGGTGCTCGCTCTGAGAAGAGACGTCGTTGATTTGGTAAACGGGTAGAATTGCTTCATTTTGTGGGAATCCGAGTTTTGAAATCAAGGTAAGCCCATCTGTAGATCGGTGACAAGCCTGGGCATAGCATCAGAAGTGCAACACTCGTGACATGGCTGTCGGGAAAACACAGCCACAGTGCTTCACGAAACAACGACAGAAGTTCTTTACCTCAGTGCTGTTACAGCCTTGCATGATCCCCAAAGCTCATATGTTGGTTGAGGTCGGCGAGGCGTGGGATAAAAGGCGGCTGAATCATGGTTTATGACGGTGCTACCGTGGTCCGGGGTTGCTCGATGTCATGTGAGGGAGTTCTGAGGAACAGAAAGTTGGTTGTGGACCATGAGGTGCCGAGGATGGAATGCTGGAGAGTGGGAGCGGGTAATTTGGAAATCAGACGCATGCACGTGATCCTGCGTTTCCGGTGACAGCCTGGGAATCTTGTCGCCTGAATAGGTTAACGGCAGGGCGTAGTTTCAGTCCATGTCTCGTGATGAACAATGAGTATTCATCATGCAAACTCGGAAGTCGTCCCGGATGCTCTCCTGTGTCAGCAGGCAATTCGACCATGCATGGTAAGGCTAGAAGACATCTTAAGCTTTAGAGCGACCTAATTACCTCCCACCACTCTCAGAGTATCGCAGTTGCCTCACAAAAGAGATGGTGTCACGAGGATATCGCACGTTCGATATCGGAAGTGGTGCAAGTACTTGGCAAGAACAGGTGGAGCAAGTGAGCGCCCGAAGGGATACACCGTAGAAGGGGGACTGCTCGGGTTGCGAACACATTGCTTGGCAGCTGCGACGGCCGGATGGCAAAGAGTACCACGGTGTTCTTTGCTGTGACCGACTACTGATGTTGCAAGCGATGAGGGGCTATACTGGCCACTTCAGTTCCCGGTCAGAGGAGGTTGTGCGGTTGTAGAGTGGGAATTAGCTTGGGCAGCAGTGCTTTTGATCGGCGAACTTTTGGCACCAAACATCGTCGGCGTGAGATTGGTTGGGTTGGGCACACGCGGTAGTACTGTCTGCTTGGGACGCGAACCGGTGTGCGGACGAGTAAGAAGGCAACTGTCTGCTTGCTTGGGCAACCGGCGTGCCTGGATGGGGTGAAGTGAGAGGAACTTGAAGCTAGCGGTGGCATAGTCTCTGGGTCCTTGGGCAGGGTCTCGGAGTACGTGACTCAGAATATGGAGCGCAGCCCCAGTAGCAGCCGACAGGCACCACTTGTGTGGGCAAGCAGCGAGGAGGAAGAATCAAGAGCAAGATGCAACAAGCAAGAGAGGTGGTTCAAACGAGGCGGTCCGAGTTACGAGGGACTCGGGATGGAGAAACTGTGTACATATTCGGCCTTTGCCCACCACAGGATGACGTCGACTTCGAGGGAGTCGCAGGCCTCCAAGCCAGAATGGAGATCGTCAGGTGGAACAAGAATTGCCTGTCATCGTCCCTCTAGAACGCACAAGAGAACAACGTCTCCCTCTCTCGATCGTCGTTTACTCCCTCATGCATCGAACCATCCGATAATCCCTCCGCAAATCCTTCGTTGGGACGGTGTACTGTCTGGTGCATTTCTAGAAGGTGCGAGCGACCCCAACTCTTCAGGCGGCCCTCAATTCCCCTTCACATTCGCATTCACATTCCTCGCCCTCACCTCACCCTCGCCCTGGACTTGACTGAGCCACCTCATGGTTGCGCCTGACATCAGACTCCCGTGTCAGGTCTCTGATGCCTATGCTCACCTGATCCCCGAATCCCGCTGACATGATCTATTATTGAGTCCAGCCTCTACTTTTGGTCAACCGTCGCCCACCTTGCGGTGGCCATCGCACCGAGACTAGCCTTGCTCTCGATCTTGGCTCTTCGATGTCTTGAAGCAATACCAGAACCCACAACGAAAGAGCCTCACAATGACGGAAAATCGCTATCGACCGAGCTCCCCGCCGGGACGCCGGTACGCAGACCCTCGCGACCCTCGCGCCTCGACGGGCATGTTCATATCCTCCTCATTTGACCCTGCTCGATATTCATCTTCCTCACAACCCCGCAGTGTCATCGACACATTCCCGGCCTCCCGGCACGGTAGCGTCTACAGCACCCAAGGTATAGCCAAGAGACAAGTGCTTGACGACACTCATCCAGGTGGTGGCTCCATTGTGCGGACTGAGTATGCTGTCCGTCCGAGAAACAACTCGACACTGGAGAATCGCAGGCCGGTCAGCAACTTCCCCGAGCGTCGGTCTTCTCCACCTCTAATTCGACCGGCAATCGTCAGCGGCCCTGCCCGCGACGATCCACGGAGTCCAGCTTTGTCGCCTAGGGAGGAGCAGCGATATCTCGTCCCCGCTGCTTCCACAGGTCGCCACCACCAGCGTCACGCGAGCGCTACTCGCGCCGAGCAGGAGCGTCTGCTACCCGCCAGAGTCAGCAGACAACCTGAATACCATCGTCGAGGCGGCTACAATGCGTATCCCTCATACTCGACATCGCGGGGTCCGCTACAAGATGAAGGCTTCTCGTACACGACGCCGAAAGAGCAATTTTTGTCCGAATCATCCCGTCCGCCTCAGCGGCGAGATAGTCATAGTAGACGGGAACGACCGGTGAGCATGATAGGTTTGCCGGAATATAGAGTGCCTGCAAGGAGAGATACCCGAGATGCCCCGCCTCCATCTTCGACACGTGCTCTGGACCGGATCGAGAGGAATGAACCGCTACGACACACAAGTGGCCGCACAAGCGACACTGAAGACCGGGGCAGTGGTGTGCCACGGCGCCGTCATTCCACAAGGGCTCCGGTCCTGCACCATTATCCCGAAGACGGCTACTCATCAAATCGAGATGATCGAGACAGTCGACCATTGGTTAGACACCGCCCTGATCGTCAGGATGACGACGACAGACCACGGCATAGACATCGTGAAGAACGTGACAGAGAACCTGCACGGGATCTTCCACGCGAGTCTGATCGTGTCCGCGAGCGGGATCGAGACAGAGACCGCGACCGGGACAGGGAAAGGGACCGCGACCGTGACCACAACCTGAAACGACTCCAGGAACCTGAAAGGCCTGGCAAGCCTCGCAGCCGCGAGAGTAGCCCAGATCACTCTGGGCTACGCAAGGGTATTACTGCAGCTACTGTGGGTGCTGTAGGCGTGGCGGCTGGAGCGGCCATCAAGAACGCCCGGAATAAAGACGATGAAGCGTCGGAAAGTGACGGGCGTAAGGAGCGGAAGCACAGAAGACGACGTCACCACCACACCGGTGAGGAACCAAGCCCTGACGACATTGCTGGACGTCTGGATCGTGAACTCAAATTGACCAACGGAGACCGTGACCATCGTCGTCGAGACGAGGACAGGAGAGGAGAGGAAGTCGAGGATGATGAAGATCGCCGCGAGAGAAGGAGGCACCACCGTCACCGAAAGCACAAAGATCGTGACAACGAGTCGGATACGACGGAGGATTTTGAAGCAAGAGAATCCCGCCACCGCAGATCTGACCGAGACCATCAAGAGGATCCTCGTGATGCTCCTCGACAACACCGAGACAGTGGAGCCTCTCGCGAGGAGGATCGAGATGTACCGCCAAATCTCGAACAGCGTACAATATCACCTGGTGAAGAGGAAGATGGCCGCCCACGCAAGGTCCAATTGGTTGAACCAGCGGAGAAGAAGGAAGAGTACAAACCCAAGGGGATCCTCAAACCGCCCCGAGAGGTGCCTTTCCCTGAAGATCCCAACCCTACTCGTGAAGGGGTTGCGCCGTTAAAGGATGCGCAAAAGGATGGAATTCCACCAAACGCACGATGGACGAAGATCAGTCGAGCACTGGTGAATCCAGAAGCACTCGAAAAGGCACACGAAAGGTACGAGGAGAGGGACGATTACGTGATCATTTTGCGAGTGGTGTCCAAAGAGGAGATTATGAAGTTGGCAGAGAAGACCAAAGAGATTAGAGGTACGTACTCCCTCCAGGCCGCGACGATGCAATACTGACGACCCGAACAGAAGCTCGAGAGCGCAAATGGCAAGCTGAACTCGAGGAGAAGCGCCGCCGACGAGCAGAGAGAGGAGAGTATAGTGATGAGAGTGACGGATCCTATACCGATGACGACCGTCGGCCATTGCCAGCTCTGGAGCAAGCACCGCCTGTCCAAGGTTGGCAAGGCGATCCGAGAGTCTACTTCGCCCAGCAGCAACAGCAGCAGAGGGAAGAGGTGCCTATTACCGCAACGGCACCTCCCCTGCAGCCGGGTATGCCTAATATGGCTCCGCTGCACCAAGGTCTTGCATCAGGAGCGCCATATCCGCCTCAACAGGCGCCCCCGGTGCTGCAGCAGCAGCAGTACCCAACGATGCCTGTGCCAGATATCAGGGTCGAGCCAAATGTTGGAAATTATGCGAACAATGTGTAGTCAAGGCATTTAGGGAAAGTAGACAGTGACTGATGATCAAGAAGCGCAAGATTTGACATTCTGTTCGTTGTGGGGCGGGATGTATGTGTGATGAGAGACATAGGAGACGTTCGATCATGAGCAAGGCATCCGATCTGATATCCATGTTGAAGACCCCTTTGCCACCAAAACGGGTGTATAGTTATCACATCTCGAGCGTCTCTTCCACGATTGCTAGCCCAAGAAGCCTGGTCTCTTGTTGAAACGCGTTAGATTTCACTCAATTTTGGGTATAGACACGTCGAAACTCCATCTGACATTGATCACCTAGATGTCAAGAAGGCAAAATACGTTGGAGAGCTGGTGTCCCACGATGTCTCACGAGCGGCGAAATGCGACGATGGCACCAGCTAATTAATAGCCACCGCGGTTACATAGTTGTGGCGCTTCTTGAGCATCACTGTACACAGCAGGAGGGTGACTGGCGGTCGTGTCGTTCGTGGTCTCTTCTCATTGCAGTGTGTTCTTAACGCGCTCGATTCTCACGAGATTGGATATACTCCAAATAGCCGAGTAATTCGAACTCCGGGGCGAGGACATCGTATACTGGTGTCCTTTAATAATTGGGTAGAGTGAGTACCTGTATATGGGTTGAGTGGCTGAGTCGGGTGGTCGCTCACGTCGCCCTTGGTCACCTCATTAAGCAGTGCCGAAGCGTTGCAGTAGACACGGGCACGTGACAGGATCTCCATCTCACACGTAACTCGTACGGTGGATTGATTGAACTCGACGAACAAAATCACCGGTGCCTGAAGATCTGTTCCTTAGCCCGGAGCCACCCCTGTGCCTGCGTGGCCTGGCACGCCGAGGTGGCCCGCCAGTCGTGCCGGGCACCCCTGAAGCCCCCTCCCATGGCCCATGGCAGGCGTGGTCGCAGGCATGGCACACACATGGTTGATCGACACGGCCGGACATGGCCATGCACCCGTGGGTGTGGCTCACGGGCACCACAGGTTCAACGAGCTACAAATTCTGTGTACGCCGTACGAGGACTTGTAGTTGGCCATGAGTGATCGTTCCATTCCACGTTCCTGTCACAGGAACTCTACTAATCATGTGCCGACTTTATCTTTCACGGCAATCACCTGCTGCGTACTTCAAGCCTGTCCATTGAGGGAAGAGGGAGATTCTGCACACAGCGAAAATTGAACCCACCATTGTGAGCCACTGGGTCCTCGGTCAGCGCAAGCTTAGGAATAAAAGCGGCGCGCTTGATTCCGTTCCCCTCACATCGCCCTCACGCAGCCCGCCAATTAAGGGAGGCACCCAGGGAGGGGCCGGGAGGCCTAAGCAGATAATTTACGTACATTTCGAAGACTGCCCTCTGTGCTGCGTCAGTGAGCCGAAACACTCAGCTAGGCTGTCACCGCGTTCTGGAGTTGCTTGAGCTGAACTCTTCTTGGTACGGAGAACTTGTCCTGAAGCCCCTTGCCCACTGCTTCGGACCGCTGCCTTGGATCGTTCGTTTCGGTGCATCCATGCAATCCCAGCCATCGCACTCCTGGGATGGCCTTACTCCCCAGGGTACAGGCCCTGTGGCTCTTGCCAGGCAGTTGACATCTCGCGGTCAACGATGAAATGCCCTGTGCCGCCGTGCATATGAAGCACTGTCGATCAGTGACCGAGTACAGTAGTCACTACCTTGGTTCCCAGGAGTGAATGCTGCCTGATGCTCTCGCGGCATTTTTGACGGCGACGCCACGAGGAATTGTGTTTCAATCGTCGGTCAAAGTCAAGGGCGACAGGCGGGGCAGTTCGGTGGCCGATCATCCCCGCGTTCGGAAGGTCGTAAAAAGATCGACAGTGTGGCAGCCACGGTGAAAGGAAGGCTCTCACGGCTCTCGTGGTGTGAGTTAGCACGTTAGCCACGCCAATAAATGAAAGGGTGAGTGAGGCTGGCGTCTTTTGGCGGCGACAAGACAATCTGCACTGTAACCCGTACTCGTACTCGCACAAGTACCTACTGTACTCCGTATAGGTTTCTGGATATCGCCCTTTCACTGTCCAGGCACAAAGGACAAAGAACATGCCTTGCACACGTAAGAACAAGGTCAACACTCACCGCCAGTCATGGTCCTCGCAACCGTGCAAGCTGAACCCAAGTCATGCTTTTCACTTGCTATGCGAGTTACCTCGTACTCTGTATTGTCTCTTTAGCTACTGGTTCCTGAGCAGAGCAAGGTTTCCGCAACTCCTGGCGGGCTGCATTGTCGGAAGCATGATCGACGAGCTGCGAACTCTGGTCTCCGTCCTGAGTGTGTCTCACGTGTCTACTACTTAGACACCTGCACCAGCCTGCGTCAGGAGAATATTGACGTTAGTGTGTGCTCGTTCACAACGTCAACAATACTCCGGTTGCAACAATGCAACGGATCATGACCGTTTCGGGTCTTTTTGGAGTCCATAGCGTGTTCGACAACTCAGTTAAACTCCATTTCGACGCCGCACTTCCGCTGTGGCTGCGGCAGAACAGCACGGTATAGAGTTCGTCTTGACGGAAATCTGTCTCTCCACAGCGGGTGGAAGGCGTTTGTCCTCCTTTTTCTACGGCAGACGGAGCTATTACCCGAACTTTGCGCGCGTGATGTGCGTTCCGGAAGTCTGTTCAGGCATCCTTGGCTAACGTGCAGGGTGGTCATGATGTTGCCGTGCCGTGAGCTGGAGAAAAATACATGCTGTCAGTAATAGGTGAAGCAAGCGTGATATTTCCTCTTGGAATAACAACTTTTCATGCATCGTCCAGGAGCATTCAGGGGCTGTATTTGTTCCTGTTGATTGTGGACCACCTCACAGTCTTCTTCGCAGTCATTACTCAGGCCGTACAATCTGACAGTACTCATTTGATGTACTTGGGCAGTTACTTGTTCCGTTGTACTGACAGAAGCCCACAAACGGTACTTCCGCAACGTGACCGACAAATGCCGTACACAGTACTCCGTGCCGCGTGGAGTGGTGATGATGGCAGGTACCGGCGATTTCGCGCCACGAAGTTTGAGCCACCTCAGCCTACGAAGTTCTGAGAGGCCCACAAACATGACTGTGGTTCTCGGAGTGGACAATCGTCTCATCATCGTTTCTCGGTCGTGGGTCACCCTACAATTGTCTACTGCAGTAAGTGCTGTAGCACGGAGTACTTACTTTAGTCTGGTCCATGTCAATATGCACCTTGAGCCCGAACCCGAAAGTATATGCAGGATGAAGTTCTTGCCAGGCATTTGAAGGAGCGCTAAATGCGCAAATCACGTAGAAGAGGCCTCCTCAAGTCATGACGACAAGCAAACTTTTTTGAAGGCCGCCTGGTGGAAGAGATATGACAGTAGATTCATGCTGCTGACAGATGGACTTAAATGACGGATGAGAATGGAAGGTACGACTGCTGGCAATCATCGGAGGCCAGCACGCTCTTGGCACAATGCCGCCACTCTACGAGGTAAATGGCTATGTCGACAGCAGTGGGAATGGCAACGCGGGGAATGTCGCCGCCCTTCGAGATTGGCCAGTAAGATGCAGATCACAAATAGATACGGTGAACTCGAGACATCGCTCAATCAAAGATGCATAAGACGGGCGTTCGGATGGAGATTGTGCACAAGTCCACTGTTCACCCTGCAATCACTTGCAGCGGAAAAGCAGCTGAGGAATCGCTGGCCGCTACTCCCGTAATGCCGAGACGATCCTAGTCAACAGCATCGGCTACTCTAGTTTTCCAGCCACCGCAGTTTGTAGCGTCGACGACAATCAGATCCGAGATGAGATCAGGCGCTGTCGGGTTGTCGACGAGCATCATCTGCGACTGCGCAACTCGGTGAGAACTGCATGACTAGCAACCTGTTCTACACAGTTGTACTCCGTACTTTGTAGTTGCTTCTGGTTCGAATGTCAGTCCGCATCAGGCAGGCTTCTATTGTTAATGCCTCCGGACTTGGATTTCTCCGTTTGTGTCACCCAGACAGTGAAGCCTGCCAGACGGGATTGTAAGCAGAGGGCTTCACTCCCGCTGAACACGATGATGCCGTCCACAGGAGATCAAACCCTGTTCGATCTTGAGTAAGGCTGAACCAATGCATGAATAATATTGGGTATCTGCTGAACTGGAGGACGTCGTGAAGAATTGCCTTTCCGGTAGGGTCCGAGTCTGGGTCAAGGGTGAATTAGCCTAACCCTGCAAACGCAAGCAAGAGGGCAGGCTCCTTAGTCCTGCGCGGATGTGGCATGGGACGAACATGGGCGCCAACCAGGCTCAGACGAGTTTTACCACTGCAATCGCGAGAAAGCCGATCAAGGTAGACCGGGTCTTCATTTGCTGGATTGGCTAGAGGATCAGGCTATTGGCCATTTGCACCAGGTGGTTGGCCGAACAATTGAGCATGCTGATTCGTAGTCGCCTTTTCCACAAGCGGAAGTTTAAGATGATGATGGTGTACCTTCCAGCCGGTCGTCCTCTGTCAATGTGCTGGAGAAAAGGCACCGTAGCTTCTCGCGCGGCATGAGAATGCAGACGAGGAGAGCCAATGGATGTGCGAGATATGCCACTGAGAGGCGACCCTACTTGGGTCAGCGCTGCACGACCAAAATTCCAGTCACTGCGAGTATTAATTCAGTCGCAGGAACACCTTCATCAGGCAGCTCACGCGTGGAGGGTGGGCAAGTTGGTCACGGTCGCCATTGCCGATGCCGATCAGAGCTAGATGCAGGATCAACACCGGGCCACGCACCATGGACCGGCCGTATTACAGACCGGACCTAAGGCTGTTTACGGTCTAGCAGTGCATGTGGTGGGTTATCGCTCGCCACTGAGTGACCAGAGCGGAAGCATTCGAGGCTTCTACTGGTCCGACGGAGCTTGGTAACGAGGGAGAAAGCAGCTGGAAGACGTGAGAGAAACAGGCGACGGGACAGCTTTGCCGTTCCTGGGGTCCGGGATTGGGAAATCGACTGCAGGTTGGCTGTCAAGGACTTGGGGCCAGAGATGGTTGTCGAGACATGCAGCAAATGTCCTCTACTGTATTAGTATGATTTTGAACTGTATCGTGAATCCGTGCTGGCGACGACGGGTGGACTTCCGATCGTAGAGGCATCAATTGACGATGACAGGGAGGGACCAGCGCTAATTTCGCAGCCTGACATGATTTGAGGAGAGAGGAGCAAGATGGCTTTGGGAGGCGTTGGAGGTACTGTTCCCAGTCGCAAAGTGACTGTGGAGGGAGACGTATCCTTTTAATCTTGAGCTGCATGCCTGAGGCTAGCTTCGCTGCAGGACTTTGCGCAAAGCTGCATTGCGTGTGCTTGTCCTGACACAACCGCATGGGAGCGAATGCCCGTCTGGAAATACATTTGAGTGGATGAGCAGGTTTGTCGGCGGCAGGAGGTCTGCAGCCAGTGATACAGACGTTGGCACTGGCACTGGAAGGCAAGGCCCGGGGCCACTGGCAGAGCGTGTCAATGATCGCCCGGCGCCGTTGACGAGGTGTGGTTAGGGCGTGTTTCGGGTTCAAACTCTGATCGACAGCCACTAAGAAAGCACTGGAAATTGCAGGGATCTTGCCCACGAGCCACGGAGCCATGGATCGACCTCACGCGGTGCCTACAGTATTCATTCTCCAGGGATGCCAAACTTTATTGTGCCGAACAATTCATCTATCGTATCGAGCACGAGTAAGTATACGGAGTACACACACTCTGTTGCTGGCAGTTCGTTCGGTGTGTAGTAGATAATAGAACCGCTGGTTCGGTCGGGACTATTGCATCGCACTCTACACAGTACGGAGATGAAGGGGGATGTCGTACTATTTTCTTAGGCGAAGAGATGGAGCCGGGTCTGTCTGTCAGACGGTAGTGGCTCTTAATCCTTCATGATGGTGATAAAAATGGCTTGGAGAAGATGCGCCTGTTACTAAGTGCTGAGGCCGAGGATGAGCAAATCAGGCCCTTACTTTGGCCATGGCTTCGGCCTTGACCACACTATTCATTCGCTCACACAAATCCTAGAGCTATCAGTGCCTCGCGTACCTCGTTTTTGCCTGGGATTTCAATACCATCTTGCCACTGACTTGGCTCAATCAGACAGTCCTGACCCTGGCCAGCCCTGAATGCGACACGCAGTACTAGTTATCCCCATCCCCTACTCCGTACTATCCTCTCTTGAATTCTCTCCCCACTCACGACCCATTGCCGTCCTTCACGCGTCAAGCGCTCACCTGATGCGCCTCAAGCCTCACCTCTTGATGGCTCCTCTCCTATCATCACGCTACGGAGTGCATCCGATCTTTCTATCGACATCCGAGACGAACCTCTTACCTTGACCTCGGCCTGCCGGTCAAATCTCGAACTGCTCGTCACCCATCACCCTTCCAACTTCCCTGCTACGCCTGGTCTCGCTAGCTGCCCTGCTTCCCGCAGCGCCATGGCGCCCGCTCACCATAGCAAAAAGTACGCCGTCGCTTCGGAGAAATCATCTGGCACTGGCAATTTGAACATGAGGGCTGGCAGCTTGAATCCACATCTGCATCAGTCACCGCCGCAGACCTCGCGACAGCACGCCCAGATGATCAGAGCGCGCAACAATTCCAAGAACAGCGCCCGCCATCCGCAGCCGCATGCTCATGCGCAACAACTGCAGCAGCAACAGAAGCAAGCCCCTCATCCCAATCTTGCGCAAGCTGTCGCACCAGCACGAAACCTCAATCCAAGTCCGGCTGGAGACACAGGAGCAGGATCTGGTCAAGTTCACAGGCCTGGAGATCCCAACAATCAATTACATGTGAGTTTCCTTCATAACGTTTCCTGCCTCTTGTTGCATCTGCCCACGCCGGCCGTCAAAAGACCTATCGTCCTTATGGCACGCATTCCTGGTTTAGGCGTTGAAGCTTTTTTGGCTTGACTGCTCCCCTGGACTCCAGTGTGCGCAACAGCAGCCCACAATCTCTCGTCCTTGGCTACGACCCTGGTCCATGTTTGAGTGGTCCACCCTCCCTGGTCTGCATCTGCCAGCCATGATCCTGACCTACCTGGCTTGATCTCGGGGTTCTGTTTGGCCCACGCGCCGCTATGATTAGCCCGCTTGTGGCCCCTCTCTCTGCGACCGGCTTTTCAAGCACCAAAAGTGCCAGACTACGCCAGCAGTTGACGCTTGGGCCCACGCTCCAATCCGACCACCCACAATTAGCTCGACGCAACCACACAGAGATTGTCACGGCCGGCTCCACTGCTAAGCACGCTTCCCCTCCAGGCCCAAGCACTGAAGGTTCCAAACTGCCAGGTTCCCAAGTCGCTCGCAAACGCCATCCGGACGCCCCGGTTTTCTTTCTTTCGACATGCCGTTTAAGCTCCCGCGCCATCGGTCCACTTGATTTGCACACTACCAGTTTCAACGCGCAAATCCAGCATCCACTCGCGGTGCCTCCCCAGTATCTTTTACAGCGCCCTTGCCCCCTCGGCTTTTCTGGATCATCCTTCTCTAACTCTCGCCAAAACTTGTTCTTTGAATTGACTTCCCATCGAGTTGCACCGCCACGTCTGACGTCCGTCCTCTACATTTGCCCTTTTCGACGTCAAAAACAACATCCATACAATGCGACGCTGCTCTACATAGGACCGACTTATTCCCCCTGCCCCAGTCCTTTCACTACAAAGCCCATTATTCAAGCTTCGACCACCTGGCCCTGTCAACGGTGGTCAATCCCGGTACATGGTATGCTCTACCCACAAAATCCACTGTGGCTGCCCCATCTCTTATCACATGCCCGCGCCTTGACCCCTCTTACACACCTGAGTTTCATGCATTGAAACCCATCATAACTCCTTTTCAAATGCTCGAGGATCACTTTGTCTGTGCTCAAATTGTGCGACTGCACGTTTTCCGGCCCTGAACCTCTCTCGTTGCGCACGACAAACTCGAAAGGAATTGAGATCACCACCCTGGCACATTCGGCGACGGCGCATCTACCCTGGCTACACTATAGGTACGACCAATTCTGAGGACTGCTGGAGATCACGTTTTCCATAGCGCACGCTTCTCGTCTGCTTCCATGCTTGTTTGCGCATCAGGATCCTCGCTTCTTACCGAGATACTCAGGATCCAGTGAGATCTCCTCCCTCTCCACCATGGACAAGGGCAGCGGTTCAGACCAATTACGAACCTACGTTCCAGGATTACCATCCATCAGACTCTTGAATTTTGACCCAGCTTGCCTATCACCCTTGCCGTTCCTGCCGTGGAGCTCTTGAACACCTGACACGAACTTGTTCTGCTGTTTGCGATCACTGCTCATTTGCACAAGCCGGCGCTGACATATGGACTTCCAATGCAGCATCGCACAACACAGCCGTATCCGAACGTCGCTCCGTTGCACCACGTCCCGCACCAGTCGCAGTCAAGAACGTTAAGCGGCAACCCAAGCACTCAGCAGCCGTATCCGTCGCCAAACATCTACACGCCGCAACCAAGTCTGCATTCACCGTTTGTCAATAGCCAGGCGCAATTCCAGGCGCAACAGGCGCCGGCCGAAACGCCGACTTTCTATCCCCCGGCTCAGAGTCCTCGAAGCCAGCATAGCGGTACCGGAACTTATTATTCTACGGGTAAGTCGGTCATCGAGGAATCATCGCGTCAATCAGCTGATCAAGCGACAGAGAAATCTGAGCCTATGGCAGCAACCGCGGCGATGCAGAGGCCTTATCCTCCCATCTATCACACTCCACAATCCAACTCTCCTGCTTCAGTGACATCGCCCCAGACGCATGATCCCGCCAGGCCAATGTATGGCCAACCGGGCTCGCAACTGAGCCAGCCGACGCTATATGGCTATCAATATGGGATGAACGCTGTGCACCAGCCCAACTATGGACAACACCATCAACAAGCACAGCAACATCCGATGAATTCCCAGTCGATGCTAGCTTCCTATCAATCCGCGGCCCCTCAGATGCCTCAAGCCCAAGTCAACTCGCACCACCCCGCCGTTTCGAGTAGTCCGAGGTTGAAGTCTGAACAGAATCAACACTATCAACTCAAATCCGAGCAGAGTCAACTCAAGTATGAGCAGAGCCAGGCCTATCAGCATGCCCCTCAATCCCGAGGCGGAATGCTGCAACAACAGCAACAGCATCCTACTCCGATTCCGCAACCGACGTCCTTGCCACAGCAACAACAACCACAGCAGCCGCCGCAACAACAGCCGCAGCAGGTGCCCCAAGTCCAACAACAGTCGCAGCAGCAGCAGCAACCACAACAGCAGCAGCAACAGCAAAATCCAAATCTACCGCCCGGCTCGAATGCCGCTCCTGGGCCGATTCCCGCAACAACGCCTTTGGTGGTACGGCAAGATGGGAACGGTGTCCAGTGGATTGCTTTCGAGTACTCCAGAGACCGTGTCAAGATGGAATATACTATCCGGTGTGATGTTGAGTCTGTTGATGCCAACGCCCTGTCACAAGAGTTCAAGTCGGAAAACTGTGTATATCCCCGGGCTTGTGTGCCGAAAGAACAGTACAAGGGTAATCGATTGAACTACGAGACAGATTGCAACCAGGTGGGCTGGGCGCTGGCGCAGCTTAATCCATGTCTTCGGGGCAAGAGAGGTTTGATACAGAGGGCAGTGGACAGCTGGAGGAACAGCAACCAAGATCCGCGACTGAGAAGTCGTCGTGTCAGGCGACAAGCAAAGATGAATAACAGGTCAAAACTAACGGCTTCAGCTTCGGTCCAAGCACCTGGGTCAGGGGGCCAAGTTCCGACAGGGCTTCCTGGTCCAAATTCAATGGCGGCTCCCACCACCAGACCATCCGGCGCCATGCCAAATACACAGTCTCAGATCCTGCACCATCCGCAGGATGTGTCTCCTACCGGGCATGAGAATGTCGGAGGTATGTAAACATAGATTTTCGCGCGTCTTCACGACAATCGTCCCATGCGTTCTTGCCTTGAGAGTCCCACTGACTATTCGCAGCTCCCACATACAATCCCGCACAACAAGCTTACCGACAGAATTCGGTACCTCAACATATGGCAAGTCCAAGCGACTTGCGCCAGAGCCACCACTTCACCGGGTACCCGAGTTATGCCACTTCGCTGGCTCCTTCGATGGGACCGTCTATGGCCCCCGCCATGCAACCCGGGCTGCATCATCTCGGACGGCCTGGCGGGACAGCCGCAATGGCTTCGAAAGACCACGATGAGAAGGACGAGGAGGACAACGCTTTGTTCGGTGAGCTGCCCGAGGGCAAGCGACGGAAATTCATCCTTGTCGAGGACACCCAGAAGAACGCCCGTGTGAGAGTCAAGGTCACACTGGATCAGATCGAGATGAGCGAGATTCCCGATTCTTACCGAAAGCAGAATTCTGTCTTCCCGCGCGCATATTACCCGGTTCAGATGCAAGCTTCTTCCGAGTCGACACGGGAAGGTCGTTTCGTTGAGGAAGGAGATGAGGTAGATGGTGGCGTCCCAACGTTGGGGAAGACAGCTGTTTCCGTCCAGACATGTGATGGTGATGCCGAGGTTAATGTGCCTCAAATTTCCAAGAGTAAGCGCAGTCGGGAACAGAAGATGAATGAACTTGGATATCGCATGGCTTGGGGACAAGGTCGCGTGTTCTCGGGCCGGCCGATCTTCCTTGCACGAGCACGTAAGATTTCCCCTGTAGCGATCGTTTCCGCCACCTGCTAACGGTCTCACAGTTGACTCTTACCGGAGCAAGCAACGAAGTGCTCTCCTTGCTGCTGGTTCAGAACCATCGACCATTCCAGCTCACCTCGAAACTCGACCTGGAAAGAGGAAATGGCTTGAAAGAACAAGAGTCGCAACGCCGGCACCAACACCGCCCAATCCCACTGCCGACTAATCTATCGATTCGGCAAATGATTTCATGCAGTTGGTCTGCGTTATCCAGCGAAATCGAAAAGCACCTGAGCTTGTACATTATTCCGGGACGCGCCAGACGACCTCCTGTACAATCAATTTTTATTCGCAAATCGCAAAATTTGGATTGTTCTTGTATGCGACCCAGGCTTGTGACCACACCGGGCTCCGAATGTCGCGACAAACCACTGTTCATCTAACGACTCTTGTGACGACAAAGAAGCACAGCATGGTTCATGTCTACATCGATGCGACTTATGAAGGCCGGCTCCGAGGGGACCCTGTCCTCAGTTCTACGGCCTTGCGGTTTTTAGCCTCTATGTTGCAGAAATTTACCAGGTGAAAAGCTGTGTCTTGCTCAAAAGACACTCCTTTGCTTACTCCTTATGAAAAGAATTACCCTCGTCGGGATACATGATGGATCTTATTTCATCGTGAGAATTTCACTGTGATGATACGATACGGTTGGCGTCAAATCGCCTCGCCATCACTCTACTTTATCACCCTCGGACTCCGAGCTTTGATTCTTGGGTACCTGGTTTCTCAAGCGACGGCCTATTGTGGAGCAATGTCAGCATACGTCGATGACGCTGCACTTATCTTGTGTTTCTGTACATTTGGAAAGGAGCCGGTATAGGAAGGAAGGCTCCTTGGGTTGATTGGGACGGCCATAACCGGGATGGAATGGTTATAAGGAAATGGGATGGGTCAGGACGATCCCGGCCAGAGACGGAACATTCTCAGGCAGGCCGGTAAGGACATCACGGCTCCGGGACTCAGGAAAGGAACAGGAGGGCCACGGGGGCAACGACTGGTTTTCTCTTCGTCTTGGATGGATTACGACACGCTTTTTCTTTCTGTGGATATCGTCTACTTTTGATTCCCCATGGGCGGATTTTGTTTTGGTTTTTGACCCGTTGATGGGAATTGGGACTGGGACTGGAACTAATGGCACTTGTATGTCGCCCACTGAGGCTTGCACAGATATGCATGGCCACGAACGAGTGATACGGATCGATGGGACTTTTTGTAGCCCGCCGAGGCGAAGCTTGCACACATAGCCACGTCATATGCATAGGTAGCCATGAATGAGTTGAGGGATAAGGATCACCAAGGGGAGGATGGGCATCTGTTAGTCGGGATGTAGGATGGATGCATGGAGAGATGGATAGGTATAGGGATGAAGTGAATGAATGACTGTGAGAGTGAACTCTATCTCTCTCTCCCGTCCAAATACTCCGTACTGTAGATGAATTCGCCAGACGTACGGAGTACATACTTCGTACGCCCTACAAGCACGTCAGAGAATGGATACTGTCTTTTCATTCTACACCCTGGCTGGCCGGCCAGTAGGTCAGTTGGCCAGTCGCACAGTCAGTCTGTCCCTTTATCCGTCGACTATGTACCTAGTCGGTATCAGATCCAGCATTGAGCTTTCCCCTACTTATGAATTGCTTGTACGGAGTATGTACTCGGTATCGCACTTGGGACTTTTATCGGGCTCCGAAACATCATAGTATGGAGGTTGAAGGTTCCCCTGGACGTCCGTGTTTCTTGAACGAAGGAAGTCCCCTGCTCCTCCTTGCCTCGCCATCTACGGAGTACTGTGAATTACAAGTCGAATCCTTGTTGCGCTTGAGATGCGTTGCACGTCGATGTCTCCCTCCTCATACGCACATAGGAATACATGCATTCATATATGTAGGCTCTACTACGTAGAGTCCTCCCTTTTTTCTTCCTCGCAAAAAAATGTGGTGACCATCGACTTGACGGTGGGTCGAAAAGCCATAGTCTACTGTATCCATTCTGCTTGGATGATCTCACGTACTGTACCACTCAGCAGGCCATGCCATGCCATGCTGCCGGGTCAATCATGGTGGTATCGATCTGACCCTTGCACCATGACAGCATCTACAGCACATTGTGAAAACACCGTACTATGTATGTAGCCCTCCAGCGTAACCATATCCCTTCTGTCCTGCTGCCCTGTTCCCAAGTATCATGCCCGTAGTAATGTACATATATCCTGGATCCAACCTCATTCTCGTTCTCGTTCCTGCATGGCGTCAACATGGTTTGTCGACTCGACTGCGCAAACCAACTTTTGTGCCGACCTAGACCTCGACATTCGAAAACCCGAACCCAGATCGGCTGGGCGGAAAGATACAAGATACGCGATACGCGATACGCGCTTCCTCGACGACCATGTCCAACGTGAATGTGATGCGATGCGATGGGTGACCGCCCGCAAGGAAAGAAGGTAGATCGAGTGACCTCTCCATCTAATGCATCGACTGCCTCCGAGTTCAAGTGCCGTACAATATGCCGCCGGCTCTAACGTAAGCACTGGAAAGAGCCACAATTTCGAAAATAGCCCAACAGACCGCCGTTTTCACCGCACCGCGCCTGGTCGATCCAAATCATGATCCCACAGTTTTCCCACCGCAATCCGGAATCTTCAGTCCAGGCTTGAGATTCCTGGCTGGATCCATGAGTCCCCATTTGTCTTCCCATGCCTGGGTAGCTGTGTTGTAGACGACTTTCCAAGGCTCGTCGAATGCTTCAAACCTGTAGCGAAGAAGTTAGAGACCGAGGCTACGTTCACGAGGACATGCGACTTACCAAAAGTAGTCTGTACCATTCTGCAGTGCTTGGCACACCCAGTTGTCCATAAAGGTATTCATTTCATCAACACCGGCGACGGAACCGCTTTGACCCGGCTGGCAGGAGCCATCTGTACCGCCGCAATCCTTGCCACCTCCACTGGGCCAACCGGTTTCGCTGATGAGCTGCTTGACGTCGGGCATGCCTTGGGTCAAGATGACGTCGTGGTTCTGCCAGAAATCCCAAGTCCAGCTTGCAGCAACCTCTGCTGTCACGCCAGCAAAGAAGGGATGGATGTTGGACATGACATAGTCGACCGCTTGCGTAAGCTGAGCGTTCCAATTGTCGCCGAGATCAGAAGTCGCGATAGGGAGATCATAACCGAGGGACTTGAATTTGGACCGGACATCACCCAGATAAGTGATCAATTCCTGCTCAGACTGTGCCTTGTCTTCGCCTGCACGATAGAGCGCCTCGTTGCCGACGATGACCCCTTTGAAGATGGAGAGATCTTTGGTTTCTGCTAGGATCTTGTACATCTGGTCCAGCTGGCGGTCAATGGTGGTCTGATTGGTATCGATCCACACACCCATCCACACCTTCATATCGGTGAGCTCAAGCCTGTCAATCGCATGAAGCACCATCTCGGTCTGATTGCAGTCAGTACCATAAAGTCGAACGACGTTGGTAAGTTGCGACAAGACTGCCATGTCGCGGGTGACGTTGTTTTGCGAAGGAGGATACGTGTGGCACAGCGGATATTGTGTACCCCAGGGTGTGTAATCCATCCCAGGAAATACTTTGTGGAGGTTCTTATTGTTCATGAGAGCTTTGATTTCAGCCGAATTCTTGTCGAGGTCGCCGTTGGCTGCGGTGTCCGAGGCAGCATTGCTAGTGTCGCCGCTGAAGGAGCCTGAATCGTCCGAGTTTTTGTTCCCTAGCACACCACCTACAATTCCTGCCACGATGGCGACGACAATGACCAGTCCGATCGCGATGCCCACCCAAAGTTTCATTTTCCTCTTCCGATTGGTTTGCTCTGATAACCATTGGCTCTTTTCGGGCTGGGGCCGCCCATCAACCGCATTATATGTACCACTGGGAGTGTGATTTTTTGCTTTCCGGCCAAAGAGCCCTCCCAGAAAACCGGCGGCACCTGCGGCAGCGCCAGGGGCTGCCGATCTCCTGCCAGAGTCCCTTTGCTGGTCCCGGGCCGGGAAACCATCGTCATCGGCGTCGTCGAGGATATTGTTGGGATTGATGCTCGCTTGATTCATCAGCCCCGCAGGATTGCTTGACTGGTAGGGCAGGTCGTGGTAGCTTGGATACGACGGCGCCCGGCTCGAATTTGAGTGATAATCATCCAGAGGAATGCCTCTGCCGGAGTATGCAGATGATCTGTGACCTGAAGGAGAAGGAGATGCTCTACCAGGCGTGGCGGCACCTTGGGCAAGCGCGAATGTCGAGCCATACGAGGACCTCTCTGGCAGCCGCGACGGAGCCTGCTGTTGGTAGGGAGTGTAGGACTGAGGATATGCAGCCCTGTCGCCGTAGTTGTCCATCCCTGCGATTGCCTCTGCGTAGGGTCGGTAAGACTGATGTTCGGCTCTAGGAAGTCGGTCCGGACTGGTTCTATGCGGTGGAGGAGGGGGAGGGCCGAAGTCGTCGGCACTCGTAGGCACTGTTTGTCTTGCAAGGGCCTTGGGAGGGGAGAGATCGCTCAGGAGGTGGGTGTCTGAAGAGACAGGGCGCCGGCGAGGCGATGAAGGAGGAGAAAGTTGCTGACTGCGATTTGGAGAGGCAGAGGCGTATCTAGGTGGCGGAGATGTAAAGTCTCTGTCGAGCGGCTCCTGGTACGGCTGTTGGTAGGAGGGTGTGTAAGATTGGGGCGGACGTCCCTGTGCCTGAGCCTGTCGTGCATCTGGATTCAGCCCGCTGTCATTCTGGGGCTCAAACGAGAAGCTCCTGCCGCCGGTGGACATTTTGATCACAGCGGCGTGTCTTTCGCCCGGGTGCGCAGGCAGAGCAAAGTCTTCAGTATAGCGAGCGACGGCGCAACATGGGCAATGGATTCAATCAGTCAAGTCTGAAACCCGTCGAGAGCCTCTTCGTGGCAAGGTCTGAGGGTGTGGGAGCGCACTGTGGTCGGTATGGTAGGGGCGGCTGAGCCGAAAGGGAACCGGGCAGGTGAAACGCTGGTCAGCCGGACTCCGACGAACAAACCACAGGTATCAGCCAAGAGAACGAAGGATTATACAGGCAAAGAGCTTGTAGTTGACTGGGTAGACGCAGGAAAGCGGAAGAGACTGAGATGACCTGTCATGAGTATTGACACTCCTACCTAACTACGTACTCGCAGATGGCGCATGTTGGTAAAGTTGGCAGCGATGGCGGCGGGACATGGGGGGTTTTCGCCTTCACTCAGCCTGCGCCGTTGCTGTGCAACCAATTGAAAGCCACGCCGATCCTCCTCGCCGTTCAGATCGATGAGGCTTAGACCTGACAAGCAATGTGGCATTGCGGAGAAAGACTTGCAACAGTTGGGCGCACGCCTACAAACTGATATTGGATTGTGTGCGCGCAAGAAAAGCGTTCTTGATCTAGGACTACCCGGCTTCCCGAAAGTAGAGGCACAGAAACGGATTTCGTGTAAACTTATTTCAGCCTGATGCCAGATGTTTACCCGTTACACTGGTTAGGTCACCGTGTGCGAGCTGCGCCCCTCCATAAACAAGCAAAGTCCACTTGCACACTGCTGGGTGACAGCTCTGTGCCTTCTCGCAGAGAGTTACCTAGCCTCACTCTTCATGCATGGTGTCTACCTCGTCCGATAGCTCAACAGTTTCGTTGCTGACAGTGATCAACTTCATATCTCCTGTGCCAGTGGGGACATCTTCTGGCTCTGCACTTGTAAGGGCTAGCTGCGGCTTGTTGTCAGTTGCACCCAGTCTCCCAAACTCTGCATGAAGCTCGCGGACCCATCCAGAGACTTCATCGTTTAAATCGAAATGGAATTCGGGCAACACGAGGCTTGTGCTTGAGGCATGAGCAGCCCGCAGGTTCTGATTTGTCGACTCATGATCCTTCCGAGCTGTCCAGCTTAGCGTATGGTTGTTCCTGCGCGGCTTAGCCGGCCTAGCCTTGCTTCTGCGGGAAGTGATTGCGCCACGTCGTTTGTTCCGACGAGGCACATCCGAGTCTGATGTTGAATCCGAAGACGTTGATTCCTCTCCATCACTCAGCATGGGGTCGTCAGTGCGAACTTCGTGCCTTCCAGACTCATAATCCCTGAGACGCTTCAGCGGACCGGGTGACTCCGGGCTACTGGATATTGCAAGAAGTCGACGGTCGGTCGGGCTACCATCCTGAGTGCACAGGCCCAGCTTCCTCAACTTCGCAATGTCGCAATACGAAATGCATACTTTGCAAAAGAACTGTTCGTCTGCGCGATAGGGACGTGTCTTCACCGTGGTCAAGTGCATGTGTCGCTTGTTGTTTGCATCAACAGTGACTTCATGCGTATTGCATTCGTCGTTGTCAAGATGTACTGTATCCTCTGGCTTCGCGTACTTCTTTGGTCGCACCATTTTCACAGTCACTTCTCTTGTGATGACAATTTCAATCTGACCTGGCTTCCTGCCGGTTGGTTTAGACAATCCATCGTTCGCCATTGCTTCGGTAACATCCGCCAAATCTGCTTCGAGATCCGTCGTTGGGATGTCCGCCTCCGTTTCTGAGATGTTCATGTGACTTAGCAAGACATCGATCCCTTTTTGGCGGAACACCCAGGGTAACACCAGGTACTTCGCGAGCATTCCAGACCCGTAATCGCTTCCACCGAACGCGTCTTGCTCCATGACCGCGCCACAGCAGCGACCCTTGAAGACATGGCCTTTAGAGCGATAATGTTGTTCGCCAGCTTCGGTAGGAATCTGGGAGTTGTCTTCGCTTTCGGAATTGCCGTCAATGTACACGGACGCGAAAAACTCATAAGGTATCTCGGGCTTACCATCTGGCTCGTCGCAGTCCATGGCGTTCTGGGCATTGGAAGACTCCACGCCGTGCCTGCTGTTAGATTGTTGCTCGCCGCCAACCATTGCGTCCTTCGGTTCGGGAAAAGGGAAGTCCGGTGTCACTCGGATCTGGAACCTGGCACCATCCCGAGCTTCAATGCTGGTATAGACAATTTTCCCTCTGGAGCGGGTCCCATAGGTAGTGAATGGTGTGCCATCCGTTCCTTCTACGGTGACGTTGAAGCCTCGCACCGAGGGCATCTTCGCAGGAGGGTGAGAAACACGAATAGTAGTGGTGTGGTTGCCTGAAGACTATTGGTGTTTCTGGGGACTGGTAAGGCTGGAGTTTATTTGGGAGCAAAGAGCAAGCAGAGCTGAGAGACCGTTTTTGATGACATGGAGGCAGTTGAAGAACTGCCCGGCTCGACGACTCGGAAGCGACAACGGCCCACTATGCCTCTAGACACCAACTGTCTTGAGCAGAGAAAGGCGAAGCAGTGGAAGTGAAACATCGACTTTGGTCTTTGTGTTCTTTCAGTGGCCGCTCCAAGGCCTTTGTCCGGGACCGACTTGTCGTTGCGCAGTGCAAGTAGTCCTCGATTCACGGAAGACAAGGCGAGGGCCAAAGTACAACGACCGCAGTTAACATTGTCCGATACAGGTGGTCAAGGCTCAGCGGCGAGGTACGGCGATCTCATATCCAAGCAGTACTTCAGCCGAAGCGCCTTCCCAACCACGATTACCGCCAGTGGAGAGCATGAATCGACAAGCTGGGTCGAGGAACAGATGGGACACGACGCCGGTTCGATGACCAGGAACGATCAAGAACGGGACGGTGGACCGTGAAGAATGAGATTCTTTCAGGTCATATAACCGTAGAATGTCATATGAAGCGCAGATCAGATGTCGGCCGTTGGGCATCGCCTTGACTGAGGTCACTGCACCGCTGCCGTTGGGAAACCGGAAAACCCGTTCGGGTCCCTTGAGGCCCTTGCGCAAGTCGTATTCCTCCACTGTGTTATTCCGTCGACCGGCGTATATATAGTTGCCATCTGGGGACCAGCAGGCGCTTAGACACCATGGCGGAGTGTTGCGTGGCAGAACACGTGCCACCGGTTTTGACTGTCTCCTATCCCAGACACGTATCGCGCCGTCGATGGAAGTCGCCATGAATGTCGAATCAGAAGTATGTGGTGCTTCGCTGTCCTGCCTCATTGCTTCATCTTCGCCATGTCTTTCCAGATCATCCCCATGTGGCAAGCCGTTCGTGATTGACTGCTCAGTAGAATCAGGTATTCCATTCGTCAGCTCATCAGCAGATATTTGGAGCTGAGAACTGTCTGGGAGGGCAGCTGCAGCATCGTGGGTCGGGGCCACAGAATCCAGCATGGGGTGATCAACTAATTCTTCCGGTTGTGGTCCATTTGCCATTGCGCGACTCATCTCGTCGTCTTCAACCCCAAAATCGTCCGTGAGACCCCCCCCATTGGCCATGACACCTCCGTCGTCGCCAAAAAGATCGTCATCCCCTCCATCTCCGAACAGTGAGTCTGGAGTCGCCACAGTTGGATGTTCTTGGGTATTCTGACTGGGCAGATCGCTCTTAACGCCATTGGTGAGAGATTTCCCATCATTCGATGAAAATGTTCCATTGGATACAACGACCTCTCCAGACTCTGCAGGAACATGCACAGATGAGACTGGCCGCGTTTCAATCGAGGATATCTGACCTGCGCTGGCAGCGAACGTTGTTCGAACCTGACCGGTATTGAGGTCCCAATCTAGGACTGACTTGTCCCAGCTGCCGGACAGCAAGCTCTTCTCATCGGAAGAAAGTGTGAGGACCGAAACGGCTGACGTATGTTTTTGAAGCAAGGTGATTTCCCTGCCTTCGTCGTGTCGGATGGACTGCAGTCGAATCGGACCGGAGGCTGTACCAGACAACAGCCAGAGGGCTTGACTATGGCAGGCAAGAGAATACACAGGCGACAACGTCTGTGTAGTCTTTGGCCGAGCATCCCAATTCTCCCAGTAGCTCATCAATACTCCGGCTTTCACAACGCTGTCAACGAATGGGTGTCTCTGTGCTACCGTAAGTGCAAGCTTGTTGTTGATAGAATCGACCCAATTGAACTTGCGAATATAACCATCAGAACCCCCGGTAAAGACCCACCGCATATCCCCTGTGGTACAGACTGCGTTTATAGAAGTGCTGTGGGGCGCGGCGACGGTGGGGACAATATCGTATGACCATGCGTTGAGGTACTCTGCAGAGATGTTGGAGGCCGCTGCAACCCCTCGCGAAGAGTCTGCCTGTGCAGATGCAGTTTGCTGAGTACCGTCCTGTGCTGCGCTCGGTTCGCCAGAAGTATCTTCGTTGTCAGATTGCTCAGATTGGCTTTCGGCGTCGTCGTCCTCGTCGCCTTCACCTTCCGCATCTCCATCACCCTCAATATCTAGATCTCCATCGCCATCGCCATCGCCATCGCCATCACCATCACCATCACCATCACCATCACCATCACCATCACCATCACCATCACCATCACCATCCTGGTCAATATCTGCATCGCCGTCGATATCGCCGTCGGCATCAACGTCGTCCAGATCTTGCATGGTTTCATCATTGTCGTTGTCGAAGCTCCCATCTTGGGAGCGCTCGTCATCTTCGTCGAACGCAGGCATATTTGCCGCTCACATGATTCGTGCAATAGCCTGTCTTCGAGAGGCACCACGCCGACGTGATATTGATGGTGCCAGATTGGAACGGGGAGAGAGACAGTTCGTCTTTGAGCGACATTGAGCCAGGTCCCCGAGATCCAACTATTCCACAACAGGTCTAGCGCTACGCTTTGTCAATATATGATCCTCCGGATTTTGGTTCTGGAGCAGTCACAAGCAAGAACTACTTTGTGTCCTCACAACAAGCTCACTTTGATTTCATTTCTGGAGGCGTTTTTAATATACTGCTCGTATCTGTTAATGCTTCCCAGGCGTCGGGACACACCGAGGACCTGTTAATCGGTTGGACTTGGACGCTGGACCATCTTTCTCGGTTCGGCAACGACAAAAGCTGCTGTGTTCCTGATGCCCGCAATTTTCTCCCGTGGCTCAAGGAAATGTTTGCTTGCTTCACTTGTTTTGTAGTATTGCCGCTCGGAGCTACCAATATCCTCGTTCACTAAACATTGCTTGATGGCAACGGTGCACTCTTTTCTTCTTCGCTTCCAGCAACGGTGGGTTTGGTGCGTTGTTAGAATTCCTTAACTCTCCCTCCTGCTGCGCGGTGAAGCGTCCAACACTGACCGCTCATCGCAACCGCAGCTTTCGGTCTGTCTCAAAACTACTGCCACTCGATAACTCCTTACACACCTTCGCAGGAGTGGTCAAGATCAGCCCGTGGCCTGTCTGCCATACACTTCTGACCGCTGTCAGAGCCGAAAAAGCGGATATCTGTGCTCACAGAATATTAGCCGGTTCCTCACTCACCTATCTTCAACCCCGTATGGAAGTTGCCACTGCTTAAACCACTGCTGCCATCTTGATCAATATGGCACCGGGACGTGGCATGAGCAATCGGGGTCGAGGACGAGGAAACCGTCCAGGTGGCAGGGCATCCATCGGTAAATTCATCACCTCCTCGAATTCTGGTCTCAAGTCAGGCTTACAGCGGTCCTCACTGGGAAATGACTGACGCACAACTCATCAGATGTCCGAAACTCATTCGCCTCTCTTGATATTAATGGAGGTAGGTTCGAACACTGATCGGCAAATACATGACGGTCTTAGGCGATGTGCCTTGCCCACATCATTGCACCGTGCCACGTCTCAGAGCAATGTGCTTACTGACCGCATATCTAGAGATGAATGCGGATCTCTCGGAATGCTTCAAAGGTCCAGCCCGTCGTCCAAACACTCACAATGCTGTGACCAGTACTTTGGAGGACGAGCTCGACCTCACCCTGAATCTCGACATCCGTGACTATGTTTCGAAGCAAGAACAAATTGAGTCCACCTCCGATAGAGACGTGTGGCTTTCTCAGCCAGAGATTCCTACAAATAAAGAGCTGTTTGCCGACTCGGCGGATCTTCTACCAAACAAGATTGACGGCCCCTACAAGAGCAAGGATCGATACCTGAAAACGCACTACGAACTGCTCCGAGAAGATGCGGTCGGCTGCTTTCGAGATGCTATCCATGACTTCCGCAAGGATCCCTCAACTGGAGACACACACAAATTCTCGGTCTATGATCAAGTTCACGTCGTCGGATTCACATTCGCTCGACGAGGTCTGGCTGCCAGGATCAGATTCTCCACACGACGCGCAGGCAAACGAATCAAGTGGCAAAACAGCAAGAGGCTTGTCAGTGGCAGCATCGTCGCTCTAATCCCTGCCAAGACGAAGTTGATTGACTTGAACGAGCTGGTTGTGGCCATCGTGGCCGCGAGACCGCTGCAAGGCGTTACGTGTGAGCCCCCAGAGATCGATATTCACTTTGGCCGCCCAGAGGATATTCAACTCGATACGCAAAAAGAGTGGCTCATGATCGAGGCGAAACAGGGATACTTTGAAGCTTATCGTCATACGCTAAGGGCTCTGCAGAAGCTGAGCCAGGAGAAGTGAGCTCTCTAGCCTCAATATGCCGTTGACGTCGCTGACTATAGCCAGGTTTCCCTTGTCTGACCACATCTGCCACCTTGAACCTTCAAATGAGCCTCCTGCCCACCTTCAAAAAGACCCCGTCCTAGATATCAGTGCTGCCGCGACAGACCCTGCTCAGAAGAAAGAGTATCAGAAGGTCGACGTCACAAAAGACTGGCCCATTGGCTCGTCTAATTCACTCGACAGCACGCAATGGGAGGCTCTGAAAGAGATCCTTACCAAGCGCCATCCCATTGTACAAGGTCCACCCGGTACCGGCAAGACGTATGTCTCGCGTGTTGCGGTGGAAATCATGCATGCCAATCGAAAGCCAGACGACCCACCCATCATCATTGCTGCCCAGACAAATCATGCACTCGACCAACTGCTCGGACACATTTCTCTCTTTGAACCAAACTACATCCGACTGGGAGGCAGATCCACCAAGCCCGAAGTCAAGAAACGAGCTCTTTTCGAAATCCGGCAGGAAGAGAGGATCAAGCCCATCCCAGGAGGCCTCTTCGGCAAGTCGAACACTTTGTTGACAAAGCAAACCAAGGGTTTGATAGAGTTACTTGAACCATTTGTCATGCCTGGTCCTGACCCTTGGTCCACTGATCAAGTTTCCGGTCCCAAGATGTTGCAGAAATTGGGAGTGCTCACCGCGCAGCAAGCAAAGTCACTGGAAGACGGCGCGACGCAATGGGTCTCCGCGGACGCCGCTCTCAATGCTCCCATACGACTGTGGCTGGGCAAATCACTGGTGCCTTTCGAGGTCGATTACGTCCAAGAGAACTACGGCTTTGAGGAAGGTGACGATGACGACCTTGAATTTGAGCAGCTCAGAGAAAACGAAGACTCCACGGGCGTCAATGATGAAGAAGACGTTGAGATGTTGAGAGGCCCATGGCGTGAACTTCGCGACAAATTCATGGTCCCGGAACCTGCTACAACAGATCTTAGCAGAGCAGCCAAGCTCCTCGAAACCGTGACAGACATGTGGAAGGTCCCACCCTACTACCGTGCTCATGTGTATCATATCATGCAGGCTCAAGCAAAGGCCAAGATCACTAGCAGGTTCCGCGAAGATGCGAAGGTCTACAACAAGCTAGTGAAAGATAACCTTGTTGGCAAGTGGGAACAAGATATTGTCTACCTGCGACGAGCTTCTATCATTGGCATGACCACCACCGGTTTGAGCAAATATAGGCCGCTGATCTCGGCTCTCAAGCCTAAAGTGATCCTCATCGAAGAGGCTGCTGAAGTCTTGGAAGCTCCTGTCACGGTAGCCTGCACGGAGAAGCTTGAACATCTCATCCTCGTTGGGGACCACCAGCAACTACAAGGCCATTGCAGCGTACAAGAGCTGGAGAATGAGCCTTTCCACCTGAACGTGTCGCTGTTCGAAAGACTGGTACGAAACAAGATGCCCTATACGACGCTGCTCCAGCAACGCCGCATGATGCCAGAGTTTTGCCGCCTCGTCGCCCCCTTATACCCGGGCCTCACCAACCATCCAAGCGTTGTCAATCGTCGGCTCGAGACATGGGGAACAGGCGAGGTCAGATCCTTCTTCTTTGATCACCCGTGGTGGGAAGCGAAAGACGAATCGTTCTCGATTTTCAACCCCGAAGAAGCAAAATTCGTTGCCGGTTTTTACCGCTACCTGTTCAGAAATGGTGTCGATCCCACCCGGATTACCGTCTTGACGTTCTACAACGGACAACGTAAGCGAATCCTCCGTGAGTTGAAGGAGTTCCCTGAGTTTCGTACATACGTTAACGTGAAGACGGTCGATTCGTGTAAGTTCACAGTTCAGCACATATATAGTTGACTCTACTAACTTTGCTCCAGACCAAGGCGAAGAAAATGACATCGTCATTCTGTCGCTGGCTCGAAACAATCAAGAAGGCAAGATTGGCTTCTTGGAGAACGTCAACAGGAGCTGCGTGGCGCTGTCCCGAGCAAAATTTGGGTTCTATCTTTTCGGCAATTCTAATATCCTCATGCGCAACAGCTTGCTGTGGCAAAACGTCATCACTCTGATGGATTCAAGGCCTCGACGGCGAGGTGAAGAATTTCCGGTGATGTGCAAGCGCCATAATATCACCACGCTAATGAGCTATCCGGAGGATTGGGAGAAGACCGACGGTGGCTGCGCGCAACCATGTGGGGTGGCACTACAATGTGGTCATCCTTGCCACCTTCTGTGCCATTCTTACTCCCATGACACCGTTCAGTGTGTGGGACATTGTAGAAATACCTTGCCCTGTGGTCATGGATGCTCAAACAAGTGCGGGGAGTTGTGCTTTTGCTCCTGTGAAACCTTCTCAACCTTCAAACGAGCGGACGCGGTGGCGGAGGAGTCAACCACCATGGACGCGGGCGCGAGGGACGCGAATCAAGATATTCGTGGGGCTCAAATGAATGGTCAGGAACCTCCCACTCGTGGCAGCGCATCCTACTTACCTCAGCAGGGCTCTACGCTGGATCGTGGTGACGGACAATTTCATCCAGCTTCCGTTCGTGGACCTCCCGTATTTCTCTCTCCGAAACATCAAGCATTAATAACCCCAAAGCAAATACCCAGCAACTGGAACGCGACTCGACAGCATGCAGGTAACCCGAACCTGGCGACTACCGAAGATCATGGTCAACTTCAGAGAGGATGGAAAGGCTTTGCGCAGGGAGGCTTTCTCGCAGATGACGCACGACTACAGAACACCGCTCCACCATACGCGCCCCAAATTCCACGCGATGGACATGAACCGGGAGGTAATATCCAGAAGCCACCGATCAGGAGCGAGGCAGTCAAGGTTCTGAGCAATGGCAGAACAAGCATTTGGCAGGAATACCAGCCTGGACCGGTGTATAACCAGGGCTTCCCATGTAACACCGCGCGCAAAGATCCAGGTTCTCTTACGGAACGTGGAGGTGGCGACTTGTTGAATCTTAACTGCATGGAGCGCAAGCAGTCTACTCAAAAAGCGGTGGATGGCCTCATCATCCGGACACCCGCACAGGTCAATCCACCAAAGTCTGAGATAGAGATGAATGCTGGAGACAATGCGATGGAAGATCTGAGGAATCTGAATGATTACTTCCGGACCTTTTCAACAACTGGAAATCGTCGGACTGGCGGACAGCTGGAAGGATCGAGAGACGCGGGTATGACTGAGCTCATGAATTCTAATCGTGGTGTCAGTGAAGGAGCTCCCATTCCGGTGCCCACAGGTCAAGATAGAATCACTACCAAATAGATCCTGCGAGCAGCGACGAACTACCTCGTACACTGCTTGAACATCAGAGATGCACCTTTTGAGACTTGCAGATCCATGGGAAGGTCAAGTGCTGGACGGAAATGTTCTTCTGCGGCATTGTCACATAGAGTCCATTGAACAACTAGATGGCCGAAACAAGATCGCATTGTGACAAGGACATCATCAGAAGGATGTGATGGTGTCTTGATGAACATGACATCCGTTTCGCCACTGTAAGATGACCGCATGTAGGACTAAATACAGGGTATTACTTGGGGCTGCCCATGGCGCTCCCACATGTACACAAAAATCTCGGGGAGGACGACCACCTCGACGGGATCCTCCCTCAAGCTCTAGGACAGAGCCGTGCCCCATAGTAGCCGGCGACTGTTCCTGGCTCTCCAGCATCTGAGCAGCGCAAACTCCTCGGCTGGGCGCGTGACGTTTTGTCAGTCGTCCACCAACAGCGAAGACGGTTGGCAATGCTCTGGCCGGGATGGCACTCCGAGTGGGTGACTGGGTCTCTCTTGATATCTCGGACGCTGGGCGGAGCGCTGAATGCCCTGACGCTACCGCATGTAAGTGATCGGCGGGCTTGGAAATGCAGGGGCAGCGTGACAGCAAGAGTGGATTCATTAATGCCAAAAGGCCCGTTCCCATAGTGTCTGCACTGTCGCCACAAGGAAGTGTCGAGTAACCGCGACGCCGTTGACCGGGGCTGCTTCTCGCAGTTCTTGCTGCGCATGACATGCACCTTGCGCCATCGCACCCTTCGCAGCGGCTGCGACCGGGTCCTTCACGTAAATTTATCTGCTGAACCTTTGCACGCTCATAGCAGTACCATACCCAGGATAACGGCAAGTGTCGTTGATAAGTATCCGTATCGGGTCGTCGACAGCTCAAACGAGTCCGACGTGAGGGCACTCGTAGTGAAGATAAGGTCGCTGGAGATCTGACTCGAGTTGAAGCAGTTGCTCGCATTGACTTCCGGTACGTCCTCGGGCTCGGCAAATGTGATATCAACACAGTTGTACAAAGCGGCACCGTGGACGGCCGTCTCGATGACTTGGATGGTTGCATTGTCTCCGACATTGACGGTGAGGTTGGCGGGAAGAGGAACCTGGGGGAAACAGAACGAGCCCGGGTACGGGTCTTTGCTGGGCCCGATGATTTGCACACCAGAGAGCATGACGTTGGACATGTTCGGTGGGTTTGTTCCCAGACCCAGGTTGATGTAGATGAAGGCGGATCCGTGGCCTTGGAACCACCCCGGCTGGAATGCGACTGCACCGCCCTTCACCGGCCATTTCGTGCGGTTGGTCGAGAGGGGCATCCCACCGCCTATGCTTTGTCAGTGGTAGTCGACTGATGGGGTGGAAAGAGCCCTACATGGATACATCCATTGCATGCCATATGGGTAGAGATAATCTTGTCCTTCGGCATATGTTCCCAAGCCGGCCGTGTCGTCAACCGTGCCGTTCGAATGCAAATTGTCTCCTCTCCAACCCGGGTACGTGATGACCGTATGTGCGTGTGCGAGGCCGAGGAACGCGAGGATGGCGACGGCTACCGTCGAGACCGAGGATGAGGGCATTCTGACGGCGCAGAGGACGGAAGATGCGGCCTGGAGAGGAAGATCGCACACTCAAGTGTTCTTCGAGTCTTGCTGACTTCGGTCGTCGACGTGGTCGCGAAAGCTGTCGGAGTGACCGGGTCGGCGAGGGTCGCAGTGGAGAGCTTCGCTCGAGGTGGAAGACCGTCTTGGAGCCATTACGGCGGCCATCCAGTGTTATAGGACTCGGTGCCTGTGGCCAAGGTGATTGGGATTAGGCCAGAAGGACCAACCGCCCAGTCCTGCAAGGCGACTTGTTCAAGAGCAGTGATGGGTGCAGCCATTGGTTGCGGACGAGAGAGCTGGGCGGCAAAGCGACCGAGTCACCCTCGCATCTGAGCGCTGATTTGCCCAGCGGCGGCGGGCAGGAGCTTACTATCGACAGGGATCCCACCCGTGGCATCTGCCCCTCCACTCGTGCTACTCCAGAGCCAACAGAGGCCGCTCGCCTGGAGACTGGATCTCGAAGCCCAGCGCTGGACCAGTAATCGTGGGCTTGGGCGCCCCCCGCCCAGTCGAGCAGTGATTTCGGCGTGATTTTCCCTCTCAGATCTCAGTTCGGCTCCACAGACAGGTGAGCCAGCCAGCGGCAACTCGCATCACGCGCCTTTCTGTTTCCATCGGGAAATGCAGTGCATTTGGCGGTTGCACAGATTGCGTGTTCGAACCATTGTTCAGGAGAGAGCATCAACTGCTCGCTGGCCGCAGGACACCCGGAAAGTTGGGAAGACCGACAAGCATTTTTAGGTCTTACAGGTGCGTTGTGGCGGGCCCCACAGGCGGTCCAAGTCTATCGATCCTAGGTTGTCCACGTTCCTGGCACTTTTTGACTGGAGGCCTTACGTGCGTTGACGATAACCTTTCTTATTCGTCCTAGAAACGAGCGTGTGCTTCACTGTCGAATCACGTCCGAGGCTGAGTGTTCTTTCGCGACAGCTCCTATGATGTACAAGGGATAAGTAGTGCAACCCGGACCTCTCTGTTCAGCCTCGTGCTTCTCTTGTACGTCAACCACATTCGATTCTTCGTTGGTTCTACACTGAAGATGATATCTGTACGGTCCTTGGCTTCCTTTGCGGCGCTCTCAACTGTCTTTGACCGTGTTTTGCCGGCTTCAGACCCAAACATCCAGGAAATTGGCTCAAGTAAGCCATTTTCCATGCGCTCGGACGAGTCAAGTCCTGCTAGTCCATAATAGCTTCCATATTTCTGACGTCGATGGAGCATGTATTACAAATGAAGGTGTCGAAAGTGCCAGAGATGGGCCGTCTAACGAGTATAAATGGCGTTGTGTTCACCGGCCGTCTCGAAAGGTATTTCAAAGTCAAGCAGCACTGCCGAAGCTCGCCTTGTAATCAATAAACCAGCCTCGCCAAACAACTATCACACCATCAAATTCAGCAACATGCCCTCATATCTTGTGACAGGCGCCAATCGTGGCCTGGGAGTAAGTCGGAGACTTCTCAAGATTCAGTCCACGTGTACCTGTACTGACTCTTCTCCAGTACGGCTTTGTGCAGTATCTGGCCAAAGACCCAGCAAACACAGTCATCGGCATCGTGCGCGACAAAGCCACCGCGGACAAGTCTGTGGCTGCCGACGGCCTCAAGAATGTCACCATGGTCGAGGCCGAAATCGCCAATCACAAATCCCTCGTGAAAGCAAGGGACGAGGTAGCCAACATCACCGGCGGCTCGCTCGACTACCTGATCAACAATGCCGCGTTGATTGATCGGAAGACCGCGGGCAAGGCATTGGACGAGTTCGACAACAAGACCGAGTTGTTGGAGGACGCACTCATGGAGTCCTTCAGGGTCAATGTGGTGGGCATCATCCACACCATCAACGTGTTTCTGCCGCTGGTGAAGAAAGGCTCGGCCAAGAAAGTGGTGCTCATTTCGAGTGGCATGGCTGATCCGGCGCTCATCAATTCCGGCATCGCAGCCGGCGCGCCCTACACGATTAGCAAGGCGGCAGCGAACACGGCCATTTACAAGTACAATGCCAAATACAAGAAGGAGGGGATCCTGTTCTTTGCGTTGTCCCCGGGCATTGTTGCTACTTGGGGAGAGGGAGAAGAACCAGCCGTGGTGGACGACCTGAGAAAGGGCGCTCCTGGCTGGGGAGGGCCTATGACGCCCATGGAGGCGGCGACAGCTTGTTTCAAGGTGATTCACTCTTTCAGTGCGGAAGAGAATGGCGGCTCGTTTGTTTCTCACCATGGGAATCAACAATGGCTATGACAGTCCGGCGCGAGCAGAGGCCGATCAATTCAAGGGTTGATAGACAGTGAATAAACACAGTTATAAGTAATTACGGTATCTCCGTCAGCTCTCACTTAGCGTTGTCGGCTGAACCTCGGTATAGATTATTTCCAGCGGACAGCCCACCTGGAAGATGTGTAAATATCCAACATGCTCCTATGCGCCAGTGAGAACCTGCTACTGAAGATGTTGTCAGTTTCAGATGCCCGGCCGCTGCTGCTCCTCAGCTGGACTCAGCACAATCCAATCTGCACTGGGGACTTTGCGAATGGTCTTTGAGCTGCCCGCGGCAACCCTCTCAATCACTCCTCCTACCGAGCGACCAACGTAGAGGCCTTTGACCACCTTGTTCCCCGTGCCTGTGCCGACGTAGCACCCAGCCCATCGACATGCCACCTACGAGCCACAGGAGGAAGAAGCATATCCCGAACAAGAGAACGGAGATCCTGGACGACGATGGCTGGACACGGATCACCTCCACCACCACTTCCACAGGGAGACGCCCCTCTACCACAACGACGCCTAACGACTTGGGAAGTTCAAGCGCAGCAGGCCATCCTCCGCCAAGCTTAAGCGGATCATTGCCCGCTCGCGACCCCATGCCGGCCCGTCCAGGCTCGAGCCTCTCATCCATGCTCGCTCAGTTCCGTGGCATCGAGTCGCGCTGGCAGGCCACAGAGCTTTGCAAAACACTCGTACACGTCCTGGAAAAGGAAATCTTGACGGGCGACGGTCGAAACATTGACCCAATATCCACGTGCGTCATGCTCGGCAGCGGCTCCTTCTGCGGCGACGCCGCGCACTGGATCGACAGGCACGACTCGGCGTACTTCCAGCTCGCGGCGTTCCGGACCGTGGTGCACACGGTGGAGCGGGTGTCAGGCCAGCGTGTGTGCGCGTACGCCCAGGAGCCGAAGTACAATGACTTGGACGGCGAGCTGCTTGACGCTCTCAATGTGACACTGGTGGACCATCCGCGTGGCTTCCATTTGCTGGACGAGCACTCTGTAGCGTACTCACCGGCCGCGGAACGGGAGGTCGAGGCGGCTGTTATAGCGAGAAAGCCGAGGGTCTGGCTCCATCGGTCGTTGGATTACTTGTTGCAGGAGGAGGAAGAGCAGGGTTCGCAGACGAGGTCCGCTGCTGTGCAGTTCGCGGCAAATCACGAGCACATGAAATTGCCGGCCTTGGATGTCAAGAACTTTCCGTTCCACGGGTCGGTGATTTGGTGGAGGAAGGGGTACCAAAGATCGTGATCATGACCGAGACGATACCTGACTGAGTGACTTGCTGTTTACTTTTTACGTCGCTATTCACGCCCCGACGACGTGACATGTATATGTCCGACATCAGACACTACTACTTGATATCCGAACTCTTCACGACCGTGCCAAACGCATCGCTCAGCTCCTTCAACGTCGCCTCCGTGACCTCGGAACCACTGATCCCAGGGATATCTCGGTCTCCGATCGCATCCCCTGCCAGCACGACATTGTACCCGAGATCGTTCCCCTGTCGAGCCGTCGTGCTCACGCACACGTGAGCCATGTACCCCGCCAGGACGGTCTTCTTGCCCCTGTCGCCGAGGCTGCTCAGATACTCATGCAGATCCGTGTTCGTGAAGCTCGAGATGGCTTGCTTCTCGACCACCTTCTCGCCAGGCCGGGCCTTTAACTCGTCAAATTCCTCGGCTAGGGCCGTGTTGGGCGTGAACACCGGCGCCCCGTCGGGCGTCTTGTGCACGACGTGCACAATGTTCTTCCCGTCGCCGGCGGCGCGGTATTTCTCCAACAACGAGGCGATGGCCTTGCGGGTCTGCTCCACGTTGACGGTCTTGAGGTGTCCCTCGGCGTATCTGGGTGGTGGTTAGGACATCATGAAGGAGTGGACTGGCGAGCGAGCCATCGAGCAAGCAAGAAAGACACCCATAGCTGACTTTACTTACTCGTTCTGCGCGTCAATGATGATCAGCGTGCTGTCGTCGGGAGAGGCCGTCGCCGCGGGCGCACCCAGCAGATCCCTCAACGACTTGACTTGTGTCGCGGACGTCATGGTCGAACTGGCTGGATTAGGCGTAGGATTTTGTAAGACCCCGACCTGGAAGCAGAAGCAGAAGCTAGATCGATAGCTCGTAGCTTGACGGAAGAGTGAATCGAGTGCTTGCTCCCCAAGCTAGAGAAATCGGATTGACGCACAGCACCGCTCCGTCCGAAACACTCTTTATATACTTTCGCGTCTCAGTCCGGAAAACGGGAAGTGGGCGAATACAGGTACGGTATGCTACTTACGTACGCAGTATATCCAATGCAATGCAAGGGCCCGGGGTGTGTGAGCCAAAGTAACGAGAACGAGTACAAGACTTTCCAGAACTGGATAGGATCTAGGCACTCACTCTCGTCAGTCCTACTGTGCTGTTCTTCCTGTAGAACGTTTAGTGAACGGACGAACCCCAGAAATCTCAAAAACCCAGTCGCCGCGCAGCACCCCGCGGTCGATTCTCATCCATCTCTGCCATCATTCGGGCGCAAATTGATTTGATTGGCCTAGCGAAGGACTGGCCCAGATCGTAGCGACGCTGCACTCCAACTCTCCCACTTGTTCTTCTCGGCACAAGTATTGTTTACGTTTGCACGGGTGTTCGCGCTCGCCAACGTCCAAGGACATACCCTACAGTAGCGACCATGACCATGGCCCTTTGCTCGTTGGCCGAAAAAGAAATAAAAATCAGTCAGCGGACATGTCATGCCGTGCCACGCACTGCCTAGTGATGGGATTTGAAATCAGGACGTGTGGGGAGACTGAAAGGCATGAGTGAGGGAGATGTGTACAGTAGCAACGATGACCATCTCTCGGTGGCCAGAAATTCTTCAGATCCCCAGCCAGCCGAAATGCCATGCATGCCACACCAGTCACGGCTTACTCGTAGCTAGTTAATTATCAGATATGAAATCAAGACGTCTCCCTGAGAGAACAGAGAATGGATGAGATGTGTATCTAGGTATGTCTGTGAGCGAATGAGATGTGTTATTACAGTAGATTGAGAGTACACAGCACTGTAGGTGCCTGGACTTGAATCTGCCCCTCTGTGAGGTGTAGCTCGTAGTCTCGCGGTCTGATGGCTTTGGATCGACCGGCGGTTCTTGCCGTCGCCACCCTGGGAAACAGGGGGTTTATGTTACTCGTACGCACGACGACGACGTGGACGATATAAAGAAATGCAAGTGGTGAAATCAACAACACGAACGGTAACTGCGCCATCATCTACCACAAATACCTTCAACACCTACATATCTATACCTATCCCGTCATACATCCCTACAAGTAAGTGTGGGCATGAAACTACATACTTTTCTCATGGGTTTAGGGCATGTCTTGCTATCATGTACGAAGTACACTGACTGGCTAATGCCCGACATATTGTGCGCACATTGATACCAATCTGGCTTGAGTGTTTCCCCTGAGATGCCTGCCTGCCTCCACATTAACCTCTTCTCCTCCGTCCCATCTCCCCAAATCTACAACCTTGAGCCGTGGATGATCTTCATGTCGACAATCAACTCGCGACCGCCGTCGTTGATGACCAAGACACGGACACTGCCTCGGCCGTCACTGAATGCTCGGTCAATGCGCTTGAACAGGCCACCCTGGTCAACGACAGGCAGACCCTGCTTGACATCGCCAGTCTCGGTCATGCAGACAATCTGGCCGTCCTCACGGATGTCCAAGACGCGGTACTGCTTGAAGACAGGGCCGAGCATGGTCTGGACGACCACTGACGGGGCAGGGTTGCTGATGAAAGAGGTCTCCTCGTGCAGCTGGCGCGTGAACAGGTCGACACCGAGGTAGCGGTATTGTCCCGTCTGAGAAGACATGGTGATGCGGATGACCTGCGACGGACGACCCTGGAGCAGGAGGATGTCGCCGATGCGGATAAAGTGGCACTGGATGGGCACCCCGCGGCCACCGAAGCGTGGCTCGACGAAGCGAACTTGCTCGACAGCGCCATCACGGACGCGCGTTGGGCCAGCGGACTCTCTCGACTCGGTCACAACCACCTCCTCGCGGCCGCCATCATGGTGATGGTGGGAGAACGGGTGGAGGATGCGGTCGGCAGCGCGCTCCACGCCACGGCGGAAGCTGTGGTACTGGCCTTCGTCGTCGTAGTAACCCATGTCTCTTCTAATCGGTTGATCGACCTTGACTTCTTCCTTCTGAACGGTGACTGCCGCTCCTGCTGTTGGACGACGGCGTTCGTACTCGACGTCGTAGGTGGGATCGACGCGTCGGCGATACTCTCGCTCGGTGACGTCTAGTTGACTCTCGTAGGTCTTGTCGTAGGTCTGGCGGCGGTCGTAATCGATTTCGACGTGGTCTCGAGTGTCCCGACGATCGATCTCGATGTCAACGTTGGTGGCCTTGTACTCGGCAGGTGCACGGTACCTGTGGAGCATAACGTGTCAGTCAGTGGTGGTCAATGCAACGACGCAAGGGCAACGTGGCATCGGACACGTGTGAGGCACGTACTTCTCGCGTGTAAGCTCTACCTCGGGGTACTTGCGGTCACGCTCCTCGTAGATTCGAACGTCCTCTCGTTGGTACTGCTGCTGCTGCTGCTGGTCGCGGCGTGGACGGCTGTCTCTGTAGGAGATGTCGACCTCTTCCTTGGAGAACCGAGTATCTTCCCGTCCGACGCGCGACGAGGGTTGGGGTAGTTGGACTTCCCCTTCTACCTTTGTGATGGTAGTCTCTTGGGCAGAAGCGTCACTCCGGTACGTTGACGGGAAGACACTGGGCGGGATGGGGACTCGGGCGTCAAAGTCCAGATTGCCAGTTTTCAAAGGCGCCTTAACTCTCTTCTCCCTTGCGGCAGTCGAGAGTCAAGACTGTCTTCTGGGGAACTGGGTCCGGGGGGGAAGGGGTGGTGGGTGTGTGGAAGCTTGGAAGCCGACAATGCGCGCTGAGCACGGAAATGAGCAACTGGGACTTGGTAAGAGAGCAATGTTTGTGAAGCGAGAGGGAAGGAAAGAGGAAAAGGAGGTCCAGCACCCAGGGTTGTTTACTTATGGACAGCAAAGAGTGGAGCAGCGAGTCTTGGGCCGGCCACACGCTGCCGGCGACGGGCGACGGTTGCCCACGCTGAATCACAACAAACAGTTACCGGGGCGATCTCCACCACCAAATCTCGCCCAAACGTCGTCCCGTTCGTGTCAGCAGCACGAGGCTCTCTTGTCCTCTCCCGACACTCAGACCACAGTGCTCCTTGTTCACCTTTGAGAAATACATGTCTGTCGAACTCGTGAAGCATCGGCCCAAGGCTGTGGATAGTACAGCATACTGCCACGCCTCCAGCGAGTCCTCCGCGGCGAGCCATCATCCCAGCCTGTCGAGCCCACCGATCCTTCGTGTACCGCGATCATTGGCCTCGTCTTACCTTCATGCCTGACCAACGCAGCCACAGAAGCAGCTCATGCATTGTCCCGACGGTCCTCTAGAATTTTAGCCACCCAGGCAGGACAATACTGACTGTTGACATGAAGACGAGGGTCCTTTGGCGCGTGGATGAGCCCACAGATTCTCAGCTGGAGTGGTTCTGGCTAGCTGCATATGCATGCAGCAGCGTCGGACTCATGCAGCTCGCAAACCGTTTCACCAACGGCAGGCAACATCTCCAGGGACGATATATTTCACAAGTCACCGCACACAGCTCCAGGCATGTGGAATTTGATAACGATGGTCTCAATTGCTTTTGACACGGCCTTCCGGTCCTTTTACTTTTGCCTTTCTTGTCTACCTGCTCTATCCAATCCTGCTTGTCCCCAAGTACCCAACCATGTTACGCTCTCAACACTCGATCTTCGTATTCATGAATGCCCGTCCCATGCGCCTCGCTATGCTTTCGTCGCACAGTTGGTGTATGCTGCATCCGTCCCCGGGACCCATCGCTACGTTAGTGCCTCTGCACACAGTTCCATTCATACTGCAGTCATGATTAGCTGTGCTTCTCGAAATATCCCACGGAGAACTCACCACTCGCCCGTCTTCATCTCCAGTGTAGACGACCTGTGCCATCGGCAGGATGCAACTGATCCCTGCACCGACATTTGCCCCATCATCCCGGCTGCTGTCGGCATGATTCAGCTGTCGAATGAGCTCCAGTGCAAACCGTCCTCCACGGACCACTTTGCTCCAGATCCGAACTTGACCCCTCTTGTGGCCCGTGAAGACGAGGTCACGTTCAAGCCATTCATTACCCGCTCCTTCGTAGCATGCGCAGGACACAATGCTGTCCTGCGACCGGTCTCCGGAGTCCTGGCGGAGGAGCAGATCACCGTTCAAGGTATACATGCTAATCTCGTGGCCATGACAAAGGACAACGTTACCTGTCACATCGTTGATGGCTGCACATTGCACCTGCTGCTCATCGCCCAATTTGCGGATGAACTCACATCGATTGAGGTCCCAGAGCATCACTTGCCCATCGGTTGACGCTGACAGCAATGCATTGAACGACCGTGAGGTTGCTAGAACACTCACTGTCTTGCGGTGGCCAAACAGGGTGGCTCGAGGATGTAATTCGATCGTCTTGCCGCTCTCGACGACTGACCATATGGCGATGGTGCAGTCCGTTCCAGCTGTGATGAGTGTCTTGGAGTCTGTGAACAAGGCACAAGACAGCTGGCCAATGTGCAAATGTTCGAAGAGGCCCAGCTGCTTCCTACTCTCGGTCGAGTAGAACCGCACACTGTTGTCGGAGAAACCCCATTCAAGGTACGTGTCGTAGTCGGGAGGGATGTTGAGTCTGAATGGGCCGGAGCACAGCAAGCGATCCGACTTCCGCGAGTATCTGAGCGAGGCCACCCTTTCTCCAGTTTCCAGTAGGGTGGACGGAATGCGAGTCAACGACTCTGCAGCCGTGTCCAATCGCTTATACCGGTGACGAGTCTGTTCTCGCGCGGGATGAGGCTTGGTGAAGGTCTGATACGGGGTCTGGCCGAAGTTGTGGATGATGCCGATCGTGGCCAGACGTTCCATCGGATCAGTAATGCTGTCCAAATCTTTCGCTCCCTGGTAGGAGAGATAATGGAACACGTTGACGGCATCGACGGCCGCCTCGCCCTTCTGTTTGCTACCGAAGATCAAGTCGATCCATTTGTGTAGATTGCGGCTGACGTACGGACTTTCGAGCGCCTCACGCTGCTTTGTGATAAAGATCCGGGGATCCCCTTTCGCCCACGGGGGTAGCTCGACGTTGCCAATAGATTGTAAAGTTTGTCTGGTGCCGAAGTCGAAGTCGTTGATGTTGATCAGGAACTCTGGCAGGTAGTAGAACTCGGGCGTCAGCTCTCGAACGTCGGTCATGTTCACCCGGGATGCGGACCGCCACGCCCCTTCGATCGAGAAGAACATGCGGTCCGCATGGTCAAAGGTGCCGCCCTGCAGGAGAAGGTACGATTTGACAAAGGGCTGTAGCCGAACAAGGTAGGACGTCACGATCATTGCCGACGAATAGTGCGTGCCGTAGTGAAAAGCGGGCGTGCTGCTGTCACCCATCTCCGCAAAGGTTTGGTATCGGTCTCGGAACTCCCGCTCACGCTCGGGTGTCTGACAGCCCATAGGTTTAGAAAGATCGCGGAAGCTTCGAGGATCGGTGAAGTCCAGCTCTTCACTCGTGTAATCGGCAATGACCCATGGAAATACCGGATACTGGGTCAAGTCATTGTAAGTTCGTCCGGCCATGGTGTTGATTAGCATCAGGTAGTGGAAATTCGACATTTCTCCCTTCTGCCATTTCCGGGTAGCGGCAAGATAATTGGACTGCTGGCCGAACACGTTTGCGAACTTAGATCCGAGGGTCTGCGGCTCGTCATCGACACTGCGCAATGTCTCATAGCGCCAGGCGGTCTCCGAGGGACTGCCCGTACCAGTGGGTGAAGGGGATTTAGCACTAATGAGACCGTGCAAGTCGTTTCGTATTTGAGGCGAGATGACGGTCAGCAAGTAGCTTCTGCCGTCACCGAAGAAGATCTCGATTGCAACATCTCGAAACAGAAATCGGCGTTTCGAGACACTGATAATCTCGGACCATTTCCAGCTTCGCGTCCCATGCTCGTCACTGCGCGAGACGGTTTTGCGCTCCGTGACATTGCGGCCGGAGATCATCCGCACATAGGGATCACGCTCTTCTTGTGGCGCTTGCCAGACATTCAAAATCTCGCCATCGGTCCGTTGAAAGAAACTGTCGAGTATGTAGATGTAGTCCTTTCCCAGGATGAGTAATCCTTCTACGGCCTCCAAGCCCAGAATACGTGAGATGTTGGCGACGTGCTTGACTTGATCACCTCGGTGAAGGCTGCGCATCACCTTCCGGTTCTTGTCCTCGAAGTCATCCAACTCAGCATTAGGATCCTCAACCAGCTCAAAGCTTTCTTCACCCTCTTCCAGCTCATTTTGTTCTTCGTTACCGGCTTCACGGCCTGCAGGTTGTTCCGTGGCTTCCTGAAGCCGAGGAAATGGCTCACTACCAGGCTCCTCTCGGCCTGGGGTCTCCGTGAGTGGCGTTGCTCCGCCTGGTGTCACTCCGATCGACTCAGCCGTGGACAGCTTGGTATTCCGGGTGTCAAGCCGAAGCTGCGGCATGTCAGAGCCCTTTCTTTTCGGCTGCTGATCTTCTCCGGTATACGTGAAGTCTTCGTGCAGGCGCATCCGCATTCGATTTCTGCCCTCGGTCTGATCTAGTCTCCACTTTCGAGGTTTGTCTATAGCAAAGAGCCCAGCTGGTCTGCTTGTGTCTCTTTGCATCCGGTTGAAGCTGGTTTCGGTGTACAGGAGGTCGTCTTGCTGATCCTGGAGCATTCTTTGGTGCTTGAGATATTCAGAAGAGTAAATATTGGCGGTCCAGTTCTCGAAAGCGAGCTCATGACGGCGAATAAGATCGTCACGGTCGGCTTCTTCCCGCGCCCACTGCTTGACTTTCTCTCGCCGGCGAGCAATTCTCATTGTGCCATTTTCTTCGGTCCTCTTGTTTTCAGCTGTTACAAAGGCGTTCCAGTGCTTTGACAGTGTGTCGAAAAATAAGGAATCCAATTCGTTTCGGTGCTCATCTACCCAACAGAGGAAACTCTCGTTGTCAAGCTCAACTAACTTTGAGAAGCCACTAGCTAGTCCTTTTTGCTCGGAATTGGCGGTCTGTCCGAAAATCGCCGCTGCCTCGTCAGGTTTCTGGACGAGTATGATTCTCCACAGATTCGAAGCTGCTTCGCGTACGGCGTCCGCTGATGAGATGAGATTGGCATAGAGTAAGTAACAAATAAGTTGCAGATGTATCGACAGGGTCTCCTCTCCGGAGAGAAGAACGGTCTGCCAATACGTCAACTTTGCCAGGAAAGGTAATGAGTCATTGTCGTGAATCGAGGACAAGCTGAGCACAACTATGCGGAAGACGACAGCACGAATAATGGTAATTGTCTGCGCACACAGTCGCACGGGTTTCAGCTTCGCGATATCTGGGCGCTGGAGGTATTCCAAGATCGATCCAGACAAATCAAGGACAGGATCTGCGCCGCCAATGAACCATCCCTCAAAGAGCGCCTCTTCCAGATGCCCAAACAGGCGTGCCAAATTGATCAAGACCCTGGGCTCAGTGAGGATTTTTTGATCCAACGCTATTTGATTCGACAGTTGCGATAAGGTATTCCTCAGGATCCACGTCTCAAAGTAGGTTTGGTGTTCAACGAAGCCTGGAGGGGTCTTCAAGAAAAGGCCGAGCCCTGGAAATTCCCTTCGAACAAGGATTTGATCCATGAAGACCGATATGACAATCTCCAGCAAGCTTTGGACAATTGAATGTCCTTCCTGGAGATCCGGCAGCTTCTTGATTGCCGCCTTCGCGGTAGGTGAGCTCGGAACCGCCGTCACGGACAACAAACCGTTCTGATGAGCATGTTCCTTGGTGACCAGAACGAACGACGAACCTCTGCCAAGTGTCTTCCCTCTGGTTGCCGAAGATGAAGTGTCTGCAGTGGTTCGGACTACTGGAGGAGTGGTTGAAAGCGGATGCACAACGACGTCTCCACCATCGAACGTGAGCATGGAATCGCGAGCATCCAGTTCAGTCTTTGCTTCAACCGTATCAGAGCCAACTACGACGGGGAACAGGACGGCGAGCAGATCTTGAATGTAGGTTGAGGTGATTGCAAAGTCTCGAAACTTCTGTGATCTTGTGTGGAGGTCCGCAAGAAATTGAACGACCGTGTTGAAGGTTCCGACATGCTGACTTGTCACAATGGTAAGCAGCGGATTTGGGGGTGCCATTGTCGACATGGAAAGTCGCTCTGGGGGACCGCTCAAATCTTCTGGTGGAGCCAACGAAGTGGCGGCCTGATGCCGCTTTGATGATACGATTGTCTTCAACCCGCTTTGTAGCATACCCATAATGACCTCAAGGATTTCTGGGTAGACAACAGCTATTTCTTTCTTGTTCGCAAAGAGATCAACGAGATTGAACAGGTCGAAACTCCTGTCAAGGTCAAGATCTGCCACATCAAGATCAAATAGGATAGCAAACAGGGAAGGCCACAGGGCAGGCAGGTGCCACCATCTCTTCAATCGATAAGCCATAACCGTGAAGCCTGAAGTTTTCGCCGAGTCTTTAAACTTCTTGACGTACGTGTCACCATGAACGACGAGCAATCGGGCCAATATCCTCATCGACAGCACCACAACTTCTGGTGAAGTTTCGGACAGTAGGTACAGCAGCCACTTATTTGTCACGGTTTTGGCAAATTTCTTAATGAGACTGTCGTCGTCCTTGCGGCACAGCATCTCGGAGTACAGGCGCAGAACCTCCATCCCGATCTCGAAGTGGGACAAGTTGGACTCTTCCTGGGGAGCGTGCGACGATCCGTTAGACGAGCTATGTTGCCGCGCCTCCTTGCGTGTCGGCTTGCGCACTTGCAAGCCCTTGTTCCGCTTGTTGACTGAGAATGTGACAAAGAGAGCCAAGGAGCGTAAGGTCTCCGCGGACAATGTTTGCGGCAAAAGAGCCTTGACGGCTGCCATGTACTGAGGCATGATGATACGAGAGACCGGCTCCGACTTCAGAGCCTCCATGAGCCGTTTCAAAACTCGCATCCTTGTCAATCTTTTCAAGTTGAAGCGCTTGTACTCGCTGTGCTCGGCGAACACCAAGAATTGCTCGAAGTACACTTGCTGCGCAGAAATGGGGCCGCATCGCCAGAGACTGGTATCAGCAACCAGGACTTTGTAAGCTAAAGGGTTGTTGATCACGGATTTCGTCAGCTCTTCCGAGTTGTACCCGGTGAATGCAAGAATGGAACTCAAGACCCGCACGCTCAGCCCGCTCCTGTCGAGCCTCGAAGTCGGCATCGCGCATCCAACCTTTGCCGAATCGCCATTGTTCTGAGTTGGCAGGGTCAGCTTCTCTTTCAGCAGCATTGCCAGTATTGCGTAACCGCCATCCCTCTCCATCACCTCGCTGTTCCTCCAGCTGTGCCGAACAGTTTCGAGCAGGATATCAACTGCAAGAGCAACATCCTCCGTGGTTCGTGCTCGCTGAACGAGACCTAAGCCGATGGCGCCACAACCGCCGAGTCGCCAACTAGCATCATCCAAAGACTGGGGAACTGCCACCGTCGGATCGCCCATGAGCATGAGCACACCCCGAGCTTGAGTCAATGCATCATTGATAGCTGGAACTGCACCATTAATGGCAACAGCGTTCGTACCGGACCGTGTGTAACTAATCAGGTTCTTCGCTGCCACCTTTGACAGAGACTTGATCAACTGTGATTCGTCGATGTTGTTCCGGTCATCGTTGTCAAGAATGGTTGCTGGTGAGATGTTGATAAGGAGTTTCTCTTCGCGGATGAGATTGCTTGCTTTATGTCGAATGGCCATGATTAGCTCCGATTGCTCCTCTTTCCCCGGATGCAGCAGTTCATTCCTGAGATTGAGTGCTGCAGAAGCTTCATAGGTCTGGAAGGACCCAAGACAGTCCTGAAAGTTGCCATGGTATTTAGGGCCAAGATGGTAGAAGACAGAGATCAGGTCGTCGCTGATTGTGTCCTGGAACAAGATTGCCGGGCCTAACGACCATTTTGACAAGCAAGCCACGCCTGCAGGATTCGGAGAGAGGTCCTGGGGTGTACCAAAGAACGCTTGTACCTTGACGTTCGGCCCGCGATCACTTGGAGGAGTAGAAGGGTAATTAGCCTTCTGTTGCTCGACGAACTCGCCGTCAACAAATAGCAAGGCTTTGGAGGAAGAGGTAGTGCGCGGTCTCTTGTGCACGATGCAGACGTGGTACCAGCGCTCATGTTGAAAAGCGATTGACTTGAACCTAACGCTGGGTCTGTTGCCCTGAATTGCAGTCTGTAGGATGAGGTGGCGAGTGTCCTTCTCCAAGTACGCAAGAACGAAACAGGTTTGGGTTCTGTCAAAGGCACCAAAGAGTGTTGTGTGAGCTTGAGGGTCGAAGGCGTCGAATCGTGCCCACAGGCTCAGAGTGTAGCCCGGGGTGTCGAGTGGTGGAAACGGACGGCCAAGGGTGCCAAGTTCTGTTGAAGCATAGCCGTGGTGGGACAAATCGAACTGCAGACTAGGTGGCTGCCGGGACACATCGATTGCAGAGTGGAGGAAGGACGCGGCCTCAGAGGATGTGCTGGCTTGCTTGAAGAGGAATTGAGCATCCTCGAGGCTCGATACACCCTCCTGACCTAGCAGCAGCGCAACCTCCTTAAACAAGCTTCTCTCAGTGGCTGATAGTTGCTCTTCGAAGATCAATTTGAGACTCGCAGAGAAAGCACCGGCGGTGTGGGCAGAGACGATGTTGTGTCTTGACATTGACAACAACTCTTTCAGACTTAGCGGTACTGCGACTCTCAGGCACCGTTGCGGGACTTTCCTAGCCTTGATGCCCGTAAACCAAAGCGCAAGAATCACAGTCGATAGCTCTGGCACTACCAGTTCTCCCACATTCGCCAGTGCCTTGACTATGCCCACCTTCACTGAAGCCACCGTGTTTGCCGACGGTACGGACTCATCCTCAGATTTCGTAGACCTAGTGGACCTGTCCACAGAGGTGTAGATGTCGTTGATCATTTCCACCCCGGTCGCAACGGCGAAGAGAATCCCGAAGAACTGCTCCAGGTACAATTCGTCCCGGGTCTCACATGTTAGAATAAGGAAGAGCTTTTCCAGGGTGGACTGGAGCGTATGCCATCCGCCATTGTCCACTTTCGTTCTAAAGTACCTTTGGTTTCCCTCATGTCTTTCAAGTGCTGCTCCGAGGACTCCGAACAATTGAGACAAGGTCTGCAGAAGGAATTTCACTGGGGCAGAGGAATCAACTGGAGCAGCGCAACTGTCGACAAGGCAATGAAGGAGACCAAGTACTGCCTGAAAGCCACCCGCACGTCGGAAGCCGCTATGAGCGCCATGGAGGTCGCTGTCATCCTTGAGGAAGTGCCGCAGTTGCTGCAGGCATGTGGACTGCTCAAGACTTTGCTGCAGAGCGCTGCGGGAACTGCTATCGAGGGTATCTAGACTCTTCACCAGCCCTGCAATATGCTTGTCCTCCGGGCGGAGGACATCGGCGGTCGACACGGCCCGCGAACGAGCATGTGTGTTAACGGTGAGGCCCATGACTTCCCCTTGTCCACCTCTTGTCTGGCCTTAACACCGTAACTGCGACTTGTCGTGGATGGCTGCATAGGGAGGCTCGAGGTTCGAGAAGTCTTGGGCAATAGTGCTAGAAGGGCCGGCAGGTCAGAAGTTGAACGAGCCTAAGACTGGACTCTGAAGGGTCAGCATTGAGGCTCTGCTCTGCAGCGGCGAGGCGAATCCAAGAGAACTGCCGACAGAGGATACAGGCAAGGACACCCAGGGTATATTAGCAAAAAGTACGACAAGCGTGCTAGAATTACAGTTTCGTGGGTTTGGTCTCCCCACAAGTACACGAGGAAGGCTCCAGGACAACATTCATTGACCGCAGCGATGTGACCATGCCAGTCATGCGACTGACGTCGGAATTCACAGATTCACAGAAACGGAAAAAGCGGCGGTATGGGCTCTGCATGTCCAGGGAGGCAGCTGTCGCAGTGCATTCCATGTGTGGTGAGGCAGCAGTCCTGTAAACAATACTGCTTTCTCCATTTTAAGGTCCCAGTCCATCGTCAAGCCTCTAAAAGCACGCCTCGATCAAAAAGCATACGGAAGCTTGGTGGCTAGGTGGCTCGGTGGCTCCAGCCTTCAGATAAATGCACTCAGGGGCACATTTGCTTCACCGTGTATGATAACCCCCACGTTGAGTGGCTGGGGTTGCCTCCATTCCCAGCTGAGTAAGTCCGGATCGCACCTGACCTGGAACTGGAGTTGGCGCTGCTCGGGGCAACCAAGGGAAGAGTGGAGAGCGTCACAGGCAGCCTTCGGTCATGCGCCAGCCAGCGCTGCGGACCATCTCTTATGATACATCTTCGGCCTCGACACTGTCATCCTCTCTTGCTCTCTTCACTATCTCTCCTTCCCATCACCACCTCACCGCACTCCTCATCTCCTGTTCAGACTGGTCATCGAGTCTGAACAGTGCTTTCAGTGTTTCTATTGTTTGATACATACCCGTCCTCGTCCCAGCAGTCATCATGAAGGGCCTACTCTTATCTCTACTTCCATTGCTGGCGGCAGGCTCGCCAGTCCTCGTCGATACCATCCACAATGATGCCGCCCCTATCGTCTCCTCTTCTAATGCGAAGGAGATTCCAGACTCCTATATGGTCGTCTTCAAGAAGCATGTCACCGAGCGAGATGCAAGCGCTCACCACAGCTGGGTCCTTGATACTCATTCGTCACATGAGGCTCGCAAGCTTGAGCTTCGGAAACGCAGCCAGGTCTCATTGGCGGATGACACCGTATTCGAAGGATTGAGACATACATACAACATTCCCGGCGGGTTTTTGGGTTACGCTGGTCACTTCGACGAAGGCGTCATTGAGCTGGTCCGCAGGCACCCAGATGTAAGTCTTACCCGTGTTTCATCAGCCCTTTACCTCAGATAAGCCTGGAGCGAGCTCATGGCATCGCTCTGAGTGCCTGCGATACTCCCTTCAGCCTCAGCCGCTGGAACGGGTATATCACTTGCTTATCGTCGCTGTTATGTCCTGCTCCGAAGCTCACGTGCTCAGGTTGAATACATCGAACGTGACTCCCAAGTCCAGACCATGAACCACACTCCTGCCCTCGAGAAGAATGCTCCCTGGGGTCTTGCGCGTATCTCTCACCGTGACGCCCTCGGCTTTGGGGACTTTAATAAATATCTCTACTCGGAGGACGGCGGCGAAGGTGTTGACGCTTACGTCATCGACACTGGCACCAACATCGACCACGTGGACTTCGAGGGCCGCGCCAGCTGGGGCAAGACAATCCCAGCCGGTGACGAAGACATTGACGGAAACGGACACGGCACACACTGCTCTGGTACAATCGCTGGCAAGAAGTTTGGTGTTGCAAAGAAAGCCAACATCTACGCCGTCAAGGTGTTGAAGAGCAACGGATCTGGAACAATGTCGGATGTCGTCAAAGGTGTCGAGTGGGCTGCAAATGCTCACTCCGAGTCTATCAGCGCTGCAAAGAAGGGCAAGAAGAAGAACTTCAAGGGCAGTGTCGCCAACATGAGCTTGGGCGGTGGCAAGTCTAGGATCCTCGATCTCGCTGTGAACGCCGCTGTCGACGCTGGTCTTCACTTCGCTGTGGCTGCCGGAAACGACAATGCTGACTCGTGCAACTACTCCCCAGCTGCTGCCGAGAAGGCCGTCACTGTTGGTGCTTCGACTCTGGCTGATGAGCGCGCCTATTTCTCCAACTACGGTACTTGCAACGACATCTTCGCCCCTGGTCTTAACATTCTCTCCACCTGGATCGGAAGCAAGTATGCCACCAACATCATCTCTGGCACCTCGATGGCTTCTCCTCACATCTGTGGTCTCCTGGCCTACTTCTTGTCTCTGCAGCCAGCTAACGACTCTGCTTATGCCGTCGCCGCCATCACTCCCAAGCAATTGAAGGCCAACATCATCGCCATTGCTACCGAGGGCGCGCTCTCCAATGTCCCATCTGACACTGCCAACATTCTCGCTTGGAACGGTGGTGGCAAGTCTAACTTCACTGAGATCGTTGATGATGGTGGCTATTCCGTCAATAAGTTCACTCCTGAGGATTATCTTTCGGAGAAGGCTTCTGAGCTGAAGGCCGAGCTGAAGCAGATTGCCACAGAACTCGAGGCTCTTATTGAGAAGTCATGAGCAGGCTGTTGTGCTATTGGATGGAAGGCGGTCGAATGGCCCTTAATGGAGCAACAGGGGATCCATCACAAGGTTTAGGTCAGGAGCGTTCATCCTAGACAGGTTTGGGCTTGCACATCGCGGATGTCGGCGGTACAGTCGCTTCTCCGTTCCGACAGGATTCGACCTCCTGTATCCGAGGCGTCTAGGGTCTCGTGTGTTACATACCATACCTTCGTATCGCTTATGAAGTCATCAAGAAATGGTTATGTGATATCATCATCGCTGCGGGCTCGCGTGACCAGATTCTTTCTTCGTGATACGGACGCTGTCCGTCTGGGACATGCTCTCATGTCTCTACTACGTGCTAGTTCTACCGAGCAAAGGCACCGTCTCATCATGCGCGTCCAGCTTCTTCTGCACCTTCCTTCTCCGTTCTTTCTTCCTGCGGCGGTCTTGATCGCCTTCGGCCACTTCGACCTCGACCCCCTCTTCATCTTCGACCTCGGCCGCCGGCAGCTTCTGAAGCTCGCCGTCCCTGACCCGGCTCACGATCCAGGAACCCCTCTCGGCGGCCTCCTTGAAGAAATCCTGGTTCTCCTCAAACGTCCGGTGGCCGGACTCGGGACAGTACAGATACGTCCACAGGCCCGCGAAGGCATTTGTGGCCGCGAAGACCAAGAAGAGGTAGAACTCGAGGTTGTTGAACCCGATGGGCGTCAGCAGCGTGACCGCGAAATTGGCGAGGCCCCAGACGATGACGCTGATGGCGGCGCCCTGCGCGCGTGCCGTGGACGGGTAGATCTCCGTGGGGATGAGCCAAGGGGGAACGAGCCAGCCGACGCCGAACACCGAGGTGGCCAAGTACAGGACCACGATGCCCGGGACGCCCGTTGCCAGCAACGGGATGTGCAGCTTCCGGCGATTGTACGCGAGCCCGCCCAGGATCGTGAGCAGGGCGAACGAGACGGCCAGCCAGAACGCGCCGTTGATCATCAGCTTGCGCCGGCCCACGCGGTCGATCAGCACCCACGCGACGGTCATCATGGCGAAGTAGAACAGGTAGTTCCCCAGCGTGATGTACTCGGCCGTGGTGACGCCGAAACCCAACAGTTCGAAGATTTGTGGCCCGTAGACTGACACGGCGCCGTAGCCCGTCAAGGCCTGGTTGACTTGGCCCATGACCGTCACGACTGTCGGGTGGAACTGCAACCCGCCGGGCCAGAGCATGTCGGCGTACGTTGCCATGCCCTCCTCTTCTTCCTTCTTGTGCGCGCGGACCAGCTCGGTGATGCGATCGTCGACCTCATCGGGCCCAAACACGCGGCGGATGCTGCGTTTGGCCCGCTCGTTGTCGCCGTGCAGGACGCACCACCTAGGTGTCTCGGGTAACAAGTTGGCCCCCGTGAAGAGCAAGATCGGGTAGACTTGCATGACGATGATGGGCACGCGCCACGCCCACTGGTTCCATTTCCCCAGCGTTTGCGTGATGACCACGTTGGTGATGAACGCCATGTTCAGGCCGAAGATGTTGGCCTGGAATTCCTGCGCGAGCGCCGTGCCCCGGGCGTCGTCTTCTTGCAATTCAGAGCTGTACACGGGGACCACGGCGTCGATGCCTCCTAATGCGCCACGGCAGTCAGCGTTTGTCAAATCAATTGTGGGGACCCAAAAACAATTCGCTAGTCCCTTCGAAAATCACCTACCGACTCCGAGACCCATGATGATCCGCCCTATCATCATCGTCGCCAGCGCGGCGTGCTGCGTCGTGGCCACCCCGAACCCAGCAACGAACATCAGCAGGTTTCCCAGGCTCGCCGTCGCCAGACAGGCGAAGATGCCGGGCTTGCGACCTTTCGCGTCGGCGAATCGTGACGCGAGCACGGCCCCGACCGCACAGCCGAGATAGTAGACCGACACGATCAGGCCGACGACTGGGGACTCTTCGTCGATGCCCATGGTGGAGAGGTAGCTGTAGTTTGTGTTGATCAGGGACATCATTCCTTCGCAAACAGGTCAGCACGCGCACCTGCACCTGAGCTGGGCGGTCAAGTCGAGAAAGCAGAGCATGTGGATCGATATCCCATCCCACTTGCTTGCTGGCTTGCTTACCTTGGTCGTACCCGTACAGGGCAATGGCCGTGGAACTGACCATGACGACCTGGGCCTGCTTGTCCATGATCCTGCGTAGGTTGAACCTCCCCATCTTGGACAGTTGACGGTGTTCTGGACCGGAACAGCACCAGTGAGGTGGATGGGCGCGTGTGCGTTACAGTAACGAAGGGCACCAAAGAATTTCAGAGGCAATTAAAGCTTTAAGTTAGACTCCTCGATTCATCCATGGTCAAGCGATATCGTAGACAGAGCCGATAGTTAGTGAGGGGTAAGTAACGGCTTCTAAAGAAAACATGATGGATGATGTTTTGTCCTTTAGGTGAAGTTGTGCGGGCGAGCACTACCAGTGAACACCAAGGTACTGGAGCCGAAATCTTCAAAAACGCCGGCCAGTAGCTCATCGCTCATAGCTCGTACAAATTGCAGCAGACTGGTCACGCTGATAGAAATAGTGACGTCTTCGTGCAGTCGGAGACGCGCTACGAATGCTCGCCTCTAGACCAGTGGGAGGAAACATGGATCGGCTACAGCTTCTAGCGATCCTCAGACGCACCACACGCGAGGCAGGTCATCTGAGAGCAAGCAATCCATGTGTCAACCATACGTGTCTGAAAAATGGGCCTTAGCAAATGTGAATGCAGAGATGGCCATGTTGCTGATGCCGGTGCTTCATGTCCTTCACATTATTTTAACAGAGTGTACGATGGAGCTGGTCTCACCATCTGGTGAATTTGGATTACAGACTCATCGAACGCCTTCTATAATGGTCCCGCTGTGCCCAACTTCTACGTCCTTCAGTGCGCCTCTGAGAAGCATACCCAGATTCTAATCCGTCATAACGACCAGGTGGCATTGCCAGTTGGATACCAAATCCCTCCTTCTCTTCCAGTATATCGACATGTCGGATAATGTCGGTGTCGATCTCGTTTCTAAACATAAACTCACCGCCCGGCTCTCTCCATCCGTACTTGACCCTCATCTCCCCCAGCTCTTCTGCGATCTCTTCGCCTGTCAACAAGCAGCCTCTGTCACCCAGCTTCTCTACAATGGGGCGCAAGAGTCGTGCCGTGCTCAGTGAACTGTCGTCCCGGATGATGGCAGAGTTCGCCCGGGCAATGACGCATACCAAAGCCGATAATTGGAATATTGGGATCAAGCCCAAGATCGCAGCCGACCAACGCCACTGCACGCTCACGACCTGTGCTGTAACGGGATACCAGCCCGTCACATTGTGGCGCGGTCCGTTGTAGTCGATCGCTGCCACGGCTTCAATGCTGAAATCCATGACTCGTCCAGCGATCATGCCAGCATCTGCCGGATCGTTCGGGCTCCACCATGAGTCTGTATTGTATCGAACATACTGATACATGTCGCCTGGCGTGTGGTTGAAGCCTGACCAACCGATGGCACCAGCGATGATCTTGGCTTGTTGGTCAGGCATCTGAAATGCCTCGGCGGTATGTCCGTCATACAGGTATTCATCGATTGCTGACACAGTCGAAATGGTGCTGTTGCACTTGAAGAATGACGCTCCGGGGATGGTGTCGTTATTGGCGCTTTGCAAGGCCATCACCTCGGTGCAACGTGGTCCACAAGTAGAATTCAACACGCCAATGTAAGTCATCGCTCCAGGTCCTACCCTTACGACGTCGAGCGTGGTTGGCGCGCCGTCTTCATCGACATAGGTAATAAAGGTACTCGTTCCGTTTCCGCCTTCTAGAACCCTGAATTTTCTGCAAGTAGCCGTTGCGGTGATATTGCGATGAGAAATCAAGGTCAGGTCGGGGTTCCGTACATTTTGGTCCTGGAAGACGTAGGTGACAGTCGTCCATTGGTCGTCACTCCAGATCCTGGGAGTTCCAGGCGTCCCATAGCTTGGGATATCTCCTTGACCGGGAGGTGTGCCGTTGACGAAGAGGTAATCCTGCCCCTGTATACCGAAGAAGTTTGCCGATCCCAGCTGCGCATCGAAAGAAGGATTGTCCGCACCCCAAATATCGCGGATGACTGATAGATTGGCAATGCTGACCATCCCGAATTTCCGCTGAGGCACTGTGGACGTGTTGAGATTGTAAGTCAAGCCGAGCAAGGCCACCAGAACCTGCAAAAGTATGTTGACCCCGAACCACAGCGCACACAGCCATTGTGTCGTGTTCAACCAGAACCAAGCTGCTCCTGGCGTCCTTGTTACCCAGAACAAACGCATGACCTTGCGAAGGCTCTCGCAGCGCAACAACAAGTCGAATTCATGCAGAGGTCTGTACTTTGACGCCAATATTTTCCACCGCAGCATAAGCGCATATTCCCGCAGTGAACTTGTTAGGTTATTGCCGAGGAGAATGGACAGCAGCACAATTAGGGCGTTGAAGGCCTTGACGTGCGTGACCGTCATAGACAGGAGATCACCAAATGCTCCCAGGCATGCAGCCAAGAGCCCACAGAGGCTGGTAGTGATGAACCATTGCCATATGCCCACCGCGAAGAGCCTCTGACGTTGGCGTTCGGGCTTGAATTCTCTAATTGTTGGTGAGCTCGCCGCCAGCCCTTCTCTTGTCACCGAATGCCGCCATGGCTGTCGTAAGCGAGGCGGTTCGAACTGGGGCCGGCCGATGAACTGTGAGGGGAGGACGTTACGGAATCTCAGAGGATCCTGCGTGGACTCGGCGATTGGTGATAGGGTGGACTTTTCCATTTCAGTCTCTTATGAGGCATTATCGATTCCCTCGCTTGGGCAGCTTATGACCTGCAGAAGTCTCATCGAGGGCGAGTGCGGAGGAAAGTAGTCTTGTTGCAGAGCCGCGTGTTCTCGACATCGGAGTCGAGAGTCTGCATTGCGACGACAAAGGCTTGTTTCGTGAAGGTTTTGAGGAAGCGGATGTGTTCGTATTTAGGTGTGGACGGGCCGACAAGTCACTTCGACGTACCAAACAGACGCAGCACCATTGAACATTGAGGTTCCAGCCCGGCTGAGGTCTTAGTGGGGACGCGCTCATGCAAGAATCCAAGACAGTCACCCCAGTGCGCGTGCGCCTTCAGTTTCTCTCTCTGGACGCAGCGGGGCAAGCAAGGTGTAAGCGGGAGAAGGCTAATTAGGTACTCAGCCAGTACTATCGGTGCGCCGGTGATATGGTGGGTCACCAGGAAAGTCGAGGCCTGGCAAGAAACGTGCTCAGTGTGGCTTTCCGACGGTGCAGCCATCGCCGTTTTTACTGTGGTGGTACGGAGTACTCGGTACAGCTAGGTGCCCTGGTGGCATTGCGTGCAGCAATGATGGGCGCACTTGTTTGACAGATCAATCTCTCATGCTGACTCTCTGCGCCTGGTGGTACTTCCCATCAGCCCTACAGGCTACTACACTTTCACTTCGTCCACGCTCTGGTACGAGGTATTCCCTATTGTTATCTAGCTGTCACTGCACTGGCTGAGTAACAGTGCAGAGTGAGCCACTGCCCCTGAGGTCCGGTTATGGCCATCTTTGACCTCTCAGCCAGCCATTCACTCACAGTTAGGGACTCTCAACACCATTACTGCGTCCTAACCCTTACAAGCCTGTCAGCCCTGCAACATGCGAAAGCACCACTGCCGTGCCGGCGTCTTTTCTTGCTGAAATTCAATGCCTTGACCATGGCACAGCATGGGCATTAAACGTGCCACACGTCCAGTTGGGCCGTGAGAAAATCCACATCCACTGTCTCTGACCCCATTAAGACCATTGATATAGCGGCGTCGGAGGAATTATACAGTCAGTCTCAGGACTTTACTATGAGCTCAATTTAAACTTGTTGCGCATTGATGGTTGCCAGTCTCAACAGCAACACGGTATCTGAGGTGCGGTAACTCATACCAACGGCTTCGTTGTGTGTGCACAGCGGTATCTGCGTGCCATTGCTGACCATAGTGGGTTCGTGGGCTTGATAGGCACAGGCCGAAGGGGTCACTTCGTACGATAACACCATCCAATCATATCGTGTGTGAGTAGCGGAATCCACCGAAGGCCAGACTCAAAGACCTGTCTCGACGTAGCTGTCTCATGACAGACGCTCAGTATATTATGCTTCAGGCAGAGCAACTCAACTACCAAGATGTCGTCCCACGAAACTGGCTCCGACTCTCATCTTGTCTCTGCTCGTGGACCTACTCACAAGTCACTATGGCAAGCGCCCAGGGGAACGGACAGGCTGCCTTTTCGATCCCAACAGTGGACTTGAAGGCATATCTGACCAATCCCCACTCTGCAGAAGCTGAAGGTATCGTCGAACAGATTCGCGTGGCTTGCACAACGAGCGGCTTCTTCCAGGTCACCGGACATGGCGTACCAGAGGCACTCCAGGACCGCGTCTTTGCCGCGGCCAAAGCCTTGTTTGCGCTGCCGGATGACGAGAAACGAAAGCTGAGTGGGAAGCCTGGACGCGGATACGAGATCATCGGCACGCAGACACTGGAAGCTGGCAAGAAACCAGACCGGAAAGAGGTACGCTAACACCAGACGAGATGCTTCCAACATATGTACAGTAATCAGCGTTGGCATTATCGTCCTGTGAACCAGCAATTGACAAGCATCAAAGGGGTACTTTATCGGCCGTGAGATAGCCGGCAACAAGCCACCATACCGGCCCTTTCAAGAAGCCAACATTTGGCCCGCCCAACTCCCGGAGTCCCAATTCCGCCAACCGCTGCTAGGATACCATCGCGCGATGTCCGACTTGTCGTTCCATCTGATGCGCATACTTGCACGCGGTCTCAAGGACTTTGACACCACCGTCTTCGACGATTTCTGCCGCGATCCCATCGCCGCGATCCGACTTCTTCATTACCCACCACACCCAAACACCGAGGATGCCACGCTGGTCGGCGCGGGCGCGCACACCGACTTCGGCGCCATCACGCTGCTCCTCCAGGACGGCCATTCCGGGTTGCAGGTGCTTAACCAGTTCTCGGGGGAGTGGACGGACGTTCCGCCTCGGGAGCGCGCCTACGTCGTCAATGTGGGGGATATGCTGGAGGCGTGGACGAGCGGTACGTACAAGAGTAATGTCCATAGGGTGATCAACTCGTCCGGCACGGATAGGTATTCAGTCCCTTTCTTCCTGGATGGCAACGCCGATTGTGTTATTCGGCCGTTGGACGGGTCCCATGGCAAGCCGTTTACAGTGGAGGAGCATATGCTGTCGAGGTATGCTTCGACTTACTAGGTGATGAACCCCGTGGGGAGACATGCCAATGCTGTATCGTGCAGTTGCCGCCTGAGCAGATGCACAATCTAATGAAGATCTCTACGGGTGCCTCTGTCGTAGAAAATCTTTGCAGGGTGCCAAGCGAGCGATGTCAGGGTGTCTCAGTTTCTCCGGAGTACCTCAAGTCACCAGCTCGCTTGACAGCGGGTCGCACGCCTCATCCCAGAAAGCATGACAGGTAGCAGTAAGTTCATACTCGAAGGGCAAAAACTTCAGTGAAAGGGACTTGACATGCAGCCAAGAGTCCTTCGACACCGGCATGGACGCCTCTCGTAGCAATTCGGCGAAATCTCGAAGTCGAGGGCTTTGATGCGCCGCGAGGCCACCAATCACTGTTGCCCATACTAGAAAATCAGGATGAGTTTGCCAGCACTGTTGGAGACGGCACTCTTTCAACGCCCGGAGGAGAAGCGCTGTGGCGGTGTCTTGAAACCCGCCAACTACTGGCAATGTCCACCCAAGTTCGGCAAGGAAGATGATGGTCGCAACCCGTGCAGCCTCGAAGAGACACTCGGCCCTGCGTTCCAGCATTAAGGCTGCATGCTGTAAAGAGCGGCGGGTGTGAACCGCGAGCATCAAATCCGGAGCTTGTCGCGGATTGCGGAGAAAGAGTGAGTACGTCTCCAGGAGGATTCGAGTCTGGCAGATGATGCGGCGCAACTGGAAGCCATCGTCATAGGTGTCGAGGAACTGGAATCCGTCTTCTTGGTTAGCGAACCGCGTCCACGTAACATCATCCCATGTTTCCTGCAGTGTTTCAGAAAGTGCTGGGGCGGGATACAGAGATTCGAATCGCGGTCTGCTCAGACACATGAGACTCTGGAACGTGTCGATCATTGATATGATATTACTTAACCCGTGGATCTCAAGCTCGTGCAAGCCTCCCCTTTGACCGACAAGCGTTCGCAATGCGCGCAAATGGGTCTGATCAAATTTCACATTCGAGTAGAACTCGTTATCTCTGTACAGAGGTGCCGTGAACCGCGGGCGCTTCAATGGCTGCACAGAACCATGGATGGCCAGGAGCGCTATAGTCATCAGCATTTCGTCTGTAGGTTTTCCCTGTTGCACTGCTTCTCGAAGACAAGCCAGCGCTTGCTGTTTGGCTTGTAGCTGGAGCAAATTGTCGCCCGGCACAGCGTTCCTGAAGTAGGATCGGTAACACGCGCCAGCATAGATGATGGCGAAGAGCGTGTGCGGCGACAACGCCGAGGTAGAGAACGCGGCTCTACGCACTTCCACGATGGCATGCTCGTTGGTCCCTAAGGCAAACGCCGGCCACTGATGGAGTAAGGCTGCAGGCCTGGGTTAGTGACGGCTCGATGGGCAGCCCATGTTCGTACCATCATGAAGCACGCTCTGGAACTCTTTTGAGAGCTTCACATCGCCGTTAGTGTGGACAGAGTCGAAAAGATTCGTGCCCAACACCGTGACAGGAGAGGGGAATCTTTCGAAGTCATAACTGAGATGATTGCTCGTTGCTGGAGTAGCACTCCACGTGAGGCTCAATGAGGCGTCGGTGCCCAAGTCTGAGAGCTGTCCTGGCGAATTTGAGGGAGCGACGGATGCTTGAGGATCAGCCTTGTCGCGCTGGGCTCTCTTGTGCTCTCTCTGTCTCCTGTGGCCGGCCAGAGCGGTGTGCTGATGTCGCAGTAAAGACTGGAGCCGCTCCTCGGATTGCTTCTTCTTGCCCTTGCCACTCCATGACAAGAATGTCAGCTTCGCTGGCTGTTCCAGCACCATCGAGCTGGCATTCAGTGCAGTACAAGAGAAGAGGATGGGAGCGCGCGTGCCGCAGCAGATCAGGCCCGGGAAAATGACGCGCCAAGCGAACTGGTTAAGCTCCTCGTATTTCGGCCAGTGGGTGGCCGGTCTTGCTTCACAGTCTTTCATGTTCGGCATGGAGGAGATCACGATAGACGCGGCTAGCACAGCACACAGAGACTTGACTAGAATTAATCTCGCAGCTGCTGGTGGCTGGTCTGCAGACAGCAGCGGACTCCCCTGGTTGTTTCGACCAGCCCTTACAAGATACCAATGCAGATGTCACCCTTGATTTCCGCAGTAATACGAATGTCCGCCTTCAACGCCAACCTCACATGTACCTTCAAGCTTCCTCCCATATTCTCGATATCCTTCTTCGAGAACCCCTCGGGTATGTAATCCGGGGTGCTGTTCGAGCTAGTTGCCGGGGCCTCCTTGGCGGACTTTTCGAGTTCGCCCTGATTGCGACCGCCCGGAGCATGGTCGAAGGTGGCATCACTGGTCTCGTCCCTGCGGGCATGACACATCAGGAAGTGACCAGGAAACGTGCGAGCGATACCACAACATACTTGTATTGGGTGTCGTCCGCCATGGTCTCTCGCGGCAGTTTGACTAGATGGACTGCTTGGGGGTCTGGCTCGGAATGCCGACTTCTTGTATCAAGTGGGAGTATCAATGCGACGTCTCGTCCAGTGAGCTTTCCCACTAGCTCTCGAGTCGACTGATGTGTCTCAGGTTCGGGATCATTCAGCGTCGATGTGGACCTTCTGGCCAAAGTTGGCTCAATCGTTACTACAGCCGAAGAAATCCAAAGCAATCAAGTAGACAGGGTAAGTAGCTGTTCGGGAGGGTATTTGCACTCTTTAGTCCTCGGATGCAATAAGAAGGGACGAATAGCGTCATCGTTAAGTTCCGGTCTTGTGTTTTAGTCACTTAGCAATACCTCGTACCATGGTGACCATGCCATTCGCGTCAACAGGTTTGGATGCGCGCCTTCGATTGCTCATCCATGCAGGAACCCAGTTTGCGTTTACCTAGCGTTGACGGACCCGTTGCTGACTGCAATTCAGACTTGGAAATTATGGGCTAGCATTACGTCACCAAGATAGAACGCGTTGGTGCGCGCGACAATTGTGGTGTGATTGGATGCTGCCCCGCGTGCCCCACAGTCAGGTACGCAGCATCTTGGTTCCGTCGTACCGAAGATGGGATCCCGTAACCTTTAAACCTTGGCCAGGTTTTCGAAGCCAGCTCGACTCTGCTTATGCGCTGGGTTTCATGATGATAGGACAGGACAAGGACGGAGCAACCAAGTCTCCTATAAACGCCGACCACGAGTAAATCCGCCGAAAGGATTGTTGGGAACCCGACACCAAACTTCGGTGCTTGATGTCAACAATAGACAACGCTCTACCGGTTCGTTGGGGGTGAGCCACATTACCATACAAGTCAAGCACTTACCTTGATTGATTCCCTTTTCTGGCGATGGTGCTCTCTTTGATCACTCTTGCGGCCACCGTGCCTCTACTTGCAACAAGCACGATCCAGCTGCAAGAACAATCACAAGGCCAACAAGAAGAGGCCGAGCTCCTGCTGAAGACGGAGAAATGCCACCTCAATGGACGAGCGACAAGGAGAATGACTGCCAAACGACAAGACCAATTTAGGAACATGAGGGTCGTCCTGCAAGACGGGTATCTGCTGCTGGAGCCCAGAGCTGCAAGTCGGAAACATCCTTTCACCGGTTATCTTCTGCCGTTCCCAGAAAAATCGTACGACGGCCTGGTCAGCACGATTAATGCCAACAATATGCTCAATTGGATCTTCATCAACAAAGACACCTATCGATTACAGTATGGGGTACGTGCTGAAGCTCAGACTCAATGGACCGGTCCAATGAGACTGGTTGGCGACCACAGTGAATGGCGGGTGGCCTTCGACGGTTGGGAGGGATTTGTCGCTGTCCAAGAGGGTGAGGACTGCTGGGCCTTGTATTTTGACAAAGACGACAATGGTTTAGCAGACAAGGTGAAGGATCAGGCTGTCGTCGAGATTGAGTTACTCCGGAGCGTACTTGATGAGAATAACAAAGGGAACGCCACTGGTTGAAACATGATCCCCGGCGGAAAGGAGGTGGCTCTCAGTACGAGGTACTGCATGTACCCTCGTACCTTAGTCCAGTGAGAGCCGTTGCTGGCTGCCGAATCCTCGGCTGGGCTGCCGATCTGGCACTTCGACTCTTCGCCTCTTTCGGGAACATGTCGAGGACGCGTTCTCATATGTCCCATGTCATCAGCTCCCCCATGCCCTTCCCCGTGCACACATTAACGCAACGCAATCGCCAAAGATATGCATACAAGCCTCGTCGCGGGTCCGCTTCAGTCTGCATCTATGATAGCCGGCATCTCAAAGAAAAGGCAAAGAGGGTAGATTGAGCACAGCAAAGGTGAACCGAGTCAGAACAGTGTGGTCGGTGGCATCGTAGATGATCTAGCATCATCGCGACAGGGGCTGAGGACGAGTTTGCTTCGCCGTGCGAATTCCTCTGCTACAACGACTCCACCACGCGATTTTCAGCCTGATCACAAAAGTTCCTGTCATCTCTCCGCCCTCCAACCGCCTGTTCGGTTCGCGGACATCGCAGCAAGGCCGACACGATGGCCGAATGAGCGAGTTGATGTCAACGCTCCTCCAACTTCCTCGTCGTGATGACCTTTCCCGAGCATTGCGATAAGGCCTCCTCTTGGGCTGCGGCTAGCCAGTGCATGTGGCTTACACCCGCAGCACGTCTCATTGGATGACTCGTGAAGTTGCCCTGCAGAATGTCGCCTATTTTGCAGAACTTTCCCGATTGAGATACGTTCCACCCTCCATCATTGATCTGGCCTTGAAATGTCCAGCCCCGTTGCTCAATCGTCCTTCAGCCTCAAAACCCCTCCCTTCCGTCGCTATGGAACCCATCCATCTCCTTCTCGGCCATTGTGTGTTCGATTCCCAGTGCACACTGGCGTCTCAACGGCTTGATCTGACTTCCTGCAAAAATGGATGGGCCACGTTTCGCCAGGCCAGACTTACGGCCCGGCCCAGCGCCCTACCAGTCAGCCTCATCATTAGGGCGACCGTCTGGTTCGCAGGCCGGCAGCTCGTCCGATGTTCCCCTATTGCACAGCCGTAACGACATGAATGCTCCTGAACCTGTGTTACCTCCCCATGAAAACTCCACGGAAGCTGGATCTGACTTACCCAGGCATAGCTCAGGTCAGTATGCTGTTCACAACCAGAGAATAGACTAACTCGACCCTCCAACAGTCCGATTGACAGCCTTCTCCGACACCAATGACGAGCGTCTCGCGGAGTTAAACTTCTGGCCCCCAATCTTGAAATGGTACTCGACGGTTTTCCTGACAGCCTTGTATCTTGGAACGTCCGGCGCAATTGTGGCACTCTGGCTCGCCGCAGGAACCAACGGGCAATACCACTTGTCGAGCGAGAACGTACGCATGATATCACGCTACTTCCCATCCGCCTTGGGTACTCTCAATGTTATCCTCTTCCGTCACCTGGTTCGCGAATTTATCAGAATGAAACCATTTATTGCGATGGCAGACCAGCCGGGGAAGCCTAGCCCTGGACAACGGCCGAGCAAAAGTGTCAGCGGGGCTTTCTTCCCATGGCAGGACTTTTCCGTGACGCGGGGACTGACGTCGACCGTCTCTCTATTCTGCCAATTCATGGTTGGTTTCATTGTCAGCTTGAAGGTCGCGCTGCTTGCAAGTGGGCCTGCGCAAGATGGCGGTCCGGGCTGGACTCTGACGATTCGAGTATGGCCGGCCTTCTTTTTGATCATTGGCCATATCGTCATGACCGCTTATGTGCTCTGGGTCGCGTGTCTGAACGCTGGAAAGTCGACTGGCCTCAGATGGGATCCGATCACCATTGCTGACTACTGTGCTCTGTTTGCCGGATGTAATGTTGCAGGATACTTCTCGGCGCTTGAGTTACTCCATAACCGCACTGCCAAACACGTGTTATCGACGAATCATCTGTTTCGACTGGGCTATTGGAAGAAGGAGACCCCCAGATCGCGCGAGAGTATAGTGTATGGCATTGGCACAACATACAGTGCAGCAGGTACAGGTTGCGGAGTCCTGGTCATCAATGCACACTGACAACTTTCCAGAGCTTACCTTGGATATCTATAAGCCGAGCTTGTATGAACAGATGATGGGATACAACAATGCTCCCAGCCCGGTCGACGACTGTGGGAACTATCGAAACACCAACTTACCTGCGCCTTGCAATCAGGGTTCTTGGCCAAGCTGTGAACATTATCCCTACCGCCACAGTCCTGGTTGCGGGAAGGGTTGGATTGTGTTTGCATGGCTGCTGGTTGCGACGGCTCTCGGTCTCGCGATCTTTGGCCTTATCAATGGCGTCGTGTTCCAGGGGTTCCCTCTGCCAAAAGACTGGAGTCTCCCCTCGAACATGTCCGTCAGTGCCGGGCATCACACGATCGAGCTGCCACCCATTGACCCCACGGACCCGGAGTCGCAGCTTGTTGCGTATGCCTTGGTCTTCCGCTCAGCGCCAGTATACGTGGCAGGGCTGTTCACTGGTACCATCGTCGAATGGGTCGATCTGAACATGCGATTCATGCAACCATTCATCAACATGTTTGGTGAAGCCGGTAAAGCTGGCAATGCCGCCGACACTGTCTTGCTGGCATATATCACCACATCGCCACTTCAAGTCCCCATAACAGCAATCGACAAAGGTCATTATCGCGTCGCGGCATTCTCGACCCTGAATACCCTTTCACCGCTCTTCCCCATCTTTATCGGTGGCCTCTTGACGTTGACCGACGAACGTGAAACCAACACAGTGATGTTCAACTTTTCGCTGTCGGCATATGTTGGCATCATGGTCTTCCTTTCTGCGTGGTTCATCGCCATACCTTTCGCGTATCCCATCCAGAAGCGGCTCCTTCCGCGCCAATTCTACAGTATGGCTGATTTGATGGCAATGTGCCACAAGTCCACCTTCCTCCAGCGGCCCTACCTCGACCTTGCAGACCAAAGGCGCACTCCATCCAAGGACATCATGGAGGCTCGCATCCTCCTTTCAGGCGATAGGTTCATGTTTGGCCACTACGCGGATGACGAGGACAAGAAACATATCGGGTTCGATATACACAGCACCATAGATTTCGAAACGGGCAGCATCAAAGACACGCGGCTTGTCGAGACTGTCACGCCCGAAGGGGAGATCAAGATGATCATAAGTCAAGCGGCCCGTAGAGCGACGACCTTGTTTGGTGACCCTACGGGAAGCCAAACAAGCACTAACAGGTTCATTGCTTGGCTCCGCCGGATGCTGCACAAACAACGCAGGGCTCGAGCGGAAACCGAGATGCGGGCCATGCGACCAGTGGCCAGTGCGACGGGGTCCAGTCTAGAAGAACAACGAGACGTTCGGCAGCGGGTGCCGGTCGCTCTGGCCTCGCTCGGTGGAAGGGCTACTTGAACTTGGCAGATTTTGTAATGGATTGAGACTGCTTGAATACCTTGACCGGGATGGATTGGGGTTTGGGCATTCTTCGTGAGTAGGCTGGCAAACCAATAGCAGGTCGCAGTAGTTGCACAAACCGATGCATCAGTCATGGGGGCTCGCCATTCAGGTACCAAGCCTGCGGGATAGCGACTACCCGATTGATGCTACTCAAGCCAAAAGCTGTAGGCATCCAGTCATCAGCTGAGATCTCAGTGACCAATCGATGTGGAGTTGTTTCCTTCTTGAGCCGAAAATGGTGGAAGAAATCGAGCCTGTCGGTGCAAGTCGTGGGACCCGTTGATGGTCAAGACAAAGGAAATGATGGATGGGGCTGTAACGTGGTGTATGGTATCTAGCAACTATGGAATGATAGTCATGACTGTGGTGGAAATGAAGGTAACAGTGCCAAGGCGCTAGGGGCCTCACACCGTCGTCGGCCTTGCCCGCCTGAACCAAGGCACCACAGTACGGAATACGAGGTACACTGTAAGACAAAGTGCCTTTAGCACAGTTCATTCTGCCCCGAACCTTGATAGCCTGACCTACTTACAGCAACCCACAGTAGTAGAACTAATGCCATGGCTCGCTACCAGATCATCGTGTGCAAGCGGAAACTTTTCCTTTCTCGCATTTGCAGTGTGTCCTACAGCCACTCATTACGGACGAGTCCAACACGCTCATTTCTCGACATTGCATACAATGCTCTTAGATCGACACAGATAGCGGCCTCTTGCGACTCGTCCACCGGCAGGCCTCGGTGATGGACCGCTTCCGGCTGGGAGGATATTCGCGTCTCGGCTTCAGCAGCCTCAAGACGAGGCAGAACACCAGTGAAATCGAGTTGATCACCTCTCGCAACTCGCAAGCATTCTCCCACCACGACCCCTCCCCAAACGCACCGTTTATCGTCCCGTCGGAAATCATACAGTCTGAAGAGAAGGGACAAACTTTGAACACACATTGGGACCCTTTCTTCTTGAGGAGTTGGGTATTGATCGCATTTGCTGTATTCTTCTCTGCAGTCATTGCTGCACTTCAAGTGGTCTACAGCTTTTCGCAGCGCAATCATGGAATTGCGACGAGCAGTGACGACCATCACTACTTATGGACGTATGGCCCCACGGCTGTCTTCGTGGTTGTGACGGTCCTCTGGCGCCAGGTCGACTATGCCACCAAATCCCTCCAGCCATGGGCGAATATGGCCATGGGTCCGCAGCCAGCCAAGAACAGTCTTCTCCTGGATTATGTTACTCCGCTTCAGATCTTGTCATTTTGGAGGTCACTGAAGAGGCGCCATTTCGCGGTCAGTATTGGCATCGGCGTTTTCGTTCTTATCAAGGTCATCACAGTGCTTAGCACCGGCATATTCAGCTTGCAGTCTGTCCAGAGGAACGATGTGCCAACTTCGATGGCGCTGAACAACACCTTCGATGGCACAAGCTTTCAGCATGCCGCAGCCGTGGATTCGAGGGCAGCTTTCGTGGCGTATGGTCACAGGCAGTACAATATCAGTTTACCGATCGGCAGCACGGATCAGTACACTGTCCAGGGATTCGCTCCGAGCGCGGGGCTCGTCAACGGTAGCTTGACATACTCTGCACCCGTTGACGTGTTCAGCGCCAGTCTTACTTTGTGCGAGACCGGCCAAATCAACTACACTACGTCTTATGGTCGAGGCAATACGCCGGTGGCCGCTTGGTACAACAGTACCGTGACTCTTCCCGGCTGTCAAATCTTAGGCGCATATCTCGATGCTCCGGATTGGTATTACCAACAAAACGATACCGTTCACCGCTTTGGCTATCGAGCATCTTTTCAGAATGTGACCTGTTCAAATCTCGCACCAACCGACCCTACCAGGTTTCGCTTTATGATCGCGGCAGCCTATTCAGAGGGGGCAGGGCAAAACGACAACACACTGCTCAATTCTTCCAATATTGTTTGTATTCCTTCCTATTCGGTGCAGTCAGCCATGGTCACACTCGACACGCAAGGCAACGTGAAGTCTGTCAATGTGACCGGAAAAGCTCGTACAATCGATGGACTCAGTGCCGTGGATATCGCTGATGGCGTTCTGTCAACTAGCCTGCAAGCCTCTTCAATCTCCGACGCTTCATCTTCTGATCTTACACTAGATGTCTTCACGACCATGATGCAGCAGGAGACAACCGACTTCAGTACGAAAGATCTTCTTGATCCGGCTTACTTGAACAGCACCGGAAATCTGGTCTTCGGGAAGGTTGTTGCGCAACTCGCAAACTTGTATCTGCTTTCCGAGAGCACGGAGGATCCGCAGACGATCGTCGAAGGTACGATCGCAAAAGATGAGAGTCGACTGACCGCTAGGCAGACGCCAATCCGAATCATGCAAGCTGTCACCGCTGTAATGCTCCTGCTTGTTGTGGTCATGTTGTTTATACGCCCGCGAGGGGTTGTGCCAAGGAGCGTCGATTCCATTGCAGCCGTTGCAGCAATCCTTGCTCGAAGCCCAGAGCTGGAGGCGCGTCTTCGCGGCTCCGGACACAAGAGCTTGGATGACCTCCGCGAGATCCTCGCTCCGCATAAGTACCAGACCAGGACCGGGTATGAGGATGGAGCCCGGAGTTTCTCCATTCGCATTTCCAGCAGAACTGGAACCGAGCTAGCCAGAGTCCCAACCCAGGACGGCTCAGTGCCTCGCAACATCAAATGGATTCAGCCATTCATACTGTGCCGGATCGGCATCTCGCTCACTATTTTGGCCTCTGCCGCCGCCATCCTTGCCGTCGAAGTCCTCTTGTCGCAGTCCCAAAAGCACAATGGCCTTGGCGCTGTAGACGAGGGCAGTGCGACTAGGTACTCGTGGCTCTATGTGCCGGTCTTGGTCTTCCTCCTGTTGGCCACGTTGTTCAACATCATGGACTTCGAAGTCGAATTCACCGAATCTTTCCACGCTCTGGCGAAAGCGGACTGTGACGCGAGATCCTCCATGCTCTGGTATCCATTACGACACATGTCGGTACATGCCACCTATAGCGGCCTGAAACACAGCAGATTTGCCTTGACTGCAGCCTCAGCCTCTGCCATTCTAGCACCTCTTCTGACCGTCGTAGTGTCAGGGCTCTACACTACCAAGCCGACAATCCAAGGGATACGGGTGGGAGTCAACGCGTTGGATTGGTTCAACACCACGACTTTGGAAGACGGTTCCACGAACATCCCCTCCCTCGTCATTGAAGGCAACATGTCGTATCCCCAATGGACATTCTCTGAACTAGCGATTCCCAGACTGACTCTTGTCGGCGACAACGCGAACCAGCTGCTTGTCCAAGGTGGCTCCCTTTCTGTGAATACGCCTGCGGTACGAGGAGGTGTAGAATGCAATGTTGTTCCTCAGGATCGCATCCTCAACAACACCATGATGGCTGGGTACATCAGCTCGAACATTAGTACGCCTGATGGTTGTGGGAACTATGCATTCGGAGACGGACCTAGTCTTTGGCTCGGTACCAGCGTCCCAGTGCCTGTCAATTCCTCGGGCTACTTTGGTTCTTCATTGGTACTTGGCTTCCTCGACACTTGTCCCACACTTGCATTGTACTACGGGCATGTCGCCAACAACGAGATTGGGAACTTCACTGCTCTACTGTGCACGCACTACTTGGAGCGAGTCCAGGCCAACGTGACCTTTGATCTCCCGGGCTACTCCATCTCCACTGAACCGACGTTGTACGAAAACTCGGTCGCCAAATTTTCCAGTTTCTACGTTGGGTTTCCGACGCTGCAGGTCTTGAACGTGACTTCCGCTAACGATGAGCTGGACGACACTTTCAATGCTATGGTGTATGGCAGGGACGGCATTCCGACAAACGAGCTTCTGAATGATACCACGCTGATCGAATCATATACGCACTTATACCGACAGTACATAGCACAAGTTGTCAACATCTACCTTCGAGCGGATTTTTCCACCTTGTCGAATAACGCAATTGAAACGGTCGTCAATCCTTTGGAGGCGTTCTACACGAATCCACAGCATTACAGGCTCAAGCAATCGCCACTGTCGACTCATTTGCTGGTCGGCGTTGTCGGTGCGTTGTTGCTTTGTGCATTAGTCGTCTTCGTCACGATTGATATGCGCAATGTCTTACCGAAGCCCATCGGGAGCATCGCCGCCGTGGCAAGCTTGCTAGCAGGCTCCCGCATCGTCAATCCCAGATCCGGCCTGGTTCCCCCCGGATCCGAGTACTGGTCAGATGAGGAATGGGAGAAGAGTGGTGTGTGGCAAAGTGAGATGTTCCGCATGGGATGGTGGGACAAATTCCAGGAGCCGGCCGACTCGTGGAGGAGAGGAACGACGTCGAGAAGTGATGTGAATCAATTACATTCATCTAGCGACGAAGAAAGAATTGAACTTCCGGCATCGTTCAGGATTGATGCCCGGCCCAGATAATGACTGAGATGATTTTGTATGAGAGATAGAATGAGGTACATACTGTGTACTGTGGACATATTTGACATTGTACTGACCATCGTGACCATTTCGGCTACGAGGCCCCCATGTGGTCCTTCTCTGTGTCCTTGCGTGCCTTCGGATTTATGATCGTATTCAAAGGTGTCCAACAAATAATTTGACCGCAATCAGAGACAGATGATTGGCGGGACTCGACGGGCACTTGGCTCTACCTACATACAGTCTCGACAGTACAATGCCCGACTCGCACTCTGCATGTACGTTCTGCTTCTTGCTGCCAAGGGCTCAGTGCTTGGAACCCTTGAACGCTGGAATCACATTGCTGGTTGTGGTGAATGGGAGGCTGTCATCATAGAGAAAGGAAGCTGTCGTCTACACTACCTGATCGATTGAGCGCCGTCAGTGGTAGCCTTGCCCTCTCAGATCATCTATCAAAGATGAGACTGAGAATGCATCAGTGTTCTTAGTGATAAATTGGCTCGACTACACGCTAATGGTGTGGACGCCAGTGTGGGCGGCTTGGAAGCTCGAGCGATTCGCTTCAAGAAGGTCGGAGTTGTCCATCGAGTTCGGCTTTGGTCCCCTGGAACACGACGTGGCACTTTTGTCGATATCTACAGCGCAGAGATCCGCAACCACATTACCTGCAACGAAAGACGCGGATAATACGTGTCGCTCAGAATAGACTTGGATCGAAATCTTTACCATCGAATGTGCACGACTGCAGTCTGTGTCTCTGGGCTCAATACTGCAGACATTAGACATTCCAATTCAACCAGCGCGGTATCACCATGGCGAATCGTGGCCGCACGCTAGATCCTGACGTATTTTCCATCAAGGACCTGAAAGAGAGAGCATCGAGAAAAACTGCCCAGGATGTATCGAGGTAAGTTTAGTACTTTAGTCATTGCCGGACGCCAGACCAACACTCCACTGAGAGTATTTCCATGAAGGCGCCATGGACATGATAACGTGAGTAAGTCCACAGTCAAGGTCCAACCGCATCAAGCATGTAAAGCCGCCAACACAGTATGTTCGGCAGCCTTCGAGACAACGAGGCTGCCTTTAACAGATATCGCGTCAGGCCTCGAAGCCTCCGAAACGTGTCCGTCGTTGATACTACGACGACGATTTGGGGAAGTCAAGTGCTGTTCTCGTTCGGATTCTCGCCTGCAGCGATGCATCGAATTACCCATCCGGACGGAGAAGTCGGCACGCCAAAGGTTTGTGCAGCACTGAATATTGGTATGGGGCTCAGCGCGTACCCGAATGACTTGCTGGAAGATGTCATTGAGCAGGCTGAGGGGAAGACGAATCCGTATGCCGTGCAGGTCATTCTGTTGAAGAGTCAGCACCTGACTACAAGGTTGCTGAAAAGAGCCGAGAGTGAGTGTAGTCCCTGGGGCTGAGCGGGCCATATCAAGTATCCGGGTCTGAGAGGTTTGTTGCACTTTGCTGACCACAGCTCCAGAGGCTGGATATAAAGCCATCCTGCTAACAGTAGACGCCCCATTCCTGGGGCGGCGTCTGATTGAATTTCGGAACGCATTCTGCATGCCCAAGGGCACCACGTATCCAACTATCGCGCCCGGGGTAGATTTGAGCAATTTGGAAGAAGGAGGGGATAATGAACTGGCATACGGTACGGTCCACCGCTTTGGGTTCGATTCAGATGGTTAGTGATGCTCTCGGAGTGCTGATAGAGTACCGGAAAATGGTGTGGATTGGGAACAGGCGATCTGCTTCGTAAAGAGTCACACAAACCTGGAACTCTGGATCAAAGGACGTGAGTCATTTGCTCTTGGTGATAGAGCCACAGTGGTGACGGTCGCCAAGTGTACACAGCCGAAGATGTCGTGACGGCCATCCAATCTGGTCTGGACGGCGTCGTGATCTCGATTCATGGCGGCAGGCAACTTGACGGCGTCCCGGCGACCCTGGACGCCTGGCGAGAGTGTGCCCCCGTAGCGAAAGGAAAGATCAAAATTGCCATCGATGGAGGCATCCGACGTGGAATCGACATCTTCAAGACCCTCGCGTTGGGTGCCAGCTTTTGCTTTTCCGGAAGGATCCCAATCTGGGGCCTGGCTGTAAGTTTGCGGGTTGCGGAGAGAGTCCGTTTGCTGCTCTAACGAGATGTTAAAGTACAACGGCCACAAAGGCGTCGAACTGGACAAACAGCTTCTGTACGACGAATTCAGGTTGACCATGGGACTCGCCGGGTATGTCAGACTGCTGAAGCATTTCCTCTGTAACGCGCCCACTGATGGCCAGTGTAGGTGCAAAAGCATTGCCGAGATCAATCGTGGACATCCGTCAATCCTGCAGAGCAATGGTGTTCTTGCAAAGCGCTGATGGAGATTACTCGCGAATCAGTGCGAGACGAATGCTACAGCCATGGTAGTAGCATTTGGGCATGTTCAAGCAGTTGCAGCTCCTAGAATCAAATGCAAACTCGTAGAGTGTCAAAGGAATATCTGGAGGCGATGTCTGGAGGTAACATGTTAGTGATTGTGGTTGCGACAATTGTGGCATCTTCCGCGCTCCACCTTGTCAAGGGTCCCGTTGTCCTTCTGCGCTTCCTGCCACGACTCCTCCAGTCCTTCAGTGGGCGAAGCACTCTTTCGATCATCACCTGCACCCTGCCGCCTCAGTACCAGACGCACACTCGACTTCCTCACGTGTAAATGTCTTCATAACATTCTGTCTTGCCCGCGGCGAACATGGACTCCTCATCGTCTCCCAGTCCTCCGCCGCAAGGGCACCCTCCGCTGGAGAAAGACCATGTCAACCTGCGCGTCACGTATCTGGTGACAGGGGACCCACGGCCTCCTCATTCCCTGGGAAATGTGCATCTGAACACCACCATCGCAGATTTGAGGGCAAAGATTCGGTCCGAGCTGCCAGAGCACCCTGCTCCGACTGAGCAAAGGCTCATCTACCAGGGCCGTCCTCTGCTTAGAAACGAAGCCACCTTGCGGGATGTGCTGAGAATCGAGGTACGTTTCACCGACAACTTCGACGGTCTTGTCTAGTCTAACTGTTTCTTTAGCCTGGACAAGAAGCTGGTCCACTTCCATTTACCATCCACATCGTAATACAAAGCCCTCAACCTACTCCTCAACCTCCTCCTCCAGCGGCTCTTCCTGCGATGCATCCACATCTACCTGCCGATGTTGCCAACCCATTGCGAGCGGCCGAGCACTCCGCAAACAGACTGCAAGAGTCGCTTGTCCGGATCCAAGAACAGATCGAGGCGAATCGAGCAGATCTAAGATCGGTGCAACAGAGAATAGCTTTTCAACACACGAATCTGGCTGGTCCTCCCATGGCTGCTCATGGCCATGTTAACGGTCAGCCGCTGCCCAATATCTTGCCGCCTGGCTTCCCCATGAACCTGCCATTCGGACTACCATTTGCGCCGCAGCCACAACTTCCACTACCTCCTACTCGGACACCACATCATCCTGGACAGCCTGCAAATACACCTCCAGCATCACTTGCACAGCACCGCCCGACTGGGGGCACCTCCACGCCGAATCCCGCGCAGCAGAACGGCCAGATACCATATCCTCAACGTGTGACCGTGGTTACTGAAACAGTGAGTATCCAGAACCAAGCCCACCGTCCATCCTCTGCACCTGGACAGCGCCCTCCAATGCCATCCCAGCAACGAGGAAATGTCCCCTCCCACACGCCACAGACCGACAGCTCGACGCCTGCTCCAGTCCTGCCACCTCCCGGCTGGGATTATTCGACCCCAACGACTTTACCGCCTCTGCCTGTCCCGCGACCCTTTGCGCAGCCCCTTGTGAGCACTTTACACCCATCGACCGCTACAGCATGGCTGATGTCCTCACCCACTGGGCCGAGAGCGTTGCTTTTCGCACCGGGCCACGGTTACTTCTCTTCCTTACCACCTGTGGCTACTCAACAACAGCAGGCTGGTGGAGCACTAAACCCCGAGACTCGAACGAGCGATACGAATCCCATGCCTGTGCCTGGAGTGGGTCAAGCGGCCGATCGGGAGCAACAAGGTGGGGATCGCGCAGTAATCAGAGCCGACCAGCTTCAGCCTGCAGGAGCACTGGCTCAAGCACAGCAAAACGGGCAAGAAAATGACCTGTTCGCGTTTCTTATCAATCGGGGATGGCTGTTCCTGAGGCTCTACTTGTTCATGTTCGTCTTCTCTGAACCCGGAACGTGGAAACGTTGGCTCATGATCATTGTGGCCGCAATCGTCTGTCTGCAGCCCCGAGATGGCCCATTCACTCGCTTGATGAGGGCAGCTCGTCGACACTTTGACTCCCTTGTCGGTCCACCACCACGGCCTGGAGCTGTAGCTCCACAGCGTGTTGATGCGGCAGGTCAAGAAGCTCCTGCGCAGAGGCCGGCGAATGTTCGTGGCGCCGTCCAGATGACCCCGCAAGAGGCAGCAGCACGACTCATAGCAGGGCGACAGAACAACCAAGACCGCCCGCCACGCTTCTGGAGAGACGCGTTCTACCGCGTTGAACAGAGTATGGCTCTGTTTCTAGCAAGTCTGATCCCAGGCGTAGGTGAGCGCCATGTCAGAGCAAGAGAAGAGCAACGACGGGAAGAGGAAAGAAGGCGCGCTGAGGCGGCGGCGGCAGCAGCGGCAGCAACGGCAGCAGCGGAGAACCAGAATCTGCCACAGGAAGAAACACAAGTCAATGACCCAGAGAGGCAATCTGCAGTAGACAAATCGGAGGTCAACCACCCCGAAAATGGAGAGCAGAGTACTTCGAGTTCCGTGCAAGCCAGGCAGGAAGATGGTGCTGGAGAGCTGCGGAATAGGACGTAATGATGGGGAATTGCACGGCAGGACGGGCGGAGACTCAGGATGAACTTTGTATACTATCACGATGCCGAAGCCGGCTATGTATTTGTTTTGGAAGCGGAAAATCTTTATGCGCTCTGATAAAGGCATCGGTCTTCGTCGTCTCGTCGTCTACGCCTGGTGTAGTGTGTAGCTCGCCAATTCGAGGTCCTTTCCGCCAGCCCGATTCGGTCTCTTGGGAGCTGCGTCATTGTGCAGCATGAAGAAGACAAGACACTGACGCTGTTCTTGCTTTCCACTCACTCACTGCACTCGGACTGCCCCGACTCTACTTTGTCAACTGACCATGCCATGATGCGACAATGGCTGCCACGACAACTCGAGTAGGCAGATCGTGTCTCTACCGCCGGTCGGCGCGTGACTTCGATGGAGGACGATTCTTGATTGAAGCTCTGTGCCATCCTTCACAAGCGCATCTCCCACTCCACCTAAACGTCCGCCTTCGACCACCGTCACAATCATACCCACAATTACCATCACAACCGCAATCACAGCAGCGACGATGCTTTTCCAACACAAGGAGGCTATTTGAAGAACAAAAGGAACAAAAAAGCAAAAGCAACCAGAGGTTCACATCCCGGCTGGGCAAAGCATGGCGTTCCACAAAGATAGAATGGAAGCCCATCCCCATCGGCCTGGGCATCGCCTTCCTGGGTCTCTTCCAGTTTGCGCGCATGCAAAGAAGCCGAGAAGGCCACGGTGCGTACGGCGACGAACCGCCCCCTCCGAAGCGGCAGAGGGTGTATCCGTCTGGCGGCGGCTGGCAGGTCCAAATCATGTCGACGCTGCCTCTCAAGGCCATCTCGCGCGTCTGGGGCCGCTTCAACGAGCTCACGATCCCTTACTACCTGCGCGTGCCCGGGTTCAAGCTCTACGGCTGGATTTTCGGGGTGAATTTCGACGAAGTGGCCGAGCCGGATCTCCGCGCGTATCCGAACCTGGCTGCCTTCTTTTACAGGGAACTCAAGCCGGGGATTCGTCCGCTAGACCCCAATCCCAATGCTATCCTTTCCCCAGCAGACGCCAAGGTTCTGCAGTTCGGCACCATCGAGAATGGCCAGGTCGAGCAGGTCAAAGGCATGACGTACAGCGTTGATGCCCTCCTAGGGAAAATCGCGCCGCAGTCGCCGAACCCACAGGCCCCGTCCAACATCTTTGGCACCTCGTCTTCCAAAGTCAAGGACACTCTACAGCCGCAGTCCAAAGCAGACACCTCGGAAGACATTTCGGGGGATGAAGAGTTCGCCAACATGAACGGCATCTCGTATACCCTGCCGGGCCTGTTCTCTGGTGGCCCGTCGGCGTCATCATCCCCGGACAAAACTCCGACGCCCAGCCGCGACGCATCCACAAAATCGGCCCCCTCCTCCGAAGCCGCCGTCTCCGCCGACCTGGCGAGCCAGCAACAACCATGGTGGTCGCCCTTTTCCCAGCCCGCGCGCTCGTCCAGTTTGTATTACGCGGTCGTCTACCTCGCCCCGGGAGACTACCACCGCTTCCACTCGCCGGTGAGCTGGGTATGCACCACGCGCCGGCACTTCGCGGGCGAACTGTACAGCGTGAGTCCGTACGTCCAGCGCACGCTCCCGGGCCTGTTCACGCTGAATGAGCGGGTCGTGCTCCTGGGCCGCTGGAAACACGGCTTCCACAGTTACGTGGCGGTGGGCGCGACGAACGTCGGCTCCGTCGTCATCAACTTCGACAAAGAGTTGCGCACGAACTCGCTGACCACGGATACCGAGGCCGATCGCCAGGCCGCGCTGGCCGCGGAGCGCGGCGAACCCTACTCGGGCTTCAGCGAGGCAACGTACCAGAACGCGAGTAAGATCCTGGGCGGCCACGCGCTGCGCAGGGGCGAGGAAATGGGCGGGTTTCGGCTGGGGAGTAGTATCGTGCTGGTGTTTGAGGCGCCCGCGGGCAAGGAGGGTAGGCCCGGCTTGAAGTGGGCGGTCGAGAAGGGCCAGAAGATCAAGATGGGCCAGGCTCTGGGGTATGTGGTGGATGAGGAGGAGTAGTAAGTAGTGAGTAGTGAGTAGCCTGACTACAGTGGTCACTCCTGGTGTACAAAATAGTGCCTGAAGACATGATGTTCTTGTGCTCGCAGAGGCTTTGTCGTTGCCTCGGCGGTCTCGCCGTGTCCTACAGTTGGCATTGGATCCTTCTGCACGGTCGCAGTCGATACGACTTAGTTTCATGGTGTATCGTCTCCAACGGCAGCAACAAGCTACAGCCGTTGGTGTATCACTGTGCGTGTGAAATGACAATGAATCTCACGCCCTGAATAGCGCCGAGGCAACGACTTACTGCTCGTCACCCTAATTGTAACTTTATACCTATCCATGAAGACTACTATCAGGGCTTTCGCCCGCCAGGTGCCAGCACCAGCACCAGCACCAGCACCAATGACCACACCAACGAGACATGCCAGCTCCAGTCTCATTACCATGTTGTTGCCGCCCACGCGGCCACGGCCAACCAAGAAAAGGCTCCCGCCACCAGTAACACCACCACCGCTCTCTCAATGGCTCGCGCCATGGCGGCATCCGTTGGATGCACACAGCAGACAACGCCCTCCTCTCTCCCCACCAGAACCCGCGTCAACTCTGCCACAGCCGTCGTGGCCAGAGGGCCTCCCTCTCCCATCGAGTGGATCAACATCCACCCGCCCGGCAGGTATGCCACCACACCAAACACCAACAGCAGGGTGCCAGCTGTACGCTGGACGACCCGCTCGTCGACGCTGATGGGCGCCTCATTGCAGACCAAGACCGCCCGACAATTCTCCAAGCTGGAATACTCGGAGATGTTGCTGGTGCCGCCTAGGAGCTGAAGAACTCGGCGCGCAGGCTGGCTCCTGATTCGAGCCGGTTCGTCGTCATCGTTTGAGTAATGACTACCAGAAGTTGAGGCATCGGCGACGCGCAGTCGGTTGAGAGTGGTCGAACTGGAGGAGATGTTTGCCAGGCTACTTCCAGTAGTTCGAAAAGCTCGATGGTCCAACAGGCTGTGACTATCGATGAACTGTTGAGCGGTTTCCAGTCCATGGCGCAGGCGCCGACTGTCTCGAAGGAATCGAGAAACGTCACCATCATTCAGTGTGTATCCGCCTTCGTAGAGATGCTGCGCCAACAATGCTTCGTCCTGAGTCATGTACGGGGGTATGATGTTGTGGCTGGTACAGGAGTCTGTCTTCAAGCCTGGAATGAGAGTTTCAAAAGTCGTCGCAGGTTGAACGGCCTCAATGGGTCCTTGGACATGATCTCCGCCATTGCCAGGCGCGCTTCCGTCGTGATAAAAGGCAAGATCAGAGCGTTTAGTTCTCACATCGCCATCATTGAGAATATTTGTGCCGAGATAGGGTAGCTTAAATGTCGAATTGTTTGCTACCACTCGTGGTGCTTCTTCGGTTGACGAGTTCATGGTGCTCGGTGATATGTATGTCCGGGCACAAGCGTTGTCAAGGATCTTGGGAAGGAGAGAGCTTGAAGCGATAGCAGGGGCTGCCACCAACACAGAGTGGTGCCCCGGAAGAGACTGAGAGTTGTCGTAGCTCGAAGTGATGTGGTTCAAAGGTCTCGAAGTCTGGGTTGAAGGATGAAGCGGACTGCCGAAAGAGGCGCGTGCAGGGTTCGAGCAACGGCGATGACCGTCAGCGGCTTTTATCTGTGTCGCTGTAGATTCTGATCCCGGTTGCCTCGTCTTCTTTTCTCTATTACCCGCTGAATTGTCTCTGTGTCTCAGCCGGTCAGGGACAAGTGGATCAAGAGCATGGTTCAGCTGGTCTTTGTGGTGAAGATGAGGGCGCTGTCTGGACGGTTTGGACTGTGTCGAATTTGAGAGCGGATCCCAAGGCGATGCAGGAGTTCTGCCGGTCATGCTTGAGCTGCATGTGTCGACAGTCTTTCTCTTCCGCAGGCGAAACCGTAGCTTTGAGGGTGTGAAAAATCCGCTGCGACGACTCTTTGGTCCATCCTCCCACGCTTCATCATGCTCCATCGCTTCATCGCTTCTATGAGCTGGAAAGGTGACAGGCTCACGACTCTGCTCGCAAAGGTGGTAATGCTCGCAAGCTGGGTCGAGATTTCGCTGTTGTGATGAATCAACACAAAAGGGGTCAGCCTCAGCGGCTCTCTGTTGACCGAGGTTCACCACTGATCTTTGGTGGTTATCCGATCTTCCAAGCTCAAACTTGTCACGAGGCAAGGCCGACTTCGCGGGACTAGCGTCTGCATACTGAGAAACGATTTCTTCAAGGGTGGTAGAAGCTCGACGTTTCTTCCGCTTGGGTTCAGTGTTTTCGTCAGAAGTTTCGAAGATTGCGCTTGACTCAGGGTGATGATCAGCCTCATGGAGAACAATATGCGCCGAGCGGACCTTTCGACACCGCAGGTTTCTCAACCGTATACCATCGTTGCCGAAAGATTGTGGCACGAGCGGCTCTTCGTCAGACGACGAACTTGACGGGCTGAGAGGGAAGCGTGTTCCACTTCGACTTGACGACTCTGGCTGGAGGCTCACTACTCTGCGACCTTGGATCTGGGCATACGCAGACGGCAGATCTGGGAACAGTGGACGAGTCGCACGGCGGTCCGGGCTGGAATAACACGTTGGAATCTCCATGCTGATATTTTGCATGAGAGCCGAATCCGAATGATGTGTCGACTCCAGCGAGGTGCGCCGGATGGATGGTGACAGCGACTGGCTTCGCGGCTGAAACCTTGGATGCTCCCCGTTCAAGGCGTAGGCATTACGCCTTTCATCGATCAGTCGAGCGTTCTGGTAGAAGTGAAGGCCAAAACTCGGAGTACGGGCGAACTTGAATTCGAAGGGGGTTTGAGCATTAGGCGTCGACTGGGATGGCTATCAACAGTGTTAAATTGAGAAGACGGGATCATGTGTGTACTCACGGATGACGATCGTTGTTGCGGTGTTGTGAGATGCTCTTTCACAAGACGATTGTGGCTCTTTCTACTCGTGGTTGAGGAAGGTGTTGTGATCGTGGACGAGGTCGGGCGGTCTGAAGCGTCAGCAATTCCTTTGTCAAGACGTGGTACGATGACATGCCTTCTTGTGGCAAGACAGTCTCTTGCACTCCATCAAATCGCGAATTCAAGGTGTGTTTGCCCAGAAAGGAGCTGGGTTGAACAGGGGCTTGCAGGTGGCTGAGCAACAATTCTGACTCTTTCTCTTTCTGATCACTAAGAGGAAGCACACAACAGTGGTCTGCGATGGTGTTTGTCCTGCTTTGTGTCCTCTTCAGGAGAGGTGGTGTGGAAGACTTTGAAGGACCAGCAGACAACGCTAGCGACCTTGGGTCCGGCCGTATAGAATTGCAGGCGGACAGATCAGAAAGACTGCTGGCCTCCACCATACGACACCAAGGAGCACTGGACGATCGGACATGCTTCATTTGTATGCGTCGACCGCTCCTCGGCGAACCCAGCTGGCCATCTTCCCCCGATTCCTGGTCTCTTTCCCTGCGCCTCTCGTTGAGACCAACAACATGGCGCCATCTCAGCTCTGCCAACTTCCACGACATTTTTGGGATCCACGACGCAGAAACGACCAGCAAGTGTGGGCTTTGGTCTCAGAGAATGTGGAATGAGACTAGGAAATTGAGCATGGACAAGCATCCAACTGGTGGACAGGTCAAGGACCAAGACGAAGACGCTCTGAAGGGGAGGCTGGGACAAGGATCCCTTCCAAAACTTCCAGAACACCAAAAGGCAGACCACAGGATGGAAATAACCACAGTCGACTCGCGGGTACAGGTGGTGAACGAGCAACTAGGGAGTTCAAGCAGGGTCAAAGCATGGGAAGAGCGGAAAAGGTGCAATATGAAGGCATGGCTGACCATGGCTCCTGCTAAAGCCATCCTGGAAGCAGCCATCAAGTCGTTGAGGCCAGCCTCACTGTTCAGTGGGAGGAAAGGTGCGAAGGAGGCAGCTGTAGTCAAGACCGAACTGGCTCGGACCTGCCTGGCATGATGGAGAACACTCTTTGAAATCCTCTTCCTGCCAGACGTAAAGCTGGGCAATGACGGCGCTGAATGTCGAGTGCAAACTTGCATCCAGTGTGGCTACATAGGTAGTGAAGACGATGGTACGGGGTAAAGTTGAAGACAAACTGAACCACTGGAGCCACTACGAAGGCGCATCCCAACACCGGAGCGCAGTTGTTCCGCTTGGGTTCATTGATGTCATCGATATGGGCCCATGACAGCCTCGCCCTCGTCTACTGTGATAATGCTCGTGGACAGAACGTCTGCAGTACCTATTTCCTATCACGTACCAGTCCTTTCTTCCAACGTGGACTACTTGAACGTCGAAATGTCGCTGGCCGACTCTTGCTGCACATGCGCAACACTTCTCAGCGATGTAAAGGTCCCTTACGACCCCGATTCTGAGAAACCCCTGCTGTACAATCGACGACTCGACTGCTGTTCGCGCTACATCTGCGCCAGCTGTCAATCTAAGAATCCGCGGTTTCAAGATTACTGCCCGTTCTGTCAGATATCCTCCGGTCCTTCAGCCTTGCCCAGAGAAGGGCTTCGACTACCTCCGTCCTACACAAAAACTCCGCATGCACGGAATGCTTCAAGGACGGAATCGCCACCACCATCGTATGACGACTTGCTAACGCCCAGGCGGGTGCCGGAGCAAAGCACAGAGCCTCCAGCTGACACTGAAGACACTGTCCACTTCGTCGGCTCGGACGACTCGTTGCAGGCTCTTTCCCTCGCATACGCAGTGCCGATCCCGATACTGCGTAGGCACAACCACCTCTACTCGGATCAACTACTCCAGGCTCGAAAATGGATCCTAATCCCCCGATCACATTACAACGGGCCCCCGCTTTCGACCCCACCCGACCCTGCTGAGGAGGAGAGAAAGACCAAATTGCGCAGGTGGATGGTTGCTACCAAATGCGCGGATTACAACGTGGCCCAACTGTACCTCAAAGGCAGTGATTACAACTTGGAGATCGCCGTGGAGGCCTTCAAGGCGGACGAGGAATGGGAGAAGAATCACCCGCTAGAAGGGAAGGGCAAGGATAAACCAAAACCAAGAAGCCGCTTTGGAAGAGGTGGGAGTTTATCGGGTCAGCTGTCATGACGATTCAGGTTGGTCTACGAGCCCATCGAGTGTGGGCCACTCGCTTCAAGATGAAGCGAAGGACTGCGTTATATTTCCTGGCAAGACCGGTTGGGGGCGTGGGACCTGGACCGAGGCCACCACTGTCCATTTCTTGTCCGGGATCTGCTGCAGGCGCTGCACCAAAGGATATGTCCAGGCAATATTACAGAATTTGCTGGTCGAGTATCGCTCCCTCTCGTCGACGGGGGGTTCCTCCCCGGCCGGATGTGCCAGCGCTTCAGCCGTTATGTACTTTGCGTTGGGAGAGCTAGTCTCCCGGGCTGGACCATTCGTTCCGCTGGTTGTGACGACATTGCGAGCCTCGTCTGCTAGGTACTGTTGAGCAGATGTAAGAGAGCGGCGTGGCCAACATGATTGATACCGAAGGTCGCTTCCATACCATCGATGGTATGGCGGATCAGCACAGGATTTGCAACCCCAGCATTGAGAAGCAGGGTGACGACGAGCGAAACTTATTCTTCTCCCAGGATTCGACGAAGGACCGGACATTCTTCTGGTCGCCCAGGTCTGCCGACAAGGACTGGACATTGGTCTGTCCGAGCTTTTCAACGCTCGCCTTTGCGCTGTGAGCGTTATCTTTACGCGAGGCAACAACAATGCAGTGGTCTGGTCGCCGTCGAGCGTTCTCAACAGCAGCTCGGAAGCCATTTCCAGTTGTGCCTCCGGTGACGAGGACTGACCGCGTGCACGTCGACATGTTGAATATGCTGGCTATGAGCACAGGATCGTGTCTCTGGCGGCTGGGGTGCGTTGTGCAACAAGAAAGGACACTCCTACATGAAGATAGACCAGCATACATATATGTATGCTCATCAAGTCAGGCACCTACAAGACAGACACAGCAGTCACTCGTAACACCAGCCGGTTTTCCGACATCCCCGAGACGATGGCCCTCACTATTCCATGTGGCATGTGGCATGTGTGCACGTATCTCGGTGCTGACATGCTGCCTTTCCCCTTAGTCGAAGTACCTTTGACCTACAGTCCTAAAAGTTGTGCCCTCACTGGATGACTTTCCTTCGTAGCGGCCGTGTTCGGCAGAAACTACGTCCTCATCCATATTCCGAGGTCCAGTGTTGCGCAGGCATAGCTCGGGCGTGTTGAGGAGATGAAGATGCGCCCGATAGTGAGCGGTCATAGACCAAAGGAAGGGAAAAGAATTAAGTTAAGCAATGTTGTCTATGTGACGTTTGTGTCGAAGGAGTAACTGATCACCCCGTTCTCCGTAGTCTGTAGACTTCGAGAAGACATCCCTCCTCGCTTGTATATGCCACTCAGCCTTACGGACGAATTGTCGACTTGCCAGTAAATTTGCCTGACTAATTACTTCGTAGTGATATCAAGCTTGAGCTGCAAGTCCCCCGGAGTTATACGGCCGACGAACGGACCAAGGAGGAACCTAAGCTGCCGTCGGCGTCGTGGAGGTCGCGCCCAGCGACAACTGTCCCATATCATCGTCTGAACTCAATCTCCTCTCTACCTTAGGTACGTACAACATATGCGGTCGAGCTACATACCTCCATCTGATACGATCCGGATGGACCTAACAGCTTATTCGCTTACGACGCTAGACCTCAAAGCAGTTGCCCTGGCATCAGGCCACCAGTGGGCGTTGTGACGAATACGACTCTTCAACTGTCGCATATGGCTGACGGTTCAGCCACAATCACCTCGCCTTGTGAGTTCTTCTACCTCTTCCTCTGTCTGTTCCCCGTGGTCACGCACAAAGGCTTTCAACATGTCCGTGTCCCTTTACAACGCCTGCGCTGTTGTGGGTGCATCCACCCTCAGCTACATCTCCTTCAAAACCCTTTCTACTCTTCTTTTCTACCTGCACTCCTCCAAGATACAGCGTTATCACCATGGGCACGAACCCTGGGCTCTGGTCACCGGCGCCAGTGACGGTATCGGCCTGGAATTCGTGAACCAACTGGCCCAGCGTGGCTTCAATGTCATCCTGCACGGCCGCAGCGAGACCAAGCTTAAGAAAAGGCTCTCGGAGCTGCAGCCGAAATACAAGACCAGCTTCAAGTTGCTTGTCCTCGATGCCACCGCGCCGGCTACTCCGGAATTTGACGAGACGGTCCTCTCGGCCGTGCAGGGTCTCAATCTGACAGTCGTGATCCACAATGTCGCGGGGAACGGTGAGGCAAAGGTCGACATGCCTATGTTCTTGGACTTCTCTGCGAAGCAGTGCGACGGCTGGATCGATGTCAACGCTCGCTTCACCACGCACCTTACGCGGCTGCTTTTGCCGGTGTTGCTCAAGAGCCAGCCCGGCCTGATGCTGTTCATGAGCAGTGCTGTGACGGAGATGGCCTCCCCGGGCGCCTCCTTGTACACTGGGGCCAAGGCCTATCTCGAGGCGCTGACGAAATGTCTGAACGTGGAGATGAAAATGCAAGGCCACGACATTGAGATGAAGTCTCTGACGACGGGCATGGTGGCCACGACGCAAACAGGCAGGTCTGAGAAGGACGTCTCCTTCGTGGTGGCGAGCACGCGGGCGTTCGTCCGCGCCACTCTCGCACAGGTGGGCTGGAGCTGGGGGACTCCGAGAATCACCCCGTACATCGGACATTGGGTGCAGTTCGGCTTGATCACGAGTCTGCCAACCAGGCTGCAGGACATGATTGTCATTTCGATGGTGAAAAAGGTACAAGCACAGATGGCCAAGCGGGACTAGCGCAACAGAACAGGACAGTATCAATCTACATACGTATCCGGAAACTTCAGACGCTCAGGAGCGTCCTGCTCCTGTACGACCAGCCAGTACAGCTTCCGGAGACTCCTTTCCTCCTCGTCATCACTCAGCCTATCATCTGCAATCTCCTTCATCTCCTTCTGGTACCTTTTCTCGACCTTTGTCCTATCCCTCTCGTACTCGGCCAAGACCTTGTCCTTCTCCCGCTCTAGCTTGGCCACGTCTCTAGTCTTCTGCTTCCTACCAGCACTCTCCAACTTGGCATCAATCTCCCGCAATTCCTTCCCCGTTTCCTTCTCAATCTTCCCTACCTCCCGCTCGAACTCCTGCTCCGCTTTCCGAGCCTCCCTGCGATACCCCTGATGCGCCTTGCCGCGCTTCTCGAGCAGCTTCTTCTCCCCCTTCGCCCGGTTGCGCTCGCTGACTTTCACGCTCAACCGACTCAGCGGGTTATTAGGCGCCTCTATCCCCAGCAAGGGCGCCACATCCAACTCCGCAATCCAGGGCTTCAACGCATCTAGCCTTCTCTGCTGCGCACTGATGTCGAGGGGCTCATCGTGGTCGCTCCCGCCCAATTCCAAGCGCGCCAACAACTTCGCCTTCTTGTCCAACTTGCCATCCGGGCCCAACACGCCCGGCACGCCCAGCAATTTCATCAACGCTTCCGTCTTTGCGATCTCGACTCGCAGACCCCTGGGTCCGAAAAGGTCGACGTTTGCCCGCCGCAGCTCCAACTCCGTGCGTCCATGCTGGATCACCCCCGCGGCCACCCCGGCCGTGAGGTTGATCACGCCGCCCGCGATCTGGGCCGCCGCGCTGGGCACGAAGCCGACGATGTTCCCTGCCAGCCCCAGCACCTGCAGGGGCGGTGACTTGACGGCTACGCGGTTGAGCGTGTCGAGGAAGGAGAGGAACGTTTCGGCCGAAATGCCGGACGAGGCCAGACAGGGCGGGTAGCACCGCAGGAAGGGCGCGCCGTATTGTGCGACGGTTGCGGGGATGGCGATCGGTTTGTCTAGCCTCGCGTGAACCGCAGACCGGGGACCATGCGCAACAAGGGGAAGGACAGGGTGTTGTGCCCGCGGAAGTGGCTCGCTGTGGCTCGCGTGGCCATATGGAGGTTGGGACGGTGTGTCCTTGCGGTCGACGTCGGCATCTGGGTACGTCGCTTCTTCGTACGCAGGTGGTCGAGGTCCATAACTCGGAGCTCCCGCGTCACACCAGTCTTGGTTGACGTAGGAGCTGGTGTAGGACTGCTGTTGTGGATGGGGCTGCGGTTGTCCACGTTCTGGGGAGGGATTGTAATGAGGCGAGCGAAAGCCAGGTTCTGATTTTGTGAAACTCATGGTGTGGAGACCCAACACAGACAAGGGTATTGATCACTACTGCAAGTCCTCTGGTACAGAAAGACACATGCAATATCAAAGAGACGTCGATGTGGTACTGTAGTGCCTTCAGTCTTGGGAGCGCATTGCGATCCTCTTTAAATACAGTACTGCGTGCGAAGCATATGCGTTCCTCTCATTGCAATCTACAGAGCGCATCAGCTTGCCCGTTGTGTCTCTATCCGCGAGGTCCAGTACAACAGCACCCAGCACTGCCCGATCTGCCTCGTATGACGAAAAGGTGAAGCTGAAGGGTGAGATTTCTCCACTTCATGCACCGCTAGAAAGAAGGGAGTTGGGCGAAGTCGAAAGTACATAGGTACTGTGCTATGTGAGTGCTCCGTGCAGGATACCCAACAGGGGCTCCACAGGGCTCATTCGCAGCCTCACAGATCCCCTACCAGAAGGCCCAGTCTACTCGTATCGGCAGGGTCACTAGAGATACGGGAATACTCCGTACCTACCTAGTAAGCATGCATGCAAGCACTACAAGCCGCAGGGACCACTGATCTGGACTGACCAGTCGGGATATTTCGGCCATGACTATTATGGACCTATCGTAGAATATACCGCAAAAGGAATGGTGTAGTTACAGTAGCACCCACTTAGATCGTGGTGTGTTGCGCCCAGCCCAATCCGGGTAAGGACTTGGATCGCCCTACTTGGCCCACTCCCGTACACAGTACGTTGTGATGGCATGACCCGGCACGACGAACCGAATTTTTGCGGCACAGCCTCATGAGGTGCGAAATCAGCTTGTCCCTTTCGAAATTGCTTTGCGGCTGATGATGTTGTTGCTGCTGGTGCCTGAGGGTCCTTCGCGGTGGGCTGTTTGTTCGTCCATCTGCAAAACATATCGCGCTCCAAGAGCCCGCCTATTTCGCTACTCTCAAGTGAAGGATGACAACACTTCTTGCATGCCCTGTTGTGCCGTCGGGATAGACGATACTCCGTATGCAGGCCTGAGTTAAATATAGGGTCTGGACGAAAGTTGTCCTGATACGCCTTCTTGCTGCCAATCGGCAGGTCGTGGAAAGCGCGCCGATAACATGTCTTTGTGATGGTAGTTGCTGGACGCGATAGCTCGCTGATCTCGCTGAGCTGGGTCGCCGGTTGGAGACCAAGACTCAGGTATTCGATCCCAGCTTCTCGAAGAAGGAAACGGCTGAAAGGATCAGAAAGTCGGTGATGCCCTTGGGTGCGTCTGGCGTCGCGCAGTGTAGATCAATGTGATACCCTCTATTTGCACCAGCCTTGCGCAATGCTGGAAAAGCCAAGATAGTTCCCGTGCCAGTCTGTCGTTTAAAGATAGCTCATCAGGGCGGGGATGGCAGAGGGGTCAAACACAATCGCGAGAGTCTGATGCTGGCCGGACCCATTGCAGTTCCTCCGCCACGAGTTTCACACTTGATGTAATTTCTGCTCAAAACCCTCATCCGTTCGACAAGGGGAGCTCATAAGCAGCAAGTGACTGGAATGGTCGGTGGGCGATACTAGAAGCCAGGATATGAGTCGTCCTTGCAAAGCAGTGCCTTCACAAACCAGCAGCGCTCCAGTCTAGGCAGGAAGCCTTTGCATTGGCCGCACGATTGAGCTGGTGGGAAGGAAGAGCAATCTGCGAGACATCATCAGCTCGCTTTGCACGAGCGGTTCGGACTGTGCACCTGTTCTGACCCTGCTGCGCATTGATTTACGATAGCATATTCCGCTGGATACGGGCGGAGACCGCGATTCCGACGCTGCCTTTTATGCGGAACGTAGTCCGATGAGAAAACCTCAACTTCAAATCATTCCATCAACACAGATTCCATTTCTGGATCTTCCGGTGCTAGCAACTGGTATGCATGCATTCGTGGGCCCAACGTGTTTCCACCCCTGGTTCCGCAGCCAGAATGGTAGGCTTGCTTCCTAGGTGGACAGATTGACGCAAGTCGAAACAGATTTTCCACCACGAAACCAGCTCATGATGTGTTTCGGAGACCAGCCGCGTGTCCTCAAAGCGTGCTGCGAGTATTGCCGACAAGAGGTCAAATAGGGAACAGGGCTTGGCGAGGAAGTACTCGAGTGTGAGGCTGGGACGGAAATGGATGTTGCAGGAGCACAAGGGCAACCGTTCCGAGAACGGTGTCTGTCCGAGGCTTTCAGCGAGCCACTGTACAGTACGGAGTATTGTGCGTGGATTTGACAGGTGCTCCAGCCATAAAAATATATTCAAGCTCATGTAGATTCTGCAGAACGCAACCCGACGTACAGAGTAGTTGTACTCCCCAGTGGTACGGAGTAGAAGAGAATAACTGGTACTCAGGCCGCCGAATGTTGCCACCCAAGAATTACTCCGCAGCCCGGTTCAATAATCGCCACTAACGCAGGTTCTTGACGCGTTCGTGCTTGCACCCAGTTGAGAGCAATGCGCGTCAGGCGGGGAAATGAAGAAAAGTGGTTACGGGTTTGACCGTGTCGGTTGCATGTCGACGAGACCTCAAAAGTACAAGTCTTTGCTCGATAGTGATGATATGAAGGGGTTCTCAGACGATGCTTTCCAACAATTTTCAACCCCTCAGATTCCTTTCACCACGTAAACAAAGCACTAATTAATCGATCTCAGTTGACCAATTAATTAGTTCCCTCTCACCTTCACCTCACCAACTGCCCTCATGTCACGTTTCCGTCGCATGAGTCTGCCTTCTCTATGTACTGCTGAGGCTATCCTATCCGCCCCTCACGGTCGCGACCTGCCTCAGCCCACTTGACTCCGTCCTACGCCACATCTGCCTGAACTTCTTTCACTGTACCGAGACAACACCACCCCACTTCCAACCATTCCCATATATCCAACATGGAGGGACCGTCAGATCCAGCGCTGCTTGCCGAGATGGAAGACCTTCGCGACGAGATTGCCCTTAAGGAAGCCATTCTCGAAAGTCTCAATGACGATGGCAACGGTTCCGAGGACGAAGAGTTGAGGAAGACGGCCAAGAAGGAACTCAAGAGGCTTCGCAAGCATCTTCGTGTTCTGCAACCTGCCGCAAATAACGAGGAGGACGAACTTGATCCTTTGCAATCCCTTGATCAAATACCTGGAAGAACGCCCGACTCCCGTACCGTCAGTCGCCCGCCTCAGCCCGCCTACCGATCAGACCATCTTTCTGCTTCGGCCCATTATCCACTTCCGAGCCGCAAGCGACAACGCGCACTCTCCGACGAGGAGAGACAAGACTCCTTCAAGTCTCGACGGACAACTCCCACCTCTACCCTCACACCTCCTTCGCCAGCAGATTCATCTGACGGGTTGGACAGCCTTGACGATCCTTTCCTCGACTCCTTGTTTGGGGGCTTGACAAAGGAGGAGCTAGAGCATAACCAGGAGTTCTGGAGACAAAAACAGCAGGAAGAGAATGATGAGAAATTCGCCCAGAGTCTCTCTCAAGAATGGGCAGGCGGATCAGCCACGGAGCCGACGCAACCTACACTGCCATATCGTTCTGACTATACACAGTCGTTCCTCAGGAGCGATGGCTCATTCGTCAAGTCGGAACCCTCTGACAATGCTAGTCGCTCGATCACCATCAAAGCGGACCCAGGCCCAGCCTATATGTCTCCGACGAGCATGCGGGAGGACCCAGCGACTTTGAGACCTGTCAAGCACGAAACCGCGCGACACGGTACTTTCAGAGCCGAACTGGGCATGAGTCCCTCACTGTCCATGCCTGGAGCATTCCCGGACGCCCTCCCACAAAATCAAGCCTATGATAGCCTTGGGGGCCTCTCTGTGTATGGTAGCCGAGGTAGTACTGGCCTCGGTACTGACAGTCCAGATCAGTACGCGCAGCCGCTTGGTCAGTTGGATCCAAATCTCGACGCCATTCGCCACGGTGCTTTCGAGCGGTCCTACGACGGAGGCCGGGAACATGCGCAGACACAAGCCGAGTTGAGACAGCTTTTACAACATATTCGTCCTGACGAAGAGCTCACAGCAGATCAGATGCCGGAGCAGCCTCCGGGTTTGAAAGTATCATTGATGCCACATCAGTTGAGTGGCTTGGCTTGGATGAAGCGCATGGAGGAGGGCACTAATAAAGGGGGCATTTTGGCAGACGACATGGGCCTTGGAAAGACGCTTCAAAGCATCGCGTTGATGCTCGAACGCCCACCGCCCGAGAACAAGCATCGACCAACGCTAGTTGTGGCGCCCGTCGCGCTCATGCATCAGTGGAGGCGTGAGATTGAGAAAATGGTTCGACCACGCCATCGCATGAACGTCTTCATTCTTCATGGCGACACCAGAAAGGCGACATGGTCGAGTTTGAGGGCTTATGACATTATTCTAACCACCTACGGACTGCTCGCGTCCGAGCTCAAACGCAAGGCTGTGCTCGATGAGAAAGCCAAACGATTGCAGAACTATGTGCCCACCCCTGCCGAGGACTGCCCTGTTTTGGGAGACAGATCTCGCTTCCACCGTGTTATACTGGATGAGGCACACAATATCAGTAAGTCAACTTCGCCCTTAGATGTGGGTTAGCGATCGACATTTGTCTGAACTGTACTGTTTAAACTATTACTTTCTGCCGTTGCCATGGTTCCAAGTCTCCCTCAAGCGAAGCAGCTTCTGACGAATCTACCAGAGAATAGAAACACAAAGGCTGCTCACGCAGCTTGTCGTATACAGGCCGACTACCGTTGGTGTCTGACAGGTACGACGCAGTTCCCTTTTTCGGTCAACGCCAGAGCGGACTTTTCGACTGCAGGCTGGCGACCATGGATCAACTTCAAGAGCCAGAACTGACATTTCACAGGGACGCCCATGATGAATGAAACGGAAGAGATGTTTAGCTTGGTCAAGTTCTGTCGAATCCGTCCTTATTGTACGTACTCCAGAATCCCGCCGGTTTTCTCTTCGAGGATGTCCTGTTCGTCCTGGAGCCGTTCGATGCTGATCTGCGATAGGCGATTGGGAGAGATTCCGGAAAGATATTGCCGCTCCCTTGAAGAGAAGACACGAAGCTCCACAGGAACGCGGGATGGCAACTCTCCAAGCATTGCTCCGTGCCATCCTACTCCGACGGACCAAGCAATCGAACATTCATGGCCAACCGATTCTTCAACTCCCTCCGAAAGAAACGACGGAAGATCGAGTTGTCTTTCTGGAGGACCAACGTGAATTTTATTTTGCCCTAGAGAACAGTGCACAAATTCAGATGAACAGATGTAAGTCTACCTTTTCTGGAGTGGCTGGAACTCAGGTGGCAGATTGCTTGGCTATTGTTATCCTTATTGTCGACAGCTGACGCGAAAATGCAGATCTACAAAGGGGTACTGTGGGACGACACTACGCCAACATACTGGTATTGCTGCTTCGTCTACGTCAGGCAGGTCAGTACTATCTACAATCTCTTCGGCGCTTCAAATCCCTGTTCACCTTCTAGTCCTGTGGAGCTAACAGCTTCAAAGCATGTCACCCCTTTCTGGTCACTGCAAGCAAAGATTTTGTTCAGCTCCCTGGTGGAGAATTGACCACGGACGTTCTCATGCGAAATGCTGCACAACTTGATATCAAGGTCGTTGAACGCCTGAAGCAACTCGACGCTTACGAATGTCCGATTTGCTTCGATGTCACCGAGAACCCCTCCTTGTTCTTTTGCGGGCATGCCGTGAGTACTCTCATAAATTGAACGTGTCTGTAACAGTGCATGCTAATAGGCTCTTGCAGATATGCGGCGATTGTCTTAGCAGGTTGACTGAAGACAGAAACGACAATGGCGCCAGACCGAAATGTCCACAATGCCGCGCCGACATCGACATCAATAATGTTACGGATTACACCAGTTTTCTTCGTGTCCATTGTCCCGAGCACGAGTCATTGCAGGAGCTGGATCTACACATGGATGGGGGGTTCGTCTCAGACTCTGACTCCGACACAGATGATGAGAGCGATGATTCCGACGAAGGAGATGATCTCAATGGCTTCATTGTCTATGACACCGACCCGGATGCCGAGTCCAGCGTTCGGAAGCCGGCGCAACCACCCAAGAAGAGCAAGAAACGTTCTAAGGCCAAGTCCCAAGTACGAGTGAAGCAACCACCAAAAAGCCTTGCACAGCTTCGCAAGGAGGGCCTGCGTAACAAGAGCGCAAGGAGAAGGTATCTCAAACGCTTGAAGAAAACTTTCGAACCTTCGGCAAAGACGATCCGGACCTTGGAGATTCTCGAGGAGATCAAAGGCCGCGGTGAAAATGAGAAGACGATCGTCTTTTCCAACTTCACTTCATTTCTGGACATCATCGAGACCACGCTCTACGATCACAAAACGCTTAGTAACTACGTCCGTTACGACGGGTCGATGAGCAGCAATGAAAGAAATGACGCCGTCCTCGAATTTACGGAGAACCCGAATTGCGGCATAATCTTGGTCAGTCTACGGTCTGGGAACGCGGGCTTGAATCTGACAGCTGCGAATCATGTCATCATGTTGGATCCTTTCTGGAATCCCTTCGTCGAGTACCAGGCTGCGGATCGCTGCTATCGCATTGGACAGCAGCGCCCAGTCACCATTCACAGAGTCCTAATAGGCCAGGACGACTCTGAGGACGGGAATTCTCTGAGAGCCCCCGCAGATCCTTCAGTGGGTTATACAGTCGAGGACCGGATCCTGAACCTCCAAGAGAAGAAGCGCCGACTGGTCGAAACTGCGCTCGATGAATCGGCAGGCCGGCAAGTGTCTCGGCTCGGTGTACGTGAGTTGGGTTACCTCTTTGGGCTCAACAGCATTTGAGCCCATCCGACTCGTTAGAAGGCCCTATCAGCAGACAAATCCCTAACCCTATGTACAACATATCGCCATTTTCAGCCATGGGACACTCTACAGTGGCTCATGACGATACAGCATGACTCGGCGCATGACATCTAGACATGAAATAAAACAGGCAGCGGGCTCACGCCCATGGGGATACGATTTATGATAGCATGAAGTAAGGTGCCTTAACTGGTGTCGCAGGTGTCGGAACCCTGGATATCTCTAGCAGAGGTTCACGTTTTTCGGGAAACAATGAGAGACTGCGGTCTACAGTCGCATAGGTACTCTAGCATAGGATGAAACTGCATAAAATCTCAATCAGATATGGACATTGAGCACAGCTGTAAACCGTCTCTGGGCAGAAACAGGGCTTATGCATATCGTTAATATACGAAGATGAATCTTCGTTCTCTCAGTCGGTCTTGTCATCAAAAGCATGATGACCCGTCACATCTTCGAAGATCTTGACCTTCGTCAGAGGCATCCCCGGTTCTTGCCTTCACTCAGCTCATGGACACATCGTTAATAAATGCAGGCTTCCCTAGGCGTTTGTGGGTGCTTGAATGCTTCTTGTTGAGGATCATGAGGTAGAAGACTTGGGCGGCGTACAGTCCAATAAGTACGACAAACAAGGCAAGACTATTATTCCTTGGTCAGCAAGCGATTGGCGAGGTGACCGATACCAGGCTTTCTTACTTTGAGAGTAACCCTCGATGGTAAAGCGGTGCTTCTCCCGTGGTGTACAGGTTGGGTCCGAGAACGTTACCAGCGCATTGGGCTATGAAGAGGGCCCCAGTGGTGACCTGTAATGCGTCAGCCATTGATCGTCGAGAGTGAAGGTTTCGAGGATTACCTTCATCTTCGTCTCTCCAGCAGTGTTGGCCGCGGACCACGAGTAGATCAACGGTGCTACTGCCATCAGTGCTGGCCAGACAGAGTCAGTCTGCGATAGTACTTACTGATGCCGGGATAGATCGATATCTGTTCTTGTCAGCTGCGCGCCAGCCACTGGAGGACACGGCCTGACTCACCAAGTAGTATGCCACCAACAAAGGCGCCTTAGCCAAATAGCGAGGCGTATGCCAGAGTCGCCTTGTCCAGAGCTTGCAGGAAGTATATCCCAAGCACGACCGGTAAAATGAACAGGTCGATCTTTTTCAGGACTCGGGAATTGTTCTCCGGAGGCAGGAAAACCCTTTGGCCTCCCGCGTCGGCGAGAATCTTGTTGGCTTTGTCGAGCTGCGGTAGGTCGTCGACGTCAGTCTTGTTCTCAACATGGTCGATGGGTGCTTTGACGCCAGAATCTCCCATCTTAATTGTTCAGGCTGTAGGCCGGATAGTCACCTGTGCCGGCCGATTTTCGAGATGACGTTCGAAATATCCGTCGCTCTGGCCGCCGGGGATGTAGCTATCATAAATACCCCTTAGACGAAAGGTTGCATCGCCTTGAAACTGGGGGGTCATTCGATCTCGACTTGCGATACCCATGCCGCCTATGCTTTTCTGGGGGATCACCGTTCATCATACCCTGCAGGGTGGACAGGTCGACTGATTCCGCTGTCCAGGAACGGGGCAGACATGACTGGGGACGATCTGCGGCACCATCAACGCGGGGAGACCAGACGAAGAAGAGGGCCAACGCCGTCGGGCCTGTCAGCGCAAGTAACGAGGCGAATGGGAGCAGCAATGCCGTGGATTGGTAGAGCAACGCCAGATTGCAAGGATCGCGCGTGGCAGCCGGCTTCCGATGCCTGCCTCTTCCTCTGTCACTTCTGCCGTAGCAGCGTGTCGGGCGTCTGCCTTTCATCACCTTGTCGACCCGAGGGACACCTCGCAAATATGCCCGAACAACTGATCCTGAAGCATGTGGGATGCGTCAAATTGAGTACTGTGCTCGAGTATCCCTATCAGCAAAGCCCTTCTTTCGTGAAGGTCGTGCTTCCTTGTCGACAGCATCTTCTGCTCCATCCCGAGTGCTTTCCACGTCGCCAGTATGCCGCAGCTAGAGAATATCCCAAAGTTCTACAAACAGGTCGCCGCAGAATCGAAGAGACCTGGAGCACTTCATCTTCAGTCTAATGATCTAGAGACGAAATTCGACTTGACCTTCGAGCCAGTGTTGCCCAACGTGCTCAGAACCACATTCTCTTCTACGTCTCACCCGCTCCCGCCATATCCGTCCATACCTCCACCAGAAGGCGACATCTCAGGGACCAAGGTCACGTCGTTCCGGCCGAGCGAGCAAAGTTGCGTTACTGAAGTTGGCAATGTCAGGGTATCAATTGAGTGGAGTCATGCCCCAGTGGTAAGCTTGAGCTGGCTGGACTCGGATGAGGTTCTGCATTCTGATCTCTCGTTCCGTTCTTATGTTGTCGATGGCCCCGGTATTGCTCACTATACGCAACACGACCGAAAAGCTTTACATGTTGGACTTGGAGAGAAAGCTGCGCCGATGGATCTCACGGCTCGCCATTTCCAGATGTCGGCAACGGATTGCTTCGGGTACGAAGCTTACGCGACTGATCCGATGTATAAGATGATGCCCCTGTTGGTGAAAGCAACGTCGCATGGCTGCATTGCGATGGTCTCCACAAGCCACTCGAGAGGTTCATGGTCCGTTGGCTCCGAGATCGATGGTCTATGGGGCCACTTTAAGGTCTACAGGCAAGACTACGGCGGGCTGGAGGAATATCTGATCGTGGCACGCACGCTGAAGGATGTGGTGTACAGCTATGCGCAGCTCGCTGGGTTCCCGCTTCTCTCTCCACGTTGGGCTTACGGCTACATCTCTGGTGGCTACAGGTATACTGCTCTCGATGATCCTCCGGCACACCAAGCGCTTCTAGAGTTCGCGGAGAAGCTCAAGAAGCATGATATTCCGTGCTCTGGCCACCAGATGAGCTCCGGTTACTCGATAGCCGAAACCGAGCCCCGAGTGCGCAACGTCTTTACCTGGAACAAACATCGGTTTCCGGATCCCGAAGAGTGGATTCGGCAGTTTCATGCCCAAGGCATCAAGCTGTTGACGAACGTCAAGCCCTTTGTTCTCGCGTCACATCCTGATTACGAGTACCTGGTAAAGAAGACTGGCCTGTTCACCGATCCCAGAAGGAAGAAGAACGCGGAGATGCGGCTCTGGAGTGCTGGTGGCGGTGAAAGCGGGATCGGTGGCCACCTTGACTTTACTTCGGCGGCGACGTATGAATGGTGGGCTCGTGGTGTCGAGAGGCTGAAAGAGCAAGGCATTGATGGCATGTGGAATGACAACAACGAGTACCCTCTACCCAATGATGACTGGCAGTTGGCCCTCGAAACGCTGCTGGCAGCCAGGCCCGACGCACCGAATAAGCTTGGGCTCTGGGGACGTGCTATGCACTCTGAATTGATGGCAAAGGCGTCGTACGAGGGTCTCCTACGAGCGGAACCTGGTGTGCGGCCGTTCGTCCTGACTCGCAGCGCGAGCATCGGAACGCTGCGATATGCGTCAAGTTCTTGGAGCGGCGACAATAGTCAGTTACCCTCAAGCATCGGCCAGTATCTGCCAACCTTCAAATTGTCCTGATCAGGTGTGGGAGGCTAACAACGACGCAGTGACATCTTGGGAGTCGATGAAGGCTGCGAACGCGATATCGTTGAATGCCGGGATCAGCTTGTTGCAATGTTACGGTCACGATATCGGCGGCTTCGAGGGCCCTCAACCTTCTCCCGAATTGCTGCTCCGTTGGATTCAGCTGGGATGCCACCAAATCCGCTTCGCAATCAATTGTTTCAAAACGTCGCCGCAAGACAACCAAGCCGGGGAGGTAATTGAGCCGTGGATGTACCCGGAGATTACGCCACTGGTACGCATGGCGATCAAGCGACGCTACGAGATCATGCCGTACATCTACTCACTCGGTCTTGAAAGCCACTTGGCAGCAAGCCCGCCGCAGAGGTGGATCGGTTGGGGTTACGAGTCAGATCCGGAAGTTTGGACGAAGCCGCTGAAGTCCGGCGAGGAGCAATATTGGTTCGGCGACACGCTGCTGATCGGCGGAGTCTACCAGCCTGGTGTCGACACAGCCAGAATGTACCTGCCCCGACGTGGCGAAGGTGGATTTGACTATGGTTATGTTAACCTGAACGCACCATATGATCACCTTGCATCTGGTCAGTGGGTGACGGTGTCGTCGCCCTGGAGGGAAAGCATACCCATCTTTGCCAAAGTTGGTGGAGCGCTACCTGTCGGGAAGAGTGTCCAGACCCGGATGCCAGGTGATACCAAGCCAGCCTGTCAATCGCTCCCCGAAGACGATTATCGCGGCGTTGAGATCTTTCCTCCCAAAGGAAGCTCGCACGGTACGGCGTTCACCACCACTTGGTATGAGGACGACGGCATGTCTCTCCACCCAGACATATCGTCTTTTACTGTTTCATATAGTAGCTCGGCACAAAAAGTGGCTGTGTCTTTCACTCCGGCCCTCGACAACCTCTTTCTCCCACCCTGGAGAGAGTTAGAATTCATTTTGCCACGTGGAGACGAGAGGTATATCGAGTCGACTGACGGGGTCAGAATGCAACGTGTCGAGTCGCCAAGCTGTGGCAGGGTCCGCTTTAAAATGCCTGTCTTTGCCCAAGGTGGCGGCACCGGCCATGAGATCAATGGGCAGCCTCAGTAGACTTCACCATCGCCACGATTAGGAGTCTGGAGTGGAAAGGATGGACGCGGAGCTGGCTTGGAATAGAGGGGGTCTCGTCGTTTCCGATGCCGCTCAGGGCTCCTTGCCAAGAGACGGACACCAAGACCACAAATCTGGAAGGCGTAGTGCCTCCGAACGGCGAGTCCGCATCCTGAACTACACAGTACGCTGACTGACACTTGCCGGGTCGTTCAGTGTGGTACCTGAGAGCCCCGATGCTCGGTGAACGGTCTGGTCTAGCAGATGAACGGACCACGATGGACCCAGGCAAATCGGCGATCATTTTGCTATCAATCAGATTAGATCAGAAATCAGATGGAGATAAGATAAAAATTTTCGGCGCTTATCCTTATGTGGCCCCGATCACCGTCGCATCGGGCGTGTGTCCTCCACCCTTCGTCCACTTCCTTTTCTAGCGAACTGCCTCTCTGACTCTACTACCCAGTAGATTGCTTTCGATCCAGCCAAGACTGGGCTCTCGTGCCTTACTGGAGGTTAAGATGCCTTGCTCTCTTGACCAAGCCCGCTTATGGACGGACAGAGGTGAGACCACGTTCTACTCCGCTCAAAGTCAAGCACGAAGCGACCGCGGAGTTACAACCGCTCGCAGGCTAGGGCTCCGCTAAGTCGAGGATGAGCAGGCTCGTCTAGAGCTTGGAGGATCCTTGGCTCTGGCGCCGATAGAACATGGTCTCTCGGCGGGGCATATGAGTATCGCAATGGCGCACTCTGAGATTAATGCCGCAAACCACGCCCAGGTAGGTATATTAGCCAGCCAGTTTCTTCTGCTTTTCCGCCCGGTCAAGCTGTTATCTTCAGTGGATGGTCACAGAGCTCTGGCTCCCTGATCAAGCTGCCCCTTGATTTTTCTATATCCCGAGCACTGCCTTGCAGACGTCGACCAGCACGATGAAGTTCAATATAGCCCGGGTCACGCCCGCGACCTTTGTACCGGTTGCTGTGAACGAAAAGCAGAACGATTCCGAGGCGGCTACGCCGTCATATGATCCAAAGGAAGTCAGAGTATCCTCTGAAAGCCCTGGGGCTGCCGAGTCGGACTCTGAGGGCGTCGATAAAAATGCCCAGGCCGGTGTTCAAAAGATCGAAGCGACCACATCGGTCTGGAGCAAGAACCAGCTAATTGTTGCCTATGTCTTGTATGTCCCTTGTGCGCCCGGTGCCTTCTGAACGGTCAGTTGATGGCTATTTGCAGGATGTTCCTCATCTACTTTGTCGACTCGATGCAGCAACAGATCACCGGCGTCTTGACACCCTATGTGACCAGCAACTTCCAACTCCACTCGTTGACTGCCACGACTGGGATCCTGTCCCAGATCATCGGAGGTCTATCGAAACTACCGCTGGCGAAGATCTTGGACGTCTGGGGCCGGCCGCAAGGCTTCATCATTATGGTCTTTCTGCTCGTCATCGGTCTCATCATGATGGCTGCTTGCCAGAACGTCGAGACATACGCTGCCGCCCAGGTGTTCTACTGGGTAGGCTACAACGGTATCGGCTATTCCCTGTCGATCTTCATTGCAGACACGTCCCATCTCAAGAACCGAGGGTTGATGTATGGCTTCGCGTCGTCGCCGTACATTGCAACAACCTGGATCGGTGGCCCAGCAGCGGAGAGCTTCCTCGCCGGCGCAGGCTTCAGGTGGGGATTCGGAACCTTTGCGATCGTCACGCCTGTGGTGTGCTCGCTGCTCTTCTTCCTCTTCATCTTCAACTACCGCCAAGCCAAGAAAGCAGGTCTGATGCCCGTGGGCGAGAGCAACAGGACAATCTTGCAGTCAATCCAGCACTACGCCGTCGAATTCGACTTGTTCGGCCTGCTCCTCATCACGGCCGGTCTGGCACTCTTCTTACTGCCCTTCTCGCTCTACTCGTACCAAGCGGACGGGTGGCGCTCGCCCATGATCATCTGCATGCTGGTCTTCGGCGTCGTTTTGCTCGTTGCATTCGCCCTCTGGGAGAAATACCTGGCCCCCAAGAAATTCATCCCCTGGGAACTTTTGACTGATCGGACCGTGCTGGGCGCCAACGTCCTCGCCGCCGTGCTGTTCGTCAGCTTCTACATCTGGAACGCCTTCTTCTACTCGTTCCTCATCGTGGTCAACAACCAAACAGTCACCCATGCCTCGTACATCACCAACATCTACAGCATCGTGGCCTGCTTCTTCGCGATCCCCGTGGGTCTCTACATCCGGTGGCGCGGCCGCTTCAAGAACATCTCCCTGTACTTCGGCCTGCCGATCACGATCCTCGGCGTGGCGCTGATGCTGCGCTTCCGCCAACCCGACACCAATGTCGGGTACATCGCCATGTGCCAGGTGTTCATCGCCGTCGGGGGCGGCGTGCTCGTCATCTGCGAACAAATTGCCGTCATGGCCGCCGCCTCGCACCAGCACATCGCCGTCGTGCTGGCCATCGAGGGCATGTTCGCCTCCGTCGGTGGGGCTATCGGCTCCACCATCGCAACCGCCATCTGGACGGGCCAGTTCCGCGACAAGCTCCTGCAGTACTTGCCCGTCGAGGCGCGCGGGGACGTCGATCTCATCTACGGCGACCTCGTCACGCAGGCGAGTTACCCTCTGGGTTCGCCGACCCGGGACGCCATCAACAGGGCGTACGGCGACTGTCAGCGAAACATGCTCATTGCGTCGACGGCGTTCCTTGCCCTGGCTGTGGTGGCCGTTGCCTTCTGGCGTGATATTTACGTCAAGGATCTCAAGCAGGTGAGGGGCCGGGTTGCTTGACGTGTATGTAGAGTGTAGCATGTAGCATGTAGCATGTAGTGATGGAGTTGAGTTTGGTGTGTCATGCCTACTCCAAGGTACATGTGCACGTACATTCACAACATACATCCTGCAAATACTACGTAGTGAGCTTCAATCCCGCCAACCCTACCGGAAGCACTCTCTGAACATAGATACATAACAACTAAATGACAACCAGCCCACCAATCAGAATCTCAACCAAGTTACCGTGACCAAACCGTGAAAAGCACCTCGGCTGGCGGACGGACTGAACGTACTTACTCTTACGTATTTCGGGATGGCGTGGGGCTGATGACGAAGGCCATGGGGTGTGTTCCACAGATACTTATATAGACGCCATAGGAAAGGCGCCATGTCACAACGGCAGGAAATAAAGAGACAATACAGCGAGAACGGCGAAGTAGCGGGTCAATGATTTATTCGTGGCAGGACTATCCTTGTGGATCTGGTCCATCGTCCACATCACCCGGCCCCTCGAGATGCCCGGAACTGATGCCACTACCGCTGCCGCTGCCACTACCACTTGTACTAGCGTGGCCGTCGCCCTCCCGGACCGCAGTGACGAGAACCTGACTCAGCTCGGCCTGGATCTCGGCCCGCCGTCTCTCCCACTCCGGCACCATGGCGAGCTTCTCCTTTAACTCGCCAATCTCCTTCTCGACGCCGGACTTCTCCTCCTCCGTGCCGATTCGGACCATTTCCCAATCATAACCTTCCTCCCCGAGGCCCAAAATCAGGTTGAAAGTGTGATGTCTTCGCAGACTCGCGCGGGTGGAGAGCGTAATCACGGTGATGCCCTTCTCCTTGCACCGTTCGTACAGCAGACCTTCCACATCGGAGGAGACAGCCGAGGTACCTTCGTCGAGGAACGCGTATTTGGGTTCGTGGTAGAACAAGCGCGCGATGCCCATGCGCTGTTTTTCGCCTCCGCTGAGGACATCCTTCCATTCCTTGCGCGTGTCCCATCCGCCTTCGCGAGCGAGGAGGTGTCCGAGCTTGGCTTCCTCGAGGATGCGCTCCAGTTCGTGGTCACGGCGGTTGTTCTCTTGCATGTCCATTTCCGTGTGCGGGTAGATGACTTGATCTCGCAGCGTGCCGATGCTGAGGTACGGTCTCTGCGGGAGGAACATGATTCCGTCTTGCCCATTGCTGCGAGGTCGAGACACTAGGCCCCGGTATACAGGCCACAAGCCACCGACGATACGGGAGATGGCTGATTTGCCCACGCCGTTGGAGCCGGAAATCAGCAAATGCTCGCCGTTGCGGACGTGGAAGGAGAGGGACTCGATGAGGTCTTCTCCGCCGTACGGCCACAGGCTTGGTGCCACCACGGGGACATCTTCCAGTCTGACACCATCAAAGCCGTAATGTATCGTCCCTTGGACATCTGCAAGTGAGTAGAGCTCGATCCTTTGTGACGCGCGACGGTGATGTGGGCCGTAGGCATTGGCGTGTACTCGGTGTAGTGTGGAGATCAGCTGGTAGACTCGAGACGTGTAGCCGGCCAACTCAGACAGGTCTTTGATGCTGTACATCATCCTGCCCCCGGCGTCAGCCAGAGACAGCATAAGCCGCTTATTGGTCGTAAACTCCTTCATATGCGATCCCGAGCGGCTTGACTCGGAGACTACTTCTGTGCCTGCACCAGCTGTCGCCTCGAGGTTGCCATTCAACCCTGCCCAGGCGGGTAGATAGACGGGTATTGACGTGATGACGTAGCCAAACGCTGACCACGAGTACTTCAAGATGAAATCTTCCAGCATGTTATATCGGACTTTGACGTTGTAGATGCCTTCCATCCAACTCCGAAGCTCTTTGAAAGACCTGTCTAGATAGACCTTTTCAACATCGGCGCCGCCGTAAAAGGCGACTTCTTCTGCATTGGCTATCAATCTCGCGTGCAAACCCCGGAACTCGCCTTCCTTTTTCCCTTCAACTGCCTTTAACTTTCCGAATGGAGGAGAGAGTCTGCGGAGCATGGTGGCGGTGCCAAAGTAGTTGACCAGGAGACCGGTCAAAGCCAGTGGACCCAATGAGCGGTATAATTGGTAGTTGAAGACGAAAATGTCGACAAGCGGTTTTCCGAGGGAAGAGTATAACGAGGCTGCGGCTGTGCAGAATAACGTCAAATCCTGAGTAATGAACTGGTCTGCACCTTCTACTCCGCCATCCAAGTTCGAAAGCTTATAGTAGGTGAGATTTGAGTTCAGGTACAAGTCGTGGATATAGCGCGTCAGCCTCGTGCGAAACGCGATGGAAATCTTGGACTGTAAGAACTTGATGGTCGCGTTGGTGTAGGAGGCCAAAGTCCCGATGGACAGCCATCTCAACAGGCCCAGCAGGAACTGCTTGCCATTACCGCCTACCAAGTCCCGAACAATCGCGCCGTCGAGTCTCGCCACCAGCAGAGACAAGTATGTCCGCAATACCAGAAAAAGCGCATGGCTCAGCAGCAATGCCGTCTCCTTACTTCGAAATCTTGGAATCATGATATTGGCGAGACTGAGGAATTGGTGGAGGAAGGCCAGATTCAGGCCGGGCTTGGTTTGAGCTGGGGGAGGTCCATATGCCGGCGTTGACGTGCCGCTGCTGAGTCGAGTCACTCGTGGAGGTGTCAAGAACAGCCGGCGATGAGCGTCGAAAGTGGTAGGACGGACGGGATGAATAACCACTCTGGAGGTGGTGTCGCCCTTGGGCACGTATATGATACGCTCTCCTGCCTTTCCTCTTAGACCACTGTTCTTCCGCACCAACGCACGGCCTCGAGCCTTCTCTTTCGAGCGCGCCCGCCACCATTTGAGGCCTCCATAGCTGGACGACAGTATCGAGAGAACCAGAGCAGCTGTTGCCGCGAATTTGACAGACCTAGGCGTTCGGCGGATAGAAGAGCGGAATAGGTTACGGTAGTGGCTGTACAACACCATCAGAGGGTCCTCCTTCGAGTGAACCGCCATCGCGAGCGTGATGGAGCCGCGGGTTTCATCTGGAGGCAGGGTGGGATTTCATGGTTTACTGAGTGCGCAGGAGGTGCTCCCTTCGGCGAGCAATGATAGTATCACAAGCACCGTGACATGTGTGAATGGCCGAGTTGAAGTCCGGAGATGACGACGGCCACTGCGAGACCGACTTCGACTGCGCGCGCATGTGAAAGAAATGCCGAGGTCTCCTGCTGCAAGGCATATGGGCATCAATAGCAGTATTTCGCCACGTGCTCGCTGCACCGTAATCGAGCCCAAGTTTCAGTTCCTCTATCACGTCCAGGCCGTGCATGGTCTACTTAATCATGTCTTGTTCCAGGTATCTATAAATGTCCGTTCATCTTGCCCTTCTGCTCTGCGATCGGCGTCAAGAGCGTGCCCTTGTCGACCGCGCTCTGCAAATTGTGTAAGACCAAGAGTTCCATTTCCCTCTGCGTCTCATACGTGTTGGTGCCAATGTGAGGCACAATGAACACCCGGTCGTTCTTCAACAACCCCTCTTCCACCTTGGGCTCCTCCTCAAACACGTCCAACCCGGCCGAGGCAACCTTCCCGCTGTCCAGTGCTGAGACGAGATCCTTCTCGTTGATCAAGGCTCCTCGGGCTGTGTTGACAATAACAACGCCGTCCTTCATCTTTGCAAACTCAGGTGCAGAGATGATGTGTCGTGTCTTCGCATTCAGCGCGAGGTTCAAGCTAAGAACATCGGACTGTGCCAGCAGTTCGTCAAAGCTGACATATGTTGCGTCGCCTTCGAGTTCCTTGGAGAGCCTCGATCGGTTGTGATAAACAATCTTCATCCCGAACGCCCGTGCTCGATGTGCCATTGCCTGCGCGCGTCAGTTTACCCGTCAAATGCTCCGAGAGATGTATCTTACTCGCCCGATTCCGCCCATGCCCAGGATTCCGAGTGTCTTACCCTTGGGATCATGCCCAAGCTGTGTGTTCCCCCGCCATTTGCCCTCTCTTATGGCGACCATTGGCACCCAAGCAAGTCTAAGAGCACCCAGCATCAGGAAGAGGCCAATATCAGCGGTGGCATCGTCCACCGCGATGGGCGTACTGGAGACCTTGAGCCCTCTTTTTGTGCATGCGCCAACGTCGATGTTGTCATATCCAGCGCCGTTGTGACAAATATATTGCAAAGATGCCGGTAGCGCCGAGACGAGTTCGTCGTTGAAGAGGCCCGTTACTGACGTGGACATATTCGAGCGGTAGAGCGCAACCACATCGTCGTATTGGCCGCTTTGGCAATTGGAGAGGAACTGTTCCCGTGTGCCCTTGCGGAACTCTTTCAGGTTGTATTTCGAGCCTAATTCCTCCCACTCTTTATTCGTGTGTGTCAGTCCTCCGATCAGGAGGACCGTGGGTTTCGTCATGATGCTACGAAAACTGGTGGCTCCCGAAGTCTGGTAACGACCGCGCGATACGATTCTTGGTGACACGATTTGAAGTGAACGCGTGAGGCTGGAACAAGAGAATCGAGCAAACATAACCAGGAATAGAACCTACACGGGGACTGCCAGCAGTCGTTACCACGTTGCGGGATATATTTCCCCGTCATCGCGACAGTGGGCCGCGAGTGGTGAGAGCACCGTCGGCTTTTGAACTGCGAAAATCGCAATCGCAAATGCGAGGGGCAACACTGGAGATTCTTGACACTCCGCACCAGTTGCCGCATTCAACCCCCACCACGCTGACTCCCCACGGCTTTGCAGCACTCGTGACGGCTCGAGGGTAGGAGTGCGCCTGTGGATCGCCGAGTTTTACCTGAAAGAGCCGCTTAACGGTCGGAGAAGGGTCCGTACCACGAACTCAGGGCAAATATCAGCCACGGGGTTCGGGCAGCTCAAGTGTGCCCGTTCATCGATGATAATGCTTGTGTAAAAACTGATCTGGTTGTAATCAATCCACAGTACACGATCCAAACTATACTGCACTACCACACCACGCTAATGAAATAGAATAACCACCATTGGCAGAGCTTCGGGCCCAACAGGAATCACAATCGGAGTAAAAGAGCGTACAACACGCACTCGGTTAAACAGCGCTCTTGCAGGTTGAACGATGACGACGACTCAGACGGTGCAAGCATTGGTGCTGCATGGCGCGAAAGACCTTCGGCTGGTGAGGAGACCGCGACCATTCCATGACATCCAGGAAACTGACAGACTCTTGCCCCAACAGGAGACAAGACAACCGCCTGCTCTACGACCCGACGAAGTACAAATAGCAGTGAAAGCCACAGGCATATGCGGTTCAGATCTGCACTACTACAACCACGGCCGTAATGGAAACTTTGTCGTCCAGGCACCGCTCGTTCTCGGCCACGAAGCATCAGGCGTCGTGACCGCTCTCCCAGAACTCATGGATGGTGCCACGAATGGTGCACTTTTTTTTCCAACTTTGAAAGTAGGCGACAGGGTAGCTATGGAGGTCGGCTTTCCCTGTCGAGCCTGCAATCTGTGCTCGATTGGCAGATACAACTTGTGTCCAAAGCTCTCTTTTCGGTCCTCCGCAAAGACTTTCCCGCATGCGGATGGCACGCTACAGACGCTGATCTCACAACCAGCCAGCATGTGCCATCAATTGCCCGACAATGTCACTTTCGAGCAAGGAGCCCTCATCGAGCCTTTGGCTGTTTCGTTGCATGCATTGAACAGAAGCCAGAGTGCAGGATCCGGGGTCGGGGTACCTTTGGTCGGCTCAACGGCTTTGATCCTAGGTGCGGGCGCCGTGGGAATGCTGACAGCTGCTGCATTGTCAGTAGCCGGTGTTTCTGAAATTGTGATTGCAGACATTGATGCTCCTCGATTGAAGATTGCCGCAGGCTTGGGCGGAGGCCGGTTCAAGCTGAAGACATTTCTTCTCCCCAGAAAATCACCTGCACCAACGATGGAGGAGACATTGGCGGGTGCTCAAGAGCTTGCAGCAGAAGTGAGCAAATCGGCAGGCCTGGATTCAGGTTTTGATCGAGTGTTTGAATGCACGGGTGTTCCTTCATGCGTCCAGCTAGGTCTCTTCGCAACAACAGCGGGCGGAAAGCTGGTGCTGGTCGGAATGGGTACACCGACACAGACCCTTCCCCTAGGAGCCGCTGCGCTGAGAGAAGTCGATATTATCGGTGTATTCCGGTATGCCAACTGCTATCCCGCAGCTATAGCGCTTTTTGCTAGTGGCAAGCTAGACGGGGTCGCAGAAGACCTTGTCACCCACCGTGTTGCGCTCGTGGACGGAGAGAAAGCGTTTAGATTGGCATCGAATCAAGCAGAGGAAGGCGAGGATGAAGGGAGGGTACCGGTGAAGGTTGTTATCACATCGTGATGTGAGAAAACCGCCTTGTTCTCCACACCTGTGTCGACTCCTTACAATGCCTCAAATGCGCTGTACTGTGGACCGTACCTAATTTACGGGAGGTCAAAGGGAGAACGAGAGTCACTCGCAGTCACCTAATTAACCAGAACAAACTACAGGTGCGTGCCTAGGTAGTGACGTCACCCATGCGTATTGCTCGTCGCGTCGGTCTCTAACCTGCCCGTGTGTCCGGCTGTTTCCTGCGCCCGGACATGAGTTACAGCTGTGAGTTAATTCACAGTATACACTACTAACCTCAAATACTTTCAGTCACAGGCTCTCCTCACCATCCGATATGTCTGCACGAAAGATATTGGTTTCGGGAGCAACGGGCAAGCAAGGCGGAGCTGTGGTCAAAGCCCTCCTCGCCAACCCTCCACCGTTCGACTACGAGATTCTCGCCCTCACTCGGAAGACTACGTCGAAGTCAGCCAAAGCCCTGTCATCCAATCCCAAAGTCACCCTGATTGAAGGCGATTTGGAGGATTCAGCAGCTATATTTCGAAAGGCCGGCGGTGTTGGCGCAGTATGGGGCGTGTTCTGCGTGACCATCCCCAACTTCAAGGGCAAGGTCGAGAGTCTGGAAACCGAGCAGGGCATCAGATTGGTCGATGCGGCCATCCAAAACAATGTCAAGCACTTCGTCTACACCTCAGTCGACCGTGGGGGAGCCGAAAAGTCTGAAGTCAACGCTACTTACGTTCCACATTTTGTGTCAAAAGTATGTCCGGACTCTATGACTTGAAAGATATATGCACGGGCTTACGCTTTTCAGTATAAAGTCGAGAAGCATCTCAAAGAAGTGGCTCATACCTCAGGCATGACATACACCATTCTGAGGCCCACAGCTTTCATGGACAACCTGACACCGAATTTTGGCGGACAAATCTTCGCCGCGACATGGCACAGCCTGGGCGATAAACCTCTACAATTGGTGGCTGTCAAGGACATTGGTGTTTTCGCAGCCTTAGCATTCGCCAAGTCCGACACGGGCGACTACAGAAACACGGCGATCAGCCTTGCTGGCTGCGACCTCACCCAGGCGCAGGCGGAAGAAATATTTTGGAAGGTATTGGGTCGGCCAATGCCACGCACATACGACTTCGTCAGCGACCTTCTCCTTTATATGATAGCCGAAGTAGGAACGATGTTCAAGTGGTTCAAAGAAGAAGGATACGGTGCGGACCTGGCCCAATGTCGGAGGCTGAACGAGAACATACTTGATTTCGAGGGATATCTACGAGAGGAGAGCGGTTTCAAGCGATAAGTTGTGGAAGGCGGCAATGTTGATCGCAATCATGGTCTCCTCACCAGTCGTGGTGTTGAAGTGCTTGGAATCGTACATCCATAGGAGCGTCAATATCTCATCTCGGTTTTAATTGAACAGCATCGGTATGAAGCATGTGGGGTGGTAGGTCAGTAATGGGGGCCTGCGGCCTGCAATCTAAGTACGTACCTTGGCACCAGCAGTTGCTTGCCTACGTCATCATCGTGATTCGAGAGGGCTGGGTGAGGGTTTCTCCGTATAGCGTTCGCATGGAGGCGTGCGAGTCCACGCGAAGCTTGAAGCTCGTCGCCCAGACGAGGAGTGTCTCGCCAACTAATTCGCCAGACACGCCCTAATGCGCCCGCTGCGCTTTATCGGAAATGCTTCCAGCTGTACTTCCATGACTTCGTATAACCGTCCGAGTCCAACATTCATCGCGTGCTTATGCATCGGGTCTGAGCATACCGTAACAAGGCATAGGTGCTTCCATGCTCAATGGCGGGCCCAAGTGCAAAAGGCGAGGCCGGCAATGATGCGGGCGAGATGGACATGCGAAGCTGCAGGAAGAGGAGCCTTGGAGACAATGATTGGCGGAGATGGCCACGTCTCAATTTAGCGAAGCGCTAGAACCGATCTGAAGCACACGCTAACGTTTGAAGGGACTCCACTTCCAAGTCTCCCCCCCCTTTACTTGGGCTTCACTTTGTCCTCTCTTGTCTCTCCCTGCTTGGGAGGTCGAGATTGAGAGGGGTCACAAGGACTTCCTTGTTTGTTGCACCAATGTCCAGGATGCCCGGTATTGCGCAGTGGGTGGGAAGATGGTCGCGCTCGACGATCGCGCGTTGTGGATGTCGCTGACAATGTCACTTTCAGTCTCACAGGAACTTGAGCTCTCATATTGCGCACAACGTCGCTCAAAAGAGAAGTGGACATAGTGAACAATACGCAGCCGACAGCTTGCAGGCCAAGGCCTTCATTCCGGAAAGCTTTATCACCTTATCACGAGATCGACCAAATGTTCCGCACCAACCGAGTCCCTAGCCGGCACCCTGGCACGCCACGCGAAAATCAAGCTCCTGAAACACCATCCCTTTCGCCTACTGGACATCGCATAGACCCTTTGCTCTGCATGATGGCCCTGCAGGCAGTCAAGTATTGGCTATCCGTTGCCACACCATTGGAAAGGCTGCAGAACCATCCACACTCTTAAGCTTCTTTTCTGTCCTATAGACGGCAGAGGCCGCGTCTCTCCTGCAGATTTCTCCCTTGAAAGGGATCTGTCTTCATGGATCATCCTCCGTCTGTTCGAACCGCTCCATGGCCCCTTGCGCTTAGGTGCCGATCGGGTTTCCCATATTCATGCTCCACTTGCTCATCTGCTGGTCTGAAGCTCTTGTTCCTGTGGCCAGCGCTCAGTCACTTTTTCTGCCTGACCCTCGGGTGTCCGCTGACCACGAACCGCAGGTGAAGTCGCTCGCTTGTCGTCCAGCCGTTCCTTACCATTGTTCACACGACCAAGCAACAACAATGCTTGCGCAAGCATTGTAGGACACTCTTTGTTCTCCAAGGTCAATGTGATCGATTGTCACTCCTTTGTATCTCACTCTCTTTGTTTGTTCTTTGACAATCTTTGCGCTCCGACCGAGTCGTTCACTTCCATTGCCTTCCGGCCTTCGACAAGTTTCGAACAAACCATTCCTTTCAGACACAGATCCTCAGCGAGTACTTTACGTTCTCTCTCAACGACCTAGATCTTCGAACATCACACTACTCCGAATACCCAACACCTGTGCGACTTATCTTGCTGGTCAAGGCGACAAGTATACACTTCTCCGGCCAGAAGCAAGTTTTCTCAAACCGCCGATTTCTACAAATCTTCAAAGCTCACCATGCCGATCAAATCAATCCTTAGCAGCGCCCTCATCGGGTTGATTGCTTCAGCACCACTCGCATTGGCGCATACCTGGGTTGAACAATTGATGGTGATTGCACCGAATGGCACCTTGGTTGGTGAACCAGGTTTTCCTCGTGGGAATGTCTTGCGCGGTACTCCCGGATTCGGCGATCCTACCATGGTCAATCTCATCCCACCGGATGGTCGCACTATCAACCAGGTTTTACCGTCTGACCTCATGTGCAAATCATCCCAAACTTCTCAGACCCAGACGGATGGTTCTCCCAGACTGCAGGCGGCTCCTGGGGATGCTGTTGCGTTGCGATTCCAAGAGAACGGCCATGTCACCCTGCCAGACAATCAACCTGGCAAGCCAAAGAATCGTGGCACAGTCTACGTCTATGGCACCACCAAGGCTAGCCCGGACGACTCTTTTCTCGCTATCCACCGTGTCTGGACTCCGGATGGGACAGGCGGTGATGGCCGTGGTCGCCTTCTTTCCACCCGCAACTTTGACGATGGGCAATGCTACCAGACCAATGGCGGTTCACTCTCCCAACAACGTCAACAACAATTCAAACATCCATTCGACATGGTGATGGGCAATGATTTATGGTGCCAACAAGACATCCAGCTTCCCACCGACATGGCCACCGGTCAACCATACACTCTCTATTGGGTGTGGGATTGGCCCACCATGCCGGGTACCCCTGGATTCCCCAATGGGAAGCAGGAAATCTACACGACTTGCATGGATATTGACATTGTTGGTGACTCTGGCATTGTTCCCGTCTCCAAGGCACAAGTCAACTTTGCGCAAGGCCAACCGTACGACCTTGCTGCTGTGCCCGAGCAAATGTCCGACCTTGCCAACCCAACTGCAGTCACAGGTCAGACCATCCCTTTCTCGAACGTTCCTACTTCTTTGCTTACACGCAGAATTGCCTCGCCGACAACTACAACGCCGTTGCTGACCTCTTCATCCCCAACAGGTTCCACGATTGCTTTCTCTGCCTCGGCTACCGGTCCGGCTGCTGGTGCTGCAAGCGAAGCTAGTATCTTCGCTGCCACTGCATCCGACACATCCGTTCCCGGATTCTTGTCCGTCCACACTGGCTCGACGGCTGGCCCAGGCCTTGAGACGCAGACCTTCACTGTCATTCCGATCGGCGTGAGCACCGCAGATTCGTCTCAACCTACTGGCGGCGCCGATGGAAATGGCCGTGGTGGCCGTGGTGGTGATAACAACAGTGCGTCGTCCCACCTCCCTGCTTTCATGAAGTCACTCTTGGAGTGGTTCAAGAAAGCCTCTGCTAACTCACGCGACTCATCAGGACCGCAAGTGACCGGAGCACCCAATGCAGTCGGCAACGCTCAACAAGTTGCGACCTTTACCGAGTACGAGTCGGTCACTCAAACTCTCCTGCAGACTGTGTACGTGACCAAGTACACCAAGCGTGATGCAGGTGAGTCATCTCCCACCGCTCCTACTGTTTCGTCCGATGGTTCTCCTTCCCCTGCAACTTTGCCCTTCTCCCGCACCCATCCGTGGGCGAACATGAACTTCACTCGGTCTGGCGGTCGGCCGCCGTGGCTCAGTGGCGTGTCGGCTTCAGGGACTGGGCGACCTCATTTTCGACCCACAGGATGGCCACAGGGGAATCGCAGCAGCAATGGACACGGCCATGGCCGCAATGACCATAACCAGACCACCATCACAGTCCAAAGCATCGTCAGCTTGACGACATATATGCCGTCTGCTGCTGCTGCTACTGCTCCAATTGCTGCCTCACCCTTCCCACCCCTTGCGACCACTGAGTCCGTGTCACCCACCTCCCCATTCACATACACAGCCACCAGCACAGTCATCCCCGTCACTTCCACATTGTCATTGCCTACTTCTGCCCCAGTACCACCGTCGTCTGAGCGACAGCAGGCACAGTCACTAACAGTCCTCCCAATTCAAGACCTAGCCGCGACTCTCGCTCCGACTCCCACATCAACAAACCACGCTGCGTTCCGCCTGAGAGCACGAAACCCCTTCGTCGCCCTCGGATGGATGTCAGCAAAGGGTGCGGAGACGACAACAACTGCATCATGATTGATACTGAGGAGCGAAGAGCTTGGGTGCACCGAACCCTGCCGGAGAGGCTGATCAGACTAAACTGGCCAGACGGACTGGTTCCCGTCAATAGGATGTGATAGAGTTGTGCAGCTGGCTGGCTGGCTGGCTGGCTGGCTCGGCCAAAACGAGTCCCACTGATGCGACTTGCCGTTTCGTTACTGGACAGGAACGCACTGGGCTGGACGAAATGATCTTCATGCACGATCTACATACATAACAGATACGCAACACATATGACCAGATACGCAGTCTGCACAGTCGACTAGGGTATTCACATTTGCGCGAGTCATGGTACTGCGAATGAACATACGTCCTTCTACTAGTTACTTACTCTTAAGGAGTGCTTGCTACTCTTCTGCTCCCTGCTTCCTAATTCTACTTACTTCCCCTACTTCCTACTTCCCACCTCGTTATTGATCTTCCGCGGAATTAATTGCTCAGTCGTATCGAGTATATTTCCCTTCCTTGCGTATTTCCTCGTGCGATCGGCTACCGTATGTGCTCATACTGCGGACGAAATGGGACGGCGTAGGGGTGTGAATGGTTGCCATGACCTTGACCCTAGCAGTCAGATAAGGAGATTAAGAAAGCACGTGGCGACTGATTCTCGACACCTTATTCTCCGGAGGTACCGGTTCTTCAGTGTAGGAAAGCGCGGGAGGGCCAAAGCACGTGGCCAGATTCATTAGCATTAGGTAGTTATTGCGCTGTTGTGCCACCAGAGAGGTATGCACGCCGCGTGGTTGTGCGCCTCTGTCTGTGTCCCCTCGCTCCCTGAAGGGTGTTGGTATAGATAGACTGCCAGGCAACCAGACCATTCGCCCGTAGCGCCGCCCTTGACTCTAGCCATTCGCAAGATCAGCTGTCTCCTTATGCCGCTTTCTATCGCTCCAAAGACAATATCGTACAAGTACAATCGAGGGAACGGTTGGTCCGCGGTTTCGCCCTCACGATGATTTTACGGGTTTTGCGTATTTCAGCTCCGTTCCCCAGATGTAATCCCAGAATTTGGACGTTACGCCAAAACTAAAAGTGGTCGATCGGTCAGCCAACTTTTCCATTACCCGGAAGGTCGGGATTCTGTCATGGTGTGCTTACCCGAGTTCAAAGTCTTGATAATGATGTGCGAGATGGTACTTCTTCAACTCGCGTACATAAGCCGGTAATTGATGATGGTGCAGCCAGTAGTGCGTGCAGTCGTAGCAGATGTATCCGAAGATGCCGCCAGAGAACACCGTAATGGCCGCGTACCAGTTGTACCAGAAGACTGCGTGTGCGAGCTTGTAGAACGGTGTGGCCAGGACGAGGAACAGCGTCGGGGGCATTACCAGTCGGTATTTGTCCATGGGGAGGTAGTGGTGGATGCCGTGAAGGAGGAAATGTAGCGTCAAAAAGACCGGGTGGTCGGGCAAGTAGTAGTCAAGGTGGAATAAGAACCGGTGCAGAAGATATTCGACTAACGTCCACAGGAACAGTCCTAGGCACCAATATCCGGCTCCCTCGGCCTTGTATGTGAGGTTGGTGATGCCCAGATATGATCCATACATAACAGGTGGCAGCCACAAAGAGGGCACGACATACCAGGCTGTCTTGCTCAAGGGTTCCAGAAAGTTGCCGAACAGCGGCGCGGAATCGCCACCCTTGTAGTGTCGTGGCCGATGGATCTGCTCGAGGTAAAACTCCTTTGAGAACTTGCTGAACAACATCTGCGGAAAGAGCGGTCTGTTTAGGTCCAAAAACTTGTGCGTTTTCCAATCTTGATTTAAATCCGTCTCCTTCGAGAGATCTTCCTCCGAGGACATGCCTGTCGAAGCGTACAGTGGTCGGGATGGTAGACTATCAGTGTCGACACCATGGGCTTTCAGTTGCTCATTGCCTGCTTGTGTGGCTGGTAGCGGAACAATTTGGTCAGGGCGTGAAGAATCGACTGCGGTCTTCAAGACCGGCTCCGTAGGCATAAAGCCCACGAGGCTTTCGTCGAGAATCTCGTACGCGGTTTCGGTATGGGAATGCGACACCTCGTCTTCCATGATGGCCTTGACATCTTTCCCGGCATATTCCAGTATCAGCTCGCCACCACCCGGGTGGTCGTCAATGAAATCAGTCACATCGAAGACTTTCTCGCCTATCGTGACATAGCACGACTCCTTCTTGTTATGCTGCTCCACCTCGGCGCGGGTAATGGTAGGGAGTGTTCGGCCAGGCATGGTGAACCGTAGATGCTTGGCGGAGGTGAGGACGACAAGCGGCCACAAGACGGACAGCACAATCAGGAATGAGGACTAGAACAGGACGAAGAACCGGAACTTGAGCATTGGTGCTCGTAGCAAGCGAAGACGCTGACAGGTCGCTGGGTTTATGTCTCGTCGAATTTGCCTCGTCGTGATTTCGATCTGCGTACCTCGTATCATGCAATCAACTGCAATTTTTAGGGGGCGTCCCAGGCACCCAAGCGTGTCTTCAGCACCCAATCGCGGGCAATTAGGGAGACCCAGACTGCCGGTGCCTTCCGCAGCCGGTGGCCAGAAGTCACTCCACATATGACGCCAATCATCATATTAGGGATTGTGCACTATTTGTGCTCTCGGTCGTCCGTACTCTTGTAGTTATGCGAAGTTCTACGGCGAGCCAGACGAACCTCTCGCGTGATGAAATCTCGAGGCAACCATGGGAGGCAACAACCCGATCTTGCTCTCCTACATCCTTCTGCCTACTTCAAGTGCGACAAATTGGCGCCGAAAGCGAAGAAGAAAGCTATTCCCTCTCTGAGGCCAGTGATATATTCGTCCTCTCTCATAATGAAGCGGAAACTGCGGGCTGAGCCTTCAGATGCAACTATGGCGACAACGGGTGGCGCCTCGACCAGTGCAAAAGAGAAAGACATCGACCATGACGATCTCTGTCCCATCTGCCATTTGCTCTTATACAGGCCAGTCCGCACAAGATGTAACCATACAATGTGCGAGTCTTGTATGGCTCAATGGGCAGATGTATCAATCTCGTCCCAGTTGGCTCATGTCGGCTTGGATGACGAAGCTACAGTCTTCCTTCCTCACGAAGTTGAAACACGTTGTCCCATGTGCCGGACATCCACCAACTCCCTACCTGACCCGACTAGGGAGAGGGCTCTTCAGCGTGACTATCCTTCATCCTATCAGGCACGAGAGGTCGAGACCAAAGCGGGCGAGGAAGACGACTTTGGCTCAACCGTCGAGACCTTGACCGTCTACATCGGAAACGAACACACAGAGATCAGGGCCGCCGAGGGCTCAAACAACAAGCATCAGTGGAAGTTCTTCGTTCGCCCTTCACGAAATGACCTGATCGAAGAGATCCAAATCTTTCTGGTAAGTCCGCATGTCCGTGTGGCCAATTGAGCTCGCCAACTTTGTGATGTTAGCATCCTACATTCAGAAACCCCATTATCGTGCTTGACAGACCGCCCTACGCCGTTACACGGCTGGGATGGGGCTACTTCACGATATATGCGAATGTCATCTTGAAGGCCGGCTATAGCTGGCTTAGTTCCGACGCCGAAGACACCCGTGATGGTGCTCCGAAAGGGAAGTTACCATTGGAATGGCAGTTAGATTTCACCGGCCGTGGATCTCAAGGGCGACTGAGACTGAAAGTGAAAAAGGAGAAAGAAGGCCAAGAAGTCGAAGACGCAGCACAGAGGGAACAGATCCAGCGACTTTGGGCAAGGCAGCGAGAGACGGATCCCGATTACGCAGATCCTGGTGAAGGGTGAAGATGGCAGAGGTACACCACGTCAGGTGATTCAGCACGAAACTTCCGCTCTTTGGGTGTATTCAGCATTCGGAACAATGCAATGTTCACGGCGTGTGCGACCAACAAAGACAGTGGTCTGAAACCTTGGTCAGTCTCGCCTCCTTCTTCCCATGTTGTCTTTGTCAACACTGGCAACCCTTGTCCGCGTCTTTGTTCTCTACGAGTTCGACTGTTCTTATGCCAGCATCTGATATACGCGACTGGCCCTCGGTCTGCGACTCGTTGTGCCCTACCAGCATCAGATCTAACGTCTTCATCACCACAACCTTACAATCAACAGGATTCCTATCTCTTTGACCGTTCTGCATGTCTTTCGTATCCAGGAATTCAGTTATGCCGTTATACGAGCAAGAACAGTTCCCCATGTTCAACGACCCCGCGAAGACGCTCATCACCCAGCGAAGCAACCTCGTGGACGCAATCTATTTCCGCGGCACTGCGCTCGCTGCAGATGCTAGACTCTTACGGCTCACTTCCCTCGCGTCGCGTATGGAAGACTCCGGCCACATCAAGCATGGCGAAGATGGCACTCACGTCAGAGTGGCAGTACCAGCAGTGATCGAATTTGGAGAAGACCGTCGTGCCGCACTGAGCCGTGGCAACAAGCGCTGGCTAGTGAGCAACAGAGGTCAGTACGCATCCCCCTATGTCAACGACAAACAGCCAGAACCTCGGGCTCTTTTGCGGGAACGACAAAAGTCTCGGTTTATGTTTGGAACCAAGAAGGCGAAAAAGTATGCAATTGAGTTTGGTCACGACTTCCTCTACAAGCCTGCCAGACCATATGAGCTTAATCAGCAGCTTGAACGTGGCCGTACCACGAAGCGTACGCATGCCGGCGCGTTCCACCGGGAGAAGTTGATCGACGCATTGACCATGCTGCGCAATTCCTATCCGGTTGAGTACGAAGCCGCGCTCATGGAAGAACAAGCGGCCGAACGAAAGAAGGTCAACAAGAAGGTCAAAGCCGCCAAGGTAGGAACGCCAATGCCGTCGCCGACCACACCTCCCCAAAGTCCGCCCCCAAAGCGCTTCTCCACCCATTCAAACGCCAGCGATGTATCTTTCGCATCGTTTGTTTCCGCGGACACCTTCGGTATCGGCATGAATAGCACCAGGAGGAAAGCCAGCAAGGTCGCTTCCGCCGTGCGGAAAGTCACCTCGAAGGTCCCCGGCTTGCGATGCCTCAAAGGCGCGAATGACCCCTGACGGGAGCCCGTCCTTGCCAACAATGATCCTCTGACATACAGACAAGAAGCGCCCTCGGAGGGTGAGCTTGCAGCTGCACCGCCTGCCATGCACGGCGATGGTGTACTTCGGTACCCAAGGAAAGAGTTTACCATCGACGCAGGAGTTGTCCTTCCGTGCACCTGACGCCTGCCCATGTCATGATCATTGGCAGTGTGAAGTTGTCCATGGTTCCTGGATCTGATTACCTAGTATGTATGTTCTCTCATTGTAGAACTGAGCCGCGGAATTTCGGAAACGAAGGCGTCAACCCGGCATTTTATTAAACTCGCTGCTGCACCGTCCTGCGGCACTCTCTTCCGTACATCATCTACTACATAGCTGCACGCGGAAGCTCTGTAGCCGGGTGCGTGTCAAGGAATTCACTGGCGACTCTTAGTATCGGCCAGCTATGCCAGTCCACAGCTTGGCGCTTCGGGTCAGTTCCAGCTGAGGCCCGATTGAACATCGACACCCTCACCCGTGACATGCTTCATCCTGTTGTGAGTATTGTACCTGACTTTATACAGAAGGTAGGCATAATTCTGTTCTGATTTGTTCTTGCATGAGAATCTGGAGTTCTCCTCACCGGGGAGTCGCCTGAAGACCGGAATGGAAGGTTGCTGCTTGATGCATTGCCTGGCCGTCGAGATGGAGAAGATCGACCTCGTTTCTTCTTTATATCTCACGTCTCTGCTTGCTTATAAGACGAGTTGTCCCGGCCTTTTGCATTTTGAATGTTGGGTTCTTGGACGGGCCAAGCAGGACTCTTCAAGATGTTTGCCCTTATGCTCACAATTCTCCTGGCGGCACTGCGCCTCGACCTCGTCGTTGCACAGTCCATCCGAAACCTCGGCGTCTCATGCATTGCCGGTGCTCAACAATGTGGCCCACGAGGTGGCATCGGTGACGGCGCTCATCCAGTCTTGGTTCCTCAGTCGTTCATTACGGATGCCTTGATCCCCTTGATACCGAACAGCACGCGTCAAATAGCACCAGGCCCTGCACCCGTTCGTCTCGCGGCATCTCCATTTGCCACGGGATCATGTCCACTTCGTCGAAACATCGTCATCGACACTGCCAGCGGTGCTCAGCAGGAGATGGTCGGCTTTGGGCATGCATGGACCGACAGCGCGACCTCCGTGTTCAATACACTTGACAATGCAACCCTTGCTAGAGTCCTCGGCGACCTCTTTGGTCAAAACGGCAACAATGTGGGCTTCATGCGTCACACTATCGGGTCTTCAGACCTCTCCGGTGGACAATAATACGTACGACGACAAAGGCCCCAGCTTCAACGAGGGTGAGCCAGATCTCGACTTATCCCACTTCGGTCTTGGCCCGTATGGCACGGCTCAAGCGGAGTTCATTGCCCGGATGGGCTCTGTCAAGGGCGACGTCTTCCTCTTCGGTTCACCATGGACGTATCCTGATGGACGAAATACAACGATCTCTTTATTGCGCCGAACCTCAATGTCAACGGTGGAGGAAGTCATAACATCCTCAACAGCATTTGGCACTGGAGTTGGAGTGCTATGTCTGATAATAACTAGCTCTTCAACGTCTAGCACAACCTCATTCACGAGCACGAGCACCCTTCAGCAAGTTCCGGACACGACACATACGATCGGCTCATCTGAACCTACAAGCACTATTCGTTTTGGCACTGATGAGACTGCAAGGGGACGAAAGAAGCGCCGAGCCGAATAAGGAGCCTGACGGAATATGCTACTGTGAACTCGAAGTTGACCAGAAATTGTTATATCTAGCATCTCAACAGCTGCAGCGCCCCAGAATACATATATTGAGCGAGCACACCTGGATGGATAATGAGATAATTAGTATGGTTTGTAGAAGTATCCAGAGACTCAAGGTTGATCTGCCGTGTACGGTAGAGGAGATGTGCCTGCGTGCTAAGAGGCGCCTGGCGCTACGTACAGGGGTAGGTGGTACCGGCCCCTCCAAGGGCCCCCCACTGTCCCCTCGGACGCATCCCCGTTGGGTGCCTGGCGGGCAGTCGGCGCTTCTTTACGGACGACGGAGTACAGCGAGCCGGGCACAGCACTGAGACCACGGCACATCTGGAGACAACCAGGCTCGTTCCTCGCTTGGTTGTTCGAATCTTCTCCCAGCCATTCCCTCCAAGGCTGCATCGGATGCGATGGTCGAAGACGCTCCGACTATGCGTTTGATGCTGAATCGTGGATTAGATGATCTGGAGCCATCCTCGACGCTTGACGCCCGAGATGACCGATGACCCAGACTGAAGCATTTCCGGCTGCGACCCTCGCTCAGCTCGTATCCGAATCCGCTCGACGTCAACCCGGATGGCGGACGAACAGCAAAGCCCACCGACGCCTATGAAGCGCGTATCAAGGGCCTGCACTTTCTGTCGCGCCCGGAAGTCGCGCTGCGAACTGTAAGCCTTCTCATCTGTGTATCACATTATCGCCGGTCGACCTTGTCCGCCCATGCCATGCCGTGCGCCACCTCTCGTGGTTGGCGGCACCTGATCCTGTCGACTGCGAGGCGTCCGCTTCGGTTGTCCACCCCGGCTATCGACACGCCTCTCACAAGCTGCAATAGCCGCCATCGGCAAACCCTCTCACGACTTTCATCTTGTGTCGCATCCATCGTAACACTAACTGACCACCGGATAGAGAAGCGTCAGGCGGCCAACCGCCATGCGCGCGGTGCAGGAAGGAAAATCGGGAATGTATCCTAGGTACCTCGAACCGGGGCGGCAGTCGAGTGAGGAAGAAGGCTCTGACCACCACCCACTTGTCCACATTGTCGAACCCTCCGCCCTTGACAACCCTCCACGAGGATATCCTTGATACCTCTCCCACCGTCGATTCGCGGCCACGCCCGCCCGCATTCTTGCAACCCACCCCTCTTCGGGATCCCACCACTGCAGGCGCAAGCGCAGTCCGGCAGGACAGCAGTGGAGGTCCGGCCTTGAGCGCAAATGCTGGCGAAGACGATGATACTGCGTCGACTGCTGACAGCTCAATCGGCGATACCATACCTAGAAACCCGTCAGATGCCTGGCAGTTGTTGAAAGATGTCGCGAATCGGGAGGCAGACCATCTCAAGGCGACAGCGGCAGCAAATCATCAGCACGACTCTGCGAACCAGATGTTACAGAATGGGCAATTGTCCGAGCCAAGAGGATCTATCAACGGTATACACGCAGGCATCTCGACGTACCGTCTCGTGCGTGAAGGCTATTTGACCGCCGAAATCATCCAGATGCTAGTCAGGCGATTCGCCGAGCATTACCATCCATATCTGCCCTTGGTCCCACGCAAGTATTTCGATCCGAGCCAACTAGACGCCTTCGCTGCCAACGACAAACACCTTCTTACTGCCGTCATCACCATCTCTTCTAAAGATCTTATCGAGCAACCGAACATTCACACCTGCTGTTCCAGGTATATGCATGATCTCATTTCTGGGATAGCAGGGGGGCACGATTGCGACGTCGAGGCGGTTGAGGCGTTGCTCCTGCTGGCCGAATGGGAGCCGCAAGGTCTGCGAAACCGCATTGAAGCGGTTGGGAGAGGCGAAGAAGATCGCTCAGCTTGGATGCATGTTGGGATGGCTCTTCGGACGGGCTACTTCTTGGGTCTGGACCGAACAGCTTTCCGGCAAGAATCTGCAGAAGAAGCCAGGATCGACGGACGGAAGCGTCTAGCATGGGCCAACTGCTATGTCTCTGATCGATTGATATCGGTCAGGATCGGAAAGGCCTTCTGGTCGAGGGGACCAGGTCCGATGACAGGACTCTCATCGCAAGACTTCCCATCGCTGCAGCCGCTCAACCCCGGTGACGAGGACCACGCCAAAATCATGCAAGCGACTCTCGACTTGACACAGCTTTACTCGAACGTCCACGACGTCCTATACTCAGGGATGCGCACTAGCGGCCAGATGATGCTGATGGGCGACTATGTCAAGTATGTGGACGATTTTCGGGCCGCCATTGCGAGGTGGAATACCACTTGGGGAAAACTGGAGTGTTCGCCGTACATCAAGGTCACACTGCAACTGTCGTACGAATATTTGTGTCTCTACACAAATGCCTTTGCTTTTCAGGCTGCTATAGCCCAGGCGATTGCGAGCAAGCCGAAGACCGAAGCACATTCACTACGAGACCACCTTCGGAGTGTCTTTAGTAACGTTGGCGCCATGCCAGATGCACGCTTCATCTGGGCAAGTGTGGGCGCCGCGAAGGCTTACCTCACGCTACTCAGCACGCAGATTGATCCGAGCAAGTACCTGCGATACATGCCTTTGAGGTACTATCTGTATTGCATCTACTCGGCCGTGTTCCTGTACAAAGCCCGGTCGTTCGGCGTGATGGCCGACATGGAGGAACGACAAGTTCGACAGCTGGTCTTGCAGACCATGGACGTCCTCAAGCGAGCGTCCGTATCCGCTCAGGATCCTGGATCACGTTACGCAAGATTGCTAGAGTTGTTGTGGATGAAGCCGCACAAGCCGGCTTCACAGCTACCACATCCGTTGCAATCCCCCGCCACCTCGGATGGGCCGCTGTCGTCGAGTGGGAGCGTCCGCGTCGATGCACAGGGCTACATGCAATTCAGTCCTGCCAACGACTTCTCCTGGCTTGACCTCGAGGCCGTCGGAGACTATGTCTCTGGCGACCAGATGCCTGGCAACGGCATGAACATCCTCGCTCCGATGGCAGGGTTCGAAACGTCGGCGCCTTTTACGCCTCAAGGTCAGAATATGCAATGGCAGCAGACGAGCAATAATGGTGCGAACTGGCCCACGGACTGGAACGGCAACTTGTTCTTCTGAACGCCGAATCGTCTCTTTGGAGAAGCCCCTGTCGAGGGCGCTGTTCCGTCCGTATCAGGCTAATGTCGGCGACTGAGATCGACTTTGCAGAAGCCGATGTGGGCAACACTTGAACTTCCCCGCACCGGCCCCCCCCCCCCCCCCCCCCCCCCCCCCCCCCCCCCCCGGTCGCAGTCCGCACTGCTCATTCCGGTGCAGTCACCGCGGCTGAACAACATGGGTATTTCTGTGGCGGAGATTTAGAGTTGCACGCAAGCTGCCGTTCGGTCTTGGGCATGAATACAGGACAAAGACTGCGCCAACTGACCTCGCATACGAGCAGCCCAGCTTCTGACAGGCCTTCCTCCAAAATGTCCGTCGACAACGAGATCAAAGGCCGTCTAGCCCTAATCACGGGCGCATCAGGAGGGTAGAGTACCCCCTATGACTTCTCCGAGTAGTTCTAGACTGACTGCGACAGAATTGGTGCTGGCTGCGCACGCGACCTGTACAAGAACGGCTGCCACCTCGCCCTGACATACTCGAAAAACAAAGCCAATGTCGACTCTTTGATCTCCGAGCTGCAATCCTCGTCATCCTCCTCGTCCGATCTCAAGATCTCGTCACATCAAGTCGACATGGCCTCAACGGAAGACATGGAAAGACTATACAAAGAGATTGAATCCCACCACGGCCACGGGCCGGACATCCTCGTGGCCAACGCAGGCTACGGCAAGCGCGTCCCCCAGATCGTCGACATCACGTACGACGAGTTCGACTACACGATTCTGATCAACCTGCGCGCGCCTTTTATCCTCGCCAAGCTCGCCGTCCCGCACATGGCGCGCCAGAAGTGGGGCCGCATCATCATGATGTCCAGCATCGCGGGCTACGGCGGCGGCATCAATGGGTGCCACTACGCGGCCTCGAAAGCCGGGCTCACAGGCATGATGCGCAACCTGGCAAACAAGCTGGCCAAAGATGGCATCACCGTCAACGACGTCGCGCCCGCCATGATCGGCGAGACGGGCATGATTCCCGATGCGAAATTTCTCGAGGGCACGCCCGGCGATGTGCGGAATATTCCCGTGGGCAGGCTGGGGACGCCGCAGGAGTGCGCTAATGTCGTGACCATGCTTTGTCGGACGGGGTACTTGACTGGGCAGAGTATTTTGTTGACGGGCGGGTTGAAGTAGATACAGTCTAGCATGTCGGATGTAAGATGGTGACGTGACAGAGATTGCGAAGAGCTTGAATCAAGTCAATCGACATATGGACTACTGATTGATTTACTGGTTGCCCATTGATGGACTGCTCCTTTACGGAAGCTGTGCTGTGCTCCCATTTTGTCTAAGGACCTTTAAATCCTGGACTCCGATTCGGGCTGGTCTGATCACATTTGACTTGACTTGGCCCCAGCTCTCACGCAAGCCAGGGTATATGTGATATGCGATGTGCAGTATGCCACGTGCGACAGCGCAGCACATATAAACGGGGCACGGAATAAAAGATCTGGCCTTTCACTTTTCGGCGGTTCAATTTGGTTTCATGCCCTCCCTGCCCTCGAACGCCGCGTTCTCGATATGAGTACATGCCAATGTCCATTTCCCGGTCCCTGTCCATGTCCATGCCCGTCTGAAACCCCCCCCCCTCTGAAGGGGAATGGATCGTGGATTCATGCATGAACGGAGGCGCCTCATTCTCAATACATGCCCATGCGCTCATTCATGCCCGATTGAGTTCCTACTTTGATGGAAAATGAAGCGCGGATCAACGCATGAATGCATCAATCCGTGAACGAAAGCGCAAGTGGAGGCGTGGTTGGCTGTATCCAACACTTCCTTTGCAGAGGAGGGGTTCATGGACGCGTTGCTCGGTGCTTGCTCGGCGCTTGCTGCTCGGCGCTTGTGTTTCATCTTGGTGTCGGCCGAAGAACACGCGGTAGATGTGTGAGTAGGTTGGCTGGTTTCTTCTCGTATTGTTGATTCATAACTCTTCCGGGATCGGTGGCGTGGGCTTGCCTTTGGGCTTTTCTTCCACCAAGTCCTTCGCACAGTACTGGTTAATGAATGCGTTGCTTGTTGATTGCTGGCTCGGTGCTCGGTAAGGGATATGGAGAACAGGTGGCAGAGAGCTAGCTAGCTGGCTAGCTAGCTAGTTTCTTGCCATGTTGCTGAATCTTGACTCCGGGGACTGCCGGCCCTGACCTTGCCTTTGGGCTTTTGCTCCACCACAAATGCAGCCTCGTGTACTGAGTATTGAGTATTGCGTCCTGTGCCCCTCGGAGACTGGTCTGCCTTGTCACTACTCCTTCTCGGTCCCGGGCGAGAGACAGGGACTCTTCTTCGTTCTTCAGATTTCCTTAAAATCAACATCAGGTGCGGTGCCCTTGAGGTGTCTGGGGTGAACCGTTGTGGCGGGTGCTCCAGTCTTGGAACGGAATAATTCCCTTCTCCCCCTTCCGCTCTGCTTGGTCTCAGTCGCCGTTCCTCAGGAAATGTTTCCTCAGGAGATGTTTCCTCAAAGGGTGTCCCCTCGCTCATTGAAGCTTTGTAAATGATACTTCGTTAATTCAGCCATCTAATGCTATGCTATGCTTGACGGGTGTCCTCAGTTGCTTGGTTGCCTCCTTTTCACTCCTTCGCTCCCTCGCTCGTCAATGCAAGACTGCCCATCTCTCACCTCATCTCACCTCGCCCCACCTCACCTTGGCCCCGGACGTATGATAGGCCCTCTGCCCTTTGCCTCCTCAACTTCGCGCTGCTCAGCCCCGGGCCGGACATCTTTCCTCGTATCTTTTCCGGCGAAGACTTTCTTCTCGCTCGTCTTGGATACCACGCTCGCACTTTTACTCTTGCTCTTGCGCGTAGTTGAACCCATGTATGTCTTTGGGGGGGCCCCTTGAATGTGCTCTCCGTCGTGGGTGACAACGGTGGAACCCCCTCCCTCGTAATCCGATGTCGTGCCCGAGATTTCCGTGTTGGCAGGCGAAACTTCCAGGGGATTGAACTTCACGCCTGCTTGTGATCGTGCTTGTGCGTGCGTAGCCGTGGAGGTGGTGGAGATGTGCGGCTGTGATACTTCTTGTAATTCTTCTGCCGCTTGGGCGATTGCTTCGCCTGGGTTGCTGGTGGAGCCTGTATTCGGGGTGTAGGACGTTGCTTGAGCGGCAACGGCGTCGTCGGTGCCCGAGTTTGTATATTCGTAGGACTGACGGTCAATCGTCGTACGGGTTTGTTGGGCGTTGCGTTTGGATTGGATATCTTGTTGGGATTGGGATTGAGGTTCAGGCTCGGTTTCATTTTGAGATTGAGTCGTGGGTTGCGTTGACGGAGGAGGTGCCACAACGGTTGAACGAGGACGTCTGAGCAGGAGGGAGGATTGTGGCACGGTGCGATGGAATGTGCTTGAGGTTGGTATCCTCATAGCTGAGGCTGAGAAAGGGAGAGGCCTCATTGTATGAAAGAGTGTTTGTTTCGTGATTCCACACAAGTGTTGAGAGGGAATTGTTTCGTGTTAAACACAGATGTTCAGAGGTAGGACTGCGGTGAGAGCAAGATGATTACAATTACAAGGAGACAAGCTGAGAATGACATACCGTTCACTGCGTTTGGGTTGCACCATAATGATGTCTCCACATGAATTTCAATATCATGACGTTCATTGACGTTTTGACCCGTGTTGAGGGGCCACCAGGAGGAAAACCACTCAGCTGAAAGTTATTAAGCATCCTACCCCGGATTCTGTTCGCAATGTCATTGGTGTGCCTCCCGGGTATTATTTCGTGTATTCCGCCAATAGCCTTTGAGGGTGTGGTGAAGGTTCCGAGATTCATTCGCCGCTGGTGTCTTCTGGCAGTCAAAGTCAAGTCAAATCAGTCTCTTGTAGCTGCTGACAATGGACAGGCCAGAGGCAAGGAGAGTAGGTAGGCATGAGCTGAAATCCTTCGAATAACAAAGAAAACCATGCGAGGAATGCAATTTACACCGATCAACGCAGCATATCCGACACCCACTCCCCCCATCGTATGTACTAAGGGTCGAGTAGATACACCCAGAACTTTCCTGCGCCTTGCGATTCGCTCTCCGCAGCACAACGATTCTTCCAAGCCTGTATCGCCGAAAGCCATCAAAATGCCATGACGCCCACGTGCGCCCTGCATCTGCCTGCTTACTGCGTCTTGAACAGGAGTATAGCGACGTGGCCGAGGTAGAAGTAGATGAAGTGCTTCGTCTCTGTTTCGGCCGCGTCAGTCTCTGGTCCAAGGAGTCGCGTGATCCTTGGGAGTTATAGAGTACACGTACCATGCGTAACGAAGCTGCCAAAGTTCCTTCCCACGATGCAGTGCCATGTGGCACCCTTTTTCGAATCGAACTGCGTCAAGGTGTCAGAAGAGTCGGACCAGACATGCTGTGTCCTGAGGAACGGATACCTCTCGCTTGATATGTTGCGCAATGTCCTATCGCGAATGAGCACGCCACCAACCCCGACTCGACGGAGCTGACTGTATACCTTTTCGACACTGAACTTTTCCATTGCATCTTGTGCTAAGCTACCTGTCAGTATACCCCTTGTTCCCACTCTTATCGCGTTGTGCATTCCATACCAACTTCAATAGCTTCTTGTTGCATATCCTCGCTCTTGTGGACCGTCAGCAGCGCGCCGGTCTTCTCTCGCTTCGGCGTATCTTACCATGTCGACAGACTTGATCTGGGCTTCAGGACATCAGCCGAACATCTGCAAGCGCATGCATTGACCGACTTACGCTCCAACTTGACCTTCTTTTCGGGGTTGGGTTCCGGGGCAGCCATGGTGATGATAGCTTTCACCTGTGGCGATCGTTTCGCTGTAACGAGAAAATCAAGGACGAGGCTGCACGAGAGCAGGCTGCAGTCTTAATTTGATGTGTAAAGCAGCGGTGGCCTCAGGATTCCACGATAAGATCCTTTAGGGCTCTCATGCACATGCAGACGCGTGCAGCCGGTGACCAGGATCCATGCGGGGAAATTTCGGTTGCTCTTGGCCATTTTTTTCGAGGCCAAAGGCGCGTTTCCATGTCAATTTCTTCCAAGGCACTGCCAGTATAGAACAAGATGGCAGCAGCAGAGGACCACGATGACTCTTCGGTCACTCGAATCTACGTGTCAGGACTCCCGCCATCGACGACCAAAGACCAGGTGCGGTCACATTTTGCGGCACGAGGAAAGTACACCGTCACAGATGCTCATGTCATTCCAGACCGCCGCATGGCCTTTGTAGGCTTCTCGACTAATGAACAGGCCAAGAGCGCCGTTCAGTATTTCAACAAGTCCTTCGTTCGCATGTCGAAGATCTCTGTCACCCTAGCTAAGCCCGTCCAAGTCAGGCGCGATGAGAAAGGCCAGGCGGTACCTGTGTCGGAACGTGGTTCGAGGAAGAGGAAGCGCCATGTCCAAGATGATGGCGAGCACACCCGGCAGCCCCCAATCAGCCAACCCACAAAACCTGCCACTGAAGCGAGTTCCAAGCTAGGCGCTGAGTCAAAGACTGTCCTTGAAGAGGAGGAACCTCGATCACAAGAACAACCATTAGAGGAAGAACTTGGTGATAATGACGCTCCAGAAGCGCCGAGGTCAGACATGGATTGGCTGCGACGGAAAACAAACAGAACACTGGACTTGGTGGACGAAACCGAAACTGGCAAGGACAGATCAAAGGCACTTCACCCTGAGGTTGTCGATACTCGCACTGCGGACACGACAGTAGCGGAAATCAAGGCCGGCGAGACCGATGATCAAGACACAGAACCTCTACAGGAACCGTCTATACCTGTGCCCAACGCTCGATTGTTTGTCAGGAACCTTCCTTTTGATACACAAGAAGACGATCTCCGAGCCGTCTTTGCTCCGTTTGGTAGAATCTCAGAAGTGAGTCTGCCCCTGATCTCCTCCATCATGCCACCTGCTTCGTGATGATTTCCTGATAGGGACAGCTTATGCATTGCATATGATTCGAACCGGGAAAGAGTATTTTAGTAGATGCCTCTCACTTCTGACTTCTCCTTTTCCGACTCTCGTCCGTGGTGCGCTGTTGGGATCGTTACTGATTGTGGACTAGGTCCATCTGGTGACAGACACTCGAAAATCCACCGGTAAAGGGCTTGGCTATGTACAGTTCGTGGAGCCAGTGGATGCGGGAAAGGCTCTTGTCGCCCTCGATGGCAAGGACTTCCGAGGCCGGTTGATGCACATTCTCCCATCTTCTGACAAGAAGACCCAGAAGCTCAGCGAGTTCGAAATATCAAAACTGCCCTTGAAGCAACAAAAGGCTATCAAGCGCAAAAATGAGGCCTCGACTTCGACGTTCAGCTGGAACTCCCTATATATGAACCCAGATGCGGTTCTGGCATCTGTCGCTACTCGTCTAGGTGTCTCGAAGGCAGAGTTGCTCGACCCTGCCTCGGCAGATGCGGCTGTCAAACAAGCCCACGCGGAAACTAGCGTTATCAAGGAGACCAAGGACTATCTAAAGTCCAATGGTGTGAATATTGACGCCTTCAAGAACCGGTCACGGGACGATCGGACGCTACTACTGAAGAACTTCTCCTTCGGTACCACCGCGGAGGAAATGTCCCAGATGCTCGCCCAGTACGGGACTGTCGAGCGTCTGCTTTTCCCGCCAACAGGTACCATGGCGGCCGTCCGGTATCGTGAGAGTAGCGAGGCTTCCTTGGCGCTAAAACAGCTGGCATATCGGAATCTAAGAGGCTCCGTACTCTTTCTCGAAAAGGGTCCAGCTGGCCTCTGGGACGGTCCTGTGCCGGCAGCAACCGCGGAATCAGCAAATTCCAAGGGAGACGAAACCGATGGCGTCGTTGCCACGACCTTTACGGTTTTCGTGCGCAACTTAAATTTCTCGACCACCTCAACCAGACTTGTGGAGGCGTTCAAACCACTGTCCGGATTCCTCTCCGCACGAGTCAAGACAAGGACGGATCCCAGCCGGCCGGGCGAAATTCTCAGCATGGGCTTTGGCTTTGTCGAGTTTCGCACCAAGAGCCAAGCGGATGCGGCAATCGCAACGATGAATGGAAGACGGCTCGACGGGCACGAGCTTCTTGTTCAGACGTCACAGAAAGCCACAGATCTCGGCGAGGAGAGGCGCAAAGAAGACACGGCCAAAAAGCTGAACTCGGCAAAGACGAAAATCGTCATCAAGAACTTGCCCTTCGAAGCCACCAAGAAGGATGTTCGCGCCCTGTTCAGTTCATACGGCCAGCTCCGCACTGTACGAATGCCCAAGAAGTTCGACAATACTGCGCGCGGATTTGCGTTTGCCGACTTCCTTACGGCTAAGGAAGCCGAAAATGCCATCGAGGCCCTTTCAAACACTCATCTGCTAGGCCGTAGGCTGGTACTTGACTTTGCAGAGGGCGAGATTGTCGACCCCGAAGCAGAGATCCGAGCCATGGAGAAGAAGGTCCAGGGTCATCAGGATACGCTAACTCACCATAGGATGACTGGATCGTCTCGAAAGAAGTTCAACGTCGATGCACGAGAAGACTTCGACCCCCTCTAGCTGATCGGCTGCCTTGCGGTATCCACTTCATCCCTTGCAGAGCCTCCTAACTTCACACTCCAGGTTTCGGACTCATAGAAGCTTCCCTTCAATATATGTACATCCGTTGTGGAATATTCAGCCCTTTCTCTCCTCCAATATTGGTTTCAGACACAAGTTCACGCTGGCATTAATGAGATTCCTAGATCTGGCTCCGGCCAACATGGATTGTTCTGGAGGTCTGTGCTGCAGGATCTCATTCCGTGGTCAGATTGGCCACAACAAGCAGGCGAAAGACGATTCGCTCGGCCGGTATCTGTGCACTCGTTCATTTTGTCGCCGATGCTATTATTTTTGCCTCTTAGCTACGGCCAGTGCCTTTCGAGCACCAGATCGGATCGGATCTCTAGGCGTTTTGGGAGCATCCCATCCCTTGCATGGCCCTTTTGGGACGTTTTCGGTCTGTGCGGTAAGGATCGCAAAGGGAACTTCACATCGTGAGATTACCTGTCTTGCTCGGTCTCGATTCTGTGGACGGGGTGAAGGTCAACGACTGTGGGGTTGCTTCTGTGATCATCCACCGATTGAAGGTCGAAGACATGAAGAGGATTCGATCGCACGAGCACTTCTCGACTGTTATATGTTGGCCTTTTCCTTCTCAGCATACCTTCTCTCATTCCAAACCCATTTGTCCTGGTTGGACATTGTCTACCACATTTCTCGTTCTTGTTCTCGCGCGTCACTGGACAAGCATTGGGCACATTCACTACAATGGAGCGCACACCTTCCGGTGTGTCGGCATCTCTGCACTTCGTGGACTCCAAGCTGGCGGGGGAGCATCTCTCGGTCTCTTCTGGCAACGTACAGCTGCTCCCGGTTCAACAAAGAGAGGGGACCGAGAACCAATATCCCCTTCCTGCGCTATCCAGTGGAAGGCAAACACCTCAGCAGTTCCCGATCCCATCTTTGAAGCTCGGCTCGAATGTTAATTCACACCACGGGTTCGATGGGAGGCCCAGACGCCATCCTCTCAAACCACGACGCCCGAGGCTCAATGATCCGGATCGACCATATCTTGTCCACCCCAAGTACATCGAATACAGGTCCCGGCCTAGGCAGGACATCGGCAAGGATGGGAAACCGATCTGGCCTGATCACATCGAGGCGGCCTTCCAAGATGGTAGCGTTTATCAATTCCCATTCCGCAGAGTGGATGCTGACGATTGACAGCCCTGGTCCATATCAAGCCTATGGGTCGGAAGAAGTGCTCTCAGCGAGGAAAACCCTACGGCCGGAATATGCTCATCGCTGAATGGATCTACCGAGCAACTGGCCACAAGAGGGAACGCAAGCAAGTCTCGAGTCACATACAAGTGCTCCACCGATTCCTTGCGGGCATCCCCGAGTGTACGCCACCGTCCCTCTTGCCGCCGGCCATGTTCAAACTGACTCAATCACAGGGGATCGCCTGATCAAGCCCGGCGACGACGACGACGTCGGGCCTTCCGACGGCCACAAATTCTACCACAATTCAATCGAGCACATGGTCAATGAACAGAAAGCTCGAAGCAACATCCGGCACCAGAGCGGGACAGCATGGGATGACGACCTTGACGATGTTGACGACCCACTCGCGTCTGGAGGCCCGAATATTGTCTCGGACCTCTCACACCCGGTCGAGCAGCTAAATTTCGAAATGTGGGTGAGCTCGCCAACCGACCAAGAGCGTGCCTTGCACTGCTACAGCAAACTCAAGTCCGACAAACTGGCAGCTATGCCGCTCGAAGACCTTGCGGGCTGGCGGTTGTCTTTTCCACACTTGACAAGCCTGGTCGATCGAGGAAGACGGCTCAACGAGTGCGACCTCATCTTACTCAATACCAGTTTCAAGCTGATGCAAGAATTTCCTCCACGTTACTCCAAGCTGGGAATCGGACTCGAGGTCAACTTCCCGGATCCGCTCCTCTGGCCCGAGTCTCGTGGAGACGTGGACTTCAAAAAGTGGACTTGCACTACTTCTATGTACCGGGACGGGATACTGATATCTGATCCCACTCGCAAAGAGTGCCAGGTTTCAGAACACTGGAAAGTCCGACCATTCTTTCAGTCGAAATGGTGGGCATCGACATTCACCTCGCTGACAGAAGCAAGAAAGGTGGCAGAGGATACCAAAGATCCAGAAGCGATCGAGCATGCCCAAGAACAGTCTCGCAGCTTTTTCCGAGGACTTTCGATCATGCAGGAAATTTCGGCCGTCCGCTGTGCTGGTCATTGGCAGACGCAACAAGACAAGCGCACGCGTATGGCAATCTTGCTATGGAAATTCACTCAGGCAGATAGCGTGGGAACAACGACGTGGCAGAACCTGATCGCTCCACCGGATCGTGTGACAACAAATAGTCCCCCACCACCTGGGACGGAGATGGATCTGCCGCCTCTTTCCATCGACTCTATCGTCTCGCCTGGGAATGGCTCGTTCGAGAGCAACAACCAATTTCTATCGCAGCACAGCATGCAATATGATATGTGTTCCCAAGTCATGGACGAAGAGCTCTGTCAAGACGGATTCATGGGTCTCAAGCCCGAACAGATTGGCTTCAGCCACCTACAGTCGTTCGACATGTCACTCCATGAGTTTTCCGGCGTGGACCCTGCACTCCACGATACGTTTGATCTTCAGCATGGCGATGTCAGAACGACGGCTGCTAACCAGCACAGCATCAATGGCAACCTCTTCGAGCCACCCAATGTTCAGACGAGCCTGCAATCAGGCATGAATGGTCCTCTGTCCGATGACCATCAAACTGTCACCAGCCGCCACACCCAGGATCTACCCCTCTCCAGATTCGATGTCACAACACATCAAGTGCTTCAGGAGCGGCTTAATGCAGAAGACAGCCGGCACAGCGCGTCTACATCCCACTCGCCGTCCGTCAGACCCGGGTCTTCTCCCAGGCTGCTCAGCGATGGACCCAATTGTCGTTGGAGCCAGCAGCTTGATGAGGATGAGAAAATACTTCATATCCTCGCAGCGCAGCAGCACCAACTGGCCCAACCACTAACGCGCCAGACATGGCCATCTCAAGTCGATGAGCACCAAGAACTGCGCAATGCCTTGCTCGGCACACCAGACATGCCTGCTGTCGAAGTCACGCCGCGGCATCACCGGGCACCCCGGCCCCAACACCAGTTCAGCACCATTAGCGATCAGCAACCAATGCACGACGAACCGCATCGCATCCCACTCATGTCGTTCCGCCCTCCTCTGCACTCTTATCACAGCTTTTCCGGCATGCGAAGTGACGAGAATCTGCATCGCGTATCATCATACGGAGGCGAGCACCATGGCGACGGACTATCCCTGTCGCAACCCCTGGCACAGCTTGACGGCCATCATTTCCTCGACGACCACAACCAGCTTTCCGCTGCTTCTGCGCCGGAGGACTTCCTTCGTGCAAGCAACCGCAACCACATAATGGATGAAGGGTCTCGCGATTTCACCAGGGCGCACAGCGAGCCCGATCCTAGTGCCGCCGCGGCTGGCGAGTGCTTCAGCAACAGTCTGCAGCTAGTGATGGCTGATGCAGTCAGCGACTCCGAACTCCAAGCACACGCGGAACCAAGTCCACTTGGTCCAGCGGATGCGAGCCCCGGGGGAAGTCTCGTTGAAGTGTCGATGGAGGACGTGCAGGGGTGAGAGCGGGTTTGGGAGAGCGATATCTCCGGAAGTTTTGTAACAGGCATACATTATGCGGGTTTTGGGTGAATTGCCCCAGGGGATCAGTCAGCCAGTCACTCCTGAGTACTCGGTCACTACCTCGGGCATGCAAGGGGTGATGGGAATTATCTGCTTCTTCAATCCAAGTCCGCTAACACACTCAATTCGTAGTGATGATTCTTTAGCATATGATAGATGTTGTGGCCGCCAATGATTGCTTAGCAGACCCATAAGTGATTCGAGTGTAGGTGATGGGGCGGTCACTACAGTCAGGAGTACTCTGGAGATGAAGGTCGTCGGCGGTGCCAAGGCGCCTGTGGATTTTAGTGGGATAACAGATTTGGTAAACCTGCTTGGTTTATGTTTGATTTTCGCATCTGCCTTCGGCCTCCCACGTAGACTCATTCACTCTCCCTTCGGGCCGAGAGTATGCTTGCCGCTCGCTGCTCTGCTTCTACTTCATTTGTATTCATCCTGGCACGAGCCTGTCACACGTTAGGTAGCAAAGGTGGCTTTTGTTGCCATGTAAGAAACAGCCAGGACAACACCACCGAGGCTGCTTTGGTTCCGTTGGATTTTCCCTTGACAACAACTTGTCCTCCATACTTGTATTGTTCGCCCCAGGCCTCATGTTGAGTTCACATCGGCGGGAAACGGACCGTCGTGGCATATACCTGTGAGAGAGCCAAAAGTCCCAAGGTGGAGGCGGGGAAAGAGACAAGGTGAAGCAGCGAAAGGAAGGGATGCCTCGTTTTAAGCCCCCTAATTTATTTGACGAAGGATGGCGACTTACAGATATGCCTATACACACGACGAACGACGACCACGCAGCCGCAAACACAGCGGTCACGACGTGCACATTCTATGTATTTCAAGGACCAAATTCAACCCCTCTCAGTATTTTCTATCAAAGCTGTCTGTTGCATAGGCGGTTTGCTACCCTGACAATCTGGCATGGAAGCAATGCGTCCCATGTCCGAACAAGCTTGTCTACTCTCCTGCCACGCAATAGAATGGCACTCCGGTCCGCGCCTGAAACGTTCTCCCACCAGGCTTCCGCCACCGAGCATACACTGAGGGCAAGTTTGAAGTGAAGCCTCGATGTTCATCCATGCAGAGTTCAAGTTGCGAGCGCCATCACGAGACTGCTGCTTTCCTCCCACCCTACAATTCTCCTATTCGTTCATCTGATGTGGAGGTTTTCTAGTGCTGCACGGCATGTTAGCGTTCCACGCACCCAGGAGACTCAGGGGGAAAGACCTACACCGCATGCCGTACATTTACACCCACTGCCGCATGAGCAGCTGGCGGTGCCGGAACAGTTACATGGACCCATTTTGTGACTGTGGATGTTTGGGGATTGTATTGCCGAGAGTTTGGCTTCGGTTGACGGTTGAGGAGTGATTATGACTGTTGAGGTCTTGTCGTGTGAATGCTTTGAGATGGGGATGTGATGAGGATGGATGCTTCTCACTTCAACTCTGCGAAAGATGAGGGGATACTTATACCTCTCTGGCCTGTCTGGCCACGACTGACCTGGTGTGAGCCTGAGGCCATTTCGCGCTTTCGAGCCAATCGTGTAAGTTAGCAGCTTGCGCCACCAGCGCTCTTTCCGCGTATCTGGACGAATCAAAAGAGGGCAGGACAAACAAAACAGCCAATCAGAAGCAAACACAAGTGTCCCTGGATTTGTAGACGGGGCTCTAAAGCAGCAAAGTTTTGCCTAGGTTGAGAGATCTTCGCGTTCTACAAAGGCCGATGGGCTATGCCGATTGGACATCTGACCAGATGATACTGATCTAGCGCTCAGTAGTCTATCAACGATTGGTAGTCAGACACAGTTTCTACGCACAAAGTACTCAAGAGGCCACCAAAGCGCAAAGGGCTCACTGCGCACAAAGGACTCAGGAAGATGCCACCAAAGCACAAAAAGCTCACAACGCATACGAGTCTCGGGATCAAGATTGCTAATATTGCGCTGCCAAGTTTCTTTGGGCACCTTGTGCTCTGATACTTAGTAAGTGTACGCCGTGCTATGCTCGTCTTCTCCCGAGAGGCTTTGTCCTCCGAAGTGTAATGTTACAACCCTTCGAGTCCAGATGACAGTGCGCGCTACAATCTGCTCATAGCAAGAATGAAGCCGCGAGCGCAACGGCACCGAAGACTCCCATCACCATTCGAGGAGCACTGGCGACGGCGGCGGAATCTGGTGAGCTGGATGAGGTAGCACCACCAGAGGCGGTGGGCGAGGCCGTCCCTGACGCCGAGCCAGAAGCTGAGGAAGAAGGACTCGAGTCGAAGTCGTTCTGATTTGTGATCGTTGCTGTCAAGCCTGTGACGTTGGTGCAGCTGGCGCCGACCGTGTTGTTCATGCCGGACACAAAATTGACTGCCGCACACTGCGCGGCGGGAGGTTAGATTAACATGGACGCCGACGACCACCCATCTCGAGAAGACTCACCTGGTACAAAGTGCCGTCAGGCCCATTTTGGATCACTTGAATCACACCAGGCTTGCCCGCGAAGTCGGCCGGAGCCACCAAGGCAGGGAGACAGAATTCGCCGATACCTGTCTCCGAGACTACGGGCAGCAGGTTGGTAAAGTTGAAGGGAGGCTCTTGATCGAGAGTCGCGCGGAACAAGAAATCTGAGGCTGGGTGTGTGGTTAACACCGAGACAGGGAACCCGCCGACAGGGACGGAGGAGTCATTGTTGCCGAAGGTGACATCGAAGCCACCGCAGGGAGAGGTGCCTTCGTCGTCGTCGCTAAATCCGAGAGAGTTGGGATATTGCAGAATGAAGTGGGCGGATGCAGAGAGGGTCCAGGCGGACAGCAGGGCGACGCAAGAGTACAGACGCATTCTTGTTGGACTCTGTTGGTACGTGCTTCGAGTGCGATGTTGATGAAGATCGAGAACAAAGAGGGGCAGAAGACACAGTGTAGCTGCAATGGAGAGACAGTCACTGAACTTTCACAGAATTCGTGGCCAAGACCGAGGTCTGTATATTAGTAGCGACGGCGTCCCTCGTCCCTTTCTTGCCCTACTGCTAACCCTTCAGCCGCCTCCTGTTGACTGCTGCTCCGACCTCGTCGCTAACGCGTGTCAGCGACGATTGTGCGTGGCGCTAGTTGCTGGTGAGCAAGTTTCCCAAGTGGGTCGCGTGAATCGCGAGCACGTTTTCTGGCCAATCACAGCCGATCACCTCTCAGCGGTAACCTGCGATCTGAGGCCCGAGAGATTCTCGAACCAAACGGCGACGATCGCACAAGGTCATAGAAAAGAACCCAGTCTTACGCCATGCGTCGGCTTGCAGAGTCCAGTCCTGCGCCAGATGCAGGAGCCGTGGCGGAGGATCGCCGTCTTTCTTGCTCACCTCTCCGTTCCCTCACAAACCTGACACTGCGAGCACATTTCCAGCGTACCAAAGGGGGGTCCTGCGCCTAGTCTTACCAAGTGCCTGCGGACCGCTGATGACATAGCGTGGCCGAAGGGGGTGGTATCGTTCGTCAGAGGCGCATGATATCTGGAATCAGAGTCCCTGTATCTGAACATTGACACAACTGCAACACCCTAGACTCACCACAAAGATGGATATGTCAGGTATGATGGGGATGGACATGTCCAGCGCGGGCATGTTCACCCCGACGAACAAGAAGGTCGCGCGTCTCTACTGGTACTTCGTCGCCGCCGTCGTTGGTGTACTTGTGTTTCGTCGAGTCGTCGATCGAGTGAGAGTCTGGCAACTGTAAGCGGAAACACGGCGGGGAGCATTTGCGGCTACTGACAACGTGCAATAGCCGACGAAATCAACAGCAACCCCAGCGAATACCTGGGCGTCCCCAAAACGCTTTCGAGCAATGCTACGACACCACGATAGCAATCTGTAGGGAGCTGGCCTACCCGCAGTTGTGGACATGTACCGGCAAATTCAGCAGATATTTTACGCCTCCGCCGCTCGGCAGGTGTCTGCTCCTGCTCGTTTACTGGGCAGTGATATTGACCATGTTGTGGTCGAATGTTATTCTTGCGCCTTCAGCCTCGAATTACGCCTACAGATGGGAGATTGTCGGCTTCCGCGCTGCATGGGTGTCGATAACCCAGCTCCCTCTGATATACATTCTTTCCGGCAAGGCCAACATCATCACGATGTTGACCGGGATCTCATATGAACGGTTGAATTGGTTGCACCGTTGGGTTGGCCGGACGATATTCCTGACCGTGATTGTGCACTGGTCATACTTTTTCACGGAATGGACCATTGCCGACTTTGTGAGCTTCGAGCTGAAGATTATGCCCATGGTAAAATACGGCTTCGGAGCTTGGGCAACACTAGGCTGGATGGTGATCACTGGATTTGGATTCTTTCGCAATCTCTCCTACGAACTCTGGTTTTTGCAGCACCTTGCGGCGGCGCTGGTACTGCTCTGGCTCGTACACAAACATGTTCCCTCCTACGCGGCGTACAACGTCTGGTTCGCTGTCGGAGTTATCGTCCTTGACAGGCTGGTGAGGACGGTCATGTCCCTGGTCATCAATCTGCACCTCGACCCCTCCAAGACGCAAAACGTATCCTCCCGGCGCCGGATCGGTTATGAAGCCGAAGTCACGAGTCTCTCGAACGAGTTTCTCTTGGTCAAAATCCGAAATGTCGGATTCTCGTGGCGGCCCGGTCAACATGTATATCTGTCCATACCTCGGGCTGGTGTATTCGAAGCACATCCATTCACCATTGCGAGCGTTCCAAGCTCGATATCTGGAGCAGATGGACCGAATGATGTTCAACTGTACCTGCGAGTACACAATGGATTCACCAAACGATTACAGCGACAGTGTCAGAGGCAACTGAGGCCACGTGCCTTCTTGTCATTCATCAGTGGACCGTGGGGCAACCCTCCTTCGGTGGAGCGCTTCGAATCCATGGTCTTTGTGGCCGCGGGGAATGGCGCATCCTTCACGTTCCCCATGTTCCAACAAGCCGTCAGGACGAACAACCACCTGAGGCAAATATCATTTGTCTGGATCTTCCGGCAGGCGGAACAACTTGACTGGTTCAAAGAACAGCTACTCTCAGCCTGGACGACAGCGCGGAAGCGGAATGTCAGAGTCAACATTCACGCATTCATCACAGGATCAGCGCCGGACAGCGTCCAAACGCCATCCGAGGGCCGCCCGCTGATCGAACAACGATCGCATGCAGATCCCTCACGTGGTGAAAAGCCTGGCGACGGACTACCTCCGTCGACAGAGAAAAACGAGTCCATCAAGAAAGGAGATACAGGTATTGTCAGAGAAACCTCAGTATCCTCTTCCGCTTCTTCTTTGATCAGCGAGCAGCCTACGATTGCCATCAATTATGGCAGACCTGACCCGGATTCTCTCGTTCGTCCCATGGTAGAAGAAGCTTGGGGAGAGACCGGCATCATTGCTTGCGGCGGTTGCCATTTCACCGGGCAGATGCGTAACTGTGTAGCGAGGCTGTCCGATGAAAGAGGCGTTCATAAGGGCACTGGCGCCCAGGGTATATATTTGTTCTGTGAAACTTATGGATGGTAATGCATAGCGATGGCGGGCTCAAGACTCACGGGATATACGAGATATGAATTCATGCACCCTTTTGCCTTGCTCGTTATCCCCCGTAGGTGCTTGTTCCCTACTCCGTACTCGAGGTGACCCGACTACGGAACCCCCATGAGCCAGACCTTCAGGGTCATCAAGCCACATTCTTACTGCTCCGACCCACAACTGCTCCGGAGCAAGCATTGGCCAGCTTATACCCTCTAGCCAAGCTCGCCAAGGACCGCGAAGGATAGACCGTCAGGGTGAGCAAGTTTATGGCTGCGAGTCTTTCTGTGCGTTGAGACCTTCGACCAATGGCGTCGATAACTGTCGACGGCTCGTGCAATCCTCGCTCGAACACATGTCGGCTAATGTAGTGAATACCACAATCAAGGGACCCGAATCGCAAAGAACCTACTCGATCGGGGTAAAAGTAAAAAGCTTTGCCTGAGCTACACCGGTATAAAGGGTCCGCGAGACAACGATGCCACCATGAAATGGTCTCTCAGTCCACAAGAGCCTCCAGGAGCTTCGTCGTTCTCCTGTCACATCTCCCCCAAAGCCAGAAAAGTCTGTGCTACGTGCCACTGACATCTCAAGCTCTACTCGTCTTCACCTTCACCTCCCTCCGAGATGCAGCTCTTCACCCTAGCCTTCCTGCTCATTGCGCAGCTGGTATCCGGGCACTTCGAACTCACATATCCAAACTGGCGAGGCGATTCCTTCCTCCCGCCAGCATCGCAATACATGTTCCCATGTGAGTGCACCGATTTTTGCGTGACTATTGCGCTCCCACGCTGACCCCTCCGCGTTCCCTTCCAAGGCGCAAACGTCAATACCACAGACGCCTCCAATAACAACCGCACCTTGTGGCCACTGGACGGAGGCTCCCTGAAGATCGAGTTTCACCACTCATGGACCTACGTCGCCTTCAACCTCGGGCTCGGCTCAAACACCAACACGTTCAACATCTCGTTGAACCCGATGCTCTTGAACGAGACGGGCAACGGCACCATGTGCTTTCCGAAGTGGCGTCTGCCTGCCGACTTGAACATCGAGGACGGCACGGACGCCAGCTTGCAGATCATCACCATCGGGGATAGTGGGACGGCGCTGTATAACGTGAGTCACTCAATGCACTCATCCATCTGTTCTGCCGCGTAGCATCACACTTTCGGGTTATCACCACGTCGTCGTACGGAGTATTTCCTGTGTATACACATGGCTGACCGACGACACTTCACAGTGCGCGGACATTCGGTTCTCCGCGGACGCAACGCTCTTGAGCGAAGATCAGTGCCAGAACACCACGGGCCTCGAGTTATATCCACTCGTGCAGCAGCAGGCCGACGGGTCAATGGTGGGCGCGGCAGCAACGGTGACGGTGACTGCGAGTGCCGCGGGAGCTTCGGCGACCGGTGAGAGTGCTGCCATGGGCATGAGCGCGCCGGGGTTGAGTAGCCTTGCTTTGGGTGCGGCTCTCACCGCCGCGCTTCTATTGGGTTCATAATCTAGGTAGAGCTCTGGTTGAGGTAGTGTGGATGCAGTGAATCAGCGCTGAGAGGCAATGCATTTTCCTGGACTACTTAAGTACTTACTGTACCTGGAAGTTGAATTCAGACTTTTCAATCGTTACACTGTCGGTGTACGTACTCTAACCATCGTCAACAACAGACCAAGTGCAGGCATGCCCTATTGCCTTCACGATCGGACCACAAGTACATAGTGACAGCAGTCATAATAACCTCTGAAGTTTCGCCGAGAATCTCTCAACGTTGGATCGCCTCTGTTTTGGTTACATAGTATCCTCGGAGTACAGTAAGTACTTACTGTAACGCTGCCCACGTCGGTACACGTAATCAGAGATTGGAGCACGACAACCCGCCCCTAAAAGACAGAACTCGAGTCATATTTTACAGCATGGCACAGACTGCAGCACCTAGAATTCAAGTCCTTGTGTACGTCCTGTCTATGACAGTGCATTTAACGGGCAAGTGAGCAGCCGACTTTGCACTCTGGGATTCCAGAACTTTGAAGGAGAAGAATCGTGCACGCGGAGGAACTGCATCCGAATGACCTTGCTTAAAAACAAGTCCTCGCTACTATGTATGTACTTAACGTCACTTCATTCCCATCTCAATACACCATCAGAACCGCTTTGACACTATTGTAAGGTACTTACTTTATACTGACAACATTGAAATTTAAGGACTATATCGATACAGCATGAGAACAGCTTGAGAACAGCATCAGAACAGCATCAGACGCTCACCGGTACAGCTTTAAAACAGCACTGGATAAGATTCGAACCATGCATGTACTGGGGGAGCAGTCACTAAAAGTAGTACTAAGTACAGTACTTAGTACATTCACAGGCTGCAGTACATCCTGGTAGCACGCACTTCGGATTTCTCGCCGTGTCTGTTCTGGCCTACAGTTCGCGAAATGCAGTGCTTTGGCAGGCATGATTTTGATGTTGATGAGAGAAGCACCGGAAGGGGGCGATGGCGAGATCAACTCAGAAGTCGCGGTCAGGGCATGGGAAATTTAAGCTTACCACGTGATGCCAAGCCTTTAAGAACGCCCAGGAAATTGATGACCAATGATATAAGCTTTACTAAGCCTAACTTAGTAAATTTCGTAGCGCGTTATCACTCTTCGCGTCTAGTTACCCTAGTATAAGTAGTAGTATTCTTTACTTTACCCCTAGGATATCCGCTTAGTTTAGTCGACGAGTAAATACTAGTAGTATAGGAGTGAAATGAGTCAGCACCGCGTTAGAGTTACTAAGTAAGCTACAGCCACTTTCGATGCTTAGACCTTCCCTTCCTCCTGCGCTGCCAGCGTATTAAGCTAGTACTGAAATATACTTAGTATACTTATTTTAGGTACATACTATGTAGGATTGAGCTGTTGTCAAGTTAAGATCGAGCTGGTGTCGACCTAAGATTAAGAATCAAGCTAGGGTCATATTAAGATCAAGTTGAGATTACTGTAAGTTGAGATCGAGCTGAAGTCGAGCTTGTGTCGGGCTAGTGTCGAGCTGGAGTCGAGCTTATGTCGAGCTAGTGTCGGACTGCGATTAGGCTAGGATCGAGCTTACATCAAGTTGGGATGGAGCTGTGATCAAGTGGGGAGTAAGTTCGGATCAAGTTGGGATCAAGTTAGAACTGAGCTGTTGTCGAGCTAGAATCGAGCTAGATGTTTTCCCTCTCCCCTTTCCGTTGCAAAATGTAAAGCATAACAAAGGAACGCTAGTGTTGTTCTGAAACAGCTTTCAAGCCATAGCGCAGAATGTTGTGTATAGTACTACTAGTAGTTAGGGAGGATTCAACCTGATCCTCACGAAAAATGTGGATTCCTTATTTAGTATTGGGCTTGCTGGGTCTGGGAGCGCGGCTACATAGCACTTTTCTTCCAGTGACACTCTATTAGAGAGGGTAAGGTGAAGTTAAGGTCAAGTGTTGCTGTACTTACTTTCTGCCCTCACCTTAACATTAAGCGGCAGTTGTGGCGACGTATCAGGGTGCAGCTTCATCAATTTTGCTTGAACACTGCAAGTACTAACTCCGTACATTAAGTACTATGTACTAGTAACTACATAAGTAAGTACGTACTTAGTACTACATTACAACGGCCTCGGCACTTCGAGGATTTTCAAGAAGACTTCAAGTTTAATGTAGTTTAAGGACTCGAGAAAGCGTCGGAGCAGCATCAGAACAACATCTGATGCTTGTTTGACACAGCCTCGAAATGGTCTGCATGAGATTTAAAATACATGTACGTATGGTAATATTGAGGGTATGCAAATAGCAGTACATACATATACTATACCATTCACGGCATGTTTTATCGCTTCATGATCGATAGATCAGCTGGAATCAAACCATTCCTCCCTAACCTTGTGGATTGTTCCCGTCCTTTCCAGAACCTTAGCAGCATTGCCGCAGCGGCGGGTTCCACAGCCGTGACGTTTCTGGCGACGTGAATCTCCTTGTTACTGTTCCAGACATTTCTGAGACCACGGAGCTCTTCGAAGGGTACGCTCTGCGCCGAAAGCCATTTTATGCGGCAAGGCTGAGTGCAGATCGTCAGGTTTGAGGACACTGAGTTTGAGTCCAGGCTCGGTGGGTCGATCGAATCTGGCGACGAGATGGGAAATTGCAACGGGTATGAGCCATCTGCGGTGGAGGGACTTCTCGGGCAATGCGGTGATGACGACGCGTGCCATATGATCTTCCTTCTCTGGGGCTCGTAGGAAATCGATCCGGTTGTGACAGACGTGTCACAGGACGAAAGTGACGGCCTCCGTGAAGTGGGCTCCGATTGCGAATCGCTGCCAGACTCTGTCAACTCGGTGTCGTACGGTTCCTGCGCTGGGTGCGCCGGAAAGAGATTTCCGTTTGCAGATGGGGTGGGGCGTTCTTCATCTGAGATTTCGGCCCGCATCGTTGCATAGCCGAAGAAGCGACCAGAACCATTCACCGAAAAGATCAGGTAGACCTTGCTGGCTGTCTGAAAGGCGTTATTCAGTCGTTCGACATGCCGCTTGGGAACGTGCCAAAGCCCAGATGCGAGACTTTGGTAAAGAGTCTCGAGTGAATAGCTTTTCAGGATGTAGTACTTCTCCTTTCCGTATTGAGAGCTATCTGCTTCGGGGAAGTGCAACATCTCCTCCACTTTATGCCGTAGGGTGCTTGGTGCATCACTGGATATCGATATCGATTGGCTTGGACGTCCTGAGTCGAGACCATAGTTGACCTTGGTTGATCTGCTGGAGCCGTTCTGACGGATACGACAGTCCAGTCGTTTTCCATCCAAGAGGTGATATGCCGCCTGCTGTATGGCGAGCATGCGAGCTGAATCGGTTCGGAAATTGACGAATGCGTATCTCGCATCGGGGTTATAGGAGATGCTGAGCAAGTCGTGTTGTGATGGCATTGCGTTGGAGAAATAGTCTCTGAGACGCATGACGGTGGTGTTCGACGGGATGTTGCCGACCCATAGGGCATTTTCACCTCGACCTGTTGGGCCATTCGGAGGGGATGAGGTTTGGGGCGAAGCTGGAAAGTTGTTAATTGCTGTTGCTGGTAAGGGAAAAAGAATCTCTGTTGTTACGACTAACCTCTTTGGAAGTCGTAAGGATGCATGGTCGGCAGCAATGAAGCAGCAGCGAGCAGGGAGAGTTAACTGTGTTGGCGACCTGTCCTGTCAATCGTGGATGCGGTCGAGGCGTTGAAGCCCCAGGGAGATGGACCGGCCCATTATATCGCTATCCATGTCCGTTCGAGAATGTAGAGCCGTGGATGTGCGCCTAGCTGAAAGGAGGTTTGTACGAGCATGATGACCAGCCAATACCAGCGAAATGCCGTCTCCCTCAAGAGGGCTCAAGCTATTACCAGGTCGGTAGCTAAGCTTGCCATATGGCTAGGTTCAGCAAGTCTCACAAATGAGAGAGTGGCCAAGAACATGCGCACGGAAATGTGCTCAAGCCGCGCCTGCAGTTTACTGTGTAACATAAAATCCCGAGCTGCCTCACTCGGAAATATGCTCATACCGGCCACCCGCTGTTCGGCCGCGACGCGTCATTGGACCGACAAGCCAACAGTCCTCTGGTCCTGCACGGGCAGTGGTGATTCGCGATGGCCGAACTTTCTTCTTTCTTTGGGCGATATTCATTCTTTCAGGCATGCGTAATGAGCAAGTTATTCCACGCCGGAATTTCTAGAAAAGCAGGTGTTCGGTCGAGGAAGGTTTTGGCATTTGGTGGAAAATCAACGATGTGTTTATATGTACGTGTGCTTGGCAGTAGCGGTACGGCAGAGCAAACCCTGAAGATGTGTACTTACAGCTCGCAAGCCTCGCTAAAAGATTCCTTGGAGCTTCTAACCAAGTCGCCCGAAACTCAATAATGCCTGCCGTCAAGTCACTTTATCTCCGACATGAACGCTCGGATGTCGACGCCAGGCAATGACGCGCTCACGAGTACTGGATTTACTGACGCGTTCAGGAACATTTTGCGCCTGGGCGGGGGATGGGGCAATGTTAGGTTAGTGCTGAAACGAACCCGAGTCGGTCTGGTTGATCTGATCGGATTCTCCCTACAGCGGTCCAGGAATCTTGTAAGTGGCACCTGCCGGCAGCTGGTCGATTGCAGCGAACCGATGCACATCTGTCTCGCATCGATAGAACACCATGCTGGGTGGCGGAAAGTGCTTACATTTCCCATATACGCAGCATGACGCGCGTCATTGTCTCCGGGGGTGTCGCGTCGATAGTCATGGGAATGAGTGGTGCGTCTCTGGGAGCCTTGATCTTCGATACTGCCACGATCCCATTCATCGTGTCGGCAAGTGCGGGGTTCGTTCTAGGCGTATGGGGTTTCTACCGTGACGCCGTGCGCAAGTCTCTTCGAGCGGTGGAGAGGTTCCCACAGCTGCTGCAATTGCACCTGGATGGAAATTTCCCACATCGTGGATTTGATACTTGGGAGACGGGCAGATTCAGATCTGCTACCTTCAGCAAGAGTTGGATCTTGCAAAGCATGTTGATTGCAAGCTGGATGACGGCAAACCGGGCAATCGAGGTGCGTATGCCCGCGCAGTATTGCCCCGTCCCTGCTGAGCCCAGCGACCGCTTCCCGGTCGGTATCATGGTGGCGTCGCTAACTAGGGCTTTTCTGGAACAGCGAATCTACGAGGCCGAGGAAGAACGCATTCTCCTTCCCTTCACAGCGGGCGCGGAAACTCTGGAGGCGCCACTGGAAAAGACCTGATTTCAGGTGATTCAGAACCGAAGCCTTAGCCCAGCGTTCTGGCCAGTCATGCTTTGTATAGTATGAGGATACATGGCACTGTACAACCCCTGCGAGGGAGTCTCCGCAGCTCTTGCATCGGGACGTTCTGGTGCCACCTCTCGATGATGCTCCACACCCTGGCTCAAGTTGTCAGTTTCTACCCGCGCTTGCCTGAGCGCTGGGCCAATTTTGAAATCAGATCTGCGGAAATTCACATTGTATCTTGAAGCAACTGCTGAACTGGGTTAGACAAGTAGCTCGGTTCTTGTGCGCCTTCGACACACTTCCTTGAATCTGTGCGCTTATGCCGGCGAACGGAGATACTTTTACGACCTCCTGCCACGTGTCAAACGCCGCAATCGCTGATGATTCCCATCGACAGCATATCGGTGATTCGGGTTGGCGTTGAGTGATCGACGCGCTCACCGAGCAAACACACAGCCACAGGGGGAAGTATCCTGACAGCTGTGAACACCTGGGAGGGAAGAGACGCCAGAATCCTCTGTAGCGACAACGACCCATGGAGCTGTACGACAGGGTCCGGCGTCAAAGGGCCCGTGTCGCCGTGTATTGAACAAGTTGCAACCGGTGGGTAGTCCCCCACGTGTTCAGCCAAAGAATATGCCATGTTGCGAAGCAATGCTCGGAACCTCGATCGAACTGTCTGTGGCTGGGGTACGATCACGAAGAATCATGGCATCCCACGGATGGTACTTCGTAGGGACGAGTTCCTGGCGGTCCTTTGAAGATGTGAATGATGAGATGCCGAGGGAACAAGGATCACCATTCGCAATCATGCCCAACTTAGGGCGGTAACATTGGTGTTCAATGGTGTTATCAGCTGGTGCGCTTGTTCCTCAATGCCTGGTCAGTTTGCCTTGACTCATCTGTCACCGAGCGCAACGAATGTGGTAAGAGATGGTGCTGTCGCAGCCGACAAGTTGACAACCCGCAGAATAAAACAGCTTCCTACACGCCTCAGTAAGTTACTGTTGGACTCAATGTGAACCTCAGACCCTCCACCTTGTGGTCACATCACCTGAGTGACAGAGTCAGCGAGTCAATGCCCTGTGAAGGCGCAAGCGCGCGCACTGCCTCCGACAGGTAAAAGCTCTGGCTCCTTCATAGGTAGTTATACTCACTACCCGACTGTCTCATCATTTCCCGGATCCAAGTGGTTGTGAGCTCTGTCTTCGACAACACTTAGGTTGACGCAACTAAGTTCAGACCCAAGATGTCGAGTTTATCTGACTCCGATGTCACGGTTCTCACGGCAAACAATTACGTCCCATGGGCACGCAATTTCCGTGCGGTTGCACAAGAAAAGGACGTCTGGATGCTGTTCACCGGAGATGAGCCCATCCTTCCAAAGCCCGACTTCGAAGCCATGCTGGAGGAAGCAACGGACAAAGACGGGCACGCAGGCATACTGTTTCTGCAGATCACTTACAAGATGAAGTTGAGGATTGGGCCGACAATCGTAGACGCGTCCGACTCGCTAAATCACTTCTGGCCAGCTCGGTCGATCCAGTCATCCGATATGAAATCACTGGTATGACGCCAAACCAGGCATATGTATACCTCCAGGAGACATACAAATTCGACAACGTACGCGCCCGCAAGATCGCCGAAGAGAACCTTGCGAATCTTACCTTCAGCCCTTCCGAACCTGCTATGACCTTCGTCAACAAGGTCCGCATCCTTCAACGGGACATCAGAGACGCCGAGGGTAATTGCACCAACGCCATGGTCATGTACACGATCACTCGAAGTCTCCCTAAGGATCGTTTCGCTGACTTCCTTACCAGCATCAATATCATCAAAGACATGCCAAAGGCCAAAGAGGTGACCATGTCCGAATTCATGGGGCGTCTCGTGTTCGCCGAAGCCGTTCCTCCGAAGGTCGCTAGCTCTACCGAAGGTTGACAAGGAGAGAGACAAAGAGGAAGAAAAGCGAGACAAGTGTGCTGAGTCCGGGAAGTGTGGTCATACAGCCGAGAAGTGTTGGATCACTCGTCCGGAACTGCGGGAAAATGGCGAGAGAGAATGAGACAACACCAGCAACACGTCCGAAGCCAAGACAAACGACAAGGGCAAAGCGAATGAACACAAATATGCTGCTTGCGACGTCTTCGACTTAGCCGCGGCAAACCGCCTCCTCAACGACCAATTACAAGGGAAAGAAACCCTCTGGTGACCTAAGTCAGTCATCACCATCCCCAGCAGAATACGACACAGTTTGTCAGGGTAACGGAGTGGGAGATCTGTTGACAACGGGACTGGCGTACTGTCCATGAGGCACCCATGTACTACTTTGAGGGCCTCATCGGCCTTCATGTGATACTGCCGATGGAGAGTCTTGGGATGATGACAAATTAGAGTTCGTCAAATGGGACACTCACGATTTTGTGTAAGTAGCTCTCTGCCCGCAGTCCAACCAGGGAACCCGCTCCCCTGCGATGAGGTCGATGTCTCTCATGTTGATGGGAGCATCAAGAAACCATGGCATGGGTTGGTCACAGATAAAATGTAATGCCATTTCCAGTACTGGTGTGTCATTTTGGCTGATGGCTTGTCAAGCCAAGGGTGGAAGTGACAATCCGAGGTGTCGAGCGACGAGAAGGGAGCCGTCTGTGACGAGAGAAAGCAGTGTAAGATGAAACGCGTTGAGCTGCCTGCTGGCAGAAGTTAGCAGGTTTTTCTTCTCCGAGTGATATGTTGCTGGGCTGCAATTGAAATATTGACAGGTGGCCGGCCTCAGGTCTGGCATTCACACCTCACCTGCCTTTGACGGTTGAACCAACGCAATGAGCAGACTGATGATGCTGAGAGGGTAGGAAATCGGTTCGGAACCCATCCTGTAATTGTTCTCGGATTACTCCAAACTCACCTGGAAGAATTTGAAAGAGCTCGAAGGACGGGCAGAGGGCGTCAGACTATGCTAGCCTAATTGACAATTGCAGTGTCTTCAGCAGAACGAGGTTGTTTGGCATGAGTTCGAGAGAGTGTCCCTGTGGGATCGGCTGAAACGTTTCTCATCATAGGAAAATGACTTGACCCGGCCTCGCTCTAGCCTGTGAAGGAACCACCACTAAACGCCCTCCCATTGATTCCTTTGTCCTCGGGACACATCTGCCTTACAAGAAAGTCAGCAAGAGTCACCGCTTCTTGTCACATCAACAGCGCCGCGACTGCCAGCTATCCAGGCTTTTATTCGAGACAAGGTGGGCAGTCCCAGTCCTCAAGCTGACAACTCCCGGCTCCGCCACTGGCTTTCAAGTACACAGAGTCAGCCCAAGTGGGCGTAGCCAGTCTGATTTCTATCGTCGTAATGATTGTGGATGATTCGTACAAGCGGGTTCAACATAAGCCATATTGGACGCAAGTAGATTCGACGTCTCTTGGTGCCACTGACCAGTTACAATGCACTACGTCACGAGCACAAGCTGGATATGTGAGCCGGATAAGCTCCAACTGGTGCAACCGACCGCCTATCAGCCCGATCCATTAACCCCAGACGCCTAGAAAGGCGGGGGCGGGGCTTTCTTAGGTACTGTACGAGCAGGTAGGTTTAGGTTCCTAGAAGCCATGAGCATGTGAATGTACACAGTACTGTACGAGCCACAGAGCTACTGTGTACCTTACGTAGTGACTCGAGCTCTCCCTTTCCCACTCGACCGTTTGTAATCTCCTTCATATTAGCCATTCATCCGTCCAATACCCCAGCGTGCCATCTACATACGCGTATCTACCCTACTACCATACCCGTCTCCCATCACTTCGAGACTCAAAGTCGTGCATCATCACCTCGTCACATCCCCAGTCGACCCGACCACGCACGGCATCACCATGTCTTCTCCCACCTGGCAAGACCGCCGCTTCATGTTCCCCGCGGGCAAAGAAGTCCACCAAGGCTCCACCCGCCGCATGTCCGCGTCCTCTGCCTCGTCCGCGACCGCCGAATCCCCCGTCCTGACGAACGCCACCCCTGCCGCCGCCGCAGGGGCGGGAACGGACGCCACGCCAGCTCTGCCCGAGTACCCCGTCGTGGACAAGAAGGTGCTCTCCAACCCGGACGCCTGGGGTGGGGACAGACGTTTCATGGGCAGAGCCGGGAAAGAGGTGCGCCAACCGGCCAGACGCCCTAGCGGGACGAGCGCCGCGAGGCCGGAGGTCGTGCCGAAGAGCAGTTCTCCGCCGGCGACCAACGCGGGAGGGGGGCTCGCCGCGGCCATTGCCGGCAGGAGACGCGTGAGTGTAGAACGTGGCTGCAAGCCTGTTGCCCTTATCCCCCTCGTTCCTATCTGCTTTGACGCTTTGATTGCTCCGCGAGCTAACTTGTCCGGGCTGTGCCGCGATATAGTCCTCCGCCTCTCAGGGCGGTGTCTTCTCCGGCCTCATGGCGAACCGAAGCAGCCACGAAGAGCGTCGGCAGTCGTGGGACGACATGAAACAACCAGGGGGTTCGTTCGGGGGGTTCCTCTCGAATTTGGTGTCGTCCAAGCCTGCCGAGAAGAAGTAATGTACTAGTACCGGGTACTGTAAAGAAGCACGAGATAATGAGTGACTTGGGATATGCGCGTGGTAAGGGGGCCACAAGGGGGTCAATTCTATCCAGGATGTTACCTTGATCTCGGGGTGATGGCATGAGCCGAGCATACGCATGGGGTGATGGAGCCCCTTGTTCCGCACGGATATCGCGGCAAAGGTGTGTGAGCGCGGAGAGATGAGATTGTGATCTGTCCAACAGCGGATCGGCGGGGTATGCCCGCTCCATTGAACGAAACTGTATTCCAATGTACAGGGCGATTGATCTTACTTCTCCCAAGTCCATATCCTTCTTCGTTCCTGGCCCGAGTGCTTTGCTGTCATCCCGAATCCTGGCCAATTATTGACGTTGCGAAGAGACTGGGCAAGCTATAGGGAGAGAGGAAATGGGTTATATGAGACCGTCGTGCGCATTGCAATCTGGAACCGACCTTCTTCACCGGCTTGCATGAAATGCCCAAGGCCATTCTCGAGGCGAGCATCAAAAGGATGACTGATTATTCACTCTCGGATCGTGCCATCAGGTTTTCCCCTCCATGGAAATCTGCTTCCGTTGTCGTGGATACAGCTCTTTTCACCCCACTGAGGTATTTCCACAGGCTCTTCGCAGGCCAGCTGCAGGCGGAGGCGGAGGCAGAGGCTCAAATCTCCGAAACAACCAGATAGGAGGAACATCATGTACTCACGTCCGGAGGCTCGAAGTTCTTCGTATGGTTTGCTTCGCTCAACTAATCTGAGCATCAAGCTACAAACCAGCTACGTTGGGTAATCTCTGTGGAATTGAACGAGTAGCTACCCCGATCATGACTCCACCATGGCTCGTCTGCCCAGAATTGCATTACATGGAATTGCGGTCACCGCCGCCTGGCGAGCGGGGGACTTGCTGAACCTGCTCGACCTCCTCACTTATCATTCACTTACTCATTCTTGACGACGACTTTCTCCTCGGGAGTCTGATGACCACTCGTCTCGTCGACTTCGGCAATCTGTCCATGGATGGCGGGGCGTCTCTTGCCCGTCACGTCCAAGAAGATGGACTTCACGGTATGGCCCATGGTTTTCCGGCCTTGCCAGAGCGGGAACAAGCCCACGGCGAAGGTACTACAGAAGAGCCAGAGGATGCCGACTACGACCCAACCTGTTCCCGTGAACAAAAATCAGTAACGTAGAAACCAGAACGTGATGATAGGAAGGTCACAGAAGGGAAGACATGAATGACGTGACATAACGTGACGTGACATACCGGTAAAGAACTTCTTCGAGAAGATATAGCCCGTCCCGTACAAGGGCATGGGCCAGAGCACGAGCAGAGCAATGGTCATGAAGCCGGTCAAACTCCTGGAGATGACGGCGGCTTTGTTCAACTTGGTCTGCTCGGCGGCTTCTTGCTCGGCAGTGCGGGCTGCGATCTCGCGTTGGATCTCCGTGTCGACGCTGGCGCGGCGGATGATCTCGGAGTCGTCGCCCTTGCGGATCGCACGCATGGACTCCCAGTCGTAGTTCTGGCGGCCGAACGCATACGTAAGGATGGGGACGAAGATAATGGGGCTGAGCAGGGCGGTCACGTTCCCAGCCAACATGGGGTTGTTGGAGCCGGTGCAATCGACGTTGAGGACGCCGCAGTCATGCTTCGCGGTCACGAGCCAGGCGATAATCGCGCAGATGAAGCCCAGGACCGGCGCGCCTGCCGCGGCTTGCCAGTTCTGGTCCTTCCACATGAGGGCCAGCGTTGCTGGAATCACGGCACTGGAGATGATACAGCCCTGGAGGCATTGATCAGTGCGGGCGCGTGACTCTGAGGAGGGGAAGAACTCACCATGAGGAGATACAGATAGCCCATCGAAACACCGGCGTAGAACAAGCCTGTCGAAAAAGAGGCAAGGCAAATGGCGTAGACGACACAAGCGGCGTGGGACATTCGGATCAGGAACTTTCCAGAGGCCTTTGGGTTGATATAGGTCTGGTAGATGTCGTACGTCCAGATTGAGGATACCGCAATGAGTTCAGCCGAAGATGCAGATGTGACGGCCATGAAGACCAACAGCAACGTCGCAGCAGCGCCGCCTTTCCCCAAAAGCGCCACGGCGGCGTAAGGCAGGACCAGTCCAGCACTAACATCAGCGTGGGACATGCGCTCGGGATAAGTTGGGAAGACCGGGTTGTTCTCAAGGGCCAGTGCCGCAAGACCCATGGTTGTAGCGCAGAGCCATGGGATCGCGAACCACGAGAGACCCCCCATAACATACCCTGGTAAAGCATCGACGGGTGAAGCCGCGATGGCCTTGTTATAATATCCGTTGTCCAAAAAGACGGTTCCGAAATTCCCAACTATATTGATGACGAAGAAGATGGCCCCTTCATGGCTGCGCATTGTGAGATAGCTGCCGTCCTTGTTGCCAGACACAGGATGTCGTTCCGCGGCGGCCACCAGTAACTCCCAGACTTTGCCCGGGGAGCCCGCGACCTCGTTGGTAGCATACGCGGAGAACGCGAACACAAAGATAATGACGAGAATGATCACCGTGTGAACATAATCCGTCAAAAATGTCGCCTTAATGCCGCCGAACATTGTGTATAGAACGACACCAATTGGCAGGAGAAAGCAACCTGCTGCGGTGGGGACGCCACAAAGAGCACTCGCTACAGCGCTGCCGCCAGTCAACAACATGGCAGTGACGAGAATGTTAGTCATGAGGCCGAAGACAAGGAAGACGATATGCGTGACGACGCCATATCTCGCCTTGATGACCTCCAGGAAGGTGTGCGCGTTAGGGGCGCGGCGCTTCAATCTAAAGCGATGTGAGCGCATCCCACAACCCGGATGTCGATGCTACTCACTCTATGGCCAGTGTTGCAAAGAGCAGGATCTGAACAGTCGCGCCTGAAGCATACCAGAATGGGCCGGAGACACCATAGGAATCTGCCAGTGTCAGCATCCACGACATTATCGGGAAAAGCGCGGACTGGAGGCGTCCTGCACAAGCTGAAGCGCGCTTAGGAAGTACTCACAGGCAACGCCAGAGGACTGGAGCAAAGTGGCAGCCCATGTCCAGCTCGATACCACAGCAGCAGCCACTAGACCTGATTTGACTGTCCGGCCTGCTGTTGAGAACTCTTCGGAGGTTTGGACCTAGAACATTCGTAGATTAGCAAATGAACGTTGTTGTACACAGACATCCCTTACCTCGCCGTGGTACCTCTTCAAGGCCCAGGTGGTCCCAATCATACCGAGGGCAAAGGCAAACCCAAGCCCAAGGATGATGCCATAGCCGAAGCCCTTGGACAGAGGCACAAGAGCGGCACCCGCCGTATCTGACATGTTGAAGATCTTGGTCAAGGTTGTGGAGAGGCTCTTGCCAGAGGATGAAGAAACGGGGAGTCCTGGTCGCAAGGTCGGGAAGTGACTTCCTGGCGCGATTTATATTGGGCACGCGGGCTCTCGTCTTGGTGATGCTGGACAGAGCTCAAGAAAAAGAAAAGACAGGTGTCCGGGTTCGTGGGGAGCTTGCATCTCGTCTGGGAGTGCCAGGGCACGCGATACTGGAGACGAAAATTTGCAAATCGATGCCGTTCCCATAACGGCATACTGAACGATAATTCTGGCTCCATGTTCCTATGCACGACGAAGCAGGGTGTCGGAGGCAGGTGGGTCTGCGCAAAGCAGCATCGCTGGCATGGAGGTAATCTGTTGATATCAAAGTCGTTAGCTAACTGGAAGCATTGATAAGCAAGACAGCTGTGTCCACGAGATATGCAGGGCTGGTTGGAGGGTCGATCATCCGTTGGTGGAGAGAAGCAGCACCAGTGGTTGGCAGCAGGCTTGGACAACTTGGGCTGGCCTTATCAGAGCCAAGAGGCGTGGTGGTTGGCCGTGCTCGACGCCATCGGCCATCTCCTTCGAGTTCTCCGTCTTTCTCATGTGTTTCAAGCTTGTCATAGCTTTGCTTTTCCACTTCCGCCGCCAACAGCAAATTGATCTTGAGTAACATGCTCTGCTCGCCCCTATCAGAGAAGACTTCTCCAGCTTTTCAGTGATTAGGTGAGTCTCTGCTCAACATCGGGGTGGGCTCTATTTGTCACACCCATATCACCCCGGGACGGGGTAACGGGGAAATCCTGACAGGCTAGAGGATGTCGAACAGAGCCTGTGACTGTTCCCGTATATCTGAGCACATTATCGTCTCTTAATTCAGCACGATGGGCTGCTGGAGAAAAGCCTCTGCCTTTTCAGATCTAGTCTCAGCAGACGTGTGCCAGTGTCCAGATTGTTTTTGAGCAGCTGACCTATCCTCGTACTTTTGCAGGGTTCTGAATCTGCGCAAGATATCAAACTAATCTTGATTGGATGATCTTGCAGGGGCCCTGTTTGCGCTGTCTCTGGTGCAGTAGTTCGCGCGAGCGTCGAACGCACTGGCGCTCAGAACCCAAGGCTGAGATGACAGGGCCAACCACGTTGGTAGGCATGTCGTTACTGGGGGGTTGAAGACGGCAGCGCCTGGTCACCATCCCCAAGCCCGTCCTATCCATATGGACCGATCTTGAAGCGAGCTCCGGCCCATGCAACAGGGTCCACGTCCCTCAGTTCGACTAGCTGAGAGCACACCGCGCTGCTGCTTGTCTAGGAGGAATGGGTCAGTTGTGCTTAGTCTTCGATCCTTTCCTCCCAACTGTTCCTCGTCCTTGAATCCATGCCCCCATTTCTTGGCTCGCTTAAGAAGTTCTCACAGATGCGGCGCCGAGATGAGTACCCGGGCACTGAGGGGAAGCGAAGCGCCATCTGCTCGGACGGGCACGAAGGACGTTCTCCATAGTGTTCTAAGCAGACTTTGCCGCAGGTTTATTCGGCACGTGTGTCTCCTGCATTCAGACCACATGGGCCTGCAGATCCTTGTGCTCAGGAGGCAGATCGTCGTTCCCCCGTCGTCGAAGGTATGTTGCTTCCTCAGGTCTGACACAGACAATGTTGCGTGTCCTCAGCATCCTCTCTTAGGCTAGCAGCTGCTCGCATTCGCACAAGAAGAGCCAGGCTCAGTCCAAAGCACATGGCGCCACAGACTGACCCGCAATCGACGGCTGGGGTGTGGGAGTCTCCAGGTGAGATCGAATCAGGCAGTGGCCTGACCATTCCGTCCTTCGACTCATGCTTTCCAGAGACCATGGCAAACTGCTGAATGGTCAAGAGGCGGTGTCCTTATTGTCGCATGTGTGACTCGCTTCATTACCGCCACCTCTTGACATGTCGCTGGAGCCGGACGGTCATGAGCGCACTCGCTAGTATGTGCGTAGCTTTGCCGATGAACAAGGCACGATTGAAGGGCTACTGGAGGCTGGAAAGGCTCTGACAGGTGTTGACAAGACGAAAGGGACGTTTGGATTGTGGTGGAGATCTCTTATTGGCTAAGATGTTGAACTGAGCGTCTGGGTTCAGATTATACCGGCCAACTTCGAGTGTTCGGAGGACTCGGTGAGCTAGCAACAGATGTCAGTCATAGCCAAAAGGCAGTGTGTAGTAATTTGTATGCGGTCAGGAGCCGAGGTGGGATCAATTTTCGCATAATAGGCAATCCAGCCAGTCTTCATGGTTGGTAGGCGGAGACTCAGAGGTTCAGAGGGTTCATACATTGCTGACCGAGGAGAGCGCCCGAGCTCACCCTTTTCGCGGAGCATAGTTCTGGATCACTTCGCCAGCATCAGACTCGGCGGATGCGTGTGGCCGCACCCTTGCTGGTTGAGGTATTCTTTCGCGCGGGCAGAGCTATCTCTAATCCTGTTTGTTGGTGTGGACAACCTTGGTGGACTCGAAGACCATGGCCACCGCAAGTGACAGGGGCTTGGATCCTCGAAACCGGTACAGTTGCTCGGGACTGCTGGCCAAGGCATGGTAAGCGTCGGAACATGTTTGCACGTCAGATCATGTGCTTGAGCGAATGGCGGAGATGAAAGCTTCCCTCACGGCTTTTCGCATAAGGACCAGGCAGTGTTACAGATGTCAAGGGTAACAGCTCGTTGGAGGAGTAGTGAAGAGGAAGAACAAAGTCGTAGACAGTCCACTGTTTGCACGAGACTAGAGGGGAGATCTCCTGATGACTGACAAAGCTTCTGTGGCCATGAAGAACTCGCCTGTTTACTCGACCTTGAATGCCGTCTGCAACAATATAACCGCCTTCCAAGACAGATCGCCAACGTTTCGCCAATTGAGACTTGTCCAGCATCGAGAAGTTACTCGCTCGAACCTGTATTCACTGTCAACCCGGTCACATCACGCTCACGGCTCGGAAGGTACATTCAGCCTGTAGAGGACACACAGATGGTCAAGTCCAGATGAATCAATCCGCATGTCTACCAGGAAACGAAGCAGCAGATCAGTCGACACGTACAAGGTCCCTTAGATCAGAAACAACGAGCAATCGCGGTGTGTAACCCGAGGATATGTATTGACCTGTATTTCTCGTGCAATAAACTCCTAAGATTACAATGCGTGACCCTCAGCTGATGGGTTGTAGGCACTCTGTTCCAGCTTCTCAATGGTCATGGTGAGGTTCGCCGTGGTAGCCAACAATCTTCAGCCGCCCAAGCATTTCGCCCACAGTGAAAAAGCCCAAGACTTCGGCGAAGATGATCCCAGCAGTGGTAAGCTGCTTGCGATTGACGTTGCGGATGCTGCTTAACACAGCGTCGGGGTTGATGGAGCTAGTCATAGAGCTCGCGCTTGAGGTAATAGATCGAGGATTCCGAAGGACGTTCATGACAGGCTGGAAGTAGGATTGAAATTGAGCCATGGGACTGAGGCGTTGTCAGTGAGGGGTTCTTGCATGTTTCCGGATAAGAACTCACGGAGGAGCCATTTGTTGACCTCTGAAAACAATTCTTGCCAGTTCCAACCCGACACGACTATAGTAGACAGTAGGTGGTATTAATGCTACCAAGAGGTCAGTTCCCAGCCTGCGCAATCAAGTTCAGGTATCTGCAGCATACATTCAACAAAAGAAATCAATCTTCCCGTTCGCCCGCCAACCTTGCTCAGAGCATTGTATGCGGATGAGCCAACCCTAGAAATCGAGGAGCCGGCGGAGCTTTGGACTCTGGTAAGACCTTCCGACGCCTTTGACACGGCTTGCTTCCCGCTGTCTTGTGCCTTTGAAGCGGTTTCTGAGGCGGTGGAAGCTTGTCGGAAATTGTTGCGACGCAGGAGAAATCTGGGTTGCCGCAGGAGGACACGAGCAGCAGGAGCTGCCGACATGGCTGATGAAGCTCCTCGAAGGACGCAAGACGCGGAGGAGGAGAGTTGGCAGTGCTAGCGAGGACAAAACAGGCCTGTTCGTGCTGCTCAGGCGTCGTCGCGGTGATTGAGAATTGGACGTTAAGGTGTTGAAAAAGGACTGCAACTACCTCACTGGTCCGGAAAATTTCACGGCCCGAGCTCCTTATTGGTCGTTGCTCGGTACCTGATGTGTGTCGGCACGGCTGGGAAAAACTCTCCTTTGCATTCAATCTCAACTCACTCTCACTTCCGATGTTCCCCCCATGGCATCCGGATCTAGATATAGCTTGAGCGACAGGAATCATGACCATTCGGACGGATAGCTGGACGAGGCCATCGCTCATAACATAATCCAAAGCCAGGAGCCCGTGCCATACCCATAATGGAACTCGCCCAGGGATTCTATTCTTGTTACTTTCACCCATCACACCGGCCACATCAACCTCTGATCTCCGCCACAGCAAACGTGCTCCTTGAGTACCTCGTGCATACGTAGATGGTACGGTCTACAACGGTTTATTCGCTGCCTTGCGTTCGGTGGACAAGGCGGTGCCAGCATTCCGGGTACTTGCTAAACCTGAAACAGCCTGTTTGGGGCCTAAACTGCTCCGTCCGCCTTCCCCGGTCACCACTTGCTTCATCGCTTCCGGAACCCCCAGCCCCTGCAGCAGATCTCTCAAGTTCGTCCGAACGCGATCTTCTTTCGAAATTTCTGTAGATGCCTTCCACGCTCGTGCTCACGTTCTTGCTGTAGAGATGTGATCATGAGAAAACATTCTCCATGTACGGCGGTTTGTTGGCTGGCGTTCTTTTCGGGTGGTCGCTTCTTTGTGTCGCTGCGAGTCGATTGTGCCTAGCGGCGTTGAAGCGGGATACCTACTTGTCTTTGTGCTTCAATCGCCGAAAGCCTATGACTTTTATCATCGTTGGCCTGTTGGCCTGAAATCAAACTCTTTCGATTTGACCTCAGCTCCTTCGTGGCTTGACTCGCTGCCGTTCCGCAAAAACAGACACCCCAAGCTGCGGTGTGGGCGACCGCATTAAGCGCAATATGACAACCAAGGCTCAACCTCCCTTTTCCCATCATCGCTTGCCTCCAGGGAGACAAGCAGCATATCCGCCACGGAGGTCGCTGAAGCAGAGCCTCAAAGATGTTTTCTGCCGGACATTGCGGAAGTCATCCGGCCATTCAGACACAGTAGGATCTGGAATCTTGAGACGAGCCGAATCGACTAGGCCCTATTTTCCCTCGACGACGACTTTCTCTTCATCCACAGACCGGCTGAGCAGCCACAACAGTCTCGAGGAATACACCGTTTCTCGTGCGATCCCTAATCGATTCCAGTCACCAACTCACCGGACGTCAATCCGATCACCCGCTCGCCAGTCACTTCTGCCAGCGACGAGCCTCAGCCAATTTGATCTTCACCACGCTTACCTTCATCCTTCGACTGTCGCTCAACGAGCCATCCATGATGCCGTGTCGCCCAGCGTCATGTCATTTACGAGCCGGCAAGCCAGCGTAGGCAGCTTTTCGACTCTATCCACGGCACCGAGCATTTCCACGCTACGCATCCAGGACTCGCGCCAATCGCTCGCTGCGGTGCCGGCCTCGGTGACTTGGAATGACACTTCGCAAACAAAACCCAGTAGGGGACGGACCAACCATGTCTCATGGCTGCACTCTCCCACCGCAAGTTCCGTTTCGGTGGCTGAGGCCGCGATTACTTCGGACAAAGGGAGCCCAACACAGGACCAGACGGGCATCCGATCGGTTGAACATTTCAGGTCATTTTGCATTCTCGACACAGCTGTGTCCGGGTGTCCTGTAGTGGCCACCTCCCGAGAACTCTGCTACATTTTTGAGATTGGTGAACACTTCTTTCTCAATAATACCGAGTGTGAGGGTGCGTCAATGGACATTGTAACCGGACAGGACGCAGCGGGAGATCCAATAACGCACCTCGTTTTGTTCACACCTCTTATCATCCCAAGCAGCGGTCGCAGTCGGTTCATGCTTGCATGTCTGGTTGAAGTCACGAAATTCATCAACGACACAGCGTCGCTACCAGAGTTCGACCAGGAACTCGAGTCTTCAATCATAGAGAGCGAGGTGCAGACACCGTCGCAGGAAAGGAACATCCGTGACTGGCATACCCCCGGCTATAAACTCTCCGCGGACCATCTGCTTGGAGGATGTTTATTACCTGACGATCGGGAACCCATGCTGCGATCCTCCGCGAATTATGGAGAGCTGCCGGAGGATATCTGGCTAAACTTGGCAAGCGAAGAGAAGAAGAGAAGACCGGCACCCAGAAACACATCGAGATCGACACCGAAGATCAACCATACCCCAAGATCCAACGCATCACAGGCATCAACGACCAGCAGTACTGTCGACGACGCTTTGGACGAATTCATGAGCGGCCTGCAAGATTTGTACTCGGAGTTCTTCCTGTTAGGCAAATCGCCTCTCGACGAGACCTGCTTTGAGATCTGCAACGTTTCGCCCTTGTTATACCAGTCCAAGGAGTACATCAATGGTCATCTTTCATGTACCGACAGACAGCGAATGGCTGAGTTAAGCAGTGCCCTGGCTCAAGGATCGCCTTTCAATATGCTAGTCAAATGGGGGTTGCAGGGGGGAGAAAAGCGGCTATACTGTAGTCCGATGTACACAGCAAACTCCATCACCTGGATCTGCTTCCTTGTGGACCATCAAATGCCCCTGCTATGGTGAGATAATCCGGCCAGCTGGAGCTCTTCTCCCGGGCCGAAACGAGGCCGAAGTATCACGATGTTGCCCTCGGGCAGTTGAAGCTGTGTCCTTGCAGTGCGGTGGCAATGTACGATAAACAAAAAAAGGTGGCCGCCAAGGGTCGCCACCAATCAACTCAGCAGGACGGTTGCTTCAACTCACTCTGGGGTCTTGATCACCGCAACACCCCGGGCGCGCTTCTGAATCGCGAAGGCGAGTGAGACAAATGAGGGTGCGACGTGAGGAGGACGGAAGTGACTATCGGGTTGATCATAGAAGGGCCGAGAATTTAGCCATGACGGCACCGGGTCGCAAATTTGGAGAGGAGATGGCCGATCCTGGGCGTCCACGGCTGGCCTTGCTATTGTTGGTCTTGGAGCCCTTTCTAGGCGGCTTCTAGCGGCATTCGGCAGTGGGATGACCTGGCAGCCAGGCCAGAAACCGGCCTTCGCCCCTTCTGTCATCGGAGGCGCCCCTAGGGGTCCGCATGTCACGCCAACGTCTAACAGTTGCCGGACTCAGGAACGCTCACCCGATCGCCCCTTGAATCATCCGGGACTAGTCACGCAACGTGGCGTGGCTTGGCTCCAATTCTTTCGCTCACACTCTCGCTCATCTCGAGACTTGTGCGCTTTCGATTGCACGATGGCACCATGGAACAAGCGAGCAACCCACACGCCAGTGGGGTCCTTGGGTCCCCCCTCACCCTTCTTCCGCAACTTTGGTCCACTCCGCCCCCAAACCGGTATTCGAGGGCCGTCTTGACGTTCAGGGCGGCTTCGAGCCGGCGGGTGATACTCCAGTCTCACTCAGTGGCACTCCACTCAAGAGTGAAAGAAAAAAGGCATGGTTTGGCGCTCATGCTCGACATTTAAACTTCTCCACGGTTCGTCGCGTCTGTTCGAACCCGTTCTGCCACTTCTTCTGGGACTGACTTTGCCTAAGGAGGGGAATAATCGTGACAAGACGTACGGGTACCGGTGACATAAAATTGGCCGAGTCGAACAATCGACCGTTTCGTACTCGTACTTCTACCACGACTTCACTTTTCGGTGCTACATTCTTACTGCTTCGGCATCTTGAACGACCTGACTCTCTCAACCCTCGCACCCAACCCGCCAAAACCTAATTCGACAAAATGTTCAACGAGAACTTCTCTTTCGGGTCGACCCCAAACCCGACAGCGCTCCAATTCAGCATCGAAGAATGTACCTCAGCAGACATCTCACCACTGACATCGCGTTGCTCAACACCACATTCCTCGGACGGACCATTAGCGCGTCGCGATTCCAGATTCGACACATACAGGTCTGCACCTCGACATGCTTCCGTCACAGCCCTGACCGCACAACTGCAATCGCACGCACTGAACGACATGGAGATGCGATCACCCTCGCCGCCGCCTATTGACATGGCATCACCTTCGGACTTGTCGTCGACAACGGAGGACGAAGGTTACTGCGAAGGTGCAGACACGCCGACCACGACGGTGTCTGATTTCTCGTACGACTCGAGCGAAATCGATCCGACGCTATGGGACTTGTCCATGTCGGATGCGATGGTCGCCACATCATCACCCCGACCTTCTCTATCGCTGGAAGCCCAGGCCATGTCATCATACACGATGCGTCGCCGCCAGCGACAAGCCTTGGTGCGTCTTCAATGCCTCGTTTCGCGAACACCAGACCTAGCTATGCTCATCGAGGAATGCCATCCGTCGTCGCTCCCGTTCGAGACGGGGATATTGAAAGCGTATGGGTCATCGAGGGGAAGGACAGACTCGTCAAGCGGTGTCTCGGGGCTGGGGATCTGTGGAAGTGGGTCGAATTCAGGGCGGATCGAGAAGGAACGGACGACATCCTTAGCGGCGAGCAGGAAATCGCCCCGAATGAGAAAGCGAACCAGCTGAGCAGGTTGCAGTTGTTATGGATGTGAACGATTGTACGATACCCAAAGAGCGATTTAGTACGAATCATCAAAGAAGATATATGATATGGCTTCGAACGTGGTCAACCGAGTTACAACCACACCATCAATTCTGAGCATTTGACGCAGTAGACACGCGCACAATTTCCCATCTGACAACCAACAGCTGACAGCCCCAAAAAGCTAGCGACACATCAAATACAGGCATCCGCAGAGATGCGAACCACAGAAGGGCGGCTTGAATGGAAGGCGTGGGTCTGCACGCAGGGGTTATCACCGGACATGGTCTTTCAACGTACGCATTCAACCTTCAACCCAGACACACGATGATCGCAAGGCCGCGCAGGGAGCTTGATGTATGCATTCGACGTTGTGTGCACTTCGCTTCTCGATCTCCTTCCGCCAAACCCATAAAGCACCAAGCACCGGGCAGGCTGGATCATCGGACTCGAGCTTGAACCACGCGGCTGCATTTCCATGCATCTTACGCAAAATCACCACGCTTATGGCACTCGGGTCTCTTACCGAATCTAATCCACTCCCGTGTTACGGTGCTGCCTTGTAGTCCCCCAGGTGAGGGAACTAGGACGGCAGTCTTCGTCCTTTTGATATTGTCGGGAAGAGATCAAGACATTCAACAACGTCAATGATGCGGTTAGAGACGTGTCTACCGCCTGACATCCCATTCCCCACAAATGCGCGCAAGGACTCCCCATGGAGGCAGTGCACACACACACACACACAACCCCACGGCCAGATCTTTTCAAATATGTGGGATCATTGTGCGAGTGCTTCATCGTCTCCAGAAGCAGTCGGTGCCGGGAGTCAGGACAATAGCATCAGGACAATAGCATAATTCCGGCCGTGGACCCCGCTCGTTCCTATCACAGAACGCACCATGTTCCGGACGTCGACAAGTTGTGTAGATGGCGTACGCAATATGTCTTGTGTAGCAGGCGTGATGCGTCGGTTGTGACATGGTTATGTACAGTGTGGACTCCATTGGCATGGGGCTGGCTCGGCCTCGGACCCCGTCTCATTTACATATTAGTGGGACGGCTCGTTGGGATGCCACAGCAGCGCAAAGTCTCCGTCATCCAAACTCCTCTGTTGTTCGTTGTTCCAGTCCGTCAACATTGAAAGCATTGCAGTAATATGCATGACTGACGTACCCTGCCTGTACGTTATCCTCTTGACACCACCCGCACAGGAGAAGGAGCTCGTAACAATAGCAAGTGTCTAGGCACTCAAGCACATAATACCGCGTACTGCGCACGCGAACACGTACCGAGTCATATCCCGAAACGATTGTCACTTGATGTGTCAGAGTGCATACAGTACCGGAAATCGGGGCTATCATGCAAACCCAGAAGTCCATCTTTCATCACGGCCACGTTTCGCTAGATCGGAACTAGCTAGTACCATCCCTGGTACAATACAGTGTTAAAACTTGGACCATCGCGTGCCGTGCCATGCAGCTTGCGGGTTAGGCCTGCCTGCCTGCCTGGCTTGCTCGCTGACTGACTCGTCATGCGTGCATACAGTACTCGTACTCGCAGCCTGGCTTGCTCGCATCTTTCTTCTCCACAGCTCAAAGTCGTGCACCTCTTGAAAAATATTGCAAAGAAAAGCAGATAGAGGGGAAAGGTCACAGGTTGCTTATGCGGGACGGCCGGACAGAGAATCCCATCAGTCATGCTCATTGAGTAAAGTATGCGTATGTACTTGAGCAGAAGCTTTTCCAACTTCCAAGCCGACGGGCAGAAAAGAAAAGAAAAGAAAAGAAAAGAAGAAAAACACAGAGTCCAAGACCTGCGCCGCGCGGACGGGGTGGTACAGTAGCTAAACTAACCGATTAAGTGGGGAGAAAAGAAACAAACCCCGAAGCAATACGAGTTACTGTAAATGCAGAGATGAGATGCGACAGGCAAGAACAGTAGGGGCGGAGTCGTGGTTGCTGTGTTCTGCCATTCATTCACCCACCGTCGGGTGAGCATCCTTTTCACTCCGTGCGTACATGATTACCTAGGTACGTATTCGGTACTTGACGGCTAGAGTTGTCTTGAGAGCACAAGGGCCCCAACGATGGGCCGGCCGTGTATACTGACGTATTGTCAATTACATGCATGCATATGTAGACCCAAGTCATCCTTTACGCGTGCTGCTCAGCTGGAGTATTGACTTCTGAGCTCGAGTCCTTGACCAACGTCGAGGATATGTAGCATGCACAGCAGCCGTCGCCCATTTCGTCTCGCCGGCGCGGCGGCCTCTGGTATCTGGAACGAATTTACCGCAAAGTACTCCGTACTCCGTCCCGTTCGCCGGAAGGAACCGCAACAGCGACTTTTTCCCAACACGGAGCTACATAGGAGAGCGGCACGGAGACGGACCCGCCCGTATGAGCGCAAATCTCCGAGGTCATGGAGAGAAGCCCACATAACAATGTTGTGGAAGAGGAAAGACCTCGCTTGTCCGGGTCCTGGACCGATCTGTTCTGCATCTGCGACTCGATTGCCAGAATGCTGGCGAGGCTGACGAGTGGGACAGACTGTGCTGCCTCAGTAGAGCCGTGCAAGCTGCTTCGTACCGAGTACGTGAGAGGCATCTAGGATCGAGACTGGCAGGTTGGTCATGCTTTCCGCCCGAGGCCTTCCTGACGTCGTGACGGTGAGGAACCACACCGGAGATGAACACGAGACACCGGAGCAAGTACTCGCGCTCGTAGCGGCAATGGACAGCGACGTGGGACGGGCCACGAAACTCAACTTTCGGAGAGAGCGAAGCGCCTGATCTCGGAGTGCTGATATCTCGGGAAGAGACGTGAACTCTTTCGAGATCCCGGTGGTCACTCCGTACGACTAGGGATTGTGGCGCTCCGAAGTACTGTAATTACCACAGTGTACAATCCAGCAGACACTCCGTGGACAGTGCCACAATACCTCCGCACCCGCGAACAAAAAGCATGTCATACCATGTGTTAGCGGCACCGCCCGGGGAAGACCGTGCCATGCTCATGTATGCAGGGATGGATGGCGCCTGACCACTCTTGAATTTCTGCAAACCTGAAGACTCGGTAGGCTGCCTTGCCGCTTCACACCGGCGTGGTTCAACGAGGCACTACAAGCTGGACTGTATCCCGAAGAACCCAAAGGCAACACCTCCGAGCATGTCCCTAGTTCGTGCGTCTGCCATTGCTTGCATGCCTCAGAAGTGCAGGGAAAGACCTTGGACGTGGGATGACATGTGGGAAAACGATTTGGCGTTGTTTGCCGTGGACCCAGGCAAGGACCGGCTATCGGCTTTTGCTCTTGACCCGGACCTCGCCCGGGACCCAAAAACGCCATCGGTAAGCCACAAGCGCGGCTAATACTTCTCCTGCAGGGGTCTGATGCCCGAAGGAGACTGGCCACCACCGGAGCGTCTCGACCTCGGCCAGAGTGTTCTGGACTCGCTGGCTGCGTGCGACAGTGGGAGCCAGCAACAGTGACAGCTCTGCTGTGACGCTGAAGGGGGCTGTCATTCCGAGTCTGCCCATGGGTACTCGCTAGTATTCTGCCTCTCTGCTGTCCACGACTCATGGGTACAGATAGGAGTATCGACGCAGAGGTGCCCTTCGCTTCTATCGACATGAGCGGCTCCAGGAAGTGACTACAACTTCTTAGCAAGTGTGCCATCTGTTCCTGCAGCAGGACTTCCTTCTGGACAATGTGAGTTAACCAAACCCTTCCCAATCGTCACTCCCTTTCTCCTGTTCCACCTTCCTTTTCAGTCGTAGACTGCCATGCGCAGCACCGCGTTTCCGATCAACTTCTCTCCTCTCGTATCCACTTTGCGTCCCGATCCTCGCCTTCCGCTTCATCCGTTTCGTCTTCTCGTCATCATCTGCATGGATAGCTCGCCGAGACTCGACGCCATGCTGCTTGAGGTCCTTCCTTGCTGACTTGGACACAGTCGGAAGCGCGTGCAGCAGCCACGGTTGGATCCCCGACTTCCCCGTCCAAGATGAGCCTGCATGATCGGGGCTCTGCGTGCTGGAGCCCTCTGGCTTCCGTTGCGTCTTCTCGCTGGCGGCGATGACGTTCGCGATGCCCTTGACGTACTGAATGTCCTCCTTGGTGTAAAAGCTGACACATACACCGCCTTCTCTTCCCGCTCGCCCTGTGCGTCCCGCACGGTGGACATATCCCGCCACCGTGGTTGGTATGTCGTAATTGACCACCACGTTCACTCCCCTGAAATCGACACCACGCGAAAGGAGGTCAGTGGTGATCAGAATCCATATCTTCCCCTGCCGGAAGCTTTTCATGATTGACGATCTCGCTTGCTGAGACAGAGACGAATGGAGCACAGCCACGCGCGACGACCCGCCTGCCTCAGCTGAAATATCGTATTGAAGCTCGCTGAACAAGGCCTGCGCCCGGTCGATGGTTTGCGCAAAGACCAAGAACGGGGGACGCAATGGCGCCGTCTTCTCAGACTCGCCTTTTAATGCTGACATTGGCCGTGACGGATGAAGTAATTGTCGCATTCCCAGTAATTTGCCGGATTCGGTTGCAGTATAGACTAATCGGTGCGATATCGTTGGTAAGCTCGTGTCTTTCAGCCCAACAATAGCCCGGAGGAGTGGTGGGCGCTCATTTCGTGGGATCTTGAGCTTCTTCTGACGTTCAGAGATGGATTGTACGGCCAGCTCCTCAATATTCGAACCAATTGTTGCTGACCACATGCTTATCCTTAGCGCAGGTGAAACGCACGCCGACCAAATAGCAAGGGTCTGGGACCGGAAGAGCGGGTCGAGGAGGACGTCTGCTTCGTCAAAGATCAGATTCTCGACGTTTGGTAGAGAGTGCGGTGTCACTCCCTCGCCGTCTTCCCCGGAGGGAGCAAGAAGATGGACGAGACTGAGAGGTGTCGAGACCAAGATGTCGCTCTTGACAATTGTTGGATCCGCGGAAGATCCCTCGTGTTCTTGACCTCCAGTTTCCCCTTCATCAGAATCCGAGTCTCCTTCGGCAGACTCACCAGCGTCTTCGAAAAGTCTCATTCCCTTCTTCATCGCCGTGATGGTGACACCTGTCTTTGCCGCAAGCTTCCGACCTTCATTGACAATTTGGGAGACCAATTCCTTTGTGGGAGCCAGAATGGTAGCGCGGACATATTTGTCCGCCTTATATCCGCTTGTGTTGTGCACTCTGGATATTTTGTCAATCAGCGGAACGAGGAAAGCCAGAGTCTTCCCGCTTCCCGTAGGTGCAACCGTCAGCAGATTCGGCTCGGTCTCCTGGTTCAGCAGGAGCGGCAAGGTAGCAATCTGAACCTCGGTGGGCTTGAGATATGCTTGCTCCGCAATGTTTCTTGCAAGGGCTGGATTTGCGCTGTAATCGGCGCGAAGTTGGTCGAACGAAGTCAGAGGCCTGGGGAAGATTCGAGATTGCTCTTTCTGTGCCTTTCGTGACTCGACAGACTTGCGTATAGTTCGAAATTGATTCAAGTCCACGACCTTGATGTTGTGTTTCTTATGGATATGTCTGATATCCTGCTCGGATAGTGGTGTGGATGCGCCAGCGGAGGAGTTTCCATTATCTGCAACGTCAGAACCCCGCTTGCGCTTCCGGCTGTTGGTGTCATTAAGACCTTCGTGGTTGGATGCCTGTCCTGATGCTGATGGGATCTTCTGTGGCGCGGCATCCGTGATGTTCGCTTTTACCCGGGTAGACCGAGACAGTAATTTAAGTGCATCCATTTCGTCCCCTCCTTTGTCGAGATCGTTCCATGTGAAGAGGTTAAGTGAGGCGAGTAAAGGGCTTTGGTAGCCACGTTGTCGTCCTTGCTGGGGATATACTCTGTGCATTCTGAACGACGACGCGCTTTTTGCAAAGATTTTGAGTTTGGCGCCAAGCTATTCGGAGGCCTGTTTGTCCGGATCCGAGTCGCAGCCTTGTGGCTTTTGTGTGGGGAGTCAATTGCGAGGCACCTACAAGGCTGTTCGCCACATTATTCGATCAGCCAGTTCCTTTACACTTCCATTCGAGTACGGAGTACAAGCCGGAAAAAGGCAGTAGCAGTTGGCTGAATTTCAACTTCAAAGGGAGTTTCAGCCACACAGGGCTTCCACAAAAATTCTGTATGGACGGCAAGTTTCTTGTCTTTACTTTTTGTGCTTGTGCTTCATTTGGACCACTTCGAGGCTGGAATTTGCGAACACATTGTGCTATGTACTTCAGGCTATCAGCAATGGCAGTGTACCTGAGCCACGACTGGCCTAGCCTAGATGGGCTAGGAATGACTCTCTGGTATCAATTGCTGAGCTAGGATGGCGAGGCTGCGTATTCTAGTGACTAGGGCGGGTTGACCCGCTGATGGAAGACTTCAGCCTCTCGTCGATCCTTCGATCAACGCCCTTGTCCTTGCAGCTCGCCAACGCCTCTCCGTCAAGCCCAGTGTTCGGTTGCGGCCGAGACTGCCTGTCTCGTCCCTGCACCAGATCAGGCTGTTGCGACAGTCGCTTCGGCTGTAGCCTGTGGAGAAATCGATGGGTCAGCCGTTTGTTCGATGCTCGCAAGCATGGTCACGTTCGGGAAGAATGTACCTTTTCGTCTCCCCACACTTGCTCCTCTGTGCTCTTTCTGCCCAGCTTCTCCTCCAAAACGACTGCACTCTGCACACACTTGTACTTTCGGAATTTCCGCGCAGGCAACTTGGCCTCAAACTGGACGTGGCTGTCAGTAATGCACGTTCCATTGTAACGTAGGTGCAACTTACCATTTCGTCTATCTCTTCCAGCGTGCGACCTTTGACCTCCGGCAGGAAGAAGTAAACCCAAACCGCGGAGACGACGCATGACGGGAACCAGATGTAACCATATCGCGGGCCCCAGTCCAAGGAGGCAGGGTTGATGAAGTAAGGTGCCGTGAACGTGGTTAGCCAAGCTCCGAGGAAGCCGATGGCTGCAGCAAGACCGAAGGTATGGCTTCGAAGACGCTGAGTGGGTAATTCGCCACCGGAGAGCCAGGCGTAAGTCGCTATCATACCCTGTTCCGATGTTAGATCTCCGTTTGTCTTGGCTTGCTACTCGGACAACTACTCACATTGTAGCTCATCATGTACAGGGTGACAAGGGCGACAATGACCTTTCCGGTGGTCTTGGTGCCCGGCTCCTTGTCGTAGACCACTGCAATGATGAGTTGCAGAATCCCACACACGATGAGGCCACTCAAGAGAAGGACTCTGCGCCTTCCGTATCGCACAACAATGGTGGAGTTGATAAGGATAGCAATCAAACCAGTTGCACTTAGAATGCAACTCATCCCGAAAGGGTTGCTAACATGTGCCATGGCGAAGAAGTATGCCTTGTAAGCTGTTGCTCTGGATCAGAACCAAACTCGAGACGGACGGAAAAAGAAACTCACCAATGATGAACATTGAGCCTGACGCAGCCTGAAGGGTGACCGCGCATACTGCCAGAGCTGTGCGTCGTCGATTGATAGGATTTCTAAACATGTCCCAGATTCCCACGCTGCTCTTGAGCTCCATCTCCTTCTCGATCGCGGTGCGAATGACGAGCGCTTCAGCATTGACATCCGCTCCATCCGGCCTCAGCCATTTGAGCGACTTAATTCCCTCTTCATGTCGTCCCTGCAAGATCAGCCATCTGTGCATGACAGTCAGTGAATCTTTTGCCACAGTATGTATCGCGGGCCCTCGAAGATTAAGAAGGTGGGCCAATATGGCGCTGCTCTGAAATGCACATACCTTGGGGACTCGGGAATGAAGAACATCGCAATGCTCAGAAAGGTGGGGACGACATAGATGATGCCGAGGGGAATAAGGTACGCTGATTTATCAGGTCGCTTGCTGGTGGCATAGTCGATTATGGTCCCAATAAGGGTGCCCTGAACACGGTCAGAATTGCTGCCAGGCTCTGCTTTGACTTGAGGGACGTACAAATGAGGTGAAGAACTGGAATGCTGAGAGAAAGAGACCCCTATACTTGGCTGGGCTGCTTTCTTGGAGGTACAGCTGTGAGAAGGTCATGAAGTAGCCATTGGCCAACCCGATAAGTAGCCGTCCCGCGTATAAGGCTCCGATGTGAGTGGTCGCCATCATTAGGATATTCGCAACGCAACAGAGGCCACTAGCAATCCACAAGCAGTGTCTGCGCCCGAGCTTCGCGGCCGCGAAACCCGCAGCACCAGAACTAATGAACGCGCCGAGTGTCATAAGCGACGAAATCAGTTGTTGGCGCAACGGCGTAAGATTCCACCCGATAGGAGTCTCTGGGGCTTCATAGCCATAGATCTGTCGGGTTGATATCAGTCGAGATCCAATGCAAGACGTAATGCGAGCAGACCTTCAAGAAACCAGGCATTGCCTGCAGACCACCAATAAGGCCAAAATCGACGCCATATTGAAATGGCGATAGCGTGATAATCGCACAAGCGACAAAGCAGCGCCAGTTGGCTGCAATGCCGTCGTTCTTTCTTCCTGCCATGATACCTCAGACCACATTCAGAAGTGTTTCACGGAGAGACGGCATAGGGGCGGCAGATTGCGCTGGTCATTTGAAGGCATATGTACTCCCCAACTTCGAACAGAGCCCGTCGCCACTTACAGCACGGATATCGCACTGCATTGTGGAACCTTGATGATGATATGCCGAACAGCGAGCCAAGCACTTGGCCACTTACAGCACCTATTACCACTTACCTATTGTAACCCTGTGGACGACACCCTGAAACCCTTGGCGGCACCCCAACTTTGTGGAGGAGCGGAGTTCCAGGGTTCACGATTGTCGCACAGTGCTGTTGTAAGGCTGGTAGAGAAGCACGCTTGGTCAACTGCCGAAGGTTCTGACGCCAATCCTTGATCGACAGATTATACCCCTGTAAAAGCAGGCCAACATTGAGGAGCAGCATCTTCCGAACCAACAAGTCAACTGAACCGTAGGTAGATATCAGTCATCGTGCGGCAAGAAGAAGCCTCCTAGCAGCCGATCTAAGATAGACAGCGCGACGGTAAGTAGCCGTCCGGGTTGAGTTTCTGGAGAAGATTTGAGGAAAGGCGTAGTGTTGTCACGTGAGGAAAGTCAGAGCGGGACAGTCTTGGCATGTTTGACTCATCGAAGTGCCTCCGCTCTGCCAAATTCCTTCTCCAACAACCAACAACTGCCAATTTCAGCGCAACCCACATTGTGGCTTGACGAGACCTCGAAATGGTAAATGGATGCACATTAAGTGCCACAAACACGTGGCCGCGTCTCTCCCCCCTCGGCACGGATACCTGAGACCTGATGGACGTCGTTGGGCTTCTCATCCTCACCGCGATTCCTACCGTGACTGGTGTTTGCCAGGCCGTCCATGGCCAAAGGGAACACAAGCAGAGGGAGAAAGATGCTAGGCGCATGCAAAAGTTCTATATCGACGTGTATTGTGAAGCCCAGAGTTCGCGCACGCGCGAGATTCATGAGAAACGACTTGTCCTAAAAGATGGCCGGGTGTGGATTGGACCACATGAAGCCCTAAATCCTTGCGAGGATGGATATGTCATCGAGGCGTTCTACATTGAATATCCGGATAACGAAGTAAGCGATCCGCGGCCAGAATATTTTGCGCCCATTTCATCTCGAGACTGACATGACTTCTCAGAGAGTCCCTGTGCCCCTTGGGCTGGTCAGTCAAGTCCAAGAAGACCCGCCGTTGTTGAACTGGATCTACGTGGACAAAGACACGATGGAGTTGAAATACGGTAACAAGTCAGCCAGCATAGAGCACCACGTCGGGCCGTGGGACTGGACGGAGGACGAGGAGGGCATAACTTTCGATGAGACCGAGGCCTTTACAGCTGTGGAAGATCCAGCCACCCGAAAATGGCAGCTATACTACGACATGGATGACGACGGGTTGAGTCGGTTTGTGCCAAAGGGCAGGCGCAAGTTCCAGATCAGCTTGGAAAGGACGTTGATACCCGGCGCAGAAGGCGGCAAATAGATATTTGGTTGCTTGCTTAGTAATACGCGACTGACCGATGTGACTATCAACCTTCGCGCGTGGCTCTTCATCGCTCTCACGCAGATTCGCTTCTAATGTTTCGCAGGCTAAACTCACTCTTACCTCAGATCTCGCTCAGAACTCTCTATATTGAATTGACTGTGTATCATGTGACGGTTAAATGCAGCCATCAGTGAATCTGGGTGAGGCAGATTGTAGACACGACCGCTGCTAATGAGAAAACCATCCTGCTTCCTAACAGCTTCGTACCATCCTTCGGTTAGATCTTCACTGAAACTTAATGATGATCATTTTCCTCCCAGCACCAGCTTCAAGTACCAAGGAGTAATCAGTGAGCATGGCACCGCAGCCAACTGTTGGCTGGGAAATCATCGGCAGAAAGGGCCACTGGCAAAGACTTCATGTCGAACCTTACAGCGACGGCGAGCAGCGGCAATGGCCAGCAAAGCCGTATCGCCCGGGTTCCGAGGAGCGGTACTTGATTTCCCTGGCCAAAGCCTGGGCCCAAAAGCTAGGCGTTGAACAACCAGGTAAGAGATGCCTAGTCCTTGTGTGAGGAGTCAAATACAACTCCTCGTATTTGTCACCGCCGAGTGATGCCAATGGGGATCCTGTGCTGATATTGCTCCCAGGCGTCGAGTACTACCTCGACAAACTTCCTGATGGCTTTGCCCTCTTCGAATTGCCTCGAGCAGGGGGCCAAGCACCGTACAAACGACTATTTGGCCATCCAAGCGGCAAGTACTATGACTCGACCTTACGCTTCCAGCCCCATTTCCTATGGTTGATGTTGGGCATGGAACGAGACTGCGAATGCATCCACTGCGGACACTTCAAACAGGAAGCCCCGATTAGGCATCGAATGCGACTTCCTGCCGAGAAGAAATCTCTGGGCGTCCGGGAGAAAAGAAAACCTCAGCTGCTGGACGAGAGCGACAGTTCATCAAGATCAAATTCTGTCGCCGGCCCAACTACTACTGGCACATCCAGTCGGCCTCAACGTCAAGTCAGAACCGCTGGTGCGCCTTACGCTCAGGATGACGAAGGCACCGAGGATGTTTACAAGCTGCAGCTCAAGACACTAGAAGCCCACAGGGAGAGTAAGAAAGGGATCGAGGACGATATCCGCGAACCCAACTCGATCGATTGGAGAGCAGAACACTCTTGGACGCCATCAGACGCGCAGGATTGGTTCGGAGTCGATTTACTTCAACAAAGTCTCACTTCGATTGAACATCAGCACTCTTTCGTTCCGCGAGTCGGCGAGCTCGTTCTTTTTTGTCCTATATTCCTTGATCGACACTATCTGATGCTGGACGAACGAACGCAAGAGTACAAGTTCTACTCGTTCGAACAGAAATGCTTTCACGGGTTCCCGGCATGGCGAGCCGGAGTGGTCTCTGCTATTCCGTCGGATACTGCGGCTGATGGACCGGTGGATTTCTCCGACATTCAAGACATGCCAAAGAAAACCAACAGTCTGAACACTGGCGGCTTTCGAATCGAGACCTTCCCTGATCCGAACAACGAAGAGGATAAAACGGCGTCGAAACAGTACAAATACCTGCCGCTGCGCAACATACGACCACTCGGCCACTGGCAGTTGTTGCTTCGAGGCATCCCGAGAACAAAATGGCACCCATCGATCGAACACGCTCTGACCTGCATGACCAGCATTTCCCTCTTAGAGAAGTTTTACTTCAAGGGAGATTGGGGAAAGGATAAATCAGGAATTAAGAGACCTCAGGCCAGTATCCGATGCAAGGGCGTCTATATCGGCGCCGAGTTGATCACAATCGGAGATGCGGTGCGGATAATGCCGGAGACGAAGGAGGCGGCGTGTACCGATGTCTTGGTTGTCGAGTCGATTCGTCTACATTTGCGAGACATCAAGCCCGAGCACTTCTTCCCAGACTCTCCTTTACTGTCAACGCAATCTTACATTACTCTTGTCGGTAAAGCGTACACGATTGACAGAAATCGCTACTTTCAGAAGAATCCGCATTCGCAAGCACCTGCTCACGCCATTTTGGTCCCGCCAGAAGGAGTGAAGACGACCTTCCGACCTGTTGGCTCCGCATTGTACGGTCCTTGGTACAACCTACACGCTCCTCAAAACCGCTACGAAATCTCTCATGACCAGATACTGGGAAGACTGTATGAAGCTGCAGCAGTACAACTCTGGACAGGCCAGTTACAGAGAAAGCCCGTCCACGGCGAGAAGTACATCAAGCCAGTATTGGACTACGACTTGCAAGGCATCCAAGAAGGTCGCATTTATGCGACGTGTGCCGACGAACGCCTTGAAGAGTCACATGAAGAACCATTGCTCTGGTTCTGGGCTGACACTCGTGCTGAGGCGCTAGACTTGCAAAGTATCAATGGAGTTGAAGTTGGTAGGTATGATAAAGTTCGAGATAAAGACACCTTGGAACTTTGGAGGACGCATTTGAAGATCCTCAGTGGCCAGCAGGTCTCGATCGACAGTATTTCCAAAAGTTTCACGAACTTTGCCTCTCTTGACTCCATCCTGGGTCTCAAGAAGCGTGGCAGGAAAGCCGGAGCTAAAGTCATCAACAACAAGGTGTACTACCCGGGTGAGCCGGGCTACGATGAACCGAGTCACGACGGTGGAAGTGCAGTGCAGCTCACACCAAGCAAGCACAAGGGGAGTCAATTGGCAGGTGCTGCTCTTGTCTCGACAGACGAAGAGGATAGTGATGAAGAACCGTTCATGGAGGCTCAGGAGACGTGGGACCCACCAGTCGAACCACTATCGGAAAGCCCTGCGCTGATCCGGCATGCCATGCCAATGCCTACGCAACAGCTGAAAAGACCGAAAACCAAAGCTGAAATCATGGCAAGTGCAGCTGATGAGGAATCATTCTCCGACGACGATGAGCTTTTTGCGCCGCTACCTGTAAGAGGGGGCACGGAGGAAACCGAGGGCGGCGATTACAACCCCGGAGCTGATGATGACTAGAGGCAATGATGGACAGCGTGAGGGTTCACTGGCGATAAGGCGATTCAAGGATCATAGCCAGGACGATTCGTCAAGCGGTCTTGACCCGGACAAAAGTGTTCACAGGACGACGGCAAATGTTGCATGAGCTGCCTAACGGAGGAGCACAAGTGTCATAAACCCCTGTACAGTACTCTAGACCACCATACGAAAGTGTTCAGAAGCGAAATGCTCCTGCGTCTTCGTCGTGAGTCTATGGCAATGATGATTGAAAGGTTGATGTTCAAATTGCTCTGCGGCATGGCATTGCCTCATCGAGCAACCCAACAAGCGCCAAGAGAAACAGATTTCGGCACACCTGCTGCGTTAAGCACGAATCGTAGTCTTGGCAGTTCCCACAACGAAAAATGACACGAAGTTTGCGGGCTTCACTTGTAGATTGAATTGACAACGACGACAAGGACCATCTCTCGCACCTCACCTCACCGTCAAGATGGTATGCGCCCTCCGCTATCGCCCCGAATCATGCCCAAAAGGAACAGCAGTTGCTGACATCCGTCTCTCTAGGTCCGCTACGCCCCTGCCGACCGCATTCCCAGTGCCCGTTCGGCTCGAAGCCGTGGCAGTTACCTGCGTGTCAGCTTCAAGAACACCCGCGAGACGGCCCAGGCCATCAACGGATGGAAACTTGACCGCGCTCTCCAATACCTCGAAAATGTCAAAGGACTCAAGGAGGCTGTACCCATGAGGAGATATGCAGGCAGCACAGGCCGAACCGCACAAGGTACGAACATTCTGCGTCTTTCCAAGAATTGGTTGTAGGACAGACGGTTGGACAAATTCGGCTCACCACTCTTCCGCAACCGATGATCAACGTGGTCATGGGCGTTCATACAATAGGTGGTGGAGGGAGTCCGGGTCATGGCGGCAATGTCTGTGCGAGATACTTTTACAGCCGACTGACAAGTTTCTTGCTTCAGGCAAACAATTCGGTGTCTCGAAAGCCCGCTGGCCCGTCAAGTCCGCCGAGTTCTTGATCGGCCTGTTGAAGAATGCCGAAGCGAATGCCGATACCAAGGGTCTCGATACCTCGAAACTCATTGTCAAGCACATCCAAGTCAACCAAGCCCCCAAGCAGCGCCGCCGCACGTACCGGGCTCACGGGCGTATCAACCCGTACATGTCGAATCCCTGCCACATCGAATTGATCTTGACGGAAGCGGAGGAGGCGGTCACCAAGGCCGAAGAGTTGGGTGTCGAGAAGGGCACACGTTTGAGCACCAGACAGCGTGCTGCCCGGAGGCAGAAGGCCATTGCCGCTGCGTAAATGCTTGAACGAGGGTTGCGATATGTTACTACTATTCCAAGTTTCTACCTGTGGAATGGTTGAGCAGATATGAAGCATGCACGGGAGTCCCATGGAAAATGCGGCGACCCAGCTCGAGGTGTGGTTCTTGAAGAATCCGGTCCTAGCATGACATGGCAACTCAGACAGCATCGGCCCGCGTTAGGGTGAAGAAATGCCTGTGCAGACCATGGTGATTTCCACAATGAAAAGACAATAATCACAAATTCAGATCACTCGCTGGATAGTGTTGTCCCGGCCCTTTCTCAACGGCTACTTAACCTCAGCCTCTTTTATGCCCACTTGATGGATTCATGTCGCTGTGGTATCATGGTGTTTCTACTGCGATTAGCTCTGGTCTGAAGCTGCTCTTTGGGCTGACATCCGCGGTGTAATCAAGACATCCACAATTCTCCCTTCCATGAGCCTTTCTCTCCTTTGATTCTTATAAGGCAGGTATGAGTCGACCATTCCCATGGTTGATGGCGTGCAACCCTGATCCTAACTCATCCTAAACCTCTGCATTGTCCCAAGCACCAACAGGACTCATTTGAATGTCTATTTGAGGTTCTTGTGAGAGAGACCAACTTTCGAACTAGCTATGCCATGAACTCCCTCGGGACGTGCCTTCCTCTCTTCTAGGGTTGGGAAGGAAGGGAAGGCTCGCCACATGCAAGCCGTCGAGGTCTCAGTTACAAATCATCCGACAACAGCGTGACAGGGAACCGACATCTGTCATTGGCACAGACGCATGTAGCCACCCTGCCCATCCTCTCGCGAAGTCGGTGCTCGCCAGGCGTAAGACGTTCCAGCATTAGACATTCACTTATAGGGCAGTGCCGCACAGTGAGTCGATAAATTTGCACGACTAAGCGTCGCCGGAGAACAACCTCGTCAGCGATGTCGCTGTATCTGTTTCAGCCGTCGTATTTTCAAAGCTTCCTCAATCGTCACATCACCCACAGGCTGGTCAACTGCCACCAAATACCTGTGCCCTTCTTCACCACCACATCAGTCGAACTGCCGCTGAAATGCGCCTCAAAGCAATCCCAATGTCCTCTGCTACTTCTCGGCCACAGTACGCCAGTGTCAAGACGGATGAGACTCAGCCAGAGTACGCCAAGTACAAGTCGATGGAACAGTTCTTCAACCACAGACGTCTCCAACTCCAACAGAAGACACCCACACACTTCCACTTCCACGCCGGCGTCAAGCCAGGCACTCCTGGCCACAGAGCGTTGTCCTTCCCAGCCAGCCCACCACGTGCGTTGCTCTCACCAGAGGAGGCCGCCGCAGAGAAGAAGCGCCGTGTCAGTAAGAAGTATCTTACCATTTTGAATCCAGGGTGGTGCCTGCGCAGAAGACAGCTTGTCGAGATGTGGAACAAAGACATACACATGAGGCGCCAGTTAAGGGATCAGAGGAGGGCCTCATCAAAAATGAAGGCGTTGGCCAAGGAATTTAGGTTGAGTGAGGTGGTCAACGAGGACACGAAATCTGTTGTACAGCAGAGGCGGTGAAGGACATATTGAATGGGAGGGACTGCGTATAACAAGCTGGCGAGCAACGGCGATTGTAGGTCTCATAGAGATCACTGCATGACAATAATCCCTTGCACGCCCGATGGACGAATGCTGGAAGAACGTCGTCCCAAGACGCAAGGAATTTAGAACTTCTTTAGCTGTCGATCCGGCACCGATTCCGGCGACTGTATCCGACACTCCATGCACCAAGAATTCCTCCGGTGGACATCGGCGTCGGCTTGGCTGCCACCGGAGCTCGACCTTCCACATACCACCTGCGACCCCAGTTCTTGTCACAGTATACACCGAGGGCTCCTCGGTGCTTACGCACCCCAGATACTCGGCGGAGCTTGCCAAGGGGCTCCCTCCGCATCTCAGGACGACAAGTCTATCCCCAGATTGACTGACGATTCGCTCGCCTGCGCTCATGACTTTCGTAAATGGCATAATCTACGTTGATCTCCACGTTGCATTTCGCCAAGCTCTTGTCCTGACATGCTGTGTATGCCTGGCAGGACATCGGCAGTTAAGATCGACAGACCTCGCACCTAAGCGATTGGACTCATGATCGACTCTGACTCCGTCGGAGAAGAACCTCCTGTCCAGAGACCATGAGGACCGGCCACCCCAGCCTACCAGGACGAGCTTAGGCTTTCCAACAAGATGCCGGACGCCGCCTTGCTCGAGTCACAGGCTGCATGCCAATATCCTTGTCGCACGTCAGGCCATCCTGGGATTGAGGACCGGCACCCGACTTAATGAGCCAGCATCGCTCTCATTCCGTGGTGTCCACAACCCCCCATCAAGACACTCACAACAATGACCGAAAAGCACGAAAGCGAGCGCGTCGAGTACGGAGCCAACGAGAAGGAGATGGGTCTCCGATCTGGCAGCGTTGACGGCAGTGATGGCTTGCGCACAGTTGATGCGGGCTTCACCGCCGACCAGATTGACGCACAGTACGATCAGAAGGAAGTGCGCAGGATCTTGAGGAAAGTGGACTTTCGACTCATTCCCCTTCTGGGCGTCCTGTACCTGTACGTATGAGCATTCGCAAGGTCCTCTCAACGAAATATCCTGTGCGAGCCGACACTGACCAAGTCAATGGTAGCCTCGCGTATATTGACCGCAGCAACATTGGAAATGCCAAGATCGCGGGCATGGAAGAGGACCTCAATCTGTATGGAATGCGCTACAACACGGCGTTGACGGTGTTTTTCGTCCCATATGCGCTGTTCGAGGTATTTTCATCCGTCGCTGCTTTGGAGCCCCCTTACGCTCACATATCACAGGTCCCTTCCAACATCATCCTCAAGATGCTGAGGCCGTCGATCTGGATTTCTATCCTCTGCTTCTGCTGGGGCTTGGTCATGACGCTGATGGGAATTGTGACGACGTATCAAGGCCTCGTGGTTGCTCGATTCTTCCTCGGGCTGACGGAGGCGGGTTTCTTCCCTGCCGCTACGTATTGTGAGTATTGCTGCACGCCCTCTAGGCGAGTTGCCTGTTTCGCTTCATCCTGGACAAACGCACATTCTGACAGACTGGTCGGCCATTCTCAGTGCTCACAATCTGGTACCAGCGCTATGAAGTCCAACGCCGGATGGCAGTCTTCTACGCGGCGGCCTCGCTCTCAGGCGCGTTCTCCGGGCTCCTCGCGTTCGCGATTGAGAAAATGGACGGCATCGCTGGCCTGGGAGGCTGGAAGTGGATCTTCATCCTAGAGGGCCTGGCACCCGTAGCCGTCTCCTTCACTCTGTACTTCCTTTTGCCCGACAAGCCGGAGACGGCGCGATTCCTGAGTAAAGAGGAACGAGAGTTTATCGTCAACCGCATTGCCCTGCACACCGGGTCCGGCGGAGGGCGCGTCACGAACGCCGACAAAATGAGCTGGTCATACATCCGCGCTGGGTTCGCCGACTGGCGCATCTGGATGGCCGTCCTCCCCTTCTGGGCCTGTAGCATCGGCACCTACGGCTTCACGGCCACAGTCCCCACGGTGATCAGGCAGATGGGCTACACGTCCGCGCACGCTCAATTAATGACCATCCCCATCTACGTCGTGGGCATGGTAGCCACGGTGATTGTCGCTTTTTGGGCCGATCACATCCAGCAGCGCACACCGTTCATCATCGGCGGCTTTGCCATCGGAGTCGTCGGGTTTATCGCGCAGCTCGCGATCCCGCACCCCAGGTACCCGGGTGTGGCGTACTTCTTCCTCTTCCTCGTCGCCACGGGCCTGTACTGCCCGTTCACGTGCGTTGTGACGCTTGTTGCGAACAACCTTGCGCCCTCGTCGAAGCGGGCTGTCGGTGAGTAGCCGCCTGCGCAGCACTCCCTTGGCGGAGGTTCAAGCCATATTCGGTACCTAGCGCGCGGAGTAGAAGCTAACCATCGTTCCCATCCTAGGCATGGCCCTCCTGATCAGCATCGGCAATGTAAGTGAAAGTACCTGTCCCACTTGATTCTTTTCCTTACCCAGCGGACGCTCGCCCAATTGTATGCCATGGACACTAATAACCCATAGATGGGCGGCATTTGCGGCTCAAACATCTACCTCGCGGCCCAGGCTCCCAAATACCCGACCGGCTTCGGCGTGTCTCTCGGCTGCTGCGTCCTGGGCATCATTGCCGCGATGATCCTCCGTGTCGAATATTCGCGGCAGAACAGGGCCCGTGACGCCCTGATTGAGCGCGAAGGTGAAGAGGCCGTCAAGGCGCGGTATACCGACCAGGAACTGCTGGAGTTGGGTGACAGAAGTCCGTTCTATCGGTATACGCTTTAAGGTGGTCCGGTGCCCTAAACAGTGGATCGTGTAGAGACCCCTGGAAGGACAAGGCAGGGGCGATGGGCGAAGCAGACTGTAGAATGTGAGACGTGGGATGCGGCTGATCTTTGGAGACAGCATTCGTTGGAGGACAAACAAAGGGAGATGGGTACAGGAAGACGAGCAAGTCAGTCAAGCTACGGTACGAAGTACACGGCACAGGACAATGTTGTGCACTGCGAAGGGTATGTACGAGACAGCTGTGTAGCCTTGCATGCCATGTACTGCACTTTATGCAAGCATGCACGTACGAGGGTCTGCTCGCCGGCATGCTTACCGAGTGCTCGTTCGCTCTCTTACTTGGAGGTTGTCCTGCCGGATCGAAGCCGTCGGTACTGGAGGCCGTACAAAGCACGGCAGACTACACCCGCACAGTATAGAGGACATAGTACACAGTGGACAGTACTGGTACTCGTACTGGATCCTCGTACGGTGCGTGATCTTGACGAGTCTGTATTCTAATGGTACAAGGTCAAGGTCAAGGTCACATGAAGCCTTACCGGCCATTAAGCGCGGGAAGGTGATACCATTGGTCTAACTCGAAGGAATGGGGCTTGAGGATGGGGACGGGAACTGCGCATGTACCGTCTATGGAAATTCCCTGTCACTGCGCATGTGTGGGTGTGAACTCATGCTATTTCGAGAAACCGAATGTGATTGTGAATCTAAGGTAATAATGTACCATAGTAATTAAACCACCGTTTCATCCATCCGTTCCATCATTGGAGCTGTACGAGCTTTGGCTCTAGCTCCAGCTTCAGAATGCTAATTACCGTCCTTCCTTCCACGGGTACTGTGTACATTCCGAGTATCTGCTGCTAGTCCGTTCGACACAGTCCCCCAGAGTTGCTTGCTTGCTTGCATGCCGCGTGCGTTCATCTATTGCGTACGATAACTAACCAAGTGTACGGATCCACGACTGGTGAGTAGACCATCCCATTCACGTGGGACTTGTCCGTCGACTCTGTCCGGAGACCGGGAAGGCAATAATGGCCCTCTACTGTACGTAGATTGTCCGCGCCTGCCGTGCCCTGTGTTGCTCTGCTCCGCTCCGTCTCTGTTATGCCATGCTCCACCCTCACCGCGAAAGATGCCATGTGTGTGTCAAATCCCTCACGAGAACATCCAGGCCGCAGCAGGTCCTGCCAATAGCAGCAATGGCAGCAACGGGGCGGGCCCGACCTTCAAATTCGAACTCGCGGCACTGCCCGGAGTGTCCGTAGTAGAGCCTCCGGCCGTGGTTGTCGAAGCCGCCGCGGCGGAGCCAGTAGCTGTAGTCGAGGAGCTCTGCGCGGCGGTGGCCGAACCGGAAGCCGAGCTACTGTTATCACCATCGCCTTCGTCATTCTCGACATTGGCGACGAGGACACCCCCCGAGACGGCGCTGGGCGCGGAGCCGGACTTGCCGCTCGAGGCGCTCTGGTAGGCCGCGAGGGTGCTGCCGCCGCTTGCTCTGCGGGTGCGTGGATGAGTCAGCATTGGGTCGTAGTAACCAGGGACCGGGGGGGCCAGCCACAGCCTTGGCTTGCCGCGGCGGCAGCAAGGCTGTCACCGTCACTTACGGCGGATTAACCACAAACGCCATCCCTGCGGCACAATGACCCGGCGCACCGCAGTACATCCAGATCGGGTCCGTGGAGTTGACTCGAAACGAAAACATCATGCTGGCTTGGCCGGAGTTGGAGTTCACCACGCCGGAATTGATCCCTCCGGACATGGGGAAGCAGGGGTCATCAAAGGTTGATTGGGTCGCCGTGTGGCCTCCGGGGTAGAAGTGGACGTTGACGGTGTCGCCCACGGCGGCTGTGATGGTGTCGGGCTCGAAGGAGAAGCCATGTTCGCCAGCGTCGACGTCGAAGGTCGCTGCGTGGCCAGAGGATGCGAGGGCACCAAGGGAGAGGGACAAGAGGGCGTGGCTGCGCATGGTGATGTGGGAGTTGGCTTGGAATTGGCCGTTCCCGCAATTGCAACTGCGACTGTAATTCGTGTCTTTGCTCGAATCGAGGGACGAATGTCGCGCGACTACGTGCGGTTTTTGGCGTTCGAGGCTGGACTGGGCCGGTAATTAGTACTTGGCCGGCAGACGTGAAGAGTGAAGGGTACAAAGACAGACACAAATTGGACCACGACATATATACAAACACTGCAATCTTCTTCCACAAGTTCGAACCCCCTCGGAGAGCTGCGGCTGTCCCCTGGTCAATTGCTCTCGGTGGTGTGTACCCTTCAGGCTAAGCGGAAGAAGTCATTCATCTATTTTTGTTCCCAATGTCTCCAGCAACCCTCGGACCTGTGTGCCGCAAATGGCATTATCGGCAAATCATCGACGAGCTGCAAGTCTCCGGGCGTAAACCATGGCAGAGGGCGTGTCCGTATCCGTCCAGACCCAGGGGACAATCCGGTCATCGAGGCACCCGGTGATTGAACACTCTCTTGGCGGGTGCGGGAAGGACGAGGTGGTGTTGTGGAAGATAGGTACGCGTCCGTCAGCGAGCATCCATACAGATGACGCCCAGTGTTGGTGGCTCTACCAGCGCCGTCACCCTCACAACACGATATGGATACGACGAGACACGAGACGAGACGAAACGAGACGTGAGATCTCACATCGTCGCCACGTCTATCCAGTCGGCTGCCTCGGCACGCCACCATCTCTCCGCGCGTCGTTTCTTACACGGCGGCGAGTCCCCGGATTTGACGCCGCTCTAATTGGCTTCTTCCTGGCCAGCGCTTCTATTCAGAGACATCCTGGTCTCTCGTTTCTCTGACCGCGGACTTTCCTTGCGGTATCCTTTGGGCGGGTGTGTCGCTCTGTGTCTGCAGCGGCGAACAGGCAAGAAGACGCGTCGGACCGTTAGAGGACGTCGTTCCCGAGAGTGGCTGGGTTCCTGTCATCACGTAGATGCCGAGTACGTCATGCTATCTGGCGAGATGCCAGCTTTCCAGTACATTAAATGTAGTTTGACAACGTGTGCCGCGCAATGCAAATCCCCGTAGACAGTTGAGGGAGGTGGCATTCGGCTCAGGGCCAGGTACATCGAGCTTATGTCAGCACAATTGTCGACGATGCTGTGTTAGAAACGGAGTGGCAATACCGGAAAGGTTGCAGCATTCAACTCAAAGTGGCGTATTTCCATCCTGCTAACGCCTGTCCGAAGGAACAATGCTTTTCGATACTGGTGTACATAGCCTTTGCCGTGCCGTTGCAATAATATCATCACTCCAGCAACCTCCAGGCTCTTGGCATGGAAAATTAAACTCCGCATGTCAAATTGCAAACGTCCTCCTAACTCTGTGCTGAAATCACTGCTTCTGTGACAATGTGATATGATCAAATCCCAGGAGTCTTCTCATGCCCTGCTGCAACCATCCCCTGGGCTTCGTTCACCAACCATGTCATGCTCTGCGTCGTTTTTTCCGCACTTCGCTCACCTATCCGTCTTCAACAACACGAATGCCTTCATGACCTGGGTCGAGTTGACGTATCCAGCCGCGGTGCTAGTGCGGGAAGTGATGAGCGGAGTCATCCCAAGTCTGACGGTGGCTCCCAATTGCTCGAGTTGGTCAGGAGTCAGGATGTTTCGGTAAGGGTCGCGCGGCTCCATGATCGCCTGCTGAAACCGCTGGCCCATGACTGGAAAGTCGAACTTGTACTCCTCGGAGCCAGAGTACATCATCTCAGCGAGCTCGTGGGCCTTGAGCATCAGTTCGTACAAGTCCTCCCAGTCGCGAGACGTCTTCTGGTGCATCATCGGTTTGAGGATGCCCCATAGCTCGTTGCCGCGGCTGCGAGCAATGCTTTGGACGAATGCCGGGAAGTTGGGGTGCGCCTTGATGGTTCTGACTTGTTCCGCCATAGTCGCAAGAAGCTGGTACTTGACTTGCGCTGGCGTAGCTGGAGAGTCATGTTAGTGTTAGGGGAGGCGCGAGGTAGCTAACAACTTACTCTGGTACATCTGGTTCTTGCAATTCTCCATCGCCTGGTCAACACGAGGGTCGAAGCCAGCAAACGTGTCGTGCTTCAGAACGGTCCGGATGACGAATTGCAGCATGACCTTGTTCACAAGCATGTAGCGAGTGAATGGAGTTTGCATGAACTGGAACGCGGATGTGGTCGACGCCGCGTTCAGGAGCCGCTGTTTCACCTCTTGAGGCATCGCGTTGTCCTTCTGAGTGCTCGGTGTGTTGACGTGCGCATAGGCATACGTTTCGGTCATGTGCAAGACTTCGCCAAAGTTTCTGGCAATATCCGACGGACCGAAAACCGCCACAGCAGGTTCCATGTCTGGTGCTCGCACCAACGCCATGCCATTCACAGGATTGAAGGTAGGGGCAGGCGATGGCTGTGTGATGCTGGAGGGCATGCCTCGAGTATGCTGTCTGCTGGATGAGCTAGGGGTCTCGTTGCCTCTGGAGGAGCCCACAGGAGTGTTCGAGAGTCCCAGATTGGCAAATGAGTGCATCATTGCCTCAGGAGACCCGTAGTCGTTGACACTGCGTGTCTGACGGAATGGAGTGGCGGTCGGATGGGCCTGAGGACCTTGGGGTTGTCTCACTGGCTATTGGCTGCGAGGAACACTGAATGGAGACGGTGTTTGACGCTGGTTAGGCAGCTGACTAGAAGGCCGCATTGGACCGGACTGAGACGACGGGGTGGCCATTGGAGCTGGGTCAGCGAAGATTGGCTGTGGTGGAGGAGGCAGAGCAAGAGTGGCCTGGCCATACTGATTGCCGCCGTAGCGGTGAGAGGTGGGTGTTGGAAAGTGCTGCTTGGGATTCTGGATGGCCTCGCTCTGGTTTTTGATGGTCATCTTCTGCCTCTCGATGATGTCGTGCAGTCCCTTCATCTCTTCTTCAGTCTCCCTCAACTTGCGTTTCAGTTGAGCGATTTCTTGGTCCTTGGCTGAATACTCATTGGCTGACATGGGAGTGGTCGCTCGGACCCTCAGTGCCTGTTGGAGTTCATGCTGGGTCCGTGAAAAAGAGAGTTCAGACTGCTGGAGCCTAGTTTGGGCTCGTTCCAGCTCAGGGGACTTGGGACAGGCGCCATGAGGCATGCTGTCGTGGTAGTAGGAGGACATCTCGAGCTATAGCAAAGGTCAGTGTGAGTAGGAGCTGAATGAGTACTCATGCAAGCCGGTAATGCTTATGGTACAGGCAGCAGGAAGGGGACACAGAAACCACAGGAGCAGAACCTTCGAGATGTCAAAATATACAATGCAGCAGTGCGATGAAGATCACAAGCTGGTGTGCCGAAAGTGGTGCCAAATATGCTGCTGCTGCTGCCGGAGACAAGACTTTCTGAGGAGAGGATCCAGATTGAGGTGGGAAGGACACGAGAAAGAAGGTAAAGGGATAATGGAGCTGGAAATCGAGCACTAAAGATGACGACTGAAAGAGAGGACAGTGCTTACTCTTGAGATCGGCAGGAGCGACTCGCGGCAAAGGAGAAATTCAGAGCTGGAAGAAGAGTCAGTAAGGAGAATGGAGGAGTGTGATGCCAAGGCCGGTCTGGGAACTCACTGAACGTCGTCGAAGCAGCCAACGCGGCACAATTGCCGTACAAACAGTGACTTCTGGAGACTGAAATGTGGTTTCCTCGCGCAACAAAAGCACAAAGATGTCGTCTTTCTCTGAGCAAAAGAGAATCAAAAAGGTCAAAACAGCCCTAGCGATAAGAAATCAAATGCCACTGGGGAGAGAGGAGAGAGTGGAAAGATCTTCGGGGAAAGGGAGACCTTTATAGAGCACAAATCACCAGAGGCAGTGCTAATATCCAGACAGTGAATGTGAGTGACACCGATCTATCACTTCACTGACATCTTGACTGTTGCCGTCGATCACTCAGTCGCAAGGTCTCCCAGTCGGCCAGTGACAAACGCGCCTCTTTCAGAAAGCTTCTGGTGACATGGCTGACAGCTGCGAGGCTAGAGTGAAAACCGATCTCCTCGGTGTCGGCGTCCTATCCACAAGGACCCATGAGCTCGTCAAGGTGCGTCGCTGAGCTTATGGCATTGCACACTTACACACTCCTTGGTGGACGCAAGGCTGAACCACAAGGCTGGCTGTGCAAGGCTGAGTGACAAGGCTCCCAGGACGAGGGCTCCTGGTCCTGCCGATCCCTTTTGCTGACATTGACCATTCTTCTCTCCATGTCTTTCTCAGCAGCCCATGCCTTGTGATGTTGTGTATGGCTGTGTTAGTGAAGCCAGGAAATGGTCACACTACGGCCTCCATAGCGGCATGGACGACTTACCGCAACGGGAGGTGAATTTGCATGTTTGCCCGCCCCCAGTCATTTCCACAAGGCCCAGGTGGACAGCTAGCCATTGCAAGAGGCATGAGCGGCATCTGTCCTGTGTGTAAAAACTCCCACTGTCATAGGCTAACCTGGCGCTTTCCGCGGTGCACATTCTCGTTGAGAAGCCAGACAGACGGCCCCAGCGGAGCATATGCAGCATGAGGCTGGCACAACTGGTGGCGGCAGAGGTCTGACAGTCTGTTGCTGTATTGTCTGATGCTGGCAAGCGGCTATCTTTATCTGCCAAAGACACGGTCAGCACAAGGAGAAAACAACAACTTAGGTGGGTCCAGTCCTGATCCCTGTTGACAACGGGAGACACCAGCCTTCTATCCACCTCTTAGACACTCTTCGTATTGATGCGTGGGACAAGACAGGAGGAGCAAAGCAGCACGTACCGGACCAACGTGGGCTCGAAGCAGCAGGAGGCATTGCTATTTATATACAGTTACTGTTCACTGTGTGTCAGTGGCTGTCATACTTGTGGCTCAGGGCTATAGATCTTACCTTTCTTGCAAGTGGTATTTTGCCTGTGGTGTCCGGGGCTGACGGACATCCAGCATCGACGTTGACATTGTGAACGTGCAAGGACTTTGCCTACACTCGTCCGACGCTGGATACCTGTCAGCCTTCTCAAACACAAAGACTGCTGCCCGACGCAGGATCCAAGATGGTGTGGCGGGCGGGAAGAAAGAAAGGTATGTCGGTTGGTCGGTCAACAGTCCAGGGTTGAGATCTGTTTGCAGGCAGCTTGGTCGGTCTATTCCCGTCACGGGCGTGATTGTCTCAAATTGAGCGCGACGACGAGGTAAGCAGGGGCTTGGAGAAGGTGACGGCGGCTGAGTTGTGCGGCTGATGTGCACAGAAAAGTAGAGAGACGACTGGAATGGTCAAGCCGCACTTGGCCCACGGTTGACTTTTCCCCTCGCGTCTGCCTTGGTGAGCCAGTGGGAGCCGCAATGATGCTCATTCCTACTTTTTGAAGGATCTCATGTTTGCTTCTCTCCTTCCCATCAGCTCCAATCGTCAACAGCCACCGCGGTATACTCAAGCATCAGCACCGAACGCACACGATCAAGCCGTTCTCTCAGTTTGAGACTCTCGCCACATCAAGCAACCCGCCCAGACGACCACTCACTTACTCTCAAGCAACCCCCGCGGTTTCCAAGCAAGCTTTTTGAGATCCCAACCGGATCTCAACCCTCTTCATCTGTGAGCCCAATTCGTTGGAGCGTTCGACCAAATACTATAATAGCAAACCTAATCCTTCCCGAGAAACTCATCAAAAGCAAACTGCCATCCGTACTGACCTATGCTGCGATGACCGGGACCACGAGCCAGCCTCTCCGTCAGAGCGATCTCATAAACCTATCCCTTCATTGACAGCAAACCCAAACCCTAACGGCTTTCGGCTGGGTCAAACCTTCCCAATTGACTGGGAGGCCAGAAGTTGGAAGAAGAAGCTGAAAGTATTACCTCAATATCAGGTCAGCCAAGGGTGTACGCATTTCGCTTTCGGATCTCAGATGAGAATCGACGAGGCTAACACTTTTTCAGACGACCTTCGCAAATGGAAAGAATCAGTGAGGAGGTCGAACGAAGAGACTGGACCTTGGAGAAACTTATTCGAGACCAAGTGGCGAAGACAGTTCGCACAAGAGCTGCGCTCGCCAAAACATCTACCTCCTACTTCAGTACCCCGGGTTGATTCATCATATACCGGGGTGCATGCGGTGAGAATCCGCAGAAGCGGATCATATCCACCGGCGATCCACCAGCAGCAAAGACAAGACACCCACACGATCTGGGAGCCGATCGTGCTCAAACACTCGTTCGAGAGGCGCCGGAGAAGATTGCCGCTGACCTTATCGCCGTCTTGAGATTTGTCGCAAACAGGAACAAGCCACAAGGGGGTTAAGCCTGAGATTTGACCCGAAGACTTCCACCGCGTCTCGATCAATGTCCTCGCTTGATGCTATCTTCCCGTCGGCCCTGCCCGATTCAGTGGCGTTCGGAGCCGCTATGGTCGCTGAAGTTAGCCACAATGGGTCCTCGTGGGCCAGAGCTGTCGTCGTGATTATATGTGCTGCACAGTCTTCGTTGTGCAGCCTTCTTAAGGTGCTTTTGTTTGGTGAGGCTATGGCGCGGCCATGGCGGCTTACATCAACGAGCGACCTCACGAGCCGAGGAATGACGACGGTCACAAGGCTCGCTGGGGATACGCACTGCAGCTTGGTTTGACATCAGGTTTGCAACCCACCACTTTCTCAACCTCAGGGTGACCCCTCGGGGCCGGTCGGCGGATCGTCTTCATGCTCCCACTGAGCAGTGCGACCGGCGAGGACGACGAGCCATGTCCTTTTTGTCTTCTGGAGGGTCAGGCCTTGGACAAGTAAACCATATGTGAAGCGAGGAATGGTCACAGGGAGGTCTCTGTGAGTCGGCTGTTTAAGGGTTGGGACTTGTGCTTTATCCGCCAGCGACTTGGCTTGCGACTCAGCTGGATGTGACCATCGAGGCCTTGTATACTCTCTGAAAGTATACTGTTAGGAGGTGAAAGTGTGCGCTTCTCTTCGAGACATGACTTGTTGGCTTCCGATGCTGATGTCTGTTTCCTTAGATTTGATCTCTAGACATGGTCATCATCGGAGCTGGATTCCTTTCCACTGTGACAGGCCCACGCAAGGGAAGGGGATAAGGGCCAAGAGAAAAACGTCATGCCACGTCGTGGGCAACGCGAAAGCAGAGAGCGGTACGAAATACGAAAATCTGAACACAATGCCTTTCGGCTTCTAAATCGCCAGAGGTTCATCGCGCAAGTAAAGATCATTGATAAGGTCGACCGACCGACCTACCTACCGGGCCTGTAGTGATGGGGGTACCATGATTTCTAGCTCCAAGTCGAGCGTTGAGGCTGCAGCCAGCCAGCAAAGCCCTATACAGATTTGACCTAAGAACAAGTCAACATGTTTCAAATTCCACTTCTGTCAAAGTCCCCATCCCGTCCCAATCGCTGAGTGAATCCACTGAGACCAGCGGCGAGATGATGTGCCTAGAAAGAGGTCAAGATGCTGCGCTATAGCCCACTAGAGTTTCGATCCTCGGTGTTTCCACTTTGGTGGCTCAGTTTGCGACGGCGTAGGATCTTTTGGCGCAATCCGTCCCTGTCACTCGTGGCCAGTCGCGTTCTCATTCAGAGTGCTTTGGTCCTAGAGAACAAACTGCTGTACACGGCGTCAACGACTGGCTGAGCGCTGATTTGCCTACCGCCAAAGTATCGTCCATTGAGACCCTTGATAGCATTTTCCCCTCCACTGACGCGCTCGAATTTGAGGTAGATGTCTCCTGCCGTGTTGGGGTCCAGAGAGATGTGGACAACATGGCCGTACTTCTCTTCGCATTCGGCACGGACATCGTCTTCGAGCTCCTTGATCCATGCGTCGCCTTCTTCCCTGTTGTCGCTTGTTAGCCAGACTGTTGCCACATGGCAGGGAATATAAGAGACTCACTCGGCCGGATCAAACATGTTCCTCAGCAGCACGCATCTGCTGGCTTGGCTGACGTTAACAGGTAGAGGTCTACTCTCCTTTTTGACCGGAACCGCTGCGCGCTTGGCATCGGCATCCGGGGTCGATTCGTCGGTCCTAGCAAGTTTGCGCATCAATGCATCTCGGCTGTAATTGCTGAAATTCACACCAGCAACGTCGGTATCGTCCAAAGCGCTTGCACCGCCGGTGCCTTTGTCGTTATCACGGCCACCCGCGCGGTCAAAAGTGCCTCCAGATCCACCAGCATGAGCGCCGCGGCCACCGGCACCTGAGAATGAGGAACCTTGGAAGCCGCCACCCTGACCCTGGGGTTGGAAGCGTTGCATCAAATTGGCGGTTGACTCGGGGGTGAACTTGTCGTTCCCGAGTCCGACTCGGATGGGGCGGCCTGCAAGGTCAAAACCATTCATCTTCTCAAGGGCCTCACGTGCTTGGTTTGGATCACGGAACCTGGCAATAGTCAGCATATATCGAAAAACAAGCACAGAGAGACTACGCACTGCACAAAGCCATAACCTCGGCTACGGCCGCCTTCCTCCTTCTGAAGCTGAACAAACTCAAGCTCTCCAAAAGGCTCAAAGACATTCTGTAGATCTTGCTCAGTAATGCTGAAGTGGATGTTTCCAACGTAAAGACGGTGGAAGGGGATGGAATTGTGATTGCTGCTTTGAGCCTCGGGATTGCGGGCCTGGCGGTTCTTTTCTGCTTCAGTGAGCTGTGCGATGATGGGAATTCCCAGAAGTTTCTGTCCGGTCATCTGAATTGCAAGTGGGACTGATTCTTCATTCTTGAATTCGACGTAGCCCACACTGGAAACCATTAGCATGCATCTGAAGTAGAATGAAGTCGAGGACTTACCCTTTGGAGCGGCCACTGACTCGGTCCTTGACGATCTGGGCCTCATTGACAGGACCAACCTTTTCGAAAAATTGAATCAACTCCTTTGTGCGTAGACGAGCGGCTAGCTGCTGAACGAAAACAGTTCTCCTGTCACGCTCATCCTCAGTAAGTTGCGGCTCGGGAGTTTTGCTCTTGACACGTTTTCTTGGACTTGCTGAGCGACGTCGATCCCGATCCCGGTCTCGGTCGCGGCGGCTATGGTCGTCCTCATCGCGCCTGGATCGTCCACTGGGTCGGTAGTAGCGATCGTATTCTGGAGATCGAGAGCGTTTGCGATGGTAATCATCGTCGCGCTTGGAGCGTCTTCTGTCGTCCTCGCGGTCACGACTGCGACTTCTTCTCCTACTGCTTCTATGGCTTCCGTTAGCGCTACCATGCTCGCTTCTTGGGCTCTTCATGTCCTCATCGCGGTCTCGGCGGTGTTCTCGGTCTCGGCTGCGGTCTCGTCTCTTGCGGTCCCTGTCACGGTCACGGGAGCCATCACGGTGCTTGTCCTTGTCGCGACGATCAGAGCGTTCGGTACGATGGCGGTCTTCGGCGTCCCGAGGGGACTCGCGGTCTTTGACATTATTGGCGGCTGTAGAGTCGAGGAGGGCCTCGACGTCGAGTCCTGACATTTTGAGTAGTGGTTGGTGGTGTGCTCGAGAGAGCGTGGAGTCGCGGGAAGGAGCAGATTCACTTGGCTGTGGTCAGAGTCGGAAATGGAGGAGGGCGTGCGTGGGCAAACCCTTGGAACGGTAGTTTCTGTACGCCTCAAAACAATCACTAGGGCGTCGGGTCCAGGTCCAGATGAACGTCAAACGGTAGAGTCTCCTGCAAGTGGCCAAAGATGAAGAATTGCTCGTCACCTGAAAATCGAAGGCTACGGCGACATCGTGATCACTTGGCACGCTAACGTTATATGGAATAGCGTCTTTCACAACATCTTTGTCTCATCACTGTCTAAAACACGCGGTCTGTCTTTTGTCTTTGACCATACAACGGCGGAGGATGATCCTCCTTACACAACACTTGCCCGGCGGCATACAATCGCCCCTGTGGACATCCCTTTACACGAAGACAACCCAAATCCCACACGGCGGCCGCGCTCACAAATTGCGAGCACAATCGAGGCAATAATAGGCCTGATTGCTAATGATGAAGAAGCTCCCCTCAGGAACAATGTTCTCGAGGAACCCACACGACGCCGACCCGCAGCAAACCACCACGCCTGGCTGGCAGTGGCGGTAGACAGGGAGGTGGTGGCCGTTGGCTAATCCGCGTCAGTCTTGTTGTTGTTAGTGACGGACAATGTGCTTACGGAGAAGGGGTTGGTCTTCTGCCTGGAGCGCAGTGTCAGGCTCACTTGGACAATCGATGTCGAGAGGTTCGGCCTCGTTGGCGCGCTCATTCACAGCGATGCCCTGCGTGACAGGGACCTGGTGCTCGTTGTTGGCCAGGAGCACGACATTCTCAGAGGCGGCCAGGACGTTGGTGATCGATGGCACGTTCCTGCTCTTCGAAATGGCGCTCTTGTTGATGTCTTCCATGGCCTCCTCTTCATCGCCTGCCAAGTGGCTACTCTCCAATGGCATCTGATTCAATCTCTCGAAAAGATCTTGATGGCTACGCCGAACGAAATCGGCGATTTGTGCTTCTGGCATACATTCTTGGGCGTCCGCGTGCCCCGCGTAGCTTTTGTTGGAAGAGTTGCTGCAGAAATAAATCCCGTGGGCTTGTTTGGCTCTGGCGCGGATAGCTGCTACGAGGTGCTGGGGCAGTGGTAGGTCGAGAGCAGTGAAACGATCAGCTAATTCACCGAGAGAGGCGTCCAAATTGCCTGTTGCCAAAAGGCTGTCGCTGATTGCCGGATTATGGTCGCTGGGCATGGTTGCGGTATGTATTATTTGAACGAGAAAAGGACTCTTTGCGAGAACGAAACTGAATCATCAACTCCTCGAGTGACCAGATGCGGAAATGAGTCGCTCAGTGAGAGATTAACGGTGCTCAGGACAAAAGTTGCTTGAGAAATAGCCCCGTCCAACATAGACGTTACCGCACGGTGATGCTTGCGAAAAGAGTTGTTCGAGAACTGTGTCATGGAAGGGGGTGATTTGCGCGTTGTCTAGTGTGGGCCAACAGACACAGGCGAGTGCTGTTGTTGCAGAAGAAAGATCCGCTGAAATTCACTGCTGGGCCGGGCAGTACGGAGGTATTGCTGACGCCCATGCAACCCATGGCACTATTCCGTCTCCCTGCTTCTGCATTCCCACTAAACAACCGCTGCTCCTTCTCCTGGCCTACGAATCTAGATCCAACTTCATCCAGGGCTCTAATAGCCATGTATAGCGCCTCGATTTTTCCGCTCGATCATGGTATTACTGATTTGGTAGAGAGGTTACTACTGATTCGAGTTCTCCAAAGTAGCAGATCAATGCTGCCACCCTAGAACAAGACCTCGATATGTTGTATGTTTGCCTTGACTGGAAGAATATTGTCATCGCTTTCTCAAGCATTGTTTTCGCTTGTACTTGGGCATGATGGCGATAGTCTTGGAAATAGTACAATGTGCAAACCCTCTGGTACAGCCTCAGACGAGACGGCAGAAAATCAGTCGTTCTCACCCTACACTGCTAGTCCTCGACACTGCATGTACACATACAGATCGATACGCGCTCTGTTTCTGCTGGTACCAGCCGACTGAAGGCATCTTTACGGAGGATCGTAACGCATTTGAAGCAAAATCGGCATCTGCTTTCAGCACCGCCAGTGAAATCCGTGGGGAAGCTCTAGAAATAACGGATTTTCCCAATCGTTGCTTTCCAACATGATCTTCCATACCCGTGGGTGGAAGGTATGCTGAATGCTCACGATCCAGCAAGCCGCCTGACAGGTCGAATTCGCCCAGCGAATGAGGAGTTCGAGCTCGATGGCTTTGGCAATGCGACACATCAGGCCACTGTTGCGCGGCCGTCAACCCCGACCCTCGGAAGCACTCCGCGCGAGCATAGAAGCAATACTCGATCTGCTTCCCGAAAATGGTTAACCCTTCCATCTTACGACCGCCATGTTCCCACGAAAGCAGCGCGCGATCATCTGGCGAACGAGCGTGTCTTCCTTGGCTATATCAGAACTGCTTCTGCACTTGCCAATTTTGCAATCACAGCCCTTCAGCTTTACAGGTTACAGCATCATCCTGTCCCGCAGGGCAAGCTGAGTGACTATGATTTGGGCATTCCCGTTGCTTCGGCCACGCTCATAATCGCCGTTGCTGTCGCTATTGCTGGAGTGTGGAGATTCTTTTCCTGCCAAAATGCCATGGCGTTGAGGAAGCAAATTGTTACCAGTGGGATTGTGGTCCTCGTCTTTATCCCGGCCTTCATATTGGTCAGTTTTCTTGTTGCCCGAAGGTCAACCTCATTGCTGAACCATGCACCAGCTGCTTCTCGCGCTCCTCATCTTCACCATTATTGTCGACCCTAATTTGTGAACTGGATGACCCACGTCCAGCCCTCAAACGAGGGAATGGCATGAGTCACTACGCCAAGGCCGTATCTGGATGTGTCGGTCAGTGTTGCATGAAGTGCTCATCGATGGTGCTGATCCTTCGGTTCCAAGAGGCCAGTGATCACAAGGACAACAACTCATCCGTGGCCTCGGCATACTAGAACACGGGAAGTCCTGAACCAGAACACTCGCGCGCATCGTAAGGTTGACATCTGCAAAGCCGGCACCTACTTCTTTCGCAGCCAGCTGTGGCATTATTGCATGCCATGTATCACCTCCACAGTCGCCGTCGCTACGGATGAGACACTCCCGACACATCGAACAGAAAGCCAACACACTAGGATCTACGATATTGCCCACTTCACTGTGGATCATCTGGCGGATACCCAGTTACCCTGGAGGTGACTTTTGAGGCAAACGTATTGGCTATGAACACAAGCTACAATGATCTCGTTGTTCATCGGTGCCAATTGCGACATCTTGTGAAGGCCGTCCACGGAGCCATTGAAGAAGTCCAGTCTCACTTCTAAGAGGAAGCAGGATCTCTCCTGACCACAGGGTCGTCCTCCTAGCCCGGCCTCCGCAGAATGGCTAGATCTCGGTAAAATAACAGACAAGGACCGACGATCCTGCTACCGAGGAAGGTACTACGCAGATGAGCCTTGTCGCTGGATGCGCGAGGCTGACGAGGCTGAGTACCCTGAACCGGCGGATTATTAGTGATCCAGACGCAAATTAGAATCTTGGCAAACCGCACTTCGAAATTCAACTCCACGCTCGATTTACAGTACACTTTTCTCTCCACGTCCAACCGCGACAAATCTCCATCGTCAACATCATTACACGTTTCGAGGTATGTCCAGTTCACGGCCCCCTCTTCGGCTAGCCTTGAGATGAGCAATCCCGACTGCCAGCGCCTATTCTGTAACATTTCCAGGTCGGATCGCAGGCTTTGGGATACGCTCATCTTTTGCGACACGAGCTGAAGAACCCTTGACTGGGCACTCTTCCTGGCTCGAGGCTACTGAAGACTAACTTTTCGACTGTAGATACCTCAAGTTCCTCGGCCGGCACACGAACTTGAGAATCTCATCCCAATCCCAACACCGCAATCATGGTCAAGACCTCAGTCCTCAACGATGCCCTTAAGAGCATCAACAATGCTGAGAAAGCCGGCAAGCGACAAGTCTTGATCCGACCCAGCTCAAAGGTCATCATCAAATTCCTGTCCGTCATGCAGAAGCACGGTACGTCGGCGCTCCGGAAACATCCGGATCTATTTCGCACAAGAGGAGGATTACACCTGTCGATGTTGGACTTCGGGTTGATAACTAGGCGGCGGTTTCACATTTTGCTCCCACGACCTTTGCCCTTTAAGTACCCGAAAGATTGAACGTTTCAAGTTGCGATCGATCTTACACGTTTGCATTCTTTTTGCCATGTTTGTTATATGTTTATTCGATCGCAACATCTCGGACATTTTTGCAAAGGCGTCGACTGACACGAGGCTTACAGGCTACATCGGAGAATTCGAAGAAGTTGACGACCACCGTAGCGGCAAGGTCGTCATCCAGCTCAACGGCCGTCTCAACAAGACTGGCGTCATCTCTCCACGCTACAACGTCCAACTCCGCGATCTTGAGAAGTGGGTGGTCAAGCTGTTGCCGTCTCGTCAATTCGGCTACATCGTCCTGACGACCAGCGCTGGCATCATGGACCACGAAGAAGCCAGGCGCAAGCATGTTGCTGGCAAGGTCATTGGATTCTTCTACTAGATGGGTCGATCTGAATGGGAATTCTGCATGACATGATGGCATGAGCGAGGGCAACTAGATACCCCCAAAAGTCTTGGATTCAGATCATGGTCTCCAGCGCCAGAGAGATCACAGGCAGATAGACGCTTGATGAATGAAATCTGCCCTTGAACTCCTATTTCTTCAACTTCTGCAGATTCTGCTCTCGCTGCGCATAATTTTTGACCGTGCAAATGCCAAGACCAATTTTAGCGTCCACACTGGGAAACTGCGGGGCGGGAGATTTCAACGCATCACGGACTGAACATCAACCTCACCTCCTCCTTCATCTTCCCACCTCACACACCCCAACACCGTCAAAATGGTATGCGCATTGATAAGTTCGTCTCGTGAGCGTCTCGCTAACAAAACTAGGCCCCCGCAGCATCATCCGGCGGCAAGAAGCAAAAGAAGAAGTGGTCCAAGGGAAAGGGTATGTCTGCATGGGGTCCTCGTGGCATCACCAGCATCACCACGATCATCCTCAATACCCTTAAACACTGATATGCTGATACACTTTTTCCGCTACAGTCAAGGATAAGGCCAACCACGCCGTCGTGCTCGACAAGGCCACCTCAGACAAACTCAACAAGGATGTTCAATCATACCGGCTCATCACCGTGGCCGTCCTGGTCGACAGACTCAAGATCAATGGCTCATTGGCACGAAAGGCGCTCGCAGATCTCGAAGACAGAGGAGTGATCAGAAAGGTTGTTGCGCACAGCAGAGGGAGCATCTATACAAGAGCCGCTGCTGGTGGCGACTAGGTGGAGTTAGAGTGGTGGCGGTGCTGTTGCGAGACGATTTCTTCGAAGTCAAGATGCTCGAAATGAGGAGATATCAACAAATGCAACGACCAGGCGAATTCGCTCGATCTGCATCGGTTGGGGCCTGGGACATATGCTCCGAGCTCGACTCATAGACACATTTCGACTGGCATAGTCAATGCCCGGCATCGGTTTAGGGACATTCGAATGCAGTCATCACCAAATGCAAGCAATCTGGGCCCAATCTATGACTATTCGCAATTGATGGCTGAGCCAAATATATGATGAGGCAATCCGACAAGCCCGGCAGTTCAGACATGAAACCCAGCACGCCTTTGCTATGCATCTACCTACGCAAAGAATTCTTCGTCCCATCATGCACCGCTCGAATTGATCATTGTACAGGTTTCCCGGGCGCGTCCTTCTTGTCCCTCTTGTCCTTCTTTGCATTCATATTCTTCCTCTTCGGCCGTCCTTTCTCGGCTGGCTCGCACAACTTCGGTGCCTCAGCCACATACTCCGGCACATCCACCAACTTGCCGACCTCGAAATATTTCTTGTGATTCCTGTAGAACTCCTCCCACTTGGCCACCTCTGCGAGGACTTTCTTCTTCGCATCTCGGCGCTCCTTCTCCGCGCGTAGCTTCCTTGTTCCACTTGAAATGTCCTCGTCCGGGTCGTCTTCCACCGGGATGTATATCCACTCCGCTCCTCTCAGGTCGCCAGTCCGATCTTCGAGGAAACAACCTGTCACGTACGCTCTCGTGGCATCTCGACCGGCGAAAACCTCATAACTTCCACCCGGTCCGTAAGTGTGTTTTCCCGCGGTGACGTCAAAGATGGTACTGTTTATGGCCAAGTATATTGGCTTGGAAGGGTCGGTGCCATTGTAGAGCGCCAACTGTGCGGGCGTCAGCAGGAGGGGCCCGCTCCACCAGGTTGAGAGTTTTGAGGCGTTGAGAAACCAGGGATTATAGTTGAACGTGAAGGAGGCGCCTGAGGTGAGGTAGTATGATAGCAGGCATGACGCAAAAACAAGGGTAAGGAGCAGGCGCAGGACGTCGAGCAAGGAGATCACTCGTGAGTCGGTGTCTTCTGGCTGCTCATCGACATGGCCGGCGAGTTTCGCAGTAGAGGACGTGACTTTTGGTCCTCGCCGCCGGGTTTCTGAGTCGCCCATTGTAATTTATAGACGAGAGACCATGCACCAGACATCGACATCAGGGACATGGATTTCTGGTCATTGTGGAACTGCTGTCATTGGCTTGCTGTACTCCGTAGGAAGCAAGCGAGTAAGATGTGGGGAAAGTTGTGGCCTCGAGGCTGGGAACCTCTGGAGATGGAGACGTATCTTCCAGCCACGCGCAATTCAGCTCGACTCGCCCTCCCCCTCCACCCGCGCTTTGGTCCTCCTCGGTCATTTCTCTCTCGTGGCTTCAATGGAGCATAGCAAGAGTATTGTCGATGCATTGACCGTCACTACCTTCTGAAGACTCGCGCAGATCAGAGCGCCGAACCTTGGCTGGAGCAAGTAAACACAAGGCTCGCCGAGCATTCCTCAGTGCAATCGAACGAGCAGCACCATTGACGGACCGATGCAAACATGTCCTACTCCTACACGGTAACAGAGCGAAAGCGCAAGACGACCACCTCGGGCGGATATGGGTATTCAGGCTCGAGATCGACGTTCGGTTACTGGGTGCCGCTCGCCCTGACCGTCACGGCTGCGACAATTGGTCTCGCCGCATGGGTCTGGGGCGAGAGAAAAGACGAAGAGTACGATTCCAGCGAAGATGAACACTACCAGGGAGGTGCGGCTCAGTCAGGGTATACCATGAGTGGAGGTTTATCTGGACCGGCACCGCCCGGCGGCTTTCAAGGGCCACCAGGACCGCCTCTGGAACCAATGATACCTGGTCCGCTTCAGCCCGGCGGGTTTGGACCGCCAGGAACGTTCCAAGGACCTCCTCCTCCGCCCGGTGGATTTCAAGGCGGTCCTCCACCTCCGGGCTGGCGAGGGACGGAAGAGGAGTGGCGCTCTACAGCTCGCTCAACGGTGGTGGAACAGGAACAAGAGACAGGACTAGTGGCGCGCATGTCTAGCGCATTGGGGCTCGGTCGCTCAAGCACACCTTCCGGCGAACGCTCTCTTGGCCAAAATCCAACTCAATCGTATGACTGGACGAATAGGCCGTTCGCATCCGCAACCGCTGCAGCCGGGGCCATGGTCGGCGCCGCGATCAGCACGCTCAGTGGTGGAGGCGGAGAAGGCTACGAAGACCACGAGCGGTGGAGCGAGGAGGCAGAACAACGCGACAATGACCGGCAGATCAAGCAGGGCATCAAGAGGCGAGGCACGGCTGACGAGTTCTTCTCCGGGAGCGTCGAACTGCCCCGCTCTGCTTCGATTGCAAGTCCCAAACGGAAGACTGTGGCTGTTGTTGTTTCAGCAGTGGGCGATGCTGACGGAGATGTCGGCGACCATGCCGTGAGTGCATTTTCCCACCCTCACATCACCCATTACAGGGCACGGAGGACAATCGTTGAGCAAGACTAACGAACCTGTTGCAGTCCATCCTCTCCCACCTGCCCGAATATATCGACCCGGAAACCACCCGCGTCTTCGTCCTCATCTACGCTCCCGACCTCAAAGCTCGCCCCCTAAGCAGCTCGCACACGCCGGCCCGCCGCCCCTCGCAGAGCATGGCCTCCTCGTTCTCCAACATCAGCCAAGCAGATGCGCACACGCCGGCTGTCACTCCAGGCGATTTCCCCAGCAGCGACGGCATCCTCACGCAAGTTGACCCGAAGCCCATCGACGAGTCGTCGAGCTTGTTTAAAACACTCTACAGTCAGGCGATCGGCATTGTGGATCGCGACACCATGGTCCTACCCTACACGTCGCCCAACGGACACAAGCACATTCTCCGCTCCCTCGCGCCCGAGGTCGTGTATATCCAGGAATCGCTATGCGGGCGTGACGGTGAGATTGTGTCCGACCTGTCCGGCTGGGTACGGCAGACTGTGATTGTGATTGGCGATGAAGGCGGACACGGCGGGCTGATCGACACGGATGACGAGGGCAGCGCGGTGGGCGGATATAAAAGGGGCGAGAAGTGGTGGCAGAAGGAAGAACGCACCGGCGTAGGGAGGCGGGTCGCTGTGGTGGAAAGTCTGAAGGTCGGAGAAGATTGGGAACGGAGGATCAATGAGAAGGATTAGATTAATTAGCCTGGGCGATTTGGGATCAGTGTCTTTTGACTGCTTGGTCTGTTGTTGAGGAGTGCCATTTTCGCCGACTCGTCTGATAGACGAATCGTACGGAGTATAGTCCCTCACTTTACGCGCAATATGAAGTATACCCTCATGCTCTCTGAGAAGGTCATCGAAATGTACCTACGCTATCTCACGATGCCGATCAAGTCAAGTCGAGCTTTTACCCAGATGACTTGAATGAACTATAGACAAGATCTCGCCAAGCCAGTGGTTTCTACTACATACTCCGTAAATTTGTGATCGGTACCGTGCTGCCTGGCCATGGCGACCGGGGTGATGAGGTACTGGAAGGTGAATTCTCCCTGCATACTCCGTAATTAGTCCGGAAACAAGAATCCAAGACACGGGGAATCGAAGGTCATGGCTGTCCTCGGTTAGGCCCGTCGTCACTCGGGCTACATACGCTATCTCCTTGCATAACCGAGTCCCCTTGAATTGGTGCCACCTACCTCTGCTAAAGACAGACCTGATAGACTGATATCAGCACAGCCTGAGTAGCGGGGAAGTTGGCGCATGGTCACCTTTGCTGGCCGCTGCGGGCCCCTGCGACGACTCCTCGCAGCCGCCCACGGTCACTCCACCTGCTCTTTCGTGCCTCATCAGAATCCGCTTGGAGTCGCAGACTGTACAACCTGCTCTCATACAGCCCGGACGGCCGTGTCCATATCGCGCTAACAATGTCTGCTGCGACAGCGGCGAGCTGGCTTAGCACGTCGCAAATATCTCCCCTGGCCATTGTGATCGTACTTGTAACATGGCTGCTGTGTCTTTTCTCACTGGGCCTCAATCGACTGTACCTCTCCCCACTCGCCGGATTCCCGGGACCGAAGGTGGCGGCCCTGTCGCGATGGTACGAATTCTACTACGAGGTCATTCTCAAGGGGCAATATTCCAAGAGGATAGATGAGATGCATAAACAATACGGTATGTGTAACTTTCATGATCGTACGATGAAACAACCGGCGCCTGCTTCAAAAGGCTCGCGAGCCCAAAACCGATGCTTGCTCTTCTAGGTCCCATTGTCCGAGTCGCGCCCGATGAGATCCACATCAAGGACAGCGACTTCTTCGGTGAGCTATATGCCAAGAGTCCACGCCCGGACAAGCATGACTGGGCCGCTGGTAGATTTGGAAACCACGGCTCGGTCATCACGACGGCCGACTTTGCTTTACATCGTCGGCGTCGCGCAGCCCTAAATCCCTTGTGAGTCTCAAACAAGCAGTAACGCCGCCCGGCCTTGGTGGTCAGCCTTTTAACGTTAAGCGCAGTTTCTCGAAACGCTCAATCTTAGACTTCCAACCCATCATTCGTGAGAAGGTCGAATTGCTTAGCAGGAAGATCCGCGAGTATAAAGACAGGGATGCGCTGATCGTCCTGAGCGATGCTTTCCCGGCGTTTGCGGGCGACATCATCACGGAATACTCATTCGGGATATGCTACAACCACCTCGACTCTCCAGAGTTCTCGGAATCATTCCACGCGGCGTTCATGGCTGTCGGCGAGTTCGGCCACGTCGCAGTCCAGTTCCCGTGGTTCCATCCGGTGAGTTTCCTTCCATCCGGATCACAATCCTATACGGCAAGGACTGAGATCACGTAGCTCCTAAACAGCCTTCCCCAGAGCCTTGTACGGAGCATGCAGCCGGCTCTTGGAAGCTTACTACGGCTGCAAAACGTAAGCATATAGCACAGCTTCAAATTGGTGGCCGGCACTGATTCGCAGTATCGCAGGATCTCAGGGACATGATCCAACGACTTACCAAGGAAGGGGCCTTGAAAGAGGAGAAGTCGACACACCGCACGATATTTCATGACGTCCTCCAAAGTTCGCTTCCCCCAGAAGACAAGGGCAACCGCCGCATGGCCGACGAGGCCCAGGCTGTTATAGGAGGAGGCATCGAGACGACAGCGTTTGCACTAAGCGTTGGCGCTTTCCATATTGTCCACAAGCCCAAGGTCTACGCTCGATTGCATCAAGAGCTCGTTCAAGCGATACCTGACGCAGCCACGATTCCGGACCTGCTGGAGATCGAAAAGCTACCGTACCTTCGAGCCTGTATCACGGAAGCCATCCGACTCTCCTATGGAATTTCAGCACGCAACCCGCGTGTGCTCAGTCAGTCACTGCAGTATGGAGAGTGGACAATCCCTCCGCGGACGGTCATTGGCATGACCATCGTTGACATCCACCACGATGAGATGATCTTTCCGGACTCGCACACGTACTATCCAGAACGGTGGTTGGGCAATCCAAAAGCGCCAGACGGTGCCCCACTCGAGCACTACTTTGTCGGCTTTGGCAAAGGGACTAGGGGTTGTCTTGGGATTAAGTAAGTGGCATTTCCACTGACAGACGGTATCACGGCTGGAGATATGGCTAACTTCAGGGCGTCCTTAGCCTGGCATGGGCGGAGCTGTTTCTACTAATGGCGGCCTTGTTTCGCCGCTTTCGGTTCGAGTTGTTCGAGACCGACATATCTGATGTGAAGCTGAAGCACGACTTCTTCGTGCCGAGTCCGAAACTGGATACCAAGGGCGTGAGGGTGAAGGTCGTTGAAGTATTCAGGTGAATCACGGCAGTTACGGCTAGTGGCTCAGCCCCTGCCAAGCGACGGCCCCTAGCCTGCTGCTAGACGCTCCGATTGGGCGCTGCCTGGCCGTAAAGTTGTTGCCTTGACCTTCCTTATCAGGTACAAAGACTATCCGATCCCAAACCCAGGGCTGCTTTCGATGCTGCCTGCTTAGGACGCTTCTCTAGGGTGTGCAGGCTACTTGATCAAATCATACACGCTTGGAATTGGCATTAACACGGTCCAGGTGGATATCGACGCATCTATGACAGAATGCCTCCAAGCCTCTGTCCCTGCAGCCACGTCACTCCACTAAGCCACGCGCTTCAGTCGCTCTCCCACGACATTATACTGACACCGTAAATGACCATGGTGACCCCAGCCTGCCTTCTCTAATTAAGTCCCTGGACACTCGGACTTCCTCGAAGATGGACAGACGCGTGCCTGAGATCCTCGTGCCGCGCTCCATACTTCAGCAAGCACAAGCTGCCGCTGACGCCCAGAACGATCCCACGAGACCTACGAGACAGGAGACCCTCCTGCAAATGACCGACCTGGTCACTCCAGATATGGCCGAGGACGACATGGCTCCTCCCCCTTACGGCCAGATTCATGGCGAGATCCGTAACGAGAAGAATGGCCTGGGCATCAGTACCAGTGTCACCGACGACGGCCGTATCAACATCCGTATCAATCAAATCAACCGCCGTTTGTCCCAGATCTTTACTCCTGCCCTGCGTCAACAGATCCAGAGTGTCCAAGACAGTCGCCCGCCTCCTTCCCCCTACATTCCCCCTTCCTTAGGAGGCGGCAAAGGAGTTACTCCACCCCCACCCTTGAATATCGTCATCCAGGTCGTGGGCTCGCGCGGAGACGTGCAACCCTTCGTTGCCTTGGGAAAAGTTTTGAAAGGCACCTATGGCCATCGCGTACGTCTAGCGACTCATCTCCTCTTCAAGGACTTCGTGCAGGAGAACGGCCTGGAATTCTTCAGCATTGGCGGCGATCCCTCTCAGCTAATGGCCTTCATGGTCAAGAATCCCAGCCTGATGCCGGGCTTTCGCAGTGTACTAAGTGGAGACGTCAGTCAGCGAAGAAAAGATGTTGCCGAGTACATCCAAGGCTGCTGGCGATCATGTTACCAGGCTGGTGATGGCACGAGGCTTCATGCTACCACCGATGACCTTTCCGAGTCCTCAGAGAACGACTCTAGCCCCCAGAATGCAGCAAGACCCTTCGTCGCCGACTGTATCATCGCTAACCCCCCAAGCTTTGCCCATATCCACTGCGCAGAGAAGCTGGGCATCCCTCTCCATATTATGTTCACTATGCCCTACTCTCCCACCCAGGCTTTCCCCCATCCGCTGGCCAATATTCAATCCTCCAACGCCGACCCTCAACTAACTAACTACATAAGTTATGCTATGATCGAAGTCCTCTCGTGGCAGGGCCTAGGTGATATCATTAACCGGTTTCGCGCGAAGTGTCTTGGTTTAGATCCCGTGAGTCTGATCTGGGCTCCCGGGATGCTCCAGCGTCTCAAAGTCCCTCACACTTACTGCTGGTCTCCGAGCATATTACCCAAACCGAAAGACTGGGGCCCTCATATATCCATTTCCGGGTTCTACTTTCTTAACTTGGCCTCTAATTACACCCCTACGCCTGATTTCCAGGCCTTTCTCGACGCTGGTCCGCCACCTGTCTACATAGGATTCGGGAGCATCGTTTTGGACGATCCCAATGCGATGACGGAGCTCATCTTCGAGGCCGTGAGGAAGACTGGCCAGCGTGTCCTCCTTTCCAAGGGCTGGGGAGGCATGGGCGCGGACGAGCTGAGTATCCCCGACAGCGTCTTCATGCTAGGCAACGTGCCACATGACTGGCTTTTCAAGCACGTCTCGTGCGTCGTCCACCATGGTGGTGCAGGAACCACAGCGGCAGGCATTACCGCGGGTCGGCCAACCTTAGTTGTTCCGTTCTTTGGAGACCAGCCGTTCTGGGGAGCCGTTGTCGCGCGAGCAGGCGCTGGTCCCGATCCGATCCCTTACAGACAGCTCACAGCGGACAAACTAGCCGATGCCATCAACTTCTGCCTGAAACCCGACAGCCTGGAGCGTGCCAAAGAGCTCGCAAGTAAGATTGTGGCGGAACGAGGTGGTGACATGGGTGCTCAGTCGTTCCATCAACATCTCGAGCCTGACCGACTCCGTTGCACCCTTGCACCATCTCGACCCGCTGCATGGCGCATCAAGCGCACCCAGGTCAGGTTGAGCGCTTTTGCTGCCTGTACTCTTGCAAATGAGGGCCTCTTGGACTTCCATGACCTGAAGCTCTTTAGACCACAAGAATACTTCACCGACGAAGGTCCTTGGGATCCAATATCCGGATTTGCTGCGGGACTTTTTGGAGCAATCAGCAGCATGGTAATGGGGTTAGCCGACTTTCCCTCGGAGACCTGGAGAGCGTTGCAAATCCCGATGGGATCCAGCCGACAGCAGTCCCACGGCCCAACGTCCACAATCGCAAGGAAAAGTGAGTTCTCGCGTATTGGGGAAAGGTCGACTCCGCCGACTTCGCCAGAGCAAAGCCAGACGAGCTTGAATGTGCAGAGATCTCCTGCTCACATTCGGAGTCCTTCAGACCTCTCCATTCTGACATCTTCGACTTCGAACAACGGATCAAGCTCTATGTCCAATGCATTGCAAGGTGAGCGGAGCGCCAAACAAGACGGCGCTAGCCGAAGGCATGTCCGCAGCCGGGACGAATCCGGCTCCGGCAAAGACGGTGACATGATGCGCCGGACTGGCGTGCACACGAGCAAAGGCTTCGGGCGTATCGCAAAGGCGGCGCTGCAGGCACCTATGGACGTCTCAATGAGTATCACCAAAGGGTTCCACAATGCCCCTAAGCTTTGGGGAGACGATACCGTGCGCCCCCAAGAACGAGTCGCCGGGGTCAAGTCAGGCGCCGTCGCAATGGGGAAAGAGTTTGGCTTTGGCTTTTACGATGGAGTTACTGGCCTATTTACTCAGCCCTGGAAGGGCGCCCAGAAAGAGGGTACCAGCGGGTTTTTCAAAGGAATCGGCAAAGGGATCGGAGGTCTCGCAACCAAGCCAGGCGCCGCCCTCTTTGGTGTTCCCAGTTATCTGATGAAGGGGTTTCACAAAGAGGTGCAGAAGTTATACAGCAGCAATGTGCAGAACCACATCGTCGCGTCCAGAACAGCTCAAGGATACGAGGAGTGGCTGCAGAGCACCGGTGCAGAGAAGCAAGACGTCATTGACCGGTGGAAGTTGATCCAGAAATACCTGAAGAAGAAACGCACGCCTGACGAGATGGTACGAGATGTCCTGGAAGCACAGCGGAAGATGAATATGGACGACGGAGAGATCCGCCAAAGCCGCGGGCGTACTGCGAGTCCCACTGACTCCGCCAGTGCAGATGCGCCGATCCTGGATCCCGAGAGTCCCATGCTCGCCGTCACCGTGGCTGGTTCACAGTCCTCCGAAGCATCGCTGGGATCGGCTGAAATCGATGAATCCAATCGACGGCCGTCAGTCCAGCAGAAGTCACGTGGAGACGTAGAAGAGGATGCCGAGGTGGAGCGGGCGACTCGGGTGAGCGTGTCTCAGGTTCGGCGCCAACCACAGGAAGCTGCAGATCATCAAGCAGATCAGGCGAATTTGAGCGAGGCGATCGCGGCCAGCGAAGCCGAATCCCAGCGACACGCAAGCGAAGCCTTGGAATATGAGAAACAGCTGAAGCGAGCCATGGCACAGAGTCTGAGGGAGCACATGCAGAGGTCCAGCGCCGGTGAAGGGCCATCGGATATAGGAGTTGATGACGAAGACGATGATGAGTTCGAGCGGGTACCGAGAAACTCCGAAACGACGGCGGCGAAGGCGGCAGCTGTGGCAGGTCGGCGGCGATTTTCATACGATCCGGGGCATCTCTGGGGCACCACGCAAGGTGACTTCGAGGCGCAACGGGGCGACGGACAGCGAGGGGAGAAAACGACACAAGAGAGGACAGAGGAAGATATTGTGATCGAATATGTCAAGAAGCAAAGCCTGCTGGAAGTGCACCATCGGAACAAAGCCAAGGGCCATGCCGCAGCGGTCGAAGACAAGGACGATTGATGAAGGACTCTAAAAAGTAATTGAATCAAGTCTCGCTCCGGAACCGCGGTTCTCGCAAGCCAGGATGGGATGCCCAGCTTCCTGGAGCCGATCGTGGAATTGTCGAGGGTAGTACACCTCTCTTTGGACGCCCGAGAGCTGCGGAAATGAGGAAATAAGCCAGTGAAGACATCTGCGACGGAGCATAAAAGTCACGGACTGTAATTAAACCACCTGTCGAGATGATGGTTGGATTTGCACTGTACGGGCAACCAGATAGATCCAACTCGAAGCATGATGCCCATGAGACCGTCCACGATCTTGAACTCGACTTCACGACCGGATTTGGTGGGCATGGTGCTTGGATTGGGAAAACGCGCGGTGCGTCAGCAGCAACGGCGGTGGCAGTGGCGACGAGTAGATCAGGCGACTGAGGGTGAGACAATTCCGTTTTGTCGTGACAATGCCTGAACAAGCTATCTATCTATCTATTTACCACTCATTCCGGAGGAACGCTGGGTTATCGTCCCGTACTGGGGTTTTGTACACCTTCTTGGCCCACGAACTTCAGCATGGCAGATAGCCGCTCGTCTCAGACTAGCAAGTTTACACTTGCCTGTGAGCCCCAGAGCTTGAGTATCTCTGCCTTTGCCACATCCATGTCACAAGAATCTATTCTCCGTTGTATTTGCAGCCTCGTATACCTCAGCTGTTCTGCAACTGTGGCCCACGGGATGCTTCCACGGCCAAACGTAGCGATGACATCCTCACTACCATCCCAGATTTCGGGACCACGGAAGGAGACATCAACCAGACGGCCCTTCTCCTTGAGGAGCTTGCCTCCAACAATAACAGTGTCGATCTCCTGGACGCCAGCGTGTCTAACTACCGCTGCGACAGGGTCATGCTCATAAGCGCAACACATGGCAGGTGTGTTGCCGTCAATAACGATGATATCCGCCGCCTTGCCCTCGACCAAGCTGCCGGTCTTGTCGGAAAGACCTGCGGCTCGTGCTCCTAGCATTGTTGCCAGGTTGAAAGCATGCTCCGTCGTAGGCTCGATTCGCTTTGGAAATTCGCCGTCGGCCAAGATCCTGGAATTGCGATGCGATCTCGCTACTGCAAGACCGACTTGCATGGCGTGAAGCAGGCTTGCTGGATTGTTGGAATGGCCTATATGCACGCATAGTTAGTGTTTCGCTACCCAACGAGCTGGAATCAACACATACAGTCGGCGCCGATGGAGGCTCGAACGTCCTTTCGGAAACCGATGACTTCTCCGTGAGCCATTTGAGATTCCGTCCCAGGCGTCGTAGAGACAAAGGCTCCGGACTTCTGCAAGATCTGCAATTCTTCTTCGGTCGACCCGGTCGCGTGAGAGAGGATGATGTCAGGCTTGAGAAGCCCATATTGTTCAAGTGCTTTGGGCACCGACAGTCCCATTCCTGCGCACCGTCAGAGCCAGAAGAGAGAGAGAGAGCGAGCCGACCCCGCGTGCACCGCCCACTCCTTACCTGCTATGTTGTTCCTTCGCCAATGCGACGTGATCACCTTGGCCCCGGCCTTTCGCGCGCTGTCGAAGATGCGAATCACGTCCTCGGACGGCAACGTATATGAATCGAAGCCAAACCCGATGGCCACCTTCCTGCGAGTTTGCCGACACTGCTTCTCGAGGTCGCTCAGTAGCGGGAAGAACCAGTCCGGCTCCAGCTGACCGTTGGCTACGATTTGAGTATCCCACCTGTCGAGTCGAGGTGTCAAGCTCAAGCAGTAGACGGACCGTATCCCGGCAGTGAGCGTAGCGGCCAACCCGGCAAGGCCATGGCTCGCCGAGTATGCCATGTGGGCGTGGTCGACAATACATGTTGTGCCGCCATCGATGGCCTCGAGTAAACCTCCCAGCTCGCCCCAGAAGACATCAGTGGCCGTGTAGTTGAACGGCTGCCAGTTTCCTTTCGCGGTATAGTCGAGCAGGGTGTCGTCCGTGTGTCTCCCCTTCAACTGTGTCTGCCAGACGTGGTGATGCGTGTCGACGAAGCCCGGGGAGACTATTTTGTGGCGACAGCCTATCACTTTGGCATGAGGACTCGCCTCCAAGTCTTTCCCGATTTTGCTGATAAGGTCTCCTTCAATCAGAAGGTCCGTGTCTTGGAGCACATGGACTTTGTCGTCCGGCCCGTGCTGGAGGATTGTACCTCCCTGGAGGAGAATGGTCTCTGCGTTGTCAGCCATTGTTTATGCAGTGGTAGAGGACCATTGGCCTGTCGATGGTCAATGGCTGTCCGTAAACTGTGGTCGTGTTAAGTTCTTTCAGATAACTTGGGCAGGAGTATTCAGGAAGTGGAAGTATAACTACAAGGACCGCCTCCGCATCCTCTGTGCAGATCTCGTCATTTCCGACCTGCCCGGTAGACATTCTCGACCAAGCTGTTCATGTACAATTGGGGTTGAACATAGCCAGCGGGGTCAGCCAAGGGCGGAGAACGAGCAAAGTGCAAAATGGCTGTGCCGGTGCCGGACAATAAGTTCGGATATTCAGGTATCAATGCTCCCCCGTACCACTTCGACTGAGCACTAGTACCAAGACGCAACGCCAAGCCAACTCTGTTCCGACCTTGAGGCGACTACGATGATACTGCGACTGCCCGTCACCAGCCAAACCGATCTCGACGCATTCATTCATTTCCACACCATATCTCACACTCTCTTCGTCGCCATTATTCCCAGGGCGCCTTCCGTTCGAGAGATCAAGTCACATTTGGCCTCTACCTCTTCCGAACGGATTCCGTCCGACCTCTGCCCCTCATGATGCGCGTTGGTTCCCTAGCGTCGCATCACGGCCGAGGACCTTGCAAGGGGATCTCGTCTCCTTCCGAGTGAACATCTTACTGCCCTGAAGATCCAGCCGCCGCTTCTGCGCCTGATTACAGCCCGTCATGGCTGCAGTCATGGCGAAGCCTGCGGGCACGGCGACCAAGATGAAGAAGCCCCCCACGCCCGTGCTGCAGACAAATATCAACGGACACAAGCCTACAGCGCCCTCTGCCTCTCCATCCAGCGTGCGCAAGAGCCTTCCTGGACAGATTCAAACCCCGACGTCTGCGACCAGCAATACCGCCGCGACAAACGGCGCAGCTCGACCGAATCGGCGGCTTCAGCGCTTGACCACAAGAAATAACACGGTGGACAGTGGACCCCAGGATAAACGGGCGGCCAAGAAGTATCCGGAGCCATATGGTACGTTCAGACACTTTCGGAGTGTTGGGCAGACTGAGGACTGACGGGGCGTAGTTCCCAAGGAGACTCACATCCTGCGCAAGTTCAAGGGCTGCACCCCCTCTCTCATTGTACATCTTCATCCCACCCATTTTCGCTTCGATCAACAGGACGGCAGTTTCAGCTACCACTCCGAAATGCGCGTCTTCATCGAACATCTCGCCAAGGGCACCATTCCGCATGACATGGTGGAAGAGTTTCGGAAGTCAGATGTCAAGTACTACGATGGTTGGCTCATAGTCCGGGTGGTGGACCATAAGTCGGCCGCAAAAGGAGCCCTTGCCTCGGGTGCCGCTGCAGACGACGAGAGGCCGTTCTCTATTCATAATTACAACCAATACATCACGCCCTCGCCTTATGCGCCTTTCCCGACGAAAGAGCAGTCCGTCGCAAAATCTCCTCCCCTCAAACAGGAACAGACCGACCAGGGAGGAGTACCTCCTTCCGAGCGGCCTATCGATGTCGTCCCCAAGTCAACCAGGCCGCAGCCGAAAGTCTATCATGTCGCGCTGCGACCAACCATCCTATCCCGACATATGGATCTGGTCATTGATGCGATGCAGCCGGATCCGAAGTCAATAGCTCGCAAAGGGTCACAAGCTACTGTGAGTGGCCGCGCAGCTGGTTCGGGCGCTCCTCAGACCCCGGTATCGGGCATGCCGCCAACTCCATCTACCGAGAGAGGCCCGCCGTTCAAGAAGCAAAAGCTAAAGATCGACCCAAAAGACATGCTCGAATATGAGGGCAGAGTTGTGAATGCCACGGCGCCCCCTCTATATCTCGACCCTGTGGAGGATCTTGAAGAGGCCGAGACTCTGATTCACATGTTGAAAGATCCACTGCACGATCAACGGCCACCATCCCCGAAGAGCCGCAAGAGAACGATTGCCGAGCTTGCGGCCGATGATGCACAAGCGAAGGACCAAGAGCGGTTTATGCTCGTTATGGACGAGCGCACCGCCGGTACTAATGGTGCTGGAAACGCAGGTGCTGCGGATGGTCAAGCGGCTTCCGCATTGTTCCAGCCGCGTTTCGAGAAATTCAATGCGCTCGATAACATTAAGCGTGAAATCGCAGAGCGCAAGCAACGGGAGAAGGATCGGCAGCTTCAAGAAGACGAGACTAGGAGGGGCCAGCAAGAGCGGATGCAGGAGGAAGAGAAGAAGCGCATCTTGATGCACCGAACGCAAGAGGCTCGGCTGATGCGTGCACGGCAGGCGGAAGTGGCGGCCGCTGTGGCTGCACAACAACAGCAACCTGCCCAGCCTGCACAACGGCCTCCTTCTTCTCAAGTTAATGGCATTCCTCCTAACATGCGGAACCAGATGATGCAGGGCAGATCGCCTGTCATCCGCCAAGGCACTCCACATATGGCTTCCTCGCCTGTCGTCACGAGCGCTGCTCAGGGCGGAGCCCCTATGGCTGTCTCCGGTTCGCAGCAAGGTCACGGATCACCACCGAGACCGAGCTCGGCCGTACAGCATGGTCATCCCAGCGCTCCCATGGCTAGAGGTCCTAGTCAGCAAGGCCCAAGTCGCAATGGCACCCCACAAATCCCTCATGGCACCCCTGCTCAGAGGAATGCCACGCCGATCATGCGGCAAAACACTCCTGCTCAGGCTGTTACCCATGCTAGTCCACACGGTGTCACTCCTCAGATGATGCCCGCTGGCATGATGCCTGGCATGCAGGCGCAGATGCCGAATGGTGTTCATAGGCAACAGCTGAATCCCCAACAGATGGCCGAACTGCAGCGACGGCATGCTCTGCAACAGCAACAACAAGCGGCCATGCAGAATGGAATGGTTAATGGCACTCCTCAGATCTCTCCCGCTCAGATGGCCCAGATGCAGGCACAGCAGGCGCAAGCTCAAGCCAACCGAGAGGCCGCAATCCGGCAGCAGCAGCAGCAACAAGCCATGCAGTCGCAGCAAGGGACCCCCCAAACCACGCATATGTCGCCGGCTCCGAGCCAGAATCAGAAGGCGTACAATCAGCAAGTCGCAGAGGCCATGAAGGCTCAAATGCAGAGCCTCCAGCAGCAGGGACAAAATCACGGCTCACCTGCACCTAATCATATGACTCCTCAACAGCAGCAAGCCCAGATGGTCCATGCCCAACAGCAGCAACAGCAGCGGATGATGCAAGCTCAAGGTCAAATGATGGGCCAGGGCATGCCGCATCCGCAACAGCGGGTTCAGATGGATTCTGATGCGCAACGGCAGCAGTACCAGCGGTTCTTCCAAGCGTACCAACAACGATTCGCAGCAGCAGCCGCCGTCAAGTACGGCGGAAATCCACAGATGCTTCAACCTCAGGAAGTGCAGCAGATCAAGGCGCAAGCTCAACAGATGGCGGCACAGCAAATGCACAAGCAACGACAAATGGGAGCTCAAGCGAACCAGGCACAGGCGATGCAGCAAATGCAACAACTCCAAGCGCGCCAGCAGATGGCACAGCAGCAAGGAGGAGGCGGCATGCCCAACGGCATGATGGGAATGCAGAACATGCAAGGAGGTCAGGTGCCCCCTAACATGGCGCAGCTTCTCCAGCAGCAGCAAGCGCAGCAGATGCAACAGATGCAGATGCAGCACGCACAACAGATGATGGCCCAGCAGCAACAGCATCAACAGCAGCAGCAGCAGCAAAATATGCAGTTCCAGCAGAGATAGCTTCTGTGCAGGGAATCTGCGCCGGATCGTCGTCATCGCGCCCTTGTATGAGGGCAAAAACAATTCCTACCATGTCACTGATATGCTCAGATCCTGTTACTCGTCGACTTTTCCACCACCCACCTACCTACTTCCTAGCTATTGCAAAGGCTTCTGCACTGGATTGGGCGGCCGATTTTGACCTGACTCTTCGGGCGCAGGGCAAACGCCTGAGGGCATGGGCCGCTTGGGACATTGGCAACCTGCATCCACGGCGTTAGTTGGAACGGGGACTTCTTGGGAGGCCATATGGAAGCCGGACCCGGCTGTTTGTTTATGATATCCACGAAAAGAATGATTACATTTGGGCTCGGGGTGCAGCTGGAGCAGGACAGGAGTAGGTGGAGGGATAGGAGCAGGAAGGGGAGCAGGCAATATCGGAGCCTTGCAGAGATGAATTAATGGATGGATATTGCACAATCAAGTCAAGTCGTCAAGCCGATGCAAGTCAGGCAGGCAACACGCCCATATACATAGTTGTTTGGTGGAATGGCCATACTGCTACTGATGTTGATGTTATTAGTGATACCAGCGGTGCTGGTGATACCGACGATACCGCAGTGATGCTAATAGCGGTGCCGACACCGATGCGGATGCTGATACCAATACTGAATGCTGAAAGCGACACCGACATCGATAGAGATACTGATCGCAAACCACCGTACTCTATACACATATATGCACCAACTGAACCCACGCGCACCACTAGACTGGCACTGCAGACTGCCCTGTCCATACTGTTGGCTACAGTAGCTAGATACATAGCTGTTCCACTCCCGAGCAAGCGAGCTCGACGCTCGACGGCTCGACGCTACAATCGTCTTCCTACTACTGGAGCTCGCTCTATTGTCCCGGGTCCAGGTGTGTGTCCATCTATGGTGGAGCAGTGACTCTGAGAGTGATGAGGAGCTGAAGGAACCATAGACAGCACCGAACCCAGAACCATAAGTTTCACATCACCGTACCGCAGATCAGACATTGCTGAGAGAGAGAGAGGGGGGGGGCGCATCTTGAGCTACCAGGTGGCTGAGTGTAAGTTCAAGGCCAAGTCCAAGTCCAAGTCTTGATTTGAGCTTGAATTTGGGATCTATCTCTTTTTTTCATTCCCATCTCATCATCTCATAACCATCAGCTCAGCTCAGCTCATCCGTCCGGCAGGGGATGCAGTCTAGGTGCAACACCAACGTAATCATCATGATCCTCCTCCTCCTCATCATCATGAACACTAACCTCACCCTCACCCTCACCCTCGAGCTCGTCCCACAAATCATTCCCGTCCCCATCATTCGTCGTCGGCAACCACAGATACTCCAACAGGACGCGTCCCTTCAGCGCCTCGAACGAGCGGATCTTCAACTTCCGCGCGCCATGCGCAATCAGCCCGACGAACCACGATCTGCTAGCGCAATCATTCGCCCCTAAGGCCGCAATGCCTGCCATGGACGCGATCCACAGCATGAGACTCGGTGCTTCGGACCATTCTCTCGCAAAGCTCCGCTTGCCGAACAATGTTTTGGTTCGCTGGACGAGGAGGCCGAACGGCGCGGCAGGTATCGGGAATACACACAGCACGCTGTATATCAGGGCGGCGACGTGGCAGAGATCGAGGAGGTCGTCGTCGGCTCTGTCGCATCTCTCAGTAACCGCCCGAGTGAGTCCCATGAGGGTATGGATGACCAGCGAGCGCTCCTCGCCAAGCAGGGAGAGACTGTGCGCTGCGGATCTTCCGGCGAGGTAGTCGTCCACGGCGAGGGTGTAGAGGCTCAGCCTGTGCAGGGCGATCTGCAGATCGAGTGACCTTAGAGGCGACGAGGAGCCCAACTTGTCGAGGATGGAAAACCCCTGCCCGAGCGTGCGGAGGGGATGGTTGGCGCGGCGCGTGCGCGAGAGGGGTCCGTCGAGGTCGACGCCCTTCACGCAGGGGATAAAGGGCAGCCGCGGCGGCTGGACGGTGCGGGTGGCGACAATCAAGTCCGCGCTGATGCCACAATGTTTTCGTTAGATGGGGGTTGCCATTCCGTCAACTTCGACACTCACTAGCAGAGCAGACCGGCCAGCCCGGGGATCGTGATTTTCTCCAGGCCCCCGCGCAGTTCGATCATCTTGAAGAGCCCTTCTCGGTGCATCGAGGCCGCTTCGATGGGGCCGCCGTATAGATTGAGCAGACGGAGTGAACGCAGGGGGCCCTGTTCGGGACGTCGGCGGGTCGCGTACACTGGTCGGGCTTCGGGACTCATGGCCAGGTAATGGTACGCAAGATTAAACACGGTCAGGATAGTCAGGTCGCTACAAGCCGTCGAGGGATCCGATAGCGCCTTGTTGACATAGGAGACGGTCTCGGCGTGCGCGCGGAGCAGCTGATGCTGTGCCTTTGAGTGGAAGTGACGACTATACTTGTTTCGCATCAGTTGGGCAAAGAAATAGGCGTAAAGGCAGCCTGGCTCGGACATGATCTTGTGGATCCATATCGTTGCCAATTCATTGTTGCCATCAGCACTGGCAGGAAGAGCCTGGTCCAATGTCTCGTAGACCAGCTGGACGAGTAATCGAACCTCGAGGGAAGAGAAAGCGGCCAACTGCTTGAATGGTACAGGGAGTGGTAGAGTGGTAGAGTTGAGAGAGTTGCAGACAGACAGGTGGAAAAGGTATTCGGCGGGTGGCCGCTGGGAGACAAGTTGAGAGTGACTCTGACTCGGCAGCGACGTGAGCGCGGGGCCGACATGGGCATGGTCTGATTGGCGGGGATCGTGCAGGACAAGGTGCCTCGTGTTGGGGAGATGGCTTCGTGGTGCCGTCGATGGATCCAATGCCGCCAGAGGAGGAGGAGCCTCAGGGGCCAGCGGTGATCGAGTCGGGTCAGCGGTCGACGGCAGCGCGCCCTTACGCCAACGCACTCTTGAAGCATTCGCTTTGATGGCGCTACGTGACTGCGCTTTCTCACGCTGCGTCTGCGGATAGCCAAGGATGAAGGTGGCTGAAGGCTGGAGCGACGTCCTATTAGGAAAGTGCCGGGTCAGTGATGGATTCGTCAGTTCGGCCAGGGGCACGAACCACCCCTGCCGCGTACGAAAGACTGGACGAGCATGAGGTAGTCCAGGTTCCGTTAACGGCTAGTCAGCTGTGTGTACAGAGACGAAGGAGTTCGTCCCAGCGTTCCGGTGTCAGGTTACGTGATGGTCTTATTGGAGACCGTGCATTACAGACGGGTGGTAGGTCTTGGTCCGAGAAACACTGCGATTGCTGGTCTGGGTCTTTCGTTTGGTATTGCCAGGGACATTTCCTTGATGGGATGGACATAAGTGGACAAAGGCACTCACATGGCTTAGCTGCGGCGTTGGTGCCAATACCGTCTTTCGTCGAGTTCGAGATCGTCGCCCTCTGGTCCTTCTGATCTTTCCATATTATCGACTCCTGTACTTGTTGAAGACCACTGACATTGCAGCTCTTCGAGGTGATAGCGGTGATGGTCGAGATCGAGGTCGAGACAGTTGGCGAGTCGAGTGCTACTGTCCATCAGCTGTGCCGTGTCTCTGCCTCGGAACAGCGCCACGCAGCAAAGGGGCAGAATAAAAGGCGTCGTCTGACAGGATGATTTACCACGGGTTGCTCGTGAGTCTGAACCATGCCGCGTTTAGTAATCAAGTAGTTGAGGCGATGGTCCCGAATGCAAATCCGACTGACAATGCTCCCGCCACCTCCATATCCGCGTGACAACGTGGTTCTCTACGCACCAAACGGCGTGTACGGTACTCGAGAAGACGCAGATCTCATTGCTGTGCATGAGCAGGCACTATGTGAGCCTTCAGCTTGACATCGCGGTAGACGTCGAGTCCATCCCGTTCACTGGTCTTGGGATGCCACAGAAATCCTCGTAGCAGCCGCTCCATCTGCCCCCACGAATCGACCCCTAAGCGAACCATCACCGGCAAGAGCTCGTCGACAAACCAGGCTCTCTCGGGCAGCCCGATACTGACAACTGCACCTAGAGTCAGTATCCAGAGCTGCATAACCACTCTCGCATAAGGCGAGGCGTCCACGCCGGTCCGCATCTGAAGGAGGCTGATCTGGAGCCTCTTCGCCAGCCGCTCAAACAACCCTACAACGGGCGGGAAAGGGAAAATGACAAGAAAGCTATATGCAATGCATGCGAGTCGACAGGCCTCGTACTGGAGATCGGCCGGCGCCGTCCTGCGACTCTCGATTTCTTCAAGCGACTCCAGCGACATCAGCCTGTGCTGGACATAGTTTCTTTGATCTGTCAGCATCACTGGAGGTCTGGGGACAAACCTGCCCTCAACGTAGTTGTCGACGACGACGGTGAAATCGGCCATATCTCGGATGACTACTAGGAGGGCGAGAAGCGCGTCGTCTCCGGGATCAGGCCACACCATCGTGAACGAAGTTGCCAATGAGCCCATCGTTGACTCGGCCCATTCCCTCTCTGCGACACTCACCGCAAGACGATCGGCCTCGAGATAGAGCCTCGTATGAGGAACAAAGGGCATGAACGTCCTCCGAAGGCACCGACTCGACTCGAACAAATCCGCACTGTCACTTGGTCAACAAGATACGTGGTGCAGCTCTGAAACGTGTTCGACTTACAAGCATATCACTTGAGCCATGCCAGGGGTTGTAATCTTGTCAACTCCGCCAAGCATCTGCACCAACTGCATTAATCCGGCCACGTGGACCTTGTTGATCACGAGCCTCCCGTAGATATGTAGCGACTGAAGCTCTTTCAGAAAAGACTGGCGAGGACACTTTCCCGTCCTTATTTCGCCAACATATCCGGAGTAGCCCAGGGCCACCACTGCCCAGATGTTTGCCTCGGTGGCTGCAGTCTGCGGGTTGCGCATCTGCTCGCTCAGTAATCGCACCGCTGTCGCGTTCACCTGCAATTCCAGCATATAATTCCGCTCGGACTTCTGTGCCACCCGCATGAACAGCATCGCAGCAGACATCATGCTGTACAGCAACACGGGGTTGCGAACCGCCATGGACAGGATGTGGTGCGCGAAGCGAGGGCCGTAGACATCACGAGAGCTGACGTTCGTGATCATTTCCACGAAACATTGCCGTGCTGCAGACGGAATCGTCAGTGTCCACGATTCGCTTCAAGAGTGGTAAACTCTCACAGTTGTAGAGCTGCTCCGTAACCACTTCGCGAGGCAAGTCGGTCGGTAGAGCCGAGAATCGATCGATGACTCGGTCATCGAGGTAGACCCGCGGACTCGGGGTGCGGTCGTAGCATTGCCGGGCACGTTGCCTCTTGCTGGCATGGGAATCTTCCGCAGTGATTTCCTGCTCAGGGTCCGGGTGGAATGGCGATACATTCTGCGGAAGTTGACGGCCTCGATGAGAACTCTCGCTAGCATTCTGCGCGATCGCATCACGCCGACCGCGGAGCACAAGCAGTTGTGAGGTCATGGGCCTCATGGCTGTTTGTTCGCCAACCTCCTGCTGCAGCTACGTTGGTAACATCGCAGAGGAGCCGATCGGTCGCGAGCGCAGGATCTCCCTAGAAGGGTAAAAGGTCGCTTTGCAGGATGTGAGAACCGTCGCTCAGGTAGTGGCCCGCCTGGAAAACCTCCTATTAGAGGCCCAAGAGACAGATCTGCGAGCGGCATCTAGACCCGGCCCTCCCACATGTCGACGTTGTCTTCGAGGGGCACTACCCATGTACAAAAGGCCGGGTAAGTCTCGATGTCAGTGGTTTGCAAGTCGAATAGACGGGAATCATTCAGCCTCACAATGACAAAGCAAAGCAGTCAGTAGCAGCTGCAGCTATCCGTGAGCTAGAAGCAACACGGTTAATCCAGGTCCCCAACTGCGTTTAGTCGCCAAGTGCTGCAGGGACGATGGAGTTCAAGGTCCCGCAACGTCGCATGAGAGGAGGCGATCCCTGGTGGGGTTGAATCCTGTCAGACAACGGACAAATCGACCATAGCAATCGGAGTTCAGAGCACATCAAGCCTCGAAACGACCTCGAGAACGCCCAATATGAGGCAGAATCATCACCTCAGAAGGGGAAGCACTCACGCGTCTCGCAGAAATGGATGAACCGTATGCCTAAAGAAGTAAGACTTGACCATTGTCGGCGGCCTGAAACTCCCATGTGGACGAAGTCCCAGACTACCAAGCTTAGTTCTTCAAAGAGTGCACTGGGGTCCTGCCTTTCTCAACGTCAAAGTAGGAAACGAACCCTCCTGACGAAGTCCTATGTCTCTGGTGCTGCTGTCTCCGGCGCTTCGAACAAACCCTAGCCACCTGTAACCCAGGTATCGATCTTATGTGGGGTATCTGGGCCGTTTCGGTTTGGAAGAAATGAACTCAGGGCAGAAGCTTTGCGATACGAGTCCTAGGGCACTCGTAACCGTCCTGCAGACCCTGGGCGCCTCGGATCATCTGTGGCAATAGCGGTTCGGATGACTGCTGGCTTTCCTTATCGAGTAAGATGGCCATCCAAGCACTCTAGCGATACTGCGTAGACAGGGAACCTTCTGTGGCGGGCCCCTATCGGAACCATCAGTCCTTCGAGATATTGGGGGTACCTTGTAATCTGCCCAGATACACAGGTGTCTCCGTGGTCGAATAGTAGTCTGCACATAGTGGACGACCTATGAAAAAGATTGCGAGACGCAAAAGGCGAGCCTGAAAACCTAAAGCCCGTGCAACCGGGTGCTCATGCCAATCTGTCATGTCCGCGTGGGCAACTTGCGATGGCGGCTTCGCATCCTGTACTTCCGCACTATTGGGGGCAGACATTAGCAGGCTGCTGTTTGATCACTTCGGCGCCACCGATGCGCATCCGTGGGTGTGATGTGGGGGAGAACCTATCCAGTGTGCGGAATTGCCGGTAGATTCTGACCGGAGCAGTCTGTGTGCATACATCTGGCCGCGGCAGGGACTAGAAGTCGTTTTTACCCTTTTAGAACCCCCCCAACGATCCGGAATCACCAATATCGCAGTTGTAGATCGGATCCGTCCCTGTCCTGCCCTCCATCCGGCATCAGCACCAGCACTGTCGTCACAGACATGCTTCAATTCACGACTCCGCAGTCAGGAGATCCCAGGAAGAACAAGTCTGCCATTGCATTCCAGGTACGCCAGCATGCCGCCAAAGTCGCTGCTGCTCGCCACAGGAAGACCTGGATGTCGCGCAGACCTCCAAGCATCAACGATGGTGCTGCCGCTCCCCTCGAGTCGTGTTTCCTGCTCAGCTTGGACAGCGACACCGAAAAGTCCCGTCAGACCTCTGCCGACGTCGTCAAGAAGGCGAATGAAGGTGCCGATCGTAGCGGCCGCGCAAGAACATCGCGTCCCAGATGGACTTCGGTTTACAGAGTGGACATGCCGAAGCAAGCAACCTCGAAGTCGACGCCCAAGACATCACCGAGCGCCACGCGGTCTCCTTCGACTGAACCCTCGAGCTCCGAAATCGACTTGCACGCAAGCAGCGGCCTTGGGTCCCGTTTCGATTACACGAACGCCTTACCGTGGCCTAAGTCCCTCGACTCGTTCTTGGACGCCGCTTTGGGCTCTGCGCAGTCGGCTACTGCTTCAAGCCTGGTTGTGGAAGATGACAGTGGAACCTACCATTCACTGCTGACATCAGGAAGACACATACCAGACGTCCAAGCCAGCTTGCTTGCGTTCGTATTAGGTAGCGGATTCGGAGGCCTCACTGCCCTTCCGCCACTCCTGAAGCAGGCGCAGCGAAGAGCGGTGAGTGTGACCGTGGCCCTCGATCAGTACCAGAGAGAGTCCATAGGTGCGCCTTTATTGGAGGACATCGTCGGAGAAGCAGAGCACTCATACATGGCATTCCAGACAATCGAGATTGCGTTCCCTGCAGCCACGACAGGTGAGATCTTGGTGGTGGACTGCTGTCGCTTGGCTGGCCTGGTCTACTGCGAACTTGTTTTGTTTCCTTCACTTTCGGAGGGTGATATTATGTTCAGGCTGGTAAGCGACTTGCAGGTAGCCTTGGAGACCGCCTATTTCTGGTTGTCTGGAGAAGAACGCCTCACGTCGGTTTCCAACATGCTGCTGTGGGCAACTGCACTGGGTGCTATGGCGGCGACAACCGCTACTGCGAGGCGCTGGTTTGTAAGGAGACTGTCGGTGCGACTATGTGCTGACGAAAGGTTATGTGTGTGGCAAGTATTCAGATCTTTGATGTCCACCTTCCTATGGTGGCGCCCTGTCTGCGATCATCCAGGTCAGATGGTTTGGGAAGAAGCGATTCATGATATCCAATTGGCAATTTGCAACGAGTAGGTCCAAACATCGGGAGCGAAACTAAGCTGAAGCCTTGGGTTGACGATTCCAAGTCCACCATCACAATTCTTTCTTCAAGAAATGCTCTGGCCGGTGCTCAAATTCGTAGTCCACATGGACGTATGCTCTCTCCACATTTGGAAGGCTCTCCAGTTTCATCTGCAGATCCTCGGCGATATCATGGCTGACTCTCAGACTCTCCTCCGGATCCATCACCACGTCCACTTCTACAACCAAGCGGGGCCCGCTATGCCATGCTCGAACTGTGTCAATATGCTTGATGTGATCCGAGTGGGTCATGGACACATAAGTGATGAGCTGCTGAGTCTCGGTGTCGGCAGAAATGCCGATAAGCAGTTGAAACTCTGAGTAAGCAGTGTGTAGCCATAACCCCGAAATGAGCACCGACAGGACGATGGCGCCTGCCGGGTCGATCCACCATCGCAGTTTGCTGCCACCCACGGATGTCAGGACACCAAAGCCATTGATGAACAGGTCGTTGCGGTGGTCCTCCCACAAGATCCGCACTTGCGAGTATTGATTCCGGAGAGCCCAGCAATAGAGGAAGAGGCCGAGTTTCGTGCAGAACGCCACAGTCACGGCGACGACGGACGGCAGATGGAATGACTTTGTATCCTCCTCAGAGCCCCGGACGAGTTCCTGAACCGAGAACGCAATCAGAATGAACGACACCGCGGTCATGAGGAAGCAGAAGACAATGTTGCCAGCTGTCTCGATCCGGGCGCGACCAGCCGGGAATTTCCGGGCATCGACCTTCTTGACGGCTTTATTGGTGAGAATGAGGGTGATGTTGGACATGGGGTCAAAGATTGCGTCCGCCATGGTCGTGAAAAGTGAGAGTGAACCCGAAGCGATGGCGCCGTAGAGCTGCAACACTGCGAGGAGGATATTGGCCACAAAACTCCCATACACCGCGATCTTGTAGCGTAGCTGCGTCGAGTCTTGAATTTCTTTTGCTTCTCTGATATGTTCATTCACTGGCTTCAGCAGCCGCTCGATCTGTTCGTTCTGTAACTCGTAGAAGCTCGTGATCTTGGATTGTTTGGACTGTCCGCCTAAGTGTAATGGATTGCATGCGTACTCCCGCTTGCGCGCGGTATTAGCCGACATGCGGTCAAGCTCGGAGCGAGACTTCAGACGGCGTGTCAGGTCCAGAGGATCAGATGCGGAGGCATGGGTAGGAGATTGGCTCTCGGCATCGAACATTGAAGCAGTGCGATGGCGTGAGATCGTGTCTTCGTCGTGTTGCAGGCCAGATGTGGCGGCGGCGGAACTCTTCGCCTCGCCGTGTAAGAGATGGGGATTAGGCATAGGCTGGTAGAGATCATGTCCGAGACTGCGGTGTATATGCTGAGGGCTCTGCGTGAGCTCCATGAAGTGCTCGGTTCTCGAGCCAGCATGGATCGCCATGGTGAAGGCTGGCGAGGTGAAAGTGGCAGGTGAACGACCGACGTGGCTTCACATGAGCGTCCCGAGGCTGCGGGATCACCGGGCATGAGTCCTGTAGCCTTGAAGCAAGTGTCCTTGCGAACAATAACGATGACAGATACTAGTGATGAACTGGTAGAATGGTGAGAATTCCACACAACCACCTGGGTGTTACCAGAATCTTGGTAGAAGTGACGCTGGGCTGAGTTCATCGTCCACGAATCAACGCCGCACGCCGCCGCCGAGCCGCTCGAAGCGACTCCAATCCACACGCAGTCATCAGAGCTTGTTCGCTACTGTACGGACTACACGCGTACGGTACGTACATTGAATGCCCAATGGCAGCAGGAACGCGGCTTACTCGATCACGTCGACGAGGTATGTCAGCGTGATTGAATGCGGGAGAGAGCTAATTAAGGGTCTTGAAGCTACACCTGATCTACACGTGTCGAGCTGGTCACGCTGGTCTGAAATGTCCGCGACGTCAAATCTGGTCTGATCCATATCGAAGTGGACTTTCCCGTGCGCTACACAGTAGTTCAATAAGCTCATAGTTCGTTCTTTTCGTACAAGGTGCTAGTTGTTGCTGCCACAGCTGCTGCTTTCGGTCTGCACCAGTCTCCAGCTGAACAGCACGAATACTAAAGCAAGTACGGAGTACAATCACGAGCCCTTCAACTCCAGCATTTACACCAGTGCCCACCTCTGCGCCAGGCGTGTTACCGCTCGCCTTTGAAGATGAGTTAGATGAGCTGGACTCAATTGCACCGCTAGCATCAATGAACTTTCGACATTCCGGATGGGGAGATAGCCTCCCATGTCATCTAGCGAGAGCATAGAGTCACATCCTTCCTCGAGGCATAGAATGGCATTCGGCGGAAGAAGCGGTTGCAGAGCGTACGCGCAAGAGAGTTATCGGCGCAGACGTATGGAGTATTCAGTCAGGATAGCCGAGACTGATGAGGTTGAGAGTCGGCGGCTGAAGAAATTGAGGTTAAGCTCCCTTTCAAAGTCGACACTACTGTGATATGCGTGGGACTAATGATGCGTACTATTTCCAGCCTGTAACCATACTGTGTAGAGGCGTGACCGCCCCTCCTTGAAGCGAGAGTATCGCCGCCCTGCTATCACCCCGTGCCCTGCCATTGGGTGTGGTCTACAGTCACAGTCACTGTCACAATCACCATTGTACACAGTGGCGCTTGGTGCAGCGCTGCAAAGCCGGCAGCACTCCCCATATTGTACTCCGTACTCGAAACCACCAGGAACCACTACTGACATTGGCAAGCCACATTTGCGAAGCTTCAGCCCAAGCTCTTGCCTTCTCTTGGCTGGCATAAACCCTTGGCAAGTGGTATCAAAGTTGATGCTTGGAGATCGGATACCTCAACACCACGCGCGTAGCTGAAAGAGACCACGTTGTTACTATCTCCAGAGGGGCAAGAGCATGCACCCTCGAAGCATATACGATTACCCGCATCATACCGAGGGAGATCGTTCAAGCGGTAATGTAAGAGGTTTGAAATAACCAGCATTTGACAACCTTGAAGGGAGTTGCGGCCAGCCCTCATCAGTCAAACCCCATTGCGCCCTGATGTTACAAGGGCCGGTTCCAGGGTTATGTCCACGTCCTGACAGCACATTATCGACGATATCCGGTGCAATGATTAAGCGGGAACGAATCCCAGGGTATGCCTGGACAAATCGATTGCCGTCTCATCCGCTGTCCCTCCACGTTTTGAAGCAGAGAGACTAGGACGATTTCCCCAGACGCGGGACTGATAGACCCAGCCTGGGCACCATCCCCGCACGGATAGCCCATACAGTCCACACAGTCCCCCGGAAGGTTGCACAGGACAAGCCTCTTCCAAGGTTTCTACTGGGCTCAAGCACTTTTCCTTGGCGGCTTGTTTCGACGTTCAGAGGCGAGATCTGGGGCTATCTGGTGTGCACACCCTCACAGGCCCAGTAGCGTCCACTGAATCAACAGCGCCCGTGTACACATGGCGGCCCTTTCTCCAATCCGGGGGGAACCAGCCATCTTTGCCACTAATGGTAAGTCTGGTCCAGGGATCCCAAATGGATCTGGATCTTATATCCTGCGTGATAAGAGTGTCCATCTCCCTCCGCCACTTGCCTCCGTGATTGCCACCATCTGCTCCTGGACGAGTGGAACAGGTGAAAAAGGTGAAAAGCACAACTCCCAAAGTCCATCAAGTGATCATGGCTTCAAAGGTTGTCAATAATGTCAAAACCTCACTCCAGACGGACGTGAACTGGAAACAGGCCCGCCGCTATGCCGGCGTTGGCTTCCGTCGCGCTCCCTCTGCCACCGCCACCTACATTCTCGAGAAGGTGCCTATCGTGGGCTGGTTGCCACGATATAACTATCGATGGCTCATCAACGACTTCATCGCTGGTCTCACGATCGGCATCATGCTCGTCCCTCAGGGACTGGCGTATGCCAAGATCGCCACCATTCCAGTCCAGTATGGGCTGATGGCGAGTTGGTTCCCGGGTATCTTGTATGCGTTCATGGGGACCTCGAAAGGTACAGAATCCGACGGCGGAAACACTGCCTGGAGGCCCTGAATGAACTGACATGCCTCTTTGCTTGCAGATCTCTCCACTGGTCCAACTTCACTGATCGGCCTGCTCACCGCAGAGATTGTCAAGGGCCTCGTCAAGGAGGGCTACCAGGCACAAGAGGTAGCCGCGGCTGTCGCTCTGGGCATGGGCATCTACGGCATGGCCTTGGGATTTCTAAAACTCGGATTCCTCTTGGACTTCGTCTCCACACCCGTCTTGAATGGCTTCATTTCTGCCGCCGCAATCGTCATTGCTCTAGGCCAGGGTGCTTCTCTCCTAGGCGAGGATGGCGGCAGCAGCAAAACGGCGGGTGAGATCCACAACATCTTCTCGCAGTTGCCGGACGCCAGTGGATTGACCTGTGCAATTGGCTTCACTGCAATTTTCATCCTCGTGGCTCTCGAACAAGTGGGCAAAAGGTGGGGAAGTAAGAACCGCATCGCGTTCTACCTGTCCATCAGCCGTGCATTTATTTGCGTTCTGTTGTACACGGGAATCAGCTATGCCGTCAACCACAAAAAGGATTCAGATGACTACCTTTGGTCTGTTGCCAAGGTCAAATCCGACGGCATCCAGGCCAAGGCAGTGGACAGCAAGCTCTTTACCAAGGTCATCGGCCGCAGTATTGCTCCGTTTGTGGCTGCTGCTCTTGAACATACCGCAATCGCCCGCGGCTTTGGACTTCGCAACAATTACGTCCCCGACATTTCTCAGGAGCTCTGCTACCTTGGCGTGGCGAACATGGTCAACAGCTTCTGGGGCGCCATGGGCGTGGGTGGAGCCATGTCAAGAACATCAGTCAACTCAGGCTGCAAAGTCCGCTCACCTCTCGGAGGCGTCATCACCACCGCAGTGGTCTTGATCACCATTTACGAACTTACTGGTGCCCTGTACTGGATCCCGAAGGCCGTCCTTTCCGCCATTGTCATCACTGCTGTCTGGCCATTGTTTGGCACCTGGCGCACGTACTACCACTACTGGCGGACATCCTTCACCGACTTCGTGGCGGCAATGCTTACCTTCTGGTTGACCCTGTTCAAGTCCTCCGAAATCGGTATCGGTACGGGCGTTGGCTGGTCTATTTTCGTCTGCCTGGTGCGACAGGCATTCAAGCATATCAACAACGTCAATTCGTCATCGGGTTCTGAACTTGTGCAGTCGATTGACGACTCGAAGCGCATGCCTGACCATATCCCAGCCGATACGCAGATTTTCACGTTCGCTGAATCAATGTTCTTCCCGAACGCACAGAGGTTCAAGACCTTGATCGTGGACGTGGTGAAAACACATCACGCGCCTTTTCACATGTCACCTGAGAATATCGAGGCTGAGCGGACATGGTCTGTCGTGGGCGAAAAGAGAGTTGCGAGACTCAGAAGGGAGGCTGGCATCAGCAATATGTCAACTCTGCCTCCTCTGCGACTCCTGATCCTCGACTTCACCAAATCCAATCATCTCGACAGCACAGCCAACTTGAAGCTTCACGAGCTGTACAATGAGGTCAAGAAGTACTCGGGCGACAAAGTCGAGATCAGATTCGTTGGGCTAAACCCATACGTGCGCTCTCGATTCGAGCGCGCTGAGCCGGGTTGGTCCCTGGTTGACGCATCAGAGCATACTGCATCAGAAACGAAGTCGGAGTCGGAAGTCGCAGTGGCGCCGAAGGATCCGGTTATCAAGGTATACCGCAGCTGCAGGGATGCCATGGCTGATGCAAGGCACGAAGAGCCCCGAGAGATTGTTATGGATGAGAAGATGCCAACGGAACATTATGAGACGGTTTGAGATTCCAGCGGCCACCGAGGCTGATGTGATGTGCGCCCGGTGCGGGACTCCTGGTAATGATTCTGCTTCATTTGTGATGAGTGTATGACGACCAATGTATGGACCGTGCTGAGTGACTCAGACGCGGGATTGCACAGAAGGGGAGGAATTTCGGTTGGTAGCCGAATATCACGGCTGATGTCCCTGTGCAGCCACAAGGATCAGAATCGTTAGCTTGAGTAGCTCAAGCTTTGTGACTTGCTTTTCCTTCCAATCCTTGCGTTGTGGCACCTGGCCCTTCAGCTCCTATGGTCTTTACGTCAGATATCATGGGACCGCAGCCAGTCATGCCCTTCGAGACTCCTTCGCGAATCTGCAAGCAGGGGGTGAACCACTGGGTCTCGCTACACGGGATGATTCCTTGAACCATATATCCGCACTGAAATACCAGAAGCTTCGCTGCACCCGCGACAGCGGTAGAATGTTCAGCCAAGGATTTGCTGGCGCAATGCTTGATGCGGAACCTTGTTTGGCGCCTTCTGCATGCTCCCTCTTTGGTTCCCTCGAGATGGAACATATAGACACGTGTTCGTCTGTCGCTTGAAAGTTCTAGCTCTTTGCTGCTATGCTTGACATGTCGGTAGCTCGTAAGATCAGGGACGGGGTTTTAATACTCCATTAGCAAAAGGGAGAGTCCGTTCTGCTTGAGGAGAACAGTAAAGTCGTCGACAGTTTTGGAGGCGTAATAGGAGAGACGGTTGTTTGGCTTGCCGTCAAATATGAGTCCGTGTTGGCATGGTAAGCGATGGATTGGCGGAGCGTATGACCTTGCATTGCGATGGAGCAGGCCGAAGATGAAGGGTGAGTGCGTGCCTGAGTGAGAAACATGAAGACGCTCAGATGTTCTAGAGGTTCACGGCAAGAAGACTACGCGCCGCCACGTGACTCAACGATCACTTGTCACGTGTAAGAAGTGGCTCGGCACGCAGCACGTGAGCCCAAGTCGCGTGGCGCCAAGCTGCGGATTGGCTTGAGAATTGCGCGTCACGCTCTCGTCATGCGACTGCGTCAAGATCTAGTGCACCGCCTCAATTCGCATTGCCATTTCACCCATAGCCGATCCCATCCGCAGGTCTTCACCTTCCTAAATACGGTGTATCTTAGAAGCTGTGCTATATTGGCAGCAACATCAGGACCACTCATTCGTACTGATGGCGTTCTTCTTCGTGGTGGGAACGAAAGGTAAGAATGCATGCGCTGAGCGCTCGGACTGCTCCAGCTGACGGTCTCTCTAGATTTCACGAGCCCGTTGAAGGGCTATGAGGGTGTAACAGCACAGTGCCACAACTGTGGCAATTGGGCGGCACATCCAATTTCATCCTGGGACTGGTTCACCTTCTGTTGGGTCCCGATCATTCCGCTGGGAGGAAAGCACAAAGATGTAAGGCGCCAAGAAACAAAAGACATGTCCAGCAGCACTGACTCGTCGTTGCAGCTCGCTTGCTCCATCTGCCGATTCCGTCAAGACATCCGTAACCGACCCGACGTTGGCTCAATGCAAGGCCAAGGACCCATGCCTCCCCAACATCAAGGACCTCCGCAGGGCTGGGGCGGGCATCCTCCAGGTCCAGGAGGACAGCAATACAAGTGAGGATACACGACACACCTGAACATTGCAAGAGCTAAGGCGTTATGGAGCCGGTATGCATGATTCTGGCGCAGTAGCGTTAGTCCTGTCGATATTAGTGTACATCAAAGTTATCTGCCTTCACAGTGGCACAGAAACAATTTCCGACTCCCTCGATCTAGGACCTGTCATTTCGAATCGAAATAAAATCCCTATCGTCCCTTCTCGATCATTGCTCCAGACCCATTGATCTCAGCCGAGCCGAAATCAGTAAATGCTCCAAGGTCACTTTCCGCATACCATAGTAGCATTTCTTGCTCCGCCACGGGATTGCTGGAAACGCTTGTTGGTCCACTCGAAGTCATAACTCGATCTGCAAGCAACCCAGGCGCCTTTTCAGCAACCTTCGTTACCAATGCTTCAGGCGACATCTACGAGCGCACGCGGTCGTCCTAGGTATCCCAACCCCAGAAATTACCTGACATCCCCAATGAGCCTGCCACAACGCCGGAAGCTGCCACTTGCTATCAAATTCTGTGTGGTTGCTCGCGCAGCTACGGAAGAGGCTACCGGGAAAGATGTCCTTGACCAAGTGCTTGACTTCTGGGGAACCAAGAAGCGAATGTTTGGCTAGCGAAGCGCCGCATTCGACTTATGGAAACTTTTGAGACACTGCAACACGGACAAGCCCCGCCTCGCGTTGGGAAAGATTACGTTCCATGGCCCCGATTCTGCAGGAGTGTGCTGAGGACATTCAACCCATGAATGAGCATCTAACGGGACATTTCCTGGACCTTTTATATTTTCTCTTGTTTTGTCTCGATGTAATCCATCGTAAGGATTCGTTGCCTTTCTGCCATCCCATCGCCATTGGCAGCCCTGAATATGGGCACACGCCTAAACCGAGCCCTGGTGGAGAGGTGCGGGAGGCACACGGTACTGGGGATAAAAGAATGGGGGCGTCTGTACTCCGTACTTCAGCTGCTAGTTTACGTTGGCGCTTAACTGAGGCGATGGGCATCGCGTCCATCACATAGCTATATTCAATCATATCCGCATGCACCCATCGAGCTTCGGCCGTATTTACTTTGGACGACAATTTTGGCATTATTCAGATCAAGGGGATGTTGCTTTCCTTTGCAGAGACGATAGTTCCTACGGTCAAGTGTATGGCAGTAGATGACGCACAACTTCGGCAAAACACCGGCAGATATTTGTGACTCCGTGGTCAAGGTAAAATATCATACATAGAAAATAGACGCGCAGCTTTTCTTTCTTTCTCCTCTTGGTGCGCCGCTCCCCATCCGCTGCGTTCTCTGCTACAAACAACGAGGTGCTCCTGTTGTCTCAACAGTTGAGCCCTTGTTCTGCTCTTGCAGATGAGAAATTCGGAGTAATCTTCAAAAGTCCACCTCTGCCCCGGATCATTCTCGATCTAAGGCACATGGTACCGCCCGCGAGGGCCCGGCACGATTTCGTGCTCGCGACCGGCATCAGAAATTTACAGGGCCTCAAGGCCAACACTCTCGTAGTGTTCGTGTCTTGGGGGATTCCCTATGGAAGAGCCGTCGCGAAGATTGTTTGGGCGCGAAAGCGTACCTCACTTTAGTGCAATCGCAGCGGAAATCTAGCATTCCATTATCTTGGATGGCTCGGTTTCAATTCGATTCCGATTACTCTGGGGAGCGGCGCCATCATTTTTCCTTTTCATGTAAGTGTTGAGCTTGACTTTTCTCGAAAAGTTTGGGATGCTGCTAACGAGTTTCGGCACTCTTGCTTTTTCTGAGCGGTATAGGAATCAATGGCCATTGACTCCATTGACGCCATTCACACCGTTCACACCATTCGTCTCCGGCCTGGCTTCGAACTGCTTGAACGTGTCCAGGTCGACCTGCCTCAAGGCGCTGTCTTCGGTCGCCTCCAGTACCACCCTGGGCACCGCGTTTCTGTTGATCCTGCCATCCTGGAAAGCTTGGAATGCCTCTAGCCATCGTGACGTACACAAACACCACTTGCAGCCTCCTCTCAGACCTGCGACCCGAAGGTCATTCCCTTGTGAAGCACTGAAATCCAAGAACTCTTCTGAAACAACGCCAGCGACCGCGTGGTTGCCAAAGTCAGCAGCTCCTGTCCTGCAATACCCATCTCGATAGAAGCCCGTCACAGGGCGGTTGGAGAAAAATTGGAGGGGTTGTCTGAAGACTGCGTATGTCAGTGCACTGTTCTATACAGGCTACCGAGACTCTGAAGGTGTTCCTAGCACGACAGAGTGAGCTCACCATTCAGGTGCGCAGCCATCTTGCCTTCCTGAGATACCTCACGAGGTGGCTGCGGCTTTCCCAACCCGACCACTGGGATTCCCAGCACTCGAGCGCGAAGGCTTTGCCAGATACTGAAGTAGCGTACACGGCGTGACAACGGCTGGAACTGTCGCATAAACAACATTCGATACCAGGAATTGCATAGGTTGAATGATGTGTGCACCTCTTTCCACTTGAAACGTGCCTGAAGAGCAACTGAACTGCGCTTGGGACTCGGAAGTGGTGACGTCACCTAGGACAAGCTTTGCCAAGCTGCATCTCGGAGATTTTCTTCCCGAAATCGAGAGACAAACGACAGACATTATTCGGAACTGGTACGGAGTAGACTGACTGGAAATTCTGCTTTCTTTCACTTCATAGAGCGTGCGGGCCACGGCCGAGATGATTGCCGAGCTTCTGCCTGCCTCGTATGGTTGAAGCACTACTGTACTGTACGAAGGTACGAGTTACGACGAGCCCGAGAAGACAAATCTCGGAACTTGACCGCCCACCACTCTGGTTCTAGCGATTCCGCAGGATGGACACGACTATTCCGTACTTACGCTATCCCCTCGTTTCGTATGCACATCCAATCCATACTATTGGTCCTATGCAGGATGATCGCCCCTACTCATTGCTTGACTACCCCGGTTTTCCATCTTCTCCGAGAGTTCTCCAGCTGATGCGGAGTCGTACGAGGTACTGTGTAAGTGTAATGTCGCGGATATGGACGGTTCTCATCCGTCTGTATCACTTGTGCAATGCAAGGCTCTTCTGTCATTCGTTTTCTTCACGTCGCTGCACAGTGCCCACCTCGTTGATACCTGCACATGTTTACCTGTCTAGACTTCCACATCAGAGTCAGGACATCTGCGTGGTCGGCGGCGTGTACTCGTGGGGAACAGGGCATCTCCATTGACGTCCGGTGTTGACGCTAGCTACCAAAGTATAAGAGCGGTGGAAGATTCATTGTTGTTGGACTTGCCATCCCCTTACCGTCCAGAAAATGCCAGAACTCAACGTGGGGATATGTGGCGCCGGCATCGGTGGCCTGGCAGCAGCAATCGCCATGAGAAAGGCGGGCGCGAAAGTGACCGTCTTGGAAGCCGCGCTTGAACTGGGTGAAATTGGTGCTGGCATCCAGATGACCCCCAACGTCGCCAGACTTCTGATGAAGTGGGGAGTGGACAAGGTCATTGGTGACAACTTGGTCGAGTTCGAGGTAGACCTCCACCTTCGCCGCGTAGACACTGGGCTGACCCACGCGCGACAGGAATTGAACATGAGACGAAAAGATGGGACGAAGGTCGGCTATACCAAGACTATACCTAACGTTCGCAAGTACGTACCCAGGACTCGGGGCCAAGTGAGGACTGACATGCAGCAGGAACTTGGGCGTACCTTGGTGGTTGGGTGAGCGAATCAACCCGATATAGTATTTCTTTTACTTACCTATGGTCAGTGCATCGGATGCATCTTCATTCTGGTTTGGTCGAGGTGGCTCGGCGAGAAGGTGCAGACCTGGTCATCGATGCTCGGGTGGTAAAGATCGACTGGACCTCAAGTCCTTCCGGTCAAGTCTCCGTCACAACCGAGAAAGGCAAAACCTGGACATTCGACCTCCTAGTCGGTGCCGATGGGGTCCGCTCCTCCGTGCGAAAAGCAATCATGCCTCATGTGAAGCCGAGGCCTCCGACCGGAAATTGTGCGTATCGAGCACTCGTCCCTTACGATCAGATCCGGAAGGACCCCGTCGCCAAAGAGCTTGTTGAAAAGCTGACCATGGAGGTCTGGATGGCTGACAAGTCATACATCATCTCTTATCCCATCTCAGGCGGAAAGCTGTTCAACATGGTCCTCAGCCATCACGTGGACCATCTCGTTGACGACGTGCAGGATATTGATATGGAAAAGGACTTCCGACAGACATACGAGGACTACGACCCGCGTATCAAGCGTATTGTTGATATGGTGACGTCGGCAAGAAGATGGCCGCTGTTAGTCACCGGGCCTTTGGAGACGTGGTCGACCAAGGAGAAGAACATCGTGTTAATGGGGTATTGTTCCTTTGAAGCTGATACTAGGCATTCGCCACTGACACACCACAGTGATGCTGCTCATTCGATGACAAACCACATGGCTCAAGGAGCAGCAACATCGATGGAAGACGGCGCGTTCCTTGCCCGGACCCTGGCAAAGGTAGTGGAAGGGCGGATCAACCTCGCGCAGGCAATTGAGGTATATGAGAGGTCCCGGATGCCCAGAGCGTACTACAAGCAGCAGGTGTCTTTCCTCAACGGAGCCATATGGCAGGTCGCGGATGGGCCGGTTCAGGAGGTATGGTCTTCCTCTGATCTGGAAATTAAATCGATACCTGGTGCTGATCAGTTCCAGGCACGAGACAAAGCAATGGCAATGGAACTGAAGGAGGAACAATACGTCCGCTCACCCAACCTCTACGGAGACCCGGTAACCACATTGGAGTAAGTGTCTGTTAGGTCGAGGACATACCCGCACTATACTGACCCGCTTTTCAGGGTGTACAACTACGATGCGGAAGCAGACGCCGAGCTTGCTATCCAGACGTATCTGAACATGCATGAGCCGTATGACCCCAACTCTGGAGTAACTGATCGCGAATTGGAGCGGTTTGTGGGCTGGTGGTATCCGAAGCAGAAGCGGCCCATCAATGCTTCCAAGCTATGATTTTGGCAAGCACACGGCAGGCAACGCACCTGGTGTTCACTGATGGACAACATGGAGCCCTGATACTTCTCGCTGGTAGCTCAACCCTCCAGTTCGCGATAAACACTACTGGAAATCTGTTTAGTAACTCTCTGAGACAGAGAAGAGTTAAACTCTTTGTACCTTCATAGACAGGAGACACGCCACCTGTAAAACAGTCTAGTTCGCGTTTGTTGTAACCTGCTGCGTTGTGTTCAGGTGACATGGGTGTCGCACTCTGCACCCACTATCGATACAGCACAATGCTGAAGCCCACTGTATCCATTGTCAGTTCATTGCGATCAGCTATACTGTGACAAAGGAACCATGCCCCGTCAAACAGAAAACAAAAAGCGTCAGCCAGCCTCCAGCTCAACGCCCAAGATACCTGTTTGTTCTCCATTGTTCTGAAAGGCGACCCTCTAATTGTTATGAGTGACATGGCATCGACCAGTTTTCGTCACCCAACCCTCTACGCAAATTCAAATGTGAAAAGGTAAGCCACCATGCCATCCCTGTTCCAGCTCTATCACGGTGCCATCTCAGCGTCAGATGCTTCTGACTGTTTCTTAGCTTCTGCTTTGTCTTTGGACCTTTCTCAAGCTCCAGATATCAACGAAGAGGTGTGGGCCAGGTTCTGGACGTCGCACAACAGACAGAACATGCCTCTCATAGCTGAACACGGCACTGTGGAAACCGATCTCCAGCTTTCCTCGCCACCATTATCTCCTTCACGATCCTCGCCACAGACTGTCCTGTACAGCTCCAAGGATGAAAGCAAGGAAGACGTCGCTGATAGACAAGAACTCGACGCCGAGACTGTGGCAGCATCAACAACCGCGCCTCCAGGCAAAGAGCTGGAGCCCGAGCTTGACGAGGAGAACAGTCCTACCGTCCCTATAGAGACCCACTTCGCTGGCGAGCCAGTGTACATGTCGGGCGCCGTCTCGCTGCAGGACAAAATAGCGGATGATCCTGGCGTATCCGCCAACGACAACATCGATTGCGACTATCGCCTTGTCTTCGACCAGATGCCGTACAGAGTCATTCGTCGCAATGCGCTCTACTCGCTGGGCATGCCCGCGGATACCGACACGCTCGTGGATAGTCTGCCGCCACAGTTCGTCACCACAAACCTCGGCATCCAGAGAGCTTGGGAAGAGTGGACTGGTTGGACGCAAAATGCCGAGCTAGAAGGGTCCGACGAAAATCCCGCGGCCGACTCCGCTGCCATGCTGGTACGGGCCATCATATGCCGAGGCGGTATGCCCCCGACCTATGGTCAGCAAGTCATCTACGCGGAAGATATCATACCACTTGAGCATTTGCAGCCTGATGGTGCTGGAAGTTGCGAGTGGAACGGCAGGACTGAGGTCTATGACCCGGCATATTGGATGGCATTGCAAATGCAAGGGGAGATCTGGAATGAGATGCCGGAGATTCCCACCTTCACGTGATAGACATATCAGTTGCACAGGAACAGTACCCCCATACCCTGTACAGCAGGAGTGGTTGGAATACAGGAAGGCTGCCACCAAGTTGCACGCATGTACAATAATTTCACCAGAGGGCGACGATATTCAATGCACATACGGTCACTGAGGACATCAAGAAACTCAGGAGAAGAGAACGAGCTGAACACGGGGAGTGACTCCTGACACTGAGAAGATAAACCGAACAAAGCAGCCCCCAAGGCGAGATCAAGTCAAGTCAATGTCGCTGTGTCCACTTGATTGCTCCAGTGGCTCCAACCCCTGTATCCGCCAATGATATCAACTCTTGGCACTGGGCTTTCAGGCTAACCGCTTCTGGCCAAACTGCTCCAAAATTTCGAGAAAAAAGCAGTTCTCCATGTGAACTGGTCTCCAAGAATCGCAGACTGCGACACTCCCATAAACTTGTTCCCTCTAGCTTCTGCAGCTATCAACTACCTGTTTGCGCATACGTCCTTGCGAGCCCCTGAGACTGAGCCGCCGAAACTTCCTACGTACCGTAGAATACCTGAAGCAGCTGGCCTTTTCAGAAACACACATCCGGAGATGGCCTTTGGCGGTGCGCCGCGCGGCGGGCGAGGTGGCGGACGAGGCGGTCCACCCAGAGGAGGAGGAGGTTTCAGAGGCGGTCGCGGTGGAGGACGAGGTGAGAAATCTCTAATACCAATCGCCGAAATCGCGGCCAGCACGACTGCGCGAACTGGATGGCTGACGTGTCTGCCTCGACTTCTCAGGCGGCGGTGACTTCGGGCGAGGAGGTGGTCGCGGCGGCGGCAGAGGAGGATTCGGTCGAGGTGCACCTCGAGGAGCTGGACGTGGTGGACGAGGCGGTGGTGGTGGCAGAGGGGGCGCGAAGCCCGGCATCAAAGGCGGCGCAAAGGTCATTATCGTATGTTTTTGCCCAATCCCCACGTACGATTTGCCCTTAGCTCGACCGATCGAGTTAGGGACAGTACCACGCTCGCACAGACAACGGTCAAACAATGGGCTAACCTATGCGTTCTTTTCTTCGCCTTCGACAGGAACCCCACCGTCACCCTGGCGTTTTCGTCGCCCGCGGCGGCAAAGAAGATCTCCTAGTCACAAAGAACCTGACGCCCGGCGAATCCGTGTACGGCGAGAAGCGCATCAGCGTCGACTCGCCCACCAACCCGGGCACTGACGGCGAAGTCAACCCTGCGGGCACAAAGACCGAATACAGAGTGTGGAATCCCTTCCGATCGAAGCTCGCGGCCGGCATCCTGGGAGGTCTCGACGACATCTACATCCGCCCCGGCGCGAGCGTGCTGTACCTTGGCGCCGCGTCAGGGACGTCCGTCTCGCACGTTGCCGACATCGTGGGACCCACGGGACGAGTCTACGCCGTGGAATTCTCCCACCGTAGCGGAAGAGACCTGATCACCATGGCCACACACCGCACGAACGTGATCCCGATCATCGAGGATGCGCGCCACCCCCTGCGGTACCGCATGCTCGTTGGCATGGTGGACGTCATCTTCGCGGACGTGGCGCAGCCGGACCAGGCGCGCATCGTCGGCCTGAATGCCCATCTCTTCCTGAAAGTCGGCGGTGGAGTCGTGGTCAGCATCAAGGCGAACTGTATCGACTCGACAGCCAAGCCCGAGGTGGTGTTTGCCAACGAGGTCAAGAAGATGCGCGAGGAGAGGATCAAGCCCAAGGAGCAGTTGACGCTCGGTGAGTTGCAACACCCCCTGCCTCTCTATTTCCCTATCCTTTGGTCCCGCATGTTCTGTGCTGTCTGTTCCTGCCTGTTGCATGGTCCACGTTACATGCACTGGCATGTCCATGCATCGGGCCGTTTGCCGAGAAAGAGACTCCATGTGTTCGGATCTTCCCTGGACACCTAAAATCCCTTGTTTCATTCTTTTATTCGAGGTAAGTAGCACGTACTGATTGTTTTCTCCCCTCCCGCAGAGCCTTTCGAGCGAGACCACTGCATCGTCGCGGGCATCTATCAGCATGTCGCTCAGTGATTGTCCTCTCGCCGAGCGCGGAGTGACGTGAATTACCTTGCCATCCTCCACGACATGAAGAGGATTCTCCTAAGTTGAGCTCTCTCTCTCTCTACCTTGGCGTGAAGGTCACTTACAGGTGCCTACACTCATGCATCGGGACGACGGGGTCGTCCGGGATCGCGAACGCCTCTTCACGTGCTCCTGTCGGTCTCTCGCGCTTGGGAGCGTCAAGGAGGGAATGCCGATTTGGGAGGTCAAATCCTGATCAGATCAAGCTGGCTTTACCCTGTCCGACAGAGGTGAAGAGCGATGCGCCAAGTCACTCACTTCGATCTTTCTGTAACGAGCACGGAACACGGCGTTTGCGGTGTTGATCGAGCACGAACAGCTGGTGATGGGACAGGATGTGATGTTGTTTGCCTTTGGTCAAAATGTACATGACCAGGTTGGCAGAATCGAATGCACGGCTGGTTGGAATGAAAAAATTATCCACAAATTGAGCTTTTTGAACGTTCAGGAAGTGAATAATGAGACGGTTGTGGACCAATCCACAAGAGCTCTGCATCGTCCTCCGTGAAACTCGGCACATCAGATCTACCCTTTTGCTTCATGCACTCATTGCTACGCCTACTGTGACTGACGGTGCAGCACATTTGTCTGGAAATCAACCCCCCTGCACATAAGCAGTCCCACGCTGGATGATCTTCGACTCCTGTGCCGGTTGTAGCGGGGTAATGCCCAGCTTGAACACTCCTTAACGTGCGTCCAGCTGTAGGGCACCCTTTCAAAGGATTGTCACAGCTCTGCTTGTTGTGTCGCACAATCCACGCGGGATGAGTCCCAGTGATCATTCCACAATCTGAGCCTCCTGTAGACCCGCAGGGAGATGACCCCTGCAGCCCCATTGAGGTTTCGTTGAAGGGCCCTGGTACAAGAACAGGCCATGCCAATCTCCAGGGGTATGAGCAAGCCGCGCGTATGATCCGTGTCGTATGACATAAGGGACTCGTTGACAGATCAGAACTGTCGAATGTCATGATGCGACAGCCATGACAACGGCTGCCGGGATGACAGATGCTGGGATCTTTTACTTCGTTTCCGGCCTCGGCGAACGGCGGCTTGAGGCTCTAGACTTTGACGTATGCTGCAGCACAAAAGTTAGTTAATATTCAGTGTTCCTCTCGCGTGCATTCGCGCGACTTACCAGCATCAATCTGTTTGACCTGCGGGAGCGCCAGCCGTACTTTATTCCTGTACACCGCTGGGCCCTGAAATTGTAAGGGGTTCATCTCAAAGTATACGGTCTCCAGGTTCTCTTTGTCACTTAATTCCCGTTCGACCTCGCGGAAATCACCCAGTTTGTTGGAACTCGCCCAGAGTTCTTCCAGCTCTGTCAGATGGGAGATGTTTTCCAGGTGCGAGATCTGGTTGTTGGAAATATCGAGGACGCGCAGTTTGGTGTTGTGAATGAGGGCATCAATTGGGATGGAAGGGATGGCGTTGTGCGACACGTAGAGTTCTTCGAGATTTGTGAGGTCAGACAGCCCGGACAGAGTAGTCAGGCGATTGGATTTCAAATCCAGTAGACGTAGGTTCGTCAGAGGGAAAAGGTTCTTGACTTCTGTGATCTTGTTCTTGCCTAGCCAGAGTTCTCGCATTCCTTTCAAAGTGTCAAGGTTCTCGATCTCGCGGATGCGGTTCGCGGCGAGTTCAATCATGGTTAAGTTTGACAAACCCTCGAGGTTCTCGATTTTAGAGATGCGATTTTGCACAAAGTATAGTTCAGTGAGGGTGGTCAGATGGTTGACATTCTTGATGTGCTTGATCTTGTTGAAGGAGAGATCTAGACTCTTCAGCGCCGGCATGTCTTCAAGACCTTTGATGTGGGATATTAGATTGTCGTAGAAGTCCAGCTCTTGCAGGGTAGCCCGTACGTTGGCGGGGAGGTCGATGGACGAGATTGCATTTTGACGTAGACATAATCTCTGCACGTTCGTAAAGCGGTCGAGTCTCAGGGCGGGAAGGGAGGAGATGCGGCAGTGGACGAGGTCAATATCCTCGGTGTCGACAGGGTAGTCGTCCAAGAGATCTTCATCGGCTTCAATCTCGTCGACCGGAGGGGCATCAGGAATAGAGTACTCAGGGTCGGACAAGATTTCAGGATTGGTCAGTATAGCCTTGCGAGAAGGCATGCGTAGTTTGCCATCCCAGCCACTGCTGCTGGTGAGGGGGGCAGCCGTAGACGAGTGGTGCTTCGTTGCGTCTGCGGGTGGAAGCTCAATTTGGGCGTGCTTGTCCTCGTCGTCGCCGTTGACTTGGGGTTGAGGGGTAGACGTCTGATCCTGGCCGCCGTCCGTCATGGCGAAGCAACTCCCGTTTTTGGCTTGAACGTACTATATCTGAGAGGGATATACAATGCAGACGACGATCACGCACAATACAATGCAAACAGATTTCGCAAGGTCAAGCGGCGCAGAGGATGTTGAGCCAGACAGAAACTGCGTCACACAGACTCGACGCTCAGCCTCGCCCCGCGACTGCCCGCGTCCCGTGTCGCCGCCACTTGACCGATTCCTGAGTCATTCCTTACATTCTTCTCACCACTCATTCAGAGTGACTCTACTATCGGCACTATAGGAGCTTCAGTGAGGAGCTTGAGACCGCAAAATGATCAGGCGACGGCATCATCAGATCACTCCTTGGGGACGTTAGTCCCCAGGCGAGTGCACCAAATGGTGAACTCTGTTGACCGATTTGGTGGTCCCCGCTAGGCTCCTCGGTGACTCCGGTCTCACAACCTTGAGCATGGTCAGCGTATGTCTGCCGTGTCGGCTATAAGATGACCAGGAGCTGTGCCGCTACTGATCAATCAATCGAATCTCAGGGCTTTCAGAAACCTTCACAAGCACGCATCGAATTTCACCGCCAGATTTGGACCAGAGGGTTACGGAATGTCTCTTTAGGGGTATGCGACTGATGGCGAGGACTTCGCTTGGGCGCATGAGTGGCTGGCGTTGCTTTAAGCAGGCGCAGACCCAGCCAGATTCAACGTCTGAGCTAACGGGTGGCTGACTGCCCTGCCTATGCTCATCCGCGTGAGACCCGCGACTTATCACGAAACTGCATACCTGATTGCACGACGGGACGGGGATGTTTTGGCCGAGGCTGTCGATGGCCGGGTCCAGCCCTTTCGAATGGCCTTCCACGAGATAGGACGCTTGGGCATTGCCCATGTCATCCGGCTACGGGAGTGAAGAACACCTCCGATGGCGTACCCTTGGATGGTGGCTAGGAAGGCACGTGGAGATCCACCATGAACAAGACTCGTAGGAAGATGCATCACACCCCTGGGCCACGTAGCGCGCTCAACTGGTAGGAACTGAGGTCGCTGCCAAAGGGATCTGGAAAGCCGGACCAAAATTGGGGGGACACATTTCGTCTGAAAAATGCATACTGGATGGCTGAAGTGGTATTGTACAAAGAAGCTGTACCAAAGCCCATGCTTTTTCCTTCTCGCCATAGAACCCATTCTACCCATTCCATCGCCGTGCTCTTCTATGAGAATCGCTTCGTGAGTTTCGCAATCACTGACGACAAGAGTTAGCCGGTGTATTCCCCGCCAGCGCAGCAGACCAGATATAGCCCACTTACAATGCAACGCCACGACGCTGAAGATGAACCCCAAACTCAAAAACATAATAACCATAGGATCGACCTTCAACCCGGGGCTCTCGTCGGTATATAGTCTCAGCATCGTGCCTGAAGAGCCGCCTGCTCCCGCCGCACGCGTCGAGGTCGGTCGAGCATTCTTAACGGACTCCTTGTGATCGGCGGCCGCGCGTCGACGGATGGCGGATCGGGGGCCTCCGGGAGGAGAACCGGCGCGTGCGATCGAGGAGGAACCGCTGGCCTTTTGTGTCGACGGCGTGGTGTCGGGGCCGGACTCGGGGCCTGAAGTCATGGGGGAGGACGGTCTGGCAGATGCCTAGGGGCGAGTCAGCGTGTACAGCTTAGCTTCGAAAGTGCGCAGTCATTGACGGCAGGTCCAGTTCAACAGGGACGAGTTCGTACCATGGTTGAGAGGGATGGGTAGAGAGTTAAAGGGGTCGACGTGAATAATAAGGGAGTGGAGGCACGAGGGAAGGAAGCTGACGAAAAGAGAGTCAACGATCAATAGAAAGAAACAGCATGCAAATGTTGATGTCGTGGTTGCGTGAATCGAGAATGAAACCCGGTGGTGGTTGTGGACACTTTTGCGAAATGCAATGCGACTTTCTGGGGAAATTCGAGAAGCAGAAGCGGAAAGCATGGCGCCAGTCGTGCAGCTTCATCCCTGACGCTTGGCGTGAAATGCGTTTGTGAAAACTGCTCGTTGCTCGCGGGCGGCTCACCCCGACCACGCCGCTTTTATAAACACTCACCTCACCCCTCACCGTCCTCTCACCTTCCTCTCACCCTCCCTCCTACCTTTCACTCCCTCTTGACTCACCCTCGGCGTGACGGTCCCATTCTCCCCCTCTGCAGGTGCGTCGTGTACGCCCGCGTCTACACCAGGATTTAAAATTGGCGTCGGTCAACATGGACCGTTTCTGGGGACCCAGAGTGGTCCTCCTTCCTTAGGCTCGGTGGCCATCGTGCCTCCTCAGATCCGCCTTGAGGTGCCCCTTCCCCCTCCAGAGTACAAGACAGAGCCGAGTCCGGATCCCACGCCGTGGTCTGCGAAATCTTCTCTGGTGCTGCACCAACGCCCAACGCCCAACGCCCAACGCCCAACGCCCAACGCCCAACGCCCAACGCCCAACGCCCAACGCCCAACGCCATCACCCTCAGCCGCTGCCTCGGAAGTCACTGCTTTCCCTCCACAACTGTGGAACCGTCGATCCTCTCTTCCATCACCTACATGGGTGCGCGAACCGACACCACGAATGATCTATGGGCTCGAGCGAAAGCAAACGGATACCAAGAGGGGCACACACAAAAGTTGATAAGGTCCGGGGGGTTGGGAAGTATATCTCGAAGACGAAGAAAGATCACGATCGAACTCTACAACGCTACCTCCCTTAAGATATACCGCATCTGCCTCCTCTTATAATGAACGTTGAGCCCCTAATATGTAAATCCTAGAGATCCGACCAAGAGATGGGTTGGAGTTGTATCGCGTTACAGCGATAGCCACACCGTCCATCTTGCTACCCTAACATATCACCTAACTGAATTTATTTGCGGGACAGCTCTATCTTGACTCTTTTCCGGAGTACGTTGGGCTTGTACCACACTCGGCCTCGTATGGCAGACGGCGACCGTGGAAAGCACGATCGCTGCCGACGGGTTCATTATACGAGCCTGTGATAGCCAGATGAACTCTGTTTCCGGTTTTCGTGACAGTCCAGTTTCATGCCTTCGAGTGCCCACGACGAAGATCCGGAAGAATTGCGAGGATATTGGAAAGACTCAAATGGGGGCAATCTTGGGCGGCCGACTTCTCTCTCCCTCAGATTTCGGAACACACGGCAGATCGTCCAATGCAATTATCACGAGCACTTTCGCCGGGTTATCGATGCAAGAGAATCGCAGCCTTGAAGATGCTGAGCCCGACAGCATCAGAGAAATTCCCATTTGAAAACACGAGTTCAAAAGGAGAGATCCGAGCTGATATGCCTGGAAATGTCAGCTCAGTCCAGCGCTGTGGGAGGGTTTATGCAGCTCCTATCGCAGAGCTGTGGCATGCTTCGTCAGGACAGGTGGCAAAGTTTCCAGGCTTAAATAGTTTCGTGGTCCAGAGCCGCAGCCAGCTCCCGACCGGTCGATCTTGACGATCTCGGATCGGTGGCGCGTTGACGGGATGTTCTCCTACTAACCAACCTGCATCCTCATGTCGACCTGGACAACAACCAGACCGGGTGACCAGGGGTACAGCCTCTCCAGGCACCTTGTCTCAACATTCAGATGCCGGTGTTGACGAGAGGTAGGAGGCCTCGACCGGGTCTGGAGGGAACGGCGCGATTAACCACGACAAGAATTTGTGCCCAGAGCTGGCAAGGACACGACACTCAAGTCAGAGAGGGCGAAGACGCTTGAACCGATAGCGGCGTACGCAAACTCATTGATCTAGACAATTGAGGTTAACCAGCTATCTTGTTAGAGAGATTCATCACGCTGTTCTAGCTCTCTTCCGTTGGTAGTCTTTCAGCTCATGATCTCCATCCGTCGAACCAATGTGTGCCCCTGGCATCCAAGAGATGTTGACACCCTTTCCCTGAAGGTCATCCCGCATTCGCTCCCACTAACGCCCTTTCAATTCTTCAAGAGCTGAGGCTTGTTTTTACTCATCCTTGGTAATCTTACATCCTGCTCTTCCTTCAGCGCGGTGATAATCAGCGAGGAATTCTCCAACAGTGCTCTGCCTTTCAGGAGAAGCATAGGCTGCCGTGTTCCATCGGACGGATCTTGGAAAAAAGCTGGACTCAGAACAAGAAGTGAGTTTGTCGCATCACGGGGAGTGAAATCGCCCGGGACGTTGAGAGCGTCCTCTCCAGTGTCGGTGACAAAGGCGTGGACGTCCCATTAAAGGCTCACAGATACTAGTCCCCTCTGCTTGAGTAGAGATAACCAAGTCCGGGAATGATCAATCAACAAAGCGAACAGCCTAGTTCGAAATTCTGCTCTCTGAGGCTCCTCTTCAAAAACTCCCCAGGACGCCAGAAGTTGACTGGCAGCCGCATCAAGACGCCTTCTGGTCTTCTCCAGCAGGTGAGGACGGTCGAGAATTGCGCTGACGGTCAACGCCTGCCATACCGCCTCATCTGGCTGGCTTTTCTGGTGCAACGCGTTGGCCACGTCATCCACTTCTGGACAGTGAGGCAAACCGTTCGCGCCGAAGGCGTCGTCGACAAGTACCTTCCAGAGGGAGTGTTGAATCGTGGCGATCAACACACTGCCACCTGCTGGTGATTGTGTGGAGTACGACAGGGGTAATCCTGGATGATGAAGATCTTTTGGAACTGGGCGCTGGCACACGTTAGTGATGACCACGGACGGAGATGGGTCTCTTACCCATCCCGGCAGAAGCTCTGCGGCTTCGAAGCACAAGACACAGAATTCCTGAACCTTATTTTGCAACGCTATGAGCGCGGATTTTACTCTGTCCTCCTGCCATCAGCCTCGATTCGGTGAAAGATCTGCGGTCTAAACTCACTCATCGACCGAATACTGGCCAAACGTCTCAAGGGCCGAAAGCCTCGCCTTGAGTCGGGCGATCTCTGTTTCTCTCCCCTTCAAGATGGTCTGGTGCTGGTAGAGACCTTTCGTGAGATTCCCATTTCGCCGTGATAGGTCCGCACTTTTCTCGTGAAGTACTTTTATTTGAGTCTCCCGTGCATCCACCTGCGCCTTCAGACTCGTTTTCTCCGGCTGAAATTTGTTCCCAAAATGGTGCTCTTTCGACGTCTCCTGCTCTTTCAAAACTCTAAGTTCGCCTTGTAGCGAGTCTATGTCCTGCCTGAGGGACTGCTCTTGGGTAGCATGTAGCGTCTTGACCGGTTCCAACTTCGATGCATGCTCTGCGTCGTGGTGCTTCAGCCGTACGTTAAATTCCTGGTTGAGCCGGAGGTTGGCTGTGGCAAAAACTACAACCTCCTTCTGGTGTTCGTCCTCAGAGCTCTTATATCGATTCTGTAGCTCGCTCAGCTCGCGACGTGCTTGCGATAATCTCTCATCATATCGGTGTTCTGTTGGCACGTGCTGTGTCCGAGTCCACGAGGCTGGACTCGATCTTTCCCAAAGATGTCGTCAAATTCTGTAGAACTTTCACCGCTTGACTGAGGTCCTTTTTCAATTGAAGAGTGGACGACGACTTCTGGGCGGCGTCTGACTTTGATACATATTTGGCTACAAGAGGAGGATAAGAGGCGATGCTGTACGTTGTGATGGAGGGGAATCTATCCGGCCACCCTATACTAACGGGTATTATCACGCTGCTACCTGCGCAGTCGTCTTTCAGTTTGCGTCAGCGGCAGAAAGGAAAGGGTTTGGACACTCCAATCAGCGTAGGACACATCTTAACACAACATACTCCGTACTGTGCTGCCGTTCCGGGCAACGTTGAACGAAAGGTTGGCCAGGGGTGGTTGGTGAAGTGTTGGCCAATGTTCCTGTACAGGGATTCGAGACCCTCTTTTGCTTGGAGAGCACGCTTCGACCCGGCCCGGAGCACGCCGTTTCCATCGCTTGAAGACGCTAGTTGACGTCGCCAGAACAAAGCTTCCAGCCACCCATCTTTTGGCGGCGCTGGAAGATCTCCCCACCCTGGCTAGGATGGATATCTCCATTCGCAAGTCGCTGAATTCAATTAATCACGTAGCGATCCCTCTGCCCAGCATCAGCATCACAGGCCACGATCAGCTTTCACCTGCGTAGTTGTGGTAGATAATGGTATTGCTGTGCGTGATGCCTCGGCTCTCCTGTAGTTGACACGCGGAAAACCCTATGTGCTGAAATACGTTGCGAATTTTGACGAGATAACTCCGTGAAGACTCCTCCTCGAGAATGGTAGAAACCATATCACACTGCCTACGGACGGAGAGGGCAGAGGGGTAGCTGGGAGATGAGTGTTTGTTGGCTGTGGGGAGCTTTAGGTGCCGTGAGCCATGTTGTGAGGGGGGAAGTCACAGCATGAGAGGCTAATTGCATTCTATTCGGCGACCCTAGAAGAGCCACAACGTGCTGCGGTTTCCGTGGGGAAAAGTATTCGGGGGCTCTTCTAGGCTCTTGAATCTTCTCTGCCCACCTCGGCGGCAGTGGACACCCGCGAAACCCATCGAAAGATCAACACAGGCAGCGGATGCGTATCTCAAAAGAAAATCTACAGTGACTGGCGGGCGCAAAATGCCGAGCTGACGGTCGGGAAGTGTATGCGGATCTGTCTGTCTCTCCTGCGGCATTCCTCGGGGTACGTGAAGACTGTAGGCGCAGCAAGAGTCTCATGGTATCGATGGGTACCCAGGCGGCGGGTCTGGGAACGGCTTCTCGATGTCTATCGTATCCACCAGCCTTCAGTTTAGCCTTGGAACCACGCCTAGGCAACGCTAGAGCCTTTAGGCCACCAAGAAAGTGCCTGAGCTGCTCCGTCGTGCAGAAGGGTCCCCCTTGGCTGTTTGACCATCTCTCTTCACACGATTCACGACCACTACTTTCAAGATGACCCGTTGAGCAGCCTTCTACGGCAGGTCATTTCACGACCGCCGAGCTCTTCACTGGGCGGAAATGAAAGGCTGCGCTCCTCTCCCTTACCGTTGCCCTCCTGTGATGAGAAGGGTTGTCTAGTTGACCAATTAATTAAGAAAGGGTAGAAGTACAAGTATGCCGTGGCGCAAGCTACGGAATTCAGTCCTCATCTCGGGCCAGTCTTCTTAATTCGATCCTAGGTCAACGATCAGTTTGTCCTCACTGCTTCATTGACCCGAGGGTTTAGGTCCAAGGCTCTCTCCCGATCCCGTAAACGATGTAGATGCTTTAGAGACCGGGTTCAACGCAAGCTTAATGTTACACGCGACCAAATCATCCATCAGCAGAATGGCCGATGTTGCTGATGAAACCATGTTGGATCCGGTCATGCAGACACTGTACCTGGCCCTGTATTGCCCGACGATCCACGTATAGATTTGAGTATCAGTATCTGTCGCTAGCGCAATCATTATGCGAGACCTTCCTCATAGATGTTACATGCTAGTGTCGTGTCTGCGGATGTGACTTGTCCGCGTTGGTTTAGAAGGTCGATTCGAGAATCGGATCTAGGCCTATTGTGACCAGCGGACCCCTCCAGCTGATATTTTATGGACAATCTCAATTGCAGCCGTGGTTTGCTTCCAAGTTCTTTTCATTTGCCTTTCCAAGGTTCGGAAAGAATGCAACCGGATCATGAACTGGGATGGGCGGGCTCTCCTGCTCGGTGGCCGTCTCCGCAAATTTAGCCAGAATATTAACTTCGACACCTGATCATGTCAACTGTGGAACTTGGCCCAGCTTGGCGGGGCTGCCCGGAGGAGGGTACCCTTGGACCAACCACAAGAATGCCCTTGTATCGCCCTCGAGGGGCTGGACAGGAGAGGGGAGTGCAGCCTCGCCATCCCCAACGACGAGCCGGCTTGACCCAAATCAAGAGCCTCGCAACGAGCATCCCCACAGCCAGTGTGTATATAGGTGACCTGGACAACACATGGGAGGAAGCATCGGCAGGAATGTTGACAGGCCCTCTTATGGTTCTGTACCAATCTACCCCGGGTGAGCCTCTTTCCAACCCTTCTCTTTGTCCAAGGCACCATCCATGGGCCGTTTTCTCATCTCGTTGGCAGACGGCTTATTGTGTCGTGTTCTCGATCCAGGAGACTGCTCGTGATCAGCAGCTCTAAGCGCCGACGGATGTTGATTCTTTTGAATCTCGGAGACTGCCGACGACGTGGTGGTGCTGACTTCGACAGAGTCGGAGTGGCCTGCCGCAGTCCCAAAACGACTGCTATACCGATTCTCGGTGAGACACAGAAGATTCTCCGCTGCCATTGAACCAACCAACTGTGCCGAATCATTCTTGGATACCGCTTTCTTGATGTCGAATAGATCTGCCAAAGTCGTCACCACGACTTGATCGCTGGAGTCTTCCGCAATCACCTCCCCGATTCTGAATATCGTCTGACGTGAAACTTCGCTTGCCACCTTGCAAACCTCCAGGCACTTCTTGGAAACATCGATATCAGCTAGTAATCCCGATCTTGCATTGTCCTTTGCAGGACCGTCTTCCTCGATCAAGAAAGCGAGACGCTTCTGAAGGTAGCCAATGGTCTCAGCAAAGCCATCTCGATATTCATCGAGGGCTTTCCGCGTTCGCAACTGCGCTTCGAACACGTTCGTCTCGACGGCGTTTGCGGGCGTCTCGGGAAGTACAGATGACTCCCGGTCTGTTAAGGATTCAATATAAGATTTCGCCCCTTCACAAATGCGAAGGCACTGCTTAGTCACCTCTCTTTCGTCTTCCAGGTCGATGTTTACACCAGAAGGATTGGTCTTCTCAATATATAGTTGCGTCATCTTCTCGTCAATTCGCCGTAGGTAGATTTCCAGGTCATACTCGGTATCTCGGATCCTCTCGTTAAAGTCTTGGAGGACTTGGTTAGAGATTTTAGACGCATGCATCCTAGGATGATGTCAGTAGAGCGCGAAGTGGGCCATGACTTGCGACTTACATCGTGATAGTACCAATACCGACCGAGATCGTTGACTTGTACCGGGCGATAGTATCTATAAACTCATTCATGTCCCCTCTCATAAATTCCATCTTTGTCCAATCTCGCAAGCCTATTCTTGATTTCCCTGCGAAAACTTCCATGGACTGTTTGAACTCGCGACAGACTTGGCTACATCGTTCGATAGGACCTTGAAGGAGTGCGAACATGGACTGCTCAGCATTTGTTACTTGTATCAATGATTCCAAAATATTGGTGAGATCGGCAAGCTCATCTTGAAGCCTACGTAAAGTTTTGTCTCGGCCTTTGAAGCGCTGGACGGTTTCGTAAAGTGACTTTGTCGATTGGACAGCGGCCGTCGTAACAGCCAGCAATGAGGCAGTAATGCTCAAAGGGTCTGCCATTCTAACGCTCGCTGTGAGATGATTATGAGGAAGTAAATGCAAAGTGTAACAGTCTCTGGTTCAAGCGGCTAGGTGCGAGTTCAAATACTAACCTCAGTGCCTATCAGGCTTATTTGATTGGTTGGATAGGCGCCGCCGCTGTGTTGTCAGGTAGGAGAGCCCAACAAGAACTAGGACTAGTCAGTGAGTACTGGCTAATGATATCTCACAGTTCTACCCTTAGCGAGGGGATTACTGGCCTCTCAAATTAGTCTTGTTTCGTCCCAAAGGTCTTGCCCCTAGGCCTTGATTCGTACAGTGGTCCTCAGTCTAGGAATCCAACGCCTGAGGGTCTTTCCACCCGTAGAGTCACGTGGTAGACCTTGTGTTCTAAGTTCCAAGACCTCATCAACTCGATTCCAGGATCAACAAAATACTACCTCTCTTTCAACTACAGATCACGACAAAGAGGTCGGGCGACGCTACAGCACTGTCCCAGATGACGATGGGGGTTCCCGGCGTTCCTCATTCCTGCCTAACGCAGCAATTGCAATCTTCCGGTCTCTTTCATCTGTGCTCTTTTGCAATCCATGGACTTTCCGAAACATCGCCGCCAGAACCAGAGGCCTCGTAGTACCAGAGTGTATTTCATACGCTACGAGGACACACCTCAGGACGGTCGAGCTCAACCTCGTTGTACCAAGTGGGTGGTCGACTGCTGGACCTCGTAGACGTGTTTGGGTGGCTTCGATCGCAAACGTCGACAGACGAGAGGAAAGTTGATTGGGTTAGGCTTGATGAACCTCGAATTGGAAATGTGGTATTGGGTCCCAATCGAACCGTTGCTTCCAGTGTGGATAGTTCTAGTTGCCCCCCTTAATGGAGAAAATTGGGGACTGAGTGGATGTCGCATACTGTCTGCGTTGAGACTGCAAATAAGATGGCGTCCGTCTCCATCGACAACTGGGCAGCCGGACGCTGACAGTCTGAAACCTCGACATGCTCTGGCATCTTGGGTTTTCTTGCTCTTGAGGGCACGACATGGGTACACAGAGATGGCGGGTAACTCAGGTGGGATGTATTCCATGCCAAAGATGATCATTCAGTGAACCTCGACAAATCGCTGATAGGAGAGCAAAAATATACGGGACACAGCAACCACGGCCTCCCTCACTCACGACCACTCTCGCTGTCACTCTTGCTGACCACGACTTCTTCCGGGCACCTGCTATCGTCCAGTTAGAGGTGCCAGACGTCCTGGTCAGGTCTCACAGTACCGGGACACATTGGACAAATCGGCTTCGCCGCCAGGCCGTTAGCGCAGTCATCATCTTCATCATTCGCGTCTGACAGGTGCCAGCAAAGTTAGGCGCGTAGGCATTGATCACAGTAGGCGTGCCAATACCGTGTCGTCACAGTCTTGAAATTCTCCCTGTAGATGTCACGCCTCAGATGCTCGACGTTCACCAACTGTTCCCTCGCGTCACTCAAGTCTCCACCCAGATGTTGATACGCCGGCGTGGCAACTCGTGGTCGTCTTTGGATTTCTGAAGCCTCATTGCCTTTCTCTGAAGGTTCTTCGCAAGGATGCGTTGGTGTCTTTGTAATGGCAGATGTCCCGCTGGTAGGAGGGCCGTGACCTGGTCGAACTCGGCTTGTTCTCGAGCCAGAATCGCTTTCAGTTCCTACGCCCGCCTCGCAAGCGCCAGGTACTTTCCTGCGGCTGTTTGGCTGCATCGAGTTTGGCTGCATCGAGGATGCCACTGTACTCGTCGACGATGGTGTGATCGACGTCATCTAGAATCCGGCTCGTGTCAAGGGACGACCGTGTCTCGGGTATGTCCGTAATAACTCGTCGGTCCGGCTTGTGTGGGTGCTGCGGTGTTCAAGGTGATAGTGGAGGCTTTCGGAATCGAGGGGCTCCAGCGAGGTGAATTACACGTAGAGTCGGACGCACTTCTGCCCTCAGGCTCTCTCTTCCCCCTCGCCCCAGGGAAGTTCAACCTACAGATCCCTCCATCTTGCGTCCCCTCGGTCGACTGGGGCCGCCGTCGTTGGATCGCAATCTGCTATTCTCCTTCCTCCGGCATCTGCAAAATCGAGGCCTTGTCAGCAGGGACTTAAGGCGTTGCAGCTCTCTCTGCAGAGAGGGCTAAGGTGAATCATGTGGGACGGCCCTCAGCATGCGCATGCGGCTCGATATTTCCAGACGCACGGAAACCCTACTTACATCCACCACTGACGCCCCCGAAGAGCGGGAGTGGCCCCACACTGAGGACCGAGCCCGAGTAGTCTGTAAAGCGACATGACTGTCACGGTCAAACCCGTCAGACGCCATCGTCGTGGGCATCATCCCGCCTGAGCATTGCGCAGCCTGCTCTCGGCGACAGACAGCCAGCCAGGCTAGTTTGTGACTCTCCCGTAGCAAGCCTGTCTGGTTCATAGGACTGGATCTCGCCGAGACTTCGGACCTCGCAGCAAGGGAAAAAGGTGTGAAACCACGAGGAACTGACTAGAGCGCGAAGATGGCTCCCATCTTCGATTTCTAGTAGGAGCCCAAGATCGCCCACGCCAGCCCCTCCTTCCCGCTCTAGTCCTCGTTTCGCATCCCACTTCCAGTTGAAGACACCGCGTCAACTTCCGGCGAGGCAGAATCCTAGCTCTCGCGGTCAATTCGACGTCAATGCGAGATACTAGGAACCACCGTCGGGTGTGGTCGCCCCGTCCTAGGAGGGAAAACGGGGCGGACAGGCGTGGTCCGCCTCGGTCCTCCCACTATTTCATTCACGTATAGGTCACCTCATCAGGCATTTCTGCGACTGGACCGAACGAGAGAGATCTCGCTCCACACACGACACGACAAGGTGCGATCAAACCAGCGCGGCAATCTCAGGTGGGCTGCCGTGCCGCCGCACCAGACAGTAGCTTGTGGATGGCTCGTAATAGGTACAGTGTAGATCGCAGGCGTGCTGGTCAACCGTCACCGAGCCACGAGTTCCGTACTCAGCCGAACCCCATCTGCCAGTGTTCGAGCAGAGAGGTCTGAAGCCAGCACGATGTTCAGGGCGATGAAGGACACCGCCAGCCAGGAACAGGGAGAGCAAGAGCAGACAGGCATACAGGGAGGCGGCAAGGCATCCACAGAGAGGAACGAGCTCCGTCGAAGAAAGAGGTGGGAGGTCAAAGGAGAGGTGACGGCGGCGGTGGTGATTCGGGCTGCATGTGGAGGATGCTTCGATGAACAGAGAATTCCTACAGGAAGCGGGCCAGAAGAGGGCTGATTGTCAAGCCATCGTCCGAAACTGAGACGGGCAAAGACCAAGAGACTGACGGCGGTGGGGAATCTTCAATCAGATCTGGTGACAGTGGCAAAAACGGGGATCATTTGCTGATGTGCCGCAAACCGTGTACCTTATTTGACGGTTGCGGAAGAATAGAAGAACTGGTTCATGTTTCTAAGCTACAGCATCTCTTCAATTCTGCTTCCAGCCAGTCAAATTATTGTCTCGGTCAACTGCGTGACTCTTGGACTCTCGCGACGATGGTACCTAACTTTACCCTGGATGGTCCAGGCAAGCGAAGGATCAGTCCAGTCCAACGGAGTACTAAACTTGATTTCTGTCCCCACATCAGCTTACATGCGACCTGGTAGTCATGGCTCACAGTCTTGTTAGATGCGTATCACTTAACGGACCGACTGCTGCTGACACTGCAGCTCCAGCGGTACTTCATTGCTTCTCTTGTATATGTGGCAGGTGCACCAAGCCCACCTTCCATGTCAACCCAGCGGCAGCTTCTGAGCCAACACGACTAACCGGGCACCATGCATCTCACCAATTTCCTCCAGACCGCATTCCACGGGTTGCTCTTCTCTACACCAGATAATGACCTACAACCCGGCAGCATGCGAGCAATCTCCAGCCTCCATCTGGTGACATCTCTTACCGCAGCTGTGTCTGCGGCGACCACCGTTCCAGTGTCGTCAAATGGTCTGGTGGTCACTTCCGCCCCCACGACGGCTCAGCCCTATGTCTTGCCCAATCTGCAAGGGCAAGCTGTTGACTTTGGTGGCTTGATCATCCGCACGCTTGTCCCTAACACCACCACGAACGGAGCCTTCTCACTCGTCGGTGTCAATTCAGGCCCGGCACCCCTAAACCTCATCCATCATCACAAAGAAGTCGAGGCATTCTACACCCTCAAGGGCAGTGTGCAGGTTTTCCACAATGCCGACACCGGTCGAGAGCTACGTGCCAATGACTTCGTATTCCTTGCTCCTGGTAACAACCATACATATCGACCCAACGACCTCGATTTCCAACTCACCCTTGGTATGGCTCCTGGCGGCATCGACCAGTTCTTCGCTGCGGCTGGGAACCCATACAACTCGGATGCACCATTCAACCCAGAAGGCTCTCCCCAGCTCAACGTCACCAAAGTTTTAGGGCTGATGCCACAGTACAATATCGTACCTGAGCCGTTCAACACCATCAATATGGACTGGGTGAATGGCACAACGCCCGACGGCTTGGATACCTGGCATGTCGCCGATCAATCGGTACCAGACGACCCCAACCAAGCTTACTTCATCTCCAGCAACCGCGGCCCCAAATTCCTGCATCGACGTAGCGGCCAAGTTGTTGCCCAGCTTGCGTCCTCGAAGCAAACAAACAACAAGTTGAGCGTCTCGACGATCGCCATAAAGCCAGGTTGCAGGCAATCCCAGGCCACATTCGCGGTGGACCAAGCATTCCAGGTGACAGAAGGCCAGCTGAATTTGGAAATTAATGGCGAGTCGGCGCAGTTGATTTTCGGCGACCTCGCTTTCATTCCGAAGAATACTGCCTTCACATACTGGTCAAATGTTGGGTTCACGAAAGTCGTGAACTGGGCCGCTGGACCTGGACTTGCCGAGCTCTTGATCTCAGACTCCGAGGCATGGTCTTACGGTGTTTGGCCTGCGTGAATAACCCGCATAGAGCCTTTGTAGCAGTATTTACAGCACAACAGGCTTAGGAGCAATAGCTCGGCAGACGAGTGTCATGAACGCATCACATGGGATGGAACCTAGGGTGGAGTTTGACATGGAATAGCGCTGGAACGCTTGTCTTGTAGAAAATATATGCTTGCCGCACTTGAGGAGACAGTGCACCCAGATTTGCGCCATAAGGTGTATCTTGATTTCCTCAATGCCGACTGCTCATCGCCCGATATACTTCAGCTCGAGGTACCTCGCCGGTGTGTACACCACCGCCGTCACCACAAAAGCGAACTCGTTGGCCACATCTCCACCATATGCGCCAATCAACTTGCCCAAGGGGCCTGTGTACCATGTTTCGACCATGCCCATCACCCAAGCGACGATGCCCAACGCAAAGGCAGTCCCTGCAGCCAGGCCGAGAGGCAGCCTGCTAGGATCATTCCAGCCGTCGAGGTCGTAGTTTGCGAAATCGCGCTTTCGGAAGATGACGTGCTCGGAGAAGAGGATGACAAAGTACGACGTGCACCAGTAGCCGAGCAGGGACAGGAAATTGACGAGGTAGGTGTTGAGCTGCTCGCGGCCTCCGACGGCGATGCCCAGGATGGCGGCAAAGCACAGGAACGTCCAGATGAAGCGGGGCACGCGGGCAAAGGGGCGGGCGAACTGCTGGCAACTGATGGCCGCGCTGTAGATGGAGATGACGTTGGTGTTGATCCCCGACAGGACGAGCAGGCAGAGGAGGAACTTGGCGAAGCCGCGCGGGTGGAGCATCGTCTGGATGAGAAAGCCCAGGCCCTGGTTCTCGTATGCGTCCTGCCACGTGGGTTTGTTGTTGAGCGCGGACGCGACCACTGACCCGGCCACCATGCCGATGCTCGTGGGGAGGGAGATGCCGAACGTGGTCATCAGGAACACCTTCACCCGTGAGACGTGCGCCGGGTAGTGCACGTAGTAGTCGCTAGCCATGGTGCACCAGGACGCGCTGGAGCCGTAGACGATGGCGACCAGCGAGAGCACCGTTCCCGAGAGGTCGGCGCCCCGGAGGGACGAAGGGGTCCGATTGTCCGCGTACCGGCCCGTCTCGCCGAAGATGATCATGAAAATCACAAAGAAGATGAACCACGCGTACCGCTCATACACGAGGATGGCGTTGAGCCCGACAAAGGAGATGGCCAATGCCACAACCCCCAGGATCACGATCCCCAGCACCAGCGACACGTGGCCGTCCGCCACGGCATTGAGGGCCAATCCGCCCGTGATGCACGACACGGCGGCCCAGCCGATCTGCTGCACCGTGTTGAGCGCGGCGATCAGCTTGTTCGGCCACCACCCGAAGCTGTACCGCGAGACGCTGATCTGGCGGAGGCCCGTCGCCGCGCCGAACGTCGCGCAGTAGCCCGTCACGGCGCCGCCCAGGATGCTTGCCAGGATATAAATCGGGATGCTCTGCCTCAGAGAGAGTCCCAGTTCCCACCCGAGGAGGCCCGTCGCGAAACACGACGTGTTCATCGTCCCGGACGCCCACAGCAGCGCCATGGTCAGCTGTTGGTGCCAGGGGACGGGCTTCTTGTCCTCGGCCCGCTTGCGGTCGATGGCTTCGCTTTCCACGCCCAGTTTCGCGTCCAGACGCGCCTCCAGCCGTCGGAGGCGCGAAAGAATGCCATCGTCCTGCCGGATGATCGTATTGTTGTAGAGTTGCGGTTGCGGTTGGGGCTCTCCGGATCCTAGGACTAGGCTAGGTGGGACGTCGAAGCCCTTCTCGTCGGCGAACGCCTTGGATGCCATCGTCCGAGTTTGTCTACCTACGGCCCAGGGGTATCGTGACCGAGGCGACAAGCACCGCTGCTTTTTGTTGTAAACCTGGAGAGCGCAGCTAAGTAAATTACTCGTAGGATGCGCGCATGGCCGACGCCACGACGCAAAGCAGTGTATTTATCGCTGCTGCCACGCGGGCTCTTAGCGCGGTCATCTTGGAGGTCGTGTGCCCGCGATGACCTGCCTAGATGGGGGGGAAGCCCTGCATATCTCTTCCAGACCAGCTTCGATCCGGGTTCGAAGAAAATTCTGCAGAGATAGCGCCAGTGATATCGATTGGAGGGATCTGCTATCTGGCGCTGAGAACCCATCACACCGGGGGTTAATAGGGTTGCATCCGGCAGTGGTCCGTGGTGCTCAAAGCAGTGGAGCCGAAGAGACGGAGCCCGAAGCCCAGGCTGGCCGCTTGACGTTCAAGCCTTGTGCTTGGCTCCAGCTCCGGAAAGCTTGGTACTTTATCTACTGTATCGCTGTCTCTTGGATCGCGAGGGTCGCAGCCAGGGCCACAGCGTGGCTTGTTGGCGCCATTCACCGACGTTGGGATGTGCTTGGCGGTGTTGATGGTCACCTCCCGTGCACAACGAAGGTCGTTGAGACTGTCACTGGCTTGTCATCGGACAATCGTCCAAATCCCGAACACTAGCGAATACCCTTTCATGCCGCTTACTACTTCAGCATGTGCACCGGGAAGCTGGGGGTTTTAACATACACATCGGTCACGTTCAGTACTGCTCAAAATCCCACATCCATTGTGCCTCTCTCGCCTTTCACACCAAGTACTCCCCCTCTGTACACGAGACGGTGCCCTTGGCTGAAACGATTCCCCTCATGGTTACCTCACCTGCACAACACGAAAGATTTGGGGGCCAGGTGCTGCTCAGAAAGGCGTCTCTAGCAATGTGGCCTTGATCAAAACATCGAAATTTGGCAGACTGGAAAATTAGAATTGATCGGTGCATACAGACGCCGCCTTGTTTTGTACTATTTCGCGGCCGACCTACGGCACGGTTCAAATCGTGCCCAGGACAACAACTGAAACATATCTGTTTCTGTCACTGTCCAGGAAGCGCTGTGTTTGGCCTACTCGACGAGAGCTTCCGTTGTGGGATGCTAGCGCAGGCTTCGAGAACATCGAAAGAAACTTGAGGCCGGAGTCTTCTGGATGTCTCTGCTGTCGTGCTACTGGATGTTGTACGCCTTCAGACCACAAGCAATCAACTGCTTTGCAGGGACGGGTAAGTGCTTGCAGGTGAGCACCTTGCCAGCCGAAGCCTGAGCCATGTCACTGTTATGCCGGTTAATCGTACGACTTCTCTCATGTCCCTCAAGCATAAGGCAAAGCGCAATGGACTGGCACCCACGACGTTCACCCGTACAGCACAAGTGGCCAGAATCTGCCTCGTTGTCCTCCACTATGTCCTTCACCAGTCAATAAGTTAATCGGAACCGTACAAGAATGCGCCTGAACGCCCCGGATATGTATTTCGTTCAAAGGTGATGCCCAGAGAGCTCAGCTCATACAGGTGAAGATCGACGTCCACTACATGGCTCACCCTATTTTCTATCCGCTACCGCACACTTAATCTGGAAAGCAGAATCCCTGGTTGCAGACATTCTCATCAACGCAGTCGTCATCGTTGCCGCATGCACACCCTAAATGATGAGCCTGTGCGTCACGAGGGTAGGATCCAGGATTGTGCAACATACCAATGCAACGACCTTCCCAAGGACATCCAGTCGGACAAACAGGATCAATCGATCCATCGCTCTTACAGTAGTCTTTGCTGTTGTACTATGAACAGATATCTCTTGTATTGCACTTGCCATTATCGAACAATGCGGTTGCTTTGAGCTGGGTCGGTGTTAGGCTTTCCTGCACACAACGAAGTCGCTTACCATCGACAACCAAAGATCATTTTGAGGAGCCCGGATGATTGTTTGGCTGAGATCAGGAGTCAAGTCGTCCTCGCAATTGAGCCGAGCTTAACCTCCCTGATGTGCATCTCTTCAGATTTGCGACGAATTGGAAGAGAATCGCTCAAGACTGATTCATGGCGTGCAAAACATATGCCCGCTTACACCATACGTTCCAGAGGTGGTCAGACTTGATTCTTGTAAGGTCGCCATGACTTTGACGTCTCACTGAAGAGATCCCAAGAAGTTTTGTCGTCCTCCACAACCGGAAAGTCCACTGGGTTGATGAACATAAAGGGAGCATAGAGTCCATGAACAGTATCGGCCTGAGTTGGGCTCAACTGAACACTAGGGAGGTCGCAGAACTCAGCAGGATGTCGGGTAGAGCGGTCGCCGGCCACTCGATCTCCCAGGCCTAAATCGAGGCTTCTCCTGTCGTTGCACCATGTGGGCAAGTGAGTGGTTCGAGGAACGGGCTGGGGAATGGGATGATGACTACCGAGAGATAGGGCATCGCTGGAAGCCTGCTCAATCGTCAAATCACTCTTACCAGCTCTTGATAGCTTCTGCTGCAAGACCTCCAGATCTGCCTCGAAAGCATGCCCTGAGGTGAGATCCTCTGGCTCCATCACCCCCAGTCGTTCCAGAATATCATGGGTCAAGGGTCGGCTGTCATTGGTTTCCTCCAAGGGCGCCCCAATCCTTGCCGTTTCTTTTTTCATATATTGATACAGCTTTTGTATACCTCTCACGAGTTGTTGTTGTTGGATCTCGAGCAGCTCCACGTAACTGTGAACCAATGAGCCCAATGTTACCGTGACGCGGCACACCGCAGGTGATGGACTCACCCTCTGGGAACAATTCTGTTTCGGGGTCTGCGGACCTTGCGAAAGACGCAAATTGCGTTATCTGTTGCGCATCTTTCACAGGGACTCGATCCATTGCACTAGAGCATGGTCAGATCGAAGCGTCGAAAGGAGTCTCGTTCCTGGCGAACCTTTGTCTTTTTGATACGGCACCGATCACACGCCTCCAATGTGCGTTTTGCCGATTTCCGACCCGACACAGGTGACACCGAACCTTGAGAAGACAACTGGGACATGTGTGCTGGCTGAGGGTCTGCGCACGAAAGTTGTCCTCCTCAAGCAGGATACCTGGATGATTAGACAAGGTTCGTGAGTGTTGTCGCTGGACACGAGAAACGTGATTTGTGAGGGATCTTCTAAGATCTGTCGAGAAAGATCAAGACGCTGAAGCCTGTCAGTAGGACAATGTGAAAAAAAGCCCATGATTCGCCATGCCGTCAAGAGGACGAATAATTATGTGCTGCGTTGGAAGCATGATGCCGGTATTCTAGGTGCACGACCGTCGATATCGCGGCCACCTCTCCAGCAGCCTCGTGCGCCATGTGGGCCAAAGTGATAGAGAGCCGACCACTATCAGGAGAACTCACCCGGGACTACGACCATACAAAGTCGGATTTGTGTACCTGGCTTCCGGATGGACCAAAAAGTCCCCATGCGAATCCAATCCCCTTATAAGCGGATCGGGCGGAAGGCCCGGCAACGATAGCGGTGATGGCGGTTGGAATCCAACCAAGACGATGTCACGGTCGGATTGTGCAGGGGCGACACTCCCGAGCTTTCACGCCCTCTCCGAAGTGCTTTACTACGTATCTACCCTGCGGGGATCACCGAATCTTTGTCCCAGCCCGCCCCATCCTTAGGTACCGGATAGCATGTCTGCAACGCCTTCTCTGAAACGTCGCCGAGTTGCACGTGCCTGCGAGAGCTGCAGGAATTTGAAAGCCAAGGTACGAATTGCCTATCACCCGCGGAACTACATTTGACTTTTGGAAACTAACAATTCGCCTTCGAGTGCGATGGCAACCAGCCTATCTGTGGTCGCTGTGGTGGCTACGGTTATGAATGTCGCTGGAATGAGGCTCATGTCCGGAAAAATGTCCTGGAAGGTAGCCGTGCTGACTTAGCCTGGCTGTCGATGGACAACGATGGCCAAAAGCTGAGGGATGCAATCACGGCGCATGAAAACTTGATCGCGGACCTTCGCGTGAAGCTCGCCCCAGAGGATCGCAAAATGATTGACTTGCGTCTCGCTTCTATCCAGCTGGCCGAAGTGAAGCGAGTCGGAAGTGGGGCGGCCAACACCACGGAGTCACCAGAGCATCTGCTGGCGGAGAACCGCCGCTCGCTACCTGTTCAACGTTATTTGGGAGAGGCGAGCGATATACGCTTTTTCCACGCAGTGGAATCCACTTTTGGTCAGCGACCTCGACCTGGCCAGCAGGACGGACCCGCTTCACAGGAGCAAGTCGACAGTTACGAGCAAGAAGGTATCCGTCCAGGATCTCCAGAGCAAAACCAAGGATGTTTGCCACACAGGACGGTTGCCGACAATCTTGTCGACATATACTTTTCTACGATTCACATTGCTTATCCCTTCGTCTCAGAGCCGGATTTCAGAGCAACCTATGAGAACTTCTGGCAATCAGATTCCTTGGAGGGGTTTCGTGGCCCTTGGCTGTCCATGCTATGTGAGTATCACGCGCTCTGTGCCACAGAATCTCGCCAACATGACAGACGCTGCATGTATCAATGAGTTTGGAATAGCTCAACCTAGCACAAACTGACTTTGTCTGCAGTAACGATATTCGCCCTTGGTTCGTGCTATGAAAAGGTCGCCGAGGCCGGTGATGGGACAGCTTCGAATTCACACAGTTCGCGTCAGGACGTACGGTATTTCGACCACGCAGTCGCCATCTCACAAAAGCATACCTCGAAACGTACGGTCGAACATGTTTGTGCCTTGCTTACTCAGTCTTTTTATCTTTTGGCCACCTGCCAGACCGATCGATGCTGGATAACACTTGGAAAGGCGGCCAGGATCGCCCAGAGTATCGGGCTCCATGTGGAAGAAGGTAGTGTAAGTTGTGGCGACGCTGTCTCGTCTCACGAAACACGCCGTAGAGTCTGGTACTCTATTTTCGTGCTCGATCGACTGCTTGCGTTGCAATTGGGGCGTCCTCCATCTATCAGCGATGACGGTTTCAACGTCAAACTTCCATCTCGCCAGTCGGACGATGATTTGACAGAACCCGGAGGTCACAACAACAGTCACCAGCAAGGCTGGGTGGGAGACTACTTCATTGCTATGATCAAGTTCTCGGAGATATTGGGAAGAGTCTTCCATCGTCTTTATGGACCAAAAAGGTCCGATGATGGCGTTTTGACATTATCGAACATCGACCTTTCAGACACTGAATTATTGCAGTGGCGATCGAGTTTGCGACGGAAACTCAGATTCGACCTCTCGCACACCTTCGAAAGCTCAAAGGTCTTCCAAAACCAGGTGAGTCATTGAGATCTTATTTCACGTCGGAAGGTCGCTTTCGGCTGACGCGAATCTCAGCGCAACATGCTTGCCGTCAAGTTCTACAACCTTCGAGCGTTGATTCATCGACCGCTGTTATCACTCGCCAAAACGACGGCTTCAAGCCCAAATCATTTGGCGTGGCGTCAAGCTGAACACCGCCGGATCTCAATGTCAAAACGGAAGTGCGTCATGGCAGCGCAACAGACCGCCAAGCTCTTGCACAATCTTGAGAACAAGAAAAGTCTCGTTTATGGCTTTCCCTGGTGGCAGATGATATCTTGTCTCATTTGTGCCAGCTCGATTCTTCTCGTTGCCAGCATCTGCGTTGATTTGAATTCGGAGATTGAAGTCGAGGTCTTCGAAGACATAGACTGGTTGGCAGTGGATGAAGATGCTGAAGTCTGCCTGCAAGTCTTCCAGGCTCTGAGCTCTAATTCAAATGCCGCAAGGTTGGCGAGAGACATGATGCAGAGACTCAAGAAAACACGAACGATTTCCTATGGTGAGTTCCCGTGTCCTTTGTTCAGATAAAAAGATTGCGGCAATTCTGTGTGGGTTGCCATGAGTGTACCTCCTGGCTGAGAAGACAGCGGAGCCGTCTGCACCCAAAGTCGGCTGCCGTGAGACTTTTTAGGAAACTGCACAAACCAGTATCTTGACAGAGGCAAATCTGACTGACGTCTACTTGCTCCATGCAGGAAATATGATGAACTCTCTCCCCAGTGCGTCGATGCCTGCAGTGGAGAGCAGAATTGAGGGTGTGAATGTTGACCCAATAGCCGCTTCGACATCAGACGCTTCGATGCCATCACAGCTGGACTTCGGAGGGCTCAGTCAAGATTCAATCGATCTCATGTTTCAAACCATGCCCTACGAGGTCTCGGAATCAGTCATGTGTACGTCTATTTCTCCATATCCATCCATGCTAAATTTGACACATTCCTTCGCGGCCCCTGCGGGTTTCACCACTTCCATTGCTCATTTACACGCAAAATGTGATGATCATCGTTGAGACTGACAATTCTTGATTTGACAGGGTCGGCACAGTTCGTGAATGAAAGTTACAATCCGTTCTCTCGTCATCCAGGCACGTGAGGCTCCAGGATATGGCAAGATCCCGAGGGGCCGGAAGCCAAGTTGCCGCATTCACTGTTTGATACAAAGCTTACGCCGTACGGCCTGTGTTCCATCAGACAGCAGGGATTGAAAACTTTCGCGACTGAAATAAAAGCCAAATGAAACGAAGCTGGAGCTGCTTGCTGTCTGTTCCGATAAGTGCAGTCTTTTCTCCTACCCAGGTCGACTGCCCCGGCACAACCCACTGCTCGGGCCGACGGCAAGGGAGAGAATATCCTACGCCCACCTTACAATATCAGTCGGCCGCTTCATAATGAATAAGAGGAGTAAATTGACAGCACCGAGATCCCATAGGCTGCCTTGGGCTCGCAGTTCAAACAAGGCTCCTAGTTCCGTCCGGGCCGGAGAGCAATCACAAGGACATACTTGACTTCTGTTTTGTTCGATGTCGCCTTTCACACCATGGTCCCTAAAAAGGATGTCGATCTTGAACCAGCCATTTTTGCAGAAGGACCACTTTTCAGCTCGCCTGGCCGGAGGTTCTCTATTTGCGTTTGATAATATCACACACACCATGACGCCACGGGCAGGTGATGCCGCTTGGTCTCTATAACTCGCATGGATGAACCGCAGGCTGGTGTCCCACAGTCAACTCGGAACATCAACAGGAGAAAGCCCTCTGGTAATCCACATCCTCAATGGCGCTTTCCATCAGCCTTTGTCACGACGAGGGGAAGCAATTCACACCCGGATCTATGGTGCCTGGCGTGGTGAAACTCACAAACTACGAGGATCAAATCATTGAGGCGTTGAAGATTGACTTTAGAGGTCATTCCAACGTCTTCTTGAACCAGAACTACGGCGACATGGGGGCCTCCAGAACAGATGCCGGCTCTAGGGCTTATCTCTTCAGCCGCCATCTCGACCTCTACAGCGGTAATGTCGTTCACCACAAAGGCACCCATGTTTGGCCCTTCGCGTTTCGGATCCCCTTTTTTGCAGCCCCAAGAATTGTCTCACCTGGGTCCAAGGACTTTTACCGTCCGACGCATCCATGGAGGGGTGATTTTGCTCTGGAGCGCGACCGACCTCACCCTCTTCCGCCGAGCATGCAAGCAAAAGGCTCCTTCGTCTGCAATGTGCGCTATACGCTTGACGCGGCGCTTTCTCACCGACGTCCAACGGCTACAAAGAGCACAGAAATGCGGTCTTCACGTTCTGTGCCTGTTCAAAACTTGGAGATGACGCCTCGCAATTCTCCCGGCGGTGACTGGGTATACATGACCTATCGTCAACCCCTGCGCTGTCCGGGGGCAGAACCTTCGCGTCGGCTGTTCCGCCGGCGGTTTTCAAACTTCCGCCCGAAAGACCGGCCTTCAGAACCTGAAGCGAAACTCTGCTTTTCTGTGCTACTGCCAAGGGAGATCGAAGTAAGAGAGCGGCAAGCATTATCGGTTCCGGTCGCCTGCACGATGGAGCACTCTTCAGGCCTGGATGCGCTGGAACCGCACATGCCGGCGCACATTTCGGATCTCGTTGTCCACTCTTTCAAGCTCTCGCTTCTTCAGCATACAGATGTCCGAACAGGTTGTCATAGTAGCTCGTCTACAAGAAAGATTTTGACTCGGAAAGGCGCATGCATAGTCCCTGTCTCCCGCACAAGCACCTCGGCGTCGACTGGGGCCGCGAATTCTCCGTACTCGACCGTCAACCTCTGTGATGTCGTCAACTTGTCCCTTCCACGCCATACTTTGGCCTCGGACTTCTCCACGTACAACATTGCGCGATTTCACAGTCTCGAGGTCCGGTTTTGTTTGATCTATGCAGGAAAGAAGAACAAATTTACGCTGCGTAATGTGCCTATCCGGGTGGTGCCGCAGTCTAAGGGAGAGCTGGAACGTCGGTTGAGCGAGGGCTTGGAAGCGGATGATGAATATGGTTGCGACCTAGCGGGTCTTCGCTGGCGAGACTACAGAGCGAGCACGGGCGGCTCGGAATATGACGCTTTGTGGCTGCCTTCTGACGAGGACGATGATTTGTGTCCGGGAAGCCCACCGCCCGCGTATACTGTTTAGCGATGTGTTGTAGATTGTAATGAGAAATCGCCTGCGGGCTCTACACTGCTCGAGTCCGGGATGTCTTCACCCCAGGTTCGATCCTGGGGAGTCAGCGTGGCAGAGGCAGCCCTGCCTACAGTGAGAGACCATCGTGGGCACGGCGGTGGATCATTGGGCACGTACTCCGTACATACAGTAACCCGATAACGTAGCGTCCCGCATAGAGTATGTAATTAATTATGACGACCCTGGGTCTCCTGGCCGCAAAATAAGGCTGGGCGTGACGGACGGATTGTACGGAGCACACGACGACATCTCGGCACCGTGGTTGCGGTGGTCGCCTCGCCTTGAAAGATTGCCGGATAGACAGTAGATTATCTTGCGTGAGTCAAGGAGCGATGACAGTACCCTGAACGACTCGCATATCGGCACAGCATCTCATATCCTTGGGGTTTCGAAAGATCTAAACCACAATGCGGGCGACGATCTTCTCTATCAAAGCCGCTCCACGCCTGGATTCCCACGGCAAGCCGACCGTGCAGGTCGAGATCGCGACCTCAGACGGAACCTTCGCTGCAATCGTGCTTTCAGGCGCTTCCAAAGGCGACTACGAAGCGATCGGGCTCAGAGATGAAGACAGCAAAGCGTTTGGCGGCAACGGGGTTCTGGAAGCGGTCCGGAACGTAGAAGAAGTTATCGGACCTGCCATCGTGAGCAAAGCATTTGACTTGGCCGCGGGATTGAAGCCCATCGACGACTTCATGGTCAAGTTGGATGGAACTTCGGACAAGAGTGGTAGGTGAAAGGACAGGGCTCACTTCCACTTGGTGAGGCTGACCGGCCATTCCTCTGTGTGAGTCGTCACTGTTCTCGGTCGCTTCAAGCAGAGGAAAGACAGTGTCGACCGATGAGCTCGCCAAGACGGTGATCAACATCAAGACTCATTTTGGTATATATGCAGATTGTGAAGGCCCGTGTACCCGTCCTTTCCGCCCGATCCACCCTGTGAAGGTCGCGGCGAAATTTCTCTTCTCCTTGCCCGTTGTTGTGACGGTGGCGTAGAAATGCGCAAGCAGCAGTCCTGTCGAATCTGCGGGCTCCCAGAGCATGCTTCATTCTACACATAGCCTTGGTACACATTTCGCTTTGAGCCCTCTTCTCTCCGCAACATGCGACATGGCTTCTCACGGGTGCGAGAAGAGAGTCAGCGGCCAATGCGGTCTGCCCGGCTCCAATTCCAACGGTTTTGAAGAAAGAGAAGCCAACGAAGCAGCACGTCAATCGTCAAATCTGGGTGAAAATGATGCAGGATTGACGGAATTGGCGGTCCCACCCCCTGCTGCAGCGGGTGACGACATGCGTGACACATACGAAGAGGAGGAAGGGAAAGGGAAGAGGGCTTCTTTCTCCTTGAAGCGACAGAGTCGAGACGATGCAGATTTAACAGAACTTGCTGTACCTTCGCCCCTCGCACACCATGGCACTTCTGGTGAAGAGGCTGGCAATGTGGCTCCAGCCGACCATGGATTCACACACACGCGAGATTCTTCTTCCACCCGTCCAGAAGAAGGAAGCCGACAACGACCGACCAAGGATTTCTCCCCCTATGCAGAATTCTGTACGATAAGCTGGCTGATCTTCTTCGCCCTCCTGGGGACTTTGGCCCGACTGGGCGTACAAGCCATCTCAACGTACCCAAATGCCCCCTTCCTGTCCTCAGTCTTGTGGGCAAACCTAGCTGGCTCCTTCCTCCTCGGTTTTCTGCTCGAGGACCGACGCTTCTTTCGTTATAGCGTGGAAGTCGACGACGATGAGAAAGACGCGACGCCTGAGATAGACAGGGCGAAGAAGACGTTGCCGTTGTATATTGGGTTGGCGACTGGCTTCTGCGGCAGCTTCACCTCTTTCTCGAGCTTCATTACCGATGCATTCCTGGCACTTTCCAATGGGCTGGTACCTCCCTCTCCAACAGCGCCGTATCACGCCACGCAATCGCCCATTCACGCCCGGAATGGTGGGTACTCTTTCATGGCCGCACTGGCCATTCTCATCGTCCAAACAGCCGTCAGTCTGGGAGCTTTGAAGACTGGCGCTCATCTCGCGGCAGCTGGCGAGCCCATCTTCCCCAGTCTGCCTGCAACATTCCTCCACCGCTTTATAGATTCCTTGTCGATCCCTCTTGGGTGGGGATGCTGGTTGGGCGCAGGTTTTCTCGCGATCTGGCCCCCCTCGGACGACTGGCGACATCGAGTCACATTCGCACTCGTCCTTGCGCCACCTGGTGCACTCCTACGCTTTTATCTGTCGAAGCACCTCAACGCCCGTATCCCGGCCTTCCCACTTGGGACGTTCATTGTCAACATCTTCGGAACTGTCATCGAAGGGATGAGCATGGACTTGCAGCACTCAAGCACGATCATGGCCAAGGTGGCCGGCTCAAATGCGGTGCCGTGCGCGGTTTTGGAGGGTGTCGTGTTCGGATTTTGTGGCTGCACCACGACAGTGAGCACATGGGTGGCAGAATTGAATGGGCTGAGGCGCAAGCACGCTTGGTCCTATGGCTTGGCTAGTGTAGCAATGGCCTTGGCTTGTCAAGTGGTTATAATGGGCAGTATGATCTGGACTAAAGGTTATGACCGACGCTGTTCGCAAAGCGCACAGTAAGATTTCCGGCGGCATATTTTTCAGCAGGAACTCAGATTAGGAGTACATACACGTGTGAAAAGTTCTGCTCTGACTGAAGCAGTTGGACGGATCGTGGCAGGGTGGTGGGCATGATATAGACCATGGTCCTGCTCTTGAGGGTTGTTGGGACGGCCGTGTTAGATTCTTGTTCAGCTGATTCCACGGCTGGAGCACTATCACGAAATAACAAAGCAGGCTTTGCGCCACGGGAGTATATAAGCTACACCACGACCTTTTCTTCATCTTGATCGGCCGTCCTTCCTAACCAGCACTTCTTCCCTCGTGACCGTAGTGGCCTCTTGTCCAACTTGTCGACGATCTCCGATTTGTCGAGTTGAATCGATCAGAGTGGTTCTTTTCTGGTACAGATCGATAGCCCTGGCAAGCAACCTGTTTCTGGACGTGCGAACGGCGCAGCCGGCAGAAGTGGCATGATGCTATACTTACTATTGTACGACGTTCAGGCTCAAAGAACCTGCGCTCCTAGAGCACAAATCCCGTCTGGAGCTATTTATTTGCTGACCGAGCTCATATCAAAAGACATACTTGATTCAATAAGATTCTGTCACAGGCAGAATATGTACCCGTCAGTCAAACTGTTCGAAACCATAACCGCAACGCCAGTTGGAAAAGATTCATCCCCAGCACCCCACGATGAAAGACATACTCAAGATTGCACAAAAACCCGTGCCCCATAGGACGTAAGATACGATGATCGTCCAGAGCTGATGTTGTTGGTTTGGGAGGATTTCCGCCCCGATACCGCCGGTCGCTGCTGCGACTATTGTCGAGACGATAGGTAGCAGCCAGACCGCCGTTATCTGTGAGAGCTCGCTGTCGTGCTTGTACATGACAACGAAAGGGAGGAAGAAGCACGCCATGGCGGCGAGGACAGCATCAATCCACCAGAGTGTCCAAGCCAGAGTCGTTGCCCAAGGGCCCCACGCCGGCACACATACAAAAACCACCATGTTGACGATCGTGGCCAAGTCCATGGGGAAAGGGCCAGTGAACAGGGACTGGACAGGTGGCCGATCATGAATTGAAACAATCCTCGAAAGTAGGTGTATCTCAAGACGGGAAATCGCCCAGAAGATAGTGAACAACGTTACGTTGAGACAGAATATGACGATGGAGATCCAGTACAGCCAGGTGCCGTTGTAGGGGAGATTGAAAAGGAGGCTTGAAACGATGCTGGTGCCCATGGTGACGGCGAACCACGAAAGAGTGAAGTTCACAACCACTCGACGCCAGCCATGGTGGTTTCGTTTGTCGATGACTTTTTCGAAATCATCAGCACTGCCGGCATATCCGTGCGTGCCGGATCCAGAAATGCTCTGTCACCGGCTATTGTTTCAGCCCCGTACTAGCCGTGGGACGCCATGTACTCGTGTTGATTAATCCCCTCTCAATTCTTGGAGAGCACCGTGCGATCCGAACCGGACCGACTTGACTGCTAAGGCTGCCCACCAGAAGAGCTGAACGCTGAGAAATATCGACCATCTCTGTGTGAAAGACCTGATCTTTGGTGCCTTGTCCCTGTGTCCTCACCACGGCCGGTGCGCGGTATGATCGACTTTCTCGTGGTGTGTAGAACGTTGCCGCCGGTATCGCAAGCTGGTATTTTTCGGTGAATTAGAATTGGCGCTTGTCGAGAGATGATAGAGAAGGGGAGCTGTTTGCGCAGGACGGAGAGGACGGGTGAGTGTGGCTTGTGAGAGACTTCATGACTTATTAGCTCTCTGTGTCAGAGCCTTCGGTCACTTCCATGTCCTCGACGGAGACTACAGTTGCGCGAACCTGACCAGAAGCAAGTGTTGGAGATAGACTGGCGAGGTTCTGATACGGTGTGCGGTGTGCTGAAAGTATAGAAGGTTCCATGCTGCTGGTACTGCTGGGGGATGTTTGTTCTCCCCGACTCGGTAGCATCATTTTCATATCTTGTTCGTGAGCGTTCAACGATCGATTCGTGCTGTCCTGCGCGTCTTCATTCCCATGTTCGTCGTCAGGTGGATCACGAGGAGGGTTGAACACACGCCTTCCCGTCCTCGTTGAGTATGGTGGACATAGTGTGGACGCCGGTTGATAAGGGTTGTAGCTGAAGCTCTTTCCCGCCTCTGCCCCTTCTTTCATGCACTCAGGACTTTGCTCATGCTACTCAGGCAACGTTCAGGACTTGTCCTCGCACAACCACTGCACAGGATGGCTTAATCATAAATCACGTGGCGTGCCGGCGGATCCGACCTTTGCGCTGACAAGGTGGCGAGAGGTGCTCTACCTCAATAATTATCGTTTTGTCTTGCATCGGGAGGTCGCGGCGTGGCTTGTTCGAGTCGACACCGACGGTTGGATGTGCGTCGCGACGTCGATGGTCGCAACGAAGGTCGTTGAGAATGTCGATGGCTTTTGCACCGAGCTTCACGGTTATTAGCGGGCGAGCTGTATCAATCAACTCGAGGACCGATTGTCTTCTCACGCACGACCCCGGTGACCATTCAATTGCATACCTGTGCGCGCCCACGGACTCATTTCGTTCGCGCTCAGCAGTCCAACGATCTACAACCTCGGTGGTCTCCACCACGTGGTGCACCGATTATCAATCTCGCTTGAGTTTATATCCCTTGATGAAGCCACGGCTGAAGGAAGACGCATGCTCGCCCCTCGATCCCCGGGCGTTTCTTCTCATGCAATGGAGAGTTCTGATCGCCAGGGCGACGACCAGACATCCGTGCCAGCATTGACCCTCGGACGATCCACCGCTCAAAGCCCGCAGCGGAAGCGACTCTGGCCGGATGCCCGATCACTTCAACACACCGGACACGATTGGCGCCTTCCCAATCTGCCGAGATTTATTCGGCATCGGGAGTGCTAGATGCACACCGTGCAAGTGTCTGTCTGGTCTGATGAATGAATGGTCGACTCCGGAGTCTAGAACGTAGCTATCAGCTAGCTATGGAAGACTGTACACTGGTGTCAAGCACCTGCCGCTCGGCAACTTCAAGTAATTAGTGGTAGGCACACTGGGTGGCTCCTGCCACCACGGAGAGTCGGTAACTGATGCCTCGATATACACTTGATGCGCCATCGATGCAGGAAACGATTCACCAAAAGAAGTGCCAGAGCACTAAAACCATGCCTGGGCCATGCTGCGGAATTTCGTGAATGGCCACAGTTCCATGCGGCCCTAGAGCTAGAGCGGCACAGAATGCAAAAACGGTATCAACCGCCATGCCATGTGATCAATTCCTGATCGAAGACACATCTCAGCTCCGCAACCGCCACGACCGGAGACACATCCGTGCACGCACGGTTGAGCTGAACTCGAGGTGGGTTGAGCACAGATGAGACGAACATGCACACCATGCACGAATCACGTTCCTGGGAGACGAGGACCTCAAGCACACACTCTCAGCTGAAAAGCCAGCCTCCGCAAGCAGTGATGGTGCGCCCCTCGTCAGCACACCATTGTCCTACACTCCCAGCTCGTAGCACTCGCAGCCACAGCTGCGGGGCAATCGCAGAAATCCATGTCCACCGGGTCTGTAGAAGAACACCTCGCACGAGGTAAGCGACGACCATATCGTCCCTACAAAAGGGCTGTCGCATGCCTACCTGCCACATATACGAACTTGCTTGCCCTCGCAAACCATCGCCCGTGGATCCAGGACAAATATGGTAAGTATGTACTCCGTATTTCTCGCGTCGTGGTTCCCGAGGGATGCCATTGGCTCGCTTGATGCTCACTACTCACTACTCGTCACTCGCTACGCATTCACACCTTTTCTAACGCCCTGATTGTAGCCTGACAAGTCTCCCACGCTGTACCTCATCCGCCATGGCGAGAAACCGCCAAAGCAGCCCGATGGCGAAGACGGGCCCGGTCTCTCACAACAGGGCGTCGACCGCGCACAGGCCATGGTCGAGGTCTTTGGACGCAACAGCCCCTACAACATAGGGTATATCATCGCTCAGAAGCCGAAGAAGCGTAAGTTTCCTCTTCGCGGAACAGCACCCCAATATTTTCCAATATTGTTCCTCGATCGCTCGGACTCCCGAGGTCCAGAGATGCGTATGCGCATGCGTGTTTAATTATATCCCGTTGTCGACTTTGAATCTGCTCTCAATGACAAACGTTCGACTCTGACGCCTCCCATGGTACCGCGCGACGCAGACGGCAAACGAGATCGTCCCTACTTGACGGTCAAACCACTCGCCGAGTCGCTCGAGCAGTTCGGCGTGCCCTTCGACTTCACCATCGAGCGCGACCACGTGGACAAAGTCAAGGACGCGGTGCACGACTACATCAAGGGGAAGGGCAGCGGCGGCGAGGGCAACGTCCTGATCTGCTGGGAACACGATACGCTGGAGAAGATCGCGGGCGTGCTGGGCGTGGACAAGGTGCCTGACTATCCCGGGAAGAGGTGAGTTTGTCCGTCGCGTTTTGTGCTTTTTCCTGGTGGAGGCTCTTTTGCATGGTTGGGGTTGGTTCCTTCTTCCAAGACGGTCTCGATGGACACTTAGCGGATTTCACATCATGTCTCCGGACTCACGTGGCCAAGCATTGCTGATATGGGATGCATGTGGCTTCTCGGCGACAGATTCGATCTTATCTGGACGATCGAGCCGCCCTACGAAAAGATCAACAGCTACACGTCGGAGCACGTCCAGGGATTGGATGACGAGTATGCGAACGAACCATAAGCCGGGAACTATGAGGGGCCCATAGGGCATAGGGAATAGATATTGGGGTGGGGTTGTACTTGAGAAACCACGAGAAATAGGGGCACGGGTAGCCGATATGCTGTTCAGTCGCGTTGAGCAGACTGGAGTAGAGCATCGATCGCGCTGATGCCGACGCACGTCAAAGTCGAAGCACATGTTACCTTTCTACATGGTCTCCACTGCCTATCTAGTGTACCTTTGGGCACACTGTAGCTGTCGGGCTCAAAAGTTCGTGACAGGGATGCGTCGGGTCCACGGCGGAGCCCACCGACCCTGATGGAACCCACGCTCCGGAAAGGCCTGATGTGACTGGTATGTCAAAGGCATTGTCAGTTCCGTTGGCGTTTGCGCCGTATGGTGTCTCCAATGTGTGGTGTAAAGCCAGCCCAGGGGCCTCTCTCCCAGATTCCCAGCAGTCTGCAAATGCCGGCCGCTGACTTCGTGCTGTGCGGGATGGGGTCTTTCTCGCAATGTCGTGGCTGTGAGAGAAGTCGTATGATTGTCGAAATCCGGGGTTTGCGGCGTTGTCGAAAGCTATCCTCAGTCGTGACTGTGCGGTAGACATCCAGTACCTGCATGCATAAGGTGACGCTAGAATGTTGTGATGCCGGGATAGAACATCAAGACTCTTCCACGACCACCGCATTACCTATCACGCGCGCCTCCCGTCTACACCCACACTGCTCATCCCGCGGACACTCCCAGCGCGGGTTCGGCGATTTTCGAAAGTCCGGATCTCGCCACTGTTCGGCCGTGAAATCCTTGTCCAGCTCCGCAATATAGGTCTTCCGCTTGAAGAGCCTGACCAGGCCCTTCTTCTTCTCCGCAAACCCAGCCCACCGAGTCAAGGTATTGCACACGGAGAGCTTGCGCGTCTCGCCCGGCGCGACGTTCCACACCTGCGTTCTGCATTCCCAGTCCTTGAAGAGAGTCCACCACTGCCTCATCCGGCCGAGGACGCCCGTGCGGCCTAAATCCAGGGTGAAGCACTCTATGGTGAGATTATACTTGGAGAGGATTTGTCCATCTTTGACCCCCATGTCGTGGTAAAAGGTCGACTTGCGAGACTTTGACATGTTCCAGGGAAAATCTTGACCATCCCAGCCATCCAGGAGGAAGGCGATGGATCGGCTCGTCGGATTGTGTGCGACTATAGTGATGACGCCGCTGCATTGGTCGAGAGACTGGATCACCGAGCTGGCGGGGACGGAGAATTCGAGCCCGTTCTTGGTCGGTCCCGGGGTGGTAGTCGGCTTGTGAGTTTGGGCCTTTGCTTCGGCGATGGAGTCTTGGCTGGAGGTGATGCTCGAGGTGTCGGCCGTTGGTTTCTCGAGGGGGATCATTGTTCAGATGGGTTCGGGTTATGGTCGAATTGTGTCAAATGCAAAAGACTGGTTCCCGAAACTAGGATGGTCTTTGGCTGTGGATGTATCAGCAACAAGATTGAGATCGGACAGTAAAAGTGGGAGCGGAATAGATTAAAATATTAGATGAATCCCGCTCACACTTCTAATCACTGTCGTCACTGCCGCTGACCTGCTATTTGGAAGGTAAAAGTCACGATTCTCACGCTCGAGAACGGAGAGGGAACTGTATTGGATTGGCCCGTCACCTACAGTAGCGCTGTGCTGTGCTGTCTGGGTTGGGTTATTTGACACCGTTGCTTCACACGGACAGTAGTGGTCAAAGCATGCCCGACTTTCCTGTTCAGTGACGACGGTATGTATGCCGTCCGGGGCACGCTTCTAAGAATGGCCGTTAAGCCATCGTTGACATCTCTATGGCAAACAGAAGTGTTGCTCTCAGAGACAGCCTTCGCTCGAGACAGAACATGAGACAATCCATCACCGAAGTCGACGAAGCGTGGCTCATTGGTAGTAGTGGAGCTCTGAAACGATAGCCCGTTCTTTCGCCGTTGACACTCTGCAATGAGTAGAACTTCCGACTGCGTTACGAAGGAGGCGAGGATAACAAGACGAGCGCATCTCAACGTCCAACATGGGGGTAAGAGACCTCGAAGACAAGCATAGCAATAGGCCGTGGAGCGGGAGTAAGGCTCTGACAAGCGACGACTCAACATTACAAGGCACCATCGTTGTATCCGTTCGCGTCAACCAGGTACCTTTACTCACCCCTCGATATTTTGCACCAGCCACCTTCGTAGTCCGTCCTGCCCAAAAGAAAGATGGGTGACCTTCGAGAGCTCGTGCACATGATGATCGTCTCGCCGAGCTGAACGGGAATGCAACGAGAGTGTCATGGATATGATGGAAGTTTGACTAAAGACAGATTAAGGTCGATTTTGCAGTCACAGCAGAGAAGGTAAAGTCACAGACGTAAAGAACAAAGGTTTGTGCCTATGGCTGTGGCTGTGGCTGTGGCTGCAGCCTTTGCGGTGGCACTCCGGCGGCGGACAGGAACGTGGCCCGAGAAGCGCCGAAACATCTTTCACTAACTCTGTGGGATGCGCTCGGATGCCCCAAGATGGTGATTCTCCGGTGGAGGATTTCTCGGCGCCCCGCGACGTCAGTGGGGTTGAATTCACCCGGAACCGATCCGGAGTGCTACAGCGCAGCGTCACGTCTACCGTGTACTGCGTACATAGGCAGCAAATACAGGAACAGGTGGCCAGCCGGCTGAAATTGTAACCCGTGCAGTGGTGGGCTTGTAAAGATTTTGTGCATCCCAAGCGTTGGTCGCTACTATTTCTCTTTCGTCCACTCTCTGTTTTCCTGCCGGGACGTAATACAGTCTGTGATTCTCTCGTTCTCGTTGAGATTCAAGTCCCTTCATCTGTCTTCTGTCTTAGCCTGTCGAAAGAAGACGATCGCCAGCAATGTCGACCACCAACGGCACCAACGGCACCAATGGCACTCACGCACCCTCTGAGACCACGGCCTCGAAATCCAACATCGGCGTCTTCACGAACCCCAAACACGACCTCTGGGTCGCCGAGGCGTCGCCCTCGCTCGAGGACGTCCAAGCGGGCAGGGACCTGAAAGAAGGGGAAGTGTACATCGGCGTCAAGAGCACGGGGATCTGCGGCTCGGACGTGCACTTCTGGCACGCAGGCTGTATAGGCCCCATGATCGTGACGGCGGATCACATCCTCGGCCACGAGTCCGCGGGCGTGGTCCTCGGCGCACACCCCTCGGTGAAGACATTGAAGCCTGGCGACCGAGTGGCGATCGAGCCCAACATTCCGTGTTTCCAGTGCGAGCCCTGTCTGACGGGACGGTATAATGGGTGCGAGAGCGTCGAGTTTCTAAGTACTCCGCCCGTGGACGGCCTCTTGCGCCGGTACGTCAAGCATCCGGCCGTGTGGTGCCATAAGATCGGCGACATGAGCTACGAGAACGGCAGCCTGTTGGAGCCCCTGTCCGTGGCGCTTGCGGGGCTGGACCGCGCAGGCGTCCGCTTGGGGGATCCCGTCCTGATATGCGGTGCCGGGCCGATTGGGTTGGTGTCGTTGCTGTGCTGTGCCGCGGCGGGGGCGTCTCCGCTGTTGATCACGGACATCGACGCCGGGAGGCTGAAGTTTGCAAAGGAGCTGGTCCCCCGCGTGTCGACCTTCCAGGTGCCGATGGGCAAATCCCCCGAAGAATGTGCCGAGCAGATCGTCGAGGCCATGGGCGGCGTCAGACCTCGCGTGGCGTTGGAGTGCACGGGTGTCGAGTCGTCGGTCAATGCGGCCATCTGGTCCGTCAAGTTCGGCGGCATAGTGTTTATTATTGGCGTGGGCAAGAACGAGATGAAGATCCCGTTCATGCGTCTCTCGACCCAGGAGATCGACCTGAAGTACCAGTATCGGTACAGCAACACGTGGCCCAAGGCGATCCGGTTAGTGGAAAGCGGGGTGATCAGCCTGGAGAAGCTGGTCACGCACCGGTATAACATGAGTGATGCGATCGAGGCGTTCAAGACGGCGAGCGATCCCAAGAGCGGGGCCATCAAGGTGCAGATCAAGAACGACGACAGCTTATGATGAGGGAGTCGTAGCATCTCCGTTATAGCGACCAGCGAGGTGAACAGGAATGTGGGCATTCATTCATCAACGGATCTGCACACGCGTACATTGCACAGCAACTTTAGTAACGGCATACACGTCCCATTTCAAGACTGCTGATAGATATCGTCTTGAGTCTGTGATTCTTTTGCTGCGGTCGTTCCAGGTCCTCATTGAATGATCCCCTTGACCTCCTCCTTGTCAAGCCACGCCTTGATAGCTTGAGCCTGCTGCTCATACCAATCGTGCATCGTCTCCTCCTCAACATAGCCCATATGCGGACTCAGCAGCACCGTACTCCGCCCCTCTTCGCCCCAGTATCCGCTCCTCCGCCAGGGACTCTCCTTAGGCAAAGGCTCCACACCATAGACGTCGAGCCCCGCGCCACGGATCTTACTGGCCTCGAGCGCCTCAACGAGCGCGGCCTCATCAATCAATGGCCCGCGCGACGTGTTCACGAGCAGTGAGTTCCTCTTCATGCTGCCCAGCTCGTCCTTGCCCACGATGCCCCTCGACCGGTCGGACAGGACGTAATGCACGCTCAACACGTCCGCCTGCTCAAAGAGGTCCTTCTTGCTCCCAACCACACGGAACGTGCCCTTGGGTAATCCTCGCCCCTGCGCCGCCTCGTCTGCTTTCTCCTGCGTGAGCGACGACGACCACGCAATAACTTTCATCCCGAAGCCCAAGTGTCCCGTGACCGCGCACTGCGTGCCGAGCTTGCCGAGCCCCAGAAGACCCAGGGTCTTGCCCGCGAGCCCGAACGTCAACGTCGTCTGCCATCCGCCGACGTGGGCGTTCGGGTCATGGTTCGACGTGGCCGACGGCCCACCTTTGACGACGGCATCCCCGCGCGCCACGTCCTTGGCTAACCCCAAGATCAGGGCCCACGTCATCTCGTTAGTGGCGTCATAGCCCTTGGTCGCGTTGCGCTTGGGACCCGTGCCCACGAGGGTGATGCCCAGGTCCTTGCACGCCGCTGTGTCGATAGCCGCGTTCCGCATGCCCGTCGTGAGCAGGAGCTTGAGGTTAGGCAGCTCACTGAGCACGGAGCGTGGAAACTGTGTCCGTTCGCGCATCGTGCTGATGATGGTGTATGGTTTCAGACGGGCAACCAGGGCGTCATGCTCCGATGGGACCCGGGCCTGCAGAGTCTGGGGGAACGAGTCGATCTGGATTCGCGAGGCGAGGGGTTGGAAATGCGCCGACGAGATGGCCGCGTAGTCGTCAAGGATGGCGAGTTTGACACCCGAGGACGACGACATTGTGGTAAAAGTGGTGCCGAAGTTGGATGTGCTGTGGTGTGGCTGAGATAATGTGCTCGCGGTTGCTGTTAGTCTACGAGCTGCCTGGGTCATGAACCTCATAGACCGCGGCTTCAAGTCTTGGTACGCAGGATAATTCTGTGTCGTGGTTGTTATACAGATCCGGCTACGCGAGGGAGCGGTCTTGGCCGTGTCCTTATTACTTACAGATTACGCCTGGAGCGAACGTGGTTGATGTCGTGATCGGCCATTCTCCGAGTTGGAGAGCAGCGCAGATGCCGATGTCGCTGCTGAGGCCTTGGAGAAGCCTCGTATCGTATGGCGACATACACACCTCAGCTGCTTACAAACAGGTACCTGTGTCCATCAGGGCGCAAGTGAGATTCCACTGTTCCGAGAGCCACTTTGAGAGAATACTGAAGTGAGAAGGAAGTAGAAGACCGGGAATAATGCTCAGAAGCGCGGATCGAGTACGGTGGAACATTAGATCTAAGGACAGTTTTAGGCTAGGCGTCTCTACGGAGGACCAATACCGGGCTAAGCGCAGCTCTCTTCGATTTCCTGGCATCCTTCACCATACGCAGAGGAGAGCAGGACGTCGTGACAATACGCCGTCCTACTCATACTCAGCTAAACAGAGTCACTTCCAGTAGACCGTTTCGATCATAAATCTCCCTATTCGCTCTTCCCAACATAAGTCAGAGCCGCCACGACCAGGGCATCCACCCCCACTGTCAACGTCGGCTGCACGACCGGCGCGAAAAACGGGCTATGATTGACCGGGATCTTGTGCTCCTCGCCTTTCGCCTTCATCTCCTCGTACATAGCAGCATCATGACCCCCAAAGAACCAGAAGCAGTACGGCCTATTGATCGCTGAGCCGAGCATGCCGAAATCCTCGCTCCCCAGCACATTCTTCACGCTAGGATCGTGAGCCTCGGGACCGAAATATGCTGTGAATGATTTGTTGATCTCGCCAGCGACGGCGTCATCGTTGACCGTCAGCGGAAAACTCGACGTCTCTTCGATCAGCGGTTCCTTCGGGCAATTCCCCGCCAGGCACTCCGCCTGGATAATCCTCTTGACCGAGGCGAGCAATCTCTCGCGCCATGCGGAGCTCACGCTCCGAATATTAATCTTGAGAACCGCTTCGTCGGAGATGACGTTCTCGGTGCTCCCGGCTTGTAGCGCGCCGACGGTGACCACGGCGGTTTCGTCCGGCGGGACTTCCCGCGACACGATGGATTGCAGGCGCACGACGACGTGGGATGCGATAACGACCGGGTCGATCGTGCGGTGCGGCATCGAGCCGTGCCCGCCGCTGCCGTAGATTGTGACTTTGAAGCTGTCTGCCGCGGACATGACAGGCCCGGCGCGAGTGGCGGTCTTGCCTGCCTGGAGAGGGAAGACGTGCTGGCCCAGCACGATGTCCGGGATAGGGCAGGCGTGTTTTTCCGCGGCGTAGAGACCGTCGTCGATCATGGCACGAGCACCACTTCCGCGTTCCTCGGCGGGTTGGAACAGGAAGACGATGGTGCCTGACCATTTTGAGCGGGCGGCGATAAGGGTCTCCGCGGCCGCGAGGAGGGATGTGATGTGGAAATCATGCCCACAAGCGTGCATGACCGGTTTGACGAGGCCGTCCGTATCGCGCATGGTCTTCGTGCTGGCATAGTCGAGGCCTGTCTTCTCCTGCACGGGCAAGGCGTCGATGTCGGCTCGAAGCAGGATCGTCGGGCCGGAGCCATTCTTGAGGATGGCGACTTGGCCGTGCCCGCCGATACCAGTGCGTATGTCTAGATCGGACGAGAGCTTCTTCAGGCGGTCGGTGATGAGCGCGGCCGTCTCCTTCTCCTGGGTCGACAGCTCGCCGTTGGCATGGCAGTGCTTGTACAGCTCTTCGTATGGTTTCAAGTCCGGTCGATACTCCTTGATGACTGACGCGAACGGTGCGCTGTGCCTGGTCGCATTGGGCTCCCCCATAGTTGAAGTTCGATCGCAGATTGAAGGAGTTGGCAGAAAGAGTTTCCTACCAAGGCACATGAGCACCAGTTACTATTGGCATTGCACCATCTTCTCCGCACCACGGACGAGGTCTGCCACCGTCGCCGCTGTTGATCCATGGAGAAGTCCGCCATCTGGAAAGGGCCGCCCGCAATAAACAGAATCTCCCACGCTATGCCTCTGTCGCTTAATCCAGCTCTCGTGCAAACTCGACTTGCGCCATCGCTAATCAGGACATCACCCAGAACATTACTCCGTACTCTTCCTTAAATCTCGACATTCTCATCTCCACCTGCACCGACAACAGGCCGGATGCTCCTGGTCCTCCCACTCGGTGCTCCTCGAACTGTTCTCACCACTCGACTTCTGACACTTGAAGCCTTCGCCCGCAAACTCGATGATCTGCTCAGCGTCTTCGCAGTCCTCTTGGGACTCTCCCTCTCGATCAATGCTGTCGTGGATGTGTTTGAAACCACTCTCCCTTTGACCGTCTTACCTTTGGCAGCAGCCACAAGGGTCTTGAGTTTTGATGGCCGGCGGGATAATCCTTTTATAACTGTTGCGCTGGTCTTCTTGGAGACCACTTTCCTGATGACGTTTCCCTTTTGCACCTTGCCTGCACTGGACGCTTTCCGCGTGGAAATAGTGGCCGTCTGCGTGGAAGAGACCTTCATCTTCTTCGTGACTCGACTTGTCGTTCCTTCTAGAGCATCGGCGAGCTTTCTCTTCGCTCCAGCCAGTTTGCTGCGACCCTTGATGACTTCAACGTCCGGGCTCTTCTGTTTCCTGTCCTCTTTAGGTCGTGGTCCGAGGACTCCGCGGCACTTTTCGGCGCCGCATCTACACTCCTGAACGTTCTTCTGCGAATAAGGGTCGAAATTGTAGTCGTAAGTGAGTTCTTCTCCTGTCATGATCCCGCGTTCGCCTGCAAATAGAGCCATCCGTGGTTTGCCGTTGACCGTCCACTTCTCCATCCTGCAGTTAGGCTCGCACGAGTGATTGACAAACCGAGCGATGGAGCCACGTGTAGCATCAATGATCATATTCTGGTCAAAGAGCATTAAATAGTAGCACTGCATTCAGGTCAGTGAGTTTCTCCAGAAGTGATTGGTGCGCTGCTATACCTCGTTATTCTTATACATTTTCCTCATCCGATGTTCGCATTCTTCTTGCGTGATGATCTCGCCCGTGTACTCCACAATGATCTGATTAGGATCAAACATGCGATTGCTTCGGACGCCATAGCCTCTATCCTCCGTCTTGATCACTTCCACGCCAATATTGTATTTGCCGCCTTTCTTGACACGTTGGCGGAGCCCCTCGAATGCACGGTTGCCGCATTGCTCGGGGTTCAGGTCGCAGTTCTTGTCGTCGCACTCGTAATACATGTAGCGATTCATGCAGTTGTGGTCACAGCCTGTCTCGGCCTTACAGAGACAGCTTGAGTGCTCCTCGAACTTGTCGACTCGCCACGCTTGGGCAGCGTCTCCCACGAAGACGTTCTTGTTGACTTTCTTCCACTCGTCTGGCTTGGGTTGGCCTGCCGGCAAGGGAGAGAAAACGTCGAAGGGGAGCTTGAAATCCCGACCTTGCTTCAAGACACGTTCTGCGGCGAACATGGGCAGCGGCAGCACTCTGTTCTCCCTGGGTGGCTCCGCGACAGTAGTGCTCTTCCGCTTGTTCTTGCTCTCGGTGAGACGCCCATCGAAGGTCCGAGGCTGACCAGCATAAAGACCTGAGGTGAGCCATTTCTTCTCCCGTCGTCGAGCGGGCTGTCGAGGCTGCACAGGCTCGTCGGGGACAGGAGCATCCCCTTCACTCACACGTCTCTTCTTTGGTATAGGTTCTTCGGACGTAGACTCCGTGCCGCCCATGCTTTCGGGTCTCGAGCTGTTGTGAAGCTCTGCAACGCGGTCCTTCCTCTTCCCGAGCACGCTATTGGCAAAGCTAGACATGAGTTCTCCAGCCTTCTCGAGGACAGGAACCCTTGAGGACCTCCTCGTAGCCTGTTTGTCGGCAGCTTTGCGTCGTTGTTCCCACGACTTGTTGTTCTCGTCCATTTTGGCTTTCTTTGCCGCAGCTTTCTCTCTGCGAATGCGCTCTTCCTCGGCGTCCTCTGCATCGTCTGGCATCTGCTCAGTCTCATTGACTTTGGCGCTCTTCTCTGCGAGCAAGGCCTCATGGCCTTTGTCCGTAAACACCCCACTCATATTCCAGGGCAGATCCAAAGCTGCAACACCCTCTTTCAGCAGAGTAGATTGGCTCGCATTGTCCAAGTTGACCAAGGTCTCGCCGCTGACAGATCTACCTTTGGCCAGCTCATCCTGAACCTGCTCAATCAGACCAGCCTGGCTTTGGTTGTTTGCAAGACGGCGACTGACGCGTCGTGCGCGGCCTTTCGGTACTTCATTCATCGTCATTGCCTGCGCATCATGTGCAGACACGTCGACCGAGCTCTCGGACGGCGTGGGGAGTTGTTGTTGTCGGGGCGGATCAGGGAGCACAACTATCGTGTCTGGGTCTGTTTCTGACGAGGCCGAGCTGGGGGTTCGAACAAGTACAGGCCGTGATTCAGAGGAAGTGCCCGTAGCAGATTTCGGGTTCTCGACACGGCCCCGGTAGAAGTTGAGGAGGGTCTGGCGGAGTGGCATTGTTGTTGCCAACGGGCAGAGCCCGACCTTGGACACCAGCGAATTCGACGCGTCAAACTGGGATAGTAGCGTGCAAGTAGACCGCCGTATAGAACTATACACGTCTGGAGGAGGATATTGCCTGAGATACGCGTGTGCCCTGCGCAGTTTGGAGGATGCAATAAACAAGAGGCTGGAGCATCAGAGGGGGTGCGAGATTGGGAAATGGGTCTTATGTCTCCATGACAAGGGCGACATGCCGCTGCTCCACCAATTACAGCTGCACGGCCAACAAAGCGGCCGTCAAGCACAATAAACATTCCACAGGCCGATACTCGTATGTACCAGACTTGAGCAATGCTTGTCGTGTTTCAGTCGGTGCTCAGTCCATGTGATGGAAACATATGATTTCATTCCATAGCCTGGGATACACCTGGTGTCCGACATGGGACCAATTACACTATTATACACGCTCATCGGGCCTCTTGCTTCGAGAACGTCCTCGCTGTAGGACCTTCGAAGGTCTTTTGAGAGCCTTGAACAGGCTTCATCTCCATCTCTCCATTCTTCGCCTCTGCAGTCAACGCTGCTTGTCGGTCCCCTCGCCGGCCACCAAAGCGCTGATCGCCCTCCTCGTACTTTTTCTTAAAGTGCAGATAAGTCGCCGGCTTCGGCCGAGCGAGAACTGTGATCCAGTTCTTGATGACGTTTCCTTGGGTGAAAGGTCGATGCCTCTCGGCTTTGGGAAATCTCCGTGACGCCAGATATTCTCTGGTTGTCTCACCCTTGCCGACCAGCAGTAAGTGATACACCCATAATGCAAACGGGTACGCAAAGCCCAATAGCCCATATATGAACATAGCGAACGGAACTCGGTTTCGGTCTATCGCCTGTCCCAAGGAGACATGCCTTTGGCGGTGATAGGCCAGCACATGGCCTAAAGAGGCGAAAGCCAGGTAAAGACCCAACAGGGTGGCCGAGGTGACAAAGGCGAAGAAATAACGATAGTTGCGGCGACCCACACAGTTGTTCAGCCAGACGCAGTGGTGATCAAGGGTCTCCACACAATTGTCGCACACCCGACAATGATAGCATCGAGGGGGTCGCCAAATGTTGCAGGTCTTGCAGTACTTGACCGGCACATCCATAGCCGCTGTTTGTGAGGTAGCAAGTCGTACCATGACCCAGTCATTAGTTGGTGGCCCCAGAGCGAGGGGATCACTATTCTCCTCGGGTGGGAAGGGATGGATATTTCGAGGGAATACCTGTGCATAGTCAGAAACAGTACGGAACTATGCCAGAGTGGTCTTACTCCCGGATCAACAAGAGAAGCGTGAAGAAATGAAGACAAACAAATGAAAAATAGGTAAGCGAATATTAGTGGTACAGCGGGCGAGACATGATGCCACAGCCATGGAGCCCTGGAATGGTCAGTCCACGTTTAAGCTGCCTCACGATCTTTCAACTTACGAGTACACAAAAAATAGGATAGCCGGAAGGACCAAGAACACGCCCGTAGCTATATTGATGGGACGATCGCGAGCATTTTGAAGCCGTCCGCCCAGCCAAAAGATAGTGTTGCCTTCGAAATACTCATAGTTCTTACCCAAAGCGCTCTTTTTCGCCACCTCCGCATTAGACTCGGGAGGGTAAGCTGGGGAAGTGACATTTGAGGATAGCTGTTGATGGCCTGCTTCCAGCCGGTGTTTGCTGCCCAGGCTGAGGCCAGACCGAAAGGACATCGGTGACTTCTGGGGTGCTTCGCCACCTTTATTGGTTGTAGCTATGTTGAGGCGGGATGGGCGGTGTGGTTTCTGGGCAGGTGCGCCATTGACTAGCTGCGTATCGGCTTCATGGTGAGAAGCAAAGTCGGGAGACACGGCATCCGGAGTGTCTGGTGCCTCTGACTGAGTATACTCGGTTGTGATGGACGGTGCTGGACGATGGGTGGTGGGCATCGCATGGAAAGGGCCCTGTCTACTAGACGCCACACTTCGCGCATCCTCGTCTCCATCACCGTCCGGAATGGGTGTCGGATTCTGCATCGCCCTCGATCCCGGAGGTTTTCTTAGTCTTTGCGCCTGCAATCTCTGAGAACTCATGGGTTTGAAGAAGCCTTGTGCAGTCAATGACGGAACGTGGGTGCGACTGGCCAGCGAGACCGGACTCTGCGGGCGACTAGACCCTGCAGTACTGGAAGGCGCGGCGGGTATCGCCGGAGAAGCGTTGCTTCTTATCGACCGGTTCGTAGGTTGTGTGATGCCTCTGAGATGGGCGTAGCCATGCTGGGACGTGGGCGGATTAGGAAGGGCAGGCGGAGGGACGCCCGATTGCGGTCGAGAAACGTAACCATCTTCGGATATGGCTGATGATATCTCGCTGCGAGCGGTCTCCGGCCGAGCAGCCATTACTGTAGACAGGTACAGGATAGCGTCACGAGTGCAACGTTCGGTGCATGTTCAAGCGGTTGGACTGAGATGCACGAGTGGAGGAGGCCGTTAACGCCGGGTCGCAGTATGTCGCACAGAAAGATCGCAGGTTATGTCGCTGCTTGGGGGCGCATTAAGTTGGCAGAATGAGTGGGAGAGCCATGGCCGCGACGGTAAAGTGAGGGTGAGGCATTAGCCAGGCTGATGAGAGTGAGAGTGAGGGAAAGGAAGCGGATGAGCATTTCCGAGATTCGAACATGACTTCAGGGGCACAGCCGAGACGAGCCTGGACGAGCCCGCAGACCCTAGCACAGCTCCGGCAAAGCATATGTTGATAGCACGCAGTTAAGCTAAGCTCAATTCGGCAGCATCCAACGGAGACTGCGGACTGTCAGTCGACTTGCATCATTCGCAACTCACACCACCATCTCGTACCTTCTTCAGCAACAATCCACGTCCACCACCGTCCTTCATCCACCCTCAAGATGGCTTTTGTCGCAACATTGGCTCGTCATGCAGCTAAGTCGCCAAATACGGCGGCCGGCAAGGAAGCAGTTTTGAAGAGGGGTGCCCGCCGAGATCCTGAGCTTTATGTATGCCATTGTGGCCGCCAGCCCACCCTGCGAAGCAGTTTCTGACGTCTCCCAGATTCTCCTAGGTGTCATGACCGGCGCGTTCGGACTTGCTGGCTTCTATTTTGGCCGCAAGCCTACCACCGCCACCTCAGAAGCCGAAGTCTCAGTCGCCAGCAGCTCGATGCCCTGGCAGATCGACCACGATCACGAGGACCATTCCAAGCACTTTAAATACCAATATCACCCCAAGGGCGACAAGAACCAGGCCCCCAAGAATGCTCCCAGTGCATTGAACACAGTCGTCGTTCCAAATGTGACCTTACCGAAGGTACGTCCTTTCTCAATATCTGTGCTCGGCTCCATCTAATAGCTTGTTTTAGGCCATTCACGACGCTTTCAACAAGTGGGGAAAGGAGGGCTATTAGGAGAATTATCAATTTGGTCACGCTCACCAAGGGTCTTTCAGGTGTGCCAGCTAGACCAGCAAAACGGATTGAAATATCATATATGATTTGTCGCAAGTGTACATATCCTTCAGGGATGCAGCGAAGAAGAAATCATTCAAAAGTTCTACGTTCCAGAAGTTCCGTTTGGTTCTTGTCATCTCGGCTCGGAGTGTCTCAACCATATCCCAAGAGTTATAGTACCGCTGAATGGACGTTCATCCTAACCAGTTTGAATCGCCTGCTCGTGCTCTTATGCACTTTGCAGGGGATTTTTGACGCCCTTCTTGCGCAGGGGACATGCTTACACCAGGCTTTCATGGTCACTGGCGGTATCTCCGCCCCAAGCGCGGTGAAAGGCACAAGAACCAAGTATGTCATACGCCGTGGAGTCCTGATTCTAAAGTACCCATTTTCAGTCCGGACGATCTCCCGCACCATCAACCAGGGCCACGAGTATTATGGTCAGAATGCAAGATCAGCCGAAGACGAGGCCACGCTGTGACTATCGGGACGAAGCGTAATCTATTGAAGCAGTTTCAGATTGCAACGGACGGCCCGGGAACCCCAGCCTAGTTGAAGCTGTTTGACAGCAAAAGAGCTCTGTCGCTTTGATGTACTCTTCCAGCCTATCAGTAACCCCGATCTTGTTGAAAGTTGCAGGTTTGTCATATGCAGCATTCCTTCCCGGAGGAAAATCCTTCAATGCACAGACGGCCTTCCCTTGCCCAATGTAAAGCATCGCGACGGGAAATTGCATGAAACCAGAAGGTATGAGATTCGACCCTAGGTTGCATATTTCTCGGGTCTCGAGACTAATCATCCGGTGGACGTGTGCCACACCATAGTTTGACCGTACACATACATGCTTTACTACTATACACCTATGGCATCCGACGTGGGCTTGAAACAAGACATTTTCATATTGTTAATCCCTGTGACGCCACACGCTCATGCGAATTTGCTGTGTAATGTGCTGATACATTGTCGTTCTCCCGACTCGCGTTTAAGAAACTTATGCTGCCTCAAATCCACATCCCCGTCTTGACAATAAGACATCCTGGAGAGGTGCATTCAAGAACGACTCTTGTTCAACTCGCTCTGGGCAGTGGCAGTCGGCCCACCAGCAACAGGTCTGGCACCACCAGTCACCTTCTTCTCTCCCTCAGTGATATCGTGAAGGGTGTCATGGTTGATGGGTTCATTGGCATGCTTCTGGGCTTGAGCAGTTGGACCACCAGCAATAGGGTTGGCAGAGCCACTGAGGCCTTTCTCGGCGTCTGTGATCTTGGAGATGGTGCTACTGTCTAGTGTGCCCGTTGCTGGAGTGTTGTCGGTGTTGGAAGAAGTACCGTTACGTTCCCGGGCAAGGATAGATTGAGCAGTCGACGTTGGACCACCTTTGATGCGTTCTCCACCTGTTGTCTTCTTCTCGCCTTCTGTGATGTCGTGCAGGGTCTGAGAGTTTATGGGCTCGCCAGCGTGGGATTGGGCTTGAGCTGTTGGACCCCCTTTGACCACTTCGTCAGAGTTGGTGATTTTCTTTTCGGCTTCGGTGATCTTGGAAATGTTCTCGGAGTTGAGAACTGGGTTGGAGGCCATTCTGAGAGAAGTGGAATGGAAAGGTGCTGTCAAGAATGAAGTAGGGGATGATGCCGGAATCGTTCTCTTGAGTAAAGACCTTGTTGTTGTTGTTGTTGCTGAAGAGGTAGTGGTTCTGAAGAGAGAAGAGAAAGCACAGAGGAGACGGTGAGAGATATTAAAGGAAAACATCATTTGTGACGAAAGAGCAGGAGCTTTCTATGAGATACCACGGACTGAAGGCAGGAACCTTTCACTTTCAACGCGACTCGTCGAAAATTGATTCAGGCCAGCTGCAATGTCAAGGGATTTATGACCTCGAGCCTATCAACATGGCGCCGATCACCTCTATTAAACTTGGAGTGCTGTGTTACTGGAGGCATCATTGACTCGGGAAAAGTTGAGGAGAGGTTGTGGATCTATGACTCGCTGTCGCAATGATCCTTACGACATGAGCCCGATGCCAGCCTTGCGGACTCCAGCCAATCAAAGGAGGCTGGCCTCCGAGCATTGTCGGCCGATGATCAACCGCATCGTGAAGCAATGCCTGGATTAACACTGTACATAGTACGGAGTACTCAGCAAAGAATAAGTGAGAAACAACGGACTACACATATCTACTCGGAAATGATATAGTTGCAGGCTAAGCAGGCATGCCAGGAGGATGAAGCTACATTCACTGAGCAGACAGCGAGATATCGCACTGCTAACATCTATCCTCCGCATTTCTCAACCAATTTGCGCCAGCTGTACTCGTCCCAAGTACCGGAACCACGGTGATGCACGAAAACCTTCCTCGCCGCGTTCCTTCTCCGTCCTCAGCCGACCTCCCCCAAACTATCCCGGCCATGTCCCGCTTACCAGTGTCGAACGTGTTGGTCTCGCAATCGGAAGTGCCATCGCCTCTCTAATTGACCCTTACCGGCACGACATGATTGCGGCGTGCGGAGAAGCCACAGCGCAACCATTCTTTATCTCCTGGCTGCGCAAGCGGATGCTCTCGGATCCCACTGGCAGGCGCATATTGCGAGACAGACCGCGGATAACTTCGAAGACGATGTCGTTGGAGAAGCTGCGACAGTTGCCGGAGAATAGTGTTGGGAGAGTGTACGCCGCATGGCTCGATAGAGAGGGGGTGACGCCAGACACAAGAGACGCAGTGAAGTATGTTGACGATGAGGAGGAGGCATACGTTATGCAGCGATATCGTGAATGCCACGACTTCTACCATGCCGTGACGGGGCTGCCGGTGTGGGTAGAGGGTGAGCTCGGACTGAAGGCATTTGAGTTTGCTAATACCGGGCTGCCCATGACTGGGCTCGCCTTAGCTGCAATGGTTCGGCTAAAACCACGAGAGAGGCGGAGGATGTTCCAGACTTTCTTGCCCTGGGCGTTTGCGAACGGTTGGAAGAGCAAGGACCTGATCAACGTGTACTGGGAGGAAGAACTTGAGACGGATGTTGCGGACTTGCGTAACAGACTGGGCATCGAGCAGCCGCCTGATCTGAGAGCCATCAGGAAGAAACTGAGGGAAGAGCGCAAGGCTGCAAAGGCTGCCTTATCATAGGCACAGATCTGAATACCAAAGCATGACCATTGAGGGGTATCATATGCAAACGCTCGAAGACTTTTATTCTTGTGGCCCTTCAGGACTCCTTCAACAGGTCATCCAGGTCGTCATCGTCCCAACCGCCTCTTCTTACGACTTTGACGCTCTCCATTGTCTGGCCAGTCTGCTTCTCATGCTCGGACAGGCTGGCTAGCATCTCTTTCAGTTGAGTCTCGGTGACCTTCTGCCGGAGTTGACCTGACCGGGCAAGCATGATCAGTCGGTTTTCGACATCCGTGGCGCGTGACTCTTTGACCATGCGTATCCTGCCCAAACGGTCTGCGGCTTCTGGCTCAAGGATCTGAGCAAGCATATGCGAGCGTGCCTCCGACTCTTGTTTTCTGCGGTGGAAAATCAGCCGTGTCCTGGTCACAATGCCGCCTGTCTAACCTCGCCTGTTCTTCCTCGCCATTATCGCCTGATCCTCCACCTTGCTTCTGCTTCAATTGCGCAAGACGCGCAGCGCGAATCTAGTCATTCTTAGATAGTGTCACCAACAAATTGCGCCAACACACCTGAGCCAAGTCGTCGTCTGCCATGATGGCCTTGAACAGAGTCGAGTTTGAAGAATACTGTGAAAAGTGGGATGCGGGCTTCGCCAGCCAGTGGCAAGCGGGGCAGCACTCTTGAGCACTGTATGAGGTACTTCCCAGGTGGTCCAGGCGCTTCTACGGAGTGCACAGCAGTTCGTTTAGGTAAACCGCCATTGGCGCAGGGAGCCACAACAGCCCAAATCCTCCGGAGCAGCTCCAGTAACGGCGGCGTCATGATTCTGTCGCCCGCAGTCAGCGGCCACTGACCGTCTCGACCAAACCCTCCCGGACACTCGTAATAATACCTATGATTTACTCCTTATCGTGTTACATATTGTCCACGGGACCGCCCCAGGTTTTCTCCCAGGTCAGCTCATCTGACTTTTGCCGCTCTGATTCTCGCGTCTCGCTCGCTTGTTGCCCTTCGGTTATTCGGCTGCTGCACTTCTGGCTAAAAGCCGCGCTTGCTACGCCCACGTTGCAGGCCTTGTCTGCCACTTAGACGACGGCGGCTACCAGCATGTGTTACACAGCAGCTGCATAGAACAACTCACACTCGCCCGACTTAGACTGCGCAATTATGAATGCGTGGGCAGTGCACAGCCCCTTCTTGGGAGCTGGCACGTCTACTCACTCGCGGTCACTCTCTCTGGGGCCGCCCATGACAGCCTCACCACGGAACCACCTGGCCAAAGCACAGTCGGCTTCAAGCCTACGGACGATGGCGACCATCGACGACTCTCCACCTGAACATCCAGGGCGGCATAGGACCTCTCCAGAGACCTCCTTCCGAACTATCGCAGACCCGAGAAACGCGAGCACTTCCGACCTTTCCAGATCTGCCTCTAGCTCCTCGAAACACGGCGATGTTAACCCCGAAGTCGCGGCTTTGAGCGACAAGCTCATTAGTGCCATTAACCATCAGACTACCCTGGACGATACCCTTGCGCAGACGAGGCAGGAACTGGAGGCATCAAGGGCACGGATCGCGAAGCTAGAAGCAGAAGCCAAAGCCTACGAGGAGAGAATATCACGAGGAGAGCTTCTGCCCAAGGCGAAGCTCGATGAGGACAAAGACAGGCTCATTGCGGAACTGGCAGAGGAGAAGAAGCAGAAGGCTCAAGTGTTGCAGGAGAAGCGCGGAATAGAGTCAGAGTTGGAAACCCTGACAGCGTCGCTTTTCGATGAAGCAAACAAAATGGTCGCCTCGGCCAACAAGGACCGCGATGCTGTCGAAAAGAAGAATCAACAGCTCCGCGACCAGATCAAGGATGGTGAAGCCGTCATAGCCTCCCAAACGGAACAGTTGACGGAACTGAAAATACTCATGCAGCAGATTGGGCCCGCCTCCGATCACCGCAAGGAAATTGACTCACCTCGTGTATCGCTGGCACCGTCAAGTCCAGGTGTGACCCGAGAAGGAAGTGATCTCGCGCGTCTCCTCGAAGCCATGAATCTCTCGCCGGTTACTCCCGAGCACGGTGAACTCGTGCCCAGTCCTTCTACACAACTTACCCATCTTGTCAAACCACTTTGCAGGACGGATATCCCGGCCTACGAAGACTTCAAAAGCCTTGTACAGACATCGCACTTCCGTTCTCATAATCCATCACACGCACCTTCCAGAGCCGGGTCTGGCTCGTACGGCGGGCTCAACGTAATGGGTCTTGGATCTTTAAGCAACAGTTCTCAGACAAACCTTTCACAAAACTCGCAGCCAGCCACCTCAAAACTCGCCAATTCCCCGAATTTGCCCGGATCATTCAGTCCTAACCTGGACCCCAAGGGCCCGGCACCGCTTAAGGAGACGAAGTTTTTCAAGCGTCTTCTAGTCGAAGATATCGAACCTACTCTGCGGCTCGACAACTCCCCATCACTTTCCTGGCTGAACAGACGCAGCATACTTGCAGCCCTAGGAGAATCGACGCTGATCGTAGAACCTATACCTGAAGCGTCGATCAAATTGTACGGCAAGTATACGCCTTGCGCTATTTGCGGCGAGAGTAGAAAGCAAGACGAAAATCCTCGGACGCACGCTATGCGTGTCCGCGAAGGCGAGGGCGCCACAAAATGGTGTATATGCTCCCTCTGCCTGGAAAAGGTACGCGGAGTCGGCGACCTGGTAGCCTATATACGCATGGTTCGCGAGGGTGTCGTCAAGGTTGGGGACAAGAAAGACGAGGAGGATGCCTGGGAGGAACTTGTCCGGCTACGAGAACGCCTTTTCTGGGCAAGGATGGCCGGAGGTGTGGTGCCAGCCTTTATCCCGACACCGAAACAAACGCCCGTGGATGGTGGGAAGATGAGCGCCGAGCTTGAGCGCGCGAGGGAAGACAACAAGGAAAACAGTACGCCTGACAGAGAGGTGATAACGCCGCCGGAACAAATCGCAACAACAGAGCTAGGCGCCAACTCTGAGCGTTCGACGCCCGGTACCGACGAGCCTGACGATGAATCGCCGGAAGAAAAAGCCGCGCGACTCCAGCTCCAAAATGGCCTCGATGAAAGCCTCACCACGTTCGAGAACGTGCAAAACAAGAGGACAAGCCTCGGCGGTGGTCAGAACTCATCAACCCCTCCTTCAACGCCTATACAGCAGAGAAATCACCCTAAAAAGGACTCTCTTGGCGGCATCAGCTTCCCGAAAATCAACATTCCCAAGTTGCCGCAAGGATTTTAGGAAAGTCAGGTCAACACTTTACACTAGACCTGGAGAAAGTCATGCAGCTAGAGCTGCGACGTGTCATGTGGATGGACGATACCCTAGAAGGGAATTTTGTACAGTATTCAAGACGCGACGGACGAAGGACAGCCTAGGCAGGGGATGGCTCATGTCTCTGTGGATGGAAGCTCCTCGATGTGCACGACCGATTTTCGTTCGGTGCACGCCGTGCTCGCTGACCTCTATGCACTGTCTGGGCTAGCTGCTGCTCTCTAGTGAGGGCACTTCTGTACAATACAACATACAAGCGATATTAATATTTGTTTGCCTTATATGACGGGGGCAAGAAGGACATGACGGGACGAGGTCAAGTGACAATTTTCCAAAAGCAATGTTCTTCAGTCGGTTGGGCCGGAACCAGAGCGATACATTACATGCCATGCAGAACGTAGTTCACGCTGTGGGGGGTAGCGTGGGTGGGATGTCACGAACAGGCACTTACAAACACACGCACACGTACCTACTCATACGGTATACATAGATGATACGCCCGGTCATCCTGGAAACATGGGCCCAACTATACGTACCTACAAAATCCCCGGACGGACCTCCGTGTCTACGTGCGTGCACATGTGTATGCGCGAGTGTACGTACGTATGGATATAGTCAGGAGTCCATCCCAGTCCCTCCCTTCTCGACCGCGCTAAGCGGATACGTCTCCCACGCCTGCTCGAAGCCCACGTTCCTCGCCCAGCGGTCGCCATACTCGGGCTTCACGCGGTCCAGCACCATCATAGAGACGCGGCGCCACATGTCTGCCTTGATTTCCCATGGGGCCACGTCATCATCACACGCGACCTTGTCCGGCTCCGGCGTCTGAGACCCGTCCGCGCCATCGTGGACGTGGCTGTCACCATTGCGGATATCCATATCCGTCGAGGCATGGTTGGCGCGGTCGTTGAACGACAACGGCCTGCTGCAGACCTGCTCGCCATTTCTTTAGCGCGCGGAAGAATTTCACGACATGTCCGTCGTCCATGGTTGTCACGGCCTCTCGATACATGTCTTCCCGGTCGCGCAATTCGCTTTCGGTACAGTCAGCAGCGGGATATGCGCTGATCTCATCGACAAGGAGCTTTGGGCTGCCTCTGCTTGCGTACAGCGCGAGATCCAGTCGTCCCTTCCATTTCGATGATGCGGCCTTTGGTGGGGCAGGTCAAGCCAGCGTTGTGTCAGAAATACAGTGAGAAAGAGAAGTCGTGGCGAGGGATTGTATATCTCCTACCCATTATTTCCGCCTTTCCAGCGACGCCACATTACGTCTTGCGGCACAAGATCTCACCATGTGGGATAGCAAAGAATGCATCTTCATGAGTCGGCCAGATCTTCCAGGCTTCAGATATACCCTTGATCTCATCTTCTGTCGCGAAGCCCTCTCTGACGGCTGTTCCTGTGAAGCCAGGCTGTAGGATCCTGCCCGACCAGCTTTGAGCGAACTGGCTCACTCTTTCCCCGCTGTACCTCCAGGTCGCCCAGGTAGCAGTGATTTCGCCAGGCGCGAAGCCAGCTTGTCGCGCCCAGACATGGACATATCGCCCGGCATTGGGCTCACCTCCATTTGTCTTGGCAACTTTCTGGTAGAGTTCAGCCCATCTGGCAACCTCGGGCGTTTCAGGATACCAGGCAAAGGATTTGTAATCTGCGTCCCGAGCGGCAACGATACCTCCAGGCTTCGCGACTCGTCGCATTTCTGTTAGGATTCTGACGGGGTCTTTGACGTGTTGCAGCACTTGATGGGCAAACACAATATCGAAAGAATTGTCGGGGAACGGCAGAGCATTTCCGTCGATCTTCTGGAAGGTGATGTTTGTCAAGCCTCTGGAGGAGGCGAACTCTCTTGCTTGCTCCAGGACAGATTCCACGGCATCACCACCAATGACGTTGCCTTGCGGTACAAGAGCCGCTAGGTCGGCTGTGATGGTGCCTGGACCACAGCCAACGTCGAGGATAGTGTGATTGGGTTGAATATGTGGTAGAAGGAAAGCCGCAGAGTCCTCAGCTGTTCGGCGTGCATGGTCCTGTACCACGGACTTGTGGTGTCCGTGGGAGTAGATTGCTTGCTCTTGAGCCATTGTTAATATTGACCTAGGTAGGTGTCTATTGAGGTTCAGAGGCTGTCTGTGACGGGCCGCCTACGTTCACTTGCGGCCGCTCAGCTGTTAGAAGAGATTGAAGTTACACTACCTGAGTAAACTGACCGTTCGCTTGTAGTGCATATATAACCGAATGAAGACGTGACAGGGAAATGGCCGATATCGGCAGTTGTCGTACTCAACTTCTGGATTTGCACGGCTGGCACAACGCCTGATTCCACCAATTCTACTGATGACTCGATGCGGGGAAAGCAAGTCAAGAGTTCATCTATTGTCCCTTCTCGCATGGCCTTGCACTTTCCGACCCTTGCGCAGCCAGTACCGATAAAGGAGGTCGGCAGCAGCAGTTCGGCTCAAGATAATGATCGTCCCGTTCCTTGCTCTGTACCGACGGAGATATGGTATCTCCCATGGGAAAGCCTAGGCTCGGTAAGAAGTAAGAGGACAGGAGGTCAAGGTGATTATGATGGAATCTGCGGAGAGTTCTAGCCGTCAGTCATTGACAGGAGAAATGCGCCGTCACAATGTGGTCACGTACCTCTCACGTGACTGCGCGCCAACACGGACCGGTGGCCCACAACCAAAAGCGGCGTCACCAAGTTTCCCAGCAACAACGGAGAGTCCGACTTGGCAGTAAATGGTCGCCTGCTTCTCTTCTCTATCACTCTCAATATTGCGGGCACTTATCAGTGCTTGTCAGTGTCCGGTATGTGATCGTCAATGGGTCTTCTTATGCCATCGGGCTATCTTATGTGAGGGACTGCCACGATGTCACTCCTCTTCGTCATCCTTGGGTATGTTAGTTGCATCCTTCGGTCTCTACTTGTTCTTGTCTGCATCGAGCCATGGACCAACCCCCACGTCAATGGCGACACGCCCCCATCGACCTACGAAGCCTGGTACGACGAGCAATCCGTCCGTGATGCCATTCGAGGGGTGGATGATTGGGCGGTGACGGATCGTCATCCTCGCTATGACTGGCAAGTCCTCCGGACCATGAAAAAGGATCTCGAGCGATGCCGAAGGCTGGGCGATGAAAGAGGATTGTGCAGTCAACTACGAGCTCAAAGCTCCCGCAACATGTGTCGTGTTCTCTCACCAGCGCTCTACCGGAGGTCTCATATACAGACCAAGAAACTCATTCATGACTACATTCAGGAAGTGCAACAATGTATCAGGTATCTCGGAGAGCGAAACGGCGTCACCAATGGAGCTGCCTCTGTTGTTCCCGCCCAGGAAAGGCGGCAGGTCATTGTGGATATGCGCACTACACTTGGCCGCACGAGCCTGGTACTCCAGGGAGGGGCCATGATCAGCATGAGCCATTTAGGGGTTGTGAAAGCACTCTATAAGCAACAGCTGCTTCCCAGGATCATCACAGGTACATCATCCGGAGCTCTGATTGCTGCACATATCTGTGTGACTAAGGACGAAGATCTTCTGGGAGTGCTCGAGGTCACGCATATCAACCTCGACGCTTTTCTTCGCTCCCAAAATAACCACTCTGCAAGTGGCGCTTCGTCGTGGCTGCAGTCTTCATTCTTCACAACAATGCAGCGGCGTTACAGGCGATATCGTACCTCACACCATGTGTTTGATATCGACGTCCTCAAAGAATGCACCCGAGAAAATCTTGGGGATGTCACTTTTGAGGAAGCATACCACAAGACGGGGAGGATTCTGAATATCACGATCGCCATGTCCGAGGTCACCGGTACGCCACAGCTCCTCAACTACCTGACAGCGCCTCATGTCCTTGTAAGGTCTGCAGTAGTGGCATCAATCGCCACATCGAAGGCGATGTATGCGCCCGTCCAGCTCCTGTGTAAGGATCCTGCAGGCGCCATTGTTATGTACTTCGCTGCCGACTTCTCAGAGAAGGACCACGACCATCGCAAATCAACCGTGCACCCGGAAGCGCCGTTGACGAGGATAGGAGAACTGTTCAACGTTAACCACTTCATAGTGTCACAAACCAGACCCTACATCGCACCATTCATCCAACTGCAGAAAGTTGCGGATCGTTATGAACCCTTGGGCCTGCTAGTTCGTTTCACTCTATCGGAATTGCGGCATTGGCTCGAAGTGTTGAACCGGTTCAACATGCTGCCGACTTTCCTACAGCGGGTCTTGATGGACGAGGTCGTGCCCACCATGGCATCGTGGTCCAAGGTATCAATCACTTCCCAGATCGGACTCCTGGATTTATTTAGAACATTCGATACGCCTACCCCAGTGAAGCTGCAGTACTGGAGTGCCCGGGGAGAAAAGTGCACGTGGCCATACATCTGTGAGCTGAAGGTCCGCTGCGACATCGAGCTTGAGCTTGATGCGGCCTATACAAGTCTGCGTCGACGCGGTGGGATGGGATCGACGATTCGGCACAGAGCGGACCCCTAAAGCTAGACCTGGGGCAAGCGAGCGCCACATCGCTAGAAAATGTGATTGGCTGTCGCCATCGTTCGGCTATCCCACGCTATGTGGCTGTGCAAACGTTGTGGCGTTTCCTCGATTCCCTGGCCGATCATGGCTTGCAAAGTGACATCATTTCCCCGATCGACTGGGCACGCCGTTACGCCTGCCATGGAGGAGCAGAACCCTGAAATAATGCCTGCGGTCTGCTGTTGGTACGTCGTCGCCCTCAGCTGTTTGTTCTCCCACTCGGTCTGAATTTCGTGCTATACGGCGCCCGCACAATGTCCGGCGTAGTAAACTCCAAGACGCCCTCGCCCACACGCGACAAAGACAAGAAGCATCGATTTAGTCGCTTACTAGGGAAACGAGAGAAAACTCCTGAGCCTGCCCCTGGGGCTGGCCTTGACTCTGCCTACGGCAGCAGCGAAGGGAACAGTGGAGAGGGACCCCAAGGGGTTATACCAGAGAATGAGAGACACACCAGCGACATTATCCCCGCTGAAAAGAATAGTGAGATAGCGAACATCGATCAAGATCGGAATCTTGCTGTGAGGCCGTCCACTGGGGAGGTCTTCGATGAGGATACAGGCGAGGTAGTTACAGTGGTGACCACCACGGTGCGTGTTACCTCAAGTGCCAACTGACCCTGTGAAACGGCGAGGCTGATCAAAGGCTGTAGACAACAACGACGACCACGACAACCACGAGGGGCGGCAAGAAGCACCAAGATGTTCAAAAGGATGTCAAGCGTGAGGTCCAGTCCGGTCCAGCCCAGCCGCCGCCGCACCTATTGGAAATGCCAGCTGGCCCTACAACGCCCGAGCCAGCAAATTATCTACCTGCTCAGACATCCACGAGCACAACTCATCAAGGACGGCCGCCGGTGACCACTGGAGGAATGCTGGCGGCCGAACAGCCTCGTATACCTGCGAAAAGCCCAAAGCGGAGGTCGGGCGATTTCTCTCGGGAGACAACTAGAGACGGATACCCCGGATACCCCATTGATCATGCCCCCGTAAGCCCCGTCGAACCTCAGCCTCCGTTTCTGAGTCGTGATAGTGGCACGCCTCCGGCGAGTCCCTCGAGGCCCAATTTCAGCTACCCCAGTCGATCATCCCTCACGACGGCGGGACAGCCACAGCGGCATAACCAAACTACCATTAACGACCTGAGAGCGGCAGCCAAGGGGCTCCACGTACGTTAAGCAGTGAAACCGTTAACATGTGTTTGTGTCTGATCGGGTACTTTATAGGGCGTCGGCGAGACTCTTCGGGGCACTCTGAACTCGACAATCGATCGCCGTTTCCCGTCGAAGAACCCAGAAAAAGCAGCCCGAACCAATGCTTACAACGAGGAAGTCCTAGAAAGGGGCCGTACCGAGATGGAAGGCATCCCGGGGGGCTGGCCTGCACACGAAACCCCCGAGTATCATCCGGTGCCTGTCCACGACACTACTACGTTACCACAGGAGCCGGTGGCCCCAGGGACGGCGAGAGAAATCTCGCCTACCGTGGACGAGAAGAAAGGCCTGCGGAAGCTGTTCAAACGTAAACCTGTGGCTGAACAAGGTATGCCCAGATGATGAACGGGTAAAGTGCGTGTGTTTTGCCCCCCTCCCCTCGAAACCACTTCCCTGGGTGTTCCACTACCATCATACGTTACTCGTCAACTTTGCATCGAATGAGCTAACGCAAGCCTGATGCAGAGCCCGTCCCAAATAGTAACGCGACTGTTGGGCGTTCGCAGCGATACTTCTAGATCCGATCCCAGATCAAAAGGCCTCCTTGTCCCGATTGACGCCAGACTTTATGGATGCGATATGATGTGTCATGTGTCTCCATCTCTATATTAGTGGATTTCATGTCCCTGTCCATACGGGCTGATTGATAAATCATTTTGCCACATCATTAGCATCTCTTGAGACAGGCCCATTCATCCAGCCTTCGTGGCCACCATGACCCAATATCTCGTCTCTTCTTCGATTGCGCCTTCCGGCCCAGCCATGTCCTTGAACCGCTGGACAAACAATCCCCTCGCTTGCTCCCGAATCTCAGCTCTCCCAAAATTACCAAACATAGCCTTGCCCACAGCGTCATCGAAGATCTGCCCTGCATCATCCCCGTAGTATCGCGTCTTCGCATACACGTCCGTCTCAAAAACCATCTGGACAACCAACCCGGCATCGAGGGCCAACTTCTCAAGCTCCCCCTGTGACTGCCACAGCTCCGAATGCCACGGCACGGATTCCCGGACCCGCGGCGCAATGTCCGAGAAGATATTCATCACCACGTTCGCATCCCTGGTCTGCACATCCGTAATGAGCCGCCCTCCACGTGGCCGCAGCAACGCCTGCCACTCCCCAACGGCGCGAAGCGGATCCGGCAACAGAATCAGCGCCGCCGCGCAGGTGATCACATCGAACCCCTCGCCAGTTGCAGGCACAATCTCATCACGAATGGCGCTGAGATCCGAAATGTCGTGGTTGAGGAACCGCACGTCGTCCAGGCCCGCGGCTGCGGCCTTGCGGCGCGCGACACTGAGCATGCCCTCGCTAATGTCGATGCCGACGATATGCCCCACGCCCGGGACTTGGCGCTTGGCTTCCAAGGCGACTAGACCCGTTCCGCATGCGAGGTCGAGGAGGCTTTCTCCGCTCTTGAGGCCCGCCCACCGGCAGTAGTCTTGTGCTTGTTTGACGTGGACCTGGTTTTCGTCGTAGCGGTCGCTTCGCTCGTCGTACATGGACCTTACTGAGTCGAGGTGCGATTGGGATTGAGGCATGGTGCAGGGAACGTCGCGCTTTGTTCCAGATTCAACAGTACTGTGTACGCGAGGCGATCGTAGCAAGCGAGACTCTGGCAATAATCCAGCGAGCTGGGGACGTGGGGTGGCGGGGCAGGTGAGCGAATGACGTTGGTCACAGCGATTTGGTGAGGTACGGGGAATCGCGATAACGGCTTTGATGGTTAGAAGGCCACCTTCACTGTCACGATCGATGCTTGGTCGGGGTGCCTTGCAGCATACGAGCTCGTCGTGAGCCAAGTAAGAGAAAATCGGGTTCGGTGGTGGCAGATCACCGCATAGGCGGTATGTAGCAAGAACTTCTTGCTGCTATAGAATAACCACGAGTAGGCTGGGTGGTGGGCCTGCAACACATATTGAGAAATGAGAGTGACTCGAAAGTGCTCGGTGATGAATCAACAGCCCGGCGAGGGCTACAATCCAGGCCAGAACCCAGGCCCGAGAAAATAGGCCTGATGCGTAAAGGCCACCGACTCACCTCAGCGTCTTTTTGTCTGCGAATCAATATATTTCAGAGCCACTGCCAAGGAACTCGAGTACGCTTCCATGCTTGCTAGACGCTGAAAACAGTTCCTATACCCTGATCTAAGGCGTCGGAGCTGCCAAACCCGACCTTGACGATCTTGATTTTCTAGGCCTGAGCCTTATTCAAGTCATGAAGAAGGAGCTCGAGCATCATCCTATCGAGCTGCCTTTCAATTCCAAGCACCGGCCGATGCAACGTCGTCGCTGAGCGCTGTGTCCAGCGCGTAAATAGACCGAAGCATGAACAAAACACCTCTGATATGGGAATTCTGTCACCATCGCACCCCGAACATCTGGATCCTATTAGTGCCCCATGCTGTTTCCGTGCGGTGATACGGTATGGTGACACCATCCATACCAGCGTTACTGCTTTGGTGAGCAGCAGGTCAAAAAGGTAGTCCGCTCTCAGATGTCCGTTTTGTCCTTGCAGACCTCACGTGTACAGTCCTAAGAATAACAGAAGTTGGCAAATATGCTGGGCGAGCTTTCGCATTGGCTTGCATTACCAACTTGACCTACACGCTGGGGTCTCAGTACAACATTTTGATCTGCAGCGACCAGGCGCTGCCGTGTTGATATCCTCGAAGCCACGCATGGCTTTTCGCACATCATTCTTGTAGAACAACTGAGGCTGCGGCATACTACCTTTACCTTTCTGGAAAGTCACAGGAAGAGAAATGACCCTCTTAGCTCCATGAATCCAATGCGCACCCCAGACTGGTATACATTTGATGCCGTCGCCAATTTTCGGCGGATTTTGGGCGGCCGATTACAAGGGAGGATAGATCGCTGAGCATGGAGTAGGTGGCGGCGCAGCTCGTCACCGCCAGGAGATTGCAGGAGAAGGTATGGTTCTCGCAGTGTCGGGGCAAGTGCGTTAAACATCAGGTGGCGAACATAAAAAGTCCGTTTCCGGATGCAGTCCACCTTCACAGCAGCATGATGTTGTGTATCCTCAACCTTGGAGGGATTTCTGCAGCTTCTTTAGGGTGATATGTCCCAAGCCTTGCCCGAGCATTATCTCGCTCGAGTGTTGCGTCCGACTTCTCTTCGCGGTTTCCGAGAGGGTTGCAAGTGGATCGACGGCGGTGCAGCAGAGAAGAGCTGAAAGGAAACCACTGAATGACGAACATTGATCGCACTTCCACAGTTAGCAATCGTACGCTGCCCGACTTCTTCGTTAGATAGAGAATAGCTCCAGTATGCTGTTGCTTTGGTAGCATTTGCAACCCTTGCCTGCTAAATGGGATCGATCCCACCTTCTAGGATTACTTGATTGAGCAGCAATTGAGTAGAATTGAGCATTTCCGTCTGGAAATGGTTTCATATCTGGTACGCAAAACTGACCCTAACGGCTCACCGAATGGAAGGCCGAGGGAAACAATCGCAGTAGCGCTTGTTGCACTAGCGAGCTCCTAGGGGGAGTGCGAGATAGACTGAGTGACTGAGGTTGGACAAGTGAGAAATTCGGGTACGTACCGAATCGCCAAGCCTTAGGCCTCCATCCCGCATCTCTGACGAGGCTGAAATGAGGTGCTGACGAGGCTCGGCTGAAAAGTCATGACGAGATTTCTCCCCTTGCACAATTTTCCATCCACACAGCGACGGTTGTCCTTGAACCTACGGACCAGCAACCGAAGTCCGATCATCCGCGTCGTGGCCTCGCCAATCTGAGCGATCCGTTGTCTTCCCCGGTTGTGCCTGTGCCCCTTCAAGTCTAGGTCATAATTGCCGGGATGTTCCTGCAGACATACTCGGTCTTGGACGAATCAGCAACCCTCATGCTGGCCTTTACGCTAAGCGCGATCTATCTTGTGGGGAATTTCGACGTCGACAAAGGAGTTTGACTTTTCGACCTCATTACATTCTTCGTCATGATCTCATGGGATACGTCGCTCGTTGATGAAAGACCTGAAGTGACAGGTACTCTGCCAGTGACAGGTAGGCTCCGCAAATATTTGTCACCTGGGAGACGGGGTGGGGATCAAGCCCGCTTGACCTGGCTACCTCTGTATGATTGAGATCATTCCGCTTGAAAGCTCCTCGTTCCTAGGGACACCTACTGGGAGCAGGCCATGCTGAACCTGCGGTCACATTCTAGGACATTCCGAGGGCCATACATCGTACCAGTTCGATGCACGAATCAGTATAACTAGGGTGTCAGCATATCCCAAGCAGATCTGGGGCATGAATGGTCTGCTGCTGATGCTACCCCATGGTTCATGACGTTATTTTCTCCGGTCCATTGTCAGATAGCGGGACCATTGCTCCATGTCAGATGAGTATTCACCCAATACTCTTCTGATCCAGATAGATCCAAATCGATCGATCGGTTGATCGACCTCGTCGCTCAGGACTGCTCCACGCGGCACGTATCGACTTCTACTTACGACTCGGCCGGGGCCCCTCGCGGCCGTTTAGCAGACAATGTACAGATATGAGGACATGTCCCCACGGGCCGCATGACTGATGTGGCGCCGTTGATCAGCTGAGGTGCCTGTTTCACCTCACCGATACTACTCTTTTGGGTTTGAGGCCAGACGTCGAAACTCGCTCCCAGCACTACCGGTGTCTAAAGTGATCGTCCTCTTTGTTCCTTGGACATTCCGATCCGGGATCGTTCTGCAAGGCACCAGGTACCAGATCTCTGGTGGACTGAGGGCACGCGGTCAAACAAAACTGGCCTAGAAATGATGAATCATGACTTCACTGCTCCATGGTTGAGTTGCGCCTGCTGATGATGTGAGCTGCAAGCTCAATGATGAAGGCTGAAGCATGATGAAGGTAGCGACCATGCGAGCAACTGCACAGATCCAAGCTGAAATCACGACGTCACAATCTTGAGCATGCATGCATTGGATTTCGTCACATCTGGCTGCCCTGGAAGGAACAGTGGGAGAGCTCAAGTGGTGTGAAGGTAAGTACGGCTCGATTCGTCTATATAAACTGACCAGATACCTCCCGTCGACAGCACTTTTTTCCATCAACAACTCCATCAACAGCAATCACTACACTCTCAAACAAGCCTCACAGAACCAAAGTCATCCCCACAAATCAACCCCCCAACAACAACATGTCTGACTACAAGCCAACCGGTATGTCGGCTTTGCCCAACATTCACTCTGCCCTCATCATCACGTCGATGTGACTTCTCCGCCTCCACTCCTCCATTATACTACTCTATACCATCCTACCCTGCACACTTCCTTATTACCTCATCCCATACCGGACCTGTTCATTGCCCTGTCTTAGCCCGGTTCTTCATCCCCCCTTCCACATAATGATCACAGTCCTCCCTTGTCCCACCCTCACTCTCTACCCACTATTCTAATCACATTCACTGACATGTCCACAGAGCACGACGGTCTCCGCAAGGACGGCCAGCCCGACAAGCGTGTCCAGCAGACCGAGTTCGCCCACGGCAAAGTCGACCCCGTCGAGGCCGGCAAGAAGGGTGGCCACAGCAGCGGAGGCGGCAACTCTGACTCCAGCTCCGGAGGCAGTGACGCTCCCCAGGGCGCCGCTCACCTCGGTGGCGAGGGTCTCCGCAAGGACGGCCAGCCCGACCAGCGCTTGAAGATGAACAAGGACTCTTGAGTGTGAAGTGATGGTATTGGAGGTCGAGGAAAGGGCGTTGGCATGACAAGGTCGAGGCAAGAGGTCAAGGAGATCAAATGGTTGGATCTGGGCAGGAACAGTAGCTCATCGTGAGCAATTGTGTGTAAACTAGCGCCAGCGCCAGCGGCAACAAGAGTAGTGGCAACGAGATCCAATCCGGGAGACCTGAGAAATCTGCAATATGGTCTTGTCTTCAACCTTGTAAAGGATTCATCCTATCATGCCTTCCACCACTCCCTTCGATTCTCTTCCGTGTGTTACCTAACTTCACAGATTCGCAATCAAGTTGTCAAGGGCAAGTTACCACTCGTGCAACGCAGTCCACCGAGATCGAAGCCATAATGCACGAACCTAATATGCGGAGCTTTGTAGGTTGGCTTCATAGCAGTGTCAAGCTGCATGGATTTAGTAGACTCATATGTATCCGTGTATACGGTATGGAGTGGCCTGGGAAAAGTCTGTGCTCTTGATTGAAAGGAATTTGTGCCAATCTTCATCAATGGTAATTAGCCGCTCAGAACCTCTCCAGGCCCTCAGCTACAGGAAATACTAGTTCTCGGGTGCATTGAAAGGGCAGTCCAAATTACGTAGGAGAATAATGCTACTCTCAACTCACAGTATTCTTGATCTCATTTCCTCACAGGATGTTCTCATTTCATTTCCCATGGATGCCTCTCATTATTACATTTATACGTTTCGCTCAAAGTAACAAGATGCCCCCCTTCTGGTCCCTGTGAGCTGTCCTCGGCCTCTTGCCGTATCCCTGAAGGTCTAACTTCATGCCATCAAACCATTTCGCTAAATCCATTTCTTTCAAACCATAGGGCGCCGTCAGTCAAGCATGATACGCTCAAAGAACTAGGGTCAAATTTCATATCCGTACACCTGTCAATATTCCCATTGACAGTAAGGGGGTATCTTCGCAGATGCTCAAGCACCGTTGTAGTCTTGAGGAGCCGTGTTAGCAAACACGTAAGCCTTCGGCTTTTGTTGGGCGAGCTGTTGGGCAACATGTGCGTGCTCTTGTTTTTGATTGGGAAACTCTTGGATGCAAAATTCCATCTTCTTTTGGTCGAAATGAGAATCAAAATCCACTTCGGACTTGTTGTCTGAACGGAGGACATACTGCTGGATTTGACTGTCTACAGCGTCGTAGTGCTGCGGAAAGCCCAGAGACGAGATATAGGTGACAGGGAATGATGGTACATCTGGCGAGGTCATCGGCGCATCTGACCAACTGCTATTGGTAAGAGGTCCAGCAGAATAGGGTGGTGTGCAGTCATGAAAGGTCGCATATTGTGGAGGGGCAGACGCTGGAGGCATGAGTGATTGTTGTGATGGTCCTCTGCTCATGAAGTTTGCAATCATTGGTGTAGCTGGAGGTGATGCTGTGGTGATAGAAAGATTCTGGGGCGGTTGCATAGAGTACTGGTTAGACACGTCCACATTCTGCATGAAGAAGGGATTCTTCTCAGGTTCCACCGAGCTGAGGCCGTGGGAGACATGATCCGGTGATAATAGGGGTTCTGACACCTCTGCAAGTGGCGTCGTAGCAACGGCTTGCTGCGCCATCAGCTGGTTGAAAGCATCAGCCTCGGCAAAGGTTGTTGCGCACATTGGAGACCTCTGTGCTGAGCTAGCTTTACGAATGCCAGCGTACCTAGAGTGCAGGCTTTGGCCTGCCGACTTGACGTGCCGGACGCTGTGAGGACCTTGGGGGCTCATTATACCTTGGCGAAAGGTGGGGGAAGCAGAAGTCATTGCGCCGTACGAACGACTCCGAAGCGAGGTAGAAGTCAATGCAGCTGGTCGAGGTCGCTTTCGCCGAGCAGCAATGTCGAGAGGACCGCTCGGAGGACAAATTGATGCTGCACCATAGAGGTCCGGAACAAAATTAGGCGGTGTTCCTGCAAGGGCAACGTTGCCAAAGGTGGCTGAAAGGTCTTCTGTGGCCGAAGGGCGTCGTGATCCGGGATAAGAAGGCATCGCGAATCCAGGTGAGGGCATAGCTGTCATCGGATCGTTCTGCTGATGCGTGATGCCTTTCGGTGTGGCCAGAGGCTCCTGGAACTCTTGGGGCGTCACCACAAATGAATCTTGTGCGTAATCCACCACTGGATCGATCGTAGGCTCCTGAGCCGGCGCCTGGTCGACGATGTCGTTGCCAAAGCCAAAGTCGAACGAAGTGTCCTGAAGCGTGATGGGAGATGGATATGCCATGTAGTTGGCGTGCTGACTTTGCCAGGCCGACACATACGAGGCTGACGGATTCATCTGGTGCTGGTTGAGCCGCAGTGGCAGCTGCATACCTCGAGTGCGTGCAGGAATCTTTGGAGGTGACATGCTAACTTGGGCTTGGCCTGATCGATGAGCCCGTGCTGCCTTTGCTTGGCCAAGTGCTCTCTGTAACGAGTTCCAGCTTGCCTCTTTCGAGTTGTCAACTGCCTGCACGGGAGTATCCGGCGTCTGGACAGCTGATGCAAGGTCTGAAGTTGAGTCTGCCGTAGTTGTCGTGCTGGATGCCTTCGTGGGCGAAGCAGAGCCCGCTGGAGAAACAGCTTCTGACCTCGAGTCCTCGGATGACTTGGCATCTTTCACGTCCTCTGCCTCTTCGTCTCCCTCGGCTTCGTTCGACTGAACATTGGCTGAGGAGGTTTGAGCTTCATATTCCTCCTGTCGCTTCTGTTGCTTGGCCTTCGCCCGTCGGTTCTGGAACCAGTTCTGTTTCATTGTCAGCTCAAAGCAGCTACTTCCTTGTCATCAAAACATACCCCAACCCGGTTGAGAGTCAAGCCTGTCTGTATGGCCAATTCCCTCTTGAGCTGCGAACTTGGCTTGTGATTCGCCTGAAAATGGGCCTCAAGGACCTCTGCTTGTTCCTTGGTGAGTCTTGGGCGAGTTGAGATCTCCTGTGATTCCCCAATATCGTCGTGCAGCATCCCTGCCTCTATGAAATCCGCATATTCCGCTCCAGCATAGGGCATGTAAAACTCGTCCGGGGTTTGTTGAGGATGACCGACATAGGTGTGGTATTGGTCGGGGTGATAGAAGAACTGGGGTTGAGGCTGAGGTGTAAAGGCAAAGCCGTTCTGGTGCATATACGCCATGTTCATTTCAGCCGCGGATGGTATTTGCTTTGGTCGAAGGACAGCACCGGCACCACTGGTTCGTTTTCTTCAGGTATGCTCCATGTGCTGGGCCTAGCACATGAGAGGAAGCAGGATCGGAATGGTGGAGCAGTTAACTGATCAGATATGTGTCGTGTTGTTCAACGAGGACGTGGTGTGAGCCTGGACAGGAAAAGAGTGACTGAGGGTGCGATGGTCAAGATAAGGTGATGCTGGTCTGGAGTCGAAGGAAGGAGTGAAGTGACGAAGCGTGAAAAGAGGAAGGAACGAAGATGCTTCGACCACCGGACCTGGTTGGCCTCAAGCTTGATGCTGATGATGAGCACTGACGAGCAGCTCTTCGCTCGTTGTAAAGAACGAAACCCTGCGGGCGATAGAGTGATTGTTGATTGCGTCGATATGTCGATAGTGATAGACTAAGAAAGAGGAGCGAGGCAAGGTGGCTCAGTGGGCGGACTCGGGGATTTTAGATTTGAGGCGGCGTCGCGAGGGATCAGGCGAGACGTATCTTAACGAGATCCCAAAGGCCGGGGCAAACGGCAAAAATATGGATCAAGGCGTCGAGGCTGTCTGAGGTCGAGAGTACCACGATAAAGCGTGCTACGAGTACACTGGCAACAGCAATCTGCAGAACCACGGTATGTCCTCGTGGTGAAGCACGAGAAGCAAAAGGGTTGTGATGATGGATTGTGCGCTCTGGATCTTTTTGATCACTTGCGACGAGAGGGATAGCGAGCAGGTACTCGAACACGACTCACTTTCTTGCAGACAACACAAGCGGCACACTCCCCACTCGGGAGAGTTGTAGTGGAGGACCAACAGCCGTCAAGCTGGCAAGCCAAACGACAAGGGCTTCAAAAGACCCATAAGGCGGAGACGGGCCAGTCAGCCACTGCGGAAGCCAACGAGTGGAGCTCGTCTTAGCGGCGACCATGATGATGACCCTTACCAGCGTCAAAGACAAGCACTTTCGAGGGAAGTTGGGCTTTGGATGTGAAAGGTTAAGCGCTGGAGGGGTGAGGTGAAAGTGAGCGACGACTGAGAGGGTGGAAGTTGCAAGCTGCCCTGCACGGCGCGATGCTGTGCTGCGGAACAAGGCGCTCTCGCATAACTCTACAGGACCAGTCACTTTCTTCCACCACTGAAACCGCATCATCATGCAAGCGACTCCTCCTCTCACGCCCTCTCCAACAAATGCTCTCTGTCGTCACGGCGCGACTCCAGTCAGTAAGTCTAGATCCGGCACGCGAGATCTCATCACTTGCGCAGGTCCGTCCTGTGAGCGTTCCAAAGCTGATTTGCCTGTCCACCAGTTCTTCGTCGCCGCCATCTACGAGCTGCCGCCATTCCCCGGGGAAGTGTCTTGCTGGCCAAGAGCCCTTGTTCGGCTTGGTCGGGCGTCAAATATGCAGGAACAACTGTGGATAACCGGGAACCCCATGCTGCGAGCCAGCCAGTCTGCGAGTGCAATTTGAGGAGGGCGAAGCGGGCTAGGTGATCGATGTCGGAAGAAGGACAAGCCCCAAGGGCGCCTCTCCACTCGGCTCATTTAGGCAGAACTCAGTCTCGAGCATTTCTCTTGCCCCTTTCAGGCCATTTCGGTGTCAAATCTAACCTCTTCTGTCAAGGTTTCAGCCCAGAAGGCGAGTTGTGCCACAGTCATTACGCTGAATGGGAATGGACCCCAACAGTTCCTACCACTCAGAAGAGTCGAACCGCTGAAATCTTGTTGGAGGGGTGTCTCGAACGAGGATCAGCCGAGACGACCTGTGGCCGTGCTCTGGACCAAGAGGAAAAATTCGAAAGACGCAAGACGAAAACCAAAGCCACTTCGGGCCTGTTTACCGGGTCTGACTGCTATCAGTTTGTCCATGCCCAGTTATCGACAACGCGTCGGCTATCCAAGTCGAATAGATGACGCACATTCGACTGCGGTCTCTCTATGAACTCTAGCCACGGAGAGATTCAACATCTCCCTACATGCCCGGCGGTTACAACCTTCTGCACACCGAGCCGCAGTTTTGCTATTCCTTTGACACACGTTTTGTCGAGGTAACGGCCGACGGGCGTCACTTCTCATGGCCTGGCATGCCGCGGTTGAGGGACAGCTACCAGTAGAAGTGGTTCGCGAAACCGACCCGCGAAGATACACAGTTTGCGATGCATATTATGCATCCTTAGCTTGCTATACTTTCTGTGCCCGCTCGAACCCGTCATGATGGGTGCCCTGGTAGGCCCCTGTCCGTTGTCAACAGATGCATAACACAATCCTGTACCTGCAGCTGTGGCGAAGGAGCCCGCAAGTGTCAAAGACAGCTGAAGCGCACTTTGCAGTCCACCTCTGCCCAAGCTCGCAGAGCCCACCTGCCGCTCCGTCCAGTCAGCGACCACCATGCAAAATCACCCTATCACGCGTCGTGCATCACAGGCTGCACCCTACATCCACTCACACATGACGGTTACACGCTCAGGCACTAGACTACATATCCATTGCCCTGTTACATGTTCGCTTCCAAACGCGCGACAAGAACTCTTCTGGACTTCCAGCACGTCGTGAACTCCGAATTATGCAGGGGGTCCCTCGATCATGAGGCACGGTCTGGGCGACTGATGCCGCATCTGCGAATGTGTCGAAAATAATGCGAACTGACCCCTCTGGCATTGTGGGCCTTGCAGGCGTGCTGACATATGCAAGGAACACTCGGGCTTGGGCAGCACGAAATCAGAGACAGCCAATTTCGCATCGTCCATAAGGGGCTAGCCTGACATCCTGACATCGCAATCGCCGACTTCGAGACAAGAATCGTCCCGCGCTCAGCCTTGACCACTGTCGGTCCGCCGTGCATCGTCTGCCTCGACCTCCACCACCACCTAAACCAACTCGCGTGTGTTTCTACCGGACTCCTTTTATCTCGGTAGCGCACGCTACTTCCAGTCCTGATCCAAGTCTCTTTCTAAAGCTTGCTTAGGCGATTAATGCCAGCAATTCTCCGTACTCTCTAGTGGAATCGACGGACTGTTCGCTTGTTAAACCCCTGGCCTTGCGTCCCTGGCCACGTGGATTCTGGTCGCCGCTCTCGGGCTTCAGCCGAGCCTCGTCATCGTCAAGACGCCGCTCAGGCTGTTTCCGTAGTCCGCCCCTGATGGGTCTCGCCTCGATCCTGATTTAATTTTCCATCAACTCTGGGCTCAACCAATCAGCTCGGCAAGCAGCATCTGTCGTGGTTCGCTCGAGTCATGGGTTTGCACCTTCACTCTCTTCAACACTGTGTTTTTCGATCAGGCTTTAAGTGTTTTCACTTTGTTCACGCCTGTGGCATTTTTCGACTCTCTGATTGCTCATTGCTTCTGGGGGCCGGGAATGGAATTAGATTCCGTGGCACACGAAAACAGGGACTGTCTCAAAGCTTTTCCGCATCCTCGGAGCCATGCGGCAGAATGCTGCCAGTGTGCAACATGCATTCCCACGACCAGTCATGCGCGCGAAATTGACGGCACAGCAACACTAAAACTTTGATGCACGAGGATCCCTTCCCTGGAAGCAACAAAACTCGTGGCTCTTGAAATCGTACACGCTTCGGACTTGTGAGTCGACGCCTAGAAGAGTCACGACCATTGCCGACGCATTTCCCACTGCTGTTCTTCCACAGAATTCCGAGTACAGTATGAAGATCGGTGTACGATTAGTTGGATCTTTTGCAGGACTGTCCTCGCGTACACACTTTCGAGGGTTGGAGCAGACGCGCCAGAATCACAGCTCCTTCCAAGACTCCCCAGTACTCCCGACTTACCTGCTAACTGCATTGGGCAGGACTACAGTTTCCATATGAGGCGGGATCAGCGTCTCATAGGACACGTTGCTCCAGTCGCTTCCATTGGGCACCCGACCCGTCACTCGATTTCGAACGAGGCCAGACAAGATTCGCCTGTGACAGTGACATCGTCCCCTGAGAGGTGCTCCGAAAGCTCTATCGTGCGGAACTTGCAGTGCCCAAGTCTGACAATCCTATCGTCTACGCGAACCAGTCTACGGAGTATCTCCCTTTCCGTTTTCCTCCCTTCCATCACCGCCAACGCCGCGCTGGAGAATGCTCGTGAGACCTGCTGTGCGATAACGCACCACGCATCGTACGGCTAGTTGATCAGGGCATCACTGATGACAATCTCTACCTTCCCATTCTGGAACGCATTGAGCTTCACACTGGTCAAGTCTCGTACGATCCAGTCAGCCCCAGCCCCTTTCACCTGTTCTATGGTATGTGTCGTGGCTAAGCCGATGACCTTGAAACCAGCGGCTTTGCCCGCCTGCACACCAGTAGGGGCGTCCTCGACAACGAGCATCTCTGCAGTGTCAGGCAGTCTCAAGCGCTGTCGACCGAGCAGGTAACAAGTTGGATCAGGTTTGCCGTTCTCCACGTCCTCGGCCACGACCATTGTGCGGGGATGTGCAAGGTTCAATACCTCAAGCCAGCCGTTCACCAGTCCTCTCGTGCCTGATGTCACTACCGCCCACGGAGCATTGACCTCTTCTAAACTCACTAAGAGTTTCCGTGCACCGGGAATCTCCACAGCATCATGCCCGAATTCCTTTGGTATGAGGCTTTCTTCGTGGCTGATATCTGCGCACCATTATCAGTCACAGCTTGGTAAGACCAAAGAACGATGGAGACCTACAATCCCAATTTGCCTTGGATGGATCATATATCTTAAAAACATCTATGCTTCTTCTGCCGTGCGACGTGGCCAATATAACCTTGGGGTCTACCCCCATCAGGTTTCCTTGTTTATGCCAATGCTTTTCGATAGCAGGGGTGCTGTCTATTATAGTGCCTTTTCTTTCGTGAGCAACGTATCCTGCCATCACACGGAGTGCAACAAGAAGTCTTACCATCAAAATCAAATAGTAGACCATGCACCGAGACGACCTCGGGTGGCGCGGAAAAACTGTGTTCATCGATCGAGCCCATTGTGAGATTTTGTGCTCCCTCCTGATTCAGGTGTTCGGTGTGTCCTTCTTAGGCAAAGCAACGAAATGTCTATGTCTATGTCTATAACCCAGTTATCATCTATGTCTTCGGGGAAATTCCTCATGTTATATACATTGGCAGCAGGCTTTTTTTACTTGAGTGGTATCGGTTCGATTACCTCATAGGGCGAGCCTCCGCCCACAAGGCTGAGGCGCGGTAAGCGAATCGGCTTCGGGCCGGCGATATACCACCGCCCCACATTTGCGAATGCGGGCTGCGACTTTTTTTTGATCGGGACTCGAGCAACTGTCATTGATCTCGCAGAACACCGCTCTTGACCGCAACGATGGTCAAGCCATGTAAGTGTTACCATTGCGATTCTACTGGGCCTTTATTGACTCTTTTAGTCTCGAGATCAAAGCGCACACCTGTGCGGCTACGACACAAGATTGAAAAGGCCAGTGCGGCGAAGCAGAGGAAGTTGAGGAAAGATGCAAAAAAGGTCCGCCAATCTTGTCCATCATGAGGCCCTCGTTCTCTAACTCTGGTTGAATAGAACCCGCAGTGGAAGTCGCGGTTAAAGAAAGATCCTGGAATCCCCAACCTCTTCCCCTTCAAAGAGAAGCTCCTTGAAGAAATTGAGGAGAAGAAACGACAGAAGGCAGAACAAGCCCAGAGGCTAAGAGATACTGCCAAGGCCGACAGAAAGGGCGGAGGCGATGCAGACATCGCAGGGAACGATACCGAGGACGATATCATGGAGGGAGATGACGATCTAATCGACGACGAAATGGACGAAGACGAAGAGCAAGCTGATAACGCAAATCCTCTGGCTGCTCTGGTAGCATCTGCACAAGCCAGGGCTGCGGAGTTTGACGGTGGCGCCCTTGCAGGCGACATTAGGCCTGGCGAAGAAGACGACTATGACAGTCTGGGCATCCAAGTTTCCGAGACCGTTGCCGTCGACCACCGAAGCCCTGACTCATCGCGAAAAGCCTTCGACAAGATCTTCAAGCAGGTCCTGGATGCAGCAGATGTGGTGTTATACGTCCTCGACGCACGGGATCCCGAAGGCACAAGATCAAGAGAAGTGGAACGCCAGATCCTGGCCGCAGAAGGCGGCTCGAAGCGACTTGTCCTCGTCCTCAACAAGATCGACCTTGTTCCCCCGCCAGTCTTGAAGGGCTGGCTGACCCATCTGCGGCGATATTTTCCTACAATACCACTACGGGCCTCAACTCCCGCTTCCAACGCCCAAACCTTTGACCACAAACAACTTACCCTCAAAGCCACCTCCGAAGCACTTCTCCGCTCATTGAAGTCCTATGCCGCCTCAAAGCAACTCAAACGATCCATTTCCGTGGGCGTGATAGGGTATCCCAACGTCGGCAAATCCTCTGTCATCAACGCTCTCACGTCGCGGTTGAACAAGGGTACGCAGAGCTTCGCCTGCCCGGTCGGCTCCGAGGCGGGAGTGACCACAAGTCTGAGAGAAGTGAAGCTCGATAGTAAGCTCAAAATCCTGGACTCGCCCGGCATCGTGTTCCCTTCAACAGTGGATGGAGAAGCCAAGGAAGACAAACTGCGAAGGAAGGCCGAACATGAAGCACGATTAATCCTTCTCAACGCGCTACCGCCGAGCCAGATCACAGATCCTATCCCAGCTGTCAACCTCCTGCTCGAGAGACTGTCCACTTCAGACGCATTGTACAATAAGTTACTGAAATACTACGGCATCGTGGCCATTGGGCCCTTCGGGCAGGGCGATAAAACGACGGACTTTTTGGTTCAAGTGGCACGGAAAAGAGGCCGACTAGGCAAAGGCGGCGTTCCCAACTTTCACTCTGCTGCCATGACAGTGATTACGGATTGGAGAGATGGCAGGATCCAAGGATGGCTTGAGCCGCCCACGCTCAAAGTAGCGAATGATGAAGAAATGGTAGAGGGAGGAGGTGCCGACACGGCTATGCCTACTGGGGCTGACCGGAAGCAGATCGTGAAGGAGTGGGCTGCGGAGTTCCAGTTGGTAGACTTTGGGGGACATGATGAGCTCGCCACTGTCAAAGACGATGCCATGCAGATAGAGTCATGAATGCTGACGAACGCATGAAAACGGCGTCGGGCGTCGAGGATAGGAATCTGCGAGATCCTAGGCGTTTCATGGAGAACACGATCTCAGGCGATCGCACAATCCATTGCTTCCAGCATCGCTCATACCGTTCGGCTATATACAGTAGTAGCTCATATGTAATTAGTCCTTGGCGTTAATCCCCAGAGTGCTAGAGAATTGAAATTCTTAATTAACTCGTACAGTACCCAGCGTCGCGCTCGCGTTCGCGACCTCAACCGTGTCTCAACGTCGGCCAATCCCACAAGTCACTAAATTTCTTGCTCGCGCAATATCAACGCTCAAGAGGCCCTTTCAACACGTGTCCTATCGAATATCTAGCATCGCGTGCCTCTGGAAGGCCCATCTATCTCTGTGCTGCATTGGAGCACTCACTCTGCTTTGGCTTGCCTGGGACTATTCACCCGACCACGCAGACGATACACGGATCCTTGGAAGACCACTCACCGTCTACTGCCACCCCGACTTGAACACGCTGTCTAAAACACTGATACGTGCCCCGTGTCCTGCACGAAACTACTATCGAAAGACTATAAACCCCAGCTGGAAGGGCCAGGCCAGCACAGCACGATCGCATCAGCCTGTCACCGCACCAGGCACGAGACGCCGGGATACCGAGACACAGCAGCACTGAGTGCTTTTCCTTCCTTCTTACGCCCACGATGCCGCCCCGAAAGAGCGGCGCCTCGACGGCAGCCAGTGCACCAGACGCCGTCAATGGCGACGTATCAATGGTCTCGAATGCCACCAACGCCGCGACGACTTCACCTACTCAGCACGTGCACGCGCACACGCATCCCAAACAGTCGCGGCAATCAGGCGGCGGAGGGGGGTCAGGGAAGCAACAAGACGACGGTGTTGGCATTGATGTACGTGATGCGCGACCAGCGGCTGTGTGTGATGTGGTGATGTAGTCTACTCTACGCGCCGGGTGTGCTGCGCACAAGCGTGTATGCCTTGAACGGACTGACGAACTGATGTCGTGTTTCTTTTCTACAGGACCTCCTCCTCCCGCGCTCGCTGATATCCCGGCTCGCGCGCGGCTCGTTGCCCCCGAACACGTCCCTGCAAAAGGACGCCCTCCTTGCGCTGACACGCTCGGCCACCGTCTTCGTCTCCTCCCTCGCGCACCACGCCAACGAGCAGTCCCAGCTACGCCATCGTAAGACGCTGGGCGTACAAGACGTGTACGTCGCGCTGCAGGAGATGGAAATGGCCGGGGTGATGGATCTGGCCGCGATCGGGCAGGACGGGCGACAGGGCGGCCGGTTAGAACGCGAAGTCGCGGCGTATGAGGAGAGCGTGATGAAGAAGCGGAAGGGGTATAGAGAGAAAGTCAAGGCAAGGGAGTCCGCGGGTGGTGGTGGTGGGGAAGAGGATCGGGATCGGGGCGAGCCCAGTAGCAAGAAACTCAGACGGACTAGCCACGAAGAGGACGAGGATGAGGACGAGAGGATGCTGGAGCAGCAGTTGAATGGGACGGCGGGGGTCGAGGTGGATGCTCCGAACGTGAATGGAAGGTCCGAAGACGATGCGACCTCTCTCTCCGGGCTCGGGAATGGAAAAGAAAAGGCCATCACAGCATCGCGTGGACAGCAGGACGAAGATGAAGACGTCGGCGATGGAGATGCAGATGATGCCGGGGACGACGGTGCCGATGGCGATGGCGCTGGCGATGAAGAAGACGACCAGGACGATGACGAAACGGAAGATGACGAGGATGAGAACGAGGATGAGAATGACAACGCAGAAGACGACGACGTGGCAGACAATGACGACGTTGATGACGCCCGGCTTACGAACGGTCGAAGGAGAGGTCTCCTGCCTAACGGCGAGGTCGAGATCGGGAGCGACGAGGAGAGCGATTGATGGTGCCGCAACGTCATCCCAGAGCATGCTTGTGGCATTGGAGCCACGAGGCCAGACTTTGTATAGCTTTTGCTGGCTACACGGCGGACCTCCGGCGCGGGTTCGCGCTTTGGATAATGAAAGCGGTTCACTTTCTTTTCTCAAAAGCAAATTCGAGGTATGGAACACCGACGCATTCTCCAGGCTGGCATTTCAACCTGCGAATTCCGAGGGAGAGATATGACCCACATCTTGCGTGGCTGGATCCCTTGCAGTCTGTACGGAACACGCAGTATATGGAGACACACCAGGCGCTGTGATCAAGATTCGGCGGTGACATCAGGGAGGGTCTGTCTACCTGCCTGCGTGCCTGACTTGTCACTGATTGACCAAAGCCTCGTTCCGTCGAACAGTTGGGAACAGTTGGGAACCCCAGTACCTCGTAGATGAAGGTACAACAGTGAAGCCGTCGGTCTCTAGTAGCATGAAATTCGGCGCAGTGTACGGAGGACATAGTGGCAAATACTCCTACACTGCTCCGTGAGGCTACACCACCCCAGCGGGCCTCCTCGTGCCGCCATAGTCCAGTTCCAGAATCTGTTTCCTACCCGCCTCAATCACCCTCAACGGCGCAAGCACACTATACATGTGCTTCGCTTGTTCTTGGTGCCTTCGTCCCTGTGCGCGTCCTGCCATCTCCACATCCACATCCCTCTTGTCCACTTCTCTCCGCGCCACCTCCGCGGGGGATTCAGCAACCCAATATCCCCACGCCCGAGCGGTAGGAGGCAGCGGTCTTCGCGCCACGTCGTCCTCGGAAGCCGGTATCGCAGAATCCCACAGCCACCGCTCCTCGCCGTGAGGACCATCCTCGACGCGCTGGCAGGGGACTTCGCCCTTCAAGACGCGGAGGAGGAATCCTCGCATCGAGACGAGCGCGTGCTCTGCGTCTAGGGATAATGTCGTGTGGGCGGCACAGAGCTTGACGCGGGGTAGTGGGCCTGTGTTCGACGCGGAGGGGGCGCAAGGCTTGCGTTGACGCTGGCCATGAGAAGAAGAAGAATCTAGCGTGGTGGTGAGCTGGTTCGGGGAAGAGAGCTGCCGATCGGGGAAAGGCGGATGCGGAGGTGAAGTAGTTGGCCAAGGTAAGGGTCCGTGTCGGTTGACGACGAGCATCCATGGGTCCGGGTTCAGTCCACTGGGCGAGAAGGGTAGTGCGCCGGGTGGAAAGCCACCTTTGTTAGCTGCTGAGGTGGGCAGGATTGTTGGTTTCAACAAGGAATTTGTGGATGTCGTGGGCCAGACGGCGAAGCTTTTTTCGGACCTAGGAAGATTGTCGAAGCCGGTTTGTTTCTGTGACTTTACCGCCGTAGCAGATTTCGTTGCAGCGGCGGCGGTAGCGGTACTGGACGCTAGAGATAAGTGCTTTGTCTTTGTTACCAGGGCGTTTATGTCATCTGTATCCCTGGCGGCATTGTCGACATTGATGAGGACGAATCCCTCGTCCTCGATTTCGCCGTCCTTGTTCTTTTGGAGATCACTTTTGTGCCCATGCGTCGGTGAATCTGATCGCTCTCCCATATCTCCCTCGGACTCACCCTGGGCGTTGCCCCCAACTTCCTTATTCTTTTTCCTCACGAATTGAAGCACTTTATCCAGACTCCTCCACCAGTCCTTCAGGTCACTCTCCAGACTGAACATGACCGGCATGGCTGGTTCGTGACCCCATGTCGCGTCTCTCGTGGTACTTGTTTCCTTGGCGTAGAAACTGTCCCCGACACATAGGAGGCGGAGTTCACTATCATACCAAGAGAGGGAGTCCGGGGTATGGCCTGGAGTATGCAAAATAGTGAAAGGCGTGGGGATTGTATTACCCCCGGAGTGTGGAGAGGGATCCAGTCCAGGAGTGTATGCAACGCGGGAGAGGTCGTCCGCCCAGAGGCCCACATCGTACTTGGGGGCGTCGAGGTTGAGTGTATTGCAGAGGCTGTGCTTCTGTAGGTTGGCATACGGAGAGACGAACGTTTTGGCGTGCGAAGACGTCAAGACAGTAGTAGAAGTGGACGAAGAAAGTAACTTCCCGATCCCCATGATGTGATCGTAATGGCAATGCGTGGTCATGACCAAGTAGGGGATCCGTCCGCCTGGATTGATCGTGTACTCGAGAAAAGTCCCTATATTCCATACTTCGGGTCGAGCGCGCACCGTGTACGGCCTTTGACGATCATCGTAAGCAGGAGGATATGAGAGGCTCGAGCTGCCAGTGGAGGCATTCGGAACCTCAGTCCCACATCCCGAGTCGCTAAGGACGATCACCTTGGAGCTTTTGTGAGGCTTGTTCTCGAAATCTCCATCCTTCAAGTAGCGCGAGTAGCTGTCATGGCGGTAGACGTACTCGTCGGGCGAGGTAGACGATCCAGGCGCACTGCATAACTTCGCGTAAATATGGGGAAACTCTCCATACTCGTCACGCTCTCGGATGAGATATGTGTTCGACCCTGTGATTCCATTGAGTCGGATCTCTTGGATCGTAAATGGACATGTTGCGGGGATACCGAAGGTGTGGCGTCCCGCACCGTCCATTCTTCGAGGGATGTCGCCAACGAAGCACGGGTTCCTTAGGCGGAGGGCCTGAATAGTACCGTATCAAGGTACAACTGAGTTCCAGAGATAGAGATTGCAGCTGGTTATGGATGACCGCTGAATACCAATTGCTCCCCGCCGAGTCCCATGGGCGAAGCAGCTCGACATTTTTGCATTTCCTTCCCCACGGAAGACCGGACTTGTACTGTGTCTACTGTAGCATCACGAACATGAAGTGAGGGGCCGTGGTGGGGGATTGATGCGGAGCCTGCGGAGTGTACTCGGTGCCGGGGCTGATATATGCGCACGGAGAACTCCCAAAAGGGCATGACGAGGTAGATACTGTGCGCTGGGTATGTTTGTGAGACAGAAAGCGTTTCAGGACGCTTTCTTGGGCGCTAGATACTGGGGTAACTACACGGTCAACAGCCTCTAGAGATCATGAGTAGGTCGGTTAGAAGACACAGAGGCGGCTGTTCGGCCCAGGTAAAGCATTCTTACCCAGCGTACAAAGGTACATGGTTCTTTAGTCGTTCTCCATCCGATCACCCGCGGCGTCGTCTCCCTTCGCTAGCTTGTCCTCGACATCCTTTCGGACGCCCTCCACGAAAGCCTCGACAGCTTCGCCGCCGCCCATAGGGACGCCGCCATGTCTAAGATATCCACCGTTTCGAACCGGGATTTTAATCGTTTCGGCAATGATAGGAAGACCACCTTCTCGCAGTGCAACCGTCAGGCTGGCCAAGCTTTGTGAGAACTGCGGCGAATGCAAAACTCTTCGTAGCATGTCCTTTCTGGCGCCGGTCAGGGCTCGTTGCGCAGCCTGTTTCTCCTCAGCGCTCGAATTGGGATTTTGCAAAGCCGATGTATCCACCGAGTCCTGTGCCGTAGCTACTAGCTGCGGGGGCAGACATTCACATAGCCGACCGATCAGTCCGTCATCAGCCGCGTTCAACAGAGGTATCGTTGAGGCCGGTGTAAGCAAGTCCGCGAGAGTGGTGTATAGCTGCTCCTGTGGCTGGCCGCCCCCGCCCGCGCCCTGATTGCGTTCTTGCATGGCACGTAGAAAGTTTTGGACCAGAGAGCTTGCATCTCCACTAGCTGCCGCCCTGCATGAGAAGTCAGCGACTTGGCTTCTTGGTGGATGTTGGAAACGCACGGCGCGGGTGCATTACCTACGCTCTTCCGCCATCGGCACCACCTTCTCTCGAAGGTTCGCCTTCCTCACGAATGTCCCCGCCAGTGGCATCGGGACCAGCTCCACCACCGCCATGGGACGGACGACGATTGCGGTCGTGATTTGTGCCTTCGACGTCTTCCATGGGCTCGTCGTCGTCGTCCGGGTTATTCTGGTCCCTCGGAATGCTAGCCATCTGTGCTTCCACGTCGACCTCTTCGCCCTGTAGCAGATTGTTCACGATCTGGCCGAGCTTCAAATCTCGGGCGCTGAACCATGACGGGTCGCCCTGAGGGTGCTGACTTCGGGACTGCAGCCAGAAGAGATATCTCTGAGAACTCGAGGTGAACTTGAGGACATATATTCTGCCATTGGTGGCTTTCTTGGTATTTGACGGATTCGCAGCGCTTGTTGGGTGGTAAGGCGTGAAGGAGCCGTCCGTGGGGAGCATCAACAAGTCGAGCTGTGGTTCGTCCGATGGAGCGTCTCTCGGGCGCCAACACAGGTGCAACAGTTCATCTTCGGCATAGAGGTAAAGGTAGCCCGGAGTTGGGAGAGGTTTGACTTTTGCAGGCGAGGAGCTGGTCTGTAGAAGAATCAGCGTCAAGCTTCAAGGGGGAAGAATAGCCTGCAACGCTCACATCGAAGTCGCATAGCCCTGCCTTGAATGTTAAAATCGGTGATATTGACATCGTGAATGGCTGGTTTGCAGGGATGACCTAAGAGTGCAGACTTAAACCGGTCTCTGAAGATAGGCGTCGTAGACCGAGCTTCAATCTGATATCTGAGACGCGAGCAATTTCAAGACGAGCTAACACTGACTTTCGCTGCTCGAGGGACGACGACGACGACAACGGCCAGCCTAGAGAGACAAACAGAGCAAACACTGTGACTCCACTCAGAGACGGAAAGGAACAGCCTGTGGTGGCTTGGCAGAGCCAATGACTAAGCCCCACACAATCAGTACGTTCTTAAGTTTTTCCGGTCCCGACTGCCAAGAGAACGAAATCGCACAGTGCGGCCAAGTCGAGCACGATTGCGCCAGATATCGTCGATAACTTAACACCACCACCGGCGACACACAACCATCAATTTACCTGTTCCCCTCCCTTCAACTAAGTCGTGGTCCAGATCGCAGGCACCATGTCCTCTACGGAGGCCCAACCCGCTGTTACCAAGAAGTTCGGCTCCGGTGAGCGAACGGTGCCGCATCACTCGCAGAAGGCCTCGAAATGGTATCCCGCCTACGACGAGCCACAACGTAAGAAGGTGAGTTGCAGGACAATTGAGTGTGAGCATGCTTGCGAGAGGCAATGCCACCTTTCGCGAGGTGCACTCTCTCACCTGGAGACCTCAGTCCCAACTAGACATGACGAACCAACTGACACGATGGTGACTCCAGGCTCGCAAGACTCTGCACCCATCCAAACCCCGAGCCGCTCTACAACCGGGCGCCGTCCTCATCCTCCTCGCTGGCCGATTCCGCGGCAAGCGAGTCATCCTCCTCAAGCACCTCAAGGAAGGCGCCCTGCTGGTGACCGGACCGTTCAAGATCAACGGCGTGCCCCTCCGACGGGTGAACTCGAGATACGTGATTGCCACGTCCACGAAAGTCGACATCGGCGGTCTTGACCAGAAGACGGTGGACAAGGTCGCCAGCCCCGAATACTTTGCCCGGGACAAGAAGAGCCGGAAGCAGAAGGGCGAGGACGCTTTTATGAAGCAGGGAGAGAAGCCAGAGGTAGGACTGATTCCCCCCTAATCGACCTGCTTTTTGGGCGATGTCATCTGTCATGGGCGCGACTGACGCACCCTCCCACAGAAGAAAGCCCCGGCATCCGAACGCGCAGCCGACCAGAAGAGCATCGACAAGCCTTTACTTTCCGCGATCAAGAACGAAGAGTTCCTCGCCAGCTACTTGAAGTCCAGCTTCAGCCTGAGAAGTGGCCAGAAGCCCCACGAGATGGCCTTCTAGGTTGGCTGGCACGCTGGCTGGCTGGCTGGCTGCTTGGTTGGTTGGGTGTTCTAACCAAGGCGATGCAGGCCGGGCGTGTGCGGCCCTTCCTTTGCTGACCTGGAGGACCGCCGTGGGAGGTGGTGCGGCGTAGGCGACCGTGATGAGCGCTGCGAGAAAAGCGCATGAGCAAGAGAGCGCGTGGAGATAGATTCGTGAACGGGCGTTTCTGCTGTGTACCGTGTACGCTTGCACAAGAGGCGATTTCAAGCACCACCCAATCCATTCCAATCATCCTTCAAACGGGGGAGCATGATGTGACAGGCCGGTTGGTGGGGGAGGTGCTGCGCAGCATGCATACTGTCATCGCCAACATGGCCCCAAACGCAGAACGAAAGGTCGAGACGAAGTCGTCCCCATGCGATTGTGGCTGGTAATGTCTAGTCGAGGCCGACGAGAAAAATCCAAGATCAATGAACACACACACACACACACACAGCACGGGTCTGAGAGATAAAGACTCGCGTGTCCCTTTTCCGATGCTGACACTCGAATGTCCCTTTTCCGTTGCTTCAAGAGCCATTTTGCGAAGTGCTGCGAATGGAATCGACATGTCGCGACTGGATTGCTTTTTCCTTTAATCGCTGCCGCGTGTTTACTGCCCACCGCGTCATTTGTTCTTGTCCTGCATCTACTGCTACCGGACGAGCCTGCGACTCCGAGCCTCTGTTCAAGATATCATCATATTGGCATGGTCATCTTTGACACTTAGCATGGTCATCTTCGGCCCTTAGCATTGTCATCCTTGACCCTAAGCATGGCGACCCGCCATTTGATCATGACAATACAGCGCCATTAAGACCGCCGACAATTCTTAGCCCGATGTCACAACCCGACTGCCTTGCTGCTGCGAAAGCCAGCACGAACCTGGCTCGTTCAGGTTTCCCATATTTGCTACCCTGGGTATCATCGACTGAAAGAAACCGCATCATCATCAACCATCCAGCTTGCTTGCTCAAACGCTTGACATCCACAGAACAGATCTTAAAAGATACCTAGGATCCATTTAGAACATGGAGCCCATCAAGGACAGCATACAACAATATCCTTCTCCCCCAGCAGACCTATGTAGGTATCTTAGAATGGCATTCAACTTCAATCATCCGCCCTCCTTCTCGTTCTCCTCGTCACCGCCCCCTTCGCCCCATTGGCTTCCCGCGAGACTCCTCTCCTCACCCGTCCTTTCGCCCTCTCAACCTTCCCGGACACATCATGCTTATCCGCCTCGGCGACGACATCATCCACGACATCCGCCCCCACACTCGTGCCCATAAGCCAATCACACAGTCCCCAGGGCCCAAAGTTGCCCTCCCCGTCACAGAGGACGTGGTTATCCGTCCTGCGCGCCATGCCTCCCAGGATGAAATTCGTCGGCATGGTGGAATACCCACTGTACGCGAACGTTTCCTCCAGCGACGTGAGTGTGAGGTAAAAGATGTACGTGAGCAGGTGGAACCGCAGGATCAAGGCGGGGAGGTACATGGGCAAGAAGGAGCGGACAAGGTAAGCTAGGGGATGGTCGTACGTGGCGCTGAGCGGAAACGGCGCCTCAATGGCGTGGTACCAGTCCCTGTGATTTCGTGAGAGGGAGACCGTGTGGTTCCAATTGTGTAAGATATAGCGGTGGAGGGTGTATGCGATGAGTTCGCGCAGGAGGTAGCCCTTCGCGAGGTCCTTGATGATACCCCATGGGAGAGGGAGCGTCGTGGTGACACGCAGGGCGGAGCGCCAGAGGAGGACGCGCGTGAAGACGAGTTCCACGCTCGCTTGGATCGTGAGGCCGAGGAGGGTGTTGAAGATCGACCAGCCTACCATGCGAAGGAGCGCGATTGTGCGTTTCTTTGAGGCGTTCTTCTTCAACGGGAGCGCCGAGTCGCCTAGGGCCTTGAGGTTCTCGGCCGCCGAAGGGACGAATGCGTCGAAGGCAAGGAAGAATAGGGACGGGAAGACGTAGAACAATAGGCGGACCGCGAGGCTGGCGATTATCTCGACCTTGAGAGGAGGGTGCGACAGGACGAGAGTCGACCAAGTGAGGTAGAAGAAGAGGAGGTTGAGCGAGGTCGAGTACGACGACACGGTCGGGATGAGGAGGAACGAGAGCATCGGCAGCCCTATTATGGCGTCCGTCATGGTGCGCAATGCGGTATAGGTCGATGAGAATGGTGCGGTCGCGTATTTATACAGCTGGGCTGCATAAGAGGGAGGTGGTGAACAGGAAACTGCAGTGGGGACATACGACGACCATGACTGAGGGAGGTAGCATGCTGGATTGTATGAGGACACCATGGGGCCTGAGGTATCGAGCTGCTGCGGCGGAAAGCTCAGTGTCGCCGACCTGGAGGCATTGGCAGGAATGATTGCTTGCAAACCCCGACGACGAGATGTTGCATGTGAAGGGGCTGGGAGGGTCGGAATGCGCATCGAGAAGCACACGACGTCATCAGGCACTCGTCTCCGCACGTGATTTTGTAGCGGGGTTCACTAAGCCACATTCGATAGCCGACGCCACTGTTAAGCGCCACTTGGCCGCTTGCTTGAGTTCCTGGGTGCGTTGTACGAGGTACGAGTTCCTTGTATCCCGCTTCGAAGAGCTGCATTGTCCCTCCGGCTGTTCTACCCATTATGGTAACGATTTGGGGGCACATGGGGGACAACGGACCAACCCCACGCTGATCAACTATCCCGTGGCGGGGACTTACTGTGGTAGCCTAACGATGAACATGTCACCAATCGCATGACTCGGCCAGAGGAGGTTCAAGCTGACATCGGGCTATCAGGTCGCTGTAGCTAAGAGGCCTGCGGGAGGAAAGAGGAGCTGTAAAGTGTTCGCATCTACTGTAGCAACCTCGAGTCCCAAGTGTCTCATCATCCATGATCCAGCTCGCATTTCCGACTCCACCGTGTTGGTGGGATTGGAAGTCAATGACAGCGACAGTGACAGCCTTCTCAGCCTGGTTGCCCTCCAGCCAGGACCCTGACTTCTAACCGTCAAGACCTTCCACCGAGCTATAATGCTACCCCTGTGTCAGATGCAGATGGACTTGACAGTTGGCACACGTCAAACAGCCGAAGTGCTTGCATCAGATTCAAAAATCGCTTCTTGACCGTCAACCCCTGCTCGACGTTGTGCAGATGCGGGGTGTGCGGGCGGTCCATGCAAGACGGAGCAGGGGAGAAAGAGATATGCCTCGAAGTCCACACCTCGGCGACCTTCTGTTTGGACGGCTATTCATGATGCCCTATTTGTTGGACGGGCGTTCAATTGGTGACGCCATGCCCGTCCTAACATCTCCGACTGAACAACACACAATGCCTGCGTTACTTGACAGTCTGTTCCCCAACGTTCGCTGGTCGAGAGGCCCATTCCACAGCCCAACGAGGTATTGGACTGTGATTTGTTAGATGCCTCGTGTGTCATTGAGATTATAAAGGCCGCTCATTTCGGTCCGGAGCTCATTGCAAGCGTTGCCGGCAATAACACTGTTAATAGCCACAACACTCGACAACGACGTTAGTCTCGTCTAGTAGAGGATTATATTCGTACTCTTTTTGCTCATATCATCCGTTCCTCAACAGCCGCTTGCCCCCATTGATTACAACCTCGATAGACAAGATGTCCGAAGAAAATATTCCCAAAACGCAGACAGCTGCACTAGTCCGGAGGCAAGGCGGACCGGTAGAATTTGACGACAATTACCCTGTCACTCTCCCTGGAAGTGATGAGATCCTGGTCAAGGTCCTGTACACCGGGGTCTGTCAAAGTGGTCAGCACTATAGACTCTTAACCCGAGTAGTAGGTTAGAACTGAGATGTTGTGCTAGATCTCCACACCAAAGCCGGTACTGCAACCGGTGCAGACGGGAAACCGATCACGAACATCAAGCTGCCGCATGTGGGCGGCCACGAAGGCGTTGGTCGCGTCGTCAAATTCGGCCCAAATCTGTCACCAACCGAGAAACTCAAGTTGGGCACTCTAGTTGGGATCCGTTTTCTTTCGCGGGTCTGCCACGAATGCGAGTACTGCACCTCTGGACGGGATCAGCACTGCGGCAATGCAACAAATCACCTGCACCACGAAGACGGCAGTTTCCAACAGTACTGCGTGCTCGACACCAAGTTCTTGACGGAGCTGCCACAGGATATTGATCCCAAGGTCGTGGGTCCTGCTCTCTGCGCGGGCGTCACGGCTTACAAGGTACTCAAGCACTCCTCTGAACAAGCAACATGTGCTAAGCATGCAAGGCTGTGACAAACGCGAATCTCAAGAAGGGCGAATACCTCACAGTAATTGGTGCAGGAGGCGGCCTCGGCCACTTCGCAGGTGGGCCCTCATCTTCATGCATTTACAGTAGTTGCTTCCGACTGACACAACTGAACAGTGCAATACGGCCTGGCCCTGGGTATGAACGTACTTGGCGTCGATGCCGGCGCAGAAAAGCAGAAGTTTGTCGAATCCCTCGGTGCGCGATTTGTCGACTTTTCGACGTGCAAGGACCTGGCTGGTGAGGTCAGGAGCATCACAGGTGGCGGCTCACATGCTGTTGTGGTCACGAGCGGCCACCCTCTTGCTTTCAGAGGTTTGGCCGATATGGCCAGGATTGGTGGAAGTATTTCCCTGGTGGGGATACCACCAGGGGACGTGCATCTGGACGCGCCAGTGGCGGGTATCGTGATCAAAGGACTCAAGATCCAGGGAAATCTGGTCGGGTCACTGAAGGAGACACTAGAAGCGGTTGAATTTGTGCGAAAGGGCCAAGTGAAGCCGCACGTTAAGGTTCGACCTTTCAGGGACCTGCCAGAAGTGTATGAGCTGCTGGAAAAGGGCGACGTTTCGGGGAGAATTGTGTTGGAGCTGTAGAAGCGCACCGAACCACAGTACAACTTCAGAGAATCAAGAGAGCAAGCGAATTGAGCCTGAGAAGCTTGGATCCGCTCTGCAAGCTCTTTGGCGTCTTCTCATCGTACATGAGTCAGTGTTAGGGCTGTGTGGGGTACAGGCTTGACATCAGCTTCTCCCTTGGCTTGTCTGATTGCCCCCTCACTGGTGGCGCAGCGTGCAGCATGTTCGCAGATACAATTCCGCGCGCCATGTTCCCCAGACGGCAACGCAATGCAATCCAACGGTCGGAAAGTCTCAAACAGGACCGTTGAGTGTCATCACCCGCATCGCAAAAGTGTAATGGGCGCGGCGCAGCGCACCGTGCACATATCTACCCAGGGTGTTGACTCCGATGAGAAGTACGCTCAACCACGCCAGCCACCAGTATATCAAAGAATGGGGTTTGGAGGTTCAGCTGGGAATATCCTAGTGTGTGTTGATGTCATTACGCTTGGTTCTGTCCAATGTCCGATATAACTCGGTTTGACAGTTGGTGTCTGGGTGGAGCGCGAGCCAATCAATAAGGGCACTGCAGCGCGGCCGAAGAGTTCGTGCAACATACCGACCTGGAGCGTCGAACGACTGTCTCCATACGTACTTGTTGGTGCTGCGTACCTGATGTGTGGTCAGTGCGCTTCTGAGTGTGGCGTTTCTCTTCCAGATGCAGCACTGAGCAACCGGGGCCTTCCCAGTTCAAGAACCTGGCGCATACCCTTCTGTGATGATGGACCGTTTTCGGGGAATGGCGCAATTTTGGCGAGGACTGAACCTTGTACTGTACAACCTAGCCCCAACCCGGGGTTGGGCGTTGAACTTTCGCAAAACATTCGTCCATGAGGCCGACTACATCTCCGGTCTCACAGCACCAGATTTTCCCGCATTCTTGTACGCGACTGAACCAATCTGGCGGTAATCCTGGCGTCAGTGAGACGCAATTTGCCTTCGCTACCGTCATGTTGCTTCCAACCTTCGCCGTCTCGATAGCCTGCGTTCTGGAGTCAACCCCCCTGGGTCGGTATGTATGAGCAGGGATCCGACGACGCCGGAGATTGCATGTCGTCTCTTCAATATGGCTCCATCGAGCCTGCATTGACTGACTTGACGTGCCCTAGTATGGTCCCCTGACATGCAAGCACTTAAATTGATAGGGCAATCGATAACAGAGCCGTCCCGTTATCGCTGGTAGGCGTGTTCGTTCCTCTGGGAACATACAGGGACTGTCGTGGGAAGCGTCTAATTTGCATGACCGATGCGATAACCCAGCCACCGAGATCATGATGCCGAAGGAATGAAGCAGGCGACTAGGAATGCTCACGGGAATCAATCGCACCACGAGTTGAGATCAGTGGTCTGGAACCGGTTAATAGACGCCCTTGCGCTTGTGAGAGACCTCCATTGCTATCCTTCCCGCTCTGCCGTGCCGTCGCGCGTTTCGATATGGCCCCGCTTGTTGGACGCGAGCTGCCTCATTGAAGCAAAAGAATCTAGCAATAGCGGATCGAGGACTTCGTTGTCGATCATAGTTCGCCGTCAAGACCTGTTCATCCGTGCGGCAAGTTCCTGGAGTCCGTCAACCAACCATCCCTTGCCGCCGTACCGGACTTCAGCAGCCACACTTGTCGAGGCCGTCCAATTTGAGTACCCGGGCCTGGGTCTTCCTCCTTCAGGTATTCGGAGGCGACAAATCTGGCCTCGCGCAACTGAAACTTCTATCCCTCAATGGTCTGAGCTGCCCGATTCGCAGAAAGTGGAGCCGGTGGCCACATCTCAGGAACCGTCCTGGACGAAGCAACATATTTTTGCCTTGCATTCTGTTCGAGACACACGCGCACCGTGGACTGATATCAGCGGGAGCAAGATATCCCTTTTATTCACACGCTGTCCATCTTCTGTCGCACCTCACTCACCATCTCGACCGAACCGCATACCGATAACACCGGCAAACCAGTAGCTCAGCATGTCGCTCAATTGTCGGTCGGAAAACTCACCGAGTAAGAAACAGAGCAGGGCTTTTGTTGGTCTTTACAGTGGGCTGACTGTTGCTGCAGTGTACAGGCCCCATACCAAGGTCGAGGAGAGCCATTTTGGTCTGTTACCGCACATCGACACCGACTTCGACAGAGACTCTTCGTTGGAATATGCAGGGGATTGTCCTTCGCTCTCATCCACGTTCTTTTCTTCCGATGGATCAACGACCGATTCCCATTGCCACCGCAGGCCTTCACTGGCGTCGTCCGTCCACTCGGCGTCACCAGAAGCTTTTTGGACACCACCGGCAACCTCCATGAGCCTAACGACGCATATGTCCTTCGAGTCAGGCACACAATTGTCTTGCAGACAGGATGTGAAACGCACGGCCTACCTTGCAAATAATCATCCCATTTTCCATCATCTCCAGGATGAAGAGCAGGATCGTCACACGATCTTGTGGGAAGCTCCTGATGACGCTAACCTGCCCTTGCTGGGCAGCAACCACGATCTGACCATGACCGAGGTCACCCATCCACTATATCATTTAGACGGGCACGGCTTAAATCACGGAAACAGAAATCCGTCTTTGACAAAGTCAATATTTGCCACGCCTGGCGCTTGTGCGTTGATTGCCACAGATGATATGCTTGGCTTGTACTCAACAAGTGTCCAGCCTCCCGCAGAAACAATCGAGCCCAGCGTTGCTTTCCGGGGGACTCTGCCGAGCTCACCTTGTTACAAGGTTGAGCCATCAACACCTCTGAAGGGACAAATGCCTTCTTCGGTCATTTCCAGCAGCAGTCCCTTGTCGGTATTCTCGCCACGAATCGTACCATCACAGCACGACGTGGATGATTATCCATATGCCTCCCTGCAGCAAGCTCTCAGCAGGACAAAGAAACAACGTGCCGGCAACGACCGTTTGCAACGTCGGACTTACGAACGCAAACGTCCTGCCGGACCGTCCTCTAACCCCAAAAGCTCACCGATCAAGACTGGCATGGACTGCGCCTTAGTGATCGAACAGAACGAATTCGCCTGTGGTTACCCTGGCTGCATCGACAAGCACACCGGCAAGCAGAAGCGATTCAAGCGTCAAGAACACAAAAAGCGACATGAGAAGACTGTACATGAGAAGACACAGCACACAACATACACATGCTGGGTGCCTGACTGCGGGCGAGGATTCAGCAGGACCGACAACCTTAAAAGTCATTTGAGGAATACTCACTGCAAAAGGCCCGGTGTTCGAGGGAATCGATATGTTGCCACCCTGGACAAGGACAGCGAGTTCTATGATCCAGACTGGGTTGGTGAACTCGATAAAGACGGATATCCGATGTCCTCATAGCGGTCCACGCTTCTGGCTTCGGTGGTCCGTGTGGACACAAGGTGTGCCACGCCAGCATGCTGGTGCATCTGGAGCGATGGGCAGGAGCGCGCTCGGGTCCGGACATCGAGCCGTTCTCATTCCGGGTTTATCTTTTCGTCATCTGTAACTGGAAATACTTTGGATTCGCCTGTACCAAAAGGGTTGGTTATCATGCTTGTGAAAAGCTGGATACCATTGCCACCGGTACGATTGTTCGTGGGTGTGTATGAGTACGGAAAAAGAGCACCATTTGACTCGAAAAGGCTGCATTCTTTCAGCATTGCGTCAGGTCCATGGAGGATTTTGGGCGCCCTCGGAGTGGCATCATAGCAAATAGCTGTTCAATGAAAGCAGAATAAGTCAGGAAGCAGATAGGATGTAAGGTTTCGAAGATATGATTGAGCGAAAGGCAGAAATGAGGTGGCGAGCTCGAAGCTCAAAAACCGGGCCTTGAAGTCCTGCGGTGAGGTGTGACGTGAGGTGCACCAGTGTCTCATTCGCGTGTCAGAGTCGTGTCTCCTCCGTACCGCCGCAGGAGCATCCTTGGGTCGAGCTCCTTCCCTCAGAAGGCGGTGAAGCACGAATGATGTGATCTTCCGGGGAAAGGCAAGCGATATGACACGTGCTGGAGTGGGTTTGAGAGTCCATCGTAACAGTGCCGCTGCCAGTGAGAACAAAGTGAAGTCAAGATAAGTTGACTGCGTACCTGATGTGCAAAGTCTAAATGTCCTCTCACGTGCTTCCTCGCCGAAATCGCGTCCGCACCGCGCGTATTCGTACTGTACGAAAAACGGAGTAGTCTAAGCCTCTATGATTCTTCACCATGCATGTGCCTTTACCAACAAGTCTACCTCAATCAGTGCAAGCTGGTGCCTCTCTGAGCAATCCCGACAATACCGACTTCTACTCGCGCCTCCCGTGGATCAATACTGCATTGCAGGATACTGCGACCAGCTTGTCCCTGCATCTAGAACTCATTGCTTTAGGAAAGCAAATCCCACGGCTGATTTACTTTGGTGAGATACGCTAGTCTTGGTTGCTAGCTAATGAAAGCTACGTGGCACGCGATAGCAATCCTTCACAGGTCGCTGACTGTAAATGCCGATTTCGGACGAGATGGGATTGAGGCTTGTCATAGTAGTGGAAGTCGGTGTGGACTGGGAGAATGCCTTAGCATACGTCGAGTGACTTCAGAATCGATCCAGACGGGACGCACCGAGGTTGTCTTTGTGGGGAAAGCTCCGCATACCAAGAACTCAGAGCCCAAGTAAAGAAGCAGTCTACCCGTGCATATGAGGATTAACAGCTCAAGCACGTTCACCGTTCTGAACATGCTTCACGATCTGGGCTTGACCTGTGGTTGTGAAGGAAGAGCTCGACGCGTGGGCAAAATTTACACCTTTTGACTACAGGGATTCTTCCCATAAGCACCCGGCTCCAGACGACACCCTCCACTTCCTGCCAACTCTCACTGACGACCTCCTCGGAACAAAGCGGCATACAGAGCCATGGCTCGGCTCCCGCGCACCTCCTGCTCTTTCTCTTGCTCCCAGTCAATGGCTTGTCGCTCAAGATGTGACCGGATTGACCATTGAGCCTGTAGTGACGACCCAAATGACCTATCTGAAAACGTCGGCGTGGAAAGAGTAGTTTCGGTATGCTGGGTCAACACCTGGTTTGCTTCGGCGGTGTCCTCCTCCGCTGCAGGTCGGGATCTCCGTGGTGGCTCTACCCTTCTGGGAACACAGATCGGAATTTTGGTGTAGTCTGAAAGGTCGCCGAAGCCAATTCCGAGATCTGCAACCGGCGAACAATTTGTGCTGAGCGTTGGAGCACCGTCTTGGTTGTTCCTGGCGGCGACTTCATTCGAGACTGGGCGTGCTGGAAGGGATGTTGACGGGCGGTTCGGCGGATCTGGGATTCGCCAGAGAGCCTCGGAGCCTGCATTCGGACCATCCATGAACAGTAGCGGCTTCTGGGAGACCAAGGTAGCACTAACGGAAGAAACAGAGCCCGCATGTGTGGCAGGCCGACAGGTGGAATAGGATGCCCGGCTGATACTGGGCGCAGAGCTACGATGGAATGACAAGCCAGACAAACTCGGTCGCTTGTTTCTGCGGTTCCCGAAGGCATGAGTGCGCATCTCTTCAACACTACCGACCGAAGTTGCCCTGCCGATTACCTGTCGAGACGTGGCTTTCAGAGTTCGCGGACCATGCAAGAGTCGGTCCTCGGCGACTTGGGCGAGGTTCCCTGCTGAAGCTGAGGCTGTGCTATTGTAGGTGGGTGCTCTGAGAAAATGGGAAGGTAATGGCTAGATGCTGGATTAGAGGCGCACACAGAGCAAAGAGTTGACGAACTTCGACAATTCCATACCGTGAAGACGGTAGACTAGGGTTTCTGTTTCTAGCTTCATAAAGATCCTTGCGGATGAGGGAGGATATCTCAAAAACTTTGTTAGGTCTGTCCATCTGGCTCTACTTCTTATCGTCGTACCTTGGCCATCTCTTCCTGGCGCGACTCCGACTCGGACTCCTTTGGCTTGCATTCATAATCCATCTGCTCAGAAAGGGTCAGCAATGGCGTACGCACGGGTGAGGACATGTCGCGTACCAATGTGACAGGTTTGCTGTGAGCAGAATTCCCACTATTTGACGATGTGCGAGTTGTGGGTATGTACAGTTCAGTTGTGAGCTCAAGCTGTGGTAATGACGGCTCCGGCGATGGGATTGTTCGGGTGGTAGTCGGCGTCAAAGCTTCCCGCGATCGTCGGTCCTTGCGACTGAATAGTCCACTGGGTATATTCTTCAATCTCTTGGTCATCTTCTTGAATCGGCTATTGTGCTCTCCCCACATGGTCCCAAAAGTTGTTCTCGACACGGCTCTGAGAGTCTGGCCTTCTTTCCGATCGCCGTTCTTGGGAAGGGTGGTCAGGATAGCCTGATCATCAAGGGACAGCCTGGTAGATGTGATTTCGTCGATAGATAGCTCTGGAGTGCCCGCCTCGGGAGTAGTAGCTGTGCGGAGGACTCGTGGCCAAAGGGTCTCGGGGATCTCGTCGAGAGGAGTGGCCGGTAGGCTGCTGGTCCTAGACGTGATGGAGGCTGTTGCGGATAGGACAGGCCGACCTTTGACTGGCGACATTCTATTTGTATCGATAGTTCTTAGAGGAGAGGCAGATACCATTCGCTTTGTCAGGACCGCTTTGCCTTTGTCTTTTGGTGCAGCCGAATGCTGTGTCCTCCAGTGAGCTGTAAGGTGGGACGGCTCAGCTGGTTGACGTCTCAGTTCATGCGCCCCAGGAGTGCGCCAGGCCGATGGATTTGCCATGACACTGAGGCCTGAGGTAAAAGCTTAGCAGAGCAGAGAGGAGATCGATCAATGATTAGCCTGGTGAAAGCGCTGGATGTCGTCGAGGTAGAAGGGGTTGCCGAGATTGTTTTCATTCCGCTTTGACGCCGCCAGGGAAGGTGGTGGACTAGTGGTCGACGTCGCCGGGGCAAGAGTGACCCGCGTCAATGCAAGATTGACGAGTGTTGTCGCAGGCTTTACAGGACATGCGGGCCGCCCTTGGGGACAAGAGTCTACCTGTGAATCTGACAACGAGAAGCGGAGACATCCTCTCAACGGTCAACGTGCTCTGAGTCTTACCGCCCTGGCTTCAGCATCTCTGCGCTCTTCGACTCCTCTCAAGAAGTCCATTCTCGTCAGATAGCCCTCCTTTGCTTTGGCATGCAAATCCAGCTCCTCTTTCAGACCCTCAGTATCAACGTGCTCAGCCCAGTCCATCTTGCTCTTCTCCACGACATTCAGCTTAGGACCTCTGAACTTGGTGTTCTGCACGTTTCTAGCACCCCAGGCGCCTTTGAAGGCGTCCATGTTGCTGAGGTTCGGGTCGAAGCGCGAAAATTTACGCAGTGGCCGATTGACAAGCTTTCCATTGGCTGCCGGGCCATTGCCTTCTGAAGGTCGCTGTTGAGAGAGCCACAACTGTGCCTCTGCTGACGATCTGAGGACAGTCTTCTCTTCAACGTGCACTTCACCAGCAAACTTGTACGCCCTCTTGATTGTGATTGTCGCTTCCCCGTTGTTGGCTGGCACATTCTCCTTCTCGCTATCTCCGCTGACAATGTTCAGACTTCTGGAATTGTCTGTGAGACCTGACTGCTGTACTTGGTTGAGAGCTTGGTCGTCCTCTTCAATGCGCGGTGGAGGCAGTGACGCCGGCCTGTTCATCTCTTCCCATAGTTTGTCCACGTCAATGGTGCTGCCTTTGCTTGATGCTAGCTTGCGTCTTGTTCGCTCCTCTTTCTCTTTTGTACGCATTGCACGAGTGCGAGCTCGCCATTCCTCTGTCTGATTTCCAGCGTCTTCTGCTGCAGCGCCCTTCGCGTTTTCAACCTTCTTTTGGTCCTTCTTCTGCGCCCGAATAGTTGCTTCGTCACCTGAATCGAGCTCGGTGATCAACACTCCCTGCGTCTTTTCTGTCTTTCGTCTTTTGCGGGGCCGCTCAGGCGCATCTGCGATGCCGCCCTCTTCATCCTCGGACGCAGATGACGGATTCTCAGCATCAGACCCTTCTGCCTCGAAGTCACTGTCGGCTTCCTCGTCATACTCGTCCTCCAGAGTGATCTCCTGATCTTGCGGTTCGGCCATTGCATCCAAGCCAGTGTAGCCGAGCGCGTGAACGCGGACAAAATACCAGAGTTGGAAAGGCGAATCCTCGTGAACTGGAGACGAGTTTGGTGGAGGGGCTCGCTAATTAAGCGAGTGAGCGTCTTGGCAACGTCGCCTTCGAACTTCGAACTCGCGAACTCTCACTCATTCACAGTACTGCAGCCAATCAGCCAGTCTGCGTTCACGACGCGCCATGTGATGGAACGTAAATCGGGGCGTGGATGGAACTCCGGCTCCAGCTTAAGACGGCACAGGCGGGTGCCCGAAGGCGTCGTTTTCCACCAGCGCTATGAGTGTTTTGTCTCCTCCCCCCACAATGGCGCGAGCTACAAGTCGCCTCACACCGATAACCCTGGGTCTTCTCAGAATAAGATGAGTACCGTAGCAGGACGCCTGTTCCAAATCTAGCAAGCCTTCGAGCATCCTCGAGGCCAAGAGGAATTGGCCTACAGTGGGTCTCTGTCGACTCTCCTGGCCATCGGCAACGCACTCTCTTACGAGCACACTCAGCTGCAAGTCCTACACTAGAGATTCCACGCGTACTGTCTCTCAGATCGTTGAAGTCGGTTTGTCTCACCCTGCCAATCCTGCTGGATCCTTGGGGCCTCGCGCAAAGGACACTCATTTGGCAAGTGTCCCTAGGTCTCTCGGCCGTAAGCATATCCACGAGGCTGCATTCATCACAGCCTCGCGCTCCATACCCTTTTGGTCATTTCGGCGAAGTTCAATTTGTTCTTGGTGAGTAGGAACCATATCCCCTACCATCTTGCGTCCTCATGCGTTGGGCCACGGAGAGACTCAAAGCAGGACGCCGAAGTCACCTGGTTGCCAACACCTAGATATAAGTACTGCGATGTGATACATATGTACGCAAGGCCCATCTGCATGCTATGATATGCTACAAAGGCGTCAATACATACAAGCAGAAATTCTCCAAGCTAAACCTTCCTAGTAACAGATTCTCTTCAGCCGGGATCGCTTCCCTCAGTCGAGCAGATCAGGTCGAAATGGGTAAAGCAGGATCTCTGTCTGGCGAGGAGGCTGGCCCAACAATACACTACAACGATTGGCCGAACACACTGGGAGTATGGATGATTCTGCTTTGGAGTTGGTCGTGAACTAATTTGACATTGTCAGTTCGATACACACTACGAGGAGAGGACCCCAATCGAGTTAAGAGTCGAGGGAGATATCCCAGCGTATGCAGCGGGTACTCTGTTCCGCACTGGTCTAGGACCGAGGTCGATCCGCACATCCAAAGATACAGAATTCAAAGTCAACCACTGGTTCGACAATTTCTCCCAAATCCACCGCTTCCAGATCCACCAGCCACAGCCAGGCGACAAAACGCGGGTCACTTACAATTCGCGCTTGACGAGCGACGGCCTCCTCGAAAAGATCAGGAAGACCGGCAAGCTTGACGGATTCACATTTGCCGCGCGGTATGATCCATGCAAATCATTCTTTCAGAAAATGCAAGCTGTCTTCCAACCCGCGCAGCCCGAACCAAAACCAAATGAGGTCAATATCGGCGTGACAATGTCAGCGAACTTCCCCGGCTTGTCGAGGGATGGGCACAAGGCTGAGCATCCTCATGATGCTAGGGATGGGATGACTCTCTGCAACAAGACTGACGCGAACATGTTGCAATTCCTCGACCCGGAATCCCTCGAACCAATAGGGGTCGCGCGGCAAGCGACCCTTCATCCTGAGCTCACAGGCGTAGGGAGCGGTGCACATGCAAAGTCGGATCCAGCTACTGGAGATGTGTTCAACTACAATCTCGACTTTGGACGGACTGGAACGTATCGAATATGGCGTGCTTCAGCGTCGAGTGGCAAGACCTCGATCTTGGCAACCTTCCAACATGCCCCTGCTTACATCCACTCTCTTTTCTTGACGGAAACCTATGTTATCTTGTGTGTGTGGAACTCGTACTACAAAGCCGGAGGCGCCTCTATTCTGTGGACGCGCAATTTGCTCGATGCGATGGCTTGGGATGGCAAACGATCGACTACCTGGTTTGTTGTTGACAAGAAGTCGCCGGAAGAGGGCGGCAGGGGCGTCATTGCTACTTATGAGTCCGAGCCATTTTTCTCGTTCCACAGTATCAACGCCTACGAAGAGCCCTCGACCAGTCAGCAAGGAGCGCTCGACGTTATTTGCGACCTGGCAGCGTATGAAAATATGGATATCCTTCACCACTTCTACTTGGACAACATCATCAGCGACCTTCCTCAAGCACATTCCGCGAGGAAGTCTATGCCATCCACAGTAGTCCCCAACTATCGACGATACCGGCTACCAGGTATATGCTCACTGCCAGAGACCAAACATATGCAAGCTATTCTGGAGTTCGAGAGCAGCAAGCTGAACGCATTCGAACTTCCCATCATCAACCCCATGATGGTCACCAAGAAGCATCGGTACATGTATGGCATAACCGATACTGGGAAATCAACATTTGTTGACGGTCTGGTCAAGTACGACGCAGAGACACATACCACGCTCCGATGGAGTGTTCATGGTCAAAGTCCGGGGGAGCCCATATTTGTCGCAGATCCTCAGTCGGAGGACGAAGATGGTGGGGTGCTCTTGTCTGTCGTTCTCGACGGTCCAGGAGGGAAGAGCTATCTACTTGTTCTCAATGCGAAGACGATGACAGAGGTCGGAAGGGCACATGTTGACGGTGCAATTGGCTTTGGCTTTCATGGCTTGCATGTAAGCTCGAGAACAGCCGTTGGTCGCCAGAATGGTTTGCATTTGTGACAGATGGAATAGGGAATGGCGTCAGTTTCAGTGTCAATCTCACTCTGGATTCCAATAATGATAGCGGCCTGCTTTTACGTATAACAATGAACCAACCGCATGCTCTGGACAATCCAGAGCCACAGGCTTTAAACCTTGAACCTCTGGTGCCACCTGAGTGGCTGCGCGGATGTATTTCCCGAAGCGCCGGCAGCCGCGGTTGTGGCGCTGGAATTTGGTGTGGCAGCTAGAAGCTGGCGGGAGGCTGGTGGAGTGCATGACGTGTGAAGCTGGTTGTGGCTGGAAGAGCCTTGACGTAGGGTCTGTACCGTTTGCTGGAGAGCATCTTCGCTGGCTCAGGCACACATTCCCTGGTCCCGTTCTTCGCTAGTCACGGCTTTGTCCTTCGTTCACTGAGCGCTGACTTGTCATTCACCGGTGACTGCTGTGCGTCACTGTCGCGTCGCCTCTCTCTTTTTCATGGCCAGGAGGTAGCCTCAGCCAAGTTCTTTTCGTTCCTGTTCCCGCACGAAGTCCATCAAGCTCCTTGCGACCTGTGAATTGTGCGCAACGACTTTGACACGCGACAAACCATCTGACTGTTGGCACGCATCATGTCGGTCTCAAGCCTGGTCGACTGGCTAGGTCTGAGCGAAACCTCACCTCAAGTCAAGCTCAACACCCTACCACTGTCATATTTCAAGTTTCCACCCACTCCAGAACCGACTACAGTACCACCTCCACCAGCAGCTTACAATGAGCCTACCCTTGCGCACCCATTCACTGTACCCACCGATGTCTACAACGACCTCCTCAAGCCGCAAGTCCCCATCACGGTCGCCTTGGTGTACATGTCATTGGTTTCGGTCCTGAACCAGGTCAATGCCAATCGCGGGAACAAACCGTGGGCAATCAGCAGAACACGCATTTTTAAGTTGCTGGTCATCTTCCACAATACTTTCTTGGCGGCATATTCAGCATGGACGTGTGTGGGCATGGCTAATGCCTTGCACCGGTCGCTACCAGCCTTGAACGAAGATTGGAGTGTTTCAACATCATTGGACGCGCTGTGCAAGCTACACGGGCCTCGAGGAGCTGGAAATGCGGCGACATACAATGCGACCACCAGCGCATGGACAATGACAAACCGCCTATTTCACCTGGCTGCGGACGGCCTCGGTCCTGAGACTACCGATGCCGGGCGGATCTGGAACGAGGGATTAGCATTCTACGGCTGGTTCTTTTACCTGTCCAAGTTTTACGAGATTGTGGACACATTGATCATCCTGGCCAAGGGCAGGAAGAGCAGCCTCTTGCAGACCTACCATCATGCTGGTGCCATGCTGTGCATGTGGGCTGGTATTAGGTACATGTCTCCGCCCATCTGGATGTTCGTTCTGGTCAACTCGGGCATCCACGCAGTCATGGTAAGTGACAGAAAAGGAAAGTGTCCGACAGCGCTAACACAAGTATCCAGTACACATTTTATCTTCTGTCGGCGCTCGGAATCAAAGTCCCCAAGTGGTTCAAACAGACTTTGACGACCCTCCAAATTTCGCAGTTCGTTGTCGGAGCGACCTTCGCCTTCCTACATATCTTCCTTGTGTATCAGATCCCAGTCAAAGTGCCCTACCTTTACCACCTCGGCGGAGTCGCCTCAAAGGTCGTCTCGGAAGCTCCAACCGAGGTCACCTCCAGCGTCGCTTCGGCAATTTCCACAGCTGCGAACTATGGCGCTTGGCTGAAGAAGGCCGTCCTCCGAGGCGCAGGCTACGAGGGTCTTGCGGAAAACGTCTTGAACGAGCAAGGCAAACCGTTTGGAGTGGACGCTGTTCATATCGTAGAGGACGCGGTTAGAAGAGAAGAGACACGCTACAGAGACGAACTCCGATGGGTTCATTGCCTTGACACTAGTGGGCAAGTCTTCGCCATCCTGCTGAACTGCGTGTACCTCCTGCCGCTTACGTGGCTCTTCCTGCAATTTTTCATCCAGGCATACATTAACCAAGTCGAGCGGAGACGGAGTCGATCCGCGAGCGATGCTGCCGTGGCCGCTCGAAACAGCTTCATCGACGCTTCCAAGGGTGTATCCAGGCGTCTGAGTCAAGCGGTTCAAGAGATGCACAATGTATCTGAGGACATTGGCGATGACACTGTCCTTGTGGACGGCGATGAAATCAGGAGAGAAATGAGAGAGGCTGCCGAACAAGCCAAGAATGCAATCAAGCGAGGAGAAAACAATGTGAAATCGTCAGTCAAGAACAGCGGCATCAGTCCTGAGGCCGTAAAGCAAGAGTTCAACCGTGATGTGGAATCAGCCAGGAAGACTCTGCAGGATACAGCCGACAGAGTGAAGAATGCAGCTGCCAAGGCTGGAGATGCGGAGAATAGAGAGAAGATCAACGCGAAGGCACAATCCTTGAAAGATAGCGCCGCCGATGCCGTGGGGAAGGCTGTGGACAGCATCAAGTCCGTGGCCGGAAGTGTGCATGAGCAAGCCGAGCCCGCTGTTAACTATGCTTCAGAGAAAGCAGGCGAATTGAAAGACCAGGCTGAGCCCACTGTCAATGCGGCAGCTGACAAGGCCGCCGAACTGAAGGATCGGGCCACTGAGACAGCCAAGAGCACTGCAGGTGAAGCAAAATCATCCATACCAGGGTCCGTCGATGAAGCAAAGGAGTCAGCACAGCAGGCAAGTGCGTCGGCAAAGCAAACTGCCAAAAACGCCGCAGATCAAGCCAAAGAAACAGCATCGAGGACGGCCGATGAAGCAAATGAGCCAGCCCAGAAAGCAGGCCACGCAGCGAGAGAGACCGCCCAGGCCGCCGAGGAATCAGCAGAAGCTACCGTCGAATCAGCCTCCAGCAAAGCAAAAGACCTCTCCAAGAAGATCCAGGACAGTCTAGAGCAGGGCGCCTCGTCCGGAAAGGGGGAAGCATCCGAGGTAAACAAATTCACATCACAGAACCAAGAATCAAGTATGACGTCGGAAACGAAGACCCCAAACGGAAATGGCACAGGCGCCGACGAGGTGCCTGGGCCGAGTCAGAGCGAGGTGAAGACGGATGAGAGTGAACAGACGAAGGTGGAGAAGAAAGAAGAAGATGAGATCATCGACGACAGTCAGGTTGTGAGGGATGAGGACGTCGATACCAAGACTAAATCTAATGGTGAAGGCAGTGGCAATGCAGAGGAACCGACAGTGACCTCGGCCCAGGGAGCAGGATCGGGCGATAAGCCAAGCTTTGCAGAAATGTTGAAGAAGGACGATGAGGGCGAGAACGAGGACGGAGGGGACAAGGCGAAAGAAGGGTGAGGGATCTGAATGGAAAAGTGAGCAGGTAAAGCCCCAATGCTCGCGTGCCAGGCAAGCAATCTCTTGCTGAAGACGTCAACCTGATGCGTGCAAAGGTAGCACAGTAAATGGTGCACCGCCGCCAAAGTCGATGTCTTCAGCTGAGCATGTGCGCGATTTGCGCATTCCGGATCTTTCTTGAAGACTCAAGGCGTTGGTAACAGCAAGCCGAGATAGGTACAGGACTCGCGTCAGGTCGGGGGACTTCCAAATTCAAGCCAACAAGGAATTAAAACTTAGTTAATGCTTCATGTGCCTTTCGATTGTCTCTCATTATCATGTTCATGTTCGTTCTGTATGTGACTCGACTTCTATGTGCACCCATTTCTTGCAGTCCTCGCTAAACCAGCCCTGAAGATGCCGTGCCCATAACATGCCTTGATGCTCACAAATTTGCGCCCAGTGCCCCGTGGGCCGCCGGCTAGATTGTGTTGCTACTGAGTTCCTCTCGTTCCCGGCATTCAGGCCGAAAGTTCAGGCCTTGCGACGACGGCACGGTGTCGCACGGGCACATTGGATTGGCAGAACTCGCGATGTGGTCGACTCTTTCTGTTTGGCTGAAAGGTGTGGTTTTCTCGGTGTGATCATTTCACCGCCTCGTGAGGAAAGCCAATATCTCAATATCCCAGTATCCGACTAAATACCCCGATTGAACTCGACCAGTCCGCCTTCTCCCCCCTTGTCCCAGAACTCCTTCTCCAGCTTATGCGCGCTGACAGCTTGTCTCTGCGGAAAAGCCGCCAACGCCAAGGGTAGGGCGAAGATGCTGGTCGTCAAGATCAGTCCCAGGTTCACAGGCAAGACCATCCTCGGTCTCTGCTTCAGCCACTCGGTCGTCTGTAGCCGGACTAAAACCAAGGGCGGAATGACCATGATCGGCGTGGCGTTCAACACACGTGAGATGGCAGTCTCGCCTACCGCCAACAACGCGGCCTTGCGGGATTTACCCAGACTGGCGACTTCCTTGCCTGTCTTTTCGCGCTCGGCTTTCTGTGCCTGCGACTGAACGGGGAATACGTCGATTCCGCGACGGATTTCTTCGCCACGCATCAGGAAGACGTTCAGAGCTCCTGCGGATGCGACAGCCGCGAAGGGCACGAGGCGGCCAAGGATGACTTTCGTGTTTGGTGAGACTCGTTTGAGGCGGGGGACAAGGGCGTTGAGACCCACGGCGACGGAACAGGATGCCGAGACGGCTAAGAAGTAGGACTTGGCCAGCGTCGAGGTGGAGAGAGGGGACGATTTATTCGCGTTGGCCGAATTGATGGCCACGTTGAGCGACTGGTTTATCACCTGCCACGCCACCACACCCGTGGTACCCATGTTCGGTGTGAGCATGCCCGCCGTGACGATCAGATTGGAGATGACGAAGCACGACATGCGAAAGGGGAGGAAGACCGGCTGGCCTGTGTCCGGGTGCAGTGTCGAGTCGACAATCTTCTTTGCTTGCCATATCTCTGGTGTCATCACTTTTGCTTGCCCCATCTTGTACGAGGTCACTAGGTTCTTTGCGTTCTCTAGGCCGGAGGAGGAGACGAAGAGCGTCCTGTCATGCCACAGGCATTAGCATCGTGTCCGCCAACTGATCTGCTTGAGGGTGTATATGCTAATGTGCCAAGGTCTGTTGCGCTGTACCTTCGGCGCCATTTCGAGGCGCGTATAGTCTTCAGCCAGAGCTCTCAAGGTTGTCTCGAGTGATGGTTTGTGTTCTTTGCCTCACCTCGGATCTGCGATCTGCGCAGACTGCTTGACACGGCCCCAGTACGTGGAGAGGTCATATTGAGAGGCCGGGAGGTCTCGATTCCCAGGAAGTGAGGCGGACATGTTGGCGCCGCCGCCAAGCCAGGGCAGAGGGCTGTTCAGTGTTCGAAGCAAGCAAACGCTGAAGGGGTTCTATGCTGAGCTTGCTGAAAGATAGAGGATACAGGTATCAATCGTGGGCGTGGTGCTTTCATCGATCTCGGGCGGTCACTCGAGGGGTGATTGAGGAAGGTGTGCCGGATATTCAGCCTTACTATCCGAGCCGGCCAGTGTCTCAGACAAGGCCAGCCACGACAGGTGACTTGGCGAGCTCAAGGCAATAATGAAGGATTGACTTTCGAGCTCTAGTCCACAGCTGGAAAATAGCTTGGAGGTTGGGTATATTGACCCGAAAAGCACAGAAGTAATGGGAAGTCCTTACTCCGGGGTAGCCGGCATATTATTATGGTCCACGAGTTGCTTCTATCTCTATGCACAATGAGAACAACGTCGAATCTACATGCTATGAACAGAACCTTATCAAGAGCTACCGGATATCTTTCATTCCAGATGGCTCCAGCTCTCTCTGATCAATTACAAAGGTTGCCTGTTGATCTGTCCCAACACTCAAGTTTGTTCAAGCGAGCAAGGCATCCTCCTTAGATGCTCAGCCTCATCGTCAGCCTTGAAGATCAGAAGCTGTAAAAGCAGCGTGCCAAGCTGTCGGGTCGATTTCCCCGATGACGGATATTGACGCCCCTCAATCTATCACACGAGTCTTTACCGCATAAGTCGGGACCCCGCTGAAGTTCTGGCTGCTAGCCCAGTGTCACCATTGCACACCATGCCGCCTCAGGCCGAACTGTCTGACGATGAGTCGGTCGACTCTCAAGTCGAATGGGAACTCGACGAGGGCATTCCTCAAGTCGACGATCCGTTCATCCAAAAATACATGGCAGGTCGACAAGCCCTGATTGAACAGGAAAAGAAGCAACGACATGATCGAGCATTCAAGCAAAGCATGTCACACATGGCGAAGCAGGCTGCGAAGATCATGGCATCCATTCGACGGAGAGAATTACAAACAGTCTGGACATCAGAGTTCGAAGATAGCCTTGCCGATAAGAATGGCGGCAATCTCTACCCAGGCATGATGTTCACTCTGGCTCGAGATCGTATGGAGACGACCGACCTGTGGAATATCATGGAGAAGATGCCCAAGGGTGCTTTACTACATGCTCATATGGACGCTATGATCGATATTGATTGGTTGGTTGACCAGGCTCTGGCGGAGAAGGGCTTTTGCATGCTTGCACCAGAAGGCCTGAGCGACAAAGGCAAACGCACCACGGGCGCCCTACAGTTCAGGTACTATCCAGACGAAGAGATCAAGAAGCAGAAGAACCCAGGCAGTATCTGGAATGCCGCATATAAAACGAACACTCCCATTCCCATTAGAGAAGCACAGCGGACGTTTCCCGATGACGAGACGACATTTAAGAAATGGCTGATCAGCAGATGCACCGTTACCGCCGAGGAGTCGTTATGCCATCACCACGGCCTAGATGCCATATGGAGGAAGTTCCAGAGCACGTTCCTGGTGATTACATGGATGTTCACCTATGAGCCAATCTTCCGCCGGGCAATACAAAGACTACTGGGCCAACTAGCCGCCGATGGTATCACCTATGTGGACTTCAGAATTGCTTTCAAGTTTGAATTCCGACGCCAAGGGCAGACGACAGGACAAGGCGGTAAATACGATGATTTCTTCAAGGTGTTCGGTGAAGAGATTGACAAGTTCAAGCGGTCAGAAGCGGGCAAGAGCTTCGTTGGTGCACGCATGATATGGACGGTCGTCCGTAGGGAGGATAACAGGATCCTTGCGGGTTCCATGAAAGAGTGCATTCGCATGAAGAAGAAATTCCCTCAACTAATTTGTGGCTTCGATTTCGTGGCACAGGAGGATCGAGGAAGAACATTGCAGGATCTTACGCCGCTGGTGTTCTGGTTCAGGAAGAAGTGTGCTGAGGCAGGCGTGGATTTGCCTTTCTTCTTCCACGCTGGAGAGTGCTTGGGTGATGGAGACAGTACTGACAACAATTTGTTCGATGCGGTCCTGTTGGGCACCAGACGGATTGGACATGGGTATTCGCTCTACAAGCACCCTCTGCTGATCGACATGGTCAAAGAAAAGAAGATACTGGTCGAGAGCTGCCCGATATCGAACGAAATCTTGCGATTGTCCAGCTCGATCCTATCCCACTCCTTGCCGGCATTGCTCTCGCGTGGTGTAGCCGTATCGCTGAACAATGACGATCCTGCAATCTTAGGCCATGGCAGGAACGGCTTGAGCCACGACTTTTGGCAAGCATACATGGGGTTTGAGAATCTTGGCTTGGAAGGATTGGCAACCATGGCCGAGAACTCACTGAGATGGTGCGCCATCGAAGATCAAAAACCGGGGGAATGGACCAAGGATATAACGGATGGCTACCTCGGCAAGGGCACAAAGGCGAAGCTCCTCAGACAGTGGAGAGCCGAGTTCGAGAAGTGGTGCCAGTGGATTTTGATGGAGTATCCATTAGAGGCTGAGGAAGAGGATGGAGAGGATGAAGATGAGGAGGAGTCCGAGGACGATGAGGATGATGAAGACGACGAGGACGAAGAGGACGATGAATGAGAGATTCTGGGGTCCGAACATCTGCTATTCTGGTTGTCAGGGGCGGTGATTCGTCAACCTCGCTGTTGCTCACCTGACTTCCTGTTGCACCCTCGGACGACAGGCAGGCGGGAATTGAAGTAGTCTTCAACAGGCCAGGGCTCGGGCTGATTGTGGTTGATCGAAAACAGATATCGAGTTTCTTAAGAGGCCGTCTGGGCTCTTTCAGACCCGTTGGTGATCTATGTCGTTTGAGCTCCTGGTTTGGTCCCCGTCATGTGGCGTCTGGCACCCCAAGTCTCGTGTGCAGCGTGACCAACGGGCTAACCCCACCTGTACCAACCGCGCCCCGAGTTCCGTGAGCCAGGTATGCCTAGCGCTATGCCCAAACAGACGCCTAGGAGCCCCTCGTTGGCCACCCTGCATGATCCTGGGCGGCACTTATCGCTGTGGAGTAGACGTCTTGTGGTGGTAACCTAGGCCCATTGTAGCACGTCAGTCGTTGATAGTTGTGCTCGACATCTGCCTGTTTTCTCCGACTCAAGACCGTCTGCGCGCCTGGCTTTGTCCGGATTAACGGGCAGGTGTAGACATATCGCGACACCTGATATGTTCTCTAGACACTGTAGGCACACTCATTCTCTAATTGGGAGACGACAAACGGCCACGAGCTCAGCTTGACAGAAGTGTTCCCAACCTCAGACGCCTCTGCGCTGATCTCTGATCTCTCCCGTCCCTCATGTTGACGTGCGTGTCATTGTCCAGGACTGGACTTCATTTGTCTGTCACACGTCGTTAACAGCCTTGAGTACGCCCCTTTACACCCGTCATGAAAACGTCGACAGGGTAGTACTCATATCTGGGAGCCAGGAAGGCTCCCGTCACCTTCGACATGTCGTACTTCCTTCCGTCGTACTTCCAGAAGCGCCTTCTTCGATACCTCCTCAACCGACTTGACTTCCTTGACTCGGACGAATTTGACCTCGACAACTTGGGACTCAAATGGGGCCAGCGAACAGTTGTCGAACTCAAGAATGTGGGCATCAAGACAAAGAGAGTGACTGACCTTCTTCACCTTCCACCTTCCCTCGTCCTCAGCCATGCCTCGATCAAAGTACTCCGCTTGACCGTTCCCTCAGACCTCCATATCTCTGGCATTGAAGTCGAACTCGAAGGCGTCGATGTCATAGTGAGTGTCCGACCACAGCTCGCCGCAGGCGCAACGGCACCCACGTCTCGTTCAAAAGGTGGATCTGCCCTCAACAGGACAGACCGTGCGAACCTCCCTCGGTTATCCTCTCCTTCCGTACATGATCCTGGTGGCAGACATGGAAGAGGAGGCCACCTGGAGTTGTCACAAGTCATTCCGAGACCAGAAGATCTGGCAGCGTCGTTTCTGGAGGCAGAATCACCTGGAGAAAGAGATGAACTGCAAGCAGCCCTCGAGTCACAATCCCAGACACAGATGCAAGAATCTGTGGTATCTTCAGCCTCGAGCGAGGATGTGGGCCTCGGCATGCCCGGTGGACTGTCCCTCCCTACCTTCGTCGCCAACTTCCTCAAGGGTGTGGCAGACCGGTTGGCTGTCAAAGTCAACGACGTAAATGTTGTCTTGGAGATGGACCTCTCGGTGCCGGCTACCGGGTCAGCGGAAACAACCAAATTCATGCTCTCAGTGGGAAGCATTGGCGTGGATGCAAAGCAGAAGGCAGAAAAAGAGGAGGCTCAGCCAGATGCAAGACGATCAGTCACGATTGAGGACATCCAGCTGTTTGTTCTGTCAGAGTCCGAGAACTTTTCGGAACTGTCAGGCTTAAGCTCGCCCAAGTTGACCAGATCACGGCCTCGACTGACGCAGCCGACGGGTTCCCTTAGCGACTACAGTGACCGCGGTCTGTCAAGCAGTGCCAGCCTCAGTCAACACTCAGACCGGTCAAAACTCTCATCTGCCTCTCTAAGCAACTCAGCTCTTGGGCTCGGACTCGAGGATGCAGCTCTATCGGATTCTGCCATTTTTGGGCGAACGTCAAGAACTGCCTCCGCTTTGCGAGACTCATCAGATGAGTTCTTCCCAACTGATAATCGGACTCACGTGGAAACAGGACAGAGAATAGTGCCTCAGGGCGGTGCTCAGGTTGCTCAGCACTTGGTCAGTCACTCAGAAAATTTGGAAGAGTCTAGGACGTTCACGCATGCTGAAGCTGAGAGCATGTATATGAGTGCAATGAGCGATATGCCCAACATGCCTGGTGGGTTCGGGTGGGCACGACCGATACCGGAAACGGAACGAGATCAAATCTCTCAAGAGCCCGAAGACACAGACGAGCCGCCAATTGCTTTGACGCGAGCGCCTGAGCAGCTCGTCCGAGAAGAAGATGTCCCAGCCGCGGTGCAGCGACAACCTTCCAGTGAACCTGGAGTAACAAATGAGGGCGTACTTGAGGGTAGCCTAGCATCGTACTTCCAATCGCGGATTCTACATGTGGATACTGTCCGGCTACAGATACCCGAGCCTCATCACCAGGAGAGTTCCTCGAGTGAACAGCGGCCGGTTTCGCCACCGTACCAAAGTCATGCCTCTCAAATTCGTCAATCTTACGCCGCAGGAAGAAGCTCGCCAAGTACTTTCCTGAGCGATTCACGCTTACTGTCTGCCCGCCCTATCACTCAGGGGCAGACCGTTGCGCAATCAAAAGATAGCCTGAGCGTCGAAGTCGGAGTCATATCATTTGACCTCGACATCATGATCTGTCGTATTCTTGTAAGAGCGACTCAGACTGCTTCGGATGTCATCCCAGCAATACAGCAATCAAAAACTACGGCTCCTGCTCAGAACTCTCCTCTTCCAAATATCAGCATCAAGGACATATCTCTGCACGTATGTGAGTCGGTGCCGAAGAAACCGCCCAGCAAAGTGGGAGTACAGACTATGGAGTCGATCCTCCCCAGTCAGGAGGCTCTTCTGAAGCTGTCCTTCTCTTCTATAAGCTTCTCCTCAACTTCAATTCCAGAAAGCCGGCTGTCGATATCGAAGATCGTGATGACGCACGGCTCAAGAGAAGTGCTTTCATTCGTCGACTCGATCAACGTACGAGACTCGATAGCGACCAGCTCCATGCTCAGACCTCATGACGTCCTGATTACCATGACAGACAACCGGTTTGAAGTCCAGATCAAACCGGTTCATGTTGTCCTGGACCTTTTAGTCATTGATGATGTCCTCAGCAGAAGTGGCGGCTTGAGTTCACTATTGGATCTGGGAAACTCCATTATGTCGACAAATACCGTGAAAGGCCCGGTGCCTGCGCCGGCACCTGAACCAAAGTTGCGCACGGTGAGGTTTAATAACCCTCGGAGAAGACAACGGGCGGAAAGTGACCCGTCGTCAACATCGCTGAAGCTCGACGTAAGAGTCTCGGGAGCAATTCTTGACTTGATTGGATCCGAGTCTTCTATCAAGATAAAGTCATCAGCTATCAAGACGGTTTATCGCGATAGCAATTTCAGGCTGGTCATTGACGGCGCCGCTATAGAGGGCCCATTATTTGCTGGCTCTAGGTCTCGTGGGGTCATCTACGCGAAGATCCGCAATATCGAGCTCCACTACTCGAACTCCCCGGATGACGATGACCTAGACAGGCTGCTGTCTCTAATCACGCCTTCAAGCGACAAATATGAACAGGATGACGACATCATGGTTGATACGCTGTTGAGGCAGCGTCGGAAAGGTGGCGTGTTGCGCCTAACTGTCGGTGACCTACAGGCTGGAGCTCAGGGACTTCGCTGGATGCCGCATCTTGCCAAGGTTGCGGACGAAATCTCGAAGCTTTCATCAGTCACCAAGTATCTGCCTGAAGATGATCGTCCTGGTGTACTTACGTTCGCGCTGCTCAAGAAGCTCGACGTCCGCTTCGATGTTGACGAAGCATTTGGTCCGCTCAGGCTCCAGGTCGAACTTGCAGAAGGAGCTCACATCAATGTCCCTTCACTTGCTGCGGCCCAGATTGCAGCTTGGACGTTATCACGTAAGGATGATGTCCTCATTGGCGATGTGCTTCCCCAGAGCAAGACTGTCCTGGGCCCACCTATGTTTATGTGTCGCTTCATCGCGGATGAGATGGAACCGACTGTCCGATTGAAACTCTCGAACACCTGCATCGAGTACAAGGTACCTGTAATTGTTGCCCTTACAGCGCTCGCCGAGCGTCTGAAGACAGAGGAGACGGTAGCCAAGCAGACCATTGCTTCGCCTCCCTCCAGTCCATCCTTGTCCGCTGCTGGTAGTGTCGATGCGAACTCACTGGCCAGAAAGATCAGAGTTTCTCTTGCGTTCAGAGACTCGGCAATCGCACTCAATCCAGATCGAAGCCCAGCAAAAGGTCTTTTCGTATTGACGGATGCCGTCCTACGGCATGAGAACCAGAAACGGGGTTCGGCTGATACCCTTGACATCAGAAAGGCTTCTCTTCTGATTATCAATGATGTCTCTACTATTGGGCTCGAATCTGGGAATGTCGACCACAAACTGTATTTCGAGGAGAACGACCAAGTTCAGCAGCTGACAAAGGCTGGTTTCGTTCCTGTCGGGTCCATGTCATCTGCCTCTGCCATCATTCATGTCATCAAGGACGAAGTCACCTCTGAAAGCAGATTGGACGTCGAGTTCCGCAATAATCTGCTGTTTCTCGAGACTTGCGCCGACTCCACGCAGACTATGATTCAGATTCTGGGTGGATTAGCTCCTCCATCGCCACCGTCAAAGGTCGCAAAATACAGAACCGAGGTCGTTCCGATTCAGGACATGCTAGCTTCGTTTACTGGTAACGCTTTCGTATCGGAGCCAGGTCCCGAGCTTGGTCTTCAAGCTTCACATCATACGGTCACTGCTGGATCTGCGGCGGGTGCCGTCGAGGACTCCGACAGTGAAGAGGACGACAAAGATTTTATGGGCATGTACGGCGACGCGGATGATGCTGACGACGAAATGACCGCAAGCCACGTCGAGTCAGATCTTGGCCGTTCGACCATGACTGAAAGTACTCATGTAGCTCCGGTAGGTGCTACAGGCTCGGATGCTGGCGATATGAGCGAGAGTGTGATGATGCACAGCCTGTTGGACTTCAGAGCAGATCACTTCGTACCCAAATCTTCCGTGGGCGGCACGGCACATCGCTGGAATTCGACTCACAATACATACGGCCTGGCAACTGACGCAATGTTTGAACAGTCACCACTGAAGGTCCGCATCAGGGACGTCCACATCATATGGAATCTATTCGATGGATACGATTGGCAGTATACCAGAGACACGATTTCACAAGCTGTGAAAGAAATTGAGAACAAAGCTATGGCAAGACGTCCTCGAAGTAGTAGTCGCGCTCCAGGGGCCGAGGAAGAGGACGAGTCTGTCATTGGAGATTTCTTATTCAACTCGATTTATATCGGCATTCCGGCAAACAAAGATCCACGCGACCTGGCAAACGCAATCAATCACGATATTGACGACTTGGTGAGCGAGACGGGCAGCTATGCTACAGGGACAACGATTACAGCGACTACGTCCAGACGTACGTCGGGAACCGTGCCACGTCAGAAGAAGCTCAAGCTCCACCGCAGCAAGCACCACAAGATGGCGTTTGAGCTGGAGGGAATTTCAGCCGACTTCCTGGCGTTTCCTGCTGGCAGCACCGAAGTTCAAAGCTCGGTTGATGTCCGTATCAAAAAGTTGGAGATCTTCGACCATGTCCCGACGTCGACTTGGAAGAAGTTTGTCACGTATATGCAAGATGCGGGCGAGCGCGAACACGGCGCCAACATGGTCCACATTGAAATGCTCAACGTGAAGCCCGTGGCGGACTTATCAGCCTCAGAAATGGTGCTGAAAGTCACGGTCTTGCCACTGAGACTACATGTTGATCAAGATGCGTTGGATTTCTTGACTCGATTCTTCGAGTTCAAAGATGACAGCGTCCCGGCGGACGGTGGCTCATCAAGTCCACCCTTCTTACAACGAGCGGAGATTAATGCTGTGCAGGTCAGACTCGACTACAAACCCAAGAAAGTGGATTATGCAGCACTCCGGTCTGGCCGGACAACCGAGTTCATGAATTTCGTTGTACTCGACCGTGCTGATATGGTCCTACGCCGAGTGATCTTGTACGGTGTGCCCGGATTGGAGCGTCTAGGTCTCATGCTGAACAGTATCTGGACGCCAGACGTCAAGCGCAACCAGCTGCCCGGAGTTCTGGCTGGTTTGGCACCTGTCCGACCTCTCGTCGACGTGACTAGCGGCGTGCGAGACCTCATCGCGGTGCCCATTCGCGAGTATCGCAAAGACGGAAGACTCGTCCGAAGCATTCAGAAGGGGGCGTTGGCGTTTGCGAAGACTACTGCGACTGAGCTTGTCAACCTTGGGGCGAAGATGGCCATTGGTACACAACAGATTCTGCAGAACACCGAAGAGATACTCGTGTCTCGCGAGGAGCGGGGTGATGTGGCCGACGACGACGAAGGCCGGAAACAGATTTCGCTGTATGCGGATCAACCGATTGGCATCAAGCAAGGACTGAGGACAGCATATGCAAGTCTGGAACGAGATTTGTTGATCGCAAAAGACGCCATCGTGGCAGTTCCCGGCGAGGTCATGGCCAGTAGCTCTGCCAAAGGTGCTGCTGCAGCCGTGCTGAAACAGAGCCCGACTATCATTCTGCGGCCAGCGATTGGAGCCACCAAGGCCGTTGGGCAGACACTGATGGGCGCTGGCAACATGCTGGACAGACAGAATCTGCGGAGGATTGATGAAGTAAGTCGGCATATCGGTATGCATTATCCAATACTGACAACTTTTAGAAGTACAAGCGGCATTGACGTGGTGGTCGGCGTGGCCATCATGCACCATCGGGGCGTTTGCACAGGTGGGCACCATGGCGGCCTTGGGTAGCATAGCTCGGCGTTGCACAGCCTGTTTCTTTGATTATATGCGTGCATATTGCATTCGTCGTGCATCTACGACAGCCGGTGAAGCGGCGTATGACCTTGACGCAGGCCATGAACAGATTGTGCATACCATCATAAGATACTAGCAAGGCGTTTGGCGAAGGCGATGACAGACTGCATAGGGACAGCGTTCTCACTTTCTCCACAAGTCTGAAATCTGCGTTGCATACATGCCCGTCCTCGGTGTCTTCTGGCGACATGTCATGTTGTGCTCTCGGAAGCGGTCGTGCCCATTGTGCTGATATTCTGTGATAGGAGACGACCTGTTTCGACAGTCCATTTCCGGCATCATACACTTCTCAACGACCACCGTTAATGCACGTACATGGACAATATGACATACTTTGCAGCACATTTGAACATGTGGTGATAGTTTCTGGTGATAGCTCTGAATCACGCCCGCGGAAGATTGATTGCGGTACCTTTTCTGCTCCCCCACCCCTTTAGCCTTCAAGACCGAGCGTTAGATGGTGCTATCACGGCTGTGCACCTTTCGCATTACTGGCCCACTACCTAATGCCGAGTGTGATGAATGTCAGTGCGTTCTCAGATCTGCCTTGAGAGTTGTGGACCGGAACAGGAACACTACGGCGTCCCAATCACACTGCGCGCCTCCCACCACACTTTACAGTACGCAGTACAGAGAAAAGAACACCAAGGTATATGCTTCACGTACTCCGTAGGATGATACGCCTCTGTGCGCCCCTTGCGGGGACAAGGGTCGCGCATGGCTTGCAACTGCCCAATGGGCATACTGATACTGCCTCGCGCGGTGTAGCCTGCTCGTACCATGCCAAGTTCTCCCAGAAGGAGCGTATCTACCACTGCAACCAGCCCGGCGTATATCGCTTCCCAAGAGTTTTGTGTAACAGCAGACCCTTTGCGAGCCCCTGGAGCCTTGCATCAGACGGCTGATCCAGGATTCAGGACGGAACAGGGCTGTGTCACGAGACATGGTGGGGTTTGCGAGGCTGAGCAGCCGAGGCCGCCTGAACGGTCCCGCGGTTTGGGCAGGTGATGCGGTGGAGAGCGCTGCCCATTGGCGGGGGCGGCGCCATGTGAGGCTGTGCGTTGGCTTTGCCGCTGGCTCTGGAGCCCCTTGATTCTTAACCGCAGCCTTTCCTCGGCGTCGTCCAGATTCCGCCACCCAACGTCCTTTTCAAACGACGAGATCTGCTGCAATGCCCTCCAGATGGAATCACCGGCGGACACGCTTCATCGACTATGAAACCAGCCATGAGTCGCCTCCCGATACTCACTGCCAGCTTCAAAATCCGCCTTACTTGGCAGACTTCACAGTAGCTCAATGTTCGGTGTCCACGATGGTCGAGCTTCGGGCCCATGCGTCCCGAGGATAACCTTTATATATGCCTTGGTCGCGTAGCTTCTTGCCTTTGAGTGAATAGACTAACAAGACTAGACCAGGTGTGACTAGTTGAAGCCAAAGTGAAAGCTCCAGCCTTTCAATCTGAGCTGAACCGAGCAAACTCTGACGCATCGCCGCTTCTACTGTGACTGTACGAGGCCGCGTCACTTCCCTTCACAGTACGAGCAAACAAGCCATTCAAAAGATGGCCACGCTCACCCTTTCGCGCTGTGAGACTTGCCACCGACTGCCTCACTCCAAGATGGACAGGTTATTCAGAAGGTTCTCAAACAAGGCCACGGGCGCGAGAAACAACAATGACATGTACTACTTTGACGGTACTCACGCCTCGAACGGGCCATTTCGCCGGCCATCAACACCGGAGGCACCGCCACCATACTCACCACCTACTGCAAATGCCACCACCAGCGCCGCTAACACTACCACCGCGCCCTTCTCCCCAGCCGATCTCTCCACGACGATGCAAACGGGCGATGACTCACCCTACGCCTTCCTGCGCACGTTCGACACCATCTTCCTGATCGACGACTCCGGCTCCATGGCCGGCCGCTCGTGGCGCGAGACCTCCTCGGCACTCGCGGCCATCGCGCCAATCTGCACGGCCCACGACCCCGACGGCATCGACGTGTACTTCCTCAACCACCGCAACCCGCACAGCACGCACGGCGGATACACGAACCTGACGACCACATCCGCGGTGCAGGGTCTGTTCAACACCGTCCGACCCCTAGGCGGCACGCCCACGGGCACGCGGCTCAACCACATCCTGAAACCCTACTTGGCTGAACTGGCCGACAGCCTGGAACGCCAGGCGCACGGCCACGACGCGACTGTGAAACCGCTCAACATCATCGTCATCACCGACGGCGTGCCCTCGGACGATGTCGAGAGCGTGATTGTCTCTTCGGCGCGCAAGCTCGATTCTATGAATGCGGAGCCGTGGCAGGTCGGCGTGCAGTTCTTCCAGGTCGGCCGCGAGCCCGAGGCCAGGGACATGCTCCAGGAACTGGACGACGCGTTGTCCGGGGAATATCATATCCGGGACATGGTCGATACGGTGCCCTGGAGCGGCGAGGCCGGCGACGAGGGGCTGACGGGGCAGGGATTGCTCAAGGTCTGTCTGGGCAGTGTGGTCAGGCGGTGGGATCGGAGGCAGGTGTAGATGCTGCCCTGTGTAGGTGTGTGATTGGTGGTTCCCCTTTTCTTACCCATCAAGGATATGATATGATGTGTTTTTGCATTGCTGGCGCTGGGGCTGCACGATGCGCGCAAAGGGTGCGTCTTGTCGTGCGCTTTTTCTCCTCCACATGAGGGACTTCGCTATGATCATGCCATCATTAATCATGACGAGGAGATCACGGCCATGGTCATCTCATTCGGTTCACAGGTGACGAGATATCCAGGAGAGGTTTGCTGCATACAACACCCCATGTTGGTATCGGTGCTGGCGGGCGAGTCGAAAACCGACTCCTCATTCATAGGTATATATGTATGTATTAGTAGTAGTTTCAGTTCCGACATGGATCCATTCGGTCGGACAAATCCCAGAATTTTCTGCACTGTACATTGCGACTGAACAAGAAGAGAAACATTGATGTTGGAAGCCCTCGATACTTGTGACGTCGAGTATAGTCCAAAGCGCCCATTCTATCCATTCGTCAAGATAAAATTACCACCTGTCTGTCCTGCCTACTTCCGGTTCGTAGCCAGTGCCCGCTGCGTCCCCGGCGCCGTGCAATGATCCGCCTCCTTGTCCTTGTGCGTCTGCGCGAGCGCCTCCTTTAATCGCTCGGCAATCTCGTCATCCACGCGTCGCCACATCTCGACCGTCTTTTCTTGCACCTCGGGCAGCGCCTTGGCCACGTGCCCGGACAGGTTGTGCAGGAAGACCTTGTCCTCGCCCTGTTCCTTGAACAGCTTCCACAGGTTGCGCGGCTGCTCGAAGTCGTCCTCCTCGACCTCGGACGAGTAGGCGGACACGCGCCCGACCCATTCGTCGTGGGCGACGTCGCCTGGACCTAGTTTGAGCTTGCGGAACGAGGAGCGGACTGACATATGAGTTAGCGACGTGCTCTAGCTTGAAGTGTCGAAGGTAAACAGGATAAAAGCTAGAATTGCAGAAAAAGGAGGACTATTAGGGGATACATAGGCGTCCGCTTACCGTAGTCTGGATCACTGCCGTAGTTGCCGTCGAACCGCATGGGCCCGTCGCGCTGGTAGGGCGAGTACGCCTTCTTGGGCGCGTTGGGCGGCAATTGCTGATAGTTTGGTCCGACGCGGTACCGGGCTGCGTCGGGGTACGAGAACATTCTCGCGTGCAGCATGGTGTCGGCACTGGGCCCGATGCCCGGGACCATGTTCGAGGGTGAGAATGCTGCCTGCTCGATCTCCTGAAAGTGGTTCTGCGGGTTGCGGTTCAGGGTCAGTCTCCCAACGGGCACGAGAGGGTAATCCTTGTGTGGCCAGATTTTGGTGATGTCGAAGATATTCCACCGGTACGTCTCGGCGTCCTTGGGGTCCATGATCTGCAGGTACATTGTCCAGCTGGGGTAATCGCCTCTTTCGATGGCGTTGAAAAGGTCCTTGATATGATAGTCCGGTTCTTCGCCGGCCAGGCGGACGGCCTCTTCTTGCGTCAGGGTTTTGATCCCGTCGTCCGGCTTGAAGTGGATCTTGACGTACTTGAACGTTCCGTCCTCGGGTTTGCCAAATTTGAAGGTGTGGTTGCCGAAGCCGTTGACGTTGCGCAGCGAGGCAGGCACTCCACGTGGTCCGAAAAGTTGCATGAGACAATGCGCCCCTTCCTGGTGGTTGTTGTGGAAGTCCCAGAACATGGAGCCGTCGGCAACGCCGGTCTGTGGATGCCTCTTGTGCGAGCGATTCAAGCTGGGAAATTTGGTCGGATCACGGATGAAGAAGACGGGTAGGTCGTTGCCGACAAAGTCCCAATTTCCCTCATCGGTCTTGAGCTTCAGGGCGAATCCTCGGATGTCTCGCAAAGTGTCGGACGACCCTCGCTCTCCTGCGACGGTGGAGATGCGAGCGAGGGCCTCGGTCTTTTGGCCCGGTTTGCTGAGAAAGTTGACCGAGCACCAGTCCGACACATCGGCTGTGCATTCGAATTCGCCCCATGCTCCCGCAGCCTTTGCGTGAACGACACTGGCGACGGTGTTAGTATGAGCCTGGGCAGACATATAGTGTTGTACAAACCGTTCCGGGATCCTCTCTCGGGGGAAATGAGCCAACGTCTCGATAAGTTGGGTGTCTTCCAACAGGGCTAGGCCACCACCGCGCACTTTGGGCCCGCGAAGGATTACCGCTGAGGTAGGGTCCTGGACGGGTCTGCCCTCGGCGAGGGTGTAAACAGGGGCATCTTCTGAAGCCTTGCGACTGGTCAGCTGATTTCCGCTCTCCGGGGGCTCAACGACCGCTTACACTTCCCATGATGACTTAGTGATGGAATACGTCCGGTCCTGGTCGTTCCGCCATTCTGCTGACTGTGTGAGAGCTCTGCAGAATGTTATACAGTTGTGCAACGGTGGCGTGGCATGTCATGATGAGGTCAAAAAGTATTGTCCGGATATGCTGTCCGAGGATAATTGTCCGACGTTTGCAGAATGTGATGGTTTCGTCATTACTTTTCATGGTGGACACCGAATCCCCGAGCTGGTTTCTCACAGCATAGCATGCGATTCTCGAACTCTGAGGTCCCGACCAATGGCAGTTTCGTGATTGGACATATATCAATCATTGGCGTAAGGCGGGCGTTTGCCAAGCACAGCCTAGGAACAATGATCCGCTCATCGCGATACTGTAAGATGCGAGCTAAGCATGCAAAGGATATTGATCGTCCTGCAGCTGGTGGAGATGGACAACTGGTGGGGGACGCTGCCGGACGATCTTGTTTGTCCGGCTCAATGAAATATGGTACAGCTTGATGCGGACTTTGGCTCGATAACCTGGCACTACTCCGTCGTAATGGCCTTGGCCCTCAATGCTCCGGTTCCTCTGCCAGAGCTTCCTCCGAATGGACCTTTCTCCGGCAGAATGAGGTGCCCTCAGTGTAGCAAGTGGATTGCTTCAAGCATGAATTTTGCTCGACCCGTAGTCAGCACTCGTACATCCCATACCTTTTCTGTCCAAGAATCAGTAGGTGCTGGTGCATCGAAATACAGAGCGTCGATTGGAGTGAGTATCTGGCGGCCGTGGCGGACTGACAGACAGGCAATGCGGCCTGCCACTGGTGATATCGCAGGGACTGCATCCACTTGGCAATACAGCCTGAGCAGCGTTTGACATCCCGTCCTGGCCTGTGAAAGGCATGTGCATTTCTGAACATGTGCCCTCCTCTGCTCCAGATTGCCCTTGCGTGTTGCTAATCTCATCTGTAGGTAGCCTCCGAACCCAGGTCAGCGCCATGTACACTCGTCTTGGCCCCAGGCTTCAGAGCGACCTCAACGGGTTGAAATGCGCATAATCATCTTCTACTTCTTGACGTTGCCCACATTTCAATGAATTCAATCTTCTCCTTGACCCCAAGACCGACTCTCTTGACACGCCCCAGTCTGGCCAGCGCTTCAGCAACCTTGTCAAGGTATGCCTTTTCTTCTTTGGTCATGGAAATGTCTTGTTCTTCACCCCCGCTACCGACGAGTGTATCTGCATCACTGCTGACCCCGTTATCTGATCCCAATGTGTCGAAATAGTTCGTAGTGTATGATGACGATACTTTTGCGGCCACAGTGGGCGCCTTTGCCGACGATGATTTTGAGGTATTGTACATGGCCTCTGCTATGCGAATGCGAATACAATGCGACGGCTTGCTGCACAAATTCCATAGGAAGGAGAAGTAGCAGTGAGGGATTGGGGTGGTGACATCTGGAGGTGTGTATCGAAGACTAACTGGAAAAACTTTCGTACGTGGAGGAATGGTCACCAGACTCGGACTTAAAGGTAGGATCCCTCTTCCGTTCGTCGTCGTACATTCCGGAAACACGGCGATAATGCGCTCCGGGTTCTGCTTGATCAGCTTTTCAATGTCGACCAACTTGGCATTATATGCTGGTTCAAGCTTTGGGTGAGCGAATGTTCGGTAAATGGCTGTTAGCAAGGATATTGGTTCAACAAGTCTTGTAGATGGGTACGTCGCTGCAAAGATGGGGTCGAAGATGGCGGCCAGGTACAGGGGATCGATGGGTGAAGCGCTCGAAGATGCGATGATGGAGCCTTCCTGAGGGATTTTGCTCTTGTTCTGGGCCAAAGACCTGCAAGACATCAGCACGTGCTGTCTGGCTCTCTGTTTCCCCATACCCTTTCTTGACCCCGTCGATTTGTAGATCAATCCACCATATTCCCGGGATTCCCAATATGCACCACAACGCAGCTTTCCTCCCCAAGATGCCGAGGGGCATCCACTGTAAGACGAGGAACCATGACAGGGCGAAGATAATGAGAAGCGGCACGCGACAGATGTACAAGAAGATGTGGAAGGGTAGCGCGATGCCCGCAGACTCGGTGGGTATGGGAAGAAATGGAGCAATACCCGAGCCTGAAGAGTGCGGTCAGTATGATGGAAAGTATCAATGATCGGAACACACACCTTTGTCACGAAACTGCGAGAACCTCTCCATAGTGACTCAGCTCGTCGGACCTCGAAACCGGGTCGTGGATGCTTCGTGAGGGCGAGACCAACAGATAAGACAGGTGAGCACGCTACATAACAGAGCCAGCATGCGCAAATAACTACCAGGTCATCTGGTTATTGGTGTGATTGGAAAGGCACATCAGGCAAATCTGGTGGAACGCTGGTAAACGAGCTGGAACTCGGTCCAGTCGGAGGACTCTCGGCGAAGAAGTTGTTCGTAAGTGTGGTGCTCCCGACCGAGTCCTCACCTGCTACTGTACTATGCACCTGCACCAAGTGGTACGTCGTGGTGATGTACGTAGCAGCAAATGGTTGGAAAAATGAGACGAGTGCGACGGAAGCACAATTTCACATGTCAAGACCGTGACATAAGGATCATACGCGGGCCGTTAGGATTCTTGGCAACCACTAGGTGGCAGCCATCCCTGCCGCTTTTAGAGTGTCGAGAGTGTGAGCTACGAGTAACTGCCTACAACTTCAATCTGGACTCACTGGGACCTGACTTCTAGATATCGCTCTCACTCTATGGAAAAGAACTCATTCTAGCGAGTCCTGCCAGGACAGAGACTACCTCAGAAACCCCATGTTCATTGCCTAGCCTCTCCGCTGAGATTGGTCCCATCCGCGAATCGGAGATATGACGCTGGGTGCAACATGGACTGGTTGCTGCTTCCGGCAAGATATCGATTCGCCTTCACCCATGTCTCGAGATATGCTGCAAGCACAGAGCATAGTCACAATAGATTGACTTTACGGCTAAATCCCACGACAATGCTTCTTTCCATATTGTGTACACCTTTCATCAAACGTTTAATTAATGATTGACAGAATCATCATGTCAGACCCTCTGCTGTGCTGCCTTTCACAGCGCGGAATCGTCCTCAGACCGTGACGAGAGGCGCGTTACAATCATAGCATTGTCGCCTACATTCGGCTTGCGACGAGGCCACTACTCCCTAATAGTCCTCTCCAGGTACGCCTCGTTGGCGTAACTCCACCCCTCTACCCTTTCGGTGAACACCAACTCCCGTTGCCCAACCCACATGGGCTTCGTCATCTCCAGATACGGCGCATAATATTCCTTCTTTGCCTGAACGTCTTCAAACCACTTCTGATCACCCTTCCAGACTTCCACGAAGCGGAATGTTCCCGGCTCCGTGAGTGAGTGGGACACGTCGAAGAAGACGCATTCAGGCTCATGGATGCAGGATTCCCAGACTGGGCGGAGTGCAGCTAGGAAGGAGGGAATTTGTGAGGCGTCAATGCGAAGCGTGACATGAAGAGCAAGCTGGCCCGTAGGATTGAGCATCTCTTCCGAGGGCATCGTGGGTCCTTCTAAGAGCATCAGATTTGTATTTTGGAGGTGGCGTGCTCTCGTGGTTGAATGCTCAGTGTTGGAGAAGTATCTTGCTTCGATTTCGAAGACCAAAAAAACAGCACGGTTCCCACCCGCATTATATACAGCTCCATATCTGCTTCCCAGTTGTCTGGCACAAAGTGACCTACCCTGTCGGCCGAGGTCAAACAGACGTCGGCCAAGATACTTTAGTAATACCCATACTTACTAATGGCGACACTCCCGGTACGTACATGCTGCTTCTGCTGGAAGTCGGGTATATCTTGCGAGACTCATGGCTCGCTGGTAACAGGTGACCAGAACTCCGAGGGGAAGATTGTTTTGTCAGCCGGCAGCTGACATTGATGGCCTAATCCGAACGGGCGCCCGACTCCGATCCAGAGCATCATTCATGTCTTTACATTTGCCGCACGTGATACGATACGGCACGGTTGAATCGAGGAAGACCATCGATCAATTCTGGAGGTATGTCTTCACAGGAGGCGGGAGGGAGGTTGACGTGCCGTTACATAAGGCTCGGCGGAGAAGATCCATCTCCACGTGGCGGAGTTGGCCGTGACCTTCCTCCTCGAGCGTAGTGTGGCATGGACTCCCCGCCTATGATGGCGACAAGGTGTTTCGCAATGTACAGAGATTTCGAGGTAGATGACACCCTTGCATCTCTGTCAAGTAAAGCAGAAGAAAAACAAGCTTGAACCCGACTGCTGAGTTCCGACCCGCTTCAACCAATCGAGAACCATGGGCTCAACGAACTTCGAGGTATCTGCCATCCGGGCTCAGTTTCCGGCCTTGGATCAGAAACAGGTGTTCATGGACAACGCCGGAGGCTCCCAGGTACTTCAATCGGTCATCACCTCGATATCCGACTACCTGTCCCGTACAAATGTGCAACTTGGCGCTTCCTACCCAGTCTCCCAGGTTTCGACCCAAAAATTCAACGACGGTCACGTCGCAGGCGCGAAGTATATCAATGCGTCGCCCAGGGAAGTCGTCTTTGGTCCGTCGACGACTCAGCTATTCCGCAATCTGTCCGTGGCGTTGAAGGTGGAGCCAGGCTCAGAGATCATCCTCTCGAACCTCGACCATGAAGCAAACCTTGCGCCTTGGGTCCAACTAGCAGAATGGAAGGGCCTTACCGTGAAGTGGTGGATTCCCAGCAAGAACACGAATTCAAATCCCAAGCTAGAGACTGAAGATCTGAAGCAGCTGCTCACGGATAAGACACGGCTGGTTTGCTGCACGCATACGAGCAACATCCTGGGCACCGTCACAGATGTCGCGGCGCTCGCAAAGGTTATTCATGAAACGAACCCGAACACATTGTTTTGTGTCGATGCCGTGGCATATGCACCGCATGCGGCAATTGACGTCAAGGCACTGGGAGTGGATTTCTATTCCTTCTCGTGGTACAAAGTGTATGGACCGCATGTTTCGATGCTGTACGCGAGCGAGAAGGCACAGAACGAACTTCAAAGCCTGGGCCACTATTTCAAGACAAGGAATACGTTGGAGGAGATGCTGGGGCTGGCGGCGGGCAATTATGAGTGCGTACAATCGATTCCAAACGTCGTCGAGTACATTCAACAAGTTGGCTGGGACGGCATCGCCGCTCAAGAGGTGAGGATCCAGGAGATATTGCTCTCGTATCTGCGCTCGAAGGCCGACATCATCAAAATATACGGTGAGCCTTCTTCGGACAGGAAGCTGCGCGTGCCGGTGATCAGCTTCCGAGTCAAAGGCCAGAGCTCGCTGGGGGTGATTGATGCGATCGAGGCGACGTCGGATTTTGGCTGTCGAAGTGGCCACTTTTACAGCAAGAGGCTGATCGAGAATGTGCTCGGGATTCCTGATGGAGATGACGGCGTGGTCAGATGTTCTTTGCTGCACTATAACACAGTTGAGGAAGTAGAGGGGTTGGTGAAGGTGCTTGATGATGTTATCAAACAAGGAGCGGGAAAGGATGTGAAGGATGCGGAGAGGAAACACGTCGCTGATTGGTGAGGAGAGTTATGTCCATACATCAAAAGGAGCTTCCGATGTCGATGAAGATGAGCAGCGGCCGGATGGTGCTTAGAGATGTCATCAGTGTGGCTGCAGCCTGTCATCAATAGATACGATGCACCCGGAGCGATCCCAGTGATCGATCATTACTTCCAACTGACTGTAGACGTCATGAACAACAATTTACATCTGGCAGCCGTTAGACCCATACTATCCCGCCGGATCAGGAGGTGAGAGAGCCCTGAGATGGTATTAATGAGGTGGAGGGCGCTGTCGCGATTGGCCACGGAAGGAGGTTGGGAGCGGAGGCAGAGAGGGTCAACCCAGACAAAGCAAACACATCCAGCGATACAATGAGAAGTGTATGGGGCACGTAGGCACCTGACTTGAAGTTAATTGCAACGTACGCCAAGAGCGCACAATTGAAGTCTTCTTTGTGACAGATTGTCCTTCAGACAGTGTCTTTCCCATCACAACAAAGTGCACAATACAAGCGGCGTCCGGTTGAGTGAAGGTGTTGCAGTATCTTGGCAAGATGGCTGCGACGTCCACCCCTGCCACCCGTTATGTAAGCAGCACTAGTCAGGTTTGGGTAACATGTTTGTGATCTGGATGCTCATCACATTCAAGGACCGACAATCCATCTTCAACACCAGAGGTTACTGGGCACCATCGCGCCCCTCGCCGTTGCTCTCGTTGTTCTCGAAGATGGATCATGAGAATGCATGTTGACACCATCCCAGACAGCCATCGATCCGCTAACATGGCATCGCAGTTCGTGTCCCAACTCCCTCAGCCCACTCGATATGGGCATGCGTCTCCTCAGAGAGCCATGGCAGAGATGACGGTGGCGGCGGCCAATTCACGCAGTAACATGCCTCCTCCATCGACGGTCGGCCACAAGAGACAGGGATCTAATTGTTTGTATACGGCCCAATTAAAGAAAGCCCAGGTCAAGCTGACAGCAACAGTGCCTGAGCCGTCAGCAAAGCGAAAAACACTGGTCGAGCGTGCCGGTGAAACCAAAACCAACGCAGCAGCTCCTAAACCGAATGCGCCTGTCGGTGCTGGGGTCTTGTCCACCGTCCATTCTCGAAATCCTGCCGCCTTCTCCCAATCATACCGAAGCAATTCAAACGCGTTGAGGGAAGCTTCAGCATCCACCTCTTCATCTACCTTCTCTGCCAGCGTGGGTAGCGGCATCAGACCTCCTGCTGTGCGCGCCACCTCCCACCTCGCCCGACCGAAATCTTCACTTGCAAGAGAAAGAGGAACAAAACCCGCCGCCGACTCGAGGCAAGAGTCAGCACAAGTAGTCCGAGGAGGAAACATTCAGGACGGTCCCAATGGCAAATGTATGGTTTCCCTGTGTTCCAAGCCCCAGTTTACCCCTGCTGCGCGTGTGCCCGTGAATGGATCTGCGATTGTCGTACCGAAACGAGGTGCTCGAAATATTCCACCACTGATAGGCCCACGGGAGGCCTCCCCCCGTGCTCGACTCGATCGCAACGTCTCGACAACGACAATTACCGAGCGACTATTGGGGATAACATTGGATCCGCCGACACCAACTCCAAAGTCCCGTCCCAGTAGCCCTTCGCGAGTACCTCGACCTTCGCCAGCACCTCGACAGCAAGCGCCGACGCGAAGAGATCCATTCACTCCGAAGAACAGCTTCATACCGGCACCACTGGCCAAGGATCTCTGGACTAATACTATTCGTAAGACTAAAAGCCAACAGTTTCTGACAAAAGACTCTAATTTAGTGGCCTGGGATCCCGAAGAACAATATGGCAACATCGAGCGAATGTACGAAGATGTGTGCAAGCATTACAAGCAAGCCATGGAAGACAACATGGCAGCAACCGAAATTAACACCTCATACAAATCGACAATTGCGAGCCTTGAGCATGAGCGGAAAGACTCGATCGAGGCCTTGATCGCTGTGCGGACAGAACTCGCAACCACGAATTTCAAGCTTGAAGCAGCTGAAAGATCAAAGCAGGAGCTGAAACGGGATCAAGAAGCGAGTATCGAAGACCTGAAACGCAACCACAGGATTGAAGTGGAGAACATCCGACAGACGCACCGAGACGAGCGGGAGCGACTAAGAGATGAGCACAGAGACGAGATCCGCGAGCTAAAAAGAAGACTAGAAGACGAGCTCGAGAGTGAACGGACTCAGCGGATACAAGCTCTAAGTCAAGTGTCCACAGAAGGGGCGCTAGAAAAACAGCGACACCTTCTGGACCTTGAATCAAAGGAACAACAGATCAGTAATCTCAGCAGTGAGATCGAGCGGATGAAAGCAGATCTCGAAAGAGAACGACTCCGCAACGACGACCTCCGACAAAACCTCTCCACCGCAGGCGACAATGCATCGCAGATGGAAAGTGCTCGGCAAGCATTGCAAGCGAAGATCGAGTACCTCGAATCGGACAGCAAGTCTCAGTCAGAGGCCTATGCGGCTATGGAACGGAGGATGAATGAAGCACTCGCGACAGCAGCTGAGTGCGAAGAGAAGCTCCGAAAGGAAGAAATGCTTCGAAGGAAGTTACACAATCAAGTCCAGGAACTGAAGGGCAATATTCGGGTATTCTGCCGCGTTCGACCCCTCGGTGAAGACGGCGAAGACACGGCCAAAATCACCTATCCCGAGTCCGAGTTCGAAGAAGAGGAGATCAAAGACATAGAAGTCAAAGGCCCAGAAGAGGTGAACAGTCTGGGCAAAGTCACGACGAAAACTCACCAATTTTCGTTCGATCGCGTTTTCAACACGTCGGCGACGAACAGCGAGATTTTTGAGGAGATCAGCCAATTGATACAGTCTGCGCTGGATGGCTACAATGTCTGCATCTTCGCCTACGGGCAGACAGGCTCAGGAAAGACTTACACCATGTCCTCGGAAGATGGCATGATCCCGCGTGCGCTCCGACAAATATACACTACCAGCAAAGAACTCGAGCCCAGAGGGTGGTCGTATACCATGCAAGGCAGCTTCGTGGAAGTATACAACGAAGAACTACGCGATCTGCTTGGAAAGGACGATATGGGCAATAAAAAACACCAGATCATCCATGATGCGGCCACGTGCGAGACGACCATCACCGATGTCGCGACGCTGAGTCTTGACAGTCAAGATCAAGTCGAAGGTATCCTGGCGCAAGCCATGTCGCGCCGCAGTGTAGCAGCCACCAAGGCCAACGAGCGCAGTTCTCGTTCCCACTCGGTGTTTATCCTCAAGCTACAAGGCGTCAACAGCATCACAGGCCAGAAGAGCAAAGGCACGCTCAACCTGGTTGATCTCGCTGGGTCCGAAAGACTGACGCACTCCAAAGTCGAAGGCGCACGATTGAAAGAGACCCAAAACATCAACAAATCGCTCTCCTGCCTGGGCGACGTGATTGGGGCATTGGGACAGCAATCATCGCACCCACCCTCGTCACAGAAACGAGAAGCTTCTTCCAGAGGCAGTTCGCCATCGAGCTCCTCCACGGCCACCGCTTCTGGTGCAACTGCCCACATTCCCTACCGGAACAGCAAGTTGACATACCTCCTACAATATTCTCTGGGCGGGAACTCAAAGACGCTGATGTTTGTCATGGTTGCGCCGGAGAAGAAGTGTCTCAGTGAAACCATTACGAGCTTGAAGTTTGCGGATAAAGTGGCAAAGACGAAGATTGGCGTGGCGAGAAAGACGAAATGATGTCGAAACGAAAGTAGAAAACAGTGTGAAGGAGAATTGAAGTGAAACGCACCTCCAAGGTGTTTTGGTTGGTTCTGGTGCTGGTGCTGAGTGGAACGTGCTTGTTTGGTATCGCGTTTTCGAGCAGGCGGTCGCTTCTTGTGTACAACTGGAACTGGATGGTTTTTGGATCGTGCTTTTTGTTCTGGGATGGTCATCATGGAATAGGTCCGGTGCGCAGCCAGCAGGATTCATATCAAATGGGTGACTCTCATTTGCTTGGGTCGGTTTACAGGGTTATTGGGGAAGGGGCTCATCAGGCTGGGGCCCCCATCAACGAGGGTTTCTGGTCGTTGTGTATAAGAAGGCGACGTATGTACCTACCAAGGCGGCTGGCACACATACATAGGCTCAGCCTAAATGAAATGACATGACGACGAGATGTGATGCGATGCAATGCAACGAATGACATGATCCGATCTGCTACGCTGGCTCTATGCCAATCTAGTCTATCGTGTCCGGTACAGCTACTATTGACTCCATGCAATTCTACTCTACCGTGTACGCTACTGGTACATACTGTACTTTTATTTCTGTCTCTAGCAGGTCAATGCCCTTCTTACTTACTGTTGTTAATGCCCTTCGCTCAACTCCCGGACTATCCCCCTAGCAATCCACTCGGCAACGCCCATCGTGCTGACCATAGGATTCACCCCACTAGCACTAGGAAACACACTCGCATCCGCGACGTACAGTCCCTCGGTGCCCCAGACCCTGCCTTGCGCGTCGACCACGCCCGTGCCAGCCGAGCCGCTCATCCGACACGAGCCCATCTGGTGGGCACTCCCCGCGGTGCACGGGTCCGGGGCCGTGAACCCCAGCCGTTGCAGCTCGGCGATCCAAGCGTCGAAGCTCGTCTGGTCGTCGTCGTCGTGCGCTGTCTTCTTGGTGGTGCTGGCGTCGGCGTCCGCGTGGCTGTGGCTCGGCCGCACCCACCGCGTGGCCTCGGGGTGGTTGGGCTCCAATTCGACGGCGCCCATCGTGAACGCGATGCGTAGGCCCGCTATCATCCCTTCGAGGATGGAGCGGGAGTCGCGCTGCGAGGGCGTGTACGCGATGCGTGGCCTTCGGCGCGCCGCGTCCTTTGGGTCCAAGTACACGCGGCCCGTATCCGCGTCACGGGCGATGCAGACGAAGCCAGTCGAGAAGGCGTGTTTGGCTGCGTTGACGCGGTACTCGACGGCGCTGGCGAGCGGGGATGTGGCGGCGGCGGCGGCCACAAGCGACTTGTGCGCCCGGAACGGCACCGTCATCAGGCCCAGCCCGGGAGTCGAGCAGATGACTTCGACTTTGACGCCGTGGTGGTGGCCGTCGAGGTTGTCGAGGCCCGTCATTGCCACGGTCAGGATAGAGCCCTCCCATGGGTTGGTCCGGTGCGGCCACGTCGCCCACACGGTGTTGGTCGGGTGGAGGTGCAGGTGCGCGCCGATGTGCGGGTTCTTGAGCCCGCTGCGCAGGAGGACGAGTGGCGATTGCAGCGTCCCTGCGGAGATGATGACGCGTTTCGCCGAGATGGTCAGTTGCCGCGTGGTTGCGCGGTCGCGGGACGTCCATGTCGCTTTCACGCCGGTAGCTCTCCGTTTGGCGGTGGCGTCAGGTTGTTGGTGGTCTGTAAAGGTGACTTCCTCGGCCCAGCAGCCTTCGATGAATTGAGCGCCGTGGGCCGCCGCGTCGGGGAACCAGCAGTTCGCGGGACCTTGCTTGGTCGTCCCTGCGCAGCCGTGCGTGCAGTAGCCGCAGAAATGCCGTTCGGAGCCGCCTGCGTTCTGGGGCACGATCCGGACGTCCAAGCCGAGCCGGCGTGAGCCTTCCAGGAGCGTCTGGTTGGCAAAGTTGTGCTCGATCTTCCCTAGGCCTTCTGGGTCCGTGGACTTGGCGACACCCATGCGCTCGCAGATGGTGTCCAGACAATCTTGATACTCTGGCCCAAGAAAATGTGGCAGACCTTCGGATGCCCATTCGTGGCGGACAGCGTAGGGAGGCTGCAGGGAAGCTGACCAGTTGACCGTGCCGCCGCCGCCAAAGGTGCTCCCTGCAAGGATACCCATCGACGCGTCGTCTGAGAGCATCATGCCGCCGTTCTCCAGGAGGTGCTCGCCCGAGTCGCCATGGGACATGGGGAAATGCGTCGAGGGGAAGTGGTAGGATTTCTCAAGAACCATACATTTCAACCCGGCACGGGAGAGGTGAGAAGCCACCACCCCGGCACCACATCCGGAGCCCACAATCACCACATCGGCGGACAGTGTCGTGGACGTTGACGGAGACGTAAAGTCAGGGAACTTGAACTCGTAGCTCGGGTTGCGCTCAATGTGTTTGGGAATGGCCGGGAAGTCGAGCAGCCTTGGTAGACTGGTCGATGTGGCGAGCCAGACCTGTCTAGCCAGTCCACTCAGCGACCTGTAAATGGCGCGAAGAAGAGGCAGTCGCGCGCGCGACCACTGGCAGACGATCGTGGTGCGAGTTTCGAGGTCTTGCGTGTGTAGCGGCGTCGTGTAGCCGGTAAGTAGATAGGAGCCCAGTCTCGTATTGAACAGGGAAAGGACGAAAGCCAGGCCCTGTACATCTGAAGGTGGGACATGGAGCTTGAATTTGCGGACGACGGCGTCTCTGAAGACGTCGCTCTTGGTCGCATCTTCGGAGAGATATGCTCTCGCCACCTCCTCCGAGGCGTCCTCTGGTAGGTACGGCTTCAGCTCAGCAACGGCCGCTTCGGTTTCCGAGATGGGGATTGAGGGTATGAACACCTCGACAATCGAGAACAGGATGTCCCATTGATCGTTGGTGAAGACGTCGCCATCAGGAGCGGGTGCTAGAGGTGTTGGTAGGGACGCGAGGCTCGAGATTGTTCCGGCCTGCGACATCATGCCTCAGCCCCTGAACGCTTGAGCTCGACTTTGATGCTGCCTCGGATGACAGTGCCTGAGCAGAGGGACAGGAGCTGGTGTAAAGAGGGGATTAGTAAAGCGAAAGCATACCAGCAAAGTACGGCGCTCCTTGAGTTTGTCGAGTCTGCGATTTTAAAGCATGGAGGCGCCAAGCGACGTCCAAGGCAAGAAAAGTCGCCCGTATAGAGTGAAGCTGCTCATAGGAGTACGAACAGGACATCCTCCTCCACCAGGAAGGAGAACGGTTTAGGGCTCTTCACGGAAAGGCTATGCCAAGGTAAGCACTACACCGAAACAGCCTCGCAATAGCCGTCGGTCTTCATGGGATGTTTGACCTTCCACAATAACATGGTCGAATCCCTTTACTGTTTACGAGCGGCACGAGGCCGAAGTGGGGAAGCAATGACCCATAAGGCTGTTCTGAGGATTGATCCTTGGCCGCCGCATCGTGTGCCTCGTACGTACTTCGTATGTACGGCGTATCTCGCATGCGGATGCTTATGGGGCGTCTTACGGGTTATGTAAGACTTGCCTCGAGTCGACGTGCTTGGCAGCCTGGGGAAGCAGACGAACGGACGTCTTGGGAATACACTGCAGCTGCTGGGGCTAGCTGAGGCACCAGGCAGGTGTCCCTGACGCTTTGATTCGAACTTGACCAGCCCAGTTCTTATGTTCAGGGCGGGCGGCAAATCTGCATTGAGCGGCTGGCCGACGAGTCCCGGGCTCGTTCATTGTTACTGCTGCTGTCATTCACTCTACTACCTTTTCACCCCTCGGCCTGGATCTCGTAGCTATTGGACTTGTGCTTGGGCTCGAATCGAAAGTCTCTGTGCGCTGGTCCTAGGAACATCTCACTGCCATCGGGGTCAGCTGGCGGTTCGAGAATCTGTAGTTCTTGTCCTTACCTGATCTTGATCCAGTCCTTGTAGTTGTCGCTCGCCATCAATGTCTCGAGCTCATCCCGGCCCCGGAACCGTGGTGGTCGATCCTGAATATTGGGCGGCAGATACTCCAGGAGGCCAATCGGCACATATCGACAGGCAAAGCTGAGCCACTCCAGCAAGAACCGCCGGGTCTGTCCTACACCCATTTCATCACTACCCCACGCCTCCAGACCGTATCTGACGAAACGCTCAACGATCTGTAGCCGCTCTGAAGACGACTTGTCTAGATATTGCCCTGCTGCAATCTCCTCAAACAGCCACGGCTTGATGAGCGCTCCGCGCGCTGCCATCACTCCATCTACCCCAGCGTGCTGGATATGGTCGTAGTAATGCTCATGAGAAAAGACATCGCCATTTCCGACAAAGAAGACCTTCCCGTTCCTGGAGCCCTTGTGCCCGTTGGGCTGATCCCGCTCCTCGGGCTCATGGACAGTGTCGGCGACGGCATCGGCCTTCGCGTTGAGCTCCTTGATCAATGAAGCCGTTTCCATGATGTACTCCCAGTCTGCGGAACGGGTGTATCTCTGTTGTCTCGTCCGTCCGTGGAGCGTGATTGCAGCGACACCACAAGACTCACCATTTCCACTGCCAAGGACGAGCCGATCAACGAGTTTCTGAGCGGTTGGCTGCTTATCCTTTGTCCCAGTGCGGATCTTTACTGTGACGGGTGTCTCATCCGACACCACGTTCATTCCACGTAGCATCTTTTCGAGCTTGGGTGGCGAGTCCATCAAAGCCGAGCCGGCACCATCCCTGTAGACCAGATCGATAGGGCAACCGACATTGAGGTCAACGACCCGCAAACTCTTTGGTAAGAGAGTCGTAAGGACTTCCGTTGCTTTGACTGCCAACCAAGGCTTATTTGCGGCAATTTGGGCACCAAAGCAGAGATCTTTCTTTTGGTCGTAGTCAAAGACAATGTTTTCCTGGCGTTTCATCGTAAAGGTTGGCGGTTGGACATCCGACTCATGGGCTTTCATGAGAGCCCATTCCGATTTACGACCCTGGAGAAGAGGAAGTGACATTGCCATCTCGGAGTAAGTGAACGTCGCCCCAAGCGAAGTGCACAGGCGTCGATACGGTAGATTGCCTTGTGTCGTCAGTGGAGCTAGGATTGGCGTCTCCGCGCCAAAGTATAAGCGACGCTTCTCTGATGGCCGTAGAGGAGCTTCCCTGAACGCAGCTCTTGAATCTTGCGCAGTGGCTCCATTCCTTTCATCTTCAATAGCTTCCATTTCGGGAGAGGAAGAATTTCGTAGAGATTCGGGCTTGTGCGGGGCCTTTTCATGTCGACGTTTTCGACCTTGGTCCGCTGGATTCTGAGCTCGCTCGTCGAGCCAGCTGAGAAAGTCATCTGATCTAGGTGTCGGCACCGCCCTCTTGGTGAGCTGAATCCTCTGCTGAGGCGTTAGGATGTTCGCCACGCCCACCTCTTCCTCCTCGGACGAAGTCTGAGCATACTTCGCCATTTGGTCGGCATTATGCACCAGGACCAATTCCTTCCGACCATCGCCGTGCTCGACTTCTTTAGAGTGCGAACCAACGAAGCGACATTTCCACCCGGCCGGACATCTTCCCTTGACCTCCCAAACAGGACAAACGCCGTTGAATGTAGACAGGTCTTCCCGCTTGTATTGGCTCAGGTATTTCCGTAAGTCGTGCTCGAAGCGACAGCTGTCCCCAAACGGGCATGAATCGGGTAAGAGCTCGGGTCTGTGAACACGGGTGGAACACAAGCCTACCTCGTCCCTCGAAGTGCCAAAGTCACGAGCCTTGTTTTGACCTGACTTCTTCTCACGGCGTTTGCTTTTGCTTTTGCTGTTCTGGCTTTTCGGCTGTCTGTCTTGATGATGAAACGCTTCTGCGGCATCGTCATCGGCTTCAGCACGGGCGGGTCTCGACTCGATCAGGTCATCGGACGTGACCAAGAACTCTTCTTTGACCGGCGCTGTGCCCTTTCTTCGCTTGCTGCCGTTATTTTCCGCTGAATCATCGAGCTCGCCAACTTTGCGCTTAGCTGATGGTGACGGGGCATCTGCTGGTTTTGGCAGAGCGATGCCGGCAGGGGCACCATACGAAGTCATGTCGACCTCAGATTGAGGAGGCAGGCCAACTGAATTTTCATCCATCGCTAAGAACTTTCTACTGTTCTCTTCGTGCGGAGCGCTCTTCTGTCGTCAAGGGTTTGCCGAGATCACAACGACTCAGCATGTCCAAGCACGATGTCAAGAACAGCGCGTAATATGTGCCACCTAGGTGGTGTGCCACGGCAAAAATTGGTGACGTGCAGTGGGTTTGTGGGGTCATACTGTATCTTGAGGTTTCGCCAAGCCGAAGACATTCGGCCGAGGTTAGCCAGGCTGCTTTTAGGCGCTGGATTCCAGTTACAAGGCAAGCACAAGCTCCTCCGTAAGTACCTAGACTACGGAGTACATACTCCAAGATTCAACTACGAGTACTTATGTACATGTTCTTGCGTATGCCGAAATGGGCAGATACGACAGTGATACTGGGCTAAGTCTCTACTTTCCTCTGCGACCACACGACTCAAACGCGTGGGGTCGTAATGGAAGCGTCAGCGCGTCAACCGTTCGTCGCGACCGATTCACGAATGGAGGTCGCTCCAGGATGTTGGCTGGCTACGAAGGATCTGAGACTCGATCTTAATGCTTGACAGTGTACGGAGTACTCGTACTCGTATATGGCACGCACATGTCTCTATAAAGTTTTAGCGTGCTACTGCGTCACAACACACCTCCCAATGCCATACCATTTTCGATGGCCGGTAAACGACCTATCGTCATTGGATCGCGGCCGGGCTGACTGACACGAAGGATTATGACCGGATCATTTAAAACAGGTTGCTTCACGTTCATATAGGCTAAAGCATTGCGTTTGGGGCCAGTAATCAAAACAACATGTATGGGTTCTCCACTCAACTCCAGATATTGGACAGGCAACCGCGTTTCATCCTCCCTACACAGCCTCGTTCGCACCTCACCAAATATGGCTGTCCAAGTCATCTAAGGCACAACCACAGCATTAAATGCCCCCGACTTGTCAATACACCCTACCTTTTGCTCTGTCCTTCCAATCATTCTTCGACCGCGCACGTTATCTGCCTTTACCTCAAAGATTTCCTGCCGCATCATGGTTTCCTTCAGCAAGCCCACGGGGTCGTGGGACCTCGAGACCACACTCCGTCTCCTGCTTCTCCTGAACAACGGAGTCGCTTTGGCTCTCAGCTTTGCTAGTATGCGGCCTCTGTTCATGGTCACCGGATCGATTCTTGGTGTTTCCATCATCTTCAATATGCTAGTCCTCCTGTCCGAAGCTAGGCCAAAGCGTCCGACGTTGACGGACGACGATGTCCACAAGCAAAGCCCTTCGCTGCTTGTCTGGGGAACCGACGGCGTCGGTGTTCTTGCTTTCTTGGCTCTATACGTGTGCACCACCATCGAGACTGCCGACCGAGATGGTGGTTGGCGTCGGATGCCGGTATTGCTGATGGCCTATGCATCGATCGGAACTCTGGTCGCCTTGTAAGTCTACCCTCTTCGAGAGCAACGAACACAGCGGACAGTCAGATGACGCATGCACCATTGCTAATCCCTGCCCAAGTGCCATGCATGGCTATATGGCCTTGAAAGGCCTCCAGAGGTACATCCGTTACCGGCAATCTTTGACGTCAAGCTGCCCTCATTGTCACCAGGAGCTGGGCTTCACGGCAGCCAGCTTTGCTCTACCCCCATCACCGATCGACCAGGCCGAGGCATCCTCAGCCCCAAGAGAGAGCTTTTCTGCGAATTCGACCGGCGAAAATGAAGGGGATATGCTCATGCTGAAGTCTTAAGCGAAAGGAGATAGCCAGGCGTAGTTTGTCGCAGCAGTGTCTCACTTGTCTGGTTGGCATGTTGAAGTCTTCTGGCAGGAGCGAAGAACGAGATGGAAGGGTGGTGGCGACATGTGATCGTTGTTGAACGGGTATAAGAAGGACATGAAGGAGACAGTAAAGGGAAGACGCCACGGGACATGCTTAGAGGAAGCAGGAGTTGTTGTGTTGCCTTGTACGTTAGCAAAGACGCCCTCAAGGTTTCTGTGTTGAGGTAGTAGCGCCCGGTCGTTGTGCAGGCTTAGGAAGAGCAGTCTTGGGATTTCAAGCCTGTGGTCATGCACGTCAACCTCATGAGGACAACGACATCCAGAATGTGATGCCTGGGCCGGTCGATGGGATCGCCGGCAAGGTTGTTGGCTCGTCTAGGACATGTCAGCCGAAGTTTGGCTTGTTTCCGGGGCTTGTGTCTCAATAGAGTGTCGGTGTACCGTGGCCCTTCAAAGTTGAAATGTCACTCACTTGTCTCTGTACGCCACCAGATGAGGGGATCAATCAAATGTGTCTCACAGTGGCCAGTGGCAAGCGAATGGGAGCAGTTAATCGAGTCAAAGCCCGAAGCCTCCACTTGCTGACATTCCAGGCTGCCCGCCACAGCAGGACAGCATGGGAAATGCAAGAGGCAGCTGACCTTCTCCGGCTTCCATGCGTTCCATGTGTTCGACACCTCCTGGTGCCTTCCACGGCTTCCAGGAGGCCTTGGCACATAATGACCCACCCAAATGGCAGAGGCTCGGACCATATCATCCGAACTTCTCACGCTGATGGGCCCGGCAAACCCTTCTCAGGGTGCTCGTACGAGGACATATGGACGAATCAGTGATGCAAAAGCCAATGCACTATTCCTTTTGTTGCATTGCAGTAGTTCGAAGTCGCCTTGAGTGGGACGGCAGCACTTGAAATTGTGCCTGCGAAGGGCTCACCAGCGACTGGCGCCCTCGACCACTAATGAGGCATGAATATCCAGCTTGTTCCTGGATTCTGTCCCTGAACACTCGAATTGTCAGCAACTGCCATCCTGTTGGTTCATGGACCAGGAGGATTTCTATTGGACAGATGAAGTCTTGAAGAGAGGAGACTCTCAGGAGCGTCTAAAAGTACGTGAGCTCTTCGTAGCGTGTGAGTCCCTTGCAGTTACCAGCGTACGATGTACATGACAGTGGCGTCCCGGTCCACGTGTGGACTCAGATCACTAGGGGCGCTTCCTCTACATTCGACTCAGTGGGCATAGTGAAAGCTTTTCTGTCGAGCGGACTATCTCCGAGGCGCCAGTTGAACAAGGCTTCGGCGAGCAACGACCCCAAAGTTCAAAGTTGCCCCTCGGGCAGTGACTTCGTACGAGACGCTGGCCCACCAGGCAACGCAAGGCTGTCCTGAAATCCCTCATCCCGTCGGCTCCTCGCCAGGCCGCTGTCAAACAAGCACGAACCTCGGCACCAGTAGAGACCCATTATGTGTAAATGCCTGTGCTTTGAAGCCTTTCTATTGTGGCAGAGCCGATGTAGCCTTGTGTACTCGTGACAGGTGTTGCAGGGGGGTTGTCCCACTGACGTGGGTGGTAATCCACGTGGCATTGGTAACCGCCTTTTGAACGAGACCCAAGAGTTCCTTTACTCCGTACTCATTGACGCATTGAGGCTGCCGAGACGAGAGATAGCTCCCAGATCGTAAGTAAATGGTCGAGAAGGCAAGTGAAACGCACACTCTTTGATCCTACGAGATTCAGACTCGATAAATCCATCACATCCACTCATGGTCTGCTGTACGATGCTCAATATGGTGCCCTACTCCATTTTTGCGCACGATTGGATCATAGCGTGGGATTGATATGCAGGCGAGCTGCATCCCACTTGGTGGTCTTGGGAAACCAACCAAGCTCATGGAAACGATCCTCGATGCTCCAATTCAGGCACTTCACAGTGAGCAAATCCCTGGCGCCGTAAAAATGGGGAGGAACTGTCTTAAAGATGTTCCTGAATAGCCTACCTTGGAAGTGAAGAACCTATCACAGGTACGCCGTGCAGAGCGTCGTCTAGCGGTGCCAGATGCATATCGACCAAAGCCACGCCAACAAGCAAGATCGCAAACAGAGGCTCGAGAGGGCATGAAATTCATCTGACAGTCGATCGGCCTCGGTTCGATGAGACACTCGACAGGAGGAACAGCTCGCGATCATTCTTCAACAATGCTAGGGATGGTCTTGTGCACTAAGAACTATCGCGTTGGTGCTCTTAAGCAATTCAACAGTGACCAACCAATTATTGCCGGAAGCTGAACGGTTGATATAGCCGGGCCATGTGTTTTTGCCTGCATTATGAGATCAGCAAAGACGATTTCACTGTTTACATTGCATCAGAAACCATTACGAGTACACTTTAACCACCATTCACAGCTTATTATGCAAGAGAGCAAGCAGCAGCCGTATTTCCGATTCGAGTAGAAGTTCTTCCCGATCATTTCTCATCTCCCGTAATTGAGGGATGCGAGACTGTTGGATCGAGGAACGCCGAAGTGGGCGTGGTCAGACAACCGACGCGCTGTTGCATCCTGGTGTCCACCACCCAGGGCTTCGAGAAGCCACATGGATGTCCCTGCGACACCACGAAATCGCCTTCGGCAAGCACCACTACCCTCATCAAGACTATCAAAGTACCTTCCATTGCATCTTATAAGCCGGGACTCAGGCCGACCGGAACGAACGGTGTTCTACAGTAAGTAGGCTTTGTCAAGAAATGAATGCTCAGGTACCGGACCGTGAGGCTTCACACCCTTGCGCCGGAAATCCAAGTCGCAGATGCGTCGCTCGAAACTCCTTACCACCCAGTTACCAAGCCGCGACTTGACCGACAACCGGCGCCAGTAGAGGCTGTGGGGCCCTACCCACTTCAGCAGGACTAGGACAACGGGCTTGACAAGGATCGTTTAGAGGCCACCAGTGGCACACACCTCGAGGCGCCATGCCACAGGCGGCCGATGGGCGCTCCAGGCGACCCACCCACCTGCGACTTATGGTTCAAGCTACCAGGTCGGGAACCCTCATGAGGCAAAGCGTGGGAAAGTTACATTTGCACCTCACGAGAATCGGTACTGTCCGGGTCCTCTCTGATGGTCTTCGTGTTGTTGTTACGAGAGCAGCACGGCCAGAAATTTCCGAATCCAGTCTTACTACAGACGCCCGGGCAAACGTGAGACGCCCTCGGACTGGAATCAGTGGCTCAGCAGTGTACAAACAGCTGCGTCTAGAACTTTGGACGACGTTGACGAGGTTGTTGAATGGTCGCCAATTATGACTGCAGAGGATGCGGTCATGAGCCGGCCTCAGCCTGCCCAGTGCTCCTACCCCCAACTCTCCGGCCAGCAAAACTGATGTTACGAGTCACACAGGGAGACTGAATAGACGAGCGGTAAGCTAAGCGACGGCGGCATACACAGTACTCTCCTGGCCCGGGTTGCTAATCATTGATCAATATTCCTGGTCGTCTGCATCTTCCACGAGGCTGGCAGAATCAAGGTGGCCATCGGCAGACAATAATCGTGAGCCTGACTGACACTAACTATTGAGCCTGATTTTCGGGGATGAGATCTTCTTGAACTTTCCGGCATCTTGAAGCGGCACCGGATTTGACTCGTTGTCATGGAGTCAAGGAATCGAGGAAAGGGTGATTGACGCGAGGGATCCCGCATTAACCATAGTCTCGCAACTAGCCTCAACTTCCTTAGAGTGTAGGCAGATCCTCAGCACCAATACGTTCGTCTCGGTGAGTTAATCCGCTGTCGCACACAGATCTACACCGACGTATGCAGCAGTTGTCGTGACCTTCGAGAATAGCCATTAGTCCGGCGTCGAGAGCGACGAGAACGAGGAGTCCCACTGCCGAGGGGCCACCGGGAATCGGGCCAAGCACAGGCCCCGGCGTTGCAGCTGTGGATGCGGGTGGTAACTTTGACGTGGTGCTCCTGATGAGGAGGAGCCTGGGAGGCAAGGATGTGGAAGCCGAGAGTGCCCATTCATTCTCGAGGGGAGCCACTGGTCGTTCTCGTACCGACTCGACTGGACTTGCATGGCACTATGCCCGTACACGAACCCGTACTGTACCTTAGCAACGACCTTCTCGTCACTTTCAACTTGTCCATACTCTTCTCCCTCACGTCACAATCACAGAGTCCCAAACAATCATCTTGTAGACTGTCCTACCTGCGAGTGCCAGCCATTTAAGCCAGCATCTCCACTGTGCTGTCGCTCATTTGTACACAACTACATCTCCATCTGCAGCCTCGCTTCTCGCCGGACCTTCGCAGTCGGGTACTCCGAAGCCGACCTGGTCACGTCTAACGTCACCGCCCATTCCCGCCTCGATCCTCACCTTCAGACGACGACCACCTCGCTCGGTCTCCTCACTCGATATCACCATCGAAATAGTATCTCAGAAGTCTATGTTAGACCTCGAAGACAGCCCGCCGCCACTGAATCACTCGCCGTCTCCGAGTGATCGGTCGCAATTCACTTCTCGAGATACCACTCCCGTGACACCCGTCGGCAACGGCCCGTCCTTCAGCAGGAAGACTGAGAAAGACCTTCTGCCGTGGTTCAAGAAACCCATCGACGTAGGACGCACGACTACACGACTCTGCTTGGACACCGACACCTCACTACTGGCGCCTGACTTCGACGACAACACCTTTCCAACATTTGGTGTCTCGCCACCGCGGCAGGGAATGGCGAGCGTAGCCAGACCTTTCGACATCTCCGTGAGACAAACATCGACATCGCCACGCGGAAATCAACCTTCCAACTTGACTTCGGCATTGCAGAGAAGTGACAGTGAAGAGAAGCGCATGATGGCGAACGCCACACCAGACACGGCCTTGAACCGCCCCATACCCCAAATGCCGTCGAACTCGTCGAGCGATTTTTCCAACTTCGAACACGGCGCTCGGCCGATTTCGATGAAGGGAAGGCCTGACGACAGGGCGCGGCGTGAGAGTTTGGCGCAGAGTCTCAACGCGGGCATGAGCTGGGGAGGGATCTCAGTAGGGAGCTGGATCCGGGATGAGTAAGTTGACCCTCACCTAGTGTTTCCAAAACGATGGAACTGATGGATGAATAGCATGGTCATGTCCGGCACGTCACCTTTTACCTTCAATTCACCTTCATTCCACTCCTCCTCCTACCTCCCAAAGCTTGAGGCCAATTTTATGAAAGATTTCTCGTGCTGTGGCCTCACCTTACCCACCCTACACGATCTATTACAGCACTATGAAGAAGCCCACGCCCAGAAGGATCCGGTGCAGCCCCATGCTGCTCAACACACCGTTCCTGATAGCCGAGCCGCTATTGCTGCGACGACTGCAGCTCAAGTGCAACAAGAGGCGCAGCAGCGGAGTCAACAACAGCAATCGCAGAACGCTCCAGGTCGGCCGTTCGGTATGCAGCAGCCCGCTCCCCAGAACGTGCACAGATCCTCAACAGGCTTCTCCAGCACATTGCAGACGATCCCAGATATGGACACTGTCGAAGACATGGAGATGGATGATATTGACGGCGCTGATGAGACAACTCCGCCCCCGAATCTCTATACTCAGAATGCCCAAGCCTCTCCTCAGACCTCCTTTGCCGCTCCCTCGCAACAGCCCCAAATACCCCAACTCAACACCAGCATGATGCAGGGACACCAAGCTTATCGACAATCCACTCCCAACACGCCCGTAGCTACGGGGCGAAATGCTGCTCGATTTCAGGGCAACACTTCCTCCACATTGATGGCGAACCCCATGCAGCAGTTCCAAGACCTCCAAACTGGGTATCGGGGTACCCCGGATTCCTCAGCCCCCGGCACGCCCGGTGAGATGGCTGACGGGATGATGGATGGGATGGATGACATGTCAATGCAGAACATAGCTCTGTACAATGGGCTTCCCAATGGTATGGGTGGTTATGGTTTCGGCATGAACAATGACATGATCGATCTCTGCATAGACGAGCCGTCCAAGCGACTCTTCTCCACGGCTAACCAAGGCATCAGCCAAGCACAAACAACACAGCAGCAGATTCAGAACCGGCTCGGAACCGGGCAGTACGCGGCGAACAGCGACATTGCCCGGACGATTCGTGAGCGGCAAGTGGCTGCCGGGTTGCCCGACACTACGACAAACATTCTCCCCCATGAAGAGCCTAAGCCGTTCCGATGCCCGGTGATTGGCTGTGAGAAGGCTTACAAGAACCAGAACGGCTTGAAATATCACAAAACAGTAAGTGGTCACGAGAAGATTTCTGTGTATATGACTAACAAAGAGCTAGCACGGACACAACAACCAGCGCCTCCACGAGAACGGAGACGGCACTTTTTCCATTGTCGACCCTGACACCCAAGCCCCATATCCTGGTACCATGGGTATGGAGAAGGAGAAGCCGTACAAGTGCGACGTCTGCCAGAAGCGGTACAAGAACCTCAACGGGCTCAAGTATCACAAGACGCACTCGCCGCCGTGCAACCCAGACCTCCAAATAAATGCGAACAAGAGTCCATCACTAAATATGCCTGGCATGGTTGCAGGTCAACATTCCGGAAACATGGGAGCTGGCCTCTCAGGAGATCTGTCAATGATGTGAGCGACGAGATCAGTACCCATCATAATAATACGATGGAGACGACGATGACCATTCGACGGCCGCAAGCAGCATGACCCCTCATCCACGAGATCGACCTTTATTTGGCATGTTTTACATCACTAATGACTCGAGACGGCCGCAAATCAGCCACGGCGGGCTATCAGACGGCGATTGACAGTCGAAGCCTGGCTCCACACCCATGGTGCCTGGAAAAGAGTTCTCCGAGATCGTCTCTCGGGGATCGCCCATGATCTCTACAGACCGACTGATCTCCAACAAGACAACGAGATCTGCTCAAAAAAATCATAGACTGGCTTGGTTATTCAAAAGTTAATGTGCTTAGGTGTTTGTTTTAGCATTACAGCGCCCTTGGTGAGGTGCCGGGTCTCACATTTCTCTCCAACCAATCGACTACGCGGCGTTTGTGCGAATAGCTGGATAGACGACGTTGTGGGCGGTGCTAGACAGACGAGGACTCTCCCTCCTCCAGTTGAGGATGGCTCGATGAAATCGGCGATGCTTGTACATCTTAGGCGGATGCCGCGCTCTTTCTGCGGACCGGGGTGGCAGCCTTGAACGGAGACTGATACGTTCTATTGCGGGGGCGGTGGTCGGGTGTCTACGTTTGCAGAATAGACGGATGCTTAGAACAGAGGGAAGAGGCAGCCCTCTTCCTCACTGCCGGTGATTTTGCAATCGACGGAGGTGTTGATGAGTACCCAGTGAACGCGAAAGGAAGCATCTCAGTCAAAATGTCGATTCCAGGACTCGACCTTGTGCAGTATCAATCTATCCGGTTGCTGTTCGAGAATGGAGTTGAGTGACAAGCTCAAGCACGTCGCGACCAATTCACGCTCCCTTGAAAATAGCTCAGGTGAACCAAGCTTCAATGAGGAAGTTTGAGGCTGCTGAGGTGGCGCACTGGTGTGAGATCTGGGCGCTTTGTTCCGCTGGGTGGTGACGAGGAAAGGGGGATTGTGTACCTAACGTAGCAGCACTGTACCTGTACATGATAGAGGGGAGGTGGCTACGGGGTACGGAAAGGCGCATCGACGTTGGCACAAAGTGAGCTGAGAGGGAGGCGCAGTGCGCCGGTGGAGGCTCTTCGGTGGATTTATCGACGCGTGGCAGTGACCAAAAGAGTTTCAAGGGTCTGCGACAAGACAAGACATGGACATGCGAGCTGATTGTGGTGGCCGTGTGTGGCCGTGTGCGTGTGCGTGTGCGTGCGCGTGTGCAGCCCGAGCCCCTGGCACAACCTGGCGTCTGGCATCTGGCATCTTGAATTCTGCAACGTCGGCGACAGACTCGATTCCTTTCCACTTTTCACTCTCCTTCGTCCAACACCTACCCGGCCCTCTGAGCTTCATCGATCAGCGGCTGTTCTTTCTGCAGAATCATTCCCTTCGTGGGATAGTCTCTCGTTTAGCCTGCGACCCACCGATCCGATCCTTTCTGCGATAGCCCCTCGCCTTACCTAGAAACCCAAGCCTCGGAGTCCGGCCACGTTTTAGCTGAGCAGAGCTTGAAGCGAGAATACATCACGCCCGCACACGCCTAAATGCGCAGTTAATCGCCGCCCGTGCTTTGGGACCACTCCTTGTACAGAGACACACCAGCTTCCCTTGCTCGCCAACGGCTGTCATCGTTGCGCATTGGGGGTGCGGCTGTCACGATCCGGCGGGTCGACGACCAGAGGGCGAGCGAAGAGTAAAACAACATGGGCGACCCTGCTCCTGCGGCCACACAGAACGACAATGGCTCGCATATGGTGTTCAACATGCTCGAGGATAAATATATCGGCCTGACGTTGGCGATAATATCGACGTTGGCCATCGGAACCAGTTTTGTGATCACGAAGAAGGGCCTTAACGACGCCGCGGACAAGCATGGCTTCGAAGGAGATGGATTCGCATACCTGAAAACACCGCTGTGGTGGGCTGGCATATCCTCACTGGTGGTGGGCGAGATCGCCAACTTCGCCGCATACGCTTTTGCCCCTGCGATTCTGGTCACTCCGTTAGGCGCGCTCAGCGTGCTGATCGGGGCGGTGCTGGGCGCATACTTCCTGGAGGAAGAGCTGGGAGTGTTGGGGAAGCTGGGCTGCGCTATATGTTTGCTGGGCAGCGTGATCATTGTGCTTCATGCGCCGCCGGACAAGGAGATCGAGACAGTCGATCAGATCCTGGCGTACGCGATCAAACCAGGTATGGAGACCACAATACCACATCCGCCAGCGTCGTGCCGTCCGGCTAGTGAGAAAGAATTGTGCAGCTAACTTGTGTGGCAGCGTTCATTATCTATTGCTTAGCCGCGATCGTCTTCTCGACTGTGATGATATACAAAGTGGCGCCGGTATACGGCAAGAAGAATCCTCTCATCTACATCTCGATTTGCTCTACCGTCGGCTCGGTATCGGTCATGTCAGTCAAGGCGTTCGGCATCGCGGTGAAGCTGACGTTTGCGGGCAACAACCAATTCACCCACCCCTCGACCTATGTCTTCATGATTGTCACGATCGTGTGTATTCTCACCCAGATGAATTACTTCAACAAGGCCCTCAGCCAGTTTTCCACCTCGATCGTGAATCCACTGTACTACGTGACTTTCACGACAGCCACATTATGCGCGTCGTTTATCCTGTTCTCGGGGTTCAACACGACGGATGCGGTCAACACGATATCCCTGCTCTGCGGGTTTCTGGTCATCTTCTCGGGAGTTTACCTACTCAATCTCTCGCGGGGTGACCCCGACGGGCATCGATTACTCAACGGCAAAATCCCAGAAGAAGATGGGATTCCCACGGATCCGTTGGCGACCTTTCAAACACGGAGGAGTATGCAAGCCAGGAGGAGCCTCGATCCGCACCGGCGGAGTAGCAGCCTCACGTTCAGCCCGGGCGGGATATTGAGGGGCGAGGGTCGGCACGCCAGCGCTGAAAGCGCAGGACTAATGCACAACTATGATGTGGAGCACAGTGCCTTTGGACTGTCTGATCTTGTAGAAGATCCGGAAGAGATGCGCGGGCCCTCAAAACAAGGTAGTACGAGTCGGAGTCGGAGTCCAGCCGACGGGTCGCTCGTGACGAGGTTACATGACCGACCGCATCAGAAGAGTTTAGGCCGGTGAAGGAGTGTGAGCACAGCAACCTTGAGATGGCACTTCGCAATGTTGATTATAACGTGGAGGGACTTTTTTGGCATTGTAACGATATCCATGCATAGCAACGGTATAGCGACGAAACGGGAACGGCATCCACAGGGCCAAGGTTGGGTTTGACAATGTCTGTAGACTGCAGATATCCACATGACACGCTGAGGCAGTATTGCAGTCTCACAGTCTCATGAAGCGTGTAACAGGCTGAGAGTCGGAAAGCGAGGCTGCAACACACGTGTCTGATCGGCGTGCTTGGTAGGCACCTAATTGGGCGATTTCGTGACGCCACACGAACCTTGGAAGTGGCGGTCCTCACAGTGGCTTGTGAGGTCATTTTGGGTGCCTCGGGTGCTTCAATTCACTCTCCCTTTACCATCCATTTACTTCTGCTCCAGGCGACATCGTTCCCTCGCAAAGACAACTTCCAATGCATTATATCAACTTCATGCCATATTGCCACAATCTACTTTCTACCTTCAGAGCCTCAGTGGCACGGTGCATGCTTTCACCATGGCGCCTTCGTATCCCACTCCCAGTCTTCGGGACGTTGACTCGCCCCGTGCAGGGCCGCAGAAAGGTACGGATACCCCGTTCATCCCTTGTCTGCAACACAGCAAGTGTCACTGCATGCTATGCCGCATTGCATTTGCTGCCGGAAATCAGCTCTCTGACCGATTCTGAGGCATTGTGTTACTTCTTTGCCCACATTATCTTTGCGTTTTGCTGCACGAGGGCCTGTTGTGCCACCGCTCTTTGCTGCTTTCCTACTGGAGGAAGGAGAGCTAGGCTGAGCAGGCGGCCACCAAACTGTTAAGAGATTTCGAGCACGTGCGCGACTGCCGTCTCCATCACCTGGCTTCCAGTACGATTACTGGTCACGCGACACATTTCCTTTTGTCGCCGTTGATCCTGAAGAGGACAACAGGTTTCAATCGAACAAACGAGTGGCTCTCTGTGGCCTCGCACGTGAGGAAGCGGCACGAACACATGGGGCCGATGTTTGCTTTTTATGCATCATCTGCTAAGCATTACACATTGAAAGAACAAGAACACAATCTGACATGTTCTTATAACACAGGTGTGACCATCTTCGACGAGCCAGAACATATCCCCGAGTCAAATGCCAAAGCCCCGGCAGACGATAAGAATCCAGGGTTCGGCTACTCTCTCACGTCCACTGGCTCCCATAGCCCCAGAATTCACCGTGCCAGTATTTCAGGCAAGAAGTTGACCGGCAGACCAGCGGTGAACCAGACCCATTCTTACACTTCCTCACCTGGAGCTCCGCTCACCAAGGCCATGTCGTATTTCAGTCTAGACGACGATACTGCTACCCGGCCATCGTCGATGGCAGGTGGAGGGAGCATTACCCCAGGTACGACGCCCGCAGAAAGCAAGACTCCAGATCTGCGAGGCGTCCTTTCTCAAGTCGCCGAATGGCTCCAGGAGGAGAAGTCAAAAAGGCACAAATGGGGCCGTCACCGACATAGCCATCACCGTGATCAGCACCTCCAGACTCCCGAAATCCAGCCCGGTGAGACGAAGACGTACGACACTGCGCCCGACCAGGAAGGAGACCTCTCCTTGGCAAAGCTAGAGAGTATTCTACAGGGTTTCAGTGGTGACGCCTCCAGACTTCTGAGAAAGACCTCGACCGCCGGTTTGAGAAGAGGCTCGATAGCGTCGAAGTTCAAGCAGGCTCGCTCGGTGCCTGCTCAATCGTCGGATACAGAGTTCTTTGGCGAGGACATATTAGTCCCCAACGTCGAAGCAAAGCTAGACAACACCAAGACGATGGCTTTCACAGGTGGAGCCACCGATAGCGACGCCACTGACAAGGCCAAGAGGAAGGAGTACGACCACTGGGTTACTTTCAAGCAAGACATCTTGAGATTAACGCACACACTCAAAATCAAGGGTTGGCGCCGCATTCCTCTTGAACGCGCTGCCGAACTCGACGTAGCCAGATTGAGCGGGGCTCTCACCAATGCTGTCTACGTCGTTCACCCCCCTAAGGATTTGCCCGAGCTCGACAGGTCCAAGCAGTCTGATCCTTCTTCCGCGCCAGCTGGTACCGTCTCGAAAAGGCGTCCTTCATCGCTACTTCTGCGCATCTACGGCCCACAAGTTGAGCATCTGATAGATCGTGACGCTGAGCTCAATATTCTCCGCCGCCTGGCTCGGAAACGAATTGGCCCTCGTCTCCTGGGTTCATTCGATAACGGTCGCTTCGAAGAGTTCCTGCAAGCGAAGACTCTGACGGCTGAAGACCTGCGAATCCCGGAGACATCGAAACAGATCGCTAAGCGTATGCGCGAACTCCACGACGGGATTGAACTGCTCGAGTCCGAACTCGCCTCTGGACCGGCCACCTTTGTGAATTGGGACAAATGGGTCGATCGATGCGGGAAGGTGATTACGTGGCTCGACGCGCAAATCCATCAAGCAGAGGAGGAACTTGCAGCTGGCACCTCAAGACGCAACTTTTTAGTCAATCCCCGTTACGTGCGGAGGGGACACATCTGTGGTGTGGAGTGGCCCGTCTTCCGACGCACCTACGACGCGTACCGAAAAAGACTCATCACAGAGAGCGGCGGCCCTGATGGAATCCGTAAACAGCTTGTCTTTGCACACAACGACACCCAGTACGGCAATCTCATGCGGCTTCAACCCTCTGGGACCTCCCCGCTCTTGCAACCCTCGAATCACCACAAACAACTTGTGGTCATTGATTTTGAATACGCAGCTCAGAATTTGGCTGGACTAGAATTTGCAAACCACTTCACCGAGTGGTGCTACAACTACCACAACACCCCGGATAAGTCATTCGTATGCGACACAAGGAGATATCCTACCGAGCAGGAACAATACCGGTTCGTGAGGAGCTACGTCATGCACCGTCCACAATTCAACCCATCGGCGAGTGCGACGCCCAAGATGGAAGCTAGGGAAAAGACGAACATCAGCGATTTCATGCTCGATGCGAGGACTCCCAGTGGTGCGGGCGGGTCATCAACCGGCTACGTAGGTGGAGCTGGCGCGGTTTTCGACTACGACAAAGAAGAGTCGGAGCGAGAGAAGGCTCAAGAGGAGGAGATCCAGCGACTATTGCAGCAAGCCAGAGTATGGAGATTAGCGAACTCGGCCATGTGGGTTGCCTGGGGGATCGTGCAGGCGAAAGTGCCCGAGCTGGACGCGATGGAAGAGAAAGAGAAGATGGCGACGAAAGTAGGCCACGCGATGAATGAAGGTAGAAAGGGTCTCGCCGACAAGGTGTCTACTGGGGAGAAGAGGGTCGTGGACAAGGTCAAGAAAATGGTCGCCGACCACGGTTACAAGAGCGGGCAACGGCCCCTACCCATGTCGGACCCTCTCACGGAAGAAGAAAAAGAACTGCAGCTGGCGAGCCGTTGGGATCGGCCCGAAGGGAGCGCACAAGAGGCGGCACATCGGGAAGGAGACCGTGGTGTCGAAACTGCTCTCGAACACGCAATCACCATCGACGGCGAGGACGACAAACCTGGACTTGATGGCCTCCCTCTTAGCCAGCCTGAAATTGAGCCCAGCGCTGCTGATGATCCCTCGGACACTCAAGAGCAAGAAGGCACCGAGGAGTTCGACTACCTCGCCTATGCGCAAGAACGCGCCATGTTCTTCTGGGGGGATTGTATCCAGATGGGCCTGATCAAGAAGGAGGAGCTGCCCAAGGAGGTGATCGAAAAGGTCAAGATCGTGCCCTGGTGAAAGACTATACCGGGTGTTCCGTGCCAATGTTCTGGGAATCTGGAAAGGTGTGGAGGTTGCGGAATCTCCTGGAACCGGCGCAGGTACCGTGTAGTGGATGTGGTAAAGGACACGGAATCGCGTCATGATTACAATTGCAATATTACTCTGCGGAAGTCATCACATCACCTCTGACGTTCTCAACGGCTCTGGATACAGACGATAGTTTGACACCAGCCCTGCCTGGTTTACGACTGGGTGATTGATTGATTGATTGATTGATTGATTGAATGGACTACAGTACCTTCCTGGGTACGTGGGTAACTTCCGGTGTAACGAACGATACGGAAGAAGTGCAAAGAAGCGGACCCAGCTCATGGTGTACTACATGCCCGATCGATTTTGTTGTGCTGAGGAGAGTAGCAGTCCATACAACATGGTGCGCTGAAGGAAAGGAACAGTATGTGCCGGAACGGAGTAGAGGATCATATCTGCTGCCCCTGCACGCTCCCCTTGTCGTTCCATTCCGTGTAAGTCCCATCATGTCGGCCGGCCTCACTCACGCGTGCACACACATCACTTTGAAGCGAGGCTATCGATTCTACCTACCGATACTTCCGGAGTTGGGACTACAGTACTGGAAGTGTGTAGAATGTAAGCTGGTCGGAACGTGCACAGTAATCCAAAAAAAAAACAACGATCGAGACAGCAGAGCCGGGGAAATCGACTGCGAGGCTACATACCAGCGCCACTACTGATGCCTCCGCGATTAGTACAGTACCTACCAAAGTACCGCAGTGCTGCCACTGTGTAGAGTGGAAGCCGGTCGGAATGTACATTGATTGACTCACGACACGACGGAGACACCAGGGAAACCAGGGACAGCAGAGATGATTGATTCGTAGATTGATTGATTGATTGATCGACTAATCTGTCCGCTGTACGGAGTATTTCGTGGCCCCCGTCCACGAACAATAGACAGCCTGAACCTACCGAGCTGACTTCCAAGTAAAGTCGTGTGTCCTTGGATTTTGGGACGCGGGAATCTCAGGCGTCTACCCGATGGCACAGGGTGAGTGCGCGAGGTGAGGATGCTTAGCTGCCCAGTACATCCACTATCGCGAGGCATCAAAGCATCAAGCATCAAGCACCAGGGTCGATCAGCATGCCTTGCCTTGCCCAAATCTCTCCGCCCATTCGGACCAGACCAGACCAGACCATCGATGCAAACATTCACATTTATGTCTTGCGGCCGGCTCGTTGCGAATCTTCTACCGCCACGTCCTGCCACTCCCATGTCTCTGCATCTCGCCTTCGACCAAATGCCGTTCCAAGTCGTCCTCGTATTTATGCGACATTCTTCTGCCGAGATTCGTACTGGTACTTCCGGAACTGGGAGTCCCTCCGGCTTGCTTCGCCCGTCGTTGCTGTTCCTTGAGCATGCGTTCGCGGGACAACTTCTCACGTTCGATGGTATACATGTCTTTTTCCTCGGCGAGCCTGGATGCTGCTGCGGACGATTGAGAGGGTGCAGCAGGCGCCGGTGTCGCGTTCGCGCTAGAGCGGTGAGATTGAGAACGGCCGTTCGCCAGAGGTGTGCCGTTATGCTCCGACGTGTCGCGATGGTGGTCTTTCTTGTGCCGGCGGGAGCGGTGCCGGGACTCGGACTCTTCGACGGTTTCTTCTTGTTGCTCGTAATCGTAGTCGTGGTCGTCGCCGTTGTCCTCGCGGTGGCGGTCATGGCGGGAGCGTTTTCGGTGATCGCGATCACGGTCACGGTCTCGATGTCTGTCTTCGCGATCTCGCTCCTTGTCGCGGTCTCTGTCTCGGGCCTTTTCTCGATCCCGGTCCCGGTCCCGGTCGCGGTCGCGGTCGCGATCACGCTCCCTGTCACGCTCTCGCTCTCGGACCTCGTACTTGGACGATTTGGTGCTTCGGTGTTTGCTTCTGCTTTCGCCGTACGCGTCTCGACTTGATCGGGTGGAGTCTTCGTAATCGTCCATATCGTAGTCGCCGCTGGCATCTTCGTCGTGATGCCGTCGTGAGCGGGAGGAATGCTTGGACTGTCTTTCCTTATCATTTCGACTGCGGCGGGACGAAGACTTGTAATCTGCCGACTCAGATTGAGGATAAGAAGATTCCTGGTCATCCCGCTCGTAGTCATCGTAGCTGTCTCGTTTTGACGACCTCCTGGATCGCTTATCCTGATCGCGATGGTCCCTCTCGTCTTGCGCCTCGGTATCACGCCTCGAACTGCGGTGTTTCTCCTCTTCGTACGGCCGCCTCGAGCGATCTCTGCTCTCTCTGTCGGGTGATTTGCTATGAGCTCTGTCAACATCCCGTGATTCTGATTGCGAGGACGCAGTCATAGATGCCCTGCCCATGATTTGAAACCCTGTCGCCGCGGAGCGAGAGATTGGTCTCGTAGGCGCCGCCGGTGCAGGCTGTTCACGCATCGCTCTAGGACCCGTTGGCGCACCAACGACACCGACCCCCTTGGGCTCCGTGGGTGGCGAGGAAGGTGAAAAGGGCATTACTTGTGAAGCAACATGACCATTTGACATGGACAGTGAACCACGACCGCGCGACGAGAATCTACCATGTCCTCGGGAACGAAACCCATAATCACCATACTGAGCCGATGGACCCAGCGGCGCTGACGGTGGTGCCATTGAACCCTGAAGATCCTCATTGTAAGCCTCTGGTATTGGTTTCTCCGGCGCAGCCGAAGGGACAGGCTCAGGAGGCCCTTGCTCGACGAACTCAGGCTCGTTCTTAATGGCAGCTTCGGTCACTTTATCAATGTTCTGGGCATCAGCTGGCCGCACAGGCTCCGCTTCACCGGTTCCATTAGCATCTGCAGCGATAGCGACCTCAGGAGTAGCAGTATCCTCAGCGACAGTTGACTTCTGATAGTCTTCACCGAGGGCTTCTTGGACCTCCTCTTGACCACCAGGGGCAAACTCATCATCTTCATGACTCTCGTCGACCACATCACGATTGTCTTCGCCCTCTTGGTAGGCGGTCGTCGCGACGCGGTCATTGTGCATCATGTGAGACTGCGTGTTGCGATTATCGAATTGCCTGGGACCCGTGCCATTTTGATAGCCTTGTTGTTGTTGTTGTTGTTGTTGATACTGCGAGTACTGATTGAAGTTACCACGACCTCTTCCAAAGCCGCCACGACCGCGAGCACGGCCCCTGCCGTAGCCACGGCCGTTGTGGTAAGCGTTTGGGAAATCACCACCTGCGTAGTTCTGCTGAAAGTTGCCATTGGGGCCCATGTTGAACCCATAATTGGAACCAAGGTTATTGCCCATGCCATTCGGGAATGCATTTGCATTATTATTCTGCCACATATTGTTGCTCTGGCCGTTCCAGCCATACATCCCTTGGGTGGGATCGAAGTTCATGCCCATGTTCATGCCATTCATTCCATTCATGTTCATGCCTCCATTGGGACCGCCAAACCCGCCGAGCATGCCAGACATTTGGTTCATATTAGACATCATGGTCACTGCAGTCGGATTCAGTTAGCATGAGAACTATCATATTGTGATTGCACGTTCAGACTTACTCATCATGGGGTTAAAAGGCATGCCGTTCTGCATGTTGGCCTGCATCATCTGCATCACCTGCTGCATCTGGGGGGCGTCCATGTTGTTATTGAAGCCACCGATATTGTTTGAGAAGTCCACGCCACTCATCCCATCAAAGCTGTTGTTATTGAGCACGTCTTGTGACTGCGACTGTAGGTTCTCGAAGGATTTCGTAGATTGAGGCTGGGGAGTTTCTTCCGCGCTCTTCGGTCCTTGGGCGGGAAATTGCTGATGGTCGTCATCGAGTTCTACCTGAAATTCAATGTCGTCGTCGTTATCGACTAATTCGTGATCAGGTTCCTGAGAGGACAAGTTAGAGATTGTAGACGAAAAGTAGGGGACGGATGCAACTCACCTCGATGGAAGGGTGCAAGTCGGCGGCTGGCGTCCCTTCTGTCTCAACTGCATCGACCAGCGGCTGGTCTTCTGTCACAGCTGCGGCACTGGCGGTCATATCTGCTTGACCATTGCCATTCACCTTCGGTTTATCCGTGTTTGGTTGAGCGGTATCCGCTTTGTCCTGCCCCTCGGCTTTCGCCTTCTCTTGACTCTTCAGCCAGGTCTTGACTGTGGCCCGCATGCCTTTATTGGGCTTACAGATGTCGTCGATAAAAGGTTTGTGTTCACATTTGGGACAAGTCGAATTGCGGTGGTCATTGAAGCCTGTCTGGTATGAGCTGGATGCCAAGATTAAGGAAGTCGATATTCACTGACAGGATTCGCAGATGTAGACATCGCAGCAGGATGTCTTGTAGGGGCTCAGGTTGAGATTGAGGCAGTTGGTACATCGCAGTTTTTCGGGGACTTTGTCCAAGTCTAACGAACTGCTGTTGTCAGTCAAGGCGGTCAAGAGGTGGACACTCAGGGCTCACTCAAGCACTTCCTTCAGAGACGCATCTAGCGCAATGGCAGCCATGGTGATATTCGGTTCTTTAAAAGGCTCGTGGGTGCGATTGTCGCAATCAAGAATGGGACCACCGAAAGATTAAAGCCATTAGATGCCGAACGGCAAGAGCGTCTCGTGAGCTCTGACGCGAATTTCAAAGCAGGTAACAGTATCACATATGCAGAACTTGTGGCAGTGAATATCTAATGCATATTGAATGGTGTCGTCGGGCAGTAATGTAAACGCAGTTTTATGGAAGTCTGCCAGTAGCCAGACCACGACTCAAAAGCCACGAGAGGCTGTGCCTAATAGAGGCTTCGCGCTTGTCGCAAAGGTCTCCAGATTACGCTAGAGCGGAAAGAGCTAGCGAGTCTCGAGCCCCGAAGTGACTCGCAGTTCGCCGGAGAAAAGAATGGTGAGATCACCAGCCAGTCGAAGGGGTAATGCGCCCACTAACTAGATGTACGTACGAGGTATCTCGCAGACATTCAATACTTCAAGTTAATGTACTTTCCTCTGTTGTAATACACAGCTTTCCTCTGCACCAGTCTCGGGCTTAGATCTCTTACAGTCTCTCATTCATTTCAGCTCGGGATTGTATTGTGAGGGTTTCCACATACAAGGGCGAGACATCACTAAAGCGAGTGAACTATTTGTCCAATACCCCAATACCACCATAAGCGACGAGAACAATGATCCTAGGGCCAATAAATGGACTGGATTGCGTCGCCTTTGTTGTTCTCCTAATCCCACAACTACTGTACCAAGTAGCGTTCAGCGAGCTCTTGGTTGTAGCTACCCAAGTAACCCCCTTCCTCGGTCCGTTCGCATATCATCCTGAGCCAGGCACGCGTACTGATAGTTAGTGGCAGCCTTTCAACTCCCATACCAGTTGGTATATGAACGATGTTATATGAAAAAGCAGTCACAGTCGCCATTCACTCGGCACGCCTCGATTTTCCAAGACGTGGTGATTCGCTGTGTTCGATTTGCATTTGCAAAGATTCCCGCCAGTGTCGGAAGGGTCTTTTTCTCAAAATGGGTGGCTCTACCCTTCTTTAGATTCCGTCTGTTGCGACATGGGTATCTGCACTGTCCGATGTTCTATCGGGAGGTCATCCGGCATGGCACAAGAGGACTTTGGATCACCGAGGATGCGCATACCGAGCCGGATATCATCGTATACTACGCCCATGGTCAGTGATCTCGGATTCTCTGTTGAAGCTAGCTGATCTCTGCTGTTGTAGGAGGTGGCTTCTCGATGGGATCAGCATATTTCTATATGGAGTTTCTCATGGCCTGGGCGACGAGACTGAAAGAGAGCGGGTTCAAGAATCCAGCTGTTTTCGCCCTGGAATACACCCTCGTCCCAGATGCTAAGTGGCCGACCCAGTTCAACGAGACCCGCGCAGGATATACGTTTCTTCGAGAGACGTTCGGAGACGATTCGGCTGCGAAAATTTGCGTCAGTGGGGATTCAGCAGGGGCAACACTCATTTTGAGCATGCTACTCCAGCCCGGTCATATCGAACAAAATCCTCAATTCCACGCTCTGTATCGGCCAGGCTTGGCGATCTTGCTAAGCCCGTGGACACATCTCGTGTCTGACCTGAACCATAATACGCGGAGCGACTACTTGGACAGGAACAGCCTCCATCTGTACGCAAAGCAATATGCTGGTGAAGCGTCTATGACAGATGGTGTTATTTCACCGGGCCTTTGTACGGGGCGGTGGAAACAGGCATCGCCTATGAGTGGTTATCGCGTCTTGTACGGCTCGGAAGAAGTGTTTGCGCCTGGAATCCAAGAAACGGTCAACAACATGAAGAAGGCCGGCGCCGTGGTCAAGGTCCATGAGCATGAAGCAGGTATTCATGCCTGGCCTGTGGTGAACTTGTTCCTGGGTGAAACTCGAGAAGAACGGCTTCAAGGCCTTGATATAATGACCGGTTATGTGATGTCCTCGAGTCTTGCTTCAGCTATCAAATAGGGCGATGTGCAATGACATGCATCAGGGCGACAGTGCCATCAGATTAGATCAAGTACCAAGGTCTTTCACCGACAGTAGTTCGACGCGTAAAGCCACGACCACAGTCTGACGACTGGGTTGCTGCTATGCTCTTGAATGTCGGCCACTGTCTCCAGACTGCTCTGTCGTCATTTGGCAGTGAGTAATGAAGCGGAAGAATGGTTGCGGGAGTTTGAACGTCGACATTCCAAGGCCGACGCGTCAAGCGAGCGTGTCGACAAGCGCGTGCGGATGACATGAGACAAATGCTGCATCAAATTGAAGTTGTAGACCGATCCACGAACATGACCAAATTGTCACCACGAGTTTGTACAGAGCCAACAACAACAGGGCAGTCGTGAATGGACGCCGCTGAGCTGGAACTGGTGGGGCAGAAGCGCTGTCAATAATGGAGACAGGCCTGAAAATTCAGAGCGAGCTGTGGAAAACGAGGTGGAACAAAAAGGGCAAGTCGGAGATTCCGGGATGGATTGGGCGCGTTTAGGGTGTAGCGGCGTTGATCTGATGATCGGATTGCGCATTTCCCCTGCCGCAGTGGCCTGGATTGATGCCTCGCCGAATGTTTTTATAAGGCCCCTCCATCCCCTCGCTCTCCGGAGGCCGCATGTGCAGCAGTATTTTAAAACTGCGTGACCCGTCTGCAACTCCGAAGTCGCTCATATCCACCACCACACGCAAAGACAGGACCCATTCTGCCGGATTTATATTCCTCCTTTCCCGAAACGTGTTCACTTGGATGCTTCATTGTTTGTCATTATTGAAGTTGTTCGCATTGACGTTTGGCCTGGGTCGTGTATTCACGTCGTGCCGTTTGAACAGGCCACTGCCTCATATCGACCATGAAGGCAGTCGCGCAGTAAAGTCATATGTGAACGCAGCTTGGTCCCGTCCAAAATGAGTTCTGTCACATCATTGCACAATCATCCACATCCACTACTGCAAGACCACCAGTACTATTACTCCCCCGGAATTTCTGCACCACCCGTCCAGCTGCAACCTTTATTCGCTGCCAAGCAATGAGTGAACAACACGACAATCCCGAGTCATCATACCGCCCAAGCAGCCCAGATCTATCAGGCTTCACAAATGCCAACGCCCCACCACCCAGACTAGCTCGAATTCCAAGCTACAACGTGCCGGATCCAAGTTTCCCGCCAGGCTATTCGTTCAGTCCCAGAGGTAGCTACGACGCATCGCCCTTCTTTTCCCCTTCGACTGCTACGCCCTCGACATCATATTTTGGTTCACGCCCTCCACCACAAAGCCAATTCTCGCAACAAAGCCCCTACTCACCTCAAACTTTCCGCACCCCGAGCTTACCAGGGCAGAATCCTATTCAACATCCTCCACCCTTTCAGTCTCGTCCCTTGGGTCAACCACCATATAACCCATCACCGCCACAGTACCAGCACTCGTTGTCAGGATCACCATTCAATCAAAATCCGAATCAGCAGTACTTCCCACCCCTCCCGGCTCAGGTCACGCAGTACGGAGATATGCCCCGAACAAGACGGCAACAAGCCGCCGAGGCACAACATGACCCGGACTTCCATGTCGACGCATCTCCCAAGAATGTCGTACAGCCCAAAGCCGAGCCAGACCTGCCTGTTCAACCAACCATGCCTGCCGCCCCCATAGATTTGACAGCAGGTATCGAAGTCAGGACAAAATTTCCCGTTGCCCGTATCAAGCGCATCATGCAAGCCGATGAGGATGTCGGCAAAGTTGCCCAAGCCACTCCTACGGCGGTCGGTATGTTTCCTCCATGAATTTTCGTCGACAGAGACTCCGTTCTAATTTGTACACAGCCAAAGCCCTTGAGCTCTTCATGATAGCTCTGGTCACGAAAGGTGCAAAGGAAGCAAGAAACCACAACTCCAAGCGGGTCACAGCACAGCATCTCAAGGCAGCACTCATGGACGATGGCCAATTTGACTTCTTGAACGAGATCTGCGAGAACATTCCCGATGAGAGTTCGAAGAAGGCCCGTGCCAAGTCTGAAGCCAAGAGCGAAGATAGCGATGAAGATATAAAGCCCAAAGGGAAGGCGAAGGGTGGAAGAAAGAGGAAAGCCGACACCGATGATGAAAGTGACTGAGGAAAACCATGAGCCGCGCATTCTAGAAGAGCCCTGGTGTATGACTATCACGACGACCGCCAGGTGAGCTACCTATGCTGGATCAGCTTCCTGCATGTCACGTTGGACCCGGGCACCGACAACATTCCTCACGGTCAAGCCGAACGGACCACTACGATGAAGACATGAAACACAAAACAGTCATCCACCACAGTATCCCTGCACCACGACTGCAGAGTCGAAACTCCTGCACCAGCGTATGGGTGCTCTACTCCCCCTACCAACGTACTCCTAGCACTCAGAGTGGTTCGAACCCGGAGTCGGCATGTTGCGCCTCCAGGGCCATGGAACCTGTTGAAGGACCCCCATGGCAATGATGAGTCCATAAAATGCGGTGAACCCAAGAGCAACCCATCCGATCATAGCAGAGTAGGCCGCCACCACCAAACTTAGCAGCACAAAGGCTCCTACAATCAGAGCACCCATCAGAGCAGCTGCAGAAACAGCATACATCTGTACTTCGAATTGGCTCGTTTTGCCATTCATTCCATCCCAGTCCGCAATCCAGTGGTCTTTGAAAAATGTCAGGAGAGTCGAGCAGATAGAAGCATTCGCCAAAGCAAGCAGGAACAAGAGCCAGCTAATGGCAAGGAAGAGCTGTGTCTGTCGGAGATCGAATTCCGGGTCTGCGGAACGAGGGTGGGTGGCGTCGCCTGAGAGGACATACGAGAAAGTGACGCTCGTGCCGAGTGTTGAAATGCCGATGACAGTGGTAAAGAGCCCTTTGAAGAAAGCCGCGACAGACGAGCCTGGATGTTGTGTCATGGGGCGAATACAGGAGAGACTGTGCCCGTGCTCAGATTTCAATCCGGTTCGAGTCTTCCTGGCGATGGCTTCGGCGGAGTGCGCCGTCGCTGGGTTAATGTGCATTTCGCTCGAGCCAACGTCTTTGCTGAATGAAGGGTCATGGGATCCAGACTCAGGTGATGTTGTAGAAATCTTGACGGCGACCTCTGGCGCAACCATGCTCTCACGGGAAGCCATGTCGTATGAGAGACGTTACTTGGCCACAAATTCTGAGTGAAGCCGAGATGAAGCTGGTTTAACTTTCCTTTACATGCCCCGAGCACAATGCGTAACTCGAGAAAATGAGTAGCCACAGACAGGAAATAATGGATTCTCAGAAAGCAAATCAGAGTCACATTGCGCTTACCTTATTGATAGCCGAGCAGACATGAAGCCTGAGCATGGAAGCCGCGCCCAAGTGGCTGCGGTGCGGCCATCGTCTCACATCTCTCAGAGAACCAACCTGTTGTAGCTTCACCACAACCACGCCTCAATCTTTGTCTTACTTGCCTCCACTATAGGAATCGCTTCAGCATAGCTACGAGCCTGTATTTGTCCCTCCGATCGTCTCAAGATGACGCGGAGAATATGGATATTGTAGGTCATCCGCTCGAAAGAAGGATGCCAGCGCATGCTGTGTGAGGGTTGAGAGTGTCTAACCAGAACATGACCTGCAGCTCACCCGCCTGATTGCGGGCTCCGGCTCATCGCCAACCAAACAAAGAACAAATACTCCTGCAGAGCGCCTTGCGTCCTGCAAGAGCATCTGCAATGCTTTGACGGTGAGTCAAAGAGCACTGTTTTCGGACGGCCTCTTTTGACACGGTCCAGCATACCTGGCGCAGCGGCAACGTCGAGCGCGAAGATGAGGCTGCATTGAACTACACTCTCAAGCTCCTGCAACGCCTCGAAGCCATCCTACACGACGAGTCACGAAGAGCCGCACCACATTCCTGTCTTCGCTATGTGGCCTCGAGTCAAGCCTATATCATAATTACGAAGCTTGCTGTCTCCTCCTCGAATACCGATATCATCAAGACCTCCGCCCAGCTCTTCCACATCCTCATCAATGGCGAGGCCGAAGGGCTGCTCGACAGCAAATTGTTTACCAGGTCACTGTTGGATCTAGTCTGCTTTGCTACAATAGGGGGAAGAATCATTGTTGAAGAACGCCTACAAACAGATCTGGTGGAACTCTTGTTCGAAATTGCTACCAAGATCAGGTTGGATCCAGATATCCTTCCAGCTTGGTTCTACCCAGACCGAGAGACAACTCGTGGCCGCAACGCCGCGGACGACACTAGGAGAAGTCAGTTCCCGTTGTTCCATGTTCTGGTACAGTATGTCCATCACGACGGCCCGGTCGGGGACTTCGCCCGGACGGCGCTGTTATACCTGACCGAAACTGCGTCCAAGTTCAAGCCACTTGAAACCTGGATGATTGAGAGTGACCTAGCACCTCAGATGGCTAGTGGCCTCGGTGCTTTGTACAGCAGGCTTAGCAGGCAGTCGACTACCTTGTCAGGACACGTATCAGCGCCGCCCATCGTCCTTTTCTCAGACCATGCGGAGAGCATAGCGCGCATTGCAGAGCCGACTGCAGAGCTGCAACAGGACAGCAAGGCATTCTTCACGTATTTGGCTTTCTGGCAGGATACTCTGAACCATTGTAAGTCGGTGGAGGTCAGTGACACTTTACTCGACCACTTCCAGGTGCTTTTTGTCCAGCAACTGTTGTACCCGTCGCTGCTTGAATCATCAGATGTGGAGGGGGGTTCGACCGCTGCTGTTATCGATCATCTGTCACAGATCTTGCGCGCACTTCATCATTTGCAACTTGTGGATCGTATATTGCAGTATCTTCTTGCTTCACCCAATATGCCTCAGCATCCGAGGGACAGAGGTCACCGACGCCAGCGTATGTCCGTCAGCAGAAGAAAAAGCATCGATCATTTGAAGGCCTTGGCGGAAGTTGCGGACAGCCCGTCTCCGAACTTGTTCAACCTTCTTGACCTGATGGTAATGAGCTTGAAGTCGCGTCATGCGCAGACCGTCAATGCTTGCCTCAGTTTACTATCCGTTATTCTCGAACATCATCATTCGCATGTTCTTCCGAATCTGTTCAGACTCGTACCCACCACGATGGCTCCAGGTCAACGGGGTGTCAAGCACCTGAACACTTCTCTGCTCAAGTTGGTTGACTATAGTGCGACAATTGCCAAGAATCCAGACCTGGACGCCTCATACCAGGGCGCGCTGTCGGATGGGCAAGTCATTCTCGAACAGCACAGCTGCTTCAGGATAGATGAGTCGGAGGTGAAGCCTGCCAATACCACTACTATGTCCATATCTCATGAATGCAAGCTTTTCGAGGCTATCCTGACCCTGTTACGAACCTTCTTTGCAAACGACACTACGACGAATTTGAGCTTGACTAGGGCCATATTGGACCTGGCTGCTTGCCAGCACATGAACGTCCACGGATGGCTCCTACCATCGGATAGTGGACTAGACGCGGAAGACCGTTCGACGCTCAACATCATCTTCGTCGTCTCCGATCTGATTGAACAAGTTCGTCAATGGCGGTCACAATTCACTGAATGGGATCAGCTCATCAGTAGAAGAAGGTATGAATTAGATGATGAGGAGCCACCCTTACGTCCTTCCAATTCACGCAGCATTTCCGGGCAGATCACGGACACCAAAGTTGGTGAAAGGACTTCGCCTTCAAGTCTCAATTCTCGGTCACGACCGACAACTCCTCAGAAGACTACGACGACCGAGTTTGGGTCCATAGATAGTACAGTATCTACGACTAGAGGACATCGTGGCAGCTTGGTGGAACGTACTTTGGCCCATTCGCCTTTACGCTGGTCAACACCCGTACAACCTGAGCAGTACGATGTTGAGGCGAAACATCATGACCCATTGGTCGTACCACCAGCTCGAACGCCACTGAAGACACAAATTCAATTGTTATACGCAAAAGCACCGGAAGAGGCGTCCGAATCTCTGCCTGTACATGCTGGCAGGAAGCAGAGCTCAGGTCCAGCACCTGACCAAAGGCTAGCGCTGCGCGGAAGTGACGATTCGGGCTCTGCAACTCCCGTTGGGGCCCGAGATGAGAACGGAGCTCGAGGCCAAGTCACTCTCAGCCACGTATTGACGAATGCCATCATTCTCCAGGAGTTCATCCTCGAGCTTACTGCGATAATACAGCTTCGGGCGACATTTTTCAATGGGGTCGACTTTGGAACAACTGTCTCTGGTTAGTGGTAGTGAAAAAAGAGGCACAATTTGAGAGCAACGGTCGAAGAGCGATCCTTGGTAGCCTTACTTGTAGCGGTGCGCGTTGTCGATACCTTGTCACTGCAGCGCGGTGTACGCGTCTTGATTGTCGCGCGCCGAATACTGCGGTAGATCCATATCAGGCCCCTACTAGGGGTCAAACACCATTTAGAACCTGCGTTGCTTCACTTCCCAACGTCAGACGTTCAAATTCGTCCAACATCTGTAAAAAGTGGTTCCGCTTCCAACTACTGATCCAACTGATCGTGAAAGCGTTCCTTTGCAAATGAATCAACTCCTTCCTCGTCACATTCAGGTCCGCAGCTGAGGCGAGTTTGAGCATATTTTCATTCAGATATCCCCTGAAATATGCCGGATCGTCACTATTGACCGTCACGCGAACGCCCTGTCTCAGCAACTCGATGATTTCTTTGCCCTTAAAGTCATCTGTGACGATGCCATTGGAGATGGGACAAGCCGTCAATCCAATCCCCCGTTGTTTCAACGTGGATATCAGCTCGGGCGAGTCGATGATGTTGGTCCCGTGGTCGATACGATCGACTTGAATCTCATTGATCGCCTGACCTATATGCGTCAACGTGTCCGGCTGATCGATATCACAATGCATGGTGATCAGAAACCCTTCCTTGGCGGCGCGCTGAAACACGGCCGCGAACTTGGACGGCGGGTTGTCGCGTTCGTCACTGTCCAGCCCGACGCCGATGATGACGTCCTTGAACGGCAGGGAATCCATGAGCGTCGCCATGGCGAACTCGGCGCTGTGGTCGCGCAGGAAGCACATGATCAGCGAGGCCGAGATGCCCAGCGCGCGCTGCGCCGTGTTGATGCCGGCCTGGTAGCCGCGCACGACGGTGGGGAAGGGCACGCCGCGCGCCGTGTGCGCTTGTGGGTCGAAGAAGAGTTCGCAGTGCTTGACGTTCTGGGCGTGGGCGGTGGTCAGGTACGAGATGGCTAGGTCGGCGAAGTCGTGCGCCGTCTGGAGGACGGACAGGTTGGGGTAGTAGACTTGCAGGAAGGTCGTCAGGTCGTGGAACGAGTAGGAAGAGCCCGTTTGGTCCAGGGCACTGAGGGAGGGTGGGAGGGGGAGGTTGTTCCGCGCGGCCAGGGTGCGGGCCAAGCCGGGCGTCAGGCAGCCTTCGAGGTGGACGTGCAGTTCGGCTTTGGGGAGGGCGGAGATGAAGGAGGGGAGGTCCATGGTTGGGGAGAGGTGGTGTCTTGTGCTCTGCGACGCCATGGTGCTTGTTTCGTCCCTACTCACTCAAGGATGATACGGTGCTTGTGCTCTCTATGCGGAGTTCTCTTCCAGGGGGGTAGCGGCTTCTGAGCTGATAAGGATCTTCTGCTCCGTTTGGTGGGCTTCGAAGGTAACGTACTCGGTACCCCCCAGGGACAGAAACTGTCTTGGCCAGAGACCTCCGCTACGTTAGCAAACACCTGGGCACGGGTACTCCGTAATGTCCTCCAAGCCTTATCGGGTCCTCTGGCACATGATCTCAGGTGATCCACAGGCGACGACCTGAGCAGGTAACCACTGACTGCCTCTTTGATGTCAGCAAAAGTCACAGGGTGAAATCCTGCCTGGCTCCGGGGTCGTCGTTGCAAGTTGATTCGTTTCGCGATTTGTCTCTTGTCAGACACCTATGGTTGGATTCGGATGTCAAAGGAACCGGATGTCGTAAAGAAGTTGTACGGTTCCTCCAATCATGGTTGACATGGTTCATGAATCATCACGTGAAGAATCGTCAGCTGCGGAAGACTTACGGAGTACTGGGATAGAGTTCTGCGTCCATGGCGAGCTTGCAGCTGGGTGGAAGCGATCACCGCTAAAACATGGCATCTGCGTGTTTTTCCTGCAGCACGACGACGACTGCAAGTCATGGTGAGAAGAGAGATCCTCATCAGGGGAAATTCTAAGGGGAGGAGAGACCTCGCCTGTCTCTGTGCAAGCACGGCGCAGTCGCCATGGAACGCACAGGGGGCGAGCCGTTAGCCGTTGGAATCCTGGTGCTAGGCTTGAACGAGCCACCTGAAACAATGCGGGAGCTGGAAGCTGGAGCATCCCGGGCGCGCATCCTTAAGTGGTGGGCGGGACCACCGACACGCAGCGAGTCCTCCGTCCGCGGGCTGCGCTCGGTCTTCTTGTAGACAGAAATAATTATTCTCCTGATTTAGAGCCCGCGTCTTTGTCCTCGTCGTCATCACCATCCGTTCACTCAAGGTGTTCTTTTGGGGGATTTTTCTGTGCCGTGTGGTCGCTTCGCGTCATATTGGACGTCGACTCATATCGTGCAATCACCGCATTGACCCTTCTCCACGCACGGTTGACAATTGGTTGCAGAGGTGATCTGGTGCCTTGCATATTGCTTCCCTTGGCACGTTGGAACTGGACTTTGGACGAGCATCCCCCATCTCACACCCACGCATCGTCCAAGCCGCGGTCGGTTTTTAATCGCGGACTGAACTCCCAACTCTTCGACCATCGCTGCACGCCCGCGACGATGGATTGTGCTTGAATGAGACACTTGGTTTGCGCTGAGCAGGCCTGGCGACCCCGGTACACCGTGTCTTACCCAGCCTCACCTCTCGAACCATCCCCTCGCGAACCGCCGAGTCGCATGAGGCGAATCGAGGCACGATCTTTCCAACGACCCTTTAGCAGCTCCGGCTCCGCGAGGGAAATCTACAACGATGGCCTTCCTATTTAAGAGCAGACGAAACGCGCCGAATGCGTCGGGCTTACCCCCTGCCAGTCGAAATATCCATACTTCTGACGGCACATCTGGTTCGACGTCCGCACCCAACGGATCAATAGACAGTACCGGAGAACGCTCAACACAGTCGCCTCCGCCCAATGCGGGCCCAAATGGATCCCTCACTTCAATGAACTCGGTAGCGAATGCGCCCACGTATCCACGGCGCGAACGATCAGAATCAGAGTCGGCGGTATGTCCACGCTCGATGCTTTTTCACGTTTGGTGACATTTCTGACTTGATTGTACGTATAGCCGCGGCCCACGACGAGTTCACAAGCGACTCAAGTACCTAATGCCGCGCTGTACCCCTGGTCGCAACGGCGATTGAACTTTCCCACTCCGCAGTCGAACCCGTTCCCTCGATATGGCGCCGCTGTGAACGCAGTCGCCTCAAAAGATGGCGATGTCTATATCATGGGTGGCCTCATCAATGGCTCTATGGTCCGAGGAGACCTATGGATGGTCGAATCGGGCGTGGGCAACCTCTCCTGCTATCCAATCGCGACGGTCTCTGAGGGCCCTGGACCGCGTGTTGGCCATGCAAGCTTACTTGTTGGCAATGCTTTTATTGTTTTCGGCGGTGATACCAAGATGGACGATAATGACCTGCTTGACGACACTTTGTACCTGCTTAACACTTGTGAGTGTGCTATCCTCGTCTGTGACTCGGGATGACGCTGACCTTTCCAGCCTCTCGACAATGGTCAAGGGCGTCCCCGCCCGGTCCACGCCCCTCTGGCCGCTATGGCCATACTCTCAACATTCTGGGGTCCAAGATATACGTCTTCGGTGGCCAGGTTGAGGGCTACTTCTTCAACGATCTAATTGCTTTCGATTTGAACGCCCTGCAGAACCCGACAAATCAATGGGAGTTTTTGCTGCAGAATACGGGCGACGATGTTGGCCAGAGTGCTAAGGTGCCGGCCGCAAGAACAAATCACACCGTTGTGAGCTATAATGATCAGCTCTTTCTGTAAGTAAAGCAGCAAAAGAGCGCTTGACATGTCGACTGATCAAGGACAATACAGATTTGGAGGTACAAATGGAACTCAATGGTTCAACGATGTTTGGACCTACAGCCCGGCTACGAATTCCTGGACTCAACAAGACTGTATAGGATACATTCCGGCACCTCGCGAAGGCCACTCCGCAGCCCTGGTTAACGACGTCATGTATATCTTCGGCGGTAGAACCGAGGAGGGGACAGATCTGGGTGATCTGGCGGCCTTCCGCATTTCATCCAAGCGGTGGTACACTTTTCAGAATATGGGACCTTCTCCGTCTCCAAGGTCCGGCCACAGTATGACAGCATATCGTGATAAGATCATTGTACTGGCTGGCGAGCCTAGTTCGGCACCTCGAGACCCTGCAGAACTCAGCATGGTTTACGTCCTGGACACGGCAAAGATCAGGTATCCAAATGACGCCGCTGGGGCAAGCCAAGCTATAGATGCCAGGCAGCCCAACAGTCCAACCGGGAGGCCAAGCACAGAGGCGAGATACGGCGTGCCCATTCGTTCAACGTCACGGGAGGGACAAGGGACCCCAAATGCTCCTCGTGAACAGTTTGCTGGAGGACCAGTTCAGCGGCCAGATCCAGCACAGAACACTGGCCAGTCGAGACTGCCGCGAACCTCCATGGCGCAAGCTCCTGCCGGGCCGCCTCCACAAGGCCAAGCTCCCAACCCTCGAGCTAACGGCGTTCAGTCTCCTTCAGGCGCGCCCGAAGGACCTAAACCAAGGTACAACGGCCCTCCAGTGGACACTAGAGGTCCTTCAGCTGGCCCCAATGGTGTTAGGGCTGCTCATGCAGACGGCATGGTACAGCCTCCAGCTATCCGGGAAGTCCAGAAAGAGAATATCCGACCAAGCCGGGAGAACAGCCCCAGTACTCACGGTCGAAGGACTCCGATACAGAGAACGGAATCGAAGGCGAAGGCCATGGAAGCAGGGGAGGCAGCTCCGCTTGTTGGTAGCGGCGTGGCTAGACAACGGTCGCTTCGGTCACAACGAGCCCAGAGCTCCATCGATAGCACCGAGGACGGACTGCTCGGCCGCTCATCCTCTGCCAGACACCATCCTGACTTGCATTCGGATAATCGCAGCTCGAGAAGCATCCATGGTGACGAACCCAAATCCCCCAAAATCAGTCCTCATCAGGAGGCGCTGCTCAAAGAGTTGGAGACGGCGAAGAGGTCAAATGCTTGGTACGCTTCAGAGTTGGCACTTGCCCGGAAGCAGGGCTACCATAGCGGGACTGCTTCAAGCCCCATGTTCGATGACCGCGCTGTCAGCCAAGTCTCAGACGACGACCGGCCACTGATGGAAGCCTTTATGATGATGAGGCAAGAGCTCATGAAAATGCAAGAAGCTATGGAAGTACAAGCTTCGTCGATGGCCAAACGCATTGCGGAGGTCGAGCATCAGCGTGATGCGGCTGTCACAGAAGCTGCTTACGCACGAGCCAAACTCGCAGCGCATGGCGGAAGTCAACGGAGCACCCCCCAGCCCGACCACGGTCGTGAGCCCGACGAGCAAGAGCGTTTCACCGACCTTAGCCGACGGCTGGCTCTGGCTCTTGCCGCACAATCGGAGCACAGAGCCAGACTTGACACGTTGAACAATGACCTTGCTTCCGAGAGAAGAGCCCGGGAGCTCGCTGAAGAATCCATGGACGCTTTACAGCAGCGATATGACGACCTGAGTAAGAGTCGCAAACCTGCCGAAATCGAAGGGCTCCGTGCGGAACTCCACGAAGCTCAGAGCCTAGCTCGGGCAGAAGCAGGTCGCAGAGCTGAAGTCGAGGAAGAGCTGCGGACGTTACGAGTCGACCACGACTCCTTGAGCAAGACGCATGAGGATATCTTGGGGCGCTTGAACAGTCACACTTCATCAATGGCGGCTTTGGAAGCGGCTGTTGCAGCATCTACAGGCAAAGCTAGCCTGTTTGAACGGCAAATAGAGGAAGAGCGCGGCCAAAGAGAGGCTGTTGAACGGAAACTGGGACAACTGAGAGCCGAGCACGAAGAACGTACGACAGAGCTCGAAACCACATCTAAGCGACTGCGCGACGCTGAAGAGCTGGCAGAGACGCATGCGAGAGAAGCGGCGACGCACCGTGAGGCGTTGCTTGCCGGCCTGGCCAAGCTGTCCAATCCAGAGCCAGCGGCAAAACAGGATCCAGGTGCGGAGCAAAAGATGATTGCTCTGCGCGAATCAGCAGAGCAAGCCTCGGCTCTGGCCAAGCGCAACCAGGAAGCTGCAGATACAGCTGCGCAAAAACTACGTAATGCAGAAGAACGGATCGCTGGTTTGGAAGCATATCAGGAGCAATCCAGCCGTGAGGCTCTGCAAACGCGTCGGCAACTACAGGCTGCGATGCGTGAGGCGCAAGGCTACCAGGCCGAGATCCGCGAGCTGCGCTCAAATCTTGAGATGCATCAGCGAGATGCCAGTGCGCTTGCCGTCCAGCACAGTGCTCTCAAAGATCTACTGGGTGAGCGCGGCCTGAATGTGTCTGATGTGCGGCGGTCGCCGGCCTTTGGTGACAACTCGCCAACTTCAAGGTTCGGTACGCCAGAGCAGGCGCGTCTTCGCGAAATCGAACAGCAGCTCCAAGCCAGCATCAAGGCTCACGAAGAGACCAAGAGCCAGTCCGAGGCTCGTATGCAAGAAGCCGACAGCACGTACAAGGAGAAGTTGGAGCAACTTGAAAATGACTACCAGTCGGCTGTACACTATGTTAAGGGCACGGAAAAGATGTTGAAGAAGATGAAGGAAGAGCTCACCAAGTACAAGTCACAGAATGCCCAGCTGACGACCGAGTTGGAGACCGCCCGAAGTGCAAGCGCCGCTTCTGGCACGGCCGCTGACGCTGCCGCTTGGGATAGCGAGCGATCTCTGCTGCAGACCTCGATTGACGAGATGAAGACCCAGACGAGCCAGCAGATTGCGCAACTGGAGTCGAGCGTCTCTTCACTGAAGACGGACCTTGCTGCCGTACGGGCAGAAAGAGATCAACAGAAAGCCAGTCAGGAACAACTGAGTCAGACCGCGCAACGGTTGGGCAGGGAGCTGGAGCAGCTGAAGTCAGAAAACACGATGCTCGAGCAGCAAGCCGAAGAAGCTGAAAGCCGGATAACAGTGCTGCTTGATCAAGTAAACGAGAGGGTTGGCAACTACAGACGGCAATCGCAGCTGCAACCCCTACCGCATGGCATCAACGGGCTTGGTCACAACCGGGAGGAGAGCACCTCAACGCTGACAGATGTTTCGGTGAGCGATGACACACTCACCCACGACGACAGAGGATCGGTGGCGCTGGACAACCTTGCGTCAGAGCTGGAGACCTTACGATCACAGTGGGAGAGCACGAGCCGCAGTGCCTACCGACTCAGCGCACATTCGGAAAGGACCCCCACAGCAGAGACCCATGGCACTGAGCTCAGTGACAATCTTGCAAACTGGAGGCGACGACTTGCGGAGGAAGAAAATGTGGCTAAAGAGCCACAGAAGGTCACTTGAGGTGTTGGACATTTGCGCGTCACAAATGTCACCAGTAATGAAAGGGGAAGGGCTTCGACTATTTCTGTGTGAACAAATTCGTTTTTCTCCCACCATTGTTTGTTGGAGTTGTTGTCTTCGGGATTGGCGAATTGTGGATGACAATAATGAAGACAACGTCCATGTCAAGGAGCTGCTCTACTGGCTAGGGCTCCAACTGTAGTTTTAACTGCCAGAGCACTAGGTGCTAGGGACGGGATAGGATCTGATTGTGGCTGGTTGGTCTTTACTCAATGAATCATATTCCATGAACGGATGTCTGAGACCTTGCGGGAGCGCTCTCCATGGGCCGATAGTCTAATGCGGTGAAGTCGTCATTTGCTGGCTCTTTGAAACCATCCTGCTGTGACTGGCCGGTAGCGCTTCAGCCTTGTCGACGCAGCTGCAAGGCTGAACGATGCCGAACTTCCCCGCAAAACCAAATACTGAAGGAGGCAGGAAACTTCTTACCAGCGCACAGTCCACCTTTACACGGTGTTACACTGACATGCTTTAAGGTTACAGCTGTTGTTCTTCATGCCATCCTTATGTCCACTCATGGTTACTAGACACAGTCGGACCGGCTACGACGCCTGCCACACCCTAACTCCAGACCACGCCCACTACGACTTTAGTCTCCTCTCTGCCTAAGTTGACTCGGCTGTCCATGTCTCTACCTTCCTGCGCGCTCCACCCCTCACGTGAAGGCTTCGGTGCCGTGCTCCATGGTGCGCGCATGAACCGCGCATAGCCTCAGGCACGGCGGACAGGATGGCTACCCAGAACGGCCCGGCCAGTGTCGGTCTCGGACTGCTTGACGTCAACCGACACAGACCCGCGACGCAAGGAGGCGACCGGCCTGCACATTCTGATGTGGTTGACGATGGCGATGGCTTCCCGTCAAGCTCTACCTCTAGTCACCATTCTCCCGTGAATGGCGTGGGTCGAGCTCAACAGAATGGTTACACAACCCCAAGAATAATACCTCAAGAGGCGGAAGACTATTTGACAGCGAGACCGAACAGCCTGCTCCACCGCACGAAGAGCGACCTTGGCCCCCGAAGGAAGGAGGGCCTTCAGGATCAGAATGCACCTGCAGAAGACAAGCTGGCGCACATTAGACACGGCTGGGACGATGAATACACGTCAAATGAGTACCTGTCACTGTTACACTCGACATTTTACATGTACTACACCGAAAAACGGCACGAGAGCAACGGGTCACAGTCCGAGGAATCTAAGCAGTTCCCTAGCGTGGACTGGCGCATGAAAGACAGAATGAAGACCGTGTCTGCCGCGCTGGCGATATGCCTGAATATTGGCGTCGACCCTCCCGATGTCATCAAGACAAATCCCACCGCCAAACTTGAGGCTTGGGTCGATCCTACCGGAAGCAGTGGCGGCAACACGAAAACCATGGAACAGATCGGGAAACGTCTACAAGAACAGTACGAATCATTGAGTCTGAGGACAAGGTACAAGCAGTATCTTGATCCCTCGATTGATGAGACAAAACGTTTTTGCATCTCATTGCGTCGTAACGCGAAGGATGAGAGGGTGCTCTTCCACTATAACGGCCACGGTGTGCCTCTTCCCACGCCCTCAGGAGAGATCTGGGTTTTTAACAAGAACTACACCCAGTACATCCCTGTCGGCTTGTATGACCTACAGTCATGGCTGGGAGGTCCTAGTCTCCTCGTCTATGATGTCTCACACGCCGGCAACATCGTCTACAACTTCGAGACACTGCTCGCCAAGCACGAAAAGGAGAATGAAGAACTCAAGAAACGAGATCCCAATGCTCCCATCCAAAACTACGGAGACTGCATTCAACTCGCAGCTTGCGGTAAGAACGAAATGCTGCCAACGAATCCAGATTTACCTGCCGACCTCTTCACATGTTGCCTGACCACGCCGATAGATATTGCACTGCGATATTTTGTTCTACAAAACCCACTCCCCAGTGGACATACTATTGAAGATGGGAAGATCCCGGTTCCAGGCCGTCTACAGGACAGACGGAGTCCGCTGGGGGAGCTTAACTGGATCTTTACCGCCATCACTGATACGATCGCATGGAACATTCTGCCGCGGAAACTGTTCAAAAAGCTGTTTCGTCAAGACCTCATGGTGGCTGCATTGTTCCGTAATTTCCTGCTGAGTGAGCGTATCATGAGGGCAAATCACTGTCATCCCATATCGTCTCCGGCGCTTCCTGAGACACATCGACATCCTCTTTGGCAGAGTTGGGATCTCGCCATGGAGATGGTCCTAGCACAACTACCTTTGCTTCGGGAAGCAGACGAGGGAAAGCGCGTCTATGAGTATCAGCATTCGACATTCTTCGCCGAACAACTCACCGCGTTTGAGGTATATCTTAGCTCTGGTCCAACCAAGAGTCGAGCACCGGATCAGCTGCCGATCGTCTTGCAGGTACTGCTGAGTCAGGTCCACCGGTTACGAGCGTTGATTCTCTTAAGCAAATTTCTGGATCTGGGCCCGTGGGCTGTTCACCTCGCGTTGAGCATAGGAATCTTTCCGTACGTGGTGAAACTCCTCCAGGCGGCGTCTCTAGAGCTCAAGCCAGTAATGGTATTCATCTGGGCTCGGATCATGGCAGTTGACTCAACCGTCCAGTTGGATCTGCTCAAGGACAACGGCATCCACTATTTCATCTCTATTATGAATCCGCGGTCAGATATTCCTGTTGGCAACGCCAGCGAGCATCGGGCAATGTGTGCATTTATCGTGGCCACATTCTGCAAGGGCTACCCTCCTGGTCAGACCGTTTGTCTATTGCCGGAACTTTTCAGTGCCTGCTTACTGAACATGGCTGAACCTGAAAACCCGCTGCTGCGACAATGGTCATGTCTGTGTCTTAGTATGCTTTGGAAGGACTATGCCGACGCGAAGTGGATGGGTATCAGATGCCTGGCTCATTCTAGACTCTGCGAACTCTCGCTGGATCCCGTCCCAGAAGTGCGTGCGGCCATGCTTCATGCTTTGACCAACTTCATTGGTATACCCGATCTTACGGACCAGGTCTCTCAGATCGAAGAGGGCATTGCCTCTTCTGTGCTTTTCCTGACTTCTGACGGCAGCACCTTGGTGCGAAAAGAGCTGGTCGTGTTCCTTTCTCACTTTGTCAAGCGCTACGAAAACAAGTTCATTGTGGTCGCCTACGAACAGCTTGTGGAAGAACGGGATCGCCATCCATACAAACAATCCGAAGCAGGAAGCTTGGAGAATGGTCAACCACTCAAGTGGGTGCCGATATCGGCAAACACGATCTACGGGTCGATCTGGGTCCAGATCTTGATGCTGTCGGTAGATCCTCACCCAGAAGTCGCACGGAACGCTTCTCTCGTTGTCGATCACGTGCATGAGACGCTGGTCAACTCGCCGATGAGCCACATGGCTCTGGCTGTCCTCGACGACTTGTTGAGATTTGCGAAAAGAGAGGACCCCCAGCTCAAGAAAATTTCTAGCAGAGACTCGCTGAAGCCGGTCCAGGCACAACCTGGCACTCCTCCTCCAACTTTGACAAAACAGCAAAGCTACTTGTCTCTGAGCTTAAAGAGAGCAGGTAGCTCACTTCGGAACCTTGCTTTCGGCGCCGCTTCATCCAATGCTTCATCGAGCTCGACAAGTCCTGAGGTATCTCCGACCAAGACGAGAGATCTAGTGCAGCCAGTCAACACTCCGAGGAGTCGCCTCCCACCGGAATGGAGTCGACCACCAGACTCACCCAATGCCACAAACACACCAGGGTCGTATCATTCCGCACAGCAACCCACCTCAGCTGGCTTTGTGCCCTTAGATCCAAAGAAACCACCAGCGTTCCCCTTGGTAAGTACCTTGTTGGAATGGTCCACAGAGTACTTTCGCGAACCGCAAATGCGACCAAATGACCCGGATGAACCAGGCTCAGCAGATTACAACTCAAGATTATGGCGTAGGAACCGCAACGAGAAGATCATTGCCGACAACCAGCCCTTGAAAGCCGTGGCGGGCAGCTCGAAATGGGTTCGTCCCCAGGGCTTCCTGAACAACCAGACCCAGCCGATGAAAATGACGTTCCATCAATTCGATGATCACCTCGCCGTCGCCGACGACAAAGACACCGTCACGATCTGGGACTTCCAGAACAATGAACAGGTCAGTCGATTTAGCAACGGCAACCCTACTGGCTCCCGGATCAACGACGCCAAGTTTCTCAATGAAGATGATCAACCTCTCCTCATGGTGGGCAGTTCGGACGGCGTCTTGAAGGTGTACAAGAACTACGCCAATCCCGCAGAAGTCAAAGTGATCACGGCCTTCCGAGCTCTGACGGAGCTGATACCTAGCAATAAAAATGCCGGGTTGGTGTTTGACTGGCAACAAGGCCAGGGCAAAGCCCTGGTGGCGGGTGATGTCAAGGTCATCAAGGTTTGGAACGCCGCGACCGAGCTGTGCGTCGGGGACATCCCTGCGAGGAGCTCCAGCTGCGTGACCTCCTTGACAAGCGACAAAGTCGCGGGCCACATCTTTGTTGCCGGCTTCGGAGACGGTGTGGTGAGAGTGTTTGATCAACGACTCAACCCTCGCACCGCCATGGTTCGACTCTGGAGGGAACACAGACAATGGATCACCAACATTCACATGCAGCGCGGTGGCGTGCGAGAACTCATCTCCGGTAGTCGCAACGGGGAGGTGAAACTGTGGGACCTGCGCAACGATAAAGCGGTCCTGACGCTCAACGCGACGAGCAGCACGCCCTCACCCTTGAGACTCGATAGCATCAAAGACGGCGGCACTAGCTCCACAATCTCGACGCCCGAGAAACCGACCGCGCTGCTCAGGAGTCTGTCGGTGCACGAACACGCACCCATATTCTGCGTCGGCACAGATCGACATGAAGTCAAGACCTTCAACACTAACGGTGATGCTCTCGGGGTGTTTGAACCGTCGTCCACGCGCATGGCTCAATTGGCGGGCGCGGTGGGCAGTGTCGGGGTCAATGTTGGGGTTAGTGCCGGACGCTTGGGGATTGGGAGGCAGCCCATCGTGGCGACGGCGTATCATCCTCATCGTATGGTGTTGGCCTGCGCGGGGTTGGGAGATACCGGGGTTGGCCTGGTGAGTTACTAGGGGCAGCATCATGCAAAGTGCGATGATAGAGCCGGCAAGGAGAAAGGGGAAAAGGACAAGAGTGAGGTTCTCACTGAAGCGAATGAGAACGTGGTCACTACGACGCTGTTAATTTGAGAGAAGTGACGGGTTGAGGATATTCTCTTTGGCAGACGGAGTAAGGGCAACGGAAGTCTTGTGCTGGGTTGCGTGCGTGACGATCTTAGTTTTCTGGCTGGAAGTTACGTTTCGCCTTTCAGGTCCTTACTTGCTTGGGTTGGGAGTAAGCTGAGTTGCCGCATCACTTTGGCACGAGATGAGACGATCAGACGGCCCGGCAGGCTAAGGTAGCTGGATACAGGACTTAGATTGATGATCAATACGCGCCGTGGGTGGTTGTAATGTAATGTTCTGGGAGAGTACGACGGGACTGCATGGTAGGTGCATGGGCATTGCGCAGCTTAGCATCGCATCGCATAGCATTGCGAGCGTGTCAGGGCAGGACAGCGCATGGCAGGGCATCACTGAGTGTGCACGGAGCGGATCAGATAGCCACGACAAACACCTACTACTGTGATAGTTAGGACCGCAATGACGATGACGATTCGGCTCAAGTGCGAATAGGAAGCAGAGGCGACGAAATGTCCCGATGGGTTACGCCGGCGGACCTAGAAACGCCAGGGAATGGATACCGGTATACAGAGTATTTCTCCGGAATCAAGGACTCGGCCATCCATTCAGTCCAGATTAGCTACCGTACGAGGTATCTCACATACCTGGGCATGAGCTACCGTAGGGGTATTGTGCTCATCCGCTCCTGAATAACGGCACCGGACAGCGACGAGGTGCTGCGCAACTACCAACTACTAATTACAGTCCATCCTTAACTCGTCTAATGGAACTGACCGCTCACTCCCTAATTAGGTCATGTAAGAAGATGTGAGCGGGGACGATCACTCTGTGCTTACCTAGTGTATTTTGACTAGACATGTTCTACTTACATATTCTGAGTCAGAGCATCTCCAGTCACCTAGTTACCTGCATGGCTGTATTGTGCTGTGCAGAGCGGGAGCGGCGGGGGGACTAATTACATCGCGTGTTTCCCTTGGACGACTTCGAGGATATGAGGAGACTGTGTTGCGTACCGTACCATAGCGCCGTGCGAGTGAAGATACCTAGGCTACTTGGGTCCTTGGTATCTTCCATGTCCAGTACTACCGTACCCCTGAACTTCTTAGGGATCTTCCATGTCCTACTCTACGAGGTATGTATCACACAGCTGAATCTTGACGCCCGACACGTCCAACCCCAGCGCCAAGGCCGTCACGACCACGGCGTAACCGAGCAGCAGGAGCATGGCCCTTTTGCTGGGGATATAGCTAGGGTGGTGAAGCCAAGGTTGACAAGCTCAGTTCAATAGTTGATCCACCTAGCCACACTTCTTCCAAGTACTGTGTACTCTATATTACAGCTTGATCTTCACGCCGGACATATCCAATCCCAGCGCCACGCCCGTCACAGCCACGGCGTATCCGATTAACAGGACCATGGCCCGCGCCGGAGGCATATCCAGCGTGTTGAAAGTGAGATTGACGAGCCCGGTCAGGAGATTGGCGACGAGGAACGTCACGAGTCCGTTCGAGTTGAAGGCGCGTAGGATCGTGCTTGTAGCGGCCTTTTGAGTCGGTGTTGGTGTTCGCGCCGCCGCGCTTTCGTCCTGTCGCTGCCCGTCATTCTCGCTCTCAGCCGCCTTCTTGTCTTGTTGCCGCGCGTCCTCGTCCGGCAAGGTTGGCGGCGTGTAGGAGAAAGCCGGCCCCACCGCCTCGACTAGACCGAACAGCGACAGCTGGGCCGTGTTGAATGCCACGACCCATAGCACGTAGGGGAGGTTGGCCAACCGGCGCGACACGGATAGGTTGAATGTGTAAAGGTTTGTCGAGAGGGCGTAGAGCGCCGCGTAGGCGACTGCGCGGAGGATGAGGTCTCGTAGAACAGAAATTCGTTCTCGGCGCGTACTTTCGGCCCCGATCTCCATCTCTGATCTGTGCTGGTGTTGCTGCTGCTGTTCTTTTTGTATTCTCTGCAGGTTCAACCGCACGAGCGGCACGCCGACGCCCCTCCCGCAGAGGAAGATGGCCAAATAGCCGGCGAAGGAGAAGACGCCCTCGCGGTTCTTGGACAGGAGGTCCGGCCCGCGTGGCGAGATGAGGATGTACGAGAGCAGACGCGTGTTGTCGAGCACCAGCTCATACATAGTGGTCAAGACAAGGGCGAATACCTCGGACGACTTGAACACGCGACGGGTGGCCGTGTCGGAGATCTCGACAAACGGCGGCAGCAGCGCGAGGGTGAAGAAGAAGTTCCAATGCACGCCGTATTCCGACACGTGTTCGGCGTAGTCCAGGCCCTTGACGCTGTACAGCCGGATCAAGCCGAGGATGAAGAGCGGGACGGAATGGCGAAGGGCCTTGACGAAGCGGGCGGCGAAGTTGTTGTTATTCTTCCTCGCGTGTCCGGACTGTGATGGTGATTGAGACTGTGGGTGTGATGCGTGGTGGTCATCGGACTCGGCGCGCACGACCGCGCGGGCAGACACCACGCCGGCGGAAAAGACGAACGACCCCACGCCCAGGTCCATCAGCGAGGTGCCCCATGTTTCCACTTTCGCGTAGCGGCGCGGGAAGATGGGGAAGTCGACGGCCAGGATGGCAAGGCAGGTCACCACAAGCATGGACCCGCGGTAGTGCGTGAGGAATGGGCGGACCACAAGCGCGGGTCTCTTGGATCCCGGCTGGGTGGGAGCGGCGATGGCGACACGGGCGGCAGATCGAGGCCCAGGCTGAGCTCCCGTCGGTTTCTTCGACTTCCAGGCTCGTCCATCGGGTGGCTTCGCGAGAAGAAGGAGCACTACCCCCGGCGTGATGAGGAAGATGGTCAACGCCAGCGGCGAGGAAGAGTACAGTGTGATGGCGAATAAAATGGCGCACACGTTGAGCAGGAAATCGGCCACCAGGGCAACGGGCGTGTATGGCGTGAACAACGAATGTCGGGCTTGCAGGGCCGTCCAGAGAAAGACCGCAGACTGCGCGAGTGTTAGCGACCACTGTTCCCTTTCCTCCTGGTCAACGAGGGACTGACAGCGGCGACGAGGGTGACCAAGTTGATCTCGGTCAGGGAGCTTCCAGAAAGATTCGACACAAAGGCCTCCTTCCGGATCTTGTACTGTGCTGCGTGATCCTTGGACATGGTCGAGTCTTCGGCTGGATCATGGCGGTAATGGCATGTCGGCGCGACCGGGACAAAGCGTCGAGGGCGTCGAAGCACGATTTCGAATGACACGTAAAGGGGGTGGCCAAGACTTGAAATGACCGACTACGTTGGGTCAGTTGGGCGGCGATCGCCACCATGTGCGTGTCCTCATGAGCTGGAAGAGGGCGAGCAGCCAGCCAACCCGTCGAGCGTGAGAATCTCATTGTATAAATCTCCAAGGGACCGAACATTTTCGGCCATCACACGAAAACCAGCCTCGTATTTCGAACCAACCACAATGGAGGATTCGGGGTTCTTGGGCCATTCACGAGATAATCGACCGCCCCGCCCTTCACCCCTGTCGGCCTCGACTCGACGTACGTCAAGACTTGCACCAGACGATCTCGGCACGGTATACAAAGATGACTACCATCGACGGCGCTAGCCATGAGGTCTGGGCACTTCCCAGATTATATCGGAGATATATCAAGGCGAATGTGCGTGAATTATGTGGTATCTTCTAAGCGGGGATGTGACAGACACTCTTCTAGACTGACATTCCCTCAACACTCCCACCATGTCGGACCACGACTGCAGCACCGTTACCTATGGCTATGTTGACCCTAACTGGCCTCGACCGGATACCGGTGACTCCGCCTGCATCATCATATACGGGTAGGGAGACTGTCCAGGGCCTTTGCTTTCGGACATGGATGCTCATACTCGTGCTCCGCTCTAGATATGTCCCCTCGCTGGCACTGGGTACTCTGGGCGTCGTCCTCTTCGGCGTCGCCCTGCTTGCGCACTTATGGCTCCTCATCCGCCGTCGGACATGGTATTTCAGCACCGTTGTCGTCGGTCTGGTCATGGAGATCGTCGGTCAGTCCTCTTCCCTTCTCCTCTCTCGCCGAGACTATCCTGGCATGAAAGAGCCAGTGTTGTCTATCCTGTCCACGACGGTACTCGTCCAGGCTGACGATGATGCGCAGGCTATGCCTTTCGATTGCTCGCCTCGCAAAGGAACCCCTATGCGGTGTCGTATTTTGTGGCCCAATATTTCTGCATCGTGGTTGCGCCAGTGTTCTTCTCCGCCGCCATATACACCATCGTTTCGGTCATGATCGGCGTGGTGGGCAGGAAGTACGCGCCGCTCTCACCGAGGGTCATACTCTGGGTGTTCATCGTCTGTGATGTCGTGGCCACGGTGGTGCAGATCACCGGTGCAGCCTTGGTGGGGAGGGCCTATTCCGACCAGAAAGATCCGGACACGCCGAACAACGTCCTTCTCGCAGGTTTGGCATTTCAGGTCTTTTCGTTCGCCGTCTTTGTCCTTTGTTTCTGCGTCTTGGTGTACCGGGCCAGGAAGGCTATGGGGACGGATTTGCAGGTCTTTTCGGCTGCGGTCATGGTGGCTACTGTCGCGGTATACCTGCGGACGTGTTTTCGGCTGGCCGAGACTGCCGAAGGACTCCTGGAGTATTTGTCCACGCATGAGGTGTTCTTTGGGTGTCTCGAGTTCTTGCCTATAGTGGTAGCTGTGTACGTCCTCGTGTGGTGGCATCCAGCGAGGTGGGTCAAAAAGGGGTGATAACTTTGACTGGCCTGTGGGTTTCTTTGCGTTCTCAAATGAGCACCGAGTCAGCATACAGTGTTTCTTTGCTTGTGTTGAGCAGGGCGAGATATTCATGCGCGACAGCCCACCGCGTGCCCATCGTCTCTAGCACTCTCCTGAGCGAATGGTATGCATCTGCCATTGGTTTCGACCCCGTCTCGTTGGCGAGCCAGGCATAGATCGAGGCTGCGAAATACAGACAGTCTCCCACCAGCGGGCTGCTCGCAGCTGGGTTCGCCAGCATGCTGATGTGGAATAGCTCGCTGAATCGCAGGACGTCAGCTGCCAATGTTTTCAAGCCGGCAATGGCGATGGTCTGCATCTCGGTCTCTTCCACTGTGTGCTGGCCGTGGTTTGACTCTGTACAGGCGAAAGGATCGCAGAGGTGCATGAGGCTGCTGTAACAGATCGCCAGAGGCGTCCCATACCGCTCTGGCGCCCGCGCGACATCATTGGGAAGAAGATTGGCCAATGCTTGAAGGGTGCGGTGCAGTTGGATGGCTTCGGAGAATCGCATGGAGGCATCGAGGACTCGGTCGTTCAGCAGGCGGATGAGTCGCCCGAGTAGATGTGTCGCCTGGCATGTGCGTGCGAACGGGCTGGCTCTCACATTTGTCGGTGTCGAGACGTACAGCGGTTCACTGGTGCTGAGTTCGCCTTCATCCCACATGCCATCGTCCGCAGGCAGGGTTTCGTTCCGGACAGGATCGTCGGTCGCCAGAGGATGGCCGCGCGAGCCAAGATTGACATAACTAACTTTGCTTAGTCCATCGGTCGTGTACTGAAGGGCCTGGGACATACCGGTCGAGCAGCATTACCGTCCACCAAACCCGCTTCATCTCTTCGAGTTCGGCCCACGCTCCTGGCTTTCTTCTAAGCAATTGAGGTGCATTCTTTCGGTCGTTGATGCCGAGAATATGACCCAGTCGGGCGCAGTGTCCAGTGGTCAGATATGCCGCTGGGTATATGCCGTGACCGATCTCGTATGCGGCGATCAAGAGGTCGGCTTGGAGCACTTGCAGTGAGACCACACCGAAAGAGTCCACCATGTTGAAATAGCTCTTCGTCAGACTGTAAAGGGGCGATCGAGCAGCATGCGGACCACCTTGCGGCACCTGTAGGATCAGCTTCATCGAGAGCAGCAGAAGTGCCAGGTCAAGGGTAAGTTCCATTCCAGGGTTGGCCAGGTTCAACTGCATGCGCTTTTTGGAAATAAAAGGCAGCCAGACCTGGACGTTGGCAAAGTATCGATCCACGACATCCTGGATATCGAGTATTGAGACTCCCACCGTGGCCACGACTTCTGGAGGCACGGGCATGGTGGGTTTGGGCACCACCATCTGGGCGTCCCTGAACACCTCGCCATCGAGAAAGAAGGCTGCAGGGAACGTGGCATTGCGGTCGCTATGGTCGATGCAGCTGGCCGGGCTCCTGCTAACGGAGCGCATGGGTCCATGCCAACTTTCAGACCGGCGCCCCTCCAGCCGGGCCTCCAGGTCTGCGATCTTCTGCCTCATGGTCGCGAAGTCTTCAAAGGTAGGGTTGGCGGTGACTTCGGAATAGTCGCAGGCGCGGGACATGCGGCTGCACAGCGAGCAGCTGGGCAGCAGCTTGTCGCACTTGCGCTTCTGTCGACGACATGAGACGCAGGCCTGAGGAGCCCGGTCGGCTTGGTCTGGCATGTCTAGCTCCATGGTGGGCAATGGTGGTGCAAAGGAGAGAGGTGACGGCCGAGTGAAGATGAAGTCTGGCGGTCGAGCGGCCGCATTGAACATGAAATGAACATGGCCCGCATATAAATTTACCACCTCAATGCCCCTGTGGCAAATGTGGTCGAGCATCACCCATGCATCTACTGTATCTTCGACGACGCTCTGACTAAACAGCCAAGAGCGCTTGCAGCCAATCTGGTAACAGCCTATACCGGATGGCGTTTCGGGCTGCCTTTAAGCTCCGGGAGGTGCAGAAGGAGTATCTTCCGTACCACCGGCTTAAGATACAGGCTACCTCCATGGTAGCTTTCCGAACTATACATGGCCGCCTCGTACAATCTCACGATGTGTACTTCTTCTGCAGCGCCTTCGCTATGGTTGTGAGCTGGATGTTGCTGGTGCCTTCGTAAATAGCCCCAATCTTGCTGTCTCGGAACATCTTCTCAGCAACGCCCTCTCGTACGAAACCCATGCCACCCATCCACTCGACCGCGAGTCCGCTTACTCGCCCCGCCACTTGGCTGGCGTACAGTTTGGCCATGGCCGCATCCGTGACAAAGTCTTCGCCTGCTTCCTTCTTGCGGGCCGCATTATAGACCAGCGCCCGCGCGGCAGCGATCTCGGTGTACGCTTGGGCCATCTGGTGCTGCATGCCCTGGAACTCACCGACCAGCTTGCCAAACTGCTTTCGATCATTCCACACGTACTTGGCCGCATTCTCCCAGGCTCCCAGGGCAAGGCCTGTCATCTGAGCGCCGATGCCGATCCGCCCTTCGTTCAGAAGCCCAATTGCGTACTTGTACCCGTGGCCTTCTTTCCCAAGAAGATTCTCTTTGGGTATCTCGACGTCGTCGAAGTTGAGGACACACGTGCTCGAGGCACGGATCCCAAGCTTCTTTTCCTTCTTGGCAATGCTGAAGCCCTTCATGTCCTTGGTGACAACAAAGGCCGAAATGCCCTTGTAGCCGGCTTCGGGGTTAAGGTTTGCGAAAACAAGGAAGAAATCAGCCTCCATGGAGTTCGTGATCCACATCTTGGAGCCGTTGATCTGATGGCCCTGTAAGCATATACGAGACTAGTCGACCCCAGGGCTGTCAGCTTTAGGATCAACATACCTTGTATCCATGCTCTGTCTTCTCTGCCTTCGTCTTCAGTGCAAAGGCATCTGATCCCGACGCCGGCTCAGATAGACAGAAAGCACCCACGGTGTTAGTGGCAAGCTTGGGCAGCCACATCTTCTTAGATGCTTCCGTGCCATACTTGAGAATCGCCGTCACCACCAGTGTATTGTGCACATCACACATCACCGAGACGGAGGGATCTACTCTTGCAATCTCTTCAATGCCAACAATGGCAGCGGTGAAGTTCATGCCGGCGCCTCCATACTCTTCGGGGATCTCAAACGCCATGAGACCTTGCTCGAACATTTGCTCGACCACAGAGGGATCCATCTCTTCCTTCTCGTCCATTTCTCGCACTTTGGGAGCAACCTCTTCATTGGCCCATTTTGACACCGACTCTGCTAACATGCGCTCTGTCTCTGAAAAGTGGGTGATGGGTGTGGGAGAAAGAGAGTCCGTGTCGACGTCGTCGGGCATGTAGGGTTCGGCATAGCGTCGTCTTGATGTGGTAGCAAGCGATCGCTTCGGTAACAGACTTCTTCGAGGTATAGACCGAGTCGCGGGAGCTGTGGAAGAAACAAGACTTGTTGCTTTGGTAAGAGGTCGCAGCGTTCTCTGAAACGAAGCCATGTTGTGTGTTTGGGGTGGGATGAGCCTGGAATGTGCCAATAGTTGAGGAGCTGTATGTATATAGAGGTCGCGTACGAAGACCAAGGCTCATAAGGTCAATGTTCGGCGAACATGGGCGCAGTGGTGAAAAACAATCGTGTTGTCCGAAGCAAATGCTTCGAAGAGTCCCTCGGCGCTCGGCTCACCCAAGGACACCCGGGGGAAAGCGGCTATTCAAGGCTTTCGGATCCTATCTTGCAGCGCCGCCATGCCTAGGACGGAAGTCTTTCCACTCTTCATTGGCTCCTGGCTGAAGAACAAACTCGCGTGAGATCATGTCCGCGGTCTGGTGAGAGCAGTGCCAATCCATTTCCTCTGTGGCGTCTTCCCACAGTACTCGTCCCACAGCACGCAGTGCCTTTTCTCCAGGGGTCTGGACTCTGTGTATTGTGGCTGGTGCATCTGTGGCTGGCGACCACACTGTGGCTGTGCCTCTGACGCAAGGATCGTTCAGCTGCTTTGCCGCCCGCTTTTCGATGCGATCATCCAATTCAATTGGCGATGAGGATGCTGCCCAGCGCCAGGTGTCATGAGTATATTAGGAAACTTGCTGTAGCCGCCGTGAATCAATCCAAGGTCTGTTCCTCTCATCCTGTCTGTTGTTGTGAAGTTGTTCAGGCATCTCATCTCCCCTACGTCAACGGGTTTTGTTTGTACCCTCTACGATAAACTGTTGTTCTCAAAGTCTCAAAGCCGCCTCACTAGCGTCTTGCGACCATGTCAGCCGGCCACTCTGAACCACAGGTTCTATACAGTGTCAACAACATTTCTGCATTTGCAGTTCAAAATGGAGAAGAGCATCCTATCACCACGTCGGGACCACAGACGATGTCGCTACTGATGGTGCCGACAGCGTCACCGTTTGCCGACCTATCTTCAGCCGAACCGACCAGTCATGCGCCGGAAGAAGACTTCTATCTGCACCTCCATCTGCCTCCAGAAGTCGACCTCCCACTGCCAGCGACCACCCAGGTCTACCATAAGCCTCCGAGCAGTTATCTCATTCCGCGCTGGGATTTGGGTCCGGATGCTGACGCCTTCATCCGTATCCAGTTTCCCTCGATCGGCAGCGGACCGGGCAAGGTGACTCAAGAGGAGGTAGATACCTTCGAGACCATCCTTGCCCAGTGCACATCATTCCTCGAGCGGGTCAAAAGCATGCCCCCTGGCTTTGAGCGGTATGACCCTAGCAGTTATCGGCCGGGGGAGGGCTATGTTGGAACTCCAAAACCTGAAAAAGATCGGACTGGGCAACATGGCCAGATTGTGCTTATCGACGAGGAGAATGGGAGCGTCATCGGCGAGCTGCAGGACAACTATGCCGTGGTCGAAGGAGCAAACGTGAAGCCAGGATCAAAGAGTGAGTGCTTGCCTCGATTTCTAGTTTCTAGTACGCGCTGACCGAGTATGTAGCACCTGTCCAAATCCAACTTCCTATGGAGGGACAAGGGAACCAGATTCGAGTAGACAACGTGTCTGAGGAGTACCTGGCTATGGCGAAACACCCTGCATACGCAAAATCCAGGGTGGTGCAAACCTCTGCGACTGCCTCGAGACTGATCGTCACTGGATCGACCTTCCTGGCGAACAAGCTGGCATCGGGGGCAGACTCATTCCAAAAGAGCACGCAACCGAATCCGAAGCCGATGACTTTCACGCCGGCGACTCACGCTCGCATTCGTCAGATCCACGCTTTCACCCAGGGCGCTGTCGGCCTCAGTGCTAAGACTGTTGGCCAGCTGGGCAGATACGCGCAGAATTTTGGCGCATCCCTTGCTCGAAAAGGAGAGAAATCCAAGCGGGAGCCTGGGAAAGATTACACCCCTGGCATTCTGAACAAATCCATGATTGCTTTCTCCACCATCGCCGACGGCATCGACCAGGCGGGGCGGAATTTGTTGGCCTCCGGTTCAGCGGCGGCGACCAATGTCGTCGGTCACAAGTACGGTAAAGAGGCGGGTAACGTTGCGCATGGCCTAGCTGGCGGTGTCAAGAATGTCGGTCTTGTCTACATTGATGCAATGGGTGTATCGCGCCGAGCTGTGATCAAGTCTGTGGCCAAGGGTATGGTGGTAGGCCGAATGCCAAACGGACAACAACTCGTCGTCGGCTCGGGAGACGGAGGTGTCGTTCCGGCTGAAGCAATCGGGGCCGATCGGAAGAAGAACGATTATTACTCCTCCGACATGTACGGAGGAGCTTCGCAGGCTGGTGCAGCCCCGCCAGGTTATGGTGTGGAGAGTTATGGCAATGCTGCAAATGCGCCACCGTCGTACCCTTCGGGAGTTGGTGAACCCATGGGATCGACGTTACAGGGACATAATGTGCGCGAGAAGCGATGACCATTTAGCCGGTCTTGGGATATCTCCCACGAGATGTGAATCGTCACGGACAGGATGATTTGGGATGTTTTCGAGCGCAACCTCCGTACTGCGCAGCGGTATGAAGCTGGATGGAACAAGACAGTAGTGTTCACGCGCGTACAGCAATTGATGAAACCATGACAAGCTTCCACATGTCCGCGATTCGACAACTCAGGGCTTCGATTCCTCTTCCCGGAATAGGCATGGACCATGCATCCTCGCTGCACGACATTCTTCGGTTCCCGCGGCTGAAACGCGGACCGGGTGCCCAAACTCGAGCAATAATAATTGAGTTGATTTGCTGATGTGCCGTGGCTGTCTCTGGAAAACCATGGGGATCGTGGGCTATTGAAACAATTTACCAGCTGTTTAACGCCTTTGCTGTCAAGCCATGAAAGCCTTGTCACAAGATCCGCATCTGGACCGATGCTGCGCGAGCCGCTTCTGCAGCATGCAAGACATGGAGAAGGCCGCAGCATCCGACGTTCACATGCGCTGATCTCGAGGCTCAAGGGAACGCACGCCGCGAAATAAAGACTGGAGCTCAACAGGTGTGGCGCGTGCCTATTCGTCCATACCCCAGAGGAGTTCGTTCCGGGCTCTCTTTCACGAGTCTTCGGCCCACGAGCCCCAGCGTGTCAGGGTCAAGAGCATGGTTCACGAGCCACTCATGGCCGCCAAACAAATCACGAGTCACGATTGCGGGCACCTATTTCGGCTGCGCGTCGACACTTGCATTGCCCCAGCAAATCGCGTTTTGTCGATCAACGCGCAAGGAAATTTCGCTAGGGGAAATCAGGCCAAGTTGAGGATCTAAGGTTTTCCTAATACCCAAGTTTCAGCTGGACTTGTGCCTGGATTCGTGTCCATCGGATCCTTCACGATCGATGATGAGTTGATGATTGCTGCTGCGTCGATAATAGATCGCCGTCTTCGGCACAACAACCTGTCTTGTTGTACCCGCGCTGTTCGCCCTAGAGTGTTGCTCATGGCAAGGCCCTGCGTGTCGGTGTAGATATTGCAAAGAACAAAACTGACCAAACAACCACCGTCAGTGCGCCCCATGGAACGGACCACACCAGAAGAGTGTTCAACGGTCACCTGAAAAGCAGCTACAGGGCCTTGCAAGGCACAAAGATCGTGCAGTTAGCCGTGCGTTGCATGTCAGAAACAGAGGTTCAGGTGCCCGAGCTTTCATCGCCGACTGAGTGGAGGCTCGTTCCAGAGTCATGCCCTCGATTGCGTTGTGAATTGCTTGAAGCAGGTTCGACGAGTGGCGATAGCGAAATCCTCAATGCCAGCGTCAACAAAACCACCCGTGTTCACGTACCATAGGTGTATTTCTCATAGAATAATATAGGTCCCTCAACGAAGGGCAGAAGGCCCGTTTTGGGGAGAGGAGAGGAGAGTTAGTAGCTTAGCGTAGTTCTCGGCGATGCTCTAACCAAATAGTTACCGACCGTGCTGTGCTGCGTTGTCGTCTCCCTCACCGATCGAACCGCGACCTCTCATGCCTCTTCCACCAACGACATCGCCTTGAATTTTCAGGCATATCATTCGACTCCCTAGACAGTATACGACTCATCGCCCTGCCTCACCGCCACAACTGTCCCCGCGGCCAGTCACAACAAGTCTCCTCCTCAAGCTAGGCGCTTGATTCCACCCTCACCTAGATTCCGCATCGCCCAACCAGTCCGCGATAATGACTGCGGCTCCTCCTTCGTCCTACCTCATTTTGACCGTTGTCTGTTGACGATCGATCAACAGTCTCCTCTCCTTCGATTGCAGACGTCGCGGGCACGGCGTTGGCGCTCACTCCTTCGTCCAGAGTTTGTTGTTCTTTGGGGACACTCCTCGACACGAGCTTCTCCGACGCTGCACGCAGCCCTCTCCCTCGGTGTCAACAATCAACAACCAGACTCAGCACTGATCCTCGCCATTACGCCTTACGCAGCGCGTACTCCTGTGAAGATCTGTGGTCACATTCTGCGCCAAGAAAATCACGTCTTTGAATGGGCGACTGTTATTTTGGTGAGCAGGCTCGGGACCTCAGATCTGCTCAAACCACTGACATGCCACTCCCTTCAGTCTTCAACCTACCACGCCCGAACATTCCTAACAATTCAGACAATCACGTACCGACATCAACGTGCTGCAGCGTTCCGGAAACCGGTCGTGAGGGCCTGATCGTGCGGTGCGGCTCAGGCCACTGCTTTGTGTGCAGTGGTTGAAAGATGTCAACAGACATGGCCACAAGCCAATATCGGCAGCGTGTCCCGACTTCTGCTGGCTATTCACAACCCGAAGATCTTCACTACGACAGCCACAGTAGCGCAGATACTCGTGGCTATTACCCCAATCAATCTGTGAGTTCACCACGCTTTACCCGATTTCGACAGATCGGTGAGTAGAGAGAATACTAATTCTGCCTCACCAGTACTATTCCTCGCATGTCAACGATGCCCTGGGATATCACTCTCAAGAGGAGCAAGGCGCTATCGCAGCTACCTCTGCCTATGACACACAAACCACGAGCCTCCCTTATCATATTCGCAACCAATCTGCCGCTCATGATCAGTACGATGGTCCACCCATCATTCCTGCTCGAACAACCTCTCAGCACCAAGGTTCCCCTCATGTTCCAGTACCTCCATCGACGGCTCCATTGGAAGCTAGAGTGGCGGCGACACGGCACGCCAGACAAAATGCGCCAGAATCGCAGGCTGGTCGGGTTCAAAATCGCGTCGGAGATTACCAGGAAGAAACACGAGATAGGCCGCGGGACGATACAGCTACAGCTGCCGCATCTGCTGCGCGTAGCCGGAGAAAGGGTCCTGCAAGTCCCGAAGGTCCACACCGCGCTGCCAGCACGAGAGAACGAGGTGGACACACCGCGCCTACTCAGAGCCGATCTGAGACAACCATGCTGCCCTCTAAGCACCCCGCCTCACTGGCGCGAGAGTACAGCGATGTCATCAACAGAGTTGTCGTATCTGACCCTCAAGAAGATATCGAGAGAGCCCAGGAGAGAATCGCTGAGTCTCAGCCTGCGCCGATAGGCTCTGATCCCCACAATGTCCCAGAACTCAATGACGATCTGCTTCCTCCGCCAGGTCCGGCGCGTCGCCAGGACTACTCCAAGTCATCCCGAAGAAAGGATGTTCAATTCGGTGATTATGTGCTTGGACAGACCCTCGGTGAAGGTGAATTCGGCAAGGTCAAGCTGGGTTGGAAGAAGGATGGTAGTTCGCAGGTGGCTATCAAGCTCATTAGAAGAGAAACCGTGGCATCGAACCCTACCAGACTGCCCAAAATCTATCGCGAAATCTCGATCCTGCGAGACCTAGCGCATCCCAACATTGTTCGACTGCATGAGATGGTCGAGACCGACCGACACATTGGCATCATCCTGGAATACGCCTCTGGTGGAGAACTGTTCGACTACATTCTCAACCACCGCTATCTCAAAGACCCTGCTGCAAGAAGATTGTTCGCCCAGCTTGTCTCGGGTGTCGGCTACTTGCACAAGAAAGGCATTGTCCACCGAGATTTGAAACTGGAAAACCTTCTTCTGGATCAGAATCGGAACATCATTATTACTGATTTTGGGTTCGCCAACACCTTCGATCCTAAGGACGAGCTGTCGGATGAGATCGAGTACAACCTGACCAACAAAGAGTTTGTCCGAAAGTTCAAGCTTGACCGACTTGATGCGCGTGGCATTAGAAGAGGGGATTTGATGCAGACCAGCTGCGGGAGCCCATGCTACGCTGCTCCTGAATTGGTAGTTAGTGACTCCCTCTACACGGGCAGAAAGGTCGACGTCTGGAGTTGCGGAGTCATTCTGGTAAGTGGTTCGCACCGCGCAAGTGCCCTTTTGCAATGCTCACAAGCCGCAGTACGCCATGTTAGCTGGATACCTGCCTTTCGATGACGATCCAGCGAATCCGGAAGGGGATAACATAAATCTGCTGTACAAGTACATCACCACCACGCCCTTGACATTCCCAGAATATGTCACTCCTCATGCACGAGATCTGCTTCGCCGCATCCTGGTGCCAGATCCACGCAAGCGTGCCGATTTGTTCGAGGTCGCCCGTCACAGCTGGCTCAGCGAATATCACCATGTGGTATCTCATATTACTAGCAGTACTACGAATGTCGCTGAGATTGCCAACACTACGGTTCTTGCTGGTAAGACACTTCCTGCATTAAGACAGAGAGTTTGTTCTGACTGATCATAGATGATGAAGACCGACCGACTGTCAACAGAAGCGCATCAGTTCGTGAGGTGCCCACAAAACCTGGCCGCCTTTCTCCCGGCGCTCTTGCACACGCGCCAGAAGGCCTACACCATGAAACTGACGAGGATTCCAACGGTTCGCGACGGACCCGTCATACACTTCAACCTGAATACGTGCCCCCACAGACACATACAACTCGTGGACAAACGGCAGCCGGATTGGAGCCGACAATCAGCCGCAGCCAGGAAGCTCCCCAGGTTGTTGCATCTGCGCAACAGAGCTCCTTGTCCAAACCGTTACCGCAGGATCCTCCACTCGGAACCCGAGAGCGCGCATCCACCCAGCAGAAGATGCAGCCTCCTGTTCGCCCCGCTCGAGATATCCCTAGGTCAGTGTCGGACTCTACCAGCGCATTTGGCCAGGCTCCCATGACGATAAGCCACGGTGGTCAATACGTGACTAGGCCAAGCACTCAGGGCTCATTGACATCGGCCACTGGCCCCACCAACACTCGGTCTGATCTTCGCCTCCCTAGTCGGGGTTCGTATGGTCAGCCAGTTGCTCCTACGGTTGCTGCCACCAACGTCCAGGGCCGTGTTACGCAGCCGACCAAGACTTCTCGAGGCTACAACATATCCGGTCCCATCCCACAGTCAGGTGCTCAGAACTCGATTGGCCAACCGATGACGACACCCATGCCACCACCGGTCGAGTCCCAACAGCCACCAAAGGCTGCACACCATCGGCGATCGAGCACGTTGAGTGGTCTCGGGGAGCGCTTGTTTGGTCGATCCAACTCGGTCGTCAAGAAAGACCCAGAGCGACAAAAGAATGGACGAAAATATCCGCCAACCAGCATGAAAGAGTGGCCTTCAGATGCGCAACCCCGGCTGTCGACGGAGTCCAAGCGATCTTTCTCGTTCGGACTAGGCAGGAAGAGGAGCACGGACATGGAAAACCAGACGGAGAAGCCGGTACGACGATTTTCATTGATTCCTAACTCCATGTCACTCAAGGGTCTCATGGGAGGCGGGAGGGAGGAATATTCTTCCAAGCCAGGAACTCCTCAGGCTGATCAATTTGCTCAGCAGACGTTGAATCGACCGCCCGTTGGACAAGAACACGTGGACTTGCAAGTGTCCAACACCGACGGTCAGTATGATGGATCGCGGCCCATGAAGTACAACAACTTCTCTCGACCTCCGCAGGCACAACACTACCCGGCAACAGAACCTGTTGGATCTCCAGTGTCTAGTGATGTGTATGGTGGGACTGCCGTCTACAACCCGCAAGGACAGAATGCACATTCGCGCCAACGAAGTGAGCCTATGGCACAAATGATGGCGTATCCAGAAGTCGCCCAGCCAGCCGGCAGACCGTCCATGCAACAAGGTCGTCAGGGTCGAGGGGTGCTGGTCAAAAACAACCGCAAGTTTACGGAAGCATACGATCAAGAGCAAGGGCCTACGCACCACAGCGGCAGGTCGGGAGCGGTCAAGAAGGTGCAGGATTTCTTCCGCCGCCGCCGTGCTCCTACCGATGGTGATTATCGTTGAAGCAGGTGGAACAAGTCAGCATCTCTTCAGATCTGGGCAGAAAATCACTCGGCCGCACCTTCACGCTTCGTCAGAGGATGGATATCGGTTCTTCTTGTAGTGATTAATCGTGGGCGGGAATCGGGTCTCAGCTTATTCAATCCTAAGGACCGCTGTTTTCGGCGGGACCTCTACTTCCAGCATACCTTGACCAGTCTTTGCCGAGATTGGGCAGATTCAGGAACGGCCTTGTAATTGGGAGTGGTATTGGACGTGCCGGAGCAAAGAGAGGCCAGGTTCATGTCAACAGCTGCCGGCGTTCCTTGTACGGTGGAAAGTCTTGCACGCGCGAGAGGTCGGATACGGTCGAGTCCGGCCTGCTGCTCGAGCCTTGGAGCTCGCAGCTTGAGTTGAGCTTGTGTTTTGCCGGGATTGACTGCTTGTAAATCAAGCGTGGGATGGGCAATCGGAAGATGGATACCCCCTACATAGCGTTGTATGTTGTTTCTCCAGAAAGGATTGAAACTACGAAGCAGAATTCCGGCGCAGGCGGTAAGGAGGATCGACCGCACCATCTCTCGGCAAATCTCCATGTTGCTGATGATGCCAGTACAAGTGACTCGTACCCAGCGCTCATCGCCCCGCGTTGCCAACCACGTCACGTCGCGTGCCCTCGTTAAGGTAAGCTAGGTGTACAGTCAGCACCGTGGCACCTCCTTGACAACAGGCTAAGCTTTGTGGAGGCGGTTTCTGCCCAAGCTTGTGTCTACACCTCAATACCCGCGGGTTCCTGAATTACAGTCCCGTCGACTTTGGCAATGTGCAAAAGAGAAAAGAGCTCAATGTCGCCCTGACTATCACATAGTCGCCAGGGGCAGAACGAACCTGTTGTAATGCATTTAGGCCCTCCTGGTGGTGTTCCTGACTCCCGCCTCAGTCTTCGCCATCCTCCGCTCGATTTCCCTCGACCTTGGCCTTCCCCGCAATATGCATGCGACCACGACTGCTACTGCTACCTCAGCGCCATTCGACGAAGAAAGCCAACATCCAGCGCAGGCAACCTGTCCAAGGCGAGTGCGCCGCTCCACACACGCTGCAGCCAGCGCTTGAAGCTGCCCGAACCGGCTTTGATCAGCTCCACGGCATCTTCCACAACCTCTTCCCCTCTCGCTAGTCCTTCTCGAAGGTTGCAGCAGGTGCAATGAAAGAACCACTGATGAGGCCTTCCCCTGCCCGCTCGCTTCGGAGGCAGATGATGAGGTGGATCTACATGGCGATTTTCATATCCATGGCGTGGGGTCTGTGCAGGAATGCATTCGGTCTCTCCCGGTAAGTGTACCCAAGTGGTCATCATTCTTTGCTGAATCCACCCACGCTACTTTATTCCTGTGTGGCCTATATCCCTCAGCAGCCACGGAAGCGACAAGCAGCTTTTCTGATTAACCGCCCGTCATCATCGCACATAACTTTCGCATGCCTCAAGCCTTACACTTCGTGCCTTAGGCTCGAACCACTCCTTCAACAGTCGCCGCTTGTAGAGCGATACTGCTCATACTACCAGAACAATATGAGGTCGTCTCTTCTTTCCAGCTTGCTCCTTGCTCCTTGTCTTGCCGTAGCCCAGTCATCAACAACAGCATCTCGGGCATCAACCTCGACCGCAGTTGCGGCACAGTTCACGGTCCCGTCAGAAGCGGACAACGGGGTCACCCTTCTACCAAACATTGATGATCCGTCGGCGCCGAATGCCCAATTGAAATGCCCCGGCTATACTGCCACAGGCGTGAGGTCTTCTTCAACCGGCTTAACAGCTCAATTGACTTTGAATGGGAGTGCGTGCAACGTCTATGGCACCGATGTCCGCGACCTGGATTTGACAGTGGAGTATCAAACCTCCGCCCGGCTTCACGTCAACATTCGACCTTCCCACATCACATACCAGAACCAGAGCTGGTATCTTTTGTCGACAGATTACGTTCCAGCGGCGACTCAAGGCAGGGGTTCCATGACCACAAGCGACCTGACATTCTCTTGGACGAATTCACCGAGAACCGGATTCGGATTCAACGTGACTCGCAACAGCACCGGTGATGTGCTCTTCTCGACTACAGGCACGAAATTGGTCTTTGAGAATCAGTTCATTGAGCTGGTGACGCATCAGGATGAGGGCTACAACCTGTACGGCCTTGGGGAAGTCATTCACGGCTTGAGACTCGGCAATAACTTCACGAGGACGATCTATGCCGCCGATGTTGGGGACCCGATCGACACGAATCTCTACGGCAGCCATCCATTTTATTTGCAGACCAAGTATTTCGAGGTGGGAGACGACAACAGCACAACGTTGGTGACGGAACAGGTCAACACAACTGACACTGGCAACTATACCTCGGCCACTCACGGCGTGTACTTCCGTAACGCCCATGGCATGGAGGTCCTCCTGCATCCTACGAATGTCACATGGAGGACCTTGGGAGGCAGCGTTGACCTGTACTTCTTTTCCGGGCCTACACAACCAGAAGTGACACAGCAGTACCAAAGTGTCATTGGCCTACCGGCGTTGCAGAGCTACTGGGCTTTCGGTTTCCACCAATGTAGATGGGGCTACGAGAACTGGACTGTCACGGAGGATGTTGTCAACAACTACGAGCGGTTCGGCATTCCTCTCGAGACCATCTGGAACGACATTGATTACATGTTTCAGTATCGGGATTTTGACAATGACCCTCTTCGCTTCAACTATTCCGACGGAACCGCTTTCTTACAACGCCTCCACGAAAGGGGCCAGCATTACGTGCCAATCATTGACGCGGCGATCTATGCCCCGGATCCGACGAATGCGAGTGACGCATACGCACCCTTCAATGATGGAAACGACACGAACTCGTTCCTTCTGAACCCGGACGGATCGCTATACATTGGAGCGGTCTGGCCAGGCTACACCGTCTTTCCTGACTGGCTGCAGCCGTCTGCGCACGCATGGTGGAAGAACCAACTTGTCACATACCATCAGAAGCTTCCCATTGACGGTGCATGGATTGATATGAGCGAAGTCTCTTCATTCTGCGTTGGAAGCTGTGGGACGGGTAACCTCACCCTTAACCCCGTTCATCCGCCGTTCAAACTCCCTGGCGAGCCTGGAAACGTCGTCTACGATTATCCAGAAGGCTTCAACATCACAAATGCAACAGCGGCCGCTTCTGCTTCCTCGGCGTCCCAGGCCCAAGCGACACCTACAACTACCGCCACGGCAACCGCTACGGATTCAATCTCATTGTCCTCCTCATCTTCGTCAACAAGCTACCTACGGTCAACGCCGACCCCAGGTCTGAGCAACCGCAACATCAATTATCCCCCATACGTGATCAACCACGTCCAAGGAAACCATGACTTGGCAGTCCACGCCGTCTCGCCAAATGCCACCCACCACAATGGCGTTGTCGAGTACGACGTGCACAACCTCTTCGGCCATCAAATTCTTCAAGCAACGTATGCCGGCTTGCTGGCCGCCATTCCGGACAAGAGACCATTTATCATTGGCCGTTCTACATTCCCCGGCAGTGGGACCGTGGCTGGACATTGGGGTGGCGACAACAACTCCAAGTTCTTGTACATGTATTTCTCTATTCCGCAAGCCCTGTCGTTCTCTCTCTTTGGCATACCTATGTTCGGCGTCGGTAAGTGCTCCCCAGCGGAAAGGAGATCATCCACCCACCTGCTTAGCCTCTTACAGCATGGATGCTAACGATGATTCCAGACACGTGCGGCTTCAACGGTAACTCCGACGAAGAGCTCTGCAACAGATGGATGCAATTGTCAGCCTTCTTCCCATTCTATCGGAATCACAACGTCCTGAGTGCGAATCCTCAAGAGGCCTACGTATGGGCAAGCGTCATTGACGCGACCAAAACGGCCATGAACGTCCGTTTCCAGCTGTTGCCCTATCTCTACACGCTGTTCTATTACGCACACACCCGAGGAGACACCGTCATGAGAGCTCTCGCATGGGAATTCCCCCACGATGCATCCCTCGCGAACGCGGATCGACAATTCTTCCTCGGACCGTCCATCCTGGTGACCCCCGTGCTCACACAAGGTGCCACATCGGTCAGCGGCGTCTTCCCAGGCCTCGTCGAAGGCACAGACACATACTACGACTGGTACAACAAATCGCCCATTCCTGCCCCAAATACCAAGAACACCACAATTGCCGCACCATTGGGACATATCCCCGTCTTCATCCGAGGCGGGAGTATCTTGGCCACACAGCAAATGGCCATGACCACCCGGGCCGCAAGGGACACATCCTGGTCAATCCTCGTGGCGCCCGGGATTGACGGCTCCGCCACTGGCTCGTTGTACCTCGACGACGGGGAATCTCTTGCACCCAACGCGACCAAGCTAGTCAGCCTGACTTGCTCACCCGCCAGTAACGGAACACTGAGTCTAAGAGTCGTCGTGTCCGGGAACTTCACGGGTCTAGATCTGCCCTTGGCGAACGTCACGTTTTTAGGCGTCCAGAGTGCTCCCTCGGACAATGGAGTTACTATCAATGGCCGGAACGTGGGCAATGGCACGTACAACTCGGCGGCCAAGACATTCAGCATTACGAATCTTGCAAACGTGCTGGGAGGCAAGGCATGGGGTGGGAACTGGACTCTGTCCGCGTGAGGAATGGCCTTCCCTACATAGGTAGAATTACAACCACTTTGACCGAGACGATACGCTCTGCCGAAGATCAATAATGAATCATGGAAACCGGCTAGAGACGACGGAAGGGGCCGTCAACAGCATAATCTGCGTCAAGTATCCGTTTCATATTATACAGTGTGTGATCTGCACCTTTAATCCTCTACCCAATTCAGCATATGTAGTCGGGACCGTAGCTACAGTATCTGTATGCCGAGTTTCAAGTTTGCCAGCAACAACACCCAGCTTGCCTGAGGTAACCGGTAGAAGATTACAATTTGCACCCCCCTGTCCCTATTAATGCTAACACTCTCTTACTGTAATTACCCCGAGACAGGAGCAGCTGTAGTGACGAGGACACCCGTTCAATTATGCGCCGTTCGCATAATTACTGTAGCACGCATCACACACGGCAGATCGGGCACGAACAGTCCAGATTCTAGATTCAAATTCCACGTCCCCAAGCGCTACTCAGGCTCTATTCAATTTCGATCGTCATGCAGTCTGGCGCAGATCTGACGGGGTCCTCTCATTATATAAAATACCGGATCGGTGGCCGGGTACTTAAGTCGATCCGAGCAGTCTGCATTCTGCATTCTGCATTCTGCATTCTGCATTCTGGAAAAAGCGGGCCCAGAGAGGCCGTGTGCTGGTCGAAGCCCGGAAGAAGAGGAATGCCGTGAGAGAATCAGCAGAGCATGGCAAGCATGTGAGGGGCAGAGGTCGAAGCGATATGCACGCGTGAGGTTGTAGGAAACATGTCACCCACCGATGGGCAAACTAGTTGATATGTATTATGGAGGGACCCAGCACCCTGGAATCACCATGTGCTGAGCCGGTCAGAGGAAAAGCAGGAAGCCGAGCTTCAATGCCAGAGGAATTTGTTCGTGGCAGATTTCCCTATCGTCCTCGGTATGCCCTGGACCCTGCAATATTGCCCAGAGAGAGTTCCTCTTGATGTAGTAACCATTCAGTTAGCTTCAGCTCGACCCTGCACTATGCCCGGACCTTCCTCAATCATGAATATCGTGACAGGCGCAGCCAATCCTACCAGTAACATCTCGCGCCTGCTATCAAACCCTGGGTTGTTGTGCGCTATTTTTCTTTCGGTCTGAGTTAAGGCGAGTAATGCGATTATCTCTGCTCTGCATATGCTGAACTCTCTAGAGGTTACTTCAACCACCATCTCGAAACCTCAGCGCCAGAGCTCCTCAACCACGCATCGTAAGATGTCAATGATGCCCCTGTTCACTGGGTTGAGCAAGGTCCCTGGGTGTTTGGTGCTTTTGTGGTAACTCCCCTGGCGGCGAATTGCTTGGGCATTTCGACAACCTCGACATCGTCATCATCGCTGCTGTCATCTGAATCAGCTGAAGACGTGTCGTCGAGGGCTTCTGCTTCTTTTCCTCTGGGCTTGGCGATGGCTGCGGTCTCAGGCGCAGGAGCCAGCCCTCCGGCATCCTTTCGTCCCTCCAACTCGTCCAATCTCGTCCGCTGAGCTCTGACAATATCCAGCATCTCTTTTTCCACGACGTTTGACATCTGCTCCATCTGAAGGAGTTGCGCTCTGGCCAGATCGATGATAGTCTCCCTTGCAGCAGTGAGCAGCACAGCCATCTCCGTTGGCTGGCTACCTTCGTCCCGTTCCAGGGCGTGGGCAACGCGTTCCAGGCGGAAGATGGGAAGAGATTCTCGCAGTCGTTTGACAGCATTGGCTTCGACTTCGACGCGGCGTTTGAAGGCCTCTGCCCCGTCCTCATCGCGTTTCCGCTTTCGAGATTCGTCGGCGGCGGCTGCAAAATCCGAGTTAGCTGAGTGATCTTGATCTCGACTAAGATGGAGATGCTCATATACCAGCATGCATTCCCTCAATGGCCCGTGCTGTCTGCTGTTCCATCGCCTCCTTGACCTTCTTCTTCTTCTCCTTGCGCAGGTCTTCTTCCACTTGCGTATGGGTCTTCTTTGACACTTTGGTTTTGCCTCCATCCTCTCTGCTCTCCTTGTCCTTGTTTTTCGACTTTTTCTTCTTCTTGTCCCTCGCCTCTTTCTGACCTGGGGTGGGCGTCCCGTCACGCATTGTCTCGTCACTCTTCCCGGAGGCGTCCTCCTCCTCATCGAGCATTACAGTACTGAAGAATGAGTGACGCTGGTGGGGATCCTTCTTCAGGGCAGCCATTCGCTGGTTCACAAGGCGGGGCTCGATGTTAGGGTCTCGAGGAACGCTGATCGTGGTACCAGAACGTGGCGTCGACCTGATGCGCGTGGTCCTTTCTCCGGAGAACGCAGGTGATAACAGGGTGGGTTTCGAGGTGGAGGCCGGTCCAACTGATTGAGCTCGTTTGGCTATTCTTGCATGATAAGCCCAAGGGTCGGTCTGGGTGAGATCAACGCGGTCCGCACCCGACTCAAACTTCTGCGGAGTGACGCTCGAAGCGCGCGGATGATGCTTGCGGCTCTTGTCTTTACCCATTTGGTTGTAGCGAGTGAACGGGAAGACAACACAGTGGCACTTGTGAGATATCCAAGTCAAGAACAGGGCGGATGTTTAGACGAATGATTTGTGGTAAATGGGTCAAGTGAGGAATTAGAGAGAAGAGTCGAAGAAGAGGTTGAAGTTACTGGTGAAGTTTGCTTCACTCTCACCCGACCTGCTTTGTAACTGTTGAGGAAGGAGCACGCCTGCGAAGCTCACTGAGAAGTCAACATGCAATGAGGTGAAGGCGAAAGTCAGGCAGGAGAGGACGCTGGTACACAATCGTTGATCGTCACTTCATCGAAGCATCTGCCGAACCGTTAAGAGGAGTGCATCAGTAGTAACTCTGCCTTTCTGTCCGAAGAATCAATGCGACGGAGCCATGGTGTCATAACAGCATCACTGAAAATCTTGGATACCAACATGTCTTCCATCGGCGGAATGCTGGTCATACGAGTGCTCATTTGTGGTCAGTTCGCCTGTCGCTACATACCCGCAGCCAGATGGTTAGATGGAAACTTTCATCTGGCGTGAAATGCCATGCATTGTTTCCCGGATAGCAGAGCGATCTTCTCATCAAACAGCTAGCATTTCCTTCACATCCCGGTTCGTGTCGTTCTTTGCATCCTTCACGTTTTCAACTTTGCCCCAGTTCGCCCAGATCTCAGCCTTCATTTCCTTCAGTCGGTGGTGCATTTTTAACAAATCATCCATGTCCTTATCGTCACGATCTTTCTCGTCTGATTGGTCGAGTCTAATGTGCAACTCCTTGTAGCGTTTGTAATACTTTTGAAATCGCCTGGCCTCTTCAATAACGGCATCGCGATTGATCCTTTGTTTCTCGGGGCTAGAGGAGCGTTCGGAGTCACTGCGTACTGGGCCTACCGGGCGCTGAAGAGTATGATGGTCGCCATCGGCCAGAGGCTTCAGCTGAGCTGCTTGAGGGAGAGGGTCTCGTTGTTTTTGCTGCTGGCGTTTGGCAGGGCGTTCATCTTCGGCCGAGCCTGTCTTCCGCTTGGCGGCACTCGGACCTGGACTTCTGCCACGTGATACGTTGCGACTCTTATCAGAGATCACTGGAGAGTACTTGTTACCGGCTCTTGTTTGAGGCATGTCTGACCCGGACGGAGGGGAGGATGGCGCTGAGGACTGGTTGGATGCCTTGCTGGAGCTGGAATTGTCCAGATCAGTCGACGTTGTGGGAGGAGATGATCCTAGAGGGGACGGTTTTTGCGGCGAGCTGTCGTGGCGTGGCCTTGGTGAGATGCGGGAGTTCGAACTTTCCGTTCTGTGATGATGGGATTGAGGTTTCAGCGACGTCTCAGTGTTAGTGACACCGGACTGAGGCTGATCGTTCCCACTGTTGTTGCTGCTGGACGACGACAGACTCGAAAGCGAAGACTTATGCACAGGTTTCTTCGCAGACGTAGTTAGCACTGGCGATCTGTTCGATTTCAGCTGGTCGTGCTCTAACTTTCGCTTCACGGTCGAGCTGGTTTTGGCAATGGCAGCAGCGTCTTGCTTCTTTGGCTTGGCTAGGGCAGTATCTGCCGCTTCAGCTTCCTCATCGGAATCCACAATGCGCTCCGAAGACTTGAATTTGGTGTCATGTCTTGCAGGTTTAGAGCCTTTATCCTTGACCTTCAAAGTCACTCCTGCCTCACCCTTACCAAGACCCTTTGAGCTGGCCACTTTGTCCTTGCGTGCTTTCTCTACGACCGCCGCTTCTTTGTTCTTCTTTGGTCGGACCTTGGTATGTTCTCGATCAGATTCAATCTTAGTCTCATTGGCGTCGTCACCAGGTTTTGGAGTGGCATGACTGGGTACTGGTTTGTCGAAGTTGAGCTTTGAGAGGATCTTGCCCTTTCCTCGCTCTTCCGGAGGGAGCAACAGCTGCCAGAGAGGGTCTCTCTTCTCCACCCGCGTCCTGTCGTACGCTTGAATGGCATGATCTATGGCGGCCTGTCTGTCTTCCTTTGACCTGTAAGGAAACTTCCAGACGTCAAGTTCCCGGTAAATCTTCTCTTTCAGCTCTCTCTTGCCCTCTTCTACTTTGGATTCCCACGACACCTTATCAATCAACTTATCAATGTCATCTTGGGTGGCGTGGAGTTGGTCACGAAGTGCTTTCGGTGTCATAGGTTGGACAGCGAGGAGATGTACCAGGGGGATCCGAATGGCATCCAATCTTATCCGGTCTTTGGTGGACAGGCCGCCTCCAAGAGGAGCAGAAGTCGGCCCTAGCCTAGGAGAATACGAGGTGCTTAGGAAAGGGCTGCCCGGGGTGGACCGGTTCAAGCTACCCAGGAAATGTTCCTTTCTCAAAGTCGTGCCTTGGCCCAGCAAAGGTGATGGTTTGATGGCTTTCTTTGCTCCGTGTCCCGTGCCCTCTTTCAAGCTAGTCTCGTTCGACGCTCGCTCTTCTTGGATCGATTTGAGTGTGTTTTCAAGTGTGGCTAGTGCCCCGTCGGCTCTTGCAGTATCTTCCTCGGCCTTCCGCACCTCGAGCCTATGGCTCGCTTTCCCGGTAAAGTAGAGGGGGCTGGCGTTCCCAGCGGACTTTGTGAAGATCTCAGAGGGGAAGGAGTCGATGCTGCTTTCCAGAGATATGGTCTTCTTTCCAAACTGCACCACTGGCTTCTTGCCGCATCGGAGTCGGACTTGCTCATGGTTCGTGAGAGCTCGGAGGATATCCTTGGTCACAGACTCGAACAAGTCCAGACGAATCACTGGCGCCGAGTGTTTACTGTTTGGGTCATGTTGGGATTCGTGCCGGACAACAACCCCATCCGGGGATATGTTGAACGGGGCCATAATGCAAGAAAGGAAGAACGGATTTCGTTCAGGTAGGAGTATCAGGCGTTGGTGTAGGCGGATCATTCCTCGTATGCGAGAGTTAACAGGACCGGGTCATGGGCAGATCGACGTCAATAAGCGGCGGTTCGCTGTTGCACAGTCGTGACAGCCACTAGCAGGTGCCTTCATGACACTAGAATAGCACGGAACAAGGGAAGCGTGTGTCAGTGAAGTTGGACAAAAGGTGCCTGTAGTGAAGGAACAAAGCACCCGTTCAGCAGAGACAAGGTTGAGGTCGAGGGTCGAATGTGAGGACGAAAGCAGGACAAAGGCATGCTGACGGTTATTGGAAGGGCTGAGCTGTGGAGAGGGGGAGAAGGAGGCGATCTTGGAAGCACGCGCTTCGGGCTGTGGCACGCCCACTGCGATTTGCCTGTGTGGGCAAGAAAGTGCGCACGGCAAACGGTGGTGCAATGCTATGTATCAAGCCTCGATCTGGCTGGGCCGCCTGAGAAACAGCGACGTCTTAGGGACGCCAACAACAGCCTAGGACCGTCCCAAGGCGGTTGACGAACCGGGGTACGGAGCCATTGCACCCATCTTCGGCAATTCTGGGGCCTCTGAATGGCTGCCCACTGGTAGGCGCGAGCCACATTCTTCGGGTCTACTCCCGCATTAGCTAGACTGCCGCCTTTCCGGGGCTCTTATGGTTGTCATTTGGCGTTGTGTCAGCACTGGAAAGGCGAGTAAGAGGTCCCTTCATCACGCGCAGCATCAGCTCTGCTCGATCCAGCCATTTGGAAGGGTTTGCGTACACAGTAGTTCCCGTACTGCAACCTCGTCCTTGGCTCGATAGCGAGAGAAGCTGGAACATGGATCGAAAATGCCTGCATTTGGAAGAAGCATCGAGGGTGTTTCAGGCATAGCAGCGGCTGGGCTCAGCTTGCTAAGTTTTGGGATTCCGACTCTGACCGAGCAAAGGGTTCAAACACTGAAACCCAAGGATTTGAGAGGATGAAGGGACCAGCCGGGCATGAATCGGTAATCGTTCGCCACTGACGACTTTCGCTGTGTATCAGAGCCGAGAGAGTCTCAAATCCGCTTGAGGTCAACCAGACGCCAACGTTTCACGGCCGACGTGTCAGAACCCGAGTGTACATGTTGAGAGTGCATATATTCTAATGCTGCATTCGATGTCATACCGATTGATCAAACGCTGTAGACCCGGCTACATGGCTTCATGGTCAGAGATGCGTCGAGCTCTGACACGTACAGGCGGCAAATATGAGCAACCCGGTTGCCCTGGTTAAGAGAGGCCACCTCCTACTGTGTCGGGTCTCGGTCTGCGGCGAGGACGGATAGAACCGCAGGAGGCACCGCCTGGCCCACGCCCTCAACCCAGAGTGGCGAAACACAAGTTAATTCGTAAGATCTTACTATGGACACGCTGACGGGCTGTATCCTACGCTGATGCACGTAACCCCTTGCCGGCCGTGTCCAATAGTGCAGACACCGGAGATCAGGAACATCTGAAGCTGCTAAAAGAGTCTCATGGAGATTCATGGGTCTCGGGACATTTCTAACGCATTGCATTCGGTACTTGAAATATAAGGTTGAACTGCAGGACAAGTAGACATGGGACCCCATGGCAGCGCCCGGAAGACAAGTCCTCCTGACTCTGGCGGCTCTCTCCAGTATTCGTGCTGCAGTCAGTGCCTCTTCCACTGTGTAGCGTGGGTTGATGCTCGAAATTCAGTAGCAGATGGTAACATGATTGAGAAACTGCGACGGCGAAAGCCTCACTGTAAAATCGATGCTAATGGATTGCTTGCCAGCGAGCAAGACATGTTCACGCGTTATTAATAACGTCGTCGCATTTCCTTCATCACCCTGCAGAAGAATGGGCACGAGCAAAGGCAGACCTTCTCCGGATAATCTAAGTCAGACCACCGTGTAATGCAACAACCGCGTACTGCAACAGCCCCGCATTTACACGTCATATATGATCGCCGTCGTAACTATTTAAAGATCGGCGCTAGCGACGTTGTAAATATGAAAGACGTTGCAGAGGCTTGTGAACTCGGTCTGTTGGCACCTCTCAGAGGTTAAACGGGCCTCTTTATCTCTATCGATCCTCTCCCACTCCTCTTGGCGCGCGATGGCACGGTCTTGCGCCTCTTTTATCTCAACGATTAAAGTAAAGGACTTGTTCGAGTCGATGTTAACTTGTGCACGCTTAGTGGTGGTCTTTTAAGTAACTTGAACCGATAACTGCTGAATTTAGAGGGTCTGTTGCGCTGATTACAATAAAAGCTAGTCGATCTTATTAGTAGCCTTACGTATAAATAACCGAGTGCCTTTTTAAGCTATAATATCCGGGATAAGGCCGATCGCCTATACCTATAAATAACGCCCGTTACGCGGCGTTACTGTATAAACCTCTCTAGATAGTTTACGCTTATAAGATTATGGTGTTTATAGTGCTATAGTAAGGGTTTTAGAGGTTTACACTAGCTGCGATAATTAAAGGACTTTACGGGGGTTATATAGGTATAGACTAGTGCCTTTCTATTTACCTTTTATATATTAAGGCGTTAGAGTCATCGCTTTAGCTATCTTATAAAATTCGATGAACTCGAGGCGTTATACGGGCGTAGTTTCGACGAATCTTAAGATATTAGTAATGCTTTTACGATAGTTGCTTTTAAGGACTAAAAAAACACTAATATTAAGAGGTTAAAGGACGTACGATAAGTGTAAAGGTATATAAAGCAGCTAAACATTATAGGTAAAGCACTCGAATATAAATGTAATAGTAATGTAAGAGTTATAGTTATCGTAAAGAAGTAATCGGGGTGCTGTGCTATTTACGGTTTAAGGGAGGAAGATCTCTTATAACTAGCTTAACTCGACTATATTTATTATAAAGGCGTTCTCAGTACACTTATAGTGCTAATTTAAGGGTGAATTATACAGGAACTATATTAACTAGAGGTCTTTACCTTTAAAAAGCACTAGCGGATCGATAAAACGACCCTCCGCCGAGTAGGCCTCGATTATAGTGACCTAGTTACGATTTTTAAGCGTCTTACGATATGAATAATGTCAGGAATGGCGACTAGAGCTTACTAAGCCTACCAAGAGGACGCCTTCATCTCTTATGCAGCTCGCATGAGAGTCTCACCCTCCTTTCATGCTTTAAGTCCTGTTTAACCTAGAGGTCTAGGGACACCTAATATTATTGAATCCCACTACTATTACTCTCTGCCTATCGCTATAGGCTATTCCTAACATTCTCAAAGCATCTCAACACGATCGGTCGGACGAAGTAATAATATAGGCGGTAATGGCGCCTAAAAGAGCTACACCCGCAGCTCGGGGGTCACCTATAGAAGCCGGGTCTTCAACCATAGCCCCCCGAGAAAACCTAATAAACGATGAACCCATCGAGGTACACTTAATACCCCCGACGCTTACACGCGAGTCGAGGACACCTTATACCTTAGAGGGTAAAGATGAAGAATACTAATAACTCGTCGCCCGGCGAAAAGCGCTTAAGACCGAGTTAAGACGTAAGCGACTTTAGGACGAGATTTAGGCGATAGAAGAAGAGAAGGCTAGCCGCGAGCTACTATAATATATAGAAGTCGTAAGTATAACGCTACTGAGTTATAAGCGACTATATAGCTCCTTATAAGTAAATGAAGATTACGAATAGTTACAGCGGATATTACGAATACTTAAGTAGCCCCCGAAGTTTAATAAGAAGAATATACGAGCTTTACGCGACTTTAATAATAACTGGCAAATAGTATTCGATGCGATTCCGCCCGAGGTCACCCTTAACTAGGGATACCGTATACGAACCGCGGCTAACGGGCTCGAAGACCGCGCGATTAACCGCTGGCGATAAGACCGCCAGCTAGTATAATTTATCCCCGAGTCGTGGCCTCTCTTTATCTTATAGTGTAAGGACACTATTAAAGACGTAGATATTCGTAAGGGAGAAGCACTAGTCGCGCTCGCGACTCTTAAGTAAGAAGTAGGCTAGTCCGTACGGGACTTAGTACACTAGATAGAACTCTTAAAAGAGGAGATTAGCCCCCTTACTAAAGAGGAGCGGTAAGGTTAAGCCCTCTTCTATACTCTAATACTAGCACTACAAGATACTATCCGGAGGGACTTAAAGAACATTACCTCTAGAGTATAAGTGCTGGTATCAGCTTAAAGACTAGAAAAGACTATTAGTAGAGAGAAGCGGGAAAGTACCGAGCGAGTCGCACCCTCTATAATAAAGAGGGTTATATTAACTACGATTACTACTAACCCCGCTCGCCACTAATCCCTACACGGTTCCTGTGCGCCTCGCGAGCGGACCTCGCCCTTACTAACGAAGAAAGCCCGTTATAGAGATAATAGACTGAAGTCACCCTTCGACGGAGAATATAATATTTACTATAAGAGAGGGTATCGGGCGAGAGATTATCGCTCGCGACTAACTAAACCGCGAGACGCACCCTCCTTGTATATGAAGAAGGAGACTAAGGGGAAGGGGAAGAAGGGCGACTAGTTAAAAAACTAAGTACTAGCCTACTAAGTGCCGTGGTAGCGCTAGGCTTAGATATTAGTAAGGAAATCGCTAGCTCCGAAGTAGCACCTAAGGTACTCACACTAGAAGTTTACTTTACTAGACTAATATTAAGAATTGCCTCCGCGCAGCGTGTATAAGGACACGTGAGCACACAGGTAACCCTCGGGGTTCTTGAGTATCGGGGGTAGAGCAGAGGTTAATGTCGAACAGATCGTCAGACGGGACACAGCACTTATACTGTATCTCCTTGAGCGTAATGTTAACTGAAGTTAACTATACCTCCTATAGAAGTGTATCTAGCTGTGACTATATACACAGGTAGTTTTCCTATCTAGGAAAGTCTGGGCGTTGCATGGTTGCCTCCGTTGCGGCCCTATGCCCTGCAACGATGCAATATATGCAACGGCTTATTTCCTTTTTGGGGTAT